ACTGGATGCGGATGTCGAACCGAGACAAGAACTGGGACCACCGTGCATGACGCTGGTTTAGGATGCGAGCCGTTGCCAGGTACTCCAAGTTCTTGTGATCGGTCAGAACGGCAACGGGATGCTGGGCGCCTTCGAGGTAGTGTCGCCACGCCTCGAAAGCCTCCTTGATCGCCAACAGCTCTTTCTCGTATATGCTGTAGTTACGTTCAGCATTCGAGAGTGTCCGCGAATGGAACGAGCAAGGATGAAGGCGATCATCAGCACCCCGCTGGGAGAGCACGCATCCAAGCGCAAAGTCCGACGCATCTGACTCTACGACGAACGGCTTGGATGGGTCCGGATGCACCAGAACGGGCTCCGAAACGAAGGCATCCTTCAAGGATCTGAATGCTTTATCGGCTTCGCGGGACCACTGGAAGCCATGCGTCTTCCGGAAGAGCCGAGTCATGGGCCCCGCGATCTTTGCGTATCCATCGATGAAGCGTCGATAGAAGTTCGCAAACCCGACAAAGGATCGAAGATCCGAGATGTTGCGCGGTATGGGCCAATCCAAGATCGCAGAGAGCTTGGATCGCTCCATACCGATGCCCTCGGGCGAGACCATGAAACCAAGGAACGAGACCGAGGTTTTGGAGAACTCGCACTTCTCCAGCTTGCAATACAGCTTTGCAGCTCGGAGCTTCGAGAGGACCTGCTTGACGTGCTCTACATGCTGCGACGGATCAGCACTGTAGATCAAGATATCGTCAAGATACGCAATTGCGAACTGGTCCAACTCGGTGCGCAGGACGTCGTTGATGAAGTGCTGGAACGTCGCTGGCGCGTTGGTGAGCCCAAAGGGCATCACCAAGTACTCGAAGTGCCCATATCGAGTACGGAAAGCTGTCTTCCACTCGTCCCCGGAGCGGATGCGCAGCAGATTGTAGGCTCCACGAAGGTCCAGCTTAGTGAACACCTTCGCGCCTCGAAGTCGGTCCAGCAGCTCGCCGATCAGCGGTAAAGGGTAACGGTTCTTTACCGTGATACCGTTCAGTGCGCGGTAGTCAACGCAAAGACGAAGTGAGCCGTCCTTCTTCTTGACGAAGAGGATTGGTGAGCCTGCTGGGGACGACGAAGGACGAACGAATCCCTTGGCAAGATTCTCGTCGAGATAGTCACGCAGAGCGTGAAGTTCGGGCTCGGACAGTGAGTACAGAGGCCCGAACTTTGGCGACTTGCCCGGCTCCAAGTCAATGGGGCAGTCATAAGGGCGATGCGGAGGCAAGGAGTCAGCTTCCTGTTTAGAGAAAACAGACAGGAAGTCCTTGTACTCCGCAGGCACTTCGACAGTCGCAGTGCTCGGCTCGTCAGTGGGCAGGACATGGACCTGAAAGATGGTCAGGGGTTGCGTTCCATGCCTGCATGCATCCAAAGACTCGCGCATCGAGCGGTAATCAATGCTGCAGACGCGGAGAGGAGCGTCCGAGCTGAGAGGAGGGGCGTGGACAAGGTCAGAATAATGTTCGACGGTTACTTTATTCTGAACAATGTCCGAAGAACAAACAACAGGAGGAGGTACATCAAGGAGGGAAAGAGAACTGACAACAGAAGAAGGGGTTTGGGAAGAGCGAAGGGGTTCGGGAGGAACAAGACAAGAAGGGGAAGACGAAGGTGGGAGCGTAGGAGAGGAGCTTAGATCAATCAAAGGAGTGGAATCATCAAGAAGGGGAGTGACATTGGAGGAAGTGGAGCAAGACGAAAGAGAAGTAGTGCATGGAGAGGGGTCGGAATCAACAGAAGGAGGGAGACAAAGAAGACCGCGAGACCAGACAATCTTGGGCTCGGCGGTGCGCAACCAAGGAAAGCCAAGGATAAGTGGTTGATGTGGAGACCTGATCACATCGAACCGAAGGCGTTGCGAGACGTCCCCGAGAATCACCTCGAGTGGAGCAGTCTCGCGGAGGATGGGGCCAGACGACAGCGGCTTACCATCCACGCCTTCCACTGCCAAGGGCGAAGCCTTGGAGCAGGTGGGGACAGAGTGTCGAGCAACAAAGTCCTCGTCGATAAAGTTGCCAGAGGCACCAGAATCGACAAGTCCTTCGCACGACAGAGAATCACCAGAAGGAAGACGAACAGCGACGGGAACAACCAACGAGCAACGACGAACAGACGAAACACAAGACTTTGGTTCGGTACCAGCTTCGGCACCAGGGTTGCGGCTAGCACAGACAGTTAACTTTGCCGAGGGTTGGCAGGACAGCTCAGGTATTTGCACCTGTGGATGAGGTGCAGTTCCCAGTGACACCAGAGGTGCCACGGGTACTATGCCAGAGCTGAGAGTGTCCGCCGGTCCAGAGGCAAGGCGAAGCTGTCCGCACATCACTGCTTCCCCAGTACTTACCAAAGGCACCTTACCAATGTCTTCACTTTCGGAAGGCGGTGGGCACGGCTCCGGTTCAAGGCCTTCACTTAGAACCGGGCCTGGTCGTTTCCCGAACTGAAGTCTTGCACTTCTCCATCTTCGTAAACGATGGTGCGGATGATCCTCGGGCCGGGAGGTCCAGGGGGCGGTCCGGTAGCTCTGGTAGATCCAAACTTGACGGGGCAGTTTCGTACCAAGTGGCCCTTCTTGCCACAGTACAGGCAGAGTCCAAAGCGGCGGCGGCGTTGTTTCTCCTCGGCGGTCAGGGGTCCAGAGACGGCAGAGTCCACTTGCATGGGCTCGGAAACAATGTAGGAGGGGTGCGGCGGAGCGAGGACGGGCGCGGGAGCGATGGCGGGAACGGCAGCGGAGGCGGAACCAAAGGCGAACTGGGAAGACCGGTAGCGGGCAGGCGTGCTTCGGCGCTCTTGACGGCGCTCGCGGATTCGTGCATCGAGCTCGTTACAAAGCTCGATGTACTCCTCCAGATCTCGTGGCAGAGGGCGAACTCGCGAAAGTTCGTCTCTGACATCATCCGACAAGCCAAGTCGGAAGAACGAGATCTTTGCACCGTCGTTCCAAGTCGTATCGGCGGCAATACGAAGGAACTCGGATGCATAGACTGCGCACGGGCGGTTGCCCTGAGACAGTGTGGTGATCACTGACTCGGCAGTCCTGGCCCGATCAGGGTCGTCAAACACTTTGGAAAAGCGTTCTAGGAAATCGCCAAAAGAGTTGAGTCGGGGATCACCCATCTCAAGCATCGGAGTCGCCCACTGGAGAGCCGGTCCAGTGAGCAGACTAATGACGAATCCGACCTTAATCGGGTCAGCAGGGAACCGGTGGGGCTGCATTCGTATATACAGTTTGCACTGATTTACGAATGCCCGGAACCCTTGCCGGTTACCGTCGTAACGGTCCGGCATCTGCACGCTGTACCCAGCGGCAGGAGCATCGCGAGCTGTCCGGAGCTCGGCGAGCTCGGCCTCCAAGGCACGGAGGCGGTCCACGAGGGCAGGATCCATGGCGGGACTGGGACTGGGACTGGGAAAAAAAAAAAAAGCGAGGAGGTTCAAGAACAGGAGAGCGAAGAGGGCTCAGACACAAGTGTGCTTGAGGTTCGGACAGGACTAGGAAAGGGGCGGGGCTAGGAGCGGAAGATACCAAGCAGGTGGTATCAGTAGAAGAGAGTTCGAACAAAGTGTAAGGAGTGAACAAGCGCAAGGACGAAGACCAAGTGCTTGGTATGAGCTTTATTAGCTTTTAGCCCCGAACACCAAAGAACAAGTTTTGTTCGAACTGGTGTTCAACATAGGCTCAGACATGCAGGGCTATTTATAGACCGGGAGAAGGTCGAGGGGCAAAAGTGGGCGAGAAGGGTGGAGCATCACAGAGAAGCGAGAAGGGGGTGCGAGAGTGGCTGGTGTGCAAGCGAGAGAGGCTTGGCACAGCCCGGGGACATGTGCCGAGCGGTGGGGGAGGCAGGAAACCAGTAGACGCGGGTGGCAACGGCGCGTGCTCATGCATGGGGGCAAACAAACACGTGGGGACTCATGATTGGTGCGGAGGGCGAGAGCATGCGGGACAATCTCATTGGTCCGTTGTGATGCTGGTCATCACAGGCCTTGAGAGGGGGGTAGTGTCATGAACACCCTCTGCCTTTGCCCACTCCCTTCCTTTACCCTTGCCCTTTCCTTTCTGTTTGCCTGTCTTAGTGCTTTCCCTTCCTTCTGTTTGTTTGTTTCCCGCGCTGTGCTGCCTTGTTGTCTTACCGCAAGCACGCGCGCTGCCTGTGTTCCGTTCCCGCTCCCTTGCTGTTGGTCATGGGTTACGCCCACGACGCCGCCTCGACGCCGCCTGACGCCTTGGCGCCGCCAAGCCGCCGCCACTGACGCCCGCTGACTCACGGATCCCGAGTCACGGCCTGTAAGGAGTGAACAAGCGCAAGGACGAAGACCAAGTGCTTGGTATGAGCTTTATTAGCTTTTAGCCCCGAACACCAAAGAACAAGTTTTGTTCGAACTGGTGTTCAACATAGGCTCAGACATGCAGGGCTATTTATAGACCGGGAGAAGGTCGAGGGGCAAAAGTGGGCGAGAAGGGTGGAGCATCACAGAGAAGCGAGAAGGGGGTGCGAGAGTGGCTGGTGTGCAAGCGAGAGAGGCTTGGCACAGCCCGGGGACATGTGCCGAGCGGTGGGGGAGGCAGGAAACCAGTAGACGCGGGTGGCAACGGCGCGTGCTCATGCATGGGGGCAAACAAACACGTGGGGACTCATGATTGGTGCGGAGGGCGAGAGCATGCGGGACAATCTCATTGGTCCGTTGTGATGCTGGTCATCACACGGCCGCCACCTGCTTCGCTCGCTGCTTCGCCCTCCCCGCCGCTGCTTCGCTCCTGCCCCCTCGCTCTGCAGCGTCGATCCTTGGCGCTCGCATAAATAGCCCTCCGACCAGCCTCTGTCTTTTGCCTTCGTCTTGCCACTTTGTATTTTTAGTATCCTAAGCCTTGGATCTAGAATAAAACTTTGGCTTCACACTTGACACTCTGTGTCCCAGTCCAGTTCCCGCTCCTCTCCCTACGTTCGAGTCTTGCATTAGGACTCTTGCGCACTTCCCTGCTTGCCCCGTTGTCCAGTCTTGACACATAGGTTGTCTCGGTCACTCGAGGTCAAGGCTGCTCATAGCAGCGGGAGAATAGACACACGAGCGCGGCATGAATGTCCGGCAGCTTGGGTTGACGTCGGTTCTGCTGAAGCCGCTCTGAGCCCTCGCAAACCCTCGCGAGGACAGGGCTGCAGGCAAGTCAAGAGCGTGCAGATATACCCTTGGGCAGTCCACAGAATTGATGCACCTATGCCAACGAGGACCGCAGCAGGGATCAAAAGCTTGTACTGCAGGCTGAGTTGGTCGGGGCTATCAATGGCGATGACATAGGCGACATCCATCAAGATATACGGGAGCGCCCCGAGAACCAGAGCATATCTGGCGGGGTTGTCATCCGAGAAACAAGCGGTCGGTGAGTCTGCTTTCGGGGGGAGGCGCTGGCCAAGAGCAGATGGACTTGGCTGTCCCGGTTGCCGCAATTAAGACAAACGAGGGAAGGAATGACCAGCCGCTGCAGCGATTCGATTTGCGGGTCGCTGCCCTACCTGACTCCGAGCAGCTCGACTGTGAGACCGGCAAGGGCAAAGTTGGAGATGCCAAACGAGAGATACAGGATCGAGAGCGTCCAAAAGGCCAGCTGGGTGTCTAGAACCGTGGACATGAGCGTCTGTGGCGAACTCAGGGTAAGTTGCAGCCCGGGCGGCACCTTTGGCATGGCGAGGGGCGAGGGGGTGGGCGTAATACCTGGATGGTGCTGAAGGCGCTGAAGATGAGCAGAAAGCCCATCGACAAGACCACAACCCGGGCGAGATACTTGCGGCGAGCAGGGCCCGCAGCAGACCCAGAGGAGCTACTTTGGGGCATGGTGGCGTGTGGAGAGCAGGAGAGCCGAGGGAAGATGCGGGGGGGGGGCGGTCGAGGGAGGGTGATGGGGGATCGAGGACTGGGCGACCAGACGACATATATTTTTTTCGGCCCGTGGACCCCATGGCCAGGAGCAAGGCACAGCCGAGCAGATTGTGCGAGCAGCCGGACAAATCGGGGAGCGCATGGGTCGTCTGTTGGGCCGTGGGAGCAATTCCTGCCTGCGCACGCAGGGGGCTGTGGTCCCTGGCAAAGGGCAGTCCTTCAGTGGCTGCTCTTGTGGCTGATTTCGGTCATCGAGAAGGCCTTGGCGGCTGCGATGGCAAGCCAGAGCGAGGACATTCGCAGGACCCACCCGAAGGCATCCGCGTCGGCACCGCCGCCGTCGAAGCGGCCGATGATGGCAAAGATGATGCTCGACAGCAGGATGCTGATGAACTGCGGAATCACAATGTACATATTGTGGATGCCCAGGACGATGCCCGAGTCGAGTTGCGAGGCGGCCGGGGCCCGTGGGACGGCCTCCTCGATGCTGTCTGCGCGAGAGAATCGCAGCAGCGAGTCGTCCTCGAGACCACCGTCCGTGGTGGATCCCAGCGAGGCAGGATCCCGAGCTTCTTCGGCGCAGGCGATGGTGGACTCGGCTATGAGCGTAAAGGGGATCCACTGCGTCGCACCTGTCGATGGCCGGGTAATGAGAAAGGGCGCAGAAGCAAAAAATCGAGTCAGCGACCCGCTAAAGAACAGCGGCTGGCCAGAGCCATGCTGTGGTCGATGGTACTTACCCCACGGAATTCCGACAGCAGCGACGATAGCCACAGCCCAGGGCGCAGTCGTGACGGATATCGTCGTGATCATGAGCAGCGCAAAGAGCACCAGGGTGTAGGCCCAGACCCTGGGCAAGGTGAGATATGGCGCCCAGTCGGGGCTATTGCGCAAGCCCGATCCGGCAGAGTTCGACTTGCGAACGGTCAACCCCGGGAGGACCAAGACGGTGGCGATGGAAATGAGCGAGTTGAGCAGCAGCGCCAGCGGCCCATATCGCGACTCTCCTTCGGAAGTGAGCGTCGATGGATCGGCCTTGGAGGCGATCCATGCGGTGCTGAGGGCGGCGTAATCCAAATCACCGACAGGACCGAGACCAGGCATGGGTATTGGTTGTTTGGAGGAGGTGTGCGTATTCAGCGAGCAATGGGTTTCAGGGAAGATGGGTAGTTGTAATTCTGTGGGCGTCAGCACTATGGGATGGCCAGCCAAATCCCGGAGAGAGGACGAGCTGCTCCAAGTCGCAAGCTACCCCGTTGTTGTTGGAGCAGCATTGGAAACGCAGCCACGATGCTCACCTGTAGAACAGAAACGGGAACCAGGCTGTCCAGGCAAAGAGTTGGACGTTGCAGACCTCCTGGATCGGCCGCGGCAGCGTCCGGAAGGCTTTGACAATGTCCAGCAGCGGCTTATACCAAACCGCCTTTTTCGGCGGAATCGACAGCGGAACTTCATGGGCGACCAGACAAGTGACCAGCAGCGTGCCCACAAAGACAGCAATCGCCAGGACACAGAGAACCTTCAGTTGCGTATCGCCCAGGAACGGAAATAGCGAGACGAGGTCGAGATAGCCCATCAGGTAGCCTGTGGAGTGACCGACTCCGTTCATCCGACCAGCCCAAGCGTTGGCCAATTGCTGCTGGTCGAAGGGAACCAAGTCGACGACAAGCATGCGACAGGCGGCCATGACGGCATTGATGGAAAAGTCCAGCAGATAGAAGGCAAAGACAGCCACGAGAATCGGTCCCGAGCTGGCCTGCACAACGACGATGCAGAGATCCAGACACCGTTAATGCGCTGTGAGCTGATGAAACTCGCTTGCTGAACTGATGGAACTCGTTGCTGTAATAGCAAACTCGGGGCCGAGCTCGATGGGCAGGCTCAACTGTGCTGCTCGCTCGCTCGGGGGCTGGATTCTCACCTTGTCAGAGTCGTAAAAAAGAAAAACAATCTCCTTGGCATATGCAATCAAGACGATCGACAGTACTACCAAGAGTCCTCCGGCTGGTGGTGTGGATGTGCCGATAGGGGAGGGTTTCGAAGCGTCCGGGGTCAGTGCGGATGGCGAGATGTCGCTCTATCGACCCGATGGATTGCAGCAAATCAGGACGCCAACTAGCCGGCAACCGGCGCCAGGATGAATGCCCAAGCCAAGTATCAGGCCGAGTATCCAGGTCGATAACCGTGTGCATGGCAAGAATGCGGTGAAGAACCCACCAACAATAAATGGTCGGCGACGACCCAGTCGGCTGGTCAAGCTGTCGCTGTAGGCACCGACGATGGGCTGGACGACGAGACCTGATGGAAACGGAGGATTAGAGCATCGCAAGCGCCGTTCCACCCCATTGGTCCTGACAGGAGGCGAGCTGGGAACAATGCAGTGCCAGACAGGATGGGCTTGCCTGAAAGGGGGCCGGCAAGCCAGACAAGCGCTATGAGGGGCTTTGAGAGTCCGAGCGACAGGAGATATGGGGTCCCAAAGCCCAGCTCGACTGCCCACGCAAAGTTGATGCCGATGAAGCCCAGGGTCAGCAGAATTAGATCTCGGGTCGAGATCGAGCGCTGAGGGGCAGCGCTGGCAGCGGGCAGCTGGCTGTACTCGACGCTGGCATGTGCCATTGCCGATGCCCTCGCTCGAGGAGTTGTGACGAAATGCAGGTTGAAGGATCAAGGGGCAGGTGCGTGCAGGTGCAGGTGTGCGGGTATGCTGGAGATCGACAGAGTGCCCAAAGCGTCGCTGCTGATGGCCAGGGACAGCCAGGGAGATGCGGGAGAAAAGGAAAGGGAAAATCGTTGCTGGGGTTGCTGGCGATGCAAGCACGCCAACGACAACACACCCAGGTTTGGGCACCATTTGCCGACCACAGACAGCCGTCTGTCGACGACCACTCGCCCGAGGCATTACCGATTTCGAAATGCCGCCCTGGCTGAGATGTGCTCGGCTGCTGGTCAACCAGCCAGAAGCCCTGTCCCCAACGGCGCCGGCTTGGTCTCGAGACAGCAAAAATGCCCAGCGAATAGGTCGCCCTCTTTCGCCCGAATCCTGGATGCTCGGAGGACATTCGCGCACCAGTCTAGATGGAGGAGTGGGTTCTGCCATCGAGCCGTCCTCCACAATGACCAGTGAAGGTCGACAGCGCTGCTTTCGCGGCGGCTCAGGAGACCACGGCCGACTGAATCTGGTATCGGAGCCGTATCGAATGCAACGGCAGTCCCTGCCCGCTTGAGATCGGTGCATGCCACGGTATTCCGCTTCATCGACGCAGGTCGTCGTGGTGGGATGAGTGACCATGTGTGTATTCACAGCCATGGAGAAACAACAGCAGTAACGAGTGGGCTCGAATGGAGGGGACGTTCAGGCTCGACCCTGGATCGAGAACTGGGGGTTGACCTCGTTGGGAGCCAGATGAGGCGAGGACTTTTTCCAGTTGTACCTGTTGTTGATGATGGGAGGCAGATGGCTGGGGGTGTAGATCTGAGTGCTGGCGGTCGAGGTGGTAACTTGAGCCTCGCCGGAAGCGATGCTGTGCAACGAAATTGAGCGAGTTGACCCGATCAAACAACGGTCAGAGATATTCAAGCCATGCCACGATCCAGGCAGCGTTGAAATATCACTGCAGAGTATCGAGACGAGGCCCAGAAACGAGGCATAGAAACGAGGCATAGAAACCAGGACCAGAAACCAGAGAAACGAGGGCCGCAGCAACGCTAATCACCTTTTCAGGGCTCCAGAGGTCAACTCCTTGCTCAGCTCCTCCGAAGTGTACACGACTGTCTGAGGGTAGCTTCGGCGAACGTCACGGGTAAAGTACTGGTTCTTGGAAATGGGGGTGGTATCGACCCGGTTGAAATCGGGCTGGGATCTGTTGCGGCCGAGAGGACCCACAAGTCACGGTAAGCGCCCCGGCGATAAAAATGCAATGCGATGTGATGCGATGGGATGCAATGGGATGTGATGCGATGGGATGCAATGGGATGTGATGCGATGGGATGTGATGTGATGCGGGTGCTCGCATAATTCTCGGAAGGATGGACACAGGTTGGCTGAGCATGTCTCTTTCCATCAGCTTTCCATTAGCTCTTCCCATAGCTCTTCCCATTCATCCAACCAAGCCAGCTGGTACAGCGTGCCGGGTCGCCCAAGGATGAATCGGTCGTACCCAGGAGCCACATTTCGGTATTCGCTCGCCTTGACGATAACGGGGGGGAGAGAGGGGTTCTGCAGTTGGACGCGAGATGATGGCCGCATTGTTAGTTTGTGAATGTGCGCGCCATAGAGGCAGTAGTGGCGATAGTCCAGAATGACGGGGTCGAGGTTGGAAGGAAGACCCAGGCCGGGCAGCGGCCGGTGTCGAGCTTGCGGTTGTTGGGGATTGGAGTCGATGCAGATGCAGGGCAGACACCTACAACACGATAGAACCACTCCAGGTCGCGGAAGGACTTTGGGACGGCGTCGATGAAGGACTTGAGAAGCGACATTCCGAACGATCTGGACAGGCGCTCGATGCAGCTGGGGAGTTGTTCGTCTCGGCTCGTCGTTGACAGCAGAGGGAAGATCGTTGGCGACGGTGGTTCGCAAAAGGCAAAAAGCGTGCGATGGCCAGGGCGCGGCCAGCCACGGCGGGAGTGGGGCGGGATATTAAAATTTAATTACGTACCAGATGCAGGGTAAAACACAAGCGACAACTGCAGGGTTCGAACCTGCGCGGGCGAAGCCCATTGGATTTCAAGTCCAACGCCGTAACCACTTGGCTAAGCTGTCTCTGTCGGTTCTGGTCCTCCCGGTCATGGTACGTGCTCAATGCATCGCTCCACAGCATTCCGCCTCACTCAGCCACCCAACCCAGAGCATGGTGCCGCTCTGCTGTTCTGAATATAGCGTCCCACCAGAGACGCCCCAGGGCCAGAACACACGGCCAGCGACTCGCTCTGCTCGAGTTGCATCCATCCACCTCGCTCGGTCACCGGCGCAATAATCGCCAGCACACCGCATCGGCAATATGCAGCAGTCCACAGACACAACCAACCACTGGAATAGCTTTATTACGAAAGCCGCGGTGTGGAAACGGATATGCTCTCACGAAGCACGGTCACCAAAGACATTCTTAGAAGAACTGCAGTCGACCGCACAAACAAAAGGCGCCAAATGGGTGAGCTAGTGAGACAGACGGACCAGTGCCAGTACGCTCGATCGACAGCGATTCCAAGGCACATGGAGCTCGAACCTACCAGACCAAATGGATACTGTCCGCCGTGCTTGAAGTTGTAGACCTTGACCAAGAGCGAGAAGGCACCCAAGAAAGCGATCAGCAGAATCACACTGGAGATGCGCTGGATGTTGAGGTTGCTGCTTCCGGGGAACTTGACAGCCAGTCCAACAAAGAGCAGGGAAATAAGACCGTCTGTGGGTGGGATGGCAATGGCGGTGAGCAGAATGAGCAGCCAATCAGCTCGCATCCCTATAGTGCTTGCCTCACGAGCACATCCGCGACGGATGTAGCGTTTTCTCGGGTCAGACGCTACGCATGGTTACTTACAGAAGGTGCCCACCATCTGGGTCTCCACTTGGTACTGGTTCTGGTACGAAGGGCTGATCATCTCGGGCTGGCCGTTGCGCTGGCGTCCCTGGTAAGGGGCACCGCGAATTTGGTTCCACATGTAGCCCGAGGTGAAGGTGAGAATCCAGGCCTGAGAGTGTGAGCCAAATGTGAGTGTGAGCAAGTTGTGATTGCGAGCCAAATATGACTAATCCAAAACAAATTCTGTGAAAGCTTCATTGGACAGATCAGGACAGAGCCTCCCCCCCGAGCGAGATCCTGTTCCTTCGTTCTTGCTCTGCAGGAGCTTTGGGGGGGGGAGAGAAGCGGGCAGTGATACTAGCACGTGAACGCGACGCAAGACATACCATGGCAATGGCTGTCCAGATGTGCTTGCTCTGGAAGATGAGAACAATGGCTGGGCCAGCAATATAGAGCGACGCCAGCAAAATGACGACCGAGCCTGCGAGAGGCGCATATTTGGTGTAGTCGATGGGGCGCTTGATGGTGACCGGGGGCTGAGCATAGCCAGGACAGAGGCCGAGTCAGTTTGAGCAACATTCTCTCCGGCCAGTGCAGTGCGGCAGATGACGGACGCTACCTCGATCTTGGCCACGTTAGAGATCCACTTTGCGACTGACTCGGCGAGGAGGCCGCTGCAAAATAACAGCAGACGCAGCAAGATATAGTCAGCACACTGGAAGGGATGCTGGTTCGTTCGCACATTGAGGTTTGCTCTGATGGCGACTCACCCCATCGGAATATCATAGACCTCATATTCGTCGGGAATCGACTTGGCGTTGGGGCCTTCGGTCGGAGGGAAGTGGAGGATGTAGGGCACGTTCGTCAACTTGAGCTGGTGTTGTGGATAGAAGCGAAAGCGAAGGCGTGGCCGTGAGATACTGAGTCGATCAAGCAGGCACGACCATGACCCGGCGTCAAGGGCAGGCCGATTGTGACCGGGATATGCACGCCCGTCATGGCTGGAAAGCACGTTGCGCGATTTTTTGGCGATCCGAGCCGAGGCTCTATCTCTGTCAGGATCCTGTCAGGCGGACGCACCGTTACAAAGATGTCTCTTCCGTTCTTGAAGTCCAGCGAGGTAAAGTAAACATGACCTGGGGTGAAGGTGGATGCCAGCGCCGAGGCAACGAGCTTCTCTTCCTTTCGGAAATCGCTTGAGGCGCGTTCCCCGACGGCAGATCGAGAGTCAGATCATGACACCGAACTTGGATCGATCAAGTGGATGTGATTCGCGATCGCAGGGCCATCGATCGCTTGCCCGTACTGGGCGAAAGGAGCCCACGACTGGATCCGCCGCCCTGGCCACTTGTGCCCATCATGTCTGCATCGGCCGACCGCTGGCGCACGTTCGAGATCGCATATCGGTATTGCGCGATGACCCGGTCCTGGTCAAGATGCAGTCTCGTCGACATGGCTTGTTTCGATTGAGGCCGCATCGGCGTGGCCGTAAACACCGCAAGGATCGGTGACCCTGCGCTCCACACATGACAACTCTTACCGGCAGGGCTCGCACTGGTGCTCCGACGACAACGCCGTCAACACAACAACGAGCGAGTAGTTGCGCGGCTTCTCAGAGAACCGCAGGAAACTGGTCGTTTCGAGCTCAAAGATCTCTCCGGGCTTGTACAGATCGTTCAGCTTCTCGACCTTTTGCTGCGACGAGGCCGCAAGCACCAGGTGAGCCGAAAGGACCAGGAGAGCGACGAAGGCACTCAGACGCGGGACGGACGAGGACATGCGCATGGGGAGAAGAGTCGCCACGGGGGGGGGTACGTTCGGTTGGGTGAGGACGCTGTTCTGCAGGCCGGGCAAGACGGGGACAGAACGGAGGCGGAACAGAACAGAACGAGGGACTGGCAGCGGGGAGCCTGGAATCTCGCTGGGAAGGGCGTCGCTGGGAAAACGAGATGCCCTTTCGCGGGCTGCATCCCGTGACTCTGCGGTGGGACAGGGTCGACGCGACGCGGGCAGTGGGTCTTGCTCCTGGTCCTGGCCCAGAGCAGGCCCAGAGCAGGACCAACAGGCCAGAGGGGCAGTCGCTCGCAACGCAGGTTCCAGGTTCGCTCGACGAGCGTCGATACAGGCGATCCTGAGAGGCAGCGTTGGGATGCATATGGTGGCGGCATGTGTCTCTGAGCGCAAGCCATGCATCGCGCCGGATGCACGTCAAACGGCATGGGAGCAATCCACCAACCCGGCGATCCTGCGGCTCTCCCTCGGCTCTTGCTCCCATCTTCCAGGGCCATCTCCTCCCCTGAGCCCTGCTGCTATCTCCCACTCGCCGCCGGGCCGATCGCCTCCCCACCACCACTTTCCATGTCGTCGTCTGCCACAACGGAGACACCGGCGTCGCTGGTGGGTCAAGCGAGCTCTGCTTGCTTCGACCTACTCGCGGTCCTGATCACAAATGACGAATTCATTCGCTCCGCCACCCCGTCGCTGTTCGCAAGGCTCCTGAGAGTGTCACGGCATACTCGGGCCATCCTCAACACCGGCAGGACATGGGAGTGTGCCCTTCCAGCGTGGTTGCAAGTCACGGCCGGGTTTCTGTTCGATGGTGTCGATCCCTCCATCAGTCGCCTGAAAGTGCTCTATGGCCTTTGCCGCTACATATTCCGCCGGGACCGACAACAACCAGCCGATGCGTCCGTGTTGGAGAAGGAAAACGAGCTCTGGTCCGAAGTTTACCGTGATACGACGCTCTACAGGAGAGTGTTGCGCTACTGCCAAGTGACCGATCCGTCGTTCCAGTTCCCAAGGACGCAAGACCCAAGCTCGCCCGCGCGGCTGTCGGTCGAGGAAATGGCCAGGATCGCCGAGGGTGAAAGCTTTGACATATGCTCGCCGGTCGAGATCACTTTCGGGTCCAGCTACGTCAAGATCCGGCACAGCGGGATACAGGGCCATGACGTCTATTTGTCCAAGCTTCTGCCCTTCGACATCCCAGAGATGGACATCACAAGCGAGAAACAGCTAACAATCGCAAACATGTCGTTTCTCAAGGTGTCTGGATGGCACAAGGTGCTTTCTGCCTTCACAAAGCTGACCATCACAAAGGATTGGCCGCTCACGGGCCCAAGTTTCGACGATCCTCTCGCCAGCTTGCAGGGCATGCCAAAGGTACTTCCGCTGCTGCGATTCCTGCATCTCGGAGGCAGCACGGATTTGACATCGCTCCGGGGAATGCCCGAGATGCCACGGCTCGAGCAGCTCTATCTCCCAGAGTCGATCGAGTCCCTGGAAGGTATGCCAAAGGAGCTGCCCTCACTAACAGAGTTTGGCATCGAGTGGAGCCTGAAGCTCAAGTCGCTCAGAGGAATGCCCGAGATGCCAAAGCTGGCAGAGCTATTTCTTTCAACCTCGATCGAGACCCTGGAGGGCATGCCAAGGGAGCTGCCTTTGCTCGAATGCTTCAGCGTGCACCGGCACGGACGATTGACGTCGCCCCAGGGCATGTCCGCGATGCCAAATCTGACGATGCTCCAGCTCCCAGAGTCCATCGAGACCCTGGAGGGTATGCCAGCGGCTCTTGGCTCGCTTCGGACCTTCCGTGTGCGGCACTGCACACAACTCACGTCGCTCCGGGGAATGCCTGAGATGCCCAAGCTGCTTGAGATGGACCTTCCAGTCGGAGTTGAGACCCTCATGGGCATCCCTGAGGAACTGCCTTCTCTCACCAAGCTCACCATCAGCTCGCACAGACAACACATCATCAGCCAGCTCCCAAGAATGCCCAAACTCGACCATCTCGTCCTGACGAAGTACTTTGTCAACCTGGCCGATCTGCGTATCAATCAAAGCACGCTCCGGGTGCTTGATCTGAGACAGTGCTGCAAGTTGAGTTCGCTGGACGACATGGCTTCGTTCCCCGGGCTCGAGATCCTCCGCATTCCTTCATCGATCCGGACGATCAGGGGTCTGGCCGCGAAGCTACCGTCCCTCAAGAGCCTGTATCTGGAATCGAAGCTGCCCCGGGACGGGGATGAAAGATCGCAGGTGGCAGCAATGTATAAGAGGGCATCCTACAGCCTCAGTCTTTGGTGGAGGATCGCAAGCTGGACACTGGAGCTGCCGGCGGGCTGCTGTGTCGCTTTTTATGAGGATAAGCTGAATCGCGGCTGATTCTCAGGTCGCGGAGTTTGCATGATGCGCTTGGACCCGTGTGCTTTGCGCTTTGGCAGAGAATCGAATCAAGATTGCATCGCAGGACACACCACGATGCTTCCCTGCTTGAATGCTGGTCTCCGTGATTTGTGGTGCTGTGCTCCATACCCCTATTCTCTTTCATACCCCTGTGCTCCTTCATACCCCTGTGCTCCTTCATATCCCATGTCTCTTCATACTCTGTGTCATTCTTGTCATGTGCATTCCCAACACTCGACGCAGCCATCACTTTGGATGCCGTCGCGGGTCCCGCACCAGGCTCGGTTGCGTGTGGCATCCAGAATGCTTTCTCTGTCAACTAGAGACGAGTGGCTTCCATCATCCCGAACCGGAGAATCTCGCTTCGCGCAAATACATTCCGGTCGAAATGGCCATCATTGTCTGTGATATGCGGTGATATGTGCGATGGTCGATCACCTGTTGAACTTGATGGCACTGCTAATCCACGACATTTTATGCCGACAAAAATGAGACACTGGCCCATATCCATCGAATGTGTAGTATGATATGGCTTGAATTCAGCAAGACCATGTGCAACAGAAGCTGGCCACTTCCGCAGTATCCGAGCGAAGTCCCCGGATCGTACTCCACTCACCAATCGCCCGCCATCACCGTCAATCGGCTCAAGGTGACACCAAATGCCAGCAAACAACACACGCAGTGGAGTCTATGCGCAGCAGTCCAGCTCCGTGCCACATACAACGTGACTTTCAGGTGACCGAGATGGGCAGCCGCGAGGGGGCCGGAAAAAAATTGATGGTGATAGTTCATCACACATATGTCGGTGACACAGCCCACCCCAACAATGCGCATGTTGCGGACGGCTGTAGTTCGAGAGCACTTTGTTTGAGCGTCCTCGGCCAACCCGCTCGACTGACATCTCTATCGGCTCGCTTCTACCGAGCCACCCCCTCCCTGCATCAACGCTTGTCCACCATGGCGGACGCCTCAGTTCTGGATCTCGACGAGAGTGGAGAGCTCGACTCGAAGCCCGGCCTTGTCTCTGAAGACTCGGGTGTCGATCTCAGTGCCGGCGTGCGGTTGCCGATGTGGTATCCGTTGGGCTCACGCCGGCTCACCACCCGCCGACCGCTCGAGAAACGAGCCAGCCTTCCTCTCCTCTCGAAATCCAGGACGGCGACCACGCCGTACTATGCCGCTCCAAAGAGCGAAGCCAATGACCTGCTACCGATCCTTGTTGACCAGCGCGAATCGATGTGGAAGACCAATTGCATGTCCGATGTCGAACAGGAATGCGACATCGGCAATGACCCTGGTCCCAAAGCTGCCCCTCCACGCCATGATATAGCCAAGCGCACGGTTCTGGAGTATCTCGGCCCGCGCAAGGATCTCGAGCGGGGCCTGTACAGAGAACCACAGTACATGGTATCGGAAGATCCTCAAGCCGCAACCCCGCCTGAGAGTGTTCCAAAGCAGCACTTACTCCCGAGCCGCCAGTCGAGTCAGTCCGAGACACACGGCCCCGCCGATGCCAAGCAGGGGCTCCACACCGTCGTAGCCACCGATCCTCCGAAGCTTCATCATCCATACACACGGAGTTCCTGCAAGATAGGCAGCGACAGGCTGGATAATGTCAATTGTGTGGAAGTCAAAGGCGTGGCCACCAAGGTCTTGGAGCGACAGCGGCCCGTCCAGATTTCCAAAACGGCCTTGTCGCATCAGTACCTCAGGGCCCAGGCATCGAACCGATCCCACGGTCCCAAATCGACATCAATGTCAACACCAAATCTCCCAGTCAGCGACATCAGTTTGGAAAAGTCTCCCAGGAACACTGGAGCGGCAGCTACCCCACCAGCGGGACCTGACCAGTTCCAAGAGACTCGCAATATTCCCATGCCGCCTGTGCAAGCCGCGGAAATGGGGCCCCCTGGCAAGTCCGAGGGTCTAGAGTTTATTTCGTCTGTGCAGCCCCTTCCAACCCTGGTTCCCAAGAACACATCGACTCTTCCCCAGTGCAACACTCAGACAGACTCCCCCAGCAAGACCAATGTTGAGAACAAACCTTTCAAGTTCCTACGCCGCTCGCGCCCCTTCATCCGACATGCGAAGCTGGCAGACTTGCCCAAGAGCCGTACCCGGACCCCCGCAAAAGCCGATAGCCTGCCAGAGATTGCGGACTCGTTCAAGTCTCCAGAGTGCAGGGCATCCCCTGTCCGGGATGAACCGCTGATCCAATTTGAGTTCACCGCCGCCATCATGCGCGATGTCGATATCATCAACGGCGAATTGGAGCCGTGGTCGGAAAAGTTCCAGGAAGTGCTGCTCCCACCCGTCGTTCCTCTCGCGCCGCCGCCAACTTCAGACCCAGACTCCAAACGTGCCAAATCCCGCAGGGCCGAAGCCGAGGAGCTGCGAACAAGCCGTGATGTGCCCACAGACAGTCTGGAGACACCCCGACCGCCCAGAACCTCGCATTACCTTGACAAACCCATCGAAACAAATGTGCCCGTCAGTCCAACCAACCTTGCAAAGTCTACCGTCTCAAATCGATTAGAGGAAAGCTCTGGATCAAGCAACGACTCGCCAAGTGCTGCTCTGGAGCCACGGCCTGCAACTCCGCAGCTCAACAGCAAGGGCGATCCAGAGCCATCCCAGCCAAAGCCACCCACCAAGGCGTCGAGAGAGCCAAAGTCGACCGCACAGTCAGTCAAGCCCGGAGTCACTACAGAGTCAGCGATCGATGACGATTGGAGTAAACAAAGGCTGATCGCTACCTTGACAATGAAGGAGCTCAAGAAGCTGTTCCCGCCCCTTATCAAGCAGTACTACGATAATCGCAAGCTGGAGCCCAAGTCCAGCATCATCGTTCCGCGAACCGAGTCGAAACGAAGCCTCCACACACGACATTCTCATTCCAAACCGGCGGCGGCGCACTCGGATGTCGATGTGCAAAAGGTAGAGAATGCTGACAGGCAGCTCGTCGAGGCGATAGAGCTGCCGCGTGGGTTTTGTTCAAACCAATGGCTGCTGTCTCACTCGTCTGTGATGCTGAATCCTCCCCCCCCCTCCGAATTGGTGCCATCGCAGAATACATCAACGCTGCCGCCCCGGGTGACGACATCCTCTGCTTCTAAGCTATCCGTCACCACTTCCACCAAGCTTCCTCAGATTCGGTACTCTTTTGCCTCGTTGCCGCCCAACTCACAAGCGGAATTCGCTCTGGTCCATCGTGCGATGGCAAGCCTGGCTGATCTCTCTCCCAGCCGAACTCCTGCATCAACACCGAATACACACCGATCGTTGCCACGACTACCGGATACCTACCGACACGCTTCCCAGCACCACCCAAAACTGAGTATCGATCAAGCCTCATTAATACCGCTTAATGCCTCGGCGACTTTTCCGAAAGTTCCGGCACCTTCGCATAAGAATGCCGTTTCGGATAGACACGCAGTACACTCTCGAAGGTCATAGCTCCGTTGCGTTCAGCCCAAGTTGATTCATGCCCGTCGATCATCTGCGTTTGCAAATGCAGCCAGTGCGGCGGCATCTCTACCTAACCGCGACGCCTCCAAGATTCGAGATCAAAGTGGCTTGATGCTGTAGGGTGGTATATGTCGCCGTGGTCGATTCCTCCGCCACTGTAGCCACCATCATCAGTCGACCGCAACATGCTCGTGTTGGCTAGCATGGCCTCGAATACACGATGGTACCATCCCTTGGTGATCGATATGTGTAATGTGATTATGACCCAGTCTGCGCTGGCGTGGGGATCAATGAGTGATGGCGGCCTGTGCATCGATGCATGGCAACGCAGCTCAGCAACACATCATAGAGGTGCAGTATTGAGGGTGTTGTCGATGTTGATGCCTTTTGGAGATGTACATGCATGCATCCGAAGCCCAGCATAGAGTCGTGCGCTCGCCGTTTGAACGCATCTGCCCATTGGGTCTGGTTGTGCAATATTGCCCAAGTCTATTCGTCATCATCGTCAGCAAAGGTGCTCCATTTGGATGTCGCTGGTCGTTTGAAGGTTTTCGGCCCGGACAGCGACTTTGGGGCGACACTCGCACCCATGGGCGGTGCTGAGGATGCTGGCGATGCCAGGCTTCTTGGTGTCCATGGGGATGTTTGAGGCGGTTTGGATGGCATGCTGCCGAACAAGGCTCCAAAGTGTTTCGCGGGTCGCTCGGTGGGAGTGTCGTTCGTTTGACGGCCATCGCTCCGGTTGGATCTGGGCGGATTATCGAGCGATGCCGTCGGTTTTGATCGCTTGTGCTGTGCTGGATCAAAGTCCTTGGCTGGGTTACCCTGCCTCATCCGCTTACCGCCCTGCCACGGCTGCTGGGGAAGCGAAGAGCCTCCCTGGTCATCGTGTTCGCCCTGGAGAAAGAGCAAGAGAGATGCAAAGGAATAACGAGTCAATGCAAGAGCCCAACAAGCCAGATCTACCGATTGTCGTCACAGCAGTCCTATCGTTTCCTTGCGGTTGATCATGGCTTGCAGCGATCGCGCACCGTCTCATCATCAGGCTCCTCGTCGACATAGTCTTCCCATTTCGATCTTGTCGGCAGACGACATTCCTGTCGCTGCGGTACAGCCGCTTGGTCTTCTTCACGAGACTGTCTCTGGTTCAGCAGATCCTCTTCGGCCCTGCCTCTGGCCATGTTCATATTCTGGACAAACGTTCGGCACTCCGATGCTTGTGGCGACGTCAAGAATACCTGCTGGTCCAAAGCAGATCTCTGAGTCGCTGATCTCTGTAGTTCGCTCATTCAGATGCTGTGAGATCGCCGCTTTCACGGCGGACACATGAAAGGAGGCATTGTGTGGGAGGGATTTCACTGGATTCACAGTTCAAACGGATGCGAGGCTGCGATGCTGATGTTCGTGCTCTCGGCCTCTCCCCAGGCTCGAGCGACGGGCCGATGGCGGTACCTTGATGGTGCTCTGCTTTTCTCCGCAGACCCTGCATTGCCATTTGTTGACCTTCTTGACCTTTCGGCAACGGCAGCCGGCGAGGGTGTTGTCAGCGAGGCGATCCACAACTCGGCGCAGCATTGTTCCGTTCATGCAACAGCACCGATGTTTTCTGTCATCCAGGCTATGGAAGTGTTACCACAGGATCTACGGCACTCGGGTACCTGGTGAACCTGAAACATCCGGCACGAGTCCTCGTAGCATCGCAAGACCTGGTAGGTGGGCATGGTCGTTGCAGGCGGTGGTCTGTCTGGGGGTTGGCAAGTCCAAGGAGGAAGAGAGCTTCGCAGAGGCCGCTTGCTGTTTGGTGCTGTTTTGGTGTTGGCGGCTTGTCCGAGCTGGTACTCTCCGGGACCAGATGGAAAGATGAGAGGGCCTGAGCCAAAGCTGTATTGTGGACCGGTCCCTGTTCCGCTCCCGGGCAACCTCATCGATACAACAACCGGTATCGCTTGTCAGGCGCATCAAGACCCTCTGCTGTCTTCATCTAGTATATTCAGCGAACTTGTTTTGAACTGGGACACCTTCACATGCAGATGGCTTGTGGATCGGCTGATGTTGATCGATCTGGCTGAACGGCTTTGATATATGATCCGCTCGCCGAGGTCTTGCAGCGATATTGCGCTTTGCCCTGCGTCTGCCTCCCTCATTCCAGGCATGTCGTCTTGCTCTGACTTGCTCTGACTTCCAGCGACTGCATCTGCAGCGAATCGCAGGTCCCGTCGTGCCCACTCACTCCATGCATCTCGCCCACACAGGGAAATGATTAGATCAGCGTGTGATATCATCCGACTACGCTGTGTTTGTCCGAATGAGACAATGCCCTATCTTTTCGTCAACACGCTGTATATTCAGCGAGAAACTGCAATACAATCCCCCCTCTGGCGTCTGGGGCAGCCGAGGCACACCAGCGAGGCCCAGCGAGGCCCGGTGAGGCCCAGCCAGCAGTGGCGAAGGCAAAGGGGGACTCGCCGCTTCAGGCCATCCTCATCGAGGCACCCTTTTACATGTACACCAGTCTGAAGACATCTAGAGAGCCGCAGCCGATCGAGCCAGACAGATTCCAGTCGATCGGGCGCGACAAATCCAGCGGCCCAACAGAGCCGATTTAGCAGGGGGCGATGAAACGGCCGAGGTGTCAGTTCCGCATTCGATGGCGAGGCTGCTCTAGCTTTTCGGACAGGCTTACCGTTATAGACAAAGTAGTTCGATCCTTCAGGGACCAGCTGGAAGGTCTGGGTGAACTTTTGCGGATTCTGCTCCTCGTCGACCTGTCCAGGAGAGTACATAATTGAGGATCATCGTGCCGGTGCTGCCTCGTCTGACCTACTCTGGGCCAATGATATGGTGCCAATAACGATGCCAATGATGGTGGACGGCAACGACGATGGTGGTGATCTGCCTTTTGATCTACTGCCGATTTGGACTCGATTTGCCCATAGCCACAGAGGGTCGGTATCGGTGTGCTGCTGCCTGCACCCAGCTTGGGCCGACAGCTTGTTAGCGCGCAGGACTAGCTGGGATCTTTACCAGGAGTTGGCCCGTCACGGTGACGAGGATGGTGGGGATGGAGGGGTTTGCGGGTTGGGCATCGATGGTTGAGACCTGGTGCTGGACACGTCGGAAGGGCAGTCCCTGAAGGCACGATAGATGGGCCGTCAGCACGACCGATCGATTGGGCGTTGCAGGTCTCCGAGGTCAAGCGCCGTGGCATCAGAGAGAAGGGCGAATCAACAGAGCAAGGGGTCCGGACCATGCAAAGCCCTGGGCTAGCGATCGAGGCGTCTCCTGATCGCTTGACAACTTACCGCCAGCTTTTCGACGATGGCTTTGGTGCCCTGGACTTGATTTCCCTCAAAGGTCATCATGGAGATGTCTTTCTGCAAAGACCCCCAGGATATTTGGAGACCATGGCGCGATGGTGGCCGATCCAGGCAGCCGGGCAGAATCGAGACGAAGCAAACATGGATGAATCGGCTTGGTTAGTGGCTGCACGACCAAGACAGGGGGGAGGAGCGCTGTGGTCATGGTGGATACCTACGTAGAGGGTATGCAATTCGGCCCGGTTTCGGTCAAAGGTCGAATAGTAGTAGTCGACAAAGCTCTTGGCGATGGTCACGGCGTCGGCCATGGCGATGGGCTGGGGCGGAATGGGTGGGGTTGGGATGAGATGCGAGCGAGGACCTGGGCCAGACAAGACCAAACGGTGGCTGGCAAGCAGGCAAGCAGGCGCCGGGTCGAGCCGGGATCGAGCCGGGATCGAGCCGGACGCCATCCGCCCCGGCCGATCGGTTCGAGCCGGCTAAGCCCCTCCGTTTTTTCTTGGGCCGCAGCCCTCCCCGCTTTTGCCCCGCAGCACGACCCAAAACCGATCCACACCCCGCCGAGGCCTTGTTCCTCCTGCTTGCCTCTGTCCGGTTCCTGCCCGGTTCCTGTCGTCAGCGTCTCTGAGGCACCGACTCTCTCCCGCCCAGCGATCCGCCCTCCGCACAGCCTCCAGCTGCTCCTCTCGACTGAATACTATGGACGATGACTTCAGCTTCTTAGAGCACTCTGGCACCCAGCAGTACCACGACGACGATCTCGTCAACTTTGCCTCCATCACCAACGACGCCGAGCCCGACTTTCTCACTAACGACACCGATCTCGGCTTCGAGTCGCTGTCGCTTTCCTCTGCCAGTGCCTCGGCCCGTGTCGGCCAATCGAAAAAGCGCTCCTCCAAAAAGCCGGCTGCCAATCCTGCCTCCCTTGACGATGTCGATTACGTCTCCTTCGAGGAAGACCGCGGCGGTGATGACTCATTGTTGAACTTTGAGGAGCCCGACCTAGATCTCAACGACGACGGCCCCCTGGGCTTCTCCAACTCGGAAATCTCGACCGAGCTGCCTGCGCACTCGTGCAAGTACGTGATGCCCGATACCGCCCTCGCTTCTGGTAGTCGCTGTGTCGAGTGGTGGGCTCATGCCGTTGGGGCCGTTTGGGCCGTTGGGGCCACTGAGGCCGTGATGCGCCGGCAACCACCCAGCGTAATTCTTTCCCTGCACCTTCGGCTCACGGATACTATGATGCCATGAATTCAGGTACTGCGGCATCCATAATCCCGCCTCGGTCGTCAAGTGCACCTCCTGCAGCAAATGGTTCTGCAATTCTCGGGTCGGCAACACCTCGGGTTCGCACATCATCCATCACCTCGTCAAGTCCAAGCATAAGGAGGTGTGCCTGCACCCGGACTCACCCCTCGGCGAGACGGTGCTTGAATGCTATCAGTGCGGCTGCCGCAACGTGTTTGTGCTGGGCTTCATTCCCGCAAAGTCCGATACCGTCGTCGTTTTGCTTTGCCGGTAGGTGCTCAAGCAGACAGAGCACGATGTGGCTGTCGCCGTCCCTGTCGTGCCCTCTGTACTGGTTCCTCTGTCTCACCTTTCCCTCTCGATCTATTTCAGTCAACCCTGTGCAAGTGGTGCGAGCAGCAAGGATATGAACTGGGACCTGTCGCAGTGGCTTCCGTTGATCGAGGATCGCTCCTTTCTCTCGTGGCTTGTCAAGGTGCCTTCGGAGCAAGAGCAGCTCCGTGCCCGCCACATCACCACGAACATCGCCAATCGTCTTGAAGAGATGTGGAAAGAGAATCCGACTGCCACCTTGGAGGATCTCGACAAACCTGGTGCTGACGACGAACCCCATCCCGTCCTACTGAGGTGCGTGCAACAGGCTTTCCCGATGGATGGCGCTCTTCCACCAGCTGCAAAGCGCCTGGCATATTCTTTGCCCCTTCTCGACGACAACAGCATCTGCTCCCGTTGTCTCTGCGCTTCAAGCCAGATCAACTCCAACGATAGCGATCCGCATGGGTGCTCCCCAGACATGCTTCACAGACGTGGCTTCCTAAATCAGGGTTCCTCCCACGAACCAATGTAGATACGAAGACGCCTATCAGTACCAGAACATCTTTGCTCCGCTCGTCAAGCTCGAGGCTGAGTACGACAAGAAGCTCAAGGAGTCTCAGACGCAGGAGGATGTCGTCGTCCGCTGGGATGTTGGTCTGAACCAAAAGCGAGTGGCGTACTTCCTTCTGCCCAAACTCGAGCAGGGCGACATCCGTCTCGCTCCCGGTGACGAGCTCTTGCTCAAGTACAAGGGCGAGCTGCACGCACCATGGGAAGGTCGCGGCCACGTTATCAAGGTTCCCAACAGTAAGTGTCGTGACTAGAAAACCAAGGTGCTCGCTGCGCTAATTGGTTTGGCGGCTCGCGAGGCCCAGGGGCACAACAGACTCGCTAGTCATCCTGGTATCGATGCCCCCTGTCGTTGTACGGGTTTGCGCGATACTATAATGCCGACTGCCAAGCACATTGACTGAGTCCGCTGTTTTGTTTGTGGGTCGTCTATCTGAAGATGTCTCCGAAGAAGTTGCCCTTGAACTTCGCCACCCCGATGCTCCTGTCGACTGCACCCACAACTTCTCTGTCGACTTTGTGTGGAAGTCGACTTCGTTCGACAGGTACTGCAGAGCGGTGTAGATGACAGATTCTAGACAATGGCGCCCAAGCTCCTCATTCGGCTGTGCTGGGGTTGTCTGCAACTCGACTGGATGCGCCCTGTCCGCCCCTTAACAGCCGGCCTTTAACTTGCCTCTCTTTCCCATCTCGAACACAGAATGCAGACTGCGCTGAAGACCTTTGCTGTCGACGAGAACTCTGTCAGCGGCTATATCTACCATCGCCTGCTGGGCCACGAAGTCGAACCCCAAGTTCTGCGCGTGACTCTCCCGAAGCGCTTTTCGGCGCCCAACCTCCCCGAATTGAACCACTCGCAGGTCTTTGCGGTCAAGAGTGTTCTGCAGCGACCCATCAGCCTGATCCAAGGTTTGTTTGCGGTGGAGCATTGTCCCTTCGTGATGGAGCACCATTCGTAAGAGGCAGCCCCCTCCCTCTTCTTGCAGATCTCGTCTGATACCGTTGTGTTGCTACCTTGCCCTATACGTAGGTCCGCCCGGAACTGGAAAGACAGTCACTTCGGCGTCGATCGTTTACCACCTCTCCCAGATCAGCCAGGGCCAGGTTCTTGTGTGTGCCCCTAGTAACGTTGCCGTTGATCAGCTGACGGAGAAGATCCACCAGACGGGTCTCAAGGTTGTCCGTGTCGCCGCAAAGAGCCGCGAGACCCTCGAGTCACCCATCTCGTTCCTGACCCTCCACGAACAAGTCAAGAACAACGACACCAATCCCGAACTGCAAAAGCTCATTCGACTCAAGGGCGAGCTTGGTGAACTCAGCTCGGCTGACGAGCGCAAGTACAAAACACTCTATCGACAGGCCGAGCGCGAGATTCTCCAGCACGCAGATGTCGTTTGCTGCACCTGTGTTGGTGCTGGCGATCCACGCTTGACCCGCTTGACCTTCCGCACTGTCCTCATCGACGAAGCCACGCAGGCGTGCGAGCCCGAGGGAATCATTCCGTTGATCCTGGGATGCAAGCAGGTCGTCTTTGTTGGCGACCACCAGCAGCTCGGCCCGGTCATCATGAACAAGAAGGCAGCGCGCGCTGGCCTGTCTCAGTCCCTGTTCGAGCGACTGATCATCCTCGGCATCCGCCCGATTCGACTCCAGGTCCAGTATCGCATGCATCCGTGTCTCTCCGAGTTCCCCTCCAACATGTTCTACGAAGGCAGTCTGCAAAACGGCGTGACGATGCAGGAGCGCCTCCGCAAGAACGTCGACTTTCCTTGGCCTGTTCCCGAGACCCCGATGTTTGTTTGGGGCTCGTTTGGCCAGGAAGAGATTTCGTCCTCGGGCACATCATATCTCAACCGCACCGAGGCCGCCAACTGCGAAAAGGTTGTTACCCGCTTCCTGAAGGCGGGAGTGCCGCCTTCGCAGATCGGCATCATCACTCCATACGAAGGCCAGCGCGCGTTCATTGTCCAGTACATGCAGTTCAATGGCGCTCTCAAGAAAGAGTTGTATAAGGAAATCGAAGTGGCCTCGGTCGACGCCTTCCAGGGTCGCGAGAAAGACTATATTGTGCTTTGCTGCGTCCGCTCGAACGAGCACCAAGGCATCGGTTTTCTCAGCGACCCCCGTCGTCTCAATGTGGCGCTGACCCGCGCAAAGTACGGCATCGTCTTGCTCTGCAATCCCAAGGTCTTGGCCAAGCATCCGCTGTGGTATGAGCTCTTGATGACCTACAAGGCACGAAACTGCCTAGTCGAGGGTCCGCTGAACAATCTCAAGGTGTCTGCAATCCAGTTCACGAAGCCGCGCAAAAAGGACGGCGACGTCGCTAACATGGCCAGAGGCAAGCGCTTTGGTATCGATGCTGCTCAGCACTACGCCAAGGCTCCGAGTGCGAACGACTGTGAGTACTCGCTCTACTTTCTCCCTGGGCGGGTGCAATCTTGGGCCTCCATTGCGATGGAGGGTCTGTCCGCGATTGGTCTCGTACGAGTGTGATTCAGCTAGAGCGGATGCCCCGCACATGTGGTGCTGAGTCGTTGGTATGCTGGACTTTGTCAGAGTGCTGCAGGCTATTGTAATGTCCTTGGTTTCATTCGATCTATTCTGCTAACTAAGATGCCTTCCTCCCCCCCTCTGTGTCATCGCTGGGATCGACTTTCGACACCACCTTGCATTGTCATTGCCCGATCGTCAATGTTTGGTTGCTGTGTTGACAAGCAGTCCCTCGTGGCACCGGCAGCGGTGCACTTGCTGGCTTCCAGGATCCGCTGCTTGATCCCTCTCGACTCTATTCTCAGTCGCAGTACTCGATCCCATCAGCCTCGCCCATGACGCCATTCACGCAAGACATGCCCATCCCTGCCGCTGCGTCGCAGCCTGGATTTTTCCCCGCTTCTGCGACGAGCTATCCCTCCCAGGATAATGGCCTGCAGCGCTTTCCTGCCTTTCGCCGAGGCAAGCTCCGCGGGCCCCTTCCGTCTCAGTCCCAAACTCAGACCCAAAGCCAGAGACAGCGCACACAGCAGAGCATGTTCACTCAGCCCGACGTTCATACTCAGTCTACCTTCCTGTCGGCCACTCAGACGACCCTCAGCCAAAGCGATCGACTGGGTCTCGGAAGCTCGATGCTGAGCCAGGACTTTATGGACGACTATGCCTACAAGAGCCAGGCCGATGTCTGGTTGAGCCAAGGTCCTCGCAGCCAACTCGATGGCATGAGCCAAGGTGGATTCACTCAGTTCTAGCTGCCTGGACCCAAGCCTGCCTCCCTGGCCGCAACACAGTACAGCGCGACCTGCTGCTGGCTCCTCCCGTCCACGGACATTGTCTCCCCAAAGCCTGGACGATCACTCCACAGCTCTGTGGATTTACCTGCGGACAGCTGCCTTTGCACGCTCTCATGCTCTTAGATCAAGAGGGCTATCCGGGTGCCATCTCTCGGCGCTCGCCGGCAAAGTAGTGCCTGGCCGAATGGAGCCAACAGATGGGTTCTCGTCGGTGCAGACGTTGCCGAGAGCGTTCGCATGAGCGATTCGGTTAGTCCGAGGCTCTGAGCCTGGCCGATATTGGCATGAGTCTGGACTGCGACCTTCGAGCCCCCAATAAATCCGAATACCGCTGCAATCAGTCGCGATTTGCGCCGGAGAACACACTGCACACACAGTGACCCCCCTCCTAAAGAGGGCCGAGAGCAGCCTCGTTGGCTACGGTGCGGAGGATCAGACCTGCTTGTCGGAAACCAGCCCGATTCACATTCGTATCCGCCCCAAGTGTACCTGATACCCGCAGGTACTTGCGCCGTTGCATCCTCCCGCGTGCTGACAAGGACCCGGATTTTCAAGTGGCCTGGTGTTTCTGATGCTCTGGCTGCCAGTCGACACCATGCAGTCTGCCCACAGAGCAAGCGATCACCCATGCAAGTATGCTGCTGTGGGATGGGATGGGATCGCATTGGTCGACAGCAACCTGGCGGTCGGTTGCAAATCCAAGGCACTTGGCTGCCAGATCCCTCTGCTTTCGCAAGCATTCCGCATCGTGGCCACTTGAGCCATCGCAGCCCCCGCTCGATGCAGCGCCGCCCCATGCCCGCCTCTATCCGCACTGCCTTGGCCGGCTCCTTTCCGTCGCCCAGACACTTTGCCACCATCGGGGAGGTGTGTTGTGGTGCTGCTTCGGGACTGCCTCGCCAACAGGACGCCGAGGTGCTAAGCCACACGCCTGGAGGAGACGGCCACCAACCAACCACCGACGGGCTCTGTGGTTCCCGCTTGGCCTCTCGCCCCCGTGTCCTTTTTCTCACTTGCCTCTGGCCCAGACGCTTTTTCCCATCCCTCCGGGCGAACACCCAAGTACCTTGCGCAATGACTGCCGTCGAGCCTGCCCAGGGCACCCATTCCGTCAACGGGTCTCTTCCGGAAGGAGATGTCTTGATGGCCGAGGCCTCGCTTGCCATCGACGACTTTCTTCGGCTACCGGAGGAACCCAGTGCCGCTGCAGAGCCGCCGCTCGCCAAGATCGAGTCGCCCCGGGAGCAGCCCATCCAGGATATTATTATGGACGAGCAGCAGCCAGCCGCCGAGGACGCAAAGGGCACTGCCCTGGCAAAGCGAGTCGGATACATACTCTCGAGCGACATCCTGCGTGCCTCCGACTCGCTGCCGTCCAACGAAAACAGAGTAGATATCCCAATGCCCCGCCTCCCTCCCCCCTTGGCTCGGCTCCGGGACTGAATGCCGGCTGCCTCGTACTGATCCAATGTGCCTGTTTTGTGCACCACATGCAGTCCTCGATGCTCCACTCCCTCATTATTGCGTACAAGCTCCATGAGCACATGAGGTATGGTCTCGGCTGGCGGCAAGAGACGCAGGCCGGCCCGTGCAAAGCCTCGCACCTGTTCCCACGAGCTTTGGTCGTCTCATCCTCTGCACGTTACTTGCTGCCTGCAAAGCATTATACCGCCGGAAATAGCATCGATAGAGGATCTGAAGGAGTTTCACTCCTCGGATTACGTTGGTAAGAGACCCGCAGCACTGCTGATCGACCCGCGAATCTGCTGGTGGGGAGACAGGATCTTCGGGTCTGCATGCGATCAGTCTGGTCTCTGACAAACATCTGTCCCCCCCCCATTGATGCCCTCTCCCCAATCTTGGCGGGACCCATCCAGACTATCTTATGGAGGTCGAGAAGCTGGAGGACCGCAATCCGGACGACCTGGACCGCTACGGCCTCGTCAAGTACGGCCCTGCTGCGTGCTGCCCTGTCCTCGCTGGCCGTGCCCGCTGTGCCATAAATAACCTGTGTTTATTGCTCCCGAGTACCTGCATCTGTGTGCGTCCGCTGCCCTGTCTGATCGAGTGCTTCTCACCCATGTCTTGCCGATCGCCAGTGACTGCCCCATCTTTCCTAATCTTGCCAACTACGTGAGACTCGTGGCTGGCGGCACCATATCCGCTGCCAAGCTGCTCACCGAGGGCGGATACGACGTCGCCATCCACTGGGACGGCGGTCGCCACCATGGCAAAAGGTAAGCAGGGGGTCTGATCCCTGCCTCTTGTGCACTCTATCTCGGATCCCGCTGCTGGGTGTCCCACACTCGGTTCTCGGGATGGCTCGGGCTTGATCGGCGTTTGCCCTGGCCACGGCACTGACTCTGGTCGTCTGTTCCTGGCTCGCCCCTGCCGCCGTCTGATACAGAGACTCGGCCTGCGGATTCTGCTATATCAACGACATTGTCCTGGGCATCCTCGAGCTCCACAAGAAGTACGAGCGCATCCTGTACCTCGACCTGGACATCCACCACGGCGACGGTAAGCCTCCAGCGTTTCTCACACCGCTGGCGACGACGCTCTCGCGGCCATCCTGCTCCCGAACAAGCTGCGTGGGAGGGCCCGCTGACTAAGCACCACGCGGTTCCCTGTTTTGGCCGACAGGCGTCGAGCAGGCTTTCCAGACAACGTCCAAGGTCCTCACGGTTTCGTTCCATAAATACGAGCCCGGCTTTTTCCCTGGTAGGCAGGCCGGATGATGGAGATGGTGGGCGTCGATGCAGGGTCGCAGGGTTGCAGGGAGCGGTGCGTGGGTGACGGCTGATCGTGCCTGTCGTCAAGCATATCGTCCCGCACCACAGCGGGCTCGGGCTTTGTTGTAACTCGTGGAATGCTCTCTCGTTCGTGCGCTCCCAGGAACGGGCTCGATTGACGACGTTGGTTACGGCAAGGGCCTCAACCACTCGCTGAACATCCCGCTCCGTCCGGGCTTCAGCGGCGTTGGTCTCCGCTACCTGTTCAGCAGGGTCATCGATAGTGCCATGGAGAACTACAATCCCGACGCCATCGTCATCCAGTGTGGTGCCGACGGCCTCGCCAACGACCCGCTTGTTGGCCGCGGAGGCTGGAACCTGGACGAGCGAAGTATCGGCGAGTGTGTTGCCAAGACCCTGTCCTTCAACAAGCCCACGCTGGTCCTTGGTGGCGGGGGCTATGGCAATCCGAATGCAGCTCGGTGCTGGGCCTGGTGCACAGCCGTGATTGTCCAGCAGGAGGAGCTCATCAGCGAGGACATCCCGGATCACCCTTTCCTCAACAAGTACGGCCCAGATTTCCGGCTGCCGGTTGATCTTACCTTTTACAAGGATCGCAACGACACTCGCTACGTCGACGACGTCATCAAGAAGGTCACGGGTATCCTCAAAAAGACCCGTCCAGGTACCTTCAACCATGTCGAAGACCTCGAGGAGTCCATACTCAACCTTGAAACGCCTGAGCCGGTGGAGCTCGAGCCCACCAGCCTCAACCTTTTCCCGGCACAGAGGCAGGTCCAGAAACGGAAGCCTCGGGGGCCTCCCACCGAGCTTGAGCCACACGAAAAGCGCCGCAGTTCGCGCATGCGCACTTCCTCGCTGTCAACGACACCCGTGCCGTCGGTAAACGACGACCAGCCCCGCCGCAGCCGGCGCTCTGTGCCGTCTATTCCCTCCCCGACAAGCCCAATCGCCCTGGACAGTCCCCGCCGATCGAGATCACCGAGTCCATATGTCCGCCGAATCATCGACTCGTCAACCACCCATGCCTTGCTCAGCCAGCCTGGAATGTTCCACACGCCGCAGCGGGAGGGGCGTTCCCGATCCCGCGAGGACCGTGAGAAGTCCCAGGATCGAAACAGCCAAGCGCGCCGGTCTCAGAACAGTAGTGCCCATCCTCGCACCTCCTCTGGATTCAGCTCTCTTGATGGATCGATTGACCAGAGCGGCCATTCGCTTGCGCTTTCGCATAACGGGCATCTGGATGTCTCGTCTCTCCCGCCCACCCCTGACGACCGCCCGGACCACATGCTGCCTCCGCTCGATCCCATGAGCTTCATCCGCTACGAGGACAGTTCGGCGCCTGCGATTCCGTCATACTACCCAATGCTTGCTCATCACGGAGCACACGCAAGCTATCCCGCGACAGCGTACACCGGGCTCCCAAGCACTGCACTCGCTGATCCAGGACTCCTTCAGCAGCTCAAGTGCGTACCTTGGCCTGACAGCTTGGTCGCATCCGCGTACTCGCTCGCTTCTTCTCATGTGCCGTGCATCTAACTCTGCGTCTGGACTTGAATAGGCATCACGTGTCATCGTATCTTGCAGGAGATTCTGGAAACACCTACTCCCTCATCATCATGAATCCCAAGGTCGCTCAAAAGTCATACGGCACTGAGAAACGGTATGGCAGTTGTGGGTCCTTGCACGTGCGCGAAGGCTGTCGGTGCTCCTTTCGTCGCTGGACTATGGACTGTGCTGGTACGGCTTGCAGCGTTGCTCCTTTCTCGGATCGGCCGAGTCAGTCGAACTTACTGCTTTGCCCAAAACGTGCATGCCATCCTTCAGCTTCTTTTGCCCTCCTCCGCTCTGTGTCATGAGTGGCGGCGGGTGGTCCACCGCACACACTGCTGTCAACGATAGCCTGGCGACAGACTTGAAGATGTATGTTTCTCTATCCGAGCCTATCGATGAGGATGCCGAGTCCGCCACGGGCCTAGGCGTTAGAAATCGCAACAAATCCCGGGTCCGTTATGCGTCCCCGCCTTTGCAAGCACCTGGCTGCGGCGATATGGAGGCTTCAGAGATCGATATCCTTCGGACGCCCGAGTCGGCGGTGGGCATCCAACCCAACTCGGATCTCCATCGACTGGCCGTGTTCCGCAACCTCTTTGTCAACGACGCCGAGAAGCGCAAGGACTTTGAGCTCTTTATTCGGGTAAGTTCGGCCCAAGACTCCAAATCCTCGCGGTGACTGTCCTACAGCGCCGCTCTGAGTGGACACGCACCGCCATCGCTGTATGTCAACACACGGCACTAACGCCACCAACCTCAGATTCAAGGTGCGGCGTACTGTGCTCCATTTGGGAGTTTCAAGTCCAAGCCCATCAAGGTCATTTCGAAGCCATCCAAGAAGCGGCTGCCTGTCTCGAAAAACGGATCGTGTAGGTGTTACTGCTCACCGTGTCCGCTTGGCTACCTTTCCGGACTGTATCTGGAGCTCCGTGAGCTCTGGGTCAGTGTGATGCCATGGCGGTGACGATATCCCCTGACCTCCGCTCCTGCTTCTTCGTTTGTCCTTGACACCCCAACCCTCGGCCCGTTTGATCCCGGTTCAGTGTACATCCACTCGGGCACTTCCGTGGGCATGTTCAACCGCGTTCGTTCTCAGACCATCAGCACCCGGTTTATCTCTGTGAGTGCCGATGGTCAGTCGCTGCTCCCCAGCTATGGTACCTGGGACAGCTTCATCATCTGGTCCTTGGACGACCCTGCCTTTGACAAAACCGACCTGCTCAAGAACCACGAATATCTCCCCGACGACGAGATCATTTGTCATCGCCCTTCAACAAGCCGATTTGCTGGCCAGCTCAATGCCTACATGACTCCGCCTGTGTCCCCGCATCTTAAGCGCCGCACGCTCCCTGGAGCGACCGTCCTCGCAACTCCCCAGTCCGAGTCCGTCTCCGTGCCCCCCTCACCCGCGGTGGAGCACCGAGCCCTTGAGTTTGTCTCGGCTCTGGATGAAACAGGCTCAAACAGCGACGACGTTGAGAACGCTGAGGACGAAGGTCGCGTGCTTTTGTACGGCGAGCGCGTTGTCCTGCAGCACGTTGGGAGCGGGCTGCTGACGCGGCCGTTCATCATCTGCCACATCGATGGTCGCGGCCAAATCACAAGTGATTTTGGTGCCGGAGCCGGTATGTATTTCCTTATCGCCATCATGACAGGTAGTCAAATCGGAGCCGCATCCGACAACTCACCGCTGCTCTTTGTTGTTGTTGCCCTACCAGGCCAAGGTCGGGGTATACCTGTCTGCCAGCTGCACAAGATCGCCTTCCAGCTCGCGGATAACCCCAATCGTTTCCTGTGCCTCACTGACGGGCGGCACCGCGATCGTCTGGCTATGAACCTTGTGAATGTCGGCGACAACACTGGGGCAAGCTCATCCAGGCAGTCGTCTCCCGCTCGCAAGAAGCCACGCCGCTCGCGGAGCATGGTTCGAGGACGAGAGGCCGAGGGCGATGATGAAGGCCTGGGCGACATGGACACATCCGTAGAAGTGTCTCCGGGCGACCTGCCTTCCGACGAAGCCTTTAGAGGCGCCGATATGAGCGAATATGGCGTTTGGAGCATCATTGGCATCAGTAAGTAGCATCTCCAATCCCTCATCGTTGATGCGAGGCGCTTGACTGCACATAACGGTCTCCCACGATGGCTCGCCCTTGCTCACTACCCTTTCTCTGTCGCTCTCGGTGCCCTGCATCTGCCTTTGTAGACCATATGGAGTACTCGTTTTACATTCCACCCGGCAACCTCGCAAGCCATCCGGAGCAGCCCCCTCATTTGTTTGACTCCAATGCGTCCATAGCAGGATCCAGCGCCCATCCCATCCCGATTGTCCACTCGACTCAGGTCTCGACCGAGAATCCGTCTCGGCTCACGCTCTTTGGTGAGAACTTCATCCCAGACCTGGTGGTGCACTTTGGCGCCACCCCCGTTCTCTCGGCTGTGATCAACAATCCCAGCACAATCACCATCGATGTCCCTCCTGAGTTCCTCCTCGGAGACGGCAGCGGATCGATGGGTGGTGCATTCAAGCCGCAGCCAAGCCCAGACCGCCTGCCGATCCTGCTCGCTCGCCTCGACGGCGTTGTGTACAACACTGGCCATTTCTGGTCAATCAAGATCGACTGAACCTGGACAGCGACCTGCCACCACGCCGGCGACCGAGGCCCGACAGCCCCAGCAAAGGCGCTGGAGCACTCGTTTGTTGGGGAACAGTGATGGCGGCTCTCGATTCCGAAAATACAGATATTTCATTGCAACAGCGCCTTTCCCCCGTCCACATCGTTTCAATTGCGAGCCGGATCGCGATAAGAAAGGTATCGATCAAAGAGACACCCAAGTGAATCCGGATGGGTGACGGTCGGACAGCCAGATTCGTGATATTGCTACCGCTGCGTTCATCGCCAGGACCTCATCTTGCAAAAGTTGCCTGTGGCCGTGAGAGCCACCGAAACACAGACAGCGAAAACAACACCATCTCCGACACAGAGGGACTTGTGTGCGCAATATCGAGCACGTTTGGGAGAAGTGGGATGTCTGACACCAAAAAAAAGGAGGGGGAGGGTGCATCGAAGAGGAAGAGAACGGAGCAAAGAGAGAGAAAGAGAGAGGGAGCTCGAAAGTGATGGCGAGAGAGTCATGTAAGAGAAAAGCTCAGACGGAGGAAGGAGGTACGTGTGGCGAGCGGGGCAGATAGCCACGAGAGAATACAAATGTGGGGGTGGGGAAACTGCACCAGCAAGTTGTGTGCAAAGGATGGGAGACAGGCGCACATTCCCGGGTTCGGCATTCATCCGCCGACATTGCTCATCTACTTCTTCTTCTGCTTGGGCGATTTGGGCACCTGTTCACATAGTTTTGAAAATACATGGTCGCCTGTGCCTCCGCTTGTGCACAGGATCTTGGATCCTCTGTGTCGATGGGGTGAACCACACACATCGCGGGATGTCTTAGCCACGGTCGCCGAGACGGTGCTGTCCTATCGCCCGTACCTTTACGGTGGATCAACGGCTCGCTCGCACGGGGTCACCGTCAGCACATACCTAATGAACTCTCCACGCACGTCAAACAGGGTCTCTTTGTCGATCGGCTGGCCGACATTGAGGTTTGGATCGAACGGATCCTCCACTGGGATTGCGCCATGTATCGAAGGGGCAGGTCAGTCGACTGGGTGGTACGCGCCAGCAGATACACAAACGCCCGGCTTGGCTTGACTTGCAGGTACGCCCAAGGGATTCCTCCGGACAACCATGGTGATGGCCAAAGCAAGATACACAGCGCTATTGGCTTACCACACAACCAGAAGCGATCCTTGATCGAGCCAGCGCGGCGGGCTTCCTGCTGACGCTGTTGAAAGGTGATGTTTGCCAGCGAAAGGTGGATAAAAGGGAGTGTCACGCATGAGAAGCAGCGCTTGCTAACCCCAAAGATCACACAGCCATCACTCCTTTGCTGGGCCGATTCCTCCAAGGATACATACCTCTTTAGTCCAGCCTTTGTCTTCCTTTGAGAGAACCTTGCCAAAACGCACGCTGGCAACGCCGTGGACATACGGGAACTCGGCGCTGTAATACTTGAAGAAGGCAACTACAAGCTCTCCGAGCGACTCTGTGTTGCTAGAGCTCCAGATGCTCGAGAGCTGCTCCAGATCGCTGAAATACTCTGCGGACGAGGACTCGCTTCCAGATTCCGGCACTTCGGGCTGCTGCTGGAGTTGCTGCAGACAAGGGAAAATGCCACGGATCTGGAAGAAATGGATAATCATCAAAATGTAACAGTAGCTGGCAGCCACAATGTGAGGCCGGGGTTAGTACTTGTGCACAGAAGCGGAAGCAGAAGCTATGTCGCGGCCCACTGCATCACACCCGGCTGTATCCAGGTATTTACCTCGACAGTGTGCCAAAGTGGGGTTCATTGAGGCTTCGCATCTTTGCCCAGTACTTGACTGCAGAGTCAAGGGTGAATCAAGTCAATGAACAGAGCCGAAGAAGAGGGAGGGGAAAGCGCCATCGTTCGGTTCCTATCACTCGGTCGCGATCCACCCATCCATTGTGCTTACCGACAAGCACCAGGTACTTGAACCGATCGTCAATCATAGCGTAGGTCTTGACCAACTCATAGCTTTTGGCGGCGCCTCGGTTCTGGATTCCCATCTCACAGCGGATGCCACTGCACAGTCGGGGTTTGCGAATCGGTGGATTAGTCACGAATCAGTAGGCCTCGCTTCAGAGACTTTGTCGCATTTCGGCGCTGTCGTTGTACCTGACAGGATCCTTGAACTTGACAATAGGAACCCTGGTTCTTGTCAGCATCTTGACTTCTTTCAGACCGGCTGTGTGTAAGGAGTTCATGGCATACGATTCGATCAGTCTAGTGCTCACACGAGCCCCGCTCTGTGTCAATATACGTTCCCGATCGCTGTGCTCTGAGATGCTCACCGGCTTTGAGAGCGTGCCCGATTTGCTCAATGATCTGGACCGGCGAGAGCGTGCCTTTGTTGTCGTACACCAAACCCAGCTCGATATCTAAATGTATCGGAGATTCGTCAGTCCATGAGAAGGAAGATGGGCATGCTGGCGCCGTTGAAGTCTTCATTATGCCTGAACACTAACGACACCGATACAGCAGTGCACCAATATGGCAATGCGCCGACACCCACCTTCTCCTTTCAGCGTGAACTCGAGGGTTTTGAGCGGCAGCGACAGAATTTGCAGATTCTCAAAGTGATCAGCCAACAGGGTCTCCAGGATCTTGACGAGCGTCACCGAGGCCCTCCACTGCTGGTCTTCGAAAGACTGATGCACGACCTTCCCCATGGTTCGGACACCCAGGGTCCTCGACTCGGATGCTTGCGATGAAGCGCGAGAGTGTGCCGCACTCGCTCCGGGCACTGGGGTAGAGAGAGTTCGATAGGAAAACTCCCTCTGAACAACCGGGAACGGCTCGAAGCAGACGCTATCGCAGAGCTCTTCGGTTTCCTTTGTGAGCTGGTTAAAGTACTCGATCGTGAGCTTCTTCTCATCCACTTTGAGCTTGGATGTTTGGATTTCCTTGAAGATCCGGAGCTCGGTCGCCGGTGTTTCGCCAGGAACGGGCTCGGCCGTTGCGGAGGCGCTCCCTTCGAACGGCTCGTCGGGATCGCGGTGAAGCCGGTCTGGGAGCTCGAGCGACGAGCGACATGAGTAGCTCTCAGGGGGAGGCGACAAGGAGTCATCTTGGAAGACATCCAAGGCATCTTCATGAAGTGCGGTTTGCACAGGACTACCGACATTCTTTGGGCTGGTGTCCGAACATCGACTGCGAGGGAGGGTTGTGTCGGTTGGCGCCTCGTCGGCGGCGACGATAAGGACGCTCTCATCCTCGGTTTGGTCGGACGGTACTTTCTCATCCGTAACGGGCTTGTCCGACGATGCAGGCTCTGTCACATCGGACAAGTAGCTGCCGGGGGGCTGCCCATCCCGGGACAAATCGGTCTCGCCAAAGTTGTCATCGGCGGTTGCCTCGGAGTCGCTTAAGAGGTGATCAGCGGGAGGAGTGCGGTCCAAGATTCCTTCAACATCGCGCTCTCGTGATGGCTCCATATTTTTGTGGTGATCCGATGCCGGAGGAACCGATCCATCCGCGCTGGCTGGCTGGGCCCTGTCGTGGACCGACAGAGCAGCTCGATCAAGGGCGTCGGACAGGGGTGAAATCAAGTCCAGCGCAGGGTCCGGAGTAATGGGTTCGCCGCCGACAGGGACAACGATGGGGTCGCGATGGGAGCTTTCCGCCACTTTGAGGACGCTGTCCGCCCCTGCTGTTCTTGGCACTTTGAAATCTTTGTTGTTGCTGTCGACGTCATGAACACCATCGGCATTATGGGTTCTGTCGGTCGCGCCAGCCTTGTTAGGCTTGCCAGCGTCAGAGAGCTTATCCGCATACTGCTCCCACAGCAACTCGATGGCTGATTTTTGCGCAACCTTGTCGGCCGTCGGCTCGGTCCTATCGCTGCCTCGTTTCTCTCCAGAGCTGAGCGACACAGGCACGGGAAGCTGAGGCTTGGAGTTTCGTTTGGCCTGGCCATGTGCGGGCACTGGAGTGTATGTCATAGTCGGGCCCAGGCTGGGGCTCGAAAGATGAGATGGGACGGGAGTAGGGACGGAGAACGACACACCGCTTCTGACTATAGCCTCGATTGCCGCGGCCGACAGGGCCTGCGATGTCGCATCAAAGTAGGTTTGTCCAAGCGATTCCCGGCGGGTTTGGACAAAGTTCTGATAGTCCAGCTGCCGCTTGCGATCCTCCTGCGCAATGTACTCGGCAAAGACGGCGGAGGGATTTGACGTTCGATAGGCGCTTTGTGGGTTGACAGAGGGTTGGCGCTGGTCCGGATAGGGCGCTCCGACACCAGCCGCATATGGGTGCAGAGACGGCGAAGGCGGAAGCTGCATCCCCGGAACATGGCCGCTAGATTCGAGTGCGTGTGGGCTGGAAACTATTGTTGGCCCGAATCGTGGGGAAAAGCCAGGCCCAGGCATGGTGGAACTCTTTGCATAATCGGGCTTGTAATGAAGAGCGCCGTCGGGTGACACTGGGTTGGATGCAAGACTGTGGGGTGATGCAGCCATGTTCCGCGGGGCAGGGTAGATCTGGGGTTTGAGATTCGAAGGCGAGCTGTAGCCCGTGTTGATGCGCTGGGTGAGATGGCCAAAGCCACTGGCGGAGCCTGCAATGGCGGATGTCCCGTTCGGGGGTTGGGTTGCAGGTGAGAACGGCACCGAAGCGGAGGGCAGCGACATGGGCGGAGGGACGGCCGCCATGACCGAGAATACTCTCGGCGAAGGCGTTGCCGAGCGCCGCTGCTGCGAAAGCGTACTGTGGTGCGACGGAGGCTTGGCCGAGGGTGGAAGTGGAGGAAGAAGGGAGGGGTCGTAGTCGCCGGGCATCGGATTAAAGGAAAGGTTTGGTGTTGAGGACCGACGATCGATCTGGGCGGTGCTTGCCCGCGACGAGGGGGCCGAAGCATGGTTTGTGGACCAGATCGAGTCGGCGGGGATAAGGCCCCGCGGACTGGCCAGAAGAGCCGGCGATACAGGCACCGACTGAGCCGTCCCTGCTGCCGATGTCCTCCAAGCATGCATATCGTCAGCGGACGGACGGCGGGCCATGCTGTTGGCAGCCCCCATCGATCCATAGTTCTGGTAGGGATTGTCACCGAAGGACATTGCTGGCTCGCCAATGCCCTTGACATAAGCCAGATTGTCGGACTTTGCGTTCTTGATGGTCTTGTAGCTCGTGGTCGGGGGCTGCTTTGGTTTATGGAGCAGGATCGTCAGCGCGGCGAGAGAGGCAGTGCGCCATGAGCGAAGCGGCATGATGCAGGCCTGGGTTCTATAATTTATACATTTATCGGGTGCCCAGCAAGTACACTCGGCCAATCTGAGGTACTTACATCGATTTGCGGCGGACCCAGCGCAAACTCATCGATCCCTGTGAGCGAAGGAGACCATGGTACCGTTGCAGGGACCGTGGTGCTGTTGCTGCTGGCGCTGGGATTGGCGCTGCCGCCGACTCCGACCGGATTGATGTTGCCGCTTGCCGGAAACGACCGCGGCGAGAACGAGGGCTCGGAAAAGGACGACCAGGCAGGGTGGAAGGATGGCGACGGCCACTCCTGGCTATCCATGTGACGAGGGTGCCTGATATTGGAGAGGCTCTGACGCTTCGCGGACGTGCTCGGATCGCCCGAGGGGCCTGAGAATGAGAGCCTTGGCGACGGCAGGCTCACGCGGGGTTGCTGGGGCTGCTGGGATTGCGGAGACTGCACGGACGGCATGAACGGCATGGACGGATCGGCATTGTTCCGAGCGACGGGTGTACCCGTCTTGCCCGATTCCAGCGAATGAGGACAGGGCAGCGCCTCTGTCGCTGCCGAGGCCAGATGCGGGTTGGAAGCCGATTCGAAGGCGCAGATGGGGCAAAACGAAGCGGTGGTCATCCAAGAGAAACCAGCGTGTCCGATGTGGGAAACGGATGATGCCGGACGCTGAGTCAGACCGAGACGGACGGCGCTTGAGACCGAGAGGGCTTGTGGAGCTGGGAGGGGGGACTGGCAATGAAAAGTAACAAGCAGGATAGGAAGAGGCAGTCGAGATGAAGGTGCTTCCAAGCGACTGGCGATTCGAGCGAGCAAGAGAGAGAAGGGCAAAGGAAGCAGCGGGTGGATCCGATCAGATACACATCAGGAGACGCAGAGACGGACATCCATCGAGGCATGCGCGGCAGCAGCGGCGATTGCGTGGGAGCCGAGCAAGAGACACAGCGTGCATGACAAGCTGATCAGCAGGGGGCCGCAGCGTCGGCATGCAGAAGACATGCAAAAGACTCACCCCGGAACGAACGCAGTCCACCACCGACGGAGGGGACAGAGGAGGAGCAGGCCGGCGAGGAGAAAGAGGAGTGCGATGCCCAAACACAGGCTTGCGGCTCAAGCTCGCCAGGCCGAGGAGGCTTGTGCCCAGCCGAGGAGTGGAGTGCTGCCAAAGCCAGGGCCGAGGGCGTGCTCGCCGAGAGCGAGGCGAGGAGGCGAGGCCGGCGCCGAGGCCACACACTGCCCGCAGTCGCCAGCTGCCGCCAGCTGCCCGCCGAGAGCCGCCCGTCCAGCCGAGAGCGCTCTCGCTGCCGCGCTTTCAAACTCCGACGCAACGTGCTGTCGGCGCCGCGCACCGCGATTGGCCAGTCGGATCGAGTGTATTCATGACCAAGGGCGGCATGGGATTTGCTGCTGGCTGTCGAGCTCTGCGGGATTTGCCCAGTTCGCTGCAGATCCGGTGTCCTCACCAGGGGAGCTCGTGGGTCCACTCGTCAATGTGTCGGGCAATCGCCTCAATCAGCTCGACATCGCTGCTCTTGAGCTCCACGGTCCACACGGTGTTGGTGCTGCTCTTTCCAGCTGTTTTCTCGTGGCGAACCTTGATGAGTCCTGCCACACGGGCCCCGTCCAGCGACTGTCCAAACACCGAAACGGCTCTGGGCGATTTCCCGTCGCTGCGGTCGAGGATGGCCACGGCCTGAAGTCGGAGCTGGCCGAGCAGGGCTGTTGTGATCGGGCCGAACGAGTCGACCGCCTGCTGGCTCTCTGGGTCGAGCACGAGCCCCGGGGCCACAAATCGGGCCGAGGCAGACTGAGGAAAATCTGTGTCGGAAGCAAGCATTGCAGCAAACTCGTCTTCGCTCACGCGCTGAAGGGCCTCGACAGGAGTCAGGAACACCGTTGGCGGCAGCGGCAGGAAGAGCGACAGCTTCTGATCCTCCTCCGCCTACACAACGGTCGAGACCGGCAAGACAAAGATACGCACAGAAGATGAGAACCCGAGCGACGCTCCATCAGATCGCCTCGCTCACGCAGCTCAGACAGGCCATGGATCGTGCATGATCGAGCGTCGGCTGATGTGAATCAGCCGACACGGGCCAGCGTATCCAAACACAAAGATTGAAATCGCGCAGCTTCAACTTACCGGCGTCGTCCAGGTCACCACAGCCTCGAGAGTCAGGCCGGTGTTCTGCAGCGACAGCTTGCTTACTTCAAACGTTACGGCAATTCCACCGGACTGGCCCGGATACACCTTGTTGGGTATCGAGAAGGGGCCAACCATTCCCGTTTGCTTGCAGACTTCCTGGATCTCCTCGGATGCGCTGGCCTTTGGAATCCAGTCCGGTGGGACCGTAAACCTCTCGTTCTCCAGGAAATAAAACGATATGAAGGACGGCTCCTCGCTCGAGATCGAAAGGTTGTTCACAAGGATCCGGATCGACACCATGAGGTTGTCAGTGCCGGCACCGGCGGTCGTGGGCACGGGCTGCCAGTCGAACGCCTGCAGGCAGAGAAGCAATCGTCGGCCCTTTAAATATGTGCAGTGGTCCCCACAGCCAATCCGGCACTTTGCCTTCGCAATCTACCACGGCGGGGAGTGGGTAGGGAGCGAGTAGGCAAGCATATCGACCACCGATATCAATCTGGATCGACTGCACTTACGATTGTCAGCTTATCATCCCCATACACTTGCTTGAAAGCCTCTACCGGGACAGTTGGAATGGCGGAATCGGTGTGAGCGCCGCCGAGCAGCGGCCGTGACTCCTTGGGTGCAGCAACAGGTGCATCAAGGTCGACGACCCTCTTCTTGGGCGCCTTTGTCTTGGATGAAAACGCAGAGGGCAGCAAAATTGAGCGTGAGCACTTGCAGATGACGGTAGAGAGAGAGCTCGGTGGGCTCCGCAATTCCCTCGGCCGTCAGATTGTGAACCAGCCAACGACCTCCTTGGACGGCCCAGCGCGCATCGTTCTTCGATAACATGCCACCATCCGCCCGTGATCTCCCGCTGACGTGGATTTCCATTCCCTCACAACCCATTTGTTGCCGCGCCCCAACGCACAAGTCAGTCACTCTGTCTGGCGACCACACTCGCCGGCTCGGCGACACACCTTCTTGGCTTTGGGCTTGGTGCCCTCGGTAGCATCAGCCGTGATCTGTTCTCGGCCTTGGCCTTGGCTCTTCTTCTTTGGCTTGGGCGGCTTGGCTTGGGCCGCGGATGTATCCACGCTCTCCTGAATCTGCTCCTGGCTCGTGGAGACAGACTCGGGAGCCGATGCAACAACGCTTGTCGACACCTTCTGGGTCTTCTTGACCTTCTTTCGGGTGATGACAAGGTCGTCGACCTGGCTGGTAACCTGCGCGACCTCGTCCTTGGTCGCAGCAGCCTTCTTCTTGCTCGCCTTGACTTTGCCCTTGCTGTCGGGGAGGGTAGCGGGGGCGACAGTGCCGCGGCTGGAGAACGTACTAAAGTCCAGGGTCACGCTCATGACTGCAGCTGTGTCGTCGTCGATGGACTGGCTGGGCGGCGTGACGTCGTGCTCCAAATCAGCCTCGGTGACGCCCTCCGGCAGCTCGACCTGGGTGTTGATTTCGTAGACCTGCGCAGGAACAGGGCTCGCCGCCTCCGCGACAGACTTTTTGGTCTTTTTTGTCTTCTTGGGCTTGGCCGCTGCATGGAGCCACGAAGCGTTAGACCGTGCGGAATGCCAATCCGGCAACATGGCGCTGTACGCAGTCAGGGGGGGGGTGCATGCTTACCCCCCAGCACTTCCTTCAGGTCAACGATCGGCACGCTTTGGTCGAGATCATCGACCAAAGCGGTTTCCTTCTGGGGAGTGGGTGTCGATGCCGGCAGATAGAATGGGTCGTTTTGCTTCTTTCTCTGTGCAGAAGCCTTGCGTGCCTGGGATTCGCATGGACCAAAGCACCGAATCAGCCTCTGATGGCAGTGTTCTCATTTTGAAGGACCCATCGTGGCTCTCTCCATGTCACCCCTCACAGACGCAATAGACCAACCTCGGCATCGGATGCCCGGGTGGCCGAACTCTTCTTTTTGGTGTGCTCGGCATAGGCTCTGAAACCAAGTTCGTCACCCGAGTCCTCGAGATCCTCGTCTCTGAGCTCGTCCTCGTCGCTCACGGCCTTTTCAGCAACAGGTGGATAGATCCAAGTGTCAAGATCAAGGCCGTCGGGAACAGGAACCTTGCGCTGAGCGCGAGGGGCCACTGGGTTCAGCTCGGCCGCAAAGAGGCTGCTGACTTCGGTGAGAATCGGTGGGATGGCCCACTCGTCGGTAGCAGCGCCAAGATCAATGTCACTGAGAATGACTAAAGACATGGTGGCCTGCAACACACAACGTGGTTTGGTCAATGGACAGCACGAAGCAGGTGGAACGAAGCAGGCGGCACAAAGCAGGTGGCACGGATTAGCACATAGGAGCAGATCCGCAGCTCGCTTGCGTGGAATAGCAAGTAGAAACGTCGGCAAGGCCGAGCAAGACCGCGCATTCCGGCTGTTGCTGTACTCACCCGCTCCTGAACCTCCAGATCCAGGCTGGTGCTGAACTCCTTGAGACCGGCAACGACTGCACCAGTGAGCGATACAAAGTCCTCGTGGGAAACCTGGGCAGTGTCGAGCGATCTGGACCAGCTAGTGTATATCTTGAGGATGTTGTGCACGTAGACGGCCTGGATCTCGTGCGGCAGACGCAGGACAGCAGGGTCCAGCAAGTTGTGCAGAACAGTCGGAGGGGACGACAACAGACTGTAACCAGGAGAGATGAAGGTGAGCACCATGAGTCTGTGAGCCCGCCAGGATCTTTGCATCGTCCTTGCGAGTACAGCGGTATGAATCGGTGGTGTGTGGAGGGAATCAGTCGCCTGGGGTCGCCCGTGGTCGCTCACCTACTGTACTCGCCACAGATCCAAGCCGCAGCGCTGAGCACACCGACGTTAGTGTTCTCGTCTGTGGCAGTCTCCAGCAAGATCTTGTCAGCCAAGAGAGTCACCTGTGATCAAAAGACCGGTATCAGCCAAAGGGGGAGGAGCTCCTGCAGGACCTTGTATCTCGGACTTGCAACAAAGGGAGCATTGATACTTGCCATGCAGTTGACGGCGAACTGTCTCACGTTCCGCACGCGGACAGTGACATCGATAAGCTCTTTGGCGAGGAGCTCTCCGATGCTCTGGCTTTGTACATAGGCGAGGCGGGCCAGCACGCCAATGTACCACTCAAAGTTGGTGATATTTTCGTACATATTCTGCGAGCAGATCTTGACAATCTTGTTGATGACCTCGCGCTCGTATTTGGCGTCGGTGACGGCGGCCTTGGATCCGCGCGAACGGCCCTCGGTCTCGCCAAACTGGCCTGAGAAGGGATGGTCCAGCAGAGTCAGCTGGCCCTGGAGCTTCTTGACAATGTTGATCAGGTTTCCCTTGGTGACCTGTTTCCGATACGATGGCAGAGGTTCATAAGAGGGCGAGCCGCTCCTTATTTACCGATTGTGACGGACACTGTCCAGCAGCGACCGACGTAGAGCATACCATTCCAGAGATCAGATCCAGGGCACGATATCGGATGCTGACATCCGAATCGTCCAGACAGGCAATCACAATGTCTTTGTGCTCCAGGACAGCCTGAGGACGGATCGGCAAAAGCTTGGCCAGGGCATAAAGTCCCAGATACTTGACTGGATCGTGGCAAGCGGTATGTCGAGCGGTATGTCGAGCGGTATGTCGAGCGGAATGTCGAGCGGAATGTCGAGCGTGAGACCATTACAACAATCAAGCAGATGCGAGAAGAGTCGACTGCGGTCTATCATTTGTCGGGAATCGCCGACTGGCTCCAGAGCAACACACAATGGAGAACGCTCAGGCGTGCTGGTCAAGCATCAGGTCCGGCAAAGTTCCTTGCACCAAACACTGAGTAGCGGCGGTGGACGACTTACGATTCTGGTCTCGGTCCTCGATGAGGAGCTTGATCTTCTCGATGCACAGGTCAGTCAGGGCGTTGTCCTGGGCCTCGTTTTCGGTTCCGGATCCTGGGCCGCCAATCATACCGCCGTTGATGACTGTCAAGATGCATTCATACAAGAGCGACATGGCGGGGGTGCTTTGGATCAGGGAGGTCAGAGGCGGAACAAGCTTCTTGACGAGGCGAGGCTCGAGCGGGAGAAGTGCGGCAAACTGAGGGGAGGATCGTGCGAGAGAGGACGACGGACACGGCATGAGAACGGATATGCTGCGGCGACCACGGAACTGGAAAACGGGGCAGAGTGGCCGGGACGGAGCAGTCAGGTATGCGGCGCAACGACGGACATGTGCCATACCAGCTTGACGATCTTGATGAGCATCCAATTGTTGGAGGAGTTGTTGAGGAGGCCGTAGAGCTGCGGGGCCATGGGGAGGTAGCTCTTGGGGTTCTTTCGGGCCAGCTCGCAAATGACGCTCACAGCAGCGGACACAACCGCTAGAGTTTGGGGCAATCGTTGTGCGCAGTTTAGTCGGTAAAGCCGCAATGTGTGCTCGGAGACCGTCGCATCTCTTGCTGAACACCGGGTTTAGCTGGGTGGCCGAGACAGAGTATGGACGTACATGGGTCGGGGTCTTCGAGTCTCTCGCGCAGACGAGGGAAGGCTATGCGCAGAGTATCGGGGTGCTTCAGGAACACGCGATACAGGACCAGGATCACTCGCTTGCGAATATACGGCTTCGAGTGCGTGAGCATCGCAATCAGGTCGGGGGTGAGGTCGCGGCCCAGGTCGGGAGTAACGATCTGGGCAAGGCCATGGAGAGCCACTGCCGTTTCTTGATAGTAATTGGACGACAGGTCCTAAGAGGGAGGTGTGGGGAGCGGCGACGCTGGTCAGTGGCTCGTAGCCGCTATGTTGCTTGCCTCTGCCCATGTCTGACCAGCACGAGTCTGACAGCAGCCCGGCGGAATGAGCATGCTTTCGCACATCATCCTTGACCATCCACCAGACATTCACTCGGGCAGCCATCCACCCAGCTGGCTGGCGTCGCTTGCCATTACCTTCTTGATCAGATTGGTGCAAAGCATGAGCACATCTGTGTCTTGGCGGAACGACTGCGATGCGGCAGTATATCCGATGCGTTTGTAGGCAATCTTGGGCGACGACATCACCTCGATGACATGGAATGATGCCCAGCTCATGTCATAGCCAAGCATATGCAGCTATCGGTGAGCAGTTGGCAACGCAGCCCCAGAGAGAGGTAGGGGTGGTGAGGTGCCGAAAGTCCGTCCCAGCAGCAGGAAGACCAGGAAGGGAGACAGGAAGCAGCCGCCACAATCGAGGGAATCGGCGGGAAGGTGTTAGTGGCGTTGACATTGCGGACGGCAATCAGGGTGGGGGGAAGCAGAGGCGACCAGACTGGGCACTGGCATCAAGGAGCCAAGTGAATGCAGAGCGGTACGCACATATGCCAGCTTGGATATGGCTATGGCCCTGAGGTCGGGGTCGTCCCGCTTGATCTCCTGTCGGATTTCAGCAATGCACTTGGCAATGAAGGCATCCTCCTTGCCCTTGTTCGATCGGATGCCTCGAATCAGATCGGTGAGGGTCTGCAGTTTGAAGCGTGGTTGGGAGTGAGTGCGAGACGGGTCAGAGCGGGCAGTTGTGTGCTGACACTCGGAACTCGGAAGCAGCAGGACGGCGCCGGCGATGAGGGGAGCCAGGGTGGGCACGAGCAGCATAGCACGCCGAGGGGCCGGTCGCCAAGGAGCAGGTCTGCCAACACCCACCTTCTCAAACATGGCGAGATGCACAGTCGAGCTTGGCTCGTTCGGAGGGGGTGTGGGTTGGATTGCTGGCCGGGCCGGATCGTCTGGAGGCAGATGGAGCGAGCAGATGGAGCGAGCAGATGGGGCGGGCAGATGGAGCGAGCAGGCCAGGCGTGCGATGGCCAAGGCCTCCACCGCCGCAGCCGCCACAGGCCGGATTGCGGCCACACACACACACACACGGCACAATCGAGATCCCCAAACCTCACGCCAAGAGTGCGCTTGGCCTCGCCATCCACATCCATCGCATCCGTCACCCACCCAAGCCCATCCAAACCCATCGGGCACCCGCGAGCCTCTACCCGCACGACCCAGCATCGCCGAGACCAGCACCACAGCCACACCACAGCCACACCACAGCCGTCACCATGAGCGAGCCGAACTCTCTTCACGACACCGAGTTTGAGGTCCCCGTCGACGAGGTGGGTGCTGGGCACGTACGCCTGCTCCGCAGCCAAGCGAGGGGTCGCTCGCTGGTGCCCGAGGGCATCTTCTCCGGCACAACTGACTCGTCGCCCGTTGCAGGAAATCGAGGCCATGAAGCAGCGGGTTCAGGAGATGCAGCAAGAGGCCGCCAAGCTGCGCGACATGCAGGCCAGCGTCGAAAGCAGCATGTATGCAGCCCAGGATGCCTCCGCCTCGGCCAGCCACGGTGAGTCGAGCTCCGCTTCGAGCCTCGTCCATGCAGCGATCAACGGTTGTCGCTGCTGCAGGATGTCGATGCCCCCTATTTCAACGATGCCGGAGTCCCCCTGGCCGTGAATGCAAGATCCTGATGGCTCTTGTCTCTGTTCCAGCCCCTTCCGATGCCAACCGAGAGGAAGTTGATGCCCGATCGATTTTTGTTGGAAATGTAAGCCCTTGGACCATCAGTGTGTGCTTGTCCTGAGCGAGACTGGTCTTGCCCTTCTCCTGTTCGCTCTCGGCGTCCACACTCGCTGACATCCCGATGCCAAATGCAGGTCGACTACAGCACCACCCCCGAGGAAATCCAAGCGCACTTCCAAGCATGCGGTCCCATCAACCGAGTCACCATTCTCTGCGACAAATACACCGGCCATCCCAAAGGGTGCGAACTGGGGGGGGGGACATATTCGATTTGCATGGCCACCAGAACGACAGGATTCGTCGGTGTACCTGCCCCGGGCCTGTACCCAATCCAAACTGACACACTCTGTCCATCGCCAGATTCGCTTATGTTGAGTTTGCCGATCCCTCGGTTGTCCACAATGCCTTGGTGCTGAACGAGTCGCTCTTCAAGGGACGTCTGCTGAAGGTCACCGCCAAGCGCACCAACATCCCAGGGCTGAATTTCCGCGGCCGAGGCGGGCGGGCTGCCTATCGGGGCAGCGGTCCGCGAGGCGGCTACCGAGGATACAGCGGCGGAGGATATGCTGGCTACCGCGGACGGCCTCCGTACCGGTAAGAGGTCGCTGCTGTGCGGGATCTGGCCGGGCCCGCGCATCTCGTTTGCCAAAGCTGGCTCCTCCGATTCAGCCGATCACGGTTGTCCCAGCACGAAACTTGAGCCTCTTCTAACAACCATCACCTGTGTCGGCTCTACAGTGCTCGTCGCGGCTCGTTTGCGCCATACTAAGCATGGAGATGAATCGAGCTGGCATCCTCCTGGGTGGTCTCGATTACCACAAGTGCCTTCCCCCCACTCTGCGTGTCCACAACTCGACCTCCACACACACACCCGTCTGTTGCTTTCGTCGTCCGACAGAGATCAGGTCAGCACGACGTATTCATATAGGCATGCGAGCTCCCTCCCCTCCGAAAAAAAAAAGAGAAAAAAAAAGGAAGAGAAAAGAGCGAGCGAGGAAAATAAAAAAGATAGGATTGAAAAAGGAGGGAGGTATGAGCGATTCGCAAAAAGTGAAAAAGTAGAAGCAAAGAGGAAAAGTTGCTCGAAGCAGTAGGGGAGAGAACATGCACCACCTGCCAAGGCAAACGACCAACCACCAGCAAGCCGATGATCGCGAAGCTTCCTGTGTCAAAGCAAGTCGACGACATCAATGCAGCAATGATGCTACGAAACGGCGGAGCACTGTCGCATTGGTCGATGTTGTGGGCGTAATGTCCCAGCTGGCCATGGTGCAGGATCAACGAAGCGAGAGCCAATGCGGCTGAGCAGTCGAAGCCAGCCATCCCGGAGCACTGAGCCAACCTACAGCTTTCCTCACGCACATCCATCGATCAAGACCCAAAGCAGCTGTCTTCGACTCAGAGCATGTCGTTTCGAACACAAAGTGTCCCGTCTCGCGATACCAGTCGTCGCTTGACGCACAGAGAGCGCCGTGGTGATGGGACCAAGGACGAGCTGTTTTATGCTGGACGAAGCGGCACAATAAATGACTCGATGGTGATAACAAAGACTCGGGCAACCAACGGCGGTAGCGACAACGGCAGCGATAGCAGCAACGACAACGGCAGTGACAATCATGACAAAAGACAGTAAGGACCACGGGGAAATCAACTGAGGCAAGAAGGAGGAATGGCAGCTGTGGGAGAGGGGTGGAAGGAGCCGAAGCGAGGGCGGTGCGAACAGGACAGCTACTTTTACAGAAGGGATACGGTGATTCATCAGGGGAGGGCCGCAAGAACAGCATAGATTTCCTCGGGTCCGATTCCGTTTCCGGAGAGCTACGCAAAGGACAGCGAGTCAGGTACTTGGCAAACACAGGCTGCGCCGAAACAGACGCCAAATACCCATCAGGCCGTCCACCATGTCATGCCTTGGTCCGTCATGCAGATCTCCGTGGTACGCCTCCGAGACGACCATTCCCATCGCCACCATCCCGGCTGCTGGCTGCCGGCTTGGCCAAACACAGCGACACCGTGCACATCGGTACAAGGATTTCGGATTCGACAGAATGGATTACTCACCTCAGTTTTGATCTGAGAAGAGCCGGGTGAGGGTCCGAGATACCGAGCCTCTGCTGGCTGCGCTTCGCGTCTGGTACGTGAAGGTGGTGGTCACGTCGTTGAGCCCCTCGTTCAGATCCGCTTGGGAGGATGACGACGAAGGTGTCGAAGACGAAGCCAGCGAGGTGGCCTCTGACGAGACCGCGGCATTCGGAGCCTTGGCGGCGTCGTCAAGAGCAGCGGACTGATCCGAGAGAGGCTTGGTGCCGTCCGTGTCGGTGGTGGGCTCGGGCTCAATCGACTTTTTCTCGGAGGTTCGGAGCACCTTGGTATTGTATCCACTGCAAAAGCCGCACTTGTGGTAGAGAAAGTGGAACTTGACGTCGGAACGCTTCTCGCAGTCGTTGCAGTAGATGTGCGAGACTGTCTTGGCGTATTCTGGCGGCATTTGGTGTTGCTCGAGCATGGCGTCGATGCGTCTAAAGTATTCGGTCATGTTGGCGAGGGATTTGAAGCAAGTTGGGCACTGATAGGACGTGTGGATATATTCCTGATGGCATTTGTAGTGTATGCAGTGGCCACAGGGCTGCGGGGATCCGGGATCAGGAGCGAATGAGTCTGGTGAGCGTACTGGCAACACGAGCTGCAACGCGCGATAGCGCAAGTGCTGTTGCAATGGCACTAGTATCCTTGCAACAAATCGCCCGCCAACCACATCCTCTGCATCGAATCAAGCTCGTCTGCACTCACCATAAAGATCACGGTCGTGGTCGACGTGAACATGTACTCGCCACAGATCGGGCAGTCGCTCTCCAAGTTTCGTTCGATGCACTTGTGGCGGTTTTTCAGACTGATAGCCATGCAAACATTGCACTTTTTGCAATGGAAGTAGTCGATGCCGAGGCCCTTGCCGATTCGGCAGATTCCGCAGTCGTAGCAATGGTAGATGTTCTTCTTTGGATCATCGTCCCAGAGCTTGCATTCGTGGCAGTAGTACTTGCTTACTTTGCGGCCGCAGGCTGTGTTGATGCACTGCTGGCCTGCGGGCTGGACGGTGGAGCAGTACATGCACATCATGGTGGTCGTGAGGTTGCTGCAGGCGACAAGCGGGTGGAAATACGAGACAGGCGCATGGAAATACGAGCGTGTGGTCAAAAGCGATCGATGGCCAGGGCGTGGCGGGGGTGGGGCCAGGGAATGAAGAGACAGATAGGCTCAGCAATTAGAACTCGGAGCTTTCCACACAGCAATCGTTGTGAGGGCAGCATCACAAAGATTCGGCCGAGCAATTTATGCAGGAACCTACCGGATGATATTGTGGTCCGAGATTTCGTCGTGGCAGAAGCGGCAGGTAAACCACTTGCCACAACAATGGGCTTGGAGCTTGGCAGACCGCTGGTAGTGCGAGCAGCCGATGATGCCGAGCTCCTTGTTCTGAAGACATTGCAAGCGATGCAGCACAAATGTTAGTCAGAATCCACATCGAGAAATTCCCGCTGGGCGGCGACGGGAGGCAGACAACGAGCGAAGCAACGCAACCCAAAGTGCGAGCGAGTGTGCATGCAAGCGGAAAGCATCGGCCATATCACACACTGGGATACGATACGAGCCCGTCTTGGCGTTCAGATGAGATACGTACATGGTAGGTGATTTGCTTGTCTTCCTCGGTGACCAGATCAAAGTCGGCTCGCTTGTCATCAAGCTTGTTAGCTACATTGGCACGGCTGCTCTGCGCCTTCTGCTTTGTGGTCCACTGGGTCGTCATCAGCTCCTGCGAGTTGGTAACGGTAAAGGCGGATGTGTCAGCGCCACTGTGCTGCGAGCACTGCAGAGTGAAACACAGCGAACCCCCGGGCCGGCTCGAGTCATCGGCCGTGAGGACGAGATCACAATGGAGCAATAGTGGCATTCTGTGAGCCAAACCAAGCCAACCCACGGGTCGAGGGGTCGGTAATGGCGACGCTCACCTGGATCTTCTTGGCCTTTTCGGCTGGGGGAATGGACGTATCCTGCTGGATGACCATGATACGCTTCCGCAGCTCCTGCTGGCTTTCGGGAGGCTTCCGGTGGTCACCCGAGACTGCCGAGATCAGCTGGGATGTGCGGCCCAAGGGACGGTCGCGGGTGGATTGAAATACAGATCCATTGGCCGAGGACTGGGCCGAGCTGCTGCCGACTTGGAAGCCATGACTATGGACATGGCCGTGGGCGTGGCTGTGGATGTGGCTGTGGATATGGCTGTGGTCATGGTGAGCCTCGTCCTCATCATCGGCCTCCTCCTCGGTCTCGTTGCAGGAGAGAGAGCCATCATCGTCAAGAACGTCTTCTTCGTCGTCGTCATCATCATCGTCGTCGTGGTCCAGATCCGAATCGTACTCGCCGTCCAAGTAGTCCGGCTCATCCACTTCATCCATAGGGTCGTCCGTGTACTCAAAGGTCTGGGTAGCACCCATGGACAGGACGGCTGCGGAGGACGGGAGGGCACCGCCGCTGCCACCGCCCCCAAGCCTCATGCTTTCCTCGTCCAAGGAAGAGAGCAGGGTCGCGGATGGCGTTTGCTGGAGCGACGAAGGAAAGTCCGACATATTGGTTTGGTGTTCCCGTTAAACCTTTGTAGCTGCCGACCAAACGACCGGGGCGGGATGGATGCCATTCGAAAGAGTGTAGGAGCATAGGAAACGGAGTAGAGCAGAGCATCAGCAATTTAATCCTATCGCCATCAGCCATGGCGGACCAGCCCGGGAATCGGAGCGCTCGCCGATGGCTCAAGCAGTGACGCTGTCCAGACGCAGCCCAGACGAGGGAGACACTTGGGGTAGTGGAGACGCAGAGACGCCAAAGGAAACTCGGCCGGGAACGGTCGCCGGCACCAATGGCCCGGGCATTACCAAGGGGACTCGGCTGCGGGATGGGAGCGACAGACGGCAAACAGTAACCAGGAAAAGAATAGTACTGGCCGCTGGTCCAAGCCAGGATGCAAGATGGAGGAAGAGGAGACGACGGGTCGGCGCTCTGCGGGGCAACGAGAGCCGCAAGCACACGTGTGTGTGTGTGGGCGCTCCCGAGGCCGGTCACGGGGGGCCAAAAATATCGGCAAGCGCCGCCGCCGCCCCACAGCCGAGGCGATGGCGAGAGACGAAAGCGAGAAGTGTGCCGGGGTGCAGCAGGCCCAATGTGCGGGACTCAATGCTGCAATTACCGAGGGCAAGGGTGAGGGTGAGAGAGAGAGAAGGGAAGCGTGGAACGTCTATTTATACGCAGGCTCCATCCGGCAGCTGCAGGCCTCGGAGGGAAGAGCGAGCAACCAGCGATGTGTGTGGGGGTGGCGTGGGAATTCGGGAGGCAGCATCGATATCTGGCCGTGCGGCCGAGCAGCAGAAAAGGTGCAGAGAAGGGATGCTCGTCGGGCTGTGATTTTAGAAGTTGACAAATGCACACAACGTGGGATCGTATGCGCGAGCGACCGGATACTCGGGCTAATATCCCGACCGGATAGCCAGGCTGAACTCTAGACCAAAGTCCCAGATGCGAAATAAAAGAGCCAAACCAAACCAAGCAGGTTCTGTACCGAATGCTGCACCGCGAGCATATCACGAGCCTTACCTAGCTGATTATATCGTTAGCGGAAGGAGCCGTTTCGCACGGAGAAGCAACAGGCCAAGAGGAGGCAAGGTTAGACGACGAGAGCCGATGAAGAATTGCAGAGGAAAGCGACGCGGCCAAGGGCCAAAGCGAGTATTATATGCAGAACACGACGCTCGCCAAGATCGATTCAGCTGCAGCAGCAGAAGCGACGCTGCTTTGCTCACACGGCAGAGTGCGCGAGCTGGATGATTGCCCGGGCATCGAGCAACCTAATAATACACACCACCAGCGAAGAATGTTCTGCACGACCGGGGGGGTGGTCCAAGGAGAAGCTCAGCAAAAAGCAAGAATAAGCCTCTGGCCCCGCTCGCTCGGTCTCCAATGGCGATCTAATAGCCCATCAATCGAGCAGTACTCCTCTACTCTGTTGACGTGGTTGGTGGTGGACGAGGAAAAAGAGAACATGTAGGTCTTCCGTCGACACCTCAATCACATTGTTGCAACCACGGCGGCAGATCAAGCTCGGTCGAAACTGGAGGGGGTGGCAGTCGGCGCACACGGGCTCCACGGACAAGCATCCGGTGTGCAGGCGGCGAGGCGAGGAGCAGGTCACTTGAGGCCGACCCTGCCCCCATCAGTGCCTCTCAGAAATGCCCGAAAGCGGAGCGCCGTTGTCGCTGTGAGGAAACATTGGCTGCCTGAAGCCAGACCCGTGGTCCTCCGATTGATGGGGCGATGATGTTTCGACCACGAATCAAGGACTCGCTGAAACGAGGGTGAAGGGGCTCACTGGCGGCCTGCGACACAACACCGCATCTGACGAGACTGAGGCAGCTACCGCGGCCGTAAACGGGAGCAAAATCAAGGCCGATAGATGCCGCGGGCGATGGGTCGCAGCGGCACTGAAATCGAGCGCCCTGGCCGAATGATTCCTGGGCGGCAGATGGGGATGATGCGGGGCACTCGCAGCAATCCAGATCCTATGGCACTCAGGGGACAACGTCTGAGCACCGATCCTGAGCATCGATCCTGAAGCGAATGTGCGGCCGACGGATGATTGCACTGCCGGTGTCTCCAGGCGCATTGCTGGTGTGGGTGCCGGTGCTGGTGCAAATGCCGTCGCTTCTGCTGCCGACCTGCAGACAACACCAAAGCAGATTCCCAACACCAGCACTGCTTCCAACGTCCACGCAGATGCAGACTCGATGCTGAATCTCAAGACATGCCCAAGACATGCCCAGGACATGCCCAGGACATGCCCAAGACTCGATCCTGGCGGCGAGATTGTCGGAGTCTGCCGCCCCCGTGCACACGCTGTGATTGGCCGGCGGCTCCGATCGTGCGCAGTCGCTGATACAGCAATCAGCTGGTCGGCCGCTTCTCGCTCAAGTTCTCCCTCTCGTTCCCGCCCATGTTGTCCCAGTCGGGCCGCCTTGCTGACCGTCCTCGGTTCTCTGCTCTCGTCTCTCGCTCGTCTTCTCGCATTTCAAAGCCGATATCAGGACCGTTCTTCCCAGCTGCCTCTCGTCGATTCCGATCCTGACCATCCATCTGTCCATCAGCCGCCAGAACATCACTCGGCCAAGACCGCTGCCCGAAACCCGCATCTCCTCCCAGCGTCAAACAATCGCAATGCCTCTGTCAAGTGCTCTTCGATCTGGAGACTCTGTTCTGATGATCGGCAACCCTGCCGCCACTCCCCAGGATCTCCAGTCCTCCCGAGCTCAGATTGTCGACATCGTCGGGGCCGCCGGCTCGGTTGCCTTTGAGCAGCTGGATCGTCTGCAGCAGAGTGAGTAGATGCTTCCTGCGTGTGCCATGATACTCCACTGGTCTGTGCTCTCTCTAATTGCCGGATCAATTGCTCAATTGCTCATTGTCTCGCCGGCCTTGCCACTCATCTCTCCGCCATCCGCACACCGGCGCCATAGTCACTCTCAAGGGCTCGTCCTTCTCGGCCATTGTCTCCGGCTGCGTCAACCCACCGGCATTTGTGCACCCGGAAGCGTCGCTCTCTGCCCTTTCGCGGTCGCTCAAGCCCTCGGGCTCGTTCCACATCACCGAACCCACCGTTGTCGACTCGGCAGCCTCCATCAACGCCTCCAAGCACGGCAACCCGGCTCTGCCTTCCAGAACGCCCTCCGCTCTCCTGTCGGCCGTTAAGCTCGCCGGCCTGGTTGACATCGAGCTGGTTGGTTCACGCAAGGTGTCGGATGCGGAGCTGGAGAGCTGGATTGCCTTCTGGGGCGTCGATGCTGCCGATGTCGAGGCCGTGAAGCAATCCCTGAGCGGCAACCTGTTCGTCTCGGAGGTCACGGCGAAGAAGCCTGCGTACGAAGTCGGTGCCGCTGTCAAGCTCTCCTTTGGCAAGAAGGCGGCGAGTGCAGCCCCAGGTTGGTGCAGGCAGTCTCGTACGGTGCGCCAAGCCAGACACATGTGATTGATCTGTTGGCTGACGCTGCTGATACCGTCGGTGCTGCTGTTGACCTCGATGGCGTTGCTGACATTGTGGATCGACTCGCCCCTCGTCTTCAACGCCGTCGATCCAGTAGTCGCCTCTCCCGCTCCCAAACAGTCGGTCTGGACGGTCTCTGCCAATGACGACGACGACGACGACGATGCTGAGCTTGAGGACGATGAAGCGCTGCTGGATGAGGAGGACCGTGCCAAGCCGGTTCAACGTGAGTGTTTTCCCTCCCTTTTTCGCTGGAGCGATAAGTTAATCATGCAGTCAGAAGCTTCCTATAGCCACATGGCTCACTCAATGCTCGACGCCTGTCTCCATCAACTCCAGGACCCGACGATTGCGAGCTAACGGATGGACAACGCAAGGCTTGCAAGAATTGCACCTGTGGCCGGGCCGAAGAAGAAGCCGAGGAAGAACAACGAGCAATTGAGCAGGTTGCCACCCTGGCGGGCCCAACGATCTCGGCCACCACCACTGCCACGGGCGTGACCGTTGTTCAGGGCAAGCAGCGCAAGGCCGTACCTGTCTCCTCGTGTGGAAACGTATGTAGAGAGCGCTGGTGCGGACATCGAGGTGGATTTCGAAGTGTTGGAGCGCTGAGATCAAAGCTGTGATCAGGCGTAAGGACATGCCGATCAACGGCGGTGCCAGTGGCGTGATGGGGCATGGTGCTGACTCTATCGCTGGTGGCCGTTTCTGTTGGCGGTCCAGTGCTATCTTGGCGATGCCTTCCGCTGCTCCAGCTGCCCCTACATGGGCATGCCTGCTTTCAAGCCTGGCGAAAAGGTCGTTCTCGGCGGAAATCTCCTCAAGGACGACATCGAGTACTGAGCGGCACCGATCAACAATTAGCCTCCCCAGTCGACGTTTGCATCTATTCCAAAGATGCGGAACTCTGGCCGTCCCCGAGCTGTCACTGGCCAGCACAACGCGGAACGACATCGAACTGCGGCGCTGTCTGGTATCGTCGCTGTTCCTCTGCAGCTCACAGCTGCACGCAGCATTGATTGTACGATCGAGCGGTGGATGACGCTCCAGCTCATAGCTACTCGGCGACACTGGACCGAGCTCATCGGGCCATGCTGCAGCACCCTGCGATCCAATGCAATACACGCCGTCTGCCCCATAATCCAATGCGGATCGAGCGGGTCGGAGCAATGCCGTCGGCTCAATCGGACTGGCTGGCTGGTAAACTTTCATAATGGCCGTAATTAGCCACATTCTGATTCCACGGCCGCTCCGAAAGTCAGCCCCTCTCCTTTTAGCCGTAAGCGACGATATTGTCTGTTGAGAACATGGGCGTGTTCCACTGTTTTGAGCGAGTCACATAGAAGCCCAGGCATTGAGCGCAAGGTTGATACAGTCTACACTCAGTCGATCTCCTGTGGCGATGATCGACTGGCATACCGAGATCATGTTCCTGGCTACATTGATGTCTCGATCCCACAGCGTATGGCAGCTTGCACAGCTCTGGACAAAGTGTGGTTTCTCGATATCAAGATGGTGCTGTGCTTGACCATGAATGCGATGAGTGTGGGTGTATTCAGGTTCCAGAAAAAACCACTGTCCTGGTTAAAAAACGGGGTGTCCCATTTCATTTCGGAAACGCTGTAAGCGACGAGTATGTGTGCGCTCGCGATCCAAAGCAGAAAACCCACAAAGCCCACAGTCAAACAACAACTGGGCGTGTATGGAAAGAGACGAAAAATAACGGCAGAGCCCCCCAGTCTGCAAGGCCCTGGCAAAGGTCATGGCTGTCCAAGAATCGCGTGGATTCAGAAGGGGATTTTCCACCCCCACCAGCATCGCCTGGTGTTGACAGGCTTCAGAAGACGCAATGCCGCCATCAAAGCAGAGAGCAGTAGGGCAAGAGCGAGAGAGAATGAATCGAAAGAAAGCGGAGACAAGCGGCAAGAAATGCGTGCGGCAAAAGTGGACGAGAGGAGGAAGACTCTAAACGGCGGTAGGATATATGTATGCCTATCGGTAGTAAGGGTTGCTGGAGTTGGCGGGGGGCTGAGATGCGCCGTAGCCACCGTATCCATCGTTCTGGTAGTAGGTCTGTTGCTGGTCGTTGCCATAGTAGGGCTGCTGAGGGCCGTGGTTGTTGTAGCTGTACTCGGAGTGGCCGTACTGGGGTTCGCCCACGGTTGCAGCAACGCGCGGGCCACCGTATCCGGAATACTGCGAGCCTGGGCCTGTTTCGCAGCGCAGGAAAGGGAGAGCGGGTGTGGTATCAGTGCGCTGTGCCAGTCCGGGCGCACGAGTAACGCTGTCTGCAGCCTCCAGCCAGACACAACAAAGGGGCAAAGACCAGGCAGCAGCGAGCCTTATACACTGGCCCGATGCCGATCCGAGTCCGGTTGGCAGGTTGTCGGCACAGCGATGTGATGTTTACCAGACTGATATGCGGTATCGGCAATAGGGCGATGAGCCTGGACAGGGAGCGGGCCGTCGGTCGAGTACCGGGCACTGAGCTTGTTTGACTGGCTTTCGTATTTTTCCCGAGTCGATCGGATGAAGAAGTAGGCAATGACAACTGTGGGGTCGAATGTCGATCGCCGTCAAGGACGAGAGTTTCGGCAGGTGGCAAGACACAAGTGCATATTGTGTTGTCAAGGCGAGCAGAAGCAGCGACGGTGGATTAGACGATGCCGCATCGAGAGCAGTAATCAAGTGAGGATCCAGTGATAATTAAAGCAGGAGCCCCGGTCGAGCCACCGAACAAGCGTGCGCGGAACTGACAGGTCCAGTCTAGTCCAGTCCAGTCCAGCGGCCATTCAAAAGTGCGACGGGGAGCGGTGGGCATCTGACGACCCAGTCGCCGGCTGGACGCCATCTGGACAACGATGAGACCAGCGACATAGTGTGTTTACTCACTGCAGATGCCGAGGAAAGCCAGGCCACCAACGACGGACAGAATGATGATCGAGTTCATGGAGAGGCCGGCGGGACCAGACGGGCCGGGATCAGGAGTTGGGGAGCCGGTTATCGTCGAGGTGGAGGAGACGGACGGAATCGTAGAAGTTCCCTTGGGACCGAGAGTCAAAGAGGTGTTGCTATCATCGGTAGTGGTGGACTTGGCTCTGTCGGTGGTGGTGGTGGTGGTGGTTGTAGTAGTCGTTGTGGTGGTGGTGGTGGACGAAGGCTGGGTCGAGGGAGGCGGTTGCGACGATGGTGCTTGGGAGCTCGACGAAGCCGGAGGCGGGGGAGGAGGCACAGGCGGGAGAGAGGTGGACGACGACATGGCGGATCACAGCCCAAAGACCGACGGAAAGGGATAGGACGATATGGGATGTAGAGGGCTGGGATCAGGAGCGACGGAATGCGGTGCGATTTGGTTGATGGGATCGGATGCGATTTGGTTGATGGGATCGGATGCGATGGGATGAAAGGCCGGCCCAGCCGCAAAGCAGAGCCGCGAGCAGAAAGGCAAACGGCGATGGCCAAGGCGGGAGACAGCGAGGAGACAGCGAGGAGACAGCGAGGAGACAGCGAGGAGGCAGCGAGGAGGCAGCGAGGAGACGGCGAGGAGGCAGCGAGGAGGCAGCGAGAGACACACAAGCACAGCCCCACACTGCACTCGCCGCGCTGTTTGTGTCGACAGCAGAGCTGCGGCCAGGCTGTCAGTGTCTGTGTAGCACACAGGCGCGTGTTGGGGGTGCCGCACTCGCACAGTCTGCAACACAGCTGCGGCACAGCCGCACTGTGGGGCTGGATGCCGCGTCGCGCCATAGCCCGCGTAGCGCGCCTTGTGCGACGCACTAGCGGACACAAAACCGCGCCGCCAAGAGGCAGTGGTCGCTCGGCTGCGACTCGTTCGGCATTGGCTGGCACGCCTCGCCAATGGGAGGCTGCAGGAACCGTTGCAGCTCGATCCGCCCCGGCTGGTGCTCGTTCCCACACACATGTCCCTGCTGCTCCCCTGCGGGTGCCGATTGCTTGCGCTTGTGGCCGACAGGGCTGGTGGCTGGGCCACTTTCCGGCTTTGACTCGACAAGCTCGGGCCTGTACGTGCCGAAGAACATAAAGTCGACGGACTGTCGAGCATCGCCGTGCCACGTCGTGCAGTACTCCTCGCCAGAGACGGCATCGACATGGGGGTGGTATGCGCATTGCAGCCGGAATGGATGCCGAGCATGCCTCTGGTCTTGGAGAACATGGCCTTCCAGAGCCAGAGCCCCGCAGCACGGGCTGTTAGAGGACTGCCCGTCTGTCTGTCCGTGTCCTTCGGTTCCAGCCCGACCGGGAAACTCTGCAAACGCCTCCCAGCACTTTGATCATGCGCAAAGTCAAGTAAATCAAGCAGGCAGGCACCGAAACTCACCAGCGATGCTTGGGCGGGATCTTGCCCACGGTAGCTGCCACGGACGCAATTCAAATTCGGTGTCGCCCTCGGCACAGACATTGTCCTGCTTGTACTCATCGACCACGGCTTGCATACGAGGATCCAGCTGCGGCTCTCTGGCGCCTGATCTTGCAGATGAAGTCCCGGTCAGCTGTCGGCGCCTACTCAGCCAAAGCGGCATCGGCGTCTGTCCGGACCAATATGGAAACAGACTGGAGTCGCTTGTGTCGAGACTGCCACTGATCATGAATTGATAGAGCGACGAGTGCGGGGTCATGTTCATGTCCCCACAGACAACTGCGGTTGCCATGGGCCCCGTAAACAAGGAATCATCAGTGACCAGCGATACAGAGGCGCTTGGTGTGCTGGTCGAGCCGACTGCATCGATAATTCACTGTCGTTCGCGACTTACCGACTCCAATATCCTTCGTGGCATCTCGGCTGTGCTTCGTGGCCATTGCGTCGATCCTCGCCAACAAGCAGCTCAGCTGTGCGAGCTTGATATCGCCTCTCTTGGTGTTGAACAGGATATGTGTTGTCGCGACACAAAATCGTTGGCCAGAGTCTGGGCGGAAAGGGTCATGGGTTCGGGCAGATATATGAATACGACCACGCATTGAGTCGCATGAACGAGTTGCAGCCTCGCCCGAATCGTGCACTCGATTCCTCTTGTTCAAGTCCATGTTCATGTGCCGTTGCTTGCTCGCCAGGCGCGACAGACGAACATCGATAGGCACACCAAAGAGTTCACGCAATAGAGTCACAGGAAACGCTGCTGCTGTGTTCTGCTTGGGACTGATTCTCACCGAGTCCCTCAAACAAGACAACTATCCCGACGTTATCACGATCTGTTCCTGTGAATCGAGAGTACTCGACGTATTCTCGATCAACCATCCGAAGCCTGCGCGGTGGCAACGGCGTGGCGCTCGAGTCAGACTTGTGCGCTCACAGCTTCTGCGCTCCACTTGGAGCGAGAGCTTCTATCTTTGGCCCGAGCTGCTCGGCGGAGACTTACTTGGACTTGCGGAAGAACAGCGCCAGTCCATCCTGCTTGTTTCCCAGACGCCTCTTGTATAGGCCCTGGTAGCCATGCTGTGCAAGATAGGGCTGGAATTTGGAGTAAAAGTACTTTTCCTGAACCTCTTGCAGGCAAATGACGTCGCCCTGTGATTCTGGTTAGGAGGATGTGGCCGATCGAGCACTCGGGTCAGTTGGCCAACCACAGGGCTGTTACGAAAGCATCGCCGGCTGTGCCAAAATAGCCGTGGTTCGGCGGATGGTGCTTACCCCGGAGCTCAAACAGCAGCCTCGGGGCTCGGTACGACCACTGGAGCAGCCAGTGGTTGTCAAATGTGTGGTCGTAGAGATGTCGGTGCTGGTATGCCAGGTTGTCGGCCAGAATATTGTAGGTGACGACCGTGATGGCCAAGGCTCGCTCTTGTTCGTCGCCGTCCGAGGCGCTGGAGGGCCGCTTGGCCGAGACCCACGAACGAGAAGCAAGCGGGAACGCCGTTTCAACAACAGCATAGCGAGGCGTGCCGGGGCCATGTGCGGACGATGGTCGGTGGGTCCTGAACGGACGTTTCGGTGGCGATGTGCGTGGGTGATGCTGGTCCTGTCGGCTCTGCGGATATCGACCAAGGGCAGCCAGCGAGCAAAACGGAAGCTGGAAGATTAGACTGGGCTGCAGGATGGCCCTGCTCCCTTTGGTCCAAAGCATCATGCTTGTCCGGGAGTGTGCGCCCCAGGGAAGCGACTGGAGTACGGCGTGCAGATCGAGAACAAGCCAGCGCTGGACAAGAAGCTTTGCCCGACTGAAGCTGCACCCCCAAGACGGATACCATTTGGATGGAGCTGTACAGAGGGACGGGCGAAGGCCTAATGATGCGGCTGCTCGGAAGGGCGATTGGAAGACAAGCGCCGGCCGAGTGCAGGACGAGACGCAATCGGCGGTGATCGGCATCCAAAGAAGCCACGAAGGCAAAGGCAAAGCCGGGCCGCGCTGACCAACCAGATTCAAAGGCGGCGCACCCGAAGGTCGCCCGTTCTCATCACCCACTGGTCTGTTTGCTGGTCGCTCTGCTCGTTTGCATCCGCCGATCGACCGACATTCCTCCAATGCCGCACACACAGCCCGAGCACAGCGACAACCATCGCAACGACGACGACGACGCCCCGCATGTGGTCGTCGAGAACCATGCCTCCCATCGGCAGCCGCAGGGCACCATTGCCTCGTCGGTCATCAACATCACCAACACCATTCTGGGCTCGGGGATGTTGGCGATGGTACTGCCTCGTTCTGGTTCGCTGATTTGGGCATGCCCATGCATGGTTCTGTCGGATGGCCCCGCATCTTAGAAACGAGGGGGTGGATGACGGACGACTCTGCTGTGTGCGGGTGGCTTCAGCTGACGGCAGCGATCGGCCTCCGCCTGCGCTGGCTTCGAGACCGCTGGCCTGCGTCGCCGTCACATCAAGCACGGGGCGTCTTGCCTTGGTCGTGCGATAGCTCGCTATCCAGCGTGAAGACCGTATGATGTCTAACATTCCACTTTTCTTTCTCTGCATTGTGTCGGCCCGGTCATCCGTCGTCAAAACCCAACGGGACACCCCTTCCGCTGTTCCGCTGGCCGACCTTACTCCAGCCCTCTGCAGTATCGAGGGTTGGCTTGCTGCTGGGTGTCCTGATCATCCTGTTCTCGGCATTTGCATCGGGCTTTGGGCTGCTGCTGCTCTCCATCTGTGCTGCCAAACTTGGCGGCCGCCAATCGTCGTTCTTCTCGATTGCATCGGTCACCTACCCTTCGGCTGCCATCTACTTTGACTTTGCCATTGCCATCAAATGCTTTGGTGTTTCCATTTCGTATCTCGTCATCACGGGCTCGCTGGTAAGGATGCTGGCTGATGACTTGGAAACCGGATAGGCGGGCACATGTGCAGCAGTGATTGTCCCATTGTTGGGTGGGGGCGGGGGGCGGTTGGGTCTGCTTGCCGAGCGACGGATCCGACTGCATCAATGAGCGGATATGCGTGGCCATATCCCCGGCGCTCGGCGAGAGCAGCAACTTTCGCCGTGGTATCCTCGCCGTTCCCTTGGACTAACCCTCCGGCCCATCGGCCTCGGATGCGCCGAACAATCCGCTGCCGCATTACCAGATGCCCAAGGTTGTGGATGGATTCTTCCCGCTCCTGGACTCGGCCTCGGCTTGGCGCACCAAGGAACTCTGGATTGTCATCGGCCTTTTGATTGTTACGCCCTTCTGCTTCGCCAAGAGACTGGACTCGCTGCGATACACATCGGCGCTAGCCCTGGGCGCCGTCGTATACCTGCTGTTCATCGTCATTTACTATGCCCTCAGCCCGTCGCCGGAGATGCCCCCCAAGATCCCGTGGGGTGACATTCGGTGGGCCAACCTGGACCTGTCCTTCTGGAAGACCCTTCCGATCTTTGTCTTTGCCTTCACCTGCCATCAAAATGTAAGCCCAGACCGGCTCCGAGTCCAAAACCATGAATCTTGCTGCCTTATAACGTCGATCGAGCTCGAACACCGAAACCAATGTCGTGGCGATGTCTCCAGACCGCCAATGTCTGATGCTCGGCCCGGGAGTCGCTAACGATGCATTTCGTCATCCTCTAGATCTTTGCTGTCTACAACGAGATTCGCGACAACACCATTGGCCGCATGTCCAAGGTGATTGTGGCCTCGATCGGCACATCCTTTACCGTTTACGAGCTTATCGGCGTCATCGGATACATTACCTTTGGCAACAACGTCTCGGACAATGTCATTAGCATGTGTACGTACCCGCTGCTCGCCAAGCGCACCTACCTTGCGAGTCCACGCTCGTGCTGCTTTGAGTGGAGGGAGTGGCAACAGCTAGTGTTAAGAGCGATGTCGGTATTCGGGGAGCCCTCCAAATGAAGCAAGCGGCTAATAGCCCGTTCCATGTTTTATCCCTGTCGCTCGGTGCCCTATTCGCGCGGTGCCCTATCTGCTCGGTGCTCGCTCGCCATTCATCGAAATCATCGGAACTCACCCCCTTATCGCTTGATGTCGACCTGATTCGATAGATCCTCCCGGAAACACCGTCACTGGCGGCCAGCTCGCCATTGCCATTCTGGTCCTGCTCAGCTACCCGCTTCAATGCCATCCCTGCCGCAACTCACTCGAAAAGGTTCTTTCTCACTATCAGAAGCGACGCCATGTCGAGCGCGAAGGCCAAGGCGCCATCGAACCCGAACATATTTCACCCCTGCTGCCAGCCGGCTCTGCCGAACAAGGAGCTAGCCCCCGGCGTCAATTTGAGATCGACGCCCGTCTGCTGACCGTTGGGATTATCATCTCGACCCTTGTCATTGCCTTGGTTGTCCACGATTTGTCTACGGTGAGGGCCTCTGTCGCTGAGTCTCGGGTTTCTTGGGCAAGGTTGTCGCCCAAACGATGGCACTGGACATTGCCTCACGAAGAGTTCATAACGATGTGTTCCATCGATCTGACCGTTGATTCGTCTTTGCACCCCGGCGTTAGGTCCTGGCCTTTGTTGGCGCAACTGGCTCCACTACCATTTGCTACATCCTGCCCGGGCTGTTCTACTACCGACTTCGCCAGGTCATGGACCGACCGGACGAAGCTACGAAATGGGACATTATGAAAGTCGGCGCGGTGGCCTTGGCGGGCTGGGGCATGTTTGTCATGGTCCTCAGTCTGTCTCTGCAAATCTCGGGTGCCGGTGGCGGCCACTAGATCCGCGATGTGACTCTGGTAAATTGGATCTGTTGTGCCAGCGCCCTCGATTTCGGCTCAAGGAAGCGTCCAGTGATGTTGGCTGTTGGAGAGTGAGATCACATGCTGTCTTGATGATGGGTCTTTACTCGCAATGCCAACTTTTGCCCTTTCGTCTGAATCGACACACAAGCGGACAAGCTTTGGTTGAATATCAGTAATCCTGGCCTAAGAACGAAGACGAGAGGAGTAGAGCACCTGGAAGCGGGGAATGGGATACGAGAGCCACTGGGTGAGCGGTTTGCATCCCCCCCCCCAAGAAACACGAAACAGGACAGCCATCCTCGAATACTTGATGCAGCACAGCGATACTGAGCACATAATGCAATAGCTCACTGATGCGGGGATCCAGTTTTCTCACGAGATAATGCACCCAAAGGAGCGGATATCCGAATGTGCAGAGTGCCGGTGTAGCTTGATGAAGCATGTGTCTGGAACATCGGATTGTGTGATCCAACAATGATGGTGGCAGTACAAGAGCAACAACGAGTCAAGCCATCAAACTATCGGACTGTGTGTGTGACCTCGATGGCCAGTGTTTGGTTTGCCAGTGTTTGGTTTGCTTCTCCGTATCTTCCCTCTCTGTCTCCTGTCCATCTCCATCACCCACTTGTCTCCGTCAGCATGGCCAGCATGAACGAGCTTGCATCGAACACGGAGTAACCTCACACTCACCAAACTCAAGCTGAAGCCAGAACAACCTCGTCGATGCCCGATATCACCCAGCTCTCGCTCGACCACATCCCAGACATCTTCACCATCGTCTGTTGCACTGCGACGACCCAGTCACCGTCGACCGATCCTGGCTCGTCGAACAAGCAGAGCAAGACAATACGGCATCGTACTTCCTGGCTTGGGTACTGCAATCCAAGAACGACCAAGACGCAGAAGAAGATGATGATGATGGTGACGACGATGAACCTGAAGAGACTACCAAGCGTCAGCAGATATTTCAGCATCTGGAGAATGCAGCCCACTCAGGTCATCAAATGACACGATTCCACCTCGCCCGGTGTTATCTCAACGGACTCGGACTCGATCAGGGCCACACCAAGGTCTTCGCGTTGTATCGAGAGCTTGCAGATCGTGGGACCCCTCAGGCGCAGGTTTCCCTCGGTCGATGCTACGAGAGCGGCAAAGGTGTCGAACAAGACTACAACGCAGCCATCGAATGGTATTCCAAGGCTGCAGATAAAGGCAGCGAATGTGGCCGACTCCACATCGCGCTCCTTCGTGGATGGTTCTCGTTGATCGGCCACGGTGTCGAACATAGCGAAGCTGATGCCTTCAACCACTGACAGGAAGTCAGCGACAAGTCCACCGACCCAGTCGTCAAGCCCATTGCGACTCACACGATCGGCTGGATGCACTACCTCGGCCGGGGCATCATCCAGTCCAATCCACCCGCGGCCCGCAAATTCTTCGATCTCTGCCAGTTGGGATTGGACCGAGACTGGCTGTGCTAGCACTTGATGGCCGTGTGCCTTTTCCACAGATTCGGCACCACAGAGGACCAGACAAAGGCAGCGGCCATCTTTAAACAGCTCGCCAACGAAGGTCGCAGCGACAGCCAGTTTTGGATCGGAATGTGCTACCACTTGAGCCTAGGAGTATCGGAGGACTACGAGAGGGCATTCGAGTGGTTCAGCAAGTCCGCTGAACAGGGCAATCGATACGGACAGAGAGAGCTCGGTGTCTGCTACGAAACTGGCGAAGGCGTGCCCGAGGATATCGACGCTGCTGTCTTCTGGTACCGCAAGTCCACGGATCAGGGTCTGGAAGCTGCCATCGGCAACCTCAAGGACCTCGGAAAATGGCCCTGATCCCGATGCTGCCTCAACTAAGCAACGGACAGTGGACGAGCTCAAGCTGCGATACCCTGAGTGGCAAGAAAGCGGCCACGAAAAGGTCGGACCGATCGATTAGCTCCTGGGCCTGACGAACATAGTTGGCTACTACGAGCTGGATGGCATGAGAATGTTCAACTGGCATGATCCAGATGCACATCTCCTGTGGCGAACACTTCGAAAGGTGTTCAAGACCCTGATCATCCCCAAGGCGAGGTAGAAACCCAGGCGATAGGCGTCACGCCGGTCAATACCAAACACGGGCCTTGTCGCCCATATACCTCGTTACGCCCTTTCCCTGGAAGCATGCACACTTTGAGCTTGCTCTTGTGCACCAGGGAGACATCAGCTTTTGATGCAGCCACGAGGTGATCACAGCCTGTACGTTCATGAGAGTTCTATTCCAGCTCGTGATGGGCATTCATTGTTTTTGTAACATCGTGGTGCCCTTGGATTGATTTGGGCGACAGCACTTCAACACAAACGAAGCTGAGCCGCTCTTGGAATACACGACTGAATGATCTACTTTGAGTCCGGGAGATACAATTTGTGCTCGTGGATATAGTCAACAACTCGATCTGGCAGCAGATACTTGATAGACATGCCGCGGCGGATGAACAGTCGAATCTTGGTTGAGTTGATGTCGTTGTGGATATACTGCTTGCAGACGATGACTTTTTTCTGCTCAGCAAAGCCTGGAGCGTGAGATGTCATGCTTTGTCCACTCTTAGGACACTTGACCCGCTGTTGCTTCACCACACACGCATTTCGGGCAAGGGTGTTGAGGCCGAGTTGCTGCAGCGGAAATGGCCGTCACTTACCCGGTGTTGATGCAGCGAATCGTTTGAGAGCAAAAAATCATGGACATCGGCGCCTGTTCGTTCGATAATGACACAGCCGTACTTGCCAAGAATGTGGTTGAGCTAGTTGGGGCCACACCATCGTGAGAGACAAATGTTGGCGCGGTATGTCGAAGGAATGGCCGCATATTTGACCGGGCAGTTGGTTCCAGGGATCGATGTCGACATCAGCACAGACGATGACAAAAGATCAGCAACGATTGCGAGCCCAATCCGCAGAGGGGAGCGTGCCAGCCAAATGAATGGAATGGAGATACACGATCGGGAACCACGGTTGGGCACACTTGGCCACTCAAGAAACTCGAGGACCAAGTCGCAAGGACAGCGGCCTAGCAACCACCCATCGACACAAATGCTTCCAGTGCAGTGCCAGAATCATGCTGCTTACATCAGCGGTCGCCCACAGATTGGGAACGGCAAATGACTGGATGAGATCGCCGCCAGCGAGAAGCATAACACGGATTTCCGTCCTTGAGCCTGTCGGGTTGGACGACGGAAAAAAGGACGATCGTCAGAGCCTGCTTCATTAGCTGGACTACATGGATCGCACCGCCATCCAGGCGAGCGGGATCGTGGGTCCAGGGGGCAGCGACAGTTACCATCAGGGAGGAGAATGCCGCGACCGCCCGATGGCGAGTCTGGACCGTTCAGCTGCTCGTGGAAATGATCGAGGACCGTCGCGGTGCGCTGGTAGCTCGACTGCTTGGGCTCCCAGGTGTCGACCATGATCCACGAACTTGTCTCGACGGCACGCTGGCACATTTCTATTCGGTGCGAGGCTGGGGCCAGGCCGGGCTTGGAGTACATGTCGCTGACGGGCGAAAAGTAGCCTCCCAGCACCTCATAGACACCTTGATCTCGAAGAGCGTCGTATGCAATCTCTGCGGTCGAACCGATGGAGGCACGATGATGAGTGCATGTGTCGCAGTGTCGCCAGCGGATGGGCATCGCATCCCGATAGCAGGACGCAGCGATGCGAGCCAAAGCGGCAAGGCGAGGCGAGGCAGGCGAGGCGAGGCAGGCGACGATTACCAAACATCCTCAAATGGAGGTAGGTGACTGGTGAGTAGGAGCCACACGCCACGACCACCAGGGGAATCTTTGAGGGATCTGGAGCAGTTCGTGGCGACACGATGGATTGATTCGGGAGACACGTATCGAATCGCCAAGGACACAGGGGAGCGATGCGGTTGATCGATGCAGTTCGTTGATACCGGATGGGCGAAGCAGCAGCCACAACAGCCAGAATCAGAATCAGAACCAGGACCGGAATCAGAACCAGGATGGGAATCAAACCAGAATCAGGACCAGAATCAGGACCAGAATCAGGACAGAATCAGGACCTCAACGCCCCCAGCGATGTAACGCAGGACTGGTGCGGAGGGCCTGGCATCCACATGGAAGAACGAGTGCAGCGGCAGCGAAGCGCATATGGATGGCCCAGTCGCAGCTTTCGATGCCGCTGCTCTGGAGCCGCGCCCCAGGCAAGGCCGGGGACAGCGAGCGATGCACACCTTGCAGCGTTCGGAGCTTGGACCTGGGGAACTCATAGCCCTCGGGGTCGGTGGCAATCAGGGAGCTGGTCGACATTGCAGCGGCGGGGCGGAGGAGCGACGATGGGGAGAGAGCCGAGACAGGACGACGCCCTTGGGGATCTGCAGGCCAGAGGGCTTTGCAAGCCATTGATTGCGCAAAGGCGATACGGCCGATAGGTCGGCTGGGCGGCCGCGCGCGATTGGCTGCGTCCCCGTGCGACCATCGCACACTCGGCCGTGCTGCGCACTGCGCCGGGTGCTCGCTCTGCGCCCGCCGAAGCAACCCGCTGCAGCAGCTCTCTGCGGCAGCACGACGAAAGCCGATTGACATGGTGGATGTGCTGCTTAGATTCAGATCCAGATGGCTTGCAGGCGCAAAGGGCATCCCGGTTCATGGCGTGGACATTCTATCGCTTCTTGCATCCGAGCGAGCCCGCCCACTCCTCGGTCCGGAACAGATAGCTCGCCTTGCCTCTCACTGCCGGCCGCGGCTTGCTTGGGGTGTAAATGTCCAGGGGCACGACAAGCGGCTGGTCTCGGAGCTGCCGGAGGTGCTGCACCTGAGCCTGTAGATTCTCGAGCTGCGTGAGACCGAATTCATACAGGAACCCGCTTGTTTCGGCCGGGCTGGCCATTTCCGTTCCAATCGCATCTTCTGGGACGATGGCTGGGGCGACTTTGCCCTTCCGGAACTCGTGCCGCACCCGTTTTTTGACCAGATCACGGCGCTCTGCTGTGGGTAGCTGTTTGGCCGACTTTTTGAATCCATCAAGCGCAGAGAGGATCAGCTGGCGTCAAGCAGATGCCTTGGACGGTGTGCATGGTGCCGAGACATGACAGCGGTTGCTCTCGGGGCAAACCTTGAGAAACTGTCGGTAGAGCGACAGCACTTGCACTCTCGTGGGGGCTTGCATGAAGGACAGCGTCTGCGACTCTGATTTGGGGAGCTGGTCGAGTGGATCAAAGGCGATCCGGTCAGCGGCGATCCGATCGCGATGACTGGCGAGAATCGCTTGTGTTGATCAAGACCAAGATGGTCGCGCTCGACGAAAGCGACGGGTGGGACTCGGAGCAGGGCAACTCGCTGCGTTCTGTATTTGACTTCATGTGCCCTGACCCACATCCGTCGACTCGCCTCCCATGGACGCATATGCATCTATTCGCTTCCGCTCTGCTGGGGTACAGCTGTTTCGCTGGGCCCACGCTGGCCGTCGAGTCTCGATTTCGCTGGTCTCGAACACCACTCGGGCCCATATCGCTGCATCAGCGTATCGGCAATGATGCCAATGGCAATGATGCTGCCCAGCCGCGCATTTGCCCTGAATTTCCGGGCGGCATCCTCGACCGAGGCCGTTTTCAGCGTTGTGATCTGCCACAGGAAATGGGCACCGGCTCCTCCTACCGAGACGAGATAGTAGAGCGGGCCCTGGTCGTTGGCGTAGCCGCTGATGCAGAGCAGCGACAGAGTGCCGGCGGCAAAAGCCGAGAGCCACGAGATGATGTTGCGGCCGAACCGAATCGCCGTCGATTTGACCCCGACCTTGACGTCGTCCTTGATATCTTGCAGCGCGTAGATGGTATCGTAGACCAGCGTCCAGCAAATGCCAGCGGCATACAGCGGCAGCGTCACCGCCCAGTTCGAGCTGCCGAGCATGGCCGCCCAACCCAACAGGGCGCCCCAGTTGAATGCTATGCCTGTCGAGACAAGATGCCATAACGTCCTGGTCAGCTGTGGTTGCATTCGATGCATGGGGATCTGGACAGGTTGCTGCTCGCTTTGGACACTCGTCCAGCGAGCGAGTGTGAGACTGGACTGCCTACCAAGGACGGCCTGAGGCCAGTACGTCACTCGTTTCATGAACGGATAGATTATGACCGGACAGAGCGATAGCGCCCCCAGACCAATGCTGATCGAGACAATGTCCATCACAACGTCGGCAGCGCCAGTGGCACCGGCAGGGGTTAGAGACAGCCATACTCACGCATACTTGCCATGACAGGGGCCGCACTCACCTGTACCAATTCAGTTGTGTGAGCACCGCCAGACCCGTCGACAGCTGGCATCCCAGGAAGGTCAGGGCCTGGAACATGGACACCTGTCCACTGGCGATCGGCCGGACCTTGGTCCGCTCCACGAGCTTGTCGATCTTGCGATCCCACATGTCGTTGATCGTGCACCCTGCTCCGCGCATCACAAAGGCGCCGACAGAGAACAGCGACATCATGTATGCCATCTCGCCCATCGAGATCGCAGGTGTCGCATAGGTGGCCATGGCGATCGACCAAAAGCACGGCAGAAGCAGCAGATATGTTCCCGCAGGCTTGTCGACCCGGGCCAAGAAGAGATATGGATGAGTCCACTGCGGAAACCAGCGAAAACTGGATGGGATCGGAACAGGGGCGGGAACAGGGGCGGGGCCAGGGTGCGAGCCGGTCGAAGCGGACGATGACTGAGTGGCATCGGCCGGCTGGTGGCCCGAGGCGGCATGCCGAGCAAGGTGCCTGCCCAGCGACTCGTTACGTCTGCATCCAAGAGACGTCGAGCGGATCTGGGGGCCGAGAAGCGAGCCAAATGATGCCGCGGACGATGGTATTGAAGAGATGCCGATGTTGATTGACCGAGCGAGCCCAGCGGCCACAGGTCTCGAACGCAGCGGCGATGCGAGCGCAGGCCGCACGGCGGACGTGACCCTGAGCAGCGAGATCCCGGACATTTCGTCTGTCGATATCGATACTGATGTCGGTGTCGGTGTCGATGCCGATGCCGGTGCCGGTGCCGGTGCCGGTGCCAGTGTCGATACTGGTGCCGATGTTGGTGCAAGCGCAAGCGCCGCCAGCCAGAGAATCGCCCTGTCCAGCAAGCCGCGGGCATGGTTCGGTCACGTGTGCACGGCGCTTTTTTTCTCCCGCTTGGGCAGCGAAAAATGCAAACCAGCGCAGAGGCGATCGAGCAGATCGTTCCTGATCAAAGCGACTGCCTGCGACCGACCTTTGCACCGGGGCTGCTGCTGCTGCAGATTCGCTGCCCAGCAACCGACGCCAAAGCCAACACCGCTTGCCTGCCTTGCCGAGGACATCGACAACCGCGAGCAACTCCTCGTCTCCATCAGCACAGACACATCTCCATGTTCACAAAGCTTGCCCGCCTCAGTGCCCTCAGCTGGATCGCCCCACAGCGGGCGCTCATGGCCCGGCCCACAGTCCAACTCATGAGCTCGACAGCAGCCTGCCGGGAGGGCGCTCGCCTTGGCCTTCCCGTCCTCACGCCTGCCCCGACACCGGCCTTCCCCATCTCGGACGGCACCGGCCCAACCCCGTCGCTCAAGTGGACACCCGAGTCAAAGCGGGTGGGACTCATCGGGCTGAAGCGAGGCATGACCACCATCTGGGACGAGTGGGGTGTGCAGACCCCCGTGACCATCATTCAGGTAATGGCACTCTCTACCGGACGATCTTGAGGCGCAAATGTCGATTCATATCGCCTAGTCGTCACCGAGTCGTCGCCATGAGGCAGCGATTGGCCAAGGCGACGACCAGGCGAAACCATGCACCGCACGGTGTAGCAGCGTTGGGCCCTCGCTTCCACCTCCCAGCCACGAACCAAGTCGTGCAGTTGATGAGGGCCGATCAAGCCCGAATCCATGTCAGCAGTATCACACCCACATCATCGCCAAATCGACACACATCTGCACCAAATCGACACACATCATCGCAAAATCGACACCACATCTGCACCAAAGCAGCAACTGGGTCCCGCTACCTGAGCAACGTGGACTCGGACGCCCACTCGGATGGTGCTCATTTCATCGGCACTAACGCGCTGTCTATCCCTCCAGATCGTCGACAACCAGGTGATCGACTCGCGCTTCAACAGCAAGTGCGGCTCGTGGATGGTCACCATCGGGGCCGTCGACGAGCCCGACCATAAGGTCATCGCAAAGTCGGTTCTGTATCACTACCGCAAGTACGGCATCAGCCCCAAGAAGGTGCTGCGCGAGTTCCGCGTCTCTCCCGATGCTTGCTTGCCATCAGGTCAGTTGCAATACGAACGAGTATGTGCCCTCGATCGAGCAAGCGGTACAGCAGATCCGCGATCTGTTGGCAGCAGCCTTTGACTGTGTGTCTGACTGGTATCTTGAAATCGCTTTGATGCCGGCGTCGGTTCTGTTGATCGGGTCCACACTATCGGCTGTGGCACGGCCTTGAATCCGCCTGGCCGCCAGGTCTGAAGCTGCATGCCAGCCACTTTTTGCCGGGGCAGTATGTCGACTGCAAGGGCAACTCGTGAGTAGAGCTCCATACCATACCATGCCTCAGTCTCGCACTCGCTCTCGTCAGGCCGCGCGAGGTGGCGGACATGATGTGCCTGCTTCCTCACACTATCGCAATCTGTGGCATCAATTCGCAGCATCGGAAAGGGCTTCCAGGGCGGTATGAAGCGCCACGGATACAGCGGTCTCCGTGCATCGCACGGTACCTCCATCTCCCACCGTTCGATCGGCTCCACGGGTAACCGCCACGTAAGTTTACTGACCATCTAGGCAGCGACACGGGGCAGCACAACGGTCGCTGGAGACAAATGCCTGTCCTTTGGCTGACTCTATGCGGACAATATCCCTCGCCTTGCGATCCACAGGACCCCGGCAGAGTCTTCCCAGGCAAGAAAATGCCGGGCCGAATGGGAGGTACCAGCGTGACGGTTCAGAATCTGAAGGTACGCATGTGCACTGCCGTTCAGGCCGCTATCGGAGGCCCTCCATATCCCCCGCGATTCAGTCGCACCATTCCTGTTAGCCCCCTTTCTAGATCGCCTGTCTGTCCCTGCGCAGAGCTGTTTGTCCCCGCGACTCACCTTCCCTTATGATCTATCTGCAGATTATGAAAATCGATGCCCACAACAATCTGCTGTACATCAAGGGCGCCATCCCTGGCTTCGACGATGCATACATCCGAGTCCGGGATGCCGTCAAGGCCGGATATCGTGGCAAGGTGTTCCCCAAGGACACCAGCGTTCCCTTCCCGACCTTCATGGAGAACCCCCAGACCCTGCCACGAGAGCTGCTCCCGTCGCCGCCTGAAAAGGGAGCCTTCGATCCCATGACCCGACCCAAGCGAGAGAGAATCATCTAAACGCAAGATAGTTTGTTGGTGGAGGGGCAGGCGCGGAGCCCTCCGCGCTTCTGCACCCATCACACTGCGCCCTGTCTGCAATCTCGAGCTTGCGGTGGATGTAAACCCAGCGATGGTTTAGGCGCGGACACATGCTGCATGATGAAGGATCCTGGATGTGCCACGACGGATGTGGGAACTGGAGCGAGCCTTCCTGAGAGCGCATCATTTTTGTTGGCACAATACACTTCACGGCCGCTCTCGGCATATGACCTTGAGTTGTGGCAGTTTGGGACAGCTGTGTTTGAGACAATGGGATGAGCATATATGCATTGTATTTGACATTCAGAAAGAAAGCGGCCAGAGCTCTCCGACGATGCGGTGTGTCCGTGGATGCTGAAACACACTGCATTGACAGAGATCACGGCTGCACACAAAGATATGGATAGCCAGCAATGACTGTCGCAAAATACTTGGACAGGTCGTTTCCGAGGCGAAAGAGTGCACCATGCAATCGAGCAAAGTGTCGCGGCAGAAGCGACGTGGGGTTTAGGGCACCGAGAACATGAACGGCCTCCTGGCGCAAGCACAATGAGGGCAGCACCGTCAAGAACAGAGAGCATGCAGTGGGTGGTAGATTTAGAGAGCTGATCGGAGCTGTCGCTCGGTAGCAGGAGGCGCAAGTCGCTTAGAGGTTGCCGACGTGCCCACAGCTTTCGCAAGTGTAGTGCTTGCCCGAGGCGGCTGGTCGCTGGTGCTCGACATGGTGGAGGGCAGTTCGCACAGACTCAGATCCGTGGTTCTCGATCTCGCGGGCGAGCGCTGGGTAGCTGCAGGGTGGAATACAAAGGTAGAGTTGATGAGGAACGGGAAAGATGCGTCCACTATGATTTCGAACTATGCAGCGACTACATGTGCGTGCTGACGACGCGGGAGAGCAGGGGCGATCAAGTCCCTGTCTTCGGATACGTACCAGTCGATGGCCCGATCGGCAATGGTAGACTCGAGGAAGATCTGCTGCTCCTCTTTGGAGACCTTGCTGGGGATCGGGGCGTCGTTGCGGGACTGCCGGAACTGCTGGGGGTGGAGATCGTCGACGGCTCTGGCGGACATGGTTGATGAGAGGCTTGGAGGGGGTTGCTTGTGAGGCTTGGAGGGGGAAGAGCTGCTGTTGTGGTGGAAGGAGCTTGGGTGTGCAGCGCCGGCCCAAGACAGCGGCCGTGATTTATAGCCCCGGCGGCATCCAGCAGCATCGACAAACACCCAGCCGCGCCGAACGACATGCAGCGACGCAAACGGTGTCCAACGACATGCACAATGGCCACCCGCTGCTGTCAAGACGCGTCAGCATGACTCGGCGGCCGGCCACTCCGCGGGCAGCCACAGACCACGCGCCCCCGCGGCGATTGGCTGCCGGAAAGGAGCGGGATGTGGAGGCGGCTGGCCGGGTGAGCACCTGTCCAAGCGACGGGATGGCCGGGCAGTTGCGGAGGGATGTTGGGGAGAGCAGCAGGCGGATGAAAGTTCCTCGGCCATGGTGTCAGGGTGGCGGCTGATTGCGATGTGCAGGGGAATATCGACCAGCCCCCGAAAGCTGCTCCCAGAAGCTGTTGGCGCAAACCATATCAGCTCGCCCCGGTTTTGATCTGGGTTCCTATCGACGAGAAGCAAGCGCTGCCTCAATCGCGCAGCGTGGGAAAGCGGACCCTGCTGACGTCGTCAATAGCGTCATTGGGCGAGCAAAGGACTTGCGACATTCATTCAGCCGGAATCAGGAGTAGCTGACGACCTCCAGGAGTGATCATATGGTTGCCCGCAGTGCAGACTGATCGACCTGATGCTGGATCCCGCTCACTCGAGCCGGCCTCTTAAATACATTCACCTCCCCCCATCGGCTGAGTGACTGGATCTCATCTACCTCCGCTTCTCTAATACAAGCCTGTCTTCGCATAGTCATCAATGTCCATCGCTATTGCTCCACCCAGGCTGACCTTCAACCTGTCGAGAGGGCTTTGGGTGATGCCCGTGCTCGTCGCTGTCGCATGCGGAGCATACTTGCCTCTGCCTTCGTCGAGCGGAATGCGTCTCGGCTGGGAAACCAGCACAGGGAGTGAGGATGGCAGCACTCCCGTCCCGCCAAACAACCCAGTTGAGTTTCCAAACACCATGGGCACATGGGGTCATCCGTTTATCCAAGCAAACGGAGGTATGTTCCTCTCCACGGCAGCTCGCGCCGACCTGTGGCCATGAATGTCCTGGATGCCGTTCACAGAGCAAGCAGGTATTGGACAATAATCAATTCAACCCCCTCGACCTCACAGGCGATCCGACAGTAGGCAATTCCACAGCAAGCGGCGCTGTGGATCAGCAAGCCATTGGCACCGTCATTGGATTGATCCTGGCCCTGCTGCTGACCCTTGTTGTGACCTACTTCAAGTGTGTTGTTTTTGTCAACCAGAGCGGGCCCGAGTGTGAATTCGAAGCATCCCCAACGCCCATGGGTCTTGCGGACTCCAAGGCTCAAACAGCCTCGCGCGAGCCGCTGATGGCCAGCGACGGCCAGCTCAATGCGAGCGGCAGCGTATTCGAGACAACCATTGGATCGTCCGGGTTCGTGCCAAAGTACCAGATTACATCCGACGACGAGCACGATCCTTTCGAGAAGGAATAGTCGGGTCTTGGCGAGACAGACGAGAAGTGGCACTGCCGCTTGCGCCAGCCCAGCAGATCGTTAGCTCGTGCTAGGTTCCCTGGTCGATACCTGACTGGCTCGCTGCCAATGGCAGCGTTTCCATCGACGTTCATAGCGCCGGATAGATGCTTGTGTTTCTCGATGAAAAAGGGGATGCGCAAGGAACTGTCCCAGCCCACCGTGCCTGGTGGTATACAACCACATGCCGCTTCGTATGACCCAATAGACCCCCTTTCTCTCAGCCCGCGCATTCTCCACCATCCCATGACAGTTGCAAGCGCGGCGGGCGGGTCTTGGGCCACCATTCTCCAACGGTCGCACACGCCAATTATGGTTACATGGCGTCACGTGGGGCTCCTATCCTCCGACCATCCCAGAGTTGCCTGGGCCAGTCTTGAGAAATCCTCTGCTTCTCGAGCGCAACCGGCTTGTGGGTTTGCCCGGTGCGGTCAATTGCAAGATCCTCGGTTGTGTCTGTCCTTTGCCCCGCCCCAGTCGACTTCAGCACACGAGCACCAATCTTGCGCCAGCTCGTGTTCGTCGACTCTGCTGCCGCCAAAGTCTATGATCCATCTGCGATCGCAGCATCCAGCCACGTCCTCTTAATTGGAATCGAATCGCCGCTCGGCCATGGAAGCTGCTGTCCGCCCGTCATCGATGGCGGCATGGGCCTCTGGCATTCGATTTGGAAGAGCAATGGACCACTCCACTGCCCTGATGGGGAGGGAGCTCTTCGGCTCTCGCCACGGCCATCGCATCGACTGTAGGCATCCGCTGTCGATATGCCGAGCCTCAATACGCCCCAGACACGGACGATTCGTTTCCGGATATCGGGTGCATGGCACGTCTTCCTGACTTGATATTGCTTAGTCTCGCTCAGGTCGTACATCAAGCGCTTTGTGAGCCGGGAACAAGACATTTACCAGATCATCATGACCCAGCCACAACCCCTCCCAGTCTTTGCGTCGGACTACTGCCACCGTGAGTATCGCATCTGCTGGAAGACAGCCCCATGGCGCAGTTAAACTGTCGCTTTGTTGTTCCACGCCATCCCTCTCATGCATTCCGTGCGACACTGGTGAGCGTTGCAGCGTCTATCTCACTCGGTCTGTTTTACCAATGGCAGTCGCCAACAACGGCAACTATATTGCTCTTGCCGGCGAAGAAGGGACGATCGCCATCATCGACACCTCAAAAGACAACCAGTGGGAGCTAGGTAGCAATCGGAGTAGCAGCGCAGCAGTAACAGCACCGGTCCCACGAGCAGTGCAGCCGCATAAAGGCACCGATCGATTTCGTCAATATCCACGGTCGCTCATGCTGCCTAGTACTGACTCGGACACCGGCTGCTGTTTGGGCACTCAGTCAACGGACGCGCACAGTGGTCCGCCCACGACAACTCGATATTTGAGCTCAAGTGGTCTCCGAACGACCATCTGATCGTAGGTCTCGGTTGGAGGGCCGTTTGGTTGATGATCGACGATATCAACTGGGTTCGCACTCGCACATGGGCTAACCAAAACCCTTGTTACTCCGCCCACCAAAGGCGTCTGTCTGCGGCGACCAGACTACCAAGATCTGGGACGTTGAAACCCAAACCGAGATATGTTCCCTCATCGGGCACGAGTTCAGTGTCAAATCTGTATCGTTCAATCCGCGCAATCCAGGTGGGTGTTCGTGGCTGGCAATCGCATCAGTGGCAGCCCGATGGACGGTAAACCCCTGTCGTTCACAGCAAGCTGGATCTTGGGAACTCTTGACAGCGATGCTAACTCCTTTGTGCAGACGTCCTCGTGACTGCCTCCAGAGACGGCTCAGTCATGGTGTGGGACCTGCGCTGTGCGCCAATGCTCCCTCCTGACGACGCGGATTCGACTCTGGTACCAGGTTTGTATCAGTCCTGCACTAAAATGCATTGCGGTTGGTCGGGGTCGGTCGTGCCACATGCTCATCGCAGCGTTGGTTGAGCGTGTTGCTGACCTGCACCACTCAACCATGTACAACCATCACCATTCAGCGCGGCGGCACCGTCCTGTTGATGTCATTGCCAATGCCCATAGCACCGAGTACCACAACTCCAAGTCGCTCAAGCGCCGGCGAGCCATGTCGCCTGGACCAGCCCCGAAGGTGTGGCCCCACAGACCAGCTATTTACTCGCCCACGACGAGGCTTTTGTCGCCAACCAGCGACCCAGCTTTGCCTGACAGCAGCTGGCTCTCGCTGTGAGAACTCTCGGACACAATCGCCGCGGCTTCCATCTACTCTATTGCTTCGTAGTCACGGACACGATCGTCTGACGCCCTCTCGTCCTTCACATCACCATGTTGCATCGCCATACTGCATCCCAGACGCAGTCCATCAGTGTCACCTCTGTGGTGTTCCTGCCCCATACATTCAATACGGTTGCTTCGGCTGGTGCCGCTGACGGGTAGGATACAGTGATCTGGAAACAAAGCCGGGTGGACGACCGTTTTGGGTTAACGTTTATCATCCGCTTGCGACATCGACTGTCTTGGTCTATGTGCTCTCTGTCTCGCATTTGCGCCAACGCGCACACGAATTGATCCTCCAGGACAATCAAATTGTGGGATCTCCGCCACCATGGATACTTTTCCAAAAGTCGCCAGCCTGTCCCGACAGCCGTCTCAAAGCCCTCCGTCGACACTCGACGACAACACGGCAAGTGCATCAGCCACAAACCCTCAGGCACTTGATATTGCATTGCCGCCGCAACGCGGGCGCGAATACACAAGTGTGCATGCTCACGCTGAGAGTGAGGTGGATCCCTTTCGCAGATCTGACCGTGGATGCGACACTTTCTCTTTCGCTTGCTTGATAACAGGATTTTCTTCGCTCTCCATCCATCCTGACGGACACAAGCTGTTTGCTGCCTGCACAGACCACCGGTATGCGAGCCGAACCATGCAAGAGCACCAGAATGCATCGAAATCTCTTAGAGCTCTCTGTCCGACGCCATTCAGCATTGCTTCTCTGAGCCAGCGCGAGTTGTCATCAAAGACATCGGATGCGCGTGTCGAGTTGTTGCTGACGAAAACGTGCCTTGCGCTCCATGCAGCGTATACGAATTCAGTGCGTACACACTGGGTGAGCCGCTGTTTGCATATTCGGCCAAAACCCTCAAGACATCGTCGTTCTATGTCAAGACTACGGTCTCGCCCGACGGCCGGTTCGTGGCCTCGGGTTCGATGGACGGCGGCGTGCACATCTGGGAGCTCGGCAGGCGGGAATGCGCTCCGATCGTTCTGCGAGGACACGAGAAAGAAGTGACATCCGTCAGCTGGTCCAAGAGAACCCTTGATCAGGTGGGTACATGTTGCTGTGTTTGGTGAGGAGCGCGAGGGTACGGGTTGCAGTCTCTTTTCTGCCACGAATCGACAGCTCATCACGATTGCCAATATTCTCTCCCCCCCCTTCCTTTCCTCACATTCACGTGCATTCAAACGTATCGAACTATCCAGCTTGTGTCCTGCTCAGATGATTCGACGGCTCGAGTATGGAGCATCGCAAGCATGAACTCGAGGGACGCTGACCACGATCTCGAACGAAAGCACTTGATTGGGTATACCCAGGAAGGCGAGCTGTCAGGCATGGCCGACCTTGGCCGGCCCCTTTCGCCGCTGACGTCCTGGTCTCGTCGACCGCTTGACGAACTACCACGCGATCGACTCAACCAGCAGCAGCCGCATGAACCTGGCTCAGTGAATGCATCTGCAGACTCTAGAACGTCGAGAAACTCGACTATCGATCGCCAGAGCAACGACGAAAACCTTGCTCCACTCACGACAAACAGCGGGGACCAGCCGCGAATGGCTTCGCCAAGGCAATCATCTGCGTCAACAACCTGGGCGGCTTCGGCGAGATCCCCTCGCTCCCCGCGTGCTTCCAACAGCAGCAGCAGCAGCCAGGCTCCGAGCACGCCGACCCGGCGAGGCCGGTCGCTCACAAGCACAGACGAAAACAGCCGGCATGACCAGACCCTGATGTCACCCACGACAAAGCGACGGACATTGCTGGACTATTTCTCGAGCCCACCTCGGCCCAGCGGCTAACCCGCATCTCATCATCAGGGTGTTACTGTCTGTGGCTGTGGTCACACATCTTCACCGAGGACAGTGGCTTTAAAACGACTGCGCTCCTGCTGAAGGGTCCATGAATGCTGTGTCAACCACACCTTGTCAATGCAAACACTGCTTCCAGTAATCCCCATCTCAACCAGTCTTTCAACACTGCGCGCTCGTCTCGCGATCCCAGACGATGGCTCGATCGCGATGGACCCACCATTCACAGCAAGGTCCATCAAGCCTCCCTACAGTCAGCAGCTAGCTTGCCGGAATATGCAACTACCTCTACTCCGCTCTCCTATCTCTGAAGCACGAGTTCTGTCTCGCGGACGTCGGTTGCATCTCTGGGCTGATTGTCGACATATGGCTGCCAGCCTCTTGGTCGGCAGCATCTTGGTCGCTCGGGTCACAAACATCCCGCAAATCCCAGGGTGGTCCAAACCAATGGTATTCGATACCCTGCTGTCACTCTCTAAGCAACACTTGTCGATTTTGTATTGAGGCCACATGTATCAAATTACAAGCGTGCCCTCATACCGACATCACATCGCCACCATATCCTGCACCTCGTCTGCTCTGTTGATGCACCAATACTTTGATCACCATCCCGCAGGCCTGGGTGCCTTGGGTAGCGGAGGCAATCGCTGGAGCGCTTGCTCCAGGTCGATTCGAAGGCGCTTGCGTCGTGGGTTGTCGACCGGATTGGGAAAGTTGGCCATGAGCGGGCGCTTCATGCTGGGCACCAGATCTGGCACAAAGGCGTCGGCAGCTGGCGACATCAGGGCCCGTCGCTCCCGCTGATGCACACGGGTGTAATCCCTGGTCGGAGAGGCCGAGCGTGTGCCTCTCGAGCTCCAGCCCCAACGCACCGGCGACGGCGATCGGTTGGATCGTTGTGTCCACGACGGCGATGGGGACGGGTTTAGGCGAGATCGGGATCGGTTGGAACGGGAGGGCGATGGGTTGGAGCGGAATGGCGATGATATAGACCGCGATGGCGATGCTGCACAAGAGCCATTTGCGCATCGCGGCCCCCTTGATGGAGAATGCTGTTGCCAGCGCAGTGCCGGATGAAGGCGAGAGTCAGTGTGCGAGACCAGCAGAGAGATACGCCGGCTTTGGGCTCAGAACCGAGGGCTGCGATCCCACCCTTTCCCACGCGAGACACAACCCACCCGCATCGGCGCGATGCTCTTCTTTGGTGGTGAGCCGTACTCGGCCTTGATGCGCTCAATGTAGCGCTGGACCTTGGCGGCCTGGGTCTGGAATCGGAACTCTTGTGTCTTTTGGCGAGAGCGCTCCTGCTCCAGTTCTACAGCGATCTCAGCAACATCAGCATTGATATCAAGTGACGCGTGGCAGGCCGACGCATGGCGTCCTGGCTCCGACTGCTCAATGGCCTCCTCTATCGTTCGCCAATGTGATGGATGTGTCTTTTCTTGTTGCAGCCGCGGATGAATGATCGTGGAGAACGGAGTGGTGGTCGCAGAGAACAGACTGGTGGTCGCAGAGAAGGAAAGACATTGGGGAACGACTCACCCTTTTGCATCTGCAGACGCCGCTCAATATTCCTCGGGGCTCCAGAAGGCCGAGCATGCTGCCGGGAATCGGCGCGGTGGGGTGCTGCCGAATACATGATGCTGTCGGGTGGATGCGGTGGTCCTTCAGCCGACCCTTCTCGGCGGCGCTCATCTAGATGGCGGACGACAAAGGCCGGCGGATGCTGGGTTTGGCGATGGGTCCTAAATTGCTTGCTTGGCTTGTTCGACATTATTGATCGTCGTCCAGGTCGGATGTGGGAGCAGCCCGGGCACGGCGAAGGCGAGGAACGACTCACCATCTACCTGACTTGCGCGCGCTGAGAAGGAGCGGCCCGGTGCCGACTTGCTGGTCAGTCATCAGTCGGCCCCGGCTGAGCACTCCTGGGACATAAGGCAGTCGATCCATGCGACTGGCGATGAGGCATGAGGCATACAGATACTGCCTGTTGTATCGACAGCACGCATCGTCACTCGATCTCTAACAGCGAATCGGGACATCCCGCATCTGCAACGTCCGTTTGCCGTTCTTGATGCTGAATCGAAACACTGTATTTGCACAGATACTGAATGTACACAAAGAAAGGTGCCTCCATAAGATCAGGACACAGATGAGGGCCGAGAAACGTGCAGTGATGATAAGAACTCAAAATGCGAATGAGGATGAAGGAATGTATGGGTCGGCTGCCCACAAGCAACAGCGGGAAGCCCGCATTTACAGCACACCCTTCCACAAAATCAGGGTGCCTATCAACTGTATGGCGGAGGAGAATGGTTGTTCTGCAGAGTGCTGGAGTAGGGAAACCAGCTGCCCACAACTCTGCTACCACCAGAATCTATCTAAGCGACGCTCTTGAGGGCGTCGGCAAAGGTGATATCGTCCGACGAGCCCACAGTGGCATCGAGCGACGGTGCCGGCTCCGGGGATGGATGGGTGTTTCGGCCAAACAGACCTTTGTTGCTGCTGAGGGATGGATGCTCGGCGTCGGAACTCTTGAGGTTGGAAAAGAACTCGATATAGAAGAAGGCCGTGGAGTTGAAGGCGCCGAGAAGAGGTCCAAAGAACTGGTGTGGGAATGATTCAGCGGATGAGTACCAGGCCGAGCACGAAGCCGAGCACGAAGACGAGCACGGACATGACAGGAGCAGAGAAGAGTAGCAGCACATGCACTTACTGCCAGCAGACACGTTAGCATGAAGTTTGGGTCGTTGGGGCTGATCATGTTCTGGATCCGAGCCGCCGTCACCGGGATAAAGACGACGACCACGCCAGCCATGTAGAGCAGAGTCCTGATGGCATAGCGCACCAGGGGAGGATCGACGATGGCATGTCGCTTGCGGTTGTGGATGTTGCTGGCGTTGATGAGCTTCGAGATCCTAGAGGACTTGTGGATGACCCAGCCCACGCGGGCATACAGAAGCACATTGACCAGGAACAGAAGCCACAGCGGACCAAAGAAGAAAATCATGCGGTAGAGGCCAAAGTCCGAGTTGATCCAGCACCATGTGGTTGCAAGCTGCAGAGAGTCGCCGAATGAGCATGTGTAGCAGGCCGAGGTCCAGAGAGGCGTGCATATGGGATTCGCAGTGCAGGGCAATATGAGCTGAACATTTGGCCAGGCATGCAGCACTGCTGCAGCATGATCCGACACATACCCCCATGATAGGTTCATTCAGACCAAACGTCGGCAAGAAGTTGATGCAGGCGACCACAACAAGCGGGAGTCCCAAAGAAACGCACATATCTGCCGAGCAACGATGCGAGACAGTGAGTATGGGCCTCGTAAGGAATGCCCAATGAACGACTCGCAAGGTGATTCTATGGAGCTGATATCGAGCAAAGGCAGTGGGCGAGGCACATCGGCCAAGCTGCGGCGTGCAGGACGGCCTAGCCCGATACTCACAATAGACCATATTTCCCTCGGTCTTGGCCAGCGAGAACCGGAGGGCGATCACGGAGAAGCACTGATAGGCGAGGCATGTGGACCACAGAAGGCCCGAGAGCAGGACGTACTGCAGGATGGTGCCGAACACCAAGCAGCCGTGCGGCACATCAGCCATAATGCTGTGAACGGGCGGATCATGTTTGGCAATAAGAGAGATCGGAGCAGCATGAGCAAGGTCGGACGAGGGAAGCGGCATCGACTGTATCATAGCAAGCAGTGTCTCCCGACAGATGGAGCACGACGGACAGCACCGGATCCGGCAGGATGTGGATCAATATGGCGGGAGCAAGGTGCTGTACGGTCTTCGGCATCCTATGGCACCAAAAGCCGAGCCTGCTGGCCATATATCCGACCAGGGCATGCGAGCCGACTTACTTTCCAAGGTTGTGGACGCTGTTGGCAATCAGATCCATAAGCGTCATGAACCCGACGATTCGGTCGAGCATCGAAAGACGCCGCTTCCTCAGGCGCTTCATGAAAAGCACCACCAGCACACCGGAGCAGCACACCATCGAGACGGTCGCAGACGGGTGCAGGATGAGCTGCAGGGTGCGAGATTGCTCTTCGGTAAGGGTCATTGTGTAGTGGAGTCTTGAGCTGGGTCAGTCGCGACCGGGAAGCAAGGACAGGGAGTAGAGCCAGAGAAGGGTGTGCGGGATGGGTCCAAAGATCAGGAAAGGAGGCCTGCGAGTCTTGCGGAAGGAGAGGCAGGCAGAACGAGGATGATTTCGGCGAGCCGATCGAGTCCGGCGGGGGGAGTGGCAAGCGTGCATTTTTATCCAGCCCGACGGCCCAAGGCAGTCGTTGCGACAGCCAAGCGGCGCTGGGCCAGCGGCGAGCGGGGCGACGGCGGTGGGGTTGCGATGGGAAATACAACTGGAGTCCCCATTGGAGTTGTGAACGCAGTGGTGCTGGCCACTTGGACGACGGGAGTGGTGGAATTGCGGTACTCCCGGTGTGGTGCACTTGCGACCGGGGGATCGTCGGACGACACGCAACGCAGACCGGGCATTGGGTTTCGGAACTGGAGGGTCCATGCGACGCCAACAGCGATACGATACAGTAGCGACATGTCCAGTGATGCGATATAATAGCTACATATCCAGTGATACGATGCCCGTGCTGCCGTCCGGCGTGCACTCACTTTCCCACACCAGCCAGCATTTCTGTCCAAGGACCCCTCCGTTGTCCGCCGCCGCTGGACACTCCCGGCCGCTGCCTCCCGTCCTTCTTCGTCCGCGGCCTTTGCCCTTTGCTGCTCGGGGCCGGTCTTGTCCCTCGTCCGCTGGGTCATGGTTGGGGACAGGTCGCACTATCCAAGCTTGCTCGGATGTCTGGCCCACTATGCTGTTGGAATCGGTCCCGGCTTCATTCCCAGCCGCACTCGATCCGCACTCGATCCGCGATCGATCCACAAGCCCTCCCGGTTGATGATTGTTGCTTGTCGATCGTCCGCCATTCGCTCTCTGCTCTCATCAGGCCATGTCCTGTTGAGCATCCGGCCGTTCTCCAACCCCACGGCGTCGGCTTGGCCTGCATGGATGCTCTGCTTGCATCACTGCTCAGCCCCGCTCTTCTCTCTGCCACCATGAACCCAAGCCAATCCGCTGGATCGGCGTCCGCTGCCCAGTCCGTGTCCGTTGTCCTCCCTGCATCCGAATGGTCGATCCTCGAATGGCTCAGTTTGGCCGAGGCCGTCCATCAATGCGGATTCGAGCACTGGAACGAGGTCTCCCGCGCCTTGCAGAAAGTACCGATCTTTGACAGGCAGCCGTCCTTTTACTCGCCCCAGGTACGACCCGCGCGTCGCCTGGGCTATCGCAACAGTATCGACTTGCTCGCTGTGGCTGCGATACTGCGGGACACTAACGCCTGGCGAATCGCTCGTGCTTCTCTGCCAATGGGGGTGGTCTCGATCTTGCTCGATCTTGCTCGATCTTGCTCGATCTTGCTCGATTCGGCGAAAACCAGGGATGTGCCCAGGAATATCGGCTCCTTGCCGACTTTTTCTGTCCCAATCGGTGAGTGGCTTTGCTCAGTATGGCCCCCTTGGGAGTGGCAACTTGCATGTTCGCTGCACGAGTTGATCCGCTTGGACGCAGGCCGGGCCAAACGGGATCGAGTGTGCCAAGTGGTGGAAAGGTGTGCCATTCTCCATGTTGGATATGCTCGCTCAGGGATCTCACCGGCAAACTGTGCTCTCCTGCCATCCTCGGTCTCAAGCGATGGCGCACAAAAGGGTACGACATGCACTCGATAGGCTTCTATCGCATCGATGCCTGATCTCCAGCGGGGTGGATGGTGCGTCAAATCGCTGCCATGCCACTCCGCATCGTCGATCCGGACCATCGCTTTGATTGATGTTTTGTTCTCTCTTTCGATCCCTCGATGTCGGCTTGGGTTTCTCGGATCAACACGAATCCCGGCGGACGACATCCCCTCCCTTGCAGCCGAGCAAGTGCTCAAGATCGTTGCACGGAAGCTGAATGAGCTGCGGGTCACCGAGATACAGCAGTCGCTACACGAAATCGACTTGACGATACGGTAACTTTGGAGCGGAAACCGTTGTGAACGACGTGCATGCTGAGGGAGCCGTTTGCATGTCGATAGGCACGCTGTCGCTCCGTGGAAAGCACTGCCAGGCGGACGAGGCCTTTCGAACCATCATGCGATTGATTGTCAGCGCGATGATCCGAACAGCTCGAGTGGCTGTATGATCCTGACGGCATGGTCGCTTGTCTTTGCCCCATTGCGGTTGTTTCGGTGCAGCAAAATCAACCAGAATGTCATCGACATCAAGTCTGGCAATCTCGACGAATACTTGCTCACGACCAACCAGCAGAAACAAGCCGCTGCCGCTGCCGTGGTATGTGAGATCATTCCGCACCGGTGCTCTCGGGACTTGTGGCTTGTGCCCCATGCTAACACCGTTCCCGGTTGCCTGGTTCCGTCGATGTGCATACCCAATGTCAGGCCGCTGCTGCAGTCGTCCGGCAGCTGGCTGCATCGACGACACAAGCCTCGCTGCATCCTTCGAACCTGGGGCAGCTGAGTGCCTCGACGCCGTTGATGGGATCGACGCCGCCTCTCCTCTCCGTCCTCGCTGGCGGTACTGGCCAAATGCCTTCTGGTTCCAACACACATGCAACTCTCTCGCATAGCCACCATGCTGTCGCCGGTACCGCTTCCCTCCCCACGGTTTCCCCCACCTCGGCTCTCCCGGCCCCAGTTCCGGCAGCTATACCCAAGGCCAGTGCCAAGCCTGGGCTTCTGCCGACCCAAACTGCAGCAGCCACACCCAGCAACAAAAGCTCGGCTGCCTCGTTGTCGGCTTCAGCGCCTGCGAGTACTCTGCCGATGTCGGCCGAGCTTGGCAATCTGGCATCGCAAAATACCCACGTCCCTCTCAAAGTCGAGCCGTCGGTGCCGCCCCTGCGCACGGGCCAGTCGCTTGCGTCGATAGCGGCTGCCAAGAGCGACGTTCCCATCAAGGAGTCCCTGCGGGCCTCGGTGGGTGCCCTGGCCGCAACGATGCAGTCCATCAGCGGAGCCAAGTCCACCAGTGCGCTGGCCATCAAGCAGTTTGCCAACAGCCTCGCTGAATCGCCCAAGGAAAGGGCATTCGTCTCGTCACAGAGACAGGCTTCGTCGCAGCTCAGACAACTTGCCAGCCTCACTGCTGCACCGCCGATCGAGCAACCAGGCAGCCGCCCCTTGCTCAAGGCCGAGGACAGATCCGAAATCAAGCGCGATGAGCCCACTCGGACTGCTCAACTTGCCCAGCTTGCCCATGCCGCATCCGAGCGACCCGTGGCCGACCGAAAACCGCCTCCGGAGCCATCGGTGTCCAAGATAGGTGAGCCATCTGTGATGCCAGTGATATGCTGCACGCCGGCCACGACGACGCTGACTTGGCTGCGCCGCTGCAGGGATCGAAAGCGAGAGGGTGAAGCGCAAGGCCTCGGATGCCACCGAAGGCGACATCTCCGGACCAGACACATCTGGTATGGTTTTGCTCTGGAGTGCTCTACATCGTCAGGCGCCTCGACAGGCTCTTGGCTGTGTTGGGCGACTCGTCATCGGCATCTCTCCTCTTGTGACTGTGAGACTGTGAGGACGGAGATGGGGCTGCAAGGAGCTCGGCGAAGCGATGGCAGGTGCCAAGCCGGAGACCGGTGGACGAAGCAGATCCAGTGCCAGCCACAGGCTCGCTGTCGAAGCGCTGGTGCTCGAGGGGGGGGGGCAGACTGCGAATTAGCAGAGAAGCCTCTGGTGGAGTCAGAGATGACAGCTCACAAAGCATAAAATGGACTGACCCGGAGCTCCTCGGAACCTCCGTTGTCTGTCGTGTGCGCAGACAGTGGCAGCCTCCCAGCCGAGAAGAAGAGGGCCATTGGCGCAACGCCAAAGAATGCGGACGAGAACAAGCGGAAGGCATGGAAGCGCACGGCACTGATGATCTGGAGCAAGATTGCCGACCACCGCTGCGGCAATGTGTTCATGCACCCGGTCAAGAAGGAGCACGTGCCGGACTACTTTGATATCATCAAGCAGCCGATGAACCTGGCGACGATCAAGAACCGGATCCGAGACGGCGTAAGTGGTGCGCCGCGGCGTGGCTCTGTTTTACCGGTGGCGGTCCGTTTGGGTGCGGCGATGCGTGGCGCACGGCATGCGGGGTTCGTTCGCAGATGGAATCACCCGGAGCCGGGCATGCCGGACCCTGCGTGGCGACTCTGCTGGGGGGAGGCGATTGTCGAATGGTGCATTTGCTCTGGACGGATGGTGCATTTGCATCTCGTGCTGGCTGTCGAAGTGCTCAGGCTGCGTGCCCTGTCTTGTTCCAACCACCCAGGAAATCACCACCAATGCAGAGTTCCACCGAGACTTGCTGCTGATCCTGAACAATGCCCGGCTCTACAACCGCGAAGACTCGGAGATCTACAAGCACACGACCGAAATGAACGACTATGTCGAGGCCGAGATGCGGACGCTGCTGTACTGCACCGAGGAGTATGCCGGCCGCCGCTCGAATGGCTCTGCAACGCCGCTCGATTAAATCTGAGATGCGACGGGAGGTGGATCCGTGGGAGGCGAGCGAGCCGGCCATTGCTCAGAGGGGATCATCGCCACATGCAAACACCCGTATTGCAACGGAGGAGCCAGGCGAGGCGAGCAGGGAGGAAAACAGTAGCCGGCTCCGAGATGGATCAGTAAATACAGCGAGGCTTTGGCCGCGTAGATGCTGCTGCCGAACCTGCCCCATCGACGGTGTTGTGTCTCTCCTGTGCTGCTGCCGCTCTCCCGGCCAAACTGCCTCCGCTTCTCTTGTTCCCCCGTCCGAGTGGTCAGTGTGCAACTGGGGTGACTCACCAGGACGAGTTCACGTGCGGTGCAGTTCGATCGTGAGAGCGCAACAACAGCGATGCACAATCAGTCGGCATCCGGGAAGTATCTGGGTGATATGCTGCGAGCGAGGATGCAGCGGAAGAGTACTGTTGGGGAAGTGGACATCGTTCGATATTGGACGTTGTTGGACGTCGTTGGACGTCGTTAGAAGCGCCATTGAACATCGTTGGCCAGCGATATCAAACAGCGGCCTCGGTTGTTGATACCGACTGTCGAATGCCGATTCCGGCCGGCCGAGCGAGAGCGGCCAAGCTCAGTTCGCCCGGCAGAGCGGCCCACCGTCCGTGCGCTTCCAGATGCTTCTCAGCGGGGCCCGTCGCTCTTGCCCGTCCATCGGTGCCCGAATCACTCGTTCTGCTCGTTCTGCTCGTCCGCCGAGGGCCCTCTTGCTCGCCCATCTCGCATCCAGAATCGCTTGCAGAATCGCTTCCCGTCCTCCAGCGCTCTCTCCTCCCGTCAGCCCATCTGTCCATCTGTCCATCTGTCCATCTGCCCCATCGGCCCCTTGATCCTCCATCTTCTCGCCATTACCGCCGTGCCTGTGCACAGAATCGCCTTCACTCCCCACCAGCACATTCACCACATCCACCGCTCGATCGCTCGGCATCACTTGCCGCCGTCGCTTGTTGCCATCGCTCGTTCGCTACCGTCGCCGCCCATCCACATCCACACCCACATCCACATCCACACCCACATCCACATCCACACCCTCGCCCATTCCCAGTCGCTGGACATCCTCCGCCGTCGCCCATGATCGTACCGTCTGGCGACCCTCGCTGCAGCATCGGTGCTCTCTCATCCGGGATCCCAGCCGAGGCGATCGACGGATGCAAGGCACAGACCATCCATCCGGGCCTCGCAGTCACTCCACTCCCCGCTCATCATCCTGCGGCCCTCGCTGCCGTCCCTCTCTCCACCCAGGCTCCGTCTCACATGGATGTTGCAGCGCTCGCTGCTACCGAGGTCCTCCCGATACCACCTTCAGCTTCTGCCTCGACAGCAACCGCCTTGCCCATCCCATCGAGCGTCGCTGCTTCGACCTTGTCACCAGCCGTTGCCCCCAATTCGTCCCAGCTCGAGCCGCTGTCGAATGCACAGACTGCTCTCGCTCCTACCACACCCACCACACCTGCTGCAATCGTCCCTGCAACGCCCGACCACTACTTTGAGCCCAAGGGTGTGCCCGTCTTCAAGCCAACGTGGGAAGAGTTCAGGGACTTCAAGTCCTTTGTCGCCTCGGTTGAGCCCCTTGGCTACGAGGCCGGCCTGGTCAAAATCATCCCACCGACCGAGTGGATCGATCAGGTTTGCCGGCAGCACTCGGTCCTGGCCACCTCCCTCCCGAGCATTCATATCCGGAAGCCCATTGTCCAGAATATCAATGGTGGAGGTCTTCCCGCTGGCGCCTATCGGCAGCTCAACGTCGAGGCAAAGAATCCAAGCACCTACAACATCCAGGAGTGGTTTGAGCTCACCGAGACACCCGAACATCACACTCCCACCGCCGCGACCAAAGATCGCTCCTATGAGAAGCTCAGCAACCCTCTCCGGTCTCTCAAAAAGCCCGTCCGGCACTCGACTGTGGGCATTTCTGCTGTGGCTCAGGCTTCCGCATGCCAATTGCCTGCAGTTCCTCAGCAGCAGCCCCAGCAGCCAAGCGAGTCGGTATCCTCCATGGCCGAACCATCACCACTCGGGGCTGCCATACCGGCCCCACAAGTGTCTGCGAATTGTGCTCCCGCTGTCGACCCGATCAACAGCTCAGTACCGAGTGCATCACCCACGGCGGACCCACAACCTGCTGCTGCAGCTGAAGACTCGGAACTCATGATGCCAGTGCAGGGGTCCGATGCCGTCGCGCCGCCGAATCCCGGAATCCTGGGACCTGATGACAAACCAACGGCCCGTGACGACAATGCGGCCAATGCGGCCAATGCGGCCGATGCCGGGTCGCTGACCAACCCTCCGTCCGAGGGCGCAGCCCACCCTGCCGAGCCCTCCATCTCCAAACCTCCAAGACGCAAGCGGGACAGCGGCGCGGCCCTGGAGCACGACGCTGTGCCGATCCAGTTCGATGTGAGCGAGCTGCGGACACCATACGACCTTGAGTACTGCAAGAGTCTGGAGCGATACTACTGGCGGAATTTGACATGTAAGTGCCTGAGGCTGTGCTATCTGTGATCTACGGGCTCATGCCAAGATAGTGAATCACATGGAGGTTTGGCTCGCGGCTCGTCGGCAGGTATCCAGAGAAGTGTGGATGCTGGCGTGAGATTTGGCTTGGCTTGACTTGGCTTGGCGGCGGATGATACAGCGGACACAGCAGGGAGGCGCTGACTCACACCGTCCCTCTAGACCTTGCGCCACTCTATGGTGCCGACCTCCCGGGCTCTCTATTCAGCAGCGAGGTGACGTCGTGGAATCCGCAGTGCCTGGACAGTCTGCTCAAGTCGATCCGCAAGAAGCTCCCTGGAGTGAATCGGTATGGAAGACGATTGAGATCTGAACAGGAAGCTGCTCCGGTGTACGCTGATTCTGAAAAGCCGCTGCTTGACTCACAATTTCACCCCTCCACCCCTCCACCCCTCCACCACTCCACCACTCCATCGCTTCGTGCGTCCAAGGCCGTATTTGTATTGGGGCATGTGGAAGGTACTCATTGTGACTGCCGGTCAACACCCTCTACAGCCACCCCCATTCAATTCACTGGGTGGACATGCTCAGTCCACCACAGCGTTGATGCACAGACCTTGATTGCTGATATTCTTCTACGCATCCTCTCTTTGTGTCTCCTCGAAAGGCCACCTTTGCTTGGCATGTCGAGGACATGGACCTGTTTTCCATAAAGTAAGTCCTGCACATGTCTCGTGTCCTCAAGCACCCCGCCAGCTGCTCAGTCTAACAATTCGCAACAATCGTTATTTCAGCTACATTCATTTCGGAGTAAGTACTGCTTGATCCCACGCTGTCTGCCACCGGCCAGCCGCCGCTGCGCCATGTCTTGGTGTAGAGCTGACAGTTCCTCCTACAGGCTCCCAAGCAGTGGTACGTTGTGCCGCCCAAGCACGGCAAAAAGTTCGAGTCTGTGGCCAGGGCCATATTCCACTACGAGGCTGCCCAGTGTCCCGAGTTCCTCCGCCATAAGACCTCGATCATGTCACCAAAGTTGCTGCGCGACAACCACGTTCCGTTCCACACACTCATTCAACAACCGGGCGAGGTGAGTCCCCCCCCCCACCGATTACGAACCATTGGACGCCACTCCGTTGTGTTTCTATTTCGGTTTTCTATCAGCCCGACTTGATGCCGTGGCGTGTGCTTCGCCGGCCTGACTCACGCTTCGGATCCCGTATTCGTGTCTGTCGGCAGATCGTCATCACCTTCCCCTCGGCCTATCATCAAGGATACAACCTCGGCTTCAACTGCGCCGAATCTGTCAACTTTGCCACGGAGAGCTGGCTCCCGATCGGCAAGAAGGCTCGATACTGCCGCTGTGTCAGCGACAGTGTCAGGCTGGATGTGCCGCGGCTCTTTGAGGACAGCCCAAAGCCAAAGTCAAAGAAGCACAAGGCAGAACCCGCTGCTGATGACGCCCAGAAGACGCAGGAGTCGCCACGAAAAGTGCAGAAGCCGAAAGCGAAGCTGTGCATGTGCGAGGCTGCTGCCCAAGGTCCATCCGATGCTGGCTCAGAGGGCGCGACCGAGACTGATGTGGCGAAGGATGGTATCAAAGCCGATGCTGCGCAAGATAGCAAAGCTGATTCGACAACGAATGGCAAAGTCGATGTGAAGAAAACGCCCAAGAAAGCCTCCCCCAAGGAACCAAAGACACCCGCCAAGAACGATGGCAGTGTGCCGGCCAAGAAGAGCTCAAAGAAGGTCAAGGCCGAGCCCAAAGACCGCGGCACCGAGAGCGCGGGTGGTACTCTACCCGTCCCGCATGGAGCTGCGTTGCCGAGCCCCGGCTCTGAACACAAGCGCAAGGTGCCAGACGAAAGCCTGGATCACCCGACACTACCATCCACACCCAAGACCCCAAAGAAGCCCAAGACTAAGCCCGAGCCTCAAAAGGTACCGTTGGCGAGAGTCTCGCACCTGGCCCGGCCCAACCTCGCTCCCAGCATGGGCCGCGTGTGATTTGCTCACGCTTTTGTCCCGTGCAGTGCTGTCTATGCCCCAATATCGGCGAGGAGCTCCTCCCCACCGACCAGCCCAAGAAATGGGCACACCGTCTGTGCGCCACATATGTCACAGGTATGCGCTCTTCCTCCCGCGGCTGCATCCGTGCATTTGCTACCGGCCCATTTTTGATCCTGTCAGTGCGCTGCATCCATCGCCCTCTCGTCCATTGTGTTGATCTAGAAACAAGCATCGGCCCCGACCCTGAGAACAAGGAACGCGAAATAGTTACGGGGGTCGGCAATATTCCCAAGGCACGGTGGTCACTGGTGAGTCCTCAGAGTGGATGACATCGTCGCAGCGGCATCGTCGCAATGGCGTCCGGAACAGCGACGCCACCCGCGAGCACCTCGTATGGACCAAATCAAGTCATCGCATTGACGAGTGGTTCGACGACATCTTGGTGCCTCAGAAATGCTCCCTGTGTAAATCCAAGGGTTCCAAGTACGGTGCGCCTGTGCAGTGCAGCAAGGTACGGCTATCGACTGACACTGCATCCGTGGGTTCCGTGTATCACCTCGCTCGAACTGCTTCTGGGTTGCTGAAGACGGAGCGACGTGACCCATCTCCATCGTGCCTGGCCATGTGAGACTACTGGACTGCATCCTAATGCTGATGAAATCTACAGGGCATGTGTCTCAGCGCTTTCCATATCACCTGTGCCAAGAACGCTGGTCTCCATCTTGGTGAGGCGCTCGAGGGCGCCGGAGTCATGGAGATTCTCTGTCCGCGCCACGATGAGGTGAGTTTTGATACAGCGCCAATCTTGTTCGGGTGTATCGCTCAAGCTGCCCCCACTTACTTGTCTCTCATGATCCCGCAACGCCAGCGAACGGAGACACAGCGACGATTAGATAAGGAGAAGATGCTGGAGGAGTCGCGGTCGCGGATACAGCCAGGCGACTGGGTCGTCATCAAACAGTGAGTGCCGTGGTTTGCTTCAGGATTCTCTTGCTGCAGCTCGGGCCCAGACTCGCACTTGTCGATCGTATTTGATCAAAGTGCAAAGCTCGAGGCGATTGCGTGTCTGGGGATGATCTGGCGATCGCTTAGAGCATCTCTCGAGACAACGGACTCGTTGCACTCCATTGGGGCTATACTGTGACGACTGTGTCTGACCTTCGTGCCTCGTTCCTCCAGCGACAACGGTGGGTGCTACGAAGCCCTTGTACAAGAAAACCAACGCGAGAGTCGATCGTGAGTATCCATATGGTTGATGGCGCGCTATCGCACCGCAGCCATGGTCTGTTTGCGATGCGCAGAAGCACTTCCGATCAATCGCCCGGTCAACGGTATCTGCTTGGGCACATGGGTTGCTGACCCGGGCAATCTGTTTCCCCACAGGTGCAAGGTGTTTTTGTCCGTGGGATGCTATTCGGTTGTGCCGTGGCTGGCGATCGAGAAAGTCTTCAAGATCCAGCCTGATGCCCACTTGCCCCCGGCCACGGCTCAGACAGATGCGCCGCCCCCTGAAATGCAGTGCTGTGCGCCTCAGGCACCGCCGACATCGGTGGTCGCTTCAATCAGCCCTGCAGTGATCAGCCCCGCAGCGATCAGCCCTGCTCCGACCGGCCCTGTATCGACCGGCCCTTCTCCTCCTCCTGCCACACTTTCATATCCCTCAGTCCAACCTGGCGTGCCAGTTAGCCACAGCCTGGCCCCAGCCTTCGATAATATGGCCCATTGATCATTCTACCCAAATACACTGCCGAGCCCCGGGCATTCTTGCCTGCCATCGAGACATAGTCACACTTGACAAGCGCGATGGACCCTCGTTTCCGCCTCTCGTCTCCCCCGAGCTCTTGCACCAGTCATGGGCCAAGAAACCAAGATTTCGAGCTGTATTTGCTCAGTCCAGGCTCAGTTGGGTCGGGGAGCGACCGCCAGGAATCGGACATATTCCTTTAGTCGCTGTTTGCGCTGGGTAAAGCTACCGGTCCCGACGAGACGGAGCCGGGGCGGCTGTTCAGACTTGGATGAGGCTGAGGCTGGGGCTGAGGCTGACGAGCTTGCAGCACTTTGGTCGTCCAAGCTAGCATGGTTCTCAGGCCCGCCAAAGAGCACGACGTTCACGGTGATGTCGTCACGGTGGCGACGGCTGTGCGGGGCAGGGATGCCCAGCAGTCGGCCGATCTTGTCGTCGTCTTTTCCACCAAAGGCATTACGGATCAAGTGCGTTGCGAGGTTATCGTCGACATAGCTGAAGCCGGCGACACGCTCGGGGCTGAGGTCGTTGAACTGCAGGTTCTTTTGCTGGCTGCTGGCTTCGGCCGGGTATGCGGGCGGCGGGACGAGCCGCTTGCGCTCGAGCTGGCCGGCGACCAGGTGCACACACTCCTCACTCGAGAGCTCGTCATAGAGACCATCCGAGCCAAGCACGAGGAACTTGTCCTTGGAGGGATCGAGCTCGTAGTGGACGACTTCAGGCTCGGCCGTGACATAGGGCGGGGTGTAGTAGTGGGGCGGGCACCCACGCTTTCCCAGATGCGGCCACACCAACCTCTGGACAGAAACGGGCCACTTGTAACGCGAGTCGCCTGCGGGAGCACACAAAAAGGCCGATCAGCTATCCAAAGCTCGTTACGGGCCAAGGTGTTGTCGTTGCAACACTATCGCAGGCAGGGAATGACGCGCGGCAGCGATGGGGCCGTGAGCGACACGGCGTTGACGGTGATGCTGCCGGTGTGATACTGCTGATGATGTGATACTGCCGCCGGTGTGATACTGCTGATGATGTGGATGCGGATGCCAGATAGAGTTTGCATGACCGTCAGCACCGCAAACCGTTGCTTACCAAAGGCTCGGGTGGGCATCAGTCCGCCGAGGACACGGCCCTTGACGACCACCGTTTCCAGTTCGCCAGGGTGCTCGTCGAGCAACCGTCCGTACTCGCGGGCATTCTTCACCGTCTGGTCGACCGAGAGCGGAATGGTATCGAAGCTGCCATCGGTCTGTCTCCGGCCCACGACGGCGCGGCTGTCGCCCGTGCAGGCGACGTACAGATCATTGCCCTCGATGTAGGCCAGGATGGCACACGACCCAGATGCAGCAGGACGGAGGGCCGCGAGGATGTATGCAAGGCCGGCCTGGTCGGGAGTCTCCGGCTCGAAAGCAGCATTGACCAGGTCCGAGTCCATGGCCCTGAAAGCCTCCTTCAGTGCATCCGTGATGAGCTGTTTGCGGGAGATCTCGGGCGACGGCCAGATCCAGGACCAGATCGACGGCTCGGACTGCTTCTTGATCGCATGGGCCACGTAGCTCGAGAGCTCGCGCGATAGAATGCGGGCGGTATGGGGGCCGCCATGGCCGTCAAAGATACTGCATGGGCGAGAATGGGTGATCGAGAGAGATAGGTGATCGAGAAGTCGCAGCCAGCAATGTCGGCGGAACGGGGTTAGATAGAAGATATGGATTCTGCACAAAAGATGTCCAGAGCAATCGGATGGCAAGGACATCGAGTCGTGTCCCCGATGTCGGCGGACCCGATATCGTCCATCTCGGCCGTCGAGTCACTTTCGTGAGCCTGAACGCAGCCGATGTAAACCCAAGGCAGGGGGGGGTGTTCGAGCATTACCCAAAGACAACGGCACCATTGTCAAGCTGGTCCTCGCAGTGATAGTCCTCGATGGCAGGGTTGCTGGCAACTTGGTTGATATGGTACTGCACGACAGGCGGGCTTGGAGGAGCTGAACCGGGAGACTTTGGGGCAACCAGATCGTGCACAGCGATAGACACGTCGTACTGGTTGTGCTCCAGGATACCGGTGACTTCGGCGGGAGAGAGGAGTTTTGCGCCGAGCTTGGAGAGATTCGTGGACAGTTTGGAGGAAGGTTCGTGCCGGTGGACCGCCCCGGCGGTGTCTGGATCCTCGGTTGGGAAGATGAAGTAGAATGCCACGGCCGAGACCAAGAGCACTGCGGAGAAGCGGGCTGCGGTCGAGAGGAAGGAGGGCGGGGCGGCCTGAGAGCCGGGTCCGGATGAGGTAGCAAACCCTGCGACGGATAGGAGGCCAGACGAGGCATGTAGGCGGCCAGATCTGGCGACGGCAAGGGGAGCGATGCTGATCGAGCGAGCGCCCAGCCCGGAAGCAGCGCGGAGGAGGCGAGTGCCCGAGATCGCCGAGCGGACGAGAGCCATGGCGTGCGAGCAGAGAGGGGTTGCTGGACTGAGCGGGGGGGGGGGCAAGATCAACCCGACGACATGCGCTGGGCGTCGATGCGGGAGGAGGGCTCAGATGCGGTCCAAGATGGAGCGAGGCAGAAGCAGCGACGGGACTGACGGAAACCCAGCGCGACCGGCTCTGTCTGCGATCCAACCCCGGAGGGACACTGCCCCGTCGGGATCGACATCGTCGACATCATCGATATCATCAATATTAATCAACACCGCCGCATCGATATCATCGATATTATATACACCGCCGCATCGATATCATCGGCAGCGTGGGCGATTCTCCAAGCAGCCAATCCAGACAAGCGGCCCAGCCAAACGATACAGACATGCCCGTCTCGGCGTCGGCGCTGTTCATCCTCGGCGCTCTGGTCCTCTCATCGGTCCAGGCGCTCTCCGGCGAGACCTACCGCGAGCGGCTGTCGCTCTCGCAGCTTCCCGACGGCACCGTCCTTGGTGTCTTTGACTTTAACCGATCCTTCTCGCCGGCTGTGCTGTCTGAGGCCCAAGGTGAGGCTCTGAGCACTGATGTCGTTGCTCCGCGTGCCCTGGCTCGAACATGCCACCGCTGTGCCGGGCTGGCATATCGAATACCAGCGTCAGATCGAAGCGAGCAAAGGACTGCTCAGGATATGCGCTCTAATCCTGTCGATTGCTTGATGCTTGGGGGCGTGGCTCCTTCGATCCTCGTTCTGTGCTCTGGGTTCCTTCGATTCTCGTTCTGCATGACCAGCAAACCACTATTCGCTGCTTCCCCGAGCAATCGGCGAGATCATCCAGACATTCGAGGTGGCCGAACTCCACCTGACGTTCACACAGGGCCGCTACAACTACCGGAAATGGCCGATGGAGCCCTACGCAGCGCCGTCGGGTGTCGAGCTGTGGGCCTGGTTCCGCACCGCCGAGTAAGTGTTGCCGGCGAGACCTGCGCTTGACCGGAGAGGAATGGATGCGACGAGGACGAGATGAGCGCAGAGCCGCCGGCAGAATCGATGGGGCTGAGCGGCTTATCACCAGGTATGGCTCAGCATGGTGTCGGTTGAACAGTCGCTAATGTTCAGATGCTGCTGCTGCTTTCATCAGCACCGACGCCCGCTGGAAAGGCTTGACCAATGCCCTCTCGGGCCTCTTCTGTGCTTCGCTCAACTTTCTGGACGAGACCCTCACCACAAGCCCGCTGCATTCTTACGATCCGGAAGGGCATCATGCCAACGCCAGCCGTGCCGACCGACCACGATCCGCACGACCAGGTTGGGGCCGCAGACGATCCACAAGCCATCTCGGCGGTCATACCCTGTTGGGGTGCTCCGACGGTCGGGAATTCGTCGTTGTGGGGCCGTGGATATCGCAAGGGCATCTATTCTGACGTCCATGGGCTATGTCGCTCACAGGCAATCTGGAACTGCGACACGGCATCCTGTCGAACGAAATCACCTGCACCGAGAACCTGACTCCGTGGGCCAAGCTCCTGCCTTGCCAGACGAAGGTATGTGCTCACATCAGGAGTCTACCGGGGACGCTGCCATGAACCAGTACTCGACGGCATTGGCCGCTGATGGCTGCGTGCCATGTGATGAATTGCGGCGAGTTTAGCAAGTCCGGTGCATGTCCCTGTCGAGGCTGACGCCGCTGTCTCTCGCCAACGATGCAGTCCGGTATTGCCAGCCTCCTCAATGCGTACAAGATATACGACACCGAATACCACTCCATGTCAGTCCACGTCCAGCCTCAGTGCCAGGTACGCAAGTTACCACTCGCCGCTGTGTTCAAGTATCACACCTTTTTCTGGCCGGCATGCTCATCCTGAGCACCCACGACATGCCCATCCTGAGCACCCATACCATGCTGTGCACTGTCGACAGTCAGCGCGATGATTCACTCCCTTCCCATCTGGCTCGTTTTTGGTGTTAGGATGCCGAGTGTCGAGATTGGACCCTGGAGGTTTATCAGAGGCTTGTTGTCGCTGTGGATCCAAGACGCACAGTGAAGCAAAAGGGTGCGTGTCGGTCAATCTCACGATAACATTGCATCGGACGTGCCGCAGAGCTCAGCACTAACCATCCATACCTAATGCTCGAAGATTGGTCCATGTACCTGCTCTTTGGCCGGGAGATCCAAAACCAATGTCCGCTTGCCACAGACTCGACCGTCTCTGTCCAAAAGAACACGCACTCGGAATGGTTTGCATCCTCTGGCCTTGCCCTTCCTTCCAGCGAGAGCAACAGCCTCGAAGTCAGCTTGAGCAGCAGTAAGCATTCTGTTCCAGGAGTGCGCTCTTTGCGACCGTCGGCCCATGCGGTGCGGCCAGATGGGCTTGCGTGCTCTCGTATCGCAGCCCCTCCCCTGTGGCCTCAGCAACCTCACCTGTGTTCTACTCCGCGATGGCCAACAGGGCAGCCGGGACAGATCGTCAACCTCGGCATCAAGACTCCTGGGGGAAATCTTCCATACTGTAAGTCCAGTCGAGGATGTCTCCAAGCCGCTGCACTTCTAAGCAGAACAGATAGTCGATGTGCCAGATTCTCCTTGCCTGTGGCATGTCGAGTGCTCTATTCCCCACCGGGAGTCTTGTGGATGAAGCGGATGCCACAGCCTTTCTTCTCCTTCCGACTGACCCATCGCTTGATTTGCCCCCAATGAACTGATCCCAATCGATTCTCTGGACGGTACGGTAGTCTCGGGACTATTGCCGTCTGCCTCGCGGATTCAAGCACACCGATACTTGGTGGGGTTCGGCGCCAGTCAACCGGGAATGGCCACACGGCTGACCAACAGCGATGAGAAGCAGTCGTACCGGGTCGTCTTCTTCCAAACAATCCCGTGGTACCTGAAGCTCTATCTGCACACTCTCAAGGTCAAGACGATCGTCGGTAGTGAGCAAGGTAACGATCTGACGGGCCTTGTGTCTGCGATCACAGCTGTGGGCGTGAACGGGCCTTGCAGAATTCTGGGTGCATATCGCTTGTATGGCGTGTATCGCTTGTATGGCGTATATCGCTTGTTTGGCGCATATCGCTTGTATGGCATCCAGCAGCTCATTTCTCACGCACGGCTATTTATCTGCGGTGGGGTTGAACCATGCGGCCTTGTGATGTCTCTACAGAGGGCAAGCAACATCAATCTACGATTTACTACCAGCCATCGATCGACCGTGTCCGCCCAGGAATCCTCGAGATCGAAGTCACTCTGCCGCCCAAGACTGAGCTGCTGATCACCGTCGCGTTTGAATATGCTCTTGTTCGATACACCGAGCATCCGCCAGACTCGGAACGGGGCTTCCAACTCAGGTATGTCTCGCACCGGAGCCTCTGGCTGCATGATGTTTCTTTGATGGACCACCGATCCAAGGTTCTCGCTCACACTCACTCTCACTCTCACTCTCACAGCTCTGGGACTGTGAGCTACGTCCCTGCTCGATGCGAAGGCGCTTGTCGCTGGAGTCGGATCTACACCGAGCCTCTCCTCCTGGCCCTGCCCACGCCCGACTTTAGCATGCCCTACAACGTCATCACATTCACCTGCACCGTGATGGCGCTGTTCTTTGGCAGCATGTTCAATGCGCTCATCCGAGACTTTTCGGCCGTCAAGCTGACAGAGAAAGAGCTGGCAGAGCTGAAGAACGGCAGCGACGGTCAGAGTCGCAATTGGCTCAAGCGCCTGCTTTGGCGTTAGGCTGCGGGCTCGACCAAGGCATCTTCGATGCAATAAAGACCAACAACCTTAGCAATCAACACACAGGCAACCACAGATCGAACAATGCTGCAATAACAACGCACACGTCGTGCGTGCCGGTCGGTCTACGGATGATTCGGTTGGTCAGAATGATCAAAACTGTATTGGGGCTTTGTACAAATGTCGAGGCGGGGTGGGCAAAGGGGCGGCAAGTATGGAAACAGTATCACAGATACTGGGGGGTGGTCGAAAAAAGTAGACGTGCTCTGGAGAGATGCAGATTAGAGAGAACCGGCAGCGCTAAGAGGTAGACGCCTAATGCGGAGAAGCGAGAGAGCCAGGACAGGAGGGGGAGTGCATCCCATAACTTGATTACGCATCCGCTGCGGTGTGCAAGCCGCTGGAGGGACAGGTACGTCGACAAGAGGATGGTGACCTTGAGATGGATCGGATGAGATTGCATCGGAGTGGATCGGGGAGAGGAGGCCAAGGCGCCTGCAGCCAGCCAGTACAGCGCTTGCAAAGAATTACGCGCTGGAGAGCAGGGGCGACTTGGAGGCGCTTGACGGTCGACTTAGCCCAGCAGGGGTGAGTGCTCGGCGTCCGAGGCCTTCCGGGCAAAGATGGGCTTGAAGGTATAGAGAACCATCACCACGCCAGCCGCGAGGGCAGGGAAGAAGATGAAGGTATACTCTGACTGGCCGTAAGCGACGCCGAAGACGGCCCAGGCGGTGACGATCAGGTGGGCGGGATCCCAGGCCGAGCTCTTCCACTCAAAGTGACCGATGGCAGCACCGACTTGGAGGAATAGCCAAGTGTAGACCAGGAGGTAGTCAATAAGATGAGGTCCATCCTCATGGACAGAGGTGATCACTGGAGGAAAGCAGATGGGTGGCGGGTTAGTCCTTCGACTGGAAGAAAGGGCAGCGTCCACGATTTATGCATTCATCAGGACCGAACACGATGCCGTGTGGCACGAACGATGATGCTTACACGCCGAGATATTGATCCAGACGACATAGAGAATCCATGCGTGGAAAGCGGTCGATGGCCAGTGGACAAAGATGCGCTCCCAGATGTTGCGAGCCGGATAGGTGCGCACAAGATCGACGACGACGGCCGAGATGAATCCCGAGGCAAAGAGGATGACGATCAAGGCCAGGAAGAGCCTTCCCTCGTCCCAAAGGTTGAACCAGAGGGCGTTCATGAGGGCGGCGGCCACAAACCTGCAGAGAGCGAGCGAGTACAGGGTCAGCGATGCAATTCGATGTGATTCGATTCGATTCGATTCGATGCAATTCGATGCGATGCGATGGCGATGCGATGCACCGAACCGAGACTGTGTGCTGATGTGATCTGCGAATGCATCTGTATCGCGATTGCAGGCCAACGCCTACCAGATTCCGTATCCGTGCACGACGATGCCATCCGCATCAGGAGCAGCAAACTGTAAGAGTGCAGAGAAGGATCAAACACGACTGTGTGAGCCAGGGAGTGTCGAGCAATTGCGGCTGGGACACAGGCAGCGAGAGTTGAGCGATTCCTTGAGATTGGCTGTCTCGCCTTACCTGCCAAACAGCAAAGCCAGCAAACAGGAGATAGATGCCGCCGTAGATGTAATTGACCCACGCGGCCGGCGTCAGATACGTCGGATACTTGCGGTAGGGGTCGTACGAATCGTCGGTGTTGACGATGGAGAGGACATGGTTGCCAAAGAGGAAGAACCACGCCAGGACGTTGGCGATCTGGCGGGAGCGGAGAACCAGACACACACACACACAGATCATGGTCAGTGGCAGTACAGCGCCAGAGAGCCAGACACCGGCATCGGGGGGATCGCACGACGGCGGGTGGCTGGCGGATCGAGCAGCAAGCGACCGCCCACCAAAGGCGGTTGGAAGCAACGACTGGCATAGGCAGGCAGCGACGCGAGGCCAGAAGCATTGCGTACCTTGTATACCAGGTGCTGCATGGCGGGAAGGATGGGTGCTCCGAGGTTGGCGGTGGAGGGCAGATCGGACGGGGACAGCAGGCAGGCAGGCAGGCAGGCAAGCTGGAAATCTCGGCGGTTGTCTCGGCAGTCGTCTCGAAGGTCGTCTCGGCGGTTGTCTGGGCAGCGGCCGCGAGGACGGCCCCCTAAATATAGGATCAGCAGCGATTTTTGGGGAGAAGATTGGCGGATCCTTTCGAGTGTGTGTGTGTTGCTATCTCTTCTGGTGCTGCTGTTGCTGTTGGTGCTGTTGCTGTGGCTGTTGCTGTGGCTGTTGTTGCTGTGCGCTTCTTCTCATCGACTGTGTATTCCACTGTGTATGGACACAGCAATCGCGCCACCCAACACTCATCGACACACACACACACCCGCATCCCCCCGTCGAGTGGATTGCCGCCCCAGCCACGGTGGCGCTTTGGGGCGTGGCCCTGGACCAATCGCCGTGCTGCGCGCGCCCCTCCGCCCCCACCAGCCGCAGCCAGACAGGCCGGTGCTCCGATTCGATCCAAGGCTCCCCGGATCCATCCAAGACTCCGATTCGATCCAGGGTCACTCCGATTCCATCCAAACGCGATCCCACACACACACACGCACCCATTTTTTTCTCCCATGACCGCCCTGGCCTTGGTCGTCCATCTGCCCAGCGATCATGTCATCCATCTGCCCAGCGATCATGCCGCCATCAGAGACCATGTCGCCGTCCGTCTCGGCAGCACGATTCTGCAAGCGATGCGTCCTCCTGAATCTGCCCGCGTGCAACGTCCGGTCCGTCAAGCCGCCCTGTGCTGCATGCCGTGCTGACAACGCCGTGTGCATCCCTGGAGGGCGGCCGCCCCGCACCGGCCCTCGGATCAGAACCCATGTCCTCCGCACCCTCCACAGTTCCCGCTCGGTGCTCTATATGCTCAAGAACAGGCCTCCATCACAGCCATATCCACCGCAGCATACCCCAGCCGCGCGGCCATCCATCCCATCCATCCCATCCATCCCATCCATTCCTGCATCAGAGCCGAGCGGCTTGCCCGGCGCCCTGCCCCCCGAGACATCCGACTTGCCGCCAGAATCGCTCGAATTGCCGCATGGGCCGGACCACCAACCGACCGTATTGCCTGTTCCCGGGACGAAAAAGCCCCCCATCGCTCCATGGAGCAAGGATCTCGACGACGATTTCCGCGACTATCTGCTTCCCTATATCTGCGATCACATCATTCCCTCCGACTCCAGCATCAGCCCTCCGTCGTCTCACTTCTCGACACCCTCAGCACCTGTCATGTCCCTATTCGCGGCGCCGCCGTCCCCGACCAATGAGGGTCTGCCCTATAAGGTACAGCGCACCGGAAGCGACACAGGCCGCTCCATCCCACAGCCGCAGCCCAAATGTTGCCAACGTCACTCCTTCCAGCCCGTCGTCAAATCGTCCATCGGATCTCCATGATTGATCGTTCGGCGCACACCAACATGCCCAAGCACATTCGCACTGCCCGCTGACCCGATTGATTGCTTTGCGCCATCTGCTCCACGCTCTCCACAACCCTGCACCCGGCAATCAAATGATGCGGCACCGATTGATTCATGGATTGCCTGTCTGTGTCCGCAAATGGTCTCTCGGTATCAACCGATGAACCAATCGATCGAACTGCGCCTATATCTTTCGCCGTCACTTACAAAGATCAAAATCGAAGAAAATACCGATGCGAACTCGTCCGGCCAACTCTTGGATTACTGCTTTGATGGCAAGGTACGTCATGCCTGCACGGTATCTCGAGACCCTGTGTCAGTACTAACAAGACTATCTGGCAAGGCTCCCAGCATCACCTGCCCCGCTACAGTCTTGATGCGTGCGATCCAAACCTATCCTAGCCCACATTATCATATCCCGTCGATCACGGCTGACGTCCTGCCCTGCCCTGCCTTCCCAGCTTGACTTTTTCCGTCTCCAAATCGGGTCTGTCAGCTTGCTGAGGAGATGCCATGACAATGCTGTTTCGGCTGCAGCAATGTTTCAGATTATCCCAAGACATCTCCTCTCTCTCGAGTACATATCTTTGATCCAAGCACGCCATAACAGGGACTATTCCAGCCTCGATCACGAGCATCCTCGGGACACTGCTCCTATCTGGTACGGGACCGCACTCTGGCCTTGAAGGTCGATTCAACCCCATTGGCCGTGCTTTTGCCGACACCACCTGCTTCCCACTCTATCGAGCGACAAAATGCTGACTCAATGGGTCGAAATCGCATCCAAATATTGCCAGGATTCCTCTGGACGTGGCCCGAGAACTGGCTGTGGAGTGCCAAATCGACCATCGCATCGCCCCGCTGTTGCATGACTTTCCTCGCTTGGCGTCAACCAAAGCCATCACTATCGACAGATTTGCCGATGAGGTGGCATGCATTGCTGCCCTCACAGAGATTTGCAAGCAGCTCCGCTCGTCCTCCCCCTCGATCAAACTGATGCGCGTTGCCAAAAAGTCCCTCGTTCGCACAAGGATCGACAACGTACGTTTGTTGTCAGCATGGCACAATGGATTCGTGTGTGCTTGCCTTGGGGGTACTGCCGGCAGCGAGTGGCTCCAGCAATGGTTCGACTTTGCGGCTCACAGCTTCGATGTTGTCTCAATCCGCAGAAGGACTATGCGATCCTCCCGCTCTTTCACGAGATCTACGGCGGCTGGCTTGTCGCCCGCAGACTCTCCGACGGCTGCGTCAACATCCATCATTTGATGCGTCTCGTTGGCTATCCCTTTCTGCCGTGCCACAAGTACTTTACCGTCGGCGCGTCCAAGAAGAACGTCCGGACGGGGAGCTGGTATGCCAATTCAGCATTCCGTCACTGGACATCCCTGGAGCAAGTAGAGTGTCGTCATCGAGAGCTGATGCGCGACTCATGATGTCCTTCCCCTCCTTCCCAGGTTTCCACCGACACATGCCATCGAACTCGCAAGCATTTTTGGGCTCTTCGACATTATTGTGGACCTCGTCAAGCTGCGGCAGAGTGCCTTCGAAACACTTCCGGAGATCGAGAGCATCCTGGACTGGGGAGACCTGTTCCACAGCTGCGAGGGGTCCGAAGTCGCCACCTTTGTCGAAATGATCGACGAGCCTCCTCCGGCCTTGGACAGCTCCGATGTCTATATGAACAGATACTCAAACACCTTCGTGATCGACCCCACGCGCACCGATCCTCCGATTTCCTGTCCCGGAGTCTGGTACTGCAACTACGATGTGAGTTGATGGCAGTATTTGCATTTCTGCGCTCACACACTGCTTGGCAAGAGCGGCCCATAGACCGAATCGGGCTGCAGCCCGCTGAAGTGTGTCTTGGTCGGCGCTCGCTCTTTCCAGTGAGCGCTATCCTGGATCTGGATCTGGATCTTGGCGTTGTTCAAGATCTGTGGCAGATCCAGTGCCGATGACTGAGCAGTCCCATACCCTCTCGACGCTGCGAATCCAGAGCAGTGGAAGAAAGCAAAAAACCGTCATTCTGTTCCACATCAACAACGTCGCCATCATCCGCAAACTGGCCGATGGTCTGTTTCTGGCTGAGCGGATCATGGAAGCCGCCGGCATCGGCGTTATCGAGAGAAGGCAGCGGGCAATACAGCTGCGCAAAGTGCGGCCGAATGATGCCAAGGCGGGCATGCACATCGAACTCCGCTTTCTCTCCGGAACATGGGTCACCAAGGAGCTGGCCTACTCTCTGGCGATCGAGTACGGGTTGGAGTCGGCCATGCAGCCAATCTTCGAGTTTGATCCAACCATCCACCGGGCGCCCGTGTGCCATGCCGAAGGAAGGATCTTGGCACCGGCGCTGGCCGAGCTCGACGTCGTATGGCGGCCGCTGAACTTTTTGCTGTTGCCGACGGAGTTTCTGCGTTTTGGTCCCATCTCTGGCGATGTCTGTGCCTATCCAGAGCCGCACATCACCGTGATCTCACTTCCTCGATCTCTGCGAAGCCGAACGGGCCCGGAGGACTGCCGGCCTCTGGTGGTGACGCTCGACAGGAAGCTGGAGCGATGGAAGATCCAACATGGCAGCTGGCAAGTAACAAGCGAGAGCTTCAAGGCACCGCTCTCGTTGCGAATGGCAAACGAACAGCAGGACATCCAGCCAGGTACAGACGCACACACCACATCCCCACCACTGAGCAACGACGGAGGCAAAACACCAGCCCGTTCCCGAGTTCGACCAGATGCGTCCTGTTCGGCTTGAACGTGGCCCACGAGCTGACGATGTGCACTCCTCATCATTGATAGATCCGACGGCAGAACAGCCCCCAGTCGACTTGCCCACCTCAGTAAGCATCGGTCGCTGCGCGCCATCCATGCGAGTGTGCTCGGCGCGGTGCTGATGATTCACACACATCTCCCACTTCCACTTACACTTGCACTCCTCCTTTCCTGCTTGTTCTCTTGTTTGCTTGCTCGCTTGCTCGCTTGGAATCCAGGACTTTGTCGACTTTCTCCACAGCCAGGCCTCGCAAAAGTACGGCCGGTACGAGCTTGATGCACCCGACGTGCCCAGCATGTTCGAGACCCTGGATGAGACCGCGCTCGTGGGGCTCGGAATCCTGCTGCAAGAAGTGATTCGGGACCAGCTGCCCGAGACCCTTGCCGTGTCGAACTGAACTTGTCTGCTGGTGGGCCTTGGACGAGTGAATGTCGTTTGCTCACGGAGATAGCCAAATGCTGCTCGGAGTCCGCAACCGCCTGCAATATTACTGTCGAATTACTGTCGAACGCATACACCCATCCGCCGCCCTCGGGACAATACATTGTACTTCTCCGCACCGCTGTCCTGTCCTGTCTTGCCCTGTCCTGTCCTGTCCTGTCCTGTCCTGTCCTGTCCTGTCCTGTCCTGCGATGCGATGCGATGCGATGGTACCAGCCGCTTGGGCTGGCGTGGGAGCGATATTCAGCCGGTCGCGCCACATCCCCTCCCCAGCATGCCTTTTTCGATTTTCTTGCTCTTGTCCGCCTCTTCCCTCCAGATCCATCGTCCTCCCCCTCCCCGGCGGCTCCTCAATACCAACTCTTCGCACCGCCATGCCCAGGGAGCCCTACCGAGACCGGCCCCAGCGGCCTTCCTCTGCGGTGGACTCGTATCGACCAGAGCCCACCCACCCACGAGACAGCGACCCGCGCCCCCAGATCCATCTGCCTCCTGCCCCGGCCTCCCCCTCACTCCCAGATCCCCGGCCCAACCCCCCGTTTCGCAGCTCGTCGCCTCCGCCCCGTCCCGACCGTGCCGACCGTCCCGACCGCCCTCGGCCTTTGGCTCGCAACCGGGACGCAGACCGCTTCCAGGGCTCGGACCAGGGCCGTTCGCGGCCGCCTGGTCGGCCAGTCGAGGATGTCCCGCCTCGCGACGATCGCCGTCCTTACGACCGCTTCTCTCGCAGCGCAGATCCTCTTCCCACCAACAACAGCAACAACAATGGCGACTCTTTCCACCGCAGCATCGAGTCTTCCTCCCGTGATGCAGACCCCTTTCGCAGCCAAAACCCACGCGGCCTCGGCGTGCAGGACGGTTGGCCCCGTTTGCCTGATCAGCGCCATGCCGAGAGACGAGGTCTGGATCCGTCTCGGCCTCAAGACGACCAGCCGCCTTCCCGACCAAAGCCATCAGACAGGCCCAGGATCGACTCGTATAAGCCCGATCATGCAAGCGCACCCCGTGGCATCACCATCGGCGAGAAGCGCAAGCCGTCAAGCGAGGTGGGTGAACGAGGGCAGCGGGATCTGGGTCGTTTTGGGATGCCTGCTCGCGTATGCTCCGTCTCGCCGATGGCCGGATCTTGTCGCTGCTATTTCACGGCAAGACCTGGGGCCGACATGGCAGTCTCGGCTGCTGCTGCAGTCGCTAAAGTGTGCGCAAGCCGACGCCGCGAGGGCAAAGTGGAGCCCAGCCCCTTCCATTCCGCTGCCCCTGCACCACCAAGCCCGTTCTTCTCCCTTCCTCTGATCCAAATGCCTGCTTGTCTGTATCTGTGCAGGAACCCGAACGAGCTCCGGATACTGAGTCGGCTGCCGGCCTCGGTGCGCCGCAACGTTTCGACATGGTGGCGGATATCCGACAGCCACCGAGAAACAGGGTTGGCGATCGACCTCCCGAGCCGACCAGAGAGAGCGGGTTAGTTGCGAATCGCCAGCGAGGCATCCGTTGAACATTGGGCAATCCCCCATGGACACTTACCGAGCCGAGCCGAGCCGAGTCGAGCCGGGCGCATGGGTGGGCCGCACCCTGCCGCGATCCGCAAAGCCTCCGCTCCTCCTTTGCTCTCCCACTTTCGTTCGTCTTGTCTTCCGCGCCCTTTGGACTTGGACAGCCCTCGTTCGACTCAAGGCTGCGGAAGCACTCTTTCATCCTCGTCTCCTCCAAGCTAATGTTGCCTTGAAATCTGTGTTTGCTGCAGACCCCAGCCCTTCAACCGACGTGATCATGGCGACAGTCAGAAGCGGAGAGACACGCAGCGGCCTCGGATCGATCGCTGGAAGCCGGGCCATGACCAAGGCGGGGCACACGAAGCTCGGCAGACCGGTTGGCCTGAATCGGCCTCGACCGCAGCTGCCACAGGGACCCCGTCGTCAACGAACGTGACCGTGACGATCGTTACCACCGACAGCAGCCGCACCGTCCTGCAGGATTCGCGTCAGGACGATCGGCACGACATCAGGCGGCCCCACGAGTACGAATGGCCCGACGCAAAGCGGCACAAGAATGACGACGACGACGGCAATGACAACAGGCCTCCGTTGGAGCTCCCGCCTCGCCGTTCGCCAGAGATCGTCAAGGGTGCTTCTGAACCGGCCCCTCCTCGGCCCGAGTCGCGATCGGCCGCAGAGCCCCCCGAGCGCTTGGATCCAGCCGTGGTCAAGCGTCCATACCCTGCGCAGACGCCTGCCTCTGCTTCGATTTCCTCTCCACAGCGCCGTCAAGCGTCGGATCGCAGCCAAGAATCGGCTCAAGAGCGCGGCCCGGGCGCATCTCGATCTGATTCCGTGGCAGGGCAGCTTGCGCCGGCCCGTCAGGCAGAACAGGCGCCCAGGCCACTTGGACAGGATCGGCCGTTGGCTGTTCAAGAGCCCAGGCCCTCTGTTCAGGAGCGTCCACCGTCGACCATCCAGGTGGCCCGGTCGGCGTCTGGCGACGGCAAGCTTATGACTCACGACAACCAGCCCCATTTCCGCGATGACAGGTTCCCGCCCCGAGGACAGCGTCCGTTCCCTCCAGAGAATCGAGCTCATGGCCCAGAGCCGTCGCCCCAGGATCGCAGACCGCCTGCGCAAGAACGCAGACTGTCCGGGCCGGACACCAGATCCCTTGAGCGCGACAGCCAGCCTCTCAAGAGCGACAGCAGGATCCACCCGGAGCGAGAGAGCAGATTGCATCCCGAGCGCGACTCTCGCCTGCATCCACAGCGCGACGATAGACTGCACCCGCAGCGCGACGATAGACTGCACCCGCAGCGAGACCGTAAGCTGCACTCGCGGCCAGACAGCACGCACTACCGGACTGATGTCTCTCCAAAGCCTTCTGTAGAGCCCATCCGCGCTGCGGAGCATGTGTCGAGCGTTCAGCGACCCGAGCCGACCCATGACGTGCACCCCGACTCGTCCAGACGCGATCGATTCAAGCAGAGTGAGCAAGATGAAAGCTCAGGCCGCCTGAAGCATGAACGCGATGAGCAAAACGACGCCGCTGATAGAAACGAGACCGAACGTCTCCCGAAATCCGACGACGTCGATAGCGACGAAGTCGATAGTGAGCCTCATTTTGACGCCGATGAGCTCCCGCAGCCTTGGACTGAGATCAAGTCGCGGTCCTCGGGCGAGTCGTATTACTTCAATACGGAGACGGGTGAGTCGTCGTGGTCTCTGCCGGAGGAAGTCAAGGCACGGATCTTTGCGGCCCGGGACGCAAAGCGCCTGCAGGAGCAGTCTGCTTGCCCGCAGGACCGTGGCTCTGTCGCCAACCCGTCAAGAAGCAATACCACTGCACGCCGAGAGGCGCTGCCGGCGCAAGATGCTCAGCCTACCAGGATAGAGCCCGCTCACGGCAGCGGACGTTCGGCAAGGGGCGATTGGGACTCACAAGATCGACCTAGACAAAGGGATGCCCCTGCTTCCAGAGATCCGATTGTCTCAAAAGATGGCCCGGGCCGAGACAGGCCTGCCACTCGCGATCCGGGACAGCCTTCAGGTGGCAAGAGTCACCTCTCGCCCCGTCACTCGGAGCGCAAGCGATCTCTCTCGCCAGGACGGGACACTGCATCAAAGCCGGACCCAAGCAAGCGCTACCGCCCGGACTCTGATGTGCCAAAGCCACCGCCGTTGGCTGCGGTTCGAAGTGGCCAGCAAGCCGCTGATCAGATCGAATGGCAAACCGAGCGTCATGAGACCGCGCCAATGGGCCGTGGCCGATATGCTTCTACGGCGCCAGGACAGCATCCAAAGATGGCAATGGTGGTGACAGGGCCCAATCGCAACAATATTGAAGCCTCGCCAACCAGGCCGCCTCGGAGCGACGGCAACGCCGACGAGGATGATCGAGGCAGCCCCACCAATGCGGGAGAGGTACGCTTTTCTGCCAGCAGCCTTCAGACCATCCTTGACCTCCGACTCGGAGGTGCTGATTCAAGCTGGACGAGAGGGATACAAGAGCGACCAAGCCACCACGCCCACCGCTTCCTCGTCTCTGTGTGGCATTGAAGCAGCCGTGACCACAGCAATTGACTTTTCGTTCCTGCTCTGTTTCTCTTCAACTGCATTTGCTGCCTGCATTTGCAATGGGACCGCCTTCCCTTCGGCCGTCTGACACACAGCCGCTGACCCGGACAAACGATACCAAACCAGACCAACGACCACAGCACCCCATCGCACTGCCACCAACGAACGACCGAAACGACCCGTGGGAAGAACGACAGCGAGAAAGTCGCTGGGGCGGCGACCGACGAAGTGGCGGCCGACAGGCAGCCAACTTGCGCGATGACGACGACCGTAGCAACATACGCGATGGCCGATCCCGCGAAAACGGTCCGCTGCGGGATGGCATGCGTCGGGGCAGTGATCGACTGGACGAGGACACTCGAGAACCCAACCCTCGGGACAGAGACGCTGCCCTCCCAGGCAACCCCGCCGACAACGGTCCTCGGGACCATCCCAGAGAACACAACCAAGGCACCCGCTCTGACGAGCCAAGGGGTCGAGGCTATAACCCCCGCAACGGCAACAACAGCAGCAATAACTACAACCAAAACCGTCGCGGTGGCTACGGTAGGCCCGGCAATGCCCGTGTTGCCAATTCCTGGGACGCCGGAGACCGAGAAGACCCGCTTCCCGAGTCCCGCCCAAGAGACGATGCCCCACGAGACAGCAGGCCTCGCGAGGGCGGCTTTCCAGAGTACCGGCCACGCAACGAAGATTCGCAACGATCCCCTCCTCCGCACAGCCGCGGCGATCATCCACAAAGACGCAGCACCACCGACTCATTGGACCGAGCACCGTGGCCTCAACAGCCCTTGGACCGATACGTTCCATCGTCGGCATCAGCAGCAGCATCAGCAGCAACCTCAACAGCACCGCTGCCACCGCCGCCACATCCGGACACGGATCGATACGTTCCCTTGGATCGAAATCGTGGTCAGGGAGGTATGAACAACCCGCGAGGCGGCGGCGGCCGTGGAGATACTGCCGGTGCCTGGGACGGCAACGTACGCAACCGAGGCGATCGACACCAATCCGGCCGTAACGGCAACGGTGGCGGCCGGTCCAGCTTTGACGGTCGAGACCGGCGGTGAGCGGTGGCTCTCTGGCACCAAAACGGAAGCAATGAACGAGGGCTTCGCCTGTGGCAGGACTGCCTTGATGGAAAGGGGCCTTTGATGCCCGCCAGGACTGTATCAGGTCCACAATCCACAGTCCACACAATAAAACGATCTCTAGATCCTGCCATCTCGGTCGGCCATCTCGATTTTGCCATCCTGGCCTGTCTTTTCTCCGACCCGCTGTGCAGCGCCGTTCCTGCTTCTGTGCCGAGCGGGGACTGCTCGTGTTGATCCAGAGTCCCACGACCAATTGTCGCTTGGAACTTTCGCTTGATCTCAGACGTGCCCGCTGTCGCAAAGCAAGACAGCCCAGCCAGCCCTCCAGCAGCTTGATATCCGAGGCTGAAACGTTTGCTCCTCTGAGCTGTCGAGCTCCTCTACCCTCGCATACATGAGCAACATGCCCTCCTCCAACGGCAACGCCAGGCGATCTGGAGACCGACCGGCGAGACCGCGGGCCTTTGAATCGGATGAGATCGAGCACCACCACGGCCCAAGGGATCAGGCCATCGACGAGATCTCGGATCGGAGCACCCAAAAGTACGACCCTCGCTCATCAACCATCGCAGAGCAGACGAAAGAGAGACGGGAGAGGGATGGACTCGAGTCTGGCTGGCTGAATTGCCTCCTATCCCTGGATGGTCCTGACTCTGTATCTCTCGTTGCATCGACACTTTCGCCACACTCTTTGTCCTTTGACTTGTCCTTGGTGCATCAGAACAGTCGCCGATCCCAAGAAGGCGCCGCTCGTTATCCCCCTGATTGCTGAAAACCAATGGAGGGACAAACCCGAGGCCAACGACACCGACGGCAAGTCCGAGACCGTATCGCTGACCAAGACCTGGGGACTGATTCTCCCAAAGAAACGCAAGGCCGCACCGGACCTGCCGAGTGCCGAGCATGATGCGGCCCCGACCGATGCCGACACATCCCCGCCAAGCGACGGTGCGGATGGACCTGTCTCGGAATCAGCTGCTCCTCGGACAGAGGAGCAGGAAGCCATCGACACCCTGATCGCAGGTGAGGCGAAGCGATGGTCCGGCCTGAGTGTCGCATTGCTGCTGGTCTCGAGGATCTCTGGACCGGACCCAGTCGGCCAGCCGAGAATGAGGTGGTGGCATCAAGATCAGGGACAGCGGCAATGGCGCAGATCTTTGGGCTGTTGGGCAACTCATCCGGTGCTCTGCATTCCTTCCGCATCCGCATCCGCATCCTCATCCTCATCCTCATCCTCATCCTCATCCTCATCCTCATCCTCATCCTCATCCTCATCCTCATCCTCATCCTCATCCTCATCCTCATCCTCATCCTCATCCTCATCCTCATCGCCTTTGCGTTTGCCCAGCCGCCACTGGCCAGGGTCAGCCCGTTCAGGCCGTCCCGATCATAATGCAGAACCGAGTGCCTGGCATCGACCACCTCGCCGACGAAGTGCAAAAGTACCGCCACGACGTCTCGCTACGCCCGGACGACACAAGTCTGGATGATTACGACGATGTCCCTGTCGAGGCCTTTGGCGATGCCATGCTGCGGGGCATGGGCTGGAAGGAAGGCAAGGCGGTGGGAAGGAACCCAATTGGAGTGTAAGTACACTCTCAGCGAACGCAAACTTGGCCAGCACTGCATCTCTTCGGACAGCGGAACCGAGAGGAATACTGCTCTGTCCCTTCCGGTGGTGGAGGAGGCCACATTGGGTGGCCATATCGAGTCAAAATGCGGCCCCGCCGATTGCCTTGGATGCGCTTTGGGCAGACTAACCCGAACCGCTGTCCCGCGAAACCGCCACCGATTCAGCATCTTTGAACCCATCGTGCATACGGCCCGGCCGCAACTGCTTGGACTGGGAGCTACGCCGGCGCCTGTGACTGAGAAGAAAGCCAGGCTGGGAGACGTGAGTCTGTCGGGGTCCAAGGACGGCAAGGTATGGCGTGTGCAGCAATATCGGCACATCGATTCTCTCGACCGAGAGGGGCCGCTCGCTTTCCTTTCCCTGTCGCTGAGACTCCTTCTTTTCAGACAGACGGTGCACAGAAGGACAAGTCGTCCGACTACCGATCCAAATCTACTCGGTTCCGCAAGGGCGATCGTGTCGACGTGACTTATGGAAGGTACAAGGGCTACGGCGGCGAAATTGTCGAGCTGCGAGACCGAGACGTGATCATGGTTCGGATCCGGCGGAAGGGCAAATCAGACGTGAGTACCTGGCTCTCCTCCATGTTGTTGAAATAAGAGAGAAGGAAAATGGATTGACACAGTGTCCGGGTGGTGAATGCCCGTGCGGTTGGTTCACGAGAGGCGAAATGCTGATCCGTTGCTCCCAATCCAGGTGGTCAAGGTTTACGAAGACGAGCTGGACCTGGCCGAGGAGTCGGACTCGCACGATGACGACAGAGGCCATGGAGGCAAGCCAAAGAAGACTTGGATGCGACCGTATCTGCGCCTGGTGAGTTGGTGGACCCTTGCATCGTTTGGCGATGCTGGTTGCTGATTGCTGATTTCTGATTGAGTGGGAGTAGGAAGGAGCTGACATGCAGAGACACTCGCTAATGAATGATCGGATGTCGTCAGCGAGTGGTGAGTCGCTCGTTCAAACGCGGGCGATACGACGACATGAAGTGCACCGTCCAAGACGTCCTGCCGTCCGGCGAAGCCATCGTCAGATTTGATAACGGAGAAGTGGTTGAAGGTGAGCGTGTGTGCTGACACTGAAATGCGCATCCAAGAGCCGGGGCCAGTGTGGCGGTCCACCATCCAGGGGACGGCCAGCTTGTTAACCCATACGTCATCGCCGCGCTCACTTGCACCGGGAATCCAGGCGTTCGAGAATCGCATGTCGAGACGTACATACCAGGCACGGGGAAACCGGTGATGGTTGTGGTCCACAGCAATCCGGAATACGTGGGCCAGACGGGCAAGATCCTGGAGAAGGACCGCGACAACGAGCGGGCTGTGGTCCAGCTGGATCAGGATTTCGAGGTCGTGGTGAGTATGCTCACAGCCGAGAGAGCGGCAGTTCATGGAAGTGCCGTCGATTGATGCTTGCAGTACACGAGCATCTTGCCGAGACTCACACGTGCGACTCGCCATATCCGCTTTCTCACAGACCGTCGAGTACGATCACATCACCGAAATCACCTCCGACCACGCACATTGATCTCGGGAGATTTTGCCGGGGGTCCGATGTCTCTGACATGTGGCGGGCGTGGACCTGGGTGGGGCCCACGGGCGCATTGCCACATGTCCAGAACATGACTCTGCCTGATGAATAAAATGCTCAGCCGGTGTCGCGCTGATCGAATTTGAAAAGTTGAAGTGTATTTACAGAAGAAAAAACGAACAGAAAGTACCCAAGCCGAGTTTGAAGGACACACAATATGTATAGAACGAACTATCAAAAAGGAAGAACTGCACAAAGATCAGCAACAACGGCAACAGGAGCCATGTTGCCGGGCATCCGAGGCGGGGGCAGCCCAGCGACCGCTGATAAATACCAAGAAAGAATGAGCAAAACGAGTAGTCGGGGCTATCAAAGGAAATGAGGGCAATACCACGGAAAAGGAAGAAAAAACAGAAACACGGGCAAGAACAGAGGGAGAGAGAGAGAGAGAGAGAGAGAGAGAGAGAGCGAGAGGCTCCCGGGGAAGAGCCAAGGCGTAGCTACAAAGACGCAAGAGGCATACACCAATGCCGCACGTCCAAATTGCAGGTTTCATCGGGTGCGTTGCTTGTTTTCATCGTGGGTCCAAAAGCTCGGATTCGGAATCACATTAGTATGACAGCTGCCGGGGGGGGCTCATTGACGTCGAACGGCGCGGGGGGAATGGGGCTCGAAACGGAGAGCGATGCCAAGTCTGGCCAAGGGGAGAGCGCCGCAATAACTTGACCAAATCGGAATTGCAATAAATACAGAGGCCGGACAAGAGGAGGCCGGAGTCCACAAACTTGCTCATGGATTGCATAGGTCGGGTGGATGGACGGACGAGCGGAGGCGGAGGTAGTGGAGGAGGCTGAAACGGGACCGGTGAAACGAACGGGCAGAAGGATGGACGAGTGAACCAAAGAACGAGTTCGAATGGCACATGTGAGAGTCAGAGTCAAGCAGAGAGCCCGGGAAGCGGAGCCCAGGAGGGAGCCAACGTCAAAACTGGTGAAAATGGAAAGAAGGAAACCTTTTTTTGAGGGGGGGAGTGGCAAATTATTTTTGGGAGATGGAGAGAGAGGAAAAGGGCTGTGAGAACAAAAGAGGAACGTGCAGAGGTGGTGCCGGTGTCATGCAAAGGTGTCCTGGGAGGCAACAAAATCACAGCGGAAGGCGGAGGAGGGGTGCTGGCACGGTCGCTCAGTTGCCCGTTCGGACGAGTGTCCGGTGGTAAAAGTGATCGTCGGGATCCTGGAGATAGATGACGCCGCGGTCGACGGCGACATTGAAGCCCAGGGCCAGCAGCAGGTCCTTTCCCATGATGCCGTCGTGATACTCGGTGTTATCGAAGGGCTTGGGCAGGGCAAAGACGTTGTTCACGATCTGGTAGTGGCTGAACACGCTGAGGAGGACCGGGGAGTATCTGGGCAGGCAACAGCAAAGGCGGGGAGGTCAGAAATCGGTGTGGCCGAGCGACGAGGCAGGGTCCATGACCGCAGGCAGACAGAGACGCAGACAGAGACGCAGGCGGATGGAGGAGGTGGGAACCGAGGAGTGTGTCTGTCCAGGAGGCACAGCCGCAGCCAAACGAGGCGTGCTGCATGGTCCCGGACCATGCGCGATCGCGCACGTTTCGACGCAAGCCACCGAGGCAGCAGACCAGCAGCAGCACCAGCAGCAGCACCAGCAGAAGCACCAGCAGCGGGCTCCCTCCCACCAGGCCATTTGCTCCTGGATCAGAGGATCTCTGGCGGCGCTTTGGGGCTCACGGACAATGGCTCTGGCGGACGTTCGGGGAGGGGGAGGGAGATGGGAGAGGCGGGCGACAGGAAGCAGCATCTCCAAAGCGGGCAAGGGCAATACCTCGTGACGGTCCCATAGCACGACTCGTGGGAGCCGACGGGCTCCAGTCCCAGAATCACCGCATCGTCCTCCCGGATGAACAGCCCGCCCACACTCTTGGAGGCATGGACAAACGGGTTGATGGTGAGCTGGGGCGCGGCAGGCGAGACGGGAGGCGTGGAGGTCGGCAAGAAGACCGGGGCGGCAGCAGGGTTGTCGGGCAGCACCGCCTTTGAGGCCTTTGCCAGGACGACGGGATGTGTATTGGGGCGACGGAGCGACGAAGCGGGCCCCTTGGCGGCGGAGGGCAGATAGGGAAGATGGGCCGCCTTGGTGGGAAGAGCACGATGATGAGGCGACGGAGGCAGAGGCGGGAGGGCGCCGTCCGCGACGACAGAGGCGGCTTGAGACGAGGCAATCATGGATGCGGGAGACGCAGTGAAGAAGAAAAACACCAGGGAGGAAGGGGCGACGGTTAGGCGGCGGAGACAGGCAGCGACGGGAAACGGCGGGCAGCGATGGGCAGCGATGGGCAGCGATGAGCGGGCGAAGAGGAGACAGAAGGGCGGCGACGATGCGGGCGAAGGGACGAGTATTTAAGGGCGGGGCATGAGGCCAATCAGACATCACGTGTGCCGTTGGCAAAGGAGCGCTGCGGGGGGGAGGCGGACGGGCGGCCGAGGGGGGAGCGGTGCGGTGTGATAGTGTGATGGTGGGTGTGATGGTGGTGCGATGGTGGTGTGATGGTGGTGTGAGAACGAGAGTGCGATGGTGGGTGTGACAGTGGTGTTAACAGTGGTGTTAACAGTGGTGTTAACGGTGGTGTTAACGGTGGTATCATCGGCAACGGCAAGAAGACACACTCGATGCAACGCAATCGAGCTGCTCGTGTGATCAACCCGCCTGCCTCTTGCAGAGATCCCATGCCCTCAGAGCCGCACCAGCGTGACCCGCACGGCCTGGCCCGAGACCCGGATGGCGGCTGTTGTCCGGCGGTCCGTGCTGGCGGTGGGTGCACAGGGGTGGTGGGGGGGGGGAGCGACGAGGGCTGGTTGGAGGCGGAAGCACGGCGGGTTTGATGGGATATACTCATGGCAATCGATCCAAACACTATCCCCAGACGCACTCCACACACACCGAATGCTTCCAGCTCCGGTTTCCAAGACACACGGCCAGCGGCCCGCTTGTGATATGCATACCGGATGATCTGGCGATCCCCCTCAAGCATCCAGCGGGATGTGACCGCACTGCCCATGCAAGCCCTCGTGATCTTCCAGAGATTGACCCTCGTACGATTCATATATTTGCTATTTGGGAACATCGGGACAGCATCCACGATGACGGACGAACATTTTGCATCGCCCCAACCCACCCACCTCAGCGTGATGCGGACAGCTGCCGATACCAATGTGGAGCCTCGATTTTCGTCGGATCAAGAGCACTTGGAGACCAGATTCTGGCCCATGGACAGACAGGACGAACTGATTTGCTTTCCGATGCACACGAGGAACTGTCCGTCGTAGTAGAGAGCCTGTTGGAGGGTTGGGTTGCGATGGGCCGAGAAAGTGCTCATGGCCTGATTGAGGCAGGTTCGCGTGGCCTGCAACTGAGCTGGCGGGATCTGCTGAGTGCCCCAGTTGGTGATGGAGTTGTAGCAAGCGCCCCATTGGGACGAGTACTGAGACACGGCGCTGCAGCACGAAGGCGAGATGGTCATGTCGCTCGACTTGGAGTACCCTTGCAAGAAGGCACAGCCTCCGAGGCTGTTGGTCGCGGTATAAACCCTGCTGGACGAGACGGCGGTGGTGACTGCACTGTTGAAGACCGAGATTGCGACGACCGAAGCAACAGCAGCACCGATGGCAACCTTGTCATAGACCGAGCTGTTGGTGCTCTGGGCCGCCTTGTGAACCTTGACACCGGCGCCAACACCACTGGAAAGAGCCTTGGCTGCGACACTGTCGACCTGCTTGCCAACCTGCTCCGTGACAACGTCATTAAGAGGGATTTCGACCATGGAAGGATCGGCGATTGTAGTGTGGGGATCGACCACCTGGGTGGTGGTGCGACTTGCGGTCGTGACTTGCGGCCCTTCGCGGATCATGTGGAGGAATCCCAGAGAGAGCACAGCGCTGGTGACAGAGCACCAGGTCGTCCAGTCGGCAGCGCTGAACCTGGCAAGTGACCAGATCGAGATGCCCAGCGAAACGAGGGTGAACAGACAGGCCATGAGAAACAGCGTGCGGTAAGACAGGCCACATGTGCCTGGGCGAGAGTAGAGTTCGCTGAGCTCGCCGCTGGCGCGCATCGCGCTGATGCTTCCTGCGATCTTGGCAACCTTGGCGACTGAGAGAATGGAGGCAAGGATGCCAACAACAGCGGCGGCATAGCCGCCGTACTGCAAAACACCGGGAGTGACAAAGGACATTGGACGAAGAAAACGAGGAAAAGTGGTGCGGGAAGCAGGTGCTAGGCAAGAGGAGGAGAGAGAGGCAGCGAGACGCTGGGCGCAGGAGCGTAATTTATATCTAAAGCCGATCAACAGCGGCTCAGAGGAACCAAACGCCGCCGGCCCAGACAACGCGGCACTTGTGTTGTCGATTGGTGCTGACGGCGGGAGGTGCACCGTCGGCGGGAGGGATTGGCGCTTGTTGGATGAAACAAATATACACGATGCCTTGAGCATGGTGAAACGAATGTACACGCTACTTTGGCCCATGCGGACAGGACCTTGCTCAAGTACTGGCCGATTGGGGACAGGGCTGAAGCGAGGGCAACGACAAAGCACGAGGAAATGCGCCGTGGCTCTCGATGGGGGACGGAGATGGGATTGGTAATCGAGACAGCAGCACTGCCAAGACACACAGATGGTCCGATGTGCCCAACTGGACTCAGCTGGTCTGGACGTGGTGAGTAGTGAGCGAGTGGTGAGTGAGTGAGTGGTTGTCGATGGACGACATCATTGCCTTGATGTGCGAACCACACCACACACGTGCAACCACCAGTCCACGTGCTTGCGGATCGCTCCGGATCCAGTGCACCTGGCTCGATCCGGATCGCTCTCGCATCTGTGTGACACTTGTGTGTCTGTCGGATACATCGCACCACGCGCCATACAACGCAGCCATACAACGCAGCCACGCCTCAGCCACACTGTACAGCACAGCCACTTTGCCTTCCCACGCCTCTGGCTCCGTTTGTCGATATAAATACCCTGTCACTCGCCTCGACTTCTGCCAACCATCCATCTCCATCTCATCTCATCTCATCCAATCCATGACGCCCGTGCCTGCATCCGCCGCCGAGTCGTGGCTGCTCTGGCTCCTGCCCTTCCTCGCCCACGAACAGGCGTCGCTGCTCGTCAGCCACGTCGTCTCGCTCGGCCATGCCGCCAACAGCGGTTGGACCCATCTGCAGCAGCAGCTGACCGGTGGCAGCCTCAAGCCCATCTACGATCTCTTCAGCCAGTCCCAGCTGCAGATGCTGCTGCTGGCCTGGGTCCCGGTCCACTTTGGCAACTACATCAACACCGGCATCTACGTCGTCGACATGTTCAGTGAGTGTTGTGCAGCCGAGTAGAGACGAGCCGAGACGAGCCCTGTCCCCGGTGCTGCTCTCGTTCCGCACAGCAGCATGTCCTCGGGGTGGCTCTGTCTCTCGGGTGACTGTCCGTTCCCGCAGTGCTGACTCTCGACTCGCCCCACAGCAACCTCCGCCATCGTCACCATCGGCCTCGCCCTTGCCAAGTACATCTGGGACAACATCGGCAGCTGGATGCTCGCTTCCGAAGACATCAGTCTCCGCGTCGAGTACTTCCGCATCGACTCGTACGGCGAGCGCTGTGTCAACGAGCACTATCTGTCGCTCGCCTGGCTGATCTCCAAGCTGGCCAAGGGCCAGGAGGTCGGCGAGTTCCGGCTCGTCCCCTTCGAGTCCTCGGCCGGCATTTCTGGTACTCTCGCTGCCGGCTCAGCAGCAATGAGCAAGCCCGCAGCCTCAGAGTCGGACCCGACCAAGGAGCCTGAGGGCGACGCCAAGCCGGGCAAGAGCGAGCTCGGTGCAGACGGCGCCATCTCGAACGACTCGGACGATGTCGATGACGAGGACATCTCGGACTTCAACATCCTCCCCGTCGACAACAGCAAGAGCATGAAGCTCCAGGACGACGGCGACACCTTCCGCGTCTGGTTCGAAAAGGCCGACAATGGCGAGGAAACCAACAACTCGGAGTCGTCTCGCTCGATGCGCGCCGGAGCCGAGCCCACCATCGTCATCTGCCCCGAGACCCCCGGCAAAAAGTACAACGTCGAGTGGATCCGCAACTGGGTCATCAAGGTCGCCCGCCAGTTCGAGCGCCATCAGAAGCGCAACAAGACCCGAGGCCGCTACGAGCGAGTCGCTGCCTCCTGGGACGCCGGCTCATACTACTGGAACATGACCTGCACTCTGCACTCGAGGTGAGCCATGCACCGTGAATCGGGCAGCCGGGATCGGGTCGCTTCTGTTGGTGCCAGCACATGCCTCGGTCCATCGCACCGACACAGCACCCATCGTCGCCCTGGCCATCTGCTTCGTCGCTGACCCACGCTGCCTGTGCATCTATCCAGCCGCGGCATCGACGCCGTTTCGCTCGACATGGCCCAGGAGAAGCAGTTGCGCAAGGACATTGCCACCTTCACGGCCGATCGCGAGTTCTACGCCCGCATGGGCATTCCCTACCGCCGCGGCTATCTGTTCTCAGGCCGACCGGGCACCGGCAAGTCCAGCCTGGTCAACGCCCTGTCCTCGTCGCTCAACCGCGACCTCTACTACATCAACCTCCGGGAGATCAAGGACGACAGCGCCCTGCAGTCGGCCTTCTCCAGCATCCCCAAGAACTCGGTGATTGTCTTTGAGGACATTGATGCCCAGTCCAAGACGGTGCACTCGCGGACCAGCCGTGCCCTGCTGCATGCCGAGATGCCTGCCTTTGAGGACATTAGCATCATGGGTCCTTCGCTGGACCAGAAGGCCAGGCTGCTGCCTTCGACTGGCTTCACCCTCTCGGCGCTGCTCAACTGCCTCGACGGCTATGTCACCGAGGAGGGCATGATTGTCATCATGACGAGCAACCACCCCGAAGTCCTGGACCCGGCCCTGATCCGGCCCGGCCGCATCGACCTACACATGGACCTGGGCTACTGCACCCAGTACCAGTTTGCGCACATGTACCGCGCCGTCATGGACGATCCTGCTGCTGTGCTCGAGGGCGTCGAGACCCTCCCCGAGCACGTCATCTCCCCTGCCGACGCCATGCGGATCATGATCCTGAACCGGGCTGCTCCCGACAGCGTGGTCCCGGAGCTCCTGAAGCGGGCCTCGGAGATCCAGGCTGGCGCAAAGTCCGAGTGGGAGATTGAGCAGGCGATCAAGGAAGCGTATCGGGCACAGCAGGAGCGCGAGGAAGAGCAGAAGCGCGAGGAAGAGCAGAAGCAGAATGAGAAAGAGAAGGCCGAGAACGGCGACTCGGACGGCAAGGACGGCAAGGACGCTTCGGCCGAGAAGGACACTTCTGGATCCAAGCCAAGCGACGGCGACTCGTAAACTGGCTGATATACTGCCAACAGCGGTCCAAGCACCACCGACTTGGCACCCGCCTCATGTGCATCCATCCCATCCCATTAATACCCACTCTGTATCATCTCATCGACCTGCTCTCTGCATGCACACCTGGACACTCCACGATGGTGCGGCTGTCTCGCACGCCAATATACACATGTCCAGTCCATGACTCTTGCTGCCCATGAGACAACCAGGACGGCGTAAGACCCGGGCCGATCTGATTCTGCTGAGTGGAAGGTCGATTCGGCTTCATTTCACAGCCTCTGCTATGTGACAGCACTTGGGTGCACGGCAGACACCGTAGTGACGATATACATGATCGATGGCCATGAGTTATCTCCAGCGACCTCATTTTTTGAGAGGGAGTCAATGCGAGCCTCTCAACTGCGGTCAGCGTCTTGCATTGATCCATCATCCCACAGCCGTCGCAGTCGTCTGTCACGGACGGCAGAGTAGCATGCACAAACTCCGCTCTCCGTATCGAATGTCGTCCTCGGCGCGTCGCTGCCAAGCCACGGCTCGAATGCACTCCAGCCGCACCGAGCATGCGACACACAGGTGACACTATCGCGCACGACAAGCGCGTCGCAGTCAGGTGACTGTCGTGCTAATGAAGTCTTCATCTGCCCTTTTCTGGCGCATATGAGCTGGCCCAATCCGTCCCAGTCTGGCGGTGTGGCTTCTTCAGCTCCATCACCACAACCACCTGGTGGATCGCCCCAACACCCACGCCCGAGTTGTTCTCAAGCCGTGCGGGAATCGCCGCCCAACTGTCTCGATACCGCATCGCCGTCGCCAAGCACGCATCTGACCGCCCTGCTGTGGGCTCGTGCCAAACCTCTCTCCTGCGATACCCCTGGAAGCGAACACTGCAAGCATGACCCGCTCGACTTCGGCCAACAGCCTCGAGCAGAATCCGTCAGCAGCGTCCAATGGTGGGTTCTCTGCGTGTGTCGCATGTCATCGGAGCCTCGATGCTGACGCTACATTTGATGTCCTTGGTATCTTCAGCACGCAGCCGCTCGGAGCGGGTGGCGGCCAGGAAGCGCAAGGTCGGCGCAAGGTGAGCGTCTCCACCGCCGCTGATTCATGACGACCGGTCCCTGGATCAGAGAACCGATCCGGCGTCCGATCGTGCTGGGAGCTGGATTGGGGCCGAGGCCGCTCCGTCCTGAGCGTCGTTATGAGTCCCCGCATCATGGTCGAGTCTTCTGCAGACCCATTCGTCAGCGCCTCTATGCGAGCTCCGACTCGGCTCTTGTTTCGAAGGCCTTCTCGTTCTCGTTGGCCGGCCTGCAAGCCAATCCAACCCGTTCCGTCCCTAACATGCCCTCGATCCCTTATCTTTGCGATGATATGCTCGCCTCTATTCCATCGCCCGCACCATGAACAAAGCCTCGCCAAGTTCGAGCAAAAGACGCCCAACTTCTTTGCCCTCCCGCCGTCCCTCTCGTCGTTGAGAAATCGGCCCCGCCCAGCCCGTGCTACAACCGCACCCGCCAAAAGCAACCCGCCAGAACCCACCAGCGCATCCAACAGACACGCTGCCGCCGTCACCGCCGACGACTCGGACTCGGATGAATCGCTTCCGGATCGCCACGATCCCCCTGCTGCCTTGTCTGCGGAGCCCACTGTCCAGCCTGTCTCGGATCCAGCTGCCGAGTCGGACGCTGTCCCGCCGCTTGCAGACCCTCCTCCTCCCCATCACCTCAGTGAAGACCCCAACACGAGCTGCAGCGCGCCGGACGACTCCCAAGAGCTTGAGGCGCAGGACATTCCATCGCAGGACATTGCATCGCAGGACATCTCGATGCAGGACGCTTCGCCACTGATCGCTCCGACACCTGATATCGAATCCCTCAACATGACCTCACAAAGCGCCCAGCTTCCGAATCCTCAGTCTCACGACGTATCGACGTCCCGCTCACAATCGCCCTTTCTGTCCGACGTCATGGGCTCTCAGATCAACCCCAGTCCGTCTCTTCTGGACTCGCCTCTCTCGATCGACGACAAAGCCGGCAGCCAGTCAGCCTCAGGCACCACGCAGCCGTTGGACCTGCCAATAGCGCATGCCGACATCGCCGCCACTTCCTCTTCATCCCTCCTCAGTGACGACCTCTCGAGTGAAATGGTCTCGTCCGCCCTGTCAAACCTGGACTCGACTTCACTACAGTCCTCCACCCACCCTGTCAACTTATCTGTCACCACCAGTCATGACCAGGCTGGGTCGTTATCACATCCCCAAACACCATCCGCCGCCTCGTTAGAGGCAGCGGTTCAACACATCAAGCCGACCGATACAGCGCCGGTCGTTCCCCTTCCCGCCAGCCCACCCAAAGACTTGCTTCATGAGCTGCATCTGCCACTCGACACGCACGCCACCGACGCGGGTATGATCCAAGTCGATAGCCAGATCTTTGAGAGCATCGACCAGTTCTGTGGCACAAATGCATCGCACGACGACCAGGCCTGGGACTTGCTCATGGAAGAGATGACGCATGCCACTCCCGCGCGACCGCGCGATCCGAAGACTTTGACCGAAGCGCTCAAGTCCAAAATCGGTGCGCTTGAGCACTCGGATGCACAATCACTGCTGTCGCCCCAGCCACCCACGCCTCTGCCATCATTTTTAAAGCCCAAAGGAGACGTTGCCGAGCTGACACTGACGTCCGACGCCAAGCTGCGCCTCGCTACCTCGGCTCGAGATGAAGATGGCGATTCCAAACCAATTGCTGCCGAATCATCATCAAGCAGCGCCGATGAGGCAGCCGAGGCAGTCGAAGCAGACGCCCCTGCTGATATGAACTCACGACCGGCCCAGCAGACGCAAACCGACTTGCATCCCGAGTCTTGTGACCGTGATGATGTTGACTCTGAATTGGCATCCCTCGAGATTGCGCATGCCGCTTCCAAGACCGCCTCCTTCGACTCCGACGTTGCGTCCCCGCGTAGGGAGCGCCACGACGTAACCCATGCAGATTCACAAAGCCGATATCCAGGCAGCAAGTTTACGGAGCCCGCTGCAGAGTCCCATGTCGGGACAAGGCGTCGGGTAACCTTCTCCGGCTCTGTCTGGAATACGTACTCTCCTCCGCGGTCTCCGGATTATGGCGATGTGTCGGAGGAGGATCGTGACGAGCAGGATCTCAGCGAGGACGCTACTGCAGATCTACAGCGCGCAGAATCAAAGGGAAGGCTGCTGCCGGAGCCTACGCCCTTCGGTAATGGCAATGCTGTGGAAAGCAGAGACCAGGCTGGAGACCATAGCAACCACGACAGCTTCAGCGACAACCCGGACGAACCGGAAGGAGATCACGACTACGGCAACGGCGCCGGTGGCCTGCCCGGCGATGGAGATGCTGAAGTCAACGTGCGTCGTGATAGAAATGCCAGTAGACTCGGCAGATATGACCTATCGGACAGCGATTCGCAAGGCACCCCCCCTCCTGTGGCAAGATACCAGCCACAAGCATCCCCTTTTGCGCGCTCGCCGTCCGTGGACTGGACAGAGCATGACGAGTCGGCTGTATCGAGCCACAGGTCACCGAGCCCATCCAGGGAGGTCGCGGCAGCTCAAAAGGACAAAGACGCCCGTCCTGCTTTGGCTTCTCTGCCCACCGACGACTCGCAGACTCCTCTTCGCAAAGCTGGGAGATCCGCTTCCACACGCACACCCGGTCGCAAGAGCCACGAGACCAGGGACATCAAAGATACCGCGGCACCAGTCCTCGCGAAGCGGCCGGCAGTCAAGGCTCCAAGCAAGCAGCCGAGGCCCCAGCACATCCAGAAACAGTCCCAAATGCTGACGGAAACCAATGCGACTCCTCCAAGAACGCGACAGGCGTGTCGGAGAGCAGGTATATGGTCGGATCCGGTGGGCCTCAGTCACACAAGGTCGAGCAAACCTCGAGTGCTGGCCAGGATGCTGACCGCCTTCCTTTGTTCTCGCGCACAGGACTGGTTTTAAAGCAAACTTTGGACCGATGGGGCGGCTCTCTACAGACGCAGGTTGCTCGGATAGCTGAGAACGACTCGGTCGCGGATGCTGTTTCGGGACCGTCGCGGTCCGTCCCCTCCGTAGAGCCTGTCGCCAGAAAGCCCCCTTCCCTCCGCCGTCCCCAGCCAAGCGCCACTGCCAATGGAACACACGATCGCAAACGAACGGCCCCGACTCGGAGCCACTATCCAGACTCGGACACACCGCCTGATGATGACGATGATGACGACGACCTTCCCCAGACTGCTGCCACAGATCGGTGGAGAGCCGCCCTGTCTGAGAGCGCGTCGGAGGACGAAGCCGCTGTTCAAAGCCAGCGACGGTCGCAAAGCGCTCAGCGATATCGGCAGAATGTGCCATCCGATCCGTTGCCACAGCCCCGAACACGACAGCAGAGCAAGCGTAAGCGCGAGCCAGCGGCGTCCCAGGACAACGACAGTTCGGACGAGCACGAGGTCGAGGACGAAGAGGAGGAGGAAGCCCCGCGCCGCACACGTCGGAAAGGAGCGAAAGCCAAGAAGCTGACGCTCCCTCGCTCACAGCGACGCCAGAAGCATGTCCATGTTGTGATCGACTCGGATTGATTTAGACCGACTGCGCAACGTGAAACGACACTCCCCCGACTCTAATGATTGAGAACCGCTGTGGTTATGGCGGCTGAATACACGCATACCCATTCCCGAAATGGACATCACCCAAACCGCCGTCGACCTTCGTGGTGTTATCCCGCGGTGCTCAGACTTGGTCTGCTGTCCGCAACGGGTTCACCCCACCAGCATCCAAGAGCAGAAGTGTGAGCTCGTGCTGGAGCAGATGCATGCGGCTATGAATGCCCTCATCAACAATGAGGGCGACATTCCCTCTCTTGTGGGTGCGTTGCGCTTTTACTTTTGAATACACTCCAAGCACGTCTGCGACAGATGGGGTGCGATTGCACCGCCACGCCAGCAACGCCGTAGTCACAGGGAGGACGGCATTGGCTATTTGGTCGGTACTACTTGGACTGCCCCATTGACTCGCGATTATCGTAGGACCAGAATCCGCGGCAATCGCTGCATGACGCAAAAACCGGGCGACCCCGTCGTGAAAGTTAGCCAGCCGAGCAACAAAAGTCAAACACCGCTGGATACGCGGCAGTGCGATGCTCTGACTCTACCAGCCCCCGTGAGCACTCCGGCAGCGCTAAGCATGAACATGCGACTTACACCAGGATGTTGATGATTGTGCCTCCAACTCCGCTGTCGATCAGATCTGCTGATATCGATTGCATGGGTCGCGTTCGTATCCCGCAACGGCAACCATCATGAGTCCGTGTCGCTCTCCAATCAAGCGAAACCACAGCGCCACCGTCCTCGATGGGGACCCAGTCGCAAACACCCAGTGCAACTTTGGTTTTGACTTGCCTTGACACCGGATCTGCCTGTATGTCTTAGGATTGGCCATGTCGATGATTTCGTTCTGACAAATGTGCCCGATTTAGGACGCGAGGGGGGGGGGAGGAACAGCAATCAGCGTGTAGTCTAGACTTTCGGAGCAGGGCCAAGTAGAGCAGGACCAGTTCCTGCACCGGCCGATACACTTACAATCACGTCGTCGACCGGAGGCGTTTCGTGTCCAAACGCAACCATTTTCGCACAAACACCCTGGAAGGCCCAGGACATGGTCAGATTGGTTGGTTCCAACACATCTATGCCGACAGCATATCGGGTTGATGGCTCGGAAACACAGTGCCGATCAGCACCCTCACTCTGGAGGACAGCGACAGCATAGCATCTCCCGCTCCAAACCTTGAAGAAATAGCCCAGCACAAAGTCGTCGAGGTAGCCGCACGAGTTGATGTCGAGCAGCCGGAAGCAGTACGTAATGGCCTCGGGTGTCTGGATATTCTCCATCGCCAGAACAAAGTCCAGAAAGGCCTTGTAGTCCTATGTGTACGGCACAGCCGGGGCGGCAATGAGCGTATACAAGGGGCGGCACTGGAGTCAGCCCAAATCGCACGGTCGATCTCCGCTGGCAATGCGACAAGGACTTACCATTTCTCCGCCATAGGTTTGGTACTCTGGATCGGCACAGAGAATCCGTGTCAGCGAGGGCGCCGGTACCAACTCAAAGCTCCAAATCTCGCGCGCTGGGGCCACGCACTTGGATATGTGACTTCAGCAAGCAAGACCGTCTATCATCGCGGACGCCCTCTTACCTTGAAACACTCGATCGGTGAACAGTTCGGTGAAGGTCCCGCTGCTGTACTTTGCGAGCTCCCGGCGGCTCAGCATTCCGTTGTGGTCCATGTCCAAGTTGAGGTACTGGCCTGTTGATCGCAAGGCCAGAAGACCTGCATCAGGAGAGCGACTTGAACGAGTCCCGGACGCAAGGACGGCGCACACAGTCCAACCCACAGAGATGGCGAGCGCGGCAGCGTTGGGGTTATTGATGCTCAGCGGGGCGATTTCGCCTCAGCCATCAGGCACGACTTACCGTAGACCCGCAGTGATGAATACGCCGAGAACCAGTTGGTTTTGACAGCGTCGGCGTTCAGATCTCGATCCCGGAGCTCGAACAGTTCCGTGAGGATGGGAGAGAGAAGAATGCTGGTGATGGAGATCTTGCCTGTGTGTCGAGTCGAAGCAAGTGCAAGCCATCAGTTGACCGGGCGACAGTCCAGCCACCAACAGGTTTCAGACAGATAACCGTCGCGCAGCCTTATCGATCCCGATGCTGCCGGTGCCTGTCCATACCTATCCGCATTGGGTCGAGGAAGAATGAAAACTTGCGCACCGCCGTGCACACATAAAACTTGTGCAGATGCTCGTTCAGGTCATCCAGATTCATTTGGGGGATCAGATCTTCGATGTACATTTGCAGGTCCTGTTTTCGAGGAGGATCGGCATGTTGGTGGTGTATAGAACGGGGCTCAGTGGACGCTCGGTTTGAGATGGAAAGAATGTACCAAAGATGGTCTCGTCGGCTCGGAATGGACTCCAATGCCAGGCACATCGCCAGGCACATCGCCAGGCACATCGCCAGGCACATCGCCAGGCACATCGCAGGATGCCGAGCGATTCTCATCGATAAATGTTCAGCTCGAGTCGGAGATGCGACTCAGCCAAGACAACTCACATCTTCAGTTAGATAGCCATCGCAGTCAGCGTCGTATGCGCCCAGATCGAGCCGTCCCTGAAAGAGCGACACTGGATCCAAGGTCAGTCAGGTACAGCTGGATCTTTTGATATCATTTGCGGCGGAGATGTCTTGTGCAAGACCGAGTCTGCAGAGGAGCCAACGCTTTGAATGCCAGGACAGATACCTTTGCGCATGAGGTAGTTGAAGTACTGGCAGATGGAGATGGTGTTCTGGCCTTCCTTCAAGAGCCGCAGAAAGGTCGACGGCAGAAAGTACTGGTGGAACTTTGCCGGCAGGCGGAACTTGATGTTGCAATAGTCGGTGTAGGTGATTCTCTGTGGTCACCAGAGATCCGCCACGACGAGCGCCAGAATCGAGAGCGTTCGATGCGATGAGAAACACCAAACCGCCTTTGGCACACTTGCTCTTGACGACTCGAGTCCCCCCCCCAGCCATACCCGGTCCTCCTGTGCGATTTCTTCGTCGGTTGCATCAAAGATGAGGGCATCCCACAGCATATCGAGCTCATCTCCGGACAAGACATTATCGGCCTGCTGATCCGAGAATGCATCGTACGCTTCCCGCTGCAGCAGCTGCTGGAGATGGCTTGTTGTCCGCCTCTGGGATGCCGCAAGCCCAGGATGGAAGTTGATGGGGACAGCCGGGCGCACCCGAACGGATTCGACATATGGGTAATGAATGGCGAGCATGGATTAGCTGATGTGCTGATTCTCTTGGGACAGCCGAGCCGGGTCCAGGCGGGAGCATTAGGCGGGCCGGACAGCGGCATTGGATGCACCCAGCTCCGGTGGGGTGGCTGCGATTACATTGGTGAAGAACTTGGGGATGCCAGTGCGCTGCGATGAGCCTGGGGCAGACGAGCTGTTGGTTTGGATGAGGCGATTGAATGTTTCGTGGTCGATGGCGGCGCTGCTGGGAACAGGAGCATCGCCAAACTTTTCGCGGAGCAGCTCCATTGAGGCAGAGTTGGGGTTTCAGCTGAAAGTCGAGGCCAGGGCAGTGCTTGGGGGGGGGCGATGGTCGGTGGGCGAGACGAGATCAGGAGCAAGACAGAAGCAGACGGAGCGGGTGCTGCGACGGATGTTGGGGCAGAGCGCACGATGGGGCGACGCCGATGAGCATGAGCTTGCTTTGGGACGGCGCCGGTGGTCGACTGCATGGCGCTGCGATTAAGCGAACGGGACACTTTCACACGCTGATGACTTATGTATTGGTTGATATTGATCGATCTGACTGAACGGCTTTGATCGGCACCCAAACCAGCGATATCGCTCTTTGTCCTGCGTCTTCCCTCATTCAAGATATGGCTTCTTGCTCTGACCCGCAGTGATTTGCAGTGACTGCGTCTGCAGCGACTCACTGGTTCCGTCGTGCCCACTCACTCCATGCATCTCCCTCATTCAGGGAAATGACTGACCCACTTGGTCGAGTGTGATATGATCCGACTACGCCGTGTTTGCCGGATGAGACGATGCGTCCCATTGTTTCTTCAATACGCTGCTCACTCCCCACCCCAAACGCATCGCACTCGACCCACCGCTGACAACGCCGAGCCCGTTGGGGTGCATGCGATTCGGCCACCCGCCAGTGTCCTCGGGCCAGCAGCGACCCATATGCGTCCGTCCTCGGCAATGGGGTTTGGGGAGGTCGGATGGCGGCTGCTCTTGTTGGCGGCCAGCCTTGGATGACTCGCAATTTTCCACCAGGCACCTATTTGAACCCACCGTCGCCTGCCCCGTCCACCGCCAGCACACATCGCCGCTCGTCTCCTCGATCGGGCCTGCATCCAAGCTCTCGCCTGCTTTTCTACCTCTTGATCCACATCCGCCATGTCCCACGATCCCTCGCTCGCTGTCCAAGTCACCCACCTGGACTTTGGATACGGTGGCCCCCAGATCCTCCGCGACGTCAACCTCAGCCTCGAGCGGGGCTCCCGCTGCCTGCTCATCGGCGCTAACGGTGCAGGCAAGTCCACGCTGCTCAAGGTCCTCTCGGGCAAGCGCCTGACCAAGGGCAACATCAAGGCCTTGGGCAAGAACCCCTTCTTTGAAGGATCTGTGGTAAGCTGCCATTCACACACCTCGCTGGATTTGGGCGGCTCCGGCGATCTGTCACTACAAGCGAGCCCGAGGTCCGTGGATGGTTGAGGCGCTCGCTCGGTACTGGATCGGAATTGCATTCTGGTCTGGATCAACCAGCAGATGGGCCATCGCCCGCTCAACACACCATCCGTCGACTGCTCGGTGCTCATCCATCTACGCTCATCGACAGGGCGTGACCTATCTCGGAACCGAATGGGCTCTGAACCCCGTCGTCCATCGTGAGCTTGCCGTTGCTCGACTGCTCAAGACCATGGGCGCCGAGCGACATCCAGAGCGCTGCGCCCGCCTCCTCGAGATCCTGGATGTCAACCCAGACTGGACCATGAACGAGGTCTCGGACGGCCAGCGGCGCCGTGTGCAAATCGTCCTTGGGCTGCTGGAGCCCTGGGATCTGCTCCTGATGGATGAGGTCACCGTCGACCTCGACGTCCTCGTGCGCTCCAACCTGCTCAAGTTTCTGAAGGAAGAAACCGAGTCCCGCCAGGCAACGATCATCTATGCAACCCACATCTTTGACGGCATCGGCGGATGGCCTACGCATGTGGCGCACATGTGGGAGGGCCAAATCGATCTTGTCCGCGATGTCAACGAAGGCTTTCCTGAGCTCGAGGAGGAGCGTGACCGGCTGCTCAAGTCAGGATCGACTCTGGCCACGATCGACAACTCGCCGCTGCTGTGTGTTGTTGAGAAGTGGCTGGCGGCCGACTACCAGAAGCGAGGTCTGACGGGCCGCCGCAATCCCGAAGGCAAGGTCATGACAAAGTGGGATATCCTCAGCGAGAACATGAGGGCATTCGGCGACAAGTACTACAACTACTACACCAACAAGGACTAGACCCGAGGGCCGACGCACTTGTTTCTGTGGCTCTGAGGTTTGTGACTGAGGCCATAGCCCTGTCGATTCAACAATACATTTGCCCAGCGTCGCCATAACACTGCAGCCCAGGATTATCTTTGAGCCGCCCGCAATTACGGGAGGCGGAAGTTGTCCGGTAGAGGCTATGCTTTCAGACGCACGAGAGACAGGTGTATTCAGTATCCAGGAAGAGAGCGACCACGCTCCTTGATAACAAGACATCTCGTTCACATCGACATGGTGAAGCTGGACTCCGCATCTGCCTCGCGGCATGATGGACGGCCCACAACCAGCCGGATCTATGCTTTGGCAGCCCTCGCCTCGTGCACCAGCCTGAGCATCTCCTCGGTGCTGACGATCTTCTCCCGCGGCTTGCCGAGTTTCTGTCCCTGCTCCCTTTCGTAGGCGTCGATGGCCTTCCATTCGGAAAACGAAACGGCGTCGACAGCCTTTGCTGCACTCGTGCCCAGCACCCCTGCGGCTCCCGAAACAGACGCAAGGGCATCCTCCTTGGCCTCGAGATCCTGGTGAATGTCCTCCAGGACCATGGTCGAGGTTTCGTTGGCGTCGTGCATGGTTGTGGCGATAACTCCGGTCGGCCCCCGTTTCAGCCAGCCGGCGACATAGAGCCGTGGGATAATCTTTCCCTGGAGCACAGCCAAGCATGTATCGCATCAGCAAATTCGCTCGATGGCACGGTCCCACTCAGCCAACCCTCCTCAATGTCGCTCTGCTGCTGCAACTCGAATGACAACAAACCTGGCTATCCAGGGCCCGGCCTTTGTTGTTCGGAACGACCCCCCGGCGAGAGTCAAAGTGCAGCCCAGGAATCCCGGTGCCTTTGTACCCAACGCTGCGGAACAGCAGGCCGGCCGGGATCTCGGTGAAGGACCCAGTCCCGACAGCAACGGCGTCGTCCCGCAGTTCATTGTCTTCAAACTTGACCGCCGCAAGCCTGGCCCCGGATGAGTCCGGCACGGCTGCTCGCGGGGTTTTGAGGAAGTGGACGGTCAGTGTCTTGGGCCGAGGCGAATCGGCAGGCTCCTGCGGCTTGACCAGGATCTCCAGCAGCCGTTTGCGAGGCCGGTCCTTGGTCAGGGCAGCCTTGTGCTCGCTCACGGTTTTTTCGACATAGTCACGATCGATGATGAAGCGGGTGTTGGGCATGCCCATGATCTCTCGCAGCTCCTTGGAGGTGAAGGCGATCTGCCGAAAGGGCCCAAGGACGACCATGCGCAAGGTCAGAGCCACGGAGCCGACAGGTATCATAGAGGGTCGGTGCAGCCGACACACCGACTCACCTGCAGCGGCCCTCGGCGGCCCACAATATGGACATGCTTCACGCTGCTCTTACGCAGAGCCTCCAGCGCATGCTCGCATATGTCGGTCTTTTCGAGCTCCTCTATCGGCGACAGGAGAATGCGGGCAACATCCAACGCCACATTGCCCTGGCCGACCACAATCGCTGTTTCGGTGTCGAGGTTGGGCGCCAGGTCCTTGAAATCTGGGTGGCCGTTGTACCAGCCCACAAAGGATCTGGCCGAGTGAATGCCCTGCAGACTATCCTCGTTGTCGATGCCGAGATGCCGGTCCTCGCTTGCGCCGTAGGAGAGCACGGTGTAGTGGTAGTTGCTCTGGATGGCCTGAAGCGGGACCGAGTCGCCGACACGGATATTGCCGTAAAACTGGAACCGGTCGTTGGCGCCGATGGTTTCAAACTTGTTGATGACGTTCTGTAGACATCATGGGCACGAACGTGAGCAAGAGCAAGAGCATGGGGCGAAAGAAGCAGAAGCATCGTGTCCTCGAGCGACCCGGCCAAGAGGACTCGGACACGATCGATCATCCTATTCGGTCTGTTCGTTCTGTTCGTCCTTCTCGTCCTGCTCGTTGATTGCACTCGTCCATCAAAGCAAAGATCGATGCCATGTTGGGCCTGATACCTTGACTTCGGGATGATCGGGCGCAACGCCGAACCGAACGAGACCAAACGGCACCGGAAGCGATTCGTACATGTCGACTTGAACACGCTCGTTCTTGAGCAGATTGTGTGCCGTATAGAATCCCGCTGGTGCATAGCAAGGTCATATTCACTCATGGTTAGCGACAGTCATGGTTAGCGTGAGCGATGAGGCTTGATGCAGACGAGCGCACAGGTGTGGACGACGACGATGATGGAGGCAAAGGCAGGAGAGTCGTTCGCAATGCATCGCACAGGAGGACAACTGTGCGCTCGGATCGCTGTTGATGCGACATGGTCGTGATTGCCGCAGTTTTCGAGGGGCGAAGCCCAGCACTGCACATGGATGTGTTCTGGGGATGTGGTGCTGGCTCACCTGGGCCGCTGCCAATGATGGCGACTTTGATCGGGTGTGCGCTGGTCGCTGTGGAGTACAGTCTTGCAAAGGCATGGACGGCCAAGCGGCGGTTGGTGCGAATCGAGGGCGGGAACATGATGGCGGCGGGGAAGAGGAGGCAGCAGCACCCAGGCCCGATGGGGTTGAGGCGGAAGAGGGGCGACGATGGCAATGATGGCAATCAGAGCAGCAAAAGCAACAACAGCGACAAAAGCGACAGGGAAAAACGAAGCCGGATCGCGGTCCCGGTGCGCGGTCTCCCTGAGCCGAACCAGATCAGATCAAATCAGACGAAATCAAATCAGACCAAATCCATCGGATCGGGTGGGCTGTCTTTCCGACGGAGCCGCTGGCCACTGAGAAAGGGAGGGGGAGGCATTTCAAACCAGCTGCCCGCCGCCAGACGCCGCCAAAGCACACTTGCGGTTGCTCAGGTATTGTTATTGGCATGTGTTCATTTTTACAGGCAATCCAATAAAAAACGGGACACCCGGGTTTTGACCATTGATCAAATATTTTGTTACCCAATGTTATCGCGCGCTGGCCATGACCATTCGCCACACATCCGACTTTCGCACCGCCGCATTGCGATGCTACGCCCTCATCCATAGCCTGCGTAAGGTCGCCTCCATATTCAGTGTGTCCAAGAGCACCATCCATCGATGGCACCGAGGATGCAAGCTGGATGACCCATCCCGAGTCCCAGCTCGCAGATCCACTTTCTTCGAGCAGGCATGTCCAGTCATTCGCACCCTGATTGAACAGGACCCGTTCCAGACTGGTCCTGTGTTGCGATGCAAGCTCGAGTCCATCCTCCAGAGGAAAGTATCACTCTCACTCTGCCACACTGCCATCCACCGAGCAGGTCTCTCACACAAGAGGGCAACACACCTCTACAAGTCCAAGCGACTGGATGAGCGAGTGGCACAGTTCAGGGACCAGGCCCGCTCCATCGACCCACGACGATTCGTTTTTGTCGACGAGACGGGGATCAGGAAATCCATTTTCCCTCTTTACGGATACTCACCGAAGGGTACTCCGCTTCGCCAGCGCAATCACATGAAACACAAGTCTGTCTCGGCTGCATTTGCCATCAACCACTCTGGTGTGCTGCATCGCATGTACATCCCCACATCATTCAAGACACACTCGATGGTCGAGTTCTTTGAGCGAGCGGGCTTCCCAGACGACTCTGTGATTGTGATGGACAATGTCAGCATGCACAAGACAATGCCTGTCCTGGACTGCATCGAGCGCCGAGGATGGTCAGTGGTCCTCGCCCACCTGCCTCACCCGACTTCAATCCCATCGAGAACTTCTTTGGGATTGTGAAGCATCAGTACAGGAAGGCAGCAGCGCTGAATGCGTCCGAGGGGTTCAAGGTCGGGATGGTGACCCTGTTTGAGTCTGCCGTTCGGAGGGTGCTTCCAGATGTCTTCCCACGGCTGATTGAGCGAGCGATGCGCTTCTGGGGTTGAGTTCCCTCCAATCAAGCCGCCATTTTCGCGTTCACATCCCTGGCTTGAACCTCTCGGCGATTTTTGAACAGGGTCACTTCCCCAACCAGCCCGCGCAGACGGGTTCCTGCTCTCGGGTATAAATGCCACACCTTCGTCCTGCTGCTTTCTTCCATCATCTCGCCTTGATCTGATCATCGCGCTATTGTACGATAAAAAAAAGTCTCTGCTCTGACCAGTACCACTGGCAGGCATCCAGCATCCTCTGCCCCCATGCCTCCGAAGCGCAAGGGTACCGGTGATGGCCAGCCTCGGCCACCCAGGCCCAAGAAAGCCAAGTCACAGTCGGAGCCTGTCTCTGGTTCGTATTCTGATCCCACGCATGCTTGTTCGTCTGTTGCTCCGTCGCTCACCACCACTGCTTCTGCAGATCCAATGGATGTCGATCCCACCGAGCCTGGTCCCTCATCTGGTCCCTCATCTGGTCCCATCAAGCGATGTCGCCAGTGCGACGGTACCGACCACGAACGCTGCAACACTAGCAAGTGTCCCAAATACCGGCCCCTCAAGAGTTCTGTCGTCCCACTCGTGGATGGAAGGTCATCCGCCCCTCAGTTCAGCTGCTTCAAGCAGACGATGGATGGCTGTTGTCTCAATCCCGCTCTCCGCGACAAGATCCAGGCCACCGTCGAGGCCATGACCCAGATCCAGTTCGAGGCATCCAGGCTGCTCAACCTGCACATCCTCCGGTGCATCGAGCAGGATCTTCCCGTCCCTGTCATCTCCAAGTCCACCCCTGCTTTCGTTCGCCAATGCTTCACGATTGTCGAGGCCGATGCCCTCTCGACGGCCAGGGACAATGAGAAATACAACGAGCATCTGATCAAATCCTTTCGCGACTACCAGACCACTCGGCACGCAGACCTGCCTCCGGCCCCTCGTCTGCCTGATGGTGCTCACAGTCAGCTTCTCACCCTGGCTGTCAATGCCTATGCCACCAACTGCACCACCCACCTCAACCTGGCCTACTGGCGACTCCTTCGCCGCTTCTACGCTGCCGTCTTCCCAGCCAACAAGCACAAGCACGAAGCCATCGAGGCCTGTCTCGAGCTCTTCGAGAAACCAGGGCAGACTCCACCCAAGGCCGATCTCGAGTTCCTCTACCCGGACTTTGGCCACGTCCTGGACGAGTTTCGGTACAGCAACGACCAGGACCGCTTCCGGGCCCTCCATCGCCTCTCACACCATGTGGGAATCCTCGCCCGAGACAAGATGGTCGACAATGTCCACAAGTGGATCGACTGTGACATGCCCGCCCTCCGAGTCACCGAGCTGCAGCGCCAGGCCAAGCTGGACGAGCTCACTGCCCGAGGCATTCCCTCCGACGACAAGCGATTCACCACGGCCAAGTCTGAGCTCGGCACCACCAAGGCCAAGATCAACAAGCTGGCATCCAGGATCAACTGGGCACTCAAGCAGCTCGCTCTCGACACTCCTCCGGCCGTGTGCACGATAGTTCCTCTATGCACTGCCACGGCCAAGTATGTCAAGATCGACACGGTCGCACTCTGGGAGCTCCTTGGTCCAAAGAAGCGCCTTGGACTCACCCGGGACAAGCTCAAGGATGAAGGTGAGGACGGCATCAACAACCAGGATCGTCTCTGGCGCAGTTGCTTCAAGCTGCGTAGTTCCCTCTTCCAAGAGCGGGACGTGAACAAGAAACTGTTCAACTACGAGATCAGTACCGATGGAATTGGATGCACCATCGGTCTCGTCAAGTTTCTGCCTCGAACCGATCACACCGAGACCATCGAGCCTCCTCCGACTGCCGAGCAGCGTATCCAGGCCCACATCGGCGACCCAGACCCCGAACGCACCACTTGGATTGGCATCGATCCTGGAGTCGGCTCCATCTTCACGGCGGTCATCCAAGCACCAGGCCACCAAGACGAGGTGGTCTCATTCTCCAATGGCCACTACCAGCAAATGTGTGGCCATACGTCCAACACCGACTGGCATAACGCCAAGAAGAAGCAACTCGACATCGAGACCTGGATGTCGACCACTCCCTCGCCCAAGGTGTCGTCCTCGGAGGCTTTCAAGGTCCATCTCACCCATGTCCTGCGACCGGAGCTACGAGTGCAGCTCGACTTCCACCTTGGCAAGAAGGCCCGTCACCATCGCTTCACGGACCACAGGAGACGCCAAGTGGCCGTCGACAGGATGTGCAAGGCCGTCCTGAAGCACGCCCCGATACGGACCGATGTGGTGATCGCCTTTGGCAATGCGTCATGGCGTCAAGGCAAGGGCTATGCATCCAGCCCTCGGAGGCAGCGGTACTTTGAGCAATTCGAGCACCACCGACGCCGTCCCAATCACCCTCATGGAAGCGTCAAGGTGGCCTCGACGAACGAGTTCAACACCTCGCAAGTGCGCTCCAAGTGCCTGGAGCCAGTTCGATTGGAAGGACTCGATTCGCCCAATGTTGCGAATTCCCACTTTGTCAGGAGCTGCAAGAATCCCAGCTGCCGGACAGTGTGGAATCGCGACGTCAATGCGGCGCGCAACATGATCACAGCATGCAGGTCGATTGTGGAGATCGGAGAGCGACCGGCGGTCTTCACTCGGAGGCTGCCAAAGTGATCTGTTTTATTTCTTGTGGCTTTGCTTGACGCAAGCACAGCACATACTACATGTTCATGGAAGCGGCTGTGGTGTCCCGTTTTTTTCTGAATAAAGTGTATTGGTATTTACATTTGCAGTCGCGGCTGTGCCCGAGGGCCACCGGCAGCATCAGAGGCACTGCCGAGCAGATGGAGGTGGAGGCGAGTGCCCAAGCAAGCGAGTGCAGTCAAAAACAGTAGTGGCATAAAGCGCCAGGGAATGCGAAGATGGACAAAGAAAGGCCGTGAGAACAGGAAGAGCACAAAAGCAGAAAGGGGACAGGGATGAGGGGGGGGGAGAAAGGAGGATGCGGTGATGGCCCGCCGCCTCCTTACTCGAGGCGCTTCTGCATGCCTCCGGTGACAGGCAGGCGGGTTCCGCCCATGAGATCAATGTCGATCTCGCGGGCAGCCTGTCGGCCTTCGTTGATGCCCCAGACGATCAAGCTCTGGCCGCGGCGGCAGTCACCGGCGGCATAGACACCGGGAACGGTGGTGCTGTACTTGCCCTTCGGGGTCTCGATGTTGGTGCGGCCGTCCTGCTTGACGCTGAGCTGCTTGATGACCTCGTTCTCGGGGCCCATGAAGCCCATGGCGAGCAGCACGAGGTCGGCCTCGAAGAAGGTCTCGGAGCCGCGGATCTCCTGCATGCTCCACTGGCCCTTCTCGTTCTTGGTCCACTCAACACGGACAGTCTTGATGCCCTTGATGTTGCCCTTGCCGTCCGAGATGAACTCCTTGGACAGGACGCAGTACTCACGGGGGTCCTTGCCGTGGATCATCTGCACCTCGGCGTGGCCGTAGTCGACCTTGAAGACACGAGGGTACTGGGGCCAGGGGTTCTCCTTGCCACGGAAGGTCGTGGGCTGGGGCAGCAGCTCAAAGTTGACGATGGAGGTGGCGCCTGAGCGAGCGAGCAAGAGAAGAGTCATAGGTTGTGTAAGCACAGGCGTTCAAGCATCGCCGTTCGTATTCGGCTCGGCCGACAGACTCTGCTGAATCGACCGACGACTAACTTACCATGGCGAAGAGAGGTGGCGATACAATCCGTGCCCGTGTCGCCGCCGCCAATGACGACGACCTTCTTGCCCTTGGCGCTCAAGTAAGTGCCATCGGTGAGCTCCGAGTCGAGCAGCGACTTGGTGTTCTTCTGCAGGAACTCCATGGCAAAGTGGATGCCGTTGAGGTTGCGGCCGGGGATGGGCAGGTCGCGGGGCCAGGTGGCGCCGGTGGCGAGCAGGATGGCATCGTTCTCGCTCTGGATGGTCAGGGCGTCAACGTCCTTGCCGACGTGGGCGCCGGTGACAAAGTTGACACCCTCGGCAGCGAGCAGATCAACACGGCGCTGGACAATCTTCTTGTCGAGCTTCATGTTGGGGATGCCGTACATGAGGAGACCGCCGATGCGGTCGTTGCGCTCGTAGACGGTGACCAAGTGGCCAGCCTTGTTGAGCTGGTCGGCGGCGGCAAGGCCGGCGGGGCCAGAGCCAACGATAGCAACCTTCATGCCAGTGCGGACGGCAGGCGGGTTGGGCACGATCCAGCCCTCCTCGAAGCCGCGGTCGATGATGGCGCACTCGATCGACTTGATCGACACGGGCAGCTCGTTGATGCCGAGGACACAGGCACCCTCGCAGGGGGCGGGGCAGACGCGGCCGGTGAACTCGGGGAAGTTGTTGGTCAAGAGCAGACGGGCAAGGGCCTCCTTCCAGTTGTCCTTGAAGACGAGGTCGTTCCACTTGGGGATGACGTTGCTGATGGGGCAGCCGTTGTCGGACTGGCAGAAGGGCACACCGCAGTCCATGCAGCGGGCGGCCTGGACCTTGAGCTCGTCGGGGTTCAGGCGGGCGTTGATCTCCTTGTAGTCCTTGACGCGCATGCGAGCGTTGCGGTAGTGGTCGCCCTGGCGCTTGTACAGCTTGAAGCCGCGGACCTTGTCGACGTTCTCGATGCGCTTCTTGGCCATGGCCTCGTCAACGGCACCGTCCTCAATGTCGAGGATGGCGGGCTCGGCCTTCTGTGGCTGAGGAGCGGGCTCGACGGGCTCGACAGCGGCGGCGGCAGCAGCAGCAGCCTCGGCCTTGGCCTTGAGCAGCACAGCCTTGTAGTCGCGGGGGAAGACCTTGACAAACTTGGGCAGGATGGTCTCCCAGTTGTTGATGACCTTGGTGGCGATATTGGAGCCGGTGAGGGTGCGGTGGTCGTCAATGAGGTTGTGGAGGTGCTCAATGTCCTCCTGCTCGGTGACGTAGTCGAGGTCGACGAGCTCGGGGTTGCAGCGGCTGCGGAAGGTACCGTCCAGATCGAGGACGTAGGCAATACCACCGCTCATACCGGCAGCAAAGTTGCGGCCGGTCTTGCCGAGGATGACGGCGTAGCCGCCGGTCATGTACTCGCAACCGTGGTCACCGCAGCCCTCGACGACGGCAGTGGCACCCGAGTTGCGGACACAGAAGCGCTCGGCAGCGATACCGCTGAAGAAGGCGCGGCCCGAGGTGGCGCCGTACAGGCAGACGTTGCCGACAATGACGTTCTCCTCGTTCTTGAACTTGGAGACCTTGGGAGGGTAGACAACGACCTGGCCACCCGAGAGACCCTTGCCGACATAGTCGTTGGCATCGCCCTCGAGCTCCATGGTGATACCCTTGGCCATGAAGGCGCCAAAGGACTGGCCGGCAGAGCCAGTCAGCTTGATGTGGATGGTGCCGTCGGGCAGGCCGTCCTCGCCAAAGTTCTTGGAGACGTGGTAGCTGAGGGTGGCGCCAAAGGCACGGTCGGTGTTGACGACCTTGTCGACGAGCTGGACAGCCTTCTGCTCCTGCAGGGCGGGGGTGGCCTGCTCGATCAGGCGGTTGTCGACGCGCTTGTACAGCAGATGGTCCTGCTCCTTGACCTTGAAGGTGGCCGCTCCGGGGCGGAGGCTGAAGGCCGGGGTGAGGATGGGCGAGAGGTCGAGGTTGTTGGTCTTGGGGTTCTTGAGGACGTTGTTGACCTTGAGCATGTCGGCGCGGCCAACCATCTCGTTGATGGTGCGGAAGCCGAGCTGGGCCATGATGGTGCGGCACTCCTCGGCGACGTAGTAGAAGAAGTTGATGACGTCCTCGGGCTTGCCGGCAAACTTGGCGCGGAGCTCGGGATCCTGGGTGGCAATGCCGACGGGGCAGGTGTTGAGGTGGCACTTGCGCATCATGGTGCAGCCCAGGGCAATGAGGGGCGTGGTGGCAAAGCCCCACTCCTCGGCGCCGAGCAGACAGGCAATGGCAACATCGCGGCCGGTCTTGATTTGACCATCGGTCTGGAGGCAGATGCGGCCACGCAGATCGTTGAGGACCAGGGTCTGGTGGGTCTCGGCAAGACCGAGCTCCCAGGGCAGACCGGCGTAGTTGATACCGGTCCAGCGCGAGGCACCCGTGCCACCGTCGTGGCCCGAGATGAGGATGTGGTCAGCCTTGGCCTTGGCGACACCCGAGGCAATGATACCGACACCGACCTCAGAGACGAGCTTGACACTGATGCGGGCAACCGGGTTCGAGCATTTGAGATCGTAGATGAGCTGCTTGAGATCCTCGATCGAGTAGATGTCGTGGTGGGGAGGGGGCGAGATCAGACCGACGCCGGGGGTGGACTTGCGGGTCTTGGCAATGCCGCCAGTGACCTTGTAGCCGGGAAGCTCACCGCCCTCTCCGGGCTTGGCGCCCTGGGCCATCTTGATCTGGAGCTCGTCGGCATCCGACAGGTAGTAGCTGGTGACACCGAAACGGCCCGAGGCAACCTGCTTGATGGCCGAGCGCATCGAGTCGCCGTTGGCCAGGGGAGTGGAGCGGGCGGGGTCCTCGCCACCCTCGCCGGTGTTGCTCTTGCCGCCGAGCTTGTTCATGGCGATGGCGAGGGCAGAGTGGGCCTCCATCGAGATGGAGCCGTAGGACATGGCGCCCGTGCAGAAGCGCTTGACGATCTCGGTCCAGGACTCGACCTCGTCGATGGGGACGGGCTTGGCATTGTCAAAGTTGAAGTCGAGCATGCCGCGCAGGGTGCAGTTCTTGATCTGCTCGTACGCCTGGCGCGAGTAGGTCTCGTAGGCGTGGTTGTTCTTGCGGCGGACGGCGTCCTGGACGTTGCCGATGGTGACGGGGTCGTTGATGTGGGCCTCGCCGTTGTCGCGCCAGTGGTAGTCGCCCGACTCGGGGAGGACCTCGACGGAGACGGTTTCGCGGACGGGCCAGGCGGTCTCGTGGAAGGACAGAGCATCCTTGGCGAGGACGTCAAAACCGACACCCTTGATGCGCGAGGCTGTGCCGGCAAAGCAGCGATCGACCACGGAGCCGTCGATACCGAGGGCCTCAAAGATCTGGGCGCCCTTGTAACTGGCCAGGGTCGAGATACCCATCTTGGACATGACCTTCTTGATGCCGTCGTTGCTGGCCTTGATGAAGTTGTAAACAATCTTCTCGGGGGTCATGTCGCCCTTGAAGGCACCCTCACGCTTGAGCTTGAGCATCGAGTCAAAGGCCAGGTAGGGGCAGATGGCGTCGGCACCGTAGCCGAGGAGGACACAGAAGTGGTGGACCTCGCGGGCCTCGCCCGTCTCGCAGACAAGAGCAATCTTGGAGCGCTGCTTGTTCTTGACGAGGTAGTGGTGGACGCCGCCCATGGCAATCACGGTCGAGATGGCGACACGCGATTCGCTGATATTGGCATCGGAGAGGATGGCAATCTTGTGGCCGTCGGCAATGGCCTGCGAGACCTCGGCGCAGACGCGGTCGAGGGTCTGGGTGTAGCCATCGACGCCGAGCTCCTTGGGGTAGGTGATGTCGATGGTCTGGACGGACCAGTTGGGCTTGAACTGCGAGATGCTCTTGATGGCGCTGAGGTCCTCGATGGAGAGGATGGGCGAGGGCAGCAGCAGGCGGTGGCACTGGCCGGGCTCCATCTCGAGGATGTTGCCCTCGGGGCCGACGTAGCAGGCCAGGGACATGACAATCTCCTCGCGGATGGGGTCGATGGGCGGGTTGGTGACCTGGGCAAAGAGCTGGCGGAAGTAGTCGTAGACGACGCGGGACTGGCGCGAGAGACAGGCAAGAGGGGTGTCCTTGCCCATGGAGCCAAGAGCCTCCTTGCCGTCGTTGACCATGGGGCTGATGATCATGTTGAGCTGCTCGAGACTGAAGCCAAAGGCAAGCAGCTTCTTGTCCTCAAAGATCTTGGCCTCGTCGAGGGGAGCGCGTGTGTACAGGCCGTTCTCCTTGGCCCAGGCGCGGACGTCGTCGAGGCGGATCATGTTCTCGGTGATCCAGTTGGCGAAGGGTTTCTGGGCGCAGATCTCCATCTTGAGCTCGTTGTCGTCGACGATGCGGCCCTGCTCGGTGTCGACGAGCAGCATGCGGCCGGGCTGCAGACGGCCCTTGGCGGTGATGGTGGCGGGGTCGACGTTGATGGTGCCGACCTCGGAAGCGCAGATCATGATGTCGTCCTCGGTGGTGTAGTAGCGGCAGGGGCGCAGGCCGTTGCGATCGAGGCAGGCACCGACGTAGCGGCCATCGGAGAAGGTGAAGAGCGCGGGGCCATCCCAGGGCTCCATCAGGCAGGCAGCCCACTCGTAGAAGGCGCGCTTCTCGGGCTCCATGTTGGGCTGGTTCTGCCAGGCTTCGGGGACCATCATCATGACGGCCTCGGGGAGGGACATGACGCCGTTCATGACGAGGAGCTCGAGGACGTTGTCAAAGGCAGCCGAGTCGGAGCCGCCCTCCTCGACGATGGGGTAGAGGGCCTCGATCTTGTCGCCAAAGTTGTCCGACTTCATGACACCCTCGCGGGCACGCATCCAGTTCTTGTTGCCGCGCAGGGTGTTGATCTCGCCTGCCAGAGAGAGAGTGGAGGGCGTGAGCACGGGGATGTGGCGGGGTGGCACGTGGTGTGATGTGGCACACGCGCAGCAGGTATGTGCAACCATGGGGCAGCGATGCAGGGGCGCAGCCAACCGATAGTGCGGGCGCGACGGGGTGGGGAAGTGGGGGGTGATTGGGCGATGCAGGATGCAGGGTGATGCAATGCGATGCGATGCGATGCGATGCAATGCGATGCGACGCAAGACGGCGAAATGCGATGCGGACAGCGCAGGCTACTCACCGTTGTGGGCACACCATCTCATGGGCTGGGCACGGTCCCAGGAGGGGAAGGTGTTGGTGGAGAAGCGCGAGTGGACCAGACAAAAGTGGGCCTGGAAGTCGGGGTGGTTCAGATCCTTGAAGTACTGGTAGACCTGCGAGGGCGACAGCTGTCCCTTGTAGACAATGTTGCGGCTCGAGAGCGAGCAGATGTAGAACCACTTGCGGAGGGTGATGGCGTGGGTGGACATCTTTCGCAGGTAGTACAGCTGGCGCTCAAAGCGCTGCTGGTCAAACTCCTCCGAGGACGACTCGGGGACGACAAAGGGCTGGTAGATGGCGGGCTCCTTGGATTTGGAGGAGGGTCCCAGCATCGAGTTGTCGGTGGGGACGGGGCGCCAGCACAGGACGCGAAGGCCCAGCGAGACAGCAATGTCGTTGAAGGTCTGCTGTGACTCGTGCAGAACGACCTCGTCGGGCTTGAGGTAAACGTTGCCGACGGCGTATCTGCCGGCAGCAGGGAGCTCGACGTCAAACTGCTGCTTGACCTGGAAATCGGAAAGAGCGGCAGGGGAGGATCAGCACAGATGCCACCCGAGCGGAGCATCAAGTCGAGTCAAGCCAACCGTTCAGTCCGGTCCAGTCCTGTCCCGTCCAGAGCCGCGCGAATGCATCCTGAGCCACTATCCAGCCGCGCTGCTTACCTCGGCAGCGAGGAATTCGTGGGGAATAGAGCACATGGCACCAGCACCGTCGCCGTCTCTAACATCAGCACCGACGGCACCACGGTGGGTCATATTGCAGAGCAGTGAGGAGGCATCGCGGACGATTTTGTGGGAGGCCTGTCCCTTCACATGGACGACGAATCCGACACCGCAAGCGTCTTTCTCGAGCTCGGGGTTATAGAGACCTTGAGAGGCCGGAAGAACGTCGGCCCATGAGGAGGAAGTTTCAGCAGGAGACATCTGCAGACGAAAGTAGCGAGGGAAAGCGGCGTGTGAGCGATGTGGGGGTTGAACGCCAGGAGTGAGAGAAGGACTGATGGGAACGAGAGTGCAAGGGCCGCTGCTGATCCAGAGGCTGGTTCGCCAGAGAGAGGATATCAAGAGAGTAGCGGCGATCGACGGCTCGATCGGATGAGGGAGATGAGGGGTGATCGCGATCCACAGCGGCCTTTTAGCAAGCCGCGGGAAACAGCAGGGGGGGGGGTAAACGGATGGAGGCGATCCAGCCAGTTTGCAGCCTCGCCCTCCTCTCCCCAATGCAGCCCAGTCATCGCCGTCATCGCCAGCCACATGGGCCGCCGGCACCAGGTCCGGGTGGGAGGATTGCGAGATCGCAATGATCCCACACCGGGCCGAGTGGAAGGCAAACAGACCAAGCAGACAAGGCAGCGGGGAGTGGTGGATCGACCGGCCGGGATGCAAGGGCGCTTGGTCGATCCGGGATCAAAGCGGCGCACGCCCCATTGCGAAACGGCCCCATCCCGGCTGGCTCCCACGGCACGCCCCAACGGCGGGTCAAGACAGAAGGGAGCGGCCGTACCTTTTGCTTCGACGGGATTAAGACTATGTGTGAGAGGGAAGCTTTGGATGGGGTTTAAATAGCCGGCACAGTCGAACGGGATATTCGTGCGGGAGAAGCTCTGGGCTAAGACGCGGGGGGGGGATCGATGCTACGAGATTAAGGCGACGGGCTGCTCTATCGACGAACACAGCCGCGGAGCGCTGGGGGGGAATGCTGTTCCAAGAATCACAGAGACGAGGTAGAAAAAACTCACCAGCAGACGCAGCGGGTGCCAGGCGCTTATATAGCCAGGATGGGATAGGAGATAGTACGATCGGCCAGCGCTCCTGAGATAATCTGCTGATTTGGTGGGACAAGCGGGAGATAAACGACACGAGACAGTTCCGAAATCGACCGAACAAGCGCGGCCGGCCACGGGGTGGCTGCCCCTTGGCCGCGGCGCACAAGGCGAGGGCGTCTCGGCGGGGGCGAGAAGCGCACGAGGAGCAGCGAGGCCGCGGCGAGGGCGGCCCTGGCGAGAGCGTCACTTGAGCAGAGTCAGCGCTCCAGCGCCGGCGTGACCCGCGGGGACAAGCTGGGAGCGCAAAAGGATGCCCACCGCGAGGGCAGGCGAGGGCGGGCGAGGTGAGGGCGAGAGCAGCAGGTGGGTGCATGTCGACGATGTTTGCATGTCGGCGGTGTTGCATGTCGATGGTGTTGCATGTCGATGGTGTTGCATGTCGATGGTGGTTGCATGTCGATGGTGGTTACTTCTCGATGGGGTTTCTCCCCCCTTCAACCCCGTCAGATCCGCAGACCCTCGAGTCGCATGAGTCCTGCTGCTATCTCGTTCGTGGCAGCCGCCTTGTCGTCTGTCCCACAGGGCAACGGCAGTACATGCCCATGTTGCGGCCTTCTATCGCTGATAGCAGCCGCTCGCGCGCGTCTTATCTTTGCCGTGTGCAACCGGACTCTGCATGAGCCTGCTGCCGTCGCTTGGCTCTTCATGTGTCTGCGGCCGGCTGAGTTTGTCGCTTTGTTGTGCGATCGGCCTGGGTCTTGTGCTGGTGCTCGGCGGGGGCGGCACTTGGTCGCTGTAACGCACTTGCCTCTGGAGCTTTGCGATGTGCTGCGATGTGCTGCGATGTGCTGCGATGTGCTGCGATGTGCTGCGATGTGCTGTGTGCTGTGGCCAGCGGGGCACCTCCATCCTCTGGCACGGCAGAGATAGCGACCGCCACCTGCTCACGCGCCCAAAGCCAACGCATCCAAGCAAAGGAGTGCTCTGGAGGCCGATTGCCAGGCCGATTGCCAGGCCCAGTCCAGTCGCGATCGCCAGCGGATATGAATACCAGGCGCCGGCCCGATCCCATCGGCTCTGCCATCTGGAATCCAAGGTGAGATGGGCACCATCGTCTCGAGTCCGCTGTGAGCGCCCCAGACGACACCCGACCGCCAAAGCCAGATGCGCGGAGCACGGAGCACGGAGCACGGAGCACACCGGGCATGGGACTTTGGATATCGAGAACGAAGAATCGCGGATCCCCTCCCTCTGTCGCTGTGCTGCCCGCGGCCGGATATCGAGGAGAGGGTCATGGATGTCATCGATACCGCCTCCGCCTCGAACGGAGCCGAGCGCCAGAATCATATCCAGAACAATATGGCGGCCACATTCAGCCTATACGTCTCCGATTCAGCCTATACGACCGTGCTGCTGATACGGCCCTCCCACGGCCGGCGCTATGCATCATGCCGCATCGGCCGCCGATATCCGCCGGTGTCGGCCCAGTCCCAGGCGCAGCATCGATCGATACCGTTGCCTTGGCCGGCGACGCTCTCGGTCGGCATGCCCGGCCCCTCGCAACCAGCACCCGAGGCCATCGCCGCCGCTCGGCATATGTCGCATTTCATCAATCAGGCTTGGTGCTGGGCTTCCTGACTTCCTCCGAGACCCCCGGATTCCCCGGGTCGTTTGCCCGGGCCATGCGGCAACCCATCTCATCAGCGCAGCCTGGCCCATGCCACTTGTCTTGGCTCGCTTGGCTGGCCGGACGGCGGGCGGATTCGGTTGGGAATCTCGCCACCGACAACGGCGGATTCAGATGCCCATCAGATCCCATCACTCCTTCACATGGCGAGCCTGTCTCGTCGGTCTTCTGCTCGAGCTTCTACTCGATCTGCTTGGGACCGTCTGCTCGATACTGTTTGCGAGGGCTGCAGATGAAGTGACTGTGGCGGACACAACCAACGCGGCAGAGGAAACCAATGTTGCAGATGCAACCGCTGTGGCAGAGGGTATCAGTCCCGTCGAGGATGGCTTGCAAGACAAATCGCCGTTGCCCCTGCCACGTCCAGCTCGTCCCTGCTCCTCTCTATCTTCCTCGCCTTCTCCATCTTCTCCATCGTCTCTATCCTCTCCATCTTCCCCGTCTTCCTCGTCCACCCTGCCATCATGTCCGCTCTCGTTGGTTCAAAGTGCCCGGTTATCGATGGTCTGACCTGGATCCAGGGCAGCCCCGTCGCCATCGGCTCCTCTGCCCCTTCCGGCCCCGTCTTGGTCGAGTTCTGGGCAACATGGTGCGGCAGCCCGATTCCCATAGCCATATGCCCTGTCCAGACTTGTTGCCTCTGTCCACGCCGATCTCCTGCTGCCCAGTTTGCCTTGTCGCTCCGGCTTCGGGGCCATCGAAGCCACCCTGGTCATTGGCGCTCCAGCTCACACCCGACATTTTCCCTACATCGGCCGACTCACCTCCATCGCCAGGTGCGGCCCCTGCCGCAACGTGACTCCGGTAAGTCTGTGGTTTGGTTCGAGAGTATGAGCCGGGACGCCGCGAGATCCAGCCAGCGGTGCCGTCATCTAACTCGATCCACAGCATCTCTCGGAGCTCCACAGCAAATATCGCTCCCGCGGCCTCACCATCGTCGGCATCACCGACGAGCAGGACCGGGGAGCGATTGAGCAGTTCGTCAGCCAGAAGGGCTCGGACATGAGCTACATCGTTGCCATCGACGCCCAGCTCAATGCTCGCCGCAAGCTCTTTGCGCCCTCGGGTGCCCGGGGCATTCCCTTCGCCGTCCTGGTCGACTCGCAGAACACCATTGTCTGGTGCGGCCATCCGATGGAGCCCGAGCTTGAGGCTCAGATCGAGGCCGTCGTTGGTGCTCAGAGAGCGCCCGAGCCCTTGCCGCTGATCCAGGACTCGGCCGAGGAGCTGCGAGTCAAGTCTGTCAAGGAGCTCAAGAAGATTCTCGACGACCGCAAGATTTCGTACAGAGACTGCATCGAGAAGGGCGACTTTGTCACCACGATCATCCAGTGTAAGTGATGTGCTGGCCTGGCCCTGGCCGCAGTTCTAACCGGCGTCAGTGTCGCTGCTGGGCTCCTCGCTTGGCCCCATCTGGGTTCTGACTGCCCCTCCTCCCTCCAGACTGCTCGTCCACGATCTACTACAAAGCCTGAGGGCCGCTGACTGTCACGCCATGGCGGCATCCGTATCCTCAAATTCCAAGGCTGCATCCGACCAAGTCCAACATCCCTGATCGTGTGCCTTCGGAACGCTCAATACACTGAGCCCGTCGTTCCAACATATCCCCATGTCCGCATTGCTCGTTCGTGTTCTCGTATTCAGAGCCTTGTGCGGCGATGTATTAGGATGTTGCTTCCCCGAACTCGACACAATCACTGGGTCGTTTCGTTGCCCGCATCCGAGTCGCCCTGTGCATGTGCGGCATTTCCAAACTTGACCTTGAGGAGTTGATACCGCTTCTGGTCCTGCAGTCGCAAATCAGATGTCGTCAGCACATCAATCAAGCGATCTAAAGGCGATCTCGCTCCACAGGGCTAGTCCGCCTTGCCGGCCGATCCGATTGGATGGCAGCATCCCGCCGGTTTTGTTCGCTGGGGGGACGCTCTTACCTTCTTCGAGACCGACGGCGAGACCTTGGCAAAGGCCACATCAAACTCACGTCGGGTGACCCAGAGCTCGGCATTTGAATCCGACTCGACGCTAAGTGTGCCGTCTCGAAAGAGAGAGGCCCGGAGCGCCGCAATGGCAGCCTCCCGCACCAACGACGACAGATCGGCGCCGCTCAGTCCATCGCACCGCGGGTCCGTAGCAATCAGGGCCAGATCGACGTCCTTGAGCGGGGTCTTGCGGGTGATCGTCTTGAGGATATCCAGCCGCTCCTGCGGGTTCGGCAGGTCGACATAGAGGGCCTTGTCGAGGCGGCCTGGACGCAGCATCGCAGGGTCGATCATGTCCGGCCGATTGGTGGCGGCCAGGACAAAAACCTGTTTGCGCCCTTGCATGCCATCCATCTCTGTCAGCAGAGTGTTGACCAGTCGTGAGGACGACTGCGAGTCGGCGTCGTTTGATCGTGCGGGACACAGCGCATCGAGCTCGTCAAAGAAGATGACACACGGCGCAGAGGCTGCTGCTCGGGCAAAAACTTGTCGAACGGATCGCTCGCTTTCGCCGACATACTAAAGTAACCACAGAGCACCGAGTAAGCACAGGCAACGGCTGCGATGCTCCTCAGTAACAATCGCCAGATCGGTCAACGTGCCCGTTGCCGTGCTGGTCGATGCGTTGGTCGATGAGTTGGTCGATCAAGCCCACCAACTATATCCCAGAATCGATCTACTTTGATCCGTGCACCATCAGGATACAACGCTGCGAGCCGCAACGGTCGCCATCAAGATAGAGATCGGGACACCACCACATACCTTATTCAAAAGCTCGGGCCCCTTGACAGAGATAAAGTTGCACTGGCTTTCGTTGGCGACGGCCTTGGCGAGAAGTGTCTTGCCGCACCCTGGCGGGCCGTAGAGCAGCACGCCCATCGGGGATGTGATGCCCACGCGAAGGAACAGATCCGGGTGCTTGACGGGCTCGACAACGGCCATCCGCAGCTCCTGCCTCACCAGTTCGAGGGCGCCAATGTCGTCCCAGGAGACATCTGGAACCGTCGCAAAGCCCTCTCGCTTGGCCGAGGGCTGCACCTGCTTGACGGCAGCCAAAAAGTCGTCCAGCGTGATGCACAAGGGCTCGAGCTCGTCTTCAGTCAGGGGCGTCGGCCGCGCATCGAGAAAGTCCGAGATGGAGCTATGGCCCGTCACGACCGAGTGAATGCCCGCCGTGAGCTTGGCAGAGTCGCCCTCTGCGTCTTGCATCTCCAGATCGGCATCTCCGGGAGTGTCGGCCGAGACATTTCGAATCTCGTGGAATATGCGCTTGACGGCGACAGCACCGGCCTCGGCTGTCAGGGCATTGAGATCGGCTCCAACAAATCCAGGCGTCAGCTTGGCGAGCTTCCTGCAGTCGAGGTCGCCGGCGAGTCTCAGCTTGCTGCAGAGCTTCTCGAGAATCCTGTTCCCCCAAGTGTTCCCCCAAGGTATCGCTGTTAGCATCAAGTCCCGATCCAGCGCAAGTGTTGCGCCAGCCGACTGGGGTATCGTCGCTCCAAGACACATCCAACAGATGCACTCTCCATCGTTGAGATGCCAGACTCGTACTTTGTTCGCCCGTCCTCGTCAGGGACGCCCATGCTGATCTCTCGGTCGAAGCGGCCAGCTCGCCGCAGGGCGGGATCCAGGGCGTCCGGTCGGTTGGTGGCGCCGATGATGAGCACAGGTTTGTTGTTGGTCTTTTCCAGGGACAGATCTGGACGTGGGAACGGCGCCGCGGTGGATCGAGAGCGACAGCGTCAAGACATGTGGCATCGCCGAGCACAGCGTTAGCACAGCTCCTGGTGTGGTCTATTCTCAGACCGTCCTTGCACCAGGATACGCAGGCCGACATCTTACCGTCCATGCAGGTGAGAAGCTGGGCAACGATGCGTCGCTCCATTTCGCGCTGGGCAGTCTCGCGCTTCGGAGTGATTGCATCAATCTCATCGATAAAGAGAAGGCACGGAGCCAGTTCCTGTCGATCCAGGACATGCATGTCCGACACAGATTCAGTTGCAAATCGCAGCATGAATAGCAAGGGAGGTTCCACAGAAGATCGCCATGGGACCGGCATCACTTGGCGCACACTGACCTTGGCCTCCTCGAATACTTCGCGAATCTTCTTCTCGGACTCGCCCGACATGCCCGACACCACCGATGGCGCGGAGATGCTCACGAACGGAACGGCGGCTTCCTAGAGGACACGCATGCGCGTCGATACTGGATCAGTGGGCTGAGCTGCTGGTTGGAAGTGAACCCGAAGGCAGGGCGATCGTGCACCGACTTTTGACTTACTCCCGCAATCGCATTCGCGAGCAGGGTTTTGCCGCACCCGGGTGGGCCATGCAGCAAGATGCCCCTGCATTGGAGAAAAATCCGAGTCAGACTGTGATGATGGTAGTGGGTCTGAGGAGATGCGGTGGCACTCCGACGAGTGCAGTCCGTACCGTGGCGGCTGGATACCGAGATGGAGGTAGATCTCAGGGTGTTTCAGCGGCATTCCGATCAGTTGGAGCACTTCCTGCAGGCAAGATGGAACACATGGTGTCAGCCCGATGCACCGTCTCTCCATCCGTGACAGAGATGTGATTCCCCCCCCCAAGCGCAAATACTTGTGCCGTCGTAGCCATACGCACCTCGATGCAGTGGTCGATGCCGCCCAGATCGCTGAGTCTCTTGGTGGGTGTGGGCCATTTGGAGCTAGCTGGAAGTACCGCAGCCGGTCTGGTGAGTAGGCCTAGTCGAACGGGGTGGCGAGCAGTGAATTGCGAGCCATCTCGACACAAGCCGGGCCGACTACCTACCGGTTTCCTTGACCTTTTTTGGCTTGCGCTCCTCCTTCTCTGCCTTGCTCCGTTTGGTCTTTTTGTCGTCCAATGCCACAGCCTCGGGTTTGGGTGTCTCTGCTGAATCTGCCGGCGCGGTGTTGGCGGTCGGGGTCGAAGCCTCTCCGACATCCGGGGCTTCGGCTTGGCTGCCCGCTGGCGCGGGTGAGGACGACGAGTCCTTTTTCTGATACAAATTTGCCAGAGAACGATTCAGGAAGTTGGTGTCCTGGAGAAATGGAGTCGAGTGTGAGCACACAAGTACCAAGGTTCCCTGGCGACCAAACCCAGACTGGTGCACCAACACCGCGGGACGGGTCATCAGTCCCACCGATGGAGCCGGGCTTGTCCACACATGCATCCGGTTAGGTCGGCCGTGAACCAGTGAGCGAGTCGGGTGGGTGCGTTGAGGGGCAAAAGGCTGTACTAACCTTGACCTCGACAAGGCGCACACTGGGATCGACCTCCAAATCCGAGTCGACCTCGTTGCCCTCCGATTCGTTGGAGTGTTCGTCCGCTTCGTCTTGGTTCCCAGACGCTGACTCTACACTGTTCTTTTTGATGTGGTCGCATGCTGGTCACGGCGGTATCGCCCGGAATCGAGAGACCAAAGGAGCAGTGCGGCCGCGGGATCAGTTCCATGTGCGCACGGCGACAGGATATTCGCCGAGTTCCTTCGCAGTACACGCCGATGCCATCAAGTCCAACGGCGCTGGCGCCGATAATGTTCTTGGTTAAGCTCCAGCAGACGGACTCTCGGTCTATGCCACGATAGATACCTCCTTCGATCGCCTTTCTCAGGATCCTCTCGCCTTTGCGTTGGAGCGAGCGGTCTTTCTGCACCACAAACTGCAGGATGGCTTCGGTGTCGAACTTTGGGTTCCGCGCCGATGGCTTGGATCCAGAAGCATCACCATCGGACTGGACCTGCTCCTGATACTGCAGGACCATGGGGACGAGCCGCCGCTCGAGCGAGGCTTCGAGCGAGCTTCCGCCGACGAAGGTGCTGCTGCTTCCGCGCTTTCGCTTGGTCATGGCGGATACGAGAAAGGGGCTGGCAAGCGCTGCTCACTCGATGAAGATGGCGCAAGATGCGAGTCTGCTCCTCCGCGCCGGTAGTATCAATGCGATCGCTAGTCACACTGGTGCAATATCCAGCAGGCGATGCAACAGGCGATGCAGCAGGCGATGCAACAGCCGATCCAGCAGCCGATCCAGCAGCCACAAAAAAAATTGTTTGGCCGCGACCAATCGACGCATCGTTAGGGTAGCGGCTGCTGCTAGGGCTGGCCGCCTGGCGCGTCGCTAGGGTTGCAGATCGCCTGCCCAAAACAGGCAAGCGGCCGGACAAGGCGTGTCGGCCGCCTCTCGGCTGCTCTCGGCTCTTCTCGGCTGCCCTCGGCTGCTCTCGGCTGCTCTCGGTCGCCCACACAAACCAGGACTGCTCCTCGACACCAAGGTCCAGCGCCGAGCCCAAGTTCGTCGATTCGGCTCTGGATTCCGTCGCCGCCTGGTCCTCCTGCCTTCAGAACAAGAGTGCTGCCTGCCGCATCCGTCCTGCCGCCGATCTGTGGATCTGCCTCCCCCTCCCTCCCTCCCTCCTTCACAACTCGCCCTCTGCCGTCTGGGATATCCGCTCTGCCCAAGCATCCCTCCAGCTTGCTTGGCTCATCCATCCCGATCCACCGTGTTTACTTGAACCCCGTCGCTTGCTCTCCAAGATAACCCTCCCGTCTGTCTTGGCTGCCATTCCCGATACTTGACTCGGTTTCTCTCCCGTTGCTCCATAACTGCGTTGCACGTCGATTATACCTCTCGGAGCCTTCCACTTCCTGCCACTGTCGTCCCACATTTCCATAATTGCTCACGTTCACTACTTTGATTCGTCTGCCCCATCGCCGTCCGTCGCTGTTCTCACTTTGAAACGCATTTCTCAGCTATTACTTGGACTCATCATTGACTCCAAGCACTGCCTGCACTACTCGACTCGGCCTCTCTTCCGCTTGCGCTCCTCTACCTTTTCGACGCCACTGCCCAAGCTCCTTTCGCCATGAGCAAAACAAAGGCCACCACCCCTCCCGCCCCGGTGTCGACTTCGAATCAAAATGTCGAGAGCCCAGCCATGCGATCGCACCTTAGCAATGGATCCTCTGGGCCCAACCCTGTCCGAGCCAATCGTGGCCGCGCTAATGGCTACTCGAATGGACCCGACCGACGAGACTATGCCTCCGCCGCTTCAGCCAGCAGGTTCGATCAAATCGTGTCGCAGTGCACCAACCCTCTGTCATGACGCCGGGCACTCGCTCGCGATGCTATGAATGATGTCGCTACGGAAGTAACTGACCAAACCGCCGTGATGTTCCGCTTCTGCCCTCCCGCGTTGTCCCGGCCGCCTCCCTCTGGTACCGCAGAAATGGGCGTGGAAAATGGAATGCCCAAGGATCATCACCCCGCGTGAACAGCCCCACGCCAAACGACTCTCGAAACGCCTTGTCGACATCGTCGAGTACATCCGAAATCATCAGCGAGGACCACTCCAGACTGCTCTTTGTGTTGATGAACATGACTGTAAGCCATCGGTGGCGTGTGGCGGGCGGGCTGGGACTCCAAATTCCTGACCGAGACCAGTGGCGCTGTGGGTGCCGGCTCCAGGCCATATCCGCTCGCTGGCCTCGATTGACCGAGAGGAGGCGCTGTTGCCCTATCACATAGCACACCGCATATCGAGCTTGTCCTTGCACAGGCTCAGCCATATCCGACCTCATGGAGCGGGCGCTGCCGCATCCCTCTGATCATGAGATGCGCAATCGGACGATCTGTGCCGCAGATTTGGATGGTGGCTTGTTGCAATCCTGGCTCACGGGCTCTTCTGCACCGCCATAGGGAATGAAAGTTGAGGTCGTCACCCGGTGCGGCACAACGTACGAGGGCATCCTGCACGGCGCCAACACATCGGGCGACTTTGGCGTCGTTCTGAAGATGGCCCGCCTGCACGCTCCCAATCTTGTCCCCGGCAAGACCAACACCAACCCTTTGATCAAGGAGCTTATTATTCCGCCCAAGGACTTTTTGTCCATGTCCGCCCTTGCTGTCGAGACCACCACTACCGATAAGCTGAACGAGTCCGATACCTTCCGGACTGACACCGGCATCAGTGGCTTTGCCGGCGATCTCCGCGAGCGCGAGCTGACTCGGTGGTCCGCCGAGACCGGCGACGCCGCTCTTGAGGGTCTCGAAGACAGCCTGGCTCTCTCCAACGGCATGGGCGCCTGGGATCAGTTTGCTGCCAACGAGAAGCTCTTTGGCGTCACCACCGACTTTGAAATGGACATGTATACCACGGCCCTGGACCGAAATGCTCCCGGATTTGACCTCAAGGAAGCACATGCTGCCCGGATCGCCAATGAGATCGAGAAGGTGTGTATCGATCGAGCCGGGGTCGCATTCGTGGCAGTCCGTCGGCACCTTGGTCCGACAGGCGAACGCGAGACATGTCCGACCTGGCGTTTGCGGCCGAATCGAATGTATGCTCGCATGCGTCCACCCTTGGTGTTCTGGATCCTCCTGCTCGTGCTGCGGTTCCCAGGCTCTGCTGACGAGCGCCCGGATCCTTGAATCCTTGAAACTTTGTCGTGCCTCACGTCGCGGTATCCAGAGCACCAGTTCCAACATCCATGTGCAAGAGGAGCGTGGCCAGACGGCCGAAAGCGTCACCGCCGACGAGGAGGAGCGGTAAGTGCTCTTGGATCCTCTTCTCTACCAACCTTTTGCATATTGGACAGAAAGCACCGAGACTCACTCTGCGGCTCTGGATGCGGGCGCCAGATTCTCGAGTGTCCATCGCTCGACGGAGCTCGTTCGTCAGCCCGGAAAGTATGTGCCTCCCGACGTTCGTCAGAAGCACAATCTGCATGCAGGTGGGCTGCGACCTCCTGCCTCGAAGGACAAGCCCCTGGCCGAATCGTCGGGCTCAGCCGCTGCTGGTAGCCCGCCAGCCACTCATGCCAGTGCGACCTCTGCCACGGCAAGCAGCACCGCCCGTCCTGGCGCGGAATCAGCTAAAGCCGCTCCAGCTACCGAAGGCAAGAGCACACCTGCTTCCTCGAGTCCCGCCGGCCTGCCCAAGCCCAGGGACGTGTCCGAGCTCAAAGATGCGCCTCCCTTGCTGGCGACAAAGGTATATTATGGCATAGATTTGGCCTGCCGACTGCAGCCTCGTCTTGCTTGTCGTCTAACGAGCCATTCGGCCTTGTGTTCACTGATCGGCTGTGGGATAAAGATCTCGATCGAGCAAATGGGCAAAGGCTACCTTCCTCCGACCGAGGCAATCATTCTCAAAGACTTTAAGGAGTTTGCCAACCGAGAAAAACAGCAACTGTTGATGAAGAAGCAGATGCTGAATAAGAAGGAAAAGGATGGCATCATCCAGGAGTTCAAGGTCTTCAGCGCCAACTTCAAGGTAGTACTGCAGCCACCAACTCCAATGGAGCGCCGTGCCTGCCTGTCTGTGTATTTCTGGCCGTGGTCGTGTGCTCGCGGGCTAATACTGGACTCGTTGCTCCGGCCGTGCAGCTCAACTCACCTGTTCCCAAAGATCTGGTGGAAATCTTGAACAAGGACAAGGAGAAGGAGAAGGATGAGGATGAGCACAAGGATAAGAGCGATGAGCCAGCGAAAGTCGAGAAGGACGCTGCCAAAGCCCCGGCTGAGGCTGTCAAGGCTGCCAAGCTGTCAGCTTCGGCCTCGCCGTCTAGCTCTGCCTCCAAGAAGAAGTCGTCTCTCTCTGAAAAGTCCACGAGTCCCACCGTCACGTTGCCTCAGAAGGCTCTGTCGGTCTCCGGAGACGCCAGCGAGCGCAAGCCCGTCTCGAGCAGCGACTCGACCTCGGCCGCTGAGAGTGCCAGCCCAGAGACTCCAGCCCCTGCCGTCGCCGCTGCTGCTGCTGCTGCTGCTGCTGCCTCAAGCTCGGCCGGAGCCAATGCACTCAAGGCCAAGGGTTTCAAGTTCAACGTCTCAGCTCTCGAGTTCACTCCAAGCGCTCCGTCCGAACCAAACCCGGTGAGTGCATCTGGTCGATGCCGACCCATTAGCGTGTCCAATGGATCTTTCTCTAGATGCTGCTGGCAGTGACTCACATCGAGACGAAACCCAATCCTTCCCTGCACCGCGCTCTCCAGGTCGCTTCCTCTCCTCCCACATCAGAAGTGTCTGCCACCCACAATGAGAAGGTATGCGTGCCTTTGCTGTGAACGGACAAGTGTTGCCTGTCTGGCAAGTCTGGCTGATCCCCTCCCCTCCCCTCGCCTGCCCGCACCACACCGCGCCGCACAGCACTCGTATGAGCCCCGTCCAAAGAACTTTTCCAAATCCAAGTACAACAACAAAGGTGGATCTCACTACAACAAGGGCCACAATGGTACGATATCTTTGCAGACGAGATCGGGCATATCTCAATGTCAGCCGCTGGGCACCACGACACGCCAACACGATCCTGCCCCTTTCCTTGGCGTGGTGGCTGACGTATTTGCTCTTTACAGCCGTGCCCGCCCCTACTTACGACCCTGACTCAGGTGCGGTGATGTATCCTCCGCCTGGCGACTATGGGTACTATGCCATGAATCCCTACTATCGAGTAAGTATCGGTGCTTTCACTTGCGACTGCAGAGCCAGAGTCTTCCATCACGATGTTCTGACCCCTTCCCAATTCTCGATTGTGTTTTGCGTGCGGCAATCGTGCAGCCTATGATGCACCCGCGTCCTCCGTTTGTGCCCGGCATGACACCGCCAATTACGGGAGCTCCCCCTGGACCCGCTGTTCCTGCGTATCTTCCGGTGAGTTTGGATTGTGTCGTCGCTGGGCCGAACCAGCATCTACTCAGCCATGTTGCAAATCGGTGTCGCTCGAACACAGCCGCATGGCTGCCTTCCCGTTTGATCGGGCACTCTGCGCGCAACACTCACCGCAAATTGCCGCGATTCTGCCCGACCCCGACCGACAGTACTTTGCTCCGATTCCCCCCGGAGCGCCGTATCCGCCTGGGATGATGCCCAACCCGCCAAACATGATCCGATATCCCAAGGGCGCACCGGCGCACACCAACCCGGGCATGGGCGCGTACATCCCCGAGATGGTGGGCCAGTTCCCGCAGCCACCGCCGCAAATGATGATGCCCCCTCCGAATGGCTGGATTCCCGGGCCCGGACCCGACCCCGCGCACTCTGCTGGCGCCCACATGCATCCGCATCACGCCGGCGGGCCACATCACGGCCAGCACCAGCCCTACCCGCCCAACGGTGCCTCCCATCCTCCTCCTCCGCCTCTCTCTCAGCAGGGCGACGAGATGTCTGTGGCCAACTCGGAGCACGCCCAGTCAGCCGAAAGCGTTACATCCAACACCGGACGACCGGGCGAATCCTCGTAACTGGGGCTCGACACGATCGATTGGTGGTCTGTGGGTGGTCGGTCTCGACGAACCAAAGGCCCTGGCGCATCTGTTGACACGATGCCTGGACTCTCATGGGACCGCGTGGCATCTCCATAAAAGATCGAAGCGCCTCTCTCTGTCTTCTTGTGTGCAATACCACGATCATGTCCCGACTCATGTTGCCCTGTCTCCCGAGTTGCTCGGATCGTGTCCTGTGGGCACCGGTTTGCATCCAAGCACGGCACTGTCCGCTTTGACCAGTTGATTTCAGTTTCAATGGACCATGAATACGCCCCATGTCCCATCGCCTTCGTCCGCATATCGTCGCCGTCGCTTGTCCAGCCCAGGCGTGCCGATGCACACCAACTCACTGCTCGATCTTGTCCCACCCGCGAGATGCAGCCACGGGCTGATTGCCCGATGGCCGCACTCTGGCCACGCAAGCCACATGAGTCACGCCGGTGATGCGCATGCCCGCCTTTGGCTTGTCCCACCGACCTTATCGCACTGATATATCCGCATCTCAGCCGGTCTCTGCCCATCTCGAGCCGGAGTCTTCCCTGTCTGCCTTTCTTTCCTGTCTGTCTCGCTCCCTGACCACCCCCATCTCTTATCAGCCATGAGCACGTTTGGAAGGTATGGCCGCTGCCACGGCAACCTGGCTGACAGTGTGGGATGATCGCGGCTCAGCATCTCGCCGCCCTGCCCTTTCGCTGCGTTTGCCGATCGCGAACGACTTGCCCCCGCCCTCTGCGCTCGCTGATCTGTCGACTCTTGGCCTGGTCTGTGCCGCCCTCCAGCGTCTTCCGAGTCACAACCTTTGGTGAATCCCACTGCAAGGGCGTTGGTGTCATCATCGATGGCTGCCCTCCCGGCCTTCCTCTCACCGAGGATGATGTCCAGCCCCAGCTGAACCGCCGACGACCGGGCCAGAGCAACCTGACCACTCCGGTAAGCCTGGCCGCAGCGCTCCTATCGATCTGTCTCCAGATGGGTGGCCGGATTCCTGTCGCCTCCTTTTGATCGGGTCACTCTGACCCACCGTCCATGCTATCCCGTATGGTGCGACTCAACCCATAATACCCTCAATAAACCCCCATTGGGCTCCACCAGCGCAACGAAAACGACCGAGTCACGATCCTGTCAGGAACCGAAATGGGATTCACCCTCGGCACCCCCATCGCCATGACCGTCCCCAACTTGGACCAGCGTCCCCGCGACTACGGCGAAATGGATGTCTATCCTCGCCCGAGTCACGCCGACTTTACCTACTTGGAAAAGTATGGCATCAAGGCCTCCTCTGGTGGTGGTCGCTCTTCGGCCCGTGAAACCATCGGTAAGCATCTGGCTCACATCGGGAAGAAGAGCTGGGCGAGGTTCGATGCCAGCGAGGCACTGTTGAGATCGATGGTGGTTGCCCTGGACCCGAGAGGAGACCGATCTGGCTCTGTCCTGGCGTCCTTGGTGCCTACAAAATGAATGCGATCACAGGCTCGTGCTGTTGCTTAGATCAACCCAGTCCAGGCGGCTCCCTCAATCGACTGCCATGCCCACTTGGTCTTGCTCTGATCCGGCTTTACCTCGCTCCCGCCCTCTCAGGCCGTGTCGCTGCTGCTGCTGTTGCTGAAAAGTTCCTCCGATCTGCCTTCGGCATCGAGGTCGTTGCTTTTGTCAACTCGATCGGCCATGTGAGCATGCAGCCCACTGTTCCGTATACCGACGCCGAGAACGAGCCGCAGTGGCTCTCCAAGTGGACAGAGTGGTGGCAGTTCCTGAACACTGTCCAGCGGGAGGACGTCGACAAGAACGAAGTGCGCTGCCCCGACGAAGTGTATGCCGAGAAGATGCGCCAGGTTTGTGCAGCAGACTTTGGAGAGGCGGAGCACCGTAGCGCCATTCAAAGCGACAATCAGGTCTCGGCTGATCGACGTTCATTTGTGCTCTTGTCGATCCGTTCAGCGAATTCTGCAAGCCAAAGAGGCCAGCGACTCGATCGGAGGAACGGTCGTTTGCGTTATCCGCAACGTCCCCACTGGGCTCGGCGAGCCCTGCTTCGATAAGCTCGAGGCCAAGCTGGCGCACGCCATGCTCTCGATTCCGGCCACAAAGTCCTTCGAGATTGGCAGCGGTCTGGACGGCACCAACATTCCCGGCCACGTCCACAACGACTCCTTTGTGCAGAAGGGCGACCGTCTCGGCACCACCACCAACTTCTCTGGCGGAATTCAGGTAGGAGCACTGTACTGGAAGGGATATGAATCTGTTTCTGTGTGTGGCTCGAGGTGAGCCTGCTCGAGAGGGACTGTGTGCGTGCGTGCGGCTCGGCGCCGATCGTATGTATACCGGCTGACATTCTGTGATCCAACCCAGGGCGGCATCACCAACGGTGAGAGCGTCTACTTCAAGGTCGCTTTCAAACCCCCGGCCACCATCGGTGCCGCGCAGGCCACCGCCACTTACAACGGCGAGGACGGTGTCCTCTCTGCCAAGGGCCGCCACGACCCCTGCGTCCTCCCCCGCGCCGTGCCGATCGTCGAGGCCATGGCCACCCTTGTTGTCATGGAGTGAGTGCCACGATGTAGCTGCGTTGCAGCTCGATGTGATGCAGCTAATGACCGAACTGCATCTGACTGCTCGTAGTTGCAAGTGAGAACGATGCTGCTGCTGCTGCTGCTGCTGCTGCTGCTGCTGCTGCTGCTGCTGCTGCCTCTTGGATCGCGGTCCTCTAACCCCCCACATTTGTCCACGGCACAGCTCCATCCTCCAGCAGCTTTCTCGCAAGGGCGCAACTGAGCTCCTGGCTAGCCACCGCCCGTCGATACCGGTGGTGCTCAAGGGCGAGGTCACCAAGGACATGATCGGCCAGTGAGCGGATTCGATGGTCGCAGTATTGGGTGTCGGGCATGTTGGCGGCGCTGACGGCGCTGACGGCTGACATGAATCGTGGCCTCCTGAATACACACATGTCTATCGTGCGAATGCCGAGTGCGAATGCCGAGTGCGAGTGCCGAGTGCGAATGCCCAGTGCGAATGCCCAGTGCGAATGCCCAGTGTGAATGCCCAGTGTGTACATTGAGTGTGAATTGTCCACGGCGCATCGTCCAGTGGATGGCGTTGGCGCGTGAGAAGCCAGAGCACCAGCCAGCCACGGCTTGGTCGGCCAGACGGTGGCCAGGCGGTGGCTGCTGGCTGCGCAGCCAAATGAAATCGATACTTGCCGTCTCTGCGCTGTCAATGTGAGCCAGAAAAAAAAAGTGCATGGCGATCGGCCGCTCATAGACCCACCCGCGGACTCGCCTCCCCTCCGTCCTCTCTTTCCTGCATCCCGCTCCTCCAAGGCCCCTTCCGTCTGTCCTTTGGTGAGTGCCGCTCTGCACCAGTGCCGCTCTCGATCGCACCTCCTCCTCCAGCCTGCTCTAACCGTGCTCGATCTCACCCGCCTGCAGCCCACCCGGATCTCCTGCTCCATCATGTTCAAGGCTCTGTTCCGCCCCGCTCCCTTCGTCGCCCGATTCGTCTCGGCACGCACCTTCACCTCCACCGGCGCTGCCCTGGCCCCCAAGCGTATCTTTGTCGCCAACATTCCCTGGAAGGTTAGCCACGAGGAGCTTGGTTTCATCGCCGAGCAGTCTGGCGGCCGAGTTACCGACTCCCATATCGTCAAGGACCGTGACACCGGCCGATCCCGCGGCTTTGGCTTCATCGAGGTCGACGAGACTGATCTGGAAAAGGTCATCAAGCACCTTGACGGCCTCGAGGTTGAGGGCCGCGCCCTGAAGGTGATGAGAGCGAGCGAGCGAGTGGGAGGGAGAGTGGGAGGGAGAGTGGGAGGGAGGGAGAGCGCCGCTCCAGTGCAGGATAGCATTCGCCGCCGATGGGATGGGATGCTGTGTCGTCTTTGGCATCGATCTGGGCGCCGATCGCTGGCCTGATGTGATCACCCCGTCTGCTGTCTCGATCCTGTGCTGACCCTGCTCTCCGTTTTTGTTGCGGTGCGATGCTGTTTCTCCAGGCCAACGAGGCTCTTCCCCGACCCGAGCGCTCTACCCAGTTCTCCCGCAACCAGTAGATCTGAACGCCCCTGATCCCAAAGCCGGCCATCGAATATACTGAGCCGCATTCTTGTACTTGCTCTCGTACAACTCTGCCGTTATTGGATCACTTCTGGCTCGCCTCTCGGTCACAGCCATCGCCATCGCCATTGCGCTTCTACTGTCATCCGCCACCCTTCCCTTGCCATTCCGCTCCCTCTTGGTTTCATGCTCTGCAATTCATCATCGCTCCTGTAGATATCGATAAGCAATCATGAATTTCTTGCCCCTAATACACGAACAATAACCAGACGTTCGCTGTGCAGCCGATGGGGGGGGGGAGATGGAGGGATAGTGCGCTGGTCGTTGATCCTGGCGAGTTCTGATCAGAGCTGTTTGGGCAGGTCGGCCCGTTTGAGAGCTGGTTGTGGGCAGGCTTGTGGGCTAGCATCACCCCAGATGAGCGAGGCCGATGTCCTTTTGCCCGCCGAAAAAATGTCAGGCCACTGCTGCCGCTATCAATCTGGCTCGCCTGATTCCAAGCCCTGGCTGTCCTCGGTGCTGCATATCCATCGCCGCCTTTCCTGTTCGCCATCGCGGCTACCACTCCCTCCCTGCTGCCGCCGCTATTCCCACGAACCCTGCTCCGTCGCCTGACCACCTTCAGCGACTCTGTTTGCACTCGATACCGCATCCATTCTAAATCACACGCTGCCTCAGCCCTCTCGGCCGAGCCCTCGAACGAGCTCTGCGCCGTTGCAAGCTTGAATTGCTACGCTGGGGGTGCCTGCCTTCCCTCTCGTTCTGTCGTGCGTTTCTCTTCGACCACCCAGCGCTCGTCTGCTCGTCCTCCCAGAAAAGACAGTTGTATGTCTAAAAGCGACGATATGGCCACTGCCCCTAAACCGACCGAGCGTCCTGCCGACATCAAGGCAAGTTCCCTCACCACCTCCATCCCGTTTGGCCGAGCATCGGAATTCACGTCGCCTTTGCCGGCTTTGATGGTCGCTCGGCTGGCAGTGGAAATACAGCTGTGCTTTGGATGCCGGTGTGCGGGGGAGGCTCCGGTTCGCGACGGTTCCAAATAGCCAGCCGGGAGGCGAGCCTCGACGTGGGAGAGGGGAATAGATGCACGGACGGATGGATATCGCCTTTGTGACGAGGGGATGAGCCCGCAAACAGATCATGTTCGTCGCTCGCGTATCATTCACAGCGACAGCTCCTCCGACACGACCCATGATTAACCTCCCCCCGAACCACATCCTTGGCCACGATGCCTTCGTGCTCTCTTATTCCCTCCATTCGCCTGCCTCGCGGCACGGCCCGCACGCTGCAGATCATCCTCCTTGGAGACAGCGCCGTCGGCAAGTCCAAGCTGATCGAGCGGTTTCTGCTGAACGACTTCAAGCCCCACCAACTCTCGACCTACGCGTTGACGCTCTATCGCCACACCTGTCCGCATCCCGCCGAGCCCGGAACACTCATCAACGTCGAGTTCTGGGACACGGCCGGACAGGAGCGGTTCCAAAGCATGCACGCTTCGTACTATGCTGGCGCGCACTGCTGCATCTTTGTCTTTGACGTCACTCGCAAGATCACCTACAAGAACCTGGAGCGATGGTACGAGGAGTGGATCTCGTATCGGGGCTATGGCGCTCCCGTCATCGTCGTGGCCAACAAGATCGACATGGACCCCAGCCGGGCCAAAAAGTCCTTTGCCTTTGTCGAGCGGGTGCGGTCTCAGCGGGGCCAAGACGACGACTCGCCCTTCTACTTTGTCAGCGCCAGCGACGGCTCCAACGTCGTTCCGCTCTTCAAGGAGGCCATTCGACGGGCCTGTGCGTACAAAGAAGTCGGTGCTGCTCCGGGAAAGGAGACCTTTGTCGACGAGATTCTGAGATTCCTCGAGGAGGAGGAGAAGCCGGGAGGCTTGTTTGACAAGGAGCGACAGAGCCCGACAGTCTCGGCGGACTGCGACACCGAATAGACCAAAGACACACCAGATGACGAAACGAAGGAGGGGCCTCGGACAGTGCTTGCTTCCAACGACAAAAGACGCTCCCGGCACAACCAAGAGGGCCGCATGCCGACACTGCGAGTGGGCGATAGGCCGAAAATATAGTTGGATGGCATCACGCACTTTTGTGGATCTGCTCAGGGCCGTGTGAAAGCCGCTCTGTGGCGGCTGTACACTTTGGTGCCCGGCGCTTCGAATGTCGCCACACGGCGTTCAAATGCTGTATTGACAACCGACTCCGGTGCTCCTTACTTCCTGCCACCCATCATCTTGGCGGCGGCACTGGCGACCTCAGGGTTGTTCATCATCTCTTTCAGGGCATCGGGGTTGCTCATGAGATTCTGGGCCCTGTGCAAACGAGAGAGCGAACTGGTCAGCGACGCTACAGGAACAGGTGGGACGCCTCGGTCACTCGAGGAGTATATGATGCCGTGGAGGATGTGATGGCTATCGAATGCGTGCATGTGACTCTCGGACATGTTGTGCTAACTGATGGGACCGCAAGGAATGCAGCCACCGGCGGGACAGTGATGGAGATAGGACGATGATTCTTACATGGCCGCCATCTTGGGGTCCTTCATGAGATTCTGGGCCATCGACATGAACATGGGGTTGCTCATGATGGAGCCCAAGTCCATGCCGCCGAGGGCGGAGAGATCCGGAAGGCCTCCAGCACCGGCACCGGCACTGGAGCTAGCACTGGAGCCGGCGTTGTCCAGATCGCGGTTCGCGGCCTGACCCCTGGCATCGGCGTTAGCATTGACTTTGGCCTTCGAGGCATTCAAAGACGTCTGCATCGAGGCGTTGTTGGGATCCAGCTCCAGTCCCTTCTCATAGGCAGCAACGGCTTCTTCGTATTGCTCCAAGCAGAACAGGGCGTGGCTGTGGCCCACGACAATGGCGACGACGACGATGATGAGTCGGAGAGGGTCAGAGCGATCGCCATCGGCCCGCATGACAGAATCGCTCAGCGGCAGCATCGACGAGCGCAGCGCGGCTTCATTGGACAAGCACATACCCGAGACGGCTATATCCCTTGGCCCAGTTGGGATCGATCTCGATGGCCTTCTTGGCATCGGCAACGGCGAGCTCATGCTGGCCGTCCTGGCTGTAGGCGGCAGCTCTGGAATTCAGGGTGAGTAATCGCACAAAACACGGGAGTGAGCATGAAGACACAGCGACGGAACGGATTCAGACAATGGCGTCGAGGCAGATAGCGGCCAAGCCAGCAAAATCCGCACCTGTTTCCATAGTAGACAGCACTTCGAGAGTCAAGTTCGATGGCCTTGGTGTACAGGCTGATGGACTCGGCATAGTCCTTTTCGGCCATCTTCTTGTTGCCCTGGGCTTTGAAGGACTCGGCCTGGGCCTTGCGCTCCTCGTCCTAGCGATTTCATGCGGCAGAGAAGGACGGGGTGTGGAGAGGGGGCAAGGCCGAGAAAGCCGGTCAGCGAACCCATCGAACACATCGAGCACTGAAAGAAAAGCCCATGCTGGACAGACTGCAGCCCGCCCGGAGCGAGGCTCTGTAGCAAGCAGCAAATGCCTTACCGAGAGACGGGGCTCGGCCGAAGCTTGTGGCTGCGTTGGGATAGATCGGCAGGTGGCGTCAGTCGAGCAGATGCCACCAAGGGATAGCGAGCCTCGGCGTCAGGAGGAGGAAGGCTCGGTGGAGCCCGGGCACGCCAAACACCCATTATTCACCTTGGGGCCCGAAGATACCTTCTTCTGGGTGTTCAGGAAGACCTCGAAGATGCTGGCGAGGTTCTGGGGCTTGATGCTGTAGGCCGAGTTTCCTTCATCGGGATTGACGCCAAAGGCCTCGCCGATGCACTGGATGGCAACTGGTGGGCCGAAGCAATGTGTAGATTAGGAGTTTGGTCGATCGAGACCTGAGGTCAGGTCCAAATAGTGATGTTTGTGTCGGCCTGCTCGAGCGAAACAGCGATCTGCTCCAGAGGAACAGACAGGTGTGCAAAGAGAGCGTGGGCAGGGCGAACGCACCCTCGATGCCCTCGGCGTCATCCGAGGAGATGGTGCCGTTCTCGATCGAGGTCCGCAGGAAATCGCAGATGGCGAGCGAGAGCTTCTTCTGGGTGTCGGAGGCAGGCATGCTTGGACGAGGAGAACGGGATCAGATGGAGGCCAGATCGTGGAGAACAAAACTGGGAGGGGCGGATGGCCCCGCCAAGGCCAAATGTGGGCGGCTTGCCATTCCGGACACAAGCACACTGCGGTTGGACGGTATCGGGCTGCATCATCGTATTACTATCGTATTATAATCGTATTACTATCGTATTATCATCGCAATATCGCAATATCGCAATATCGCAATATCGTATCATCGTATCATCGTATTATCGTATTATCGTATTATCGTATCATCGTATCATTCACCCGACCGAGACCACATTGGCCAGGCATGAGGAAATCGGTCCCAATACTCGTCCCAATCCTCATGCCGATCCTCGTCCCCATCTCATCAACTCATCACCACGCATCCAACATCGCACTTCCAACATCGCACTTCCAACTTTCAACACCCAACCTTCCTTCCCCCAAACCAGGTGGCACAGCCATGCGCGGCTGTGGTGTCCCCGCAAACACCATCCATACAATGACCCTTGTTCCTCCCATGTCCCCGCGGCCAGCTGCCCAAACAGGCCGGAAATAGGCCTGTGCCTGTCCCTGGTGCAGTGCGTCGCCAAGCCTTCAAGAAGAGCAGCCTTCCCCGCTCCTCCGTCTCGCTTCCATCTTGGCCCGTTCTGTCTTTGCCCGTCTCGGCCACCGCTTCCACCAACCGCTCCCCCGCCGTCTGCACTCCATGAGCACCGACATCGACCCCGAAACCGACCCTGCGGCCCGCGCCGCCACCCCCGCCGACGACGCTGCTCCTGAGATCCTCAAGGAGTTCCACATCTTCATCTCATACCGAGTGCGGACCGATGCCGCCCTGGCCGAGCGTCTCTGCGACAAGGTACATCGTTGTCCTGTTACTGCCATCCAAGACTGGCTCTTGACCAACGCCCATCTCCTGTCCGTGCCCGTCCGTGCCCGTTCCTGTGCAAATCTTCATACTCACCCGTCTGTCCTGTCTTTCTTGCACCCCTCCAGCTCCAACTGCTCGACCTGACCAGGGAGTCGGGCGAGTCCTCGGCCATTCGCATCAAGTGTTTCTTTGACAAGCAGAACCTGACCATCGGCGAAGGCTATGAGAACCAGTTCCTGTCGTCGCTCCAGGCCAGCTGCCTGTTCATGCCGCTGATCTCTGAGGAGTGTCTGAAGCCCGTCTCCAAAATGGGCGAGGGCAGCAAGGACAATGTTCTCCTCGAGTGGGAGACAGCCCTGCGCCTGCACGGCGACAAGAAAATTGAAATCATTCCGCTGCTCATCGGCTCGAACGCTACCGATGTCTCTGGCGGTCGTGTCTACCACCGCTTCAACGGCTTCACGATTCCCATGCCCTCGGTCCACTCTGCCACCAATCCGACCAGCACCATCGCCGACACCATCAAGAGGATCTTTGGCATCCAGGGCATCTTCCTCGACCCAGAAGACTTTTCAGATAAGCTCGGCGTTATCAACAGCCGGTAGGATGGCGAGTTCCATTGCCCGCATCCGCTTTCACGCACTCGCACGCATCCACATCGGGAACTAACTGTCTCGGCCTGCCCAGCCTCTCGAAGGATATCTGGCCTCGCTTCCGATCGCAGTGGAAAGATCTTGAGGCCCTGGGCGCCGAGCCTATCTTTGGCTGTGTGCAGTGCGGCAAGGACTACAAGGTCTCTGAGAACGCCGACGGCAGCTGCCGCTTCCATCCATATCCACCAGGGTTCGTGCCTTGCAACATGCAATGCCAGTGCCGCTGTCCTGGCACCAATATGCGGCATGTTGCTCGCTGTACTGGCTAACTTTGGTTCTGTATCTATGTGCACCACTAGCTATCGCGGATACAGCTGCTGCGATGAAAAAGGTACGACTCCACTGCTGTACCGGGATACCGTGCTGGGGGGGGGTACTTGTCGGTTTGGGCGGCGAGTTGTGGTCGGCTACATGCTTACACCGTGTATCCAACAGATCCCAACAAAGGTTGCTTAAGAGGAAAGCACCGCAACAAGCATCACAACGACTATGCGTACGAGCGTTTCTCGAACTGGCTCATCGGCATCGTTAATAACACCGGTAAGATCAAGTTACGGCTCGTGGGTGACCAAGATCTCTCACAGCGTTGCATGGAGCATCGTGCAGGAGTGGAATCCAATTAAGCGGCACCCCCCCGCTGACTATGGATTCGTTCTGCCCTTCATTGACACGCCTGTCTGCTGTTCATTCATCTCCACCATGACCTCGTCACGACCATGTCCATACCCGTCAGCCATGTCGGAGGTAAGCTGATTCTATGAGCGCCGCAATCTACGCCCAACCGGCACGATATCGATGTCGACTGGCTCTGACCACGCCCGTATTCACCGATCCACACAGCTCCTCACTGAAATTTCATGCGACGACTGGGAAAGAGGTGTCGGCGACGCCTGCTGGATGTCCGTCGGCCGGGTTATCGGATACGACAATCCAGAGTACGGCAAGATCTATGTTCGCGCGCGTATCAACGATGGCCACAACGGTCGAATGTTCTTCAACACCTTCTCGCCCAGCGATCTGGAAGGGTTCGATCTGCGCAGCCCCATTACCGCGCTTGACGTCAAGGGCGGTTACATAGCCAAGGCCACATGGATTATTGAGAACGAAGACATTGTCGGCATCGAGGTACGGTAGCGGTGTTTTGCAAGCTGCAGTGGGCCAGCACAGAATCCAGTGCGATTCGGATCCACTGGCCGTGCGTCACCGCTGTCGGCTTGTCTACGTATATGGTATCTAACGCAAGCGTCGATTGCTGTGCAGATGACCTGCCAGACGCCCTCGGCTTCCACGCCCGCTGTCGCTCAAATGCGCTTCAAGTGGCCCGAGAACGACTCCGACGGCGGCCCCATTATGATCGACCAGACCGTTGTCTCCAAGCCCCATTTCGGTGAGCAAAAAAGCTCTGGCCAGCGACAGCTTCCCGACAACTTGACCAAGGGCCCGGTCATGCATCTTCCTGTCCCCCGCGCTGCCGAAAAGTTCAACTCCTGGAGCGACCGAAGCCCCCTCCGCATCAAGGTTTCCAAGACTTACCAGACTCATGACAACTACCGCAACTGCGACTACTATGGCTGCGAGGTCCTCAATTTCGTCAATCCCACGGATAAGCAGATCGGCATCCTCGAGGTCACAGCGTTCTGGCGAGTGCGCGACACCAATATCGACCCCCAGCTTATCTTTGGCGAGGGCACGACCGAGTCCCTGGACACTTGGCGCCAAGTTCCCGCCGAAGGCATCTACTCCGAGCACATTCCCTCGCCCGTGCCGGCGCAGTCGACCCTGGGTGTCAAGGTCTCGGCCCGCATCCCGACGCCAAGCGGCAGCGACAAAGCCAGCTACGAGTGGCGCAATATCGGTTTCCTCATCCGCCACTCGCCTATCCTCGTCGACTTTGTGTTTGAGGTAGGGACGAGGGATTCGCTGCTTGGATGTCAGGTTGGAGCGTTTGCTGGGCCGGCGTGTTGAGTGGCGGTGGCCCGGGCATTGTGACATTGATGGATTCCCCTCGAGTTCTGCTGCCTCTGAACCGCGACACTCTGTGGCGGCTTGTTTGATCTTGAGGCGGACTCGACTGGTTTCAGACCAATTATACGCCATTTCCTTGACAAAACGACTGACACTATCGTTGACATCGTTTGCATCGTTCACCTCGCATCCGCAGGATCTGGATGGCAACAAGTGCGGCATCACCGTCGAGTATGTCTGCCCCAAAATGCCGTTCGTCGACCGCATATCCAGCGACACCATGTCCTTCTTCCCAGTCTTTGACATGGTCGAGTGGAGTGTCGATCACATCGAGCTTATGCACACGGATGTCTACCGCAAGACCATCAGTGAGATCGAGTCAGGCGCCTCCGAGATCACCTATCCTGGGGGCGACGACGTCATCTTTTCGATCAAGTTCCGGAACATTTGCTACCAGTTCCGAACGCCGACCCTGCGAAGCTACGTGCTTCGCGCCATCAAGGAAGGCAACAACGTCATTTCGGTCATCCAGGAGGGCCAGGCCGAGCTCTTTGCCATGGTCGACACCGAGACCCGAACGGTCTATGCCTTCCGGATCACGGCCGAGTCCAACACCAACAGCAACGTCTTCTACTTCCCCATCGCCGACTATGGCGATGCGCTTCTCGCGGATGCCCCGATCGCGGATCGCTCTGGATGGGCTGCTCCCAACATTGACGGCGAGTACTTGGAGCGAGGCTATTTCGTCGTCCAGGGCGAGAAGGGCATCGTCTACGAGAACAAGCCGCAGACAAGCTTCGAGCCTCGGTTCAAGCCCGAGCCGCAGCCCGCGGCCGGTGCCTCAGCCGGCCCTGCAGCAGCCATCGCCGGGTTCCTGAGCGACCCACTTGCCCAGGCTGCTGTTGCTGAGATCGTCAAGCGCGAGGTTCAGGAACAACTGAGCGGATTCGAAGCCAAACAGAACAGCCTGATCAACGAGCGTTTTGACCGAATCGAAGCACTCCTGGCACGAAGCCAAAACGAATCGGCTGCGGCGATTGCTGCCGCCACTGCTGCGGCCGATTCTGCGACTGCGGCTGCGGTTGCGGCCACCACAGCTGCTAACAACAGCGAAGTGAGCCGTGGTGCTGCTGCTGCTGCTGCTGCTACAACCGTCACGGTGGTCCCAGCCGAGCTGTCCGAACAGCATCTGCACGTTGTCGACCAGATCCAGAGCGTGGTCGTGCTCGAGCTGCTTAACCACAAGACAATCATCGAGGAGCGCCTGAACCAGTTCTTGAACGATATCACCAAGCGCATCAGCGGCCCAGGAGGCAGCGGTGGTGACCAGAGCGCACCGCCCTCGCGCCCTCCGAGTGGAGGCGGTATTGCGTCGTGGCTCTGGAAGCCCAACCCTTGATTTGGTTGATGGTTGATGGTTGATGGTTGATGGTTGATGTTGATGGTTGATGTTGATATTGGTATTCGGTGGTTGGTATTCGATCGTTGTGTCTGATGGTGCTGTGCATCCGCAGTTTGCTCCTTTCCAAATATACATGTCAGTTGTGCTTCAGAGTACGCTTTCACACCATGCCGTGCGCTTGTCACTCATGACTCGATCCCATTCATGCGCCGCGCTGCTGTCTCGTTTGCGGGTTACCAATCAGCCCAAAGGATCTGGACATGCTGCGCCTCCATCCCGTCCCGTCTCGCTCATCGCTCTGCAGGCCCAGTATTTCCGCGATGAGGTGCACAGTTCCCATATACATCACGTCATATCACCGGCCCCAGATATTGGCTGCCCTTTCGGATCATGGGGGGCCCAGTCGCTGTACGGCTTGAACAGATTGTTGTATTTTAAGTGGAAATCACTGCCGAGACAAACGGCTTGTGGCTGGTGCGGATCGGCTCAGCACCAGCCGCAGCGGAAGCCGCACAATGGTATGTGTGATTAGAGCAAGATGCAAATCGAAGAGAAAGGGTGCGGAAGAAACAGAGCCGGCACTAAGCGCCAGGTTGAAGGATTAAAAGTGCGAGCTTAGAAGCCCCACAGCAAACTGGATCGCAGCAGGCGCAGTGTAGAAAGCTGTGTGGGTTGGATACGTTGAAGCGGAAAGTGCGGTGATGGGTGGATGGGGGCCAGCGGCCACGCTCGTCGTCGCCGTCCAGGGTGGGGTTTAGACGGCGTTGGTGAGCTCCTTGCCTTTCTTGCCGTCGAGGAACTCGCCGACATTGCCCAGGGTGACGCTCGCGATGGCAATCAACGCCTCCTCGGTCAGGAAGGCCTGGTGGCCAGTGACGATGACGTTGGGGAAGGTCATCAAGCGGGCCAGGACATCGTCCTTCATAATGTCGCCGGATCGATCCTCGAAGAAGAACTGCTGCTCCTCCTCGTAGACGTCGAGGCCGGCGCCGCCGACCTTGCCGGACTTGAGGGCATCGATGAGAGCAGTAGTCTTGATGAGAGCGCCTCTGTTGAATGGACGGAGCAAAGGACCGCGCGCTGTTAATTCGTGCTCGGTGAAGCGACTGTATTATATGCACCCCCGCCATACACGGCTGACCCGCCCATTGAATCAGCAGAGCAGGACAAGCCGCCAGCAACCTAACCTTCTCCCGTGCCTACCTGGAGGTGTTGATGATGATGACGCCATTCTGCATCTTCTTGAGCGTGTCGGCGTTGACGAGGTACTTGGTGGTCGGCAGGAGCGGGACGTGCAGCGAAATCACGCGGCTCTTCTGGAAGATTTCGTCCAGCTCGACATAGCGACAGCCGGGCAGCTCCTCGAGCTCCTTGCACTTGTAAACGTCGTACAGCAGGACCTCGCAGCCGTAGCCCAGCATGATCTTGACGAAGCACTGGCCAATCTTGCCTGTTCCGATGACGCCGACGGTCTTGCCGTGCAGGTCAAAGCCGACGAGGTTGGTGAGGGTAAAGTTGGCTTGCTTGAAGCGGTTGTAGGCCTGGGGCAGCTTGCGGTTGATGGCCATCAGCAGCGAGGCAGCGTGCTCGGCGACGGCGTAGGGGCTATACTGTGTTGTTGAGAAGCAAGATCTGTGTGTCAGCAAAGCCTCAAGCAGCGATAAAGCTGAAGATGCGAGATGGTGATGCGAGATGGTGATGCGAGATGGTGATGCGAGATGGTGATGCGAGATGGTGATGCGAGATGGTGATGCGAGATGGTGATGCGAGATGGTGATGCTCGAGGGGCGCAGGGCGAAGCGTGCAGGTAGAGCCAGCGTGGATGTGAATGCGGCCAATGGCGCGCTGCAGACAGAGGACAACTTACAGCCGGGACACGGGCAACCGAGATGCCCAGAGCGGCGGCGGCCTTCAGGTCGACATTGTTGAAGCCGGCGCAGCGAAGAGCAATCATCTGGCAGCCCTGGGCAGCCAGGGTGGTCAGCACAGGTGCGCTCACATCGTCGTTGACAAAGACGCAGACAATCTATGAGTGGGAAAGTTGTTGGTATTGATGAGAAGCACGACGCGTTAGTCGAGTGGAGGCGATGATGATCGCTGTTCCGGTTGAAGTGAGTGTGTGCGAGACAAACAGCGCACACAATCGTCGAGCAGATGATTCAAAAAACAGGAACCTCGACGCGAGACTGCAGAGCTTGTACGGAAACAGACGAGAGGCACTCAGCCTCAGCAGCAGGAGATGGAGATGGAACGCACCTTGCACTTGTGAGCCAGCGAGACCGTGCTGGGCCCGAGCTTGACGGGGAAGTACGAAACCTCAATGTCGTGGTGTTGACGGAAGGAGGCAATCTGGGCCTCAAAATAGGGCTTCTCGTGAGGCTTGAAGTCAAAGAAGGCCATCTTGATCTTCTTGCTGTCGCCCGTGACGACGTGGACGAGGTGCGAGCGGAAGGTGCGGAGCTCAGACGAGAGCGACTTGAGCAGGGCGAAGGTGACCTCGGGCTTGGACTGCAGAACGGATCTGAAGGTGCTGTTGGAGAGGCGGAGGGCGCTGGTGTCTTCGGAAGCAATGAGGGTTGCCGAGTGGGCGTTGCCCTCGATCTGGAAGCGGCCGCCGCGGAATACAGAGCGCAGGGTCAGACCGGAGGTTTCGGGCGGACAGCGAAACACAGTCAAATGCCCAGTACAAAGCAGCCTCAATACTTACAAGGCTGCCGACGCCAGCATAGTCGCCGGTTTTGAGAGTAAGCAGCTTGACTTGCTCTTCCTCAGAGCCCTTCTTGAAGACATCGGCTCCACCGGCCGAGATGACGAGGAGATGGCCGTCGTTCTCGCCCTCCTGGAGCATGACATCGCCCTTCTTGAACTCGATGGGTTCGAATTTGTCGGCGAGCTCGGCCAACTCCTCATCGGTGAGGGTGGGCCAGAGGTTCATCGCACGGAGCAAGGAGACGCGTTCGGCGGATGCGACTGGGAGAAGGCAAACGGACGAGCAAGAGGTGAGCATGGAGCGAGCAAGGAGCGAGTATGGAGCGCGTAAGGGATAGGCAAGGGGCGAGGACAGAGTCAGGATATGCATGACAAAGTCCGGGATATGCAGGACGGAGGGTCGTGGTGCGCCGCGACATATGCGATATACGCATAACGCATTGAACAAGCGGCCATGCACCCGACGCGAGGGCGGCGGCTTACCCATGATGGAAGATGGGTACTGTGGGAGTCGATATGGAGGGATAGCCAGACAGGAGGCTTTTTCAGAAGATTGACGAGGGTCAGAAGACGTGTTGGAAGGAACCGACGGGAGCTGGTAACGAGGTCCGATCGGAGGAAAGGCCGGGGGGGGGCTTTATAGCCTGGCGGAGCGCCGGGGAGGGGCGGGGCTGTCACCCAGGGGCGAGGACGGGCAGACAAGTCACGTCGAGTCACCAGCAGGCCACCGAGGCCAGATTGGGAGGGCAGGCGCCATTGTGGACGGTGGGCTGTGGGACGTCCTGGAGGGCGTGGTGCTGTGGGAGAGCAGTCGGACGGATGGCAGAGTATTGGGGGGATTGCTGGGTGTGGTTCGGTCGGCGGATTGCGTTGTTACGCTCCGACGGACGTCGCCAATCGCCGGCGGCAATCAGGGAGGATATTCGACAGCGAGGACATCAGCGATCTGCAGCATCGACCTGCGACATCGACAGCATCGACAGCATCGACAGCATCGACATCAGCACCGCCAGCGATTGTCTGCGCAGCCGCCACCGGCTTATCTCGCACGAGCTTCTTGTGTCTTGGCAGGCCTGCTCCTCCATCCCGACGCTGCGGCTTGCTCTCCGAGTAAGAAAAAAAAAAGTTGCGTTGGCTTTTGGGCGGGACACTTTTTTTTTCCTTTGGGCTGGCATGACGGGTCGTGACGACAGCCGGATGCTGGCCGAGCCCATGAACACTGTCTTGGCTGCGACTCCAGCGGCCGCCCGCACTCTATCTCTGTTTGACGACAATGCCGCGCAGCTCCCGCAGATAGCTGCCGATGTGCTGCTTCAAGGGCCCAATGCCCTTGATCAGGAACGGGACCAGGTCGATGCCGAACTGGACCTTGCCCTCGGCCACCATGTCCTTCAGCTCCTGCAGCGTCATCTGTCGCTCCTGGTCGTGTCGGTCGCTCTGACTCAGCGACGAGTCAATGATCTCGTACAAGATCCTGAGGTTGTTTTCGTTGGGCCCCGAGGCTGCCTGCCCGTCCACAAAGTCTGCCAAGTCGATCAGAACCTCGACGCGCCGGATATACTGGGCATACTTGGACGCCAGGGGCGAGACCACGTTGTTGGGGATGCTTGCGGCAATGTCCTGGGTGTCGAGGTAGATCAATTTGAGATCTGTGTCGCAGGAACGAGGACGGGAGAGTGTCGAGGCCGTGAGCGTCGAAGTCGTGGAGTCGGCAACCCGGCCACCTTGGACTCTGAGATTGCATCGCACATATCGCACACATCGCACATATCGCACATATCGCACACATCGCACACATCGCACCCACCTTCCATGTGCAGCGCAAACCGGCGCATGTTGCTGATATCAGACTTGATTCCCTTTTGGACGCTCTCCACCGCCGGCGGGACAGTCAGATCCATCATGTCCTCGCAAAAGTCGTCGTCCCAGCTCTCGTAGTTGGCGTGGTGGTGTCCGGTCTCATATCGCAGCTCCTTCCGCTTGGTGGCCTTTTGCTTGACCGAGGCGACCACGTAATCGTCCTCGTCTTCCAGCAGCCATTCGTCGGTTTCAGGACCGGCGATTGTCCCGGTGAGCTTCGGGGCTGTCGCCGGAGCAGACTGGATTCGCCGCTGCTCGCCGACTCGGAAGCCCGTCTTGGGCAGCCTCGAGCTCCCATAGATTGCGTGGCCTGGGCTGGTGCCTGCGTTGGTGCGGGTGGCCGTCTTGCCGTCGCCTTCGTCGTTGCCGACATCCCCCCAGTCGACCTCGATTTCGAATTCAGTGCATGGCGCCCTTGTGAGCTCGGCATGTCCCTTTCCTGGGAGGGGCGGCAAGCTCTTTGCGCCGTCGGGCACTGCCATTATTCCATTCGCTCCGGACGGAGCCCCGAGAGACGAGACCGTAATGCCCGACGGCTGGGTTGCGCTCAGCGTCGTTGCCAAGATGTCGTTCGGCCGGTTCAGCACCGACAGCGACTGGGTCCGGCGGCTGTTGAACTTGCCTGGCTGCGATCCGTTGGTGTTGAGGATGATGGCCGAGTCCGATTTGGAGGGCCGCTTGAGGCCGGCAAGGACGTTGTAGAACGGGGTGAAGCCGATGGTGCCGGCCGCACCCGAGGCCACAATCAGCTACATATCGCCGGATTCAGTGAGGTCGATGAGTCTCGGCGCCTCTCATCGGAGCGAGTACATATTCGCTCGGCAACGTCCCACTGTCCCTCGATTGCCTCCCGCAAGCGCATATCGGGTAATGTGCTCCTGCACTTCCTCCTTCCCCTATCCACCGTTGCCCACTCCCGCGTCAGTCTGCGCTCCTTGAATTCTCTCCCGTTATTCTTTTCGGCTTCGTCCGTTGTCCCGTCGCCTTGCGCTCGTCGGATCCTCTTTCCACCGCTCCATGCATTTTCGCCAGCGAGTTCCCACGCGTCAATCCCAGCACCGAACGCTTCCCAGTCCTCAGCGAGCGTGTCTATCGCCCGCACTGCACTCCCTCCCGCAGTACTCACCGCCGACACCGACTTTTTGGCCTTCTTGCCCTTCTTCCCAATCAGATTGGATCGTGCCGTGAGCATCTCAACCTTCCACATACACAGCAAATGCAAAACTGTGAGGCTGGAATGTGGGTGTAGTGTCTGTCGCGAGTGACAACGGCTTGGGAGTTGCGGGACAGACGGTATGGATATGTGCAGGTCGGGATTGGTTGCGCAATCGGTGGCTCAATGTACGGTAGCGATCGAAAACGCAGATGAGAGTGCAGATGAGAGGGCGAGTGCAGATTCGGATGCTGAGAGCGGCGTGCGAGCTGTGGGCGCCGTGGGAACTCGAGGGCGATCCAGCAGTTGGCGCTCTTTTCAGAGTCATTCTTGCCGGGGGAAGGCCATCGCATGTGGCTCTGCCCGGTCCTGGGGCCGTATGTGCCGCCATTTCCAGCGACCTTGTCCGCCCCATCTCCCTATCCCAACTCCCACGCACCGCAATCATTCGCACGGGTGTCTTTGGGTGCTTGTGGCATCGACGCTCATACTGATCGAGATGAGCCACTCCAGCGTCAAAGAGGGCTCCCACTCCTCATGGGAAAAGCTGTTGCTGGAATACCACTGGTCGAGCTGGCCCATAATCGATCAATGCTGCAGCACAAAGGCTGGGAGAGAGGTTAGTTGGTGCGGTGATATCTGTGCTGTTTCTCCGACGCCTATGTATCTCCTCTGAGCGCCGTCAGTATGCCTCTCGACGACCCGCAAATCTTCTCAGCCTGGAATATCTCACGAGCCTGCGCTCTCGCGAAAATGTTGCCGTGGCCGCAAACCCCCAGGTGTCGGTGGCCAAGCCTGAAACCATATCCACGGCGATCAACTCGGACTTTCATCGACGCCTCCTGTTTTGGTCATGCTGTAAGGTGGGTCTGACATCCAGTATGGCTGCACCGGCCTTGCCAGCATGTTTCCGTATCCCCCAACTATCGATGCGACGCGGCTGTTATCTGGTCGATTGCGCATATTTCCGTCCGAGAAAGAGTATGAGTGAGTGAGTGAGAAAGACAGCCAAAAATGACGCCGGCTTATCTCCATTTCGTTTTCGGTTTGGCTACAACTGACGGACTCAGCTGCTAAGAAAACTGTTCAAGTCTCGCGCCGATCTCGAGATGCACATCCAGCGCGACATTCCTGGAACGCTAAAGTGGTTCCTGGAGATGTACCTCAAGTATCCCTTGAAGGTGAGCGCTCCAAACACTTCTCTGTTATGGCGATGGCCACTCGTTCGAGAGGCAAACTTGCGTGGCATGGCGACACTGTCATCTTGTCGTGGAGCAGACTCATGACCAATGCCCACCCCGATTCTGCGTATTCAGGAGCCCTACGACATCTACCTCATGATCCTGATATTCTGGACGCTGAACAGGTGCGTGCTGTTGCGGCATCTCAAGCACAAGCAACACCACGGCCCTCATCGCTGAGACCGCCTCTGGTGGGACATCACATCCCTTTTGCATTCCACCAGGCTGCATTTGACCATACACGTTGAAATGCCCGATGCAGCCATGGGCCGGGAGATCATCCAGGTCGTCAAGCGCGCCATACTGCAGCTCCAGGGGCGCGTTTGCTTCGTGCAGATGTTGCTGAACGAGCCGTCCGACTGGCTCAAAGCCTACGAGCGCAAGTTTGTCGAGTCCATGGCGGTTCTCATTGGCACAAACGAAGGTCTCTTTGGGATCTCCGAGATGGCCTTGCCTGTCGCGATCGACAATCACATTCGGCAAACGCAGACCATGATCCGGGTGAGCGATCCGCAGGCCCATTGCCGGCATACCATGCCACAGGCCAATATCGTGGAGACTCCGCCGGCAGGGCTCTCGTCGGACCACAATCGCTGATCTGTTCCACTGTGTGGGTGCATAGGATCTCCTGAACCTGCCATTCGCGCCGCTCACGGGGCTACAGGAGCAGTACATCAGTCTCTGTCTGCAAAACTACCGCAACCGAGGCGACTTGTACAGCAGCTTCATTGCGATGATCGAATCTCTGCTGAACTACATGCGGCGACTGTTCAAGCGACAGACCGATAAGCAGGCCGACCGAGCCAGCAAACGAGTGGTTGCCACACGCAAGAAGCTGAGCTGGTACCTGGACTCGATTCTGAGTGAGTGGCAGTCCAGACAGATAGCGGCAGTCCAGATGGATAGCGGCAGTTCCTATGGGTGGATTTGGGTTATCACACCAGACGGCCATTCAGTCGAGTGCGCTGTTCTCGCCTCAGCGCGCTCGCAGTGGTCGCTCTCGACCGAGTCTACGAGTGCTCAATTTTGGCTGAGTCAGTGGGAGCATACTCATCGCATCTTTGACACCGTTCCTTCATCGTCAGAGTTCCATACCAAGAAGTCAATGGGCTCGGAACTGTCCGAAGCGCTCTTATCCGTTTGCGAAGATGCCCAGAGCGAGCTCGACGAGATCGACACTTCCGAGACCAGGATCGTTGTCAGCGGACTGAAGCTTGTCCTGAAAGTTCTGAAGGAAGGTGGGGATGGAGGTGTCGTGAATGCGCCTCTTCGTCCGTCGTGCTTGATTGTGCCGAGCCAAAGCTAATATCCTCGACATGTCCCGGGGTGAAAACAAGAACTTGTGTCTGAACAGGTCGGTACAGTCGCGCAGTGGTTATCTTGGGTGGACGCCGTCGCCATTCGTGCAGCCACGGGTCTCAAGAGGCTGCAGTCATGGCGATAGCTCGTAGCATCGGCTGCTCTCTGTCAAGAGCCTATCGCCGTTTGCTAACACGTACGGAGCCACGGGCAACATCAACATCCTCCACAGAACCGTGCGATCGACATCAAGCCGCCCTCTCCGGTTTCATCTCAGTCGCGCACGGGTTTGCTGACTGTACGCCTGTTTCTTATGAATGTGCATCGCAAAACGAGCTGGACACATCCGAGGCAATATCTAACCGAACGTCTTGATGTTTGGGGTACGCAGCTCCTCAAGCGGAAGCGGGCCGACGGCATCAACATGGCCAAGCAGACACCCATATCAGCGGTGGGCATCTTGCAGGCACTGGCACTTCCAGAGCTCGGTGCATTCACTGTTGAAATCAGCCAGTGTCTGATCAGACACTATATCCTCCCTTGAAGCAGGTCAATGCATCATCGATAGTATCGTCCGACTCATCGGTACTGCGGCCCGGGTCCAAGGAGAACACTCTAGCGACGATCGACTGCATCTGGATGGATGTCGATCCGATGGTCGAGCGAATCACTATGAACGGCATGGTTTCTGAGGTTGGTCTGCAGCCATTCTAGCGATATCGCCTTTGGATTGCTCGCTGTGCTATCAACTTGCCACTTTGCAGCGAGGCATCCCAGAAGCAGGGCGAGAGGGGTATATTCAAATGCCCTTGTGGACCCGCTCGCCATTCTCATATCTCCGTCCCGATGCACACTTGAAGGAAATACTCTGCTCCGTGGCCTCGGGGATCATGCAGCTCACCCGAACGGAGCTGCTTTGGTCCGGTGTCACCTGCGAGACACTCGCCAGCATGACACTTTCGTCGATGCTGATTCCACAGCACTTTTACGAGGTCGCAGTCAAAGTCCATCTGGCGTCAATCCTGAGTTTCACATCGTGCACAATCAAGGCCACACCAACAAAGCCCGACACAGGCGCTCGCAGCACCGCAAACATATTTGCCTCCGACGGCGACAGACGAGCCAGCGACGATCACATAACCAAAGGCATGAACGGCATCAAGTCCAACACGATGCTGTTCCTTCCTCGGACGAAAGCCTATGCCTTGATGGTCTTCACAGCCGAGGAGGTATACAAGTTCTATCCCTTCACGGAGGAAGAGATCAGCAAAATCCTCAAGATCCTGACGTGGCTCACGGGGCTGGCGCCTTTCGATGAGATTGACTTTATCAAGAAGGTTTTGGTGAGTGCAAGCGGAGCTTGGCAGAGGGCCCCTGTGCAGTTTCGTCGCAGATCCTTCCGATTGCTCCATAGGTTGCCGGATGAGAAAGAGAGCGAAGGGCGGTGCATTTTACATGTGGAGCAGCGAATCATCTCAACCGACCATATCCACTGTGCTTTGGCGCCAAGTCCAAGAAGCTTGAATACACCCGGAGCGCCGCTCTCCGGATGCTGCTGCAGGAGCCGTCGCCTTGGATTGATCATTCCGCCGACCTGATCGTCATCCTCGACAACCTCACGGCCGAGCTTCTTCCCCAAAAGACCATCGATATGGAGCGGCTATTCCACTCGTGTCGCCTCGAGATCGAAGTCACAAAGGAGGCGCTGTTTTATCTCCGAGTGAGTTTCGGCATATGCAGGCGGGCGCGCACGAATCAATGAATCGGTCTGACCGAATGTGCGCATCCGAGCGCTGCTCATGCTGTCGCTGGCCTCGTGTATCTGCAGAAAGTCTGGCACATCACTCAGTCGGAGCTTGTCAAGCTCAAGGTGCTCTCGATTGTGGACCGACTACTGGACAAGGTTGTGATGCACAACGGCAACCCCGCCTTTGAAGTGACATTCAAGTGGCTCAAGTACCTCGAAGAGACCGTTAGCCCATACAAGAGGTATGTACATCGTATGTGGAGTGGCGATGGGATCGTCGGGTGGCCAGGCAAGGGCCCGACAAGTGTCGGTTAGCGATGCCTTGATACGACCATTTCTGACCGCGAGCACGCTCAACCTGGGCTCGTTCTGCTTTGGAACTCCTCGACATCATCCCAGCACACAAGCCCTCAGGCTGATCACCGCGCTTGTGAACCGGGCAAAGGCCATCCAGGTGGAGCCCCTCAGCGCCATTCTGAACAGCCAGTGCCACACCATGTTCGACAACTACGATGACTATCTGTACTGGATGCAGAACTTTACCGACCACGGCCACCGCTCGCATTTGACAGAGATGGGCGGCTGAGAATATGTCCCTTCTGCAGCCCGGGCGTGCGGTTCTCTGCTCGGGCACATGCGCTCGCCTGGCGCAACAAAGATTGTCAGCCCGTTACACCCCTGGTCCGGGCCGTCACAAACCAGCCCGATGCCGTCCCGGGCAGTCGCAGGCCCCTGGCACTTCCCGCATCGCTGGTGCATGGGCATCTGCTCCCACGACCGCCTCTCACTGCCGCCGCGCCACAGATCCAGCCCCATTTGCGTTCTGTGGCTCCACCCCCGACTGTGCGACGGGGGGGTTGGTGGCCCACGCCCGGACCCAATATCCGTCTGGCCGAGCGATCCTCTGGCCGGCGGCTCCCTCTTTCCACCGCATCTACCATGAGCGAGCTCGTCCTCGACGCCCAGGCCAAGCGCCTGCGGTGGCTGCGTCTCTCCAACACCGTTCTGCTGGCGGTTGCCTTCGTCTTTGTGTTTGTGGCCTATGGAATCGTCCAGGTGGGCGTCTGTCCTGCCGAATCTGTTTCGAGCGAGTCGTCCATTGGCAACCAGCACCGGCAACCGGCATTGGCAACCTGCTCGGCCCGCTCCTGCTGCCGTGCAATCGCCACCGGATGGCCCCAGCCGACTGGCTGCTCTTTCATCCCTTGGCGCTTGGCTAACCAGCTGTGATTTGGGCCGAGCGCCGCACAGGGCCTGGCATCGAGCATTCTCTCTCCGTCCGTGGCCTTCTGGTTCCTGTCGCTGCTCTACTTCTCCTTTGCCTTCTGCAATCTCATGGTGTCATCGACTATCGTCAAGCTACTCGGGTCCAGGCAAGGCGAATTCTGTCTTGGGGCACCCTTGCGGCGTATTTTGAGTCTGTGGATCGGTTTTGTGTCCGTCCTGGACGATACGGATCCCGACATGAGAGCCTGGGAATCACTCTATCGGCGCCGACGTCAGCTTTCCATGCGTCCGTTGCCGTGTCCTCGTACCTCTCCGCTAATAGACAGCCCCTCTCGCTTGGACCCAGGCGGACCATGATGCTCGGCTCAATCTGTTACCTGGTCTTGGAGATATGCAACATCATCGCCGTTCAAAATTCCACCAACGAACTCATCCAGTACATGCTGCTCATGCCGTCGTCGGTTCTGCTCGGCCTGGGTGCCTCGATTCTCTGGACAGGACACGGGTGAGTCGCCAATACAGAGGCTTTGTGCCCCGGATCGGCCGGCAGTACGCAGTAGGTGGTAGCCGATGCAGCCTCAAGTGCGTGCCGTTCGCCGTGATGGGCCAACTCACATCACCGTTGGCCGATCCTCAGCAAGTGGATGACCGAACTATCAACCAAAGAAACCATGGGCACATATTCGGGCATCTTCTTTGGAATCTACCAGTCGTCCATTATCTTGGGTGCTCTGCTTCCCGCCCTCTTGCTCATCGTCAAGATTCCCACGGTACGGCCGCTGTTTCTGCGCGAGAGCGCCGGAGTCTCCTGCGCACATTTTCTTTCAGAAACTCGATTCTCACCTGGGCGGCAACTCGACGTGTCCTCTAACAGTGCGCCAACCGCATCTGTCCATCGCTAGGTCACTGTCCTGGCCATCACAACCAGCCTTGGATTTGTGGGTTAGTTCCGGCTGCAAATAATGATGATGTTCGCCAAGTTCGCTGCTGCTTTGCGGTTCTCCGATGCATCGATCGTCCCGGCTGAGCGCACCGACTCTCTGTCTGCAGGCGTGCTCCTGATGGAGTTCATATGTCATCGACCCATGCCTGAGGAACCCGAGGACGAGCAGCCCGTTCAAGCGTCCACCCAGACTCTGTCTCTTGGCAATCGTCTCTTGGAGACCGTCCGGATGATCAAGTACCGGAACATTGTTCTGCTGCTGCCTCTGGCTTATGTTTACGCCTTTGAGATGGGTATGTCTCCAGGCTCGCCCACTGGCAACGGCATATGGCGTTTGCCCCGAAGCTCGAGGTTGCAAATCTGCTGCACCACGCTTGCATGTGCATATGCCTACCCTTTGCTTATATGGGCTGTCCCTATTCCCTTCTCATGCACCGCTGATTGGTTAAACACTTGGTGCCGAGCAGCTTTTTACAGTGGAACGATACCGCTGTTCATCAACAGCTCCGACTCGCAAGACCAAACTCGCGATCTCGCTATGAAGCTCTATGTCACTGCAACCAGCGGCTCGGCGAATGTCGTGGTGGGTGTGAGAGCGAAGCCGGCTCAGCCCTGTCTTGCACCTGCTCTGGATCTACCCTGGATCTGTCTTGGATCTGCCTTGGATCTGTCTTGCCTGCGCTTGACACGAGGCGATTTTGAGCACCCGGTTCAGCCCCCCATGCCAAGCACTGTTTTGCATTTTGGTGTCGATGCTGACCAGAATGCCACTGTTCGATAGGTATCCGTCATTGTCGGCAAGCTGCTCGACAAGCTCGGCGCCCGCCCCATATCGCTGGTGCTGCTCGGTGTCTTTGGTACTGTCGTGATCCTGCTGACAGCCCTGAACCCGTTCAACAATTTGCCATTGCTATTTGGCGTCGCTCCCGGCTTTGGCACAACCGAAGCGGTAAGCACTCGCCTGTGGCTTGTGTCCGCGTGCATCCCGTCTCATGATCTGAGAGCGTATTGCGCCGCAAGCCGTTGATGTGGCTGACGAGCATACCCGCGGCGTGTCTGAGCAAATTCGATCAGGCACTCAAGATATGATCCAGTGTCACTCACAGTCGATCGTGTTCCTCTCCACCGACCTATGACTGCAATAATGGACCCCAGATTATCATGACCCTGACCTACTCGCTCTTGGGCAAGCTCTTTGACCGGTCGATCGCAGCCCCGGCGTTCGCTTTCCATCGATTCAACATGGCTTTTGGCACGGGTCTTGGCTTTGCTGTTTCCAAGTTGATGCTCAAGTCCAACGGCGATCCCAATATGGCGATCTGGTCTCCGCTGCTGCTCACGCTCCTGTGCCTCTGCGTCGGTGGCATTTTCATGACCAAGTCCGACCCAGCACCTCCGGAAGCCAATGTGCTGCCCGCCGACGCCGCAAAAACCGAAACCTCGCTGGACGAAAATGGATCGGAGTAGTCCGTTGGTCTGACCAAGACAACTACGGCCTGGCAGCTCTGCACTCTGTCTCGGTGACGAACCTGCTTCTTCTATGAAACGATATTTACTGATTTCAAGCATCAGTCGCCCTGTTCGGAAATACCAGCTCTGTGTCCTCGATTCGCTGAAAGCACCAGGATCCATATCGTTGGACGGGCTGCTCTGCTCCATCATGAACACGACACAGCGGCGGCTTGCCATTCATTCTGCTGAGCCCTTTCCACCAATGGATCAAGTATCGTCGGAATAGAGTCAGCCCTCCCCCGCTCTATGACTTGAACCACACAGTGCCCCTCGTCTGGTAGTAGATGGACCACGCATCTGCCGAGCATCTCTAATTCACGAATCGTATTGATTGGTCCAGCAGTCGGTGATATAGAGCAGATGCCATCGAGGAAGACACAGGGCTCGCCTGCTAGTGCCGCACGGAAGCAGCCACGTCATGGGGCTACTCTGGTTGGGTGAAAGGAATCCGACGATTCATCATGGGCAGTGCTAATGGTGCTGTCACAAGCTCCTGATCATCGTAGACACTGCCGATCTCACCCTCCATGCTCTCGGCGTCTTCGTCCATGGAGCTGGCCTGGCTGCCCTCTGCCAAGTCGCTGTCCTTGGCTGACCCGGTACTCTCGCGGCTGTCCATCAGGTCTTGCGAGTCCTCCTCGATGATGGTCGCTGTGATCGGCTGCGGCAATACGGTGGAGGAGCGGTAGTTGGTGGGAACTGAGGCCGGTTGCTCCATGGACAGGTGATCTTCGGCAATACCCCCTTCGGGCAGGAGCTGATCCGAGTGTGTGCGTGAAGCGCGCGCGGACCGATCGATCTGAAGAGCCCGCAAACGGGCCTCGGAGTGTTTAGGGCTCGGTACCAGCATAAACGACGTCGGCTTGGAGATCGAAAACGACTCTGGGGCGACTTTAGCGAGCTCTGTGCGCATCCGCTTGACCATGATCTTGGAGTATCCCACGATGAAGAGCGACGAGCCGCCGACAGCCAACAGGATCGTCACGCTCAGGAAGATCGAGCTGGTCTCGAAGGCGATCGGCAGGCTGTACACCCGAATGGCCATCTGCAGCTGCGAGCTGCAATACGATGTCTGGGTGAACGTCTGGTCAAAGGAGATGTTGAGCATGAAGTAGTAGTTTGGCGACTCCCAGCCATTGACCATGGGCAGCACTCCATAGCACGGGGATCTCGGCTGACAGACCCATCTGCAAACCAAGGGTATTGTCAGATTGGCCAGTTGGCGCCAGATATGGATCGGCCCTGTGGGTGAGGGATGCGTCTCATATCTATAACGCCCTCAATGCACTGCGCCACGGCTGGATGATGAGCCGGGTATATCTGCGACTGATCGGCGTATACTCACGAGACAGGCAGGCTGGCATTGACAAACGAAATGGTGCTGTCGTAGAGTGTATAAATGAGATACCGCGCCGAGCCGCTGATGCCTGGGTTAAAGCGGGCGATCTGATCGGAGGAATACATTTGTATGCTGGAGAGACTCGGACCACCTCCGACGATCAGCATCATCTGCGGGCTGTTGTACGGAGTTATGTTGCCCGTGATCCAGTCGCTGAGCAGAAAGTCAATATAAAAGTCTGGTGACGAACGAGGGTATGGGTGTTTGAACACGGTCCGGCAGATGAGCAAGGCGGCCAGGGTCGGCTGAGTGCCATATCCATCGCTAAATGGCATTATTTCACAGCAGCACACCAATGTTCGCAATGCAGGGCTTGGCACAGGCTAGATACAGAGGAGGTCTTAGAGGAATCAGGAAAGGTGCATACCGTTCGAAAATGAAAAGCACGGAGTTTCCGGGTCGCCGGGACATGTTCCGATGCTGCTGGGCAGCACCAAGCCCTGGAACGGTGGACACCCTGTGTAGACAATCATCGAGTGTGCTCCCTATCCATCATGGAATGTCGTTTTGTTTGTCAGTTTGTCAGTTTGCCGATCGACAAGAGTGGTTCAAGCTGTGTGCCGGTTGGATCGAGTCAGAGATCCAGTGGTGAGTACCTGATATCCGCACGCCAGACACTCGTTGGAGACCAAGACGGTAAAAAGTGTCTTGCCGAACTGCTCCCCGACGCCAAGATACCCCATCTGTGTTCCGAACTCGGTGATGGTGACCTGTCAACGATTGATTCATGTCGCTTGTGTCAGTGCTTGGAAAGGATATCCGATGAATATTGTATGCATGCATCACAAACTTGCCTGATACACAACCACCCTGTTTATCCAGTCGATGGTCTTGGCCCACTGAGCCTGGATATGGTAAGGATCGCTCAGGATAAACTCCAGGCTGAGTTGCTCGATGTCTGCGAGAGATGGCGCTGGGCTAACCACGATCTGAAAGGAAAAGATACCGCCCTTGTCCAGAAAGATGGATTGCGGAAGTCTCAGGTTTGATATCGAAGTTGGCGCGTTGCTGATGGAGAGGAAGGCATGATCGATTCAACAGAGTAAGCTTGGACCGTCATTTCGGACTGAAGGTATAGAGATTCCAGTGAATTGTCCATTTTGAGGAAAGCCCGGAGGCGTGATAGCTCCGGGCCTCATCACCTACCTCCGAATGTAGTACTCTGAGTTTGGGGGCAAGATAAACTCCATGCCTGAATACGGGCAGGTCAGCGACCTCATGTAGGCGACAACGCCGATGGCCTGCAACGGAATCTCCTGAACTGCAACGCCGGTGGCGCTCAGCTGTAGCTCATTCAGATAGCCGTTGATGTCAAAGAACGGCGTGTAGGACGTAGATGGTGTCGAGCGAGATCCGTAGAGCTGGATCATGGAAGCGTAGCTAACACGCCCCATCCAGAGCTGGTTGTCCGATGTTTCGACGACAAAGAGTCCACCGACATCGCTTGCAAAGGACGTGATGGTCGTGCTCGCACTGGAGAAAGACAGCAGCAGCACAAACGATGCGCCACCATCGAGACTGGCATGGATGAGGTGCGGTGAGTGCGGTGAGTGTTTTCGAGATGTGGATGTCGGTTCTGCACCCCAGATGTCGCAACGAGTCGATCCAGCTTGTGCAAACTGACATTGGTTGGGGCAGAGTAGCTGCCTACCAGCCTCGATGAGTCCCTTCCTTCTACCATAGCTGCAAGACTGCTGCTCCTTACCTCACAAACAGGGCGTTGCCCCACACAAACAAAGTTCTTGATATGTCGCGATGCATGGCCATATCGCTGAGAACGAGGGTGTACGTAGTGCCGGTCCAAAGCCCAGTCGCTGTTTGAATGAGGTTCGAAGCAGCATACACCCCATTGGTGCTTGTCGCTGTGTTTTCCGTGAAATAATTAGCGTGCTGCCTCATGGAGCTCAAGCACATACACTCTCTGCCACGATGTCTGGTTCGTGAGGCTTCGAAGATGACAAAGATGCGGAGGTGATTCCGGTGACAATCACGTCTGGTGCGCTGAGCTTACCCACAGGAACTGTGGATGGGAATGTATACAGGTTGCTCCACGATTGCTGCAGATGAAATGTCGCAGCAGCAGTATCAAATCATGGATCCAGACGTATGGTGCTGGCGTCAGCGGGAGTAGCAAGACCACCACTCCGGTGTCTGTGAGGACTGGTGCCTTGCAGAGGATGCAGAATGGTGCGAGGCCAATATACGTTACCATATATATCTGGTATTGCACGATGATGTATCCGCTTCCGGACGACTGGACTAACAATACAGCCCCGTCGCTTGTCGCTGTGCTTGCCGCTCCTGCGAGAAGTGTGAGCCGCTGAGGCAACACACCCATTGCTTCCGCATATGTGGCCCCGCTCGAGCTCTATAAATCGAGTTGTGCATGCATAGAGCCGTCAGTTCGCCTGGAGCGAGGGTCAATCAAGTGGAAACCGCCTCTCCCAGCCTTGGATCGCCTCTCATATGATATCGTTTGGAGCGAGAGCAATCTCAACTTCTGTCCTGCGTGGAGCTCCTGGGGTCAGGACAGTATGTACGGCGCGTGGGAACCTACCAGAAGCTCCGATAAAGCGCTGGTTTCGTTCGCCAGAAGCCAGGCTCGTGGCCCTCGCGAGCTGGAGGACTGAATCAGTAGAAGCGGAGCCCACTTCTCGAGCTCGTTAAACGCAGGCTCCTGCGCTGCGTAGATCATGCGAGTGACACACTGCTGCAGCACCAGGTTCCATGTCAATGCTCCCTAAAGTTTGGTGAGGGGGGAAAGTCAATACAGCTCCAAGATCAGGACTGTTGTTCATTCGCAGCCGGATGTGATATTTGGCCGCGACCATCGAGCTGGAATATACCTGGGAGTCGGTCAGTTGAAATACGCCGCTGTCAGTGACAGCCACAAAGCTGTTTGTCAGAGCAACAATCTGGCGAATGTTCATTGTGTTGGGTCCTCCGCACAGATTTGAAACTATACAGCAGCAATTTGACGGCGTTAGGAAACCAAAAAGCCCGTCGAATCAACCATTCCGTCGACGCTCTCTTGCCAGAGGCGAGGAAGCGTTTGTTGCTGGGCGAGCAGCGAGCAGCGAGCAGCGGGCAGAGTGCGAGTGGGTTGTTACCCGGAACTGCGTTTGGAGGCTGAATGACGAGCGCCTTGAAGGTTTGGAAGCCGTCAAAGCTCACCAAGACCGTAGTCGATGGCGAAGTGCTCGCTGAGGGGCCAGCGAACCACAGCGTCGACACAGCTGGCATCTGAGCCAAAGCAATGGCCAGGGATCCTCCCCAGTATCCGCCTGGGCTCAACACCGAGGAGAGCGATCCAAGGGAAGCCTATCGATTGAAAATGTCGGTTTCGTTTGCCACGGATATTGCATACAAAATGCATAATGTATAGCCGGTGAGTCGTTCAATGGCGGCATGATGGCTGGAAGATCGCTCGACTGAGCTGCAGCCCCGGACTCACCAGATCTCGATAGTACCAGGCGACCGGGAGCGGGGCGATGGTGGTTTGAATGATGCCGTTGATGGCATCGATCCAAAAGTAGCCATAGCTGCGGACCTGGATCTGGAGCAGGATGGTCGTGGCCGGAGCAGTCATCGAGAAGCTCCAGAGCGATCCCGTCCAAGTCGACGCTGTTGATGGAGCATGTTGGGCCGATCAGGACGTGGGAATGCCCAGAATGTGCTCCAGTGACCGCTCCCCCAGCTCACCAACGAAGGAGAGGCGTGTGCGATGTGCGATGTCGCTCACCGTTGATGGAGGTGAAGATGTTATCTGCAAATGCAAACTCGTCTCGGCTGAGGACGGTGACGATAGGATAGTTGCCCGAGAAGAGGAGTTGCTTCGAGCAGCTCGTGCACGCTTGTCCAGTGCTCTGCAGTTTCGTGCGCCAGGACATCAGCGAGAAGCACATCTCAGAGGCATGCCGAGGGCAGTGCAATGCTTGATGTGGCGCCGTCAGTATGGCTGCATTCCGGCGGGGTCGGCTTCACTTACTTTGTCGAGAACTTGGGCATAGAGGATATAGGACGCTCCAGGGGCGACGTACGAGATGCTGTTGCCGCTGGGATCAGCAAAGCTCACTTGCCTGGCCAGGCAGAAGCCATCATTAGCAGAGGATAAGCAAGAGCCATTCTTTTTGTATTTCTCCAACTGCGATCGGATCGGGCTTGACTATTGCTGCCGAGCGACGGACGCACCAAACATAGCCCGAGGCTGCAGCCGATAGATGCACAACCAGCGGCAAGAGCAAGCAGGCGGACTGAAGCAGTTCAATCAGTGACATGCTGCTTTGAAACACCCAGGGACGCACGACGAGGTTTGGGATCGAGCGCCGGCAAAGCTTCTCAGGATCGAGACCAAATAGAGCAGGATCGCATGAGGGGCATCCAGAGCCAAATTCCCGCGCAAATGACCGCCAAGGTGAGGATGCAAATCGCCCGCCCTGCGACAGAAATGGGATCTCGGCCAAAAGTATGCTGACAGACATGGGACGGACGAGGTGGATATGCGCAAGGCCGAGGATCAATGCTGTCTCGCTGATCAAAGGCACTGGGCATTTCACTTGACTTCATGATGGGTGAACTGCATCATGGCAGCGCTGTTTCAAGCCTCGGCCTCTGACGGATCGCAGTTGCTCCTGGGGGCTGATTATCTGGTTTGGTCTGGAGGCGCTGTGCGGTCAGAATGCAGCTCAAAGGTAGATTCAAATACGCACATACAGGCACAGAGTCAGTGAGGTGTGGATGGGCTGGATATATAGCGGGGCTGATGGGCATGGCACAGCAGAGCGCATCAGAGTGCAGCTTGAGGTCCAAAACAGCGGAAGGACGGAGGCAGCGGCGAATACACGAGCAAGCCAGGGCATCAGTCGGTGGAGAGAAAGACAAGGGCTGCATTCACTTGAAGCGAGCAGGCTGGTCCGAAAACTTGATGGTGACAGAGCCCAAGATGGCAACGCCAACGATCCGGATTGTCGCAACAATGTCGCCTGTGTTGGCAGGATTGCGTTTGGTCGTGAAGCTGGCATGGGCGTTGCAGTTGAAGCAGCAATTAAAGAGAATAGATTGTCGCGGTGAGCTTCCAGGCAGCAACAGATGGGTCGGTGATTTGGCTGATCATGACCGACACCCCAGGTGTGCAGGTTGGATGCCGATCCCGATCTTGAAGCTGGCATGCATGGAGTTTGCCTCTGCTGCACTGCATTATGTCGGACGACTATCACGAGATGTGGCTGCTACCTTGACTTGCATTTGAGATTCCTACTGCGTGCACCCTTCCCAAGGTTCTGATGCAGTCACTCCGGTCTGCCAGACAGCGCCAGCAACGTTTTACGGCTGACCAGGTTGGGTGGATGCCAAACTTACTCGCCAAGAATGGAGATGCCCTGCTGGACCACCTCAACATTGGAAGGGACGGTGATGTCGATGCTGCCCAGGAGCGAGACGGCACTGACGACAACGGGCTCTCCGCGGACGAACAGAGTTTGGGTCAGGTCCATGGTGGTTCCACCAAGAATAGCCACACCGCCGAGACGGTTTTCTTGGGATTTGTGGGAGTCGTTGTGCGGATGGGAGGCGGCGGCGTCCGCACTCGGGACGGTGGACTTGAGATCCACCGATGCAGGCGCAAGGGGCTCAGCAGCAACGACGCTGCTGGGGGCTGAGGGCGAGGCAGAATAGGACTCGCCGGACGTGCTGGCGGTGTAGCTCGGAGGCGCTTCGGTGACCTCGACGGGAGGCAAAGGAAGGCCCTTTTCAGTTTTCAAATCCATGTCAACGATGATGGAGCGAGGCGAGAGGATGTGCTGGGAACAAGATGAGGGGCAAGGCGGAGGCGAGCGGGATGGGTGGTGAGCGGGGAGGTGTTGGATTGTCCAGGCGCTGCGACACGTGACGAATGTCATGGTGTGCTGTTGTCTGTCATGTGAAAGTCCTGGTGAAAGCCGATCCACCGAACGACGGCGATCCGCTCGGTCAGCGGCGATCTGCACGGCACTGGCGTTGGTAGGAGCACTGCACGGCATTCTGGTTCCACGGCATGTTATGTCGCATATCGATCGAGCCATCGCAGTCATTCATATGATTCGCTGTTGCAGATTTCAATACAGAAAGCCTCGCAGAAACAGCAAGCAGCACCGAGGCCTTCTGTGAGCCATGCATCAAGTCGCTGAGGAAGACACTTCCTGGGCTTCAGCGTGCCGCCCGAGAGCTTTCAAGACGTGGCGAATGTTGCCGATGGTTGTAGAGGTGGAGGGGTGCCCATGGGAACCAAGCATCTGGACCTGGATATCGAGGGATTCCTGATAGAGAGCAAGTGCCTCCTCGAATTTTCCTCTTTGATACTCGATCCGGCCCATGCACTCGAGCATGGCCGTGACTTCTGCATTCTGGCGGGTGCCAATGATTCCAGAATAGATATCGATGGCTTCTTTAAATGACTCGAGGGCCAGTTCTTGGCGACCGAGATTTGTGGCGGCCACGGCCAAGTTTTGATACGCTTTCGCAACAAAAACATGGCTTCGACTTTCCACAACTCTGAGAAAAATGCCCAAGGCCTCTTGGTGTAGGTCGAAGGACTCGAGCAACCGTCCTTGGCTTCCGGCAATACAGCCCATATTGCTGAGGATGACCGCTATCTCCTTATGGACACGGGTTCCGAGAATGTTGATTTTGATGTCCAGCGCCTCTTGGAAGAGGCGCATGCCCTCGTCCAGGCGGCCTTGCGCCGTTGTGGCCCCAGCCATGTTGTTGATATCTGTCGCAACCGAGGAGTGCTCGCGAGTTCCATAGATCGCGATCTTGATGTCAAGGGACTCTTGGTAGTGCCTTAGCGCTTCGTCAAGATTCCCTCTCTGCACGGCCATGTTCCCCATTTTGCCCAGGGCGATAGCCACCTGAATGTGCTCGCGAGTTTCGTAGATCTGCACCCAGATCTCGAGGGCTTCTTGATAGCAATGCATCGCCTCGTCAAATCGCAAGGTATGGAACTTGGCATCACCGATACTGTTCAGAACACTAGCCACGTCCGAGTGATGGTGGGTTTGATAGATCTTGACAAATATATCCAGGGCTTCTTGGTAGTACTGAAAGGCAATGTCATGGCGCCCCTGATCGCATGCCACCATCCCCATCTGATTGAGGCTCGAGGCAATTGCACTGTGCTCGCGAGTACCAAGGACTTTCTCCCTGATGGCGACGGATTCTTGAAGGAGCTCGAGGGATTCGTTCAGATGACCCAGATCAAATTCGATCACGCCCATGTTTGAAAGGGCTGCCGCGATCTCTGGGTGCTCGCGCGTCTCGAACACTAGCGAATAAATGTCGATGGCTTGCTGCAAGAGTCGCATCGCCTCGTCTCGTCGATCTTGTGCGATCGCCACCAGGGCCATGTTATGGATCGTCGTGGCGACATCCGCGTGGCTGCGAGTGCCAAACACCTGGACCTTGATGTCCACCGCCTCCTGGTAGAGGTCCCAAGCGTCATTATAGCGGCTTTCCTGATATGCGATTCCACCGAGCTGGAAAAGCGCGCTGGCAACTCTGTGGTGATGACGGGTGCCATAGATTTTGATGTATATCGCCAAAGCCTCTTGATAGAGTGCGCTCGCTTTGCTCAGTTTCCCTTTCGCCTTCCAAATTGTGGCAATGTTGTCGAGAGTTACGGCGACTTCAGAATGCTCACGAGTGGCATAGACCTTGACAATGAGCTCAAGCGACTCTTCAAAATAGTCCAGTGCTTCGTCCAGGCGTCCTTGATAATACGCTACTCCGCCCAAAGCCCTTATAGCTGTGATTACCCCGGAGTGAACCCGAGTGCCATAAATCTTGACACTGGTCTCGAGTGACTCTTGAAGGAAATGGACCGCCATATCGTAGTTTCCCAGTTCTGAAGCTACTTGGCCCATATGGGTCAGGATTGGGGCCACCTCTGGGCTTTCTCGAGTGCCTTCTAGCGTGATTGTGGTGTCAAGTGAATCTTGATATAGCTTTAGAGATTCGCCCAGGCGCCCTTGGAGGTGCACAGCGTTGGCCAGAAAGCCAGTTACGGCGGCAACATTTTGATGATCGCGAGTGCCATAGAGCTCAAGTAGAATGTCCAGCGCCTCGCTAAAGTGTTGATGGGCTTCGCTGAGATGCCCTTGCTCACACCTCACCTCGCCCAAGACAGTGAGGAACGAAGCAACATCAAGGTGTATACGAGTGCCATGGATCTTGGTAGCGAGTGCTCCAACAGGGTTGATAAGCTGTAGGGCTTCGTCGAGACGATCAAGTTCAGTTGAAACTTTGGCGATATCTTTGAGGGATGCGAGTACATCTGGATGTTCGCGGGTGCCATAGACCTTGACTTTGATGTCGAGGGCCTCGTTATGACAGACGAGCGATGCTTCAAAGTTGCTCTGATTATAGTGCACTTTGGCGATGTGATGAATGATGGATGCAATAATGAAATGCTCTCGGGTCCCATAATATTTGATGGCACGTTCTAAGTTGTCTTGGTAAGTTGCAGCGGCCTTATCATACAAAAACCTGGATTCCAATAATTGTCCATGGCGCAAAACGATGCACTGGTGGATGTCCTTGGAATAGATCTCTCTGGGACTGCGATCTCGACATGTCGGGCAAGGTGTTCGGCAAATACTTGTGCCTTGAGGTTCTGATCCTTGGTCAGCTCAAATAATACTATACCTACTACATCTTCGATGCCTTCAGCATTCATTTCATTGTGTGCTTGGACATACTCTCGAGCCACTTGCTGAGTGAGCGAGTGCGTCGAGTACCGTCCCTCGTTTCCACTTCGGAGGAGGCCGCTCTGGACCATCATCTTGATCAGATCGGTCACTGTGGAATGGACTGGTCAGCTCCATGCACAAGCACCATTGATTGCACTTCGATCCACTCAACTCACCCTCGGTCTTGAGTTCCATCTTCTGTGCGATCTCCTTGATCAACTCGAACTGGATGTTGGTCGGCGCCACCAGACTGAGGGCACCGAACAGCCTGGCCGCCTCGATGCCCTCATCTCCTCGCTTCATCAGCGAGTCCAGCGACAGATCCACAATCACCTTGAGCGACGACCGCGTGTCGTCCTCGCCATCCTGCAGCGCCAATGCTCCTGCAAACGTGGCCTCGAGCTCCGACAGGGGAGTGTCGTAGTTCTCGGCAAACGTCATGAATGTCTGGATGACGAGTGGATATCCGCTGATCTTGGCCACGATGTTGTCGAGGGATTTCCTGGCTTCGTCCGACACAAGTCGCTGGACAATCATTGGCGATGACGACATGATATAGTCGAGTGTGGTGGTGTGGTCCCAGTTGCTGAGACGGAGTGGGTCATGTTTGTATCCAGGGATCTTGGCTTTGAGAGCACTGGCGAATGCACCAGGAGGCAGCGAGGCCAGCCGGGTCGTCACCACCACATCGCCGCTGAACCCGACCGACTTGGAGTGCTCAAACACAGAGTCGACCACGCTGATGTCGTCGACATTGTCGAGCACCAGGAGATAGCCGTGGGTGTTGGCGAGGAACCTCGAGGCATGTTCCTTGATCTCATCGGGCTTGATGCCAGGGAACATCTCGATGAGTCCATCGAGGGCAGTCGACTCAGTCGAGCAGTTGATCCAGAAGACCTGGCGGTACTGCGGCTTGATGCCGATGGTTTCGGCTTTGATGGCGAGGAGGTCGTCCTTGTTGCTCGCATTCATAATGCCCATCATGAAGAACAGGATCTGGATGGCGAGGACGGACTTGCCCATGCCACCCATGCCAGAGATGACGGCGCGGCCAGTCAGGGTGAGTTGCTTGAGCAGGATATCGAGGTGGACGGGATCGAATCGGAACTTGGAGTCGCAAAAGTATATGTAATGGATGGTCGTAATGAACTCCATGTTGGGTGGGATGGGATGGACGAGGTTGAGGAGGCGGTAGACTCGCTTGTGCATCTGGTCGGGACGGAAGCCAAAGGACTGGATCCGGTTCACTCGGCCGAGGGTCTGCTTGAGCGAGGTAAAGGCAGGGTCGTCGGGGAGGGACACCATGTGTGGCAAGAAGGGAGTGAAGTCATCGACACCATCCTTGGTCTCCTTGGTGGCGATTCCGAGGGGAAGGACAGGGAGGGAGAGATTGGCATCCTTGAGGTCGAGGGCGGTCTTGATTTCGAGGACGACATTGTCCTCCTGGCCGGAGAGGGTGTTCTCAATCATAGGTTCGAACGATGCCCGACTGAGGAGCAGGAAGACGGCCTTGCTGGTGGGGAGGGCACTGATGGAGCTGGCTTGAGGGTCGCTGGGGTTGTTGAGGCAGTCGACATCGTGGAAGACGGAAAGGGGTTTGCCATATCGACGGAGGGCGACCGAGGTGAGCACCTCCTTCAGAGCTTGGACAGTGTCGGCATCAGTCTGGGCTTGGTATGAGAGGAACAGGTCGTGGTCGGTGCCGTGGGCAGGGCAGGAATAGAGCTGGCTGCTGGTTGTGGTCAGCATGGCTGGACGGGGTTGCAGGATGATGAGATGTAGAGGTGAGGGGACAGAACACGAGATACCCGGCTTTGTGACGGCTTTGTCATTTTTCAGGGCCTCTTGTTTCAGTCCATCATCCAAATTGAAAGCTCTCGAGACGGCACCTGGCCGACATGTCCAATACGACCCGATCACACTGCACACCAAGCACCATCATGCACCATGCGTGATGAACGACATGTTCCAGTTCGATGTGTTGTCTGAATCAATTGTATACTGTACAAGACCATTTGTTCGCAAGGAAATCAAGTCTACCCTCGAATAGAAAGAGAGAAAGAGAGAAAGAAAGAAAGAAGAAAGAAAAAGGAGAATAATAGAAACGTCATAAATCGGAGCAAGAATCAAAGAGCCGCTGCTTGGCTCCCAACAAGACCAAAGTGGCAGCAAATGAATCGAGGGGGGGGGAGGGGAGATAAGTAGATTGAGAGGGAGAAGAAGGGCTATGCTTGTGCAGATTGAAGGTGCGACTGACGGGATGGGAGCGCAGGGAGGTGGGATGACGGGATGAGTGAGATGAGAGAAGAGAGAGAGGAGGGCGGGGAAGGCGGAGGGACGCATCACGAGTAAAATAGCAATGATAATAATAATAAAAAGGGTGAGAGAATTAGCAGCAAAATAATGATAATGGCGAGCATGGAAGGCAGGTGGGATGAATGAACTTTGTCCATGGGACGGTGGGCTACTAGGTGCAGAAAGCATGGCAGTGAAGCGAAATGGAAGCAATGATTCATGATGGTGGAGTGGAGTGGAGTGGAGCGTGGGTGATGGATAAGTGCGGTGTGGTGTGTGGAGTGGTTGGGTTGATTGGGCGGGCACGGGGACAGGCAAGCATGCACACAGTTCGTCGTCTATCGAACTGGCGCGATTGCGGTGAGCCCGGCAACCAGCAAAGAAGGCAAGAAAGAGAAAAAAATGAGTGGTAAAGCATACCGATGGGGGGGCGGCGGTCGGGTCGTGAGAGTGGTGGAGAAAGCGGCGGGCGGTGAAGATGACAGAAGAAACGCAGGAGGGGGGAGCCGGACCGGCGATCGTTTTCCTTCAACCCAATCGCGACAAACATAGGTCGAGAAAGACATGCACTAAGCGGAGCGAGAGGGAAAGACGGGGAGGAGAGGGGGTGGAGAACGCACAGGATGGAAATGAGCAATAAAAGAAAGATAATCGAATCAGGAATGCTTGTTGTGAAGGATGTGGAAATGGATGACAAAGTAGGAAAGAAAGAGAAAAAAGAAAAAAGCAAACGAGTTATAAGGTCGTTCCTGATATAGATGATGCACTCTCGACAGGCGCCGGCGGAATCTGTCCAGCCCACGACCTCAAAAGTTGGCCTCAGTGACCGTGGATCAGCTGCAGGCCACCGCGGTTTTCCTTGTCGATGAGGGCCTGCGAGACCGTGGCATTGGCAGCTGCTGTGACCGAGGCCGCAACGGCGGGGGCGGTGGTCACAGGGGGGTATGGGAATGCCGAGTTGGTCATAGGAGAGGAGGGCACGGCCGAGCGCACGCCCAGGGGGTTTTTGGAGAAGCTCAGGCGGATGCCGCCTTTCATGGAGCTGGTCAGGTGCTGGCCGTTGAGCTCCTGCAAGGCAAGGGCCGCGTAGCTGACGTCCTCAAACTAGAGTGGACACGAAGACACGGACGCCGAGTTAGCTTGGCAGGACAGGGGGAAGGTGCGATCGTGCGGGACAGGGGGGGGAGGGCAATGCCCGATTGTGCCGCGCCGCACCAGACTCGACAGACATACCTCGACAAAGCACATGGGTCCGTTGGGGCGGAGCTTGAACGACATGCGCTTGTAGCCCATGCACCGCGAAAAGATCTTTCGCAGCTCGTCCTCGGAGGCGTTCATGGGAAGGTTGCCGACATAGAGGGTGTTGCAGGGCAGGTTGCTGTCGCCGTTGTTGGCGCCGTTCCGGTTGTAACTTGTGCTCAGAGGGAAGACAGGTGCCGAGGCAGGCGGGGGGCTCGATTGGCCCGAGATGGAGTTGTTGCGGACGGACAGGAACGACGTGTTGATGCTGAGGCCCAGGGCACGGCCGGTGGAGTTGACGCGGGGGGTGGACATGCTGGTGCTCATTATCATGCTCTCGTTTGGGTACAGGGCGCTGTTGAAGACGCGGTCGTAGGACTGGGAGGTCTGGCTGCGAGAAAGCAGGCTGGTGTAGCCGTGGTCCGGGTGGTCCGGGGCTGGGCCAAACTTGTCGAACGAATCCAGAGGCATGTACAGGCCCGAGCGCGGGTTGGGGATGGTGGTGGGCGTGGACGTGGGGGTCGGGAGGGGCACCGAGGCGCTGGCAAAGCGGGATGGGGTCGGCATGTCGAGCATGTCGTTTGCGAAGGAGCCGGGCATCAGGGGCTCCGGGTAGAGCGAGTCGTGGTAGGACTCTTGACGATGCGACAAAAAGTTGGGCACCTCGCGCTCGGGCGGCGCCGAGAAGAATTCAAAAATGTCGGTGGGGCTGATGAGATCGCGCAGATCCTTTGGGATCGGGAGGGGGCTGTCGTACGAGTGGGCGTCGTTGAGCGGGTCGTTGAGGAGCTTTTGGGTGTGGCTGTTGAGCCTGCGCGGACCAGCGGGCGAGCCATAGGTGTTGATCAGGTCGTTGGAAAGACCGCGCTTGGTGTGCAGGTTCTTCTTGGCCATCTCGGCCTTGAGGATGCACCCCCGCTCGGCGTCGACCTTGCGGCCGGTGAGGAGATCGCGGGCCTCCTGGGCCTCGTGGCGGGTTCGGAACTTGGCAAAGCCAATCTGGGGACAGGTCCGAGAAGGAGCGTGATGAGCACGAGATGCAGCGCGCACACTGAGAGGGGGGGGGGCGAGTTGCAAGTGACCTCTACGAAAGCAGCCTATCACGCTAGGGGAGCCCACGAGCCATGGCGGGCGATTGAGCATTGTGCAGGGGTAGTACAGCCACGGCCGGATCTGGCCAGGACACGGACAGCACCGAAACATGTCGACTGCACGAATCAGACTCGACAGACTCGGCAGAGACGGGTAGGCCGACAGATATGTCCCGTGCATTGATCTGTCTGTGTGTATGTCCAGGGCATCGGCGAGTACTCTTGGACAGCCATCGGATCGCCGGTGCTGCTGCCGCTGCTGCTGCTTTTGCTACTGGCCAATGGACAAGCTAACCCGACCCACACAGGTCAACAGCGTGGAAGCAGAGTCACAACTTACAATTTGCTTACGGCCGCCGCTCTCCTCGGACTCGCCAGGAGATGGAATCTTGAGGGTGGCGGCCTCGAAGCCGGAGGAGAAAGTGAACATGTTCTGGAACTCTCGCTCCTGCATATCCTCGGGGAAGCCAACAACAAAGATCGTGGTGATGTCCTCCTGTTGGATCGAGTTGCAGGGACGGATGGACGGACAGATAACAGACAGACAGGCGGGTCCATGGAGAGAGCGTGGTGATTAGTCTCGGCTGCGATGGAACAAGTACAGCGTGCGAGTCGCAAGGACCAAATAGCAAAGGAGCAAGTGGCAGATGGAGGTGCAAGCGGCCCCGAGGAGCTGAGCTGAGTAGTGCTCGGCCGTGCTTGGGAGAGCTGGCCAAGACGGACAAAGCTTCCAACAAGCCGAATGCAAGATATCCCGGAGACAGCACAATTGGGACCATCAGGGCGATGGCCATGGCCGCACTCGCTGATTCCTCGCGATCTGGTGGGTGGAAGCGACCAGGAGGCAGCTCGACGCTGTCATGGTGTTCCGTCGCCGAGATCCAGCAGCAGACACAGGGATCATATACTCAACATACAGTGACTGACGGGTTGGAGGGCGTCGTGGTCATTGCCGGGGGGAGATGGTGGATCATGGCTGAAGACGTTGGAATCATTCAAGTGTCGGTTGGGGACAGAGAGTCGTATTTGGTATCCCGAGAGAGTCTTGGGAAGCGATCGCAATCGAGCTGGAGCAAGGAGGGTCCAGAAGGAAGGAAGGAAGGAAAGAAAAAAAATGGCTTGACGGTGGCCGAGGTGTGTGGGTGGAGAGAGCCCGGAGTGTCCAGGGACTGAACTTGGACAAGACAAGACCACGGGCGGGACAGGCGACAGGAAGAGACGGCCGAGACGTAAGACCGACGACGATGGACCCAAAAGAGCCAGCTGGGCAGACAGCAGCCGACGAGACAGGAAGGAGATTCGAGGGAAGGATCCGAGGGAGGTGGAAGGGGACAGGCAGGATCTTCCAGAGACGAGGCCGACAGACAAGAGGAAGCCAAGGAGCCAGAGAAGCGGAGAGCAAGAGCAAAGACGATGAGACGCAGGAGGGTGCGGGCTCAGGCAGACAGCACAGATGCCCCCTTTGGATGCAAGAGCGAGTGGCAAGCGGCGAAAGCCTGGTTTTATCGGCGGAGAGGCGACGAAGGGGCGAGACCCCAGGCCGGAAGGGCGCACGGAGGGAGGACAGGGCCAGCGGGAGCGGCGAGGGGCGGGCGAGGGGCGGGCGAGGGGTGAGCGAGAGGGGGGCGAGAAGGACGGCGCGCCGGCAAAGGGGAGACGGGGGAGAGCGATCAAAAAAGGGAAGGCGGCCAACAAAGCTGCAACAAGGACAGCCGCGCGACGGCACTGCCGTGGACAGACAGAGCACCAGGACGGATCGGCAGCCACAGCACAGCGCTGTCGCTTGGGTCGATGCTGGGTCGGTGTTGGGTCGGTGTTGGCTCGATGCTCGCTCGATGCTCGCCCGATGCTCGCCCGATGCTCGCTTGGCAGACGGCGGCACCGTCCATCTCGCCGGCGATACCCCCCAAATCCGAGGCCGATCCCGAGGCACTCCAGGCTGCCCTCCCCCTCTCGCCTCGCACCAGCGCCGCCGGTGCTCCCCACTGTCGCCGTTGTCCATGAGCTCGTGCCGCCTCTCGGCACCGGCGCCGCGCTGCTCGCGACTGTCGCACAGAGCCAGACCGCGCCGGCCAGACAAGGCTACCCCACGCGGGAATGGGGCTGTCTTTGTTCACGGCGCGCAGACGCGCTGGTGCTGGCTCGCGCTGTCGCTGTGGGCAGCGGCGATATTGTTGGTGCCTTTGTTCGCTGTGCGTCCCATTGTCTGTGTGATTGCTGTCTGCTCCAGCTATTTCGGCCACAGCCGCTGCTTGCCCTGTGCTGTGTTGTCAGTGCGAGTGCTTCTGCAGTGCTGTGGTGTTGTTGGCTGTCGATGCGGTGCGTCCCTGCCATCGCTGCCGCATTCTCTGTGCTGCCGTGAACGCTTTCTGCTCCAGTGCTGCTGGCGGCTGTGGCTGTGTGCGCGCCTGCCCCGCCTTGTTGGTCACGTCAAGCCCGAACATATCCAGCAATCGCCCTGCCGATCGATCGATCGCAGCAACATATCGGCCATTCACTTATTCACCTGGCCATTCATCTGGCCATTCACCCCACCATACGCACATACGTGCATGCATACGCATGCATCCCATCCAACCATTCGCCTCGCTCTCTGCTCGTCCTCCCTCGCTCCCACCCCGCCATTCTCTCGCCGATCCACCACCCAACGGCATGTCCGGCCTCGCTCCTGTCCGGCTGCCCGTCGGCGCCTTGTTCCTGGCCCAAAACCACTCGCTCACACTGGGCAGTCTTCAGGATGGCCTTGTGCGCGTCCTTGCCGCCAGCAATGTGACCAGACGCTTCGCCGTCCTGTACCACCCCCCGCTCGGCCTCGTTGGTCCTGCACCGTCATCGTCGTCACTCTCCAAGGCCAACTGTGTTTGCTGTTTCTGCCAGGGGGGCGAGGAGAGCAGAGGAGGAAACAGGCCGACCAGAGCCTGGCTCGGCTGGCCGTTCAATTGACGAAGCTGAATGCTGCCGAGTCCCGCAGCGCCGTGGCCGAGAGCGACATCGAGTCGCCGCCGCAGAGCAGGACGCCCAGCCCGTCGAGGCTGGCGCTGTTGACCGACTGCTGCTGGTAAAAGTTCTGTTGCATCCCCATGGTCCGAGAGCGATAGCCGATCATTGAGTTGGAGTGGCCGAGCCACAGCAGCAGCAGCAGTAACAGCAGCAGAAACAGTAGCAGCAGGGGCCCAGTTCGGTGCACCGACGTCCCCACGCATCCATTCCCGATGGCCAAAGCGACCCCCCCGGCAAGGTCATGCATGTCATGCATGTCGTCCGTCGGTCGATTCCGTCGTCGATAAGTCGTTAACCCGGTCGTCGATAAGCCGTTGATCCGGTCGTCGATAAGCCGCGACAGCCGGCGACAGCCAGTCCAGGCGTCATCCGACAGTGTTCGTCGAGAGGGGATCGTCGTCGGCATTCGTCATGGTTCGCCATTGCAAATTGGGGCGACGGCGCAGAAGAGAACCACATGAGTCAGCCACCGGCTCTTGTGCAAGCAGGTCTTGTGCATGCAGGTCCTGTGCAAGCAGCGCAGATCATGCGTCGTTCGCATGAGGCTCCCCTCCCGACCCCCGTATCGGCATCGATCGGCATCGACATCCGCATCCGCATCGACATCGGCAGCCGCCCGGCCTGAACACCAAATGATCCCCCCTTCCCACCCGGTGCCGGCAGGGGGGCGTGGTCATGAGCCCGAACCACCTGTTGGTGGGACATTCGGTCCCAGGCCAGGCGGCCGACCGCCAGGTTGTCTGCGGGGTTGGGTTGGCGGCTGGCATGTCTGCTCGACAGCCGCATGCCGTCTCGCTTGTTTGCTGCCTGGGCCGTCTCCTTCCCCCTCGCTGCATCGCCGCTCTTCCCACCTGGATCTTGCGGGATACATTTGTCCTGGAGGGCACGTCAAAGTAGCCGGTATCTTTAAAGGGGCATCGCGAGAGGCTGGCCGGAAGGGCACATATGCAGATCGAGAAATGCGGGTTAGCGGCGCTCTCCGTCCGACCACATCAGCACAGGCAATTCCGACGGCGACAGCGGCGGCTATCCGATGGTCTCCTGCATGACTTACACAACCGTTGCATCCTCGGAGCAACTGAGCACCTCGCTGGTGTTTCTCGAGTTGAAGTGAATCTCCCACACTGACAAGCAGAGGTATTAGTCAAATGCAGGAGCAGTGCAGCAGGCACCGGCATTCGTTGGCAGCGTCCCAGCATCCATCGGCAACCATCAGCATCCATGCCAATAGCAGCAGCAGCAGCAGCAGCAGCAGCAGTAGCAAACCCGGTGCTCTTACCGTTATCCGAGTGCGGCGAGATAATGTCACAGGCCGGTGTGTTGCGCACGTCCCAGAACTGGATTGTTCCGTTCTCGCCACCAGCAGCGATGCAATCCGAGTGAACGGCAAGGCAGTTCAGCGCCACGGCATCCATGTTGCTATTCCAGAGACACCATCAAGAACGACATATCCATTGAGTGGTCTGTGGCGAGCCTCCTTCTGCGCCGTGTCCACCAGTATCTTTGCATGCGCGACTCGGGATAATCCCCACTGCGTGGGCATCGGCAAATACCTCCGGAACGACTGGGCTCGCTTGGCAAGCCGCCGGTCAAACACCGAGACTGTTCCAGAAATGCCGCAAGTCACCTGGCTCGTCAGAAAGCGACAGAAGGCAGTCCTAAAAGTTAGCCTGAGGACATCGTATCCTTTGACATGCCATCCCGGGATCCAGGACCGTATTTCTTCTGGATTGCTGCAGCGAGGGCCCCGCTCGCAGAACACCATGGCGGCCACTTCTCTCATACACCGATGGCAGGCCCGGGCATGTTTGTTGCCAGCGACTGCGACCAGGAGGCCCTCGAGTCGGACATGAGAGTCGCAATGGGCTGCACTTACAAACTCGTTGGCGTTGCGCCACTTGATCGCTGTTGTGTGAGAGGTGTCTGGGTTCATGATCGACAGTAGCTTGGATCCATATCCGCTCGAGAGCACAACATATCCGTCGCTTCCGACTGCGGAGGCGAGAGCCAGCATGTGAGATGCGAGCAAGTGGTGAAGCGGTGGGCACTGTGTTATGACCCTTGGATGCTGGTGTCGGATCGATGTGCCCATCTTGCCCGGACGCTGACTTGCGACGACGAGATTGCAATCCGCGAGATACAGAGATAGCTGCGCTGCAGTGGCTCGAGCGAATGTCTACGCGCTGCCGACTGGTCGAACACTCTGGCTCTCCGTCAGGTGGATCCGGCCTCGCTGCAACTGTACCTGAGGCATACTCGGGCTGAGCGGCGATCGGATGGATGGCCACGCCGCTGCAGGATGCCGGCTTTGAGCCCGATCCTCCGTGTGCTTTGATCTCCTGCAAGAAATGCGGCCCGGGTTCTTGATCGTCCAGGCTAAGGGACATGTCGTAGACCCGAATGATGCCGTCCGACCCGCCGGCAGCCAAGAGTCGGCGCGCCGGCGAGTAATCCAGATCGAGGTATTCGACATCCGCAGGGGCTGCGTCCACCTCGCCGCCATAGTCGATCGAGACCAGGGTGCGGCCCGGATCGGACGAGTCGTCCTGCTGGTCGCGGTGCGAAAGCGACCAGAGCGAGAGGTTGTTGTGCGGCCGATGGTCGCCTGAGGCGGCGACAAAGAACGACTTTTGCTCGCCATCGAAGCAGATGGGCTCGGCCTCGAGCCACCGAACCTTGGCGATCTTGCGGTCGCAGAACTTGACGGTGTATCCCGAGGTGGTGCGCTCTCCGATTGCCATGGCGGGAGTGTTGGCGGCGGCGGCGATCTGGTGGTGGTGGTGGTGGAGGCAACTTCGTCTCGTGGCACTATGAAAAAAATTGTTGTTAATAAAATGAGCGAGAACGAAAAAACGCGCTCTCGGAGCCACCTCGGTCGGCGAGAAGAGCAGTCTCTGGCGAGAGACCCCCGAGGGAAGGCGAGAAGCCTCTCGCCGTCACACACACACACTTTGCACAAGGGAGTCAAACACCTCCCATCGACCATCCCAAGAGGGATGGTAACCCCGAAGTGGACTGCCCAGAATATGGGCGACCCGGCATCCACTGTCGAAATGAACAAGATACTTACAGTCAATCCAGAAAGAAACGGGACAGATCCCATTTCGGGCTTCAGATGTTTGAAGCCCGCTGACTGACTGTAGGCCCAGCGGGTAGGCCATGGCATTGCACTCCTGTCTTCGTTGGCAATCGAGTGGTTTTGGTTGGTTTGCGAAGCACAGTCTTGAATACACCCGGTCGATCTCCATGGGCGATGATCGACTGGCATACCGAGATCATGTTCCTTGAGGCATTGATGTCTCGATCCCACAGCGTATGGCAGCTTGCACAGCTCCGGACAAAGTGTGGTTTCTCGATATCAAGATGCTCGACCTTCTCGAGTCGCTTGGCTTCCCGACAATGTGAGCACACCTGGGACGTGTTGAACTCGTTCACCGAGCACACATGGATCTTGGAGACGGATCGGTCTGGTGGTCGTCTCTGGTGGTGGTGGAACTGCTCAAAGTACTTGGCAAACCTGAGTCTCCTGGGACTGGATGCGTATCCCTTCCCCTGTTTCCAGGAGGCATTCCCAAAGGCAATCACCACCTCGGTCTCCCTTGGTGCCTGGTCGATGACTTGTTTGCACATCTCGTGGACGTGCGCTGTCGCTTGCTGTGGAGATCCAGTCGCTTGAATCGCCGTCGCCGGGTCAGGCTGAAGTACAGCTGTTTGTCCAGCATGTCTCCATCGAACACATGGCGAATGTATTGCAGGAAGGAAGCCATCCCAGGGATCTTGGGACTTGGTGTGGCACTCATCCATTTCTGCAGACCAAGTATCTTGTGGGTGCTCTGGATCCACTTGGTCGCCTGGGTGGTGACTTTCGCTTGCGGTGAACCATCTGGCGAGAAAATAGCGACGATGGCTGGTCCTGCCCTTGGGGAAGAAAAATTCTCCTCAAAACCAGCGCATTTTGGGCTGGCAGAGATACTGCACAGTGGCGTCCTTGATTCAGATCCAGAAACGCATCGCTCGCTCAATCAGTCGTGGGAAGACATCTTGTCAAGGTGGGTCTTGCCTGATAGCCAAACGATCATGTCATCTCGCTGACACACAGCCACGCTTGACTCGGTTTCCAACCAGAGAGATTCAGATGGTGGTGGTTCTTGTCCGCAATCGGAGTGGAGCTTCCAACAATGATACAATTGGTCATTCCTCCACACCAATTGCCCACCACCACCGTCAATCGGCTCAAGGTGATACCAAATGCCGTCAACCGACCATGGCTGGATTCCAACTTTTGCTGCATCTTGGTCTACAGCGTGTATTCATATTCGAGATGAGCAGCCGCGAGGGGCCGGAAAAAGTTGATTTCGTGGATTGGGATGCTTTCGTTCCCGCCTGGTGCGCAGCAGCCTGGTCGAGACAGCCACCAAGCAGCCACAGGATGGCTGGTCGGCACTCTGAATCGCTCGGTGCTGTCGAGCCATGCAACTCTCCTGCACATCGGCCTTCGCGCCATGCAACTCTCCTCGCCTTCACGACACGCCTCCTCCAACCCAGCTCATATCCGGCCATGCCCGTTGTCCCCAATCCTGGATCGGGAGCGTCTTGTCTCCAATCAGGAATCGTGAGCATCGTCACCATCCCGGTCGCTGGGTCGTACCAGTGGGCCCAGCCCAGCCAGCCTCGGCTGCCACGGATCCGTGTCCCCGACCCGCTGTGTCCAACTGCATGGATTGGAGACCGAATCCGCAAGTCGGGGGGTGGATCATGCCTCCTCTTCCAGCCGCATGTCCAGCCGCATCGGCATCGGCCACCGCGGCAAGCCCTGTCCCCCGCCTGATCAATATTGAGCCCATGCGCCCCGGCCGATCGCGCAATGTTTGGTTTCGGGCCAATGGACATCCATACCGACCAGCACCGCCTGCGCTGTGGCTCTCACCCACGTTTTGCCTCCCAAGAAAACTCTATCCTTGCTGGTCGGCCCAGCCCCGCAGCCTCAGCCCGCGACATAGAGCAGTCTTGGGCTCTTACTTTCTTCCCCGCTGCGAGGCCCCGGCCCGTGGGCTTATTCGCCCGCCACCGCCATCGTGCGTTCCCCGCCGTTATAAATATGCTCTCGTCCCGCGCTCCGTCTTTCGCCCTTCCGCCGCTCTTTGGCCTCGTTCATCTCCTGTCCTGTCCCGTCCCGTCACTCTCGCTGGCCCCCAGCCCCCATGACTGCTTCGGCCGGAACCATCTTCTCGGGCCTCAGCCCGCTGGTTGACCCTGTCGGGCTCTTCCTCATTCAAGCTCTCATCATCATCGCCTTCTCGCGCGCCCTCGCTGCCCCGCTGGCCTATCTGAAGCTGCCCAAGGTCCTCGCCGAAATTATTGTCGGCATCATCCTCGGCCCTTCCGCCCTGTCCTCCATCCCGGCCTTCGCCAACAACGTCTTCCCCGCTGCCTCGCTGCCCCCGCTGCAGCTGGCGGCTGACTTTGGCCTGATTTTCTACTTTTTCCTGGTAAGGCTGCGTCCTCCACTCCACGGTGTTGCTGCTCCCGGAATTGCCGTGTTCCTCTGTGGTCTGATCGATCCGTGAGGGAGATTGGCGGTGGTTGGTCGATCTGCAAGGAGAGCGTCTGTCCTGCCGTGAATTTTATACCTTGTCCATCCGGTTTCCCTTCCTCCCCTGCATTCTTGTTGTCCCCCCCCCTCTCTCTGCCATCGCATACGCATATCCTCTCTCTCCATAGGCGGATCGATCGCTAGAATGCAACCTGTCCCAGAGGCGTGGCGTGGCCCGTTGGGCGCCTCTAACCTGAGCGTTTCCGGCTCTCTTGTCCCTGCTTGGCCTGGCCACCTCGTTGATGTGGCCACATTTGCCATCCAAATGCCATCCAAATGCCACCACCCTCGGTCGGTACGATTTTGATCCGTCGCCTCGGCCTGATCCTTTTTTTTTCTTTTGCGGACCCACCGTCGCTGGCTGCGAATCAAATCCACACCTGCGTTTGCTCTGCGGCGCCTTCATGCCGCCTTTGCTCCGATTGCCACCTCCGTCGGCGCACCCCCGAGCAGATCGGCGTCGAGCTGGATGTCAGAAACCTCTTCAAGAACAAGCGCTCGGCAGCCATCGTGTCGTTCTCTGGCATTATCCTCACCTTCGTCATCAGCATTGGCGCATCCAAGGCCCTCTACGACAACCTGATGCCGATCGGCACCACCATCCCGTTCGTCTCGTTCTTGTTCTTCATTGGTGTCGCCACCTCCATCACGGCCTTCCCGGTGCTGGTCCGCATCATCTCCGAGGGCAAGCTCATGTCCAACAAGATTGGCCAGCTGACCCTAGCTGCTGCTCAGGTCGATGACGCCTTTGCTTGGGGCGTCCTGATCTACATCATCGCCTGGATCAACAACACCAACAACCCCGTCAAGGCCCTGGCAACCACCGGCTGCATCGTCGCCTGGGGCTTGGTCCTGTGGTTCATCATCCGCCCCATTTTCGAGCGCTGGATCCGCCATTCGGATAGCTCTGACGTGGTATCGCAGTTCATGGTCTTTGTCACCTTCATCCTCGTCTCGATCTCGGCCAGCTTCGCCTCCATGATGGGCTCACATGCCATCTTTGGTGCCTTCTTTGTCGGCCTGATCATTCCGCACGGACACGGCTTTGCCCTCAACCTGACCGAGAAGATTGAGGATATCATCACTGTGATTTTCCTCCCCCTGGCAAGTACCACCGTCGTAGACTCCGTCATGGGCTTGCCGTTCTCGTGCCCGGAAACCGCCATTGGCCGCATGCCCTCCCCCCCCCAGCGACACACAGGTAGCCAGTGCACAATCCTGACCCCCAGCCCCATCCTTCCCTTTCACAGTACTTTGCCTACTCGGGATTCAACACTCGCTTCGACTATCTCAACAACGGTACCATCTGGGGAATGGTTGTTCTTGTCACCGTCGTTGCCTGTTTCGGCAAGATCGTTGGATGTATGAGCGCTGCCAAGTTCCTCGGCCTGACCGTCCGCGAATCCTTCGCTGTCGGCATCCTGATGAACACCAAGGGGTAAGCGCTCGATTTCAGAGCATGAACGAGTGATGCATGGACATGATACCACAATTCTGCCCAAAACAGCGCCGGTGTCCCCCGTGGTTACCCTCGACCTCTCGGACTGTTTCCCTTCTGGAGCACGGGAATGGCCTCTAACCTTCCTCACCCATCAACTTCCCTCCCTCCCTCAGTCTCGTTGAGCTCATTGTTCTCAACCTCGGCCTCCAGTCCGGTGTCATCTCGGTGCAAGTCTTCACCGTCATGGTCGTCATGGCCGTCATCACCACGGCCGTGACCGGTCCTTTGCTCAGCATCGTCTACCCCACTTCGCTCTACGGTCGCGGCTCCAGCACTTCCAGACTGTCGCTCCCGCCCACGAACGAAGGCGCCGCCAAGCCCGGCTCGATTCAGTGGAAGAACCATCTGCAGATCCTCGTGGCCCTGCCCAATATGCACGTCGTGCCCTCGATGATGGCCGTCTCTGAAATGATCCAGAACAAGCTCAACCCCCTCACCATCCACGCCCTGCGTCTGATCCAGTTGAACGACCGTACTTCCTCGCTGCTTATGGCTTCCGAGCTGGACCAAACCCTGCGGAACGACGCCATCCTGAACGTCTTCCGGACCTTTGGCACCCTCTACGGCCTGCCCGTGAATCCGCTGGTCGCTGTCTCGCACACCGACGAGTTTGCCGAGTACATTGTCTCCTCTGCGATCGATACCCAGGCCAACCTGATCATCGTGCCTTGGCACCCGCATTCGAACGACGACGTCGCTGATGGCTTTGAGGACGATGGTCTGAGCAAGCGCGACGTCGCAGAGGCCATCGTCAACCAGTCGCCTTGCTCGGTGGCCATCTTTGTGGACCGCGGCTTTGGCGGCTTCTCGCGCATCGGCCAAACCAACGACGTTGTCAGCCAGAGCGTCTACGTGCTGTACTTTGGAGAGTCTGGCGACGACCACGAGGCCCTGCTGTTCACCTCGTATCTCTCGGCCCACGTTGAGCTCAACATTTGCATTCTGCGGATCTCTGACCAGAAGGACCCGGCCCAAATTGCTGCCGCCGGTGCCTCGCAGATCACCGTCAACAAGGACGTCGGCGAGGACAGCCAGCCCGGCCGCATCCGGTCGTGCACCCAGATCATCGAGTCACTGGCCATCAAGGCCAACGTCAAGATCGAGGATTTGACCTCGTCCACCCCCGTTGGAGCCATCGTCGACAGGCTTGCGGGCAACCTCAGCCACCACGACTTGGTCGTCGTCGGCGACTCCAACTACAAAACCCGCGGCGGCATCAATGAGAAGAAACTGCTGCGCAACTGGGTCAACCGCGAGCTCAAGGCCAGCTCGGTCGTCGTCTCCGAGTCCAAGATCATCGAGAAGATATAGTTCGCTTTGGGAGGGGAGTGGGACCTCGTTCTCTTCTCTCTCCACCTTCTTCTTCTTTTTCTTCTTCTTCTTCTTCTTCTTCCTTTCGCTATTTTCTTTTCCCTGTTGTCCCATGCCCCGCTGCGTCCATTTATATATTTTTTATGAGCATCTGAAGTATGGTTTTCATCTTTTTGTCCCGAATGCACGAAATGAAATCGGGCACGCTGGATTCTAGGCCGCTCGTCTCTTGAATACACACACAGCCTGTCTGACACAATTCCGTGGGTGTGGAGCCCATTGCAGGGCGATCGATGAAACGAGGGAGAGCATGATGATCCCAGGAGCGTGGCCAGCCAGACTACTTTGTTCAACAGGAGTGACCCGAAACGGATTGTAGGAACGCTGCAAGCACAGCACTCCTTGACCAGGAAACATGGACTGCGAGCGTCGGAATCGAGAGGATCCAGCCAGGCGGCCTCGCGACATCATCCAACCCATACCAGCCACACACACTCTCTGCGTGTTGAAGGGACTGGTTCCGATGTGGGCGGGAAGCAGCACTTTGATTCGGTCACTTGAGAGATCTCAATCACGGCCGAGCCGGTCGGCTCGTGCGATGGCCCCCCGGACTACGATCTCGACAGGCCCACCAACTCTCGCCAGAGCCCCTGCCTTTCACCATCCCATCCCATCCCATCCCATCAACTACGCCCCCCTTCTCACCAGGCAGAAATCAGCCAGCAAAGCGCACGGCTGCTCCATCCCGTCCCCCCCCCCGATTGCTCCCCTCCCACATCCACTCAAACTCGATCAAACGCCATCATCCATCGCGCTCGCAATGTTCTCGGTGCCCGGGAGGTAACCATCGCGCCCAGGGTGCAAGCAAATGGTCTCTCAAACAGAAGTGCGAGTGGTTCCCATCTGTCTGTCTCGCGCCCGATACATCATTGTTCTCCTCCTTTTTCTCTTCATTGGTTCTTTCTTTTCATCCTTCCGCTTTTTTCCCCCTTTCCTTCGACCATTGCGATTCCTCTCTCATATCACCGCAACTCGCAACTCGCAACTCGCAACTCGCAACTCGCAACTCGCAACTCGCAACTCGCAACTCCAGAAGCAACACCAACTTTCGCGTCGACTCTGTCCTCGCGTCGTCCATTACACTTGCCGGCGATCCAAAGACACGGGACGATGACTTGTATTCCTTTGAGAAGAAGGTGAGGCTGCCATTTGCTTCTGGAACCACTTCTTCCGAAGCCATTCGGCGGGTGTGTGCGCGTGAGCAATCCCATGCACTGGGCTTCAAATCGCCTGCACATCCAGGATCGTATCATCACTAGAGCCACACATGGGTTGGTTGAACGAGACACTTTCTCTGTGGGCGGTGGGCTGTGACTCTCCAGGGTCAGACGGATCCATTCCGAGGCACAACCGGACGGACCCCAGGCACCCAGTCGTTTGGTCTTCGCACCGGCCGTGTCGGCACAGCCAGCGGAGAAGGCGCTCGTCCAATGACTTCAGTACGGGCTGCAGGGTACTCGAGCCGGGGACGAGCCGGGATGACGGCGGGACCGACCTTCGACCCGTTCAATCAAGCTGGTAGGGAGCAGTTCTCGTGTCTGGCCATGGCATCGTCGTGGCTCTCTCGTCCCTTCATGAACATGTCGAGCGCTCCGCGGCATATTCGTTCGCTCGGACGAGCCTTGCCAAACACACTGGTTGCATTGACTCTTGTCACGTTCGCTTCGGCTTTCCATCCTTTTCCTCTGGGCCCTGCGACCAGGTCGCTCCGGGGCCGCTGGCCTCGACAAGCCCCAGGAAACACTGCCCGAGGAGCAGATCAAGGTGCTCGAGAAGAAAGTCGCGGCCCTGATCGAGGAGAGCACGATCGCCGCCTCCAAAGGGGATCTGCAGGCGGCCCTAGAGAAGGCCAAGGACGCTGGCAAGAAGGAGCGCCACCTCTCCAAGCAGCGAGAGCAAGCCAACCTCACCGACCAAATGAACCTCGACCTCACCTACTGTGTCCTTTTCAATCTCGCCAACCAGTACCACGCCAACAAGATGTACCAGGAAGCCCTCAACTCCTACGGCGTCATTGTCAAGAACAAGCTCTTCAACCAGTCCGGCCGGCTGCGTGTCAACATGGGCAACATCTATTTCGAGCAGAAAAAGTACTCGCAAGCCGTCAAGATGTACCGCATGGCGCTGGACCAGATCCCAAACACCAACAAGGACATCCGGCTCAAGATCATGCGCAACATCGGCAACGCCTTTGTCAAGATGGGCCAGTTCCAGGACGCCATCACTTCGTTTGAGGCCATCATGGAAGGCAACCCTGACTTTCACACCGGTGAGAGCCCCGTCCCGGACAAGACTGCAAGCCGCGGGGCTCCCACTCGTCCATTGATTTGATTTGATTTGATGCACTCTTGCTTGTCCAGCGGAGGCACTCACTCTTGCTTGTCCAGCGGACGCACTCGCCTCACCGTCATCTCACGAGCGCTTCTGAATCTGTGCAGGGTTCAATCTTGTTCTATGCTACTTTGCCCTCGGGGACCGTGACCGCATGAAGAAAGGCTTCCAGCGACTGATATCAATCCGTCCACCGACAGTCGAGCAGTTCGACGACACGGTACCGAGCTCAACCGACGAGCCGATCGAAGACCACGAGGTCTTCAACCAGGATAGCCTGAGGGCGATATCGCGCGAGAGGTACACCACACCCGGGCTTGATCGCAACAGGATGACGCATCGAATCGAATAGAATCGAATGCCAACGTTTGGTGTCGTCTCTCACAAGGCCGCTCAAGCCGCTCACGCCCTCGTTTGGCATTACAACAGGAAGAAGGCTGCAGAGCGGTACATTGTCCTGGCAGCCAAGCTGATTGCACCCAACATCGAGATGACGTTTTCGATGGGATACGACTGGATCGTCGAAACCATCAAGAACTCTCCTCATGCAGAGATCGCAAGCGAACTCGAGATTGCCAAGGCCATCCAGTTCCTGAAGACCAAAGAGTTCCAGAAAGTGTGTACCGACACCGGCTCCTCATCCCTCCGTTCTGGTGCTTGCATCGGCCCAGCGTTGTACCTGGGCGGACCCATATGCACTCGATCATGATTCCTCGGCCAAGCCACTCACATCGAGACTTGCTCTGCCCCCACCCCACGCGTGCGATATGTGTGCACCAAGGCAATCGAGGCATTAAAGGCATTTGAGAAAAAGGACCAGAAACTCGTCGGCACAGCTGCGACAAATCTGGCGTTCCTGTACTTCCTTGAGGGTGACTACAAGCAAGCAGAAAAGTACGCTGATATCGCCGTGAACACCGATCGATACAATGCCAAAGCGCAAACCAACCGGGGGAACTGCCACTACGTCAAAGGTACACAGGCACCCAGTCTCCCGGGTCTGTCTCAGAACGGGAGGGAGGAGCAAGCCGTGCCTTGATACGGGCTCTTGCTCTCTCTATTTCTATGTCTTTGGGCCCTTTGAGGACCCACCTCGTGTGCCTGCCTAATCCTCTGTTCTTGCGCTCCGTTGATGTACAGTCAACTTTGAGAAGGCCAAGGAGCACTACATGGAGGCCGTCAGCGTCGACGCTGTGTGCACCGAAGCCATGTACAACTTGGGTAACACCTCAGTGCCCCGTTAGCATCAGCAATGAGCCAACTTCCAGCAACTCATGCTCGCCCTCCCACCTTCCAAACAGGGCTCGTGTGCAAGAAAATGGGGTCATACAGCGAAGGGCTGCAGTGGTTCGAGAAGCTGCACGGCATCCTCCGGAACAGCGCTGAAACCATATACCAGATCGCGGACATGTAGGCATCTATAGAGCTGCGGCTGGAGCTGGAAGAGGCCACTCTCGCTGCCTCACAGGTTCCCCCGGAGGGTCAGCACCTGGCCCTTGCACCGCTATCTCCGAGCAGAGTCATGCACGTGCGTACTTACATCGTCTGCTTTGCATCACAAGCTATGATAAGCAGGGCAACCTCCAGCAAGCCATGGAGTGGTTCAATATTTTGATATCTGTTGTGCCCACAGACCCGGGCGTGCTTGCTCGGCTCGGGGATATGTTTGTGCGAGAAGGCGACAAGTCGCAGGCATTCCAGTATTTCTCCGAGGTGCGTTGCTGTTCGCATCGGCTCATGGCATTGAGAGCCGCACCGAGCGCCTCTTCAGCCATACCGTGGTCTTGATCTCTACATGAGCTGCGGCGTCGATGTGTGCAAGATGCGCTGACCAGGAAGTGTCTCCGTGCCCAGTCGTACCGATACTTCCCATCGAACATGGATGTGATCTCGTGGCTCGGAGCCTACTATGTGGACTGCGAAGTGTATGAACAGGCCGTCCAGTTCTTTGAGAAGGCCGCGGTGATCCAGCCGCAGGAGGTCAAGTGGCAGCTCATGATTGCGAGCTGCTATCGACGCAGCGGAAACTACCAACAAGCGTTCGAAAACTACAAGAGGATCCACGAGAAGTTCCCCGAGAACACCGAGTGTAAGGATGGTTGTGGCCAGGAAGTGTGCGGCGGCAAACAGGAACGACATGTGAAGTACAGCATGGACAAGCAGGACATGGTGGCCGGCGGAGCAGAAGGATGGCGCTCATGTGGATGCGAACCGGTCTCGGGATGTGCACACTCTCTGGAATGTCGTGGCTGGCCCCGGGCTGGTAGTCTAATGTGTCGCTGCGAACATTGTCGCTTGCAGGCCTTCGGTTCCTGGTGCGCATCTGCACCGACCTTGGCATGAAGGAAGTCCATGAGTATGCAGCCAAGCTCTCGCGTGCGGAGAAGGCCCAACAAGCAAAGCTCGCCGGCCAGTCGGGAGGATCCGCTGGAGCCGAGATAGACGGAGCAGTCAGGAATGCCGCCGCTAATGATGGCAGGCCAGATGGCCTCGAAGCCGATGCCGGCGACCCGCGGTTCTCAACGGCGAGCAGTCGCATCTCTGTCGGGCTCGACAACTCGGCGTATGGACGTCTCAAGGGTGGAACATCGAGTTCCAAGGAGGTGATGTCTTATGAACTGGCTGAGAGAATAGGCAAGTACCCTGTGCCGAGAACCGATCCGGAAAGGAGTGTGCACCGTCGGCTGCTAGACGACATGGCTGACCATGTTGTTCCGCCCAGATCCCAATCGACCCAAGACTGGGAAGGTAAATCAGAGCGGGGAGCTACGACAGCGCATAGACGCCAGTTGTAGCTTTGGTGGAGGCGAGAGGTGTGTCTGTGCTGCACTAACCTCGGACATGCCCGCACCAACAGAAGAAACAGCTGGAGGAGGAAGAGTGGCACGAAGACGTGGATATGCTTCTTCCCGAATAGCCGGTACCACCGCCGCCCGGCACGCACTCTCTGTCCAGCGGGAGATTCGCCATGCACCCTTGAGATGGCGCATTTCGGATCATGAATATAGCTACAGTCAAACCAGAAAGAAACGAGACACTTTGATTTTGGTCATTGACCGAATAATTTGCCTCCAAATACCATCGCGCGCTGGTCATGACCATTATGTGATGCGGTACTACGCCCTCATTCATAGCCTGATGAATGTTGCCTTCATATTCAGCGTGACCAAGAGCACCATTCACCGACGGCACTCCGAGACCAGTGTGCATGTCGATTGTGGAGGCCGGAGAGCGGCCGGCGATCTTCACTCGGAGGTGATCTGTTGAACTGCATGTGCCGCCATTGGACGCATTTCATCGCATACTACATGTTCGTGGAATGGGCAGCGTCCCGTTTTTTCCGGATAGAGTGGAGGCGTATAGCCGCATTCATCATCCGTGCCCACCGACCTGTCGCTGGCCGCTCCGCGCCACACACACCGCCCCATTGCGCCAAGACCCGCCACCGATCTGCGTGGCGTCACGTGTGGATGGAACCGGTCCGTGGCTGCAGCCAGCCTGGCAGAAAACGGCTCTGCCCTTGCAGCCCGGCTGGTTCGCCATCTCTGCCACCGTCGCCTCCAGCCAAGATGGACAGTCATCTCATCAAGACCGGTAAGGCCTGTCGCCAGCGACCGCGGCTTACGCACCACCAGTCTGCCGTGGGAGATTCTGTCCACAGAGTCCTGCTGTCTGCCGTGCCGCCACCGGCGCAGGACCTGGCCAGCGGCTCCATCGGCGTCCCTATTGTGCCCGCCTCCATCCCAGGCCGGCTCAGCTTTGCCACAACCCCCTGCTGATCCAGCCCAATCTTGCCCCTGCCCGCCTCCGCAGTCAACAAACTCCAGGATTCCTTCGCCACCGCCGGCGTCGTCAACCCAATCGACTTGCCCCAGGTACCGATACCATCGATTGCAAGTGGTGGAGTGGGTTTGGTTCTGTCTTGGTTTGGTTTGGCGAAGACAGCTTTTGACCGCAGGCGTGCGTGCGTGCGTGCGGATGGTGCTCCGCTGGGGCGAACGACGACTCTGCATCCGAGCAGATATGCGCCTTTGCTGTGGTTCTGACCATTCCGCTGTCTTTCCTCTGCGGCGCACGCTCCTTTGTTGCACTTGTAGATTGTGGTCGTCGGCAGCCAGAGCAGCGGCAAGAGCTCTGTTTTGGAAAATATTGTCGGCAAGGACTTTTTGCCCAGAGGTTTGTCTCTCCATCCAAGACCTGGGCAGCTGTCGGCTGCATTGCTCCACCCCATGCTCTGCAGCCACAATGCCTGAACACTGCTCTGTGTCGGCTCCCTGTACCCCGCGTCCTGTCGCAGCGGGCTCCTCCTGCACTTTTCGTCGCACGCCGCCGCCCTGTCTGCGCTGCGACGCTGGCGGGCATGTTCTAAGCCACACTTGTCCCTCGCAGGAAGCAACATCGTCACTCGCCGACCCCTGGTCCTGCAGCTCATCAACCGGCCCAAGGGCGAGGATGCCGATGGCACCCCTCGCAAGCCAAGCGCCGATTCGGCAGAGCCCGATGAGTGGGGAGAGTTCCTCCACCTGCCTGGCCAAAAGTTCAGCAACTTTGACGAGATCCGGGCCGAGATCGAGCGCGAGACCGATGCCAAAGTCGGCAAGAACGCCGGCGTCTCGGCGCAGCCCATCAATCTCCGAATCTTCTCGCCCAACGTGCTCACCCTCACCCTCGTCGATCTGCCCGGCCTGACCAAGGTCCCTGTTGGCGACCAGCCCAAGGATATCGAGCGATTGATCCGCGAGATGATCCTCAAGTTCATCTCCAAGAACAACGCCATCATCCTCGCAGTCACCGCCGCCAACACTGATTTGGCCAACTCGGACGGTCTGAAGCTGGCTCGCGAGGTCGACCCGGAAGGTGTCCGCACCATCGGTGTTTTGACCAAGGTCGATCTGATGGACGCCGGAACAGACGTCGTCGACATTCTGGCCGGCCGCATCATCCCTCTCAGACTCGGTAAGGGTTGTAGCAACGCCCACTTGACCGGCTTTGCCTTGGCTTGAGTGCTGGAGACTCATCGCCCATTTGTCTTGACTGCCCCCTTGCCCTGTCCCGCATGCCTCAGGCTATGTCCCTGTCGTCAACCGCGGCCAGCGCGACATTGACAACAAGAAGAAGATCTCTGTCGCCCTGGAGTCCGAGCGCCTGTTCTTTGAGAACCACGAGGCTTACAAGAGCAAGGCTGTTTACTGCGGCACCCCGTACCTTGCTCGCAAGCTCAACATGGTGCGTGTCGACTGCAGATGCAGACGGCAGCTGGACAGCGGAGAGACTCGTCCAGCGACTGTGCATGGCCCTTGCCGCCCGCTCTTCCTTGGGTTGTGGTCCGGCAGTAGTGCACCTCTGCTTTCATACTGTAGCCCAGCTGACCAAAGACATCGCCTGCCACTCTAGATCCTTATGCACCACATCCGCAACACTCTCCCGGAAATCAAGACCAAGATCTCTGCTGGCTTGGCCCGCTACACCCAGGAGCTTGCTCAGCTTGGAGACCCCTTGACTGCCGAAGGTGCTGCTCAGGTAAGTCGTGGTTTCGTTGAGGGGGGGGGTTGCGATGCTGGGCAATCCAGCTTTGGCCAAACCTTCGTGGTTTGGGTGCCAGTCTAACAGCATCTGCCCTGTTGCGTGTTGATCGGTCTCATGGCTGCAGCCTTCCAACATTATCCTCAACGTCATTACCGAGTTCTGCAACGAGTACCGCACCATCATCGACGGTACCTCGAACGAGATCTCGAGCGACGAACTGAGCGGCGGTGCCCGTATCTCGTTTGTTTTCCACGAGATCTACGGCAACGCCGTGCGCTCCATGGATCCCTTTGACCAGATCAAGGACGTCGACATCCGCACTATTCTCTACAACTCCTCGGTAGGGCGACGCCGGCCACCTGCTCTGGCTCTACACACACACGGCTGATATATTGGACACAAATGTGTGGTCGATGCGCAGCGGTCTCGAGAGCCGGTCGCGTCGCATCTGTTGCAACCATGATCATCGCTAACGGCTGGCATTCGCATTCCTGTGATATGCAATCGTTTAGGGCTCCTCTCCCGCCCTTTTCGTTGGCACGGCTGCCTTTGAGGTCCTGATCAAGCAGCAAATCAAGCGCTTGGAGGAGCCGAGCTTGAAGGCCGCCTCTATGATCTACGACGAGCTTGTTCGCATCCTGAACAAGCTGCTTCAGAAGCCTGTAAGTCCCCGACAAGCTGGCCGCATGTCCGCTCGGTGGTGCGCTGATGCCATCGGTGCTAACATGACTTTGCATCCTCCGAACAGATCTTCCGGCGCTTCCCTTCCTTGAAAGAGCGCGTCTACGGTGTCGTCATCAACTTCTTCAAGAAAGCCCTGCTCCCGACCAACAAGCTCGTCACCGACATTATCTCTGCCGAGGTTTGCTACATCAACACCGGCCACCCGGATTTCCTCAGCGGCCACCGCGCTCTGGCGATTGTCAGCGAGCGCCTCAACCCCAAGCCCCAGCCCCCTCCCGGTGCTGATCCCAAGGCTGTTCAGCGCACCTCGAGCCCCGCCATTCCTGCGCGCGACCCCAACGCCGATCTCATCAACCCCCCCGACCAAGGATTCTTTGGAAGCTTCTTCAACAACAAGAAGAAGAAGCCCGGAGTCCTTGAGAACGTGGGTACTTTGGCTGCCATCGCGGCGACGGCACTCGGGTCCTGGGAGCAGTGACATTGGCGTGTCAGCGTGAATGTGCGACTTGGTGTCCTAATGATTTGGAATCCTTGTACTCCCTTGTACTCCCTTGGAATTCCTTGGAATTTGTGCAGCCTCCTCCCGTCCTCAAGGCCTCGGGCAACCTCTCTGAGCGCGAGTACATGGAAACCGAGGTCATCAGTAAGTAGTGTGTGAAGCGCGGCTGCGTTGAAAAGCACCCGCGATGACGGTAATATCTTCAAGCAATTTCGTGCCGCTGCTATTGCTGATCTGCCCTGTCCTTTCCGCCACAGAGCTCCTCCTCCAGTCCTACTTCAATATTGTCAAGCGCACCGCCGCCGACATCATTCCCAAGTCGATCATGCTCAACCTGGTTGCTTACACCAAGGAGGAGCTGCAGCGCGAGCTTCTGGCTGAGCTGTACAAGCCCGAGGTCTTTGACGACTCACTAAAGGAGTCGGAACAGACCCTCCAGAGACGCAAGGAGTGCAAGCAGATGATCGGCGCCCTCACCAAGGCCGACGAGATCATCAACGGCATTTCCTCCTAAGCGAGACTGGCCGTCCCCGGATATTGTAGTGTGTGCCGCTTGTGGCCGCCTCTCCCCCCTTTCGATTGATTTTATGCCAGCCCCATCCATGTGAATTCTTTCGTTTCGATCTCCGACCCAAGGAATACATCCTGAGCTCTCTCGTGTTTTCTCACTTCTCGTGCTGCCTCGATCGGCCCCGGCTCGCGCTGATCAAAAACGCAGTTGGGCGAGTGCAGGCAGCGAGATTGGATGGGTGTATTATGGATGTCGTTCGCGAGGATGGACAGGGTGAGTCTGGGAAGAAGAGAGATGCTGGGTGGGTGGGCAAGGCGTGGAGGCAGCAGCAGCAACTCTGGCGAGAATGGTGGCTGGCGCGAGTGTACTACTTGCGGCCCTTCTGGGGCTTCTGGGGCTTCTGGGGCTTTTTGGTCGGGGCGGCTTTGGGCGAGACCGAAGGCGCAATCGCTGGTGAGCTCTTGGCCGGGACTGGCTTTGGCTTTGCAGCGGGAGTGTCCTTGTGCCCGTCCTCCTTTGCCTTTTTGGCAGGCTTCTTGGGGGCCACTTCCTCGACCTTGCTGGTGGCGGCCTTGGGCACTTCTACCTTTGCCGCTTTGGCGGTCTTCTTGGGCTCGGACTCGGGTTGGGACTTGGATGGTTCGGAAACAGGTGCAGCCACAGATGCAGATGAGCTGTTGCCTTTGGATTTGCCCTTTGGCTTGGCTTCCTCGGTTGGCTTGGCCTCGTTCTGGGCAGGTGTCCGCGGCTCCTTGTTGCCCGAATCTTGGGCAGCCGCCCGATAGCCGCCAAAGTCGTAGTCGATACCGAGGCTCTCGAGCTTTTGCCGCTTGGCTGCTTCACTCCGGAGCAGACGGGTCGTGCGTGCCATCTGTTGCTCTGGAGTTCGTGTCTGTGAGGAGCCAAAGGCGAAGCAAATACAGGGTAAGTCACAGCCACGAGAGCTCCTGAGACGCTCGCAAGCGAGCCAGCGGGACATCCACGACAAGCAACGACAGGTATAGGGCTCGCCAACGCAAGTCTAATCAGCCTCGACTGCACAATCCAGGCAGCCATCGCGATGGGTACTGCCGACGAGAGATGTAAGTCTCACCTTATTGAACACTTCGCGCTCTCGCTTGTGCACATCGACGGCCACATACTTCTTGTTTGCGCCGACAAACGTCTTTGGATGAACCTGGTCCTTTGGGATGAATTTGCCTGTGGGATTGCAGCAAGGTCAGTTGGGTCCGCTGTCGACAGGCAACAACCCACCGCGTGTCTTGGCTGATCATGCCGCAAGATCCGTGGGAAACGCACATTTCAGCATATGTCCAAAGATCAGGTAGTTGTCCATGGTCTCGGCAACGATCTTGGCGACCTCTTCATGCTTGAACTCGACAAAGGCAAAGTGCTTGGATGCGCCGGTCTAGTGAAATGCGTGGCAAGCGCACGTGTGTTTTGTCCGAGAAACAGATCGACCAAACAGTCAGTTTCCGGAGATCAGGGCATGGGCGACAGATGCACATCGAGCAACCAAGGATTGCACCATGTGCTCGGCAATTATGACTTTGTCGGCCGGGAGACAACGTGGCCAATCCGCCAGAGAGCGCAAGTGCGTTGATCACCGCGGCAGCCGCACGGGAGCCGAAATTGCTCAGCCGCAACTCTGGATGCTGCGAGGCGTCGTTCGTCGCGCTTGGTGAATACGTCCCCAGAGTCCGCCACTCGGTTCCACGAAATACCTTTTTGTTGCGAGACAGCCGCAGGCGAGAGACCTCGCCGAACTGCGAAAAGTACATGCGCATCTGCTGCTCATAGAAGCCGTGCGGAATGCGACCAACGTAGACGACACCAGCGCTGCTTGAGGACGATGGTGCGACCTTGACTTTCTTGATCTTTTCCTTGATCGACTGCTCAGTTACTTTGTCCAGCTTGATCTCGGACTCGTTGGCCTCAAACACGTCGCCGTCGCCGCCGTCGTTATCGTCATCATCATCATCATCGCCGTCGTCCGCCTTGGCCGCGACTGGCTTGGACGCCCGGCCCTTGGCCTCCTTCGGCTTTGCAGCGGCCTTCTTGGACTTGTTTTTGGAAGCCAGCGAAGCCGCCTCAATGGTGGTGGGCTCGTCCTCGTCAGAGCTGTCATCGAGACCGTGCAGAATCTCTGCCTCCTGGACCTCGTCGATCGCATCCTCAAAAGCATCCTCGGGCAGCACGACTTCAGGGACGGGTGCATCAGCGACGGCGTCAGCCTTGCGCTTCTTGGGCGAGGCCGAGACGGGCCGCAAGACAGCCTTCTTGGCGGGCTTGGTGGCCTGCGGCTTTTTCGGAGGCATTGTGCTGGCGACGGAGGCGGTTCGTGGTGGGCGAAAGCGGCGGATGTAGCTAACAGGCAGCTCACGCGGACATTCCCAGCGACCGGCCAGGGAGATCGACAACACGCGCCTGGAGCAACAAAAAAAGAATGTGATATGAACTTTTAATTCATTAGGCACGTGTCGTGGAGCGAGAAGCAGGCGAGAAGCAGGCGAGAGGCAGGCGAGAAGCAGCACAACAGCACAACGGCACAACGGCACAACAGCACAACAGCACAACAGCGCAGTGCCGCTGCGCACGCCGACTCCTCCCGGTTCTTGCCCTCCTCCCGGTTTCTCCCGCCCAGCCCACCTTCCCGCCGGGCCCATTTTCCCGCCTGGCCTTGCGCCCACACATCATTGCCCTCTCGCATCCCCGCCATCTTCCCCTCGGCCTCTGATCATCGTCGTGCTCGTCCAGCGGCGCAATCCCGATCCTCCATCTGCATACCACTACTACCGCTGCGCATCCATCGCCTGTCGCGGACTATTTTGCCTGCCCCTGCTGCCACCGTCCTCGTCATCAGCGTCCCTGCTTTGCCATCCCGTCCCGCTATCATAGCATGGCTTCGCCTCCCCAAGGCGCCGGCTCAGAGTCGATTCCATCCAACCCCAAGTCATCGATTGCTCAAGCATTCGCCTCAACGACATCGTCGTCGTCTACTTTGTCTTCGTCGTCCTCGCTGCTCCCTTCCCAGCCACCCGACACGTCTCGAGACGACTCCAACCCGGCAGCGGCCTTCTCAGCCTTTCTGGACTCTGTCTCGGATCTCGACACCTCGTCCTTCGATATGCCCTCGATTCCATTCCACTCGTCTGTTCCCCCCTCGCTCTCCACCAGGAACTCGCCTTCGCTGATCTCGTCACCCATGAGCACGACACCTATTCAGCAAATCATCACTCCTGGGGCGGCGGCACAACGAGCCCTGGCGCCCACGCCGTCGTCGTCGTCGCAATCTGGGATCCCCAGACTCAATGCCATTTCGTCATCGTCCACCAAGAGCGTGCCTGCCTTCCTCAACAAGCTGTACAAGTAAGTATGCGTCCATCTTTATTTATCTCTGGCGCTGTCCAGTCGACTCGCTGTCATCGTCGTCACGGCCATGCAGCACGGACACTGGCGATGGTAGAGCTCAAGGCGGTGTGTGTGTGGGGGGGGGGAGCGACAGCGGCGATCACTGGACCACATCGATCGAGAGTGCTGTACGGATCAGATCTCTCAAGCTCTTCCACTAGGCGTTGGAGGCTGACGGCTATCGGGTGGCCCATCGCCACCAATATGATCTTCATCGTCTGGCCATGGACAGAATGCCTGTCTCTTTCTGGCCCTTCATCCGGCGTCTGATCATCGGAATTGGAATGCCCCCTCCCAACAGCCCTGCACGCAGTTTCGCCACGAGACTCGAGCACCGACACTAACCTAGTGTACCCGGTCTCGTCCCGCTCACTGACGGAAATGTAAACTCTATCCCCATCTCGATTTCCCCCCAGCATGGTCAATGATCCCTCCACCAACGATCTGATCCACTGGTCCGAGGACGGCACCACCTTCGTCGTACCCAGGCACGAAGACTTTGCCCGTGAGGTCCTGCCCCGCTTCTTCAAACACAACAATTTCTCGAGCTTTGTTCGCCAGCTCAACATGTACGGCTTCCACAAAGTCCCACATCTCCAGCAGGGCGTGCTCCATTCCGACGGCGAAGGCGAGATTTGGGAGTTTGCAAACCCCCACTTTCAGCGGAACCAGCCGGACTTGATCTCGCTCGTCACGCGCAAGCGCGGAAGGGATAGCGACGATAAGGAAAGCCACGGCCACGGCACGATCGACTACAACCAGATCATGGCCGAGATTTCCGCCATCAAACGCCATCAGATCACCATCTCCACCGACCTCAAAAACATCCAAAGGGACAACCAGCTGCTCTGGACCGAGACCATTGCCACCCGCGAGCGCTACCAGCGACAGCAGGAGACGATGGAGAAGATCATGCGCTTCCTTGGATCCATGCTGACCCTGAAGAAGGACGCCATTGTGCCCAAGAAGAATCCGCTCCGACTGACTGCCCGTGAAACAACGGCCTCGCCGCCCATGGCTTCCAGTCGCGCAAACTTCCTCGAGCCGCTTGGTGGATCCGCGTCACTGGAGCGAGGAGATGGCCGCGATACGGCGACAGCCGGAGGCTTTGGTAAGTGACGCATGAGCTGTGTTCATTTGCTTCTCAGCCCCTATCGATGTGCCTGCATTTGTCGTATCGCCCATTCGTTTGCATGTGCATCCGCCTAATGGCTTTCTTGCGCAATCCCTATGCAGTCCCGACGTTGGTGGAGCTGATCAATACACCTCCACCGCTAGCATCGGATGGCCCCGCTGGCTCCCCGGCCCCGTCGCTGGATCTGCGGGGCGGCCTCAGCAGCCACAATTCGCCCGAGATGAATCCCGCATTCTCGAACCCCCGAGAGACCCTCGATGCAATCACAACTGGTGTCGAGGACCTGGATTTTAGAATCGAAAACATAGCTTCGGTGTTGGGCCTCTCGTCCTTTGGCCAGGTCGATGTTGACGACATCTTCTCGAACGACATCACTCTGGACAGATCCAACGCTGATCCTGCGATGCAGTATGCCTCTGGCTTTCCTACTGCCAGCACAAATACCATCGGTGGCTCGTTGGCTGTGCCCCCACGCCCTATCACCGAGATTGAGTCGCCTCGTCTCAATCCTTCTCTGTCGCAGGCTCCGTCTTCACCACCTGGGCAAGAAAGCGCCGTCTCGCTCCTTGCCCATGCTCTGTCCAACAACGATCCCTACGCATTGCCGCCCGTGTCGATCGCCCCTGTCGATACACTTATCCCGGTCGCCCCTGGAAATCTGCTCAACGAGTCGTCTGATCTTTCGAACGGAAATGCCAGCATGAGCACCGACTGGACCGGATCTGTGTCGACCCAACCGCCCGCATTTGACCCAGAAATTTTCAGCAGTTTCCTTGGTTCACAACTCCAGCCCCAGACTCGGAATATGCAAGCCCAGGTGGGATCGGCGACGAACTTGTCTGCAACCAATCCCGCCCCCGCCGCCGAAAACCTCAGTATCCCACAACAAATATACAACGCGCTTATGATGGGTGGGCTGGGCTATGCCCCTGGATCACAAGCACCGACAGCGCGACCCACCGACAGCCCTGCTGTCTCCACCATGGCGACGCCCAAAGCCAAGACTGCCCCAGTAGCCAAAAAATCAAAGCCCACACCGCCCGCCTCGTCCTCTGAGCGCGGCACACTGCATACAGCACAAAAGAACACCGGCGCTAACTCGACCTCTCCGTCGGCGATGACGAAAAAAATCGCCTCCGCCACAGCCAAACCATCAAAACCGATTGCAAGATTCGCCAAGACCACAGCCAAATCCAGCAGTGCCGCTCCCGAGATACCTGTAGTCGCCACAGCCGCGCCTCTGTCGACGTACTCGGCAGATGCAACCTCGTCAGCGCCGTTCAACTACGTCAATGCCAGTGTTCCGACACAGGGCATCCCGCTGCAGTCTCTCATCTCGCCTGCAACGACCAACGCCCTCTCGACCACCACGGCAGCGCTTTCGTCCCCAATTACGATCAACGGCCCCTTCCTTGATGGCTCGGCATCGCTGAACTGGTTCCCAGCAATCTTTCCTCCCTCCAAGACCACGCCCTCGGCTTCTAATGCACTCACTCTTCTCCAGCCGCAGCAGCAGCAGTTGTTGCAGCTCCAGCTCGCCAATCTACTCAACCTCAACCCGATACTTCAGAACTACGCGGCACTTGCGAGCAAGCCCTATCCCAATGGGCTGCTGCAGCTCCCCGTCACCTCGGCACCCGCTGGTGTGGATCTCAAGACAGGAACTATGGACCCGTCCTCTGCGATCAATCTTCAAGCACTTGCATCGCTGTTCCCGGCGACCCTCACCAACGAACAATTAGCTGGGCTCCCAGCGCAGTTGCTCAATCCCACCAACTCGTCGGCGGCCTATTCGCTGCTGATGCCGAATGGTGGAGCGTCCACAGCATCCTTGGGCATGGACGGCACCGCCGCAGCTGCAATAGCTGCCCCGGCACCGGCACCGCTGACAAGTGGCAAGATGGCGGAATCTAAGGCCGGAAAACGGCCCCCGAACCGAAAACGCAAGTCGTCTGTCAGCAGCGCGATCGAGCCGGTTGGCGAGACGTCAAGCAATCACTCAACCGCCGATCGACTTTCGGCTGTCCTGCCATCTGACTCGGGCGACATGAGTGCTTCTGGAAAAAGTCAACCTGGCATCGAGCCCATCAGAGACCAGCGGATGACTGACGCCAGCCTGAACGCTCTCTTTCCAACGGCATCTGATGGAAGCGACGGTGTGGGCGAGCCCGAGTCGCTTGGCCCCGTCCCATTCATGGATACCCCCGACTTTTTGAATCTCGAGTTCGAGGACATGTCCTGAGCGATCTCGCCAGCCGGCTCAAGACGGCGGCTGACACGATGTCTCGTCCCCACAAGTTGATGAAGCACCTCGACATCAAGCCGAGACTCGCGCAACAGCCGATTGAGTGTGCACATGGTCCCCAGTCGGGCTGTCCGTGAGGCCCGTGTGCTGGATCGGCCATGATCGGCCCGGTCAAAGTATTCCCATAGCCCACCTCCCGCAACCCGCCGCTTGTTGGGTCCTGCACGCCTCCATTTACCCCCCCCCACGATCATGAGACGGTCTGCTGTATATATGTATCACCAAATAACAGACGCTTTTTTAGGCCAAGGACCATTTTCTGGATCAGGAATGCATGTTCATCTGGTGCCTCCGGAGCGTTATCCGCCTTGTGGAAACGGTGTGGTGCAGGGCTATCCGCAACGGTGCCTCTCAAGGGCAGCTGTCCACAAAGGGAGCCATCTTGATTATCGTGTGCTGGAGTGCTGCCATATCCACCACCAGTATCCTCTCTCAGGGAGGCTCACCGATTGACTTTTGCCATTGCTGCCCGACAATGTCTGTGTCCTGGGACATGGATCACGCGCATTCTCATTCTCCTGCTGCATTGATCGCATCGGCCAATCTTCCCGCCTTTGTGCATGCGCTGAGAGCCACTCGACCTTGAGCACCGGCCCACGCCCCAGCACCGTCTTATCGTGCGGATCTGCCGACGAGCTCGCTCCCTCCATCATCGCAACAGCGTGTGCGGCATCACCTCGATATGTCTGTCCTCTCCCACATCCGAGGGTAAGGAATATGGCACATTTCAGTGCGGCTTGAGCAGTGCGTTACTTCATGCTGCCGCAGTGTGCCCTTAACGACCTTTGCTCCAAACATGCGCCTCCTCTCCAGAGTTATTCGCAGCCTGGGAATCAGTACCTCGCAGCTCTACATTGCCGCCGGCGTCGTGAGCGCCGTAACGATCCTCGGCGTTGGCATTGGTGTCGGAACCCGGGCCGGCACGCATCAGAGCACGACAACTTTGGCTGCACTTTCGTCATGCCCTGATTTTGTGTCGCTCCCGCCCCTACCGATCTATGTCGAAGGTCTACTTTCACGACCCGCCAGCGCAGGCAACGACACTTCCGTGCCGTTTGTGCTCCAGGCCAACTCGTCAATCCTCACGATCAACAACACCCTCGATCTGCTCTCCGTGGCCATGTACCAGAACAACAACTCTGCCGTCTGGGCTGTGGGCATACCTCTCCCGGCGTGCGAGTTCTTCGTGCCGAATGTGACCCAGTTTGGGTACATTTCCGAGCGCCAGCCGCCGCTCAACACGACCTTCCTCGCCTTTGACGCCTACGACCACCTGAACCAGCCGCGAGCCCCCCGAAACGATCTCATAGGCAATTTGCAGGGGCAAGTGACCTTTGTGCAGTCGCATTCGATGAAGCCCAATAACAATAGCAACTATCCCTCAATCACAGCTCTGAGGATGGCTCTGCTATTAGTTGCACCGCAAATCGCCACGGTGCGGATGAAGGTGCAAGTGTCTGTCAATGGTGCCGTTGTCCAGACCCTGGATATGGCGCATCCAAACTTGCTGCCGCCCTCGGACTACTCCGATTTCATGGGGCGCCCCGATGTCGCCTTCAGCCTTACATCATGGAGTATTGAGCTGGAGTGGAAATACGTTGTCCCGGGGCTGTCGCTGTCGTTCGCCGATGACCACGGCCGCACCGGTGCGCTCCCAAGCCAGAACATTGATATCGTTCCCCCTGCCGAGGTTGTGATTCACTCGACTCGCATCGGCATGCTTACCGATCCACCCATCACCAGCGATCACTACATGTACGAACAACCCGAGTTGGCTGGAGCAGACTACTTCAACATGATCCCAGGCCTCTCCAAGCTGACACTGTGCAAAGCCGATGCCATTCGACTGAGCGCTGTGATTCTCGCCGACGGCGTCATATACAACAATACCGCCAGCGCCGACAACGGCACGGTCTACAACGGCGATCTCTGGCAGGACGTTGCCTTCTGTCAGTTCCACACAGGACTTCGCAACGCCAACCTCGGGCTTCCCAGCACAAGCATGTGCTCCAACCCGAACGTATACAACTTCCGGGTCATCCTCCACTCGGTTGGAAATTACTCCAACGGCATAGTCGCCCACGGCTTGCTTGGCGGGGCCGGAATGGCGAGTTTGCTTGCATCGTACGGAAACGAAGCCAGCCACGAGCTTGGGCACAGCTGGGGGCTCGGTCACTATCCCGGCGCCAACTTCACCCCGCCGATCACGAACGACAAGGTTCGAAACGCCGTGCACCACGCCGACAGCGGCTGGGGCTACATTCCCTATCGCCGGAGGTTCCTGGCAAACTTGGACTGGAAGACGGCCTTCAACAACGGCACAGTCATGGTGAATTCGGCGCCCTTTACCGAGCCGTATCTCGGGTACTATACCCACGGGCTGGATTCGCAGTCCGGCGGCTATCCGCTCGGTGACTATGGCAGATACACTCTTCACACCGGATATAGCGGCTCGACAATCCAGAGCATGCTGACCAACTATGGCTCGGTTCGGACCACTCAAGGCAAGCAGGGACAGGCCGCCTGGATCCAGGTGTCTCGGCCCATTCCCGACACCAACTTCGCGAGCGGCTACAAAACCTTCTACAATGGGACCTATGTCGACACCCGATCGCTTGACATGTCCTTCAGCTATCCAATCCCGACCAAGACCGGCGTCTCGATCTTCACCATCTTGGGGGGCTACAACCCAACAAACGCCTCACAGAATCTGCTCTATCCGCCGCTCCGGAGCAACTATGGCTTGGTCTTCCGCTTACCCTCCCCCAACATGTCGGACACAGCCACATTTCAATGCTGGCTCAACGTCTCCTTCGCCGACGGGTCGGCCATGTACACCCTGCTGGACAGCTCCAGCGGCATGAAGCAGATCCAGTACAACATCGAAGAAGCTACGGCGCCTCAGGCGGCCAGTCTTGGGTGCGGCTGGGGTGCTCTCAATGTGACAATACTGGCGAGGACCGTTTTCCCCCAGAGTCTGCCGCCGATGCCGCCGCCAGCTGTCTTTGGTCAAGATGCCGGCTTTGCCGCACTGAGGCAGGCGGAGATTGCCAAACTCGACAGTGCGCTTGGGACATTAACGTATCCGCCGATTGTCACGGACTTGTCCCTGGTCGAGGCACTCAAGAGCTGGCGGGCCAATCTCACTGGCCTGTCGGCATCGAGCCGGTTGATGGCGTCCGTAGTGCTTGGGTACCTTGATGCCTCCGCCGCGATAAGCTATGCGCTCGCAACGACACCCGGCGCAAGCACCAATCCAAGCATCGTAAAATCACAGGTACTGCAGGCCCTCAGCAAGGCCAATCTCACGGACCCTGGCGGCGGTCTGAGTCCGGTGGCCGGGCCGATTGTGGTTCGAAGTCTGTGTGCCGACTACAACGACACGACGCAAGGGATCAACATCAACCCGTGCAATGGCTCTCGTAGCCAACAGTGGTTCATGGATCTTCAAGGCCGAGTCCATAGTCTGGCGCGAGCAGACCGCTGCGTTGCGGCCAACGCCTGGGCCCCGATGGTGATGGCAACGTGCTCGGCCAGCGACAACACACAGGGATGGAGGCAGACCAACACCAGCCACATCATCAGGATCTCTGACACGCGCTACAACTGGGACTACTACGTCTCGGCAGGCGTCCTGGGATCCTACAGCGCCACGACCGGAACCAATCAGATCTGGAGTAATCTGTCGGTCTGGGCCAGCCCGATCTTTGGAATTCTTATCCCGGCCTCCGTCCGTGCTGTGGTGGACATTGTCGCAGCATCGAGCCCAAACGGTCCATGATCGGAGGCATATTCAGCTTGGAGAAGCATGCCCGATGACAAATACAGCGATAACGTCAAATCGCACGGCCGAGCCATGGGCGCTGACATTGCCGTGGGAGCATGTGTCGTTGGGCAGGGCAGGCAGCTTCGCCAACAAGAGCCCGACTGGCTTGCGCGAGCAGTGCGGCATGTAGCCCCGTGGGAGGCGAGCCAACCAGCAGCCAGATATCAACACAAAGCTGGCTCGGCATCCCTGCTGCATTTGTCTGCCGCTGTTGGCCCGCTGTTGGCCCGCAAGCAGCCACCACGGCCCGGATTTGCGTGGCGGTGATTCGTCGAACAGCGAGCGGCGTCCAGATCGCGGGCCACGCGCGATCCGAAACCGCGGCCCCGCACCAGCCAATCAGCACTGCAGAAACGGCGCCGTCCTGCTGCAAACAATTGCTGCGCGGGTTGCGGCTGCGATTGGCTGCTGGCGCAATTCCGCCTGTTCTGTGGCTGGCGGATTCTCCGGCGCCTGATTGGCTGGCGCGTTCGGTGTCTCGTCCTCGTGCGACAGGCCCGGCGACCTTCCCGGTTGCTATATCAGCAGCGTCCTCCCGAGGGTATCAGCCTACCATCCAAGTTGAACTCCAGCCCCGCAGCCCAGAGCAGGATATCTCCAGCCTCGATCTCCACGAATCTCCCCTCCTATCGCAACAACCAGCCAACACCATGTCCGGTAGGTACAAGTCCCATCCGCTGCGATCAGCACCTATCCACGCCTGTGCTCGCACTAACCGCAATCGGGTTTCGTCCGACAGGCAACTGGGCTCCTCTGACTCCCGATATGCTCGGCTCGAACAACGTGTCGAACATCAACTTTGATCAACTCAACCTCCAATGCATGAGCTGTGCCCCTGGCGCCCTCGACGACAACTTCAACCTCCCTCTGCACATCGGCGGCATCTTTATCATCTTTACCATCAGCTGCATCGGCCTCTACTCGACTACCTTCCTTGGCTTCCGCACCGTCTCGCCTGCTAGAGACGACGAGACTTCCAGCAGCACCCTGAAGGAGACCAGCGGCTCCGTTGGTTTCCTGCTGCACTATATCAAGCTCTTTGGCATCGGTGTCATCGCCTCGACGGCGTGGCTCCACGTCCTGACCAGCGCCTTTGGCAACTTTACCAGCCCGTGCTTGGTCGGCTTCTGGAACCTCTATGGCGGTAGCAACTGGGTTGGTCTGTTCGGCCTTGTCGCCACCCTCCTCGTGAACGCCCTCGAGTACATCCTCACGCAGAAGGCCACCCGCCAGTCACTCGAAAAGTCCAAGTCCCTCGACAGCCACGTTGAGCTTGCCGGTCACTTCCACGGCTTCCCCGGCAACAAGAGCATCACCACCCTCCTGATTGAAGCCAGCATCTCGTTCCACTCGATCATCATCGGCCTCGCCCTTGGCGTCGCCACGGACGAGTTCAACTCTCTCCTCGTCGCCATCTGCTTCCACCAGTTCTTCGAGGGCATGGCTCTGGGCTCGCTCATCCGCGATCTGCCTTACACGCCCTTGAAGAAGTTTGTCATTGGCCTGGTGTACCCCGTGACGACCCCCATCGGCATGGCCATCGGCATCGGACTCCGCTCCGCTCTTCAGAACAATAGCCAGGTCAGCATTGTTGTTCAGGGTATCTTTGACTCCCTGGCCTCGGGTGTGCTCATCTACAACGTCTATGCCGAGCTCTTCAGCAACGAGATCAACCACAACCACAACTTCCGGGGACTTTCGCGCGCCCAGCAAGTTATCTCATTCTGCGTGCTTTACATTGGCGCCGCTGCCATGGCCATTGTTGCCGTGTGGGCCTAAGCACACACAGCCCGCTCTATCCTTTCTTGCGTTTGTATATCGCCTTGCGGATCCACTGTTCATCTGATTGCTCACCGCGCTCTGACCACTTCCATTTTCCTCACTACTGCCGTGCTTCATTGTCTTCATCCTGAGCATTCCTTGTATCCATCTCTCGATCCGCTGAGTTCCACGGGCCACATCTCTCTCTTGGCAAGGGCAACCTGAAAATACATACTTCCATTTGATATCGCTCATCCGTCCGCTCTCCATGTTGGAACTGCAATATGCACGGCCAGCGGCAGGGCACATCCACTCCCATATGCGAGCATGATTGCAGAGCCACGCCACAGTCGATATGGCGAATGCAACTCCAAAGGCGATACATTTTTTTGTGGGTTTTGCTTTCTTTGACCAGCGAGGTGGGTTGCCAAAGCAGGAAGAAGAGTGATCTTTGGGATCGAAAGAGCCCATGGCGCTACTACGTCGTCATCTGATCGGCGCAGGCCAGCCATTGATTGGAGGGATAAGAGTGCCGGTGCAGACGGCGTCAAAAGTGGGGATATACATATAAACATGGTAATCAACTTTGGCAGAGTGCTATACGATGAACCTAAAAGGGGAGAAAAGGCAGCTTGGTACCCAGAAGTTCAGCTGTTGAGTCGAGGGACTCGTGCGGCTAGGGGATATTGTTGCGAAAAGTGGGGGAGGGGGAGGGGCAGCTTCAGCTTGGTTCGAGTTCGTTCAGCGATGACCAAGCAGGACCGAAAGAGAAGAAGAAAACAGGAAGTGCTCACGACTCGGGGATGTAACCTGTGACATCTCGGAAGGGAGGGGAGGGAGCAGTGGTCAAGATCAGCTCGCTGAACGGGACAGCGCGATTCGATCATTCCGACACTGACAAGTAGCCAGAGGCGACGCTCTGACAAGCAGCCAGAGGCGCCGCTTTGATTGCCACAGACATAACGAACGGTGACAGCTGCGTGCATCAATAATCGTACCTGTGGCTACTCTTCAAGCGCGATAGTGTACTCAGCCTCTTTGCCGTCGGAATGGTCCCAAATTCCAAGTCGAGCCAGCCAATCAAGACACGGCCGGAGCTCATCCAGGCCGATACCAGTTATGGACCGCAGATGGTCCTCTGGAGACAGAGATGGCACGATAGAACAGAGAGCACCGATGTTACGACGAGCACGGGCATTAAATTGGCTTCACCGGCATAGCTCACTCGATGTGTGGGTGACGGCGCCCTGGCCCAACGCTTGCAGGGCGTTCCTCAGCGCAGGCTTGTCATCTCTGGTATTCAGAACCGACCAGGCGCGGATTCTTTTGGGCCTGGAATCATAAAGGCGTCGTGCAGACACATACCGCTCAGGCTGTCTTTCTCGGACATATAGAGCACAGAGGCCGCCAGGATCGATTTTTCAAAGTCCATGGAGCGAGTTTGGGTCACAATCCCATCCAACTTGGAAACAATGTAGCCAAGCTTTTGCTCGCAGTATCGCCTCTTGAGGATGCATGGTGCTTCAAAGCCGATCTGAGGAATCAACTTGATGCCTCGAGGATTTCGCGGGCCAGGTAATCGGTCCTCGAAGATCTTTGGTGGTGCAAGTGCTTGATGCATGAAATCGCGGCAGTGGAAGTTGTCTGGAAACAAAAGGGCGGCGATCTGAAGGTAGAACGAGACCCACTCCAGCGGGGTTGGGGACTTGATATCGAAATCGAAAGCCTGTTGTAAAGAGATCAACACAAGTCCAATTTATATGTAGCTCTGTTGGAGGGGAGCCGAGGCACCCCAGCAACAACGATGTACCCAGCGAGAAGCGCGGCCGTCAGCGGTTACCATGAGTATCTCCAGCTCGTACTGCTCAAACAGAGCGATGGCGGCGGTTCGTCTTTCTTCATAGAGACCGTCGCTGGGATCGCCAAGGACAAACTCAAGCATATCTTCAGCCTGGGGAATCATGTTCTCCTGCCATATGGTGAGTGAGTGAGTGAGTGAGTGAGTGAGTGAGTGAGTGAGTGAGTAGGTGGTTTGTTGCATTTTGCTCTCACCTGTATTTTACATGCCAAAAACAAAGCCGCAGCACCCATGATCTGGAACTGATCAGACCGAAATCCGCTTGCCACCGTCCTCATCACTTGATCGAGCAGCAAAACTGCCAGGTAGTATGTGAGCGGGTGGAAGCTGTATTCGCCAGAGACCTGTGTTTGGATATCCAAAGCCGCTCAGTTAGTGGCTGCATCAGGCAGCATGTACTTGCCAAACCAAATCACACAAGCTGCAGTTCAGATATACCCATTATGTGGGGGCTGGTGTCTTAGGAACTCAAGTGACGGACGAGGGGCCATGCCAAAGAATAGTGCACTCTACTTTACCTCCTTTATCCATAAGATCAACATCTCTCGCATGCCCTCGTCGATTTCCGGATGGCGCGAGATCCAGCTGCCACACTGCTCCTGCTTGGATTTCATGTTTGCCCAGGCGCCTTGCATGAGCAGAACAAGTTCCTCCTGCCAAAGATAACGCATCACGGTTAACGACAGGCAAGCACGTCGATTAACAAAACGCAATGGCAATCTGCAGAGCGGCAACCATAGTTCACAAGACGATCATACGTTGTAACTGTCGCCACGAGGAAGGTCCGGAAACCGTGCTGGTGCTGGTGCTGGTGCTGGCAGTGCCGCAGAAGCGAGTACTTTGGGGTGATCGTCATTTGTGTCTTCGTCGTCAGGTTCAAGGGCCGGCGGCTCGCATTCAGATAGAGGAGAGGACTCGTCCAACTCACACGAATACGCGCGCAGGGGTGAATTGCTTGCGGCCTCCGAGAACGCGAGGGGACTGGCATGGGCAATGGGTGGCGACAGCGGGGAGGCGCTGCCGTATGACCTGGGAATATTGCACGTCGGGCGAAGGGAGCGGATCTTACGCTCCTCACAAGGAGCCAAAGGAGGTGTTTCCATTCCTAAGGGGGGGCTGGTTGTCCGCCTCGCAAACATGGTTTCGAACACTTGGCAGGGTGAATGGTGGCGGATCGGCAGTGTGTCGTGGAACATTGGCATAGCCCGTTAGGAAGATATGGCACCGCCTGAGCAAGCACGGTTACAGGACGATCTGGTTCGTCCATCACAGACCAAGGACAACCAGAGCCCCACCGTCGAACAATATACTCCCGTCAGACTTACTATGTGGCGACATTAGTAATCCAAAATCATCTCGTTTGTGTTTTTTGTTGGGGTAGTGCGGTTGGTCGTCGGCTTCGGATGAGGGTGCTTGCCGCTTCAGCTCGTTTACTTGGCGCGGACGCAGCTGCCCAAGACCGAAACGGTGAAGTCGTGTTGAGAGAGGAGAGCGAACACCGGCGATCTTGCCTTGCGCTCCCATCGCAGTGAAGCCACAGACAACTACCTCTCGAAACGCCGACGACAGATCAGCGCTTTGCCCAGCATGGACAGACGATCCAGCGGACTTGACTTCCCGCTGGCCGGACTCCCGGGACTTTGCCTTGACGCCAGCCCCACTGCGCGGAACATTCTCCTTGTTTTGCGGGTCGATCGAGGACATGGGTGTGAGGATTTGGGTTGCAGCTACCTTTCTGCAGATGGGAGCGGCGGGGAAGGAGCGTGTTGAGCGGATCCAGTTGCGAATGGTGATGGGTGAGCCAAATAGCCAGGGCAGAACGAGTTGGCTGATACTGGTCCCATCGTCAATGGCAGCACCCGACACCCGACACCCGACACCCGACGCTCACATATCAACAGCAGGTTTGCGGGCACGCATCCTTCGGCGCTTGCCCGTTTGGCAGGCCCCTCCGGAACGCGTGATATCTGTGCGCTTGAAACAAGCGCACTTTATCCCCGGGCCGTCCAAACAAGGCGATCACCCACCGAACAATCAACGTTTGACTCTCCGGCATGATCGTGGTTCTGGAGAAAGAGCGGGCCCCGGCCGGGCAACGGATGAGCCGACGATGCAGACGCCCGCGTGCCCAACAAGCATGCTGATGGGGGCTCTCCAGGACCACAGCGATCGAAGATCAAGCCCAGACGAGAGGAGGGGGCCGCAGCCTCAGCGCACTCCCACCAAGACACGCCCGAGAAAGCGATGCTGCGTACCTTTTCTGCCTAAAAAAGTGTTAGTCAATCGTCCACTCGTGCGGAAGAGGCCCGGTGGATCTGGACTCTTCTCCACGCCGAACTGCGATGCTCGATGGTCCGCTAGCAACGATCGCAGAGACTTGGGAAAGATGGGACCAGGCCCAAAACAGAGCTGTGGCGACAATAAGCAGAAGCTGATATTCGCCCGATCACCGCCGAGGCCGGAGAGAAGAGCAGCGGATGCAAGTGTCAGCCGGATTCCGCTTGCAAGATCCCTCCCGAGACGATCGGCTGGGATGATCACAGCAGGCGGCGAGATGTGTGCACGGACGAGGCGCTACGTTACCACCGGCGAGGAACAGCGACGACTCGACCCGACGATCAGGCTCGCTGCTTGGGAGGAAAGGATCGGGATGGAGAAACAAATGTCTGGGCGAGGGCAGCTGTTGCCGAACAAAGCGCCCGCTCAAACGCCAGAGCCCCTGCAGGTGTCCGTCGCCTGTGCAAACAGCTGCAGTGACCCGGCATCGATGGGTCGCTGTGGCTGCTCGTGCAACAGACCGACCCTGGCCAGGAGTGACCGGGGCAGAGCGATCAAGCCATAACGGGAAGTGATTGCCCATGGCCGACAGGCGGCTGGCCAGGACGGGGTCACCGGCGCCTGGGTCGGGCAGAACCGGTGCCTGGGCACTGCCACAGAGCCTGTGGCGCTGACGCGGACCAGCAAGCGCCGCCCTCCGCCTCCGCCCTCCGCCCTCCGCCCGACCGACACCCCGCGGTTCCGCCGACGGGACCCATGGCCGACTGGCCGATAGGAGAGAGGACGGACGGGGCCGTGCGTCGATGGCATATTGCATGGTCGTGAGGCACATCGCTGAGCCAGCCAGGAAGATCGTCCGTGGAGATCTGCCTGAGAGATCGGGCTCCGTTCCTTCCCTGGATGAGGTGTATTTGCTATGAAGTCTGGATCCGATCAGATCAGGGAAACGGCGAGCCAAGAGCCAAGAGCCAAGAACCAAAAGCCAAGAGCCAAGTGGCATAGCTCAGTCCTTCTTGGTCAGCTTCCATCTGGAGCGCCAGCCGTTGTCGTTAAAGTAGAGCTTCCGGTCAACATCCCACTTGGTTGCGAGGCTTTGATAGAACGGCTCAAAGTGGCTCTGGATGTACTGGCGCGCAGCGACGGCATCTGGCAGCTCCAGCTGGACCCAGGCCAGGCCGCAGAAGAAGGCCTCGATGCAGTCTTTGACCTCGCAGCCGTCGTGGAGGGCGACAGCCACCCCAGACGGAGTCCGGGCGGCCATGTACTTTTTTCCCTCCCAGGCTGCAGCAAGCTCCGCAAGCAGCTTGGCGTCGCTTGACTCTGCGAAAGCAACGCGCAGAATCATCAGTATCTGAGTGCCCGCACGCGGAGAGCCGCCTGGCTGACGCACATGAAATCGACTCGCTTGACGAGCACAGCGCCAGGCTACCGACCCGCCATTTTCCGAGCCGGCAGCCAAACTCCCGCTAAAATAGTCAGCAAATCTCAAAGCAGCTCCGCCGGATTACCATTGGGCGCCTGCAGACGGGCCTGGGTCGCCAGATGCTCGAGCGAGATGCCCATCTCGACAGGAATCGACGGCAGGGTCAAGATCGACTCGAGAGGGGCGACCTGGCTGGGAGTCATCATCTCCGCGCCCTTGCTGGAGAGATAGCTCTTGATGACAATCTGCATCCTGTCCGCTGTGAGGTTTGAGAAAACAACGCTACGCACACCGCTAGAGAGAGGGAGAAAAGTGCAAACAAGGCATTGGCAGGTGAGAACTGCATGCGACGAAGGCGCGACTGAGTTCGATAGCGACTCAATTTTGCAAGCTCGCTGGCACAGACGAGACCCACATGTAGTTGAAGACCAGGTGGAGCACGCTAAAGAAGATCTAGAGAGAGTTGAACGGCGAGCAGTTAACTTCGTGCACGCCATGAATCTCCAACCAGTGCCGAAGGCGGCTGCTCGGCATCACAGCGGCTATCCAGCATCATGATGCATATGGGACGGCCCGTACAAACAGCCCCCAAATCCAGGCCGCATCTTCGTGTGCCATGCGGATGATCAGCGTTCCAAAGATCATGGCAATCAGGTTGATCAGTGTCGACTGGCTGTAGACCAAGCAAAACAGCAGTCGTGAGCTGGTATGCTGCACACCCACTTTCAATCCGCCACCATGTATCCCGGACGCTCTCGTAGCTCAGCCGTGCATGAGGTCATCGCGCGCAAACCTCTGCTCCTTGGCATGGATGTCGCCAAGGTTTTCCTCCAGGGCAAAATGCTGATAGATCGAGGACTTTGTGGATCCGGCCGTCACGCCACAAATAGCACGGAGGACCGAGGCACAGCAGGCCGTGAAGACAAAGTACTTGCGCGGCAGGTTGGGGGCAAGAATGTCCAGGAAGATGGCGGCATCGAAGAAGACGTCGGCAGAGTACCTGATGATCCGCACATGCAATTGGTTGGATTGCTATCTATCAAGGGTGGAGGCGCACATACGCGACAGCCGATGAAGCACGACCGGTCCAGCAGCAGACCGAGACGGAAACTGGCATCGCTTGCCGCACGGCTCGTCCTGCTTACCTCCACACTTTGATATGCTCATCCATGTGGCTGCCGAATCCGTAAGTAAACAGAATCTGGCCCAGCATACCACTCCCGTCCTGGAGCACGGTCGTGATCGTGGCGGCGGCGGCAGTTGCGGTAGCATCCCTGGCCATGTACGAATAGCGGCGTAAGCGGCAACAGACGTGCGAGAGGAAGTACGCTACGGCGAGAATCGCCCAGATATCGCAAAGCAATCTGCAGTCACTTACCCAACTCCAAAGGTCTTGAAGGTCGACTGCGAGACGGAATGGATTATGAGCGCAAGCTGCACATCCTCAAGCTGAAGAGCGCGACGATCCGGTCCGAGGAGTTCGGACGGCCCTCAAGGCCTCGGTGGTTGGATAGACTTTGATGAGTCGAGCGAGTTGGACGTCGGAATCGCTCACCTGTGTGCCCAGGAGGCCTGCACAGGGGTTGGACAAGTTCAGAGTGAGAATGGAAATCGAGCCCGTCCCGCTTTCTGCCCATATGACGCCGCATCGGTCGTGCCCGCATCTGTCGTATTCGCATCGGCCGTGCCCGCCACCTACCAGTAATCTTTGAACAAAAGTTCTGAAGAATGTTGCATATCTGATATGAATTGCATTCGTTAGCGGCAGGATGCATTCGTCAGATGGCCAAGACAGCTCCAACTGGATGTGACCAGGAGCAAAGGGCGATGGGATGAAGCACCTGATATGGGGCGTAGTCTGTTGGTGGGAAATGATCGAGCGACGGAGGCGTTAGGAATTCACCGATGCATATGCAGTCCTGCACCCAGCAGCAATGCTTGACGGCCATGTACCTTCCGAAACCGAGCGGGGATAGTTTGCTGGAAGAAAAGTGACGGCGGAGAACCGCCAAAGCGACTTTTGGAGGCTGGCCAGTGGCGATGAGGTCGTGCCGGCGTTGACGACCCAGACGCCGGATTCGGCCAGGACATGGCGGTTGTCGCCGTGGTGGGACTCCATATCCGCAGGATCAATGGGGACGACGGACGAACCTGGAGCAGGACCACGGCCGGGGTTTGGCTGGTCTGGGAGGGCGGGCTTGGCGCTCGCCTGTCGCCAGGGAGATGGCGCAGCCATGCACGGCAGACGCGTCCCGCCAATCATGTCCAGCCGGGCGTGGTTCAAACGCAACGCGACAAAGGCAGCATCCAGACAGCAGAGAGCAGCACCCAGACAGCAGACGGCCGTCGAGTTGCAATTGAACTACAATCCTGGATTGCAGTTGTTTGCGGGGCAGCCGCGTAGATGGCGGCGAGGAGCCTCGACCGTGGTCCGCCTTGGACGAGTATAGCGTCGGCCGGCCGCCAGATCCGACTTATGAGCCAGGGCGGTGAAGACAGCAGGCAGACATGCTTTCGGGATGCATGAAGCAGCCCGTGTTTCTCTCCAGAGGCTGCATTTTGCAGGCGGGCGAAGCTGTGTCGATCCAAACGGCACTCTCGTCTCGCTCTCGTCTCGCTCTCGGCACGCTCTCGGCACGCTCTCGGCACGCTCTCGCCTCGCTCCAATATTGCCTTTTTGGGCCCGGCCCTCCCGGCTTTGGCTTCCCAGCACCGATCTTGGTCTCGCCCAGCGCATTCTTGGCCGCCCTGCCAACCTCGAGAACCGCCATCACCACCCCGCTCCACACCGCCGAACCGAAGCCAACCCCAGCCGCACCAATGGGCCACCCGCTCAAGACAAAGAACCTCGAGTCTCCTCGGAGGCTCTCCAGTTTCCGAAAGGAGTCGCTGACCCCGCGCGCCAGCAAGCGCACTGCTGCCCCGCCGGTGCCGTCGTCCCTGAAGGAAAACCCACTCTCCTGGACTGATCTGGAGCCTCTCAATGGTCTCGACGATGACCTCGCCTCTGGCTTCGCTGAAGGTGGATGTTTTCTCCATCTCCACCACCAGTCGTGTCCGTGTCGCCAGCAGTTGCATCATGCTGACATGCTCCCCATTTCCTGTCAATCTCGACAGACTCGTCGCTGCTTACTCCCAAAGCCTCTGCGCATCGGGCAACGGCCCATCCGGAGCCAGGCTCTGCTGGTCGCGATCAACAAGAGCCCTCTCGTGCTGAACATGCCGTGGCACTGAAGGTCGAGCAGGCCTTCGTGACCGCCGAGATCACTCAATGGAATGTCGGAGGCGGACACGAGACAGCGTATTTCGAATATGATGGTGTCAGGTAGGTGTCTTATATCGGAGGGACACCGCACCGTGGCAGCCACGTTGTGGATCGCAGAAGAAACATTCTCGTCGCATGGCTGACCGATAAACCGGTTGTATTCGCTCGGCAACGACTCGGTCGCGCGCCAGCTCCACCGAAGTTGCGGTATCAAGTAGCGGTGCGGATTCGGCAGAGTCGGCCGGTACTCTTTCGGCTGCAGAACCATCAGACTCGGCCGGCAGCCCCTCGACCGAGTCCGACGCACTGGCCAATTCAAACTCCAATGCAAACTGGGAGCGAGAGGCGCCGACAAGCGCTGTTGTGGATGTCGATCAGGCGGATTCGCACCCCGGCAGCCTGGACAGCGCAAAGACGCCCGCAGATGAGGTATACGAAATCAGGCGATCTTCGGGCTCGTGGTCCGTCGAAAACAAGTCGGCGACCTTCCAGCTGTCCCAGAAGCCCCGACGCAACACTACATTTAGTGCTGCGGGTAGCAAGGCGCAAGATGCTCGAAAGAAAGTCAAGACAGGCGGTGTTCAGGTACGCTGTGGGCCGTTGACTTTGGACCGCGATGCATTCAAGCCGCAACCTGCTAACATTGCAATCGATGCCAATCGATGCGCCATCCTGCAGAAAAAGTCCCTCAAGAAGCGGCCGACGGACCTGACTATTCCCAAACCCTTTTCCTTTGCCACCAATCTCGAGAAATTCGGCAACAACGTGAGCACAGCAACGGCGCATTCGCCATACAAGTCTCTCGCTGCTCGCATCAAGGAATACGAAGCAAAGACGCCCGAGCGTTTCCGGGTCAAGCCCACTGCAGCGCCAAAGTTCAAACAGGTGGGTCTTGGCGTCTACAGCTCCTGAGAGCCGCTCTACTCCGCATGACAGCCGCTCTTGCATCCTTTGCGTAATGCTGTAACGGCCCTTTGACTGACTCGAGGCTATCTTCAGCTGGCCATGACTATTCCACAGTCTCCATTCCTGCGAACTAAAGTGCGAAACAAGCCTGTTACGTAAGTATCCGTGGCACCGGTGTCACTGACCCTCGTATTTCCGCGCCCAGAGGAACTCGGCTGATGATCCTGACGGCATACAGGGTCTTTACGTCCGAACAACTTGAACTTGCCGAGCTGGAGAAGCATCAGCCATTCAAAGCCCGTCCCGCGGATCCCAAGGTAGACGCGATGCGGTAATGCGAGGCAGAGGGGGAGCCACGACCGATACTTGCCGCGGCATGCCTAACGCACCGACATGATAGGTCCTCAAGGGAGGTCCTCAGGGCGTGCCAAAGGCCCCGCGGTTCGAGATCACAGTACCACAGTCCCCGGCCATCACCAAACCCAAGCCTCTTCCGGATGCTCCACCATCGCCTCCTCGCATCATCAAAGCCAACCCGATTCGCCACTTTCCGAATGTCGAGGTCAAGCACGAGTCTCGCAAGATCGTCCCTTCCGACTTTGAACTGCCTGGGGAGAAAATCAGCGAGCGCAAGGTGATGCAGTTCTTGCGAGAGGCGCGAAAGAAGATGCAGGATCTTGAAAAGTCGCGCAATTTCAAGGCTCAGCCCTTGCGCATCGTCTCCCCAAAGGTGGGTCTGCTATCTAGGCTCGGGCGCCACACAGCAGACGAACTGTTGCAGCCGCAGCATGTCGCCAACCCAACTGGGCCGCCGCGGCCTCGCCTTCGCTTGCTCACCACTCCGTTGTCCTGCCGTACCCAGGGCTTTTGCCCACCCGCAGTTCCAAAGATCACCGAGCCTGAGCCGTTTCAATTGGAGACAGACCTGCGGCACGATATCCACTCCAAACGGCTGGAGGAAAAGACCAGGAGACAGATCGAAGATGAGGAACGACAGCGACAGTTCCAGGCCCAGCCACTTCCGGATGGCGATGCGTTCATCCCCAAGAGATCAAACAAGCCCCTGACCATCAGCGAAAACGTCACGCTGCACAGCGAGATTCGCGCCGTCGATCGGCATGTATTTGACGAGCAGATCGAGGCCAAGATACGCGAAGACGAGCTGGCGAAGGAGCTCAAGAAGCTCCAAGAGGAGGTGAGTCGATGCGCTGTCGAAGGTGGGGGGGGGGCGAGCAGTCCATCGGGCGCGAGGGAAGCAGCGGTCTGCTCCCGGCCTCTCCAACTAGAGCAGCATATCCGCCCATGGCGGTCCCCACAGCTGGCGGGGCTCAGTGGTCGGGTTGCTTTAGTGCATCGTGGGTTCTTGCGAATGGTCTTTGCTCATTCCTGCTCTGTCCGCGGTATGGATGCTGTCGGCCCACCGCCATTGCTGTTGACACGGACAAAATCTTCCTCTAGGCCAAGATTGCCGAGGAGGTGAAGCAAGCGCGCCGAAAGATGGTGCATGTTGCCCAACCCATCCACCACTACTCCAGCATCGCCATCCAGCCCTCGTCCAGGAAACTGACCGAGCCCCAGTCGCCCATGATTGGCGAGAAGCGAAAGCTCAAGCAGCAGCTTGGCAAAAGCTCGCTCCGACGAGCATCGTGAGGCAATGTGTGTTGCCAGGATGCCCCTAGGACATCCCAGGCGGTGCGTGGCTGGCCATCCCGGTGCGCTCTCGTTTGTATATGCTTTCTAATAGATCCCATGCAAGCCACCACCACCACAGAGAGACATCGGACCGAGCAGTGTCTGTATTCTCAGGACTTCTGGGTCGAATGAGCGACCGCCCAGGTCACGGCCGACCTGGCTGGAGAGACCCGCAGATCGCCGGATCGGATGGAGTGGTACGAGTCCACTGGCGATGTGACCTGTGTGAAATCGGATTGGAGGGGGACAATCTCATTCACCCAGCTCGGGCAGCCATCAACGTCCGGATAAAGCCTAGTCGGTGAATCCCGGAAAGCCACCCCTCACTGGAGCCTGCGTGGCGTCAGTAGCATCTTGATCAAAATTCCAGTACGCCAGCTCCGAAAGCAGCCAGACGAGACCCGCACGGCCTTCCATCAGACCACCATGCGTGCTTGTCTCAGATGGGTGCTCCAGCGCCGCCGAGGCGAACTTGGTGGCGCGATACCAAAACCTGATATCGTTGGTGATGCGCAGAAGAGTCAAGAACAGCATGGCGTTGCCGGAGATGCCGTGGCAGAGACTCACGCCCTTCCGCAGGAGGCCGCGGTGCCAGACGACGTCCGAGGCGCCTTTAGCCTCGGCCAGATACGAGTCGTCCATGAGCAACTCGTAGGCCTTGGCAAAGCAGAGGCCGACACCTGACGAACATGGATTGGTCGCTGTGAGTTGGTGGCCATGGCGGCTATCGCATGTGCAACAGGCAGTCGGCAAATCCTCGACAGGGTGGGTTGAACAGCATGCCTAATTCGAAAGCTGCTGGATCACTCTTGAACCCGAACTCACAACACCAAGCACCTTCCCGCCCGACCCAACCCGACCTCACGGGTCCGGGCCGCCGCTCGTTCGTACCTGCAGCGCCATGGCAGAATTGCACCAACTCGACCGACTCGGCCAGCTGAGGCGAATTGTGGAGCGTCTCGTCGACACGAACGGTATAATTGCCGTTGGTGACCTTGCGGGACTTGAGGAACTCGAGGGCGCCCAGCAGACACGATTCGTTCTCGTCGCTGCTGGCCAGATCGGGGCAGTCCATGAGAACCGCCAAGACGCCGGCAAGGCCGTGGGCCGCGCCAATGTACCGCTCGAGATACCACGAAAACACCAGCGGGCTACCGCAGGTCGACATGTAACTGACTGCGTTACGGTCCGCGGGCTTGGTGAACTTGCGCTGGCTTCCCTTCTGGCCGTCTTGTATGATCTGGTCAAAGATGGCCTCGATCAAATCGTCGGTGATGTGGGTCGATGCTCGCTCTCTCAGGAATCGACGCACAAGTAGCAAGGCGTGCAAGTATCTGCTCGAACGTATTAGAGGGGCGGGGCGACGTGTGAGTCTATTGGCCACCTCGGTGAGTCTGTCCAAGCATCTTTATCACCTCCGGGTCACTCCCGGGTCACTCCCGGGTCTCGAGGCTGCGCAAGCAAAAATACAGCCCTGCAAACGTGCGAGTCCTTCGGTGGCTCAGGTAGCTGCTGAGCCTTGGAACGTACCCGGGACGTCCGTAGAAGAGCTCTTGCGGCGCCGTGGGTTTCAAACAGCGATCCTGGAGCCCGACAAGCCTGTCGAGAAAGACCTTGGTTGTGGACTCGTCGCCGAGGGTATGATACACTGGTGCGCCGACAAAAGAAGATCTGCATCAGCTCATTGCTTTGATCGTATCAGCTTCGGATAGCAGCCGTCGCGCTCCGGCATGCTCCTTACCGATGCTCGCAATCGCCCAGACACTGACTTCCCCTTGGATGATGCCGCACTCAAGGCGGTTGACGCCAAGCCGCTTCATTTCCTCGACATACAGCTCGCAGCCTCGCACGGCCGATTCAGCAAAGTGGCGGGACCAGTCGAGGACGCTCTTGTGCCGCACCTGGATGCCCGAATCCAAATAGTGGAGATGGAGAAACAGATATGCGATTCCAATCGACCCTGTGGTTCCGAGCGCAGACAAGCGCAGGGATAAATGGCCAGCAGGAGTCAAGGAGACAGAAAGTCCGGTTTAGCCAACGTTCGACAGACACGGACAGCGCAAGCAGATCTGTTCTCGAAGACCCAAATCCGATGTTGGCGCAGATATCGGGCGCATCGGCCATCGGATCATCGGTGAAGTTGCCGAAATCGCCGAGGCGCCGAGACTCACCATGGTAAAAGTCGTAGGAGCGGTGGTCTGGTGCGCTGGCATTGGCTTGGTCTACCAGTGCTGCGAGCTCTGCTGAAAGTAGTGAGCGCCAGTGCAGCTTCTGGCTCTCGAGCGCCGCGGGGCCAGCATCGGCCAGGTGCTTGACGTCCTGTTCCTCGTTGGCGACCCACTTGTTCTCAAGGTGCCGAATCGGCGCGGTTTCTTCGGGGGCGCTGGAAATCTCGTCCGGAATGCCGGCGGTCTCTTCGGGGGCCCCGTCCTCGGCTGATTCTCCGTCCATGGGGTCGTCTTCCGGGGTCTCCTCGTTGTCCTCGGGGTCGGCGTCGTTGGAGAATTCTGGATCGGCACTGTCGTGATGCTTCTCCATTGCGGTGGCGGCGGCGGGTAGGCTGCGGGAAAGGCTTGTGCTGGATGAGTTGGCTGGACTCGGCGGGCTGGGCGGGCTCGGCTGGGTGAACAGATGCCGCTGGAGATTGCCGAGCGATATGAAAATTTTTTTGAATGTCCCGCAGAACGCGATCGCAGCGGAAACGGATCGGAGCCAGACATCGTGGTCATGTGAGCGGCCACGGCTGCGCCACAGCATCTCCAACCTGCCACACCTCAGACCGGATACTTCCCAGCGACACTCCGGTGACTGCAATTGCGTCCGGTTTTATTCTGAACATGCTGTGCACGGATGGGTCTCATGAGCAAGCCCGCACTCCACTCAAGGGCCGGAGCTTGCCCAACTTTGCCGGCCGTGGCTGACGATCGCGCTGGTACCGATACGATCGCACCCCTCAAACATCCGTGCTTCGGCGCTACTCTTGCTTTCCTGGACCGTCGCTTTCCCCCGCCCAGATCCGGATAGTGTGGTCGTCCGAGGCAGATGCAAACACTCGCAGGCCTGGGTTCCATGCCACATGGTTGACGCAGCCTATGCATGACCAGCCATCACAAGCATCATTGGTTACGTGGGGCTCGTATCTGGCTGAAGCCATCCATGTCGCCACGCAGGTCTGACAAGCGGCAGCCACGAGCACGCCTCACCTTCATGGCCCTCCAGTAACTCGATCAGGCTCGCACTCTCGCGTCGCCATATGTAGATGGCACCATCTGAACCACAGGATAGCGTCGTCAGTAACCGCGCAAACATCGCTCCGTCCCGACCAAGTCCATGGTGATGCTCCATGCTCCGCTCTGGCTGTACTTGGCTCAACGATTGACCAAGCTTCGCTCATGCAGACGCGAACCTTCGCTTCCACTCAGAACAAAGTTCTGCTCCTTTCCGCCGAAACAAGATCGGATCAGGAATCGCCCTTGTTTCTGCCCAACGTATTTGCGGAGAAACTTGCGCTCACGGATATCCCACAGATGGATTTCCTGGTGTGCAGAGGAGGCGGATACGCAAGAGAAAGATTCAGCGATACGAGGACACAGGATCCCGGCATCGACACAGCGCACAGGTGCCCCTGTTGGATGCGCATGGATTTTGAGCGCATCGCATCGGCGTTATCGAGTGGTGATCGATGATCAAGCTCGAGCACCAAGGGCGACACTCGTTTAGATCGCCGTTCGCTCCGTACCTGGATGGACGTATTGAACAGCAGATATCGACCGTCACTTGAGACGCATATGCTGGTGGTCTCGTCAAATCCTGTAAAGACCCTGGTTGTTCAAAGCGACCCGGGAGTCAACTGATGGCCGGTGCTGTTCGTTGGACACACAACCCAATCCAGGTACATTGTGCCACGACATCGTCCGGCTGGTAGATTTCCAGCAGTCTCGCAGCAGCGGCAAGTCGAAATACGAACCCGATCTCGGATTTGTCGCCGGCAAGGTCATAGAATTTGATATCGCGGCCCATGACGGCGATAAGAAGCGAGCCGTCCGCGGGAATGGCGAGGTCTTGGATGCGGGCGGTGCTCGACCACCTGAACAGCTGCTCGCCATTGACGTTCCAGAGATAGATGGTTTTATCGAGCCCACCGGTGACGAAGCGCTTGCTGTCCAGTAACCAGGCGCATGAGGTTACCGGCTCGGTATGGCGCGAGAAGGTGCGCTCGGCAACGCCAATCTTGAGCAGGCACACAGGTTTGACAGGGTCGATGTGCAGTCATGACCACGATCGATGATAAGCAGAGTGAGCCCAGCGGTGATGACGGCGTGTACATCAGTCTAACGAAGAAATATCGGCAGGTGTATCGGGTGTCAAACAGCCCAAAATGCCTGCTGCAGCATTGGTCGGACATGCGCACCAGCCCCTCCCCTGCAAGTGAACCACACCTTGGCATTCCATAGCTTGAATATCTGGTCGTGAGGGAGTGCCAAGATGAAGGTACTGTCCGGGCTCCACGCCAGGAAGGCAACAGGGTCCTTTGTGGTGGGAAGCATGTGATACACCGACCAATCCTGCAGGTGATCAAGCCGTGACGGGAACATGTCAGGGGCATGCCAGGAGTAGTACCGGGAGCGTGCCAGGAGCAAGTCAAGTGCGATAGAAGAAGGTCGAGCACAGATCAAGAAAATAGCACAACATTGTCGGTAGAACGCAAGAGCATCATGAAGGCGCTTCAGACAACGGCTGATTTCCGGCAAGCTTCGCTGATCATCATCTGCCAACACATCGACGGTGAAGCGATGGCAGATAGAGCAGTGCACCCACATTACCTCGCAGCTCCAGATGATGACCTTGTTGTCCTTGGATGCCGATGCCAGATAGTTTCCGTCCGGTGAGAAGGCCACAAACCAAACTTCGTCCGTATGTTCATCCAGCACCGCATTGGTGGTGCATGGGAACTGGGATCGGGTGCATTGGTGATTCTCGAACAGCGACAGATCCATGTCTGCGCAATCGTGATAGACACAAGCATTGGTTTGGTAGAGTAAAGATTGCTCCAGCAGGGTCTCGAGACGATTTGCCGGAATCACAAGCTGAGAAGAAATATGGCCTGATTGAAAGTACCAGTTGACGGCGCCAGTGTGAGTTTGGCCAGTGTGGGTTACGGTGGTGGACGACCATCGACAACAGCCACTAGTTGCCTCGGAGACGCTGCGGCGACACTGCAGCGACTGACAGCGACGCTACCTTCAACTTCCTTGAGAAGCTCCTGGCGCATTTCTGATGGCGATGTTTGTGACTGTGGGGGTTTGCCTATAACCACATATCTGCAGGCGCCACACAGATTCGATTGTCCGATCAGTCGCCGAAGAGCTGCTTATGTGTTCAATGGTTGCGAGCGCTGCGTATTGCTGGGTAGGCACATGGCTTAGATCACACTACCTTGTGAGGCGATGAAGCTCCTCCTGGTCGATATCCAACGGCGTGATTTCCGTTCGAAGAATATGCAGGGCCCCAGGCACTTGCTGCTTCGCCAGGAGCTCCATAAACTTTTGCTTTCGAATCAGGTACCTGATTATCTGCATTTCAGGCATATAAATGATATCAGCATTACAACAAGCAATCCAGCTCGAAAGTGTAGCGGTGCGTGCGCTTGCAAATGTGCTGAGTCCACAAGGACAAGGGTAAGGCATCCCATATACCTTTTCTTCACCCGGTCGCAGTCTCATCTGGCCCAGGGTTGACTCGGCAGAGTCCCAACTGCCGGCTAGCAAGCTGGCTCGAAAGCCCCCGATGGATGCCGACTCGAGCGTAAAGCCTGATTCTTCCTCCAGTGTTTGGGCAGATTTCCTGCTCGCCTCGAAGCACCAGTACGACGGGAGCAGCAGCAGATCAGAAACAGCGAATGACTTGGCCATGGAGGATAGGGCCTGCATTGAACGGCCCATAGGGCATCAGCGGGAAGTCACAAGCACATATAGGGCCGTTACCCATATCCCAGCTCGTAGAGAGACTGGACAATGACCCGAACAATCTCTTCCTCGCGAAACTTGGACTTGCGACGAACAGGCTGCAGGTGGTGTCCGGAAGCCGAGGAAGGGGAGGAGCGGGACGGCTCGGGCGAGCGCGACTGCGATGCTGGTGGCGACCGAGAGTTGCTGGGGCCGGGCTGGGCCGATTTGGGCGAGCGGGTGCCTGCCGTCATGGAGGCGAGAGGATCTGGGAAGAGATGATGGGCGGGATCCACCAGAGGCGGCTCTGCAAAGGACGACCAGGGCCTGGGACGCTTGCTGTCGGAGTTGGCCGGGCCGGACGACGGGGAGGAAGGATCCGGGGAGCGAGGGCGTTTGCCGCCGGCTGGACGATTGGGCTGATTGTGGCCGGCCAGCCTGGATGGGGGCGGAATGGGCAGATTCAAGAGAGTGCAGTGCGAGCCAGGTGGTCCTGAGCTGCTGGGAGCCCAAGAGTTCGACGGGGAGCAAGGGCTTGGGGCGGCGAAGAGCAGACCGAGATGAAGAGCAAGGGCATGGAACCGAGCGGCAGAGCCCGCCTGGCTCGAAAGAGGAGAGGCCGCAGCAGGAGGACCAGCATGGCCAGCGAAGCGATGCCGGGGGCTGCTTGCCGACGGACGAAGCGACTCGGCGAGGGTGTGAATGACGATCAGGTTGCAGGGATGCAGGACATCGGAAGCACTGGGAGCATCGAGAGCATTGGGAGCATCGGGAGCATCCACAAGGCCCAACCGCAGAATGCATCGCCAGTCGCTCGTGCGGCACACTCCGGCAGTCGTCGTCAAACAAAGATGTATATTGCGAACCAAAAAACCACTGCATGTGCACTGTCCGCTGCCAAGAGCATCGGCTTGGCTTAATCAAGTGCATTGAACCAGGCCGCACGGACTACATTCTCGCCAGCATCGACCTGGAAGTACAGGTAATCGTGGCGGCCCCGCCAGTAGTAGATCAGATACATGGCTTCGGAGGTCTGAGGAGCGCCGGCGGTGGGGACGACGGGACCGGGAAGAAGAGGCACAGCGTTCTGGAAGACATCGGGAGAGGTCGAGACCTCGTCGGGCTTGCCCATGGCCTCGAAGATGCTTGCGGCCGGAGTGCCGGGCTGTCCCAAGACGGCGAGAAGGGCATTCATGGTCTGCTCGCGAAAGCGACGAAGAGAGCAAACCAAGGCCGTAAAGCAGTTAGTCGAAGGAAGGCATGAGGATATCGCTGCGGCACTGTGTGAATGCATCGTCACATCATTGCATCATTGCATCATTGCATCGTGGCCTCGCTGCATCAAGCAATCCAGCGTCGACGGAGCAGGGAATGCGGTGCGTGCAGGAGCAGTCGCTTGCTCGCAAACGCAGAGGTGCTTGCCTGGCGTTTCTTGCCATTGGGCCCATCGACATCGGGAATAAAGTCGTCTCCGCCCTCAAAGTGGCCCTTGACGCTGCGGAGGGTCGAAAACTCGGCGCTGAGGGCCGACAGGTTGGCGGGGGCGGGGGAGCTGAGTGGCTGGGACATGGATGCTGCTGCGAGGCCGATCAGGACGATCGAGAGCAACACCGCAAAGAGGACAGCGCTGCGTTTTATGCCCCGTTTCCGGACGGGCGGGGCAGCATCATCGCCCGACACGGGTTGGTATGCGGGGCCTTGCTTGTTCATGCCGAGGGCTTGGCGTGGCGACTGCGGTGCGGATCAACGGACTGCTCTCGCCGGAGACGCAGATAAGTTAGAGATAATATGTATATTGATTCGGAGACGGTCTGGAATGGCTTTGATGGAATGCGGCCCGGGGGAAGAGCGCCGGGCGGGTCGTCGATAGGATGGGGGCAACATAAGAGCGCGGGACGACCGAAGCGAGCCGGGCTGCTTTCTGGGCTGTTCTTTGCATTTGCATTTGCATTTGCATTTCCATTTCCATTTGCATTTGCATTTCCATTTGCATTTTCATTTGCACACCATCAACGGCAATCGGCATTTCTCGCCAAATCGACCCATCGGCACCAGCGAAACAGCGCCGCCATCGACACCCCCGAGCGATGCACATCCGCAACAGATATGCGAATAACATGCCGAACTTTGCCGAGGTCGCCGCCGAGCATCCGCCGCTATCGCAATAGTGAGCATCGCCTGCGGGCTCGTCCTTTCGGCATCGTCCCAGCCGGCAAAGTCAAAAACAAAGCCCAAGTCGTACCCGGGCTGCGCTGTTTCCACTGACCCTTCACCGCTGATGAATTCCATCGCCAGCCTCAAGAAAACACGGGCAGGGCATGTCTCGATCGACTTCAAGAACCCCCGGGCCCTGCGGTAGGCCCGATCGACATTCGCTCTCGCAATACCAGCAATACCAGCAAGGCCAGTCGAGCACTCACCTCTCGCTCTGTGTTCCGCCAATGTCTTTTGCTCACCCCCAGAGAGCTGACATATGGCTTGTTGTGGAAGGACTTTGGCATCCGGCTCGAGATTCCCTTGGACTCGCTGTGTCCACCGGTAGATATCAATGCTCTTCAGCAGTGGACCGCTTCCTCCCTGGCCGGCTCCACAGACCCTATCCAGTGGCATGGGCCAGCCGCTGCACGGGCGCCGGGGTATCGGCCTTGAGGATTTCATGCTCTCGGCACTTTATAAACTAAACGGCCTCTCAGATTCCCAACAGGTATCGTTGTGTTTGTCCCCCGAATGGAGCCAGGATCAAGCACAATGCGCTCGATCCCCCATGTTGGATCTCCAGTCGTCGACTCGCACGTATCTAATCACGGCTTCGTGATCGTGGATACTATTCTTTGGGCGATGAGGCTGGACTATCTGCTCTCTCTGCAAGATATGCTGCTCCTGCTTCCTCGCAAAGAGAGCTTACCGGTCCACGGCATCGACATGTGAGTTCAGTGATACTCGGCTGCCCCAAGGCCATCCACTCGGGATCGCAACAACATCAAGTCGAGCAACAGCATCGCCGGGGTGGCCCGCAGCGGCTCGACGAGCCCGGCTGATCCGCCACTTTACTCCGAGCCAGAGGCACAGGTGCCTCTTGTATCTATCCACTCCTCGGCTGCTGCATCGCAGAATATTGGCATTTTACTGCACTTGGTAAGGCTGCGGTGACCTGCGCAATTCAGCGATCCGATCCAGAGCACCGATGTCCAGACAACACCTTGCTCCTCACCCAGGGCTGTCACTGCTCGCCCATGGATCTGCCGGGTGTATCTGAGCCCGAACTCACTGCAAGTCATCCACCGGCCTACCTCCACCAGAAATCGACGACCGGTCCATCGAGTATGCTCGGGAGAATGTTGAGCGCAACAATCTCCAGGATCGCATCTGCATTCTTAAAAACAGTGGGTCCGAGCTGCTTCCACCCAACCTTCTCACGAGAGACAGGTATGCCGCATTCGCAATTGGCAGGCCCGTCATAATACCACAGTACACTCAGCCGGTGGGCCAAGTACTTACGCACCGGATTGCCCCGCTGTCGACAACGAACGTGGACAAGTTACGATTTTTGCATGTGCAACCCACCGTTCTATGAAGATGCCGTCGCCGTGGCAAAGGGAGTCGAGGCGAAAGCGTTGCTGCCGCGAGCTGTAAGCACCACCGCTCATAGCACACGGCTACTGTACGGCCGACTCTGCACGGCAACAGCTGCAGCTGCAACTCCAGCTACAGCGACAGGCACTAACATTATCCGTCGTCTTGTCGGATCAGGTGTGCACTGGCTCTCGGAATGAAATGATCACAGACGGCGGCGAGTACGCCTTCGTTGCTAGACTCTTTGAAGAGAGTTGCAAGCTGCGTGGGCGTATCAGGTAGAGTGGACATCTATCATCACCACAATGCAGCTGGTCCCACGGATGGACGATGCCAACGACCTCTACTTCACCCAGCATGTACTCCAGTCTCATTGGGCGCAAGAAAGACGGCACCGCACTGCTGAAGCTGCTGGAGGCATCCAAGGTGAGTCGGATGGATATAGCGCCGCCCATCGATGGAAGCGATCGTATTTGCACGAACGCATACACTGCACGTACTCGGTGGCTATCGACCACAATGCTCATCCGGGTGGGGGCTGGCAGGACGTCTCGTTTGTTCGGCTAGTTGCCTTTCGTCAGGGTACGACGAGAAGATGGATCCTGTTTTGGAGCTTTGTCGTTCCCAACGGTCAGCCGTCTCAGCTCGATGCAGATCCTCAGAGCCAGCTCGCTGCGCCAGATACAGCCAGCTCCGATGCAGTGCCTTCAAGCTGAACAGCGGCGACATGGACTGTTGCATGTGCCATGCAGTGCAATCGGGCACAGCACCGACTCCACGTTTGCCGGACGGCTTGCGGACATCGACTTGCTTCAGAATACATTGCAAGGATTTGACCAGCCCGCTGGTGGGTTCCTTGCGATTTGCCATCGATACCGCCGGCCCCATCAGTACACTTTATTCAGAAAAAAAAAAAAAACGGGACAATATAGCCGTTTCCATGAACATGTAGTATGTGCTGTGCTTGCGTCAAGCAAAGCCACAAGAAATACATCAAATCACTTTGGCAGCCTCCGAGTGAAAACCTCACGTCGCTCTCCGGTCTCCACAATCGACCTGCACTGCTCAAAGTACCGAGCAAACCGCTGCCTCCTCGGGCTGGATGCATAGCCCTTAGTACATGCGATGCAGCACACCAGAGTGGTTGATGGCAAATGCAGCCGAGACAGACTTGTGCTTCATGTGATTGCGCTGGCGAAGCGGAGCACCCTTCGGTGAGTATCCGTAGAGAGGGAAAATGGATCTCCTGATCCCTGTCTCATCGACAAAAACGAATCGTCGTGGGTCAATGGAGCGGGCCTGGTCCCTGAACTGTGCCACTCGCTCATCCAGTCGCTTGGACTTGTGGAGGTGTGTTGCCCTCTTGTGTGAGAGACCTGCTCGGTGCCATCGATGGATGGTGCTCTTGGATACACTGAATATGGAGGCGACCTTACGCAGGCTATGGATGAGGGCGTAGCATCGCAATGCGGCGGTGCGAAAGTCGGATGTGTGGCGAATGGTCATGGCCAGCGCGCGATGGTTTTGGGTAACAAAATATTCGATGAACGGTCAAAAACCCGGGTGTCCCGTTTTATTGGATTGCCTGTAACTCGGGCAGCGAACACGAAGCCGCCAGTCCCACCGCCGACCAGGGCACCCCCGCCAAAAGCAGCAAGCGCGCCACACCGCCACTCCAAAATCGTGCTCTTCCCTCATCTCCCCTCGTTCGCCAAGGACTGCCCCGCCCGCTCCCCGACAGAACAACCCGTCAATATGCCCATCACGGATATGTTTGGATCTATGGGTGCCGAGCAGGAGGACCCCGTGAGTATAGCACCGCCTATCGAGAGCTAGCCTGTTTGTCGCAGAGGGTTGAACGGCTTGGCTGTAGCCTCCTCTCCCCTCCCCTTGCGGCAACAGACCTCGCTGCAACAGCAATATACATCCATTCGGAAGGCCCTTCGCTGGCCCGCACGTCCACAGCAGTTCACACTCATGGCCCCTCTGTCTACGGTTTCAGATCTGCGGCCAGTTCAGCCTCACCTACACACAGCGCATGTGGGGCTTTGGTGAGTTCCGCATCCTGCTTCTCCGTCGTGGCGACACCATCACGATCGCCAAAGCAACACCGACTGCAGACTAACAGGCTTTGGTTTTGTGAATCCTGCAGGCATCTGTTTCGGCGGTGGCTTCATCCTGAGTTTCTTTGTGAGTCGCCCTGTATCTGTGACGGTTTTCTGAAGCTCTCCGAGGCTTTACAATGGCGGGTCCACGAGAACACCAGCCGCCTGAGAGTGTTCGAGTTCATCTCGCTCCGGCTTGGACAAGCAGCTCAAACACACCGACTAATCCGATCAATCCATGGGAATGTGTGCATCGCGATCTGAATCGATAGGCATCCTTCCTGCTCTGGACTGGCGGATTCACCGCCTTTGCTGTTCTGTACACGCTCGGCAATATCATTTCCCTGGTCGGAACGGGCTTCCTGGTCGGCTTTGCTCGCCAGTTCAAGGTATGGGCGATTGGGTTTGTCGTGTGGGCTGATCGACCAACCCGCCTCCGGTCGCCGAGTGGCCTCCAAGCGCCGTCAAGTGGTTCGCTAATACCGCTGCATCTGTGACCTCTCTGGCTGACTTGCTCCAACCCCGTTCTTGGCCGAACGCAGCAAATGTTTGATCCCGTTCGCCTGACGACATCTATCGTCTTCATCGCCACCATGGTCTTCACCTTGGTCGCTGCTCTGGTGGTGCGTATAGCCGGCTTGGACTCGTTGCTGGAGAATGGTGCATTGGTGCGTTGGGACATTGGTGGGCGTAACTAACCCCGTGAATCTCTTGACGGTATCCCCAGTTGCATAGCTTCATCCTGACCCTGGTTTCGTTCATCGTCCAATTCCTGGCGCTCTTCTGGTACTGCGCAAGGTAATAGCGGTGGTAGCAAGTGCATTGTGCAGTCGCAGGCCCGTTTTGTGCAGCCGGAGAGTACTGGGCTGACTCTACTGTGGAGCACCCAACGCCGAAGATCACCTAACTGACTTGAATCGCGGCTGCTCTCCAGCTACATTCCCTTCCTCCGAGATATCATCAAGCGTACGCTGGGCGCTCAGTTCACCTCCTCGGCCTGATCCAGCAGCAGCCGCTGGGCAGAGCGGGGCAAGGCTGCGTCCTTCGCCAGGGATTCCTCGCGCGCTGGCGACTTGTGGTTGGCCTCTCAAGGCTGCGCGAGCCTTTCTGTTCTTTGGTCCAAACATTGAATCGACAAGCGATTATGCCCTTGCGTTGCCGGACCATATTTGCATCCGTCTGGGCGGTGAGGAGGGATGTCTGGGCGGTCAACAGTTTCCCGAAACGAAGCCAGACCGGTTCACGAAAAGAAATCATTGGATAATCCGTCACACGAACACTGCCATCGCTATCCATGCCAGGACGACGCGAATGCTGCTCAACACGAGTATCAACTGGGACCAGACAGCAACGAGGCTGTCCTGAGACCAGCCCTGCAGAGGGGGGCCTTTTATTCGTCGCCGTAAACCTTCCAGGACTTGAGCCAGCGGCGAGAAGCGTAGTTGCTCGCATCGTCGTTGAAGCCAAAGGCGAACGGGGCAAAGTGCCAGAAGGCCAGGACAATAGCAACGCCAGCACCGAGGATAATGGCGCGGTGGAGCGTCGAGCCGAGCTTCTGACCAAGATGGTCCAGCATAAGCGCCAGCATGATCATGGCAAAGTAAACTGCCGGGAAGTAGTGGTGGAGACTGGGATACGAGTTGTGCAAGAGAGCGGGCGAATGTCAGCATTGGAGCCATGGCAAGTGGGCGCTTGGAATCCTGCACCACTGTGTCTCGCATGCACGAGTTAGGAGGTGCCACTGCATCCCCCGCGATCGAACAAACACTTACTACATGACTCTGCCCATGATATAGAAGGGCAGATAGTGCAGGAACCAGCCAAAGAAGGCAACCTTGGATGCAAAGTAAAAGTTGTCCCAGTCCTCTGTTGGCCAGCAGGGATTCGGATCGGGTGAGCAGCAGCCCCATGTGCATTGCGCATGCGTCCACACCGTCCATCTCCGGCTTCAAGCACCCAAACGACATGCTTTGCCCGGTCTCTCCGAAAACCAGCAAAGTCCAGGAGCACATTCAATGCCTCGCGATTGATGGCGGAAGCAGAGGAATCTGTCGTATGTCGATACTCTTGCAGGCACAACACCTACCAAAGGTCTTCCAGTCTTCAAACTTTCTCTGGTAGCGGATCAGATAGACAGCGACCAGTCCGCCAAACACAGCCAAGCTGACGGTCGATCCCCACCAAATGAGGGGGTGGCCGAGAAGGTAGAACTTGATGTCGTTGGGGCCCCAGCCACACATTCTCAGACCCACCAGTCCAAACGGCCACTGATAAGGATGCGAGACAAGGTTGTCGTCCTCGTTGTCGGGATCGGGGGTCAGGGCGTTGTTGGAGGTCCACATGGCGACGTTCAGGTCAATAAAGTCCTTGAAGAAGCGCGACTTGTAGGCGCCCTTTTGTCCAGCGGGCACTAGAGGAGACCAGACGATGTGGGTTGGATCAATAAGGGTCGAGCGGGCGATGCTGATGACGAGCACAGCCATGCGCCCAGCAAGGTCTGCAGGAGCACGGAGTAGACGTACGTTTATCGTTGACATGCTTCTCAATGTTCCAAATGTTGGCGCTGCTCTTGAGATCATTTTTCTTGGCACATACCACCTCGGCCTGCTTGAAACCCCAATCGGGCAGAGTCACGCCGCTGGAGCGCAACAAGCAGCCCGTGTTGACATGGCGGAGGCGGAAGCGGGTGGTCAGGGAATGGATTTGCTTCAATCCGCGAATGGCGACATCCTGAAACAAGCAATGTTCGACAGAGGCACGGGGTGATTGCACATGCGTGTGCGTGTACGTGTGCGTGTACGTGTGCGTGAGAGAGAGAGAGAGACAAATTGTACACAATCAGCGCTGCTCAAGAACTCGGTCGCGGGTGCAGATGCTCTCGGTCGGGCAACTCACATCCACGATTTCGACCTTCCAGTGGTCATTGGCATCGCCGACAGTGCTATTGCCGTAGCAGCTGACTTCGTTATCGGTGGTAGTGACCGGGGCCTTCTCGATGTGGCTGTGGAGGTTGCGCTTGGTCATGTCGTGCACTAGCGATTTAGTCGTCGATTCGGTGGGGTGATGGTGTTAGTGAAATGAAACACAGCATAGACCCGGCATCGAGTTACTAGCGCTGGCAAATCAGCAGACTCGAGTCAACAGTCATAGCCCTTACCGAGACGAACAATGTCGCCATCCTTGATCGGGACAATGGTGTCGGGATCAACCTGGGGGGCGCCCCAAGCGTAGTCAATGATCCAGTTGTTGTTGTCGTCTTTGTGGTGGTAGCAAGTGACCTGCTGCTGCTCCGAGCCAGTGGGGAACTTTTGGACGTGCGAATGCAGCAAGCCACCGCCGTGGGCGTTGTTCTTCAGGGTGACTTTGGAGCCATAAACAACCTCTGCGGGCATGGAAGAGCGGTGCGTCAGCAGCGAGTACATGTTGAGTGCCACTGGCAGCGGTTGGGCACACAAGTTCCGAGCGAGCGCCGTGCTGGGAGCTGAAAACACACCGATGGGGTTGAGGTGGAAATCGGTGCCCTCAAGGCCAGCTTGGAACAGAGAGCTCATCTGGGCATCTCCGTCACCGCTGTGGTTCAGGATCGTAAAGTGAAGCCAGAACGAGAATATGTAGATCGAGATCGGGACGACGATGAGGAAGACGATGCGCGCAGCCCAGTGCTTGGCGTACTTTGTGAGGGGCAGCTTGCGGTCCCCCCACATATCCCAAAGATCGTCGACAGTGTGCTGGTAACGGGAAACGATGTGCGCGGCGAAATAGACCCACGTGTGTCAGCTGTGATGCAGTCGCCAGGCCAATCGAGAGTGCTGCTGCCATATCGGCGCCACTCAGCCGGGTCTACGGCCTCATCATGCAATGGTGATGCACATACCAGGCCAATCAGGGCGATCGCGAAAAGGCCAACCCATTTGACGCTGAAACAAAAAGAATGCACATCAATCCAGTGTGTTTGGGGAGAACGGACGACAAGGCGCTGAATGAGTTGATGGCAAGAAGACATGCAGTTGGCTCCGCCGCCTTGATGCTCGATGGCGATAGCGGCACCGTGCCTGGACGCAGTAGCGGGCCCTCCGGTTGGATCGCATGTCGATGGGCCAGGCACAAGGGCTGCAGCACCGCCTACCTGACAACACAGCCGAGGGAGAAGCCTGTGGCAAAGAGCCAAAAGTACCACTTTGCAGAAAACGGGCTAGTATAGCCGAGCCAGATACGGAAATCGTGGTTAGCGTCACATACAGCCTCATCATGCCACCGGGTATGTTCCGATGCTTACGAGAACTTCTGGTAGTTTCGGAAGGTAACCAGGCAGTAGGCGCTGAGGCAGGTGAAGAACAGCAGCATCGAGTCGAGGAGGATGAAACGGGTAATGGCGATATACGAGGTGTCTGTTGTCAAATATCAGCAGGCACGGGCAAGGGTCAGTGGCTCTATTTGGGCAAAATCACCTATTGGTTGCTGTGTCTGCGGCCAGATGCATACCAAGCAGGACCATTGTGCCCAAGAGGATGGCTGCGGGCTTGGAGAGTCGCAGCTGGATGCCGGTGTAGTACGCCGCCGGAACCATCAAGGCACCAAAGACGGCGGCAAAGATTCGCATGGTGGTGTAGTTCATGCCCTCGGGATAGTGGCCTCCAGATTCAAAGGCAAAGCTTCCGTTGTATCGGGCGAGGATGCCCGAGAACCCGAGAAGGATCTTGCCGAGGGGCGGGTGCACATCAAAGTAAAACTCTCGTTTCAAGTAAAACGATGCAAACTTTCTGTAATCGAGAGTACGATCGTTGCCGCGTTAGGTGGGGAATCGCAGCACGATCGAGTCGGGCCCCAGTTCTGCTGATCGCCGCAACTAACCCAAAATGAGCTTCATCCCTGCCAAAAGTGGATCAAGTGGCAGGATGTTAGGAGACTGCCTGTGGACCGGATGCAATGGAATGGTCCAGCCATCATCGCACGATCACTCGGGAGCTCATCTGCTTGACCGGTGTGACAAACGGGCCAAGAGACAGGTCGGGTCGGAAACTCGCCCACGCAACACAGCCGAGCCGAGCCGAGCCGAGCAGCTCGATGCACCCACCAAACGACAAAGTTGGCCCAGCCGATGTTGTAGATACGGGTGAAAAAGGCGAGGACGGTCAAGATAACACCAACAGTGTGGTCCAGCGTCGTGGCCAAGGCATCTGGGTCCTAGAAGCCGACACAGACAGCGGGTTAGTTCACCGCACAAGCAGCGGCCATGTCGACGGAAGCGGCGCCCAGCGCCGTCGATCGAGGACTGCGACGGCAAGGCTGGCCGTACAGCTCCGTGCCAGCGAAAATAACGCTGGTGCCAGATTGTATACATAGAGAGAGACAGAGAGAAGGAGAGAGACATCGACACCTGTCCAGAGTCGTGCACTCACTTGGGCAGCAGTCCTGACGGCCTTTGCGGACTTGGATTTGCCCGAGACATCATCGAAGGATGCATCGGAGACGATGGTCGGATCCAAGGATTTGGACGGGATCTCGTGCCGCTTTCTCAAACCGTCCGCTGTGCTGATGGCGGACATGGCGAAGCAACGACCGGTGGTGCACGGAGGGAGGGGGAGGGGAGATGAGGATGCGACGGGTGGGCAGACGCAAGAGGCGGCAGCAGGCAGCGGGAGCACCGAGAAAAGAGAATCCTTTGGCAAGAGGCGAGATGGCGAGCACAAGCCAGGCGGAATCTCGCACGTCACATTGCCCATATTTGGAAGGCAGCCAATCGCAGGGCGGCCGCGTATCTGGATCGAGGGCGGCTCGATCCGGGATGCATCCGGCCGGCACGCGGCAAGGGTCCGCTGGTTCGATCCGTAGCGTGACCTGTGCCGACCAGGGTCGGCCTCTGCCAGGCGCAATGGCCGGCTGGGGCTGCCTTCGGGGTCGATCGGCATCCGCTTGCTTGATCTCGCCGTCTCAGTCTCGCCAGCGACACAACACCTGCCTTTCTGCCATGAGCTACGATCGTGCTCTCACTGTCTTCTCGCCGGACGGCCATCTGTTCCAAGTCGAATATGTGCGTATGCGTCTCTGCGGTGCTGCATTACCGAGAATGCGCGAGTGAGCCCCGAAGCGGCTGCCGCAGCTCTCCCACCAGGAACCGGCTCCATGCGACATGAAATGCAAGTGGCCGTCCTACTTGTGCGTGGCCGCTCTATTGCTAACCACCGCCCGGCTCTCTGCTGCAGGCTCTGGAGGCCGTGAGGAAGGGCATCTGCGCGGTAGGTGTTCGTGCCATCGGAGGCCGTTCGGCATGCATCTGATCGGCCACTCGGCCGATGGCCACCTGAATCGGGCACAAGCACAAGCATGAGTAGCGCAATACTAGCAGTGGATCATTTGCCCGCAAGCCGTGTGGAAATCGCTGATGACTGATTCTGGCTCGGTCGCAGGTCGGTGTCCGTGGCAAGGATGTCGTCGTTCTCGGAGTCGAAAAGAAAACCGTCCTGAAGCTCCAGGACTCCCGGACTGTCAAGAAGATTGCCATGCTGGACGACCACATCTGCGTAGCATTTGCAGGTAGGTCATCGGGGGCCGCACCGCCAACCGATAGGATGCCACATTTGAACCCAGCGCCAGCTGTAGCATGGCATTCAAGCGGCTTGGCTCTGCATGCTTGTGCGCATGTACCGCTGCTGGATCCGCCTCCCTCCCACACCGGCTTAGGGGCTGCGCAATCATTCACGACCGGTTGCGAAACGGAAGCTGTCTGTCGATATCCATACTAACGTCGAGTGTGGTTGACGCCTAGGTCTTATGGCCGATGCCCGAGTGTTAATAAACAAGGCAAGAATCGAGTGCCAGTCTCACCGTCTGACCGTCGAAGATCCCGTTTCGGTTGAATACATCACGCGATATATTGCCGGCGTTCAGCAGGTTTGTGGCTGCAACATTCGCAGGGCACCATGGCACGATCGGCACATCGAGCCGATCCATGAGAGTGATGACTTCATAACTACCCAAGTGCTATTGCTGACCATCGCCCCTCACGGCCCCCACGGCTTGCACAGAAATACACCCAGAGCGGCGGTGTCCGTCCGTTCGGTATCTCGATGCTCATCATTGGATTCGATCAAGACAAAGTGCCCAAGCTCTACCAAACCGATCCCTCGGGCATTTACTCGGCATGGAAGGTACGACGAGTTACTGGCGAGATTGCTGGCCGAGTCTGTGGCGACGGTTGTGTCGATGCAGCAGCGCCCAGCCAATCATGCCGATAACAGGGCAGCCGATACCGGTGCTAGGCTTTGCAAACAGAGTGCTACCAAAGTGCCTTACTGACGCTGTTGTCCACAGGCCAACGCAATTGGACGAAGCTCCAAGACAGTCCGCGAGTTTTTGGAGAAGAACTACAAGGAGGATATGACCCGCGACGAGACCATCAAGCTCACAATCAAGTCGTTACTCGAGGTAAACGGCGCAGATGCCATAGTGTCGGATGGGCCGTTCCGCTGAACCGAGCCGTGGTCCCGCAATCCGACAGCGCGGCGGCTCATTGTATGGTGAGAGTCGGCGCCTCTCGGGCCTATTTGGCGATAAGTACTGACCCTGGCGACGAATGCCACCTTGCGATAGGTTGTCCAAACTGGCGCCAAAAACATCGAGATCGCCGTCATGGGCGCTGACTCGGTCTTGAGGGTGAGTTGCTTCTCTGCGGTCACATCCGTGTCTGAGCCATGATGCAACAGCAGCGCACCGAGATGACCTGTGTGTTTCCTGACTGACATGGCCCCACGCTTCCTCACATTCGTCCATCACTGTTGCTCGACAATTTGCAGCACCTGGAGACTGACGAGGTCGAGGCCATCACCGCTATCATCGAGCAGGAGAACGCTGCGGAGGCCGAAAAGAAGACCAAGAAGGGCGCAAGCTCCACGGACGCCCTGGGCGGAAGCAGCAGCTAAGCGGCCACCCAAGTCACATCCGACCTGCTGAATATAACCGAGAGCGCCGAGCTGTTTACCGAGCCCATGCGTGGCATATAGCGGTCAGCAGTCGTGAACCACACGGGACTGCTCCGCGCTTGACGGACTGTCGATAAATGGCGATTTGCACCGAGCACTCGTAGTCAGACCCGGAGGAGAACGGTCTTCAGGCCATGCATGATGGCGGCAGCATCCGTCTGGGCGGCTCTGCGGGTTGATGGGTGCGGGAGAAGCTGCCAGATCGTCGAGAGCCGGCCTGACCATGGGCATCGAGAGCCACATCACCGGGCAAGGTCCCGTCGGTGTACCTGCATGAGCAGGGCCGGCGGTCGGTGCAGCAGCTGAGACCGAATCGCCCAGGGTCGCGCTTCATTTGGAAGCGGGCTGAAATGAATTCATTTCGCGGGCCTGGCTTTTGACCACGCCCAACCCGCCTGCCTGGTCTTGCTCGCGCTCGCGCATCACCCACACCGCCATCCTCTGGCCATCCCGGCGTTGCTTTGTCCAGCAAGCCTTTCCCGCCTTCCGCTTTCATCCTACCATCAGCAACCAGACCCATCCTCCGAAGCACCATGGTGCGTGCTGCAGTCTGCACAGACAGCCAGCCCCGCTCTGTCCGATCGAGGCAACTGCCTCGTCTCTCTCGATCCGCACAAGCATACAGGCGTCGATATCATACGGACGCTGCTCTGCGCCCCGTATTGCCTCCACAGTGATCAGACAGGCCGTCTTACCATTCCACCGCCTGGGGCTATGCTTCGATCCCGGTCGCGCCATCATTTGTAGGCTGGAGCATTGGAGAACGCGAGGGCCCAGCTGCCCAAAATCAGAGATGAGGAGCGCGAAAGCGCCTTTGGATATATCTACTCGGTTGCCGGACCTGGTAAGCCTGCCCAGGGAGAGAATGCTTGCCCACCATGCACTCTGAGCGTCGCATCGAATATACCTCGATCCAGCGAGTGGACATGCCCCTCGTTGTGAGTCGATGGTTGTGTCCGGGCCAGCACAATACCCGAGCTCGTTCCTACATCATCTGACGGCAGTCCCGCTTCGCAACCCTCACGCCGACGTGGATGCCGATAATTGCGCGCCAAAGTCGTCGTTGCCGAGCATATGACAGGCGTCGCTATGTATGAGCTGGTAGGTCGCGTCGGAGAGGATGTGTGGATGTGGATGTGGATGTGGATGTGGATGTGGATGTGGATGTGGATGTGGATGTGGATGTGGATGTGGATGTGGATGTGGATGTGGATGCATCAACCGTGAAGAGGCAAGGGCAATTCACCAAATGTGGAGAGCGCATTGGCAGTATTTCGTCCGGGCTGGGCCGCAAATATCGCGGCTGGCGCTTGATCTCCAGACTGGACGCACCGGCGAGCCCAGTTTCACAGTAGAGCCTTCAAAGCTGGAGCTGGCGTCTGCATCTTTTGAGTCGAAGCGGGCAGGCTAACCGACCCTTTTGTCTCTGGCTAGGTTCGTGTTGGACACGCCGAGCTCGTCGGCGAGGTCATCCGAATTGACGGCGACAAAGCTACCATCCAAGTATACGAGGAAACTGGTGCGCATCTCGACGAGAGCGCTTGCTGCAGCCCTGCTGAGTTAGCCAAATCGCGGCTTCTCAGCCGGAATCGAGTGCACCCTTGCCGGCCATTAACAACGCCTGCGTATGCTCTCGTGATCGTGCCGCTTTGCGCTTATGGTAGCCGGCTTGACGGTCGGCGACCCTGTACTAAAGACCAGAAAGCCACTCTCGGTCGAGCTTGGACCTGGTATGAAACCCGCTCGATGCCCAAAGTTGCCGCACCGCTCTTTACAGACCCAAGCACGCATATTGCCGTCTGTCGCGCGCACCAGCCAGCTAGGAGCAAAGCCCTGTGGCCACTGACGCTTCGTCGCTCTCGTATCCGATCGGCAGGATTGTGCTCAAACATCTTTGATGGTATCCAGCGACCCTTGAAAGGCATTCAGGAGCTGGCTGGAAGCATCTACATCCCTCGTGGTGTCAACACCCCCGCGCTTGACAAGAAGCTGCTTTGGGACTTTGAGCCTGTCAACTGCAACGTGAGTCTCGCATGGGCGGCAAATTGCATTTTGTTCCCGGCAGGGTGTCTCACGCGCCACACATCATCGTGGACTCGCGCCCGTGTGGCCCTGACTAAAGCCTGCATATTCGGCGCTATCGAATCGCAGGTCGGCGACCATATCACCGGCGGAGACATCTTCGGCAAGGTCTATGAAAACAGTCTCGTCACCCACAACATCCTGGTCCCTCCCAAGGGTCTCGGCACGGTCACGTACATTGCTCCCAAGGGACAATACGATCTGAACGTGAGTGTGACGGTGCCTCTACACCACCGCCACGCAGTACGCCGAGCGAGCGTCGCGGCGGCCGTGACATGTATCTTGCAATCCTTTCACGCTCCTTGTCACTTCGATCATGGCTGATCCGAGTCGGTGTACTGCATCCTCTTGCTTCCAGCAAACCGTTCTCGAAACCGAGTTTGATGGCCAGAAGCAAAAGTACACCATGATGCACATGTGGCCGGTGCGCACCCCTCGTCCCACCAGCGAGAAGCTTGCGGCGGACTACCCTCTCTTGACTGGCCAGCGTGTGCTCGATGCCCTGTTCCCGTAAGTGTCAACACTCGACATCTCGACTGTCGCTTCTCCGCCACCGCGCTGCGCCTCAACCTGACCTCATGCGTGGGCGATATGTACGCAGACGATGCGATCTCGTTCCTCCGAACGAACGTGCTCCCCCTTGGTCACCAACCAGGCCATTCGATCTATTTGCGATGAAACTGACGCTTTATGATTTTGCGAACCCAGTTGTGTCCAGGGTGGCACGACCGCCATCCCCGGTGCCTTTGGTTGTGGCAAGACTGTGATTTCCCAGTCTCTGTCCAAGTATTCCAACTCGGATGTCATCATTTACGTCGGCTGCGGTGAGCGTGGCAACGAGATGGCTGAAGTCTTGATGGATTTCCCTGAGGTATGCTCGAGAACCACCACCAGCTTCTGAGCTTCTGATGCTGTTGTGGAACTGCAACTGACGCTTCCTGCCATTGCACAGCTCTCCATCGAGATTGATGGCCGCAAGGAGTCGATCATGAAGCGCACCACTCTTGTTGCAAACACCTCCAACATGCCCGTCGCTGCCCGTGAGGCCTCGATCTACACCGGCATCACTCTGTCCGAGTACTTCCGTGACCAGGGCAAGAACGTCGCCATGATGGCCGACTCGACCTCGCGCTGGGCCGAGGCTCTCCGTGAAATCTCTGGTCGTTTGGCCGAGATGCCCGCTGGTACGGTCTTTGGTGTCTGTTTGCGCGGTGCCCGTCTGCGCGTCTTTTCGACTCGAGCAGACTCTATCGTGCTGGCGGTCGTCCAGGGCCGCAGTCGTAACACATACTGTTGTCTGTGTCCACAGATAGTGGTTATCCTGCCTACCTTGGCGCCAGACTGGCTTCGTTCTACGAGCGTGCCGGAAAGGTCGTCTGCCTCGGCAATCCCAAGAGAAACGGCAGTGTCAGTATTGTCGGAGCGTAAGTATCTTGCCGCTGCGTTTCATTCCGACGGGGGACACGTTCTGGCCGGGGCTGGTCCATTGCGCATCCAAATTCTGCTCAAAGCAGCACGTATCGAGAGACACAGCGACCCTGCAGCCGAATATCTGACCACACCTCGCTGTCTTGCAGCGTCTCGCCGCCTGGTGGTGACTATGCCGAGCCCGTCACCTCAGCCACCCTCGGTATCGTGCAGGTGTTCTGGGGTTTGGACAAGAAGCTCGCCCAGCGCAAGCACTTCCCCTCCGTCAACTGGTCTCTCAGTTACTCCAAGTACCTGAAGTCCCTAGAGCCCTTTTACGAAAGCTTTGACTCGGACTTTATCTCTCTGAGAACAAAGTGCAAGGAGATTCTGCAGAAGGAAGAGGATCTTGCCGAAATCGTTCAGCTTGTCGGCAAGGTGGGTCACTCGCTCCCGTGTGGTTGTCTCTGGAACCTACCTTGACGTCGAGCCGGCACTTTGCCTGCTGCGATGGGGTGGGTGGGTGAAGAACTGACCCTTTGTGCAGACGTTGGCAGATCTTGGCGGGATATCTAACAGCCGGTTGTTGTTGCGCTCTTGACTTACGATCGCCTTGACCTGGTTGCCTGTTTGCAGAGCTCCCTGGCTGAGACTGACAAGATCATCCTGGAAGTGGCTCGCCTGCTCAAGGACGACTTTTTGCAGCAGAACGGCTACTCCAACTACGATCGTTTCTGCCCCTTCTACAAGACGGTTGGCATGCTGCGTAACATGATGGCCTTCTACGACCACGCCACGCATACCGTCGAGGCGAGCTCGAATCAGGTCACCTGGGCCAAGATCCGAGACAGCATGGGCGACATTATCTACAAGCTGACGTCCATGAAGTTCGAGGTGGGTAACAGGGTCTGAGTGATGAGAGGTGGCCGTGGGATCCACCAGACAGTTACATCGCTGCCGCGCGCGGTAGGCACCGTGAATTGCCTTCAAGCATCATTGTTCCGTGCACTGACATGGACCTTGGCGACCGGCAATGCAGGACCCCGTCGATGGTGAAGAGGCTATCAAGGATCGATACGCCAAGCTCGGCAAGGAGATGGAGGAGCGATTCCGAGCTTTGCTTGATTAAGTTGTTGGACTTTGGAGCCAAGGGGGCGATGTGCTGCGGCACTGGCGTGGTCCAAAGCGGCATCATCCTCTCTGTCATCGACGCCACGGCTCCGCCCGGCTCTTCCCGTTGATTCCACTCCTGTTGATCCCGTTTCTTGGCAGTTTGAATGAAAGAAAACACAGTTATTGCACAGTGCTGAGTGGTCGCCGTTGCTCCACGACCTAACACCAGAGACCTTACTGCCTGATCGCATGTGTCGCCAAGACAAGAAAGAGAGGGACTGCCAGCTGTAAACACTGAGCTGTGGTTCTTTGGCGGTCTGCATGGCCCAATCGAGCCGGGCCGCAACGAGGGCATCTGCCGCCCGAGACACACAGTCGACACGAATGCACGATGAAGAGTCATGCGGGGCGAGGGATGAGTGTATTGGCTTTTGATGTGCCTGGCACCAACGGCAGTTTGGCTGATGGTCCAAGAGCATGCTGTTCCGTTGGATCAGGCCCGGATGTGATGGCATTGCGGCCGCCATCGCACAGGAGAGCACCAAGATGACCCTTCCTGAGCACGAGCGGCCTGCTGGACTTGGGACCACGATGCCGTCGCAGCGTAGGTCGTCCAAGTGGACCCTGTCTAAAGGTTTGTGATCTCGACCTTGCCTGTGCCGTCGGCAAGGTAGTGCAAATGTACCTGATGGAACCGCTTGAGCTCGTATCTGCAGCGGTCCGTGGACGAGTCCCAAGCCATGGTTCAAGACCGGAGCAGGAAAGTTGAAAGTTGAGTATCGAAGGACAAAAGTCGGGAGAATGAAGGCCAAAAGTTGGAGCAGCCGCGCGCGGTGGTTAGATACACAGTCACGACATATGGCTTTGTTTCTGAGACTCCAGCTGATGGGGTCGTGACTACAGTGCCAGCTGCATACGGGGCGAGAAGTTTGGCCGTACGTACCGGTGGGCGATGGAGAACACTGTGATGTTGAGCTTTTGGCACCATTCGTACAGACCGCCTTCTTCGTCGGGATTGATCGCGCTGGTGGCCTCGTCAAGCACCGCATACTTGGGCTGGTGGAAGAACAGACGGGCCAGACCAACTCGCTGCTTTTCGCCGCCGCTGAGAACATCGTTCCAGTCAAAGTGGGAAAAGTCCAGGCCACCCTTGGTTGAATCATATAGCTTGAGGAGCTTGACCCGGTCCAAACACTCGAGGACTTTGGCGTCAACGGCATCGCGCTCTGGGCCAGGAACACCGAAGCGGCTGGGATAGGTAACCTGGTCGCGCAAGCTTCCGGAGGCAAGGTACGGTCGCTGTGGGACGTAGAATAGAAGGGGCTGGGCCAAATCGCGAGCACCTCGAGGGACGGTGACGGTGCCAGCAGTTGGAATCCAAAGCTGAGCCAGCACTCGGAAGAGCGAGGTCTTGCCGGCTGGAGGGTCGAATCGCAGGGCGGTTGCAAACAGAGAATACGGAGCGAGACGGCAGGGTGAGTACGGATCGACAGCGGAGCTACAACCAGAACATCTCAGCACCAGCGCCATTGCAGCCGCTAACGACAAGACTCTGGGGCACTCCACAAATATACACGGAGCAACGGCGGTGACAGAAACCTGTGAAGGCTGTCGTTGTTGGCCACCATGCCACGCCATGACCGGTGATACGGGCCGGGACCGCCCGAGTAAATCAGAACAGAAAGACATTCTTACCTCCGTTGGCGCCGGTGACAAGGATGTTCTTGCCTGGAACAATATCAAAGGACAGATCCTGTTTTGCCGAATATCGCAGGTCAGTGACAACGGGAACGGCGCGGGCTCAGAAACTCGGCGCTGTTAGCTCATGACGGGATCGCGAATGACAGTGCTACAGAATCGACTTAATAGACGAGTTAGGGTGCTCGTACCTTGACCAGGAGCCTGCCGTCAGGGCTGGTGATGGTGATGTCTCGGAACGAAATCATGTCTTCGACATCGGACTCGAGGAACTTGGAGGACATGAGCGAGAGATCGCGTTCCTGGGGCTCGACGGCCTCGAGCAGCTCCATAACGCGGGCAGTGAAGCCGGAGAGCTGGGCGAGCTTCTTGTAGACCATGAGCAAGTCTGGAAAGAGTCGCAGAGGGCGAGGCCAGCGGTATTGTGTTATGGTCGGCGGAGGTCAGAGGCTATCGATTGCACTCTTGAGCGCCGCAAGCCGATGGGCAGGTCGCAGAGACAGGGTATGCGAGCGAAAGTCGTAGAATATGAATCCTCAATGCATACCCGAGATGGCGCCGGAGGCTCCCTGAATGAGCGAGTCGGATTCGCGGTAGCGAGCAGCGATTTCGGAGATATCCACACCCTCCTTCAGGAGGAAGGGGACGGCCAAGATCGGCCATCCAATGATCGAGGCAAGGTACTATAGACAACAAAAACAGGCATAGGACGAGTGGCAGAATCAGTGGCCGAGGGGTCAGTAGAACACCCGAGCGACGATCGCAGCAACTAACGACGGCTTGGGATTGAAGTGGGCCGAGGGCTTGTTGAATTCACGCCGATCAACGCACAGGAATGGCAGTGGTATCGCCAATGTGCGAGCTACTGCACCTCCCCAAGCGAGACCAATGAACGGGATATGGACTCACCTTCAGGATGTACTGATCCATAATACCCTGCTTGAAATGCCACATGAAGTAGTACTCCGAGAAATCGGTGACGTGGCCGAGCCGCTCGTTCAAAATGGCCTTTTCGCACTCGCTGCCGTTGAGGAAGGCAACTTCCTCGGCATGGGTGATCAGTCGCGAGTGAGCGCGACGGAAACTGCCCTCAAGCTCCTGGATCTTGGCGATCATCCTGGAAAACGGCGGCGAGATCCAGCGCACCACAAAGCCCGAGAGGAAAAAGTACGAGTAGAGGCAAACCAAGCCGGGGTAGCCAATGTTTTCGGCCATCCGCTGAGTGCAGAGGATGACATCGAGCAGGGGCTTGAACGTCCTGATAGAGAGCGAGGCAAGGTGGGCGGATGAGCATAGGAAATGCGACGCATGACCGGGCCAAGTCAGTGATGGGATGGTTTGGACAAGGCGGGACGGTAAAATTGACATTCCATGGTAACTCCAGGCGCATACACACCGCGAATACAGGTCCGAGGCGGTCTCACAGAACTTGCTGATGTCGTCAGTGATGCGCTGGTCGGCGTGATCGAGATTGCCCTCGCGCAGGATGGCAGCCTTGTAGAACGAGCGGTCGCGCAGGTACTTTTCGTGGGTATGTGTCGTGAGTTTTTTCCGGAATTCCTGGAGAATCAAGATTGCAATGATCGTTGTAAGCATCAACTGCCGCCGCAACAAAGCGGTCGCGGGCCAGCATCGCGCACACACACTTCGGGCTCGGGTTCGGCTGACGGGCGCAGATGGGGTGTAATCAAACGGACAGACGAGTTGCACGCCGCCTTCGATCGGCCCGACAGCAGCAGACTCAGCGACATCCTCACCAGGGTCATCAGATTGGCCAGATACTTGAGCGACGAGTTGATGACGCTCGCGACGATCCCCATGATGAAAAAGTCGGTGATGACGACGCCAAACTGGACAAAGCTCTTGCTAATCACGGCCTTGAGGCCATCACCGCCCTTGCGGGCGATGCGCTTCAGCGGAGGAGAATGGAATTTGCGACAGGCAGGATTAGCACGCGTTCATGAAGGCGGATTGCGCAAAGTGCATTTTTCAATCATGTCCGTGCGGCATCGCCAGCGCTCGTTGGGGATGGCGCTGAGGCCGAGCGAGAAAGACGGCCTGAGCCAGTCAACCGGGCGATGCCGCAGGATTGAGCTATCCCGCTTCCACGCGCAGAACAAGCTGCCTACCAACGAGAGCAGACTTCGGCCAACAAGCATGCCCAACTGGGTAATGATGAGCAGCCATGTCTTGGGATCGGTTCCGACACAGATGCGCAAGATGTAGAACAGTCGCTTGAAGAAAACAGCGTCGACGGCGGCGACGCCCTTCTTCTTGACCTCGATCTTGGGAACATCCTTCTTGAGGGCATCCAGGTGAGCGGCCTTCCAATTCATGGACTTGACCCGCGACCGGTATGAAATTGTGGCGAGGCCAACCATCGAGGCCGTGAACACCGAGATGAGCTGCGGGTCGGCCAGGAAGCTCAGCAGGGAGCGGACAAAGACGTGCTTGGTGCCGACGACCCAGCGTGCGACTTGCTTTGGGGAGACTTGTGTCATTGGATGGATGGAATGTAGCGGGGAAGCAGTGGAATGTCGTGGAATGCGGTGCAGTGCCGTGCAGTGCCGTGCAGTGCAATACAGGGGAGAAAGGACGAAAAAGGGTGGCTTGGAAACAAGACGGAAGGTGATGGGGGGGGAGATTGTCTGGACGGAGGCAGAGAGCAGCTGCCGGCGGGGAAGGTCGGGAAGGCTCGGTCTTATGGCCTGGAGCGCAGGACGGATGTCAGGAACAACCTCGGCGGTCGATCCGCGGCGTCACAAGCGCTTTTCACGTGCGAGCGGACTGCAGAAACGGGGACGGCTGGCGGATCGAGTGTGGATCGAGTGTGGGTCGAGTGCACTGGATCGAGTGCATTGGATCGAATGACCCTCTCAACCAGCCAGCCAGCCAGCCAGCCAGCCCTTGATCGGCCAAATCCATCGTGTCGTTCGCAGATCTTCCCGAACGACTTCCGTGACACTCGTCCTCACACCAGGGCACGATACACCACATTGCACGGCTGCAGTATCGGCGCAGTCCGCGCGTCGGCTGCTGAGCTGGCTGCTCTCCGCCACCCACCAACCCAGGCCGGAAACCGTCGCAGTGTTGCCCGGCCCCGCATTGTGCTCCGGCGTCGCCATTTTTTTCTTCACGGGACGCTCGATCGACAAGGAGAGAGAGCCCACCAGCCCAGCCACGGGCGGTCCATCCCCGGCTGCACGTCCCCCCTCCTCGTCGGTCGCGTCGTATGGGCACACTGTCGGTCCACAGACACCACAGGGGCCAGCAACAAGCAAGTAACAATATCAGCTTACGCCTGCCGAATACATGCACACCACCAGCAACAAGTAACAACACCACCACCACCAGCAACAAGTAACAGCAACAAGTAACAAGTAATGGCGGCAGCAACCAACTTACACAGGCGTCGGCGTTATTGCTGCTGTATCTCGCCTCCTTCCTCCACCCAGTGCGCATCGGCCTGTCTCCTCGCCCCCTCCATGGCCGTCCTCGGCAAGATGCAAGCCGCTGAGCAAGCACAATTCCCCCACCCCTGCTCTCGGCCCACCACCACCACCAGGAGGATCGCCGCCTTTCCCTTTCTGCATTGCGTCGCCGCCGCCAAAGCCGCCGTCTTTCTGCGTCCTCTTGAGCTCCTGGGCGCTCGGACCCAAAGAGTCGACGCTCTCTCTCTGCTTCGTCGTCCCGCCGATCCCGCCATGGCTGCCGTCGTGCCAATCAACCCAACGAACGTGCAGTGGTTCGTCGACCAGGGCTTCCAGTTGCATCCACCGCAATGCTCCTCTGCCGGAGCTGCTCCCACCGATGTCATGGCCGTTGCTGGCGACCAGGTCTTGGCGACAAACCGCTGTCGATGCAATGGTCCTGGCGATAGCTCGCCTGGTCGCTGCCAGTATTCCGTTGTTCAGACACCCACTCCGGCTGGTCCTGCAAACGGTACCAGCCTCCCTGCCGGCAGCCCCACCATCCTGACCTTCGATTGCGGAACTGACACCACATGCCAGAGCGGCTGCACCCTCGCTGCGACCTACTCGACGGCATCACAGAACCCATGCGACTACTCGACCCGAGGGCGCTACGGTGCCCTCGACTACACAAGTGCAACGTTCGTATCGATCTGCCCATGCTTGCTGCTTCCGGTTGAGCTCGCTGTCGTACTGTCATTGCTGTCCTACTCTGTCATTGCTGCCGTGCTCTGTCATTGCTGTCGTGCTCTGTCATTGCTGTCGTGCTCTGTCATTGCTGTGATCCTCGCTGTCGCCCCTCGGCTTCTCATTGACCTCATCCCGCTCTCCCTCGCCCTGCATCAGCACCTGGGACTCGGGGTTCAAAACCAACTACTTTTACTATTCCGCCTCCACCACCAACGACGCCACTTGCGTTGCTCCCAACCGCATCCGTCGATACCCCGTCTATCCCACCTGCACCCAGATCCTCGACCGCGTCTTTGCTCTTTCGATCCTCGGCCCCAGCAATCGCTCCATTGGACTATTCACTTGCTATGACTCGGGCTGCAATTCATGCGTCCCAACCCGGTTCAGCAGCTTCAACCGCACCTGTACAATGTCCATCGACGACTCCGAGGCCATCTTCTCGACCTTCTCCATCGGCGCCATTCTGAACGACCCCTCCGTCGCTCTCCAAAACACATTTCCAAACCAGACCGCACCCAGCTGGCCGTCCACGCAACCAACAATCGTCGGGTTCGACCCAGACAACAATGGATCGTCTCGCATGGCCATCATTGGCGGAATCGTCGGCGGCTTCTGTGGTAAGAAAGCAGCATCAGGACCGCCCACTGTCATGCTCAATCTGATCATCGCGGGCTGTTGCTGAATCGTGCTTGTCGATCCAGCGAGCACTTGGCCGGTGTGGCCAAAGGGCAAACCCCAATGCTGCCGATGGTGCCAATGCCTTCCCTCTCCGTCTGGACTACGACTTCGTCACTGACCATACCTTGCCTCTGCCTGCCCGCTGCCAACCGGTTGCTAGCGCTTTTGCTGGCCAGCATCATTGCCGTCGTCTGGTATCGTGCTCGTCTGAAGCAGGTTGCTACTTACGGTGCCATTGCCGTCGATGGCCTCGAGTCCAGCAGTACCGACATGTATCGCCTTGACTTGACAAGCAACTTGCCTGCCGAACCGCCTGCCCCCACGGGTGCTGGGTCGCCTCCGGACATCGAGCGGCACCGAGAGTCCAGCAGCCGCTCCCAGGCCTCTGTCCACACCTACGGCGCTGTATCAGAAGCGACCGTCACTCAGTCGTCCCTACCGGTATCCACCACAGCACTTCCATACCAGGCACCCGGAGTCCTGCACGAAGTCCGCTCGACCGGATACGACAAGCTCTCGACGAACCCTCAGTCTCCGCTGACACTGCCGCCCAAGCACAAGTTTGTTGCTGTCGTGGACTACAATCCATCATCAACACGCCAGCTTGCTTTGCGTGCCGGCGATGTTGTATTTGTTCACGATGTATTTACAAACGGATATGCCCCGGTAAGCCTGTGGCCGCACCAAAGAGCAATTCTGGGTCCTCGAGACCCAAGCACTCAAATGAAGGGGGATGGGCGGCTGTGCGCCAGGATCAATTCGGGATGCGGCTCGCTTCACTTGCGCGCACGATGGACGCTGACGGTATACTCATGGACAACCATGCGCTGCTGGATCTTGACTCACTTGCCTATACTCGACATGTTCAGGGTGGAAACGCTCGCACAGGTGCCGTCGGTCTGATCTCGGAGCAGGCGGTCCGTCCTGCCGAATAACCCGGGCCCAAGCCGACCGGCTCCCACACAACTCCTCATAGCTCCCTTTTGGCCGCAAGTTCGTCGTAGATACGGGACCGAGTCAGCCATTTCCATGTTTCTTCTATCAACAGCGCGCCAAGCGCTCCTATGATATCAGTCTAGTCGTCTTTTCCTCCATCGTCAAGAATGGATGCGTCTAACAAGATCTCTTGCGTCTCGTGTTGCAATAACGAAAATACACAGCTTGCCAGAGCGGGACACCCAAGTTGAAGCGTCGAGGCAATCCATCAGAACCGAGTGGCTGGTGCTTGAGGAGAGGGCTCGAATCCAGCTCACAGTTGGACTGCATAATATCCCGTATATTGCAGGAGGCGGCCTCCCAGATCGGCGCATTCGAAGCCAGCGGCTCAAATGGCGGCCTCTATCCGGGTTCCTCGGAGCGACTCCCAGGCGGCCCCTGCATCGTTTACGATGGTCGGGTGGCCCACAATCTGCACACACTGTACTCCTCCTCGGACCATGTCGATGGCTGCCTGCATCTTGTTTCGCATCCCGCCGGTGACATCTGCCCTTGGGCCAGCGACCGCCTCGGAGCCATTGCCGACGGCGAGCGCTGCCGGCTCGACAATCTCGCCACTCGACCGATCGACTCGAATTCGAGAAACCACACAAGGGATCTCGCCGTCTGCGAGAGGGTAGCGCTCAAAGACCCCCTCGACGTCGGTCACAAAGCAGCAGCGAGGCGGGATTTGGTCGGGATCGAACAGCGCGAGCTCCTTGACAATGTCGTCGCCGCTCCAGACCACGGCTCCATAAGCGTCATCGGCAACGACGTCGCCGTGCAGGACCGGAACCATTCCCTGCCGGAGCGTCTCATGCACGGCTGCATAGAGCCGCTTGAGTTCGTGGATCTGGCCCCGACTCGACTTCACCAGCAATCCCGGAGTGATCCCGATTGCCGGCACGCCATGCCGGACCAGCTCCTCGACAATCAGTCCGTTCAGCTTGCGGACCGAGGTGCGGGTTGCAGCCATCCCCAGACGCAGGGCGGTGTCGAGCTGTCGGGGCTGTTCTTCCGCAACGACAGCATACGAGTTCGTGCCCTTCAGTCCGTGCTCTTTGGCGATGTGATGTCCAAAGGAGCCGGCTCCGTGGACGAGGAGAAGCGACGATGGCTGCGGGAATGGTGAACCAGAGACGTTGCTGGGCCAGCGGATGCTTGTCGAGCGGTGGTGTTGAGCAGCAACGAAACGGATCAGGGCCTGGAACCGGTCGTGATCGATGGTCTCGACGGCAGACTTGTTGGTGATCGCTGCACCGCCGATTTTGATGAGGAGTGGAGGAGGCATTCTTGGGTGGAGAGGGCTCCAGGCCTTGATATTGCAGGGTGTCGGATACCAGCAGCGAGCGATGGGTGACCAGGGGCGGGGACGCACAACGAGGGACGGAGAGAGAAGCCCAGTCCGCTTGGCCAGCCGACGGATCCTTCTCAATGTTGGTGGGATGTGGGAGGGGCCTCTACTGCACAATAGTGATGGGCCTCTGCTGCACAATAGCGGTGCATGTCACCCACTTGGAAGTGCATATGAAAGAGTCAGGATTGTCATTCTGAATCCACATGGTGGCCATGCGACTCGTTCGACTGTCTTGATGCCGAGAGATCATGGAGCTGTCTCAAAGGGCCGAATATATACCTCTTCTCGGAACTGAGCCCCCGCCCCCCCCCCCGAACCAATCCAACAAACAGCAGGGACACACACGAGCGCTGTCTCGGTTGGTTTTGTTCTGAACAAGCTGTATTTCGGGCTGAGATGCTGCCTACACGGAGATTGTGCAAACGTAGTCTCGACATCGCGAGGGTCTGGATTGTCGCCCTCTCAATGAGGGCCCCAGAGAAGCCATCTACATCGCCAGCAGGTATCTGGGAGTAGCCGAGAACTGGTCGGGGCGAGGCGATTGCAATAGTTAGAATCACAGTTCGCAGACAAGTGCAGAGACCGGACTTCAATAGGACCCAGAGATCCAGGACGACCAGACCACAACGGCAGCGGAGACACCAGAGCCATGGCCGTAGTATCGTTTCCGTTACCCCCGTCGTGACGAGCACCATCGGCGGCCGTGCCAACTCCTCCACCACAACTCAGCCGAAACCGTACCTTGGCATAGCCTTTGATGACTTTGTTCACTGCCTCCAGGAAGTCCTTCTCGGTTGCGACCTGGTGCATTCGTCGTCGTGTCAGTGACTTTCATATAGTCGAGCGCACGGAGGAGCGGAGAGCTCTTTGCAGAAATCAACGCGCTCGTGTGCCAAGAGAATCTGCTATGCATGTGCCTCCGGGGGATACCGTGGTTTGATCCTCCACAACGCGGCTCTGCTCACCTTTCGTCGGGATCGGATGGCAAACATGCCGGCCTCTGTGCAGACACTTCTCAGCTCGGCGCCAGTTGAGTTGGGGCAGAGTCGGGCAAGCAGCTCATATCGAATATCGCGCTCCACACTCATGCTTCGGGCGTGGATCTTCAGGATGTGTGCACGGCCCTGTGATATAGGAGCAGACGACATGTGAATCGAGAGTGGTTCCCAAAGGTGATGGACAAACTGGCCGAGCAGCTTTGGATTGGGACGGCAGCCGCTCCTCAAGCAGCGGCGCCGAAGTGGGCTCGTGAAAACAGCGCGCCTACCTCAAGGTCGGGAAGGTTGAACTCGACCTTTCGATCGAGGCGACCAGGACGCAGAAGAGCCGGATCCAATGTGTCCGGGCGGTTGGTGGCCATCAACACCTTGATGTTACCACGGGCGTCGAAACCATCGAGCTGGTTGATGAGCTCGAGCATCGTGCGCTGCACTTCATTGTCGCCACCGGCTCCGTCGTCAAATCGAGTGCCTGCCGTTTTGGGTCCAACAGATGCGTGGGATCGGGTGAGTTTTCCGCGGAGCTCTCTGATACCTGCCCTGACCTGACCTGCCCTGTCCTGCCCTGTCCTGCCCTGCCCCGGTTCTGGGCCACTCCACCCATGCCTGCTGACGGGATCCAGACCTCCGATCGCATCGACTTCGTCAAAAAAGATGATGCACGCCTTCTTTGTTCGGGCCATCTCGAAGAGCTCTCGGATCATTCGGGCGCCTTCGCCGACATACTTCTGAACGAGCTCCGAGCCAATGACACGGATGAATGTGGCGTCTGTTCGGTTGGCGACAGCGCGCGCAGAGAGGGTCTTGCCGGTACCAGGCGGGCCGTACAGCAGCACACCCTTGGGTGGGTCGATACCCAGGTTGACAAATCGCTCGGGCTGGTGGGTCAGGCAGGCGCAAGCTGATCAGCAATGCGGATTCGGAGTGAAGCGGGCCGGATATGGGCGCTTGCAAGGGGGTGCACCTACTTGGAGAAGCGGGAGCTCAACCACTTCGCGCAGCTTCTCAATCTGCTCCTTGCATCCACCGACATCGCTATAGGTCACATCGGGTTTCTCCTCGACTTGCATCATCGTCACAGACGGATCGATCTTGGGCGGAAGTGGGATCTGGATCTGATACTTGGTACGATCGACACTAGAGGGCAACCGCACATCGTCAACGCGGGCCGCAATAACGGGCGACTTGGAGTGCATGTGGACATTTATCCAGCAGCACAATATGAGGCAATCATAGTGATCCAGCACTTCAGGCAGCTCAGGCAGCTCAGGCAGCTCAGGCAGCTCAGGCAGCTCCGCTGAGCCGTACCGCTTACCCGACACGCATGCCCTCCTCAATGTCCGTTGGAGCGACCTTTTCTCCAAGCCCGACAACGAATTTAGCGATTTGCTTGACGTGAATGATGTACTTTGATTCGCCGCCCTCGCCCGACTGGATGATCTTGGTGCAACGAGCCACCTGCAGCGGGTGCTCCTCTTGCATTCGCTGCTTGTCGGCAGGAATATCCCACAAGTTGGGGGGAGCCAGGCCAGTGTCTGACTCCTTGACACCTGCAATATCCCATGGAGACGGTGCAGAGTTTAGTCAATGGTCATGCACTTGTGTCGTTTGATGGCGTCGCGCCCGGCGATCCGGCATGCAGCATCGTCGCTATCGGACAGCGTTGCGCGAGACGTATCGAGATGAGTGAGCGCATACCCATCTTGTCGTTCACGCGCTTCTGGGCGTCCTTGATATCTTGCTCAATCTTCTTGAGCTCTTTGGCATAGGATCCTTGTCCCTGTGAACGACATGGTCACCGTCAGATACAGAACAGGCCACCAGGCTGAGCCAGCTCGGACGCCTCGTTCACTCCAACACATCGACGGGAATGCATAGCGCAACAACACAGCTTACATATGACTTTAGCAGAGCAATATCGCCCTCGTCCAGGACTGGCGGGAGAAAGCAGAGAAAGGGACGATCATGTTAGTCCAGACTTGGGTCCAGGCTACTGTTGCGATCTCTGGTGCCAAGAGCCTTGGTCACATTCGGGCGATTCGTTCGGCGCTTCATTGCGATGCTCTCGGCCACCCACCTTTGATCTTTTCCTGGGCCTTATCGTCATCGAGAGGCTTGTCGTCTGTCAAGGTCGTCCGGGTGGTGATCATGGCAGGAAGCAGCAAATCAGCAATGGGCTCAACAAACATCGCTCGGGCGATGGGTGCATGGGCAGAGGGGTCTTGGACGACGTATTCCCGAGTCGATGGCCGTTGGTGTCTGTCTGCCCGACTCTGGGATCGGCGTGCGCTTGCGATCGCCGGGTCGCTCCGCACGTACACTTTTCCCAGTTCGCTTTCGGAGGCATTGCAGTGTGGATTTCTTGTGCGATACCAAAAAGTAGATGGTGACGCTAAGAGCGAGCAATTGGTGCTGGTGCAGCTGAGACGAGGGGTCAGAGACACAGACGGCGGCAGTAGTCAGGCCCGGATATGCGACGGTCCTTCGACTCGGATGCAGATTGCTGGCTTTTGGCAGCCCGGGCTCGATCAAGGGTGGCGACGGCGAGGCCTGTGCTCGGGTTGGGCGAGAGAGCGACCAGGGTGCGGGACATGTGGAGGCACGTGCATTAGGGCTTGTGCTGGATTAGGGGTTGCACAGGGCTGGGCGCACGACTTGGCAGCCCTCGGCCAACCACTCTCTGCCCCAGATCAAGTCCGCCAAATGGCATCGACAGAGACACCCGAGACCGCCAAGCCGACGAGCCCGACGGACAGGACCGAGGCCGGGCCGTCGCTGCTGAAGCAAGTCGACATCGATAGCGTGGGTGCTTGTGCAGGAGAGACGCTGGCTATGCTGGCGATGCGGGTGCACGGCTGGGCGATCCAAGTTTGGCTGCGACGACCAGACGATGCATATCGATCCTGGAGGGTGGCTCCCAGCGATGCTCATGAGCAAATGACTTTCGTTCGCTCCCACACCCGATTGTGCGTCCGCCGATCAGGCCACTCGAGAAACGCTGGAAGAAGCCGAAAGGGATCTCGCCGAACTCATCGCACGGAAGCGGGGCGTCGACAAATCGCTGGTAAACTTTGAGCGCCTTCAGCGCCATCAGCGTGGGTTCTTGGATGCCCATGGCTCTGTTTCAGCGTCATTGCAATGGGCTGGCCAGATGTGATCGAGCGTGGGGCGATATCTGGTGAGTATGCCGACTTGAACCGTCTCAGACAAACGGCTCTGATGCCTCCCTCCCTGATGGATCATGCACCGGTCCCGGTGCAGGCCAGTATCGAAGCCAACATCTATGCGCTTGAGGGCGCCTATCTCGAAGACACACATCTGCATGGCAACATTATCCGCGGGTTCGATGGCTACCTGAACACGAGGGTCGACAGGAAGAAGCAGCGATTTACGGAGCAAGATCGACTGTTCTCGCAGTCGTCGGTGACCTACTTGAAGGTAGAGCGGATGTGTCAAGCTCGAGGGAGGACGGGCAGGCTCGCCATTCGTCTGCAAACGCACATTGCCTCAAGACGCACGGTGTGCGCACATCACTGTTCTGACACGGCCGTCGCTCTATGTTCTCCAAGGCACTGGAGATGAGAGAGCGAGAGGAGTTGGAGCGCAACGACGATGTCAGTCCGGACTCGCCGGTCCCCAAGATCCGAAGCACCCCGCTGAAGAAGATCAAAAAGACTCTCTTTGCGACTCCCGACACTGAGCGAAAGAAGAAGAAGATCCGGCTGGTACGGTCTGACGAAGAATAGAGCGCACCCAAAACGAACGGAGCAGCCTGTTTTGCGTCAGGGTTGTCGCTTTCCTGGATCCTGAATACACACCCATCTATCGCCCCACCATACCAAGTGTGCTCGCGATGCATGCCGGCCGAGCGACTCGTTCGACCCGACTATCCCGATGTCGAGAAATCACGAAGGTGTCCGGCGGCACTGACATGGGCAGGCAGGCAGGTTTGGCCGCTGCAAGTTGCTGCGATATCACCACGGCGTGCTTCTCACGCAGCAAGGGCTGGGCTGCAATAAAGACACCATCTTTGCAAAATCCACATTCTCATCATCGCTGTATTGAGAGCAGGCGGGGCAGGATACAACGAGTAGCCCGGGTCTATGCTTTACGGAGCGAGCTGCAAATCCACGATCCACCAATTGTGCAGAAAAGCGCAGATAACGATGGCAAAAAAGTGCGAGTTTGATCCAGTCGACAAGCTCGACCACGGAAGATGGCACAGCGAGGCGGCACCGGCACGATGGCGGCCGCACATGTCTCAGTACTCCAGGCAGAAGGAGCTCACTCGAGGTCAAACTCCATGCCCTTGTCCTTTAGCAGCATATCATCGTCGGTATGCTTATGGCGCTTCTCTTTATCGTGCTTGTGCTTGTGCTTATGCTTGTGTTTCTTGGACTTTTTCGAGCCCTGTCGCTCGGGATCGGACTCGTCGTGGTGGCGATGTCGCTTCTTCTCTTTCTTCTTGCGCTCGGAGCTATCTCGGCCCGACGAACTTCGCTTCTTTTTACGATGCGATGCGCCTTCGGCATCAGACGGGTCGTCGTCGGATGACTGCTCCGATCCCGATCCTGACGAGAGCGAGAGATCCCGCGACGGATCGTGGCTGGAGGTGCGCGTCTTGCGCATTGCTTTGGTGATGATATCGTCAGTGTCTTCGCCACTGTCAAAGTCGGGCGACGATCCTCGCAGATCGCTCTTGCGCTTTCTCGAATGCTTGGATTTTGATGCTGTCGTCGACGGCGTCGAGGGACCCGACGAGATGATGATGCTTGAGGAGTCGTTGATCTTGAGCTTGAATCTGGGAACCACGGCCGCATTTGAAGGGCGGCTCATCGACGGCGCAAACGAATCCGAATCGCTGTTGTCACCAGAGTCGATCGCGCCGTTGCCACCGCGGCTGCCCCTTGAAGCCGAACCCTTCGAAGGTGAGCTCGTCGCCAGACTGCGTCGCCCACGCGGCTTGGGAGGGTTTCTCACGAGCTCGATGAGAACCTCGAGGCGCTTGGTGACGAGGGCGTCCTTCATCCAAAACATATCAAACGTCAGAGGGCCATCCTCAACTTCGTCATGGCGATGCTGGTGGTGTAAGAAGAGTTTGCGGAAGGGAAGCTCGAGATCTGCAGCAGCAACGGATGGGTGGACGATGAGTGGAATGCTACTGAAGGAGGAACAGGAGCGTCTGCCTGTGGCTTGGATTCCAGAGCAAATCATCGTCACATCAAGCTAGGCGCATCCTTGAGCCGGGGTCCGGCGAAGGCGACGCCGACCCGTCCATCAGATCGGCTCACCCAGCCGCATTTGAGCCAACTCATCCTACCTTCCATGATCAGATCACTGCGGCAAAGGCCCCATTTGGCAATGCCTTCCAGGAAGGGCTTGTCGTGAAGATTTGGCATGTACCATCTGAGAAGACATACACAAGCCCAATATATCAGCGACCTGACATTGCAGTCAATGAGTACCGCATCGCAGCATGGTGAATACTCACGCTGGCATGGCCGAGCGGGCGTGCCGCTTTCCAGCGCGCAGGATTTCGTCCAGCTGGGAACGGAGAGGGTAGAGTGGCAGTCATGGCCGCTACCGATGTTAATTCTCCTCCTATAGTGACTCGCCGCTGGATGTCTTCGGCTAATGAGCACCAGCTGCGAGAGAGTGTGGTGCAGGACTCACCATGGGGTTAGGGAGCACCTCGAGACGGATGCTTTTGAGGAGTGTAACACGCTTCAAGATCCTCTTGGCCTTGTCATAGGAAATGTACTCGTCCTTGCCAAAGCGGTCAATGTCATCGGTCCTGTTGCTGTCGTCCTCGGGGCCGTTCTCGGTTCGAAGAGCAATCGCAGCGCGGTCACAGAGCTCCTGGCAAGTCGCCATGACGGTCAAAAAATAGTCGTCCAGCACGTCATCGGGCTTGCGCAAATTAGACAGCTCCTTGAATCGAGCCCAGTCTCGCCTTCGCTCATCAAAGCCAATGTAGGCCACGCCATAGTTGACAAGGGTTCGATGGAACTCTGGAGGGGGCGGGCGGGCGAGTGAAGAAGAGCACCATAATGGATCATCGTCGTTGGCGTGAGTGCATGTGTGAGTGCGTGCATGAGTGTGTGCGTAAGTACATGGGTGAGTGCGTGTGTGGCTCTCGACACCCAAACGATCTCTGCCTCTTAGCCAGTCAGGCGAGGCAGCTGGGATGCTGCACAAACCCAAGTCAGGTCCAGTACGGCTGCCGCCGGTTGTTATCTTACCAAGCTTCTCTCGCTTGTTCAGCTCCTTTTCCTTGTTCTTGATTCGTTGCATCTCTCTCACTTGACGCTGCCGCTGCTTCTCGATCTGGAGCTGTTTCTTGGCTTCGACGCGAGCAGCGCTCTGCTGCATTCGCGAAAACGCTGCCAGAAGCTTGCGAACTCGGAATCCAAGCTCACTAGGCGAAGGGAACACAGCCTCGGACTCGCCGTCCGATTGGGCCTCGCTGTCTCTGACAGGGTCACTGCCGTCAGGGTCCTCGGAGTTGCTGCTCCTGGCAGTTGCAGAGCCGTTCTCGACCGTCACGGCGTGCTTATCAACGAAAGTGTGTTCCGCAAGTTTGGAATCGGGGGCGCTCTGCTTGTCGCTTCCCAATTGGGCAGCCCTTGTAGAATCCGTGGCCGCATTGAGAGGAGATGATGCCAAATCGTTTGAAAATGCCGTTTTGACCTTCTCTCCGACATCATTCATGTCCACATCAGCGTCGGCATCGGCATCGACATCAGCATCAGCATCAACATCGTCATCGACATCGGCATCAACATCATCGTCGGCGTCGGGGTCTTCGAGGGGCTGGTCCAACTCCATCTCGCCAGATGCCGAGTTCTTGAAGATGCGTGAGAAAAAACAAAGCTCGGGGTCGGTTCTGATCTTCTCGTATCTGCAGACACGCCGAGTTGGGACAGGGAGTCAGCAGCGGCGCTATCCTCATGAACAAACAAGCCTGTGCTCGACGAGTGGCAACGTACTGCTGGTATCCGTGTTTGGCGATGCCGACGAGCAGGTCTCGATCTTCATCCATACCCCACCAAGAGGCTGGGGGCGCGCAAGTCATTATAGGCATTTCCATGCCTGGAGTGGGCTTGACCTTATCTAGCAGTTCATGCATCTAGAAGGAGTGAAGCAGCCAGCATGTTGGATTCAGAGCACGAGTACTACCGAGCCGATGGGAGAGATGCAAGCGGATCGATGGGAGAGCCAGCGGACAGCATCACAGCCTACCATGACGACCCTGGTGATCAGGTTCTTGGCTTTCTTGGTAAGATGGTCGAGATACTCGGGAGATGCGTCGATCAAAAGCGAGCGGTACTCCGCAATCTAGTAAGAAGCGAGTGTGAGAATTGTGCTCATATCGACGAAAGGGAGGCTCTCCGCTATCGCTCACAAGCAAACAGCCGACACTCGACCATGCATCCGCAAGCTGGGAGTTCAGTCCAGACGTGTGTATGCGGACGCGTATACCTGGCGCTTGGTTGCTTGGTGGTAGGGCACCTCGATACGCTCGCTCAGGGCCTCTACCGGAACATTCAAGATCTCGCTGATTTCATTGGCCACCCCGGGTTCCACCGAGGGTCCGTGGTTGAGACAGTGCAATATAATGGCTCGGGCGCATGCCTGGATGCAAGCGAGGTCCTATGAGTCGATACACACGGGACAAGGCAAACCACGGCCAGCAGCGACGGTGCGCCAAAGGGTGAGCGAGCGACATTGTCCGCGTATGAACACTCACCTGGAGATCTTTAATAGAGCGGCGGGGAAAGTTGGGGGCGACCCTTTCCCAGCAGCCGAATCCATTGGCCATGATCGAGCGCTCCATCTTGGTTTTCTCCGTCTGCGACCACAGCTTCGGGTCGCCTGTCGTTCGCTTTCGCGTTTCCTCTGTCGAAACATTGGCAGACGACAAGATATAAGCTCGCTGCCGCGTATGCTTGCATAGGTCACAGAGCTTTCCGTCAGGCAATCGTCCTTCGGCGCACCCACCGTAGTCATCGTCGTCGCCATATAGCTCGTCTTCAGCTCCAAAGCGCTGCACTGTATCGGTCAGAACAGAACAAAAACATGGCGTCAGGCTCCGAGTGAACAGATGTGGCGCGGGAAAGCAGTAGTGGGCCGAAAAAGCCATCAGAATGGGTTTCTTGATGATGGCTTTTGTGCGGCGAAGCGGTGGGACCGACAGATATCCTGACCTTGCCGTCTCTGACGCCGCTCGTCGATAATCAGAGTCTGATAGGGTGAGACTTGCTCAACGACATTCAACTTGGCCTGCTCAGCGACCTTGTCCCAGAAGTTGGGGTCGTTGATATCGACCTCGTTGCCTGTGCCAGCCCCGGATGTCAGCGATAGTGGCATGCGACGCAGCGCGAACACTGTTCGCGATATCAGTGCCCTCCAGCTAGAACCGAATGCCTACCAGTGTTCGACACAGCAAATGTGGCCTTGGAGAAGATCGAGCTCTTTTCTTGGCTGTTGTCGTGGCGAATGGTTTGGGTGCGCCGCTCGAGAATCTGGTCGATATCTTCGGCGCAAAACTGCTTGCTGTGTTTGCGAACAATGAGTGCATTCTCCGTGAGTACATCGGGGCTGGAGACTGAGCCGAGCAACGGGTGACACGCTCTTTCGGTCGCTCGATCATCCACGCAATTTACCTCGCCTCGTCGTCGATGAATGCACCTGGATGCGTACGGATTGCAGAGAGAAGGCAAGGCAGGATATAGAAAGCAGCCAGCACGGCGATGAGTGATCCAAATGCATGAGTTGCATACACAGGTGATGGCCAGAGCAGCACTGCTTGCTATGCACGAGGATGCGGATGCAGGGGCACTCCATCGTTACCGTATGCGCCCTTCTTGAGGAGCTGCTCGATTTCCTGCTTTGAGAGCGCCGATGGTGCCAGCGAGCCCGAGCCGTTGTCGTCGCTTGCATCCATGCGCTGGAGCAGTGCACGATCCAGGCCGAGTTTCATGCTCGCTTTGTTGAACATGTCTTGCTCGTAGGTGTTCTTGGTGATCAGTCTGCACACCGCCGCGGTTAGGATACGACGTTTCGTCACATTTGAACACATTCAAGTCATGAGGCGAGTGGGAAGAGGGGAGAGGGACGGACCTGTAAATCTGCACAGGCTTGGTTTGGCCAATTCGATGGCATCGACTCTGCGCCTGGAGATCATTTTGTGGATTCCAGTCGCTGTCGAAAATGATGCACGTGTCCGCGGCTGTGAGGTTGATTCCGACTCCGCCGGCCCTGGTGCAAAGCAGGAAGACTGTCAAAGGCGATACAGGTCAGATCACGGATAGATCATGCAGCCGGATGCGCGAGGCGGGGCGTGCTGGCCTCACCAAAGGTGCTATTGCTTTCTTTGCTAGAGAAGCGATCGATTGCTGGCAAATAGAGACGCTAGTTAGCAGGTGGTTCCAGATCGACAACATATACACAGTCTGCCGTACTGCGGCACTCATAGGTTTAAAGGGTCCTCACCTGCCTGACGCAAATCTCCACGCACTGAGCCGTCAATGCGCTCAAACGCGTATTGACGGCCACGGAGATAGTCTTGAATGATATCCAAACAGCGCGTCATCTGCGAAAAGATCAGGACTTTGTGGCCCCCGGCTTTGAGCTTTTTGAGCAGCTTGTCGATCAAAACCATCTTGCCCGACGACTCGATGAGATCCATAAATCGCTCCTCGGCCGTTTGGGAACCGGACTCTTGGTGAATGTACTCCTCGGCACCTGTATCCCAGAGGGGCAGAGGTCAACAGAGCAAATATGGCGGGGATGCCATCTTCAGCCCATAGATGCCTCTACATTTGGGCCCTTCGACGAAGCACATGGGGGGTACCAGCCGGCATGAAGTCGCTCGATCATGGACAGATGAAGCAGGTTGCTGGGCCGATTGCCGAGCTTCAGTAGTAAAGCATAGCAAGCCTACCTTTCAACAGGAACGGGTGGATACAGCACTTTCGCAACTCGATCATTGTGTTGATCAGGTTCGGGACATTTTTTCTCTGGGTGCCCTGCTTGAGCCATCCAAAGTTCCTGGCGATGCAAACATCACATCAGAATGGGTTTTGTAAATGCAATATCGCGCAATGCCAGATCCGATGGACCCAAGGATCGATGCTTGCCTCTCTAGAATCGATCGATACCACTTCTTCTGCGAAGTCGTCAGCTCTCTGAACATAGGGTCGAAAATCATACGAATCAGCGGCAGTCTAGGTCAGCGAACGCCAGGCTGCTAGGCAAAAAGCAAGCAATCGCGCTTTGTGTCGAGATTCATTCCATTCAAAACGGGACGGCATTCCATATTCAAAGGGTGACGGCATTCCATATTCAAAGCGTGACGGCATTCCATATCCAGACTCACACTTCTACAATCGTTTCTTCCTTGACAGGAATGGACTTTTCGACATCTACAAGGCCGAGTCGACCGAGGTGAGTCGACGATACCGGGTGCGGACCTTGACTCTTGTTCGGAATGATGGACCTACCTTCTTTGAGGCGCCTAAGCATCAGGGGCTTGAGCAGACCTTGGAGGCGCTCCACATCAGCAGCGCTGTTGAGAGAACCATACTCGCTCTGGAAATGTTTCTCGGATCTGTGGCGCAGGAGCAATGAATATGTGAAATGCGCTTGAATACGCTCCAGGGGCCGTGGGCGCCGCGCATGTCCGGCACACATCGCACACAGGGGTTGGGCCCGCATTCCTCATTACTCACGCGAACTTCTCTGGCTCCAGGAAATTCAAGAGAGCCCAGAGCTCCTCGAGTGAGTTTTGCAGAGGCGTGCCGGTCAGCAAGACTCGGTGATCCATCTTGAATCCCTTGAGGGTCTCGCTAATCTTGGACGTCTGGGAGTCGCAGACAAGGAAGGATCTTAGGATCGACTGCGGCTGGCTGGTGAGCATCCATATCAGTGCAATCAGCACACAAACCTTGTTCTTGAGTCGATGCGCTTCATCGAGAATCACACATCGCCAGTTGATGGGCTTAAGCTGGGAAGCTATAGATCGAGCGATTGGCATCAGCGATTGGCATCAGCGATCGGATGCCAAATGGAAGCGCAAAATGCTATCGCCATATCAACGGAGATCTTTCGGGAGAATCTGACTGCTTACCACCCGACATGGCCATTTCGTAGGTCGTCAAGATAATATCGAATTTGTAGACATTTGGGATCATATTGCCCTTGGTGACCATCGATATCGAGGACAGACGCATCGTGAGATGCTGAGCAATGGCATGGCAACACACACAACTCGGGGGCACTGGCATCCGGACGCTTGCGTGCCGATATGCAGCACTCGGCTGGTCGATCCAACAGATCAGAGCGATCGGCTCTTTGACGAGATTAAATCAAGCGTATGATCTGGCTGATGGATTGTAGATGCTTACCTGCAAGTTACGGTAGTAGAACTCTGTTTCGACAATAAGATTGCGGGCAGTGTCCTTGCCGTGGTAGACCACGCAGTTCATGTTGCTCCAGCCCTTGATCTCACGTTCCCAGTTTCCAATGGTTGACAGGGGAGTTATGATCAAGAACGGCCCATGGATTCCCTGTTTGATGTACAGATGGTCCAAAAACACGACGGACTGAACGGTCTTGCCCAAGCTGCAACCATCAAAGTTTGGAGAGACGAGATATCGAGTAAGCATGCGCTTTAGATGATGAGCCCATACTAGAACGCAGTGCACGACTCACCCCATCTCGTCAGCCAGGATGCTGTTTTGTCGAGTGAACCAACTGTGAACGATAGACAGGGTTGCATTCGCAGATGTGATGGATGGGATATTAGTGCGTGAGCCCAATACACGCAGCGCGCTTTGGGCATAGCCATTCAATATCCGTGACTATCACGTCCCTGAACGTCAAGTCCATGACCAGTTGGAAGGATTTGCACGTGGACAAGTTCGTCATTCAATGCGTCAAACCCACCAGAATGTGAGCCAATTGAGGCCTTCGAGCTGATAGGGGCGCACAGTGTTGTCGTTTTTGTACCTGTGATTCGGGAGCATGAGCACAGTGTTATCGCGAGCCGGAGACGTCAGAGCGACCTGATGTGCGCGACACAAAAACTACGAACACTGGCGATTCTTCAAGCCTGATCCAGGACTTGGGCGATGGGCGGTAGTGAGGGTTCTGATAGGACTGCAGCTTGGCGTGCTTCAGGGTCTTATTCTCTATGTACTCCTGGATTTTTTCGGGATCGATCTGGAGACCAAAGTGAGGTGTAAGCTCGGCTGTAATGGGACAGAGCATGCGCACACACAAGCGTGTGGGTACTTGCGGAGCGACGCAGACAATAACGGGTGCGATGCTGCAGAGCCCACCTTTTCAATCATGCTTTGCGACTCCCATGTTGAAAGATCGTACGTCTGAGCGGCCCACTTGACAAGATAGTAAACCTCGCCGGAAAACTCGCCTTCGTCGATAAGGCGGTCGATCTGTAAACCAGTATATAGGCGGATTATGAGTTAGTCCAGACCTCCGAATCCGCGGCGGCAGCGGCAGCAGCAGCGGCAAAATAGGACCATGGTGCTTAGTGATTCCCACCTTCAAGAAGCTGGGATTGAAAATCTCGTCCTCGCTCCACTGGCTTTCATAGAGGGGCTTGTCCAGGAACCTCCGGACTCGCTGTTTTCCAAAGCGATCCAGGTTCTCGTAGACGCTCTTGGAGATCCATTCGCAGTGATGGTAGCTCAGATGCTGACGCCCAAGGACAATGGGTTGCGAGAGGTGGGTCGGTGTTAGAGTATGACAGACGATCGGACTCCTTCACCCATGAATCGTCCACCGCACATCCTGCGCTGCGGGTGTATTGGGTGTCGCCCTGTTGCAAAGGCCTGCTCCTACCTTGTACTTGACGTACAGCTGCTCCTCCTCGTCATGCACGCGATATGAAAGAAGTTTTTCGACCGAATTGAGGTCCTTTTCACCAATAGGGATCTGAACGACCTCGAAAGGCACCAGCTTGCTGCTGGTGGTGAAGTGCATGGGCGGAAAGACAGGCTGGTGCTCGACAGAGGCGGTCGAAGCAGCGACCTTCGGCTTCTTAGCCTTTGCAGTCTTGCGGTATCCAGAGGATTCTTCATCGTCGTCGTATTCATCGAGGGCATCGTTGTCGTTGTTGCTAGCATCGTCATCGCCGGACAGCTCACTCTCTGGTGAGTCAAAGGCGCTCAGGGCGCTGGAGCTTTCATCCTCGTCATCGACATACTGTGATTGAAGATAGCCAGATGAGATTGCGAGAAACGATATCCCACTCCAGAGAGAGGGGGGGAGCACTGGTGAACTAGCAGGCCCGCGCACGAGAGCGGGTGATGTGCGGGAAAGCGGAACTACTATTATGTCTTCAAAGCAAGGGAGGACGTTACATTTTTCTTGCCCTTGGCTTTCGCGGAGCGGGCTCCCTTCGAACCGTTGGCGTGCTTCATGAGGGAGTAGTACTCGCTGTGGTCCAGAAACAGCGCTGAGCGACTTTGGGCTGGTGATGTATCGAACAAAAGATAGCCTGTCAGTGAGATCATACCGGAAAGTGGCAATAATAGTTGATTCATAGCATGGGAACTCAGTCGAGAGCATTGATGGCGAGCGAGCCAAGCCCAGGCCAGCCGTCATGGAGGGGGATCGTCGGCAAGCCAGTATGCCCAATATCCCACAATCAGTTCCGCCTGCAGACTGAGCAGAGAGTAGGCGTAGAAGCCGAGCATCTCGCTGTCGGTCGAGCTCCACAAACAGCGACGACCCAGCCCCCCCGACGCTTTGGCGAGCTCCTTGCAGCTTTGGACAGGCGAATGCGGGCTGATCTGCAAAGAGCAGACATTGCTGCTTCCGAGACCGCACATTGCAGAAATGCCGGATGTCCTCAACGCTGCATGTCTCTGGGAGCTCGCTTGCATAGGTGAGTCCCCAGGCCCAGGACGCTTTGGTTTGGCCTGCAGCGTGCGCCGTCGGCACCGACGGGACGGCAGACTGTGCAGGACGGCTGATCGCATGGCTGCCGATAGGAAGCCGTCGAGCCGTTCGGCACTGCTCTGCTAGCGGCTCACGGAGGCTTTGTATCTGCATGTCCCGATCTCCAGCCAGCTGCTGTGGCCTGGTTGTGGAGGACCAAGGCCAGAGCCAGGCTCCCACCGACTTGCAGGCAATCCCGGACCCGGCCGGAGCAAGCAAAGCGACTCGTACCTCTGGTTACTTGGTCTTGATCGACGGAACCACCTGGCGGTCGGGAAGGCAATGGTCCGGGCGGATGTGCGCTGACGATCGTGGGCGATGATGAAGCCGCACACGGGGATCTGTTCGCCGTTTTCAGTTTTTTGCCCCTCCGGATTCCCTCGCCGGTGTGCCCTCGGCCGCCTCCCCCTCCAACGAGAACACACCACAAGCGCTCTTGCCTCGACGCTGGCAGCCCAAGCCTCTCGCGCAATTTGGTGCTTGGCGAGGGCATCGATGCCGTCCATAGTCGGTGATCAACAGGAGCGGCGTCGGCGGACGATGAGATAGCCTGGGTTGTCGCCGTGGATCGGGGATAAGCATTTGAGTTTTGATGCAGCCCTGGCACACAGAGTGCTGCAGGAATCGCACAGCGACGCTATATCCGACGATAAATCTCACAACCAACGCAGCGATTCCATCGTAGGTGAGGCACCCTGGGACGCATGTTTGCTATCAGCACCAATGCCGTCCCAACTTTGTCAAGCAGCGTTCCCAGTTACTCCGGGAAGTGCAGCTGAAGCAGCACCTGAGATCCCAGCCATTGCAACATCTGGCCAGCACCAAGGTTGGGCTGCAGATCAACAGCGGTGAGGCGGTAATCCAGATCAAGTCAGATCGGATGAGATAGCAATCGCATATGTGCGAGAGCATTCATGCAATCCAGCCTCGAATGACTCCGACGATACGCATATGTCCCACGACGTTTCGTTGACGATCGTGGGAGAAGATGGGTCAGCCCCGAGAAGAAAGTGGCCAGCGAGGACCTTTACAGAGGCGGGAGATGGTTGGCTAGTCTGTGGTTTATTGCATGCGAATGTGGGGCCTGCTGGCGGTGGACGGAGTCGCTTGCCTGTCCCAGGCCGATCCCGGGCAGAGACAAGAGATAGAGGGAGGGGGAAGAGAGGGATGCACTCACGACGACTCAGCGGCAGCAGGATCGAGGTTCTTTTCGTGCTGCTGTAGCGAGAGGATCAGGGTCGAGGGTGCTGTGTTGAGGGTGCTGACCAGGCTCTGGGCAGGATAGCTCAGAAGCCCAACAATCTCGGCACGCAGATGGCTCAGGCCAGGCAGAGTCTTGACATGGTTCAGCTGATCGAGCGACAGTGCGGTGGTCTCGAGCTTGCCGCCGACAACGAGGATGCTGTCCTTGAACTTATCGGCGAGGGTCATGAATTCGGCCGTGAGTCTGGGTCGCTCGGATTCGGCGACGTTGGAGGAGGCAACACAGCACTGTCCCGTAAACAGACTTCGCAGCTCGAGCAGGGCTGGGTTCCCAGACTCAGCAGCAGCAGCCTTGATGGCGGCCGAGAACACGCCATTGCGGGCCATGGTTAGATCGAAGCCTTGTTTCTTGAACTGTCGCTTCAGCTCGGCATACTCGGACGCGGAGGGGTTGAAGACGTTGAAGACAAAGAAGGTTGGCTGGGCGAGGATTTCCGAGTAGAACTCGAAGAGAAACGTTCGGCGTTCGTCAAGAGGCACACCGCGGCGGCTTCGCGGGGGATTCTGTTCGACATATCGAGCTCGTTCGGGAGTCAGGACACCCTTGTGTGTGGCATCTGAGGCAGCAGAGTCTGGCGTTAGAGCCGGAATGTGTCTGAAACGAATAATCGCACCACAGAGAGAAGCAGCAGCGTCACGTCGCTGCAGCGCAGCGATTGATCGAGTCCGCGGGCATCAAGATCGATCCCGGACGGCAACGCCTGTCGGATTCTGCTTGGTGATCGTGGAGCTTGGAGCGAAGCCTCATGACGACGAACGGGACAACCGGCTCGGCTAGCACAGGGACAACTCACATGCACGGATTGGGATATGGCGCACGCCCGAGGCCGAGAGAGCGGGCTGGATGGCAAGCGCCAGTGGACGCAGCGATCGGATGAGCGACATGATGCACGAGAGGCCCGGTGACGACAGAGTCAGGCAGAGCCAAGACAATTTTTCGTTTTCAGATCGCACGCGGCTCGAGGGCGGCTGGAGCCAGCTTTTTTCTTGTGTTGCACAAGACGATCTCAGGCGAGAACCGCGACGGCGTTCTCGGCAGGCCGGGCGAGAACATGGCGGTGGGAAACCAAAGGAGCGGAGGTCATGGATGGCTGCAGCAGAGCAGGAATGCCGGTCGCCGGCCATGCAGACGGAGAGATGTCCGCAAGCCCAACCCGGCCCTGGGACGGGTGAGCACCAGCGATCAAATTGGCTTGGTTTTTTTTCGGATCTCTGTTGCTGGCAACGACCACAATATCAGATCACTTGGAGTCAAGCTGTCTGGTAGACGGGCGTGTTGGTGGAAGGGTGAAGCAAATGAAAAGAGCCCTGCAGGCTGAGGAATCGAGTATGGAAAAACAAATAGCAGAACGAAAGGACAGAAAGCGGGGGCACGGGGGGGGGCGGGTTTGGGGGGCAGGCCTCGCAGCGCGGGCAACAGGCACCTCAAAGCGCCAGCCATCCCAGCCAGAGCTGCCGATGCTGAATCTCAAGAAAGAGGCGCCGTATATAGCAGTCGGCACTTCTACGAAAAAAGGCGACACCAAAGGCCGGCGGACACGGGCGCGCGGCAATCCAAATGTGGGGAGTTGAGGGGAGCTTAGTCGGTCATGCCGTCGTCGGGGCTAATACGGAGCGGGAAGGTCAAAGTCAGTTGACTGGTAGCAGCGGCGATCCGAGCGACAAGCCCACACTCTCTGTGAATCGGATGCGGATTCCTTCACGCTGTGCAAGCCGGGGTCAAATCCGGGCGACAGATGAATGGGCCGGGCTGTCGTTGTTGCGATGTCCTTGTCAAGGACGAAGAACTCACCGATCGTGAGGCTTGACCATGCCCGGAATCCGCAGGGCCGCATCCATCTCCTCCTTCTTCTTGATGGCCATCTCGGCCTCGCGCTCTTCCAAAAACAGCTCACTGTTGTCCCCTTGGAATTCCTGTTGGACCACGGTTTCGGTGAGCAATGCGTGTGAGCTGCGAGCCAGCGCATGGCACAAACGAATACGATCGTGCAATCCAGCATCCACGTTCAGTCCGGATGCGCGGCACCCTCAACTTGCCTTCAGCGTGATGAGGAAGTCTCTGACATGGCCCTTGAAGAGGTTGTGGTCCTTGTCAGTCGAGAAGAATCCAATGACGAATTGGCGGACTTGGACGGGCTGGACGTGGGTGAAGGCGCCCTGAAGCAGATTGCTGACAAACTCAGAGACGAATTCCTGGTTAGTCATGTTGGGGTTGGCAACCTGAGCTGGGTTGAAGAGCGGCGCGGTAATGACGTTGGTATCGACGAACTGGAACATGTTCATCAAGATCAGAGTCTGAGTTTTGAATCCTGGAAATCAAGGTGGCAAAAGTTGGGGGCGAGAGCAAGTACGGTCAGTTTAAGCAGCGGTCGGTGATAGGAACAGATCGCAAGCCACAAGGCCGCGCATCTGGACTTGGACAGCTCGTAAACTTGGCCATGCGTTCTGCAGTGTCATGCAAGCCTACCAGACTTGTGCATGGTATTAGTCAGGACAAAGAAGACGTCCTGCATGATGTTGATGTAGTAGCTCTGGAAGAAGGCATTTGAGATGGCCTTGTCGGTCTTGGCAAAGTTGAGCAACAGCTCGAGCATGATGGTAAGGCCGGTTTCGGAAATATCGCGCATGGTGTGCTTGAAGGCCCATGTGACACTGTCCATGAAAAGCTTGAACTGCGGGCCGGCCAGCTGCAACAGGGCTACGACGGAGATCGCGGCGATGTGCGCCAGTGCGTCAGCACATCGACAACGAAAGCAAACGAGGAACGATACCATGCCTCACACCAGGGCAGCCCACACATATATACAAACCTGGGAAGCAGTTGGCATTGATGACTTGCAAGAGTCTGAAAAACGACACACGGTGCTCTGGGAACTCCTCAAAGTTGGTGTTGATCATGTTGAGAGTGCATTCGAATACAGCTTCGAAGATCGGGAACACGCGATCGGTCATCAAAGTCTGGAGACGGCATTGGCTCATGATCAGAAGGCGAAGCGATTTGGACAGGGCCTCTCTGCACATGGTGCAAAAACAAAGGGCATGAAGATCATCCAGCGGGAAGGTAGTCCGCCGAGCGAGGGTCGGGGAATACTTGCCTGGAGACGGGCGACAATGCTGGCCATCACACTGAGCACCTCGGCATCACGGGCTGGGGGAGCACCGCGGGCATAGTCACCGAGGATAGTCTCAAGCAGGGGAGGAATCAAATCACGGTTGACGGCCTCCAGATCATCGGCCTTGTTGACAAAGATCTCAATCAACTTCAAGACCTCCTTCTTGATGGTACGATATCCACGGACACGGGGGGTATGAGTGGCAATCGGGCCTGTCGAGAAGGTGAGCAGCGCGGGGCAACGGTCAGCAACAGCAACAGCAACAGCAACAGCAACAGCAACAGCAACAGCAACAGCAACAGCAACAGCAACAGCAACAGCAACAGCAACAGCAACAGCAACAGCAACAGCAACAGCAACAGCAACAGCAACAGCAGCGACGGCATGCGTACCCTGAGTCGTGACCGCCTCAGAAATAATCTCGCTGACGGCCTTGTACAGCCCAAGAAGGTCCATGTAGAGTCGTCCCATTTGGTTGTAGAAGAGCGGGCCGACAGCAGTGCAAGCAGAGACGTTGGTCTTGAGGATGTTGGCAAGGATTTTGACGTTGCTTGGGTCGTTGAGGACATCGACATTCTGGGCAGCCTGCGACATGATTGTGTCCCACTGCAAAGTTGGTAGCCATAGTGTCAGATTCACCAATTCCAGACTCGGCATGTTGATGGCGGTGGATGCCCAGGGTACGCTACATGGGCGAGCGGCGCTATAGCGAGCTGCTTACCGCCTGGTTGGGGATCTCCATGTACTTGATCATGAGACGTTCGGCCGCGGCCTTGTTGGTTTGCGCAGAGATCATATGGCCCACAGCTTCGTAGAAAGTATGAACCTGGGAGACCGAAGCGAGATGGGGAGTGCAGCGGCGCCACGGGACGTGAGTGCAAGTGCTAGGACAGCTGTGCGCGAGCGAGGCGGCCGACGATTCCGAAACAGGGAAGATACCCGGGATTGTAACGACACGAGCCGGCCAAGGCTGACGACAAGGCTCACCTGCTGGGGCTGCAGATCCGAAGTAATCTGGTTGGTGGTGGCGATGATTTCCTCGATATAGGGCATGATCTCGCCGGCCTGCTGCATCACAAAGTGACGCTTGCACTTCTGAGCGATTTTGATGAAGGTATCACACGCCATGTCCTGGACACCTGCAAAACGGGGGGGTGTTGGTGTTGGAAGAGGTCAGCGAGAAACTCGACACCGTGCTGCTACTGATGCGCTTTGTGGCGGACGGTGCAGGAGGCCGGGGAAGTGTCGCTACGCTACCTTCATGAAGCTCGTGCATGAACTCAAAGAGCTTGTTGACCACAGTCTTGAGGAATTTCCAGTGGGCCTTCAGGAACCGGGGGTACTGACCAACCACGTACATGATGTTGGAAGCCACGACGGCCTTGTTGTCCTTACCGCGCTTCATCTCGCAGAGAACAAGCAAATCCTTGATGACGGTCACCAGGAATCGCTTTTCGGTCTCTTCGTTCATGGCGCCACTGATCGAGCCAATGGCCCAGCAGAGGGTGTTGAGGTTATCCCATGACCACTCAGAGCCATCCATCTATAATCGAGTTGTTGACGAAGGTGCGACAGAGTGAGCGTGCCAAGCGCGATCTCAAGCGGACACAGAAGTCGACATTCGGACTATGGTCTTGGATGACGAAAACATAGGCTGCTCCTATCGAGTCAAAGGTTCTCGGAACCTACCTGTCGAGAAAGCTTCTCGGTCATGATGCCCTCGGTATCCTCAACATCAAGATGGGTCAAATACACGAGGACCTCTCGCATGCTCTTGTAGAGAACAATGGTGTCGCTCTCTTTTACAAACTCGCGGACAATCTCGCCTTCGTCATTTTCGACGATAAGAACCTGTGCAAAAGAGGGGGGGACATATGTTAGTTGACGGGCATTGTACGTTGGCTCATGCTGGCGCCGGGTAGAAACGTACCTCCTCGGGTCGGACCATACGCTCAATCATAACGACACGAAGGCTTGATAGAACACTCTGGTAGATGTGTTTGCGCAATCCGATGGCAGCTCCAGTGGCCATGCCGCCATAAGAGAGGTTCAGTAGCGGTACGTCTGCGTGAGGGATGTTCTGGATTTCATCGTAGAGCTCGGCGACCTGAGCGGTTGGGATGAGTAGGGTAAATATGGACAGGCCGTGATCAACAACAGTGGGATCGATGGGACTGAAAGCATCCTACGATCCGACAATACCGTGTCCAACAGCAGCAGTAGCAGACATACCAGCTTAGCCCAGTATTCCAAGCAAATCTTGAAGATCTCTCTCTCCTTGACGCGAGAGATGTTGATGAGGTAGATGTGGGCATCGATCAAGTCCGTCTTGTCGGCCTCCTTTTCGACACTCTGAGGATATCAAAACGGATTGGGCATGCAAAGTCATTCCAAGGTGAATTCTAAGCAGTTTTCCAAGGTGAATTCCAAGGTACCTGCTCGGTTGGCCCTTGACTGCATCCACGGTTGGAGAAGCTCCCTTACCTTCAAATGGACAGTGAAAAACTGGCAGAGGAACATGGCCAGGTTCTGGATGTAGTTTTGATCTTCGTCTGTAGAGTCTTCCCAAATGGGCACAAGGTCTGGCCGAGATATCGAATAGCAGTGAGCAACGACTTGCAGTGGCGCGCAACAGTGTGCAGCAACGAGCGAATCAATTCCAGCACTCTGGGCGAGCTGAGCACTCACCGGTGTTGGGAGGAAACACCTGTCTAATCGACGACATGACCATATGGAAGAGCACGACAAAGTTTTCAGAGTACTCCGGGCCAACTTGCAGACTGCCGATTTCGGTCATGCACTTGAGAGTGACATTTCGGAACTGAGGGACTCCCAAAAACTGGAGAGTGAAGAGGTAAGCGAGTCAGCGACGGCGCGCACTGTGGCAAGGCACAAAAGCATGGCGCGAATGCGATTACAGTGGGCGACCAGAGCATATGCACCACGGATTGAGCAAGAAGCGTGTGCCGATATAGCATCTGCGCACTTCGGCACAATGGATCACAGGGAGCACCCTGAAGAGAAAGCAGGAGACGGATTGGATACGTACGCGGCTATGAAGCACAGTGATCAAGGGAGTCTCAAAGATATATCCGAGGGGAATCCAGTTCAAAAATCGCAGAAGGGTCTCGAGTGTGGCGCTGATCAAGCTGGGCTTCTGAGCCTTCTCCAGAATCTCGTAGCAGAGCTGGTAGATTTCGGAAAACTCGCCACACATTTGGTTCTTGAGATTCTTTGTCTTTTGCTGGGTCATTTGCTCGTTGGAGAAGTCGAAAATCTCCTCGCTGGCGACACAATTGCGACATAATTGAGACATAATTGCGACAGACAGAGAGCGGCGCCGTCATGGGCAGCATGCCATCCGAAATTAATCGGGATATGTGTGGGTTTCATGAACGGAGCAGACGCATTGACAGTGCGCGGCACACAATCATGGGCATGGATTGGCGGCAATCCGTCGAGAAAGGCGGATGGCTGGCAGAAACACCGCAAACCAGCTCTCACCTGAGGAGTTTCAGAATGCTCATGTTGTTTTCGCAAAGGGCCAGGTTACTCTTGCTCGAGTTGACGATTTCGGGGATGAAGGTGGGCCAGTTGTGGGGCCACTCTTGCTTCAGGATCTAAGGAGGTCGCGAGGAGCCAGGCGATCAGCCTCTGTCGCTCACAGGACAGTCGACGCTCAGACGGCGCAACGACGGTGTCAACTCAACGTTACCTGGACCAGCACAAAGTTCAGCTTTCGCAGGAGCGGCTTCTGCTTCTCGAGCGTAGCCTCATCAGACGACGACTTGATGATGAATGCCACAATGTAGTTCTTGATGCCTATGGCGACGGTGCAAGTGGTCAGTTCCAGGTTCGACCCTCAGCCCCGGCATCGATGGCTCAGACGCCACCACAGAGACTTACCCTCGCGCTGCTCCGGAGGCAGGGCCTTCCACATCGTCCCGATCAGGGTCTCGAGAATCTGCAAGGCGATGAACTAGAAGCAGAGAGCCTCGATGAGTGAGATTGCGACAAAGCCTGCACATGGTAAGCAGATGTCACATGGGACGCCAGCGGACGCATTCTATCGCTGGCCAGCACAATCGGTTCCGATCGAGTCCGGGCATACCTTGGTCTCGGTCAGGGTCGACTTTTCGAGGATACCATCGACACGGCTCCAAGCATCGGGGTGTTCCTTGAACTGGGTGAGAACTTTGTTGGCTTGTTGTTGCTGGCGGATGAGCAGGTTGTCGATGAGAATCGAAGGTCGAGGGAGGGGAGCAGCAGCGCGGCGCTGCCTCAGGGCATAGGGCAACGTGATGTATCGTCGGGGAGGTGGTCCGTGCTCACAGGCAGATGATCGAAGCAAATGCCGTGGACGGTTCGGACGTTGTCGGATGTTCGCACCCAAGCGGGATACGAAAGCGATGATGCAAGTGGATATGCCCGACGGGCAAAAGCGTGCTTTACCTCTACACCCTTCCCCGCAAAGAAAGCGTGGACGACTTTGTCGAGCAGAGCGATATCCAATTCGTTTCGAAAGTCCAAGATAGCCTCCATGTCAACGATCTGGGAGCGTCTGGGATTTATTGAATCCGTCCAGTATCAAGCAGGGTTGATGTCAGTTGGACGTCCATCGCAGAGGGAGTGGTGGGCAGTGCAGCGGCAGGCGAACCAGATCAGGAAGGAAATCGGGTGACGCTGGGGGGGGGGCAAATGTACGCCGCAGCGGTCCGGGCTGATGGCGACGGCTGGCCTGCGATCGAAACATAGCTAGCGCTTGCACCGCACGCCAGCCGCCTATCGTCGGGAACACGGTGGCGGCACGATCTGGCCGGACGAGCTGGCCTGGTCGGTTGGCGGCGCTGCAGGCCCGATCCCAGCATCCGTCTGAGGCAAGGGTGGATATGCTGGGCGGTGGAGGGGGAAGGGGCGAGGCCGACCGGCAGAGCGGGGCGGCAATGTTCAGGAAGCAGGGGGCTCGGTGCTGGGTAGCGGTGGACTCGAGTACGTACCCGTCAGTGTTGGCTGGTTGGTGAGGGTGTGGTCCAAGGCCGTCAGGAATGCCGACGAAAGAAAAGCGACGAAAAGCTGAGATCCTGCTGGGCACAGACTGGGCAGGCAGAGCGAGGGCCAGCGGCGGGATCATGGCCAATTTCTGCTAAATGCGGAAATAGTGGGGCCGGACTGTGCGGGCAGCCTGGACACGGGCGTGGCTTGGAGTGGCTTGGCGCTGGACGACAGCGCAAGGCCCGATGCATCGGCCCAGCACCATGTCCATCGCATTCGACACCCACCCCGGCTCGACAGCGCCCGGCCTCAACAGCACGAACAGTCCAAGGACACACGGCGGAGCCGGAAAAATGAAAGACAGAGCTGTAGCGGGCTGCTTGTCCCCACATCATGCAGGCATGTCCGTGAAGCGGTTCACTCCAGTTTGCAAATCCATTCCCCGCGCCCTGGATGCCAGGATGGGCTCGTTCTCGGGAGGTTTTGAAAACCATAGTGCAGTCGGGACTGAGCCAAAGATCGAATCCACTTGCTCTCTGCCGCGTGCGATGTACGCGGATTTGACGAGACTCACGTAGTGTATCCAAGAGCTAGCGATGGTAAACCTGTGAGAATGGGCGAATATGATCTGGATGGGGTGATATTGGCTCGCATGAAGCGGCGCATATCGCTGACGAACAAAGCTGCACCATAGCTACGGATAGGCCCTTTGTAGTCAGTTGCGGCCGAGCCAAATGGCGTGCCAGTTCATAGTAGCTCGATCCAAAACTCATCTTCATCACCGATGCATGCACATAGAATACATACATTCATACACATAATCGCACATACATCCACATACTCATACGCACACACATACACATGCGCATCCAGTGCATGCTGGGCCGTGTCCTCACCCGCATCGCCGCGTGGGAATGGCGAGGGTGTGTGTGTGTGTGTGTGTGTGTGTGTGTGGTACCACGTGATGCTTCGGGTTGGCGCAGGGTTATTGTCGCTGGTCGAGTGCAATTCCCTTGGACTCTCCTTCCGTTTTTCCAACGTCTTATTGTTAGGCCGGAACCCTTTATTCAAAATGCCTCCCAAGTTTGACGCCAACGAAATCAAGACTGGTACGTTGTGCGGTCGCGGATAGATGGATGGATGAATGGATGGATGGATAGATGGATGGATGGATGGATGGACAAGCGACGAGCCAACAGACGGATCAACGCCTCGGTGGACCAACGGATACGACATTGCCGGGCGGACAGCAACAACCGATTCGGAGCTTTCGGCCCGCTCGGACCGAGCGACCTCGGCGAAATCGAGAATACGGTCCTCAAAGGACCGGGCTGTGTGACTGCAATTGGTGGTATCGTTCAGCTGTCGCCGATCTGCCCAATATCGGCTTCCCCGCGCCGGACATACCAGTCTCGACGCTTGACGAACATCCCTTGGACCCAGCACAACAGCACTGGACAGAGGGAACGGCTCAATTCACGGAGCTCTGACTCCATATCGGCGGTCTGGTGACGGATCGAAGGGATGCGTTCCATTCCCGACCCCCAAGCAATGCTCGATCATGTTCGCTTGGATTCACGGTTCCGGCGACCCACCTCGAAGACCATCGCTGTCCATCCGTCCTCCCTCCACGGACGTGTGCTGAAATCAGAATCTAATCATTCCCCGATCATGCCCACGTTTCTGTGAACTTGGCGGCAAACAGTCGCCCTCCGTGTTACCGGTGGTGAAGTCGCTGGTGGTTCTGCTCTTGCCCCCAAGATCGGTCCCCTCGGTCTGGTTCGTATCGCGAGAACGCAAAGCGACCCGTTTTGCAGCGTGCTCTCCCCTCGTCGCCATCGTCCCGATGACTGATGTTGTTTTGTGCGCAACAGTCCCCCAAGAAGGTCGGAGAAGACATCGCCAAGGCCACCCAGGAATGGAAGGGTCTCCGCATCACCGTCAAGCTGATCATCCAGAACCGTCAGGCTGCCATCGAGGTCGTTCCCTCTGCCTCTTCTCTTGTCATCAAGGCCCTCAAGGAGCCCCCGCGTGACAAGAAGAAGGAGAAGAACAGTACGTAGCTTTTTTACTCTAATGTGGCAAAAATGACATGCGGCAGTCCATCGACATGCAGCCGTGCAGATTCAACCGCAGACGATGGCGATCCTGTGACGCTCGAGTGTCTGTACTCACCTTCCTGGCTGACCACTCGGTTCTGCAGTCAAGCACAACGGCAACCTCGCTCTCAACGATATCGTTGAGATCGCCCGCAAGATGCGCCACAAGTCCCTGGCCAAGGACCTCGCCGGCACCGTCCGTGAGATCCTCGGCACCGCCTTCTCTGTTGGCTGCACCGTCGACGGCCAGTCCCCCCAGGATGTCAGCGAGAAGGTTGCCTCTGGAGTAAGTTGTCGGCGCTACTCATCCATCTATCATCCCCCTTTCAAGCTTGCGCGCTGATAGCTAATCGAGCCCGCCGTACTATCCTCTCTGATCCTTCCACTTTCTGTCCTGCAGGAGATCGAGATCCCCGAGAACTAGATGCACTGTTCATATCGCTAGGACGCAAATATAAAGGGATTCTGAAATAACATTTGTTGCGCTCTCCCAGCCCAATAACATTTGTTGATGCCTCTGTCCATGTCCATTCTCTGCTCTTGGCTGTCCGTCCGCTCGGTTCGCCCCAGATGCGTGTCCCATCATCTCTATTTCCGTCTCTGCTTCTCCGCACCTCCTCCCCCTTGCATCCTCGAGAGCCCATGTCGTCTCCCATCTCGGCTGCGTTCCTGTGGTCGCCAAACCCCAGCGCCAAACCCCAGCGCCAGCCACACCGTGCGCAGCACCCGTTGGCTGGCTTGGCTGCCTCGCCGGATCGAGCCAGCCATGTCGTCCGCCGATGCCCGTTTTGGTCCAGGGTCGCCCGACCCAAAAAGACAAAGGAGGATCTCGACAGTCTCGGCTTCGTCTTGCACTAGCAGTCCTCCCGATCGACCCCCCCCCGGCCGCTGCTCTTGCCCATCTCGCCTTGGCACCTGCCTTCATTCCGTCTCCGTCTGTGATCATGTCTCCCTCGGCTCCAGCTTCAGCTTCGGCTCCGGCCACCAAGCAGTTCCAAGACAAGGAAAAGCCCGCCAACGTCAGATCCAGCAACATCGTCGCTGCCAAAGGTAGGCGGCCGTCCAGTGCCTCCGATCGCTCGACACGACGGCGACTTGCAGCCAGCCCGATTGCAAGCGACTCCGCTGTCCCATTTCGACCCGATCCGGGCATCTCGTTCCAATCGCCCGCATCCATGAGCCTGGGCTCGGCCTCCGCCTGGCACGATGGTGCTAACCCAGACACATTCATCCCCCCCTTCTCTTTGCAGCCGTTGCCGATGCCGTCCGCACTAGCTTGGGCCCCAGAGGCATGGATAAGATGGTAGGCGCTTGCTGCCCGGCGATCGTGAGGCGATCTGCTGCAATCCGCCTCGGTGCTTCTTCCGATCCGTGCCTGTTCACTCGGTTTCGTATTTGCACTCGGATCTGATCTCTGGCATGCCTCTCTCCTCCCCTCCGCCTCGGCTGTCGTCGCATCTGGTTCCCGATCGCACGGTCAAGATCCAAACCGGCACTGGCGAAGTTATCATCAGCAATGACGGCGCCACCATCTTGAAGCACATGTCTGTTCTCCATCCCGCTGCCAAGATGGTACTGTTTCCTCGGCACCAATGAATCGCTGGGCTGGCTTGCATGAGGCGAAGCCTCTTCTCGTCCACTGCCTCCGTGATCCGCTCACCCTGTCGCTCGTTTCTAGCTGGTCGACCTGTCCGCTGCTCAGGACGTTGAGGCTGGCGATGGCACTACCTCTGTCGTTGTCCTCGCCGGCAGTCTCTTGAACGCTTGCGAGAAGCTCTTGGAGAAGGGTAAAGCTCGTCTGAACCAGCGCCCCTACCGTGATTCATCCTGCCTCGCTTCAGCTTTCCCGCCCAAAGAATTCCCTCATATGGCGCTCTCTGGTCGATCTCAGCTCCTGGGTGCTTTGCTGTCGGCCTTGGCTGCCATCTCCTCGTCCTCTGACCAGCATTCGTTTCCTCACCCCCCCCTCCAAGCCCCACTCCTCTGGTGCATTCATATGATCATTTGCATCCAAGATGCTCCCAACCCGCATTTAACCCCCACTTTTTTTCATGTCCTATCGGCAGGTATCCATCCCACGACCATCGCCGAGTCCTTCCAGCGAGCTGCCCAGAAGACCACCGAGTTCCTCACCGAGATGTCGACGAAGCTTGCCCTGACTGATCGCGAATCGCTGCTCAAGAGCGCCAGCACTTCATTAAACTCAAAGGTATAGTCGCATCACAGGTCGTCGGCAGCGCACGTCCGGCCGCTCGATCGTCAGAGGCGTCGCGGACACGCTGCAGTGTCGCAGCCGACCGGCTCCAGTCGTGATCGCTCAGTTGCTGCTGCTGGATGGCTTTGCCCTGCTCCTGATCGTGTCCTAATAACTCTCTCAATGTCTTTGCTGACTCCCCCCCCAAAGATTGTCTCGCAATATTCGACCCTCCTGTCGCCCATTGCTGTCGACAGTGTCCTTAGCGTCATCGATCCCCTCACGGCCACCAACGTTGATCTGCGCGATATCCGCCTGGTCAAGAAGGTCGGAGGCACCATCGATGATACACAGCTGGTCGACGGCCTGATCTTGACCCAGAATGCTGTCAAGAGCGCCGGTGGTCCCACCCGCGTCGAGAAGGCCAAGATTGCCCTCGTCCAGTTCCAGCTCTCGGCCCCCAAGCCCGATGTGAGTGGTTCTGCCAATGCTATCTCCCACAGGAGACCTGAAACCGCAACGGCTCAATGTGTCCTCGTTCTCACCCGAGCTACTCACCCGAGCTACTCACCCGAGCCACTCACTTTTGGCCCTCATCCTTGACCAATCAGATGGACAACCAGATTGTCGTCAACGATTACCGGCAAATGGACAAGATTCTCAAGGAAGAGCGCCAGTATCTCCTCAGCATGTGCAAGACCATCAAGAAGGCCGGCTGCAACGTCATTTTTGTCCAAAAGTCCATTCTCCGCGATGCTGTGAACGATCTGTCGCTCCACTTCCTGGCCAAGCTGAAGGTCATGGTGATCAAGGACATTGAGCGCGACGAGGTCGAGTTCATCTGCAAGGTACGAGTCGTGGAGCCGTCTGCGTGAGGCAGTCTCAACGTGGCGAGTGTGCAGCTGGTAGCGGAATCAGCTTCCACCACCTTGCTAATCCCCGTTTCATTTGCTCTCGCACGGCTCTAGTCCACTGGATGCAAGCCCATTGCCGACATCGAGTCCTTCACCGAAGACAAGCTCGGCTCTGCTGATGTCGTCGAGGAGGTCGAGAGTGCCGGCGCCAAGGTCGTCAAGGTCAGCGGCGTCAAGGTCAGCGGCAAGACGGTCTCGGTTTTGATCCACGGCTCCAACCCCCTTGTTCTTGAAGAGGCCGAGCGTTCTCTCCACGATGCTCTCTGTGTCATTCGATGCCTTGTCAAGAAGAAGGCTCTGATCGCCGGCGGCGGTGCCCCCGAAATCGAGGCCTCCCGCCGTCTGTATGCCTACGCCAAGACGCTCAAGGGCATGGAGGCCTACTGCTTCGAAGCCTTTGCAGAGGCCCTGGAAATCATTCCCACCACTCTTGCTGAGAACGCGGGTCTGAACCCCATCAGCATCGTCACCGAGCTCCGAAATCGACACGCCAAGGGCGAAACAATGGCCGGCATCAACGTCCGCAAGGTAAGCGCCGCTGTCTTGTGCACATAGCTCGAGGTGCTGTTTTTCTCAGATGCCCGGATCACGGCGGTTATCCGAGACAACGACGCCTTCCCGCCACCCTCCACGACATCCCTCCATGGACATTTGGAGCAGAATCGCTGACGCTCTTTCCCGGACTTTAGGGTCTCATCACCAACATTCTTGAGGAAAACGTTGTGCAGCCGCTGCTCGTTTCCACCAGCGCCATCGAGCTTGCTGCCGAGACCGTCAAGATGATCATGAAGATTGATGACATTGTGAGTTGATTCTGCATCGTGTCTGCGCCCTTCTCCGCATACAGCCATCTCAAGCAGCCCCCTCTGCGTGGAATATGACTAACACACACATAATTGTGTTCTGCAGGTTACCGCTCGATAATCGTCTCGCCCGCTTGTCGCGCTGCCCATTAGACCTGCAGCGTCACCACATGCATAGCAGCACCGAGAACCCGTGTATGCAATACATCCAGCCACTGTATTGATGGAATTCTGCGTGTGTTGGTGTCTGCGCCTTCGCCTGGCGACCCATCGAGCAACTGACTGCGTTTTGGGGGTCGTTTGGGACTCTGTCCGTGCCGCATAGAGGCGGCACTCCGAGGCAATCTCACGCGTCTTCGGGGCATCACGGGCAATGGAATGGGTGGCTATATTGACAGGAGTTCGCAGGCGACTCTGGCCATGGCCGATCGATATATCCAACCAAGTCCGTCGGGGCATTTATGGATCCATGGTGCTGCCCTCTGGTTTGGCCACGGAGCCTCTCTTGGCGCAGTCCTCCAGGGTGATGTTGAGGCGGGTTGTGGCCGCCACGGCCTGGGCCGGGATTTGGGGAATGTATACCTCGATCATATACCGCATGATTTTGTTGGCCTGGGACTGGTATTCTGCCATAAAGGCATACCCGCCAATCTGTTTTGCAGAAAGAAGCAGGTTTGCATCAGACATCTTGCCCCCAAGGCAGAGCCAATCATCCACGAGCGACGAGCGACATGGCTTCAGACAGCACAGACGGCTATCGATCGACCGCCGGAGACCGCTCCTGTTGTCCCCGACGCTTTCACTTCAACGATACCGCCCCAAGTCGCACATGTCTGCTCCAAGAGAGCCTTCGCCGATCCACGTCGCTTTGGCGCTCACCTCCAAGAATGTCTGTAGGAACGTCGGAGTGAGTCGGCGTGGCTTGAGGTTCAGGATTCGGGCGAGCCATGTCCAGAGATAGCCAACGCCAAACGGATTCGGCACTGGGCACAATCGGCAGTGTGAGTCAGGTTGCGTCGGCAGTGTGTGCTGGTACAAGGTACACGATCCACTCTGACTGTACCCGCACCATGCGAATCGCCGCCACAAAGCTCCTTCGCGCAGCCCGGCGAAAAAACATAGCCAACGGGTTCGGCATGACCACCATTCAGTCACTGCGCTCGCTTGCAGAGCGATGTAGTGGCAAACGCACGTACCATCGGTCAACTGAACCAAAGCGAGGTAGAACGCCAGGATCCCGTTCATGCGCTCTCCGTACTGGATTTCGGTTTCGAGGGTTTCTCCATCCCCCGTGGGACGGAAGCCTGCCCTTTTTTGCCAGTCGGTGCTGGACTCGCTCTGTTTTCGGACCAGTTCGTAAAGTTCAGCGTCCATCCGATGGGCGACGACTGGCCTAGGGAGGCAATCTGCTGTGCTCGGTGGAACCAGATCGTTGACGCCGCATGTCCACCAGAGACTCGGACCATGAATAGGCTTACCGCAAGCTTGGGGTAGTACATCGGCACGACATATGAGCACCGCTTAATGAGCCGCCCCATTAGCAGCTCCACGAATTCCGGATGTTCCTTGCACAGCAAGAGACACACGCGGGCAATTGGAAAGGCCATCGAGTGCTTGACTGCAACTTCTTTTTCGGCTTGTAGCTGGGACGGGAATCAGATGCGGGGCCAGCACAAAGGAGTAAATGCTCTGGCTTTCCACCATAATGTCGAAAACAGCCATGATGTCGATAACAGCCACACACACTCGCTCTCCCATCACCATGCACGGGTCACATCGCTCTCTCAGCAGTTTGATGAAGATTCCAATTACCACAAACTGCTTGGCGGTGAAATCGAGAATATACTCGAGAGCATTGATGTTGATTGCCCTGGCCTCTGTGAACGCTCTGTCGATGGTTTTGCTCTGTGCATCAATCCAATCAGCAGCGACAGCCTTGTCAGTGGCTGGAGGCTTCAATTGGGAAACAGCACTCGAGAAGGCCACAATCATCTCTACGGTTCAAGCTGCACCATGCCTCACAGGTGTCGCACGACCACTGGGCTTTCGGGCACACGCCTTGCCAGTGCATCACTTGACTTACCACTTCGTTGACCTTAGCTCTCGAGTTCGTGACCTGGCCGACGGATCGAGTCACCATCATGCGCACCATAAAGATCTTGTTCTTGGCCTGGGCGTCAGCAAATGTCGCTGGCTTGGCCACTTTCTTGACATGCTACAACCAAAATGAGTTTAATGCCGTGCTAATGCTGCATCCGTGAGATGGCTGAGGTGCCTCATCCCCTGGCCAGGGCGCCAGCTGCCGGCCTGTGTTGCACAGCAGCATCATACCTCGGTCCTTTGTAGGCAGGCCGATGCCATTTTCCAAGCCGTCACAGTGGCAATCTAGGCAACAAAATCATCGTCAGAGTAGCTGATTGACCGACACGACCCAACCATCGTCCCTTTCCTCCTCCTGCAAGTAACGGTCGTGTGCTTATCCCCAGCAAGCACCAAAGGCACGGACATGGCATAATACATACCACACTGGACTCTGAGTGAGGGCCTTGGGCAGGAACAATCGGTCCGGCCATCTTGGCTTGCTCAGCGTCGGCCTTTTGCTTTGCCTCTGCTACAGCTTTGGCCGCTGCCTCCGCCTTCTGCCGCTCCTGTAGTTCCTTCTCCTTGGCTTTCGCTTCGGCGGCAGCCTGCTCGGCTTCCTTCTTTCTCGTCAGTTCCTCTTGCTCCTTTCGTTTGGCCTCCTCCAGAGCTTGTCTTTCCGCCTCCTCTTTCTTTTTCCGAGCCTCTTCTTCAGCCCTGAGCTTTGCTGCTGCTTCTTGTTCGCGGAGATCAAGCTCGCGCAGCTTCTTGATAGCGGTGTCAAGGCTCTGTCGATGGGGATCGCACTTGATCAGCGCACACCGAATATTTTGCTTGCCGCGAGCCGAGAATACTCACCATCTGAGTCAAACTCTGCTGCTTCGAGACAAACGAGCTATACTCATTCCGCTTGGCAGTCCTAGTGTGGCGGTAGACACACGTTATTCACTTGCATGCATCGCGCATCGATTTGCTTGTCGGCACGCTTGCACGATCATCACAAGACCCTACATTTTGGACCGAATCTGATCCACAGCTTTGCTCTTGTCGGGACTTGAAGTAATTGGCGCCGAACAAGCTGCCTCGATCTGCTGCGTAAGCTGCTGTCGGGTTTCCGTGATGCCCATCTGCTTGAACACCAACCAAAGACGAAGCAATAGCGGAAAGTTGCTCAATAACGGCGACACCAGCAACAACTACGCCAATATCGGTCATGGCCATGTCGATGATACCAAAGCTCGCGAGTCCGACTAGGGTTGAATCAAATCTACGCCAGATGTCCATCCGGTGTCCATAATATACGTCCATCACAAACCGACCCCCCCCCGCATCACTACATGCTCGGTAAACAGTCAACTTCTCCCCATCTCGCGGTGTCCCAGATGGTGAGCAGCGCGGCGCTTGTCGAACCTGATGAAGGTGCTCCAGCAAATCTTGGATTTCTCGTCGTGGGTGAGGAGCCTGGGCACCAAGCACGACATCTCGAATCCCAGTTGGATCGTCCGACGAAATCATGGCGCTGCTACCGAGACTATCGACCGAATCGATCGAGTCGTTGGATTCTGAGAGTTGGGGCTCTGGTCTTCCAGGGCCGATTTTGGGGAGCAGTTCGCTTAGGGTCATGGACTCGTCCGTTTTCTCGTTGATAGGATCGAGTGTGTCTTTATCAGGCTTCAGAAAGGCGGGAGCTCGAATACCAAGTGAGGGACTCAGCGATTCGCCACCGATGGATAGTGCGCTTTCGTCGGGATCCAGCGGTGCGCCAGTAATGCTCCGGTATGCCCGCACTGGCGAGTTGGGACTGAAGGTCTGCCTCATCTTGGGAGGAGGCATGATCCTTGACCGAAGCGGCGGGTCGGCTCTTGAGACCGGCGAGACCATACCAAGCGCACGAGTTCGTGGTGGCGATGGGCCCGGCTTTGGCGATTTGTGGCCCGACAACGGAGCCGCTGGGGCAACGATGACGGCTTCTGCCGACGGGCTCGCTGAGGCATCCAACGGCTGCCTGGGGCTCGTTTTCAAGGCGGCGGTCTCTCGAGATCCAGAACCAAGGCCGTTCGAGGCGGCTGTCCTGATTCTGCTCTGGAGGCTCCGGGCAATCCCGCCAGCAGTGTTGCCGAGCTGGGGAATAGCATGTGGCTCCCTGGGGGGCAACATCATCACCGGCAACGACGGAGATGCCGACATGACGCAAGTAGCGACGAGTGTGGCGAAAGAGGAGATAGAATCGAGGGCCGGCGACTCTCCTTCGGCACGGGCTTGGCAAAGGCAGGCGACGGCAATGCTGTGGGCTGGATGGCGATGGAGCGAGAACAGCGATCGCCGAAGCTGCCGGAGCCAGGACCTGCGACCGTGATCGCGGATCGAACCGGAAAGCTGCGCTGGCTTCCCAACCACAACCAGGCGTTTCCCACGGATGTACGGCGCTGATGTGGAGTCGGTCCGGGGCTCGGTCTGGGCGTCGGTGCAGATAGAAGGTGGTGATGACAAGTGGCTCGAGATCGTTCGGCTCTTGGGTCTGCGTGATCAGCGGGCCGTCCGGACCTTCGTTCCCATCTCCAGAGCAACCCGCCAGATCCCTCACAATGCGACTTTCCAGAATTCCTTGGGGTGTGCTTGGTGCCGATCACGGCCTATAAGTTCAGAGCGAAAGGCAATCGCAGCCCCTGAAGGTACTCTGCCGAAATCAACAAAATGATCGTCATCCTGGGCCACCGCGTCCTGACAACCTTCCTCACCGTCGCCCAGCTGGTATGTAGCGGCCATCGCTCTCAGTTTGCGCATCGCAGAGGAGCACCATGTCGATATTTCGCTGCGGGTAACTGGAAAGGCCCTGGCTCTCTCTGTTTGCTCCGCTGCAAGCTCATCTGTGACTATATTTTCCAGGGATTTGTGATAGGATATCTTGTATACACCTGGACCATCAGTCCAACCCGCAGCTTCAACTGGATCGGGCTGCTTGAGTTGATCTGGCCATTTTGGGTAAGCTTTGTTTACTAGCCAACGCAGCATCCCGTTCTCTATGGCGAAATCGCACTGTCTAAGCCTTTGCACCAGTCGCAGCCGCCGTCGCTCAATAGCATGCGCTTGCATTCCCATTTGCAGCTCTTGGTAGCGATATGGCTCTTCAGCCCTCACGCACCCAAAAACCCTCTGCACAAAGCTTTTGATGCTCCAAAGGCCTGCATGCTGGTATGTTCCACAGTCAGCATTGGCGATGCGGACAATCTCAGCGCTGCTACCATGGCAACAGAGACTGCTGTGGTGGAATCACGACCCGAGAGCTCTAACGATGGCCACTCCTTTGGCAGTACGTCATCTGGGCATTCTGCAGCCTCGCCATCAATCTTCTGATTGTTCTGCTCCTTGAAAGCGTTGTGAACTTTGGCGACAGCACCAACACTCAGCTGCTGTCGTTCTTTGGCTACCAAAACACCAACCTATACGACAGCAAAACTCGACTAATTGCAGTGCTGTCGTGTGCTATTCGTGTGGGGCTGCAGGTAAGGGTCGCCATGCTACTTTGGCATCTCCTTGGAATGGCGCCTTGCTACATGCAGATGGCAAGGTAACAAGTCTCTGACTCGAGCCAAACCGTCGCTGTAGTCGATCGGCTTCGTGTATGTGGTATTTGTCCTCCGGAGAAAGGTTCGGCGAGATCGATTTGACTGTAGGTGGCCGGTTCTCCCAACATCGTCTCTTGCACGCACTGTCGCTTCCATGGGATGACATAGACTACGGCCCTCTCTATTGGCTCGCCTTCATGCTTTGATAAACATGTGATTCAAATTGTAGTTCAAGGCTATGCTTAGGATCGCTGGGGTAGGCCACGGCCCGGCGCTCGCAAGCCATATCATCTAACCCTCAAGCCAACTCTGAAGCCAACTCTGAAGCCAGCCCTGAAGCCAACGCAGCTCATTTCAGCGACTCCGAGCACCAGCGATATCGTTCATCTCTGCGCCGCTTGAAGCTAAACCCTGATAATCAGCCGACTATGAACAGCGAAAGCTCTAGAACCTTGGGCATCCGTGACTGCCTGGTTCCGCTGCACCGAATGTGATCGCTGTATGAACTATAATAAACGCAATAGTATTCGCGTTCACCGAAATAACCAATATTTGGCGATGGCATCCAAAGTAACACCAGCGGCCCGATATCAAATCTGCAGCACGCAGTGATCCGTCTCCAACAGCAATACCGTCGCAGCAGTGCGTCCTCCGCCTGCTGGAGCGGAGCTCTGGAGATGCACGGCATCCGAGTCGGCCTCATTCATGACCGCCAGGGGCTGTTAGCAGTGTATTCTTCGGTTTGCCACTGCTGCCTCTGTGTGTAACGCCGCTCGAATCATATCTTCTGCACCTTTTCGTTCTTGATGAGTGGGTTCTCCTTCGCTAGGGTGATGCGGCCAGCCTCCTTGTAATCATATGGACACTGGTGACGATCCGTGTATCGATGCACAGAGCAAAACGTCTCGTCGCAGCGACACTTGAAGCACGCTGCCAGTCCAAGCTTCTTCTTGCACAGCGCGCATCTCAGCTTCTGGTTTGCGGGCGGAATATGTGGTGTGGACGAGCGCTTTCTGGGGCTGAAGGTTCCTGGCCGTCGTGGGGCGACCGGCTCCGAGAGCCGCGCAAGACTCTCGCACAAATCCCCCTCGCTGCTTGGCGGCGGAAGAATCTGTGCAAGCCGAGGGAGAAAGGTCTGAAACTCGACAAGCTCTTGGTTTAGCTGCGTCAGGATGGATGAATGGTCGCTGAGTGGTGGCAGGTTGATGAGCGGCAGCAGACACTCAAGGTCAGACTCTCGGCCCTGGCGGCCATCGCCCATGTCTGTCGCCGTCACGTCAAACCGAACGGCTTTCTTGCGAATCTTGCGCCCGCGGCGCCCGGGCATGTTTGGCTCGAAGGGCGGTGGGGTTGGAGATAAGTACTCTCGTTTGGAAGACTTGCGCGGCCTTGATGGGGTCTGGGGAGACCGAGACGGTGAGGACGGCTGGGGGCTCGGTGTCTGTCGCAGGACCGGGGATGGTGTACGAAGGGGGACATATGCCGAGGCCGGGCGGTGCTTCGGTACGATGATCATGGGTGTGGCTCCCCCCGCAAGGCGCATCACCGAAATAGCTGTTGCCGGACGGATCTTGCCCTGGATCACTCTTCGATGATACCCCGGCGCAGGCATGGCTGTGACCGACCTCAGGATTTGAGAGTCGATGTTCCTGGCGTCCCACGAGGTTTCGGGCAGAGAAGAGCCGCCTGACGATGGCCGACTGTCACCCCTCGACCCGTATTTCGAGCGGTGGTATACGAGTGTCTGTGTGTTCCTCGGCGATGTTTCGGAGGAGGACGGCGCAAGGAGCGACAGGAATGTGTCTGTCGACATGGTCGATGCCGACGTGAGTGGCCGACGACGGCTCTGTGCCGGGACCTTTTGTCTTCGCGAGGCATACTTTGAAGACTTTGTGCGGCCCCCGATTGCATACTCGCCAGAGTAGTCATCGGGATCCAGCAAAGCAGGCCGGCGGGCATCCCGACGACATCGGTCATAATCGTCGTCAGTCTCGTTGCCGTCGCTGTCACCGTCTTCGTTCTCGATATATTCTTCGGCGTCAAGCTCAAGATCGTCGTCGTCATCGGCACCATCATCATCGCAATCTTCCTCGTCCGCATCGTCGTCGTCGTCGTCTCCGCCGCCCTCATTTGAGCTCGTGCCGTCTCGATCATCCTCGCTGTTGTTCTCGTCGTAGGAGTCAGAGTCAATGTCGCTTTCCTCTGCGGATTCTACGCGATCTTCGACCCCGGTACAGCGGCCATCACGATTCAGGGCCTCTTCTTCATCCTGCTGCAGCATCTGGCGCAGATCCGGGAACAGGGATGGAGGAACCTCGCCAGTGGCGAGTCGGTAGAGCTGCTGCGTGGCGGTCTGTCGGCCTTTTGGGTCTTTCATATGGAACTCAAGCATATAGAGGTCCTCGTTCTGTTTGCACAGAAGCAGCACAACCGAGTCCTCCTCTTTCGCTGGCTTTTTCAGGCGCATCGGTGGTCCAGGACCTGGGGCGTGTGAAAGCCAAGATGGTAGCGGCATTAGGCCATTCAGTCGATTCACACACTTCCAAGCTCCCTCCCTATGGCTGTCGCCGCTGCATGTGCATCCCGAGCGACCAAGTTTTGCTTGTGGAATTGACTGCCGCTATCAGGACCTTACCTCCAGACATTTGCAATGTCAGTTGCAGGGTCGCCCCCGAGCAGAGGCCATAATCGCACACCATGGCGTTGTCGTCGGACAGCTCCTTCTCCTTCCAAACAAGTACCTGGGCACCAACCGGAATCCCCTCCTCTTCGTAAATACGGCACTTGACCTCGCCGATGGTGTCTGTGGAGATGACAGGGATGGTAAAGGTCTTTCCGGTGAGGGTGCCCACATTCAAAGTCCATTGTTCTCTGGCTGGCGGATGGGGCATGCTCGCTCTCGTCCCCAAGACACTGGCGCCTCTTGGAGTCTGTCGCGAGCGCACCGATTGTTGCTTCTGCACTTTCAGTTCCTCTGCTGATGGTACAGAGGGCGGGCGAGGGCCAGGAGGCAGCTTGGAGTTTCCTTCGGAGCTGGTCGAGTTCGATTCAGAAACGCCGGTGCCTTTCATGTCCTCGCGGTCTGTTCTATGCAAGGTGGAGGTTGGTGGGAGCGGCCACATACAGAGAGACCACAGGCCCTGGTTAACTCATACACGGAGATATTTGCTCAAGCTTTGACCAAGGCTGCCTCTCGAGGACACCTGCGCTCCTCTCTCCACATCGCTCTCGGATATACGGAACCCCCTGGCTCGGACCCACACGAGCCTCCCGCCTCGTTACATTCATTTGTGGCCATCGTCGCGAAACCGCATTCAGTCCGGTCTGCTCACCGTCGAAAAGGCCAATGGTCTTTCGGGTTGTCTGGGGAGCCAAGAGATGTCCTTGGTGATTTGCGGCTGGGCTTCGGAAATTTTAGCAGAAGCCTTTGCCCTCTGCGCTGCAGAATAGGCGCCGGATGCAGCGAAGAAAAGAGGGGGGGGAGGAAGGAAAGAAAGGGAAGAGTAGAAGAGAAGGTAGAAGCTCGGCAGAGAGGGCGGTGGCTTTGGGCTAGGAAACAAATTTACTCCCGGGCAAAGCTCACCCTCATTCGATTCGCATCGCTTCTGCAACGCTGCTCAACAACCCAAAGTATGTTTGGTGTCGGTGGAAGATGTGCAATCGGACCGCTGACAGCGCCAGTGTTTTTCTTCCAGGACTGTGTGGACACAATGGATCAATCGATCACATCCAAGGACGTTCTTGCCTGAACCTTGACTGGCGCCTCGGAGCCTGCAACGCCAGTTGCGGACAATAGCCGGCTTGAAGCGGTTGTCAGGACTCGGCCGCCGCATCGTCATGCAACTGACACAGACTCTCTCATGCAGCGTCTCCAGCAGCGCGAGCCGTCGCTCGTCAATGAGCCACCTCTCGGATACGCGCGATGCATTCTGAAGCAATTGGAGTGTCTCGCTGCTCGGGATCATTTGATATTGTGGCTCGCGGATTTCAGCGTGTTGAAAGGATGATGGGCAAAATCACGCGCATACACAAGATCATGGGCGCTTCAAATCTCTACTCGGGTGCCATTGAAACAAGTATCTCATGTCACTGCAATTGCACGGCCTCTGTGTCGACCAGAAGCGCCTCCATCTCGTCCAGACTGACGACTCGCTTTTCGCCAGAGCGACGGCTCTGCACTTCAACCAGACCGTCGTTCAGCCAGCTCTTTCCGAGCACGACAATGTCCGAATATCCAACCAGGAGCGAGTCTTTGATCTTGTATCCGGGTGTTAGGCCCATTCGGTCGTCGATAATGATGTCGTTTCCAAAGCGCCGACTCAGGCGATCATATACTTGGTCGATGCCGGCCTGCAGTTTGCTGTTGGAGGCAGCATTCTTCTTCTGAAAGAGAGGGATGATGCACACGCGATAGGGAGAGACGGCGCTCGGCCAGATGATACCGTCATTGTCGTGGCTCGACTCGACAATGGCTGCAACCATCCGAGAGACGCCAATGCCATAGCAGCCCATTTGCATGGGCTCCCGGACGCCGGACTCGGTTTTATAAGTGGCATCCAGCGGCACCGAGTACTTGGTTCCCAGATAAAAAGTGTGCGCCACTTCGATTGCGCGATGCCCTTTGAGGAGGTGCTCAGGATTGCTGCTGCTTGAGTTGCATTTTGGACATCCGTCGCCGGCATCGGCGTTGTGGAAGTCGCCAATCGCATATTGGAAGCTCGGCTGGCTGAGCCCGGTGGCGAGACTGCTGTTGCCTTGCATTTGCTCGGGCAGTCCAGACGACGGTGAACCATGCGGACTCACGGCTGTTGGAATGCTCGTGTCAACCAGCACAGTCAGTCCTCGAAGGGAGCCTTGTGACGTGCTGAGAGCCTGGAGGATCTCGTGCTTCTGCCTGTCATCCACGAAGCGAAGGTCTTGGTCGGCCACCAAGCTGTGTGCCTTGGTCTTGATGGAGTTCATGCGCCGCCCCCTCCGGAGCAACACAATCACGAGCTGCTCGGGACTTTCGCCCACCAGAGCCAATTCGGCTTTGATATCACTAAAGTCGAGAGCCTGCAGATCCAGAGGCAGGCGCGAGCGATGGGACACCAGGAGTTGCGACACGGCCTCGTCGACGACATCTCGAGAAGAGCTTGTCGAGGCTGGCACGACAATATGCCCAACCGCTCGCTCCTCGTTGGCGACATAGCCACAGTTGCCGCATGTCAGAACTGTGTCCTCGCCCACTGTATGGATTGATGGCAGCGCCAGCAAGTTACTCGCGTCAGTCGAGAAAGTAACAACTGCAGCTCCAAGGCAAGCAGGCCTGTAGCGTACCTGGGCTGATCAAATGGTACTCGTGAGATCGGTCGCCGCCGATTTCTCCAGAATCCGCTTCTGCCTTTAGAGAAGCAAAGCAGCTTATGGTGAGCCACGCCAGCAGCACGGCGGACAGCGGATCCAAGTCATGCGAGAGGACGTATATGAACCGCCATGGCCACATACCGACACAAAGGGGAGGCCTATGCGAGTCAAAATCCGATCGTAGGCCCCCCGCACTTCGTCATAGGTGGTGAGAGCATCCTGCTCCGAGACATCAAAGGAGTACATGTCCTTCATGATGAACTCGCGTCCGCGAAGCAGGCCGAGTCTGGGTCTGAGCTCATCTCGGTACTTTTTCCCAATCTGATAGAGCCGCAGAGGCATCTGTCGATACGAGGATATCTCCGAGGCCACTAGTTGAGTGATTTCTTCCTCGTGCGTCGGGGCAAGAATCATTTCGGTCCCCTTTCGGTCCTTGATGTTCATCATCTACGCCAGGAGTCGCGGGAGCATCGAAATCAGTCGAGACGAAAGAGCACGCAGCGCCGGTCGTCAAAGGGCGAGTTTGCTCGGAGAGATTTGATGTCGTGTCGGGCCCATATGTACAAGCACGTCGATTCGATCTGCCACGGTTTTGAGCATGTGCGGCTGCAGCCGAGTATATGCGTGTGGATATGCCACCTCCAGTTTGACAGCATACCTCGGTCCCCGCAGGCTTCCATCGGCCAGACTTTTTCCAGGCGTGCGTCCCCAGCAACAAGGGCAGGGCCAATTTCTGCCCGCCTGTCAAATACAACCACGGAGTCAAGGAAAGTTCGGGTCTGAGTGGGCAAGCGCATGCCGCCCAGTGCATCTCATCGAGCCAGCCATACTTGCACCAAGCAAGCGGCTCGATCGCCCAGAGTCGGACCTAGGACGCACCAATGCTTTGCATCTCCTCATCAATGATCCTTTCCAGCTTATTGAGAACTCGGAGTCCCAACGGAAGGAAGCTATATATGCCGGACGATGACTGGAGAAAGATGGCACGAGGCGGGATTTGATCGCCCGTCAGCGCTGCGCTGCGTTGCTGGGATTCGTGGCGATTGCGGACAACCCACCTGACGGATAAAGCCGCCACGTAGCAACAGATCTGCGCTGGCGCAGAGATTAGGTTCCCCAGCAAGAGCTTCTTTCGTCACCGTCGGTACAAAGAGAGACGATACCGTGGCCTTGCGATAACTCTACAGACACGACGAGGAGCGGCAGCGCCGAGTGTCAGCTATTTGGCGCGGCAGGTGCGGAAAGATCCTGGCCTCAGCTGGGTAGCTTGCCGTGCATAAGACACCGTCGCACCCTGTCGGACAGGTGAAAGGATCGAGGCAGAGTGGTGGCTTCGGTCGGCCATGCCGATGCGACCGCGATCCAACAGCCAATGTCCATGCACATGTCCAACGAGAGACTGCTTCTCAGCCAGAGCATACCGACGCCCACCGGGCCTCCAATCGACGGGGCCCCAGCAGACCCTCCAGCTGTGTCGCGGCGGCTTTTCTCAGACGCTCCATTTGATTGCCAGGTCGCCAGATCGCCAGGTTGCGGGTCGTTCGCGATTGCGTTGTTGGGTGCTGGTCGCTTTTGCGTGCGGGTCGAGACCTCGGTCATGTGGGCCAGTTGCGCCACAGCCAGTCCAGCAGCCCAAACTCAGCTTCCCACGGCCGATGGCAACCTCGAGCGCTGGGGCAGGCTCCTTCATCCAGGTTTCTCCAACCCGAGGCCAGCGACACAGAGCGCACAAGTGATGCTGGCCGCAGTGCCCACTGGTTCTCACAGTCCTCCAGCCCACGGGCAATGTACAGAGGCAAAGACGCCTGCATGAAAACATGTCTATTGAGCTGGACGCATTGCTTCAAACGGACCGTCGTTCTATCCCATCTTTGGCTCCTCAATGAAATCCACGGCGCTGTCCGATCGATAGATCTGGCCGTATTTGTCGTGCGGGTTATGGGCAAGTGCCTTGTCGGCGAGGCCCGCAGCGCTGTCGTCGGGGCTTTGTGTGTGGAAGTCTCTCGTAGTAGCCATCTCTGGCCCTTCGTCCGGATCCATTCCAAGCTTCCGAAAGGTGGAAACGACGATTTCACAGTACTCGTCGAGCGACTGGAAGACGGAGGAGCTGCTATCCGGCCGACTGGCCACGGACATGCCCTCGGGGCTCAACGGCTTCATCGACTGGAACTCCTCGCCGATATGGAAGATCATGCGACACCGTTGAGTCGAGTTATCGATATTGCATTCGGCGTACCGGATAAGAAAGCTGCGGGTGAAAGTCTGCTTCCAGCTCAGGGTCTTGACCATGCTCCGCAGCACCGAGCTCTGTTCGTCCAAGGACCACCTTAGCGATCGAGAGAGCCGCCAAGTGAAGGCAGCGCATTTTTCGGCGCTCTCGCCGATCATGACGATGTTGATCAGGTCGGTGGTTTTTTCAAGGCTCCAGTGCCCAACGATGCTGGCGACGATGGCGACAAACTGCGGCGATTCGAGCTTCAGGTTGTAGTATAGTTTGATAACAAACTCGGCTACGGCGGCGACGGACCAGTCGTGGGTGATCCATCGAAGCACCGGATACAGCGCCGGCGAGTGGTCCTTGAAAAAGTGCCCTTTGTAGGTGCACAGGTCTGGGAGGAAAGATCGATCGAGCAGCGTATCAGAATGCATTCCTGCTGTGTGAATGCCGTCCTGCCTGTTTGGATGTCGTGCAGGCTACTTACATGCTACGTTCTTCTCGGACTTGATCCAGTCCTTGAAGGTTGTTCCATAGAGCCGGTCCATCTCTGACATGATGTGCTCGACATCGTCGGCGGTTTGCGGAGGACCGCAGTTCTGCTTGCCGTCTGTTGCTGCGGGGGAGTGTGGTGCCGGCTTTGCTGCTGGACGATGAGCTGCCATGGTATCGACAGCGATGGGTTGCGTGTGAGCCGCCAACAACGGAAGAGTGGGGGACGAACAATCAATGCCGCTGCTGCATCCCGCTGCTCCCTGGCGGCCACCATCGTATATGTAGCGGCTCGCTGAACGGCATTCGTGGGCATGGGGCCACCGGCCAGGCTATTTTTGGGCCATTTGGGCGGCTCGAGCATGGATGCCTCCTCTACAAAGACGGTGCTATTTTGAGATCGGCAGCTTGATCGATTCGGATGGCAAGTGTGGGCGATCGCCGTCGCCCAGGACTGCTTGATCGACTCTGATGGCACTACTACCCCACGAGCCACCTCGAGCTCGGTGGGGTGCTCTGTGCTCTGCTGCAAAGCTCGACCCAAGCCCCGATGGACAGCGACAGAGTCTTGCCCTCATCGGCTGATGCGCTGATCTTTCGGGCCTCTCTGCTCTACCAGAGGGTTGCCGTCCCTCTCCTGGGCCGCCAGTGGTATAACCGCATTGACGAGAATGTGGTCCTTGGGGCCCTGCCGCTCGATCGCACAATGATCGAGACCTTGCAGCGCAGGGAGAATGTTGCCGCCGTCATCAACGTCTGCCGGAAGCACGAGTGGGTGGTGCCGGACCATGATCCCGAATCGCTCTACAGCGAGCTGGGCATTGCCTATCTGTCTCTGCCCACCGTCGATTTCCAGGTGCCGACTGTGGAGGCTGTCACCAGCGGCATACAGGTAACGGTCCGCACATCGGCTAGCCTGCTCGGAGAAGCGTCCGGAGCCATTGCTGAGTCTTGACCAACAACCCATAGTTCATTGAGCGATGCATCAAGTCCAATCCGTCGAGCGGGGTCTACATCCACTGCAAGGCAGGCAAAGGCCGCAGGTGGGATATCTCGACCCAGGCCACTGAGCTGGCCGGCGGATGCTATAGATGCTGTACATGTGCGAATGCATCTGTCTGAATCTGCTGTCACAGGCGGCCGCTCTGTCTCGGCATTGACATTCGAACTATGTGCCGAGCAACCACTGAACAATCATCCACGCCGATGGACAGCGCAACTCTCGGCCTATGCTACTTGATCTGGCGATACGGCCTAGCTCCTCGCGAGGCCCAGGCCCGGCTGCTGGCCAGCCGACCGCAAGTCGATCGGGACATCTGCGAATCCGCAACTGTAGCCGAGTTCTGGGCGACTGCAAGAGAAAACGGAACGCACAGTTCGCTCTTGGAGTGAAGCCTACCAGCAGCACATTGATCGACATTATGGCCTCTACCCATCGGCGGCAGAAAGCTCGCCTTCAGAAACATGGTGCGATTGTCTTTGAACACCTCGGCATGTCTATGCCTGCGTTGGTGTTGCTGCGATGCAATAGCTGCGTCCGTTGGGACATGGCCAATACCCTTGAAGAGAATAGATAAGGAATATGCATCGATGACCCAGAACAAGACATTGTATGCTTGAGAAGCAGCACGCTCCGGGTCGCTTGCGGACATTTCGATAGCGCTCAGGGTGGGGCGTCGTATTCAGCATCCAAAGCGATGGCTCCAGAGTATCGGACGGACCGCAAAGGTCTGCATCTGTTGGATGTATTCGTAGTTGTATCCGAGTGCGGATCCCGCTGTGGCTGCACATCTCGCTGCCGTTGCATCACATTTGCTGGATTCATGTCGGATGCCTCGCATCTGCGCTCGCAGGCACCAGCAACGGCACCCGGAATCACCATCGGAGGAGATTCCCCAGCTCCACCAGGCTGCTTGATGCAGGATTGCTATGCTACAGGTGTTGAGAGAGAGTGGTGGCCGCTCGGGTCCGAACAGCCCAGCACTCGATAGACTGATACTACCCCCGTCCCCATATGGTCTGGCTCTTGCTCTTTTCCCTGCCCGAAGTCGACAGGACCGAGCCCATCCGAGAGAGCGTCGTCGGCGTTCCGGGAGTCTTGGGCGAGTCATATCCTGCTGTGGGTGTTGCTGACCCAGCCGCTGTTGAGAGGAGATAGCCGCTGCCGCTCCTTGCACCAGCCAGAGGCTTGGCGTTGCTGCTGATGTTGTCCTTGGCCATCTTGTCGTAGAGCATCACAAGCGATGATAGTGACCCAGCACCGCTCCGGAGCGGTGTGTCTGAATGGCCAGCTTGTCCTCCCGAGTTCTCGTCTTCGCATTCGTTGCGCAGATGAGTGAGGCCGGCAACCCATCGAGCCTTCTCTTGCGGATCGTTGGCCATAAAGTACTTTTGTACCAGCCCGATCCGCCCCGCGCGGCAGCAAAGCCAGGAGTTGCATCAGAGTAGAGTGTTAGTTGCAAGGGGGGGGGGAGGCACCCACGCAATCTATGCACAATTTGTCTGTAGGAGCATGCCGTGCGCTGGCCAGGGTGTGCGAATTGCAGATCGCTTGGCAGCCTGGGCACGCAGGAGAAATGCTCATGCCGATGGAATCGAGACGGCTTTCGTCAGTTGCACTTACCATCGGTGGAATGTTTTGCAGTTCAAGTATATCTTGGCAGCTCACACTGATCAGATTCTTGCACGCCTTGTGGCAGATTGCCTTGCACACTGAATTTAGCGACGGATGTAAGTACGTGCAGCTGGATCGCACATTGTGGGCCGTGCAGGGCTGTGCGTTGACTCCACACTAAGCATCGCCCACCGGACCTGTACCTGTGCATTCCAATCCTTCGCTCTTGGCTCCCCAGAGCGGCTCATGGCAATAGGAGCAGTCCGTTGGGCACTCGTACTGCTTGACCTTGAACCAATGTCCATTGCATTCGTTCTTTTGAATGACGCGATGGTAGAGGCTGGCGATTTTGTCGGCATCGCCCGTAACTATTATCTTGATTTCATCTACCAAATGCGTCGCTGTATCAGCGCGGAGACTTTGTTGCAGAGGCGGGCTCGCCTGTGCATCTAGCTTGCACTTTCAGCTGCCTGGCTGCATACTGGCATACCTTTCCATCGATGCAGCAGGCGATCACACATCGCAATCTCCATGTCAATATCCTTAGTCGACTTTTTCTTCTCAAAGATGGTGTTGGATCCCTTGACGAGCAAGTCGCGCTTTTTCATCTCGATCTCAATCTGATCCTCGAGTTCCTGGCGATACTGCTCCACTTCATCCAGCTGCTCGTGGGTAAGATGGGCGCACTCTGCCAGCGCCGTCGAGCTCTCGGTCGAGACCAGCATCGATAATGAGGGCGTTGTGCCCATCGACTGGGCCACAGGGGTCTGCGCTGTAACCTCGTCCGGGTTGCCGGAGGTGCTGGAGAGGAATCCAACATGCCTTTCGAGTTCAATGCGCAAGATCTTGAGTCGCTTGTTTGCTGCCTCGACCTGATTCAGGGCTTGCATTTTGTTGGCGTCTGCGGTTGCGTGCAGAAGCTTTTCAGCTGCATGCAGCATCTTTTCCTCAAGCATGATATCGGCTTGTAGCTTGGTGACCTTCTTGGTGACCTCAGCTGCATTGAACGGGGTGACGGACTGGCGATGTCCAGATCAGTAATCGAGCATTTTGCGAGCACAATCCCGATGCCCGCATCGCGCTATGAGCAGCATCTGCGAGAAGAACTCTTTACCGCTGCTGGGTGCTCCTTTTCCTTGGAGCTGGTGTTAGAAGCCTGGATCTTGAAAATACAGTCGATATCGCGGGCGCTTGCATGTATGAGCTCGTTCTGGGTAACACTGCTTACAACAAACATGGCTGATCTGTGAATCGATGTATTGATGAAGAAAGCAAGTTAAGGTATGGTACTTGAAGATTTCCTATGCATACCCAGATCGGGCTATCGTTTCGAAACTGGCTATGGTCGCCCCGGCCGTGCTGTGGGATCGATCACACCCCGAGTCCAAGCACATACCGAATATCGACCACAAAAGTTCCTTCTTTGGTTTCGGTGTCCTTCTCCTTCTCGTATGTGTACAGACGCATATCCTTGATGACGGCGTACACCACGCGCCAGCCCTTGCGGACCTTTCCTTGCTTTGGAATCTTGAGCTGACCGCGGAGGTCTTCTCCGGGATTCGAATCTGTAGAGTACAGATGATGTTCTCAGCATGCTTGAAGCAGCTCGATTATGCGGACAGCAGCACATGGTCAAATACTCCATACATGGCGTATCGGATGTCTTCGTGAGTCCCGATTTGAGTGAATGGGTGCTTTCGGCGCTGACTCGGCGCATATGCCGCTCATCTTCCTCCGGCGTCATCCTGGTTGGGGTCAGGCTCGAGTTGGATTTGCCCCCAAAGAGAGCGTTCTTGATCTTGAGTCTCGTTGGCGTTTTCGTGCCGGCTTCGAGCTTGCTCGACTCTGCGTACTTGGCCAGCCGCTTGGACATGTCTTCCAGATGTGTCGCTTGAATCGCTGCCGTTCTCTCGAGCTCTTCCAAGCGCTCGGACATGGTATTTGATCGCGCACACTCGATCTCGTAGTGGCTGCGAAGCTCCAGCTCCCGCGCCACAGAGACATCCAGCTCCTCCTGGAGTGCGGTCTGCACATCCTTGGAATCGGCCTCGAGCTGTTCGGATTCTGCCTTGAGCCGCGAGATTTCGTGGTCCTTTTCTTGGCTCTGCAGCTCGATCTGGTGGATCTGGGCCCCCTTTTCTTGAATCATGACCTCGAGGTTGCCGATCTTGGCTTGAAGCGACGCCTCCACTTCTTGATGGCTGCGAATCGATTTGGTGTGCTCTTCCTTGATGGTGCTGATTCGGGCAACCATGCGCTCAAGCTCCTCTTGCAAGCCTGCACTCACGGTCTCTGCGCGCTTGTACAGCGACTCAAAGTTGAGCCGGAGTTTGCGCTCTTCGGTGAGGGCCTGCTGGAGCTCTTTGGAGGATTCTTCGCTCTTCTTGAGGCTCTGGGTGGCTTGTGCGTATCGCAAATTGGACTCTTGCAGCTTGATCTCAAGTGCAGATTGAAGCTTCTCCTGATCTTCTCTGCGCAATCGCTCCGAGTCCAGAGCGGCCATTTGTGCGCTGAGAGACTTTTGCAGCTCTGCGATTTCGGGAGTAAGCTTGGCCACCTGCTCCTCCAGCTTCTTGGAGTACTCCTGAAGCGTTGATATCCGCGATCCCTGCAGCTCCAGCCGCTTCTGGCTTTCGCCCAGGGCGGTCCTTGTTTGGGCGTGCGTCTCACTCTCGTTGATGAGGAGCCTCTTCTTCTCTCGGAGCTCGATCTCAAGGACAGCCCACTGCTTGAGCTTGTGAGCCAGCTCCTCGGAGACCTTGGCACGGGCTTCCTTGGCGACTTCGGCCTGCTTCTTGAGGGTCTCGTTTTCGCCGAGCAGGGCAATCTGGGTCGTCTTGAGCTGCTCCAGCTCTTCGGCCGTATGCTGGCTGCGGATGCATTCCGCCTCGGCGTCCTGCAGTTTTTTCGTGACGGCTTCGAGCTCCACCGCTTGGACAGCCTTTTCTTTCTCGAGCTTGGAGACGGTGTTATCGAGCTCTTGAATCTTTTGCGATTCCGAAGTCAGCTTCTCGGTGAGGTCGGCCACCTGTGCGCGTCTGCCCTCTTTGAGCTCGATTTCCAGGAGCGCGCATTTCTTGAGGATTCTTTCATATTCCGTTGTCAGCTTTGTCTTGGACTCGAGGGCCCGGTCGAGCTGCTTGCGAAGATCGTCCATTTCTTGCGCCGTTTTCTCAAACCTTTGCTGGTACTCCTCATACCGGGCCAGCCGCGTCGTGAGCTCTGCTTCTCGCGCAGCCGATTCTGCCCGGGCCTCCTTAAGGTGATCAAGCTCGATCTCGACAACCGCTTTCGTCTTCTCGGTGTTCGAGAGCGTCAAAGCGAGGGCCTGAGTCTTTTCTTGATCCTGAGCGAGCTGCTCCTGGAGCGTGCTCAGCTTTTGCTCGAGCATGTGAACGTCGTCTCGTTTATGCTCAAGCTCAAGTTTACCCTGATCCCGCTGGGATTCAACGTCTTCAAGGCTCTTCTTCAGAGTGGCTGTCTTCTCGATAGACTCGGTCAACTCGGCCTCGCTGGCCTGCAGCTTGCGCTTGAGCGAGGCGATCTCGTTCTCGAGTCCGGATTTGAGCCTGGACAGCTCCGAGTTGCTGACATCCTGCTCGTGCTTGGAGAGCGAAAATTGCTGGATCTCGGCTCTGAGTGTGGAAACCTGGAGCTCAAGAGCAATCTTGTCTTCCTGCACTTGGGTCAGATGGATGCACTCTGCAACTTTGGTCTCGAGTGACCTTTTCAGGTCCGCAATCTTGGTCTTGAGTTCCTCAAGTTCGTGTCGGTCGTGTTCTTTCTCGAGCTGGGAGGCTTTCCTATCTGCCTCCATGGAGAGTTTTTCTTGCTGCAGGGCTGAGATGGTGCTCTGGAGCTGAGTCTTCTCGGCGGTTTCCTTGACAATCTTGTGCCGCAAGTTGGCCACCTCGGTGTCGGCCTGTTCCTTGCTCTTGATCAGCCCTACCACCTTTTGTGCCTCTTGCTGCCACTTTGCGCGAAAGTCATCGATGCCGTCGTTGCTGCAGTTTGAGCTCGACCGCATGCGATAGGACACAACACTGCCACGCGGATTCAGATAGCCGTTGGATGTGCTCTGCGTAGTGTTCCCCCAGTTCACGGTTGGGGTGTAGTTTTGGAGATACGTGTATCCCACAAACGGAAGACTCTGGCCCTGAAACTCCTTGGTTTTCGCGGCGGGCTTGATTGGCACCTTCTTGCTCTCATCTTCTTCATTCTCAAAGTACCGCGTATCGTCGGGTCCGCTCAGTTCGGGGACAAATGGAGGCTTGCTGTTCCGGATACCGTCGAACTGCACACTCTGGAACCACGGATGCGCGCGAATGTCGTGGCTACCTTCGCGGCCGAGACGCACTTCACGCTTGCAAATGAGTCTGTCGTCGGCATAGGTAAGTCACAGTGAGTGCTTGGCTTCCGCCAGCAACGAATCGGCCTTCCGGTTGCCCAGGGGCACACCAAGGTATCAAGCTCCGCGGATGAGCGAGTGCATCAAGTGCTTACTTTTGCATAAGATCTCTGGCCTCCTCGGATACCTCACAGTCCTCCGGAAAGGCAAACTCTTTCTATTGGAGGTTGGCAGCAATGCCAGCGTCGAGAACGCAGGATGTTTTCACCGCAGGATTCGAGATATGCATCCGAGTTGGCAAGCCGTATCAGTGTTGCGTCGCGAACAGGGGGAGCAGTAGGATGGTTCAGATTACAGAGTTGGCGGTACGACCAAAGCAGGGCTAAACTACCCGACCAGCACTTCATATTGCGCGACCGGCGGTGGTACGCATCGGTGGCAGCCTCCGAGAATGATTCCGCACAAATCAGCAGAGGGAAACAGCAGGCAAAGACGAGAGGAGGCTATCGCAGACATGGACATGTCCACAGGAGGCATGTGAAAGCAAGAAACGGAGCTGACCTCGTGGTTCATGATGCGACTGTACGTCTTGGATAGTGATTCGGAGTAGAACGGCACATCACCAAAGAGGAACTCATACATGATGATGCCCAGCGACCACCTGGATCCAAAGGGCAGTCAGTACTCTGCTTGTTGAGCCGGTACATCAACGAATGTGTTTCAATCGTGCGTTGCCTTCGTACCAGTCACACTCTCGGCCGTAGCTCACGTTTCCTTCTTGTGCCCGAAGGATCTCTGGCGAAATGTAATCTGCGTTGGGCAGCATTAGCATATGTAAAGATAGTGCAGCCAAACACATACGGGCGTAACAGTGCGCCAGAGTCGACAAACCGCTCGCTTACCGGGCGTTCCGACTGTCTCGGTCGAGTTCACCTGAGCAGTGCAGCCATTGGGGCGAGCCACAGTGTCGAGGAGCGTGTCAGTATATGTCAGTTATCGATCTGCGGCAGTGTGAGTCGATCTTACCATCCGAGATTCGTTCATCCTCATGCACGATCCGAAATCAGCAAGCTTGATATGTCCCGTTGCATCGATCAGGTAGTTTTCTGGCTTGACATCTCTGTGGGATCGTGGTAGTTGATCAGACATACATTCGGAGGGCAATCCGCCAGGGGAAGCACTCGCTTATGTCTATCCGCACTTGATGCCTCAGCACGTCGACCATATAAAACAAGCGCCTTGCAGCATCTCAAAGCTCACAGGCTCTTCATCGTCCCCCCCCCCTTGCCTTACCGGTGGATGAAGCTGAGTTTGTGGAGCTCGTCGAGGGCGATCATCATTTCGGCCATGTAGAACCGCGTTTCATCTTCGCTCATATCCTCTTCCCGGCTGTCGAGCATGTTCCGGACCGAGCCTCCAGAGACGTATTCCATGACCAAATAGAGGTTCTCGTCGTCTTGGAACGCCGAGTACAGCGTTGTCATCCACTTGGATTGCTGGGCAAACACCAGCGCATTTCTTTCTTCCATAAAGAAAGCCGCCTGGAAGACGATGGAGCCAATGGGGACCGATGGGGACCGATGGGGACCGACGTTGAGTATCGCGGGGATCAACGGGCTAAAGCAGTGGGTTTGGTGCGATTGGGATGGTCTCACGGCGGGGCAAGGGATGTATCGAAAGGATCTTTATGCATGTGCTTGAGCAGCAGGACTCACTTCGCGCCGTGTCAGCAGATCCGTTTTCTTGAGAATCTTCATTGCATACACCAGTTTGTCCAGTTTGCTGCGAACCAAGCACACCTGCGTTCATACACGATGATCAGCTTGATTCCGTTGTCGGGCACTGCGTGTGTGCGAGGCGACATTACTACCTTGCCAACGGCGCCTGTCGCCAAAGTCTGGAGGACATCAAAATCATTCCTATTGACGCGCCAGCTTTGGAGCCGGCTCACGAATCGGTCATCTGTCGAGCGGATTCCGGGGCGAAGAGCGTGAGCTGTGGCTCCGGATGTGCAAGCAATCCTCCTGGGCCACATCAGCCTGGCTGACGGCAGCGAGGAAGCAAGGACAGTGTATGAAGGCAGCGCCAGCCTCTATCTCCAACAACAGGACCCACATTTCTTTACAAAGCCCAGTGTGTGTGGCGACTGGTTATGGGCGAGCTTGCAGTCCGTGTGCAAGGCAATGAAGGTATCCAGCAGCCCCTCGACAGAGACGGACGAGGGATTGAGCTCGCTCGAAATGTTCGACGATAGCTGCTCACACCGCTGCTTGAAAGCGGACTGGAAATCCGATGGCAGCGATCCGACGACCGAGATTCGCTCCGCCATAGTGGTGAGGGAGTGGAACTGAGTCGGCAAAGGTCAAAGGTCGGAGCACTGGCGAGCGGGATGGCGGGTTGGATGGGACGATGGGAAATGAGAACGTGTCGGCTGGAAAGCTCAGGAGCTGCGAGCCTCCAGCAGGAGCGCAACAGGGATGGGCGGGCAGAGAGTCTTGGCTGCGTCGCAGCGTTATGAGACCACTGTGTAGTATTGCGTGCAAAGAGCGGCAGCGAGGACAATGCCTGGATCAAAATGGCGGGAGAGTGAATTGCGAGCCCACACAACAATGCGACGTTTGGCCGTCTCAGCGCAACCAGTGCAGCAGATCAATCTCAGGCGCGGTGAAGACAGAGATATCCGGCGTGGGACATGGACAAGCCTTGGTTCGGTAGAGATAGCGGGTTTGACTTGGCACCAGGACAAGTGGCACTGTGATCAAGCTGTTATCGACCAAGGCCAGCCCTGGAGGAGCGTGAGAACCAATAGTGGTGTTGCTGGCCGCTCTCAGGATGCGCCGTAAAGCATGCAGGGTATGAAGCTGCAAACTTTCAGGATAGGACGGCCCGCCCAGTCTCTCAAGCACCTCAGACCTTCGGCTCGCCGGCTTCCAGCCTTCCAGGCTTGGGAGACTCGGCGGCGGCGGCGGGGCAGCAGGCTCCATGCGGATTCGCAGGCCGCTTGGATTGGCAAGCGCAGACCGCTTGGCCCTCTCGGGCTAGGACATAATCCAAACACTCGCAGGGTCTCGATCAACCTTGTCCGCCGCTTTCAAGACAGAAGCTGGCACTGGCCTCGGTTGCTGCAACTTGCCCATACTTGATCGAGCAAGACGCCATCCACGCTCCAGCCCCAATTCGATTCCCTTCCTTCGCGACTCATCGTGCCAGACGTCTGCCCTCCATGGCCCAGAACATGGAAACACCTGCTCTTCCTCCTCTCGGCCCTCTTCAAATCCATCTGACTCAACAGCCTGCCCAGATGGGTGCCGGCAACGGCGGCGGGGTGGGTCAGTTCGGGGGCAAAGATGCAATCCACAACTTTATCCAGGATATCTGGTTCCAGTACTCCTCCATGGGCGATGCCCAGCGCGGCCAGCTGCTCAAGGGGCTGATTGCACGCTCATCGACAAAACAACTGGACCTCATTTCCACGTTTGTGAACGTGGCTCATCCCGGCGGATCGACATCGCCGCAGATGGCGGTAGGCGACGGCGTGGCTGCTCGGATCTGTGCATTCACCCTCCATCCACTATCCATCCACTATCCATCCACTATCCATCCACTTTCCTTTCGCTCGTGCGTGCGTCACGTCATGCCTGATTTCCGAGGCATTCCGTGTACTTCATCGCTATGACGTTACGAATCGAGCATCCAACTTGAATCTCCTTCTATTCGCGTATCGGCCACGACATAGTCCGAGCACAGGGCCAGTCCAACAGCCAAGTGGACAAAGAACTTTACTGCGGAAGCCGCCGCCAAGAATCCGTATCGAATGGACAGCATGAGCCATGGCGCCTCACAAGCGGCAAAGGCGTCGTTGAGGAACAAGCTGCGAAGGGACAAGATCGTGGATTCTGGGTAAGGGCCGACCTCATCGGTCCAACCGGAACTGATGCTTCGGCCATCGCGAGGGCAGGCGCACACTCATACTTCTTGTCCGTACCTGTGGGCAAAAAGCGACCATGAGATCATGGCCACGGAGCAGCGACATGGCAGGACCGATCGCTTCAGCAGCACGGAGCTGGGTCTCGACGGCGGCACCCACCTGCCCAGCCATATCAATGCAAACCTGTACATCAAGCTGCTGAACACAAACTACGACTGTACCGAGCTTACGAAGCAATCGCAAAAGGCCGGCCCGGACACCATGAGAAACATGCTCGGCTTTCTCTCGGAGCGATGCAAGAAGCTGCAATCTTTGATCACATGCATGCGCACGATCTCGACCGAGCAGAGCGCCGACAAGTGCTTTGGGCTTTTGCTTGACTGTGCCCTGACCAACACCGACGGGAGGTGGATCACGCTCTACCTGCTCGACGATTCCAGACGCAAACTGCTGCCTCGTGTGAGCAACTGGAACAAAAACGCACAGGATGCTCTGGACGTGGACCGGGTCTTTTGCACCACCCAGGTGCTGAAGGGCGAGATCGGCAATCTCTACAATGTCAAGGGCTCGGATCTGTACACCAACGAGCTGGACGAGACCTACGGCAAGATCGAGGTCGAGTGCATCGTCTCTGTGCCAATGTTCTCACAGAGTAACCATGTCGTGGGTGTTTTGGAAATCATCAACAAGGTCTCGGGCTCGCCTTATTTTGGCGCTGAGGATGAGTTTGTGCTCAAATCGCTGGCGTCGATGTGGACGCTTCGGCTGGACAGTGTGCGCACAACACACGATACCATCCGCAAAGTCGACGACATGCAGATCCTCCTCAAAACTGCCTCAAACATGTCGTCGGAAATGGAGCTGGGAGGTTCGTTTGACAGGCGTACTGCAGCAGTTGGGGGTTGCGGCTGTGAGACTGTATCGCATACAATACCAAACATCGCTGGGCTCAAATTACCGGACAGATCTTACCATCACAATCATGAACACTGTCAAGGAGCTGCTCGGAGCAGAGCGATGCACACTATTCATCCTGGATCGCGAGAAGCAAGAGCTCTGGTCGGCGGTGGCTCAAGGCACCGCTGAGATCCGCATTCCTCACAACAGGGGTATTGCTGGTAGGCAACCGCCGGAACATCGTTGTGACTCAGAATTCGATCATTTCCGAATGACTGAGCAGTTGCTTACACCGTACAACACACTCAGGACATGTCGTCCAAACGGGCGAGCTACTTTCGATTCCTGATGGTAAGCCAGTTGCGATCCAGCAATACCGCACTGATGTCTTGCCTGCACAGTTCTTCAAGTTGCCGATCCCTATCGTTACTGAAGCTCCGTGCCCGCTTGTTTGTCTCGCTCTACCTCGTTCTGCCTCATTTAGCATATAGCGACCCACGCTTCAATAGAGCCATTGATTTGGTATGGCTCAGGACAGGAGCGCCGATGGACTTGGAAGTCGTATATGGCTCTCGGCTTGAGCTGACTGAGGACAAGATGCCATCTGGCTATCGGGACAATGATTCTGGCAAGCACTTTGACTCACAGCGCTAGTTGTATCACTTATGCTCAGAAAACCGGCTATCGAACGAGGAACATCCTGTGTGTCCCCATGAAAAACAGCTCAAACAAGATCATTGGAGTCGTTCAAATCATCAATAAGCTACCCGAGTCGTCGCATTTTACCAAGGACGACGAGAGCCTCATCCTTTCGTTTTCGAGTCTGGGCAAGTGCAAGCGGAGGTCTTCGTTCGTCGTGCATGGGCGACTGCTTCGTGAGTGCATTTTCACAAGGGCAGCGATCTCGGTCTGTTCTCATATGGATTTGATTGTTTGTGTCTGGTCACTTTGGATATTCCTCCGCAACTTGACCGCCGCTGTGCCAATACGAACACTGGAACCAGCTGCCGAGACCCTTGAGAAGTCCATGGCGTTCAAGAAAATGAAGGAAAACCTGGAAGCTTCCCGAAAGACGAACGAGCTGCTGGAGGCCGTTGCACTCTACACCCCGGGCGTCGTTGTCACCATCGATGCATCCGGCAATGTGGTATGTGACAGCAGTGCCTCGAAGAATGGCCAACTCGCGCAATATAATCCGGTGCCGCATATACCAGATGTGCTGCTGCCGCTGCTGACGGACGTTTCAATAATCGGCATTCCAAGATTCGAGTCAATCAGCCCGACAAACTCGACGAGCCCATATGGATTCCGGAGAGTCAGCCCATAAAATACGAGCAATTTTTCGGAGAGGCCAACCCGCAGCTGCTTGTGGACATATCGCGGGCCATGTTAACAAAGAACACCACAGTCTATGGCCAAGAATACGAGTGGATTGTCAATGAGAACGTCAAGCGAATCAACTACCGAATCAACCAGATTGTCTTGAGTGGTGGTCTTGGCGCCATTGTTGTGGTGGAGGAAATCACAGAGAGCCTGCGAATCAAATCGATCATTTCGAGGCAAGATCTCTCGTTGGAATGGCGCGCGGTAGTTTACTTACATGATGGCAATGGGTGGATCGCACGTCAGGCTTGCGCCTGCTTGGTGGCCTGACAAAGCCTCTGACGCATCGCTGTCTGCAGATACATGCCACCGGCGATCGTCAACAAGCTCATGGAAGATCGTGCCCGGCTGGAGGGTATCCGCCAAAAAGGAAGCGTGGTACAAATCAATCTCGAAGACTGTCAGTAGCGGCAGCGGATGTGTGATCTCTTTGATTGAGCGAGTCTGAAGACGATGGGGGAGCCTTGTAACCCATACCGCCTCCGCAACGAAACACTGCCGAGCCTGTGGGCGTGGCGTCATGTCTGGGAAGAGAACATTTCAAGGAGTCTGCTGCGATCGCTGTCTGATATGGATTCTCTGCTGTCGTTCACCACTTCTCACAGACTGTGTTCAATCGGACCTGATGAGTCCAACGACTGGCATCGCGGTGTTGAATCGCTTCTATACCTACATGCTGGAGTCGCTGGTATCGGAGCAAGGTACGGCGTGCGAATCTGAGACAACTTGATGGGCTTCGACTCCCTATCGGCACACGTTGCAAGCGAGCAACGGCCCACTTTGTTGGCACTGCAGCGAACATCCGGTTCTTGTCTGTCAGGCACTCATGCGCACGAGTTTGTGACCGGTTTGTTTGCAATTGCCCTGTTTTGTCGTGCTCCAAGGCATCTTGGACCACTACGCCGGCGAATCGTGCCAAGCATTGTTTGGCCTGCCCTTTGGCAAGAGCGATGATGCCGTTAGAGCGGTGCGGTTTGCTTTCAAGGTCCGTGTGTTCCTGGAGGAATTCAATCTCAAGAATGTCAAGCTGGGTGCATCCAAGCTCGATTACGGCATTGGAATCACGACGGGGACGCTCTTGGCGGGGCTGATTGGCTCAACCAAACGGCAAGACTACTCGGTAGTCGGAGGTAAGCAGTTTGAGAGGGGTCAAGTAAGTTTGAGTAGTTTGAGCTTCCTCCCTCCCATCGCCCCCATACCAACGATATTCAGATCGAAAGCCGGGACGGACTCACGAGCGTAGGCGATAGGAAGCGTTGGACATGAGCCTCGAGGGAGGCACTGGAGCAACTTTGAACGAGCGATACGAGGACCCGCTCCGTCGTGTTTCGTCTTGCTCCGTCGTGTTTGTCCGGGTCAACGAAAAATGCACAAGTTGTACTGATACGGCCTTGGGTGCCAAGATTCGTGCGCTATCGCCAAGTTGCTGGAGTCAGCCACAAAGACCTACGGAACGATCATCTTGATCTGCGACAGGACCCAGGACGAGGTCCGCGAAAAATTCCACCTGCGTGAGGTCGACACTATCAGCTCTGGCAAAGGCAAGCCCGTGACGGTGTACGAAGTGCTCGCCCCGATCGACATTGAGCTCTCGCACGACAACATGACATCGGTGGGTGGCTGGCGGCGAGATTGCTTGCTTTCGTGTGCGATGCCCCCCGGGAGCCGTTGACACGATGCTGCAAGTGATATTAATGATGGAAAGAGGAATAGCGGTGCCGTTGGGAGCAGAGCGATAGTCGGAAGTCTGCTCAGAGATGCAATCATCTTGATGGCTCGCGCGGAGATATTGGTCTCCCCCCCCCCAGACCACTGCAATTGTGCTGCTCGACAGGCTCTCTCCACCGATCTCATCCCTCCATGCACTTCTGTATACCCTCACATGTCCCTGTACGATAGCTCATATGCTTCGAGCTCGGTCTTGCAGAGTATCGGGCCCAAAAATGGCAAGGCGCCATCTCCCACTTCAAAAAGGCCGTTCAGCTCACGGACGACCGTCCATCCAAGCTGTTTATCGAGCGATGCCGTGCCATCATGGAGGGGCGCTGCACCATCCCCACGATCTGGAATGGCGTGTGGGTGTTGAACAACCACCAGTGAAGTGGTTGTGTCGACGATTCGGATCGCAACTGCAGCGGCCATTGAATGAATACAAGCAAGCCCATCTCTTGTCCAAGAACATATCCGCCATGCAGAGGCGATCGCTGAACGACTCTGTGCACTTGCCACTGGGTTGTGGTGACCAAATCGGCGTCAGTATCTAGTGATAGCAGTGGCGGCGGTCACGATCTGACGGCGTTCCGTATGTGGACAGCGGTTGTACACGCGGGCCCTACTCCAGAAGCAAATCAAAGCGAACCAAAGCGAAATGAAAGAAATGGAGGACATCATTTGCTCCTCGAAGGAATTATATTGGCACGCAGATGTAGGCTCTTAGCCGACGCAGCACGATCAAGAGGTGAGGCTCGATGCCTCAGTGATGAGCAGCTGGTAGTCAAAGTTGGCTGGGTCTTTGTTGAATCGCTCGACCAACGAGGTCATGCTGTCCGGACCGGTGACGTAGAATAGCTGCATCTGGTAGACAAGGTTCTGGGCATCCGAGATACTGAAGGAGCTGGCCCCGGACTCGGTGGCTCCAAGTTCGCCAGACATCAGGACAATGCCCTTGTCTTCGACCAGGTCTGTATAGTAGTTCAGAACCAGGTGTGGGCGGGCGTTCTCGCGATGGGTTTGGTACTCGATCAGAGGTGTCAGGAAGGTCTGGTTGCCGGAGAACTGGAGCAGGACAAACTCAAATCCTTGGTCCCTGGGCAGAGGCAGAATGAACTGGCGCGAGGAAAACAGCGGCGATACCGAGATGATGAGATGCAGGCGGCATGGAGCATGGGCAGATACACAAGCACCAGCGACGGGCATGGATTTGGCACCAATGTATATTCAGCAATGCGCTCTGGACTCACCATCGGGTACGTCTTGGCTCGCTCGGAGAGCTTCTTGTAAAACTCGCCCGGAACAAGCGCCGAGACATAGTTGGGCTTACTGGAGTAGTAGGTGTTCCAGATCTCGCCGATACGCTCGGGGGTCTCGGTCGCGACCTTGTCGAGCTGCATGATCTCGTCGAGTTTCTGCATGAAATCCGAACGGCTGGGAGTCAGTGTATCTGAGGGCGGCGATGGTGATGTGTACCGAATACAGATCCACTACGAGCGATCAATGCCAAGACTGACAATGACACCCATATGGATATTCGCATGGACACCCACATGGACATCCATCCATGTTGCCATCGGCACGTACCTTGACCGTCGGGGGCAACCCATCTTTGCGCTTGGGTGGCGTGCGCTTGGGCGGCACCTGTGGAGCTTCAGGACCGCTCGGCGAAGGAGACGGGGGTGGAGACTCGGGCTCGGGTTTGCTCTGCTCGCTGGCGTACTTTTTCAGCTCATCGAGGTTGCTGATGCCGAGACTGGTGAGGATGGATCAAGTGATGATGTGGATGCAATGAGGTGGATGCAATGAGGTGGATGCCGACACGCAGACTTGAAGGAATCGCATTCAGCACATGCAGCGAGCTCTCGTGGTGTGCGCCAGGCCATCGCTTGATGCAGGCTGTTGGGCCGAGTTTCAGCTGGGCCAAGTTCTGGAGTCCATGCTATGGTCGACGGCATACCTTTCGCCCTTCTTTTTCAGCTTCTCGGCATACTTTTTATAGACATCGTCTTCGCTCTGGTCGTCGAGCTGAAGCACCGAGGAAGTGAACGCGACTCTCGAGATGTTCTGGGGGAGGAAGCCAAATGCATGGTCTGGTGGTGATGATGGAGGCGTTCAAGACGAAGGCTGTGAGCCGCTACCCAGGAGTGCTGCAACGTGGGTGATGGACTACCGTTGTGTCCATCCAGAATGCCTCATCTGCGCTGTTTCTTGGACCGGTAACTCGATGCTTTCTCCATCGCAGGCCCTCGTCATATGGTCTTCACAGGATCTTCACAGGATCTCCGCCTACTTGCCTCTCTTGGGCGGCGCTGCAGATCACCCATTTCCTCGAGATATCCTTACCTGAAACCAGAGCAGCGAAGCGCATCGGGGCCGATGTCGCAAACAGGTGCGAGTGCGGGAGGGCTCGCAGCATCGAGGCGGATGCGGGTGTGCGCAGGGCCCTCAGGGCGGACGGCGACAGAAGCAACATGGTCAGAGCGACTCGGCAACGAGACCGGGGTGAGAGTTGGAGACTGGTCGCTCTTGATGTTGGGCAGCGAAGGCGATCTGGCCAAGAGCGCAGCGGATGTGGTTTGGTTGGCGATCGTGGTGCGCAGCCGCGTGGCACTCTGGCTCGGCGTCGCTTGTGCCCCTGCCTCGCCCGGCCATCGACCAGCCATCGACCAGCCATCGATCAAACCCGCTGCTGTTCCTGCAAACTGACCCTGCACAATGGCATCGGCCCGGTCCTTCAAGATTGCACTCGTCCAGCTCAAGGTCACGGCTGAGAAGCAGCTCAACCTGCTTAATGCCCGGTCCAAGGTCCTCGAGGCCGCCAAGAACGGCGCCCGGCTCGTGGTGCTCCCAGAGTGCTTCAACTCGCCCTACGGCACATCCTACTTTCCCGAATACGCCGAGCCCATCGACGGTCCCTCGGCAAAGTCGCTCTCGGATATGGCTCGTGCCGCGAATGTCTACCTCGTCGGCGGGTCCTTCCCAGAGGCCAAGGACAAGAAGTTCTTCAACACCTGCACTGTCTGGAACCCCAGCGGCGACCTGCTGGCTGTCCATCGCAAAGTGAGGCCGCCGCTGACGCAAGAGACGATGCACGAGCAGCCACCCAGCTGGCGGCAGTCGCATAAAACCCTTGCAAAGACGACACTGCTGCTGCCCCCGTTGCTGCTGGTTTGCTGTCGCTTACCGCGCCCCGTTTGCCTTTTGTGCAGATTCATCTGTTCGACATTGACGTGCCCGGCAAAATCCGGTTCCAAGAGTCCGAGACCCTGTCTCCGGGCACTTCCATGACCCACTTTGATACCGAGTTTGGCAAGATCGGCGTCGGCATCTGCTACGATATTCGCTTCCCCGAGCTGGCCATGATCGCTGCTCGGAAGGGATGCATCGCCATGATATACCCTGGCGCCTTCAACACCACGACCGGTCCGCTTCATGTAGGTGGCAGCATAACGCCGAGTGAGGGTTGAGGCAGGGTGCAGGATTCTGCAGATCGGAGAGAGAAAGGAAGAGAGCAACACCAAAACACCCTGTGGATCTCGGATGTAGTCGCAAGCGGGACGGAGTCGGCCTGGATCTGGGGGCTGCTTGTCGACGTATGAGACAGTGGATTTGATTGCTCTCGCTCGTATCTCTGGCGTGCCTGCAAAGAGCGCAAGTCGGTGATGAGCCTGTGTATTTTTGCTGATCCCTTTTGCTCCGGCTCAGTGGGAGCTCTTGCAGAAAGCCCGTGCGGTCGACAACCAGATCTACGTCGCTGCATGCTCGCCTGCCCGGGACACCGAGGCCAGCTATGTTGCCTGGGGGTACTCGTCCCTTGTCGATCCAATGGCCCAGGTTGTGGCTTCGGCCAAGGAGGACGAAGCGATTGTCTACGGCGAAGTCGATCTGGGCGTCATCGAGACGACTCGCCAGAGCATTCCCGTCACCACACAGCGACGATTCGATGTCTATCCCGACGTGGCCGCCTCTCATCATGCCTAAAGGCTCCCATGCTATGCTGTACCATGCCCTGACATGCTCTGTCTGCTCTATGGCATGGGACAGGGTGTCGGGAGCGACAAAAGCGCATCACCGGCGACCAGATGTACGGCGAATCTGCAGTGATGCTGATGGTGATGCTGAAGCTGATGCTGATGGTGATGCTGATGGTGATGGTGATGGTGAAGCACATTGCTTTGATATTTCCCTTTGATATATGTCGACCATGCTCTATGCTTTGCAAAGCAGACAAATCAGAGTCGGAATGGCAAAAGAGGCACTTTCGGCACGCATAGTTTTGCCCGGACAAATAGTGAATGCCAACTGACGTGCATGTTGTCTATAGTCTAGCCACCACGAGGGGACATTGCGTTGACCCCGAATGTGCCGCTGCGGCTGGCCAGAGATGCAATAGGGGGAGGGAAGTCTCATGAGCACGGAGGGAAGGGAGAAAACGCAAGAGGGGACTGGGTGTCGTGGGCTCAGCGCAGAAGGTGTTGAGAAACACTGAATGAGCGCACCAGGTGCGAGCCGCTGCTTGTGAAGCTTGGACGAAGGCTCTCGGCGGACCACCAGCGAGGCGCTGATAGTGATGGGTGTGGGGGTGCAAGTTAGGGAGACGACGGGAGGCTAATGATGTGCTCGAGCCGCGGACCAAACACCATGGATAGCAGACTCCACGGCATTCCAGCTGTAGAAGTGCTCTCAGAGCTCTGTCAGCAGGAGGCGTTCCATGATGAATAGTCCTTCCTTGTACTTTTGAGAACCCTCGTACGCCTTTTCCTGTCCGGGGATGCAGGCCATGGTGAGCTGCGATCGGGTATTACTGCGACGGTGATGTGGGCACCCCCGGTACGACGGCCACCAGCAGCAGCCGAAGCGGCAGTAGTAGCAGTAGCGGCAATGGCAACAGCAGCAACAGTAGCAGCGACAGCAAGCCAATCAGCCCTTGTGCATCATCGCAATATGGTCATCTGTGCCTACATATTTCCATCCGATGATCGAGCTGCAGCAGACGCAATAGATATCGCGAACAACATGGACGCCAGTCGTCATGGAGCGCTCCGAAAGCTCGCCTTCGTAAATATTTATGCTGCGCGGTTGGGAGAGAGAATGTAGCGGTTAGATGGAGGCAACGGGATGGCGGAGCAAGCAAGCCAGCCCAATGCAGGCGGGCTGCGTCGGCGGTGTCCGAGCGGCGCCGGCAGTCTCGAGCGAGTCCGAGAAGACAGGACGGGGGGGGAGGGAGGACGCATACACGGTCTTGAACAAATACGCCTTGCCATGCTGTCCTCGGAACTCCTGGAGGGGAAATGGCGGATTGTTAGGATCGCCCGCAGGAAGCAGGGACTGCTGTCTCGTCTGGGGACTCCGAGCCACCAATGCGAGCGGAGTTGAAATCGGAAAGAGCAAGCAAGTGCGTGCAGCCGCTCTGCAGAACCGAGTCCGATATGGGCCGGCAGGCGGGCAGACGAAGATGCAAAGGGAAGGGCGGGCGGGACGGTCGGCAGCGACGACGGCTGCGTGTGAGGACAGAGGGTGTGCAAGGGTCGCTGAATTGGTGCCCGGTGATGGCAATACAGGAAGGGATGTGCGGGTGAAACATTGAGGGAAAGGAAACGAAACAACAGAGCGACGGCGGTGGACGAAGGCTGATGCGGATGAGGCAGAGTGGCTCCATAGCGAGCAGCATATGGACGCACCCAAACAGAAATGATGGAATTTGCAGGCGGGCGTCGGACGAAAAGACAATCCAGCCGATGAGGCGGGGACAACCGGCCAGCACAGCAGAGACGGTATCGGACCTTACCTTGGAGATAATCTCGTCGCTTGACGACAGATGTGTTTTGCAGACGGTGCAGCCAAAGATTCTCGAGGTCGATGTCTCCGGGTCCAGGTAGCGCTTGAAGATAATGCCCATGGCTGAATAGACAGTGGAGGGCCGCAGGACGAGACTCGACTTGTGGGCTGGGAGAATCTGGAGACGCTGGAGCGGCAGCGAGGTTCCGGGAGGAGAAGGAGAGCTGGATGCGGATGCGGCAAGAAACGAGGCCGGCGGGACGGTCTGGCAAAGAAGGGCGGGAGGACGGCTCAGGAAGAGTCGAGAGCGAAGAGCATGAATGACAGCCGGCCTGTTTTGGGTTTGCGGCTCGGCCGGAGGGCGGAACGAGAGGTGCGAGGGGAAGGGCGGGGGGGGGAGGGCGAGCGGGTGTGGGAACACCTATGGGTGGCTGTGTGGGAAATACGACATCGAGCGACAAGCGACTCTCGACGATATTGGCAACTGACGGCCAGGCAGCGCCGAGGAACGTGCTGATGCGATGGATATCTGAGGAGGCACTCGGGCGAAATGCCCGGCGAGAAGGACGAGAGCGTTGCTGCGGCTATTAACGGTGCATGTGCAATGGAACAAGGATGGCGATATATATGGGGCCAATGCGATGGAGCAAATGTAGCACGTATCCTGCGAGTAGCAAAACGGTCTACTAAGCGCTGGGTTCCTCGGGCACCTCTATGATCATCCGGGCTCTCGACGGACCAAGATTCGCTGGCTGGATGGATCTGTGTAGAAACCCATGGCAGTCAAGCGTCCATTTTACACCGGCCGCCCGTGCTGTCCACGGCACCGACACTCCAATTCAGAGAGATGGCGAACAAACGACGCACTTTTATATCTCGGCTCGTGACTGAAGCTGCACTTCGAGCACGATGCCATACCTCGGAGCAAGATGAGAGTCGCTGTCGGTTGTCTGTCGGCTGTGAAAAGTCCGAGGATCAGCCAACTGCACAGCTATGATGACAGCCACGCAACTATGATGGCATCTGCAGGGTGTGGCGGAGAGTTGCTCTGAGTGGCAATTCAGATCCTGAGCATTTTTCGAGCCGACTGATACTTTGAACCCATCTCGTGAAGCGGTGGCAGAGATGACCAGGCATGAGCAACAGTTGCTCCCACAAACGACGCTTGTCCCGTCCGCCAAAGCAAACGGTTAGTAATTGCCATGCGCAGCGCTACAAAGACAGGCGGCGCCGACACTCTCCCGAGATGCGCTCGGTCTTCCAGCTGGCGCTGCCGGCACTGATGAGGACCCATGCATGCACTCGCTCGACCAGACGAGGCGGGGAGGTCATGGTGCGATCATGGTCGGGCGGTCCCGGAAGCTGCCGCCCGCGCAGCCGGTCCGCGCCGAGCTGTGGCGCAGGGGCGTGCTGCTCACGTGGCCGAGTGCTGTCCAGCCAAAGCCATGCCCAAGCCGCCGTCTTGCCCTTGACCGTGGATGCCGACTTCTGTTCCATCCGCGTCCTCGAGGTCGCTCGCCAGCACCACCACCACCACCACCGCTGCTGCTGCTGCTGCTGCTGCTGCATTATGGCCCACAGCACGAGCTACGCAAGCACCCGGGATCTCCTCGGCGCTGTGGCTGCTGACCTGGATACCCCACCCGTCCACATCGCCGACTTCTCGCCAAAGTCCAACCCGGTCCTCGTCCGCTACTCGCTGTCGCATGCCTATTCGACCCCGACTCCCGCCCAGCCATGGGGCGCCCCGCATTCGAGCATCGAAAAGCTGAACAGAGACCTTCGCTCCACGTGGGCGGCGGCCATCGCCAAAGCCGAATCGCCCGATATGGTCCGCGAACCCTCGCTCGGCTCCGGCTCCCTGGACGATATCGCCGCTCCCGCCCGAGGCGCAAAGTTCATTGTCATGATCCGCTGGATCGAGGCACTGCTGCCCATAATGGACCCAGCTCAGATCATCGAGGACTGGTGGGCCTCGGTCCTGAAACCCATACTGCTCGAAAGCCGCTGGATCCAAGCCCTCAATGCCGCCAGCGACCTCACTGTCGGCCTCCTCACGGGCTGTCCGTGGGGCTCGGTCGACAACCCTGCTGCCGGTTCGTCCCCTGCGCACGCAGCCGTTGCCGCCTTCCGCGCAACCGTCCTGACGGCGTACATGGCCGAGGTCGCCAAGGTCGTCGAAAGCGATCCGCAGCCTCTGTCGGACGAATCGATGGCCACAGCCCGGCCCACTCTGGTCTCGCTCAGCACCTACTGGGAGACAGCCACCTCGCCGCTCGAGATGGCGCTGATCCGATTTGGCCAGGCCAAATCCAAGGTGAGTACAGCGCCTCTTTGGCATTCGAAAGCATAGATATGCTGCGACGCCAGCAGTCACACCGGCCAAGCACTGGGGCCGATTGTTTGGCCCTGGGAGCTGCCGTTGCTGGTTCGCGGCGGTGGCGCTCACTCCTGCTGCTCTTGTGGCTCGACGGATCCAGATTGTATTCGAGCTCCTCGACGGACTCCTGGGGGCCAAGAACACCCGCATCCATGCGCTCATTCTCCTGGGCAAGCTGATCAAGACTCCGGTGAGCCAGCATGCAGTCCACTGCTTTTCGTTCGCAACTTTGCGCTTCCTCCAGCATGCCCAGCACTGGAGCAGAACTGAACTCGCGTACTTCTCTCCGATTTCGCTCCACCTGACGACTCCAGGATGTGCCGAGATATACCGTGCGCGATACCAATCTTTCCGAGAGTCTCTTGGAGAGCATGATGGTGAGTGTCGGCTGGGCTCGGTGCAGGTCTGTCTGGCTTGGTTCTCTTTGGAGTCGGTCATGATTTGTTAGTGATGGCCTACTTTAAAGCGGCACGGAACCCCATCACGATATTGACTGAGTGCATTCGACAAATCGCCCTCTACTTCCTCTCGCTCATTGACCGATACACAAACACCCCGCTGCACAGAATGACACACATCCCGTCATCCTCGCATCGTCTACCAACCACCTCGCTTCGCTGCTGCCGTATATTTTCACCAAATACTCGAATATAGAGGGCGTGAAGCGTCTGGTGCGCGCCCTCATCCGGGTGGTCAAGTGGGAATTCCTGTGGAATCGACAGCAGTACGCTCACGCCGGTGACCCAAGCGCAACCGACGACCAGGCCAGCGCCACCGACGAGAACATCATGCTCTTCAAGCACATCTCGTTCGTGACCATTCGTGCTGCCGTCGAACGCTACTTTACAATGCTCTATGGGCTGTTTCCCTGCAACATGATTCATCTCCTGCGCGAGATCAACATTGGCGACCGCTTTGAAGACAACGAGAGTTGGGCCGTGGCAACAGATGAAGACTACCTTTCACACGAGGAAGGAGCCAACAGACACATATCCACCAGTCTGCAGCAGGACATTGAGGACGTTGACCTACTGCATGAAGCTCGTCGGCGATTCCTCGTAAGCATCTGTTGTTTTCGCAATATGTGCACCTGCCTTCTCGCTGGCGCTGGCAGTCGAAGCATTACTCAGGATAGCATGCAACTCATCGGATTCGTAGTCGTTGATATCTGTGCTTGCACCTGCATTTGCATTCGCATCTACCTTGCTGCGTCGATTCGCAGCGAGAGACAACAACTGACAATGCGCCTGCTCTCCTCCACGAAACTCGTCACAGAGCCTGTTCAGCAACCACCAAGCTCACCCCAACCTCCTGTTGCATAATTGCGAGACTGAACTCGTCTACAATCTGGAAAACAATGACAGCGATCCCGACCGCATTATTGCTGAGTGCATGGAGCTCTACAACAGCCCTGAGACCCGTGGTACGGGGCAGGCGCCTGCACCGCCTGCACCTCAGTCGACGGCGCCCGTCGTTTCTGAGGATCAGAACACCGAGCGACATGCCGGGCTCTCCATCTGTACCGATACCCGTGATCCTGTGCTTGACTTGCCGCAGCCTCTCGACGTCGACACTCTGAGCCGCAGTCGCCTGGCTTGGGACTCGGGCCTGAAGAATCCTGCAGAGGATATGCTTTGGCGCCGAGCTGACTTTGACAGCATTGACTATATTATGGAGTTGACCAAGGCACTCCGCCGACACCTCCTTGAGCTGAAGGTGAGCCTATCTCGATCAACATCTCGTACTCCTCCGCGCTCGATTGGGCCGACCAGTTGGGCTTGCACAGCACTTGCACCGGCTTCTGATCTCGCGGTCTCGGCGCGTACTGATGCGGAATATTCTGCACGTCCGTTCAGTCCCAGGCCCTTGTCTCTCCAACAATGTCCTCGGCCACCTCGCCGGTACCGCGCAGCCTGCACATGGACATGATCAAATACCACTTTTACTTTCTGCTGAACCAGCTCAACGTGGAGATTTTCATGCGGCAGCAGTACATGACCCACATCCGGGCACTCAGACGCGAGCAGATCGACCGCGATCAGCAACAATCCATCACATTGGCTATGGTAGGACGGGTCTTGAATGCATAGCATATGCGGTGCAAGCATTTTGCACGACGATCCAGAGTGGGGCATTCATGTGAGGACAGCGGAACCTGGGCAGACCGGCTTGTGCTCGGGTGTCGGTTCATGCCCGATCTTGGCGCTTGATCTGATCCCACAGCATCGCTTTACCATTCTGCCACTCTGCTGCTCTGCCGGCTGACGAGCCCAGAATGACAAACTCAGAAGCCAGAATAAGGAAATCAATTCGCTGCGCGACTATATCGAGCAGCGTCGTGTGGAGCTGTCCAAATTTACGATCCGACATCGCAGCTTTGAGGAGGAGCTGCAGAACCGAGTGGCAGCCTCCCGCGCGGTCTCCGAAGCGCTAGCAAAGGAAAACACAGAGCTCAAGAAAACCATCAAGGACTTTGAAGTCAGCTGCCAATTGCTAGATGAAAGTGTGCGTGAGGGCACCTCCCGGTACGAACATGTCTGCATTGCCTGCAGAGCGACTCCATGGGGCGGTACGGCCGTGTGTATGGATAACAGACGCTTTCGAACACTTGGCGAGCGGGCGCCAAGGGACTCTGGCCTGGCTTCTGGAATCGTGGCAGTGGATTTTGGGCCAAATATGCCATCCTGGAATCAGCAGCCTGACGATGTGCTCCTTGGTGCTCTAACGGCGGCGTTCTGGTTGCAGAATCTCAACACTGGAAGTGGAGTTGGCCGCAGAGAGAGCAAAGACCGACAGACTCCAGGAGTACGATGAAACGATCAAGGATCTTTGTGCGCGGTTCTCAGAGAGGTATGTGCGCTGGCTGCTGGTGTGATGGCTTCCGAGAGCTATTCCTTCTTCAGAGTCGCCTGGCTCACACATCTGTCTGTACGATTTCCTTCCAGCGAGCGGGAAATCGACCAGCTGCTGCAACACAAGGCCGAGTGTGAGAAGCTGCAGGGCCAAGTCCGGGCGCTGACCGTCCAGCTGGAAGACCTGGAGCGCGAGGCGACCGAGCTGCGCCAAGCTGCAAGGTATGCGAGCTGTTGGCCTCTGCCGTGACTGCCCGCGGTTGATGCAACATCTGGTATGGTGCTGAAACCACTGCATATGCATATGCATGTCACACGTCCAGTCGACAAGCCGAGGCTACAACGACCACAATCACGCTGATGGGCACCCTCGAGAAGGCCTGCGAGCGGTACCAGAAGTGGATCGATGAGGAGGTGAGTCTGCACTATCTTCGCGCTGGAGATTGTTGATATGAGCCGTGTTGACTCCGCCCCCCTGACCTTGGCGACGGTGGCTTGCATTCTCAGTCACGACGACGAGAGATCATTCAAAAGATCGGCGAGGAGCGGATTTCGGCCGTCGAAGAAAAGTACCAAACGGTGATTGGTATCAACCAGCTGCTCGAGGTGGGTCTGGCCCTGCGATTCCGGCGGCGCGTGGGGACAACAGAGACATGTCGGATGTACCAAATCTCTTTGCTGACTGGCCGATCTGCTGTTCGGACGCCCAGGGCAAGGTGGTTGACCTGATGCAGGACCTTGACGACCTGAAGATTCGCACGCTGGCCGATCTGGAGAGTGGGGCACCGGGCGAGATTGCTGCTGCCGCAGACGGCGACGGCAGCGGCCCCAGTGCCGACCATGATGGCGCAGCTGCCGCAGACGGCCACAGTGAGAACTGCGTCGGGGAGAGCACTGGCGCCACGGCTGCTGCCTAACGAGGCTGTTGGCGCTGTCGAACATCCAATACACAACGAGCTCGGATACCCCATCGCGACGGCGTCTGGTCGATGCCCTGTCGAGCGAGCGGATTGCTGCTGCCCAGCTGCTATGTGGTCCTGCTGTGTGGTCATCGCGGAGTGATACCCCGTTGGCCCAAGCAAGCCAGAACCTTCCAGGCACCCCGTGCGTCCATGTGACGCGCCCCCCCCCTGGTCGCCCGCTGCCCCTGGCCTCTGCCACGTCAGCTCAAGGGTCTCCCTGGCCGATTACATAAGCGGCTTCGCCCTCAGAGTGTTTATAAGCGCGGGCCACCACCAGCACCAGCAACGTCGTTTCCTGCCCATCCATTACTGCCGCCTCCGCCGTCCCGAGATCCTGAACGACCGCCACCGCACAATGTCCCACGACAAAGGAAAGCTCCCGTGAGTACCGCCCGAGCCATTTGCAGATCGGCCGTGCCGGCAGCGCTAGAACCCTCAGAACGGGTCCCTGCTCGATTGCTGCTCGTCAGCAACGGTCCGATCCAGACCAACAGACAGACCAGCAGACAGACCAACAGGCTGGCTGGAGGGCACGACCAGCGCATCTGTCGCTGGGAGTTGCTGGATCGCGGCAAGGACAGCTTATCGAGCAACTGGGCCCGATGGCTTGCGTCTCCCGAGAGAGGGACGGAGCTGGCACAGCACAGCGTGAGGCAGATCGGGTGGGTGTCGTCGACACATCTGCGGCGTTTCTGACATTTCGTTCTGCATTATTCGCTTCCCACCCCCTCTTGTACCGTCTTGGCTGCTCACCGAACCCACTCGTCGTGATAGGACCGTCAACCCGGCGGACTTGTCTCAGGAGAAGGATAACGACACAGCCCTTGCTATTCTCAAGAAGAAATCGGCTCCCAACAAGCTCATTGTCGATGATGCTGTCAACGACGACAGCTCCCTGTGCGCGATGCACACCGAGACCCTTGACGAACTGGGCCTCTTCCGAGGGTGAGTGCGGTGCAGAGACCAGCAGGGCCTCCTGGCGGCCTCCGATCGAGAGTCACTCTGCTATCAACTCGAGTGGCCTGTGTCCTCACAATCAGCCTGCTTTCCTTTCAGTGACACGGTCCTGATCAAGGGCAAGAAGCATAAGGACACTGTTCTTATCGTCCTGGCCGACGACGAGGTAGAACGAAACAAGATCCGGATCAACAAGGTTGTCCGTGGAAATCTGCGCGTGCGCCTGGGCGACATTGTCTCGGTCCACCCCTGCCCCGACATCAAATACGGAAAGCGCATCCACGTCTTGCCGATAGACGACACCATCGAGGGCATCACCGGCAACTTGTTTGATGTTTTCCTCAAGCCCTACTTCCTGGAAGCCTACCGCCCCGTCCGAAAAGGCGACAACTTCATTGTCCGCGGCGGCATGCGCGCTGTCGAGTTCAAAGTCGTCGAGACGGACCCCTCGCCGTATTGCATTGTGAGTGTCTGCCCAATGTCTGGGCTTCTTCAACCGGACGCTGCTTGAGCTTTCAGGGGAGAGGTGTGCGCGTTCCGCTCTATTCTAACGACTCTCGATCCACACAGGTCGCCCAAGACACCGTCATTCACTGCGAGGGCGATCCTATCCGGCGCGAGGACGAGGAGTCGACCCTCAACGAAGTCGGCTACGACGACATTGGTGGATGCCGAAAGCAGCTTGCTCAGATCCGAGAGCTTGTGGAGCTGCCCCTCCGACACCCCCAGCTTTTCAAGAGCATCGGCATCAAGCCCCCCCGCGGTGCGTATTTTGCAGATGCTGCGTCTGGCAGGCTGTGGTTGGATGAGCGGGCTGGGCGCTTCGCTCTTGCGTCCACGCGCTCCTTCAGCATCTTACCGAGACCAGGGCGACTCTCTCGATCACTCATTCGCTCGTTCGTGCGCTTGCTTGCTCTCAGGTATCCTCATGTACGGTCCTCCCGGCACGGGCAAGACTCTGATCGCTCGTGCTGTCGCCAATGAGACCGGCGCCTTCTTCTTCCTCATCAATGGTCCCGAGATCATGTCCAAGATGGCCGGCGAGTCCGAGAGCAACCTCCGAAAGGCCTTTGAGGAAGCCGAGAAGAACAGCCCTGCCATCATTTTCATTGATGAAATCGACTCGATCGCTCCCAAGCGTGAGAAGGTGGGTTGTCCGGTCCCTTGTTGCCGCGAGCAGTTGGCAGGGTCTTGCTTGTGTCCCCAGCGGCTTTCGCTATCGACCGCAGATGGGCTGCACTGACACAATCCCATGCTATCTTACAGACCAACGGCGAAGTCGAGCGCCGTGTTGTGTCCCAGCTCTTGACCCTTATGGATGGTCTGAAAGCCCGGTCCAACGTTGTTGTCATGGCCGCCACCAACCGACCCAACAGCATCGACCCTGCGCTCCGACGCTTCGGTCGATTCGATCGCGAGGTGGACATTGGTATCCCTGATCCCACTGGTCGTCTGGAGATTCTCCGCATCCACACCAAGAACATGAAGCTGGCCGATGATGTCGATCTTGAGCAGGTTCGTTTGCCGATGCAATGCAGATCGTTGGGGGGGGGGCTGATGGCTTGTAGATTGCTCGCATCGTATCCATTTATCGGACGCTCACATGCTGCGCTCCCCTTGTATCCGGACAGATTGCTGCCGAGACCCACGGCTACGTCGGCTCCGATATGGCCTCGCTCTGCTCCGAGGCTGCCCTCCAGCAGATCCGCGAGAAGATGGATCTGATCGATCTCGACGAAGACACCATCGATGCCGAGGTCCTGGACAGCCTGGCCATCACCATGGCCAACTTCAAGTACGCCCTCGGCGTCTCGAACCCCGCTGCCCTCCGCGAGACTGTTGTCGAGGTGCCCACCGTCACCTGGGACGACATTGGTGGTCTCGAGAAGGTCAAGCAAGAGCTCAAGGAGACGGTGCAGTACCCCGTCGAGCATCCGGAGAAGTTCCTCAAGTTCGGCATGAGCCCCAGCAAGGGCGTGCTGTTCTATGGCCCGCCCGGCTGTGGCAAGACGCTGCTGGCCAAGGCCATTGCCAACGAGTGCCAGGCCAACTTCATCTCCATCAAGGGCCCCGAGCTGCTCACCATGTGGTTCGGCGAGTCCGAGGCCAACGTCCGTGACGTCTTTGACAAGGCCCGCTCGGCCGCCCCGTGTGTCATGTTCTTTGACGAGCTCGACTCGATTGCCAAGGCCCGTGGCGGCAGCCAGGGCGATGCCGGCGGCGCCGGCGACCGTGTGCTGAACCAGCTCCTGACCGAGATGGACGGCATGAACGCCAAGAAGAATGTCTTTGTCATCGGCGCCACCAACCGCCCGGACCAGATCGATCCCGCCCTGCTCCGACCTGGTCGTCTCGACCAGCTCATCTACATTCCTCTGCCTGGTACGGCTTGCTCCTGAGCGAATGCATTGGATGGTCTGCTGCTGTTGAGGTCACACGCGAGTGTGCTAACCCCTCTTCCACCTGCCCCTCGTCCCGCACAGATGAGGAGTCTCGCAAGCAGATTCTCAAGGCTACCCTGCGCAAGTCTCCTGTCTCCAAGAACGTCGATCTGTCGTTCATGGCCAAGAACACCCACGGCTTCTCTGCTGCCGATTTGACCGAGATCTGCCAGCGTGCTTGCAAGCTGGCCATCCGCGAGTCCATCGACCAGGAAATCCGGAACGAGAACGCTAAGAAGGAAGCCCAACAGCGCGGCGAGGAGATCATGGACGATGATATCGATCCCGTCCCCGAGCTCACCGTCGCCCACTTTGAGGAGGCCATGAGATTTGCCCGCCGCTCCGTCTCGGACAACGACATCCGCAAGTACGAGATGTTTGCCCAGAACCTGCAGCAGCGTCTCGGATACGGAAGCAACTTCAAGTTCCCGCAGTCCTCTGGCGCCCCAAGCGGTGAGTCGCTCATGATCCTTCCTCCAGTCGCTTTGTTTGCTCTATCTGTTCAGTCTCTCGTCTGTTGCATTGTTGTGTGCAACCAATATCTCATCATATCCGTTCGTGACTTTTGGCCGGATTTCCAGGTGCCGCCGGCGCTTCCAACACCGAAGACGCCAGCCAGAACGACGACGATCTGTACGCTTAAGCGACGCCCACCGGTCAGGTTTTTGCCACTGTTTGTACCTCAAACGCAGCTTCATCCACGAAAAAAAATCGGGACGCCCAGACCTCAAGGGCTCGCAGTCGCATCAGAACGACATGAGAGCTCCCTTTGAGGACCGACAGCATGCATCCACTATCTTTGAGGACGCGCGGCCTGTTGCCCTTCTGGTCCTGCATTGATGAATATACATCGCACCGACACACTCCTCGCATATATGGTGCTGCGAGAAACAGAGTCTTCCTTGGCGGCACCAGCGCTGCTTCATGCATTTGGGGTTGGGTGCTGGGTGCATTTGAGGCATTCGTTCGCTCGATCGGCATCCCCACTCGGTTGTCGTCAGCCAGGTCGATCTCGCGATGCAACCCGCACGTAATCCCATCAATCATTCGTCCTGCCGCCCTCAGCCTGCGCAATCTCGTCCTTCTCAGTGACGTTGCCACCTGACGTCGAAGGACGATGCCCCGTATTAAAGCCGCAGAGCCGCTCGCGATGCCCTCAAGCAAACCAAGCTGTGAGAGACGCTGCCCCATCAACCCAACCCACAGCCAAGCAGCAAGCCTGCAACGCCTGGTCAAGAGTCCCAACCACCACCAACTCCCAGTCCGGCTGAACAGCACACTTCCTATCGCCGTCCTCTACTCTGTCCATTTCACCGCCGTCGGTCCAAATGAAGATTAAAGCGCCCAAGCTTCCCAACGCCAAGCAGCTGCTCATCAACAAGAATGTGCTGCAGGAGCGGTTCCGTGATACAAAAAACTTCCCGATCGAGAAGAAGATGCGATTCTCGGGCCGGTTCTTCCAAATCGTGCTCTCTGCGTTTGCGTACTACTGGCTCGCCTCGCAGGACTCTGCGCTCATGACCAAGTACGGGCTCTTCGGCGTCATTGGCTACAGCTGGTTCCTCAACTTGGCCTGTCCATGCGTGGCGGGCCTGTTGATCCTGCAGCACTTTGCCGGCGCTATCATCTCGGCGTGGACCTCGCGGAAGATGATGGTGCTCGAGACCCTGTGCGATGTGACCATCATGGCCCTGTGGCTGTTTTGCATCATTGCCGCGGGAATCCTGATGGGGCCCAACTGCCCACCCGGCACCTCCCATGCCTGCGACTGCTTCAACTGGGTACTGGCTACTGAGATCATGAGCTGGATTGCCTGGACCTACGGCGTGGTGCTGGACTTTGTTCTCTGGTACAAGGTGCTTTGGGGCGGCATGGAGGAGATTGACGACATGGAGATGAACAGAGCCCTGCGCCAGACCGCCAGGAAGCACCCCGGCGGCGGAAACAGCAATGTCTTTTGAAGAAGATGCATCGCGCTGTCCCAGAGCGTAACAGGTGGGTTTGAGATGCCCAAGTCAAACAGTCATGCTCAATGCCGACGATCTGGAGCTTCTTCCGCTGACATACATGCCTCTTTGAGACAACACAGATGGCGCACTGCTCTCAAGAACACAACGCAAACCTCAGGGTGGCCGAGGGCAGCCCATCAGCTGTGCTGTTGCTGTTTCCGCTCGGCCGGATGGACTGGTGTTGATCATGTTCATGATTGTTTGACAAAGGCCGGCCAGGCTGCCGCTGCCAAAGAACCTGCCTGCGAATACAGCGTTGCATTGAGCTCAAGTGTGCTGCACATGGGTTTGCCATAGAGCCACCGACAGAGTACTTATCGGCGGTGAGCACTGTGTTGCGCGGACTGTGGATGGGCCAGAGCCATATGTCCCAGATCGGCGAGCCATATGTACTGTTGGTGCACAAAGGATATTCTGCCTCCCCTCTCTTTCCCCCCTTCGTTGGCTGCGATATGTCGCTTGCCAGGGTTGATTGCTGGCACAATGCCCAGCATTGTGCGATAAAAATAGGATTGCAAAATATCTCCCGGGCGCATTGTCCAGGCAGCTTCATAGCCGTGGTTATCCAGATGCTCTGCATCTGCATCCGCAGATTGTTGAGCCTCGACAATCGCATTCATATCACTGGTGCATCGCAGTTCCGCTACAACGGCTTTGGTGACTTCGCGATGGTTGGGGTTGGCGCTAGCCCCCCATGCACATATCTGTCCCTTGCCCAAGGCACTTGTGCTTGCTTCCTTGCCTGGGTACTTCTATTCGCTCTGTGCGCTCGCGGTAAAGCAGAGAGCTCTCCAGCAAGCCGTCGAGCAGCCTTCTGTGAACTGCCGGGACTGACCAGCCGGCCCAGCAACGTCTCAGCACAACCTGTGGACCGAACTACCACACGATCTACCAGCCCGACACACTTTCGCCCGCTAACCCGCACCAGCGCTTGTCCTTGGTTTCTCTGCTTCAAGAACCGGCTTTTGAGGTTTCGCTTCGATCTGTCGACATGCACGGTCGGTACATTCCTCGATACACCCGGCCTCCAGAGGCGCTAAAGACCCCGCCTCCGCTGTTCACGGAGAGGGACTTTAGTGGTCTTGGCAGCGACTTTCGCTTCCTCCTTCGCGAGGTTGGGCCTGTCTTGGTCGAGGGAGTCGCCTGGGTCGTCCGGACCCAACCCCAAGACCCCTTCGATGCTCTGGGCCGTTTTATCCTTGACAAATCCAAAGAGTCGAAAGCGACACCACTGTCGCCGCTGGCCTCGGCCCTCAGGGACATCTCGCAGCCCGATAACACAGAGGACTATATCGGCCATCCCGCCATGCACAGCATCCCCGACCCTGTCTCTGTGAACTGGAAGGTAATGCGGGTGGACATGTGCATATTGAGGCTGCGGGCCACTTCCCAAGGCGTGAGAACTTTCATCGTTTCTGATATCCGAGATGCCTCACTCCAGCCCTTCACTCCGCCGAGCCAGAGGAAGCGCAACATGGCGAACAAGGGTAGACCCAAAAAACCTCAGTCTACTGATTCATCTGATTCATCCGAGTCGCTCTCGAGTGACTCTGAAGCCGAGCCCGAAGCCAAAGCTTCGGGGACGACTCCAGCCGGCCTGCTCAAACCAACCCAGGTCGGTGCTGATCTCAAGCCACCCCCCGGCAAACAAGTCCCATTCGGCCCTCCAGGGCCTGTCCTAATTGACCCCGGTGTATCTGAACTGGAGAAGGAGGCTGGGTCTGTCGTCGTTGAGCCAACAGCGAGCACAAGCGCTGATGTTGTTGAGGCCCTCGTCGCTGGACCCGTCGATACGTCCGTGACAACAGAGAGCCCCGCCCCACCAACAGATACTGCTCCCGTAACAACAGAAGGCTCACTGCCAGTGCCGGTTGCTGGAGATGAAGCTTCCGACGCAGTTGTCTCGGGCGACCAAGTGGGAATCGCTGTGCCCGATCAGACCGAGGCACTCCAGGCGACAGACCCTGACTCCACCAGCGCAGAAGCAAACGAATCTACTCCGACCGACTTGACCAACTGAAGGCCCTTGAGCACAATACACTACGCCATTCTGTCTAGCTCTCGTTCATCGGTGTCCGGACGCTTGATTCGCCGGTCCCCGCTGCAGGGCCTTGCTGGGGCTCGGTTGGGCTGGCCGTGGCCAGATTCGGCTCCGCCGATCGGGTCGACAAACGAGCGGGACTCTCTGACTTGATCTGAGCCTGCTCTGCGCCGCTGGTCAGCACCGGACTGCCAACGATGGCCAGCCGCAACGCTTTGCGCATATTCTTGCTCGCCGCTCTCATCAAGCTCCTCCTCGTGCCTGCCTAGTGGGTTCTTGCTCTTGATGTCGGATGCGCATATTCCCCTCGCCTGCTACCGCTCGCCACCCCTTACGATCCACCCTGACCATCGTCTGTCGGCCTTCTGCGCTTGATTCGGCGTAGCCACTCGACCGACTTTGAGGTCCACAGGAACTGGCTCGCCATCACACACTCGCTCCCTATTTCAAAATGGTATTACGAGGTCGGTTCTCCTGTCGGAACCCTGGCCATGTCCTCGGCATATTGGCAGCATACCGCATCGAGCTCACAACGCACTTTCCTGCGCCAAATGTCGACCCGCTTTCTTGCCTGCCCCTTCCCTCACTATCGGCTCCGGCGACTGCTCGTCCATCAACAGGACCGATCCGAATGGACGCTCGACTACCCACCCTTCTTTGCCTGGTTCGAGTTTACACTCTCGCAAGTGGCCCAGTTCTTTGATCCTCGGATGCTGGATCTCGACAACCTCGGCTACGCCAGTTTCGAAACCGTTCTCTTCCAGAGACTGACGGTGATCACAACCGAAGTCGTGCTATTCCTATCGGTACTGAGGTACTGCTCCAATTCAGTCCGAGTGGGGGTCGAGGCAGCGTTGATGCCCGATCGACTTGGATCACTTTTGTTGATGCTCTCTACGGATGCCAGCTACTCACTCGCTCGCTCACTTGCTTTGTAACCAGGGTCCTGCGTCCTGTGAAGGACTCGCTTGTCAAGGATATCCTCACCGGCTTGATCTTCCTCAACCCCGGCATCCTGTTCGTGGATCACATCCACTTCCAGTACAACGGCTTCCTCTACGGCATCCAGCTTTACTCGATCGCCGCCTTTCAGGAGGTTGGTATCTCCCATTCGCCACTGACTGAGTCCTTGTTGGTCTGGCCTGATTGCTGGCTTTAACAGGTCTCCATTTCTCCTCGATCCACGCAGGGCCAACACCTCATAGGCGGAGCGCTGTTCGCCGTAGTTCTGAATTTCAAGCACATCTACCTTTATCAAGCACCGGCATACTTTGTCTATCTTCTCAGCGGCTACTGCTTCAGCGCCAAATCCGGCTTGTGTGCGTATCAGTCCATGCCTCCGTGCCCGGTTGTTTTCAAACGCCGTTGCATCCACGACCTCTGGCCGCCCAAGCAGATGCCCAGACTTACGCCGTTGCGCCGCCTGTGTCGTCTATGCCAGTCCAATTCTCTCTCCAGAACTTTGTTTCGATCGGAGCCGTCACCCTAGCAGTCTTTGCGCTGTCCTTTGGTCCGTTTGCTCAGCATCTGCCCCAGATTCTTTCGAGGCTGTTCCCGTTCAAGCGTGGACTCTGCCATGCCTACTGGGCGCCAAATTTCTGGGCAGTCTATTCGTTTGCGGATCGACTTGCGCTCTTTGGTAGGCTTGGATCGTCCGCTATGCAGTCTGGCAGTCGGGTCGCATTCCGTGGAATCTTTGTCCTGGGAGTCATTTTGGTTGTGTGCGATTATTGGGCTGACGGCGATACGATAGCTGTGGGATAGAGCAACTTTCAAATTTGAGGCCATTTGTACTGATGTGTTTACTCTTGAACCCACAGCCATGAAAGCCTTCAAGATTGGAGAGCCTGCATCCATCCCATCCTTGACCCGTGGCCTGGTTGGCGATACAAGCTTCGGGCTCCTCCCTGCGATTCTGCCTATTCACACCCTGGTGCTCACTCTGCTCGGACAGCTGGTAGGCTCGATGTTTTGGACGATGCATGGAGCTCCTCTGCATCAATATTAGTCCGATATGTCGACTCAAACACAACTGTCTCCTCCGACACTAGCCCATCCTCTTCAAGCTCTGGAGAAAGCCCACGCGCGATACCTTTGTCGAGAGCCTGATTCTCTGCGGATTCAGTTCGTTCCTCTTTGGCTGGCATGTCCACGAGAAAGCGATTCTGCTTGTTCTTATCCCATTCAGGTAGGAGACGTTGCTTACGATCCAGATGCGGCCAAGCCATAGATCTCACAATGACAGTCGCTTGTTCCACTGCACAATCGCATCCATGTCTTAATGACCACGCACCCGGAGTCACCTTTCGGAACTGGGCCACAGCGCTTGACTCTTCACGATTTGTTTACACCCACCCACTGAGATCTCATCAAATATCTGCCCACCCTATCTTTCGATGATAACCATCGCTCCTCAGCTTGATTGCCCATGAATCGCAGCGACATGCACGGACATTCCTGGTTCTGGCCGGCGCGGGATACGGATCGCTCTTCCCGCTCATCTACCAGCCCACCGGTAAAGTCTGCACACGGTGTCGTCACCAGCAAGAGTCATGTGCATCGTTTTTCGTTGTCGGTTGGTCAAAATGCGATCCAGCAGACGAAGCTTGGGTCGCAAATGCAAATCTGACCTTCGATTTTGATGAAAATAGAGCTTGTTACCAAGTTTGCTGTCCTTGGATTGTACATGTCGCTCAGCTACAGCCTGCTGTCTTTCCTGCTCAACCGGTGAGTCAGCTGCGTTGGATTTTGGATTGGCAGACCCCGCTCGCAGTACTGCTTCGGGACGGATACCATCGGAAGGTCACCGACGGCTGACCCATATTGCTTGGTCCGATGTGATGCCACAGATCCACCGGCAGCCCACTCCGGCTCTCATGGGCCGAGTCTGTTTATCTCCTGGGCATGGTCGTCCTCCAGATCTACGCCGAAGTCATCCATCCCTTGCTCTTCTGCCACCTTGTAAACCTTGAGTTTTTGCCCCTGATGGCGGTGTCAGTCTACTCGGCGGTCGGCGTCATGTATGCTTGGTTCAGGTTTTACTGGGACACACTGGTCCTCTCCAAGGACAAATCGGAGTAAGCCATGCCCAAGAATCACATATGAAGGGCCGCTCTGAGGGGACGAGTGTTGCAGTGGTACAGATTGTGGAGGCAGATGTATTCCTCGGTGATTCGGTCACAGAAACCCGCTATACTAGCAATATTTGGTGAGTCGACCGGCATGAAGCTGGACCAGCCCCACCGATAAACAGAGCGACTGTGTCGAGATCCAGCAAGTTGGGTTGTTTCCTGGAGTGCGCCAATGTGCGCACCTTGCTCCCGGGCACCAGACCGCCTCGCTATCGAGCGGGGTGCTTCGGTCCAATCGAAAAGATACTCAGGGAGAGCAGTTGGAGCAGAGGGAGTAGGGATAAGGGCAACAGATCCAATAGAGTCCGACATCACTGGGGAGACTGATGACGCATCAGCACACATGTTGCTCGCCGATCGCTCCCGTTCTCGGTCAGTCCCGGGATTTGGCTGTCCGGAAGAGCTCGTCAACAAAGTTTGTGGTTTCGTCGGTGCCCTGCGGCTTCCGGATCCGATCCAGGCTGGTATCAATGTCCTGCAGAAATCAGCACCGATGTGACGTGAGTAAAGACTCGACCGTGATACTGAGAAATCTGGACTTTGGCCCGGGCTGGCGGAGATCCGCTGTGGCCGATTGCGTCTCACAGTCCGCTGAGTACCTGTGTGCCCGGAAGCGAAGGCGAGTCGATCGAAAAGATACTCCCAAAGACGTCCCCGGAGATGCCATCGGGGGCAGCCTCGGGACTGCGTTACCGTGTCGGACAATATGCAGCCATGCCGCAGCGTTGGGATTGAGATTGGAGATGAAGAGCGAGATATGGCAGTGATGAACAATGGAGACAAAGAATGAGACAGGGACAGAAGCAGACAAAGCCTGAGCCGCGTCACCGGAGAGCGACTATCGAGCGAGGCGCTGGCCGATCCAGGTCGGTGTTGCAGCGTGATCGATGCAGGGATCCTCAATAGGCACGGTCGCAGCGACAGCAACTTACATCCGATATGTGGGGTCGCCCTTGATCAGTTGCATTGATACCGAGATCTAGAGACACATTGTCGGCGTCGTTGCCATCGTCGTTGTTGATGACCATGATGTGCCAAGGAAAAGAGTGAGAGTGAGCGCGTGGGCCAGGCCAGCAGCATTATCCGTTCATGCCAAGAGGCACTGATGCCAAGATGGATTGCTGCCAAGATGGACTGATGCCAAGATGGACTGTGTTGCTCGACACTCCCTCCTTGTGGCCAAGCACTGACGGCCAGAAGCATTCTGCAGGAGACGCTGTACCTTGGCTATGGAGTTTACCCGCGACTCTTGCAGGAGATACTTGCGAGTTGTTACGGCGGCTCCGGCATATTCGGCAAGATTGACATAGACGACGCCGATTTCCTCGCTCTTGTCGCCGTTGACTTCCTGGTTGATGGATAGAATCAAGTCGCAGGGCTGCAACACGCCGTCCTTTCCGACATAGATGGTGGCTTCCAGCTGGAATGAGGCATTCCAGACAACTGTGTTTTCTCTGACAGTGGCCCTGAGCGACGAGAGATCAGGTCGACAGTCAGAGAGAGACTCATTGCAGCGAACTGGGAACGACGGCAGCTGGTCCCAGCCGAGTAATGGTTGTCCCGGAGACGCCTCCGCAGCAGAAACGGGCTTGGTTTCGCACCGGAGGGCCTACAGTGGCCGATTAGAGCCAGCATCTGCCACACCGAGCCGGTCCAGCCAGGATTTGGACAAGAGATGCGCTACTCGGTTTCCCCCCAGCGATGCCGTCGAGCCTACTTTTGCGTCCGCCCTTTGACCGTCCGAGTGCCCTTGAGCTTCCACTTTGCGAAATAAAGCCCGCTGACATAGGGCAGGTTTGTCAAGTCCTCCAAGACGACGGTGACCAGGAATGACACCTTTTTCGAGAACAGCGACATGGATAGCAGAGCCGGTTATCGAAGCAGACAAGCTGGCTGACTCAGGACAGAGGAATACGGCCGGTAGTGACCCGCCAAGAAGCAGATGGCCCAGCGAGCCAGGAAACGTTGCTGAATTGGACGGCAGGAGGGGTCGGAGACTAGACTCGGGCAGGAGCGAGCATGCAACGGGGAGGCACAGGCGGCCGGCGGCGATGGAGATCGACTTTTGCTGCAAGCAGGCAGCGGTTGGGACAGCGGACAGCCCTGGCGATCGACCAAGCCGTTGCTTGGCGCCTTCTCGGTGCCTTCTCGGCGGTGCGTCTCGCTGGCCCTCGCTCTCCGCGATCACGAACTCTCCCTGACAGCACCGCTTATCAGCCATCAACACCGCCATCAGCACCACTATCGGCACCGCCATCAGCACCACTATCAACACCGCCATCAGCATCGTCGTCATGCCCCCAGTCCAAAGCTCCACATACTCCGATCTGTCGTCGGATGAGTGCCCGGTCTGCCACTCCACAAAATACCTCAATCCAACCCTCAAGCTCCTTGTGAGCCCATGTTTCCACAAAATGTAGCCCACCTCTGCCCTGCCTTCCCTGCTTGGATGTCTTCCCTGCTTGGACATGCCCTCGCCTACCTTGCTCATTGATCCATCGGCTCCGTCCTCAGGTGCGAGACGTGCATCGGTCGGCTCTTTACCGCCGGTGCTGCTCCATGTCCGATTTGCGGGCAGAACCTTCGCAAGAGCAACTTTGTCGCCCAGACCTTCGAGGACCTCTACGTCGAGAGAGAGGTGGGCATACGGAGAAAGATGGGTCGCTGGTAAGCATTTCCGATCGGATTCGGATTCGGTCTCGGTCTCGACCTGGCAGAAGCGTTTCTGCTGCACGAGACCCGCGATGACTGTATCGCTGCTGATCCAGCATTTACCCACAGCTTCAACAAGCGGCTGGAAGACTTCAATGGCGATCTGAAAAATTACAATAACTATCTGGAGGAGGTCGAGGAAATCAGTAAGCGCTCAGGGCAGCCATCCCACGCTGCCTTCGCCCCCGGTGGCAGTACGATCGATCGCACTGCCGAGCCAACCCCGCCGGTGCCGCACCTTTGCTGATAACAGGCTCCGCTGCAAACCCCAGTGTTCAACCTCATCAACGATGTCGATGTGCAGCAGACCAACGAGCGGATCGAGCGGTATCGGCAGGAAAACAAGGAGGAGATATCCGCCAACCTGGCCAAGCAGGTCGGTCTCCAGCAGGAATCATTTCGTACCGCGCGATCTCGAGCGCATGTTGTTCACCATCCGTTTCCGTTGCCGGGCTACAGGCGCAGGAAGAGAAGATGCTATCGCATAAACTTGACAAGGAGAAGCGGGAAAAGATCCATCGCAAGGAAGTATATTTGCAGCACGCGATGGAAGAGACTCGGGCCAGAGAAGTCGAGAAGGAAGACATCATTCGCCAGCTGGTAGGTGGTGCGTTGCTGCCGCCAGGAGCAATGAATGGGTTGCTGCGGAAGAGGGGAAAACAGAGTGCCAAACAGACTGAAAAGCGCTTGATCGCCTGCGATCACCAACGGAGCCTCTGTTGAGTCATATCCGCATCCCTGAATAGGCCGAGGCCACAGACAAAAGCGCCTCGGATGTCATCCGAGAACACAAAATGACCAAAAAGACAACGGTTGCCCTCAACATCCCAACCCTTGAAGACTCGGACGACGAGGACATGACATACTATGGCCGCGGCGACCTGATGCTGCGTGAAGACGACCATCACTTCGACGCCGCCGATATGGCCTACGAGCCCGTGGCGATCACGCTCGACAGCTACATTGATCCGTGAGTGTTCACTTCAATGGCTGATAATGAGCATTTGGGCACTTGTGTGGTTCTGCCTTGATCTAATCAGCCTCGCTCTGGCATCGCCTTGATTGTGCCGCTCGCCTGGCTTTGACACCAGATGGACACAGGAGCTGCAAAAGAACCCTCAGGCCAGGGCCGGAGGCTACATGGCTCAGTGTACACAGATGCGATCGATGTTCCAGGCGTTCCACGGCGTACTGGACGGCATATCCATTCCGTAGACACCATCATGCTGCTGCGCGACGAAGATCAATGATGCAAGGCACTGCGGGAACGTGCCGCCCAACAAAACCGAGGCTCGCGCTAGTAAAACACTCCCGAACAAAGCCACGGACCGGGCTCTGTATTCGAGCTGGGCCTATTTGCCATTGGCCGCCCTCCCCCGAAGCTGACGAGCGTCCCCCCAATAACACAATGTAGCCATTCAACCAGTTATCGCTGGGAATCTGTGGCTCAGCTCGCATTGTCAACATCGATGTGTGATAGTAGAGAGCTCCATTGGCTGCAGCGAAAGCACGCGCCTGGCGCCTGCATGGATGACCTTCCAATGAGGAATCGTGGTTGACCAGTTCGAAGTACTTTGGGGTCCCGGACGACGGGCTGACTGCATTGGCCCCTTGCCATGCTTTCACGAGGCAGATGGCCGTTGACCGTGATGAGCGAGTGCGTATATTCAGGGTCCAAAAGTGACCTCAAACAGGGTGCTCGCTGGCTCGCTGCTCGCGCCTCGAGACTACTTTCGTTTGCGCTGGCCCGATTTTCCGCCTGCATCCTTTCCCTTGGCGACCTTGCCGCCGCTCTTGGAGGTGTTGACTCGGAAAGGATTGGCCTTGGTTTTGGTTTTCGCCTTGCCCATGGCATGCACCTTTCTGAGCGAGATTTTGTGCTTCTTATTGGCAAAGGCCTTGGAGGCACCCGAGCCAGCGTTTGTGGTCTCCGCCGCATCAGCGTCCTCAGCCTCAGCTCCTCCTTCGATGTCGTCTTGGTCGTCACGGTCGTAAAAACCGTCGCTTTGGCTGTCGTTGCCATCCTCTGCATCATTGTCGCCGCCGTCGCTGTCATCGTCATTGCCATCGTCATCGCGGGCATGGATAATCGACTCGAGGCCATCTGTGTCCGGGTTGAACTCGGTGATGGTGACAGTTGTGATAAGGTCTCTGTCCTTCAGTGTCTTGGTCCGTTTGGTCGTCAGGCTCTCGTCGAGCTCGCCCGATGCAGCCTTGCGAATGGCCTCGATACGCTCGATCTCGGGCAGTACACCGGCTATCCGGCCCCTCTGTAGTGAAGTGAGTGCGAAAGCGGGGTGCATCGATAAGTCTCCGAGACCCACGTCTTGATTGTCGCAGCCCAAGATCCCAGACGAGTTGCCGGTCGAGTGAGCATCGACTCTGCCCGTTCGGATCATCACGGACTTACGGCCTCGCGTCTTGCTGCCAGGCGTTCTTGGCGGGCCTGCTCCATGTGGTATTCGATCGCCTTCTTTTTCCGCTCGAGATTGCGCTTATGGAATCCAGTGAGGTAGTCTCTGGCGAGTTTGTTGTCAAGCCAGGCGAGCGTGGGTTTCGGCATCGGTGAGCATCGTCGATCTCGACTGAAACGCAGATCTGGAGCGTGGAGGCCATTCCCACGAACACCTGCATCCACACCTGCGGGAGGAATAGAGGGCCAGCATCCTACCTCCTCTTCGAATCGTCGTATTCGATGATCGCCGGCCGCTCATCCGCCCTGAGCGGCCTCGGAGGCCTCTTGCCCAGCTTTCCCTTCTTCCCCGCCTTGCCCTTCTGCTCGGACTTTCCCTTCTGCCCAGACTTTGCCATTTACGCTCGGCTGTGTCGAAGGCGCTTCTCACGTCGGGTCGCTCTGCAGGCTCGGTCTTGATCGACGGTCCGCCTGCGTCTCTGCGTCGATCCTCTGGGAATCCGTCGTCAAAGCCGATGCCCAGCAAAAAAAGTTCAGCTAGGCACGTGTCCGGCCGAGAGCGCGTCGTGCCTCTCGCCGAGAAGCCCGTTTCCGTCGTGCATCAACCAGGTCCTCGATCCACCCCATGGGCTTGGGTCTCACCCCCATCACATCAAGCACAAGCGACAGCGTCGGCAGCAGGCCGCTGGGGAGAGCCGAAGCGCCGGAACGGACAGAAGCGCTGCCAGGCTGAATCGTCTGCGGCATCACTTCACAGCAGCAACCTCGCCGCCGCCAAAACGGTCGCCATGCCGCCAGAGTGGAAAAAGATTCTGTATCAGAAGCAGAGCTATCCAGACAACTATGTGCCCGACAACTTTCTTTCGGAGATGAGGCAGAATGGTAGGCTACGCACGATCAACAACAGTCTCGTCGGGCAAAGACTGCAGCGGAAGCCAAGCAGGCGTCGCAGCGAGTGTTGGCCTGTTGCGGAGCTTGGCAATATTGAGCACTGCCGAATGTTGCTAAGAGCCTGTTCGTGCTCTCGCCCGCAGTCGACCTCAAAAATTACAACTATTGGGAGCTGTCTGTCCAGGCCGGAACGCTTACGCAGCAAATCAGCTCGATCACCATATTTGTGTCTGTGTTCTGGAACTCGTACCAAGGCCACCTATCGGGCAAGGCTCTGATCATGATGACTGCCGTATTGGTCGTTGTCGGATATGTCTGCTGGGCCGCTGTCCTTGGAGAATCTGGTGCTGCGAAGCGACGTAAGTGGCTGTGCCTCTCTTTGCATGCAGCGTCTTGTCGAGCAGTCGGATGACACCGGGCAGTCTGTCGAACTTTCATTGCAATCTGCTGGAAGCCAGTATCGTTGTTAACACCTGTCATCATTTCCATCACGGCCGCCGGATTGAATCGGCTGGTACTGCCTCTTACTCTCTGTCTGCCCTCTACCTGCCCTCTACGGGACCATGAACCGGTGCTGTCGCGCTGGCCCAGAGCTGACAATCGTCAAAGGAGGTCTCATCATATTTTCGCTGCTCTTCGGGCTGAGCCCAATCCTTACAACCCTGACCAAGACGATCAGTAGCGACACCATCTGGGCACTCACGCTGGTGATGTTTCTCACCAATCTGCTCTTCCACGAGTACGAAGGCGACCACTTTGAAGGCATTGCGTAAGTGATCCACCGGCCGCGTCTCAGCCCGGCTTCCTGGTTAATCCTCGCAACACTAAACTAGCCCCGGATCCATCGGCTTTCGCTAGGTTTCCAGAGTCGCTTTCGATCAATGCCGCCATCTCTGCATCGGTGCTGCTCGCGTCTCGTTTGTCGTCTGAGCTGATGGTGTTTGGGATCGTCTCCCTGGCGCTGGTACTGTTTGGGCTGTTCCCGCTGTTTCGGCGGTGCCTGCGGCGCTGGGAACGCAAAACCTGGAAGGTAAACCGGACTGGTGAAGAGTGAGTGGTAAAATAGGGGCGGGTCAGGCTCAACAGCTGTGCGGCGGTTGCCGATAGCGCTCGAGATGCTTCTGATGAGTGCTCACGAGCCACTGCTTCGGTCTCAGGTCCCTGGGCGACCCGTCGAGCTGGTCCTGACGATCGCCATGGGCAGCCTCTCAATTGGGCTCCTGGCCCCAATCTCCATGATTCCGACGACTGTGTATGGATGCTCGGCTCTCTTCATCGTCTTTGTCTGTCCTTACTGGCTCATCTGGAATCAGCGATTCAAAAAGTAAGTTGTGGCGACAGCACGGGGCCTGCAGCAGCGACGATCAATGGCCCTGCCCTGACATTCTGTCGTTGTGACCTTGATACCCCGTACTGCAGCGAAATCCGTGGCCCGTGGGATGAGGCAAAGATACAGCTTGAACATACCGACCATGGGCCTGGTGCGAGCCGATGAAGACGGAATCTACAATCAGGGTCGGGGGGGGGGCTAATCCCGGATTCGAAATATATGATGGTGCCCACAGCGTGGCTGGATGCAAATCAGCATGAGCGGAATCGTGTGCATGAGCCGAGCTCGTTGGTGCGGGAACATGGGCGTCGACCCGCCTGGCTGGATCCGCCCTGGCTGCTGGCTTCGTCGCGATCTTCTCCCGCGCCCTCTGTCCTCATCTCTGCCCGACATCGCCCCGACATTGGCATCGGCAACAGCCATGTTCCAGCCCCTGTCTGTCGCTGCCGACTCAGGCAGCACTGCGAGAGCAAAGGTTGGGAGTCACGGCGCTCTAAGCTGTCGGAGTGCTGTTTCGACGGCCATCCTCGACTTGGCTCGAGGCGCACTCGAGCCCCACCGACTCCAGACCCTCCTGATTAACTCCAACCCTCGTCCCTCGGTTTCTTGCAACGGATCTGCCTTGCGGGCCATATCCCCGTGCAGAGATACCACGATCTAGCCAAGTATCTGAGGCACACCGATTTGGAGTCGCTCCGGGGCATCTGGCAGACCGTGAGGCTGGAGCTTTCCCGATTCCCCGATGGCGATGACATGCATACCAAGGTATGGGTATTAGATACGCCTGTGGCTGGTTGGTCCTGTGGATCGGCCTGTGTCCTCGCAGCAAAGGGATATCTAGGATCAGTTGCGTATGTACATATTCCCAGTGCCGCCAGAGCCATCGGTTTGGCTGGCATCGATCTCATCGGCACGCTCGTCTCGATCTGAACCAAACCAACAGGTCGCGCTGCTCGATATCTGCAAGACTCTGTCGCTGGCTATGGGCGATGTCGAGGAATACGTTCCGTCGCTGACGACGCAGGTACGCCCAGCTCTCGGCACACAAGCCCGCTCTTCCTTGGACAGAACGTCGCCCGGCGGTCACCAGGCCACGATTACAGGCCAATACTAAACGCATGCGTGATGCCCAACGCTGGATATTATCGGATGCATCCACCCCGCCGCTGCATTGGGCCGGCTCCAATGTATCGGACAATTGAATGGTACCCCACCAGCTCGATATGCAATCTCCTACTCCGATCTTGGCGGCGGCTCTCGAGAGCCTGCTCCTCACAATCAAGGCAAGCAAGCGCATCGAGCTTCCCCATCGCCCGCACCCTGCTTGACGATCGAGCGAGCCGCCATGCTCACAATGATATGCGGCTACCAGGCCAAGAATGCTGCAGCTTGGTCGCAAGACTCCATGGACACATTGATCCACAAGCTTATCTGGCTCCTGGCATCGCCAGCGCCAACGGTCCGCAGCCTGTGCGTATCGCTCTTGGCGAGCATCACCAAACTGCCTAGCAGCCGAAGCGTCATTGGCACAATGTCGCTGGAGAAGCTCGATCCAGCAACGGTGCAAGATATCTGTGCGGAATTTATGGGCGACGAAGCCGTCGTCGTCCGGGCGGTCAGTGCTTGCCTGCATCTACGATCGGATTGTGTTGATATGCCGCGAAGAGCTTTTCCAGGGCTCGGTCCAGCCCTTCCTCAGCCCCAGACATTCATCTGGATCGTACGACATTCACTTTGGTTCTTAGAGTGCACTGAAGGCGCTGATAACCCTGGCTGAGTCGGGGCTCATCATCACCAAGGAACGATATCTTAAGGTCGCGCATCTGGCATCGGACGAAAGCAAGACTGTTCGCATGAGTGCCATCCACTTGATGTGGTGAGGATATGCCGCCGATGCCTTCTTGAACCTCGATGCTGCCTCGAGCCTCGATGCCACCTCGGACCCGAAGAGGCGCAACGGCTGCAGCTACCCCGAGCATTCGTTCAAGGGTCTTACATTCCGGCTCCGCTTGACCCAATGTGCCCCTGTGGTGGTGCGGTGTGCATCGGCCCATGTGCTAGGATTCTCGTCAACTCGCACCCGCACGCTGGCATCCCGGGCAACGATGCCGTCAAGATGGCAAATCATGCCTTCCTCAAGCTCAGCGACATGATGGTCTCCGACGCCGTGCCCGAGATCCGAGCGCGAGTAAGTTGCTGCTGAGAGCCACAAAATGCAATCGAGGCCGTGTGTTCGCAATGAGGAGCGGGTGACATAGCGTTCGAAGGATACATCCGGAGCAGCTTTGTGGACCAGTCGAGCCGTTACTAATTTGTGGCTCTAGGCGTGTGGTCTGCTGGGAACATTCCGACAGATCAACGAAAACTTTCTGCTGCAGACGCTCAACAAAGAGATGATGTCGAATCTTCAGAGTCTCAAGCGGAAGCGCGGCGGCAAAGGCGACTCGGGCAAGTCCAAGAAAGGCTCAAACCGGGTGCGTGCCAGCACACTGCATCGGATGTTGTCTGTGTGAAACTGTCGGAGACTTGCCGGACTGGCTCAAGAAGGCAGCCGGGACTTAGACAAGTGATGTGAACCTTCGCCCTTTGCCACATTCCAGCTTGCGATCTCAGAGCCTCAGCTCGAGTTGAAAATCGAGATGGACGAAGCCAATCTGCTCGAGTCATCGGCTTGTGGCGCATTCATTCACGGACTCGAGGACGAGTTTGAGGAAGTCCGCAGTGTCTGCGTTGGTGAGCACGTTCTGGCCAAACCCATCTAGACGGACTTCGGCCGGTTTGCTGTGTGGAATAGTCAAACGATGCGGATGCTCATTATGAGGCCTTGGTTGCTCCAACTGAAATACGCTTGCGGAGCGGATTGCGCCATGTCTCTGGCTGATTGAGTGCCCACTCATGTGTGTGAATGCCTGTATATTCTGCTCAGACTCGATATGCGAACTCTCGATATGGTCGGAGCACTTTGCCCTCCGTGCCTTGGATTATTTGGTTGGTGAGTGATGATCGTCGGCGCCGCCTTTCCGTCCGTCGATTGTTTTAGAAGATCAGCCTCACGGTGCAACATCTGGTGGCAGTCGGCAACCAAACGACTTGACGGCTCATCCGGTCGCTGCCCTCGGATCCAGATATGTTCAACGATGAGATGCAAAAAGTGCGCCTCAACTCGATCCACAGTCTCCGCAAAATTGCACAGCGCCACGCCATAACCCTCAACAGTAACCAACTCCAGTCGGTCTCGCTGGCGCTCCAAGATGCGAGTCGTATCGTACGCGAGGCTGCCCATAAAATGCTCAGGTGCGTAGATCTGCCGGATCCTCGAACAAGGTAGCCTGGGCAATCGTGCTGCTCGGATCGCTGCTAACGGCAATGGGCATGCGCCTCCAGCTCGCTCAAGTTCAACCACGTCAAGCAGCTCCTTGCGCTTCGCACTTCGCTGGAGCAGAATCTGGCTCGGTTCCCCCGTGACCGGCCTTCAATCTACCAGTGTCTCTCTGAGCTTGGGCGCAACAACCCAGAATGCACCGGTGGGGTTGCTTGACTCAGCGAAGGCTGCAGGCCGCGCTTGATCTGCACTCGACTTGCACCCGACCCTCCTGGAACTCTCTGTGGATGTGCGTTGGATAAGGCATGTGCTGACCACTGGCTCTGCTTGTACTCTTGCTCCGTACAGAGGCCTTGATCAGCGTGTTTCTCAGAATCGACGATCGCTTCTTACCACAAGAGATTGCTATGGAGGATCCTCAACGTATGTGACTTGCGTTCAGCGACACACGTTTGCCTCGCCCACATCGTCCACCACCCTAACGACGTGCAACGGCGGGCTGGCGCGCTGTAGATATCGGCAACATCATCATGATCTTTTCGGCGGCCGCAGTGCGCGCCTCGATCCTCTCGACTTTGCCAAAGTACACATTTTCGCACCTTGCATTTGTTCGCCAAAAGTTTCCTGACTTTGTGCCTTCGCTCGAGGTAAGTCCTGCGACTCTGATAGAAAGCACATCGCACCGTCGCTAGCAACGATGTCGCTGGCAGCCGCCGACCGTCGAGCTCTCTGGCTGTTCTGCACCCGGCAACTCTGTGCCCGTTCGCACCATTAATCCACTGCTCGATGTCGCATAACATCTGCAGATCCAGACAGAGGAACAGCTTGAAGCCTATCCCTTGACACCAGAGCGTATGTATTCGCAGATGTGGTTTCAGCGAAAGTGTGTACAAGGATCCGTGCACAAGCGTTGCCGTCGAGTCAGCACGACAGTCTCACTCGGATTGCTAACTGGCCAAGTGCTCCCCCCCCCTTGATACCTTTGAAATGCATGAATCCAGCTGAGCGGACGGATCAAGTCAGCAGCCGTATTCAGTCCTTTGACGGCAGCACCTCAGAGTTGCTCAAGTCCGCGGTAGCGTACCTGAACAGGGGCGGAAGATACCTGGATGTGGGGACCCGGATATTGCAGAACTGCAAGGAGTAAGTATCGATTCACGGAGTGTCCACGGCTGAGCGCCCTGCTTTGAGATACAATGGGGCGCCGCTGGCGACGTAGCTGCAGGTTTCGAGCATCCACAGAGCCCTTATCACGCTATGGCTGCTCAATACCACAGGCGTCTGGAGTATTCGATCCACGTCTCCTGTTCGAATACGCACCACGGCAAAGCCTCATATCTGCTCCGCATGATAACCTGTATCGGGATCGTAGCTCGAGTAAGACCCGATGACGTGCAGCCTTGCTCCGCACAGCCCGCGATGCAAGGACTTGGCAACACGCTCCTATGTCCGCGGCAGTACGACTGCCCAGCGCCATTCCGCTGCCGTACACGAGCATTCTGCTGAGTTTCCAAGTCGCTTCCATATGCCAGGCAAAGAAATTTGTTCAAGAAAAGTCGGCGCAGATGCCGTCCGTCGCTGGCACACTCGCATCCCAGCTGTTGGTCGAGACCTACAAGCTGCGCCACGGCTTTCTGGGCGTGTCCAAGTCGGTGGCGGCCAGATATAGCCAGAGCATGCGCTACTTTTCGTACCTGCTGTGGGCGATCCACAACAACTGCAGGTTCGTTAACGAGCATGTGCGATTGTGGATATGGCGAATCCTTTCGACGGTGGTCTTGTTGATCGTATTGATGCGGAGAGCGAACAATCCGTCAATGTTCATTTGGATGGCGAGCACACTCACCACGCTCCATCTCTAGATCGGGTGTCCTCAAGACAATCAAGACCGAGTTCGAGTCTGTGGAAAGGTGACTTGCGCCACCCCTCCATATGCAATCCCGCAAGCAGCCTCATCGCCGCACTTGCCGAGCCAGTGATTGTTGTCGTCTGACCTGTTTGGTTCTGCGTCATTGGGACAGAGAGTCGATTCAGGATCCATCTTTTGTTCACGATGTCGGTGACTTTATCGACGCCCCCGAGGCCGCGGTCAACAACATGGAGCTTGCTGCAGAGCTCATTGAGGTGAGGTGTTTATCAAGGTGCTCGCATCATCAAGCATGGCACAGCACACTGGCGCTAACACGGTGAGCAATGTCTCCGCACGTCCCCCCCAGCACTTTCGCCTGCATTACGAAGAAGCGAGTGCCATCGTCAGGGAGGCCAAGGTCAAGGCGGAAATAGTGACCAAAACCCCCGACGCTGTCGAGGCAATCGTGGCTGGATTTCCGTACCACCTGAAGCTGCAAGCCTCGCTCTCGTGGGTCGAGCGATGCGAGAGAGTGATCGTGAAGGTTGGTTCGCCGGGGCTGTTCTCGCACTCTGAGCAGCGGAATTACTATAGATACGGAGGCAGATCATTCGGCTCACCCGGCCATGTGCTGCTTGTAAACACACTTGCGCTTTCGTACTCCAGGTGCTCTTTCCCGACGGATTCCACATTCTGCATCGTCCGCCGCCAACAGATCTTCGCATGGCCAACCGGACATCGTATGCGCTGGCGACCCGGATCGCACTGAGTTTTCCGGTGCCCACCACAGGTGAGGAGCCGGCTCCGATGAAGGCAGCCGACCTGTGGCGACCGTGACGGTACTGTGGAGCAAGCAGTGTCGGTCATGCTAGCATCTCATACGACGATTGCTGATCTCACTCGCTGCGGGACTGTGCCAACGCCAAACGAATATGCCCTCCGCCTCAGAGCAATTTGTTGTCAAGGTCATGGCGCTCTACGAACACCCACTGGACAGCCCTGCCGATATCGATATTCTCAAGTTTGGAAAGATCGGCGCGGACACATATCATGGTGTCCAGCTGAGTGTTATGAATCACACGGTCCTCTTTGTAACAGACTGACGGCGAGGGACACCCAACGGCCAGCACCGCACGGTCAGAGCCGCACCACAAATGCCGTCGGTCTCTCCGCGCAGAGATTGGCCGAATACAGAGGCCGTCGCGGGATCTTGAATGGAGCAATATGTGGACGAGGACACCCAGTGCGGCTCTATCCCAGTTCTATTACACATTCGCGGACAACAGGCCATTCTTGAGAGACGGCCCCGTCCGCTATCGTTGGAGAGGGGACTGTATGTACTCATCATCATCGCCTAAATACATGCAGCAGCCGGGGGCGGCAGTCCCTGGGCTACAGACCAGAAAAGGATCGGGAGCAACGTGGAGAGTATGATGCAATGGGCTCAAACGTGTGGGTTGGATAGGAAGGCAAGCTTGTAAAGGAGAGGTGCAGCGCTGGTCCGTCCTCTACGCACTCTTCTCGAAGAATGAGATACCATCCTCGTCGATGGCCGACGGGAGATTGGCACTTTCTACCTCCACCAAAAAGTTCTTCTGGAGGGCATCTCGGGCAGCCTGGGTTCGGTCAAGGGAAAGGATCGAGTGCAGGCGCGGGGTGAGCAAGTGCAGGGGTGAGTAGGATGAGCAAGCGCCGCCGGCATTGCAACAGCGCAGCACTCGGGATGAGGCGGCAGGGAATGACCGACTTGGTTGATACTTACTCGGAACTCGGCCATGTCCAGTGAGCTACCAAAGCCTGCGGCGACAAGGACAGAGAAATTGTCAGCAAAGCCACGCTGCGTATGACGGCAGACGCAGCGGAGCGACGAGCGAGCGCTGCAGCAACAACAACTTTCGCCCAGACATGATGCGGTCGCGAACCAGTACCTTCGCCGAGCTTCTCGAGTCCGGAGTAAACGCCGACAACAAAGACGGGGCTGGCACTCTGACGACCAGTCTCCTTGAGCAACCTGGATGGAGAGGAGCGTAGAAGCAGAGCACAGATCCAAGGAACGTTTAGTGTTAGACAGAAGACTGGCTCAGATGGACAAAGCAACCCTAGAGGATAAGAAAAGGCGGTGCGTGTCCGCTCCGGAGGATCAAAGACACCAAAAGCCGAGCACGAGGGGCAGTCTCGATCCAGTAGCAACATTGGGAGACACATCATGAAACAGGACCGACCTAGCGACCGCTGGGGGCTTGTTCTTTTCTCGCAGGATGTTCGCCAGCACGGTTTTGGGATACACAAGCTTCAGATGAGCCTCGACGTTGATCTTTCTTGACAGCAGATGCGCCTGGATAAACTCGCGAGTAACCTTGGGGCCCTGTTGAAGTAACAACGCTGCGTCAGTTCCCAAGCGAGTTCAACCGGAGGAGGTGTGCGAAAGATACGACTCGGTTTGGGGAGCCAAAGTCCCACCTTCTCGACATAGAGGGCACCGACAAGGCCCTGGAAAACTCGCGCAACAACGTGTCGGCTGACGGTTTTTTCATCGTTGGCCTTGAGGACACATGCGAGGACAGGGTGAGGATCGTCAGCAACGGTAGTGGTCAAGCCCAGTTCATTTGGATATTCGACAGGGACTCTACGATTTGCCACCCACTCTGAGTCCACTCCAGTTCCACTCCAGAGCGGCGCTGGAGCGTGATAAAGCACTCACCTTCCATCGCATGACGTTGGAAATGCCAAACAGGCCTCCGACAGTGGCCAAAGCAGCGGTGCCGCTGTAGCTCTCGGCAACACTTTCCAAGGCGTCGGCAGGGAGACTTGGGTACTTTGCATAGACGTATTCAGAGACAAACAAATCGATGACCTTGGCGCCTGAGACCCACAGCAGTCAGTCGGATGCGGGTTGCGGACAGAGCAGGCTTGGCAGCTGATGGGGCAGCTGATGAACATGGTAACTGATGCAACATGGCAGCGGATACAGCTCCAAAGGCACACGACGCTTGTGGTCAGCAGCGAATTGTGCTTACCGAGGACCTGATATCTGCCGCTGGCGGGACTGGCACCCTCCTTGTAGGATCGGTGAGTGAGGGCGTCGTCCAGAACTGCTGTGCTCGAGAAAACAAGACCGGTGCGCTCCTGGAAAGCAGCCAGCTTGGCAGCGTGCTCTCGCTCCTTCAGAAGCGGAGACTGGATTGACTGGGCTGCTGACTGGCTGGCACCGACAGGCGCTTCGGCTTCAGCCTCCACAGGGGTCGAGAAAGCTCGCTGAGCCAGCGGGCAGAGTCCTGTAATGGCGTGATCGTGGGAAAGGAGCGGAGCCGCAAGAACGGGATGAGACAGCTTGCAGGCTTCGCCGTGGCGCGGCAGTAGAACTCGTACTGCGCAGGCAAATCAAAAGGGTATGGCAAAACCGACCGTTTGGGCTGGCTCGCAGCGACGTGGCTCTGGAGACAAGTGACAGAAGGCGGCTGGATCGGATCGACATGGTGCTGATGCTGGGGTGTTTGGTATCGCGGTTGGTTGCCCGTCGTGGAGATCGAAATGGAGCCACAGATACAGATCGCCGGGGATCGAGAAGGGCGAGCAGATGGGCCGGTAGTGTGCGTTTACCCAGAAGGAGTGCCGAGCCAACAGCATGCATCCGAGCAAAGGATCCGGCAGGACATCCGATCGACATGACCCGATTTGCAGCAAGGGATCAGCCCCCCAGCAGGTTTCAAGCCAGTTGCGTGAACGATAAGGAGATTGTTCGTGATCCAAGGGTATCAGAGAGGACTGGAGTCAGTATCCGCGACAACCGATGCTGGTGGCTCAATCTGTCATTGCGGATGGCCGGCACCGCCTAGATCTCTGCTGAGCGACTCTCGCAACTGCAGCCGAGTATGGGATACAGAGCAAGACGGAAACAACGAGGCGAGACGGCAGCCCGGTCTGTATTTGCGCCAGTACCTGTTGAGTGCTGTTCGGTACGCCGAGTCAATAGCGGGAAATGTCTCGCAGAAGGACCGGTAATGTCGGATCCTGCAGACGCAAGTTCAGACAGAGAGAAAGGACCAAAGGTGTCAGAGGAGGCGCTCTGTCCCGTCAGAAGGATCGCACGGATGTGGCAGACAACAGGCAACCCGACAGACGAGCGATGCCGACAGCAAGATCGGAAGACGCAGCAGGCGATCGAACCCCCCCCCCACCCGCAGGATGCGATCGAAACGCACTTGGTGTGAGAGCCGGGAGTGTCGCTGGATCGCGCAGAGCCACGGAGAAAAAGAAAAACTGCAAGTCCCCGTCGGCGAATGGGCTGCGTGTGTGTGTGTGGGCGAGGCATGTGTGTGTGTGTGGCCGAAAAAAAGCAATGTCGCACAGGACGGGCATTCGAGCCGGATCGAGGCCGCACTCGTCCCGGAAACACCGCCCGCAGTCAGCTTGTGAGTGTGCGGGTGAGTGAATGAGTGTGAGTGAGAAGATGAGTGTGAGAGAGTGAGTGTGAGTGAATCGCCGATAGCAGCGGCGACCGAGAGCGATGCGGCAATGAATGCATGTCGCTCGGACCCGGAGCCAAGTAGACATCGGTCTGAAAGCACCTGCTGTGTCCCCGTTCCATTTTGTGAGCATGTTGTATTCCAGAACCAGAGAGAGAGAAACAAATATAGGGCAGCCATCCTCAGAATATCCAGGGTGTCCCGCTTCATTTTGCACAGACTGTCAACAAGCAAGAAAGGAGAAGAAAATGATAGCGCAACCATAAACTCAAAGCCGAAGAAGTGTAGGCGGGTGGTGGGGTGGAAAGAGAGAGAAACGGGGGGGGGTGGAATGGGGCTAGGTCGAAGCGAGGCGAGGCGAGGCGAGGCGGGTTGCGGCGGCTAACGCTCGATTGCGAGCAAGCCATCCCGGCCTCACTCGGTTTCTTTGTCGGCTAATCGGGCCGTTGCGCCGGCCTTGACCTTGCCGTCTATTAAGTCCTCCAGCGATTTGTGGCGGCTCAGCTCGCTGAGCACGGTCTCGTCCACTGGGAGGACCGACTTCCTTCGGAATCGCTGGGGCGTCGGCCTCTCGTCAAATTGCTGTCGATTGGAGAAGGGAGGGGAGGGGGGGACGATGTTAGAGGGCCAATATCAGTGACTCGTGCGTGGCAGAGCCATGGGTTTCAAGGCAAGCGGAGGGATATGACGAAGCGCCATAACAGCAAATAGTCATGCAGGTCTGTGGGATGCAACACAGACGACCGAGCGCACAGCACGAGCAGCATGGTAACCTACCGCCATTTCTTTGGTCAAGTCGTCCTCCCCGTTCTCGTCCTCCGCACCTCCGCTGATAACGTCGGGACCTTGGCTCGGCGCTATAAAGGCGAGATATCAGGATCCAATCGGCGGTATCAGCCGTGCTGCCCACACAAACCAATACTTGCTCCCAGACTCGATGCGGTTGGCCAAGCAGCGGTATGCGATGCTTACACTCCGAAGCCAGGGGCAGGATGGGCTGGTGGTGATGGAGCAGGTTGTTGATGGATCGGGTGGCGAGCTCCGAGGGCAGCTTGGCAGCGTTTGCCGTGGCCATGTTCTCGATCTTGATCCAAGCATCCTCGCGATCCTTTTGCTTTTTTCGCTCCCTGAGAAGGTCAAGAATCAAATGGGAGTGTCAGGCAGTGTCAATATAGCTCATCCGAAAACGGAGAAGAACCAGAGCCCAGATCCAGGAATAGAGCTCATTCAGACCGCGGCGAAAAGCATCCACCCGGGAGAACATATGTGCTTACAGCTGTCGGTTTTGCTTGTACTTGTTGGTGCACTCGTCAAAAAGCTTTGGGCTAATCTCCATGAAGAGCTTCAGGGCATTGTAAACGAGCCCGTGGATCGTTCTGGGGGAGGGGGACGCGGCAGTGATGCACGGCAAAGATCGGCGCAGTTGCGGGTCAGAGGGTCGGTCAGCTATCCATCCAAGCGGTCCAGCGGGAATGGACCGATGCATCCGCAGCGACGGCGACACGACACTGTCGGCCTTCTCACCTGTTCCAGTGGGTTTTCGAGTTCTTGTACAGGGAGGAGAACATGATGGGGAGAATGACGCTGGCATTGTCGCCAATGAGGTTGATGATGTAGTCGTTGTTCCAGTAGTAGAGTGCGCGCTCAGCAACCTTGGGCAAGTTTCCGCAGCAAATATGGATAGGCGCATATAGTTTGTCAGCATCCCGCCGTACGCAGCTCATCAGCACTCGGTCGGAACGCCGATCCGGCAGCAGGCGGGTCGCGGATCTACCTGGAAGTGGGGACTGGCGACACATCGAGCAATCTGTGTAAACAGAGGCGTCTGGATCTTGACAAACTCCTGAGGCTCCATAACATCCAGAATCTCCTCCATTTCGTTCAGGAACATGACTTCTTTGGGGCTGTTGACTTTTGGCCAATAGCGAAGCAGACCGCCAACAACCTGGGAGTAAGGGAGGAAAGAGCGTGGAAAGGAAATGGAGTCGAGTGTTGCTGAGTTGGCTGGAAGAACGCTGCCCTATGAGGCTCGTCGTATATCCATCAAGGGCGATCGAGAGGCACACCAGAGGCATGGTGAAGAAGGAAGGTGCATCCAAGAGCGGGCAATCTTACCTCCTCCGTGAGCGACGGATCCTTCTCTAGAAACTGAACAACACAATACGCCAGCTGGGGATGGTACAATGTCAGCGATTTTGCCTTGTGTAGAGGGATCAAAACCCGGGTCAGGAACACCTTGTGCTCTTCCTTTAGTGGCAGGGCGAATCCATTGATGATGCTGTATCAGAAGCAGCGGGTTGAGCGATGCATGTCGGTGTAGCGGCGTGAGTGCATTTGCGATGCGTATGGCACCTTAAATCATCACACACATCGGCATCGATATCGATATCGACATCGGCACCGGCATCGGTATCGGCATCGGCGCCGGCCGAGAGCGACTATCCTTTCTCTCCCCACCCCCACCATTGTCGCATCGAGCATCGTTACAAACCCCACACACCCCTGGGCTGCATGACATGCATGTCCGGGCGGCAGACGGCACCCACAAGCAAGACCCACCTGCCCAGGATCTCCAGCAGCTCAGCAATGCCGTTGTGTCTCTCGATCTCGTATACAAAGTGGAAGAAGACGTTGTTGATGGATCGTCGGATGAAGGCTCGTAGATTCAAGAACTTGCCGTAGATTCGGTGAAGTGTTGTTTTCAAAAAATCACGCTCGCGGGGGTCCTCGCTATCGAATAACTCTAGAAGCTGATGGAGCCGATACAGGTCGCGTCAAGATGCCGAGTTTGATCAAGCACCGTGCTTACCAGGCTATCAGACTCTGGGGTGCGACCAGAGCAGCCCGGCAGCATGGCAGTTCTCCAGTGAATGCAACATGGCGAGGAGGGAAACGAGCAAGCAGACTCGGACAACCCATTGCTGTTGCACCGAGAGAAGCACCCCTGCCACAGACATACCTGCAGAATAAAGTGCTGATCAATGTACTTTTTGGCAATGTTGGTGGTGAAATCAGGCGATTCTATGAATCTCAAGAAGAACTCGTAGACGATCTGAAGATGGGGCCACGCGAGTTCGAGCACAGGCTCATCCTCTTCCGGGTCGAAGGCGTCGCCCGTGGGATTGACTTGGGGCGGGATGGTGCGGAACAGGTTGGAGGAAAACTGAAATGGGAGACGGTTGAGGCGACGCATAAGAGTGGTGTAGGCGGAGACATCAGCACAACGCAGCAGCGGATGATTAGGGGCACTTGTGAGTCGAGACAGCCACGGGAAGCCAGGGAACGGCTTGCTGGACGACGCCACCTTGGTGGGCCTGAGAGACTCACCATGCTGATAACCTCTGGATAGATGGGCTCGGTGATAACGCCGCGGTTGTTGGTGACATAGTCCACCAACTCGGTCAGTGTCTGTCGCTTGATTTCCTTTCCCTTCAGATCCGACAGAGCATCGTTGAAATCGAAAATGACACAACACTGCTGCAGCTTCTTGATGAATAGCTCCGATCGCTCCGCAGCAGGGACGTCTGGTTCAGCAAGAGATGATCGGGAATGTGAGTGCCGTGGAGGTGTGCGTGGGGCGCTGCAACCAAGAGCAACGCCGATCGACATAAAGGATGTCGCCGCCGGTCCAGAAGTTGGAGACACTACAGATGCCACGCAGCGAGCCTGGGTGCACACAGCATCGATGCTACTGCTTGCTCTGACCACGGCCATGGCACCGGTGCTCTGTCTCCGAGACGAACAGGGTGTCCATCCCTCGCTCTCCCTCCCAAAATGACTTTGAAAAGAGCCGGCCGGCAGACATACCCTTAAAGTTGCTGAGCTTCTCGAGCTCGACTCGCTCCGTAACATGGAAGCGCGATGACCGCTGGCGCCGAGGGGCCTTCGAAACGGGAATGGTGTCCTTTGGCCCGTTCTTCAGCCGGTTCAAGGGCCCGCTCTTTGGGATCTCCCTGTCGATGGGATTGGCCTTGTGTCCCCCTGCCGCAGAGCCAGCGCCAATAGCATTCGGTCCATTGGCTTTCAAGATCTGGTCAGGAGCGCAGAGATGACGATAGCAGAGGCAGAGTGGTTAGCCTGGCTGGAGTCCGAGCACGACTGATCGAGTAGCAGCTCAACAGAACACCGCAAGAGGCGATCGCGCCGTTTCATTTCCGTAGCAGCGGCGGCCGATTCACAAACAATGTCTATGGATCCCCTTTCGGCCCGGTATCGACCTTGGTTGTCGAATCGGGCGAAAACGAGTCGTCCAGTGGCCCAAGCAAGATCACCGCTGCAAGGGCAAGCCGGATGCAGCCGACGAGTCGATCAAACGTCGTGCCTCAAGCCCCAACAAGTTCCAATGGAGCGGGAGGAGGAGCGGGAGGAAGAGGCGGAGGAGGAGGAGGAGGAGGGACGATGCACGTCTCCAATGCAAGACCGCTCTCCCAATGCACGGTCGAGGTTCTAATGCACAGCCGGAGTCCCCAATACCCCCACGACCAGGCACTTGGGGAAATCTATCACAGAGCTGTCTCGCCCCACCAGCGGGAGCTGCCCGAGCCGCTAACACTGTCTGCTAAACCCACTCCTGTGACAAAAGCGCCGCCGCTGCGCGCCAGGAAAGCCAGCGAGAGGCCAAGACCTACATTTGATCCTGGCTGAGGCTCCATCTTCGAGTCTTCCTTTTTGACTGGAGCTGAAGCCGGCTTTTGGGCGGGGGGTATCGTCGTATTATCCTTTGCTCGGGGCGTGGTGGACGGGTTCGAAGGGGAAGCAGAGGTGGGCTTGCTGTCGGCCTTGGAAGGAGAAGCCTGGGGTGCAGCAGCAACTTTGCCTGTGATACCGGCGGTCTTTGAGGCGACGGGGCTGGTTGTTTCGGGAGGAGAAGATTTGTTTCTCGATGATAGCTGCACGGCAAGCGACAAGAACGGACAGTCAGTGAAAGTGTATGGATCGGCTGATATGAATAAACGAAAATAGGCGGGCCCGTTGGTCACTACCAACAGTCGGCAAACGGGCTCATCAGCAGCGACGACGCCAGAGACACATCAGCGACAGAGCCGGCGCCGGTGATGGTCTGCTCGACGAAAGCTACGGAGCAGCCTCTTCTTTGCCTGGCGGGCCACAACAAGAGATGAAAGCCCTCGGTCGGAGCCCAGTCTGTGCAAATGGCGACCTGATCGGCCCCGACCGGGATGCAGGCGGCTCGCTGTATCGCAGAGGACCGTCTTCGCAGTGGCGACGCAGTATAGAGAGCCAGGCCATCGCGACGACGATGGGACATACCACGCGATTTTTCAGCCCTTTCATCGCCGAAGGTTAAAGATTGACGAAAGCAGTGTCCCAGCCGAGGTGTTGCTGATGACCTACAAGGCAGCAGACGGCTCGTGGTGAGTGCATGGGGCAAGCCAATGTCCGGCATACCGCGGCCCCGAGCCCGAGCCCAGTGTGTGAGGGAAGGCAGAGCCAGGCAGAAAGGCAGAGGCGATGGATTGGAAATCTGCTGGAGAGAGCAAGCCAACGCACACGAAGCAGAGCCGGAGAGCTCGTGGCGGAAGGGATCGCACAACAGACGACGCAGAGGCGATAGCGAATGCCAGAGATCGGCGCCGGCAGATCGACGGATGGAGAAAAATCCAGCCGGGCAAATCGCCGAGAACAAAAGCCAGCCGAGGCGAACGAGCCACAGCCCGCCCCGCCGGCAACGCAAAAAAGGAATCCACCAGGCCAAGAGCAAGGGGGGGGGCGGATGGGCGCTGATGCCCCACGCGTTGTCGGAGACGAAGAGCCGGGGAGGCGGTACGGAAGGATGGAGGGGATGCAAGAGGAATGTCTTTGGGCTGGCAGGACGCAAGAGATGCAGGAGACGCAGGAGGAGCCGATGCCGTCGAGGGAGTAGCAAGAGGAGCCGGAGCAGGCCGGAGCGACAAGCTTGGGCGACCAAGTCCGGCCGAGACGGCTTACACTCAATCGAGCTGACAAAGGAGAGGCTGCCGATGGTTGAGATGGATTGCAGGCAATCTGGATGGCGGTGAGCAGATGCACGGAGGCGGAGCAGAGAGTATCGACGACGCACGACCGGGGCAGAGGTGAGGGCAGAGGGTGGTGCAGAAGGCGGTTGCGCGGCGGGCCAGAGAACAGCCGAAAAAAAGTTAGTCTCGTGTGTGTGCAACACCGAGGCCAGAGCGAGAGCTTGGCTGGGTGTGAGAGCGCTGGGGGGGGGAAATATTCGTCGACCGAGAGAAGCACAAGCACAGATGTGAGAGACACAAGTCAAGAGAACCACCACAAGTTGAGAGAAACTCAGTCCAGAGAAACACTGCAAATCGAAAGAGACCCACCAGCCGAGCGAGACGATACAGCCCGCAGCGCAAAAGAGCGACAGCACAAAGTGCAAAATGCAAAGTGCAAAATGCAAAATGCAAAGTGCCGCCCCGGGGCAGGCGCTGCAGCGAAATTCCCAGCTGGGGAGGATTGGCATCGGCGGATCGGTCAGTCGCTGCGGATCGGCCGCGGCAAGCAGCAACACAAACACCGGTGTATCGGCGGTGGACCGTTTTGGCCTGTGGACGGCGCTTTGATTCTACGCCTTTGGCCCGCAGTGCATCGTGATGGTCATCGGAATAACAGTCGTGGTAGCAATCGTGGTAACAATCGTAGTAACAACCGTGATGATAATCGTGATGATAATCGCGCACTGGTCGATGGAGTGGCGAAGAGACTTTCCAATTATCAAACACCTTAGCACAAGCGTCGCTCTGAATGCCCCCGTCTTGCGGGTCCCGCAGTGCCGCAGTGCCACAGCCTACCGGGCCTCCCAAGGGCCTCCCAAGTCCCACTCGCCCCACTCGTCGCCCTCGCCCCGCACCCCAGTCTCATCCCAGTCTCATCCCAGTCTCATTCCCACTCTCGTTCCCACAATCCCACAATCCCACAATCCCACAATCCCAAATCGGTGCGCAGACCCCTGGCTCCAACCGCACTCGATCCTGCCGGCACACACACACGCTCTCGCCCCTCGTCTCGTCCGCTCTCGCCGCCGCCTCGTCTGCTCTCGCCCTCGTTTGCTTTTTCGCCCTCACTCGCCATTTTCCGCTTTTTCGCTCCGTCGCCACATCAGCAACCACACGCTCGGCCAAGAGACGACGGCTTTCTTCTCCGAATCCCTGCTCATCCATCCATCCGCCGGATCGCCTGCTTGCTCGGCTTCTCTGGGACCGTCTGCCCATCTCCTCCGCCTTGATATCCTTCCGTGCATCCGCCCTTCTCGCTCGCCCGCCATGTCCTCGAATGTCGTCGTTCAGATGAACCAAGTGAGTATCATCTGCGGCTCGATCCTCGCGCCGATCCATACTCTCGTCGACATACGCTGTTGACAAGCCCAGCCATGAAATACGGTATCTGCGAGACGCAGTTCCATACGAGTCTCCTTTCGGCTCTTTCGACTTGGACACCCTGATTGATCGGCGAACTCCCTCGCGAAGCCTCGCGGAACCTCGCAAGCTCCCCGAACCCAACCCCGACTTGCGATGCGCCTGGCCGTTAACCTCCCTACACCGCCTTGACCTCCCAGATCGGCTCCAATGCCCACCGTCTGTACGTCCAGCGCCTCTACCGTCGATCGCTCCGCCTCGCCGGCGACTGGTACTGGCAGCGCTCGGATTTCCGCGAGAAGGCCTGCGTCATCCGCGCCCACTTTGACGAAAACAAGCGTATCACCAACCCCAAGCAAGTCGAGCGCATCCTGGCCCATACCGAGTTTCTCCTGGCGTCCTACTACCACCCTCAGCCTTATATCTGTACGGATTCATATCTCCTCCTCTTTCTTGGTTGCATTGCATTGCATCGCCCACCGTGTCTGTCTGGGCAATGACACAATCCGATGGCCGGTCGAGAGGATATCCGCCCTTGCCTGGATGGGCATTCAACACCACAGAATCCAACTCGACTCGACACAACCCTAATCAACTCATGGCATGTCGAGTGCTTCGTTTCGAACTGTCCATACCAAATCAGCCGACTGGACTGGGACTGGACTGGATCGGGCTGGATGGGATACGGGACTGTGCTCCACGACCTGTACCTGCCAGAGAACAATGCACGGTGGATGGATGGCATTCGTGGTCGCTGGATCCGATCGCAGGCTACATAGGACTTGCAGCAGCCCTCAAGGCGCCCGGATCAAACACAGCAAGACCCGCGGCAGATGCTCTTGGATTTCCGAAAGCAACACCATCGATTGTCACGGCCCAGTTCAAGCGGCGAACTCTGTCCGTCATCGCCAGGTCTTGTCAGGGCGATTCGATATTGATGGGCCACTGATCCGTGTTGTCTGATTTTTCCTGTACAGCTCCTGCTGCTCCCGGCGGCTCCAAGTGGGAACGCAACATTCCCTTCCCGGAAGAGGTATGTGCATTTGTAGCGCTGCAGTCTCGTAAGGACCGAACGGGCTCCTACCTCCTCAAAGGCCCATCATAACGTTGGAACTTGCCGACACACCAGAATCTCGCTTTACTGACGTCCGATCTTTGCGATCGCCCATACAGCTCATCAAGCGTGGTGTCACTCCCTTCGACAACTGCTGATCGGCATAACTGGGCGGCGACCGGCAGCTGCGCCGCTTGCTCACACGACGGCTACGATTCCTGCGGCAATAAAAGGCAGCATCTTGATTTCCTTCACCAACGACGTGCAATTCCCTTCACTCGGGCCTACATATTGTTGGCACCCGACGAGAACGAGACAGGAGACAACGCTTCGCGAACACTCGCGTTGCTCACAGACAGTCGGCATCACCCTTGAGTTGCCGGCCCGCTGGCGACCATCCTGCTCCTGCAAGAGTTGGTTTGACATTCCGCAGCAGAGCGTCCTTATCACTCCCTGAATAATGTAGCGAGGTCTCGCCATATCGAGAGGCACATGGAGCTTTATTGAGTGGGGCACTGCTGCCCTTGCGCGAGCACAAATTGGGCGTGCCGTTCTATTTCACATTCCTCGGCGCCTTCTTTGATAGAGCATTGCAGTTGTACCGCGTGGGAATGAGTCCAGAGACAAAGTTTGCCCGCGACGTTCGTCCTCTCGGCGAGTCCTTCAGCCAGCAGTATGAAGACTCATCGTAGGTCCAGCTCACGCAGATTTTCAGGCTTTCGCACGCCTGCTGGCAGTCCTCCCAGCTCGGGACCTTGACCTTCTGGATATCGTTTCCGGGCAGATCGACTCCCTCGAGCACCTGGGGCTTGTCATAGATCCGCTGATACAGTTCGCCGTAGTTGAGCGTGAGAGCGCTTGCGCCATGGCCGTTCAAGTTGCGACCTGCCGAAGCATGGTCATGACCCGTTTGGTTGGCCTTGCTCTGCTTGACATCCATCTCGATGCTGAACAGCTCCTGGATTTGATCGGGCAGCAGATGATGGAAGGTCGAAGGCAGCGCACACGGATCCGAATGCCAGGAGAACTCGTCGTTGGGTGGGTCACGGTGAAAGTGACTGAGAGGAGTGAGGGTGATGTTGTGGTCGCGCAGACAGAGGGCCGTTCTCACGTCGCCGGCCCAACAGGGCTTGTATCGAGCGATGCACCTGTCGATGCCGGTCATCATGGTCGCAAGGGCTCCGCGCGAGAGCACAATGCCACTGCCACCGTGAGCAAAGGGAGGGCCCTCAGCCAAACTTGCTCACGCCGTCGCACCCGGTGAAGAGCGAATGGAATCCAAAATAGTGGTGCTCGCTTGAGTTGTAGCGCTTGAGGTTCTCGACGAGGTTGTCCATCAGCACAAAAGTGTCGTCGTCGATCATGAGAAACCACTCGACGCCCTTGGCCGAGAAGGTCTCCCACATATGCCTGAACCCGGGCAGGTTCTTGTGAGCGTCGAGTTTCCATCCCTGACTACCTTCGTCGGCCACGCTCTTCTGTGAGTTCTTCTGGGCCGAGTCGCCACGCTTGTGGAGGCGGCGTCGACGGAGTGCAACCTCCCCATCGCCTTCGCTGGCCCCGAATGGAGAGCTGGGCAAACCGTCGTTTGGCGCATTGGCGACAGGAGCGGCACCATGGTCGTCGATGGCTGGTGGGTGCGGTGAGATCGCATGCTCAGAGTCAGGTGGTGCTGGAGACGATGCATTTGCAGCGGGCACCGGCAGTGTGGAGGTCGATGAAGTAGAGGCAGATGCAGTAGCAGTGGATGAAATGGAGACTGTGGAATTGTTGGAAACTGATGCAGCAGCCGAGGGAGGTGGGGGAATGCGTGAAGGTAGTGTGGATGCTGAGGGCGAAGGGTGTGGTGAGGCCGACGGGGTGGCGGGATAGAGCCCCGAGTACACATCGATCATGACGTGCCTGCCGACTCGCACGCCAGACGACTCGCCGATGATGACAAAGTTGCGGACATTCAGCAGAAACGTGAGGACCTGGATTGCCGTGCGCTTGACGGCGACATCGCGGCCAGTCTTGAGGGCGACGGCGATATGGTCGTATCTCGGCTCGTATGGGCTGTGTTCGGGAGTATGGCTGTGTTCGGGAGTATGGCTGTGTTCGGGAGTATGGCTGTGTTCGGGAGGACGGTTGTCCTCGACTGTGGTGTTGATTTTGGCAGTGTGTACGGCATTGATTGTGCCGTTGCTTTTGGCAGTGTCGCTGTTTCTGATGGTAATGTTGGTTTCGATAGTATGGTTGCTTTCGATGGTGCTGATCTTGGTTGTGCTGTTGCTTTCGAGCTGACGGGCCTGCTCATGTGAACTACGAGAGCTTCTGGGAGTATCCGCCTTTATGGCAAGCTCCCCAGCTCCATCCTGGTCGATCTCGATGACCAGGGCTCGATTCGGCTTGGAGTCGGAAGGCGACTTGATACTGCCAGGTCCGTGCGAAGGCATGCTGGAGGGTTCGGCGACATCATCATCATCGCCATCATTGTCATCATCATCATCATCATAATCATCGCCATGATCATCAACTGCTTCATGGGAAAGCTGACCGGCGCTGCCTGCGGCCTTGGTCGACGGGCCGGGCTCTTGCAGCGACGTTCTCGTGCGGGTAGGTTGGTATGCTGACTGGTAAATGCTGATGATGAGAGTACAAAAGAGCAACAGCTGCAGGATTTTGGCGATCCGGCGCTGGGGAAGTGGGAAGGGGATACCTTGGGTTATAATGTTGGGCATGATGAGTGATCAAGAGAGCGAGAAGCGCTGGGACGGACTGGTCGTATCGATTGGCCGGACTGGATACTCCGGCAGCAGCGTCTTGATGGATGGCGTGGGAGCCAAAGCGATCTTCGAGCTTGAATATCGTTCCGTGGGCAACTGGTGCATGACATGTGGTCGCATGGCCCGCTGAAATAGCTGTAAACGTGCGAGCCATCGGGCCGGGACGGCACCGAGCACTGCCCACGGAGAATGGCAGCAGTTCCCAGAGGGCGCGAATGCTGAGACCAGGCGGTCATGATGCTTGCGCGGGCGAGCGCCAGGCCCGAGCGCTTCTAAATTGCTGGGCTGTCTGTTGTGGGCTTTGGCGCCAAACCAACCAAACCAAGCTGAGCGCCAGAAAAGCCCAGGGTCCAGGTGTCGTCGACATACACAATCGATTCTTGGAGAAGCACTCTGGTGACCTGATCCAGCCCACTCATGGACGCTCGATTGGCTCGCCAAAATCATGTTCCCATCGGCACAGGCTCATGGACTGACCCTCGGAGGGCATGGACAACTCGCTGGCGGTGATGCCACTCAAAGTATCAACCAAGCACACGCCTCCATTAACTCGGTGGAATCTCCATCCCCTGCTTCCAGACGACGGGAGAGGAGCGACAGTGCTCCCAGACACACTGAAGGTCAATTCAGGAGTACGGCTGAGGGAGCTCAGATCGACCTCCGAAACAGAGTGACTCGTATCAGTTTTCAAATGGCTGCGATACCAACTGTTCAAATCAAGCCTTTGTTGCGCATGCTGCAAACGCTTTGATGGAGACGCTACTGGTGCGCCGATGCTGTGGCCGTGCGCGATCTGGTGGGGCTGCGGACTTCAGGGCGATACCGGACGGGAGCCGTGAACTCATCCAGATCGGCGAGGAACTCCAGCGCATAGTCTGACGATGGAACCATCAGCTCTTTGGGCACCAGACAAGTCTGTGTTAGTGCCAAGACTGCGATCCCATGAATCGCCCGGCCGACCAAGTGCCCTCGTGGAGGATACATACCGACAACAGGCCGTTGGTGATCGAGCCGAGAGTATCGGCTGAACTTGACATTCGACGCACCGATCTCTAGCAGCTGCTGGTGAAGGGCCTCGGACGAAGATGCTGGCACCGTCGTATCGAATTCGCCGTGCACAAGCCAGATGTTGGGTGGTAGCAGCCGCGAAACGTCGTTGTTGTGGACCGACTCTGGATATCGTCGCCGGATGGCCTCGAGCATTTTCACAGGCGAGACGCAATCCCAGGACTCGAGGGTGTTGCCTTTCCAGCAAGGCGGATCGCGGATGCAGAGGATATGAGACTCAGCATACCTGACGCTGCTGAAGCTGCTGGGGATGCCCTTTGCACTCATATCGATGATAAAGGCACGCTCTCCGTCGGCATATCAACGCAGACAGCACATCATCCATCACTCGTGCAGCAGTCTCATCAGACTCACCCATGGCCCTGCCCATGCCGGAAATTTCTTCAAGACCTCGCTGGCTTTCGAATCGGTAGTGAGACTCAATATCATAGACGCCAGCCAGTCTGTGCAAGCAGAGAGCAATGCACGGCGCAAGAGTTAACAACGTATTCACGAACGAAACGGCGCATTTTCACCAGGTAGCGGCGAACCAAGCCAAGTAGTGCATGGAAGAGAGGGATGCGAGTGCTTACAGGATCATTCCCTGGATTTGTGGGAGCGAGTCTTCGAGAGTGGGCAGTGGGCTGGGATCGGAGGACTCGTTGGGGCTTGTCTCGGATCCAGAGCGAGTGAACCGAGTGGTGAGGTACTGCCCCAGGTCATGCAGAACAGTCGTCATGCACAGATGCGCTCCGGCAGAGTGGCCCATCAAAAAGATCTGCTGGGGATTTCCACCAAAAGACCTGGCAGGGTTCGGTCGTGGGTGTGTTTGAGTGACTGAGAGATTAGGAATATGCCTCGGGCCATAGCAACTGCCGCAGGGCTCCATACGCATGCAGTCGATGCGGCGGGTAGCATTGGGCCTATTTCATCGGCCATGTCCTTACTCGATGTGATCATGGGTCCATTGGATGGCCCGGTAGACATCGGCAACCATATCGCCCACCTTGCCCTTCGGAAACAACGTGTAGTTTGGGACGACCACGCAGTATCCCTGGGACTGCAGTGTGTATGCGAGGGGGCCATAGATGGCTTTGTCTCCTATGTGGAGGAGGATCCCGGAGTATTGATCGTCAGAACCCGCACTACTTCGCTGTTTGTGGTTGCTGCGGTGCTTCCACAAAGCCAAGGAATGCTGCTGTAAAAAGAACACATCGACCTCCACCGGAAAGGCGGCCAGAATCAAGATGCGGCCCAGGGCGCACGCTCACCCGACATCCATGCTCCGCCATAGATGAAAATGACGACGGGTCGCAGCTTGGATCGCACATTGTCCTTGACGGCAGCGGTGATTGTGCAGCGGCTGTTCTGACCATCTGCCTCGTACCAATAGTGTCCATGGGGGTGCTGTTGTTGGAATCCCAGGCTTGCGCAGTATACATCCAACTTGACGTCGGGATGATCGGTATTGTAGCAGATTTCTTCGCTGGCGAGAGCAAGCACCGCCATCGATCACCAGGCACGACGGCAGCGAGCCAACATCAGTCAAGCAAACCGTCCGACGAGGAGCCATCAGCAGCGGCAAAGATAGGCATTCCGACGCCTGCAGCCACATTCTGCCGTGGACGGAGGATACATCCTGGCTGAGTCTAAGCTTGCTTACCAGACTCTGAGCCGCTTCGATCGCGGGGTCATGAGCTTCCGAAATACCCAGCGCAACGCAAGACCGGGCCCAGGCCCGAAGAGAGTTGCAACGAGTGTTGCCACAACCGTCCGGCTGACCTTGAGGATCCGCACTGGATGCAGTGGAAGGTACGGGATCCGCAGGCCACCGATAACGGTCGATTTGTCCTCCGGAAGATGGGCCTGGGCCATCGTGAAGTAGGTATACCAGGCGAGCAGATAGGAGGCGACTGCATTGGCGTCGAAGCAGCGGCAGCGTCCGTGAGCATCTCGGCCACCGGAAACTGCAGCAAGCAGAGGCGGAGAACATCGTACCTGCAAAGATCGGCAACAGAAGCACCACAAACGGCAGCGCCAGCGGCACCAGGGCCATCAAGACCCATGAGCGAGCCCGGGGAGCCCCAAGCATATCTTGCGGGATCGCCATGGTTGCTGTGTCAATGCAGATCAGCGCCAAGTCCAACCAAGGCCCTTCGCAGGGTCGACGCTCTGCTCTTCTCTCCCGCCACAGCGACACTGCACTTGGCTGCTGCCTCATCATATGTTCCTGACGTCATGCCGCCCGGCCGGAGCAATCCTGGAGACGACAACACAATCATGACCCCACGGCATCCGAGAACACCCTCGATCCACAAGCATCAGAGAACACCCACGATCCACCCGCAATTACCCAAGCAGTCGACGCGCAAGGATGGCGCTTGCTGTTGCGGTCGGGACGGCGAGATAGCTCTTGAGCACGAAAGAAGCATCGACCAAACCAGTAAGCCCGCAACCAAGCCCCCATGGACAGCATTCTGAGATTCGCACATTTGTCCGGACCCAGCCTCCGTGTGCCATCGAATGGCCAGTCCATCGTCCCAGAGCCAACGGGCATCGACTCAACAGTATCTCGAGAAACCGCCACGCATCCCAGCACAATCCGAACACCATCACTACCCCAACGCTTCAGTCTGCGAGACTCGGCCGTGCTGGAGGCGCTCCATTCCATTCGCGCTGCTAAGGTACCGTCCAGCAGCCGCTATGAACCGCCAAGGTTCGATCGCACCGAGAGTGAGTCGACGGCCCGGGACTCGTGTCTCGAGCCAGCCTTGGATGCGACGGTCTCCGGCTTCCCCAAGACCCTGGGCGTCAAGCTGCTGGCTTCCGAACAGAAAACAAATCCCGAATGCCCATGCTGCCAAGCCATGGCGCTCCGGATAGCCGGTGTTTGTTCACTCATGACCCGGCTCGAGGCCGAGCTGGCACATGTGGTAAATAGAGCATGCATGCGTCCATCATCTCTGCACCGCTTCGACGAGCATGGAAGCGTACATGGCGGATCCGGCTGAGAACCTCAGAGACGTTCAGATTGATGGAGCGGAAGGCAGATAGAGTGATCTCGCGTGTCCATCATCGCTCTGCTGTCTCACGGATCCCGGGCCGGTCGGTGCTCTCGGTCGCATGGACGGAGAGAACTGACGAGTATTCTGCCTTATGTGGGAACGGACCAAAGCGAAGCGACCTTGCGGACAAGACTCAAGAGCGAGACATGCTGCTGGCCGAGGTCGAGCAGCTCTCACAGATGCTCTTTGAAGAAGCCAATCGGATGGTCTCGGAAGAGCGCAAGACGGCATCCGAGCTCGCGCAGAGCAAGGCCCAGCTGGAACGAACTGTGTCGATCCTCAAGAGCAGCATTACAGCAGCGCTCTTGTTCCAGCAATGCGACCGACAAGCACAGGCCGAGCGAGCAAAAACCCAGCCTGGCCTACGAAAGGGGATCAGCTTGGTCGAGCCGGGATCCCTGGAAGCAGCATCGGCCCAAGTTGCCGCTGTTGGCTCAAAGGTAAGCACTACACCGCCGCATGCAGTGGCTCGGGAGTAGGCACCGCCAGCGGATGCAGGGCCTGTGCGGGTTCTATTGCTTGGCACGATCTGACATTCGCGAACGCATAGCTCCAGTTTAGCGGCGTTTGAAGATATAGACATCGATCGTCTCTTTGGTGAAGTCGGGATGGAGCAGGTTCTTTGGCAATCGCTCGACCTTGAGCGAGAGCTCCTCCAGTGCATCGAAGAAGATGGCGTCGCCGCGGGTAGATCTGGACTGGTGGGCACAGATGGCGATCGTCTTGGGCCGACAGAACGCTAGGGATCGAGCCAGGGCGATGGGCACGGAAGTAGAGGGCCTTGGAATGAGTGCGCCAGGCAATGCTGTTTCGGTGACTGCATAGCACGCTGTCGGAATGGAACAAACTGTTGCGAGATTCACGCTCACCCGCGATGGTTTTGGCCAGAGGGCGGATCAGTGCTTCAACCCAAACAACGTCGGCTGCAAGGACGATGTCGAACTCTTTGCCGATCTTGATGGGCCTGGTGCAGATATACATCGCCGCGGTTGGCGCCGTCGCCGGTCCAGGAGCATCAATAACGAGCCGTCAGTGCGAGGCCCACAGCGAACTCAGCGGAACAGACGAGCTTTGAACCGAGATGCCGATCCGACTTCGAAGCTTCATGCCCAAGCGAGGTTTCATGCCCAAGCGAGGTTTCATGCCCAAGCAAAGACAACGTCCACACATACTTGTTCCAGTCCAGGCTAACGACATCCTCGACAGCGCCTTCGGACTTGGTGCGGCTCTTTCCGGCTTCGAGGCCGTTGAGGGCCACAATGCCTTTGAGAGTGGGCACGACGCTGTTCAAGTCGGTCAGGGTAACGTTTGCGCCGAGACGGGCAGCCGAAAGACCCACGAGCCCTCGGCCTGATCCCTGCAGATGCCGCAGAGTGTCAGAACGGGGGATGGGCGGCAGATCATGGTGAAGAGGCACGCTGATCACAGCCCTCCTGCGACCTCAGACAACTTCTGGATCAGCCAGATCCTGGCACCTCACCAACTCGATGAGCCGTTTGCCCTGGATATTGAATCGCGAGTCAGGCTGGGATCGGCTGTGGTGTTCCAGGAACTTGGACAGAACGAGGCTCTGGGGAGGAGAGGAGTTTCGTTGCATGAGCACAGCTGCCTCGGGTGCTGAGCAGTCGAATCAAAGGACTGAGGCCAGTTGCTTGCCTGCTCCCCACTCCATGCTGCAGGTATGCCATCCGATCTGCTCCTGCGTCTCGTCGCCAGGCTCTGCGGCAATGCGAGTAGCCGCATGCGCAAAATTTGTGAACATACGCAGTCCCAAACAGTGTATGCCGTCTTGACTTCGTGCTCCATGTCTGCTCGGTCGGGCTCCTCGAGCGAGGGCGATTCGAGGTAGAGCGGCTGCCCGTTGATCGTAAAGGGTGTGCCATTGGACTGGCCGCCCCTCAGCGGCTTCTGGAAGCTGAACGAGAACCATGTGGGCCCGGTGAGCAGAAGCGGTGCCTTGGGAGGCTCGTCCTGCTGCTCCAGCCGGGCGGCGGCCTCGCGGGCCTTACGCTTGAGTTCCCATCTCTCCCGAGCAGGCAGCATTGATGCAGGTTGTGCAGCCCGCCAAGAGCCGGCTCGTTCGAGTTGGGTGTCTGGTCTTGGTTGGGGACTTTCTCGGCCAGTATTCGCCCTGCGCCACAACCCCGTCCAGGTCGCCCAGCAGGCCGTTGCCTGTCTGTTGTCTCCAAGTGGTGCCAGGCCCGAGCATAGCGACCACGCCTGCAAGTGAGCATCCGGAACATGGTGTATATTGCAGGCAATCTCCAACCGGAACAGAGTGCGGTGGTTTCTGTGGCTTGGCCAACACGGCCTGGTGCGCTTAGGCGCCGATCCGGACCAGGATCATTCGGCGGTCTCGGTACTGCAGCGTTTCCTTCTGAATCAGGATGCTGATGGCACGGTTGATCGACGAGGGATCGAATTGCTGGAAATAGAGCCCATGACAGCACGCAAACGAGAGATGTGAGTACCGCGATCAGAGGCCCGCTCTGGTACGGCGGCTGCAGATGTACAAAGGCCAGCCGCACCACATGTACCTACCTGGTTCTCGAGATCGTTCCTCAGATTCCGTTCGGTGATACGGGAGCCAATGGGCAAGCGGCGACGGATCTGTGTTTGAATGCGGTTGACCTCGTCTTTGTTGCCGTTTCCAACCATGCCCTCGAGACCTGTCGCGAGCAGTGTTGCCATTTGTTTTGCTGTGAGCGGGTGCAATCCTGGGCGGGCTCGACGCCATCGTGGGCATATTGTTCTCTGGTCGGCGGTCGGCGTCTGCCAGAACGCGCTCATTAGCACCAGCCTTACCTTGGCCCGAGTTGACTGCGTTCATTGTCGAGTCGTTGAAGAGCCGGATCGCCTCGGCAACATGGCGCTCCGTCGCCAGAGGCGACAGCGTCATCTTGGCCAGAGACTCGGAGACACGGATGATGGCCTCCAATTGACTGGATGTTTCCGTCCGAGGCAAGTTCGGTCAGATCCGAGGAAACCAACCAGTGCAGACACACCCTAGCAGTCGAATCAGACAGGAGCGGGCCAGACTTACCGGACGGTGATCGGAATGGAGGATTTGCCACCCGTCTCCTTCTCCATCTGGCGCACCTTGCCGCGCACCTCCGCAAAGTGGCTGCTCAACTTTTCGGCGGCTTCGGGCGTGAGTCGCGGTGCGCATTTGCTGCAATCGTCAACCAAGAGCGTCAGACCGGAAATGCGCAGCGACGATTTCTGCGTCCTGACTCGACATCGCGCAAAGTGCGTCGGCTATTCAAAGCCGGGACGACGACGACCTACGCTTTGCAGTAGCTGATATAGCTGCGCATCTTTTGCATGTCGATATCAGAGTTTGCATTTGAGTGGGCGCTGCGGTTCATGTGGATGCCGAGGACGTGCTTGGCGATAGTCTGAGCATGGGATCAAAACGACAATGTCGATGTGAGATCAGTGCCGATGCGGATCAATGCACCACCGACACAGTGCAGCTCTGAGATCGAATGCGGTTCACGCAGTCTGGACATCACGGTCCGCGGGCTCATGGACTCACCATATCGAGCTGCTCGTTGTGCTCATCGCGGACGATGAAAATCAAGTCGAAACGAGACAGAATCGTCGATTGGAAGTCGATGTTCTGGAGCACAGAAGGTTATGCTGTGAGCCAACGGAGCGTGTGCAGGGCCGGGCACGGCATGTGTTGTCTAACTCGGGAGAATCGCTGCTGCCGCCGACTCACCTCGCCCGGAGTCTTCATATCATCGTATCGACCAAAGATGGGGTTGGCCGCAGCAAGAACCGACGTTCTCGAGTTCAGGATGGTGGTGATGCCGGCTTTGGCAATGGAGATGGTCTGCTGTTCCATAGCTTCGTGGATGGCGACTCGGTCCTCGTCCCGCATCTTATCGAACTCATCGATACACACGACGCCACCATCGGCCAGAACCATGGCGCCGCCTTCCAAGAGGAACTCTCGCTGTGGAATAGGAGCAAGATTAGATCATGCTGCGGTCACCGAGTCCGTGGGGGACTTGACATGCTTACCGTGCTGGGATCTCGGATCACAGAAGCAGTCAGACCGGCTGCACTGCTGCCTTTGCCTGAGGTGTACACGCCGATCGGGGCCACCTGAACCGCGATCATATGTTAGTGAAGGGACAGCGTCTCTGGCTCATGATGCCCTTGAGCTAGGGCACCCTCGCCTTGCATACGTAACATTGTGGCGATGGTGTGCTCGTACCTTTTCGACAAACTTGAGCAGCTGACTCTTGGCTGTGCCTGGGTCACCAAGAAGCAGCACGTTGATGTCGCCACGCAGGCGAAGTCCGTCCGGCAGGACCTTTTTGGAGCCGCCAAACAGCAGGCACATGATCGCCTTCTTGATATCTGGTGTAGTGCAGGTCGGTCAGCAAAAGCAGCGCGAAGGGGTTCGCACTGCGTGGCCCAGAACAGGCTGTCGCAAACGAGCTTCGAATGCGTCTCACTGTCACGAACCCGAGTTTCCATAGATCGAGGGGGCGATGCTGTTGGCAAACTCTTCATAAAAGTTCGGGCGGCGAGCCATGGCAATGAACTCAGACTCCTCCTCCTCGGTGAAGACGCGGCCTCCTGTCCGGCGGTTTCCCTCAACGTCGACTTGCATGCCCACGACGCGGATGTATGGCGATCGGATGGCCGATGCACCCATGGCGTTTTTCTGCATAGCAAATGTGGAAAAGAGGCTGTGTCAGATACTTGGATCGGGTCTGGGGGTGCCGGAACGAGGTCGACGATGCGCTCAGAGGGACGACGTACCCCAGCTTGCTGGAAGATGTCGAATATGCCGGTGATGGTGACTCGGGTGCCGGGGGTAACCTTGTCGGTAAGGTATCTGTTGGAGATGACCATCCGTTAGGCTCTATCGAGGGCCGCAGCAGAGCCAGCGCCAAGACGACACAGGAATATGAAGGATGTGCTGCCAAGGAGAGCTTAGAGTAGACGTAAGGGGAACCGCACCTGTCGGCGCTCAGGAGAATGTGTCGCGGAAGTTCGCCAACGGGGACCTTGTCTGGTGTCTCTTGAAGCTTGAGGGTCTGTTGGTCGACAAACTTGCTCTTGTCGTGGATAATGACGTATGGATCCATGGAGCACTTTTTGGTCTCGCCAAGAGTATTGCTTGTCCTGTTGACGAAGCAACAGAGAGGCGCCGCAGTGAGCACACTAACAGCCGGCATGGGTGCGGAGAGGGTCGCCAGGCCCCATTTGCGTCGAGTTTGCAGAGCATCGCAGCCATCAACTGCGATGCTGCATGACTCAGCACCAAGAATACAGCGGTCCTTTTCAACTCGATACCCAGACGATCACGATGATCTCGGCTCGCCATACTTACGCCAGACAGATTCGGGGAAGATTGATGCCCGTGATGCCGCCGCCAACGGTCAGCTGCTTAAAGTCGCGGCAGTCCTTGCACATAATATGGACATGTGTTGCCTTGGCAGAGAGCACCGAAGCCGAGATGGTGATGCCCGGAATACGGACAAGCTTTGACACGTAGGTCGACTAGAAGCCACGACAGGGCGAGGTACAGGTGAGTCGAGAAAAGAACCGACACGACCCAGCCGTGAAGGTGGCCATGCGTTGCTCCAACCAATATTGAGGCCGGGCCAGTATGCACTCACATCAAGCTGACGAATATTGACAGTATTGGCATTCGATATCAGCATGACTTGGCAATCAGGGACTTCCGATACGATCTGGAACGAGGTGGCCATGTTCTTGACGGCCAGCTCGAACTGTATGAGTCAGAGAAGAGCACAGCTCCGTTAGAAGCAACACAGGACGACGATAAGGAGGGCTGTCGTATGTGCCCAGTAGCCCATGGGCACAGGGACGCAAGGGAAACAGAGCGCGAGCATGCGAATGTACGCCGCCGCTGAATGATGCAGCGTCCATAACATCCAAGTCGAGACAGCTTTGATGGGCGGTGCCATTACCAAGGGCAGGATATCGGCGGGCTTCTCCTTGATCTGGGTGGCCAGATCTTCATCAAAGCTGATCAGATGCGCAATGTCGACTTCGATGAAAAAGAGCTTGGTCAGGACATTTTGACGCAGCTGGTCTCTGTGTGGGTAAATACGTGTGTGTGATGAGATAGAATGCGATAAAGAGATGGATCGCAACGAGAAAAGGGACACGACAGCCGGGTGAGAAGCAGGTCGATGGAGGCTGCAGCTCCGGCATGTCTGTCCATGGTCTGCCGATACCCCAGCCAACACGGCTCGCAACGTTGCGCAAAGGGCCTGCTTGAGTCATGGGCCGACGATCTCCTTCGCCCCATGAAGAGACTATTCATATGGCCCGTGAAAGCCAGTCTAGCGTCATAGTCGTGCCCCATCAAGTACAGCACCGAACACAGCAGATCGAGCCCCCACTGCTTGCTGGCAGCTCCGTAAGCGTTACCTATATATGTAGTTGTTGTCGACGCGGAAGTTTCGCAAGAACTCGCCAAACTTCTTTTCAACCTGGGGGAAGTTGATCTCGGTAAGGCTCGCCTCCTGGTTGTTGACGCCGACGCCGCTGATGGTGAATGACTCTTGCTTGTCCCAGCCAGACATGATGGGATGTGATATGGGGGTAGAATAAAGCAGGGGGGGGAGTGTCGATGGCTGCTTCTGGAGGACGAGCTGGGCGTGCGTGGGCGGTATAACCAAGCAGTCGCAGGATCAAAAGCCAGATCTGACCAGCCGGCGAAGGACGGTGCAGGCGGGCGCAAAGTGTGGAGCGACGCAAGGCAGCCGAACATATTTGCCTTTTTTGGACAAATGAGGATCTGGCTCCAGCCAGGATCGATCCGCCGCGATCACCACAACACTATCAATTTGTTCCGGCCCCCTCGCGGCTGCTCATCTCGGTCACCTGAAAGTCACGTTGTATGTGGCGCAGCAAAAGTTGGAATCCGGCCATGGTCGGTTGACGGCATTTGGTATCGTCTTGAGCCGATTGACGGTGGTGGTGAGCAATTGGTGTGGAGGAATGACCAATTGTATCATTGTTGGAAGCTCCACTCCGATTGCGGACAAGAACCACCACCATCTGAATCTCTCTGGTTGGAAACCTAGTCAAGCGTGGCTGTGTGTCAGCGAGATGACATGATCGTTTGGCTATCAGGCAAGACTCACCTTGACAAGATGTCTTCCCACGACTGATTGAGCGAGCGATGCGTTTCTGGATCTGAATCAAGGACGCCACTGTGAGCATTTCTGTCAGCCCAAAATGCGCTGGTTTTGAGGAGATTCTTTCTTCCCCAAGGGCAGAACCAGCCATCATCGTTATTTTCTCGCACTGATGGCTCCCAAGCTAAAGACACCACCCAGGCGACCAAGTGGATCCAGAGCACCCACAAGATACTTGGTCTGCAGGAATGGATGAGCACCACACCAAGTCCCAAGATCCCTGGGTTGGATCCCTTCCTGCAATACATTCGCCATGTGTTCAATGGAGACATGCTGGACAAACAGCTGTACTTCAGCCTGACCCGGCGACGGCGATTCAAGCGACTCGATCTCCACAGCAAGCGACAGCGCACCGTCCACGAGATGTGCAAGCAAGTCATCGACCAGGCATCAAAGGAGACCGACATCGTGATTGCCTTTGGGAATGCATCCTGGAAACAGGGGAAGGGATATGCTTCCAGTCCCAGGAGACTCAGGTTTGCCAAGTACTTTGAGCAGTTCCACCACCACCAGAGACGCCCACCAGACCGATCCGTCTCCAAGATCCGTGTGTGCTCGGTGAACGAGTTCAACACATCACAGGTGTGCTCACACTGTCGGGAAGCCAAGCGACTCGAGAAGGTCGAGCATCTTGATATCGAGAAACCACATTATGTACGGAGCTGTACAAGCTGCCATACGCTGTGGGATCGAGACATCAATGCAGCCAGGAACATGATCTCGGTATGCCAGTCGATCATCGCCACAGGAGATCGACCGGGTGTATTCAAGACTGTGCTTCCCAAACCAACCAAAACCACTCGATTGCCAACGAAGACAGGAGTGCAATGCCACGGCCTGCCCGCTGGGCCTACAAGTCAGTCAGCGGGCTTCAGAAACCAGAAAGTGACTGTCCCGTTTCTTTCTGGATAGACTGTAAGTATCTTGCACTGTTCCTTGAGTATTTCGACAGTGGATGCCGGGTCGCCCATATTCTGGGCAGTCCACTTCGGGGTTGCCATCCCTCTTGGGATGGTCGATGGGAGGTGTTTGACTCCCTTGTGCAAAGTGTGTGTGTGTGTGTGTGTGCACTGTGTGTGTGTGTGACGGCGAGAGGCTTCTCGCCTTCCCTCGGGGGTCTCTCGTCAGAGACTGCTCTTCTCGCCAACCGAGGTGGCTCCGAGAGCGCGTTTTTTCGTTCTCGCTCATTTTTTTAACAAGAACTTTTTTCATAGTGCAACGATGGACAACGCGATCAGATTGCCATCAGATTGCCACCAGATTGCCATCAGATTGCGATCGGGGGTGCACTGGGCACCCAGCGACGAGACGTGTATTACGAAGCAAGTCTGTTCAGAGATTGTATCCATCCAGCCACTCGATAATCGATCGGGCACAGGCCACAGAGAGGTTTTCGTCGAGCTGCACAAAGTGCGGGATGCCACCCTCCACCAACCCCATTTCGTCGGCCAGGTCGGCCGTGTCGCAGTCGAATCGGTCCTGATACTGTGACAGAGTGCCACCTGGCACGAGCCCGTCGCCCTGTGTCGATCCATATCCGATCGCCAGAAACGGGAACCGACTCAGGCTCTGCGGCTCGAGCAGCAGCGGGCGAGAATGGAATGCTGCGAGCAGATCGAACGCAGCCGAACAGCTTGGTTGGCTGCCGTGGCTGGTGACCCAGGACGACAACTTGGGCCGGAGCGGGTGGTGGGCGACGGCCCTGACGCACTCCTCGACGGCGGTTTGGACTGTTGCCGGCGCTGAGGAAGTAAGCGGCTGAGCCGATGGCAGAGGGAACGGGTTGAGGAGAATGGCAGCTCGAGCAGGGTGCGACTCGAGGAAATGGAGCAGCGTCAGAGAGTGGATGCCGTGTGCGATAATGGCCGGGGGAAAGTCTGCTGCCCGAGCGATCTTGGCCAGCTCTGTCGAAATTGAACACAGATGACGCCGAAGGAGTGAGCAGACGGAGCACAGTCAAAGGCACGACCCAGCCTTGGCTGCCCGAGCGAATGGCAAGGATGACGCACCTGCAACCGAATAGTCGACGAGATTGGTGTTGCCAGTCGCATCTGGCAAAGGGGGATCGATATCGGCGAGTATGGTGCTGTAGCCGTGTCGCTCAAAGATGGGCTGCATATGGTGCTGCCAGCATCTGTCGGATCGTAACGGCAGTTGGTCAGACGAGACGGTTGGTCAGCCAGAGAGACCGATGGTACAAGCGAAACGGGGCTGCGAGGAATTATGCATGCCGCCGACCGGGGTGGTGAGATCAGAGCGGGCAGGGTCGGAAGCGTAGTTACGTCTTGTCCAGGATAGGGCCGCTCAAAAACAGAAGAGGGGTCGGCCGCAGAGACGGCGCATTTTTGGGATCGGTAACGATGGTGGAATGAACGAGTCGCCGGGCAAGCGCTGGGTTTGCACCGAGCCGGCAACGGAGGGCAGAGAGCATCTCTGCAGGATCGATCAAGCGGGCCGCCAGGGCAAATCCGATGGGACGAAATCCAAGAACCACAGATCCGGACTGCCGGGTGGAGATTGACCCACTTGATTGCGGAGCAAATTTGGAGACGGCCATTTTGCTCACGAGACACTGCTCCGTTTCCATCGAGCGCAGAGAGTGGGATCACTTGGGGCGAACAAAGGCATACACTTTATTCAGAAAAAAACGGGACAATATAGCCGTTTCCATGAACATGTAGTATGTGCTGTGCTTGCGTCAAGCAAAGCCACAAGAAATAAAACAGATCACTTTGGCAGCCTCCGAGTGAAGACCGCCGGTCGCCCTCCGATCTCCACAATCGACCTGCATACTGTGATCATGTTGCGCGCCGCATTGACGTCGCGATTCCACACTGTCCGGCGAATGGTCATGGCCAGCGCGCAATAACATTGGGTAACAAAATATTCGATGAATGGTCAAAAACCCGGGTGTCCCGTTTTTTATTGGATTGCCTGTAAAAGCCGGCACCCTCCGATTGGAGGGCTATGGCCAACGCACGGTGCTTCCGGGAACAAAAATGTGGTCGTTGTTGATCGGAACCTCGTTCCAAAATAAGTTCACTGGTAATCGTCGTGTGGCGTTGTATTGCCGTTTATGTTATAACTACATTCAAAAATCTGTCCTTGGCCGGGGCAAACGGGCAGAAGGTTGTGGCCAGGAGGCCGGGCAGGGGAGAGGAAGCGAATATGCATACTATGGGGGACAAGAAAGCACTGGTTGAGCGTGGGGGGGGGAGAGGTGGGCTTGGATGTGGAGGCAGGCAGGCAGACAGGCAGGCGAGTTAGGAGCAGCATGGAGTGGAGGCGCGGCAGCAGGGGCAGCATTGGCAGCATTGGCAGCGGGGAACGAGGCTCAGTGCATGCCCGAGGCCCTCAACTTGGACTTGAAGCTGTTGATCGTCTTATGGACGCTTGGTGTTATCCGGTGCGGCTCGGAGCCGCCTCGGGTGATCTGATTGAAGAGCGCATTGACCAGGGCAACAGCATCGCACGACCACTCGGCCTGCTGGTCGGGCGTCATGCGCGAGACAAGGTCGGATTGCGACCGGTCGTTGAGGCGGTTGATGACCAGCTGGATGGTGTGGCCGTTGGGCTGCACGTCGTAGGGATCAAAGAAGTTGGTGAAGCACTCCTGAAGCGCGCGCGGAGTCAGGGGAGTGCCAGGGTTGCTCCGGGCAAGCACAAAGTTGCACATGTTCACGGAGGCTCCGTGGCAGAGCTGCGCGTAGTCCAGGAGCTGGCGGATGATCTCGTCGGGGGCGCCGACCGTGCGACAAGTCATGATGATCTTCTTGAAGTCGTCGTGGGTGGGGCTGACGTTCTGACCCTGAATGGCTACAATGTGGCTGCTGAGGCTCTGGATGGCGTTGTGTTTGCACAGGTTGACGACGAGGGCATTAATGGTGTTGCCCGTGGGGGCCAGGTCGTGCTCGCCCGCCAGAGCAAGGATCCGAGCGACTTCGCCGGGGTTGCGGGCGATGAGCAGCAGGCAGTTGAAGACGTTCATTTGCAGCTCGACGCCGCGCTTGACCATTTCGCCAAAGGTCTTGCGGACGGCATCGTAGTTGCCGACCACACGATAGGCAGTCATCATGGTGCTGTAGGTGATGGCGTTGGGCTCAAACTTCTCGCATAGGGTGGCAAAGATCCGCTCGGCGGCCTCGATGTTCTTGCTTCGCACAAAGACCTGCAGCAGGATGTTGTAGGTCTCGGTTGTGGGCTTGACGGTGGGGAAGCGCAGGGCATCCTCCTTCATGAGCGAAAAGACCTGCAGGGCGTCGTCCATGCGGTCGGCCTTGCTGTAGGCCGCCATCATAACATCGTAGATCTGGTGGTCCAGCAGCAGATTGTTGTCGCGAAGGCTGTCAAGGCAGCTGCGAGCGCGCTCGAGATTGTCCTCGGTGCAAAAGGCGCGGCAGAGCGCCACGTAAAAGTGGTATTTCCGGACCGGCGACATGTTTTCGATCTCGACGGAGCTCAGGAATTCCTGGGCCTGGTTGGACTTTTTGAGCTTGCCGAGGGCCTGCAGCAGAACGCGGTACGAGACACGGTCGGGAGTGAGGCTGTAGACGGACTCCATTTTCTCAAACTCGTGCACGACCTGGGTATAGGCGTTGCTGACCCTGAGGGCCTCCAGGCGGCGATTGAAAACGTAGATGTCGGGCTTGGCGCAGAGCTCGCCAATCTGGGCCCAGTACTGCTCAAGCATGGAGATGTTGCCCTGGTCGCCGAGGAACTTGAAGAAGGGGCCGTAGCTGCCGAGAGGGATGAGTTCGGTGGCGCCACTGGTGCGGAGGTGTTGCGCGGTGAACTCCCAGACCTCCTGGATCTTGGGCAGGAAGGTCATGTTTGCGTTTCTATGGTTGGATTCGTTGGCGGCGATGGAGAGGATCTTGATGAGCCGGAACAGGTCCTGGGTGGAGAGGTACGGGTAGTGGCTGGGGATGCAGTGGTTCAGGGCCACTTTGGAGTCACCGACACGGATGGCGGTGCGCAGAATGCCGATGGTGCGGAGGATGTCATCGGGAACGTCGGTCGTGCGGTTAATGACGGCGGTGTCGCTGGGAGGGTTGCGGTACTTTTTGGTCTTTTTGGACTGAATCTGCTGCGACGAGGTCGAGAGATTGCTGGCAAACTGGCGGTTGCTTCCGACGGGGAGGTACGAGGAGCCAAGGAGGCAGGGCGAGGAGATGGCCTGTCTCGAGTATTGGAAGTTGGTACCCTCCTTGAGGAAGAAGACTTTGGCGGACGAGTATCGGAAGCTACTCCACATGGCGGCGTGCTTTGAGGCGAGGAATTCGAGGGATCGCGGTGTCTGGCTGGAAGGGTGCGGTGAAGCAAGCGCGGGTGCAGCGAGTGCGGTGGCGGCTGCGGCCTTGGGGAAGAGAGAGAGAGCGGATGGGAGAATGCGCAGGGCAGGGGGCGTCCGCGAGCGAATGGAGCGGAGGACCGAGGCGACAGATCTCACGAAGAGAGATGGAAAGCGGTCCGACGCAGAGGCGACCGACGGAGGACAGACAGCAGAGGAGCCGATGCCGAGACCCGCGGGAATGGAAAAGCGCAGGAGGAGGGGCGAGGTTCGGGACGAGCAGGCGACGACGCATTTATGAGAAAAAAATGCGCCTGTGTCGGTTCTGTGTCAGGGCAGGCCTGGGCGGTGAGTCATTGTTGGAGGCCCATTGGCGGGCGATCTGGTTGGCCACATCACTCCCACGTCGCACACGGCCCCGCGAGCGACTCATTCGCCCGGGGCTCCGGCTGGGCCGGACTGGGCCAGGGCTGATGCAGCGAGCCAGTGCTTGCGGATCGAGGATGCAATCGCAGGCCCGCTGGCCGGGCCGCCTTCCCGCTGCAGCTCTACTTGCGGGTCTTGGAGGCAATCAGCAGCTGGGTCAGCCACTCGTCGGTGAGGTCCTCGGCGTCGTGCAGCTCCAGGACCTGCGTGCCAAGGCGGGCTGGGTCAGCGCGTGGGTCGAAGACGACGAAGGTGTGCTCATTGCGCCATCCAGTCTCAGCAGGGCCGGGCTGCGTTGGACTCCAGGGGGGTTCGCCCACTCGGACTCATCGGCGCATCATCGCCGACACAGCCGCCCGTATCTCGTCCCGCACGTCGGCGCCGCCATGCAAGACGACCAGATAGGAAGAGATGAGCCAGTTTCAAACAAATGGACCCAGCCGATGAAGAAGAAGAAAAAGGGCAGTCGCCCAGAGTGAACCCTCCTGGGTCCAGAGCGCTCACCTTGCCGCTGATGCTCGCCTGTTGGAAGAGCTGAGCTTCCGTAGACGCATAGAGCATCCGGTTGGTGTCATTCGAGCCTGGCACGACAGCGATACATGGCAAACGAAGCGGGTGGGGCAGATGAGACGGGGTGGCGTGAGGCGGAGGGAAGCAAAGGGAATGGCAAAGGCATGCAGACGATGGCATGCAGACGGTGGCCAAAGGAGAGAAAGCAAGCCAGCGTCCGAGTTGCCGGGGCTGTGTGGTCGAGAAGTACATGCACGGAGACATGAAAATGACTGCTGACAGATCATACCTTCGGGGCTGTCGCATTGGCATTTGGGATGTGGCATTGTCATTTGGGATGTGGCATTGGCATTCGGGATGTGGCATTGGCATTTGGGATGTGGCATTGGCATTTGGGTTGCTCCAAGTGCGCATCGTAGTGCTGCCATTGCATCGATGGACGTACCAGTAAAAGATGCCGACGAGAGGATAGCTGACACGGTCGTCCTCCAACTTGAGCTCATACGACAGCACCATGAAGCGCGGGGTGTTCTCGGGCAGCTCCTCAGAGAGATCCTCTGGATTGAATCGTGCACAGAAAAGAGACGGATCAGAAGCCTGCTTTGCCAGCATCCAAGATCCCGAAACCATCGCTCCTGTCGGGTCGCCAGGACGAGCAAGGGCGAGGAGGGATTTCGCTTCGAACAATTGCGACAATGCCTCCAGATCCAACAGCTTTGTGCTGGCGCATCCGTATCGGTAGCTACACCCGGTTCATGACGACAGGAGCGCAAATGTCGGCAGGCCGTCAAGAGACTGTGGCTAATCACCTAGTTTGATGTTTTCGTGGAGCCCATCGAGGATAACCTGACGCCCACGATATGGAGACAAGCAGCCAGAGTCAAGACTCCGGAACAGCGGATGGCGAATGTGTGTCTTGGACAGCCTCTGCTGTTCCCGAGGGTTCATCCCCGGCCTGTGCTCGCAGCATCGGTCGATTTTGCGAGTCATGTCGCCCGCACACGATACTCACGGCCAGGCTCTTGACATCGATCCTGAACACGAGGGCAGCGTTGCTCTTGGACTTTCTGCAGGATCGCATCCGCCCGGATGCGTGGAGGGAGGGGGTGAAATCAAGCGGCACAGCGTTAGCGGCCGTTTCAGATACAGCGCATCGACAGACTGGGTCGGTATGGGCCAAGTAAGCTGCGGCCAAGTCCGTGCGTTGAGGCAGCAAGGGATGCTCGCATATCGTGAACGCAATACGGAGCCTGACGGCCTCGCTCCGAGAAGTGCCAGTGAGCCGCTGCAGCTCAGCGTCTCGGCCCATTTACCTGAAGCGAAATTGCTGTCGGCGGGGCGATGGATCGAGCGATGTTTCGCAGAGTGTGAGTGATCGATACATGAGCCAAACCATCGACAGAAGCGGTCATTCCAAGGACCGGGTCGATAGGGGCTTTCCTCCGCCTCCTGCGGCCACCGAGAGTCTCGGGTACAGCCCTCACCTTTAAGGCATCGAGGACCTCGGGGGTAATCTGGCAGGTGCTCATGTCGACGGCGTGCACGGCTTGGATGCTGGATGGCAGATCTGGCTGGCAAGAAGCAAAAGCCCGATGCGGCTGGGGCCAGGCCAGCGCGCGAGACAACCAGCCAAGAACAACCAGGGGGCAGACAGGGCACTGCACCAGCCAGCCAGCGAGCTTGCCGGCGATATCCGTGGCCGCACAGGCCAGAACAGCATCGAAAACGCAGCCCCATGGATCAGAAGAAAAAAAAAAGTATGTATGTATGTACTGTCATGGCCGATCTCCAACAGCATGCTTTCCAGAGGTCCGGGGCGGGATGTGTCTCTGGTCGCAGCGACACGCCGTTGACAAGTCCCGTGGGAAGCGTCCGAAACGGATGGAAAAGGAGAGAGAGAGAGCAGGAGGGAAAGAGGGAGAGAGCTGACCAAGGCTACAAGATATTCACGACAGAGTGGGAGAAGGTGAAGGGGGCTTGGGAGAGAGGATCGAGGACGGGTGCGGGAAAGTGGAGATTTACAGTTCAAACGTGACACCGACCTTGGCCTCACGGGCCAAGCGGATGATGTTGCTGAGCTTGACGGCCTTGTTGGCGGCGGCATCGAGGTCGTCGATCGAGAACATCTTCAGGCCACTCTCCTTGATCATCTTCTTGGCAGCCTCGACCTCGGTACCCTGGAGACGGACAACGAGGGGGATCTCCAGGCCGAGCTGCTGAACAGCCTGGATGATGCCCTGGGCGATGACATCGCAGCGCATGATACCGCCGAAAATGTTCACCAGGATGGCCGAGACATGGGGATCGCTGCTGATGATCTTGAAGGCCTCAGCGACCTGCTCGGCGGAAGCGCCACCACCAACATCGAGGAAGTTGGCAGGCTCACCGCCATGGAGCTTGATGATGTCCATGGTGGCCATGGCAAGACCAGCGCCGTTGACTGCCAGAGGGAGAGATGTCAGCGTGGCCGTCCAAGGATGCAGAGGCAGTCTGTTGCCCCGTTCAGACGACGAAGGGAGCCGCGAATGCGGCGCTCAGCCCGTGTGTTCCGAGAGCGAGACCAAACTCGTGATGAGGGGACATGGATGCGTCTCAACAGGGCACACACCACCCACACCAGCACCGGACACGCAGCTGGCGACTTACCGAGGCAGCCGATGTTGCCCTCAAGGCCAATGTAGTTGAGGTTCCACTTGGAAGCAGCGACCTCACGAGAATCCTCCTGGGTGGTGTCGCGGAGGTCAAAGACGGACTTTTGGCGGAACTCGGCGTTGTCGTCGAAGCCAAACTTGGCATCCATGCAGTAGACTGAGGCAAAAAGCAAAACACGTGTGTTAGGGCGAGGGCCACTACTTGGATAGCGGGGGGATACTGGAAAGAGCCTGCGTGGCTGTGAGCTGCAGGTGCAGCACACTTGCAGCCACTTGAGCGGCTTGACAGACTAACAAATATCAAAGCAGGGGAGCGCACAACAGCAATTGCGATCATGACACTCACCATCACCGCCAGCAACCTCAGCCAGGGGGTTGATCTCGATCATGGTGGCGTCCTTCTCAAGGAAGAGCTTGTAGAGGCGCTCGATGGTATCAGCAGCCTGGAGAGTCGGCAATCGACGTTAGGAGACCGGTGCGACATGTATCAGGACAATGGGCAAGCTGCACTGCGCTGCGTTGCACTGCACGAATGGACATGGCCATGGGTCAAGTGCATACAGAGCCGGCACACACCTGGTCGATGGACTTGCCCTGGAAGCCGATCTTCTGGGCAACAGAGACAGCATCCTCGCGCTGGAGACCCTTGTTGATGTCGACAGAGTGGGTGATGATGGCCTCGGGGGTCTCGTGGGCGACAGTCTCAATGTCCATGCCACCCTGCGAGGAGGCGACGATGACAGGGCCCTGGGTGGCGCGATCCATGATGATGGCGAGGTAGTACTCGCGACGGACGTACATTCTCTCGACAACGTAGACCTGCAAGCAGCGGGATGAGCAGTGTCAGCGGCCGAATTGACTTGCGATGACCGCGGAGAAGCCAAAGCTGAGCAAAAAGGAAATACTCACGGCGTTGCAGATGCGGCCGGCAGCACCGGTCTGCTTGGTGATCAGCTTGTGGCCAAGCATCTTCTCGGCGTAGGTCTTGACCTCGGCAGGGCTGCAGAGACGGATCGATCAAAGACATGGGTCAGTTGAGCGAAAGGAGAGTGGGCCAGCCAAGCCCATTCGGCAGATCGGTCTCTACTGGGCATGCAGCCAATATGCCCACTTGTCTCTTGCGCGATTGCTACGCTGCAACGTTACGCTGCAATGCTACGCTGCAATGCTACGCTGCAATGCTACGCTGCAACGCTACGCTGCAATCCTACGCGGCCGATCTCAACCACTTACGAGTAGACGACACGGACACCACCCTTGAGACCAGAGTCGAAGGTACCCTTGCCACGGCCGCCAGCAAGAACCTGGGCCTTGATGACCAGGTCCTCAGAAGCAATCTCCTTGGCAATGTTCTCGGCCTGCTGGGGGTTTGTGGCAACAGATCCGCGGGGAGTCTTGATGCCATACTGCGAGAGAAGGCCCATCGACAGGTGCTCGTGGATGGACAGGTTGCGGCGAGGGACAAGGCTGGCAGCACGGAGCTGGGGAAGGGGAGAGGGAGCAGTCCGGCACAATCGCAGACAGTGGCAGGATCCAGGCCAGACCAGGCCAGGGCGATCCGGTCGAAAGTAAGCCGAGCAGACACAGGGAACGTTAGCTGGGCTGCAACAGCGGACCGGCCAACCAGCAGGATCGGTGATGAGGCGACGGCCAAGGTCGAGGCAGCACTGCCGAATCGAGGACGCCTCGCCAGCCCCGAGCGCCATCTCTGCCGGGCCCCCATTGAGCGGATATGGACATTGGGCCGACATCGCAGGCTCGGTTGGACCTGGACAGCTGACAAGACAGGCGACCTCGGTCCGGGACGTCAGCGGAGGAGACGACAGCCCACGGCGTGCCCGCATCGAGACAACTGCTACTGCGACAGGCCGACAGACTCGATGATGGCGACCGGCAGCCCGGCACATCTGGGCTCATCTCGAGACAGTGCCACGAGAGCGGGAGCAGAGAGCAGACAGCGAACGACAGATTACAATCGAGGGGCGGCTGCGGGCCAGACGGGCGCTAGCTTGGGCGAACATAGTGGCGGGTCGAAGACAGAGGCCTTGAGGGGATATGAGAGCGGGCGACGGGACTGCTGGCAGGGAGCAACGGGCGACCAAGACGATGAGGCTCCGGGTGGGAGTGGATGCAGGACGAAGAGCGGGCTGGCCGAGAGGCGGTCTGCACCGAAAAACAACGAAAAAACGAAAACGGCGACGCGCAAGCGAGGACGGGGGCGGGGGCGGGGCGGGGGCGAGAGGGCAGGGCGCACTGTCTCTGTGCGCCGCACAAGCTGTGGCTGGCTCGGCGAGGAGCAACAGCGCCCTCCGCGCAGGCGAGAACGGCGCTCTGTCCCGGCCCGGCGAGCGCAGCGGGACGGCCCAAACCCGAGGCCAAACGGCCGTGTCGGTGTCGGCCACCCCCACTGGATGTCGGCCGTCCCGTGCTGGGGACCACCGCGAGCGAGCGGCCATGGCCTGGGCAGATATCAACGCCATCGAGACAGCATTGCATTCGTTGTTATCAGTCGGCCGTCGCTCGTTCCGGATGTACATCGCTCCTCTGCCTCCGTTGGCACACCCGGGCCGCCCTCCCACCCAGCCGCACAGCCATCCAGGGCCCTGTTCAGATGTCTCGAAGCGTCATAATCAGCTCGTCCAGTCGGAGCTCCGTTGCTTTGAGCAGCCCAACCGTCTTCTTGAGCAGACCCCACTGGGCTTTGTCGGAGTCACTGAGTAGGTCCAGGTTCTGCGCAACGTCGGTTCGCTCAATCTTCTCCAGTAGCACCTGGCGATCTTCGAGCTCCTTCTTCCGCCGCAGCTTGACGTTGTTGAGCATGCGGTACGACTGCTGCAGCATCCGCTCGACGCATTGATCGACCGACACTCCAAATAGATAGAAGGTTCGCGAAGGCGCATGGTCGGTGGTCTTGGGAACATCCTGGCAAGCCGAACCGAATCAAGGCGTCAGCGTCAATCATTCCGACCCAGCCACCCGGGTTGCTGCCCAGGGACATCCAGCGCAGCTCGGTCGCCAACTCGGTCGTCAGCCCGGTATGCCGATACCTGAATGAAAACGAAGCCCCCAGCCATCAGCTCGTTCAGACATTCGCGTGCTGTCTTGATCGGGATCATGGCAAGCCTCGAGACCTGTGTCAGCGGCGTCAGCATCTACACCAGTGATGGCATCGACAACGCAGGCACAAATCAGAAAGGACTCACTCACCTGCTTCTCGTCCAGATAGCCCTCGATCTTGAGCAGGCGCCAGATGCGACAAAACACGGACCCATATCGCTCATAGATCATGGACTCGATCGCCAGTGTCTGAAGATACCCCTTGAGGCGTTCAAGGGCGACAACATAAGTGCCACCGCCGCGCTCGTCGATCTTGGTCAGGAAACCGGCAGGATCCTCGGCGAGCACATCGAGATAGCTCGCCAGCCGGTTGTCAGAGTCCTCGCCTTCGATCTTGAGCATCGAGTCGTCTCGCAGGGCCTGCGAGATCCAGAGCTGCGAAATATCCTCTGCAGTGACAGCGTGACGGGTCGGAGGAGGCATAGTGAGCGGCTCGAGCTGTGCCAGGTGCGGATGTGCCGCAGTGCTTCGAATCAAGTGCTCTAATGCTTCGAGTCAGGTGTACCAATGCTTCGAGTCAACCACATACCCGAGGTTTTTTCGCCGCGGCAGGTCTTCATTTTGTCCTGGAGCTTCCGCAGAATTACTCTTATCAGATGGCCGGCGCCGCTGCTGATCCGCATTGTGGCGAGCTTGGCGATGATCTATGTGGTTACAAATACCTGTCAGCACATGCCTCGTCGTGCTGGAACAGCCACAGGCAAGCGGCACATCGAGACTCACATCCGTGCGGCAGTGAATGTTGCAGTACTCGACGTTGATTTTCCAGAACTGGTCGTCCTATTGGGGAGTGGTGCAGAAATAAGCAATCGATACGTGCATGTACCGTGTGCGACAACATGGGTGTCATTCAGGGCAGTTTCAGGCCCGTGCTTGTGGTCGGCGGGCTGTAATCCTACCGAGTATTCGATTTTGCTGTCTTCCATGGCAACTTTCTGTGGGAATCCAGAGAAGTAAACGAATGATGTTCAGTTTTGACGGCCAAATCCGTTTAAATACACAGACCTGTCGCTTGAGTTCCGAACGGGGAGCACTGGCTTCGCTTGAAAATGATGTCGCCACCTGTGAACACCTCCCACATCCCGCAGCAAACCCTGTGTCCAGCAAATCCTGTCCAATGGCTCGCGCGATCGCTTCACCACCGCAGCCACACCTGAGCCCTACCTTTCTGGATACCTCGTCAAAGTCCAGCACCTTTCTTTTCTACTTGCCGCCATCGATACAGAAAGAAATGTCAGTAAATGCACGCGGATTGCCAAGCGACCTGGCCGACCGAGATTTCGCTGCCCTTTCTGATCCGGGTACTGATCCGGATCAATTATCCGACGTGCTCATCTCCAGCGACGATCTCAGCGCCTTTCGTCCGAGGAGCCCAGACTCTGTGCTCGCTCTCATATTCTGCTTTTGCCCTCCCTACCGAGCCAGTCGAGACGGTCGCGTCGTAGCTTGGGGTTTCAAAGAGCTTTTTTCGCAGCTTCTTCAGCTCGCTCGAGGTCAACGGGGCCCCGCCCATTTCCGCGATCGCAGCCTTCTCCCGCTCAATGTTCTTGTCGATGATGGACTTGGCGTCGGAGACCTCCACTGCAACGAGGAAGCGATCTGCGATCAGCCGAGTCAACACATAGCGGATCTCGTTCTGAGTGGCTTCGTCGCGGGCATCGAGATCCTTGAGGATGGTGGGATAGTTGCTTTTGCCTTGCTTGATGATGCACAATGCCAAGTCTCGGCCCTGGCGGGCAAGGTCGCGGTAGGATCGGGTCGTCAGTCGCAGAGGCCCTTCACTGGTCTTGCTTGCTGTACGGGCTTCTCTGCCAACGCTACCAACGCTATCGACGCTGTTGCTGTTGCTGTCGCTGTTGCTGTCCACGCAGACCCACCTGATGACCATACTCCTCAGCGATCTTGGACACATAGAGCGAATAGCGGTCTCGGAACATAATCTGCAGCTCGTCGATGCTGTAGAACACCATGATGCGTAGTCCCTCGGCCTGCTCCGTGAACATGACGATGTTGTGCTGGATCAGGATGAAGAGCGATTCGCGCACATTCTTGGCAGATTGCTTTGAGATCTGGACCAGGTTCGCGAGGGTCAGTCGTCCACGGGTGAGGAGGGCGGCTGCGACTTTCTGAGCGAGTCGATGGGCGGAATCCGAAAGGGAGGGAGAGAGGACGAGGCGGCGGCGGCGGTGGTGGTGAAACGAACGGGCCCAGAGTCAGCTCTTCGTCCAGCCCTGCGACGCATCATCGAAAGAACAGCAAACGCAGCGAATCAGGCCGCAGAACTATTACTTCAACAACGGGGCCAAAGTGCTCTCGGATGATGGTGAGACAGAGCCTGGAGACGACAGAGCAGGGCATCGTTTCAGAGTTCCAACGGCGTACGGGCCCGGCAGAGGTATGCGTCCAGAGGGAGACCGGGGCCAGGTGCGAGATGAGCGTCCAAGGGCGAGGGCGATCCGTGTCCTGGCGACGAGGAAAAATTTTGGTGCGACTGGGTTTGCCCAAGGAGCCATTCCGTCGCAGCCTCCAGGCGGGCCGTGGTGCTCACCCTTCCCTCTCTCTCAAGCCGTCTGTGACGGAGCATGCACCACGGCGGCATCCGGGACGCTACCGGCGGTGACAGGGATCTGTCGGAATCGATGCTATGTTGCTTTTATAGTCTATCCAGAAAGAAACGGGACAGCCTGCCGAACTTCTGTAGGCTCCAGTGAGCAAGCCATGCGATTGTTTCCCGTCCTGGTTGGCAATCTCTTTGTGTGGTGCATTCACTCGCCCTCTGGACTGCTCCATGGTGGATCGATATCAAGATACTCGGCCTTCTCGAGTCGCTTGGCTTCCCGGCACTGTAAGCACACCTGTAGATCGAGTCGCTTGAATCGCCGTCTCCTGGCTGGCGCCTTTCGCTTGCGGGGAGCCATCCGGGAGAGAAAGCGTCCTTGATTCAGATCCATCGCTGAGTGGTCGTGGCCAGCGCGTGATGGTCTTGAGTGATAGCATTCACCAATGCTCAAAATCAAGGGTCCCGTTTTTCATTGGATCGCCTGTAGGATGTGGATGCACTCGACCCACACCCAGCGAGCCGAGCCTTCCATCCACAACGATGGGTCCGGCCCGCCGTCAGCATGTGGGAAATCGTGGACGAGGACGGCTTTGGCCTGTTGCCTGGCTTTGCCAAGGGAGAACTGCTGCTTCGGCAGAAACCCAGGCGGCAGAGTGACATCTCTTGGGACAAGCACTAGCACCCTCAGATGCGACAGCGAAGCTTGAGGTCCACACCGCCATTCGGCAGCAGAATGCCAAATGTCAATCGTCCATCCATCCACGTCGGCACGGGCGATAAAGCAGGGTATGGGAAGGTCAGTTTGCGAGCGACGGAAGCCGGCATTGCTGGAAAAAAAACACAGCGATTCTCTGCGGTCGGCCGAGAAGGAAGATGCGGTAACGACGATGGACCAAGCATCGCGAGCGACATGCACCTCTTCGATAGCGGGCTTACACTTGGGGCGGTCGAGTGATACCATGCTCACAGCGAGGCTCCGCAAGAAGGATCTGTGAACGGTATCGGACAGGCGCCCCGGCTCGGCCAGCGGAGACGATTTCGAGCAGTCGAGCCTGAATTCGAGTAGCAGCTTCGGGGTCATCAGCGTCGATCCGAGGTGAACAAGGACGACGACTTGATCGAGCTCCGTTTGACCAAGAGCAGCCAGAGCCGACTCCATCGCCTCAAAAAGATCTGCGGACGCTTCCACGAGCCGCTTCTGTGACGAGTCAGTCGGGGAGAATGATGAAATGTGAGCTGGACTAAATCGATGGCCGATCGGCAGTGGTCGATGGTGAATGAGCAGCAACTGACGATGACTTTCGCCTGGCGGGGTGACCCACTGGGATTGCTCACCACTCGAGGAGCTGACGCCGGGACCAGCTTGTCGAAGGGCCTGGTGGAAGAGAGATGTGGATTGGAAGAGGGGTTGGCGGGGCTGCATCGTTGCAACGAGAGTCGACGGACACACCGTTGTAATGCTTACATCCCGATGAGACCCTGGTCAAAGAGGATGAGCTTGATAGCAGATGCGAGCAAGTCCGCAGCAGCGTCATGGTTCCATAGAGCCATCGGGGCAGAGACGATTCAGACGAACCAGCAGGCGGATTTGGCGATCTGGATGAGATGCAGTGTTCGCGGCAGAGAAGACAGCCCTGGCAAAAGCAGCAATTCATTGACAGCGCTCGCCAAATGAACGATTTGGTTTTTGGAGTGGAATACACATCCATTTATCATTCATCATGACCATCGCCAGGAGGAGGTGACTTGCATCTGTCACCAGCGTGCGCTTGGGATGCTGTGTTTGTGAGCGACACCCCGGTGATACTGATCCTGATGCTGATATATTTCGTCGGCTTTGACGTTTCAAGTGTCCCGGAGACATACCTTTGAAATAAAAACGAGGAATCATGTTCGAAGGCTTCTCGCCCAATACAGACAACTTCCTGACTATACAATATACGGACACGCCTGCGATGGTTCCCTCGTCGGTGGAGTGCATTTGATAATGCCATGCACCCAATAGGTGCTGTTGGATGACTTGACGATGGCCAAGGGTGGAAGGTGCACAGCAGGACAGGAACCACCAGGTTGCGGTGCAGACTTTGCACTGGCGACATGACCAACTTCGATCGGGCTCTCACGGAATCAAGTTGAGCACCTTTGGAGCCAACGGGGCGCATGTGGCGCCGATAAGGAGACTGATGAACGCTATGAAATATGCTGCGACCTCGTGGGTCACGATATTTCGACCCTTTCGCATATGTGGCTTGATAGTTTCGCCATACATCCAGAGGATCAAGGCGGCAAACTCATACACCCACTTTCAGAAGGAAGCCAGAGGCAGTTGCGAGTGAACATTAGAAAGCGATGACAGCTACAGGCTTTTGACACCGAAGTGAGCTGCTGGTGGTGCAGGGTGCATTCCCATTTGGGTTGGGATGCCTACCTGAGTGAAGGGCGATTTGAGCAGGAACGTCGACAGGCATACCAACACCGCAAGCACGAGACAAAAGGCGAAGTAAAGGTACTCGAAGCTTGTGGTTTCGTAATCTTCGAGAATAGATCGACTATACTCTTGGTCGGATCTGTTCGGCTGAGCGGTGGTTTCAACCAGAGGAATGCTTTCGGAGTTTCGATTGCTCTGGGTCTCACTCATCTTGATAACTGCCTCGTTGGATCCACTCTGATTATGGCCGTTACCGTCGACATCGTTTTGTCCGGCATCGCTCTGGGGAGGCTTGACTGTTTTGCTGTTATTTTTTTTAACTTTGACTGCGAGTGAGTGTTTTTCCTCATGGTAATAGAGCGATTGGGCCCTGGTGCGGATACTCTTGGGCGCAATCAGAGCCAAGCCAGCTGCCAGGATCAGGACCGAGGCAAAAATGGCAATGACTTTGGGAAGTATGTTTGGGAAAGTCTCACAAACATAGACGTACCCGATCGAGCTGTGCTGATTTTCAACCAGGAACCACACAGCGATCACGAGGCTGAGCTCCACGAGAGCAAGCAGGCCGAGTTGGTTGAGCACATACTCAGCAGGGCGCCGTTTGATGAGAGCCCACCACTCGTCACGACCGCTTCCGACGGAAAAGACTTCGGCTTCGTCGATAAAGTGATCGGCACAAGGCGCTCCCGAAGGAACAAAGTTGGCTCGGACGAGGAATAGTCGAGCGGCACTCATCGAGATCAAGGGGCCCAGGCCCAGTACAGCAGTGAGCACGGCTGCCACAGCGGCTTCAAGGAGACACTGCAAAGCGCCAGTCCACCATTCATAGGTCTTTTTGCTTGAGAAGGGACCGCCCTCACCGATGTGCTCGGAGTGAGCCTTCCGGAGGTCGTTTACAGGGTCCCGCATTCCCAGAGTGTTGAGCAGGTTCGAGAGCGAGTCTCGGCTGTATCCTGCAACGACAAAGTACATACGCTTCGGACCATTCTCGTTGAGACGCTCGAGGGTATACTTCGCTGCCTTGTAGGCCATATAGTGCCTGAGCAGATCAATCGATACGTTGGTGAAGTCATCGGATACGCTCAAAGCGCTGTTTGAGCCTGAAGCTATGTTATCTTTGAACAGCCACCTCAATAAATCCTTCGGGTCCTGAGGCAGAGCATCAGTTGCAGATACATTGCTGTTGGATTCACCACCGGTGCCAGGGCTCGCAGAGCCATCGGGGGTACTTGGTTGTGGCAAAGCGGCCTGTCCCTGGTCATCGGTGGCATGCTCCCGAGATATATCCTTAAGAGCCAGTCGGATGGAGCTGGCCATAGCCGAAATGGCGCGCTTGTGGGCTCTCCAAATCAGGTCGGGTTCGGAGGTGGATATCTGTGCTTCGCCTTGCCAAGCCTTGAGGTCGCTTACTAGACGCTCGCCCCAAACGTCGATTCCGCTCTTGGGAGATTTGAGCGCATTTTCCCATAAGTAATCCACCATATTGATGAGCTGCTGGCGGGTCATAATACGGATTTTGCTAGCATAGCTTGATATCATATACTTGTTCTCGTTATTTGCAGTCTGTTCATTTTGATACGCTCCGACTCTGTTCGAGCCGGAGTAAATGTGTTTCAACATGCCGTAGCTGGCATGCGCCCACCTTCCTGCCTCCGCTTCCTTGCTCTCCAGTTCTTCATTATCGTCTGATAAAGTGATAGTGATAGCGTCGGCGTGTGAGGTCTCTGACTAAAAATGGGCAGGACAGACGACCGTGACTCGGATATACCGAATACCGACCTGAAGTGCTCGGGACGTCGCTTTTTGTCAAGGGCGGGCCTGGTGGCGCTTGGGAAGAGGCAAGTCCAGGCTGGGGAGGATGGGGCTGGGCCTGAGACGAGCTCGCCTGGGTCGGGTGTGAGTTGGCTTCGGTCTGAGGCGAGCCAGCTTGAGTCTGGGGCGAGCCTTTCTCATCTGGGTCTTCAAGAAGAAAGCAGCCCATCCAAGTTATTGGGCGTGAGGTGTTAGCTCGGTTGTCAGAAAGGAAATTGCTGGCATGTGGGGCGTACGAAACACAGCGAGGACATCGTACTTGGCTTTTGTCTACTCTGGCAGGTTGGAGGCGCCAAGGTGTGCACGCTGCACATGATGCCGGACTCGTTCAGCCAGCCAAGTATGACCCGTTGGTAGACTTTGCCAAGCCATCCTTGGGCCTTGTCTGTCGACTCGGGTTGGATGAAGATGCCGCAGTCGGCAGAGGGCATTTCCAGGGTCTTCACCAGAAAGACGAAGCTAAAGATGCTGATGGCAATGGATGTCAAGTTCTCAGACAAGGCGCCGCCGTTGATGGTTCTTTGCAGGGCAGCGCCAAGGACACCGACGGCGATAAGGGCGCCGTTGTTGTTGTTTAAGTTGCCGCTCGTGGTGGTGCTGCTCATGACGGGCAGGCGAGATTAGGGCGACGCGGCAGAGCACTGGGGAGGGGGGGATGGACAAGCGTGTGCAGGACGACGGCGATCGAGAAAGTCGGTGGGCAACGATCGAATTTATCGGCGAGGAGAGCGGGAAAGACCGGGAAGCAGCCGGGAGGCAGCCGGAGCCGAGACGGCCATGGCCCAGAGCGGTGCGCCAAGCCGCGAATGCGAATGCGAACACGGAAAGCGCACAAGCCGCCGTGTGTACCCGGGCACGTGGCTTGGCGGCCTTTTTGCTGTGTCAAAGCAGCGTGGCGCGGTATCAGCTTTGACACCATCATGATCACCGGCCAGGAAGGGCACCCGTTCCCCGGCCGCCGTGTTTGGAACGACTGCACCTGTTACGTCCGAAACCACCGCCTCTGCGCATCCGTCCAGAAACGAACGCCTGATCTCGGCCTGGATTGCCACCGATACTGACTCGGCACACCAAGCTGGTGCCAGCAATCTATTCACCGCAAGAGGCGAGGAGGGGAATCAAACCGACCGAACCCCTTTGCCAGGCAAGGACGCGGCGCACGACAAAAAAAGTAATCACAGATGAGTGAGGGAAAAAAAAAGTGTGCGAGGTGGAGCCGACGGCGCCGGCGTGCGGCAGCAAATCGCTCGGCTCCGGACGAGCAGGCAGCGCGACGACCCGGTCACGCCAGATCGCCCGCTTCGTCTCGAGGAGGTTCTCGTCCGCGCACGCCCGTGCCATGCTCCCGGTTCGCAAATGAGACATCGATGTGGCTGTCCTGCAGAGACCCAAAGATGCCGGATGACCGGCGCGAGGTCGGCAAGCGAACGCGGACGACGCCTCTCGAGGCTGTGTCCGCATCCGCACCGTGATGGGATTCGTTGGATGAGTGCGTGGCCGGGCCAGAGGCCACTCGTCTGTCGTCCAAAGTGCGGTAGTTCCGATGCGTACCAGCGACGGCGGCCGCGGCGCGTTGTCCTGGCGCGGGCCGGGGGTTGTCGAGCGAGATCACGGCGTCTGGATTGCCCTCGAGGGCCTGCTGGATGGGGTTGGTGTCAAGGACGGCCGCCTCGTGGTTGCCCAGTCGCGAGCGTCCGACGCTGATTCTAAAGTCAGCATCAGAATCCTCGCTCTCGGCCTCCGATGTCTCGGTCTCGGGCCTTCTGTGCTTCTTCTCCTTCTTGTAGAGCCTCTTGAGCAAAGCTTTCTTCTCGTAGCGATCCATACGGTTCTCGATTCTGTTGATCTCGACGACCCACTGGTTCAGAGCGAGCTCGCCAACCATGGAGCCAAGATAGGTCATGGATCCGATTCCGATGAAGATGTACCAGATAAAGATGGTTCGGGAGTGGATGGTGCTAGGCACAAAATCGCCAAAGCCTGGGCCGATGCAGGGAATGAGTTAACAGAGATGCTCGTGCTGACCGCGGCGAGCGATACCAGCAAACCATAGCCCATCAGCGTGGCGAATCTCGCGGTCGCTCTGGGCGCTTCAGCAACACCAGGCCCTCAAGTCCGCTTGAAGACAGGGAGGACTCGCTCTCATGCGATAGCTGCAGCGGTGACGAAAGTGATGCCTACCAATGGTTGCCAACGAACAGAACGAAAAGTAGATGCCTTCGAGGTAGGACCATCCTTCCAGGTTGGAATAAATGTATCCAAATCCAAAGATGTTGGCTGCAACGAGGGCGACGGCAACGTATACCTGGACGATCACCGTCCTTCGGGTCTCCTTGATGACATCGTCGTGGTGCAGATCGCCCGCCACAATGGTCAGTGTCGGGAAGTTGGAGTCTGCGCCAAAGCGGGTGATCGTGGCACGCTTCTGCAGCTCCAGAGCCGACGTTGTGCGCGACCGCTCGAGCTTCAAAGGAGCATGAATGGCCTCCGAGCCAGGGTGTGGAGACCGTGATCGCGACTGGTCGTCCCAGGAGCGGGAGCGCGGGATCCGCATCGACGACCGACCGATTCGTTCGTGGCTGGGCTGTCGTCGTTGCGGATCCTGTCCGTGGAGTGAGGGCGATGACAAATTGGACTCGCCCCACTGCACCTCCTGTGAAACACCAAACTTCTTAGCCAGCTGCGAGGCCAGCTGGTGTGTCAGGAGCTCGAGCACGACCTGGCGGATCGAGAAGATGTTGGCGCCGACAAGCAGCATGCCAAACGATGCAAAGATCGGGAAAAACGCAATGCCGTAGACGGTCTTGGGGTAAAAGTCACCGAATCCGATCGTCGTGAGTGTGGTGACTGTCCAGTACATGGCATCGTCAAAGTCCCAGCCCTCGAGATGGCCGTAGAGCATGCCACCAAAGACAGTGTATGCGATGGAGACCATCGTCAGCAAGCTCAGCTGGCGCTGCGAAGGCGACAGTTCGTGGACGACATATACGTAGTTCTGGTTCCGGTTGAGATGCTGCTGCCAGACCATGGCCATGGCGACTACGAGGGAGCTGACGCCGCTGGCGAGGCTGCATCCGAAGCCTGTTGGGTGGCAATGGGCCAAGGAAGGTGTTACCACGGGATGCTCAGGAGTGGCAGAGGCAACACCGACATCTCGGGGAACATGGCTGTGCTGCAACTGCAACCTCAGTTTCCGTCCTGCTTGCACTCATCACGCCACAACGTCTGAGGCACGGTAGCCCCGACCAGACCACGCCAGAGTAGATCTGATCAGACCATGCCAAAACTAAGTGAGGGGAGCTCCTTGGCTGCGGGACACTGACCTTCTGTGTACGAATAGTTTGCGTCGGGTGCGGGGGCCTTTGCAAACAGGATAAACAGGATCGATATCATGATGGCGGTGATGCCTGAGCGGAGTACTGGGTTAGTGGAGCTGTCGCGGAGGGGAAGGTTGGGGTGGGGGCGGCGGAGCAAGTTTGGCTGGCCTGGAGGCCAGGAACAGCATCGGCTCGCGGCGGCTCGCGGCGGCTCGGCAGCATCCATCAGAGCACCCACCCTGGCAGAAGGAGCTGAAGATGATCAGTCTTGTGGTCCACTTGAGCTTCTTCTCGAGCATCCGGATGAAGAGCGACACCGATCCAAGCAGCCCAAAGAGCAGCGAGACGAGCGAGAAAATCGTCACCCACGGGGGCGTGTAATAGACGACGGTATCGACCGGGTGGTGCGGGCGCAAGAGCCCATACCCATCGTCGTCGACGGCCTTGGAGATCGAGATCCAGCCTGGGACGGCGATGGCCTGGATGTTGAGGAAGGTCGAGATGGGCAGCAGGATGCCCATCAGCAGCGGGAAGAAGCGCTTCAGGGAAGGGGTGACATCCAGATGTCCGCTCGAGCTGTCGTTGTCGTCATGGACGCCGTCGCTCGACAGAGAGCTTGACCGCTGTCCGTGCAGCAGGGGGAGTGTGGAGGACGACATTCTGGTGTGGAGGTGTGGCAAGATGCAATCAGCGTCCAAGGTCGAGACGAGCATGACGAGGAAGGACGCTGCTCAGTCTGGGAGGGAACTGACGACGCTTTTGAGAGCCCGATGGCCCGTAGCTCGCCTGCACTGTGCTGATGCTTTGCCCATGCATACCTCTGGCGGCCGTCCGGTGCCTTGCAGGCGATGGTTGATTTCCGACCAACTGGATGAGAGACAGACAAGAAACGCATAAACCGGGAGATCCTTGCGTCTTGTGGCGCGGCAAGACGCAAGGACGCAAGACGCAAGAGCAGCAAGGCGCAAGAGCAGCAAGAAAACAGATCAGCGAAGGCAAGACCACACCAAAACAACCACCATCACACTCTCACTCTCTCGCTCTTCCTCCCACTCGCTCGTACATTTGGCGCTGGACGCACCCGCCATGAATCCCGTCCGCACCGCGTCCCGCTCTCTTTTGCGCTCCCTGAGGGCCTCTGCAGTTAAGCCGCTGGCTTTGGCCATCCGATCCTGCTCGGCCGTCCCGTGCGCCAGTTTGCATCAATCGATGATCCATCCAGCCGCAATCGCAACCGCAGTCCCGCGCTCCCTGTGCATCGCTTCGCAGATTCGCGGATACGCTAGCAAGAAGCAGCCAAAGGGCGGCAAGGGCAAGGGCGGCAAGGGTGGCAAGAAAGTCGAAGATGACGGCGACGATGCCGATTTTGCCGACGAGGAGCACGATCGCCCCAAGGGCAAGAAGGGTCGATTTGCCGAGACGTCGCCCGCATCATCCGAGGCCCTCTACGACATTCAAAAGTGCAAGAGCCAGCTACAGCGGGTCCTGGGCAAGTTCAAGGCCGACCTGGGCGAGATTCGCATGGGCCGCGCAAACCCAGGTAGGTTATTCCTGATGTCCATGCGCTATCGCGCCTGAGCTTGGGAGATGCATTCGGACCAGATCGTGTCTCATGGGGTCCGAGACGCACGAGTGGACAAAGATGAGACACTGCCGAAGGTTTGGTCTGAGGCAAGCTTGCCCAACTAAAGATTGCACTGCCATTGTTTCGGCAACCTCAGCGATTCTCGAGAAAGTCGTCGTCAAACATGGCAACCAAAACGCCCCGCTCACATCCGTCGCTCAAGTGACCATCAAGGACCCGCAGACCCTCCTCGTCAACGTCAATGACGCTGAGTTTGTCACGCAAGTCGTCAAGGCGCTGCAAGAAGCCAACCTGGGTCTGAATCCCCAGAGGGATGAGAACAACGTCATCCGGGTCCCTATTCCAAAGTGAGTGCTCCTTTTCTCCCACGAAGGAAAGGCGCATTTGTTTCACTGGAGGGAAAGCTCGTGGAAACGCTGTCGAGTGGCAAAGTTTCGGTGTCGGCGCCAGCATCTGCTGCAGCACTTTGTTGCGGAGATGTGCTCGCCGTCTATCTCCCTTTCGCCCGTACTCATCGTCGCTCTGTTTGCCGTCGGCTCGGATCGGTAACAGAGCAAGCAAAGAAACCAAGGATAATCTCATCAAGTCCCTGAACGACATGGCTGAAAAGACCAAGAAGTCGCTGCGGTCCGCCCGAGCCGATGCCCGATCGGATATGAAGAGGGGCATGGAGGACAGCTCCGAGGATCTCCAAAAGTCGATGGATAAACAGGTTCGGCATGCTTTTCTTGTCGCGTTGAGGGAGAGAGAGGGAACGAATAGGGAAAGAGTTGATGCGCCACTATCCTCCCTATCCTGCCATATTATCGCTCCTTGGCCTGTGTGGTATTTGCATATGCGAGACAACGCCGCCGGACAGAGTTCCTGAATCCACGTTTGTCTGGTTTGCGGCTGCATTTCATTCCAGATCCAGGCCGAGTTTGACGCCGCCTCAAAAGAAGTAGACACTTTGCTCCTGAATAAACAGAATGAGATCCGAAAGGCATAGTGCGCACGAGACATACTAACACCAACACCAACACCAACACCAACACCAATACCAACACCAACACCAACACCAACACCAACACCAACACCAACACCAACACCAACACCAACACCAACACCAACACCAACACCAACACCAACACCAACACCAACACCAACACCAACACCAACGACCCCCAGATATCCCTTTCTACTCCTGGATATCTGATCGTCAACTGCTCTTGGAAGGACTGTATTTGCTGCTATTGCGCCTCCCAAATACAAAAGCCAATAAATATGTGCATGTATGGAGTAGCCAAGCTGACGGCCGAGTGTCGAAGGTCGAGTGTCGGACATGTACGCGCAGCTAGTTCTTGGATGGCCATTGCTCAGACATCGACATCCATCTTGTTTTCGACGCTGTTGAACATGAACTGCTCTTGGAACTCCTTGAGATCTGGATGAGACAACAGAGGTATCCGGCAGATGTGAATAACGTGTCGCCGACTGTTTACCAATACCTCTTGGACTGCAGATGCGCAGATGCGCAGATGGGGACGAACGAGCGGACTGACACAAGGTGCTCGCGCTGTGCGGTCCTTACATTGAACAGAGCGCTTTTCATCCAAGAAGAGCGAGTACACTCGCTTGATATCCTCGACATCGACTTCGGTGGCCTGTGTCGGGTTATGATAGATTCAATAAAGTGGTCAGTGGCAGCCAACAATCCTCGGGGTCCGAGACCGATCCAGACTCGATACATCAATGGACAATGCCGTGAATCAGCCCAGCGATGCGTTGAGGCAGTTCAGCAATAATCAGAGGCACAAAGAAGGGAATCCTCGTCTAAACAGGGAACGGGGGTCAAATCACCTTTCTCTTGCGAGCAACCAGCGACGACGCCGTGATAAGGTGGATGGCATAGCGTAGGGACGTTTCGAGGCCAATCTTTGTCAAAACGTCCTTGGCATCATCGGTCATGTCGACATCCTCCTCCTCGCATCGAATGCCGATGATCTGCCGAACCTCCTTCTCGGAGTACGAGCCCGTGCTGATGATCAGCGCTCGGTCGAGAAGATCGATTGGGATGCCGTGGGGTGATCGATAGTCTGTGCCACGGATGCGAGTGTAGCCACGGTTCGAGGCCATGATAACCACGGGGGCCATGTCGTCCTCGAGTGCGCGGTTGAGGAACGAGAAACACTCGATATCGAGCATATGGACCTCGTCGATGAAGAGCACCTGCATCAGGCAAGTCAGATGTCAGGGCGATGGAGCGCTACATGGAGCACTACGAGCAAGGACGGCATGATCCTATTGCAGCCTCCAGACTGTTTCTTGGGCGGCCCGGCAGATATGAGCAACTGAACATGCGTTGTACACCTACACCAGGCACAATCTCGGCCTTGCCCTCTTCGCGCCACTCGGCGACCTTGGCGTTGATTTGATCGCGCACCTCGGGCTTGATTTCGCCGGTATCACCTGCAAACACGAGATTCGATTGCGCTGCAAATTGAGCATGTATGTGCTACACACCACTTTGGGCGGCAGGCAACTAGAGCCGAACAAAGTCGCAGGGTAGTCGAAGGTACATTACTCGACTCGCTCGACATACCGGAGAAGAGCGCCAAAAATCCCTGTGATCGGCTGTTGATGACATCGATTTCGTGAAGAGTCACGGTATGGACGACCTCCTTGCGTTTTTGCAACTCGCCCTCGGGGCATTGTACGAAGCGGGTCTGGAGCATGGAGGGTGGGAGAGGAGGCAATCCATTCGCCCGTGGGTCAGAGCCTACAGCCACACAAGACTAAATGCTTGGTGGCTCGATCGCCTCAACCAACCTCAGGGCCAGAAGCGTCATAATCGCGGGAGCGCGTGAAGGATCGGCCGAGCTTGGTGATCTTGCCGGTGGCCTTATCGATGGTGATAACATCGCTGGTTGGATTCAGCACAGATAATCAAACCGTGAACAGAGGTGTGCCGAACATGTCGAATCATTAGCTGATGCTGGCCGATTGGATGACGCTGGTCGTAATCATGCACCTGCACATCGCACACGCCCGAACAGCGCCGATGAGTCGCCACCGCCTACCCACCCAGCAGTAGCCTTCTCTTTGTTGAGAGACTCGATCATCTTTTGGCCCAGGTCGTAGACCGTCTCCATCTCGGTGGTCTTCAGAGTCAGCTTGCCTGACTTGGCGCCCTGTTCGGTGGGATGCCGTTGGTGGGCTCAGTTTCCATCACAGAGTCTCGGCGTGGCAGTTGCATTCCCTTCGGCATGCACAGAGCGAGTCCGTTTCGGGTGCATCCAGGCTGTCTCTCGCCAATCCGATCCGTGCGACTCGCACACCGACTGACTGGCTGGTCGCCGATCGAGATGCCGACAGAACACGCTGTGCAAGCCATGTCCTGGCTTGGTGCCCACGAGCTCCCAGCATACATACCGCACCAGTGGCCGATCGATCGACCTGGATTTCGACAATCTCGCCTTCGATCAGTTCGGTTTCCTCCTTGATCCGGACGCCAATCGATCGGCGGAAGGCCTGTGTGAGTGCTTCGGTCTTTGACATCTCGAGCGAGAACACTTCTGAGGCCGCAATCATCGTGAAGGGCACATCGGTGCCGAGAGCCTGAGCCATTCCTACAGATCAGACCCAGCCATCCACCCAGGCCATTCATGTGTTAGAGCGGTCGCTGGAGCGCCTGATATCCGACCCGCCATCTCGACGGCTGCCTCCCTCCTCTCAGCGACCGAAAGTGTGCAGCCACTGACCCATGGCGATGGCCGTCTTTCCGGTTCCGGGCGGGCCGGCCATGAGAATGGCACGGCCGGCGATTTTGCCCTCCTTGATCATCTCCAGGATGATGCCGGCGCCTTTGCGCGCCTGCAGCTGGCCGACCATGCCCTGGGATGTCGTTCTGGGCTCGAGCGCATCGTCAAGACCCAGGCCACGGATGTGCGAGTGAGCGCCTGTGTTTCCGTGGAGAGGATCGAGTCGTAGCGCGTGGTAAAGATGAGCTGGATGAGCAAAAGCAAAGTTCCCTCATAGAGAGAACCGACGGCATGGCAGGCCAAGCTGCCTATCAACACATATAGCTCGACTCAGGACGGCATGTCCGCGGGGGAACCGCACCGATCGGACAATGATTTTGTGGTACGGAGTAACGGGATTTCCGTCGCGGCGGGTCGGGTAAAGGACCGACTTGGTGATGCCATGATCGTACCTATGCGCTCGATCCGGGTGAGATCTTTGACTTCCTGGCTTCCGGGAATCGTAGGATTGGTGGTGGCGGCCTGATCGGCAGGAATGAAGAGCGATGGCTCAGTGTACCGATGCGCGCCATTCTGAGCGAGATGATCCCCTGCCCGAGACGCATGCAGCGGCTCCTTACCATCTTGACTATGTTATGGTCTGGCGATCGGATGGGCGGTGAGGTGGAGATTCTGCGAGTTCCGGCAGGTCAAGAAATCCCTGGCGCCCAGCAGCCACAGCGAGGCCAGCCACGCCATGGCTCACACGTGCGCAGTGGTTCTGTGTCGCAGCGGCACGTGGCGCTGCACAGACCCAACTCCGCTTGCGGTGGCGGGAGGCGCGCCGGGATGCACTCATTCTCACAGACAGAATCCGCCCTCCACCTGCTCTCGCTCTGGGGCTGGACCTGGCTATGGCTCTGGGCCTGGATCGAGAATGCAAGGCTGAGGGAGGTCTTCGTGGAAAGGATGTGAGGATGGGGCGTGAGAACAGTGGACATCGAGCACATCCAGGCCAAGGACAACATCACGGCGGAAGTACTGCGTTGGAAGCATCACCATGGCGGCGCTGCAATGGCGGCAGCTGAGAGCGCGGCCGAGAAAAGATTGCACCGTGTTGAAGAAAAATGGAATACATCGTCTCACTCGGACAAACGCTGCATAGTCAGATCATATCACAAGTGGGTCAAATCGCTTCCCTGTGTGAGGGAGATGCATAGAGTGAGTGGGCACGATGGGGACCAGCGAGCCACTGCAGATGCAATCACTGCAGGTCAGAGCAAAGACAGATCCCGAATGAGGGAGGAAGAAACCAGGGCAAAGAGCAATATCGCTTCAAGACCCCGGCGAGGGGATGATATAGGCTTTGAATGCCGATCAAAGTCGTCTGATTCACACAACCCACACAACCCACACAAGTCGTCCGTGTGTGAAGGTGTCCCGTTTCGAAAAAAGCTCGCTGTATAATGCTGCTGCCTTGGATTACGCGATTCCAGCAGTCGATCATGGCAGCTGTGTCCGCCGATCGGTTTGCCTTGCCCATCTTCTCCTTCGTCTGGACCCAAGTCGTGGCGGCTGTCTTTGCAACGCCGCCGCTCGATATCCATCTGCTGTCGTTCGGCAGAGCTCTCTGCTGCAATCCGCTGTATTCTCTGTCTCCTTCCCTGCCGCTTCTGCTGTTGCCGCTCAAGTTCCCGGCCAGCAGCGCCGCCTCGCTCCTGCCCGGGCTCTCGCCAGTCCTCGCGCACTGCCTCGCATCCCGCGGCCTTTCGGCGTGTTTCCCGCTCGCCCTGGCCCTTGGGCATCTCCCTCCATCGCCCGCGGCTCGCCTCGGATTCATCGACGGTCGGAATCTTACTCCCTCGGCCTCCTATCATCCTTCTGGCGTCGTGTTCAACCCGATCCCTCGCTCTCGCCACCGTTCCAGCGCGGCGATCACCTTTGCCATGTCGACCTTTCGCGAGGCCACATCAGCCTTCTTTCCTCTCGATATCAGGAGCCACGAGGAGCTTTCAAAAAACTCGCTTCCTCCCGACCCGAGCCTCCTCCTGCCGATGGCGCACCATCCCAACCCGACCTTTTTGCTCCTGTCGAACGGAGTCAAGCCTGCAGGAGGAATGATTGGCGATCCCTCAGATCAGCTCCCGCGGCATCTCCAGCCGCAGCCCACCATGCCCTCGCCCGCGTTCCTTTCGTCCCAGGCCACCAGCGCCCCGTCGCGCTCGATCCTGAGCAACCACGGCGCCTTGAACCAGAACGACATGTGCTCGCTCTGGTCGGCCTTTGAGACGCTCAAGCTGGATGGCGACTACAGCGACTCACCGTAACGTATCCATTCTGTTTCTCCGCTTCACTGAACTTGCGGCCTCGGACAACTCCCCCTCCCTCATCGGGCCACTCATCGGGGCGCCTACATCGCAAGACTTGATTGCGACAGCTCGCTCGAATCGTTTGAGCTGTCTTTGCATGCCTTTTTTTTTCCATGATCCGACGCGCTGACTCGATCTGCATTCTCCGCCTCGCCTCTGACTGCGATCCTCTTGATCCCGAGGCAGAATGGTACCGTCAGACGACCGCCATCTGGTCTACTCTGGCCCGTCAAGCTCCACATCGCTCATTAGCGAGCAGTACCGTGACAAAATACGCGACGACATGCTGCATATTCCCGGCACCATCGCAGGTGGGCTACTGCAGCACGACGCTGCCCCTGAGCCCCTGAGCCCCTGAGATCCGTGACAGGACACATGATGAGTTTCTGCACGCGTCGGCTTTGTCCTGCTGGGTTTCACGCGGCACAGCATCGCGTCGTAGCGTCCGTGTCGCTGTAGACTGTCTGGTTGCCGCTAGTTTGCTGCGCGATATCACGCCTCTGCTTCTCATCTGTATTGATCTGTATCTATCTGTATCTATCTGTGTGCATCCTGCTCCGGCTGCACTCGATTTGATTCATCTGAACGTGTGCCTCAAAGATCCGCTCTTTCCGTTCATGAAGATGAAGGTATATGGGGCTCCCTATCGACAGCTTGTGCTGCAGACTTTGTTTGCCTTGATGGACCAGTCGCCCTTACTCATCGACCCACTGCTCGCAGCCGTTGGATATCCTGGAAGGAGAGCCACAGGCGGGCTTACCCAAAAAGTCGCAGCTCCATCCGAGTGCCGCCTGGAGACCAGAGATCGACTTTGACCACACTGGTATGTGTCCTCCAACACTCGTCTGATAGTGCGTGTTGGAGACTCGGGATGGAAGGACGGTACGCCTCGCTCACTGCTCACTGCTCACTGCTCACTGCCATTTGACCATGCCTGCATTGCTTTATCACTTTGTATGGCCTTATTTGCCGATTTTAGCTCCGTCGCCGGCTCCACTGGTCGGCTTGCATCCGGGTATCTCAGTGGGTGCCCCTCCGTACCACAATCGCCCGATCCTGGCGGACCGACCCTATATCGACGAGCTAAAACGCTCCGAGTCGATGCTGGCGATGCACATATCTCCTGGGATGCATACTCCCTACGGCATCGAGAGTATGGTGGGGCATCAGCCGTGCATTCAGCCATGCATTCAGCCACCACCACCGCCGCCGCCGCCGCCATCATTTGTGCCTCCCGAGTATGCCATCAAGCCCAGCGTGTGCAAGTTCTTTCAGCAGGGCTACTGCAAGAGCGGCGATCGCTGCCAGTACCTTCATGTCCCGGCCACCAGCGGCAACGCCAGAGGCAATCCGATGCCGGGCACGTCGTTCTTTAGCGATTATCCTGCTCCTCCACCACCGCCGCACATCGATCACCCCTCGAACCTCGGTCTCGGCCTCAACATGGGCCATACCTTTCCGCGATATTATGGCATCGCAACCGCCCCCATCTTCCACCCGGCCCAATTCAAGCCCGTGACTCAGCATCACATTCCCGAGGCACCTGGGGTGTCCAAACCCCCACCGACAAGGCCTCATAAAAAGTACCACCCCGAGGACGGTATGTGATCCCACGAGGCAATGGTCGATCGATAATACATGAGGACAACCCAGCAGATGGTGGTATTGCTGGATGGGAGCCCTTGCGCGTCAAGCCAACCGGCGCCATCTCGCATAGCTATGGTCTGTTTACTGACTCGCTTGTCTGCTCACGCTCCCAGCCAACCGATTTTTCGGCGTCAACTTGGAAGACTACATCGGAAACATCTACTCACTGTGCAAGGACCAATATGGCTGCAGATTCCTCCAAAAGAAGCTCGAGGAAAACAGCGAGCAGTACCTCAACATTGTTTTCCACGAGGTCATTCCCCATATTGTCGAGCTCATGACAGGTACAAACCAATGCTCTACATGATTCTCAATCAAAGGGACTTGCAAATGGCGGCCTTCACAACCTCAAAAGAAGGCGGTGGGGTGTCGAGTTCTGATCTCTGTCTGCCACAGACCCCTTTGGAAACTATCTGTGCCAGCGTCTCTTGGAGCACTGCAACGAAGAACATAGAAACATCTTTGTCAAATCCGTCTCGCCTGAGCTTATATCCATCTCGCTCAACATGCATGGCACCAGGGCTGTGCAAAAAATGATCGAATCATGCACCAACCCACATCAGGTGAGAGCAGAGAACTCGGGTTCCTGGACGAGGCTGCCTCTCCCAGAGCCAGAGCCAGAGCCAGAGCCAGAGCCAGAGCCAGAGCCAGAGCCAGAGCCAGAGCCAGAGCCAGAGCCAGAGCCAGAGCCAGAGCCAGAGCCAGAGCCAGAGCCACGATTGCATCACATGATTTCAATATCCCATTAATCTGCCTCTTCCCGTCAGATCCGACTTATTGTCATGGCACTCAATATGAACGTTGTCACGCTGGTTAAGGTGGGCAGCGATGATGTTCGCGCGGGAGTGCGCTTGAGCGAGTTGGTCAAGCTGTGTGTCCCTGCATCCGTGGTTCAGCCTCGCATAAATTTCAGCTTTTCGTATTGCACCAACATCAATGTCTGCACTCACAATCTGCCAATCCAGGACCTGAACGGGAATCACGTCATTCAAAAGTGCCTCAACCGCCTATCACCGGAGCACAACCAGGTAGATTGTGGAGACACAGCATCTGCGTCGTGGTAATGGAGACGGATTCGATATTGACATTGGATTCCGATGTAGTTCATTTACAACGCTGTCACCAAAAACTGCGTCGAGATCGCTACGCACCGACATGGCTGCTGTGTGTTCCAGCGCTGCATTGACTATGCGACTGACGAACAGAGGGTAAGGCGGGGCTCTCAGTGCGCGGCCAGTTTCTCGTATCTGTTGGATCCAGCATGACCGCGATGCTCTTTTCGCCAACAGAAACAACTCTCCCGTGCCGTGACGTCCGAGGCACTGACCTTGGTTCAGGTGAGGACTGGAACTATGTAGCATTGGCCGGCCCGAGGCGGATCTCGGGCAGATGATCGGCGGCGGAGGGCCTCATTTGAATTGACGTTCGGTCTCGGATAGGCTGCGGGAAAATTGAGGGGGGGGGTGGAGCTTTTCAAGATGTAGCTACTCACTGACTGCCGGTGTGCCCGTGCCTTCATTCCAGGACCCGTTCGGAAATTATGTGATCCAATACGTCTTGGATCTCGGCGAGCAGCGATTTGCCGATCCGTTGATTCGCCGATTCATTGGGCACATTTGCTTGCTCTCGGTGCAAAAGTTCAGCTCAAACGTGATGGAAAAGGTTCGTGGGTTGGCTGGCTGTGGTATTGGCCGTCGGACGACAGCAGTAGCAGGCCGAGTAACCTTCTGCACGACGCTGATGTCGATGCCGATGCTGACGCTGATACTCTTGCCAGTGCATCTCTGTGGCCGAACCTCGCACGAGAAAGGCGCTGATCGACGAGTTGCTGAACAAGGAGCGGCTGGAGAAGCTGCTGAGGGACTCCTTTGGCAACTATGTGGTTCAAACAGCGCTGGACTATGCCAACCCCACTCAGCGAGCGCAGGTACGTGGTGTCGGTGCTCGAGGGTCGATGTTGCTTGAACGAGTGTCTGGGCGACCGCATAACCCATACCAGCCGAGCGATACGATTTGTTCGGACGACTGACGGATTGCTCTGTCCCCGCTGACCTCTTGGCGCTTGAATATAGCTTGTCGAATGCATCAAGCCGTGCCTGATGTCCATCCGCAGTACTCCACACGGCAAGCGCATACACAACAAACTGTATCAAGAGCGAGCGCGACAGCAAGCCAACAGCCAGCGTGAAGTTGGGTCTGTCGAGCTGAGCCAGTTCCAGGGACTCATGAACTTTGACTCTTCGTCGATCGACACCATGCGCTACTCTATCTGATTCTGTACATAATTAAGCCTGCACCCCGGGTCCCATCCTTCCTGCTAGACAGCTACACTCCTCGGTTCCGCCATGTACCCGAGAGCTTCTCAGCTCCGTTGACCGGCGGCGGTTCCACATTGGCTCAACCAAGACGGCAAAGATTTTCTCCCCTTTTCTCCCCGATAGATTTAATAACTCGAGCACTGATTTCTTTCCATTTCCTTCCTCGCGGTGATATACTTGCTTTCCGCGCCTCTCCCTTCACACTGTTTTGATATTTCATCTGTTGGAAGCGCTGTTTACCGCGACCCCGTGTCATTATTATTACTCCCACCATATTGCTACCACGATTTTGACACCGCCAACAGAATGGCGGTCTCGAGCGATCGCACCCGTTTTGCTTCATTTTGCTCGCCATCCGCCTCCCACCACCGCCACCATATTTATCTGCAGCGTCTCCTCCATTCGCTTCTACCGCGGCTGCTTCCTAGACACCGATCAGGCACACGTTCATGATGTGGGTGGTGGACAGCCAAGCCTTGGGCTGCTCCTCACTCTTGCCTGTTCGCGGTATCCCAACTTGCAGCCTTCTCTCCCGCGTAACCATAATGTGAAAAATAGCTCCGACTGCCTCACTTCCTCGATTGTGCTTGGTATACAATACACATATACATTTACATCCTCATGTTCACTTGCACGGACATGTTGCCAGCCTGTGTGAGTATCCCTTCGACATCAGACACACTTCCCAGTCCTGCTCCGACCAGGCCGCCCGACGCCACCGATCGCTCCCGGCTTATCACGTGTGTGCCAGGCTGTGGCGCCCAGGCTGCTGTGTGTGTGGTTTGGACAACCAGCTCGCTGGCGACTGGCCAGCGGCGCCCTTGCCTTGGCCCGAAAAGGGATGCGCCCACGCGTGGCCCGGTGCGCGTATGGTCTCATGGCCTCGGGAACAGCGAGAGCCCCGGCGAGGACGAGGATGCATCTCGCCCGAGCACCGAGGCCGCCAGGCGCTTCTCGCTGCACACACAGACTGTGTGGTCTGCCCCTTGCTCGCAGCACCAGCGAGCGCCAGACCGGTCTCTCTCGCCGCCATCTCGCCCTCGCTGCTGTCGCCCCAGCGCTTTTGTTGACGAGCCACCCGCTTTTTCGCCGGGTCTCGCTCGCTGCCTTCTGTCTGCTCTTCCCATCTCCCACCCACCAGCAAGCAGACCAGACCCCAAGATGACGGATGCATCGTTGGTGGAGAAGGCGCTCAAGGAGTACACCAAGGTACGTCCGTCGGCGGGCCGTTTTCCCCGCACCAGGGGCCTGGCCAACGTGCGGCCTCGCGAGGCCGTCGCCTTTCTCCTGTCCTGCAACCATCCCGTTTGACCCCCCCCGTCTCCGTCTGCCATGTCGGGCTGGGTCGTCTGTGGCCCTGGTCTGCTGAGGGCTCGCGCCATGCTCACTCCCTTGCTGCGAATCTCTGTATACAGGGTACCAAAGCCTACTTTCCCGATGAGGCCGAGGGCTGGATTGTAGCCACGGTCACTTCCAAGTCCATCGAGGGCGACCAGCTCCGACTCACCTTCAATGTCGACCAGCGCAACAAAGTGAGTCGGCACAACATAGTGCATCCCTGCATCTCAACCCGGTCCGGCCGAGACCGAGACAGTCAATCGTAATCGAGTGTCGACAACCAGCGAGATATGGCAGCTGCAATCGCCAGGATGGCGACTCTCAGTATACTCTACTCTCCAATTGCTCATCCACCCCGCTGTCTGCCGTGCCCTTGGTGCATCGCTTCTTCTCCCGCAGAACATCAATTTGGACTGGAGCCTTGCCAAGCTCCAGGCCAGCAACTTTGCTGATCTCCCGCCTCTCAAGAACCCTCCCATGCTGGTGAGCTTGCCCTCTGCTGCTTGTGGCTGCAACCTGATTGCCACGGCCCGATGGCTCCGCTGCTCAACAGCCTTCTCGATTGCCGGGCCTCCAACAGGAAGGAACAGATGATTTGGCTACTCTCTCGTATCTCCATGAGTAAGTTGTGGGGCCGGTGTGTGCTGCGTTTGGCCGTGCCTCCGGTTGGCATCTGCTATTGGCCATAGCTCTTGGCCATATGCGTGGCTGCCCCTGCAGCAGCTCGGATTGCTGTGCCTAGACACTGCTCACCCTTGAGCCGGCTGGTTCCACTGCGATACTGTCTTCGTTCTGACACTCGCCATCTTGCGACAGAGCCGCTGTTCTCCATGGCATCAAGACACGATACCTGCAGGAGCAGATCTACACCTACTCGGGAATTGTTTTGATTGCCATGAATCCCTTCCAGCGCCTCTCCCTCTACAGCCCCGACATCATGAGGGAGTACTCGGGCAAGGACCGTGGCGAGCTCGAGCCCCATCTGGTAATGGCCCAATCCACCGTTTCCCTCGTCCAAACCCAACTGCAGACTCGCATTCGCCCTTTGCTGCTGTTAGTGTGCCGGTTCTCATTGCTCTTTCTCTCCCCCCTCCACACACGTGAATCGCGAATCGGACGTCAGTATGCTGTTGCCGAGGATGCATACAGAACACTGATCAAGGAGGCCCGCAACCAGTCCATCATCGTCAGTGGTGAATCTGGCGCCGGAAAGACTCAGAGCGCCAAGTACATCATGCGGTACTTTGCCACTGTCGACAACCTCGGCAATTACAACTCGCACGAAGCTGCCCCTGTCGCCACCACCATCAGCGAGGTCGAAGAGGCTGTTTTGGCGACCAACCCGATCTTGGAAGTAAGCCTGACGTCCTCTGCAGTGTGGCTCCCTTGCGAGCGTGGTGTCAGGGAACAGGTTGACAAATGTTGACATATTGGTGGCTGTAGTGGGCCCAGCCGCTGTGCGTTTGCTACTGCACGCCACCATTTTACGTTCACCAAAGAGCGCCACACGGATACTGACTGCTCGTCTCGATAACCCCAGGCTTTCGGCAACTCCAAAACCACGCGTAACGACAACAGTTCTCGCTTTGGTAAATACATCGAGGTTCTCTTCTCCAACAACGACAAGTCCTCGCCCCGGAAGGGCGTGCACATTGTCGGTGCCAAGATCCGAACCTACCTCCTCGAACGCTCTCGTCTGATCTTCCAGCCCGCCACCGGTACGTCGCAAATCTGTGTTCGCATAAGGCAGCTTCGGTCGGACACATCTGCAGCCTGGGTTCTCTGGCACTGACTCTCTCTGTGCGGCTCAACTCGACCAGAGCGCAACTACCACATCTTTTATCAGCTCTGCGCTGCCGCCCCTGCCGCCGAGAAGAAGGAGCTTGGCCTTACCGGCTGGGACAGCTTCTTCTACCTCAAGCAAGGTGGAACCGGCACCGTCCCTGGGTTTGATGACGTTGCTGAATTCGCCAACACCCAGAAGGCGCTCTCGATCATCGGCATCTCGGTCTCGCAGCAGTGGGACATCTTCCGCATCTGCGCGGCTCTGCTGCACATCGGCAACATCGAGATCAAGACCTTCCGCGACGAAGCCAGCGTTGACGACAACGACCCTGCCCTCGCCATGGCCTCAAAGCTTCTTGGCGTCGACAAGGCGACTTTCAAAAAGTGGATCGTCAAGAAGCAGATCATCACCCGCTCCGAGAAGATTGTCTCGAGCCTGAACCAGTACCAGGCCACCGTCGCTAGAGACTCTGTTGCCAAGTTTGTCTACAGCATGCTCTTTGACTGGATCGTGCGTCTGATCAACAAAAACCTCGCCAAGGACGGCCAGGCCTACAACTCCTTTATCGGCGTGCTCGATATCTATGGGTACGCACATGTGCAGATTATGCCGCCTTGTCTCTGTGGTCCGATGCCGTGCTAACCCTCGCAACCCTGTTACCGGCCGCTAGTTTCGAGCACTTCAAGAAGAATTCGTTCGAGCAGTTCTGTATTGTAAGTGGCTCTTGAGTAACGCCAGTCCGGTGTTCGGTATTGACTGTTGGGTGTTGGGTGTTGGGTGTTGGGCGGCGAGGGGCCGCTGAACACAGTGTCGGCGGTTACCTTCGCACTTCTGCTCGCTCCAGTACTCCCTTTCTTCATCCGCTGACACCCGCTGGCATCCACTTCACCATTCGTCCAGAACTACGCCAACGAGAAGCTTCAGCAAGAGTTCAACGCCCACGTCTTCCGCCTGGAGCAGGAGATCTACGTCCAGGAAAAGATCAACTGGTCGTTCATCGACTTCAACGATAACCAGCCCTGCATTGACATGATCGAGAACAAGCTCGGTATCCTCGATCTTCTCGACGAAGAGTCGCGCCTGCCCTCCGGCGCCGACGCCTCCTTGGTCACCAAGCTCTACCAGCGCTTCGCCGTCCCCACGCAAAAGTTCTTTGAGAAGCCCAAGTTTGGCCAAAAGGCCTTCACCATCAAGCACTACGCTTGCGATGTCACCTACGACATCGATGGCTTCATCGAGAAGAACAAGGACACCGTTGCTGACGAGCAGCTGGCGACCTTGAACAGCAGCGAGTTTGCCTTCCTGCGCGAGGTTGTCGCTATCGAGGCCACCCCCGAGCCCGAGCCCACTCCCAACCGCCCTGTCCGCGGCGGCGCCCTCAAGAAGCCCACGCTGGGCTCGATCTTCAAGGCCTCCCTTGTCCAGCTCATGGAGACCATCCGATCGACCCAGGTCCACTACATTCGCTGCATCAAGCCCAACTCAACCAAGACCCCCTTTGGCTTTGAGCCCCAGATGGTCCTGCAGCAGCTCCGTGCCTGCGGTGTTCTCGAGACCATCCGCATCTCCTGCGCCGGCTACCCGTCCAAGTACACCTTCCAGGAGTTTGCCGACCGCTACTACCCGCTGGTAGCCTCGAACCAGTGGAACAACGACTCCAGACAGCTCACCGAGATCATTGTCACCCATCGCATCACCGATCTCGACAAGTATCAACTGGGTCTCACCAAGATCTTTTTCCGCGCCGGCCAGATCGCCATCCTCGAGAAGCTCCGTACCGAGCGCATCCGCTACTGCGTGGTGCTGATCCAGAAGAACATCAAAAAGTTCATCTATCAGCGCAGCTACGTCCGCACCCGCGCGGCCGCCATCCAGGTCCAGACCGCCCTTCGTGCTTGGTCTGCTCGCCAGCAGATGGTCGCCATCCGCGAGAACCTGGCTGCCATCAAGCTACAGGCTGCTATCCGCGAATACCTCGCTCGGTCCAAGTATGTCGAGCTCCGCACCGCTGCCACCGTGATCCAGGGCGGTAAGTACATGTTCAGCACGCCTTGCGGAGGGCGGTGCAGGGCACGGAGAGCTACTGAGAGACTGCCATGAACCGTCAGCCTGTCGGGCCGCAGCATCCATTGGCTCCTCCGTGATACATTATCTGCGGCAGTATGCTTTGGACTGCTTCTTGCACTGCTGACCTCTCATTTTGTTTCCGTGCAGCCCTCCGCCTGGTCAATGCCCAGAAGGAGTTCCACTTCTTGCGAATCACCTCGGCCGCGGTCCGCATCCAGAAGGTCTTCCGCGGCTACTCTGCTCGCAAGACCTACAAATACGAGGTGGCCGCGATCGTGTTGCTGCAGTCGTACGTCCGTCGCCTGGCTCCGGTCAAGGAGTTCAGCCAGCTCAAGCAGGAGGCCAAGTCGGTTGGCAAGCTGAAGGAGATCAACTACCGCCTCGAAGGCAAGGTCGTGGAGCTCTCGCAGGCTCTCAAGGAACAGGAGCTTGGCAACAAGCTCATGTCCGAGGAAATCAGCCACCTCAAGACCCAGGTTGGCCTCTGGAAGGAAAAGTTCTCAAAGTCCGACCTCAGCAACAAAGCCGTCAAGACCGAATACGTCGACACCTCGACCGAGCTCAAGAAAGAGCTCCAGTCCGTCACCGAGGCCAAGGAGGCCCTCGTCCGTGAGCGCGAGCGGGACCAGACCCTCATCAAGAAACAGAGCGAGGATATTCGCAAGTTTGAGCTGGATCTCGAGAAGCACAAGGAAGAGCTCACAAAATTGCGCGACGAGCTCAAGACCACCACCAAGGGCGAGGACCCCGCTGTCGTCATGGGCCTGCGCAAGGAAGTCAGCTCTCTGCGCGAGCAGATGGCGCGTCTGATTGCCGGCAAGTGGCGAAGCGACCGTGTCGCCGACAGCCAGCTCGTCTCCAATGATGGCGACAGCTGGGCCTACAGCAGCTACGACGGGCTTGGAGAGGCCCAGCCCCAGCCCCGCCTCCGCACGCCGTCCTCGTACCTCGAAAGCCCCGACTCGCTCGAACGTCGCCGCACGCCTGCGCCCAGCGCCCGAACCATCGTCGCCGATTCTCCTGAAACCGAGGTGCAGTCCTCTTCTTTGGTCACTGCTGTCTTTACTTTGTTGTGTATTTTACTGTATCATCTGTGGGATACCTTGCAGACCGGGACGATTTTGTTCTGAGTCGGCCCCGAGTCTGCGCTGCATCGTTGCAAAGATGGATGTGCTGGCGCCTTGCCGCGCCAGACACCCGCCGCATCTGCCACCAGCCTTGTGTTTTCCTCCCTCTGTTCTTTGCTTTCGCTCGCTCTGTGCTCCGAGCCAAAAAAGCTGCTGCCACTCCCCTGCTCTCCCCACCGGCATCGCTCGTGTGTCCGGTGGGCTGCGTGTAAATACTATGTTCGGCTATTAATATACTTTTCTCTCTCTCTCTCTCTCTCTCTCTCTCTCTCCATCACTCACTGTGTGCACATACGTCAACCACAGCGCTCCATCCGTATCCTCGAGGACAAGGCCTTGGAGGATGAAATCCTCGACTCGCTCGTGACCAACCTGCGCATCCCGCTGCCCAGCACCCAGACCGTTGCCACCCGCAGCGAGATTTTCTTCCCGTCGCATCTCATCGGTCTGGTTGCTACCCAGCTGGCGCACTTTGGCCTTGCCCAGCGTCTGCAAGTCGTGATGGGCAACACACTCAAAGGTACGCACGCACATCGCATCGCTTGTTCAGTGTGGCGCTCTAGTACACACGCCCGTTGCCTTTTGTCGGTCCAGCCAGGGACGGGCTGTGGCTGTTGGTCTGTCGATGCGTCGAGCTCACCTTTTGGCTCGTGTCTGCTGTCCGCTATCTTCACGTGCATGTGCCTGGTCTTGCGCCGCCGTGATCACATAGCCATCCAGGGCCTCACCACGCGCTTCGAGGACGACTATGTGTCTGCCTTCTGGCTCTCCAACTGCCATGAGCTTCTGTGCATCCTCAACACCCCCGACATGCGCAACCAGGGCTTCTCGCTTGACCTGGTCCGCGGCCTCGAGAGCATCCAGAAGCAGCTCGAATACATCGTCAAGGAGGTGTACTCGAGCTGGATCAAAGAGCTGCGCAAGCGCCTGGACAACACCATCATCCCCGCCATCATCGAGACCCAGTCGTTGCCGGGATACGTCTGCAAGCAGTCCGGCAACCTCCAGGGTAGCTCGGGCAAGTTCTCCAAGGTCGGCGGCTTCACAACGGAGCAGCTGCTCAACTTCCTGAGCAAGCTCAGCAAGACAATGAAGTGCTACTACCTCAGCGACAGCATCACCCAGCAAATCCTCTCGGAGCTTATCCGCGTCATCGGCGTCACTGCCTTCAACCACCTGCTCATGCGCCGTAACTTTTGCACTTGGAAGCGCGGCGTCCAGATCCAGTACAACATCTCTCGTCTCGAGGAATGGTGCACGGGCCAGAACATTCCCGAAGGTTCGTTGTCTCATCGCCCTCGCGCACGCTCTCTGGCCCCACAGACGAGCGCCTTTGATGCTTGTATTTCAGCACATGGTGGAGCTGGTTCCTGACACTCTGTTATTCCCATCGTAGCCGCCAAGTATCTGCAGCACATCCTGCAGGCTGCCAAGCTGCTGACCCTCAACAAGTCCTCGGCCAAGGACATCGAGGCCATTCTTGAGAACTGCCCCGATCTGAATGCCACCCAGATCAAGAAGCTGCTTTCGCTCTACTATGCTGCCGACTTTGACTCGCCGGTAAGGGGTTGCTTGCACACCGCGTATCCAGCATTGGCAGGCGGTCTCGCCGCCGCGCAGACGCTGATGCTCATAGCTGACCACTGCTTGCCATCTGCCTCCCCGTCACCGTACTCCGCCCCGTGCCCACCCATCCATCAGCTGTCCCCCGAGCTTCTCAAGGTCGTCTCGTCCCGTGCCAGCTTGAACGAAAAGTCGGATGTCCTGCTGCTCGATCTCGAGAAGGTGTCCGAATTCAACAAGCCGAGCATGCGCCATATCGAGGCCATCGACAAGTTTGTCCCATCTTGGATGAACCTGCCCTGCCTTGCAGCCGTCACGACTCTTGCGCAGTAGAGGCGGCTCCATACCTTTGGCACCGTCCTTTCCTCCCGTCCTCGTTTCGTTGTGTCGCTCCGAGGGCTGTCCTTGTGTCGTAGCTCCATCCCCCAAGTCATTCTCTATCGTTTTCGGCCCTGTGCCTTCTTTCATCGCAGTGGCTCCGTCCAGTAAATGTTTCCTTGTTTTCAATGCTTTGGGTAGACGATGAATTCTCTCTCAGCTAGAGTCCCCATCCATCTGGCCAGTAAGATCGTGGTTAGCTTGTATCAATACAGTGTTGTGCTTGACGAAACGATGGGACACATTGTCTCATGCGGACAAACACGGTGTAGTCGGATCACATCACAAGTGGGTCAAATCGCTTCCCTGTGTGAGGGAGATGCATGGAGTGAGTGGGCACGACGGAGACCAGTAAACCGCTGCAGATGCAGTCACTGCAGGTCAGAGCAAGAAGGACATACCTGGAGATGAGGGAGGAAGACGCAGGGCAAAGAGCAATATCGTTGATTTGGGTGCCGATCCAAGCCGTTCAGCCAGGTCGATCAACATCGGCCGATCCACAAGCCGTCTGTGTGTGAAAGTGTCCCGTTTCAAACAAGCTCGAGAACCATAACGATGCTATGGACCAAACAGGCAATCACGACAGCGATGGCAATGGCGATGGCAATGGCGATGCTGGCACTCTCCGTCCCAAAAAATGCCCACCCATCACGCGATCGCTGGCGAATGCATGCCCAAACGAGCCAGCCACCTCCAAAACCAACGGTGCCCTCGTTTTCGTTGCTGGCAAAGCCGCCTTCGTCTTCGTCACCATCGACCGGCTTTCCGAACGATACTGCCGCCACCGTCGCCGTCGCCGTCGTGCCGCTTTCTCGGCTGGTCAAGCGGCAAACACGGATCAGCAAAGCATAGACATAGACATTGCTGGCATTAGCCGACTCGCCCTCTGACTGCAGCACACCCGCCCATCTCTTCCCAGCCTTCAATCCCAGCAGCAACAAACCTCCCCATCCGCTTCCGATGTTGGCCATTCGAGCGCTGCGTCGCGGCGGTCTTGGCTTCCGCATGGGCCTCCGTCATGGGAGCCATCGCCCCGACCTTCGGATGACGGTTATTCGAGGCCACGCCTCCCCAGCGACAATCGCGGCTATTGCTTTCGGCCGTGCGGGATATAGCTCCACGACGTCGCCACCACCGGCCCCATCCGACGGCTCATCTGCGGACACCAAGGAATCCTCAGAAGCCAACCGAGATCCTTCTCACTCCTCTTCGAAACCCGCTCGCCCGGTGCCGGTACCGTCGCCACCGTTTTCGACTCCCGTGCAAGATTCATCAACAACATTGTCATCATCGGCCTCATCCTCTGGTTCCTATCCTCCTCCGCCACCGTCACCACCATCACCACCATCACCGCCGCCGCCGCTGCATGGACATGACCCTTCGAATCCCACCCACGAGTCAACATCATCGTCGCAGCCGTTTGATCAACCAGTTGAGCATGAGTCGCTTTCCAGGATCCTGCACCGTCCGATCTCCATCTCCGATGTCATGCCCGAGTTGAGAGTCACTCTTCAGCATCCCGCTGGTGTTCCAACGCCGCATCCAGATCCGGACCCATCGCCGCAGCCGCAGAGCGACCGTCCGTTGGTCGATGACGGTGGCTCGTCGGCCTCGAAAGCCGCACCCAGCTCGTCCGCTGCTCCCACCAATGCAGCCAGTCCGCCGGACGCCAAGTCCGGTGATGTAAGCGACGACGGTATGCCTCTTGAGCAAACGTCGCTCAATGACCTGTTTGATCCCGAGATCGCCCAGGTGGTCCATCCTGTCGAGCCCAAGCCCAAGAGCACCAAGCCCGTTGCCGAGGACTCGTCAGACTCGAAGCAAAATGCGCAATTCCTGGCCGAGCTGTACCTGTCGCATTCTGTTCCAAGCTCCAAGCTCAGCATGAATATTCGTGCTGTGGTGGGTATCGCTGCACCGGGCTATTCATTATTGCTGTGTATATCCTTGCGAGAGGAGCCGTATGGCGGACGCTTGTTGTTCCCGACTGGCCAGCGATGCTTCATCCTGGTAGTGCGTTTGCCGCAACTCCGTCTCTGACAGTGTTTCGGCGGTGGTCCTAACAATTCCCCCCCCCTGAACTGGACTTGTGAATCTCGCCAGATTTTCGATGCCATGGGTGACGTCCAGACGATCAATGGAGAGGTTTGTTGCTGGCAGCCCTGGGTCTGGCTGCGATCGTGCATGCTCGTCAATTGCGGAGGCTAGCACACCCTGTTTCCTTGACTCACAAACCCTTAATTAACCAACTCCACCAACCAGTTCAAAAAGGCGGATCTGTGTGCTCAGCACTCGCTGATGCCACGCGACTTGCGCAAGGTTCGCTCTGGCCCCCGGAATGCTCGCTTGATGCCATGCGTTTGCATAGCAGCTCGAAATCGCTTGCGGCGAGTGCCCATCTCAACCAGGAAACAGCGCTGTCGTCATCCTGCTGACCCTTGCCCTGATCTCTGTGCTATTTGGACTTGATGCTGTGGCCCTTAGATCGACAGCGCCACTTCCCAGTCATTCCCCGCAATTCTCGTTCGCGAAAAGGCGCTGCTGCTTCACTTGCTGCACATCCGGGCTTTGATCAAGGGTACGTCACTTATCGCTCCGAGCTCGACTGAATCGGACTCGTCATGCCTATCCCCATGGCCATCAGGGACTGGGAGCAAGGTTGCGTGCTGGAGACATGGCGGGACGCGGTCGGATGGGTTTGGCTCTATTGATGTTGTTGACGGGTTATGTGGCCCTGGGCCGACTTTGGTTGATGTTTCCTGACGTATTTGTCTCATGCGCTCACTCTTTAGCCAACAGCGTCATTCTCCTGGAGCCTTCATCGGCAGTCGATCCCCACCACCAGTCCGCGTTCATGCATGACCTGCAAGGCAAGCTTCGACTGAAGGAAAGCACCTACGAGCTGCGGTAAGAGCATCGCCATGCAGCAGTGCCTCAAGCCACGGAACTGGATCTGGCCGATACCAACTGTTGTATCCTCTGCGTCCGTTCCAGGGCCCTCGAAGCAATTTTGAACAGCGTCGTGGCGTCTCTCCAAGCCGATCGGAACGCTCTGGTCAACCAGTGCGAGACGCTCCTGAACGAGCTCGAAACCAGCATCAACGAGCAGAATCTGAGGGAGCTGCTCGAGTGCCGAAGAAAGGCGAGCAAGCTGGCTCAAAAGGTCGAGGACATTGGTGCAGCCTTGAGCGAAATTCTCAACAGGTAAGCCGCGGCTTTGCCAAACCCAGATCAATTTCTGCTGTTGGCCTGGCCCGAATGCTGGGGCTTGGAGGTCTATCATGCAGAATTGCTGTGCTGTTGTATCGGCCTGCACACCTCCTGGAGCACCGCCGCTTGTTTCTCATCGATTGGAATCGCTTTATCCGATGCGTGATGGCGTTCAATCGGGAATGTCCCCATGATATGATCCAATTAGCGATGAGGATCTCGCCGGCATGTATCTGACCGACAAGAGTCGGGGCCATCGCCGAGAGACCTCGGACCACCTTGAGGTCGAGCTCTTGATCGAGCACTACACCAAACTGACAAACGGTAGGCCGTCGCGCAGCCAGCTTCAGAGCGAGAGCGTTGCCAATGGTGCATGCAATTCCAGTCGGGATGTCAGCCCGGATGCCAACCTGGATGCCAACCTGGATGCCTACCGGGCTCGATGCTATCGATACGAGTCTCCACCGCGATTGCCGTGGCCGTTGGCCATGTCCGAGCTCTGTCGAATCGTCCCTCTGACTACCTCTGGTATGGCTTCACGCTGCCTCTCTGGCAGAAATCGCGAGCACTGTGTCAAGCGTCAGCAGCAACCTCAAGAACACACAGGACGTCACCAACATTGTCCTTGCGAGCCAGCGTAACGACCTCATCATGTTTGAGCTCCGAGCCGTTCTCGCAACCTTGGCGGTTTCGTGCGGCAGCCTGGTCGCCTCTGTCTTTGGCATGAACTTGGTCACGTCTCTGGAAGGCAGCCCCGTGGCGTTTATGGCTGTGGTCAGCAGCATGACGCTGCTGATTGGAGCCGTGATGCTCTCAAGCATGCGGAGCATGGAAAGGATCCGCCCGGACCGGCGTCGGCTGCCCTCCAGTTTGCGACTGCTGGACAACCCCAAGGTAAGCACGGCAAGGCTGCCATGCCCACTATCGCACCACCGATCGCTTCACCGCCGAGCGGATACCGATACTTCTGACGCACACCGACTCACGATCCTGTTGCCCTGATTTCTGCCGTTTCTCAGCCCATCGCCCCCCGATGATCGAGCCGTGGGCTGGCGCAACTCTGAACAGTTTCCGCCTCACTTGCAACGAAATGCCACAAATACACGGATCTCATGCGTCCTCTGTCTTTCTTCACTCGCTCCCGTCACGAGCACAATGCTATCACACCCGCACTCGATCAGGGAGACAAACGCCCGTGGAGGAGTCGATTGAGGGCCGGGCCGTGCCATCCGAGACGAATGCACTTGCGACAGCCATCCGCTGATAAGCGTCACTTGAATACACGCCGATCTGCCTTGTACCCGAGCAAGTAGTGCTGGTCCTTGGCCAACCTGAAACACGAAATGTAACTCGCTCCAGCGGCCAACCGTCTGGACCGCGATTCTGCCCCGACCGTTTGTCAACGAGTCGTGGCATGATCCGGCCGAACCATAGACTGCAGACGGCGGCAAGGCACTGGAGATGAGCCTGGAAGAGTATTTCTCCTTCCCTCTATCCTTCCAACAACAGCTCCACGTGAGACTGGGGTTTCCAAGTAAATGGAGCCAGGATCCCACAGGATGCCGAAGCAGGGTGAGGAAGGGGGGGGAGAGAAGCCGCCTCCATCCACGAGGGATAGTTTGCTCTTGCCGAGTGTCTGGTCTCACGATATCTATGGACAAGATACGAAGAAATTTGGCTCGGCGTGGTGTGTTGTGCGCTTGGCACTCGCTGGGGAGGGGGGATCTTACGCTATGACAGAGGTCCGGGATCATAGATCGAGTTGCGAGATGCGAGATGTGAGATCAAGATGGAGGTGGGTGGTGGGGGAGCGGATGTGGGATTGAGAGAAAACGGGTGTGGCTTGTGCTGATTAGCCAGACTCGATCCAGACTCGATCCAGGCTGCAGCCGAACTGCGGCACACGTCCATGTTTGCCGAGTTTGATCGGTCGCAACCAAGACCCAGACAGACACGTTTCATTCTGAACAAACTGTATTGTCCCTGGGGGCAAATGAGCCACGCCAAAGATGTCCGTCAGTGTACACACATAGAAGAAGAAGAAGAAGCGGCTGGCATCATAGGAGTTGACAACCACATTACTGTGGACCACGACTACCGACAGCGTGAATTATCGGATAGAACAGTCGAATAGAATGTGAAGTAGAGCTTGTATGACACCAATTAAAATACCAAAGGGAAGATCGGATACGAGGTAGCAAACCAGGAAACGATACAGCCCAAGAAAAGTGTGGGGGGGGGGAGTGTATGTTGGTGAATCCGAATGGATCGCTCTAGAGGGCAAGCATAGTGACAAGGGCAACGACCACCAAAGCAGCGGCCTGCCAGCGGAGAGTCGAAGCGCCGTTAGCGTTGTGAAGGGGGGCAGGAGCGGCGGCGGTTGGGGGAGGCGCAGGGGCAGAGGACGAGGGGCTTGGGAGCGACGCCGAAGACGAAGGGCCGTTGGGCAGAGTCGAGTTGAGCTGGTACCAGGGGATGTTAACGCAGGTTCCGACGGGGACAATCTTGAATGTGCTCTGGAGCTTGTTGTCCTGGGCCCACTTGAGAATGTTGAGGGCGACGGAGGAGGTGAACGGGTTAATGTCGTGACTGAGCGAGATCAGGCCCGAGTGCTGGTTGGGGTTGAACCAGGTCTTGACAAAGTTGTTGAAGACGGCGGCACCGGTGGCACTGTCCTGGGTCGCCTGGTCGGCGGCAAAGTCGTCGGCATTCCAGAGGGTGATGACATAGCCGAGAGCACCAACGATGGCACGGACGCGGTCATCAATGTCGCCGTAGGGCGGGCGGAAGAAGCGGGGAACCTGGCCCGTGGCGTTGTAGATGATGGCCTCGGTGTACTTGATCTCGGCGACGATCTGCTCGTTGCTCAGGGCCGTCAGGGGGTGGTGTGTCCAGGTGTGAACGCCGATTTGGTAGCCGGCCCTGTATTCATCGAGCAGGACCGAGGGGTTGATGGCGGCGTTGACGCCGACAATGAAGAAGGTGCTCTTGATGTTCATGGCGTCGAGCTGGGCACGGATGGACACCGAGTCGTAGTGGTTGACGGGATCGACGGTGGGTCCGTCGTCGAAAGAGATTCCCCAAGTGTTGTTATCAGGGCAGGTCCAGACATCGGCCTTGTAGTAGGCAGTGTCGGTCTTGCGCACGCAGAGGGTGCCGGGCCAGTAGCAGTTGGCGACGGCTGGGGAGCGACGGGCGAAGGGCATACCAGAGTTCAGCAGCCGAAACAGGGTCAGAAGAGCCACCCGCCGAGGATGCGGGGCTGAACGAACGCAGCCATGCCAACAACAAAGCATGCTGGAGAAGTGTGCAAGACCCAAGGCCACCTGGACACACTTACGATCGCCACGGTAAGTCACATTGCTGTACAAGATGTAGTTCGAGACAGGCAAGTTCCAGAGCTGGTCGGGCACCACAGACTTGACATAGTTCACGGCGCTGCGAGAGAGACACAGTGCGATTGAGCAGCAGGATCGAGGGAAGTGCAATCAGGGCGGATTGAGCAGCGACTGAGACGAGCACACCCAGAGATACAAAACAGCGGCCAAGCAGACGCCCGGCAGCCCGAGGCACACAGCAGCGCCAGTCCCGCAAAGCACAGCATCAGGATGGCGCTTACTCGACAACCAGAGGATCCTGCAGGTACTGGCCGGTGATGAACAGCGTCTGATCCAGAGGAGGATAGCCTGGTCGGGCGAGAGCGCAGGTGAGTTGCGGGTGTTCAAGAAGGATTCACCCGGCAGGAGACAGCCAAGGACAATGTGAAGACAAGCAGGATCCAACGCACAGTGCTCCCTCCAGCCAAGTGCATGGATCGAAAGACCAGCAACCAAAGGAGAACAGAGAAACATGGCAGCCAGGCAGTGAGCCGAGAGAGGCCCGACCGGCCCGACCGGCAGTCTTGTCCCAGACGCTCTGCTGCACCGACAAACGTACTGGCGGGTTGAGGAGGCGGGATGTTGAGCTTGAGGCCCTGGGCAGCGGCGGCGGCGGCCAGAGGCAACAGCGTCAGGAGTTGCTTCCACATTCTGGGCGATGGAGATCTCTGCGGCGGAATCGGCTGATGCCCGGACGGTGCTTGGATGGTGCTTGGGCGATGCCGAGATGGTGTCTGGACGGTGCCCGACAGATGTTCCCGACAGATATCCCCGGCCGAGATGCAGGGCTGAGATGCGGGACTGAGCGCCTGGAGGGGGGCGAGGCTGAAGAGCGAAAGAGAACGCAAACGCGCGGACGCACGCGATGTCGTGCATGTGCGACCTCGGCGTGTCGGCGGTATATTGACAATGACCGCGCTGAAGCGCTGTACCACGCATGCGGGCGAGAGCGACACCAACCAGACATTCGCACAGCCAGCCAGCCAGCCAGCCAGCCAGCCAGCCAGCCAGCCACAAGGAAGGTCAGCCAACCCAAACTCTGCTGCCAAGAGAACAAGCTGAGACGTGGGCGGCAAAGCAAGGGTGGGGGCACAGGCCGAAGCACGGCAGCGAAGCAGGGCGGCAGAAGCACGGCCCTGCGGCCCATGGAGACACTGCGGCGACCCACCCCGGGCTCAGCCCGTGCCTGTGTCTGCCGATGGAGCCGTCTGTTCCGCGTATGGCTCTGCTGCCATCATGTCTCCATCATGTCTCCATCCCGTCTCCATCATGTCTCCATCATGTCTCCATCATGTCTCCATCGTATCTCCATCTCGGCCTCTGTTCATGCGGCCGAGCACCGCAGAATCGTCGCGCTCCTGCAACGGGATGGGCTGATGGAATCGTGCGACAATGCGTTCTTGGCAGACGCTGGCGGGTTGCCATGGAGCAGCGCCTCCTCGCGGGCTTTCGCGCTGTGACGGGAAGCCATGCCTTCGTCGGTCAGAGAAACACATGCCGGGCGATTTGGAGGACCTTGCAGAATATCTGGTAGGTCCGATGCCGTCGCAGACGGATGAGCTTGATGCGCCACCAGCGTCGCAGGCGAGATTCGTCTTCAAAGGCAACTGATTTTGAGCGTCGCTGTGTGCGAGTCGACCGGCGATAGAGGGTGCTGACATCTTCCTGGAGCAGTTCGGCCGAGTGCCCCTCCAAGGCCACGTCGACTGACACCAGCACCGACGACAGCTCGCCAAACGTCTGGCACAGCGGCGCCGCCTCAGGAACAATCAAGATCGACTCGGGCACCAGTGGAATGAGCTCTTGCGACTCGAGGGTGTCCAAGGATACCAGTATGTCGTCGGCGTCGGGCTCGGCAATCGGCACAACGACGGGATCCGAGGGATCACATGGTTTGATCATAAAGTTCATCCAGCTGAGAGTTGGGCAGAGTGGGAGTGCACAGGCACTTGGACGAGCCACCGATTAGGAGGGAGATGCCGGCGAGAGGCACCACGCTCGAGTACTTGGCCAGGGAGCTGCGGTGATCGTGGGTAGATTTGAAGCTTTGTCAATCAAATTGAACTTTGGTTGGGACTGCTGGGGTGATCGATGGAGTTGTCGAAGTACTCGATACAGCCGTTGGAGTAGTCGAGTCTCTGTGTAGAGTAGCCGAGCCTGTCGCTGAAGTAATCGGTGCAGCTGAGAGGACTTTGCTAGGGCGGTATAGTGTGTGCCGCAGCCACCGCATGCGTTTCGCTGTGGAGCCAGGGGGTGATGATGGCGGTATCGTGGAGGAATATCCAGGGTTCTGGCGGCAGAGTGATTGTTCGATCAAAGTCGGCGCGAGCCGTGGAGAGCCAGATCCGACAAGGTCACACGCCAGTCTTGGTTGGATCGGAGATGGAAGGTGCAGCTTGGGTCGTTACAGCTGCAGATGCTTGTGCTGTTGCAGATGCTTGTGGTTCTGCGGGTGTGGACATCACTTCCGGCGGGAGTCCAGCTGCGTTTTATACGCGCAGGCTCTTGGGTACCACTGCAGAGCTGCAATCGGGGGGTCGGGGGCGATCGTCCAGCGACAATCGTGGGCGGCCTCTGTCGCCAGTATGCCCGGCGGGCCTATTTTTAGCGGCCGTGCTCTTGATCGGAACAGAGGCGATGGCCCACCGGGACGCAAACACCGTTGCGACGCCCCCTCCTCCATCCTTGATCCGAGCACTACAGACCAACCTACATATCGGCCCTCAATGACTGGTTAAAGAGTTGGCGGGGGCAGGACACCCGCACACGTCGCCCCGCGCAGAGCCAGAGTCCTGCCTCCTGCGAACTCACCGATCCGCGCAGCCGATTGCTCGACCGGCCTGTCGCGTGGGAATCCAAACTCTGCAGAGCTTGGGCCAAGGCGCGGCCGCCAGTCTCGGCGGCTCACATCCGCAGACAGTCGTCGGTACCTGCGGTCTTTGGGAGGCGACCGACGAATGCCTGTGCCGGCCGGCGATGCCAGTCGTACGGAGGAGGCAGTGTGTTCGTTATCGTTCGGCAGGATGCTCGTTATCGTCCGGCAGTACTGGTAATCTCTCGACGGTGCATCGACCATTTGCGGGCAGTGCACCTCATTCAGTCTCTAAACTCATTCGCTCACTGGACTCCTTGATGTGGACACGCTGTCAGCACGTTCACACGTCGATCGCCCATTTCATCACCCACTTAATCATTACTTAATCACTTAGATAGCCACTTACGTAATAGATTATTTAACGACTTACTGGTCCACTTACTTGATCGCTTATTTGATCGCTCCGCGGCGCCACATATCATCTTTATGATCACCACAATGGCTTGTTCGCCGCTGCTCATCCAAGACAAATCCCCCTCGGCTGCGCCCTCGCGGGCCGCATGACCGTCCCATTCCCATCGTCCCATTCCCGCTGCCACCAGCCGCCCTCTGCATTTCGCCGTGGGAATAGCCTTCCCACTGCCCCACCCTTCTTGTTCCTCCAGGCCATGTCCCGCCCGCTTCCATGTCTGCTGCCCGTCGAGATGCTGCCCGTCGAGGTGCTCATCCCGAGCCCGGGAGGAGGCTCGTCGGCACCCTCTCCCGATTGGCGCTCAATCGTATCGGCCATACTTCAGCCCCCGTCCAGCCCCTTCGCCACTGCAATCGCTCTCTTCTTTCCGCAGCGCATTGCCGCTTGCCATTCATCCAGGATCAACCCACACATGTTCTCGAGATTGGCATCGCGCTGGGCCGTCCTTTGGGCCGTCTGCGGCCTCCTCCTCCTCCTCGTCGCCAACTCCCGCGCTCTGGCCACCAACCCTGTCCGTTCCTCTCAGGCGGCTGTCGAACACCCTGGCATCGCTGACCCTGGTTCGCACATCACCCCCGGTCCCGTCACTTCCGTCGAGCATATCGGTGCCTTCCAATTCTTGGTCAACACCACCACAACCTCGTCGCTCGTCTCTGTGGTCTCGGCCCGGGTCATTCACATCGAGACCTTGCCCATCCACCAAGAGTTTGGGTTTCCTTGGCCACGGGCTCCTATCGTTGTCGGACAGGCTTCATTCCCAGTTCCTTCCAAGGTCCCTGTCCTCGCAAAGACCCACCACGGCCATCAGATCCATATCCGAGACAGTGGCTTGGTCCTCCAATTCACTTCCGACCCGCTGCGGTTCTCGCTCTACCACAGCCCTTCGACTCTCTCAGGCTCGTCCAGCCGCCTTCCCGATGACGATGTCTCCATTGATGTGGCTGGTCTCGACCTGGTTTGGGAGGAAACCGAGCCATTGAAGCTCGCCAGAGGATCCGATCCGCGCAGAAGCGAAGGCAGCACCCACTTCTCGATCCGGTCCCGTCGCAATGCCCAGTATTTCGGCGGCGGCTCGCAGCACGGCCGCTATGCGCTGCGTGGCGAGACCATCCAGGTATGCGGGTGGGTCTGGTGGGGCTTTTTCCCACAGCACCGAGGGTGGGTGAGTGCGCCGGCGATGTGCGAGCATCAATGCCCTGCTCTCGGTCTAACAACCCCCATTCGCTTCGCTTCTCCTGCTGGCCTTTGCCGCCTTCGGACCTCAGATTGCCCGTGATGAGAACTGGGACGAGGGCGGCCATCCAAACTCGGCACCCTTCTATCTGTCCACGGCCGGCTACGGCGTCTTGCGCAACACGTTCGCCCCAGGGGCCTACATCTTCTCGGACCAGTCCAGCGATGCCGTCGCCTCTTCTTCCCACCACGAGCCCCGCTTCGATGCCTATCTCTTCTGGGGACCCGACTTCAAGACCATCCTCGACGATTACACCCGCCTCACTGGCCGCCCGATTATGCCACCCATCTACGGCCTCGAAATGGGGGACTCGGACTGCTACCTTCACAACGCCAACCGCGGCGAGCGACACACCTTTGAGGATGCCCTTGCTGTTGCCCACAAGTATGTCGAGCACGATATGCCGATCGGCTGGTAAGTTGTCCAGATAAGCTGGTCCATGGTCGGCCGGTCTGTCACCTGGCGGATCTTCTCGCTGCCTTGGCAGTCGAGTTTATCGAGTATCCGATTTGTGGAAGCGTTGCTTCAGGCGTGATTGCAAGTGCCACTGCAGGGGACGTGCTAGGCAACTCGGTCGCTCACTCTCTCCGATTTGCCAGGATGCTTGTCAATGACGGATACGGCTGCGGGTAAGTCCTTGCCGTGCTTGGGTGTCGCCCAGCCGTGCTCGAACGTTGCCTTGCCTTGACTTGTCTTGCTTGAATGTTAACCCAGCTCGCGTCGATTTCCCATTCTCCGGCTCAATCCACTCCGACTCAATCCACTCGGGCCCGACTCGCTTATCGGCCTTCGCCGAGCATGTAGCTACGAGAACCTGCCCGAGACAGCTACAGCCCTCTCCAGCCTCAACATCACCATGGGCTTATGGACCGAATCCAACTTGACCAACCAGCCCTTCGAGATCGGCCCCGGACAAGTGCGCATCCGCAAGCTCGATGTGGCATGGGTCGGCAGCGGCTACGACATGGCCTTCGAGTCCAGCCAGGTTGCATACGAAGGCATCGAGACGTACTCTGACGCCCGCGGGTTTGTCTGGATGGTCGAGGGGTGGGCCGGCACGCAGCGCTATGCGGTAATGTGGACCGGCGACCAGAAGGGCACCTGGAACAATGTCCGCATGCATGTGCCAACCTTCCATAGCGCCGGGCTCAGCGGCATGCCGTGGACAGCCGGTGACATTGACGGTATCTGGCTCGGAAGCCCAGAAACGTATGTGCGCGACCTCCAAGCCAAGGCGTTTTCGCCTGTGCTGATGTCGATGAGCGGATGGTGTAAGTAGCATTTTGGATCGGCACCAGCTGGCACCAGATGGCAACGAGCTGCTGGTGGAATCTGCAAGGCTATGCGATGGCTGGAATCATGTCCCGCAGCGCGAGCGATCTCGTCTCTCCCCACGAAGCTCTAATCCTGAACCTTCGCATGTTATTGATGACCTCCTCTAGCTTGGCTCGACAAGGAACGTCGTCTGCCTGTCGACAAACAGCCCTGGACCCGCGGCGAGCCCTTCACCAGCATCAATCGCAAGTACCTCAAGCTGCGCGAGCAGCTCCTGCCGTATCTGTACACGTATGCTCGCGAAGCGCATTCCACAGGCGTTCCGCCAGTACGATCGCTGATCCTAGAGTATAGCCACGATCCCGTTACCTGGACCGACCGGGTCAAGTACGAATTCCTGTTCGGCACGAACTTGCTCGTGGCTCCCGTTTACGACGACCGCACCGTCCGCGATGACATTTACTTCCCCGAGGGGGCCTGGTACGACTTTTGGAAGGGCGCTGTGGTTTCTCACGGCAAGGAGTGGATCAGCCACTTTGATGCGCCGCTCGATGTCCTTCCACTCTTTGTGAAGGCCGGATCGGTCCTCCCGATGTGGCAGCCGGTCAATTCCTGGCGAGAGCACGACCGCTCCCTCTTGGCGCTCGAGATTTGGGCCCTTGGTCGCAAGGGCGGCTACCACTTTGAGCTTTACGAAGACGACATGGTGACGCGCGAGTTCCAGGCCGGGAAGTTCGCAACCCAGCTCATCTCCGTGCGCGAAGACCGCAAACGCACTCCCCTGGGCAAGTGCGACACCTTGGCCGTCGACCTCCGTCGCCTCGACGGCGAGTACGCCGGTCGGCCAGAGCGACGCACCTACACCCTGCGCATCTTCCATCCCAAGCTCAGCGGCGACGCCGTGCTCGCTCGCAGCCAAGTGAATAGCCGCGGCTGGACGCTCGCCCGCGCATCTGGTGGAGCTGCTGGTCGTGAAAGCATCGGCGAGGTTGCGCTGGCGGACGACGGCCGCGGTCCGTTTGTCAAGATCACTCTGCTCGACCTTGAGACAGACGAGGACTGGCATCTCGGCGTCGACTGTCTGTTTGGTGCCGCAGAGCCCGCGCTGGTCCTGGATAAATAAAGCCGGTTGGCTGTCAAGCGACTCTTGACCCGAGCAGGCCCTCTGTTGCATTGCATTGCATCAGACGCGGTGCCTGTTATTGTGTCGTATCAGACACATCGAACACCATCACCGGCGCAACATCGCGACCCCTTCAACGAGGAACAGCTACTACGATATACAGCGATGCAAATTCTCCATATTTTTGTTCTGCACAAAGGGCGGGCGCGGGCGACACGAAAGAGGCGAGACAGCAGCCACGGGTTTGGGCTGCTTGAAGAAGAAATAGCGACAACCGCAACAACAGCAACAAAATCACGGGACAATCGATGCCACACGAAACGAAAGAGATGAAGATAAGAGGTGAGTATGGACGGAAAGGAAAGGTGGAGACAAAGCCACGGAGGAGAAGGGACGGAACGGCAGGGAAGCGGGGTGACAGTGATATTGCAGTGGGAAAGGGCCCGTTGGCTCCACCGAGGCAGCGGTGCTCAGCGGCCGCGAATGTTGAGCTCGATCTGCTTGCGCTGCTGCGCCAGCCACGAGTTGCTCAGGCCCATGGAAGTGGTGCCCATGAAGCCCGCGCCGATGCCGCGGCCGGTGCCGGTCGAGGTTGTCAGGAGCTTCTTGTGCTGGACCTCCATGCCGAGGTTGTTCCACGCCGAGATCATGAGCTTCTGTTCGCGCTTGGCTGCGTTGCGAGTGTCGAGCAGCTCGTTTTGCGCCCGCTTGAGCTCTTCTTCGCGCTCCTTGAGCTGCACTTCCAGCGACACGATCGCCTCGGCGTAGTTTTCCTGAACGAGCCAGCGATATCATGGGTAAATACAACCTGGTACACCGGAAGCGTCGAACAACCGCCGAGCAAGGAGGGTGAGGCAACAAACGAACCTGTGCGTTGCTCCTGAGATCGCGGATCTGCTTGTCCTGGGCCAGAATATGCTGGGTGTGGTAGAGGATGCGGGGCGGAAGAGCGGGAGAGCGGGCGAGCTAAGTATGTGACCCTTCTGTGCCCACAACTATTCGCCATTCGCTTGTTCAGCGCTACGTCAAGGCAAACACTCACTTCCTTGGACTTTCGAAGGGCCGTGTGCAGCTGCTGGCTCTGCTCGGACAACTGCACAATCTTCTGCGTCGCCAAGGCGAGGCGCTGTGCGGTTTCTTCTGTCGAGACAGAGCCCTTGGTTTCAACCGCCGTGAGTGCGGCCTTGAGGTTCTGGTTCACACGCTCGGTCTGGATCAGCTGCTCGCGCACCTCGAGCAGGGCCGACTGCAGCGAGTCCTTCTCGACAGAGAGCTTGTTAAGCTGTGCCATCTGGAAGCGGTTCTCCTCCGAGAGCGTGTCCTGCTGTCGTCGGAGCTTGTCAAAGTCGACGTGGTTGGGGGTGGACACCATGAACGACGACGACGTCATGGAAGTCATGGGTGCCGGTGTCTGGGCTGTCAGCTGGGTCTCGCTGAGTGCACGCTCGAGCTCAGCCACCCGCTTCTTGAGGATCTGGATCTGCAGAGTCTGATCATGGCCACTCTTATCGGCGCTCGCCACGGGCTCGGGCTTGCTGGCCTGGCTGTTGGCTTCGTTGACGGCTTTGAGCTGTTGGATTTCATTCTCGAGTGCAAGATTGCGCTGGAAAGCTTGCATGTAGTCCTGTGGTCGACCGGGAGGGTCAGATGCGCTTCCGTGTCGACGACAAAACGGCATGAGGCCGTCCAGACCGACATTCCACCACAAGCGCTTTGTCAGAGTGGCTGAGAAGGGTCACTCCAGATGATCCTTACCGTCTCGAACTTGCTCTTGAGGCGGTTCGAGTCCTCGAGAAGGCTTTCCAGAACACTAATGCGCTCGCCGTTGACGTCGACGGACTTGAGATGCTCGACCTGGTTCTGGAGCTCGGCAATGCGTCGGTGCCTGTCGGTGTCAATGTTAGTGCGGCTCAAGAGCACCGGAAGGATCACGGCAGCATAGCGGAGCAGAAACAGTGCTTACAGGGCAGGGACGTTGGTGTCAGGGGTGCTTTCCAAGTCCTTGCTCAGGGCGTGCGTTGAGGTGCCTGGTGGTTGCAGCGGTAGCGGCAGCAAGTTTAGTCCGACGTCGGGAGCTCGCTGGGAGCTGTATCGGGTCTTGGACACACTGGAGTGCTCGTCAGCTACATACCGCCAAGCTCCACTTCCCGGAGCTGGTCCTCGAGGTTGCTGATGCGCTCCATATCTTCGCGCCGCTCAAGCTCCAGGCGCTCGACCTTGCCGCGGGCATCCTTCAGCTCAAAGTCCAATCGCGAGTTGTCGACTTGCAGGGTCGAGTTTTTCTGCTCAAGTGTGCCGATCTGCTCTTTGTACGTGTCCATGAGTGACCGGAAGGCAATCATCTTCCGATTGTCGTCCTCCAGCTGAACGATGCGCTGGTTGAGGAGGTTGTTTTGGTCTTCCACTGACTGCAGAGGAGCATCGATCGATATTGTATGCGTGTTATGCGCTGGGAATGCGATGACACAAACGTGTAGCCGGAGCCGACCCGTACCTCGCTCAAGAGCTACAGGTCTCAACAGCGCGCAGCCACTCGGGGCTGGTGCCGATTCGAGTGTCCAGGGCATCATGTGCGGCAAGCAGACATCACGTACTCTCATTTGCTTGCGCAAGTCTGCGCTTTCTTCCAGGCGCTTCTTGTACTTCTCAAGCATGGCCTCAGACTTTTGCAGGCGATCAGCAAGGTGGCCAAACTCCTCCACCTGGTCGCGTAGAATGGATGCCTCGTCGGCAAGTTTCTTGGTGTCGTCGAGCTGATGAAACCAGGAAAGGGCAGGTGGGGTCAGCGAGCCGCTCCACGAGTATGCGCCGCTGCTTTAGACAGATCCATCTCTATTGCAGAGGTTTGAGAGCGTGTCGTGGCTGGATACCTTGCGAATGAGGTCGTTGATGCGGGTCGTTTGGATCTCGACCGTTTGCTCATAGTCGATCCGTTTGTTTTCACTCTTCTCGCTGTGCCAGTATCAGTCCGTCAGTACGAAGCCCAGGGCCGTGTGTGGGAGACATGCATGGTAGCCTCTTGAGTCTGGCTGGGCGTGCTCACACCAAGCGAGCATGGACATCCACATCGTGCATGCGTCACTCACAGCTCGGCCTTGAGCTTGTTGATTTCGGACCGGAGGATGAGATCCGCTGAGCCGGCCTCTGACATATCCATCGCAGCGTTTTCAAGATCCTTCAGTTTGCTTTCGGCCTCCAGCTTATCCGTCTCGAGCTCTTCCTGTGATACAGATGGGTCGTGGCGGCACGTCAGTCGTGTGCAGGCATGTCATGGCATCAGGGAAACCCTTGGTATTCGTCCCTGCTGACAACTCTCCCAACCAAGGAAATCTTACATATTGATTACGCAGGTTGGAGAGCTCCTGAGTGAGTGCCAGATTGTCCCGCTCGAGTTGTGCTTTCTGATTCAGCAAGTCGCTTTGTCCAAATCCGTCCAGCTCGTCCCTGGATGCAGATGCTCCGATTGTGAGAAGAAAGAAGTGCCACCAATGGTGACGGGCGCACCAGTTGTCCCTGCGAGAGCAGTGATCTCGGAAGCCTCGCGCCGTGAGATGCCATGTCAGCGAGGATGACTATCTCACCTTGGAGTCAGCGGGGTCAGGCGAAACCCCGAGCTTCCGTTTCTCAGCTTTTCCATTGCCTGGGCGAGCGGGGAAACACAAAGAATCAGTCACTCGCACATGCCACAGGACCGGTGGCACCCGGACATACGGGGATTCCGTCCGTACACAGGATTCCAGTGGCAAATGTCGCCACTGGTGCACTGTGGAAGTGGGTGGATGCGCACCAGCCGCAAGGTGCGACGTGATGAATGGGTCAAGAGGCCTTACCGTCTCGATACAGAGCATCAGAATGTGTTGGGACTCTTGGTCGAGCATCTGGATGCGTGCAATGTACTTTTGGTTGTTTTCGCACTGGACGGCAAGCGCCAGGACGAGCTGGACGAGTTTCAGGGTCTCGGAAACGTCGGCGTCTCGGGCGATGGCGGTGACGTTGGGGGCAGCCAGGCCCGTTGTGATTTGACCAAGAATCTGCTCATAGTATCCGAGCAGCAGCTTGTGGAGCTTCTTGAGATTGTTGAACTTGAGGACCCAGTTGTCTCCAGCTTCGACGGCGCGGATGGACTTGAACCAGCCCGAGTCGCTGTTGGCGAAGGGAGGAAGCACAGCAGCACGTCAGAACGGGCCAGATTGTGATGGACAGAAAAGCACGCCACTGTGGGGATGCCACATCGATGCAAACAGCAAGCAGCGGCTGCATCGTGGCATCTCTAGCATGTGCACCCGCGCTTCTGGCCAGCGCCTCGATTCGCAGGATACCGACATATCCATGAGGATGTCAAGGAGAATCGAGCCATCGGAGAGATCCTCGATCTGATGGCATTCGCGAGGGAGATTGTCGAAGGTGTTGATCTGGAAGGCGGCCCGACAGAGCCGAGAGACGACGGAGAGACCACGGCGTTGGCATTGGCGTTGGCATTGGCGGAGGGGGGGATGTGTTAGATCGACCGGGGGGGGGTGCGGCACGCTGGAGACGATACTCGATGCGGCGACAGACGATGCGACGTACCCATTGGATGAAAGCCCACTCAAGCTGTTGCGGCTCCATGAGAGGCAGGACACTCGAAGGACAGGGGAGAACGGAATCGGCGGGGTGATGGAGGGGGCGACGAAGCAGCGATGAGGACAGAGCAGAGACCACAGGACCCGCGGGCTGTGCTTGGTGAATGCCCACAGGCACGGCGGATCCAGCCCGGATGCAGCCAGGCTGGATCCGGATGGCACTTGTCTCGGCACACACACACACACCCGCTCGGAATCCCCTTGGTCTTTCCCTGGTCGAGATCCTCTCTTTTCTCCCTCGCTCTTTCGTTCCGCCAACAAGATTCCTCCTTGCACCTTGGTTGTCCGCCCGTCCCTCCCCGTCGCCGCCGCTCCCGTCTCGCTGATCCCTCCGCCGCCATGGCCTACATTGGGTCCAAGATCAGCTTGATTTCAAAGTCCGATATCCGGTACATTGGTATCCTGCATGACATCAACCAAACCGAATCCACCGTTGCTCTCGGCCAAGGTCCGCCATCGTCGCTGCAATCTGCCGCTTCGTCTGCCCGTCCCTCCCGCCTCCGACCCAGCATCATATTTGTGGCTGCTTTGCAGTCGAAATCCGGGCCAGCCCACCTCTGCGCGAGCAACCTGGACTGCTGGGCTGCATTGCAACGTTGATTCCGTGTCGAAGGCTGGCAGCTATGCTTCCGGCACCCTTGGTTTCTGTCCAGTCAACTGACGGCACCTCGCCTTTTGTTCTTCTCATGCTCTTGCGGAACCTCGACTCGCACACTGCACCTTCTCAACGACGCTGGGGCTATGCAGTCCGCTCCCTGGGCACCGAGGGCCGACGAGGCAACCCCACTCAGGAAATCCCCCCCTCCGACCAAATCTTTGACTACATTGTCTTTCGAGGCTCCGATATCAAGGACCTGACAGTTCTGTCTCAGCCCCCGCCGATTCCTGTCTCGCAAATCCCCAATGATCCCGCTATAATGGGGGTAGGCCACGCTTCCCGCACTGAATCGCTTGGTGTGGTGCTCTCGAGACATGGCGGCCTGCCGCACCTCCACGGCCCGTCTGGCTGGGCTCGGTGATCCGCAGGCCGGGTTTGCACCGAGCTGCTCCGCCAGAACTGACACCGCCGTGCCGATGGGCGCCCTTGGATACGCCCATACCGTCCGCGAAGCCCGATCGGAGGATACTCGTGTGATTCGAGAGTTGAACGCCTGATGGTGCAGGCTTGGCAACATCGCACTCACTCGCTTCCGCTCTACCGCGCGCTTCGTCTCTGCCGTCTACGCTTGGATCCATCGAATCCAATCCAATCCAATCCTCGACTCGATATTGGCGGCCGCTCCTCTCCTTTGCAATCCGTAGTCGTACTCGGCCTATTCTCAGTACGGCGGGCCTGCTGGCTACAGCTATCCGCCCCAGACCGCAGGCTATCCTCAGCCCGGTCCTGCGCAAGCCCAGCGCCCGTACGCCTCGGATGCCCCTGCCGCGTCAGCTCCCGAAGTCGAGGCTCCTGCGCAAGCCGCTCCCGAGGTAGGAAGACACCCCACCATTGAGACGGGCATTCCAAGCGACGCTCGCTCGTAGAATCTGATTTGACGCTCTCTCCGTTCGCGGTTCTCAACAAGGCCGAGCCTGAGGAGCCTGAAGAGGAGGTCGAGTTTGACCAGGTCGCCCACGACAAAGCCGGCCAGTCGTCGCCCAGGGCTGTTGCAGAGAAGCTTGGTAAGCTTGATCTGACCGAAAGAGGACACGATGGAGCCGCCAGGAGCAAGGATCGCCCCGCCAAAAAGGACGGCAAGCCCCCAAGAGGCCAGGAGCGTCCCAAGTCGAGTGATGGAGCTGGCGTATCTGGAAAGCCCCAGCAGAAGCGGGAAGCTGCTCCGGTCGAGACCGAGGCTGGAGCCGTTACCGAAGTCGCTCCCGAGCCTCAGCAGTCTGAGCAAGATGGTCAGTACGATGGCGCTCTGGGTGCTGCTGCCTTGCTCTCGATCCGGTTGACTCATCGTTGCTCTGACACCCTCTGTCCTGGCTCTGAACCCACCGCGGAATTCTGTTTCCAGCCGTTGCCCCCGTCCAGCAGTACAATAATCGCAATCGAGGCGGATCGGGTTACCACGGCTACCAATCGCACGGCCAGTACCAGGCTCAGCAGCATGGCCAGCAGTATGGTCAGCAGCAGGGCTTCAACAACCGTCGCGGCGGCCGTGGTCGCGGTGGCCGTCCCCACAGTGGCAATGTCCGTAACAACCGGCTGCCTATTCCCGACTCGGACTTTGATTTTGAGTCGTCGAACGCCAAGTTCAACAAGTCCGAGCTACAGACAAAGGAGACCCGCGAGGTTGAGCACGAAGAAGACGATGACTTTGAGGACGGCGAGGAGGACCACGACTCGTCTGCCTACAACAAGTCCAAGTCCTTCTTTGACAACATCTCGTGCGAGGCCCGAGATCGTGCCGAAGGCGAGAAGTAAGTATCTGGATCAGCCGCCTTTGACCCTCGTCATATCCCCAGCCCAAGCCGCGGCTCACACAGCAGAAGAAACACGCCGACCATGCCTGCAACTAGCCAGCTCATGCCGGGCTGGGCCAGTGCCTGTGCCTGTGCCTGTCTTGTCAGAACCGGTTTCTAACGACCCGCTCGCCCACGCCCTCCAGAACCAGCCGCCGTGCGCGCCAGTACGAGGAGCGCCGACTCAACCTCGAGACCTTTGGCCAGATCTCAATCGATGGCAACAAGCAGGGCAATCGCCGTGGAGGCTATGGCTACAACCGCCGCGGCGGCTCTCGCGGCGGACACTCCCACAACAACGGTGGGCAGAACTTCAATCGCGGTGGCCAGGGCTACCGCCACAACCAGCATAACCAACAGCAGCAAAACCAAGCCTAAGCATCAGACACATCCCCATCTGCTATGTTTCTGCATCTTTGTTACTCGTTTGTGGCTTTCCTCCTCCATTTGCCTTTCCAATCGTATATTTTTTGAAGCCTTCCACTCCCCACGTTTGCCTTCTCTCACTCTCCCGACCCACCCCTCCTTGTGCGGCTCCTCCTGTGGTGGCAACAGCAAGATGAATACAGCTCGTTGGCGAATCAAGATGGCCTCCTGCAGCTGAACGGTGAGGCTCGGGACAGCACCCATGCGCCCGCGAATCAGCTCTCTCGTTAGCCATCGGCATCGCTGTGTCGCTGATCGTCTTCAGCGACAATCGCATTTGTTGTTGCTGCACCCCGTGATGTCTGAAACCAACCTTGAATGCACTCGATGTGGGAGTGTTGTGCATCCACTCGACCATCTGGACCGCTCCATGGTGTATCGATATCAATATACCTGCTTTCTCGAGTCGCTTGGCTTCCCGGCACTGTGAGCACACTGTTTGGCATGATTACCGTGAGTGCATCCCGATTCCAGAACGACGCTGCTGTCTTGGCTCAACAAAGGATGTCCAGTTCAAAATGGGTTCGCCGAAATAGGAAATTCGCCGGAACCTGTGGCTGGCCGCGGTCTGGCCCGCTTGCCACAGCCCACAAACAGCGGATCGGCCAGCGATCCGCCCGATCCCCTCCATCGTCCCCGTCCTCAAGCCCGCCCAAGCATCGGCTCGATCGATCCGATCAGCTTCATAGCGCCAGCGCATCGACCCACATATCTATCACAATGTGTAAGCCTTGAGCACGATGCAGTGCACCGGCATCCTCGTCGAAGCCAGATCGATGCACCATCTGCGCTGCTCCGAGCCTGTGGCCTCCAGCACCGCCGGCATCCCTCGCATCCCTCGCATCCTGGAATCCGCCCCACGCCTGGGCGTCTTTTTGGACGATTATGGCAAGCTAAAGCACATACGTACTGCCTCTTTTTAATCTCGATATCCTCAGGCAAACACGTTCTCAACGCCCAGGTATGCTCCTGGCCCTGGCCGCCGCACCGATGCCAACCGACCGCATCGAGGAACGGCCCCTCATGCGAGGTCCAGACAGGGTTTGATCGATACCAGAGACCCACATCCAGTCCTGGAGCAGTCGTAGATGCTACATGGCGATTGTGAGACTGATGTTATCCCGGGGGCATTTCAATTGATCCATCGCAAGGTCTCGATCCGAGCCCCGTGCTGTCGACAGTGGTTCGACTGCCCCGAATGTCATGCCGAGAAAGCCGACCATGAGCTAAGGTATTCAAAGGCACCACGAATGCTGGGCCGGCCCTACTGCCGGATGGTCTGGGTCAGCGTTGCCAGCGCCATAGTTCCCCTTGGTCCGTTGCTGACAGGCGCTTGCGGCCATCCCTCCCCTCTGCGTCGGCATCGCCCTCCAAAGAAAGGCCATGGAGATGGTTTTCGCATGCAAAAAATGCCGCAAGGTCTTTAGAAAGGACATGGCGTAAGTGTCTCCCGGTCTTGAGTTGATGACGATGCCAGTGCTGCGGCTGTCTTTGGCCATGCTCCCACGTAGCAATTTTGCTCGAGCCGCGGAAGCACCAGATACTCAGGACCGTCGATACATATGCCTCCTCTCCACCAGTGACTACGACGAGGCCGACGAATACTGCCCGCACTGCGACAACAAATACGTCATCCCGGCCAAGACCCCGCAGATGGTGAGTCGAGCTGCTACATCGACAATTGCTCATCGGGTCTATGTGCAGCGGAAGGGTCTTTGCTCGCAAGACTATGCTTGTGTGTTCGACCAGCCCGGCTGATTCATTCTGGCTGCAGGGCGTTGGCGTCGAGGGCGACGACCCTCGATTGTTGCGAGACTATCGTGAGAAGCAGCGCCAGTTGCTGGAGGCCGAGTTTATGGCTGAGCGGCTTGGTTAGATCGCTTGCACATCAATCGAAATCAGAATGAAGCCATACTTGAAGCAGCTGCAGAGCGGCGATCCCGTCGGCTGTGTCCTCGTGATAGTGCATCGCTCAGACTGCGTATCTCGGCTGAGTGAGTGAGTGAGTGAGTGAGTGAGGACAGGCCGGGGTGGATTCGGCCTGATCGAACAAGCCGGGGCGGATGCAGCGGAATTGATTCATTTGTGGTTCCAGCCGTTTTTTGTTTTTGATCACACCATCTATTTCGGCCCCATCACCCAAGGCCGACCACCGAGGCCTATACCATCACATTCCCATTGCCAGAGTCCAGAATCGACGCACGATGGGCCCCAAGAAGACCATGACCCTCGCCGTCTCGAAGAAGCGAAGCGCTCCTCCTGCGAAAGCCCGCTCCGGAGGGACACCGGGAAGCAAAAAGATCAAAACCGAATCGGCCGGCCAGTCATCTGGCAGCGCCAGCCAGAGCTTGGACAGCACAAAGCGTCGCCGGGAGGTCGACGATGCCGACGAAAACGACGACAATGATGAAGAGAACGTTGAAGCCATTGACGAGAGTGAAGAGAAGGTGGAAGCTCCGGTTGGATTTGTGGACTCGTTTGACTTTTCCGGGCCGGTCGACGACAAGGCGGCGGACGAGGCCGGTGACGGCGATGACATCGACGGTGCCGACGACGGTGCCGACGACGAAGGCGACGAGAGCGATGACTTTATCGACGAGCTGGACGATGATCTCGACGAACTCGAAGGGGAAGACCAGGACGGGGACGATGATGCAGATGCAGATGAGGACAGCGATGTGCCTGATGGCCAGCTTGTAGAGAAGCAGCAAGGTAGAGGGTGCTACTCCAAGGCGAGCACCAACGGACAGGGCCGATGATGTCTCCGTCCGTGGACATGATTGTTCCGAACATTACCGATGCATAGCTATGATGTGTTAACCCTGCGATCTTCGCCATGCTCTTCATGTTTTTGGAATCCTAGACGACAGCAAAGGCAGCAAGCTCGCATCAGCCATCGGCAGGATTCTGTCCAAGAAACTGTCCAAAGGCGACATTGATGTAAGACCATCGAAGCCTTGACGGAGTCGAGCCGGCAAAGGGCATTCGTGTGGTCGAATAGCGAGCAGAGCAGCAGCAAGGACGCTTGTTGGTTGTATTGTGCGGGCGCTCGTACCATGGGCGGATTCCATCAGCCAAGGGAGCTCCACATGCCCTTCCATCGATCGAGCTTGACGGCGGCCCTCGCAATCTGCCACTCACCAATATCTCTCCCTGCAACGGCATCTGCAGCGCCCCATCCTGGCCCAGAAAAAGGAGATTGAGCGAGCCATTGACGAAGAGAAGCTCGAATCTAAAGCGACCCGGACAATCTCGGTACAGAAGAAAGCCGAGCTGGAACGGGGACACGTCGTTCCAGATCACACAACCACCGACTACGAGAAGAAGCTGAGAAAGCTGGCCACCAAGGGTGGTGCGTATCCAGGGCCCATTTGGCTCCAGTGCACATTTGCACCGCCGGAACGGGGTGTCCTCGTCCATGCACGATGATTCGAGCGCCCGTTGTCGGAAGCAATAACTTCGTGGCTACTAGATCAACGACAGATCCAAAGTAGATCACACCAGCGCCAGTGCTTGCCTTTGTCTGATTATCCACGTCCCCACTCCATTCTGCTTCGCCCACACTCCAGTCGTCCAACTGTTCAATGCCATCCGGGCTGCTCAAAAGTCAGCCGATGAAGTGAGCACTGGTGTCCAGAAGAACAACCAAGCCGGTGAGTATACTCAGCAGTTTTTGAACGAAGTGGATTCCGTAAGGCCGGCGCCGCCAGCCGGTATCAGGTTGTCTGGAGGGATATGACCATTCGTTTACAGATGCGCCGCGCTGACTCCACAATGTGCGTCGCGTAATGGCTCCACGATTTGGCAGTCCCGGTTGTTTCAAAAAGCAGCTTCCTAGACATGATCAAGCGCCCGCAAAAGTCGGCCAGCGGCTCTACGGATGAGACTCCCAAGCAGTCACAGCCCGATGCATCAAAGAAGGACACGCCGGGCGGCGGGGTGGCGTGGACAAAGTCGGACTATATGCTCCAAGCTCCAAAGCACTGGGACGAATCGGATGGCGAAGAGTCTGCGTAGAGTGTGTGGTTGGCTTTGCAGCCAGTTTGGGAGGAGGTGATCGATGGGCCGAGCCATTCTGAGCGAGGATTGAATAGAACCTCCGGTATCACGTCCCCGCGAAATGAAACGAGCCACAGACTTTGGATCATCGGTGGCGATTGTCTGAGCTGTGGAGAAATACATGCTCACCCGCTCGCCTCACGCAGGCATCCCATATCGACGGAACAGTCGCGGTGCTGAGTCTACGGATCTGTATTCCCATGAACGGCGCCGAGTCATTGCTGTTCGGAATCCATATCCGCGATGCTGCCGGCTGCACCAAATGCGGGTGCATGGCAGAGGGCTGCTTCAGCCGGACCCAAGACTGGTGTATGCTCGCTTGGACTTGATCATCGCCATCAGCTCCGGCAATCCACAAACCTGCAACATCAAGGCCACATCAATGAGGGATAAATGGTATCGTAGGGACAGACGGACTTGCGTGGCTCTCGCTGCTGATGCACGGGCGAATCCAGCGAGCACGTACCGTCCGGATATCATACAGATGGGTCTTGGAAATGTTGTCCCTGCCCACACTGCGGCTGCTTGAGGACAGCGCTCGCGGATACCAGTTCCCCATGAACAGTTTGTGCGACGACTCTGAGATGTAGAAGCCTTCGACCACCGACTTTGGCAACTCAAACTCTGTCCTGAGGGGTTGTGACTCTGTGGCCACCGCGGAACATAGCCGGTTAGTACCGTAATACCCACTCTGCTCCATTGATGTCCCGATTGGGGGGGGGAACGAACTGTGCATGTTGTGCAAAGACATTCCATCGAGCGGGTGTGCGGCGATTTGGAGGACCCGTTCATGGCGTCTCGAACAGAGAACGGTGCTCACTTTCGTCTGGAACAGTGAGGCAGTCGCCAAAGTCTTTGAAAATATCGTCGTCGTCGTCGGCTGTTGCTGCATTGTCCTGGCTCTTGATGCGATTCCATGTCATCTTAACGGGATCAAAGACCATGTTCCCGACAATCTGGGCGACTTTGTTGCCGCCAATGTTGGTGATGAGTGCCGGGCGGACGGGAAGGCCCTGTTCAAAGTCCTTCAGGATGCGCTCGTTACCCTCCCACTTTTGCAGGACGGGGTTATAGGTCATCTCGCCGGTATCGCCAATGACTGATGGAGAGATAAGCGTCAGTCTAGCATAGGATCTACCTCGCATCCCGCGCAGATCTCAGCGCTGTCGGCCGGCGGGGTGCTGCTGATGGCAGTGGACGAGTTGCTGACCTTTGGACGCTGCATCCGTGTTGAGATTCTGGATCAGCTTCAGGTTGGGCCGCTTCTTCCCCTTCTGTCCGAAACAAACCTCGATGTCAGCCACACCTCCAAGCACCTCCAAGCACCTCCAAGCACCTTCAAGCACCTCCAAGCACCCACAAACAACGGCCCACGATGTCGATTCGCCACATATTTGAATCAAAGATGGCCGTGTGTTGCGGGGCAGAGAGCCCTTTGGCTTCTGGAATCTACCTTGTGTACTTGTGGCTGGAGTCGGGTGCTTGGTGATGACAGCCCAGTCATACCAAGCTCGCCTGTGAAATCACAGGCATCGAGACGCAAAGAAGCACATTCAGTGACAACAGAACCCCAAGCAGGATCGGCATAGACTATCACAGAGCCAACAAGTCTCGCATTTACTCTGCAAAGTCGGACAGGATCGACGTACGGGTCGCTGGGCGAGCGGACTCCACAGCATTCTTGATGATTCTCGATGGTCCAAGACCACTGAATCCAGCCACGATGGCGTCGCCCGTGCTGCCGTTGCTCGATCTTGGTGGGGCGGCATAAAGGTCCTCAAAGTTGTCGAGCTCGGTGCCGTCGCCAAAGTCCTGATGGCTCTTGGGAGACCGCATCATCTGGATGGAGACCTGCTCTCCGTAGAGCTGAGCAAGCGATGTCGTGGACAGGTTTTTCGGATCCGCATTGGCTGTTCCGATGTTGAGAATGCGCTGTCGGAGCAAATGGCTGCTGAGGCGCTGAAAGTGCTCCATCGACGGACTGGATATCTTTTCAAGGCCGAACCAAGAACACACACTGTCAGCACCAGGAGCCACCAGTGATCGAATGTTGGTGCAATCACGGCCGCCTGGCTGGCTGGCTGGCTGGCTGGCTGGGTTCCCACGCGTGCCTGCATCGAGTTTGAGCCAACCAGAGCCGCTGTGGTCATGATCCGATCCTCACCATTACTTTGGTTGTGAGCCGGGGGATCTTGGATGGCGATGGGCTGCGAACCACTGATGCACTTGAGGTGGGACGCGAGGCCAGCGAAGGTGTGAGCGGGCTCTTTGCCGGGAGTGACTGTATCGGTTGGGCCGGCTTTGCTTGAATGGCATACACGCCGTTGATGCTGACAAAGGGGTTGATGTCGGTTGGAATTATCAGGCTCATATCCGGGTCGATGCCTGAGTCGTCCGAGAACATATGCGAGGGATCGCCGGACTGGTGCGCCTCTCTGCGATCTCCCATGCCCGCGCCGTTGCGCTGAGAGAAGCTCCCAGTCAGCGTCAGGGTGTCCATCGAGGACGGAAACTCAATCTCGTCGAATAGATCGTCGTCATTTTCGGATGCCAGCAGGCTCGGCGTGCAGCTGGGGGTTGGGCTCGAAAAGGCACGTTTGCAAGTACTTTCGTGGATCTGCGTACAGAGCAGCGAGCTGATCCCGCCGCTGCTGGGGCTGTGGGTCAAGTGCAGAGTCAGTGGAGGGTCTCTGGGCCCAGATTGGCCGTCAATGGTTTCGTTCGCTACTGCTGCTGCATTGCTGGGGTCTGCAGCAGCCGAGGAAAGCGTGGGAGACTCAGCGGGCCCGCCAAGTTCGGCCCAGTCGATATCGTCATCGGAAGTCGCGGTGACTTGAGGAGCTGGACGGACCGCCAGCTTGAGGGTTGTAAAGCCTTGTGGCAAGTCAAAGTCTGCATCGTCGTCGTCGTTGTCGTGCCAACCGCCGTTCGGCGATGGTGGCTTCGGGCATACGGCTGCTGGTGGGATCTGCCGCACATTTGGTGGCGCTATTGTGGAGGCTATTGGGCGAGCCAGCTCGAAGGCCGAGGCATCAAACTGCTTGATCGCCTGGAGGGGTTTCGTCGCGTCGTCGAGCCGAAATGCCTCTGCGGGAATGATGGCGACAGGCAGATGTTGGTGTGTAGTTATATCTGCACGTTGCGCGAATGCCGAGGCGATTGGCCGTCTCGGTATGCAACCAGCGCGACCTCTGCCTCGCTAATCTTACCCTGGATATCGTCTGGTGCTTTGGCGACACACTGTGCTGGAGTCAGATGCAGATCTTCAATGTGCAGGGTTGTGCTGGTGCTTTGCGAGAGCTTGGGCGAGGGTACATCCGCCGACGCATATCCTTTCCCGTGGCCCAGCTGTGCGCTGCCAAGGGGTGTCTGCATTGGTCCCTGGCCATCCGTAACCTGATACGGATGCGTCGGTGCATCGATAAAGGCATCATCAAGAAAGAGATCTTCTGTCGTGAGATCAGACACGACGAGATCGTTCTGGGGTGCCACTGCTGATGCTGGCGCCGATGCCGCAAGAGTCTTGGGTGGACCGGAGGGTGAGAGCACCAGGCCATCTTCCGGAATCTCTAGATCGTTCCAGTCCCAGTCGTCACTGTCCTGCTCGTGCTGCCGAACTCCGGACGACATCATTGGTGCAGCAGCGTCTCGACGAGGCAGGAAGGGTTACTCTCTGGATGGCGATGTGATGGGTGTCTTCAACAAGCCCAAGCAGTCTATCAAGAGCCAGTGCGATGCCAGGCTTTGCAAGTGAGCGGTGGAACCGAGCGAACGAGGGCAAGACGCTCATGAATGAGAACGGCCCAGCAAAGGTAAGGAGAGGGGGCATGATTGGCGGCTTGAGGCGAGTTCCCTCCAAAACTTTTGCTCAGCCGAGAGCGTGATCTGGGAATGCTTGCCAAGAGCCGTTGCAGGCAACGGACGCGCCCTTCTCAGAATCATTCAAACAGAATGTGGACAAGTTTATGGGGCATCGCAGAACTAATATTGAGCCGGCGAGACAGAGCCGAACGAGGAGCCACGAGGCCGTTCAGTTCAGCGGACTCTCGCTAGATCGTAATGCGACATGCGGCAGCTCACGCCCAGTCGTCTACACTTTATTCAGAAAAAAACGGGACAATATAGCCGTTTCCATGAACATGTAGTATGTGCTGTGCTTGCGTCAAGCAAAGCCACAAGAAATAAAACAGATCACTTTGGCAGCCTCCGAGTGAAGACCACCGGTCGCTCTCCGGTCTCCACAATCGACCTGCACACTGTGATCATGTTGCGCGCCGCATTGACGTCGCGATTCCACACTGTCCGGCAGCTGGGATTCTTGCAGCTCCTGACAAAGTGGGAATTCGCAACACTGGGCGCATCGAGTCCTTCCAACCGAACTGGCTCCAGGCACTTGGAGCACACTTGCGAGGTGTTGAACTCGTTCGTCGAGGCCACCTTGACGCTTCCATGATGGTGATTGGGACGGCGTCGGTGGTGCTCGAATTGCTCAAAGTACCGAGCAAACCGCTGCCTCCGAGGGCTGGATGCATAGCCCTTGCCCTGTCGCCATGACGCATTGCCAAAGGCGATCACCACATCGGTCCGTATCGGGGCGTGCCTCAGGACGGCCTTGCACATCTTGTCAACGGCCACTTGGCGCCTCTTGTGGCCCGTGAATCGATGGTGACGAGCCTTCTTGCCAAGGTGGAAGTCGAGCTGCACTCGCAGCTCCGGTCGCAGGACATGGGCGAGATGGATCTTGAAGGCCTCCGAGGACGACACCTTGGGCGAGGGGGTGGTCGACATCCAGGTCTCGATGCTGAGCTGCTTCTTCTTGGTATTGTGCCACTTAGTATCGGACCTGTGGCCACACATGTGCTGATAGTGACCATTCGAGAATGAGACCACCTCGTCTTGGTGGCCCGGTGCTTGGATGACCGCCGTGAAGATGGAGCCGACTCCAGGATCGATGCCAATCCAAGTGGTCCTGTTGGGGTCTGGGTCGCCGATGTGGGCCTGGATACGCTGCTCGGCAGTCGGAGGAGGCTCGATGGTCTCGGTGCGATCGGTTCGAGGCAGAAACTTGACGAGACCGATGGTGCATCCAATGCCATCGGTGCTGATCTCGTAGTTGAACAGCTTCTTGTTCACGTCCCGCTCTTGGAAGAGGGAACTACGCAGCTTGAAGCAACTGCGCCAGAGTCGATCCTGGTTGTTGACACCGTCCTCACCTTCTTCCTTGAGCATGTCCCAGGTGAGTCCAAGACGATGTTCGGTGTCAAGGAGTTCCCAGAGAGTGACCGTGTCAATCTTGACATACTTGGCCTTCGCAGTACATAGAGGAACTATCGTGCACACGGCCGGAGGAGTGTCAAGAGTGAGCTGCTTGAGAGCCCACTTGATCCTGGCGGCCAGCTTGTTGATCTTGGACTTGGTGGTGCCGAGCTCCGACTTGGCCGTGGTGAACCTCTTGTCGTCGGAGGGAATGCCTTGGGTAGTGAGCTCGTCCAGCTTGGCCTGGCGCTGCAGCTCGGTGACTCGGAGGGCGGGCATGTCACAGTCGATCCACTTGTGGACATTGTCGACCATCTTGTCCCGGGCGAGGATTCCCACATGGTGTGAGAGGCGGTAGAGGGCCCGGAAGCGGTCCTGGTCGTTGCTGTACCGAAACTCGTCCAGGACGTGGCCAAAGTCTGGATAGAGGAACTCGAGATCGGCCTTGGGTGGAGTCTGCCCTGGTTTCTCGAAGAGCTCGAGACAAGCCTCGATGGCTTCGTGCTTATGCTTGTTGGCTGGGAAGACGGCAGCGCAGAAGCGGCGAAGGAGTCACCAGTAGGCCAGGTCGAGGTGGGTGGTGCAGTTGGTGGCATAGGCATTGACAGCCAGGGTGAGAAGCTGACTGTGAGCACCATCAGGCAGACGAGGGGCCGGAGGCAGGTCTGCGTGCCGAGTGGTCTGGTAGTCGCGAAAGGAAGCGACCAGATGCTCGTTGTATTTCTCATTGTCCCCGGTCGGCGAGAGGGCACCGTCCTGGACGATCCTGAAGCATTGGCGGATGAAAGCAGGGGTGGACTTGGAGATGACGGGGACGGGAAGATCCTGCTCGATGCACCGGAGGATGTGCAGGTTGAGCAGCCTGGATGCCTCGAACTGGATCTGGGTCATGGCCTCGACGGTGGCCTGGATCTTGTCGCGGAGAGCGGGATTGAGACAACAGCCATCCATCGTCTGCTTGAAGCAGCTGAACTGAGGGGCGGATGACCTTCCATCCACGAGAGGGAGGACAGAACTCTTGAGGGGGTGATATTTTGGACACTTGCTAGTGTTGCAGCGTTCGTGATCGGTGCCATCGCACTGGCGACATCGCTTGCCGGTACTCGAGGAAGTAGATGGACCAGGCTCGGTGGGATCGACATCCATTGGATCTGCAGAAGCAGTGGTGGTGAGCGACGGAGCAACAGAGAAACAAGCATGCGTGGGGTCAGAATACGAACCAGAGACAGGCTCCGACTGTGACTTGGCTTTCTTGGGCCTGGGTGGCCGAGGCTGGCCATCACCGGTACCCTTACGCTTCGGAGGCATGGGGGCAGAGGATGCTGGATGCCTGCCAGTGGTACTGGTCAGAGCAGAGACTTTTTTTTATCGTACAATGGCGCGATGATCAGATCAAGGCGAGATGAGGGAAGAAAGCAGCAGGACGAAGGTGTGGCATTTATACCCGAGAGCAGGAGCCCGTCTGTGCGGGCTGGATGGGAAGTGACCCTGTTCAAAAATCGCCGAGAGGTTCAAGCCAGGGATGTGAACGCGAAAATGGCGGCGTGATTGGGGAGCTCAACCCCAAATTGGAGGAACTCAACCCCAAATCGGTGGGGACTCAACCCCAAAGAAGTTCTCGATGGGATTGAAGTCGGGCGAGGCAGGTGGGGTGAAGATCACTGACCATCCTCGGCGCTCGATGCAGTCCAGGACAGCCATTGTCTTGTGCATGCTGACATTGTCCATCACAATCACAGAGTCGTCTGGGAAGCTCGCTCGCTCAAAGAACTCGACCATCGAGTGTGTCTTGAATGATGTGGGGATGTACATGCGATGCAGCACACCAGAGTGGTTGATGGCAAATGCAGCCGAGACAGACTTGTGTTTCACGTGATTGCGCTGGCGAAGCGGAGCACCCCTCGGTGAGTATCCGTAAAGAGGGAAAATGGATTTCCTGATCCCCGTCTCATCGACAAAAACGAATCGTCGTGGGTCGATGGAGCGGACCCGGTCCCTGAACTGTGCCACTCGCTCATCCAGTCGCTTGGACTTGTAGAGGTGTGTTGCTCTCTTGTGTGAGAGACCTGCTCGGTGGATGGCAGTGTGGCAGAGTGAGAGTGATACTTTCCTCTGGAGGATGGACTCGAGCTTGCATCGCAACACAGGACCAGTCTGGAACGGGTCCTGTTCAATCAGGGTGCGAATGACTGGACATGCCTGCTCGAAGAAAGTGGATCTGCGAGCTGGGACCCGGGATGGGTCATCCAGCTTGCATCCTCGGTGCCATCGATGGATGGTGCTCTTGGATACACTGAATATGGAGGCAACCTTACGCAGGCTATGGATGAGGGCGTAGCATCGCAATGCGGCGGTGCGAAAGTCGGATGTGTGGCGAATGGTCATGGCCAGCGCGCGATAACATTGGGTAACAAAATATTCGATGAATGGTCAAAAACCCGGGTGTCCCGTTTTTTATTGGATTGCCTGTAACGGGCGCACGCCACCAATGAGATCGGTAATGCTCCCTCCTCGGCCCGAGAGGCTCGATTACAGCTTCTTGGGGGTCAGGATGAAGGAGCTGAGAATGTTCAAGAACTTGCTGGCGACAGCGGGCGAGACTGCTCGGCCGTCGACGCTGAGAGTGACGCGAGCCTCCAGGGCAGCAGCCGAAGGAGCAGCAGGCTTGGCCAGATAGTCGAGCAGGTCGGCCGAGCGAGAGCCCTTCGAGGCAGAGGACAGAGGACTGAGCACTGTCTGCCGGGAGCCGGTAAGGAAATCGAAAGCTGCGTCTGCCTTGGCGATGCGAGGCGCTCGGACCTCCTCGACAATCAAAAGGGCGGTCGGCTCGTGGGCGGTCAGATAGTCAGGTAGGAGCTTGAGCGAGGCCGACGACTGGTCGTAGAGGCTAGGTCGAGCGGCGGGTCGAGCGGCATTGCGCAGATAGAAGGAGCGCTATAAGCAAGGCGAAGCGAGCGGACTCTCCTGCCGCCGATGGATCGCAGCCGGGTGCGATGGAATCAGCCAGATTGGTAGCACAGAAGGCGGTTGCTCCTTGGCTGAACATACCTGAAGGCTCCGCTGATAGTCTTGGGACGGGTGGACTTGGCAGCCTGGGTGGTCGCAACAAGCACAGCGGCATTGGTCATGTCATTGGGCATGGCATTGATCATGGTATTGGTCATGGCGTGCCCACGACTCAGTCAATAGTCGCAGAGGGTTTGGGCGGTGGCATTGCATCCAGCGTACCTGCAGACTCTTGGCAACCTTGGCCAAAGTCAGCTTGGGAGAGACGTCCAAGACCGCATAGGAGGCGCCGCGATCGTTGATCTTTTGGACAACGATCTGGGCGGCAGGGACGACCTCCTTCTTCTGCGACCAGCGGGCATTGACCTCAGGAACGGCTTGAAGAGCGAGCGAGGCTGCTCGGGCAAAGATATCACCGACCTGGAAGCCTGGTGCGGGAGGTGGGATGGCCACGAAACAATGAGCCACCAGAAAGAGAGCAGCGTGTCTGGTCCGGACTGGGAGAGCTTCTCAGTCGGCAGATGCCAAGCCCGAGTCGATGGGCGAGCAGTCTCGGCAGACAACCAAGCGCGAGATCCAATGCCTTTGCCATAATCACCTTTGGCACTCAGATCGGCGACCTGGGAGAGAGAAATGATCCGCTCGAACTGGGCAGTGTGCAGCTGTCGTTGCGAAAAGGCAAAGAAACAGGGGCCGGTTGGCAGTCAGCAAAACGACTCTTGTCTCTTGACATGCAGTCTTGGTATGCAGTCTTGACATGCAATCTTGGTATGCAGTCTTGGTGCCGATGAGAGATGCGCAAGTGAACACTTCCAGGATGCCTCGCTGCACACGCCATTGTCCCTCGGTCCACAGTAAGCAAGTACCTCCAGCTCGGTTTCATCCGCAGCGGCAGCGCTAGTGCCGAGAGTCGAAGGGTCTTTGATGAAGGCGAGCACATCGCCCTTCAAGAGACGGTTCTTGGGACCTGTCCATGAGCGAATCCAAGAACCAACAAGCCAGCGGTTTCCCGAAGCCGACATGGCCCAGCGAGTATGTCAGATTCGATCGAAACCGTGAGCTACGATCGATACCGTGGGCTATGACTGAAGCGCTCTTGTCCTTACGACAGCCTTTAGAACACATCGGCAGCCATGTAGTGGAGAGCGATTCTGGCCGTACGCGGCGATCGATATCGGGGTTGCTGGCTGCCAACACACGCGACGGGAGAGAGAGAAGCCAAATCGGCCTACGCTCGAACACTACAAACTCGCACCTGTTCGCGGAATACGGACGGCGGTATCTCGATCGATATGGTGGTTGGCGAGGAGATAGGCCACAGCCGGAGAAAAGACCTCGGGGCGGTTGGTGGTGGCAGTGGAAGCCAAACGGGCTGGAAAGTGATCAAGGAGTCAGTGCGATGGGTTATTGTCAGCGGCATCAGGGGCAAGCCAGACGGATATGGCCAGTCCGTCAAGTGGGTTGTCAGGAAATCGAACGGATATAGCCAGACAATCGAGTGGATACGGGCAGACAATCGGGTGGATATGGCCAGCGATGCGATGTGACGCAGAGGATTTGGGAAGGAGAGACGCTTGCATGCATAGGCATGTCCAGGACAGCAGCCCGGCAACAGCCTGCAGTCGGCGGCATACCTCCACGAGCGGATGCAATGGTGCGCTTGGCCCCGACAGCGACTCTCAACATGGTGCTGGTGATGTCCAAGACGGAGAAGAAGATCGGCGTCGATCGGCGCTGGCTCAGCAACGGCGGTCGGCGATGAGGTTTGCTGTGGCATCGCAGGCAGCAAGGTGTTGGGGCAAGAAAAATCGCGCCGCGCTGATTGGCGGGCACGCGAGGGCGAGAGGGTGTATCGGAGGCATCTCGTTGGCCCGCAGGGGCTCTCGCTGCTGGCCTCGTCTCTCCCCAAAAACGAGCGGTGTCAATGTGCATGCATGATGGTTGAGAGTGGTTGAGGATGGTTGGAGGTGCTTGGGTGTGTTTAGGGTGTTCGAGTGTGGTGGTAAGGAATACGGGAGGATATTCGCCGAGTTTCGGGCGAAGCGGTGGCCCAATGCCTGGCGATCCAAAGGACAGCGATGCCTGTGCACTCCTATCGAGTTCCCCGCCTCTATCAACACAGACAAGCCGCAGTGCTGATCCATGTCGGAAAAACGGTGGAAATGTATTGACAAAAAAAGAATCGATATAACCGCCCGTTGAACATACTATCCTTGTGAGGAATTTACAGTGTATGCATTCCACATTAGAGAGCTTCTGCGCCGCCACTGTGGCCCAGAGACCGTGGTTGCACACGAAGGACGAGACAAATTGCATCACGGATTATAGATCGAACTGGGGGTTGGCACTTAGATCAGGTCTGAGGGGGGAGAGAGAGGGCGGGAGGTGTGAGCGGGAGGAGGCCAGGCCAGTCGCAGCACTGCAACATCGCAAAACAAAGAGGCAATAGAGACGAGGCAGCTGGTCTCCTGCGGCATGTACGTACCGGCAATGTTGAGAGGCATCTCCTCAACCTGGGTGTTGTAGAACTCCTCAATGTCACGGAGCATGCGGACGTCATCGGTGGTGACGAAGTTGATGGCAACACCCTTACGACCGAAACGACCACCACGGCCGATTCTGTGGATGTAGTTCTCGCGGCTGGCAGGGAGATCATAGTTGATAACGAGGGAAACCTGCTGGACATCAATGCCACGGGCGAGCAGGTCGGTGGTGATGAGGACACGGGAGGATCCAGAGCGGAACTCCTTCATGATGACCTCACGATCCTCCTGGCTCATTTCACCGTGCTGCGGGGGGAAACGAGAGCGAGGACATGTGGTCAGTGGCCAGTTGGGTATGCAGCGCACTCGGTTGCACGGGGCGCATCCGTGTCTGTCTCCTTGATTTTACATTTTCGCAACAGCAGCCAGTTCAGCTCCTCGGAGCATATACAGAGTACGATCTGCGCCGCCAACAGCACAGGCAGTCAAGCACAGCAACTCACCAGGGCCGAGACAGTAAAGTCGTTGGCATGCAGCTTCTCGGTGAGCCAGTCGACCTTTCTGCGGGTGTTGCAGAAGATGACGGCCTGGGCAATGGTGACGGTCTCGTACAGATCGCAGAGGGTGGCAAGCTTCCACTCCTCCTTCTCGACAGAGACGTAGAACTGCTTGATACCCTCGAGGGTGAGCTCGTCACGCTTGACAAGAATGCGGACGGGGTCGCGCATGAACTTCTTGGTGACCTCCAGGACGTCGGCGGGCATGGTGGCGGACAGGAGGACGACCTGGGTCGAGGGGGGCAGGAGCTGGAAAATGTCGTAGATCTGGTCCTTGAAACCGCGGGACAGCATCTCATCGGCCTCGTCGAGGACAAACATCTTGACGTCGTCAGCGCGGAAGTAGCCGCGGTTGAGCATGTCAAAGACACGGCCGGGGGTACCGACGACAATGTGGGCGCCGGCCTGGAGCTTGGCGGCATCGTCACGGACGTTGGTTCCACCGACACAGGCGTGGCACTCGGCGTTCATGTAGTCACCGAGGGCGAGGACGACCTTCTGGATCTGCTGGGCCAGCTCACGGGTGGGGGCAAGGATGAGGGCCTGGGTGGCCTTCTTGGTCATGTCCAGCTTCTGGAGGATGGAGATGGAGAAGGTGGCGGTCTTGCCGGTACCAGACTGAGCCTGGGCAATGACATCGTGGTCCTTGATGACGGGGAGGATGGCACGCTGCTGGATGGCAGAGGGCTTCTCGAAACTGTGGGGTGATTGAGGGAAGGGGTTCCGACAGCGAGCAGGCACGTTGTGAGCGGCAAGAAAACACAATTCGGTAGCAGAAAACAAACGCACAGCAGGGAGTGGGAGTATGGTGGCGTGCAGCGCATGGACCGAGACCATGCCATCATGCAGACGAAAGGCCAGTGCGTCCATGGTGTGGTTCGGCAGCGCCTGCAGCCCCTGCAACGGCAAGTCAATCGACCACAGCAAGAAAAACGAGCAAACAAAAACCGTACCCGTAAGCGTAGATACCACGGAGAAGCTCCTCGCGGAGGTTCATGTCATCGAACTTGTCGACAACCTCTTCCCAGTTGGACTGTTCGCAGGACCGGGGGGGTATGGGTGTAGGTGGAAGAGGTGACATTGACGAGACGATGGAAAAAAATGGTGGTGTGGGTCAGTGGGCGTCGATGGACACGGATCCTGGACAAACGAAGACAGCAGCCAGCGATCGCCAGAGGATGGCGAGGCATGGTGGGCGCCCAGGCCGAGACTGCCAGCAGCCCGATCGCATCGCCAAAGCCAGCGTGGGCTTTCGGACACCGGCATTGGATCGTCCAGACGAAAGCAGACTCAGTCCGGCCAGCAAAACCAGCACGGCCTCGCCCATCTGGCAACGCAGCGGGAAGCCTGGCGCGCGAGGCGGCAGGAAGGGGCCACCCGCAGCGAGAGAGGCTTGCACACAACCAGAATGATAGAGCATGGGCACCATAGCCGATGGCGCCAGGATCAGATGCAGTACCTCAATCTCGCCCTCGGCGATGTCGTTGAAAGACTGACCTTCTTCGTTCCTGTTGGGAGGCAGAGGCAAGCCGCGAGGCTGATCAGAGACTCGCCCGACAGGGCGCACGCCGCATCGACCCCGGCCGCACCGAAGATCGTCGGGCACAGGCCTGCCCGCATCGCCAGCAGCTGCGATACCTACTTGCTCATGGTGGATGAAAGGAAGGAACAAAGAACGAAAGTGCTCGGCTGGGCCGTATTTCAGCTCGCTGCCGACGCAGGATTGCCTGGGCTTGCGTTCTGTGCAGGCGCGGGTGTTTTTTTTTTCTGCCGCCGCTGTGCGGGGCGTTCTGTGCAGTGGGAAAAAAAAGCTGTGCGACAGCTGTCCCACGCGCACACTCGAGCCGGCTGCGTTGGCTTGTTTCTCTCTGCTTCCAGTGCGTGGCGCAGCGCAAACAGCAGCATCACGTGGCAGGCACAGGGCGGCTGCGGCTGCTGCGGCTGCGGCGCTTGGCTCCAGCAGCAATGTCCACACACGAGACGCCATGCTGGTTGCCATGTTGGTTGCCATGTTGGCGGTCATGCTGGCGGTCATGCTGGTCATGGTCCATTGGCTATCTCTTGAACCCGTTGGGAATGTGGCTCGCTGATGTCTCGCCGGGGGCTGTGTCCCACCTGGCATCTGGTCTGGACCAGCGCTTGCGTTCGACTGCGGGATAAGAAAACACTGGGCTTGTGGATCAGGCCGTCCGCTTTATCGAAAAGATAGCGCCAGGGCCAGGTCACGTCCATATCACCATCCAACAGTCACTCGACGGATGATACTGGCAGCCGATCTCACATCGCCGCCTGTCACTGACTGAAGGCATCGCAAATGACTTTGATCTATTTGTCCTAAGAGCATGGTGCCGCTGCTTTTGAGAAACATGTCTTCCTGGCTGCAAACTAGCAAGCCCCTAGTGATCGTCTGGTTCTGCGCCTCCATCGTGCGAAAGCTGCAGCAGAGGGTGATGGTCGCAGGCCCATGTTAAGAATCGTCCTTGTTTGAGTTCCAGACGTCGGCTCCAAGGCCAACGGACAGGTTGAAGCGGTGGGCAACTTCGCTCGGCGCCAGCGACTGGATCGATCGAGTGGGCCCATTCCATTTGCGGCGACGTTGTATCGATTCGACACAGTTGTTCATCAAACGCAGGAGTCGGTTCGAAGTGTGAGTCAAGTGATGCATCAGAGGCGGCCAAACATGAGTTCCACAGGGTCTGGGCCATAAAAATCCTAAAAGCGCATTCTCTGGCTGCACATATGAACAACACTCACGCTTATCGACAGACTACGAGGGGAGGACGATGCGTTGCTGAGCCGGGGTGTGCTGTTTGAAGGTCCCGATTCGCATCCAGATGCCGACGACGAGCCGAACGAGCGTGCCGAGGAGCCCGCTGCACATGATCCTAGCGGTACCGACGACGGCGCTGGAGCTGCTGTCCGATTTGGTGCAGTTGTCCTCGGGAAGGCTGGGGAGGCCGGTGCAGTGGTTGGTCGCATCGACCTGGCAAAGGCACGACGACAGAAGGTCATTTGGGGCTGCAATGATTTGAATTGCCGAGACGATTGAGGTGACTGTCGCGGTCGAGGCCACAGGTGAGTGTGCTGTGCGATTGGACCCAGCGATCGGGTGAAGCCAGCTGCCGGTGTCTGGGGCGGCAGGACGATGGCGATCGAAATGCGATCTGAATCCGATGGTCGGCATTGCCTGGGAATGAGAGAGAGTGAGAGAGAAGGGGAGAGAGACAGCACAGCCCTCGCCGAGAGAGACGTGCCGATCACCTGACTTGCATCCAGCCGCAGCCATCTCCAGCGACCTGAAGATCGCATCGGTGGATGCTGCATCAACCATCAACCATCAACCATCAACCATCAACCATCAACCATCAACCATCAACCATCAACCATCAACCATCAACCATCAACCATCAACCATCAACCATCAACCATCAACCACCAACCATCAACCGTCAACCATCAACCCTGTCCTTGTCGGCTTCCAAAATCTGCATCATGGCCTCCTTACCGTCCGCACCGTCCCCGAGCTCTGGCTTCAGCCTCAACGGCGCCTTGCAAAAGTCTTCGGATTTCCTCGTCTCCAAAGGCCTGCCTCCGCTTGGTAGACTTGGCACATCTCCGTACCCCCCGGCGGCAACGTTTTTCCTGGGTGAGCTTTGGGTCCAGTCCCGAGTCCTGATGCGGCGGTACCCAACTCTGGGTATCGCTGTGCGATTCTGAGCCGTATCCAGTTGCCTCCAGTCTCCCATTGACTGTTCTGGTTGATCCTGCCGATTCCACTGCTGATTCAAACGCTTTCCGTCCCACAGGTCTGGCTGGCGCCCTGAATTGCTTGCGCAATCCCGTTGGTTGGCCCGGCTATGTCCCTCTTGTTGCCACTTCTGCCATCTTTGGTGCCAGCTCACTGATCCTTCTGGAGGACTCGGATCATGGGTCGTCAATTGTTACAGGTAAGGAGGCGATCAGACTGGCGATGTTCCGATGCCGACGATCCGACTATGATGATCCGACTATGATGATCCGATTACTGGCCTCAATCTCTCTTCTGCGCGTGCTGGGTGTTCATGGGCCGACACTGGTACATGGCCACGACTTGCTGTCACTCACAACCTGTTTCTGTACCCTGCCTCTCCCTCCTCGCAATCGGATCGATCTTTGTCGCAAGCCTGGTCGGTTGCCTACGCCGCCGCCTTCCTGCCCAAAGCGATCCAGTCCAGGCGACCTGGCCCCATTGGCTTTGCAGCCTTCATCATTGCCAACGCCGTACCCTATGCCAGCGAAGCGTATGATGCATTCCTCGCTTAGATACAAATCAACTGTCTGTGGCCTGCAAGCACTCTATTGCGGCACTGTCCCGCCACAACAAAATCTCTTGGTCTAAAAAACCGCACGGCATTCTGGAGCAGCAGTGCACCCAAAGCGAAGGGGGCATTGTTTTGCGCCAGGGCTGCCACCCTTTCTGGATCCTGAATACACACCAATCCATCGTCCGCCATGACCAATTATGCTCGCGGTGCCTGGAAGCCAAACGACTCGGGAAGGTCGAGTGTCTTGATGCCAAGGTGGTCGAATGAATGCACCACATCCCACATCACGGCATCAGTGCCAGTCGATCGGCGCCACAGGAGATCGCGGCAATATCATGACCCCCCTGCCAGGTCAAAAGATCCCAGGGACCCACTGTCCCGTTCGTTCTGAACGAACAGTCGGAGGACTCGGGCTGAGAATAAACCCGCTGATTTGTTAATAGATGAGGATCAGTTTCGTGTTTCTATCAAAGGCTTGACTGACGGCATTGTATGAAGCGGCTGTGAACTATCAAAGGATCGATGAGGGAAAATAGAATGAGGGGGTTCTGGGGCTGTCACAATCTAAGGGATCATATCCGATTGCAATACATCGTCCGAAAGACATCCTAGGACTTCTGGCCGGCCGCATTCGCGAGATTCAGCAGTGGGGCAGCCGGCAGATAAGGCGTCGCACCCGGACCGGCGATTGGCGTCAGCGGTGGCAGATTGCCGAGGGTGGCCATGTCCACGAGTCCGATACCCTTGCAGTGCGAGCAATCTTTGCAGAAGAAGCAGCGCAGGTTCGCTGGGGCGTCGTGAGGACGCTCGGTGGACGCATGGTTGTATCCCTTGACTGAGGCAAGTTGGGCAGAATATGAGCAGGGCGAGCGGCAAGCGCGCATTCCCACGAGCGGCCCTGGACGCAGCGAGGACAGAGAGCGGTGCTTACGCTGGCATGTGGGGCAGATGGTCTTGCCCGTGATGGTGCCTTCTCCACGACATCCTGATCCAAGTGGCACGGGTTAGCACATAATTGCAAGTTCAGACATGGGTCGCCTGACACCAGAGGTCGCCATCGGTAATGCGGCCACTCCCGAGGACTTACCTCGGCATGCAACGCAGTTCTTGCAGCGAACCGTCGCGCGCGTGTCATGGCGGATGCTCGATTCGTGTCTCCATCCGGCTCCCTCGCACTTGGGGCATTTGGTCGTCTGCAGATGTTCGGGCAGGACCGAGGTCGGGAGGGCCGGCGCTTGATTCTTGCCGAGAAAGACAGCGAGCTCCTTGGGCCCAAAGCCCAGGCCGCTGACCAAGTGAGGGTGTGCCATCGAAAACGGATTGGGCTTGCCTTGGATGATTTGGATCGGCGGGTTGAATGCAGGTGGGATCGCAATCCGAGGCTCGCGGACCGGCACGCCAAACGAGCCTGGAGCAGCACCGCTGGCTCCGGCGATGGACACGAGCGGTTGCTGCGGCAGGAAGCTCTTGGCATCCGTGTAGGCCGACTTTGGTCCAGCACCTGATTTGGTCGCTTCGGCCGCTCTGCTCTTGCGGTCCAGTACTGCCTTGCCCTGGCAGACTGGCAGTCCAGTTTCAGGTGCATTCCATCCGATCCAACAAAGTCAATCAGCCAGCTGTACATCGTCTCGGCCAGCATCGGACACCATACCACTGCGCACCACAGATCGCCACGGCTAATCACCTTTGCAGTCCACACAGTCGATGCAGCGGATGTTGCTGGGGGTTGAATGTGGTGCATACGCCTTTTCTGGGTGGACGAATCCCTTGGCTGTGGAGGCGAGAGGGCCGGCATCCTAAAGTCAGCACCCGGCTGGCATCAGACAAACGCTGGTCGCATCCGAAGCGTCTCTCCGCCCTTTACGAGCAGTCAGCGAGCAACTCTATCGATCTTACCTCCGCATCCATTGCACGGATCCTTGCCAAAGGTGACGCCAGAACCCTCGCAAACTGGGTGGTGGAGGGATGCGTTATGTGAGCTGAGGTGTCGGTGTCCGTATCTGCGGGCAGCAGCCTTTGCATCCGGCCACCAAACCTGGTCTATATGGCATCCTCTCTGCAGCACACTCATCAACTTATTGCACCAGAGTACAGTGTTGTTCGCACTTGTCGAGCTCGGCGGACTTGCAAGCCGACAGGAGCAGCCCAAGGCGCTCCTCAGCGCCGCACTCACCGTCACAGGCCTCGCACTTCTTGCATTTGACCTTGGCGGGCTTGTCGTGCTTATCAAGGGTCCCATGGATGAATCCGTATCCTAGACGGCAGAGCGGTGGGGATCAGACCGGTGTCGTTGGGTCAGTGGAGTGTGGTGTCTCCTTTCCGACATACTCCGGGTGGAGCTTTCGATGGGGGTGGCTGGTGGCTGCTGCAGACTTGGAAACTGAGGCTGTTGAGGACAAGATGCACACCTTCGCAGCGCGGACAAGCCGTCCGGTTGCTCATATCGGCGAGCAGCTTGTAGTCATCCATCGTGCTGGGTGTTGAGCGGGCGAGAGGGATGTTGGCAATGCAATGAGCCAGCGACGGTGGATATCACTATCATTTTATTCCGGCCCCCTCGTGGCTGCTCATCTCGGTCACCTGAAAGTCACGTTGTATGTGGCGCAGCAAAATTGGAATCCGGCCATGGTCGGTTGACGGCATTTGGTATCGTCTTGAGCCGATTGACAGTGGTGGTGGGCAATTGGTGTGGAGGAATGATCAATTGGATCATTGTTGGAAGCTCCACTCCGATTGCGGACAAGAACCACCACCATCTGAATCTCTCTGGTTGGAAACCTAGTCAAGCGCGGCTGTGTGTCAGCGAGATGACATGATCGTTTGGCTATCAGGCAAGACTCACCTTGACAAGATGTCTTCCCACGACTGATTGAGCGAGCGATGCGTTTCTGGATCTGAATCAAGGACGCCACTGCACAGTATCTCTGCCAGCCCAAAATGCGCTGGATTTGAGGAGATTCTTTCTTCCCCAAGGGCAGAACCAGCCATCGTCGCTATTTTCTCGCCAGATGGCTCCCCTCAAGCGAAAGACACCAGCCAGGCGACCAAGTGGATCCAGAGCACCCAGAAGATCCTTGATCTGCAGGAATGGATGAGCACCACACCAAGTCCCAAGATCCCTGGGTTGGCTTCCTTCCTGCAATACATTCGCCATGTGTTCGATGGAGACATGCTGGACAAACAGCTGTACTTCAGCCTGACCCGGCGACGGCGGTTCAAGCGACTCGATCTCCACAGCAAGCGACAGCGCACCGTCCACGAGATGTACAAGCAAATCATCGACCAGGCACCACCGGAGACCGACATGGTGATTGCCTTTGGGAATGCCTCGTGGAAACAGGGGAAGGGATATGCTTCCAGTCCCAGGAGACTCAGGTTTGCCAAGTACTTTGAGCAGTTCCACCACCACCAGAGACGCCCACCAGACCGATCCGTCTCCAAGATCCATTTGTGTTCGGTGAACGAGTTCAACACATCCCAGGTGTGCTCACATTGCCGGGAATTCAAGCGACTCGAGTCACCCGAGTATCTTGATATCGAGAAACCACACTTTGTCCGGAGCTGTGCAAGCTGCCATACGCTGTGGGATCGAGACATCAATGCAGCCAGGAATATGATCTCGGTATGCCAGTCGATCATCGCCACAGGAGATCGACCGGGTGTATTCAAGACCATGCTTCCCAAACCAACCAAAACCACTCGATTGCCAACCAGGACGGGAAACAATGCCATGGCCTGCCCGCTGGGCCTACAAGTCAGTCAGCGGGCTTCAGAAGCCAGAAAGTGACTGTCCCGTTTCTTTCTGGATAGACTGTAAGTATATCGCACTGTTCCTTGAGTATGTCGACAGTGGATGCCGGGTCGCCCATATTCTGGGCAGTCCACTTCGGGGTTGCCATCCCTCTTGGGATGGTCGATGGGAGGTGTTTGACTCCCTTGCAAAGTGTGTGTGTGTGTGTGTGTGTGTGTGTGTGTGTGTGTGACGGCGAGAGGCTTCTCGCCTTCCCTCGGGGGTCTCTCGCCAGAGACTGCTCTTCTCGCCGACCGAGGTGGCTCCGAGAGCGCGTTTTTTCGTTCTCGCTCATTTTTTTAACAAGAATTTTTTTCATCGTGCATCAACGAGTCCTCGGGCTTGGACACGTGCACGTCACGTTGCCGGGAGCACCAGTCTGCGCCACATCCAGTCCAGCCCTCTCGTCTGCACTTCCACGCCATCGCAACTCTCCCTGCGGTGGCTCTGCTATCCGCGCGATGGATAACGCAGCTCTTGGCATGTATTCACCATACGTACAGCGAGTGCATCCTTCGCTCTCGCCGTTGCAGATCCGTGGGGTCTGTATAGATGTGCCCTCGTGTGGGGCTGCTCGCTCTCGGAGCTGTGCGTTCTGCATAGGTGTTGCTGCCTCCGTGGGTTCGAATTGTGCCACAGCCCAGGCCTTCAATAGCTTGATCCAGATGATCTACAGCATAGTTCGGATCAGCCGTGCGGCTAGCTTGACAAGATAGTGAACCTGGCGATCAGGTCGATCCAGCGTGGCTTCGTCGACGATGCTAGTTGTGTGCATAATAAATTCCAGATTCTACAGGATATTATAGCGAGCGTCAGGCATCGGTAGCTCACCAAAGTTGCACACCGCCTTGTACGCCCACTGTCTTGCATGCACATTGCCTCGCATGCCCTACCTGTCCGAGCTTCTTTGAAACTTCGGCATTCTTTGTGATCAGAACGACCTGCGCCTCCAGATCACGGTCCATCGAGCGTTGCCCAAAATTGGACGAACCAACGACAGTCAACACTGGATGCTTCTGCTGTGGCGGCGTGCACCAGAGGCCTGCCCAATGTTATAGTCATGGAGTGGGTTAGGCGCTCAGTCAGATCGCGAAAGCCGGCGTTTGTGTGTGGTGCATTTTCGACATAGGAACTAGCCTTTGGCATGAAAGGTCCAGCGGTCCTTCTTGTATTCATAGAGTTCAACGCTTTCGCTGCGCCCGGCGCCCTTCAGTTGGCGAAGAAACAGCTTCTCCATGTACGTGTATGCTGCCGGCAAATGGCGCGAGACCCCCTTTGATCCATAGAATCCGTTCGCCTGGGAAATGGTGGGGCAGAGTATCGGGGTGGGGTGGATTATGGTGTGTGAGGATGGCTCAGCGACCGACTCAGAGGAACAAGATTGGGAAAAGATCCGCTCCGCTCCCTCTCGCAGCGCCGGGAATGCACTTTGATTCCATGGTCGCATATCCAACAATCAGAGCAGTGACCGAACAGCGAGATGGCTGATCCTACCTCTGGAGCCGATGTGATGATCTTGAAGAGGGCGGTGGATTTGGTAATCAACTGTGCATACACCTTGGGGAAGTTCAGATATGCCGAGCTCAGATGGACCGCCCATTTGGCATCGCGGCTGCAGCTCTGGCTGGCGAGCTTGAGGATGGTTGTGATGGCTTGTTGATCTTGGCGCACACCAAAGAGACCCATCTGGATCACGGGGGCAAGCACCGTGTCGTGCTGGTTATCGACATCGCTGCTGTTCATCACCAGAGCCCGAGTCTCCTTGGTGCGCTCAATCCACCGAGCTCGGAATTCGTCCAATAGCTTGCCTTGGTTGTGGAACTCACGCTCCTGTGGCAGCGGGGTCGTGAGGCGGTGAGAGAACTCGGCTATTGTCGACATCAGGTCTTGGAAGTAATTTGAAAGTTCGGGCGTATTTCGAAAGAGCACATAGCGGTCTTGGCGGTTGACAAAATAGTCCCGGTTCAAGTTGGCTCTGTCGCCCAGGTGTGTGGTGTGTGGTATGCGCCCCGGTTCGGATTCCGAGATTAGTCGTCGTCGCAAGCACTTAAAATGCCTATAGGCTCGGCTAGACCATGCTAGTGCTTGCTGAACGGTCGCATCTCCAAATTGATGCTGCTAACGACCATGCCCCAACGCTTCAGAGATCCAGGGCATCGAGGTGGATATTCTGGGAGCCAGTGAGCAGGTTCTGATTGATTGGTAGAGCCTCTCAGTCCAGCCGATCGAAAAACTCACCCACTGATGATCACGTCGTCGTCGAATCCATAGATCTTGAGATGCATCAGCCCAAACGCCTCGTTAAACCTCCGCGGCACAATTTGCTTGGTCAGACCTTTCAGGTTGGGGGTGTGGTAGAGCGACACGAGTATCCGGCCGGGAAACTCATCGACCAGCGGCTGCAGCAACGAAGCCGAGCTGGCGCTGTTCCCGCCGCGGGTCCCTCGCAGACAGTCAATCAGCACATGAGCTTGGAGATCGGGGTTGCTGGCAAGGCTTTCTCGCAGGACGCTGATCTACAGCAAGGTATTCCACACATCGTGAGCACGAGCGACTTGGTGCCCACGGAAACTAGGCAATTCAATCATCGCAACAACATGCTCACCAGCTCGGTCTCCTCAGATCCAATATATAGCGATGCCAGATATATGCGCTTCTTGGCCCTCCGGATTCCATTCTTGATTGATGGTGGAGCAAAGGTCGGCGGGTGGCATTAGCATGCGTTCGACTGCCTGGGCAATCGGCCGTCGCATCTATCGAGCAAGGCAGAAGAGGCAGAAGAGGCAGAAGAGGATACCTTGAGCTCGTTGTAGAAATCGGAGGGAGTCTGGATGACATCGACGTTGGCCGAACGGATCGGAAATACCGGAAGGTCTGCATAGACCGGAGCAAAGAGCTTGATGGGACAGGGCTCGACCGTCTTGCTGCCAGACCTTGCCTGGGACGGAGCCGAGGCCAAGCGGGCCTTGCTGGAGCATGTAAACGGACGCAGGGTGATCGGGCTGGCAAGAGTGGGCAGAGTCGATCGGCGACTGGCGTCGCATTGATGCGGCGCTGGACGAAGCGCGGGCAGACCTTGTCTGGGATGGAGGAGGCGAAGACAACACTTGGCATTCATCTGCGAGGCGATGGCTGCGAGGCGATGCGATGCGATGCGAGGCGAGGCGATGCGAGGCAATGTGAGGTGATGCGAGGTGATATTCCACTCGAAAAGCTCAAATGGCGATCTGTCATGTGAAAGTCACGTTTCTGTCTGGCAGCACAGCCACGGCCGATCCGGCAGTCCGGGTCTCGATGTCCAATGCGATGTCCAATGTAATGTCCAACGCGATGTCCAATGTAATGTCCAACGTAATGTCCAACGTAATGTCCAATGTGCAGATGCTGTTTGCTCATGTGTCGAATGGTTCCAAAGCTTTGCCCCCTCGACCCGCCACATTCTGGCTTTGCCGTGAAACGAGGCGGTCCATGGAGCCCTGTTCTGCGCCTTGCCGCGAACACCATCGCCCCCCAGGCCGTTGCATTGCGATGCTCCTGCACAAGCCCCGTGGTCGTGGGAATGCTGATCGAACCTCCCAGCGGAACCGTTGTTTTGGTCCGCCACCGCTCGCCACTGCCCGCCAGTCGCAATACGGACGCAGCCACTTCGGCTCCAGCACGATCCGGCTCGCAGCAGCAACAGCAGCAGCAGCAACCCGCCCCGCGCCGCTCTCGCTCCCAGCACGGCCTCCCAACTCTATCTGCGGTGTTTTTGCGGGCATGTATCCGTTCGTCATGGCGGCGCAGGGCGCCGAACGCAGGATGCCATATATAAAGTGGTCCCCGTTGCGCATGCCCCCAGGCCGTCCAACATTCCCGAATCTCGCCAGGTTTGTCTCGTTCGTCGGGTCGGTGGCCCCCAGCGCCGAATCCTTCCTGCAGACGGGTTGTGCTGATGCGCTCTTCACCCATGACACCCGGCTGATCGCACTTTGATCTTGTCCAGCACATTCGCATCGGTTCTCCGCATCCTGCCCAACGAAACATGAAGTTCAGTCTCGCTATCTCTGCTGTCGCGGTGCTCGGCCTTGTTGCACCTGCCATGGCAAAGTTCTGGGATGTCCCGGCCCTGCTCACTCCCGAGGGCGACATCACACCCAAGGCGCCCAACTATGTCGGTGAGTGCGCCCGCTCTTTGGCGAGGACAGGCGCAGGTTGACGAGGGCTCCGGGACCAATTATCCGTTGCCACCCCGGCCGCAGTGCTGTTTGTGGATGTGTACCTGGATACTGGCTACTGCGGTCCGTTGGGGCTTGTGCTTGCGACAAAGCACTCGACCCTTCCATCAGCTCTGCGCCATGGTCCAGGCTTCTAACCAGCATCGATCGGGCTCTTTCACAGAGAGCTCTCTTCCCCACGATGTCTACCTCGCGTACCTCGACGGCTGCAAGGAGATCCCAACCCCAATCACAAACGAATCTGCCAACTTTGGCACGGCTATCTTTGAGCTGCTGCTGACCAACCTGACACTCTCCGTCTCGCTGAGCTTCAGCGGCGACCTCGGCAACATCACCAAGCTCCATCTGCACGGCCCAGCCAACGACTCCTCTACGGCACCACCCATCTATGATCTGCTCGAGTCCAAGCCGCGACTTGTCAGTCCCATCGCTGTCCAAGTCGCCCTCAACGAAACCACCTGGGACTACCTGGTGCGCGGACTCCTGTACATCAACATCCACAACGATCTCCATCCTGACGGCGCCCTCCGTGGCCAGGTTGGATGCGTTTCCTCTTGCCGTGTGCCCCACGGCAGCAGTAGCGACGATATCCGGTGTAAGTAACTGTGCATCTACTGTCAACTCGGCCGCTCAGCAACTGCTCTTTGTTTCCGACGAGCCAGCCCTGTCCGTGCTTGGGCGAACTCGATGTACCGGTCCCGGCACACTCCCTAACTCTGCTCTGTCGTGCGTATCTGGTTCGCCATCCACAGTCTTTGCTTATGAAACGTGCAACCCAGATCGCCGTCTCCCTGGTTTCTAATCCGTCCGCCCCGTCGAGCTGCTTTGCATATCTCGCTCGGATACATAGCAGGCACACTTTCACAGCTTTGTTTCAGTTGCCACCGCTGCTGTTGTGACCGGCGGTGCGATTCGGTGATTTCCTATTGTATAAATACATCCTTCGTCTCCAACGTTCTTGCCTCCGACACTAGTAGCACGAACCAGTTCACGGACATTGAGTTGAGCTTCCCAGGTCGTGGAGCCTGTTGCGGCTCCGGCTGCTGCTGATCCAACTCACCAGTGACACATGCTTCACCTGCCGCTGGGCTTTGCTGCAATCCGCTTCTTCCATCGATCGATCAGCGCCAGTCGAACAGGATCAACATCGCTGCTGTTTCCAGCTGTTGCTTGAAGCAGTGACTGCTCCATGTTCGCTGGGCTTGGTGGGCAAGCTTCCTGGATGGTTGTCAACGCCAGACCCGGCTTCTGTTCGCTGGTATTCTTCCGCAGCTCAGAGGCTATCTGGGACTCGATCTTGTCGTCGATCGTCCGGATCTGCGAGAGAATGGCCACGACCGACTCAAGGAGCCCTTCCAGTCTCGGCTCTGCGTCGACGGCGAGCCGGCACTGGCCCAAGTCGTCGTCCCGATGAAAGCCACAAGTCAGCAAATGCGACAGTGTTGCTCAGCCACCGCAGCGCACATCGTTGGTGTTCGAGTCAGGCTATCGATACAATCGATCTGCTTGGCCTTACCTTCACGCTAGACACGGCCTCGAGTATCCTCACATTCCCGACAGGCCTGTCGGCATCCTGGCAAATAGTACCTGCGTCGGCTGTGATCCGGAACGACTCTTGGGTCGTTGCGCTGAACTCGTCGACAAATGCGACCCTGAAACGCAGATCAGTATGTGCGTGCGACCGGTGTGGACTCCTGATCCATGAATTCTCCCCTGCCCGTGCCTCGGCAAACATCCACTCACCCTCTGCCAATGCTTCGGGATGCCGACTTGAGAGGCTCTTTCCGCAAAGCGCTCTGCTTTGGCACATTCGAATATCAATGAGGTGGACAGCGCAGGTCGACGCAAGCGCAGGTCGACACAGGCGCAGGTCGGCGACTGTTCGATGGATGTCTATGCTGCCACAGCCCAAGTAAGCCCAAACCTGCCTTTTTTTCCAGCTCGCTGGGCTTCACCGTTCCAAAGTCCCAGCTTCCCTGGGCTGTGGCAGCCACGGTCTCCTTCCTTGATGCATCCAAACCATGACTCTGATGTTAGTCCCAGAGATTACACTGCATCGCTGGCGTCGGGATTCTGTCCCGCATTTGCCTGGTGATTGGATGGGTGCTCTGGCAGACTCACCTGATCGGCAGCGGCCGTGCCGAGTCTTCGGGGCCGGACTCTTTCTGCCATTCTCGGTGGCGTCGAATTGCGTTTCGGAGGGCCGCCTGTCCGTCAATGTCTCGGACGAAGGGATGGTCAAGCAACTCGCGGGCTGTGGGTCTCTGTTATCGAGCAGCCAAACGATCGTGTCAATGGGCCACACGCCGGGGATGCTCTTCTCCAGCCTTACACTCTGCCACCTCCAGTCGATCCGGATCAGTTTTCCAGCCTATCTCTCCTGCATATCAGCACTGCGATCGGCAGTGGTGCGCTTGCCTGGTTCGGTCGCTTCCCAAGACACTTGGATACAAAGTCGCGAAACGAGCTTGAGTACTCGGGGCTGATTCCAGGAGGCTCGTTTTGGGGTATGATGAAGAGCACTCTCATCGGATGGAGATTGGAGTGCGGAGGAAGTCCTCTGAGTCGACAGAAGGGATCTTGTTGAGCGGATCACAGTTGTCAAGTGTCGCAGCCACGTTCAGCAAGCGAGCGGATGCGTGAGTGATAACTCAATGATCTCTCTGACGTACGTTGCGAGCTCGATCGCAGTGATGCCCAGAGACCATATGTCGGCCTGGAGGTTGGGAGGCAAAGAAAATCAGTTATTCCTGGTGGCTAAAGCAAACTGGTACTCGCTAAGGAGCACATGGCATGGATCCAGGTGGTGTGCACAGAGTTGCCTCGTGTGGCGAGCAGAGTACCTTCATATTATATGCCGATCGCAGGATCACCTCCGGGGCCATCCAGTACGGAGTGCCGACAAATGTGTTCTTTTTTGTGATGGTTGCAGTTATCTCCAGTGCGCCAGCAACACGAGTGAGCGAACGGGCGAGCGGATATGTGAGCCATTGGATGCAACAGCAATTCCAGAATCGCACTCTGGGCAGGCGACATGAGCAGCAATCACACCTGTGCTGAAACGCCGAAATCAGCAAGTTTCACCTCGCCTTCCTCTGTCAGGAGGATATTTGCTGCCTTGATATCGCGGTGGATCTTGCCCAGGCCGTGGAGATACTCGAGGCCGTGCAAGAGTCCCTTCAGGATCTGGGCGACCTCATGCTCGGCGAAAACGCCTGCACGCAGCTATGCCAGAGCGAAAATGCCAGCCCTTGGCTGTCAGCATGCGGTCGCTCTACTCCTTGGGCAAGATCCACACAAGCAACCATGTGTGCCATACAACAAACTTCCGACCCGGCGGCGCTGTGCTGCGCTGCTGTTGCAAGCGATTCTCTTGTGACCTACCACATCGAGACACGATCCACCCGAGCAATACTCCATGATGATCCACAACTTGGTGCCGGTGACATATGAGCCATGGTACTTTGTGATCCATTTGGACTTGAGGGTCGAGAGAATCGCAATCTCCTGCATGATTTCTCTGATGTCGTCATCGGATTCTGTGGTGAGAGCAGTCGTGCACGGCTCGTCAGCAGAAAGCAGAGGCAGACGTGCGGATGACGGCGGCGGCGTCTGGCTCCAAGCCCCGGAAAATAGGGCAGATTCTCGATTGACACGGCCATGATGCTGCTGCTGCCGAGACAGGCACGTCGGCGTACCTTCAAAATCCACAATCTTCACAGCTACGAGTCGGCCCGAGTCGCGGTGAACCCCCTTGTAGACCTGGGAAGCGGCTCGACTTGAGTGTGTGGCTGTCGTATCGCTCCCAGACGAACTCGGACGACTCTGTCTGTCGCATGCAGCACAAGCAGCACAAGCGATGGGAGCAGTGCAAACAGATACGAACATCACCGAAGGATCCGCGGCCGATTCGCTCGAGCAAGACATACTGGTCCTGCGGATCAGTAGTGGGACCTCTGCTGAGCATCGTCCTTTCGCTTCGCTGACTGAAAGACTGCCGTCGTGAATATGAATTGGAAGGCACTCTAAGGCTTGCGCGAGCGGGCAAAGGCGACACACCCGCATGAATCGCCCTGGAGGCAGACGAAGCCCGCGCAAGCTGTCGTCGCTCATCCCGCGCAGGTCCGTGCCCTCCGGCGCATGCAGAGCGAAACGACGCCCTCATTTCTGAGCCCTGCATGTCACTGGTTCCCTGGTTCTGAAGAGTCACCATCCGTCACCAGAGGCGCCGGAGGTCCAGAACACACAGCGAGCGACTTGCTCGGCACGACTACCTGGATGTCGAGAAACCACGGAACACTCCAAGGATCGAGTGTATATCGGATCTCAATATTGCGCTCCTCAAACCAGCAATAGGCAGCATTACACTGCGAAAGAAGGCGAAAAGGCACTGCTGTGGTTTGTTCCGCATGGGCTGCAAGGATCTCGGTTTTCTGCCAGAGCTGCAATGCATCGCCCAGGGCCGCTTGCTTCAAACTCAGCGGGGCTCATGAACAAGCAGAGCGCTCTGATAAGAATTGTTGTGTCGATTGTGAATACATACATGTCCATCGAATATCTTTACTTCTATCGACCTCGCGTCAAGGCGCAGCCGCTGTCTCGCAATCCACAGTCCGCAATGTCAGGAACGCATTCGCAGTGCGCAATCGGCCATTCTCAAAGCAATCGATTTCGCGGCCCGGTTTTTTCTTCCAGCTGCAGCAGGTTCATGCGTTCAAGCGGCAGTATTCGGCGCGCGATGAGTCACTCAGATAACCACGAGGGCATCGAGACTTTTTCCGGGTGGGGCAGCTATTACTTCGGACTCGTTACTCTTCTGCGACCCTGCCTTGCGCCTGTCGGTGTTGCTGGCGCCCCGGATGTAATCGCTTGAGAGCAGGTCGCGGATGTGAACGCCAAAGTCGATAAAGACGTTCAGGCGATATGCATGCGTCAGGCCATTCAAATGGTCGCTGAAGGTGAAGCTGCCTGTGACGGCGGCGGCAATGTTGATGCAAAAGGCGATGGCGCTGGTGACGAGACAAAAAATGATCCAGATGACGTGGTTATGGACAATGAACTTCTCCTTGCCCTCCGGCAGAGTATCCAACCGAATGCCGATGCCCTGAACGAGCTTTGTGAGAAAGTGCAGATCCATGAACGAGGCAGTGAGGATATAGGCGTTGTCTGTATGGTGGGTTTAGAAAGTTGGGATGGGTGAGAGCCGTGCAGTTGACGGCCAGCACAGTTGCCTGGCCATAGCAAGCAGCCATCCCGCCAATGGTGTATGCGTGGCTTACAGTAGAACGAGAGGAATGGATTGAGGATGTTGACATAGTAGGGCGTAGATGCATAGTTGAAGAATCCGTGATAGATGACCCAGATGCCAATGAACTCTGAGAGGAGGATGAACAGGAAGCACGTTCCAAAGAACGTCCACACGGAGGCCTTGATAATCTTGCGGTTTTTGCTTTTGAGTATGAGGGCACAGAATCTGGCGGACGACACGGTGGGGCGAGATTCAAGTCAGAACAGGCGGAGCGAGACAGCTATTGGTATCGATGCTTTTGGGGCCATTGAATACTTTGCGAGTGCCACCATCTCAATTGTTGCAGCCACGATCGCTACAACGAATACGCTTGATGATACGCTCATTCCCCTGCACTCCTCTGCACTCCTCTGCACTCCCCTGCACTCCCCTGCACTCCCCTGCACTCACCGATCCGTTGATTCTGTTTGTGGTATTTCGGCATTCCACAGCCAAAGTTTGAGAGGGGAGCGTGAGCCACGCACAACGAACCGAGCTACAGGGAACTCTGGAATGCAGCACACGGATCGTGCATCGACTCAAGTCCCTGGCGGCTGGCGTTCGGGCCACCAACCTACCAATAATCCCGAGGAAGAGCGAAAGACTTTCCATGCTGATGTAGGCAGCAATCATGTACTCGTATTGCTGCACATCGTTTTCATTCAAGAGGCCCGCTATGGTCATGATCACTTGGATGTTCACCGCGAGTAGCACGCAAATATCGAGCCACACGATTCGGAAGATTAAGCGATTGTGCAGCCTGAATGCCACAAGCTTGGAGGCCGCAGTGAGGCACAGACTCAGAGTCATAAAGTTGATTCCCAGCGACAGGGCCCATTGCGTATGTGCGTTTGGGAGGCCCATAGAGAGCGACTCGCAGGTGGTATGAGCCTTTGCAGACGTGAGGGATTCAAGTAGCTCCGAAATCAACTGCGAGCTTGGAAGACGCCACGATATGCTGTCCGGGGTGCCCGACTGCAGTCCGGATTGGCTGGCTGCTCTCTGCCACTTGATTCCCGCCAAAGTCGATGGTCGGAACGGGATGAGGCGAAACTGGGTCGTTCGGGGATCCCAGGTCGCTTGTGTCTACATTATGGCGCCATATCTGCTCGGGCATTGGCCCTACCAGGGCCCTATTGTGCTTATTCTGGGGAGTGATTGGGGCTCAATCAGGCCACATGCGTATCGTGTAGTACGCAGTGCTTTCCCAGAGTCAATATGGACGGCGGGCGGCCTCAGTGGTTGGAAATGGCTTTGGGGAGGCCATATGATTGCGCTCCTTCACGACAACGTCTCGTCCGTTTTGGCACGCTGTACACTTTATTCAGAAAAAAAACGGGACAATATAGCCGTTTCCATGAACATGTAGTATGTGCTGTGCTTGCGTCAAGCAAAGCCACAAGAAATAAAACAGATCACTTTGGCAGCCTCCGAGTGAAGACCGCCGGTCGCTCTCCGATCTCCACAATCGGCCTGCATACTGTGACCATGTTGCGCGCCGCATTGACGTCGCGATTCCACACTGTCCGGCGAATGGTCATGGCCAGCGCGCAATAACATTGGGTAACAAAATATTCGATGAATGGTCAAAAACCCGGGTGTCCCGTTTTATTGGCACGCTGTAAATTGGGACATGTATCTATTCAAGAGTCTCAATGAAATCATTGATACACTCGGCTCCAGGATGTCCTGTTAAACTTTGCACCGAGATGTGCATCTGACCAGCCACAGCGGTGTGATAGCCGGGATACAGACACTCATTCATACTACGCTCTGTCGCTCAGACCCACCACACACCGTCAGCTCGGCACTTGATGAGCTATGGATAACGACTCAACGCCGTGTAATCGACAAAGCGCCAGTTGACCTCTGGCTGCTGTTAGATTGCCGTGATCTCGGCGGTTCTCTGTGCCTTTGGCGTGGTCGGGGGCTTGTTGATGTTGGCTGTCTTGGCGGTCACGGATGCCGACATGCTTCTCTGGCTGTCGGTCGTCGAGAACTTGATGTCGCTTGAGAGCAAGTCATGGATATGAACACCAAAGTCGATAAAGACGTTCAGGCGATATGCGTGCGTGAGGCTGTTGAGATGATCGCTGAAAGTGTATGTGCCTGTAACTCCGGCGGCGATATTCACGCAGAAGGCGACAATACTGCTGACAAGGCAGAGTATGACCCAAAGAATATGCTCGTAGACGATAAACCTCTCCTTGCCCTTGCGGATTGATTCGAATCGGATGCGGATGCCCTGGCCAAGCTTCACCAGAAAGTGCAGATCCATGAAGGAGGCAATTGCAATGTATGCGTTGTCTGGGGCAGCCGGGATCATCAGCACAGATATCTCATATCCAGGCCGGCGAAAGCCCTGCATTTCTTTGTGGTTACCCACACCCCTGCCCGAGGTGCGAATGCCCTCGAGGCGTGAGCCCAAACCATGAAATTGACGTGGATAGACGCCATCCTTATCCACCCAGATCTCTCCAAGTCACTTACAGTAGAACGAGAGGAAGGGATTGAGGATGTTGATATAGTATGGAGTTGAAGAGAAGGCAAAGAAGCTGTGATAGATGCCCCAAATGCCAATAAATTCCGAGAGAAGGTTGAAGGCGCAGCAAAGCCCAAAAAATGTCCAAGAGGCAGCCTTGATGATCTTGCGTGTTCGCTGGTTTGAGATCAAGGCACAGAATCTGTGGGTGTTGATGGGGCCAAGTATGCATGAGAATGCATTAGTCTATCTCGCTTGGCAGTGATACAATTGATCATAGTTGAGCAACCGGCACAGTTGGACATGCAGACAAGTGATGGCTTACCGATCCGTAGATTCTAGAGCCGATACAGGTGACCGATAATGCCCCGCAGCGTTTGTGCGAGCCGCCCCGCACCAAGAATGCAAAGTGAGTATGTTGTACATCGAGGAGTGCACAACCACTCCATTTGGCATTCCCATGCCCAGATGAGACCAGGCGCAAGGCGAAACAAGCGACCGTCACTCCTGGTCAGCTCAATTGCATGGCGTGGCGACAAGAATACTGCTGCTTACCAATGATTCCCAGGTAGAGGGAGAAACTTTCCATGCTTATATACGCAGCAATGATGTACTCGTACTGCATCACGTCGTTCTGATTTAGTAACCCTGTTATCGTTATGATAACGAGTATGCTCGACAATATGAGAATGCCGATATCGAGCCACACGATCTTGAAGATGAATTTACGATGGAGCTGGTGTGCAATCAGCTTGGTAGCCGCACTGATGCACAGGCTCAGGATCATGAAGTTAAGTCCAAGGGAGAGCGACCACTGCGTCTGAGGATTGGGAGGGCCCATGATGATGGATGGTGATCACAAAAGCGAACCGGCAAAGATAACGGGATGGGATAGGGAGTGGGGTGATAAAGGCGACCAGGTCGTGCTAGATGAAATCGGTGGGGTTGCGAAGGCGAGGGCCAAAAATGGCAGCTAAATACCCCTCATAACCAACCACAGGCGTCTCAGTCGCACTGGAGGATCAGACGAGACCATATGTGTTGTCTCAAAGGCCCCAGAGTCACCAATTGGATCAGCTGGTGCATTGATGCAGACTTGTGCAATATGTGGACTCCATATGAACTGCAAACCGGACATAGTACGAATGACGAATCCTTCGGCGTGGCAACGGCAACTATTGCAACATCGCTCTTTCAGCTGAGACTGAATGAAGGAGCAAGCAGACCTCATTCACCAATCAGCATGTCCGCGGTGAGCAGTTGCAGGAGGATGCGACCGCCTGTCCTCCTTCGGACTGATCGATGTCTCCATCAAACAATGGACACGAGGCAGTTCATTGTTCATGGGTCATATCTCAGGTCCACTTTGCACATTTGACCGCTCAGCAGCACCATATGTTGCTCGATGGCAATGGATGACTTTCGGCGAGATATTTGATGCCGAGACCCTCGATGACGTCACCCGCTGCAATATGTTCGCCACGCACAATGGCCATACCTTATTCTCCCGAGTTCTCATCGAAACCATGGGATGCTATGGCTCGGCTTGCAGGCGATCCAATAAAAAAACGGGACTCCCTGGTTATTGACCATGCTGGCTTCCAGACAGTAGCTTCTCTCGGCGAGCTGCAGCGTCTATTACGTATTTTCTGAAGCCGGGACGCAGTCCAATTTCACGCGAATGTGCGTGCAGTAGCAACCCGCGTCCATTTGCAATAAAGCTGATCTCCGAGCAAGGACCGCGGGTCGCTCTCCGGTCCACAATCGCCCTGCACCCAGTGATTAAGTTGCGCCCGCATGAATGTCATGATACCACGCGTTCATGGCCAGCCCGATATTCGGTCGTTTATCACGAACCGGGTGTCCTGGTTTTAACTGCCACGACTGTTAACCCAGCGAGACGCCTTTGATGGAGACAGGATATTCTATTCTCTAAATCCTGAACATGAAGCGAATACACGACCCATCTCTTTGAAGCTCAAGCATCTCGACTCCTGAGTCATTGCACTTGATCGCGCAGCTTATCTCTCGCTTTGGGTGCGCGACTGCAGACGGCGATCCACTATGAAATTCAGAGTGGAGGTCAGATGAAGTACCGGACACAGTTGACACAATCGACACAAGTGGTACGCACCGTATTCCGCAAGGCAGTTTGCAATTCCAAAATGCGTCTGTTGGATGCGGTACATGCTGTTTTCGTGGTAGTGAAGCGTCACAATGAACGTGTCGAACCACATCAAACTGCAGCCCAGGTTCTGGACAGCGGCAATATCCTCGTGTCGCAGCGTTCCAACCATTTCCTGCAGAAGTTCCTGGAAGTTGCGATTGCGGCCACCTTGCTGGATAGATGTCGTTGTCAATTATCGGCGCATTATGTTTCGGATTGGCGATGCCGTCAAGCGATACATGCACTCATGCATATCCACGCGCGTGCAGTCGTCTCCTGCAGCAGACTCGGGAGTACCTGGGCAATCAAGTGGCTCATATCCTGTCGCTGCTTCTTGAGAAAGAGGTCACGCTTCATCAGCTTTTTCTCACGGCGCTTTCTCATCTGGTCCAGCCGGTCGGCTTCGGTAGCGTCGTCGATGTTCTGGTGCCGGCAGATTGAAACAGTCCATCAGCATATGCAGTCGCGAGTGCCATATCGATTGAGATCCAGGGCCGAGCCAAGGTCCCGGTCTGGCTCGCACAGCCCGAGGACAGCGATCAAACGGAAACGGTGCTTGAACTCACCTGACACACGACCGCAATGAAGAGGTTCGAAATAATAAAGTTGCCGATGAAGATGAATATGACGGTGAAGGCTTGACTGCCGGTATACCCCGCGCTGCTGAGGTGCTCCTGATACGGGAGCCATCCATCGGCCTTTGAATTGGGCGAGTGTACAAGGAAAAGTCGATATGAGACGAGCCGAATCAGGGCCGTTGCGTATCTGACGCTGGCATGGTACTGGATTCCCAGATCGATAGAGGTTCGTTGGGACGACCGCCGGATTGCTCAGCGCCAAAAGCTCACCACAGACTCCCAACACCTACGCAGACATAGATCCAGAGCGTGAGCAGAGAGCTGCCCATGGAGCCCCAGTCGCCGGGCACGCCACTGCTGAAGAGGTAGTGACCCATAACTCCGAATATAAACATGATCATCAGCATCAACACTATGATGTCTGCAACGTTGTTTCGCAGGGTGTTGACCAGAGCGTCGGAGACAACCTGAAGGCTCTGGATGCGGCCAACGATTCGCAGGCCACGAATCGCACGGAGACCTGCCCTTTCGAATGGTTAGTGAGTCGCAGCGTGCCGGTGATCGCAGGGGCGACAAGCAAGAATCAAGTCACTTGGATCATTAGATCTCGTACCCTGCACCAACTTGAGCCCTGTCAGCGTGATCGACAGCTGGTCCGTGAAGATTCCGACTATCCACTGAGCCAGAGCCAGCACCAAGACGAGCACGTCAAACTGGTTGTAGAGGTTGGCCCAGTAGCTCCATGGCTCCGAGTATATCTTCAAGAGAAACTCGGCCAGATAAATGCCGATAAAGACCAGATTGGCACAAGCCGATGCCCGCTGGATGGCGAGGCTGTTGTCGACGTTGATGAACTCTGCCTCGATCGCGATGAAGAGCATGTTCAGGATAATGACGCCCAAGCTGAACCCTTGCGAAAATGGGGACTGCAAGCCGGCAGAACAGAGACCGGAAGGGTGAGTGGTGTCGGTGCTGTTGCTCGGCCGATATGGCGTCCTCTATCTCCAGCGGGTTGCCACGAGGAATGGCTGAGTGAACGACATTCATACATGGACAACATTCCGCACAAAGTCGACTGCCGAGCGGCCTTGTTTCCGTTTTCTTTTTCGGCCTGTTCTGGTCGGTCGGCTATGCCATCCAGCCATCCGGCCATCCAGCACATCGATGAGATGTCAGTCGGTTGGCGCAAAACAATAGAGCCAGCGAGAATGAGGATCGGCAGAGCATCCTGATGTCAACTACGACGGCGTTGCCCAGCCGCCCCATCCGCTTCGCCCTGTTTTCGTCGCTCGTGCTGACCGGTTCACGAGCGGGCTCTTGTCAACTTCGGAATACAGCTCGCTTGCCTTGGCGGCAGCCTTTTTGTCTGTCCAGAGGGAAACTGGGGACAGAAGCAGCCGGGCCAAGGGTCAGAAAATCGGTGTTCGAAGCGCAGACGCCAGCAGGCATGGTCGACGAGGCAATACCCGATCGGATGCTCATTGCAACGGGATCGCGTTTGATGTCGACGACGCCGCGGTCGTGAGAATCGCTCGGCGGCCGTGCGAATCATTTGGCATCCCGAGAGCGGGCATGGAACCGGTCATGGCGCCAAATGCCTCGGATTCCAGTGTGGGTGCCATCCCAGTCGATGGCGGTGCGATCGTGGCAGTGACCAGAGGCATTCGCCGGCCAGTTCCCAGAGCGATCCTTTATTGCAATTATTCTGTCAGGCAAGGCCGTTCAAGGCCTATGCATTCGATTGTGAGCGGGACTGACCCGTTTCGCGACTGGGAGGGTGAATGCAAGAGTGAACGTATGTATATTTGAAAAAAAAAGAACGACCAGTGCCTTCGAAAACAGGGTGTCCCGTTTGTATCATCGAGTCATCCAATCTCATTCATGGAGCGGGGCCTCGCAGTTCCCCTCTCTCCGGGGCGGATCGCTTCAGATCGCTGGCCGCCGGGCGGGGCAGGTCCCGGCGTGGTCGAGGAACGAGCACGTCTACTGCTGCTGCTGCTGGTAGTTCGAGGCACTAAAGACCGACTTGCCAACCGTCTGGAAGAGCCGCTCAATCTCCGGAGCACACCGGATGAAGCCAGAGTGTGTCCAGAAACTGTAGCGCGGATTGCGGAGCAGCTCGATGAAGGTCACCAGGATGCCGTAGGGGTGGGGGCGGTTGGCGATGAGACGCTCCAGGAGGACGCTATCGGAAGAATCAGAGGGCCAGCGGGATCAGTACGGCAGATGAGTTTCCAGCCCGTCGATCCGAGCGCCAACTCAATCAGGGGAGGGCTCGTCGGCGCACTTGTGCTGCTTACCGAGTGATTTGCTCCTGGATAATCTCCTCCGAGGCCTCGGCAAACAGGAACAGCATCACACAGCTAAAATAGTGGGTATGGCTGTTGGGGTACCGCAGCTGGTTGGCAATGGCGCTGAAGAGAAGATATCGGCCTGGAGAGAGCGCCCGTGTTAGAGTGCGTCAAAGAGCATATTTTCAGCAGCATGCTGTGGGGGCGGGGATTGGTAGTACATGGGTGGCAGAGTGGTGGATACATGGAGGAGGTACATGGGAGGTAGATGGAGGCAGATGGAGGTAGATGGAGGTAGATGGGGGTGGATGGATGCATCTACATGCTTTGCATGGCAGGCAGTGCTGCGACACCATACCTTCGGTATCCAGATCTGCAGCCAGATGCTGGAAAATGTCCAGGGGCGCACCGGCGGTGAATTGCTGGCTGACAATAACGGACTGCTTGCCGGCCAGAGAAGCGATGGCGTGGGTGCCCACCAGGAGGACGAGAGCATTGATCACCGGGATGTTGTATCGGCTGCTGTCCAGATCCGAGGCGCTGGGCGGGGTCGTCCGCAGCAGCTTGCTCTGCAGGTCAATCAAGAACGACGTAGGGGAGCGGTTCTTGAGATAGGTCTCAATCTCCTGCTTGAAGTTGTTGGGGAGCAGGTTTGCAGTGAAGTCGGACATGATGTGAGGGTGCTGGTGAACCTCGGGCAGCTGATCGACCTTGAGATTCGGCGTGAAGGGGTCCGGCAGACGCATGTTCCGCGGGAAGGCACTGAGGATCAGGTTTCGCAGCTGGATGCAAGAGTGAGGGATCACATCGACAAAGCTGAAGTGATAGCCGCAGAGGAACTCGGGAAAGTCATGCAGTAGAACCAACAGCACTCGCAGCGTGCCCTTGTACAGCAGCCGGATGGTCTCGGTCAGCTCGTTCTGCTTGAGGAAAGGGCCGATGAACATGAACAAGTCCACCAGCAGCTTCTGGACCAACGGCCAGCCCTGAGACAAGACAAACGTGGCGTCAGTTGCGGCCCGATGATCGCCGAGAACAAGTGGTCTGTGCAAGCGGAGGAGCAACAGTCTCGCGAGATACGAGTGCACGAGGGCCGTCAGCACACACCTTTTGATTCTCCGCCAGAAGCAGTCTGGACATGAAGAAGCGGTGCGAGATCAGTTGCAGCCAGGAGAAGGCGAAGCCTGGGAGGAACTGTGGCCTCAGGGTATGGAACGTATTACTGGATGGGACAGAGAGGCAATGTGAGCGGGCAAAATCAGTCAAGCGGACACACACGAGGGATGTGATCCACATATCGCCGCCCGACAGACGAAGGCCCACCATCCTGCGCTTCGACACATGGCCCACACGCATGATGAGTGATGGGAGGGGGGCATTTGACGCAGCTCCATTAGCACGGCCGCTGATGCGAGGATGCAACCACATACCTCATAGCAGACAGGATCTGGAACGAAATGACTTGGAACTGCGACTCAAACACATTGATGTCGTTCAACAACATCGAAAATAGTCTGAAGAAAGGTCGCTGGTTGAAGTGGTTTCTTCTTTGCTCGTGGCTGTGGACGAGGACAAGGACGATGATCGAGAGGATCTTGGTCATCAGCGCCAGGCGGCCGGTGTTGACGCTGCCGGCACCAGACGCGGGCACTTCCTGATCGCGGATAAGTAGCACGATCATGCGAGCGAGAGCGTCGACACCCTGGTATGCCAAGTGGTGCGAGCCGTTGGTCGAGCGGTTCTTGATGTAGCTCTCGACGCTGACTTCGGTGCAGACACGGAAGAACAGGTAGAACAGGTCGTCGTTCTTGAGGATGCCCTGCTGCTGCAGCTGCGTAATGAAGGCGGCGGAAGCCTTGTCGTTGGAGCCAGGGAAGTGATACAGGCGCACCCACTCGGTGAACAGCATTGTGAACTGCTCACGCAGCCGGAGGGTCTCGCTGTCCTCTGGCGCGAACTCCTTCGAGATGGCGCCTCGCTTCTGCAGTTCCGCCATGAGCCGCGACACGCTTTTGCGGCGATTTCAGCGATGGAGTCCAGAAACACGGGAGAGCAAGGCCAGATACGGGGGGGCAATACACAAGTACGGGTGGCAAGAGGCAAGCGGTTAGAAGGCAAGCAAGGAGCACATACTGCCCGGACACGATCGCCCCCGCATCAGCAGTATATCGCTCGGGCATCGCAAACGCGGGCAGATACCTTTCGGACGATTTGCTGCGCTGGCTTTTGTAGAGGGCATCGATGGACGAGAAAAAGTCGTGGTAGGTTGCAACAGGGGCAGAGTCGTCGGCGATACAAACGCGGATGAGTTCGGCAGTGAAATCGATGGCGGTGGCGCGGCCGGACTCGATGAATCGCGACAGCTGCACGTCGAGCTCGCCCGTGTTGAGCATGCGCTGCTGGATCAGCGCCACGGTAACAGGTACATTGAACTTTCGCTGAGCGGCGAGGCGGGGAGAGAGCGGGTGTCAGTATCCAATTCGACCATGTAACACTGCAGCCGAAACATAGGCTCGGGTGCCTTGAGGATATCGGGCCCCACCTCGTCGTCTGCGTAGAGCAGCCAGGCGCTGACTTCCTTTGCGACTCGCTTCGATAGCTCGCACAGCCTCTCCAGCAGATAGATGTTGACCTCGCGCGAAAGGCTCGAGTCGCTCTTGTAGAGAAGCTGGACCACCTTCTGGGAGAAGACCAGGGCGATTTGATCGCGTTCGTATGACTGAACGACGATGTGCGGGATCTGTCGCAAGAGCAGGCGAATATCATGATGTGCGGGGAACGACCCCAGAGAGGCTGATGGCGTTTGCATGATGATTTTGCTGAGCTCGGCAATCATGGTCTGCGTATGCGGGGTGCAGCAGAGTGCGAGCGCCGAAGACAACAGGTGTTAGCAGATAGAAGATGGTGACTGCGAATCAAGCCTCACTCGTCGATTGGAGAGCGGGGGGTGCTCGGAGCGACCAGGATATGACATACCGAGAATCTCTCCTGGGCTTGCTGGGCATTGAGCGGGGCCACATCATCGTAAGGAGCGCTGGCCGTGTACGTATCCACGACAGGCACAGCACTGACGTGCTGCTGGGGACGCATGCTCGCCGGGCTCATGCCTTTGCCGGTGGCGGGGGGGATTGCGGCCGATCGAGCACAGCGGAAATAGTGGCGGAAGCAGAGACGCGCAGAGTGGATTAGAACGGGGTCAAAGTGGAGGGCAGGCTGACATATGTTCCACGCGACCAAGCGGCGTTCTAACATCGGTGTACGCCGGATGAGAGCGCCGACAGCTCATCCAAACACCTCCAAAATGGACATACCCTGAGCAGGCGCAAACGCGCGAGGAAGGGGCCGAGCGAACTCTTCGTACACGCGCATTTGCTGAGGGGTGAGACCGCCGAGCTTTGGTCGAAGCATGTCGGGCAGCGAGGCCAAGTATCGAGACGACGTATACACAGCCACATCATAGTAGGGCTGCGTCGAGCGCTGTGATACGGACAGGTCGAAAGTTGCAGCGGCATCAGCAAGATTGGGCCGTGATGCATCAGCACTGCTTCGGGCGGCGGGGGGGGGCGGCCTATGGTCGCAATAGGCTGGCCGAATCAAAGTCCACACATACCTCACGATGCTTCCGGCGGTTATGATACGCGGCGCTGAGCCCATCGTCGATGTCCGGGATGGCCTTCTCGGCTGCCGTTTTTTCAATGACGGAGCATGCCAGATCCAAGTTGTCCGCGACCGTGACATAGATGGCCTGGTCGGGGACGCTTTGCTGTCGCCGCCAAGAGGATCGGTCGTGCGGCGATTAGCGGCGACCACGTGTGCTTTGCAACGCAGCCATCGGCAGCCACAGTGCAAGCGAATGATATGCACCATACCTCGGCAAAGCCAGCCTGGGCGAGAAGGAGACGCATGTTCTGCATCATGCTCATTTTCAGCGGCTCGCGGCAGGTGACAGACGCAAGGCTCCCTGTGTGCCAAAAGGTTGAACCAACGCGCATTTAGCAGCCCGCTCGAGGTGCGAAGCTTATGCCAGCCCACTGACAAGGCGCAATATGCGGGCGCCGTGATACTGACCAGCAAGGTTCTGAACAATCATGTGACCGGCTTTGCGCATCTTATCCTCGTTCGGCTCAAAGGCAAAGTCCTTGACGACCAACTCGCGCGTCGCAATGCTTGCGATCGTGACGCTGCGCTCCACAACCGGCAGGATGATCTAGGATGCATACACAAATGATAGTCAGCCCCATGTAAAGCGACAATGCCAGTAGACAGGGGATGCGGCGGACTTGTGCGTGCGATCAAGAAGAGTAGTTACCTCGCGGATGGCCCGATCCATCGCAATATAAACGATGCGCTTGAGCGTCGCCTCGGGCAGGTTGAAGAAGCCGGCGCCATGATTGAGAGTAATGTAGGCAGCCAGATGTGGGAATCCACCCGCGCTCTCCTCCTCTTGAGAAACGTAAGCGAGAAGGCGTAATGAGACAATGTGCAGAGGGCGAGACAACGATCAGGGGGGAGACGAGCCGACGACCGGCGGCAGAGTCCACCATCGAACACACTGCCGAAACAACAGCCGACAGGGCGTTGTAGGATGCTTGCACTCGTGTCCGTACCCGCGTTGCTCATCTGGGGTGCATCGGGGATGGCTGAGCCAGTGCTGGTGGGCGCCCGAGGGACGGCAGAATCGAGTGGAGCAGCACTTGCACCGTTGGGCCGAGGCGCAGTGTATGGCATAGCCGCCTGGCCCGAGCGGATCGGGCGGCCCTCGAGAAGCGACGTGGGTGTGATTTCTGCACGAATGAAGCGGGGGGGGGCATTAGATACAACGATGGCGCTCTGTGCATGCACATCCATGGTGCACGAGGCGATACACAATGCCGGGACTGACCTTTGATATCCAACTTGATGCCGAGCTTGTTGCACAGCACCTCGATCTCGAATTTGAGATTGAGTTTCAGGTCAGCAAAGTAATAAAGCTCCGAAAGAAGCTTCATGATCGCCATGAACCACGGATTGGGCGGTCGGAAGACGGTGCTGTACATGACTTGCTCCAGAACTTTGCAGACAAACGGAATGACGACAATCAGGCGGTTGTGGTCGTATCCCTCGAGCAGAAGATCCTGTGAGCCGCCAAGGAATCGAAAAGGGAAGATAATTTGTCAGCGAGAAGCCAGAACTCGACAGGGCGCTGTGGGCTGATACCCCGACCCCAGCGCCGAGTGAGAAAGATGCTTATGAACATTGCCGGCCGTCTGAGACAGCCAGGGTCCACTAAAACGCAAAGCAGATAGGCACGATGCGACAGACCTTGAAGGCAAGATGCTTGTGCTTGATGGGAATGTTCTTGGCCAGCGTGACGCCGCCGAGCCAGAATCCCAGGTTCTTGAGCAGGGTTCGCTCGGAGGAGGATGTGACGGTCTTCTCCGAGTTCAACAAGACACGGATGTTTGAATAGGTCTCCAGCAGAATGTGGCGGTCAAGTAGAGGACAGGCCAGATAGTCCAGGAAGCGGATGTAGAGCTTGTGGTTGTTGGGCTCAATCGAGGCGCGCTTCACAACGAGATAGTGGCTGAACCACCGAAAGTACCGCTCATGCAAATATTCACGGATTTCGGTATACTTTTCTTCCATGTTGGACTCGACAATGTTGTTGACGATGAAGAGGATCTTGTCCTGGACGGCTTCGGGCGGAACCTCCGAGAACTGCTCGCTGTTGATGATCAGGGACTCGATCCGCAGGGCAGTGAACACCACCGGCTCCTCCGGTGGCTGATCGGCAGCGATGCCATTTGCAATGTCCTTGGGCAGCTCGTCCTTGGCTTTGGTGTCCATCAGCTGGCCAGTGAGATCCGTGATTCCACCGGGAACGACATTGGCAGGATTGGACAACGTGCTGATTCGCTGGATCAGATCGGGATATCGCTCGTGCAGATGGGGGATTTGAACCAGCAGACCGCAGTACTGGGGCCACTCGGCCAGCCGACTCTCGAACTGCAGTAGCGCGTTCATTCCAAAGGTGAAGAGCTTGGAGTTGATGGGCTGCCGCAGGCCGTCAAGCACATAGCGCAAGGCAATGCCGAGGGCCATCGAGTTGACAATCTGGTGCCGGATCAGCGAGCCAAACAGGCAGCTGGTGATCAGCAGCGCCTTGTCGGGGTACTCGGCAAAGAACTTGTACTCGCCAAAGAGGTTTTGGATCATGCACTTGAACACCTCCTGATCGCGCGGGTTCGCCGAGCCCTTCAGGCCCTGCAGCAGGTCGATTGTCTGCGGGATCGACATATCGCCCTTGAAAATGCGGTTGTAATAGGAGCTTGTCTCGTCCTCGACATCGGGGGAGAAAGTGCTGGCATCCAGAGAGCCGCCGGGGACAATCGACTCTTCGGGCGGTGCGGCAAGAGGCACAATGCGGGGGTACAGCTGAGCGCCAAGACTGAACACGTTTCGGAATATCTCGGCGTTTTCAGGAGACATGGCACTCAGCGAGCTGAGGACCCGGAAGTAGGTCGTCACTACCTCGACCGAGAGAGGGACAGAGACGGGCGGATGGGTGCTGCCCTCCTGCCTCATGCTCTGGATCGTGAACTTTTCGTTGAGGAACTCCAGACAGGCGCGGACGAAGAGATCCCCGTCCTCACGGATGTGGTCGAGCAGCCATTTTTCAAAGTTGAGATAGTCCCGGCGAGAAGCGAGCGAGGCCAAATCCAGTGCGAACGGATAGGACTTTGTTTCCAAAACTTGCGACAGAGACTGCCAGAGACAAGCGAGGCCAGGATACACAGTGAATGCAGTATGTCAGTCTCTCGAATGAGCACCGGATTTATAGCCATCATACAACGACAGCAATCGCATGGGGTAGCAGAGCCGCGCGCTGGTGCCCGCCAAGGAAGTGTCGGGATCGGTGGGAGGCCTACCTTGGTCTCCTGGGTCACGTCCAGGATCCGGGACAAGAGTGCCGGGTCCTTCGAGTACAGAAGCAGCAACCCGTTGATGACCAGGGACTGCGACGCTTGCCAGACACGCGGCAGCACCGCCGCAGAATTCACATGTCCGGCCAGGAACATCAAGGCCAGGTTGGAGCTGAAATCCTTGGTCAGAGTTGTCCATGGTGGCTGGGGCGAGATGAAGCAGTTGGGATGCGGGGCGAATGAGCTGATGACAGACGCTCAAAGAGCAGCGGGAGCAGCTGCACGAAGAGCGTGGGGTGTGGGGAAAAAAAGGCAATGCTTACAGGGATCTGGGAGAGAGCAATCAGGAGCACTTCGGGCGATTGGGTCGCGGCCTGGTCCAGAACCAGCTTGACTTGCTCTGATAGTCCATCTGCCTCCACAGCCGAGAGCCGGCAAAGGCTCTCAACGACATCCACGCTATTCCAGATCGAGTTGGTACTGAAGGGCAAAGCAACGGGCAGGGCCTCAAAGACAATCGCTTTGCGCAGAGGGAGCTTATTCATGGTGACGAGAACAGGGTGGTTCTCAATGAGCTCTTTGAGGAAGCCAAACTGTGCCTGGGGATTCTCCCAGGGTTCCAGAAACGCTGCCAGAGGGAATTCGGAGGAATCCTGAGGAGGGACGTCACGAAACAGAGACAGCCGAGGCAGAAGATGATGTTGGGTCAGCATTAACAGCCAAAGCACAAACAGGATGAACCACGCTTTGCGATCGAGCACGTCGCAGGCGAGGGAAGCGGCATGCCAAAGTCGCAACACGGCAGTTTCTCTGACGATCATGTGTTGACGCAGGCTGTAGAGGCATCGCCGGTATACGCGACCTTACCCCAACGCCGGTTCTGATGGCATTCACAATCAGGTTATATCCGCCTGGCGATACACTATCCAACTCGGGAGAATCAAGCGCACGGCCCAGCTTTATCCAGTCAATGTCGACACCCTGGATAAGGATCGGGATGGCTTAGCAGAGGACATTCGCGGCTGTGCCAGATTTGCATGTTGCTGACAACACATCGTAGCGGGGAAATATGCTCGGAAGACATCCAAAGGGCAGGGTCGGGCTAGGTACTCACGAGAGAGACCGCGTTGGTAATGACGCGGCTGGCGTCCCATGTGGACGGGGCTTCGTCCGGCAGGTCAGCAATGATAGTCGATGCCAGCGAGAGATCGGATGAAAGCCCATCGACGGTTTGCGCCATCATTCTCAGGACGGATGCGATGTGCGATTCAGAAAAAGTTTCGCTGGCGTTCGAGGTGGATATTCCGGCGTGTTGGAAAACGGACTGGAGAGAGTCATCGGAATAGGTGGAGACATATCCCAAGTCCTGCAGGAGCTTGGATATGCTAACGTTCGCATCGATTTCCGACCTAGATCGACACGGAAACCAACAGGATCAGAAGGGATCAGATGACTGCCGAGCGGATGCCGGAGAGGGGATATTGGAGAGCGGATGTTGGAGAGCAACAAAGCCTCAAGAAAGGCGCGGAAGAACCCCTCAGGGAGCGCTTTCGAACGTACGCCCAACAGCAACAGCGATAAAACAATGCAATCGACATTCATCGTAGCATGGCGGTGCATCGAGGCGATACCGTGCTCGAGTCAAGGGCACATACATTTTGGATGCAGCTTCGATCAATGAAAATCGGTCAGAAGAGTCCAGGCGAGGAGATGAGTGCTTTGGGATCAAGCCCAGATTGGACGATACGATGATGAAAAAGACACCGAGATGGAGCGAGCTATAGGCCGAATCGTCTCGGATCTCGATACTAGCCGAGGTGGTAAGAAAGTTTCTACAGATTAAGAGAGCTGATGGGGTGGCAAGTCGAAGCACAAGTCACCGTTGGGCGGGATAGGTTGCAGGAGACCCAGGCCACCACCCCGTTGGGACAGAGGAGCAACAGAGACATTAGCGGCGAGCGATGGCGACAAGACACAGCCGTCTCCTTGCTCTGCGATGGACCGTTTCCCATGTCCGGGATGCGGGCAGTGGACCCAGATCTAGATCAGGCTCTGAGCCGGGCACTGGATGGAGCGCTGGTTCTGGATCTAGATCTGGGCCAAAGCCAAGATCTGACATCTGGACCTACCCTCTTTGCTAAGATCGGGATGGGTGAGGAGAGCAAGACCCGTCGAAAGTAGTCTCTTTGAGGTGGAGCCTGATTGCAAGAGTCCAAGAACCGTCGATTCGGAAAGGCGGATGCGCTGGGTCGGGTGGAAGGAGGCGACTGGCAGAGAGGGACGCGGCTGCTGGTCGAACCACGACGAGTACAGAGGATGGGTTTGGGGCAGGTACGAGTGCGTAAAATTCTGTGGATGGATGGTTCGAGAAATGCGTACGTAGGGTGGAGAACGCAAACGAGAGCGAGAGGCGGTCAGCGGCGAGCCGTCAGCGCATGGATCGATCGGACACGAGGAAGTGCCATCGTCGGACTGGAACGAGGAGCCTGCGATCAAGTGCCGTGGACGATGACGGAGATTGAACTTGGCTCCTGGGTATCCGTGGCGCCTGCGATTCTGACTCTGGAAGAAGACGGCGACACTCTGCAGCCGACACAGGGACCCGGACGACACAGCCACGCCCTGCGGGACTGTCGTGGGCTAGATCACCCTTACCAAGCAAGATTCGATGTCCTTGATGTACAGGACGTTCGAAGCCAGGTGGCGACGCTTGAGGGAGTGCGGATAGAAAGGGGAACAATCGATGGAAGGTAGCAAAGGACAGGGGTCTGTAGATGCCTGATCCAGCAAATGCATTAAGGTGAAGGGACTTTGGAAAGCAATCGCAGCTGCTTATGATCCAGACGAGACAGAGTGAAGGACCCGAGGCCACCGGAGCAAGTCAGAGGCCTTCGAGGACCTGGCGAAGGCGAGAGAGGGGCGACGGAATAGAGTGATCCAGACAGAGCAGTGGTGGTGGAGATGGGAAGAGGAGGCGGCCGAGCCAGAGGGAGGGGTAATGGGAACACAGACGGATGCGACAAATAGATGCGTATGAGCTGGATGACCGAGGTATATACAGATGCGCGGAGGGCGGCGGTAGAAGCGACCCGGAGGAAAGAGGCGAGTTGCCGCTCAGCCAGCCCAGCAGACGGGGGGCGACAAGAGCAGGTGGGGTGGGGCCAGGAGTGGCAGGCGAGGCGAGCAGACAAACACCCGAGGGGCCGGAGGCAGCGGTCGGTTGGAGGAGAAGGCTCGAAAAAAAGGCAGCAGGACCGGCGGGCAAAGGCAAGTGGGAGGGCGATCAGGAGAGCGAGCGAGAACGGCCGAGAGCGGGCGAGAGCAGCCGAGAGCAGCCGAGAGCGGGCGAGAGCGCGCCAGAGACGGGGCGAGGGGCGAGAGAGGCAGAGGCGGGTGGATCGAGCCACACGCCCCTGGCTCGAGCCAAGCGTAGTCGCGCACCCTGGCCCGAGGCGGCATGAGCCCGGACATGCGCACGTGACGGCGCGATGCACTCGATCCGCCCGCACTCGATCCGCCCGCACTCGATCCACTCGATCCGCCCGCTTTTCTGCGTTTTCGCACAACCACTGTGTCTGTCCGCTCCCTGTCGCTTGCCTGCCTCCCTGTTCTCCATCTCCCGCCGATCTCCCCGTCGATCGGCCGCCATCCGAGCCGACGCATCGTCCTCCTGGGCAGCGGATGTCTTGGTACTCTGCTTCTGACTCGCCACCACCCAACATCGCCTTTGGCCGTCTTCGCTCTGCCCTCTTGCTTCTGGATATCCCCTCTGTTCCCACCGCTATCCTGAACTATCGGCCTGTTTCATCAATCACCTTCGTCCGCCGGCACAACAAGCAGCCCATCGCCTCCTCAAAGCTCCTATACAATGCCGATAGCCACTCTGAGTAAAACCCTCCACTTTGGCGAGCTCACACCCGACGACCTCCTTGGGGTTCTGCCGGAATCCGACATCATCAGCGCCTTTGGGGTGAGTCTCGTTACTGTGTCGTCACCACACCAGAGCCTCGGGATTGATCCGACGCCCGGCCGTCTTGCACATTTGTCTCGTTTCCCATTTATGGATTTGCACCTTTTTTTTTTACATTCGTCCACGATGATACCAGTCAAACACGACTTTTGAATCTCGTCGTTGTGGATCATGTTCACATTTGGCCTTGTTGCTCTCCACATCTCCGCGATCAGCATGACTGTGCCATGCAGCCCAGCTGCCGCAGCTGCCGCAACTGCCCACCGCGGTTTGTGGCATAGCACTGTCTCTTCACTCGCTGATCTGTATTGGCTGTCGCCATCTATTTCTCAGGGATCATGGGAGGTACCGCCATCAACATGCACGCTCGATCTCGGTCCCGAAGCGTCGTCATCACCGTCACCACTGTCGTCACAACCAAACCCAGCGTCGTCCTCACCGTCAATACCGCCGCCATGCGAGTCAACCCGGTCATCCCGTCCTTTAGTTCCCAAACCATCGCCAGCTCCTGGTCACAGCCCGTTAGCCCATACCACTCCCGATAATTCTCACACCGACTCTACTCCCAACGGCGTTCACCCAAAACCGGATCACCCGACCACGGAAACGACTGGCTCGATATCACAACCCCCGGCCTCCTCAAAACGATCAACCTCTCCCTCCTGCTCTATGGCTGCACCTTCCTCGAATGCTGGCACCGAAATACCTTCTACCCAGGAAGCAACCGCTTCGTCTGGCCAAGGTGAGCACCGTCTGGAACCACTTGGTGCTGTCCGGTACTGCCAAGGGCGGTCCTCTGGACGACTACAACTCTAAGCAAGTGCGACATGGTCTGGAGCTGTAGCATATCAGCACTCGGTCCACAAGCACTAACCGATCCGTGTGCCCCTGCAGAACCGCAACCAGAGTCGATCATCCGGAATCCGCCTGCAGCATCCCCTGCCCCTGTTGTTTCCAAGCCTGCGCCCCCAAAGGTCTGGGCCGACCTCCTGCGATCCTCCAATGCTGGCCAGTCAGGCCAATCTGGTATCGTTTCGATCACAAACGGCATCGATAAGAGCCGGAATGGCTTGGGCAAGAAGGACGCTGGTAAGCAGCACTAGTCCGTTTCTGATAGCGCTCATGCTACGACACTGTTGCCCCGCAAACTCATCCAACTGACTGCATCGGAGCTCATGTTCGTGCTCACTCTCCCCGTCTCCAGCCGGTCGCAAGCCCGTCAAGACCCTCACCATCCCTCGCGGCTTGATCAACAGCGGCAATACCTGCTGGTTCAATGCCATTCTGCATCCCCTCGTGCACTGCCCGCAGTTCAAGCAGATCTTGAAGCACCACGTCAAGTTGGTCAAGCCCTCGCCGGTCCCCGACTACCCGCTCCTCCACGCCCTCTCAGATTTCATGGCCAAATTCCCGACGTCGTCTGTGGCCGACGAGGCTAGCAAGGATGACCCCAGCTTGGCCGAAATCGGCGATGCCTTTGTTCCTGAGGATGTCTACAGCGCCTTGAAAACCAAGATTGAGTCGATGCGTGGCCACCAGGAAGATGCCGAGGAGTTCCTTGGGTTTATTCTCGACGGACTCCACGAGGAACTGGTGGCTCTGGGTGAGAAATCTGGGAAGCCCCTCGAAAGAGCCGAAAAGGATGCCTGGACCGAGGTCGGACCCAAGAACAAGCCCCAGACGGTCCGGAAAATCGGAAGTAGCGAGAGCGCCATCACGCAGCTCTTTGGCGGCAAGCTGAGATCCATCATCAGCTACCCCGGCGCAAAGAACAACCCGATTCTGGAGCGTTTCCACTCCCTCCAGCTGGAAATTTCGGGGCCCAAGATCTTCCACCTGCACGACGCCCTCCGCAACCTCACCGCCTCCGAGATCCTGGACGAGTACGTGTCATCGACCAAGGGACGCAAGCTTGACGGGGTGACCAAGCGAATCCTGATCGACTCGACACCGCCCGTGCTCATTATCCACTTCAAGCGCTTCGTCTTTGACAACTGGACCCCCGTGAAGCTCTCAAAACATGTCTCGTATCCTCTCACGCTGAAGCTCACTCCAGGTAGGTTTTGCGCCGAGTCTCGGTCTCAGTCTTAGTCGAAAGCGATGGCGTATTGAGTGAGCAGCGGCCTGGGCGGCCTGGGCGTCGGCGATCGCGATATAAGACGATTTGAAGAATCTCGCCCGGTAGGACCGCGTGCCTCCTGAGATCGAGCAACGACTGACGCCAGCACTGGCTCCACCTATTGCTGCCGGAATTACACCAGATATCTTGTCGCCCGGATGGTCAGAGGCCCTGCCCGAGTATCAGCTGTTTGCCGGTACGTTGTCCTCGCCCGCTCGTGCTCTGTCGTGTTGTGTCGTGCTCTGTCATGCTCTGCCGTCTGTGCAACTAGTCTGACAATACCGCCATCGCCCCATCACCCCATCGTGTCGCCCATCGTCCTCCTATGAAGTCATCTATCACCACGGCCAGTACACCAACGGAGGGCATTATACCTGTGACGTCATGCGCGAGTATGGCGACTGGCTGCGAATGGATGACGAGCTCGTCACGTTCATCACCGCGGACGAGGTCTGTGAAGAAAAGCCCGATCGACAACCGTACTTGCTGTTCTACCGATCAAGCAAATAAGCCCATGCCCAAGCGTGCGCCGCACTTCCCCCCCCCCATTCTCTGGGCGAGATGTGTCAGTGGGCATGTCTCCACCCGCTCGCTCGCTCGCTCGCTCAGCCCTTTTCCTCGCAAACTGTCATCCCTATTTTTATCGACTCCTGTGCTTCTCTCGCCCGCATTTCCACCGCCGCTATTGCCGCCATTCCCCACCATAAGCTTCTCCCCTCGCTTCGTGCCCCCCCCCCAAACGTGAATATAATGCAGTTTACAGCGTTTCCAAAATGAAATGGGACACCCCCGTTTTTAACCAGGACAGTTGTTTTTTCTGGAACCTGAATACACCCACCCACTCATCGCATTCATGGCCAAGCACAGCACCATCTTGATATCGAGAAACTACACTTTGTCCGGAGCTGTGCAAGCTGCCATACGCTGTGGGATCGAGACATCAATGCCTCACGGTGCATGATCTCGGTATGCCAGTCGATCATCGCCACAGGAGATCGACCGAGTGTATTCAAGACTGTGCTCCCGAAACCAACCAAAACAAAGAGATTGCCAACGAAGACAGGAGTGCAATCACATGGCCTGTTCACCGGGGCCTACAAGTCAGTCAGCGGGGTTCAGACATCTGAAGCCAGGAAGTGACTGTCTCGTTTCTTTCTGGACCGACTGTATCAGGCAACTCGACAGGTCCAGTCGGACTCTAGCAACATCTCGCAGGTGGCGCCAACAAGAAAGCAGCAGCCCGAACCAGCGCTGCCAGGATAGATAGAGACGATTACGGATGCAGAAGTAGAGCTGGCGCTGCCAGCGATCTATGTATTTTGGCTTGGTTGGCAGCACGATGGATTGGTCAGTGAGCGAGCACACCGGTGTGCACGGGTCGGTGGCTATGGCTATTGGCTCCGCTTTTTGAAGATGAAAACAAAGATCAGCAGGACAATGAGCACCACCAGCAAAGCAATCAGAGCCTTGGCAGCCCAGGTATTCTGCTTCTCGGCAGCCTGCGGCGAGTGGGAGAAGGAAGGAGAGAGGCCAGAGTTGAACCGCCCGAGAGCCAAGTCAAGTCAAGCCAAGCCAAGCCAAAACGGAGCGATGGCGAATCGGTCCAGATTGAAGGGTCGTTGCATATTGAGTCGTTCCAGAGAATGAATCAGACCATGTCGGCATTTGCCAGGTCGATAAAATGAATCAGGTCAGGAACGGCACACACGCAGCTCCTATTGCTGAGGAGGGACGACAACCCGGCAGGACCTGGCTCAACCTGGGCAGCCGACACACATGGTCTCTGCTGTCCGCGCATGAAACCCGATTCGGCTTTCTCCCCTCGTCCCTACCTTGGTGAGCTCGCCGTGAGCCTTCTCGACATGCACTGCCACTTGCTCAATGTTGTAGTCGATTCGATCCAGAATCGTGCCCTGGTCGATGACCATGGTCTGCAGCTCCTGGAAGATATGGGCCAGACCCTGAATAGACTTGACGATCTCGTTGATATCCCTCTCCCTCTGGGATATCACGCGCTCGTTGTCAGCGACGACTGCCAGCTGAGCATCCGTGAATACCTGGCCAAAGACATATTGGAGAGGAGGTTGAGATGAATCGCGAGTGAGCGGTGTAGATTCCACCTTCAACAGCGCATGTCCAGCTGGATGGCGCCGAGCCAGAGTGGGGTAGACTTTGCCTGGTCCAAGGCCGACTCGGAGCCTCACTTCGGCTTCCCTTTCCACATCCGAAATGCCGCTGTTTCCAGTCCAGTCGAGATGCACGGCTTACCACATCCAAATCCTCGTCCTCCGGGTTCTCTTCTGCTGTAAAAACCGTGCTGGACTTGTTCTTTCTCCCGCGGAGTTCTGTTCACAGCCACGATCGATGCAGTTAGTCCCATCGTCCTGCTATTGGCCCCTGGATCAACGTCGGGATCGGAACCAGGCTGCATCTGCGGTCGGCGTGAATGCATGACCGCCCCTCTCCATTGTCGGCTCCACCGGGCTCCACCGGGCTTACTGTTGAGATACGAAGACTGTATCTTGCGGTAGGTCGTCGAGAGATCTTGCAGCTTTGTCGCAAGTGCCGTCTGGATGTTCTTGCCCAGAACTTTGGTCTGGGCGGTCTCGTCTGTGGCCTTTTGCTCGCTGTGTACTTTGTTGATTTTCTTCTTGCAGTCTTGAAACATCTGACAAATCACCAGCGACGCAGCAGAGATGAGAGCGAATCAGCACATGGCAGGACAAACACCCACGGCTGGTCAAGGACTGGGAGGAGCAGGAATCTTGCGGGCTGCATTGCCATCCGAACGGGCATCGACAGCATCTCCCCAGAAATTGAGCAGCCATGGCATGGACGGATAGGTGAATGGCATTGCCTTCGGTGCTGGCTACCTTTGCAATGGTTTCGTTCAGCCGCTCTATCGTCTCCTCGTCTTCAAGGTTGTCGTCAAAACCAGGCATCAGGTGCTTCTTTTGCAGAGCCTGCAAGGTCGTCACTGTGATGCGGACGCAGCCAGGTTACTCCTCGGCAGACGAGCGTCAGGCCAGGACATCGCAACACTTACGCTTCTCCTTGATTCGACCGATAACTTCCTCGACCTAAGGCACACCGGGGACGCAACAGCATCTGTCATTGCCTCCGTCCAGCACAATGACTCCGCGATGTCTCCAAGGTGCTCACGACGGCAAACGTGATAGAAGACGGCCCTCTGGCAGCCGCTCCGGGAATCTGGTTGAATGCCCGTGAGCTTCTTGGCTTGGCTCGACTCACCTCATCAACGACATCGACCCTAATCCGGCCGAGAGCAATGGCCCCGTTGAGGATCGACAAACGAGCAAAGGCCGGCCGGCGTCAAGCATGCATGCATATGAATGTGAATCCAAGCGCCAAGCAGGGGCAGAGCCAACGGTCAGCAAAATCGCTGGTTGCGCATCGGGCGACCAGACACCCGCACATAGATGACCAAAGCGCCCGCTTCGACGGCCGACTTTACCATTTCGGAGGCAAAATCGACATCTGGACGACAACCTCGGACTGCTCGTTGGAGATGAGCCCAGCGCTCTCAGAAGCGTCGATGCTGGGCCGGACGGCTGCCGGGAAAGGCCGCTTGGACCGGCCAAGGGTATTGCGGTATTGCAAGAAGAGCACTGTCCGTGATCGTGTGGCCATGGCGTTGGCGAGAGCAGGGTTGGCGAGGCGATAGGATCGAGCCGCAGCGGGTGTGGAGTGAAAGGGGCGGCGGGAACGGGAGCGGATGGAGAAGGATGGAGATGGATGGAGATGGATGATCAAGGTCAAGACCAGGGTGCGGGCGCACTTGAATGACTCGGGGGTGAAGGCGAGACCTGCCGCAGGCCCAGACAGAACAGACCGACAGACAGCTGCAGCGAGAGTGTTGGCATCGAATGCAATGCAGACGAACCACGTCCTGCAGTCGATGCCCGTCGTGTTGGTGGAGATGCATATGCCGGTGGGAGGGAGGGCGATTGGCTGGAAACGTCAGAGCATCGGGGCGGGACACCCACACTCGCCAATCAGCAAATATGCAAGGCGATAAGTGGCAGCGACCAGCATGTTCGCTCATCCAAAATCAGATCATGCTTGCATGTCCGTCCTGTGGGCCGAGGCCATCGTCCGTGTCCGGTGGTCGCAGTCGACACATTGCAATCCAGGATGGCAGACTGAGGGGCTGCCGGACTGACCGTCGTGTGCGATTCGACCTCGTCGATGTCGCAGTTGATGCCCCGGTTGATGCCCCGGTTGATGCCCCGGTTGATACCCCCAATCCATTTCCTGTCCATTTCCTGTCCATTTCCTGTCCGTTTCCCCGTCTGTGCCCGGAAACGCTGCACCAGCACGCACCAGGTGTGCTCACCAGACAGCGCCGTCGACGTTCCCACCGCCTTTACGGCCCTGCATCCCCATGCCCAAAAGCATCCCCATCAGAACTCTGCCCGGCAGGCAACAAAAAAGCGAGCGATTTTCGCGGCAAGTTCGTCCATGGCGATATGCGCGTGATCTCGATGATCTTGCCCAGCTCCCAGAAGGCGAAACCTGCGCTTGAAAACCATGTTCCCACACCGATCATGGACACCCGACTTGGAGCCAGGCAAGCTGGCTGCATGTCCCGGCCAGCACAGACCAGCACAAACCAGCACAGACCAGCACAGACCAGCACAGACCAGCACCGGCCTGCTCGACCTGCCGCTCGATATCCTTCTCACGCCGATTCCATCCTCCCCACCCCAGGCAACCACGCAGCCGTCTCGTCTGCCACCGGCCCTCCACCAGCCGCGCAGCTGGTCAGATGGGCTCGACCGAGCATCCAGCCCGTGCTGCAAGGCACACGAGCGGCTTTGCCACAAGGCCAGGGCAGCAAGTTACTCGCACAATTGCACCTCAGGGGCGGCTGGTTGAGCAGCCGATACCACACTGTACCCGCTGTGCTGGGATGTACAGCGGGTGGCCTCTCCCGTGCTGTCACAAGGGCCACCCATGGCCCCGCCAGGCGCCGTCCTTGCTTTCGGGCAGGTCACTTGCCGTCTCGTGGTGGTGCACAAACGTATGCCGCCTCTCGTCACTGCCGGGGCCCGCCTTGCTTCTGACCGTGGTGCTCACGTTCGTCGGTCCGCGCCGGCATCTGGATGGAAGAAAAAGAGAAAGGACGCTGGCAAATACCCGCGGCAACAGTCCGCTTTCGGCCATGTCAGCGACATCGCCGAGGCATAAGTACTCCGGGCTCGACCCGGGATGCCTTGGGCCGCACCACAGCCTCATCCAGACTCTGCCTCCTCCCTCTTGGCCAGTCGCTGCTCCAACCACCACTACTCCGGCCTGTCATGCTCAACGTCTTCAAGCTCCCCCTCGCCGTGGCCCTTTTGGTCGGCTCTGTCAGCGCCCACATGCAAATGGGGGTGCCTGCTCCCAGAGGTATGGCTGGAGGCGGACTGCAGCAACTCCCCAGGTCTCGTCGGTGTACTGAGTCTGCCCTTCTGCGAACCGCTTGTCTCTCTCAGGGTCGGCCCAGTCGCCCCCGATCGACTATGATCTCAACTCTCCCTTGGACTCGAGCGGACGCCCCTTCCCTTGCGGCGGCAAGCCAGCCGGCCCCGTCACCTTCGAGATTAACGCCGGAAGCACTTTCACGGCCTCGCTCCTGCCTGCCGACGGGGCCAACTTCCATGACGGTAGGTTCGATAACTTGAAACACATACTCTGGCTCTTCCTGGGTCTCGCACTTCCTGCCATGTGCTGTGTTGAAGCCTGCCTCGGCTCGCGGACCCATCAGTACTCTTGGTCAAATGCCCTTCTCACCCGGTGCACTTACGCCCGACATGTCAAACCAGGCGGCCATTGTCAGTTCGCCATCTCCTATGACGAGAAGAACTGGGTTGTCCTCAAGACCGTCATTCGGGAGTGCCTTCGTGCCGACGGCCTCGACTACCCCATCGATGTCCCCGCCGACATCCCCGGTGCCGACCGAGCCGTCTTTGCATGGACTTGGATCAATGCCGAAGGCAACCGCGAGTACTACAGTAAGTTGCTGGCGCGAATAATGAGCAGGAATGCTATCAAAAATATGGCATTTTGTCGTTGGCTTGCACATCGAGCCGCTAACACTCTGCCCGCAACAGTGAACTGCGCCGATGTCAAGGTCAACAGTGCAAGTACTTCGTTCTCCGGTCCCCAGCTCTTTGTTGCGGACCTGCCCGGCTATCCCACTATTCCGGAGTTCGCCCTCGTGCCAGCCAGCCAGGATGGACGCCAGTACTTGGCCGACGGCGCCCGCCCCACCATCACCGTCAGCTCCAACGGCCAGGTCCAGACCAGCGCTTCCAAGTCCACGACCAAACCCACCACCACGACCAAACCCGCCAAAACCACCACCACCACCACTACTACTACTACTACTACCCCGGCCAAAACTACTACTACTACCACCACTACTCCTGCCAAAACTACTACCACCACCACCACCACCACTACCAAAACTACTACCACCCCGGCCAAAACCACCACAACTCCTGCCAAAACTACGACCACCACCACTACCCCCGTTCCCACCCAGTCCGGATGCACCTCTGGCGCCTACGCTTGCATCGATGACAACTCCTACCACATCTGCGACTCTGGATCGTGGTCCATCTCTCTTGCTGTGCCTCCCGGAACCCGTTGTGTCCAGAACGGCAACAGCATCTACTTTTCCTTGTGATTGTGACCCTCCTTGACTCGCTGGTATCGGTCGATGTGTCCGCCCCGTAATCACCCCCTCTTCCGCCCCGTCCCCGATTCTGTCGGTGTATTGCTATGAATACTGAATAATATAACTGCCAAGTCTCCGCTGTGACCATGTGCAGCCAGCACCATCGCCTTGGGAGCGACAGAGCCAGTCCACCGTTCCCACACACATATATATCACCTCTCGCTCGCTCTCCCGCTTGTCCACTCGCTCGCCCTCGCTTGTCCTCTCGCTCGCTCTCTCGCCTCGCTGTGCACACACACACTCACGTGTGTGGCTTGTGTTTTTTCTTCCCGCCTCGCGCCGTCATGGCCGTCGAGCAATCCCGGATTTGCGGCGACTTCAAAGCCCCGAGCGCCGCCTCTCTCTTCCCCCCATCGACATTTTGTCAGTGATCCACACCGCCAGCCATGACCAAGGACGATTTGGAAGTTCAGGAGGTAGCGATCTCTCTCTCCCGCCGTTCTATAACCCGAGCCATATTTCGGCCACGCTGCTCTGTCGGGCCCCGGCCAGTGACCGGCACCGCCAAGCCAGCGACAGCCCGATGGACGAGGAGTTGTGTCCGGTGCCCCAAGCACCCGCCAGCCCAGATCGCTCATGAACGACCAACGCTTGCAAGGACGCCTGGACCGCCGATCAAACCGGGTCGGCCAGTCCACTTTTGTCCTGTGGCTGCTGCGTTGTTCTCTGTCAGACGGCACCTCGCTGACCATCTCGTCCCCCTCCCTTCATGTTCATCATCTGCCGCCATGTCCGGATCCTCGTTTCTCCTTGGTGCGATCTGTTCGATCTGGTCATCTGGTTCCCCTGATCGCCCCTGTTACGGTTGACTCGAGCAGCAGCACATCGAGGAGTCCGAGAGCGACGATGAACTCCCCGAGCTTGAGGGCAAGAACATCAGCCGCAGCGAAGCCAAGGCCCGCAAGGCTATGGCCAAGCTCGGCCTGAAGCCCATCACCGACATCTCCCGTGTCGTCATCAAGCGCTCCCGCAACGTACGTCTCTGATCGCCGATGCTGTGCGGGTGTGGGTGTGGGTGTGGGTGTGGGTGTCCTATTCATCAAAACCGCTTTGGCGGGCGACTGTTCATCGAAAGCGGCTAGTTTGGTATATCTTACGATGCCGTCCATTATCTCCCCCCTGCAGATCATCTTCACTATCGCCCGCCCCGATGTCTACAAGTCTGTTGGTGATGGTATGTATGCTGCAACGCTGCTCCGAGCGCCCCGAGAAGATCAAGAATCGAGACTCTGGGCCCAAGCAGATCCGAATGCCTGCCACCGGAGACATCCTGATTGTGTCCTTGTGCTGACCAACTTGATCCCCCCCCCGCAGTCTACATCGTCTTTGGCGAGTCCAAGGCCCAGGACATCAGCGCCCAGCAGGATGCCGCCAACAAGCAGTTCCAGGCCAGCGATCTTGCCGCCGACATGGAGAGCTCCGAGGAGGTCGTCCCCGCTGCCCCCGAGGCCGAGGCTGACGATGACGAGGCCGTCGATGAGGAGGGCGTTGAGGACAAGGACATTGAGCTTGTCATGCAGCAGGCTGGCGTTTCCCGGGCCAAGGCTGTCAAGGCTCTCAAGGTAAGGCAGCGGATGGACGGATACTTGAAACAAGGTGTTCCCCGAGAACCGCCGCTGTTGCATCCTCCTGTGCTCTGCTTCTGACTCGCGATCCCTCTCGTCATTGCTTGTTTTTCAATCCAGAACAACGGCAACGATATCGTCAACGCCATCATGGAGTTGACCATGTAAAGTGGAAGGGCTCATCTGATGAATATCAAATAAATTCTTGTTCAACTCTGTGCGGCACCCGCTCTCGACGAAAGCTGTCCACGGGCTGGAGCCCATCGCTCGACCGGCCAGCACGGACGCCACTGCGCTTTGCTCGATCCACATCGGTGGCTGCTGGGCGATTCAAGGAGGCACACGGTCAATCATCTCGATCTCTGGACCTTTGGACGGAGCCCTGGCGAGCAACACTGCGCGACAACCCATCGTCGCTGGCTCTCATCGGCGACGCCGATCCTCTGTCCTTCAGATTCGAGTTGCTCGACAGCGGCGAGCCCGCGTTGGACCCCAACATCGTCCGGCTCTGCGCGGAGGACGTCCGTCGCCCAAGCCTTGGCGTACTGGATGTGGCACTCCGCAGCGCCGGAGACGACGCCTCCGACCTGGTGGTGTAGGTCGGCGAGTCGATGCTGCCTATTGTTGCCCCGCGGTATGCATTCAGCACCTTCTTCAAGGTCCCAGAGATGTCCTGGGTCAGCCAAAGTAGGCAACGTCAGTCCGGGCGGCTGGCTACGGCAAGGCAATCGACCTCCCCTTCGATGTCTGCAATCTGTACCTGAAACTCGCCAGTTGTGCGGTGAATCTGCTCGTATCTGTGTCGCCGCAGTGGAAGTCGAGTTCTGAGAATTGGGTTTACTGCGCGGCAGCCGAAAGCGCCGCAATCACAGGCATGCACATAGTTGCTGGCACATGCTCGAACGCACAGACTCCTGCATCGATATCAAGCCGGCTTACCCGGCCGAGACAAGTTCCAGGCGCCGCGCACATGTTGTCATTTCGTTCCATAGAAACTGCAGACAGGCCGTCTGTGGATCGGGCCAAGAATATGAGATCAGAGACAGGCAGACAGACAGACAGATGGGTAGAGTATTCGCACGCTCGTCCTGGCGCTGAGACAACAGGTACTGCAGTTGCCACTTGACTGGTCGCAGTATCGTCCGGTGTTGCTCACAGCCCACCTTGATTGAATTGTACTTTTCCCGCTGATAGTCTGATGCCGTGGTCGTCACGTTCTTGGTTCCGTTCGCGACCGCGAGCGAGGCATTGTCGGCGTTCTTCTTCAGGGCACCCTGAGTTGAACCAAACCGTCGAGCAGGTGAATCGCAATACGATGGAACCGGGTGCCTCCTCGGCCGCAGGCGTATTGGTTCTCGCGCAGACGCTCCGCTGCTTCAACGGGCAGAGTTATTACCACAGTTTCGGCGGTGGGATCTTTCAATACAGCCGCCTGCAGCTGCAACTGCAACTTTCTTTCCACCTTCGAGTAGCTCTCCCAGTTCTTGACGTCGACTTTGACGCGGCGGGTGATGTCCTATCCGATTTGTCGGGGGAGGGGTATGTGAGGTACTGGCTTCGTGGTAGCATCGCAACGCTCATCCGGAAAACCAGCGCCGCAATACCGCTGCAGAAACAACGGAGCCGTGGCCGCGACCAACATACCGGCAGAACACCCAGCGGGTCAAACACCTTGGCCGAGGACAACTTCAGCTCGGAACACTGAAGCAACGTGTCCGAGATGATGTGGACAAGCTCGCGTGTCGATCCTCCCTCAGCATCGCCAAAGTTGCGGAAGAACGATGCGAGCTTGAGTGTCTTCTTGCGCAGACCTAACCGAAAGGGCTTCGTTCAGCAAATGCAGGCCGATAAAAGCATGTCGACATATTGAAGACGGCGAAACCGACACCACGCCGCTGCCGCGTGCGGGGTGGGGTGGACGAAATGCCTACGTTCTTGGTTGCGAAAGTAGCCTTCCCACACGGATCTGAGCTTCTTGACGTTCTTTTCTGAGGATGGTTCCATTCGAGGAAAAGGAACGCATTCCATCGCAGCACATGCACACCAGCGCTGTATTATTCGCGAGAACCTCTCGTCGTGACTCGAGTATCGTTGCAGCGGGTTGTCGATGGCCGTACCTGTGTCATCGACCGCGGCGGTGATGCTGGCGAGAATATCGCCGCTGGGGGATCGGTGCGAAATCGATGAGGGCACAGAGCAACTCCGGATCGGTTTGTTCCAACGAGGAAACAGACGTGTGCAAATCCAAGCAGCAAGCGATTCGTCGTGGCTCAGACAGTTGGTGCCTGGATGGCATCCGAGCGTTACCTGCCCTTCTTCATGATCAACATGGCGATGGTTGGGATTGCAGCTCGAGCGGTTTCGCCGTAATTTGAGGGCTCCCCGGATCGTCAGCAACCTGGCCGCTCCGGCTGCGATCGCGAGCGAGGCCTAATATCAGCCCATCAGGGCGAGTCTCCAGGCGTGATTGGGCTTGAGGGCGGGATGCGACATGATTGTTGCCGGTCGTGGGAATCGGTCAAGCATCCCTCGCGCACACGGACATGGACATGGCCGTATCGCTCATGCCGGCGCACTGAATGTCTGAGCTATTTAGACTCGGTCTAGAGTATCTGAGAACAGCAACCCATGCTATAATCGTATTGTAGAATGCCTCCGTCCTGGCCCGCATGCCAGGCAGTCGATGCGCCACTCTCAGTCTCCCCCCAGGCAAAGAGCGGTGCTATTGCATGGGTTTTGCAAGCTTGGGCAGCGGTTTGGCTACGAAGAGGCCAGCTCCCTTCTTTGGCAAGCACTGAGCAGGTGGGCCCCATGGACGGAGATCGGTGAGCAGGAACTTGGAGGTTACGGACTTTGCGACAGCGGAAACGAAATGGCAGAATACAGCCGCGGATGAGCAACCGATCATCAACTGACTGGACAGCCGCTGATACCACCGGCCGAGTGGGCATGCGGCAGAATCTCTTGCCGGTGGTGCGGGCCTGGCTCGGAGTAGCAAGGCAGCCGGGTTGCCCTTCCATACCTCGCTAAATGGCAGCGGCCTGGTCTGCGTGGAGACGGATCGTCGGGTGCGATCTGCAGACATCCCGCCCAGAACAAACTCTTCACTGTCGTCCTTGGCCTTGCTGATCACGGCCAGGATCGGCGCCAGGTCTCTCGGCGCTCGCCGCTGTGGCATCGACTTGACTTTGGTGCTTGGTGAGGTCACGGCAGCAGCGGGCTGAACCCCTGGTACCTTGGCGACGGGCATCGGTGCCGTTTCCATCAAGGCCGGCTGCGACGATGGGCGAACTGGAAAGGCGCCAGATAATTAGTGCCCCGAGCTCGTTTATATCAGTATTTTTGATATCGTGGACATCCAGATGGTGGACCTGAGCTTGGGATCGCTCCAGGTCTTAGCGGCTCCTTTGGATGCGAGTTCACAAACCTTGCTCGGGACTACCCCGGCTGTCGATATCTTCGTGGTGGGGCTCGGATGTGTTGGACGGGATTTCGTCAAGGCGCACCTGGGGAGAATGACCATTCGATAGCGGTCTCGATCAGACACAGTGGATCACACGGCCTATGCTCACAGACTAAAATGCCTACCACACTGGCGTTCCCCTGGAGCTGCGATCGGATGACGTTGAGTCTGCCAGAGCAAGAAGAGCACCGGGACATTCTAAGGATTAAACGCTCTCGCCCACTTGAGCATGTCTGTTGGTGCCATTCAGCCCACACCCGCTTCCACTGCCATTGCGCGCTGTCACTTGCTCGCCCATCCGTTTGCACTCAGTCGGCGCAGGCTCCGAACCTCCTCCAAAAGTCCTCGGCCTCCATCTTGATCGACATGAGCAGGGGATCCATCTCGACGACCTCGGCTGAGTTGATCTCGAAGCTCCGCTCCAGAAACTTGGTGATTCCGTCGACAAGGTCGTGGAGGTTCTCGACGATGATCTCCAGATCACGGGCGACCTCAGCTTGCTGCTCTTCAATCGACTTTTCGTGGTCCTGTTGCTCGTGAACGGATAAAAACCGGTGCAGTCGGTAAGTCCCACACAGACAGATGCATTAGTCGCCGATCGCCCATGTGCAAAGCTTGCGGGCGAGCGTCGGGCCCCACCGGGTCAAAGTATTGGTCATCGCTCCCCCGGTATTCGTTCTCTCCCTGATAGGCTCCTTGGTCAAAGGAGCCCGTGCCTTCCTGGTCTTCGAGGGCAGCGCTCTCATATGCAAGCTCGAGCATCTTGTCGCTTTCTGCCAGAGAGACAGGGTACTTTTCAGCAAATCGAGCGCAATGCGCATATGGACAGTGATGGCGGGGCGTGTGTACATATGCGGGCATGTCTCAGCTGTAGCAACATCAATCCAGTTCACCTTTCAGCTTCTCGACTAGCATCTTGATCACTCGCTGGTTGGCTTGATTTTTCTTGGCAAGCTCCTGCTCCGACTCAACCAGCAGCGCGTTGGTGGTCTTGAGCTTGGCCATCTTCTTGTTGAGATCCTCGTTGGTGGAGATCAGCTCGACTGTCTTGGTGGACATTTTCTTGAGCTGCGAAGTGATGGCCATGTTCTCGCGTATCGCTCGTTTTGTTGTCTGGGGATGCCAGTCGGGTGGATGAGATTCAGATCAAGGGTGGTCGCATCCTCATATAGAGGCCCGGTTTGTGAGGGCCCTCGAGAAGCTCGAGCAGCACACATCACAAGGGCGTCCCTTCCTTTCGGTCCGCACTCTCCACCCGCCATTGCGCTGCAACATACTTCGGCCATTTGCTGATCAGCAACCCTCCGGAAGCTCGCCACAGCCTCGTTCACTTTCTGCAGCATCTCTTTCTTCATCAGATTCTGTGTTGAGCAAGTGGGTTGAGCCGATCGGTAAGCCTTGTGGCACACGTTTTGATATCAGATCCAAGTAGACACATTCAAGCCATGTACAACCTTGTCCTGTAGAATCTTGCGCTCCATATTTTGAATCTCGTCCTTGAACTTTTTGTCTTTGGCCTCCAGCTGGTTCTGCAGGTTGACAAGCGACTGCTCCATGTCTGCCTGCACGTCCAGGGGATGTGTCCGAGTCAATGCGTGGACAGAGAGCCAAAGCACACATTTGTCCGATCGTAGCGCTCGATGTCCACCGATCCTGGCGAATCGCCATCATACAAGGCTCATGTGTTGGCGAGCGTCGATTCCGGTTGCATGCCCACCTTCTTGGATCGAAAGTCGGACAGCTGGTCGAGCTCTTGCTTGTACTTGGCGCAAGTCATGCTCAGGGTCTCGTAGTCCACTTTGAAGTTTTGCGAGAGCGAGTCGAGCTCGGCCGGTAAAAGAAAGAGTCGCACGGCACAGTCGAGTCAAGGACGAACATCGAGCGGGAGAACGTGGATGGAGACGAGCGGGGTTCGGGCGATTGCCACAGACAGATGCCAACAGCCAGGCAGCGGTGCAGCAAACTCGACAAACGAGTGACAAGGATATCTGCTTTCAGCTTGATGTCTTTCTTTTCGTCGTCCAGGGACACGATGCGCTGCTCCAAGACTGTGATTTGTTTTTCGTGCTCCTGGACCTTAATGTTCAGAAACTCGACAATGTCTTGCTGTCGTGGCCGGCACAGGTCGGTGAGTCCCACGAACGGATGTTGCCTCGAGCTCCAGCGAGTCCGTCGCCGCTCACCGTGCTCACAGCGCTCAGCGGGCCTCACCTTGTCATGTGTGAACTTGGATTGCGCTTTGGCTAGGCTGTCGTTTTCTTGAATGAGCTGGTCGCACTTTTGCTTGCTGATAAGCGTTCCAGCGGTTACTTCGAGTGGCCTCCGATGCAGCCAGAAGCGACATGCGATGCTCCTGGCTTGGTTGCGTTTCGGGCGAGGGCTTGCTTACCAGCGCATAAGCTTGTCCTGGTAATCTTGTATCTTCATCTCATAAATCTCCAGAGATAGCTCGTCCAGCATCGCTTTATCGGCGCCCTTTAGGCCCTCGTCGCCACCTGTCCATGGGGCGACCCGCATGATGAGCCTGGTAGTGCCGATGCAGCGTCTATGCAGCACCAGGCCAAAGAATGCACCGGCCCAGATATGGCAACCAAGCGGACAGAGCGAAGGCACAAATGCGCCCAGCAGAGCGACTCCCTGGTCGGGCCCGGCGCTGTTCTTGGCTCACCATCGGCACCCCCGGAGCCCTTGCGGCCCTTCTTCCCAGATTTACTTCGCTTTCCCGACATCGACTGCGACTCGATCCTGATTTGAGAGTGCCTCTGGGAGCAGATTTGAGCAGACCGAGGTGCGACTCCAAGAGTGCTTTGGTCTGTCTGATTCTCGCAGCCGCCGACAAAGGATGAAATGTTCCGGGGTGCGAGACCCGTACAGCAATCAGGGTGCCCAAGCCAAATCAATCACGACCGGCAGCGCCACAACGGTTGCAGCCATGCGCACAGGCGATGCGCACAGGCGATGCGGTTAGGCGGCTTGAGTTCATGAGCTGATGCATTGTTTCTTGTCTGGAACTTTGGCAATGAGAGCAGTGCAGGCCTGGTGAACAATGTGCAGTTATTGCCGAACCGATTGCCGAACCGATTGCATGCCGTTTTGCCTCGCCTCGACACACAGCAGCCATGGCATCCAACAAGTGCCTGCGATATGCACCCTCACGGGATGTCCAGCCCTTCCGAGTGCCGCTGTGGAGCTCGCTGGAGTATCCGAGCCACCAGCTTGGCAACCACCACCCAACAGACCCTGGGTTTCCCGCGCGAGCCAAATCAGCACACCCCGTCTCGGCCCCGTCTCGGTCTCGTCTCGTCCCTGTCTCGGCCCCGTCTCGGTCTCGGCGAGGGCAAGCGAGAGGCTGCCTGCTTTCTCCAGGCCCACAGCCGCCCTGATCGACTCAGTTCCCATCTGCTCCGAGGCTTTCCTCCGCCTTATCCACGATGCTGGCTGGATACATTACCGTGGCCGTGCTGTCTGTTGCAGCCGTTCTGGCCGCCAAGCAGCCCGAGTTTGTCATCGAGGAGGACTATCGCAAGGTCACCATCGGCAGCTCCGTCAAGCTCCGGCACGTTGCTTCCCATCATCGCCTGCATTCGCACGAGATCAACTATGGCTCCGGCAGCAGACAGCAATCTGTCACGGGCTTCAAGAACGGCGACGATCCTAATTCGTACTGGGCGGTGGTTCCCGCCATCGGCGACGAGGCCAGTCTGCAGCGGGGGTGAGTTCCGCAACAGAGTCGCCTGGAAGACGCAGATCTGTGTTGACAAGGCAGCATCGTGCTAATTTGCACCTGGGCTTCAACAGCGACGGCATCGCCTGCGGATCCCACTTCCGGCTACAGGTGCGTATCGTGTCTCATCAACGGCCACATTGCGCCCTATTGCGTCCTCGAGAGCCCAGCCAATCCCCCCCCCAAACAGTCATATCACGGCTGGATGGAGATCGGCATCCATCACTTTCAGGACCACAGGGCCGGCAATGTACCAAGGGCTGCTGACTTGGGATTACTGCTGCTGCCTTCGCATCGTATCGATTCGGTTTATCGTCGCTATGCTGAGCCTTGTTCATTCCCGTTGGAACCCTTGGCCTGACCAAACCAACAGCATCTCCAAACGAAAAAGTATCTCCACAGCCATATGCATCAATCGCCGCTGAGCAACCAACAGGAGGTCTCTGCATATCAAGGTTCCGACACAGGTACGATGTCCCAGAGGGAGGTCGCCAGCCTTTGGATGCCGCGTGATGCCCCGCGATGCCACAGGTTCTGGGAATCGATTCGATCAAATCCGTGTTAGCCAAGCGACACATGGTCGGGCTGGAACAGTCGATTGCAGTGGGAAGGTACGTTCGAACTGCAAGCTCACATCCACGATTCCCACAACCAGGCGACAACTGGAGGGTTGTTTGCGTCGACCGATCGGAAAAGTACTGGTTCCGAGAATCACAGGTCCGCCTGCGTAAGTGCCGCAGCTCGACGTTGCTCTGCACGGTCGATCGGTGCTGTGCTGGGTGGGCTTCTATGTGTCAGCTATTCTGTGCCGCCCACTATGTTCCTGCTCTGCGACTGCATCGCCCTCATGCTCCTCTATTGGTGCTGTTCTGGGCCCTGCGGACGGCCACATCGACGATTGCATCGCCCACAGAGCACGTCGACACCAACAAGTTCCTCAGCGCCAACAAGGGCATCCACTTCAACAACCCCATCCCAGGCCAGCTCGAGATTGCATGCTCCGGCTCGCAAGGAGCCAACGAAGTCTGGGCCACGGCCGAGGGCATCTACTTTGCCGATCGCAATATGTAGACGATAATACAGTTCCCCCCTGGAGGCCAAGGATCTCTCCAACGCCGCAGACCAACACTTGGTCCTGACAGAGAGTGTGTGGGTCCGTCCCGGCTTTGAGATGCTGCGCAGCATCCGCCACGGTTTTGCCCGCCACCGCGAAATGCTTGCCGTTGCTGTGTTCGAGCCTTGGCCAATCTCCCATCCATCCACCACCCCTCTCTCCGGCTCCGAACATGGCAATCAAGGCAGCACTCATATTCAACAACAACGGCACGCCGCGGCTCACGCAGTGGTACCAGCAGCTGGTACGATGGATCGGCTGACAAGGGCAGGCATCCTGGGCCCAGCGCTTGCAGTGGCTATTCGATGTTCAAGGACGGGGGATCGTTGGTTTCGTCGGCAGCGGCAGTCTCCGCCGGACTCGGCAGCGCATGCGCAACCTGCAAGTTCTTTTGGAGCGAGCCGCACATCCAGACAGTATGCTCACCACTTGTGTCTGCAGGAAGTCAAAGTGCAAATGGATCTGCTGAAGGAGATCTACCGACTCGTCAGCGTGCGGTGAGTCGCCAGCGCCGAGGCGAAGCATGGGCATCAGCGGATATGCAGCGACGATCCAAGCGCCTGCTACAGAAGTTGAATTGAGATGTGTCGTGCCGCTGGCGAGTGGTGCAGTTGACCATTCGATGACATCAGCACAGCGCTTAGACTCATTGTCGCCCCGGCTATGCTGTTGCTAGGCCGGACAACATTTGCAACTTTCTCGAAGGAAGCGCCCTGCTTGGCGGGCAGGACACCAAAATCATCTACCGAGTAGGTTGCCAAGCGACCAGAGTGGCCAGGGCGATCAGATTGAGCTGGCGACCTGTCCGGCGACGCTCGCTTTTGCGATGAGGAGAGGGCATGAGTCCTCTCCGAGCTTGGGAATCGACAACGACACCGATGCTTGCTCACGCCATGCCTTGCTCGCGCCCCACCAACATCGACCCTACAAAGCATTATGCCAGTAAGTTTAGCCAGGGCAAACTGCGAGATCCCTTTGGGTGTATTGGCATGTCATCCGCCTTCTGGTCTCAGACAACGTGAACGAGCTGGCTTCGATTGGGCTAACCGGGCTGCGTCGGTGTGCTGCTCATCCTAATTCGGCCCCATCGTCCTTGACCAGCCCTCTATTTTTGCTTTGTGGTCGATTCTTCCGAGAGCGAGCTCGGAATCCTGGACTTGATCCAAGTCTTTGTCGAGTCGCTGGATCGCATCTTCACCAACGTATGCGAGCTGGATCTGGTATGTGCTCTTGCTACAGCACCATGGTTGTGAGCTGGGCCGCAGACTGGGTCGCAGACGGCGAACAACGGGTCGGAGGCGATAGCCTGCCCCGCATGGTCAAGCCAGTGCCGGTGTCTCGCACATGAAACTAATTCTTGCTGAACCACCGGAAATAATGGGACGACCTGGATCGGCTGTCGTGCCCAATCGATTCCGCTGTCAAGATCTTCCGGCCAAACGAGGTATCTAGGACTCAATACTGTCCGTGTTTCCTGCTTGAGATGCGGCAGCTTCTATCGCTCAAGTAGGTCTCGCCGGACACCATGGACTAACTTTTGGTTCTCTTACAGGCCCTGCAAGTCCTTGGCGAGGTTATTTCGGGCGGACTGGTGGGTGGATAGTCGCTGGATTGGTGTCGGTGCTGTCATGCTCTTCCAGCTGCAATCGGACCGGCTTCCCTTCCTCACAGCACGCCTCTGATACTCACCTCTCCCTCCCTGTCTCTGGCTCGCCCTCGACTTGCGTCCAGGTCCTCGAAACGAATATCAACGAGATTGTCCTTGCCACCGACATCAAGAAGGGAAGCCTTTCTTCGATCAACAAATAGCCGTTTCGCAGCACCATAGTGGGTTGATTTGTCTAAGGCGAGCAAACGCCAGGAGGTTGTGCAATACGATGATATGTGCGTATCACGGAGCTCCCTCCCTTTCGAAGACGAAGAGCGGGGAAGGGAGGATAAGAGGACACTCGGAATATTGTGTGGCCAATGTGCCAGGCGCCTGCCATGATCCTGGCACCACTTCGCCATGTTTCTCTTGAGCACACGGGTTGGTCATTGTGGGCGATGGATGGAGTGTATTCAGGACCAGAAAATCACGACAACCCTGACTCGAAACAGGATGTCCTGTTTCGTTTTGGGAAAGCTTCAAGGGGGCGACTCATCAGCCCGACAAACAAACAGGCCATGTTCAGACTGGTCAAAAGGAGCAGCCTGCTCAAACGCACAACAGAGGGGAGGGTGGAACTCGAGACCGAAAGGAAGGGCGAGGTGGGGTCGGCATGACATCAGGACAACAGGCAGCAGGATCAGACAAAGCAAGAGAAGCCCCTCCTTCCATCCCTTCGTTGAGAGCAGAAATGTATAAAAGCTGGTATGGGCTGCTTCGGGAACGAGAATTCCCAGCATTATTAAGTGACAAAATGTCAAAACGCAGTGAATGAGTGCCAGTGATCAGCACGAGCGGGTTCAACCACAGGATAAAAGCAATCGACAAAAAACCACCAACAAACGACAAAAAAAAAAGAAGGATAGGGCAAACAACCAAAGCAAAGAAGGAGCGAAGGGAAGGAGGGAGGAGGGAATCGATCCATCCAAAGCAAGGTTCGTTGGGATTGGGAAACCACAGGCCGAAGTTGAGGTGGCTCTACACACCGACCATCCCGGTGGGGAGCGGCGCATTGAGTTTCGTGCTGACGATGTGTCCAAGGACAAGGTCGAGTTCGGATGCGGGCGAGGCCGTCGTCTCGGCCGCAGGGGCGACGGCTTGGGACTCGGCCAAGTCCATTTCTGCCAGCGACAACTCGATCTCGGTATCGAGGTTGCGTTGAGTTGGCGAGGGCACGTAGAAATCGGGCAGCGAAGGCGATGCCAGACCAGCTTCAGCTTCGTTGGCGACAGCCGAAAGCACATCCTCCTTGACAGGGACATCGACGAGACTGGGAGGCAAGCCAGGCTTGGAGTCTGGGCTGACCGTGGAGAGATCGCCTTCTGAGGAAAGCGATGCCACCGCGCCGATGCTGTCCGCTCTGGGCGGCACCTCGGCCCCGCTTGTCTGGGTCATGGGCTTGGTCAGTTTGCGCTCAATCTCGGAGAGGAAGCCCTCGAGCGGCGGCGGCGGCGGAGTCGTAACCGGGTTGATCAGTGGCGAGCCCAATGGCAGGGGTGGCGAGCCCATCGTGACAGCAATCTGATCCGACTCGGTCAGGCCAGAAGCGCGCTGGCTCCCAGGCGACGATGAGCCATCACCAGGGATGGGCGATTGCTGAAGCAGCGACATGAGCCGCCGCTGTGGTGGTCGCATCATGGCCTGGGATTGTTGGCGTGCCATTTCAGCAATGCGGTTTCGCTTCTCTTCGAGCAGTTCGCGCTGCCGTCTCTGACGCTCTTCGGTCTCGCTGACGAGAGCCTTGGCTTCTTGCTTCCACACTTCGCGGCCCTAGACAGCCAAGCGATAAAGCAAGTCAGAAGAGCATGCACGGGCTGCCCATCCAAGGCACTGCTCGTTTGGCTACTTGCTGCGCTGCAAGTGGCCGTCGAGAATGATGGCAAGTAAAGTTCCGGATGCTCGCTGACCGGCCAGTGATAACGGTGGTGATGCATCCTGACAACCTCAAGGGCTGCGGTCCGCTCGCTCACCTGAAGCGCCTCGATCTTGCGGGTCGTTGCCGCGTTTCTCATTTCGCGGATCCGGCTCAGCAGATCGCACACGACTTCGTAGCAGCTGATAAAGTTCTGGGTGCCAAGGATCTCAATCTCGCCCGCAGCAGTGAACCGGTACTTGCGTCGGGGCCTGTCAGTAGTCAAGGGTTGTGAGTCACTCGCATCCGCCGGCACCGACGGAGACGGGGCACGCAACAGCGAGAATCGGCTGGTTGGAGAGGGCGGATGAGATTCGTCGCCAGTGAAGATGGACGAAAAGAAAGACGCCAGGCCGCTTGCCGTGGCCAGCGAGACAGGGGCGATGAGCGAGTTGGGGTTGCCGAGGGTGATGTTGCCGAGGCTTGGGCGAGACAGCGGCCGCTTGGGTCGGTCCTCTCGAGACTTGAGCTCGTCCTGCACCAAATCGCGCGTGTAGCAAATCATGAGCAGAGCCATGGATAGCTCCTCGAGGTACTGGCGACCCTGCTCGATGGTGATCCCTTCGGGGCTCGACTCGTGCAGCTTGAAGGTGCGGGTCGAAGCTACGGCGTGGATGATATCGCGCGGAGCAAGGGCGATTGAGGCTGCTGCCGCCCCATCGGAAGCAGGGAGGATGCCGGAGGCGCCGCGGTCCAGCGGTGCGCGAGAGACCATGTCGATCTTGTTCTGGATTGACAGCAGCGTGTTGTTGATGTGGGCCACATCGGTCTGGAGATCCTGATACACACCCTTGAGAAAGGCGTCGGAGAGCTCCTCGAGATCCTCAAACTCGACCCGGATACTGTCGCTGAACCTGCTGACGAGTTTGTCGATGGCAGCCAGATTCAGATCCTCGCTGGGGGCGTTGCTGAGATCGGCCTCGACGTCGATGGGCGAGCCGGTCATGACCCACTGTCCCTGAGAGGCGAGATTGGTCATGACGCGCAAGCATTGGCGGTTTTTGAGCCGCTTCTTGGCAGGCTTTGCACGAGCTGCTGGAGGAGTAGCAACATCATCGCCATCGGGTGCCGGAGGAGCTGCGGCTACAGCGCCGTTGCTCTCCAAGAGATCGGCAGCTTGGGCCAGCGACTCGGGCACGGATGCGGGCGGATGCACATCTAGCGAGTCCTCAGAAACCACAATGGCTGGGGGAGGTAGCGAGTCGAGAACGTTTGGTGCAGGCTCGAGGGCACTGGGCACGTCGTCGGCTCGCTGGGCAATTAGGGTGGGGGTCGCCAGGGGCGTTGGAGGAATCGTCTCGAGAGTAAAGATCGAGTCGGGCGAGATCTGGAGAACGTGGTCGACAAAGGCAGTGCGCATCCTGCACAGGGTTGTCTTGATCTGGATCGCAATCTTTGCATACTCGTCCAGAGAGCGATCGATTTCGGCGATCCGGCGCTCGAACTTGACGACATTGCTGCTGGCCAGCCCTGGACCGGGATTACATCCGACAAGGCGAGACGCTGCGTTAGATGGGCCATGATGGATATGCAAGTGGAGGTGGATACCGCACAGGAGCAGGGACGATGTGCAGATGCATTGATCACGACTGCACGACTGCACGACTGCGCGACTGCACGACTGCACGATTGCACGACTGCAGAAATCCGCAAACCCGCATACGCCGATCCCTCGTTTGTCCTGCTCGCGATCCCATGAGCTCTAATGGCACCAGATACATACAGAGCTGGTAGGACGCCGGTAGCTGCCGCTTCAGGAAGGGATGCAGGACAAAGCGCCGATAGATGTCAAACAGGTCGGAGCGGACCTTGGCAAAGACCTCGTTTCGGATCTCAAGGGGAGTCTTGGGCGGCCGCGGCTGGGGCTTTTGAAGATGCACCAGGAACGGAAGAACAGACGACGTCGTTTCCAGGATCTCCGAGTTGATCTCTTGAAACACAGAGCGTTTTGCCTTTGCCGAGGGAGCGGGGAGGTGGAGCTCGGGAGGCGGCGAGCCCGGCGGTTGGTCGGCGTCGAGATAGTAGAGGGCAGGGTTGGAGAGCGCCCGTAGCGCCTTCTTGAGCAGGAAGAAGCAGCTGGGATGCATGTATTGACGGAGGACGGTCTGGTGGTCGACGAGGTAGCAGACCACCTCCTTGTTGACCATATCCAGGACGACCTCTCTGATGACATGAGTCTTCCACAGGGCCGGATCCGATTCGATTTCGTTTCGGTGGAAGCCCTGATGCGCCCGCGACAAACGGCTTGGCGGCAGGGCCGGGCTGATGGGCAGACCGGAGCTGGTGTCCGAGTTCGAGAAGGGGGAGGAGAGAGCCACGTCGCAAGCAATGGATGCCGGCTGGGTCCGGCGAGATACCTTGAGCAGCATGATGGGGATGAGATGCTTGCAGCGAAAGGGGAAGGGCGGCGGTGATTAGATTAGGACGGGTTGGGCGCAAAACCTCAATGGTCGGACGGAGGAGACAAAATCCAGGACGGAGGAGGGCTATTGAGTACAGAGGTTCGAGCGACGGCGTTCGGTGCACGGCCGGTATGCGAGGGATGCGCTTCTGTTGGAGAGTGGTTGGGATGGGAGACGAGCGACTGTCCAAGCTCCAGGCGATCCAGCGACGAAGCAGACGCAGGGGAGGGATGTGCGGGAAGGAACCGGTAATTGCACAGTCGGACACGGAGGGGGAAGGCTGGCGGATAGCCCTTAGAGGAGGCCGATGGCGACTACTGCGGGAGTGAGTTGGTGGGGATGCGGTGGAAGGAAAGACACCGCATCCGAGTTGAAGCGACGGCTGGGAAGTAGACGAGCGGGTGGCGACTCGGCCGGCTTGTTGGTGGGCGATGGGACTGCGTGAGCTGGACGAAGGCGGATGTCGACGGCCGGGGCAGTTGCGATGATGGCCAAGCGGCAGCGACGGCGACGGCGATGGCGGCGGCGATGGCGATGGCGAGATGGACGGACAGATGGAGTATGGGCGGGTGAGTGAATCAACGGACGAGCGAACGGATGAAAGGATGGACGGGGAGGCAAGAGCCAAGACGGCGTTGTGAAAAAAACGAAGGAAATGACAGAGCATGTGTTGGGCAAGGCCGCCGCTGTGTGTGTGCGGGCGGTGCAGCTGTGTGTGTGTGTGCGAGGGGACACACGTGTAACCACGAAGACTGTGCGCGGGCAGCAGAGTGTGTGGAGTGCCGCGTCGAGGGTGCGCTATGGTGCGACATGAGCAGGCCCTTGTGCGCGCCTGTCTGGCCCCGGCCCACACACGCTGCGTGCCCCTGGCTCGCGCTGGGCGATTGCGCTGCGTCGCACAAGCGGCAGAGCCCGCCACCGCCACGCGCCTGTCTGGACAGCCAGACACAGGCTGATTGTGAGTGTGCCACCGCCGCGGCCCGAAAAGGCAGGCCGGATCGAGCCGGATCGAGCGCGGCGCCACAACCCCAACACGCGGTGGCATTGCCTTTTCGGGCGAGCGCAGTCGGCAGCGGAGAGCCTTGCCAGAAAAGGCAGTTGGCCAGGCGCGGCGGGCAGCCAATCAGAGCCCGATGCTCTCCAACGATGAGCTCGCTCGGAGAACATCTTTGGCGGGAGCATGAGTACTCGCCTCGTCGAGAGCATGCATCTCCTGTTAATAGCACGCATCCTGTTCACAGCATGCATCCTGTCTACAGCATGCATCCTGTCCATAACATGCATCTCCTCGGCATCTCCGCGTCCTCCCACACGCCCCGCCGCCTGCGTCTCGCCGCCCCAAACTCTGCCTGTCCAACGCCAAACTCAGCACACAAGCCGCCGCGCGCAAGCACGTGAAGGCCCTGCTCCTCGCCGCGCTGTCTTCTTCGGACCCTCACGGTTGCCTCGGCTCTCCCGCCGACGGTGTTCTGTCTGCTCCTGGCTTTGGCTCTTTGCGTTTTCCTCTGCCTGCTCACCAGACCGGCGTCGCTGTCCCCCTTCGCATCGCTGTCCCGCGGCCTCCCTGTCGCTGCCACCCCCTGTCTCGACCGTATCGCCGTTGCTGCCGAGCGCCGCGCATCTCTGCCGATCGTATCCGTTCTGCATTCTTCTCCGCTCTTGGCCGTTGTTCTCGGCTTCACCATGGCTTCTCCAACTTCGTCATTATTGTCCATGGCAGCAGCAACCTCCATGGCGGCAGCCACCTCCATGGCAGCAGCAGTCTCCGTGGCGACATCAGCCTCCGTGGCAGCAACAACCTCCAAGGGCTACCACGATCACTTTGACGAGTACAAGGGCCGGAATCTCACCCAGCAGGAAATCCAGATGCTGAAGAACCACCAGCGACAGATGGAGGAGCATCAGGGCCACGAGCAGCAGCACGCCCAGATGGCCTTCATCTTGATCACTGCCCTCATCACCTCGCAAATCGCGATCCTGTCGTGGAAAAAGTTCCATCCGCGTTCCTTCAACTGGGCCACTCTCATCGGTCTCTGGATTATACCTCCCTTAATCGGGCTCCGGAGCGGCTCCTATCGGTATCTCTTTTTTTGGGCCCTCTATTCCGTCGCCAACTCGTTCATTGTCAAGCGCGCATACGAGTCGCCGCTCAGCTCGTCGACCCCAGGCCTGGTCTACAACTGGTATGCCTGGATCTACTCGATCTCGTATGCCATCGGCATTTTTGGCTATGCCATCGTTGCCGCTGCGTTTTTCCACATCCCCGCCTTGCTCTTTGGCGTCGACATCGAAGGCGAGTCCCTCATTGTCCAGGTAAACCATGACCACCATCCACCATCCACCATCCACCATCCACGTTCCATCCTGCAAACCTTGATCCTTGCGGCAAAGCCATCCCGGCACTTTGTCTGTTCTCGCTCACCAATGCTCTCACCGTCTCTGCAGCGCGGCATTGTCTTGATCTTCTACGGCCTGTATTTCGGCACCCTCAGCCGTGACTTTGTCGAGAGGCTCTCCGATCGCATGGCCACCAAGATCGGCTACTACAATCCCAAGGGCATTCCTCACAAGCAGCTCCACCAGGACGTCTGTGCAATTTGCGGCGAGAGTACCGGTCTCCTCGACTCGACTGCTGCTGCTACTGCTGCCCGCCCTCGCAAAGGCCCCATCGAGATCGGGGCATCCAGCCTCGCAGAGCCCAACAACCCCGCCACCATCTGGGCCCAGCTTCTGCGGTCGGGTTATCGGCTTGGCGTTGGCCTTCTTGGCGACGACGGGAAATTGCACAAGTTGACCTGTGACCACACCTACCATGAATCCTGCATTCGGTGAGTACCGGCGGAGATTAGTGACCATTTCAGCGGTTTAATGCTCGGCTCTACATGCTGTCGATGGCTCTGTGCGGCACACTTTGCCGGATGCGACTGGCAGGGCACAACTCTGCAGGCCTCGCTGGATCGACTCTGATCGGCATCACTGCATGTCTCTGGATGTAGGGGCTGGACCATCATCGGCAAGAAAGACTGCTGTCCGTACTGCAAAGAAAAGGTCGATCTACAGGACTTTTCGCGCAATCCCTGGGACACCACCCAGATCCTGTATCTCAACCTGCTAGATGCCCTGCGGTACATGGTCGTCTGGAACCCCATCATTTTGATCATCGTGCATTTCATCTTCAACGTCTTTGGCTACAAGTGATCGGGTGCCTGCATCAGCAGCAACTCTTGTCCGACTGCCGCCGCCCCTCCCCCCCCTTTTTTTTTCCTGGCCCGTCACAACCACAATCTCCTGTTGCGCCCCTGTATGCTCCTCCGTTGGAGGTTTCTGTCGGGTCCCACCGCGGCCCTATTCACTTTGCTTTGCTTTGCTTCAATTATCTGCAAACATGCAAGCTCCCCCCCCCCGTTCTCATCCTTCGGTGTAGTAGCGGCTTGTTCTTCTGTCGATCCGACTTGTCCCCCTGCGCATTCCAAACCAGTCGTCCACACCGGTGCTCGAATCTTGGACCCGAACCTGAACCCGTCGCCTCTCGCGTACCCTCTTCCGTTTCTCCGCCCCTGACTTTGAGGTATGCCATCTTAGAGCGCTTAGAGCACAAACCGGGCCACCCTGTTTTGAGGACATTGATCGATCCGCTCTGGATCTTGAATGCAATATATGCGTGCCCCAGAGCACCGCCCCAGGGCACTGCCCATCAGCATCTTTCTCGATTTATGAGCCTGAGCCCAGCGCTGCGGAGAGACTCACAACTGCACGAGTTGCTCCAGTCCTGCGGCATCCAAGCGCGGCCGCCTTGGCTCGGAACAGCAACATCGACTCGTCACCGTGGCCGTTTCTGGCTGCGCTCGTCGTCGCTTCAACAAGAACTACTGTTGTATCGTGTGCGCCTTCTTACGACACATTCTATTCAGTGAAGCGCCGACCTGTGCGCCATATCCACCCATCAAGGAGCCTCAGCTATCCTCGATCGCCGAGTTCTGGAAGACGGTCATGTATCCGAACGGACTGGTGCACAGACTCGACGGCAGGTTGCTGAGCAGATCCGCGCTCTGCTGTCCCAAGATCGTATTGTCCGCGGCGGTTGTCGGGCGATGAGAGGGAGGGGCGTTCGGTGAGGACAGTCGCAGAATCGGATCCGAGTTGCCAGGTTGCAAGGTACCGTTTCCAAGATGCCGATGGCGCCGTTTGAGAGAATGATTGAGCCCGACGGTTCGTGCATTCGGCCCGATGGCAGGTGTGTGCCAGTCAACGCCATGCCGCCAGTCGATCCGTGCCGGCGAGGAGAGGCAAATCGGCAGAACAAAAAGACGATCCATCAATAAACCAAGCTGCAAGGATCGGTGGGGAGCAAACGGCTCACACGGAGCCGACACAGCTACAACACATATTTCCCATGCATGGGCGTGTCTCGGATCGGATGGAAGCTGGCGCTGCCTCGTACCGTGCATGATGTCGTCCGGCAGCTCGCAGACGCAGACGCAGACGCAGAGGGGGAAGGCATAGATGGCTTGGTTTGGTGGGAGGCGGATGCAAACGGAGACGGAGAAGGCCGAGCCGAGGAGGATGACGGCGATTGTGCCGGCGCTGGTGTGGGTGCTGATGCTGATGTCGATGTTGACGCTGATGCTGCGGAGTGCGAGAACACTGGCGATGCTGCCGATCTGGCGCACTGCGACTTGATATGGTTGGCGGCCTTCGAAGCCATGCCCGCAGATCGCGAGGCTTGTCGGAACGCCGGCAGCGTCGATACCATGTTGATGCCGAAATCGCGGATAGGCTGAGGAGAGTCGATACAGACGGCTTGATCGATACAGACGGCTTGAGCGGTGCCGATGGAGACAGCGATGATGACAATGCGGGCAAGAACCAGACTTTTCTTTGGCCAGCGACATGCCGGTCACGTGCAAGGCATGTGGCGCACGCCCCACCGCGCCATTCGAACCGGCCGCGCGATTGCGCATGAGCCCTCCCGGCAGCCATTTTTTTTCGCCCGCATCGTCCTGCGAGGTGAGTCACCAGACGGCACCCAGCTCCCCATCTCCTCTCCTCCATCGAGTGCATCCGGGCAATCCAGCGCAAACCGTGCTGAGTCGGTACGTCCGCGACGGCAGGGTCGGCACCGTCGCATCGTTGCCGGTGGGATCGGGCTGCGCTTTCGTTATTTGGATGCATATGGATCCAAGCCTGTCCGCCAGAACATCATGCAGAATCTAACTTGCTCCACAACGCCGCTCTCCTTTGCATCCGATCCGACCATGTTGACGTGGCATCCGATCGGACTCCGGAACTCAACCCTCTGATCGCACCGCCATGGACCAACGCAACGATCCCATTTGACAATTGCCAAACGTCGCCCTGCTTCTACGATGTCGTCGTGGTGGTCTATTTCCACCCATCTCGCATCCGAATTGGATATTTTTACTCTGGCTTCAGCAATCTCGTCACAGCCGCTACCAACGTCGCATACGACCCGTCACCTCTGTCACCATGATCCGACCCACTTCCACATTTCGATTCGCTCGAGGATGCTCAAATCGGATGCCCGGCGCTCATCGTGCGGCAGCCATGCCGACAGCAGCAGGCGGATGCTCCAGCAGCTTCCCGCACACCAAGCCTGCCTCGACCTCGGCTCCGTCGGGCGAATCTCCGCGCGCATTTACTTCGTCCTCGGCTCCGTCGGCATCTGGACTGTGGACGGCATCGCGATTGGCTACCCCGGCCATCGATAATATCCCGGACGCCCTGATTGCCTCAAATCGGATCATCAGCCTGCTAACCAAGCTGGAGTCTGTCGTCGACGCAACCGATGACAATTAACACCCACGCTTGTCGGGCATCATCACCTTGTACCCCTCCCCTTCCACGATTCTCCAATCATTCCAGTCCTCCCCTGCATATTCGCACACGCACCTCCGGATCTCCTGCTTGTCCGGTGTCGCGCCCGCTTTCCATCGCTGCCTCAGACTCGGCAGAGCCTGCACTACCATGTATGGAAATATAGAGCCGTATGTTGATGGGACATATGGCTGCGAGCCGATATTCGGGCCGCCGCAGTCTATACCGCTCACTGCGTCGGATGGAGATGCACTACGAGTGTTTCTGGACCGCTGGACTGCTCTGGACGCGGCACCGTTCAGTCCATGATCGGCTTGCATACCATGAGCCATGGCCTCGAGATCGAAAATACCAACCCCAACGAACAGTACCCATGGCGCTACAGGCGATCCAGTTATAACGGGACACCCCGGATTCTGACCATCGACCACTTTTCTTTGCCATCCGAGCCCAATAAGCGTGGCCATGACCATTCGGCCCACACCCGACTTTCGTACTGCTACGTTACGATGCTATAACATCATCCGGAGCTCACGCAAGTGGCCCCCATCCTCTGTGTATCCAAGAGCACCATCCATCGCTGGTATCCGGAGACCAGTGCCGCGACCCACGGACGGCCACAGGAGGCGAGTCTCGATGGTTCGTCGACTCGTTTCTGAATCTGGCCCGCCGTCCCTCGACAAGAGTTCCCGCCGAGCACTTGCACGGCTGGGGCCACCAAACCCCCCAAGAGATCCTCGGGTTCGCTCCCCCCCCTTCCTCTTCTGCACATGCGGACCACCGACGCAATCAGTCCTGTCTGCACTCTCCCTTCCCACGTCGCCACCCCGCTCTGCTTTCCACGTCATGGTCAGAATCAAGGCCTTGAAGTCGGGCGAAGCCGAAGCATATCTTCCGCCGAGCAGCACTGCGCTCTCGAATCGCACCCGCGCGAGGACGCAGACCACAAACTCATTCACCTCCAGCCGCTCCTTTCCGAACGGGCTCGGTGGAGGGCTGAGCGCGAACAGCAGCGTCAGCACCAGCGGCGGCATGGCCATGAACACGGGCATGAACATGAGCATGAACATGAGCACAAGCACGAGCACGAACATGAACATGAACATGAGTACCGGTGCCGCTCCTGTCTCTGCAGCGAGCTCCGGCTCCAGCTTCCATGGCTCGCTCTCCCTGGAGCGACGCGCCTCATCCCAGGGCCGGCCCACCGACCACTCGCACTCGCCCATGTCCTATGGCCACGGCAACAAGACAGCGCTGATCGAGCTCCAGGCGCTCGCGCGACTCCATCCAGAGGTCCTCGGCAGCACGGCCAGCGATCCTGACCTACTGCAGCAAATGTATGATCTTGCTCTCGATTGTGTAAGTTGCCCGGCTCGCGTTTCGTTGTGCTTGCGCCGGCTGGCTGTGATTGTGGGGATCATTCCCACGCAAACAAGAAAGCCTGGCCCCATGCAGCCGCTGACCATCGCGGGCCTCCAATACGCCACAGGGCACCGAGGAGCTCTCCGAGGACGTCCGTGAGGCCCTCAACAACCTCTCAAAAGAGAAGAAGATCCAGCTCATCAAGCAGGTTTGACCCTGCCATCCTCTCCTTCTCATGACATGTGTTGCAAAGTCCCTCTGGCACAAGCTTTGCGGTCGCCAGTCTGCAAAGAAAAGAGAGTCTGGATGTGTCGGCTCATCCACTCATCAAATTCTGGCATTTCGCCTTCGCTCGCGGTCGTATTGCACACTCTTGCGGCCGCTCTGCGCCTTTCCCAGTTTGTCCATTCAGACGCTGCGGCCTGCACAGCATTCGCATCTGACCAAGCCGAAAAGTCACCAAAGTACTATGTGGACCTGCTCCACTCCCAGACTTCTTTGATCCTGCTTAAGTTTGGAACAAACCGTGCGGGCCAGTTGATGAGTCTCGTGGCCAACTGGAGCATGAATCCCTCGGGCTACCGGCTCCAGTCGAGTCTCAAAGACATTCTGGCGGATTTGAAGATGCAGTGCACGTATCGCTCTGTTGGGTACGTGTCTGTCAATCAAACCACATCAACGCGAACAGTTATTCATTCTTGCCGTTACACCGCGGTTCAAATCCCGTCCGACATGGACCCCCGCTATCTGCAGCAATATGTCCACTAATCTCTTGCCGGCTCGGCTGCAATATCACAGCTGGTTGTTTGACTTTGTCGAACACGGCGGCATCCAAGCCCTCGTCGATCTCCTCGGTGCCTTTCACAAGAAAACCGATCGGTAGGGACCCGTAATTTGCTCAAGCCACGGTCATGGAGCTGTCTGACTCATGGCCACTGCCGCTTCTTCGTCATCAGCAAGGCAAAGTACATCGACAATGAGCATGAGGTCCTCAAGATCCTCAAGCTGCTTGCCAACAACAAGGTTTGACGGGTGCCGCGGGAGAGCCTTGTAGCCACGGAAGGAGGGAGGCATGGCTTGTGTACCATCGATTCCAGTAGCACCAACCAAAGCCGAATGACGAATACTAACAGGCAAAACTCCCCTCTCTCCAACCAACCAACCAACCAACCGACTGAAATAGCGAGGCATCGAGGAGCTTCTATCCAACCCACACATCGCCAAGACGCTGATACTCCCTCTCGACTCGCCCACGCTGCTTTCTCGGGTCTACACCACGGATCTACTCCTGGCGATTGTGACGCTCGAGTATCCTCGTGGACACCAGATGGTGATGGGTGGGTTCGAGACTCTCCGCCAGTTCAGGGGCGACAAGCTCGTCTTCCAGCGCTTCGTGGCCATGCTCGAAGATATAGTCATGAGCCGCGGGCTCTGGGGATCGAATGTCGGGGCCAAGTTCGACGAGATCGAGGGTCTATCACTGTCGCTCGGTGACAAGCGCAAGGAGCAGCTCCAACGCGAAGTGAACGACTACCTGGTACCTGTAGCATGCCGTGTGCTGGTTCACTTTGCGGGCAGTGCTCAGGTGATATTAGTCGTATCCCATATTCATTCAAACACTGACACACATCCATGCGTGTGGGTCAAACTTTGGTGTCTATCCAACAGATCTCAACCATATCGTTGATCCGCTATCTGGTCCAAGTGCCTCCTGAACTCGAGTACAGAGTGTACATCCGCAGCCAGCTGCTGGCTGCCGGCTTCGGAAGAATCACAAAGGTATAGGCCCCTCTGTTGAGTGTCAAATGCCTTCATATCATGCTATCTGGAAGAGAGTCGCTGCGTATGCCCCTTATAGCCAGGAATCATTTCCATTTCCATCATTGCTGGAGCGGCTGCATTTGCGCTGCTCTGGGTTGATTGCGAGGCTCTGACACGACCCGTTTGTCGAAATGACTACCCTCGACGACGGACGACTCGGCACTTGTCCCAGAAACTCCACACATGGGCGGCGTCAGAATTCTCGGGAATCATGCTGCATCTGCAGGTCATCCAGGATCAATTTTTGCTCGACCAAGACACTTTGTTTGACCAGTCCGTTGAGGGCCCGGATCGAAGCAGTCCCGTTGCCGTTCTGAAGGAGATATCGGAGACTGTTGGTACCAAGGACCAGGAAACCCTCGAGTATCTGCACAGCATCATGACAAGTCTGCTGGTAACAGCAAAAATGACCGACGAGTCCATCCGGTATGCTGCCTGGGGCGGTCTTGACGCAGGGGTTCGGGAGCTTGACGCGTATGATCGGGCAAGCTGAGTTGACCGAGTTGGTCAGGCTGGTCGAGCCGGCGGGAGTTGGTTGGGTTGCTGCATCGGCCGCCAGTTGTATATGTTCGCTCACCCTCTGGGGCCGTTGGCCGGGAATCTGCAAATCGTTTCCTGGAACGTCAGATCGGATTACTTTCGTATCATCGACAACGTGGTTTCCCAAGTCGTCCTGGACGGATGCAGCTTTAGCCCAAGTTTCACTGATACCTACAAGATATCCGTCCAGGAGTTGATTGAGGGCTTTGCTGAGCTGAGGGAAATGAACGCCGTCCGATCAAAGCTGAAGGAGCTTGAAGAGCGCAATGAAAGCGCAGAAGCCGAGCGACAGCGATGGGTCAAAAAGACAGGCAAGTTCGTCGAGCCGTCGAGCCGACAGCTGCATATAGCTTGCACTTATCGAAGTCCCACAACAGCTACCGGGCGAACGTCGATCGCTGCCTCGATAGATTGGTATTCGAGACCGTCGATCCAATATGTCCCTGCGACTCATCATTTGCGGCCTGCTCTGGATCGGTCTGTAGATACGGAGTATGCCATTCAGAGCGCCTCGCTCAGAGAGGAGCTTCTGGACAAGGAGGCTACCGTCAATACCTTGCTTAAAGCCATTCACGATCTATCAGACAAGTACGAGAGATTCGTTCTGAGCCACGAGAAGGTAAATTGTCGATCGCCCTGCGCACTGAGAAAGCGCTGCATGTATCTAACGGCCCGACTCTCGAGCAGGCGCTCCAGCAAATATCGCATGAGATTGAGCATTTCCAAGTGAGTCACGAGCATGCTTTTGCGATGTGCTATCCAGTACGATGCGTGCTTGGCACCCCATTGTCGGGATACTGGCCGTGTTCTATCCTCCTGAAACACATCATGCATCGAGCAGGTCGAATCGCCAAGCTTGATTGATTCTGGATCGAGTTCCACTGTCTGTGTGTCCGAGCCCGCTGGTTCTGCCAACACCAGGGAAGCCAGTGTATCTGCATCGGTGGATGCAGTGCAGACCGGTATCTCAAGCGACACCGATGCTTCCACCGCCCCAGGTGAGCTCCACCACATTCGCAAACCGCTTTGCGATTCACACTTCGATCCTTTTCCCTTGCCCTATCGCTACCTGACGATCTCCAGAACTCATCTTGCCGAGTGCTCGATTGGTAACCCGAGATCCTTCAGCGGAAGTGCCGCCACCTCCGCCACCTCCGCCACCTCCGCCACCTCCGCCTGTCCCAAGCTTCCCTCTTGCATCTCTTCCGCCGCCGCCACCTCCTCCTCCACCCCCTGTTCTGGCAGGATCCACAGGTCTACCACCACCACCACCACCACCACCACTTCCTCCAGGAAATGGAGGCACCTTGCCACTGCCTCCCCCTCCTCCTCCTCCTGGATTCAGCGGGACCTTTGCAGCCCTAGCCCCTGCCATTCCACGACGAGTCCAGAAGTGCTTCCCAGCGAACGATCTCAAGCGCCTGCAATGGGAAAAGCTTCCCGAGAGCGCTGTATCCAAAACGATTTGGGCTCGGAAGTTGAAGCTGCAGACTCAAGTGCTTGCTTTGGCAGATTCACTCGAGAATACGATGCAAGAGCTTGGGATCTTCAGGGATATCGAACAAGAGTTTGCTGCCAAGGCAAAGGCCGCCAAGAAGGGCACCGTTTCTTCCAATAAGGAGGTCATGCTTGGCGCTGAGAGCACCGAAATCTGTCTGATCGATGGAAAGCGCGCCCAAAACATCAGTAAGTTCAAGGGAAATCTCGCTCCTGCTGCTGATCTTCATTGGATCAAGTTCTATCAGCATTTCAAACGACTCGCTGTTTCGCGCGTATAGTCGACACTTCCTCTGCCGTGCAGGCATGCTTGAGAGCATACACGATATCTCGCATACGGCGCTAACATCGCTCATCATCCCTTCTCAGTGATCATGCTTGGCAGCCTCCGTCAGTTTTCCCCTGCGGAGCTCTGTCGAGCGATCAACCAGTTCGACGAGACTCCCTTTACCGAGGCAGTCATAAAGCAGTTCATGTCATTTGTGCCAACAGAAGACGAGGTAGGCCGCATAGGAACGCTCGCCGGGGCGCCTGAATGAGACGTGTGTCAAATCCCTTGCCATCTCAGTACCAGGACACTCACCACACATTGCCAAACAAATGGTTAGATCCAGTTGCTCAAGCCGTACGAGGGCACCGGAAAGCCCCTGAGGAAATCCGAAGAGTTTTTGCTGGAGGTAACGCTGCTGGGTGGCATTGATGATCAAATGGTGCACATTCCCGGATCATCGATAATCACCTGTCCAGATCGATGGATACGTCTACAAGAGGCATTTGAGGAGCGGGGCACACATTCTATTGAAAGTTGATTTTTTATGTGGCTGGCCGCATCCGTCTGATGGAACCATTGCCCGGTCCAATCTTTGTCCGATATTCCAGCTGATGAAGGTGGATTCCCTCGAGATCAAATTGCAGGCTATGCGCCTGAAACTGACATTCTCAGAGCGGTTCTCGAGTAGCTTCGAGGACTTGAGCACAGTCCTGAAGGCTCTGAAGGAGCTCCATGATGCAGAGCAATTCCCGAAAGTGCTCGAGGCAAGTGTCTGCCGATACACAGCGATGTCTCCGACCGCCCCACTGGGCTGCGAGGCCGAACAGCGACTCGACTAACTCGCATCAACGGTATGTTCCGGCATAACGGCGCACAAATCAAACAGCTTATTTTGACCATAGGCAACTTCATGAACAGCGGTAGCTTCAACGGCCAGATTCACGGGTTCAAGATCGCCAGTCTCGGGAAGGTAAGGAGTCGCCCATCGCCCATTGCCCACCGCCCACCGCCCACCGCCCACCGTCCGACACCGAAATGAGAGACACTTGGCTCAGTTGTGCCTGACTTTCGGATCGCACAGCTGGTAGACACCAAGTCAGCAGACGGCAAGTCGACACTGCTCCATTTTGTGGTCAAGATCATCGACCGTGACTTCAGGAGCCTTGCAAGCTTCTACGAGGAGCTTCCCTCTGTCACCGTAGCTGCACGAGGTGAGAACGCATCTGCGATCAACAGCAGGCTCTCTGATCTGTCGCAGCGTAGCTTTCATTCTGTGCAGGTATGCTTGGTCGACCGTTGAATCGCCTCGATTGATTCATTTGGCCAATCCGACGCTCCTCAGTCTGTTACTCGACCACCAAGGATGATTTGGCCGACCTTCAACAGTCCCTTGAGTACATTTCCCTCCGATCCGGGTTCGAAACAGAGACGAATGAAGCCGATAGCAAAATAGAATCTTTCATTTCACAATGCCGCACCGAACTCGATCGGGCACAGGAATGCATTGTTGAGCTCGATAGAAGGTTTTCCGAGCTTACAGCGCTCTATGGCGAAGACACCTCGAGGATCAAGATCGAAGACTTTTTGCAGATCTTTGCCAGCTTTGTGTCGAGCTTCCAGAGCGCCCGCAACGAAAACCGAAAGGAAGCCGAGCGAATCGAGACTGAACAGCGACAGAAGAAACGTCAGGAGGCAGGTGTCATCCTTAGAACGACTGCGAAGAGCCCTGATAACCACAGTCGTGTCACCGGCCCTGGCTGGAAATGTGAATCGTCTCTGGCGGCCGCTCCGTGCGATCCTTCCCGATGGCTGACTCGACCCACCCATCCGCTGTCCCTCCATATGCAATAGGAACGAGAGCTTGCTCGCAAGGCCCGGCTACACTCGGGTCCCCAGTTTGTGCCCCAAGTCAAGATCGAAGATATCGGCGAGTATCCCGCGACAACCAGCGAGCTCGATCCTGCCCAGGGCAATCCCCGCGACGGCGAAGCGGCCGCGCCGCTCAATGACTTTATCGAGTCACTGAAGCGCGGCTCCATCTTTGAAGAATGCGGCAGCAAGCCGAGCCTTGGGGTCGCATCTGGCCTGGCTGCCAAGCGTCTGCCAGTGTCCCGAATGCAACACAGCTCCAAGAGACAAAGCTCCACAACCTCGATCGTCGGCCTGAAGGCTCTCGAGATGCTCACACGACTCCGACTCGCCGATAACGAGGCTCCTGGTGCTCCGCCGAGCGCAGCCCCTCCAAAAATAGTCGGGACAGCCGAGTTTCTGGAATCGCCAGCATAGAGATCTAGCGGCATCCATTCAAGGCCCTCCAGTTCTTCATCGCCACGGCAGCATCCGCCACCGCACATTGATGACGGGTACCCGGACAACAACGTCCTGAATACATATGACTTGAAATGCGTGTCGTGTATTTACCCTCCGCAACATACAGCGTGATATTCGAAACCGCTGCACTCGGCAGCTCTTGCCGATCCCGTGAAATCAATCAACTTCTGCCCATCGAGGACCTCAGCTCGATCGGAATCCACCAGGGGGCTGTGACCTTTCCATCAGTGCCGACTTGAGGGCATATTGGACCTCTTCGAGTCTGTTTGTCGAGCGAACAAAAGCCCAGGCTTCCTCGATGTCTTCCGGCTGGCAAAAGGTCGTCGTCATTTGGATTAGTCGCACGAACGTCTTTGTGTTGGGCTGGATCCGGTATGATGGGGGCTGCTCGGGCGCATCGCTGGCGTAGTAGCGCGACTTGATCTCGCTGAGGGCCTCCTTGAACTGGCGGTTCCGCAAAAGACCTTCAATGTAGCTCGTGAAGGTGTTTGCGCAGATGCGCGCGTTGGACAGCGAGTTCCACAGGGCTCGGAGGCCTTCGATGTCTCCGCCAAGCCCAAAACAGTCGAGTGCGAAGCAAAAGGCTGCCTCGGAAAGGTAGACCTTGGGAATGGGGATGCGATTGCCATCCAGTCTTTCGTACACGCGCAGTGTCTGATCATCCGTCGCCGAGATGCCTTCCCAGATGAGCTGCGACATGCCCGGGTTGCCTATTTTCTGATGATACCACATGAGCGTGGTCCAGACGCTGTCGAGCTCAAGGATCTTGGGCTCGCTCGCAGCGGTGTCAAACAGGAACTTTTCGAGTGTGGCTCGTTCCATACGGTGGTCGTCCGATTTGATGCATCCTTCAAAAACGACATGGAAGAGCGTCGAGAAATCGGTCGGGCTCCATTCTCCGGGCCTGATGTTTGCGTTGAAGTATTCTGTCGCTTTGTCCACTTTCTTGAGGGAAATGAGGGCCTTGATGTACGAATGTTGCGGCTGAAAGCCCAGCGAACGCTCTTTCAGCACACCGAACCAGCGCTCGACGCCGTCCTCGTCTCCGGAGACGCCGTAGCTGCGGATCAGGTAGCAGATAATCGACACCGATGGCGATATGCCGCGTTGCTGGAGCTCGCGAATCGTTTGCTCGATATGCGCTGACAACCCCAGGTCCGAAAATGCGAGACACGATCGCTCGTAGAAGAGCTTCGACATGGGCGCACCCAAGCTGCCCCACTTGCGCTTGAACTCGTAGTACTTCTCGACGGTGCCGCCAAACAGAGAGGCCAGCGCCAGCTCGCGATAGAGAGTTCCGAGGTACTTGGGATACACTTGCGTCACCTTGGCAATCCACATGTCGCACTCGGCCCACTTGCCAACCTTGGCCGCTGCCATACCCATCAGCTGGAGGATCTGTGCCGATGGCTCGACCTGGGGGAGCAGCTCCCGAAATTCAGAGTAGTGCATCAGGCAGGATGTGTAGTCGTTGGATATGCTAAAGTGCTTGATCAATGCGTAGTACACATAGGGGTCCTTGTGAGCACCCGAAGCTCGGAGCGAGTAGAACAACTTGAGCAACTCGCCCTCGTTTCCGTCTTTGGTGGCCGCATTCATAAGCACCGTCAAGCTCTGGGCATCCAGCTGGATGCCGCGGCTCTTCATCTCCTCGAGTAGGTGATCGACGCTCTCCCATTTGCGCTTCTGCAGCGAGTAGTGCAGCTCGAGGGTGTACGTGACAATATTGAGCGGCATCTTGTTCTTGACCATCAAAGCCTTGACGGTCATGGCGGACTTGTAGTCGTCCAGCGCCAGCAAGCCCTTCATCAAACTCGACAGCATCAAGAAGTTGTTGGAGGCGTCGGGCAGCTCCATGACCATCACGGAAAGGTGCTTGAGGCCCTCGAGGTTGTTGGTGTTGGTGAAATGCTCAACGGCGACGTTTACCCCTTGGGGATCACTTCGATTGAGGTCACCAGCATCCCACATGAACTTGAAGTACTTCCACGCTGCTTCCAGCTCCTTTTTCTGGTAGTGGTAGCGGATAAAGAGTTTGCAGATCCACCAGGATGGGGTGGCTCTGGACGTAATGTAGTCGCTCGATGGAGCTGCGGGATCGGATTTGTTGATGCATTCAAATAACCAAGTTGCATCGTTGATCCGATTCGCTTTCAGCAGCTTGTCGATCAAAACGCTGCTATCAAAGTGGGCAGGAAGCAGGCCAAAGGGAGTGCATTGTCTTATGAACTTGAGAGTCTCGTCCACGGTGCGCTTCTGGAGATGTGCCCGCAGTGCCATGCAATACGACATATAAACGTCTTGGGCATGCCATTTAGAGCCTGCGAGCAGAGCCATCGTTCGGGTCTCGGTTTCTGGATCGAGCCTGTTCGTGAGGATCAATAACTTGTAGTGATCAAGCATGCTCTCGATTAGCTTGCTGGTGACGACTCGATCCTCGCTCCAGGTGAAGGACTGGGACCATTCGAGCGCCTCACTGAATAGTCCAACTTGGTCCACTTGAAGGGCAACCTTGCCAAAGAGCCCCATGAGGGTAACGCCGTCTTTGGAATTTGGATTGTGTTCGAAGAGCACCTTCATATAGCTGAGCGCCATGGAAAGGTGTTCGGGGATGTGGAGGCCAGTGAGATCAGTTTTCGAGGACATGAGCGAGGCGCAGGCCTTGAGGATATCGATGTGTTCTCTTGAGTTAAAAACACCAACAGAAAACCGATTGTCTGGAGTAGGTGCGGTGTAGCGCTGTATGGCAAACGAAAGTACATCCTCGTGGTGACGCAAAAGATATAGTGTCGACAACACTTCGGGTTCAGAAAACAGAGGCAGATGCTCCCGGAGCTGTGATTCAGAAAGCGCATCCAGGAGCTTCTGCGCCGCGGCGTTGTCACCGGATTTGATTGCAGTCTCGATCAGAGTGCAGGTAAGCTTGGGTGTGCGTGCATCGGGGTTGTTGGCGGCGTGATGGTCGACATACGACTGGGCGATGTTGAATTTGCCATGCTGTCGAAGGTACAGGAGCACTTTGTATCGCCAGGCATCATCAATGGGGTATCCCCTTGCCGCGGCATCCTTCTCCACAATGAGGGCCGCGTCGAGGTTGTCATGGAAGAGATACCCTTGGGCCATGGATAAGAATGTCTCGCTGTTGTGGCGCGACAGCTGCAGAGCATGCTCAAACCATGATCGGGCAGAGAAAAGATCCGTCGGGCTGTAATAGAGCACCATGGCATTATATGCCAGTGCATTGACGGCCGGAAAGGAATTGATGACCTTGATCGATGCGGCATCATCTGGGGGCGGATCGCTGTAGCGGCATTGTATCTCCACGAACTGAGCCAGCTGCTTCAGAGTGGGGAGTTTGGATTGCCGCTTCATGTCGAACACCAAGCGCTTGAGCAGGTTGGGCCCTCGGTCCTTTGCAACCAGACCTGCACGGAGGCGGTCGCTTTCGACGGCACGAAGTCGCTCATATGTGATTGCAAAGAGCCGGCCCATCTCCCGATAAAAGTTGTTCCAGAGGACAAAGATCTGTGATCGATCCACTCGAAAGTAGAGAGTCCAGAGCCGATCGTATGTTGCGTCGTCGATCTCTCCTGGCTCGCGCAGGATGGCAGTGATCCGCCTTCTGGCTTTCAACGGATCCATGCCGGTCGGACCCGCCGCGGTCGTAGATTTCATACTTGCGTACAGATCTTCAATATTTATGCGCCGCCGGTTGCGCATGTTGTTGGTACCACTCTCCGAGCCCGGCTCTGAAGTAGTCGACTGAGCACGAGATCGGATCATGGGCAATCGGCCCACAGGCGATGGCGCCTGCGTCGGCCGAGCAAATCGGGCTGTCGATCCAGTGTCTGTCATAAGCAACAAACGACAACGATCAGCCAACTGCCTCAGCATTTCAACGTTATGGCCTCGGAGCTGGATGTCTGTCGCAACGGTACAGGATGCTCGATCTCTATGCGATCACTTCCGAGCCAACGCACGATGGCCGCCCGAGACTGACGCATCCCGTCAAGTTTACCATGTGGCCAAGCAGCTGCAATGCGTGAGATGCTTCGGAAACCGACGATTGGCACGATGGGATTGACTGCAGAGCGAGCCAGGCCCTTTGCGGCCGAACAGAGGAGCATTGCGATCGGTGTCGGAACGGACAGAGATGAGAGACGAACGAACCAAGCCGTGGCGACGAGGTGAGAACAAGAGGCAGGAAAAAAAAGTGAGCCCGCGAACCCGAACGCGATTGGCTGCGGCTGGCAATCAAGACAGAACGATGGACGATGGACGATGGACGATGGATGATGGACGATGGACGATGGACGATGGACGATGGACGATGGACGATGGACGATGGACGATGGACGATGATGGGCGATGGATTCTTCAAGTCAATATATTCAGCCGGACCGACCGCTCTTTGTTTCAGCCTCGTCATGGGCTGCATCGGCCTCTGGCTCCCGCAGCTGGATCATTTCGATGGACTTGGATATCCACTCTTGGCTCTGGTCCCACAGCTCCGTCATGCCCATGACAGAGCCATGTCGAAGCCGCTTCCGCCAAGCGTCTGGCTTGGACGAGCCGTGCCGCCGTTTGGCCGCCTGTCGGCTCTTGAGGATCGAGACGTTCTTCTGGTCGCTGGTGATGGCCCCGAGAGCAGTCATATATCGCAGGCGGTAGGAAATGTGCTTCTCTGTGAGCACCTTTGGCAGGGTCTTCTTCTCCTTCTTGGCCCACTCGGAAAAGAGCGCCATTACCGCCTTGGTGTTTGCGCCGCGACTCAGATACAGCTCGATCAACTTCTTGTCCAGCTCAGGATTCCACAGCGAACAGTCATTCACCGACAAGATCAGCTCGGGATGGAACCGCTGCTTGACCGAGTGAAGAATCCGCTTCGCGTCAGAGTCTGGCCGGCCAAAGACGGTGCAGATCCATTTAACAATGTAGACATCTTCGAGCTTGGCATGGTTCTCCTCGTAGTATCGCAGAGCCTGCTCGAATTCGCCGATCGTGAGTGGCTCGGTCTCGAGCGAGCGCTTGCCGCGCGAAATTGAGTTGAGCGATCGGATTCGATACCGAATCGAAGCTTCGGAGCGGTTGAGTGTTTTGGTCATATCTTCTGGCTTTACGGTATCGAGCAGCCGGGCCAACGCAAGATCGTCCTGGAAGGACCAGTGCGTCAGACGCCGGCAGGCTGGGATGACAGCATTCCAGCCATAGAGACTGGCCTGGAGCCGTCCAGGAGCAGCAGCCAGCGCTGGGGGCAAGGAAAGCGTTCGCACAAGGAAAGAGATCATCGCTCTTGGCTCTTGGACTCTGGTCGGCAAGAGAGCGGCGTTCAAACGAAGAGAGCCGGCTTGGACAGAGATCGCGCCTTTGCTGATTTGGCTGGCCGGGCTGCTGCGGACATGCATCCAATCGGCCCCAAGACGAGCACCGGATGCCCGGGCTCGGATGCCTGGGTTCGGCCTGCTTCCAACCCCACGGTGTCCTCAGGTCGATATTGAGGGCGAAAGCGTGCTTGCCGACGCACCGCACTCTGGGGGCACGCTGCTCTGAACGGGAGCGACAGCGCAGATGATATGTTCGATTGGAACAGGCCGCCTCGATGGCAGCGCAAAGGCGCATGCCCACAGTCCCTCTCTCAGTCGCCACTACCGTCGATGGACGCTCTAGTCCTGCGACAGCATGAACGCCGCGCCGCTCAGAATCCACGCAGCTTGATCCTGCGAACAGGGCACCTGGAGCCGAGCAATGAGTTTCTCACGAGCAGGGGTAGCGTACAACGGAAACTCGAGGGTGTTGGAGACAGAGATATCCTGGGAGAACATGAAAGCCCTGCAGCATCAGCGTCTGTGCTCCACCAGCGGCCTCGCATCGGCCAACGACCTCATGGGTCGTTCACACCTAACCGCTTTGCCGCCCCAGACCAGCCAAGCCTCAGACCAATCAAGCTCCACCTCGGGCAATGCATGTTTACCTTGGGAACCCATGCAATGTAGCAGGTTGGGACGATTTGGAAAGGAGGGTCCGAGGCCGTTGCCGGAGTCAGGTTGCTTCCATCGAAGATACACCCTTGGAGCAGCAGTCCTTGAATAGCCACAGTAAACATATTCGAAGGGATATTTGCCGGCTTCCAGGTCGAAAGCAGATGTAGATTGTCCATAGACGAGTTCACTGCGATGTGCAACCCATATTTAGTGCATACACTAGCCCCAGCTGCTTGGCTGGCAGATCCTGATGCAGTCCGGCTGGCAGATCCTGACGCAATCTTACGATACTTGTCTGCATGGCCCATACCTCGACGAGACGACTCCTGGCGCAGTGCACTCAAGAACGTTGCCGGATTGAGCAAGTTCTGGAGCTTAATTGGCGACTTCCACAGCGTTCCCGCCGTGAGAGCGTCTCTCATTTCGTTGACAGTTGTGCCGTTTAACAGAGCTTCGCGAAGGAATTTGTGTGGTAGCTTGGACCCATCCCATACACTCAGCCAGCTGTACAGATCCCGGCACTGATCAGTCGGGTGTGTCGGGCAAACACATCACATCCGCGCGCTCGCTCCTGCTTCCCGATTCCTGAAAGCTGCCAGTCGACAACGAAAACGATACTCAACGACTCGGGTGTGTTTCCGTGAATCAGGGCCGTGGCCTTCTCGGTGACATCGTTCGTCGCCAGCGCCGTGCCGCGAATCACTTTGGAGATCAGTGATAGATCCATGTGAATCTGGCGGAGAAGCCCAAGGGCCATCGAAAGCTCCTATCATATCCCCCCCCAATAGCGTTACCAAACATGTCGATCGGAATCGCTTTCAAAATTCGGTTCGGAGCAGCAAACAGTCTCAGGCGGCTCCTTACAAGTGTCAGGAACGAGTGGATGGGGTCGGTGTCCGAGGTTTGACCCATTTTTTTCTGCAGCAAGTCGTTTCCTGTGTTGAGCTGCGAGAGAAGAACGAGTGGCACATGTTCGTGAATTGGTCCGAAAGTAACTCGGTGCTCCATCAGCTAGAGCTGTCATCGGACAGCCTTCCGCTCGTCATAGGCTTGCACAAACTGCGGCACTGTACTCATCGTTTGTTTGCGCTCATCCTCTCCCAAGCTCATCCGTGTTCCTGACCCGCTCGCTGCCGTGCCACTGACCTTCTTCCACAACTGAAGGAACGGCAGCAGCAACTTGGACCACTTTTCCTTATCCACGTTTTGGCTCCGCAGATCGACTTGTTTCTGGTTGGGGTAAGTCGTTGGAGTTGGAGTTGGGTTAGTGCTTAGACCATGGTACTCGGACAATGAAGCAAAGACGGCACAGATTGAGGCAGAATCGATGGGCTGCATGGGGCGCGGCGCATACCATCATTTTGAGCTGGTCGACAATCTGGCTACTCGTTGATATCTGAATCATCATATCGATGTTGGCTGGGAGACCAAGCAGGCTGATATTTTCCACCTCGGGTAGATCGTTGATGAGCTTGACGTACGACTCGTGGTCGCTGCTGTTCGGAAGCACTGATGCACATATCAAGATGGAGCCTGTGTGAGTGTCCGCCGTTGCCGGATCAGAAATCTTATCTTCCGGCACATACCGATTCCTTTCGCGAGCCTCTTGGTGGGCTGTCGGCCGTTGAGTGCAAAGATATCTATATCGAAACCATCATTAGCAAATGTGGCCATTCCTCAGGCATGACATCGATCCGTGAACAAGAAGAGTGGCTCTCTCGCAGGCATCACTGCGGTAGTCCTGACCATCGTTAAAGTATTGCTGGAGGTAAACTTCGAGCTTGCGAGCGTCGTCGCTGTCATCAATGCGTCCGCCGTAGATAGCCTCTTTGAGGAGCCCGTGCAGAATCTGCCATTGGGGGACGCAGCTGTTCCCGTCGCACATCTGACTGACCACCTCCGAACTGCTTCGCAAATCGGCTGCCGAAAACTCGTAAAACTTGTTCCAGCCCTGCGGAATGTATGTTCGCCGTTCCTGGATGACTGCATGAAACCAAGCCAACCCAAAGAGCGCTTGAGCGCGCAGGACCGATCCCTGCGCAATAAACTGGGGCGTCCATCCTTCGTATATACGCTGCATGTTCTTTTTAATGCCAGGTGGCGCCTCGACCGTTATTTTGATGCTGCTTTGCAGGAGATTAACCGGGAATTTGGGGTGCGCCTCGGATGTCAGCCAGAGCCGGAACTTTGGATGGAGAGTCAGGATCGAGAGCTCGTTTTCGACGACCGAGAGCCAGTTGCTGACCAGATGCACATTCTGCAAGTATAGCCAGCCGCCGTTCTTGGCGCAGTGGTGGAGCTGCTGAACTGCAAGATCGCCTTGCCCCTGGCCCATCGAGATTTGAAAGAACATGTCATGGGTGATTTCGCTATCGGCCAGCTCCTTGAGCTCCTCGGTTGGATCGGCGCCAGGTGTCGTGATGAAGAGAATCGGCTCGGTCGATTTTGTTTCCTCGTGGTAGAAGCGCTTAATGTTGAACACGGGAGGAGCGATGCTGTCGATGCGCATGCAACTGAGTGAAAAGTTGTGCATCGCCGACAGAAGCCGGTCCGGTCTCAGACACTGCACCAGGATCAGCTTCTGGAAAGGCCCCAGTTTCTTCGAGGCCTCCGGAGGAAACTCAACCTCACAGCTTGGCGACTTGACCCAGCGTGCCCATGAGTCGTTGTCGTTTGCATTCATAGAGGCGTAGATCCCTGTGAGCGACTGCTGGATGGCCTGGAAACCTTGCTTTCTCTCTGTTGGGACCCATCCCGGAGACTCGGGCGCCTTCTCGTCAAGATCGCCGGGAACCACCTGCCCAATAAAGTAGTCCCATTCTTTGGCCTCGATCAGAGAGCCGTGGAGTCCGCGAATCATGTAAAGGGCGAACATTTGCCGATCGGACTTGAATATTGATCGCGAAACGTAGCGGTACACCAGCTTCTCGAGCGCACCCATGAGCAACTTGATCCGCAGGTCTGTTCCATCGGCCGAGGTCGAGTCGGGACTGCTCAGGGCCTTCTCGAAGAGCTGCAGAAATGATGCAAGGGAGAACTCATACATGCTGTTGATCTTCTTGAGATCGCTCATAATGAAGAATAGGCGGCTGCCAAAGTCGGAGAGCGGCCGAAATTTATCGCGCTCTGCGTCCAGCGACTCTTGCAGTCGATGGGACTCTTGCAAGCCAGTTGTGATCTTGATGCTCTTTTCCTTTGTCTCGTTCAGAGACTTGATGAGCGAGGTGTTCTCCAAAATATTGCCCTCCGAGTTGGCGAGCTCCTTCAAGAGCGACTCTTCGAGAGCAGCGAGTTGGATCTTGAGCTCTTCTTCCTGTTTCAAGATCTCGATCTTCTGGATCTCAAGCTGAGGCTTCTCGTGCTTGAGTGTCACGCCCAGTAACTGGGCAGCCAATCCCGCCCTGGTTATCGTAAAGTTAACCTGGTTGACGAGCGCTGCCGCGTCTGGAGGAATCGAGAACGACACCTTGCGGGTGACTAGGTACAGGCTGAACTGGTCGTGATAATCGACAAGCTTGTCGCCGAGCTGGATCATGAATCGCGGACCTTGCTTGATGAGCGACTTGCGCAGCACTGGATATAGCACCGGTTCGATGGATTTGAGCTCCTGGATGACCAATGTCTTGCCAAAGCGGATGGCAAGCTCGAGCGACCGGAGGAACGACTCGTCGCCTTGATTCAGAGTCTCGGGCTTCTTCTGCTGCAAGTGAGTCTTGAGCCATATCGTGGCCTGGCCTGATGGATCGATGATTAACGGAGTCACACCTCCATTCAGGATCGTGATGGCGTTCTCGATCGACAGTGTGTCCGACGGCAGCCCCTCAGACTTCCACACCAGCTGCTGGCTCTCGGTACTCAAAACTGGGCGTATGTCAAAGTCCCTCTGGCCGAGGAGCTTGGCCCAATCCTGGGTGATCTTGAACCGCTGGTCCTCGGACTGTCCGGCGAGATAGGCAATGAATCCAGCGGCAAGCAGCCCGTTCTTAGGCAGGGTGGCGATCTGGTCTTTAATGGCCTGGCCCTGTGCCGCCCATCGCTGGCCCTCGCCAGATAGCTTGTCTAGCAGCTCCTGCGCATTGGCAATGACCTTTTGAGCCTTCTCGAGACTACTTCGGAGGAGTTCCGCTTCGCCAGTCTTGCTTCCAAACTCGGCCCGAAGTTGAGCCACGGTGTTATCCACCGTCACGAGTGCATCTCTCAGCTTGACAACCCGCTGCCGAGAGGCATCGAGAGATTCAGTCAGGCGAGCCAGGTCAGCCTCAAGCGGGCTGACTCTTTCGAGCACAGTGGAGTATTGGATATTGGCCTTGACCCACATCGCCAGCGGTGCGGCTGCGACCGAAGCTCTCTTGATAGCGACCTCCTCGAACGACTCCTTCTTTTGCTGAAGCAGCTCCTGGACAGACTCGCGGACGCTCTTGGTGATGTTTCGGGCGTCAAAGTTCATGATCTCATCTTTGACGGTCCGCTTGCCAAGAAAGCCCTTCATGCTGTTCCAGGACATGTCCAAGATACCCATGAGACGCAAGACACCCTCGAGCACATCCCGCACGGCCGGAGGCGGGGCACGCAGCGACCGAATCTCCGATAAAGACTCAGGCTTGATTCCTCCAACAGCCTCCTTTGCCTTCTGGACGATAGGATCGACCTCGCTCAGATCTTTCTCGATCGATGTCTTCCGAGTCATGAGTGCTCTTTCTTCTTCTTTCAGCTGGTGGTTCAAGGACTCCATTTCCTTCTTTTGCTCCGACGCCTTGAGCATGCTCTCGGTGATTTGCTTCAGTGCCTTGTCGGCCTCCTTTTGCTTTGTCGCCAGCTCGATGCCTTGCTTCCGCGCCTCGGCGGAGAGATTGTCGACGTATTTTGCAGCCTCCCGGAGCTTTTCAAGGCCGCCGAGAAGGTATCTATTCTTGCTCTCAAACTCGGTCAGCTTCGAGACATAAACGCGTTCGTAAGTCGACAGGAACTCGATGAGATGCTTGGGTGTACTCCCTTTGCTCAAGCTGCTCTCGTGTATGGCGAGCATGCCCTTGACAATGGCTTCTTGTTCGGGCAGCTTGCTCAGAAGCGCGTGGCTCTTGAACGTATCTTTGATGAGGCCGAGGCTGCTCTCTTGTGACCACGAGTCCATCCACGACATGTGGCAGCAGGTCGACAGTGCCGGATTGGACTCGTAGTACTGGACGAAAGACTGGCTCGAGGTGTCCAGAACCAAGGCAAAGTGCAGGTTCTTGCGGATGCGTGCAACAAAGTATTCAAAGACTGATCCTCGGTAGCTGTCTTCTCCATGGCTGTCCTTGAGCGCCGAGAGGATCTGATCGAGCTCCTCCGGCGAGTAAAGGCCCGGAACTTCGCCGCCGCTCAAGAGGCTATTGATGCTTTCCAAGAACGAGCTCTCCACAATCTGATAGTCTTCGAGAATGAGGAGGACTTCTTCGTTATGCACGCCCGCGGATTGCAGCACTGTCTTGATGTCAGCCGAGAAGGCTTTGATTCCGTAGCTTCGCCCAATGTTGGGAGAGAACGTTTTAAACCGGAGCATGTGGCCGACAATCATCAACGAACTTTGCCGACCCATTCCGGGCCGACCGGCCAGTAGAAGGGAGCCATTCGGCTGCGAAAGCACCCGCTCGATCTTCGCTATGCCCTCGACGGCCTCAGGGAAGAGCCTCATGTTCAGATCCTGATTGTCCCGCTCGTACACCGATACGTGCTTCTCGATAATCACCCGGAAGGCGTCGGTCTTGATCTGGCTCATCATTTTCGGAGCAGTCATGGTGCTGGTTTGGCCGGATATATACACGAATCCTTTGATGTTGGGCTGGTGACCCCAGTCGTTGCGCAAGGTTGAGCTCAGAATCAGCTGGAACTTTTGCCGAGAGTCTGACTCGATCAACCGATCTTGGAAAAGCCGCTCGGCCTCGTACGCCAAGATGTCGAGCAACTCTCCCTGCTCCTCACTGGTGTAGACAAATCTCGAGAGCGAGAGCACCCATCGCGACAGGTCCCTCGGCGTGAATCGGTAGTGGCAACGCATGTCGACAGTAAACTTTTGCACCGTCTGATCGTAGACGCTGACCATAGTGCAGGCCAGCTTTTGGATGTTCTTTGGCAGCCCCCACACCTTGTGAGAGGCGAGTGAGGGCGACAGCACCGTCTGCGTCAAGATACGGTAAATAACATGGAGCTGTTCGCGGTCGCTGTAAGTCATGGCGTACTGGCGCATCACCGACGTTAGCCGGGTGGTGAGTCGGTGTCGACCCATAGTCGACGAGGGGTTCATCGAAGCCACGATTTGGATATGCTCGACACAGATCCACTCGAGGTTCTTGTCGTAGAATCCGTTGTAAGTGATGAGCTGCTGCAAAAACTGCACCAGCTCGACGGTTTCGTACTTGTCGGGCTTGGGTAGGTTGATGTCTTTGAGATACAGAACCAGTCGCTCGCTGTCCTTGGGGCGCAACACCCGGCCAGTGTTTGTGTTGAGCGTCAGGCAGTTTTGGTTGAGTCGCTGCAGAATGTGCGATGACCGAGTTTGCGCACTGCAATGGATCGTCGCTACGGTAGTGCCCTTGAGCTGCTGGAAGCAGTACCGCAGCAGCATGTGCTTGCCCGATCCTTCGGGTCCGACCAGCAAAAGTGGGTGGCCGGCCGTCAGCCACGGCATGATGGTGTTGATCGAGCGCTTGACGTCTGCTGTCTCGACGACCGGAAATCTGTCAATGTCGTCGATGGCCTCTTGCTCCGAGACACATGGGGCCTCGATCTGGTACATCTCGACACGGCCGCTGTCCTTGTTGACGTAAAAGTCGAGCGTTCTCTTGGGATCGGGCGAAGGCTCCTTGGCCCACATTAGCATTTCATTGGCAAAGGCCAAGCGACTGTCGACCGTTAGATTGCCTCCAAGACCACGGACGAGGGCAAACAGAAACTGTGAGCGAGAAGCGACCTCCGATAGCTGCGAGAGACCGTTCATGACAAGCCCGGTTTTGCTGGTCTCGACAACGGCCTCGCAGTTTTGGATGATCCAGTCGATGCTCTTGTAGAAGAGCTCGTCAATCCAGCTGTTGAGCAGCCCTCGATTCTTTTCGTTCTGCTTCTCCAGCCACGACTTGACGAGGGCCTTCATGTCCAGATTCTCATCAGAAAGATAGATCATGCCCATGCGGCTCACGGTCGCGGGTGAAGCAAACTTGAGGTTATGCGTCTCAAAGATAAAGTTGACGTTTGGACCAAACTGGATGCGCTCGCCGTTGGGCATGGTCAGGAGGCGGTTGTCATCCAGCACCGAGTTCAGCGACTCAACCCACTCGGGGTCGACATCGCCATCGCAAATGATCCATGTGCGCATATGTAGCGGTTGCTTGACTGCTTCTCGGGAAGCAAATGTCAGGACACCATCGAACCACTCCCGTGTATCCATGTCCATATGGCCGAGGAGCGCCTGGCGGTCGATTGCCTTTGGATTGACGCTGAACTGCTTGATGCTTGTGCCGCACTTTTGCCATGCGAGCTTCAGGATCCTCCACAGCGTGCTCTTGCCCGATCCCGATGGGCCCACGACCACCACGCCCATACGCTGTCGGCATGCCTCGTAGAACTGAAAGATCTTCTCGGCCTGCGAGGGAATGTACACAAGCTTGAGCTCGTCATATGCCTCTCGCACGCATTTGCCCAGCTCCTCGTATGAAATGTCTTCGACCTGGACTCCCGGGAATATATCCTTCATGAGGGCCAAGAATCGCTTGCTGTCGGTGTGGGTCAGCTTCGAGAGGGTGTTGACCCGCAGGGCCTTCACCACAATCGCCATTTCTCGCTGAGTCGACACAGGCCCATTCTTCTTCTCCTGGTGGAGCAGCTGTCCAGCAAGCCAGAGCGTTGTCTTGAGAGGACGCAAGCCCCAATCATAGTGCTGTTGGATCGACAGGAGCTGTTTGCAGCATGTAAATACAGCGACGACCTTGCTGCCAAGTTCCTTGCCGAGCTGGAAGCCTTCGGAAAACAGAATCACCTCCGAGATGAGCTCGTTGTTTGGGTGGGTCATGGCAACGGAGCGGAACAGCTGCTTGAGGTTGTCGGGCAGCTTTTGCCGGCCGCCATAGTTTTTGCCGGCAGGATTGAGGGTCACAAAGATGCCGGAGTGAGGGTTGAGGTCTACGGGCTTGCCCAGAAGCGCAACCTGCGGCTCGTGCATCTTGAGTGCAGCCTGGATGACTTGGATCTGCTGAGATACAGCCGACAGCACGGCTTCTTCGAGACGATTGAACTCATCAAAGCAGCCCCAGGCGCCACACTTGACCAACCCCACAAATATCCGCCCCATGCTCTTGTAGTCGATGCCTTCGTCGCAATTGAACACAAGCACCTGTCTTCCAAAGAGCACGCCAAGGGCCTTCACTGACTCGGTCTTTCCGGTGCCGGCGGGTCCAAACGGGTTTCCGCCAAAGCCACTGGCCATGGCTTGCGTCAGAGTCAGGTAGCATTTGTCTGTCAGGGGCGTGTGGACGAGCTTGGGTGGGTTCCCCTGATACTCGAACGTGTAGTGGAACTCGGCGTCGTTCATGCGGCTGACGCACTGGCCCTCGTGGGTCATGTAGAACCGAAGCTGTCGCTTCCAGGCCCAGTCGGAGAGCGAAGTGACGTTGGACTCTTGCAGGTGACGAACAACCTCGAGGAAATGAATCACATCCAGGATCTGAGATTTGACCTTGAGTTCTACGACATGGCGCTCAGTGGAATCTTCAACCGTAGACGAGTCGAAGGAAGTGTACTCGTCCAGCTGCCGCTTCAGGTCCTTCGATAGAGCCGTCAGACTTCCCTTTGTGATGGCCGTCTCGCAGTTGGCCGTAAAGTGCAAGTACTCGGACAGTCCCAGGACCTGCGATGGAAATCGAAACATATCGTGCTCCTTGAGGCACTGCTGCAACAGACTCTTCAGCGTCTCCTTCATCTCAAGAGCAAAGTTCTCGAGCCACACTTCGACCTGCTCGGTGACCTGGACAGGCTTGCGCAGCTGCACAGTCTCGCCCTCGGCGCTCTTCATAGCCACAATCACACTGCCATCGATCTCGACGTTGTGTACACCAGCAAAGAGCTTCTTGAGATGGCTCTGGATCACATTTGGATTCTTGGACTGGCCCAGGATCTCAAGCAGGTCTTCGTCTCCGAGAAAGTAGAACCGCGCAAAGCGGTCGCGTTTCTGCTCCAGATACTCGTTCAGGGCCTTTTGGCAGCGCTCCAGCTGGTCGACCAAAGCTTTGAGGATCTCGCCAATGCTCGGATAGTTGATGATTGAGATAATGCGCGCGTCCGCAGCGATAAATGACATGATGCCACGAAAGTCCTCGTCGATTCGAGCAAATCGATTTTGCTCGGCCGGCAGAGCCCCGCGGTTGAAGATGGGCTCGAGATACACCCACTTGCGCTGGACGGTATTCAGATTGCGGAGATACTCGTCCACTTGAACAAGCTTCTGCTCCCACAACATTGCCTTGTCGGCAAAGTTTTTGTAATAGGGCGAGTCTTTGAGCGACTGCAGCAGAGACTGGTTGTCGCCAATTTGGGTGAGGATGTCCTTCCAGTCCTTGATGAGCTGAAAGTTGGCTGTGCCCTTGGCATCTTTGTACTCTGTCAGGCCAAAGCTCGAGCCGGCCCCCCAGATATCTAGCTCCTGGATGGCTTCTCGAATGGCAATCTCTCCATTCGCGCGGCTGTTGAGCTCCTTGATGTCCTCGAGCCTCTGCAGAACGGTCTCGGACAGAGCAGACAAATGGCCAAACGTGAGCTCGGACAGCGAGACCCCCTTCGGGACGGCCAGGATCCGAAAGAGTTCGCCCCAGTGCTCGGACATCCAGTTTTCTCCTTTGAGGAACTTGAGGCATCCTATGAATCGCTTATGCTTGTCAATGTCCTGCAAGATCGTGGCGGAGATCGTGTCCATTTCACGCGATCGGATGCGCTCCATCCATTTTGTTAGCATGTCCTCAAAGGAGTATGACCGCAGCCGAAACGAAATCCAGTCCTCCTTCATGACGCTGGCCACCGCAGCCGTGTACTCGGCATAGAACCCCCACATCTCCTCAAAGTGGCGAATATCGGAGCTGACGTCGTGGAGCTCGGCAAAGTCCGGCGCACCAATGCCAAAGTGTGCGCTGTCATCGACGATCTGAGAGCCGCGCTTCTCGAGCTCCTCCAGTTCAGTCTTCCGCTCGACAATGAAGACCACGGCTTTGGCTGAGAGTTCTGCGCCATTGGCACTGGTGATGTCGGAAACTTTGGGCTTGAGCTGATTCCATCGAGCAGTGAACTTTTCGAGCTCGGACAGAAACGACTGGCGCCGCGAGTCAATGGCGCTCCGGAGCTGCTCGACCTGCTCCTTGATCATGAGCTCGTGGCTCTCGAGCATGAGCTCCAGCTTGCTCCACTTTGACTGGATGGCCGAGATGTCGACACCCGACGCCGACACAGACTTGAGGAGCTTGTTTTTGAGATCGGCGGCATCAAAATGCGCCTGAATAGACTTGTGGGTCTTGGACAGCTCCTCGTGTTTGGCGTTGGCCTCGCCAACCTCGGCAAGGCTGTTGGGCTTGACCGCCATCATCTCGAGCCCCCTGTTGACAAAATCATCGATTGCCATCATATGCGTGCCCACTGACTTTCGCAGCGAAAGCAGCATCGAGTCAAACAAACGCTGCAGATGGTCGTCGATGGTGGCTTTGACAGGCGCAGTCGATACTGTGATGCAGTCGATCTTGATTTCGGTGGGTAGCCGCTCGGCCTCCTTCCCCTTGACCTTGAGCATTCGGAAGTTGAGTTCCCAGTCGGTGACATCTCCAAGGGCTTCTTCAACAAAGGCATCGAGCTCCATGGTGCCGACGATCACCCAATCCTTGAAGATGTCAAACACTCTGTTGAGGTTCTGGAACAGTGACTCGGCTTTCTGATAGACGGTGGAGAGCGACTTTGCATTTCGGTCGATCATGAGCGCAAAAATCGAGCCATCTCCGACGCCACGGAAGGCACTCGGGATGGTGATGAACTTTTTCATCTCGCGGTAGTACTTTGCTCTGATCTCCTCAAATGGTGGCCGGAACTGCAGTTTTTGCTGCTTGAAGACCAAGTCGACCTTCATTTCCGGCAGGCTTTCGTTGAGAGTCTCCAGGCCGACTTGATACTGGTGCTCAAGGGCTTTGTAGAGCTGATGATCCCAATGGATGCGCCAGGTCAACGTATCCTCCATTTTGATGCCAGAGTCCTGGACTGAGCCGATCGTAGAGCGAATGGCGCTGAGAGACTCTTTCCATTTGCTCTGGCACTTGACCAGGTCAACGCTCATGAGCCCCACAACAACGTCCGAGTTGTTCATGTGAAACTTGCGGAGCCGGCGATTGTCGCGGGTCAGCTTGTCGGCGGAAGCTTGAAGCTGGCTGATGTACAGCTCGAGCTCAAACGGGCTGTCCCAAGTCACCGATCGGCTCTTGGGGTCGGCTCGGCCCTTGGCATTTTTGACCAGCTGCTCGAAGGCCAAAGCTGGCTCGAGGAGCATGGCTTGCTGGCACGGCAGCATTTGCTGGTCGATAGTGTTGTAAAAATGCGCAACCTGCTTCAGGACCACGCCATGGCGATAGTACTTTTGAGCGCTCTCGGTCAGGCGCTGGATCTTGGCCGGTACAGGAAACCCAAAGGCCGTGAGCTGGCGGGCTTGGCGCAAGATGGTGACGAGGCGGTCGTCGTAGTTGACTCGCAACTTGCCATTCGAATAGTCAAGATCCATGAGATTTCCGTTCTTTTTGAGCAGAAGAGACCCGCTGGGGTCGTCCATCTCGCTCTCGATGTCGGCAACCCATTCGGCAAACTGATCTCGTTCAAAACGCTTGAGCTCCTCGTACAGCTCCGACGAGATTTGGGTGTAGGAGGACTTTGGGCCAGAAAGATTCTCGACAATCTTGTCTGTTTCTTCGATCTACACACGGCACGTCGTGCCATCGATAAGATTCCGCAGATTCAGAATGTGCATTCCAGAGTGCGCCCGAAAAGCCATGCCTCGGAACAGAGCCAGGTCCGGTGCCCCGAGGTGCAATGATCAGCAAAGGCATGGAAACCCACCTTGTTGATGGCCTGACGGGCCCAAATGATCTTGGACACAGCCGTCGGCAGGTTTTTACCCATCTTAAACTTCCAGTCGCGGACAAGTGATCGTCAGAATCGAGCACCGCTGTCCGCATGTTAGCCCTTGGCGCTGCAGGACCGGGTCTGGATGGATATGCCTACCTTTGTTTGATTGCTCTTGTCCGTGAACTCTGCCCGGGTCTGCTTCATTCCGTTTATCAGCTGCTCAAGCAATGCCTCGCGCTCTGGAACTGTCCGTCAATCCAAACCAGATTGGTTATCTTGACTGAATGCGCGCGATTCAGAGATCCGAGTCTAAAGCAAAACCGAAGAATAGTCTTGGCTCGGCTCAACTCCAAACCCTAGTTACCTAGCTGGCGTGCGATCACCTCCTGTGAGAGGAGCTCTCGGTACCGCTGAAACTCTCGCAAGAGTTGGCGCGGCTGGCTCTGGATCGAGTTGAACAGCGATCGCAGCTTTGCAGCAACTCGGTGCTGGATAGGTTGGATATTCTTGTTGTACTGATCCACAGCCGTCTGCGCATGATGTATCGTGAGTCTGGATCTACACAGCGCCATCGGCAGAATACAACACGGCTGGATCTTACCTTCCACGAGAGCGATGTGTAGTTGTTGCAGACAAGTAAGTGGACGGTGGAAAACACATCCAGTTGTTCCGGAACGCGCAATTCCTTCTGCTCCTCGGAAAGCAGCAGGCTTGACAACAGATCGTGGGAGCTTCTGATCATGACGATCTGAGACAGGTATGTATCCGTTGAGGCAGTATCTGCATATTTAGCACGGGGCCACCAAGATATTGTCTCAAGCCGAAGCAGCTGGACACACGCTCACCTCGTTGAGACGGGAAACAAAGTCATCAAGCTGTTGATTACGATAGACTCCTTTCGTCCACGGACGTGCTGCGACATTCGGCCAGAGTCTGCCCGTCAGGGTTGTATCCATGGCCTGAAGGCGCTCGCACACCTGGATCGCGGCGTGGAGACTCTCTTTAACCTGAGCCGACAAATGGAGCGGGAACAACGGTGAGAGCGAGCACAACCAGAGACACTTGTGCAATGCCGCATTGAGGAGCGTGTACCTTGAGCAGGTCACCTTTCATGAGGCCGGTCGATGCAAGTTTTTCCTGCAGGTTAGCGACTATCTGGTTGGTGACGACGCCAAGAAGGTGGAGCATGCGCTCTTGCGGATAGCCTGGGACTTGGGCTTGTTGCCTGGGTTGTTGACGAATGGACGGCGACATTCAGGTTACAATCGAGTGCGTACTCATCGCTGCTGGCTCATCAGAGTTCAACTTCCTGGAAAGCACCGAAACAAGAAGAGTCTTGTGCTGTGCACGCACCAAAGATCGTCGAGGGTGTCCTGCGTTTTTTCGATAATCTCGAGTATGTCGATGATCTGAATGGAACTGTCGCCCGATATCGGTGAGTATGCGGCCCCGATCGAAGCTCCAGCTCGTTCAGGGCCTTGTGGGGACCGGCGCGTAGACATACCTGATCTTGTCGTACTCGATCTTCAAGGGTTGGAATGATTCTCGGAACTGAGCGGCCCGCTCTTTCTCAGACTGCCAGGTTGAGCGTCATGCGGTGATTAGATGGGAGCAGTGCGCTACGCACGGTGAGTCATAGACAGAACGATTTTCGGGCCGTTCGACAGCCGGAGATCGCTCCCCGGAGCGTGGGAGGCTCGGTACCGTTGGGAAGCCCACCTTGGTTTTGGCGTACTCTGTCGCCTGCTCGACCCAGAAGATATATTCGTCGTCTATGCTGAAGATTCCTGCTGGATTTTCGTCCCTGACTGCTGACAAAAGCACATGATCAGTATGCCGTCGCAGCTCGCGCGATGGCAAGACTGCCTCGTCGGTGTCCAGCATCCACGCGAGGATGAGATGTTCGAGAATGCTTACCACTGGAGGCAGCAACACCGCCGGACTGGTGCCGAAGCTCGCTCGCGAGCCCAAAGTCAAGCTCGGAAAGGAGGCCCTGGAGCTTGGGCGTGACCCCCAGCTTGCTGCTCCTGGCGTTCGATCATCATGGTGGGCGGTGTCCGGTCAATCTCATGAGTGTTTGCGCGGCCGCTGGGTCGGTAGACAAGCGCCATATTCTGAGCCTGCAGACCGCCCCTCAGATGGCTTACCAGCCCGGATCTCGCCCGACGGGACTCACTAATGCACGACCGCGCAAGAGCCCACCACCATATCCCCGACCGCGATCTGAATCCATGAGCACCCTCGGACATGTGGGCCTCGCTATGGATCCGCTGCCGCGCACACCCACGCGCCGAGGTGCAAACTCACTTCATCAGCATAGGCGCGTAGATGTTGTGGATCGTCTGGTAGAGGGTGTTCACAGGCGACTCCAAGAGCGGCGTGAGGCTCACGACGCTTTCGATGTTCTGCAGAGTGACATGCGTGGCCTGGAGCTTGGCTACCACCACACACGGCAGGGAATTCTTCACTTCGCCCACACCATCAACGATGATCAACTGCCCCCGACAGATACAGAAATCATATCCAATCGAAACACGCAAACCAGACACGAAGCGATTAGTCAGTTATTCAGGACCGTGTGCGCATGTGCTGGAGATCAAGCTCCATCGCAATCGCTTGGCTCACGCGATCATGCAGAGCGATCTCAAAGATGGGCGAACATGTGAGAGGCAGCACGAAGGCAATCAACGAGTACCCACCTGAGTGTCGTCGCAAAAAATGAATAGGACGTCGTGCGACTGCCCGGCGAGGAACGAGCCAAGTGGTTTGCTGGCTGCGAGTTGGCCGCCGTGCTGCGAGGCATCAAACGAGCGCAGATGAATGGCGAGGGCTTTACTAAGCCACGCGTAGAGTTCGTCCATGGGTGCTCCGGGATGTTGCTTGTGCTGGGCTGAGTGGTATGAGTATGTCGGCAGCACTGGTTGCGAGCGACCTGGAGGGGCGAGCGAGGAAGGAGGAAGGGGTGTGGGAAGGTGAATGATGGCGCCAGAAGGCCTGTGTCGATGGGATCCAGGCTGTGTTGGTACGGGCGGGCCATGCATACCGATCCGCACTGCGATTGCGCTTGAAGCATGCGCGATCATCATGACTTGCTCATTGCGGTGTCTAGGCCGCAGTGCCGTCACTGCCGAGAGCACATATTGTATATGGGCATTTGATCAACGCTCTCTGCTCAGATCCGCAGCATCGCAATGCAGCGGAGGGGTGACGGATGATAGCCAATGCGGGTGTGTATTCACAATTCCTGGGGTGTGGTTATTGGATTCATATCGGTGTGCTCACGATACGAGCCAGACCCATGACGAGCCGCATCGTAGTGGTGGACGACAGACGCCGAGCACTCTTGATTTGTGGATGATCACCGAGAGACTACGGCTCCTTGGTGGCCACTCTCCACACCATGCCATGCGACTGCAGCAGCACCGGCCTGGGCTTGGGTTTCTTTGAGCTCAGCCGCATAATCTCTTGCCGCCGTGCTTCGATGATCGCAGCAGTCTCCAGCCACCTGTCCTTCCAGTAGCCGTCATCGTACGGCTGCTCAAAGGTGCCAGCCTCCGTCGGCGGATGCATCCAGTAGTTGAATGCCATGTGCGTGGACGATCCCTCGGAAGCCGTGCCCTGGCCAAAGGACGTCACCTCATGGAACCAGCCGGCGGGCAGATACAGCGCATCGCTTTGCTTGAGCTCGCAGACGATAGCGGTGGCCTTCTTCAGACTCGGATAGCGTCCATAGTCTCGAGCTCGCAGCGACTTGGTGTCAATGCGGCTGAAACTCGGTGGCTCGGCGCTGGACAGCTCGCTCTCGAGGACGCTGCGGGGACGCTTGCTGCCTCGTTTCTTCGAGCTGCGGCCGGGCTGGTTGTCCTGCGGGGCAGTCTCGAGCCTCAGTAGCTCGTCCATCGCCTCGTCGACGGCATCCTCGAACGGCGATGTGTCGATGCTCGCAGCCTCGGCCTGGGCAAGGCCCTCCTCAGCGGTGCGCAGATGGTACTTTGCAACATCGACGAGATTGGCACCATCGGCGCGGATCGCTGCTCCATCGTAGGAAATCAGGCCGTTTGGGTGGACGAACGGCGACTTGCCGACCAACAAAAGGTGCTCGGCGTCCTTGGGGCTGAAGAGCGTGAATCGTTTCTGCAGACCGATTGTGCGGAAGGCATCAGAGCGGCATTATCACGACGATCATCGACTGCATGTCCAAAGCGCGACCGGCAGATGCTGCAACTTACCTTGCCCTTGCAAAGGACATACAGATTGTCGGCATAGTCGTGATGCAGGCCCGAGGATGAGCCCTTCGAGTTTGAGTTTGAGGTTGCGCCGATCCACAGATTGACCTGCTGCGGGACCAAATGGCCGAGGATCGCTGGGGTCATTTCAAACCGACCCAGCAGCGCCGTCAGCGGCGGCTGGCAGTAATCCAGCACCCGATCCAGCTGGACTTCGGGCGAGACGTCCCGATCCGGGTCGCTGTCGGGGGACGGCTCGTAATACTGGGTGGTCATGTACAAGCCAATTTCGCCCTGGGTTTCGAGGCGACGGACAAACTGGTCAAAGTTGGTCAGACTTCGAAGCTTGCCGGATCCAAAGAAGCCGTCGGCGCCCATGCCTTCGACCTGAACCGAGATGGCCCCGGCCCCCATGTCGGCAACGGACTGGGGCGTCCAATTGGCCTGGGGATAGGTGCAGCCCTCGAGGACGCACGGAGTGCGGGTGGCCACGAACTTTGCATAGAAATCCTGTGGCGAGATCTGGTCGAAGCGAATCCGCGGGACGGACCATTTGGGCGAGGGCGGGTGGAAGCCGCTGTAGTGGTTCCAAGGCTCAGGCATCGAGCAAGCTAGTGTCTGGTGGAGCAGCGAGCAGGAATCAGATCGGACGATCAAAGGCAGGATCGATCGGCCGAGGCGATCTGGCGGGGCAGGGCCGCAAAACGCAAGGGACATGCTGGAGAATGAGTCACGGCGGAGCATATTCCCACAGACGATCCTCCTGGGACAACACTGGCGCTGCGATGGGCAAGCCAATACAGCGATGGGCAAGCCAATACAGCGATGGGCAAGCCAATACAGCGAGTGGCAACTGGCGCAGAGTCGGCGGCACACAACGGTATCGTATTTTACAACATAACCAGAACAAAACGGGGCAGAATATCCGGAGCGTCCTTTAGTGATATGCGGGCCCTGGTGGGCAGGCCATGGGATTGTTTCCAGTCCTGGTTGGCAATCCAGTGGTTCAGCTGGCTTGGAGCACAGTCGTGAATACATCTGTGGCGACGATCAACTGTCGCTAATGTCTCGATGCGGGAGCATGGTGAATGCACTCGATGTGGGAGCGTGATGAATGCACTCGACCAGCCGGACATATCTGCGGTGTATCGATATCAAGATGCTCGGCCTTCTCGAGCCGCTTGGCTTCCCGGCACTGTGGCACACGCTGTTTGGTTGTGGTGGGCAATGGATGGTGTGTATTCAGGACCAGAAAGCAGCGAGAGGTCACAATAGGTCGTCCCGTTTCGTTTTGGATACGCTGTATTCGTCTCGTCATCGATCGATCCACTGCTCCATACGTCGGGTCAGCGAGCCGGCGTCATAAGGAAACAGCCCGCGACGGCACAGCGAGGTGACTGTTTGATGGAGATTGGCGATGGTGTCTCGCAGCATTGAGAGCCGTTCAGAGTCGATTGGCATCTGCCTTCTTTCTTTGGAGCTCCGGGCGTCATCGGTGTCATCGCCATAATCGACACCGAGAGACAGATCGGACGAGACCTTGCTGCTTCTAACGGACAGATCCAACTTGAGAAATGCAAGCAAGTACTCGAGGAAGGCAGTCTCGTCCGAGATCAAAAAGTCCAGAAGCACCGATTCATCGTGAGCGACGCTTTCACAAAAAGTGGAGAACATGAGCAGCGGATGCAGCCTTGTATCGAGCAGGTCCACCAGCCAGGAGATCGGATCGGATGTCGAGCGTCTGCAGCACAATCGGACCAAGCTTGAGAGCGCCTGGAGATCCAACAGCACCTGGATCAGCTGACAGTCGTTGTCATCCATCAAAGAAAACAGCCACTTGGCCAGCTGGGGCGACTCCAGCATCGCTGTCCAAGGCAACATCGAGAAAATGTCAAAGTCAGCAATTGCCGCATCGTCAGCGCAGCCCACGAGCGCCGATCTCATGTCGACGCCGCAGCTTCAGCAGTGAGGTTCAGATCGCTCAGGGCCCGGCTTACCTGGATACCGCTGCCGGAGAGTAGAAAGCAGCAGGATCGAATGAGAGCTGCTGTTCTGGCAAAGACATGGGTGTGCTCCGTCTCCGCCGGCGTCGGTATCGGGTGCCAGGATGCCAATGAGCAACATGACAAATTGTTTCAGCGACTCTTTGTCGTATATGCTTCCCAAATCAAAGACAAACTCGGTATAGGACCGGCAGCGGGATTCTTCAAAGAACCAACTCCGGAAAGCTGTGGCTTCAGGCTCGCTATCCTCTCGAGATGGAAACGGCAAATGGCTCTGGACGAGGAGACTGACGAAACCAGCAAGCTGACGATGTGCGCGTAACAGGTATAACAGCAGGATGGCCACGAATGAGGGAGAGCTACGACACAGCTGTTATGATGCTGACTCGGCTTCAATCGACCTGTTTGCAGAAGGCGCCGAGGACATGGCGCATGGGAATTGCACGAACCTGCTGGCGAGGTGCCAGTCGAGACCATCGATACAGCAGCTCCGCAACCTTTCTCGAAAGGGCGGGTTTGTTGTGCGCAAACAGGGCGATGATCTAGGATGCAGGCTCGTTCAGTATGGAGACGAGGAGCGAGAGGGCTCACTGTGTATAGGCATCGATCAGGGCCAGCGACCATGCCCGCAACAGCTGCGATCCTGATCCATGTGCCATAGGAGGCGGGCTGTCGATCCATACCGTACTCATGCTTTCTGTTATCATCGATAGGCACAATTGGAGCGGCAGCCGGAACGAATCGCCCAGGGCTGCTGCGATGCGATGACTCTTGAGGAGGTCGATAAGGACACCGACACAGGGCACAAGGACATGGGACTGCAAATGTCCGTCGCCGTGAGAAATATCGTCGGTCGGTCGGTTGGAGGGCGTCAAGCAAACCTGCATCAGTCAGCGGCAATCATCGTGAAATCGCCAAAGCGGCAGGCGGCAGCGGAGAACCAGCAATGGGAAGCGAATGTACCTCCGTCGAGCTACGGAGAACTTCAATCAGCGGTGATCTCGCCCCCGGTCCAGATCCAGGGGACAGTCTTGAGCTTTCACCAAGACAGTTGAGCAGAATGAAAAAGTCATTGCGGCCGAGAGCATTCGCCGCCCGAGATAGGACACCACGGCCAGCCAACATGCTTGGGCTACTATCTCCGTCGTCGTCATCACCCCTTTCGTCGCTATCAGCATCGTCTTCGTCGTCAGCATCGTCATCGCTGGTGCTGGAGGCGGTGGCGTAGCGAGTGCGATAGTGCTTCAGCAAATCATGGAATAGCATGAGCGCATTCCAGTTGAGGCGTGCAAGGACAGAAGCAAACGTTCGTCGCAGGTAGAGCACGCGTTGCTGGCAAGACGGGACGGAATGAATGAATGGCTTGTCGGCTGTGGGATCTGCAGCAATTCGTGGCAGCTACCGCTTGACAGCATATGAAGGTGGATCCAAGAGCGAAAGGTGGCGGAAGCTGTTCTCGACTGGCAGGTCGATATCGGCAGGTCGATATCGGCGACATCCTACCAGATTGCTTTGATGGAGATCGGGATTGGTCAGCAGAAGAAAGACGATCTTGCGGGCAAGCGTTGCGGCAAATGTGTTGTTCGAGAGCACGACGAGATTGGCCTGGTATCCGATCGTGGAGGGTTTGGATGGTCATGGCATCAAGCAATAGCCTGACAGCCGAGTGAGCCAGCGATACTCAGCTGTCCGCTTGCTGAGGATGGAAGCGGGGGGAAGCGAAGCAACGATCGACGCACCAGCTTGGGGCTCAGGACGAGACGCTCGAGCGCCGATCGAGATGATGCCGTCGGTGAGACGGGCTCGGATAGTGCAGCGAGGAGGCGATCGAGCTGCAAGAGACAGCAGCGCGCGGCCTCGCGGGTGAGGGACGATGGGCTCTGGAGACAGCTGTCGTCGGCAAGGACTGCATCGATGAGGGCACTCGTGAGGACCGACATTGATCGCGCCGTAGGATAGAGATCTTGGACAGAAGCGAGCGAGCGAGCCAGGGCATGTGCGCTGGGCTGATGGGGAGGGGAGAGAAACGAGATTCAGGATCAGAGAGCGACCCAGCCGGGGGTGCGCATGCCTTTGCCACATCGCTGCCCGTGCTGCTGCCCATGTTGATATCCACATCGCTATCCATGCTGCTATCCACATCGCTATCCATGCTGCTATCCACATCGCTATCCATGTTGCTATCCACATCGCTATCCATGCTGCTATCCACATCGCTATCCGCATCGCTGTCCATGTCGATGCTTGTTGCACACCCATACACGTGATCTCGAAGCACGTGCGCAGCCCGACTCCGCGCCTTGGCAGCGCGGTCGCGTGACCGGCCACGCTGGCCGCGGTGTGGCTGGCTGCCCAAAGCGGCAGTGCGCCGCGTGTGCCCATTGGCCGCGGTGCCGAGCGATCACGCGCCTGTCCCGGTGGAACCTTCCAGCCAGCATGTGGCCGGCCGCCGGTCTGCCTCTCACCGGCAACAAACACACCGCCCCGGTGCACCCTGGCTGCCGCCGCTCTTCGTCCTCATCCGATCGCCCGTCCTTGGCCTCGGCAGCCAAGACTCTCTCCATACAGCATAAATCCTGCCTCTGCTCGCCTCGCCCAGCAAGTTTTGCCTGGTCTCTGGCCTCATTTCGCTCCACCAAGCCAAACCTAACCTAACCAAGCCCTTTGCCGTCCTTTGCTGACCACCTGCCCTCCCAAGCCCGCCGCATCAAGCAGTCGCCCCTGTCGTCGCAAAACCTAGCCAACATGGATCCCAGACCGCTACCTCCCGGATGGATTGCCCAGTGGAGCCCTCCGCACAACGCCTACTTTTACGTCGAAACGGCTACCGGCCGAACACAGTGGCATGATCCTCGAAACCACTATGCCCCGCCTCCCGGTGTTCCCCAGTACGCCCCTGCCCAGTACGCTCCTCCTCCTGCCTATGGTGCCCCCGCCCCTGTGATTGTGCAGCAGCCTGTCCAGCCCCAAGCTGTTGTCGTCCAACAGCAGCCCGTCCAGCGCCCCGGCATCTCGACAGGTGCAGCCCTGGCCGGCGGTGCCGTTGCCGGTGCCGTCGGCGCCATGGCCCTGGGCAGCCTCGGCCACCACCACCACCATCACTGGGGAGGTGGTGGATTCTTTGGCGGTGGCGGCGACACCGTCATTGTCGAAAACAACGGCTGGGGCGGCCGTGGAGACACTGTCATCGTCGAAAACAACGGATGGGGCGGCAACGATACCGTCATCGTCGAGAACAACGGATGGGGAGGCGGTGATACCGTCATCGTCGAAGACAACGGATGGGGCGGCAGCACCACCATCATCGAAGACAACTCGTGGTAGACGGTGCTCCCGTGCATGGTCTGCCTCGCTCGACGCCTTTTTCGACGCCTGAGCTGCAGGGCCTGTGCCTCTCGAACAAGTCGCCGCTTTGAAGATTGTCCTTTCCGCCGTCCGTTTCGTTTCCATGCGCTGTGTACATGCATATCCCTCTCTGATCTGTATAAGCACGCTGCGGTGGCTCTGTCTGTCCCCTCGCCCTTCATTCTCGCTCGCTTTTTGGATCACCCGGCGGGCCTCTGGTCAAATAGCGCCAGACGGCCGCGCTGTGGACCGACAGGTGCAATACAGTATCTTTGAAATCAGATGGCTCCGAGTCTGCCTGCGTGTGGGCCAAGCGGTGGGTGTGTGCGTGAGAGCATCGGTGTGCGAGATCGGTGGGGTGTTAGGATACTGCACATGCTGGTGATGGCGGGCATCGGGAGCATCATCGACGCTGGACATTGCTGATGCCGCTGGTGCTGCTGGATCAGGGCCATGTCGCTCCGGATCATGGAGCCGGCGACGGTGTGCGACCGAGCCTCTGATCTTGGTCGGTCCCTGGCCTTTTCGTTTGGACGAGGGCTGGAACTCGGGTGGCGGCGAAGCCCCAGCAAGCGTGTGCGACATCCGCCCTGGCTGTGTGCGTCGCCCCCCGCTTGACCGGCGTTGTGCCTCGACGGGCTGTGTGGGACCCCTTGCTGGGTCTTGTCCAGCCGCGGCCGTGTGGCGTCAAAGTAAGGGCCACAAGCGAGACGGCAGCGAGACGGCAGCGAGACGTGCCCGAGGAGCGCTGTCTCGCCCCCCCCCCGTTTCTCCTCCGTCTGGATTCGGCCGCTTTGGCTTTCTGTCCTCTGTCTGCCATCGCCCTCGACCTGCAAACTCGTCCTGCTCCGTCTGCCTTGGACCGCAAACCTCCCCCCAAGACCAAACCGCCATCACCACCCACATCCCGCAATGAAGATCACGACGCTGGCGCTGGTGCTGGCCATGACGCAGTTGGCCGTCACCCAGATTGTCCCCACAACTGGGGCCAACGCACCCACCACCCAGTCGACCACGACCCAGACCACTGCGGCAGCCAACCTGCCGACCACGACCCAGGCAACCACGACCCAGGGTGGCAACGCCGCCCCTGGAACTACCACAACCGCTGCCGCTGCTGCCGGCACCACCACCACCACCGCTATCCAGCGACCCCAGGCTACCAACGGTGCCCAAGCACCTCCTCCCGGCACCGCAAACAACGGCATCGGCGACACCTTCACGTTCACACCGGCCGGACGGCCTACCGCTGCCGGCAACGTGCCCGGAACCAGCGGCTCCTCCAACACCGGTACCTTCACCGACACGGGCAGCACCGTCGGCATGTCGTCGTCGACGCAGGTTGCCATCGGCCTGGGCGCCTTCTTTGGCGCCGTCTTCCTGATCCTGTGTGCCGGCTTTGTCTACAAGCGATTCGTCCGACGATCAGGCTCCTCAGACGACTACGACGGCTGGAAGGTGTGGGATTCTGCTCCGGTCATTCCCGGCGTCCGCCGCAAGTCCACCCTCAGCAAGCGCTTTGGCGCTCCCTCGCAGGCGCCCGACCTCGAACCCGGTCGGCAGTTCGCATATCCCCCGCCCCCGCCCAAGTCAAACTCGTTTGGTAACCCGGGACAGCCCCAGAGCACGCAAGTCCACTTCCAAGAAAACGCGGGCCCGCGCTAAGGCTCTTGCAAACGAAGGGGGGGGGCAGCCAAGCCCGAAACGATCGATAGTGACCTGGCCACGACCCGACTGCCAGGGGCTGTACCAACTCCACACGGCCTCCAGAGGCGGCGCTTGGCTGCCATGGTTTCTTGGTCGGCTATTTTTTTCGCGAATGAACACTTCTTTTTAATTCCCGATCCAACTGAATCCCGTTTGAGGGTTGGATATAGACACCGAGGCTCGGACGTGTCGCCTCGACGCACCGACCTGGACCCATCGCACTTTACTCTTTTTTCCCTTGCCCTTGCACCGTTTGCGTTGCCCCATTCGGCGCAGTCATTGCCCTGGCTCGCCGCCCCATACTCTTGCACCTTTCATCGGCCCAGGCCCACCAGCATTGCTCGGTTCGGCCTGGCCTCTCCGCATTTCTTGCCTCTGGCTGATCTCTTTCCGACCTGTGCTGCCGTTCTCGAATGCAATCCGTCCTCTTGTGCCCGCCCAGGTCCCACTGAAAATAGCCCCGAGCGCGCGTGGTGTCTGTGTCACAAGCTGGTTGGTGCGACTCTGTGTGGGACGGGAGCGTGTCGGCGCTGTGTCTGTGCCGTGTCGCCACTGGGCGGGGGGCGCGTCAGGGAACGTCGAGCCACAGCGCCCGCGCGTGGCCTTGCTTGTCTCTCGAAAGGCGTCTGGGGAGTGAGTCAACAGGACAGTGCGTGCAACAGTGCGTGCAACAGCCGCTGTGTCGGCGCTGTGCTGGTGCTGTGTCGCTGTTCAAGCAGAAACCCACAGCGCAGCCGTGTTGGCGCCGATCCTGTTGTCGTGTGTCGTCTTTCTCCTCGCCATCTTCGCCCGACCAAAAGCCCTCTGGTCGACTTCCTTCCATCTCCATCTCCATCTTCTCGATCTCCCCTCCCGTCTCTCCTCCGTTCCGGGCGAGTCTGCTCGTCGATTCTCTCCACTGATCTTCGACAGGCCTTCCGTCAAGCAACCAGGAGCCTTCCTCTTACGTCCCTCCGAGCCGCCACCCTCCGCCATCCGCCGTCTCTCGAACCACCTCCCCGATGCGCTTTGACCATCTCCTCTCCGTCGCTGTTCTGGCGGCCTCGCTCTCCTCGGCGATGGGCCAGACCATAGCCACTTCCCAGGCCCCCGCTCCCACCAACGCTGCCCCTCCTCCTCCGCCGCCAGCCTCTGCCCCTGCTCCTGCACCGGCCACCAGTGCAGCTCCGGCTCCGGGCAAGACCACCCAAGCCCCTCCTGCTCCAGCTACCTCTCAAGCACCGGCTCCTGCACCGGCCACGCAGAACTCAGGAGGCCAGACAAACAACGCCCCTGCACCGGTCGCCACCAACAACTCCCCTGCCCCAAACCCCGGAAGCGGAAACCCGAACGCCCAGCCGGACGGATTCCAGTTCAGTCCGGCTCCTCGTCCAGCTGCCAACACCGCTGCCATCGTTGCCGGCGTCGACATGAACGGCAATCCTCTCCCCGGAACAACCGTCCTGACCCCGCCGTCGGGCCTCGGTGCTCTGCCGCTGGGTGCACAGATCGGCGTCGGCGTCGGCGCCTTTGCGGGTTTCATCTTTGTCTGCGCCACGAGTGCCTATGTCTACACCAAATTCATCCGCAAGGAAGACAACTCGGCCTATGGCCATCTGCATGGCCCGAACGGCTCGAAGGGCCATCAGCCCCGCGGATATGACTCTGCATCGAACGGCCTGCCCACTCATGCTGGTACGTGCCTTGACTCTAGTTCGCACTGCCCTCCTTCTTCCATGTCTATCTCATGCCAGCCGGCCTTCTCCGGCACGGCCGGCCCTGCGGGATCGACAGTGCAGGAGTCAAAACGTGGATATTCGCACCACAAGCATCACTCGTCATCAAGGCTAGCCTAGCCCTGATTGCAGCCGGGCCGAGGCAAATCTTGTGATTGTGACTGCTTTGCTGCGAACCAAAGACGGCAGCAGGTACACCTGTTTGAGGCACGCAACAGCATCGTTCAAGAAGCCGCGGATGAGTCAGAGCCAAGCCAGAGCCAAGCCAGAGCCAAGCCAGAGCCAAGCCAGAGCCAAGCCTGGGGCCTGTGACATGCGAGTCATTGCAGCCGAATGATAGCAGACACGGTCAGATGGCGGAGGCCGTGCTTGAGGCTGACCGCAACACATGCTATGCCGACAACAGCCCATCTTGACAATCGAAAAACGGCAATTGGGACGGCTCCGAGCTGGCATTGCAGGAGGCTCATCCAACACACAGCAACGCTCGGGGCAGTCATCGCTGCGACAGTGTGCGACTCGGCGCGGAAGCCATAGTTTTACACCCTCGCACGCATGCATCCACCAGGCCCTGCCCATTTGTTAATCACTTGCTGTCTTTCGTCCACATCTTTGTCGGCTCGGTTGCGATGCGACGCTGACTCACAGGTTCTGTTCCTCCTCCCCACAACTCGAACCGCCTGTACTCTCCAGGCGCGGGCCACGGTAATCCCTACGACTCTGGCAACCCGCGATCCCCCTCTTCGGCCCCGTACGGCTCCTCCCAGCCGTACAGCTACCCCCCTGAGCCCCAGCAAATCCACCAGCACTCGCCTCAGGCCCGTGGCTATGGCCCTCCCCAAGGCAGCAGAGGCTACAACAACGATCCTCGTCTCCGCTAAGATAGATACACCGGTCTCTGCCTTTGCTGGCGATGCGCGGCCGCCTCCTCGAGCCAGCTGGCACATTCTCTTTCTATTGTTACCTTGTTTTTATCGCTCTGTAGTTTCTTTTTTTTTACTCCTCTTCTTCCTTCTGTGGCGTTCCTCATGCCATCCCATGACCGATGGAACTCTGCGCATGTGCTTGGTGCTTCTGCTGGATCGCAGCACGCTTCACATTGGCTGCGCTATGATTTATATACAGACAAGAACGAGACGCTTTCTCGCTGGTGGAGGAAGTGGGCTCTGTTCTCATGCACCCTCGACAGAGGAGCGCGGGGATCGAATCTGTGGCCCAGCCGGCGGACATTGTCCTGCGGGGCCGTGTGACGCCGCCACCGCCCGCGCACAGACACGATGTGCCCAATCAGGACCGAGCGCAGTCAGCCGATCCGTCCCGGTGACGCCGCAGCGTTTGGGCTTTGGCTTTGCATGTTTTGCACCGGCTTGGCTGTTTCGTCGTTCTCGCCATCCGTCTTCTCGTTCGCTTCATCGGACTGCCGAGCCGACCTGCGACCTGCGTGGGGCTTTCTCGACTCAATCGCACCGACAGGACCAGCAGGACCAACAGACACCAGCCAGGCGTCAGAAGGGATCAGCCGACACCAGCATACATCTCATCGGGCCGCTGCTGCCGCCTCCACCACCGCCACGGCCTCGCCTGCCTTTCCGCCCCCCACCACCGCATCCATTGGCATACATCGGCATCCATTGGCATCCCTTCCCGCTTGCAAACACTTGCTCTCGACGCACCAATCAGCCCAAGCTCCTTTCGTGTCCAGCGCACTGCCATCGCCCTATTTATTCCGTCAAGACTCCTCTCGGTCAACCATCGTCGCCCCCACACCCGCCCTGCCCCGCCGCCGCCGCCGCCATTCAGCCTCCCTCGGTTCCGCTGTAGACGTAAATCCATCCTCTTTCCCATCCGTCTTCCGCGATTCTGCATCCGCGAGACGCTCCCACAGCTCGAGGGCTTTCTCTCTACTCCACCCATTCTATACCCGCGTCAAGCCCCATGAACGGCCACAGCTCGTCAGCGCACGCAGTCGTCCCGGTCGATCCCTGTCCCGGCCTGCTGCTCGCTCTTCCCGCAGAGCTTTATCTGGATCATATATTTCCGCACCTCGATCTGAACTTTGTTCTCGCTGTGCTGAGTCGGTGCCATCCTGTCCTCCGCAACCTGATTTTCAAACTAGCTCGGTCTTCGCTGTGGGGATGTCTGGATCTGGCCTTCCATCCAGACCGAGGCAGCTGCTCCAGCCTGGTTCCACGCCGTGTGCTGGACCGACGGGCACTGTCCTCGTCGGCGACCTACGACTACCAAGTTGCTCTGCGTCTGCCCCTGTATCTCTCCCGCCTGTCGCCCCTGTCGGTTGCGTCGGTGAAGGCCGTTAATCTCGACAATACCCTCGTCCGGGTGGATGATGTCGTTGTGTCGGTGCTCGATCACTGCGTCAATCTGACGGCGCTCTCGCTGCGCGGCTGTCCCAAGGTTGACATTATGGCCCTCATGCGGCTCCTTGGTAAGCGTGGAAGACGAGACTGCCTTGCTCAAGCATTGCCTGGTCCTGGTGGTCCCTCTTGGTTCTGCACTGCACTTGACGATTGCACATCCCCGCTTGGCACTCGGGCATTCACTGGACCATCGTTTATTCCGCCTTGCAAACCACGAATGGCACTTGACCGTCCCACATGTTTCTCTTTCTCTCCGACTGGTTTGTTCGCTAGTAGTAGCCATACATCGCCAGGCCGTGTTCCATCTACTCACGCACACCCTCTTCGTTCACAGAACAACACCCAAGTCTCCCTCGTTGCCTGTCCCGGATCGACATATCCTCGCTCCTCGCGAAAACAGGCTCGCCGCGATTCACGCTGTCTGTCGCCCGCCAGTTCCACGATGTGCTCTCCCGTCATCTTCCTCAACAGCCATACATAACCGATCTGCGGGCCTGCGAGCGGTGTCAGGTGCAGGTATCGATGCCCACACCGCCCACTCATCCGTGCTCGTCGTGCCTCAAGTCGGACGGGTATCTGTGCGTCGACTGCGAAATCGACCAGCAGTGCGTCCGGTGCCTGGTGCGCCAATGCCGCGACTGCCAACTCACCGATGAATCCGCAACTGGGCCCAAGCAGTTTGTTCCAGTTGTGGCCTGCAGCGGCCTGGTGTGCAACGACGACGATTATTTCACAAAGCAGCCTCTGAACTGTCCATCGGCCGGGCATCATTCGGAGACCACTGGCTGTCACTCGATCGGTACAGAACCGAGCGGCATCCCATCCACGAAGACCCAGGAGCAACGCCAGAACATCTCGCCCCCTCACCGGTCGTCCCACAAGCCCTTCACGACGTGTGCACCGTGCCATGACCAGATCGTGCGCGAGGCATGTGTCGTTTGCCAGTCGTGGTATTGCCGAAGCTGTCTGCCCTTCCAACAAATCGACGACCAGCATGGTCGAGAAGCCCGGTCCCAGGCTGCCGAGTTTTCCTGGGCTACCCTGCGCTCCACCGAGTCGGTCCAGCTCCGGTGTCGCAAGTGTCTCCTATGGGCCTGTGAAGAATGCAGATTTGTCCACAATTGCAGTCTGTGCTCGACTCTGGTCTGTGCACGGTGCGATCCCGTGGCCGACTCCGACGCCCGTTGGGAGGAGGACTCATCAGCCACAAACCCAAGCTCTCCGCTCCAAGCTGGATACAGCCAGTCCGCTGTCAATCACTTGCAAACCAAGATATACATGGGCGGCTACTGCAGCGGACAGTGCGGCACTTTCTGGTGCGGTGAGTGTTGCCGGGCCGCTGATTCCCAGCTGTCAGAGCCTCCCTTGGCGACAGCACAACCCGTGTCCAAGGGCTACAACTCCGCTGTTGACATCCCGGCCGACTGGGGCGCGACACAACCCGCCGAGGCGATGGCTTTGATCAAGCACCAGCAGACGATGGACCGGTATCTGTGCCAGGGAGGCTGCGGACTGCCCTACTGCTTCGGATGCATCAACGCCTTGGGAAGTCTCTGCGAGGTCTGCCACAACAGCTACATCTGCATCAACTGCCACACCGACGTTTGCCAGGCGTGCCAGGACCCGAACAACCTCGCAGACTCGTCATTCGTATCCATCTACACCAGCGACCCGACCGGCAGCAGAGGCACCGCACGCCAAGCTGACTGGGTGTACGCCGAGGACTATATGCTGCTTCCCTTTTAAGCGCCGCGCCGTACACTTGACTCGAATCGACTCGGGATACCCTTTTCAAAGCGCCAGTTTATTCGTGTAGTTTTGAAAGCCTGGATCCGACAGGCCATTGTGAATAAACGATCGTTTGGTGGAGGATCTCTGGCCGCCTCGATCGTCTTGGTCGCGCATGAGGAGCCGGAGGTGGCCGGGGTGTCTAGTGGTGGCCGTGGATGTTGTCCTTGGATAATCGGGTGCCGTACTTCTTGTCGACCTCCTCGAGATAGGCCAGGTTCTTGGGCTCCTCCCAGGGATGGTGGCCCAACTGCACAGAGCCAGTGAGCGCGATGTTAGTACCGGCGATCCATGGGTCCGCGGTTCGGCTGCGCTCCGTCACGATACCATATATCGCGGAACGAACCAGTCTTGATCGTTCGTCAATGCCGTCCTGGCGAATCCCACCAAGTCCTCGCCCTTGACCGACTTACAAAGTGATGCGGTCCGTCCTGCTTGACGCGGTACAGGATAAAGAACCAAACGGCGGCAAATCCGAGTCTCGGAAGCCACTTGCCGTGGACGTGGGGGGCCGTGAAGGGCTTGTGGGGGTTGTAGCTGCCGCCGGCCATCGTTCTTGCTGGAGACTGGAGCAGGCGGCAAAGGAGACGGGGAAGTTAATTTTCGAGGGTTTCAGTGCAGAGAGTCCGAAGAAGCTTGTGCATGAAACAGGATGCCTCGGGTGCCTTCTCCATCCATTCGAGGTTGGCATTGTCCGTTCGCTCGTCGCTGAGCTCTGTCCCGGCTTCCTCCTGCACGATACAACCCTTGCAAGTCTCGATCGTGCACGCCACGGTCCTCCGCCCAGCCCTGCCGCCGTCCGTGTGCGTGTCCTTACGCTGTCCTGAGTCGAAACCTGGATCGCTGCAAGTCGAAGCGCCAGAAAGCCAAACGAACCGAAAAATCAAAAATCGCAAAAAGCGACGGTGGGGCGAGGGAGGCCGAGGACGGCCGAGACGCCGGCGAGCGAGACGAGGGCGCTGACTCAGCGCGTCACGTGCTACAGATGGCCTTGCATTCCAGGGCATTGCATGGGATGGGATGGGACGGCATGAGACGGCATGGCGGAGCACAGGCTGATGCACAAGCTGATGCGCAAGCTGATGCGCAAGAGCGAGAGCCATGCAAGCGATGGGGACGAGTACAGAGACGGGATGCATGCACCCCTTTATTGTGCAAGCACGTCGCTTGTCGAGAGATGTGCAAATCCTGGGCCAGGAAGCACGCCAATGCATTGCGGATCAGCCCCTCGCGGTGGATGGCCGGCTGCTTCACCACGGATCGCCATCACAACGTCGATCGCCGGATGGGCTCGTAGGACCGGGTCGGAGAGACGGCTTGGCCAGGAACCGGAGGCGCCCGTGCAAGTTTGTGGCTGACGCGCGGCAGGGCATGCTTGGCGAGGTTCGGGTACTTTTTGGAGTTCGAGGGATGGCTCAGTCGCTCCTCGGGTAACAAAAACTCGTCGAGCCGGGTGAGCGACTGAACAATGTCGACCATGAGCAAGTGTGTCTTTTCGGCCTGCCCCTTGATGTTTGTGACTTGACGAGGTTGAGTGATATTCACGCCAAAGTCGAGACGAGCGGTGTGCTGTGAGCGAGGGAGCAAACGCAGCAGCGGCAGCCCGTGGCCGGACGCCTCGTCGGCACCAAGTCGACGATCCTACCTGTTGCGAGCTGATCGAGGTGCTGCTTGGTCTGGTAATTGCGGCTCAGGATGGTACTGGCAACCTTGGTGGCGTACTCGTCCATGTCGCTGAGCTTGTTGCATAGCAGTTTCTACCATCAACGAAAGCAGCCCCGAACGATAGACATTATCGCGGTGAGCGAGGAAGAGCGTCGGCTCGGTACCGTATAGACAACGCTATCCACGGCGATTGATCTCGTCGCCAAGCATTTGTCGCAACGCAGCTACCTGGTCCTGGACGACGACGCTTGTGCATTGTTGGATGTGTTCCCGACAGAGAGTAAAGGTTCGTTCAAGATTGGCCGAGCTCATGGAGTCTGGTGTGGCGATTTGCAGTGGTGTTGGTGGAAATCAGCGGTCCCGTTGGCCGGATAGGTCAGCCGTTGCTGCTGTGAATCTGCATCCGGTGCAATTGCTTACACGGCAGCGGTTCGTCCGGCTTGGCCGAAAACAGGCGCCTCCAGTTGAACCCTGTCTCGGTCGTAACAGGAATCAGTGGTTGGAACTGTTGGATGAAGGCCCGCGCGGCACAGCGACACCCACGACGATTCCGCCAGGTCCGGGTTAGAAACAAGAGAGCATCAGTACATGGTCCTGCATCATCACAAGGCATGCGGTCGCCCGGCGGCAATGTGGGGAGAAAAGGAAGGAAGAGGGGTGACAGGCACTCTTGGGAGTCGATGGTCGCCTTGGCGCATGACTGAGCCAGTCCTGGGCTTCAGATTGTCCATTCTTCCGTTACTCGGTCATCCAAACGAGCTGCTCCGACCGAGGCTGCCTGGGCTCGCATCCTACGGGATGCACTTGCCCGTTCTTCACCCTCCCCGCATGCGCATCAAGCACCGGACACGAACGGACTGCCGCACCTTCTCGATTGATCCAAGGGCTTCCAGCTCCGGCTCAGTCGACTGGGATGTGTCCTTCTGCACCACATGGACTATCGATGTTTGGGGCTCCTGGGACGATGCGGGTGTGGATGAGGAGACATGGGCTGACACCCGCCGCGACGTTGATTGTCTTTCCATTAGCGAATGAGCTTGGTGGTTTGGATGAAAGCCAAGGACAACTCTGGTCCAGCCAGTCCAGCCAACCAAGCCAGTCCAGCCAATCCAGCCAGTCCAGCCAGTCAAGCCAGTCAAGCCAACCAAGCCAATCCAGCCAGTCCAGCCAGTCAAGCCAGTCAAGCCACTCCAGCCAGTCAAGGTCTGTCCCTGCACTTTTTTTTTTTCGATTCATGAGTCGCAGGCTATTTCAGATCCGGACTGTTTCGATACTCGTCCCCCCGCCGACCTCCCACGACACTGCCCGGCCGCGAATACCATCTGGCCGCGGGTCTATCGATCCGAGCATAGAAAATTTGGTCCTCCACAATACTTTTTGAAACATCAACGCCCGCAATGCTGACCGCTCGCTGTGTCCGTCTGGCGACCTTGAGGTTGAGGCAGCCGCCGCCATCAGTCCGACGAGCAAGCTTGGCCAGCCAGGATCCATCGCTATACGCCCGTGGAAGCTCGAATGAATGGCCAAGCTCCACGCAGCGGAGACTCTCGGCTGCGACGTCGCCCGCTGAGGCTGATCCAAAGCCCAAACTGAAGCCGAAACATGCGGGTCGAAAATCATCCAAGAGGTCGATGACGCCTGGCCACGAGCATCCTTCATCCGAGCCTGATCCCTTTGAGTTCTTCAAGACCCCTGTGCCGGGATCGGAAGCACAAGAATCTACAGCGCCGCAGCACCATCCAAAGACCGACACGCCCAAAAGATCTCCCACGAAAAAGACCCTGGAGAAGTACCGCTACCTCGATTCAAAGTCGTTTCTGGAACGAGGTGCGGCGACCCTGTCTGCCCTTGGGCTGGTTCAGGGCAGAGCTTTGTTTCAGATAATAGCTCCTTGAACCTGAATCGTCTGGGCCCTGCTCCAAGCACCCGATTGTGAGACAGCCAAACAGTGCGCTAACACATGCTCTTTGCCCTTCTTGCTCGACCTGACTGGCTGGTGCAGTCGTTGGAGATCTGCAGCTGACGGCCGATGACAACGTACCCAAGCTTCAGCACGGGATATCCAAAGTCGTTCGAGAGTATGCATCCCCTTGTCTGCTTCCGCTTGCTTGTATCTCGTGGTCCAAGCCGATTCGTAAAGCCAAAGTGTTTTGTCGCAGCTCCTTCTGCTGGATCTGGACACGACTGATCGTCCTCGTTCTTGCGCCTGCATTTCTTGCTTCTGGATGGATCAGACCAGGAGTCCATCTGCTGAAGATGGTCGACTCCGCCGACGGCGCCGTCACCTACAACTTCCATCCATATATCGAGAATATTCCCCTGGTCTCGGATGTCAAACTCGAGGCCATCAGCTCGTTTGTGCCAGCAACCGATGACCAGGTGGGCCAGATGAACCGTTGCCGATACGGCCGACATCCCTCCCCCATCAGCCCCAACCAACACAGGGTGGCTAACTTGCGTGCAACATGTGTCGCCACAGCTTCTACAGTCGCTCGCAAAAGAACATCGGAAGAAATTTGTCGTCTCGACATCGTCCATCACAGGCATACTGTCGAAGCTCTATCTGAAGGTGCTGAAGCAGAAGCCGGTCAATCTGGATCTCTTTTCGGACGAGTTCAAGAACATGGTAACTGCTGTCTGGTGGTCGACGAGGTCGTCGTTGTCGACATGGTCGTTGTGCGTCTCATTCTGGCTCGGCACGATTCAGGCGTGCGCATGCTCAGATCTGTGTTTTGGCAAACCCCACAGAAAAGCAAGTTCACCACCACCGTTCTGGAGCGGCCCGTCATTGTCGACGTTCACTATAACGACTACGACCAGTATGTGCTGTTATCCAAGAAGGATGTCCTCGAAAACGACTCGAAGCTGCTGTCTGAGCACGGCCACGTCATGGAGGCTCTGCTCACCAACAGTATCAGGAATCTCGAGGCGCTGAAACGGACGAGCGACGAGACCCGGGTGACTGACATTGACGAGAGCCGACTCTATCACTTTGTCGAGGTGCGTTTCGTAGCCATCAGAGATCTGCCTCTTGAGACCCTGCTGACCTGCGTCTGGGAGAGAGAGAGCTGCCATGGTGCCTACACTGCTCATACCCGCCTACACTACCCATACCCGCCGACTCCCTGCGCCTTTGTCGTGCGGCTTCCTTACGGGCTCTTTGGGAAATCTTTCAGATGGAGAATTTCCTGATGCGCTCGCAGATCGATTGCTGGGACTCGCATCTGCCGCGCCAGAAGCTGGATATCAAAGCCCGTGCACTTGAGCCGATCCGGCTGGACCCAGACAACTACAAGGTATCTATGGGCTGCAGTCGCATCCACATCTGTCTTTCAACAGCGAACCGCCCCCTCCCCCACCGTCACGGGCCCCAGTCCATTTTGGCTCACCAGGCTTGCTGTTTCTTCATTCCTCAAAGGCCTACCTCCATCACAAGCTCGTCAATTTGACCGGCACGCAGTCGTCGTTTGAGTTTGAGCGGTTCCAGTGCGCTCGGAGCACCATGCTCAAGTACATGTTCCAGTCGCGCATCGGTGACATGGACGGAGTCATCATCTGCTACCACAACATCGAGAAGATCTTTGGGTTCGAATATCTGTCTCGGAAACAGATGTCCGAGTACCTCTGCGGCTCTGAGGGCATGATGGAGCAGATCTTTGTGATCCTGGTCAAGCTGATCGACCGAATCCTGCGCCAGCTGGTCCGCAACTCGCCAAAGAAGGTGAGCACTGGTGACGGCTTCCCCCCCCCTGTGTCAATGGTGGGCGGATATGCTAGCGGGGGCAGTGAGGGTGCGGATCGATGCTCACATATCCCGTAAGGCAATGCGGATGTACAGCTGCGATTCATGGAACGGCCGGATTCAGTCGTGTTGCGCTGCGGAACCGCGGCAGGATGGCCTGTCGCTCTCCTTGGGGCTGGGCACAGCGATCGAGCGGTCATGGGTTAGATACGGCACTGATGTGCTCGACTGCACTGACACCATGATGGCTCGCTTTGGTGCGCTCGTCTCCACAGTCCTTCCAGATTGGCTTCTCGTTTGCCCCACGATCCGTAAGTTGCTCGGCCGGGATGTACTTCATCTTGGGCAGTGTCGATCTTGGGCAGTGTCGATCTTGGCCACTGCAGTGTCGATCTTGGCCACTGCAGTGTCGATCTTGGCCACTGCAGTGTGGCGGTTGGGGCTGCGTGAGCTGACAAGTCGCGCTGCTTCATCTGCCACTTGTCCAGAACAAGCTGACGATATTCCGCTCGCCGATCAACGATGCCAAGCCCAAGCCCAAGGACATTCAAATCTATGAGCTCGATATCAAGCCGCACCTCAATGGCAATCCGATTTCGTCCTCCGTAATCGACTTTGGCAACCCCGATGAAGACCAGTTCTCGATCGAGTACGCCCTGCATCGGCTCGAGATGGACCCTCTGATGCTGCAGGACAAGTTTACTTCGCTGATGAGCCGGTTCTTTGCCTCACGCTCGCGGCGTGTGCTCGAATATTGTCGATCAATCTACGGCAAGCCCGAGACGGACGGAATCTGAATACACTCGCGGACTCGGGCCGTTCTCACCGCTGGAATACGGTCATTGTGAGACTCCCCTCCCCAGCGAAAGCGGCACGGTGCTTCAAGTTGTCGGGCGCGACTGCATATCGCAATTATTACATTGACTTGCAGAGGAAAGATGCGACATTGTTCGGGGAGAAGGAGGGGAGGCAAGGCCAAGCACTGTGATGGCCAAAGGACAAGTAGACGCTCGAAAGAATAGAGATAACTGTGAGGAAATATGGAAAAGAACAGACAATAGACCGGGCCAGAGAATCAAAGGGTGGAACGACAGAGACCGATGGGCAGACATGGGCAGGAAGGAGGCCTGATACGAAATCAAGCCAAATTAGCAGCCCTCGTCAGGGAGAGCCTCGGGCAACATCGAAGCGACAGACAAACGGTCATGTGGAGATATCAGAGCAGAAAGGGGCACAGTACGGCTCGCGGACCTGTGGGGAACATGTGGCTGGCCGACGGCAATCGGCCCGGGCACGAGCAACAATCAAATCAATCGGTTGTGCACGAACGGCTCAGATCCTGCCGAGCCCCCTGTGGGTGAATCCCATTGCGCTGCCGAGCGGGAGCATGTTCATCTCGGAGGCGATGGAGTCAAAGGGCTCGGGCTCGGGCTCGCTGTCCGACTGCTCCCAGTCGCCAAGGACCTGCCCGAGCTCCCGCATGATGCGCAAGCGGTTGCCGATGAGCTCCATCCAGCGATCGCTCTCGATTTGCTTGAGCTCCTTGCGGATTTCGAGGCGAAGCTCGGCGCTCTTGCCGACGCCGGTGGTGCGCTGCATCTTCAGTGCGCCATCCTTGGCGTTGCCAACCAGGAGAGTGCTCTCAGCCCGGACCGTGCGCTGGTACATGCCGTCATCCCATTCCAGCTCGATGCCAAAGGCATGAGGATTGGACGTGAATCCGCGGTGGACCAGTAGCGTGGGCTCGACGACCAGGGTCGCGGGCTCAAGCGCAAGGCGGCCCAGCAGCTCCATCCAGGAGCGTTCCGGATCGATGTTTTCGCTACTGTTGCGTCGGAAGCGCCGGACCTTCTTGACCTTGGGCGGCGGGGGCTCGTAGTTTTCGTTGCGGAAAGACTTGACGTTCTGGAGCGACTGGCTGCGAGCATGCGCAGGGCGGGCCGACCACGACGTCTCCGATTGGTCAAAGGTCATGGTGTCGAACGAGATTCGCTGGTCGGGCACCTCGACGGCCATATTCAGGTCGTCGAGGATGCTCATGCCATGGGCCAGATATGAAGCACGCAGGGCCTCGCGATACACCTCGCTGCTTTCGCGGGTGTGTTGGTTTTGCGATCCCGGCGACGACGACGACGCAAGCGACTCACTCTTGGAGGACGAGCGTTTGGGGAACACTTCGCTGGTTTTCTTTTGGACAGACTTTGTCGGGTTCGATGCCGAGGCTGTGATTCCAAAGAGAGAAAGCGCAGATGTGGCTGAGGAGACGCTGCCCGACTGGGTGTCTGCTCTGGTCTTGGACTTGGAGTCGAGCTGGGGCTCCGGCTCGGGGCTGGGCAGACTCAAGGCAGCTGCATGCTTCTTTTCCCGCTCGGCCTTTTCGCGCAGGATCGCCTCGACTTTCTCTGACGACATGTAGTGTCCAAAGGTCGGGGTGCTCTTCTTGCGATTGGGGTTTTCATCGATCTCGACGGGTGCTCTGCCGGGCACGTCAAGGTAAAGCCGACCGCTCTTGTCGCGGACGATCTTGGAGACTGGCGTTTGGGCCTTTTCGGACGACTGCGAGACAAGGGCGCTGACCTTGCGGCGCTGGTACTGCCGAAAGTGGCGCGAGCGCACCAGAGGCCACTCCATGTCTTCGGGCGGGAGGGCGGCTTCGCTGACCGAGTTCCAGCCGGTGCCGTCACGCCAGATCGGAACGGTGGCATTGGGCAAGGGCCAGTTGCGCGGAAACTTTGTGATGATGCGCTCAGGCGGACGAATGTCGAGATAGTGTTGAGAGGTGGGGAAGGCAGCAGTGAGGCTGTGCAGATAATCGTCCAGGCTGAAGGCGGGAGCTGGACCAGAGGGATCGAATAGAGCGCCGTAGCCGCTGTAGCTGATCTCGCGACGGCGCTCGGGCTGCTTGCGGGTTGTGGCGGCGCTCGGCTCGACAGCGGGCGGCAGCTCGAATTTGAAGATGCTCTCGCCCGGCTCAACTGCGACTGGCGGGCCAGGCGAAAGGGACAGCGGCTGGATTCTGCTCTTTGTAGAATCTTGGCTCTTCTTCTTTTCAACAAACGACTTCATCTTCCACAGGGTGTTGTCGAGCTTGGTGCTGATGGATGGCAGAGACTGCTTTTTGGAGAGCTGCGATAGCGCCGGCGACTTTGGCGGGACAGCCGGAGAGCCCGAGGCGATCGAGGGAGACTTTGACGGGATGGCTGGCGACGTGGAGAAGGTTGAGACTTGGTCATCCGGTTTGTCGGCCATAGGGTGCGAAAAGCCGATATCCGAATCGAGGGCGCTTTTCAGGCGCTCCAGGACGGGCGGAAGCAAGCCAAGCGAGTGGGATCTGGGTGGCAACGGCAGGTCTGGGTTGGACACAGATCCATCCTGCGGGCTGTCCAGCGAAACTTGCTCAAAGGTGTCGTCGTGAGTGGGCATCGAGACGGACTCTGCGGGAATCTCGGGCAGCGGCTCCAGCTTGGCCTCGGAAGCGGGCTTGACCTCGAGTTCGGAAGCGGGAGCAGCAAAGGCGGTGGCAAAGTCCGAAAACTCAGGGAGGAAGGCGGCTGGTGAGACGGATGCATGCGGTAGCGCATGGCCTGGCAATTGGGTCGACGGGAGACGAGCATCGGGTGCCGGAGTGGCTGGGAAAAAGTCCAGAGACGTGTCCACGGATGCAGCCAGAGCTTCGCTGGCGGCAGCAGTCGGGACGGCGATGTCGGCGGGGGCTGTGAGCCCAACGTCAACCAAACCGTCAGCCTGGGCATCGGCAGGGCTTTGAGAGGCGCCAGCGCTGTCCACGGCGGGATTAGTGTCGCTGGTGCAAGCTGCAGCGGCGGCTTTGGGTGCGGCTGTCTCAGTAGAAACAGCAGCCTCGGGAAGTGTACCGGCAGGCGTGTCCGCGCCAAGTGCGTCAGCGCCGAGAATTATATCGGTATCGACAGGAGCAGCTTCGGCGACTGCAGCGGTAGAGTCCGCGATGACACTGGGAGCCGCCTCGGGAATCACCGGGTCCTCCAGAAGCGAAAGCGGGGCAAACGGAGCGGCGGGCTGAGAGGAGACATCGGGCGGCGTCCACTCGGGAGTCGAGTCAAGATCGATGATGTCTTTGACGACCTCGACAGGGTCGGCCAAGGGATCCAGCGTGGGGGAGCCAAGGATGTCGATGAGCTGCTTGGACTTTGTTGCTGATGGCCGAGAAGCCCAGGCCGAGGCAGACGAGAGGTTGCCCCAGTCGACCGAGTCGAAATCAAAGGGATCCTGGCCGGCAGGGACCATGTCGGTTGAGGCAGCAGACATTGCGGGAGGGGCAAGCCAGAAACGACCGGAAGGGGGAGACAGAAGCAGGGAGAAGGACAGGGAGTCGAAGGGATCGACAGACAGACGATCAAGCACACCGGGAGCGACCGAGGAGCAGGCCAGACGGCAGACGGTCGAGCAGCGATCGGGCGGCGATCGAGCGGCGATCGAGGGGAGGTCGAGGGGCAAGCCGAGAAAAGACGGGATCGGGCCGATGGATGGCAGAGAAAGGCGATGGATCGGGAGGCGAAAAGAAAGGGCGCTATTAAAAGAACCCACGCGGCCCTTGTGGCGGTCATGCGACAGCGGCGCTGGGGGAGGGGCCGCGAGGGTTGCCGTGCCCTTAGGGTTTGCGCCCAGAAAACGGTGGCCAGTGCCTCCCCTCTGGGCCGTGGCTTGCCCTCTGGCTTCGGCCTTGGGCTTCGGCCTTGGGCTTCGGCCTTGGGCTCGGTCTCGGTTTCGTCTCGGTTTCGTCCGGATCACATCGCACCCTGGACTGCCATGGCCGCTGCATTCAGCTTCCCGGAAATCCATGACTTTCCGCCGTTCTACACGTGCGTATATCCCCCCGTGCACCATCGCCTGCACCATCGCCTGCACCATCGCCTGCACCTCGCTTACCCTCACCGTTCCATGTTCCATCGCCCCGCAGCCGCCAGCCCAACCTCGACACCTGGGGCAAGCAACGCCAGCTCTGGTGCGATCTAGTCCTGCTGTATTTCCAATCCTCCAAGCTTGCCGTCCTGGATATCACCGAATTCACATCGCCCCGGCCCGGAAACGCAAAGGCCGAGCTCTTCCACAACCAGCGTTTGAAGCGTGCGTCCATCGCCAGCGCTGCTCCCGTCATTCTCACCACCCTTGTTTCCAGCCTCCGCCTCCATCACATTCCAGCTCTCTGACCCTCCATCATTCTGCAGGGTCGCTGAAGCGCGAAACCATCATCGAGATCATCGATCATCTCGTCGAATCTGGCAACGCCGAGTGGGACAACCCGAAGAAGAAGGAGCGCTGCATCGTCTTTTGGAGGAAACCCGAGGAATGGGCCTCCTTGATATACAAATGGGTAACGATTGCATCGATGTGCTCGCCAAGCCGATCGTGGAGAGCAAACAGCCGAGCGCCGTGTTCGTTGGCTGTCTTGACTGGCAACGCTTGATCCAATCGCCCGTCACTGTTCACCGCTGCTTTCTCATCGCCAACATCGTCAATGTTCTGCCAGGCATTTGAAACCGGCCAAACCAACTCGGTATGCACCCTCTACGAAATCCTCCATGGCGACCATGCAGCAGGACAAGAGTTCTTTGGCCTCGACGAGCTCATCATGAGGCGGTCGCTGGAGGTCCTGGTCAAGCAGGGCAAAGCCCAGCTCTTCACGGGCTCCAGCGACTCGGATCTTGGAGTCAAGTTCTTCTAGCCGCTGCACTCTCGCTCGATCCCAGATGATCCAGCTGATCCCAGGTGGTCCCAGATGACTTCACTGGATCCTAGTCGATCTCAGGCGGCCTGCTCTTCAAGCACTCGGCGACATCCCCGAAACAAAGTACCGGCTATGCGGGGCCATCTTTGAATCTAAGGATTAGGGCATCACTTTCGGCTGTCCACGGATTTTAGCGACCGCACACGCTGCCCTCGGCTCTCGCTTGCCTCCCGTCGATGACCCCATCAGCGCGATCGTTTGCCCACGGGCGCTGTCGCAATCCCACTTGCTCTGTCGTTTGCTCATATGCTCTTGATTTGCACCTCGCCAAGTATTGTTTCGAGTGGGCTGAGCGTATACATGTGAATACGATTGACGCTGGATTACGCAACGCAAACCCGGCAAAGGCATCCGCCCTCTAAAGCTGGTCGCTGTACTGAAGCCTCGGGCGCGACTGCGGTCGCCCGTGGGTTCTCGTTTCGGATTCCGATAGGGAAGTCTTGCTATTTTGTTTCCCGGCGCACATCGGGGCGCAGAATCAGGAAGCCCTCGACAGGCCTTTCAGACATTTCCCTGCCTCTGCGGTGTTACCTGTGCAGTCCTTGTGCCCATCGGCCCTTCTTGTGACGCCCCTTGCCTGTTCCCACGGCCTTCCTCGGTACTGCCCGTCAACATTTCCAGCAAAGCCCACCGACCAGTACCATCCCTGATCCTTCGTTGGGCCCTCTCTCCTCGTCGCCCTTGCTCACTCTTGCTCGCCCTTGCCTGCTGGAGCGATGCCCCCGCAAAACAGTCCAATCCCAAGTGCCTGCGTCGTCGTGACATCCACAAACAACTGCCCTGCCACACCGGCCACCGCTTCCATGTTCAATCCGTGAGCCTCCTCTTTGTCAGATACCTTGGTCTTCCCAAGAGATGAGCCGCCGGCGGAATCGTATATATATCCGCAGTCGCCGCCCCGCTCCTGTATCATCTTCTGCCGTATTATCCTCGGACAAGGACCCTCAAGCACCTCGGTGCCGTCGACACTATCTGCGGACAAATTATTTCGTGCAGCTCTCGATCTCATCTGATCTGATCTTTTAGTCCTCGTTGCCCACCGCTTCGCCACTATTGGCTGTGCATGCTCTTCACCCCAGCCGATTTCCCACACCGGCTCCTGTCGCATTACTGAGCCCGACAGATACACTTCACACCCACACCAACCCCAACCAGCATTGCCTCCGACTCGGTCGCAAGTGCGACTGTATCCTCCCTTCCGTCCTCTCAGAGCTGAACTTACTCTTATCAAACGCGCGGTACGACATCGTCCGTCGCCCTCTCTAATAATCACTTGGTTGTGTGTCCCGTTTGTGAGCCAAACTTGGTCGCAATTGATATCCAGCACGATATCAAACCGCCCCCCCCTCGCCTCCACCACACACTTAGAATTAGCCCTTGCGCCAATGATGCCCAATATCTCGCAGATCCAGGCCTTCCAGTGGAACAAGGATCCCATCAATCCGCTGGTCAACTACATCAGCGACCCCATCATCCGCGATATTCTTTCAAATGCCCCTCTGGACCCCACTCTGCCGAGCAACTTCCAGCTGGAGCGGTTCCGAAGGATGGCCATCATGATCAAGCGATCCAATCGATACCGCCGAGTACAGGAGCAAGAAGTGGCGGCGCTCCATCAAAAGCTCGGCGAGATTCTCTATGGCGCACCATTGGACGACGAAACCAGCTCCAGTGTCTTGTCCAGTGCTCCACTCACGGTAACAGAAAGCTCAAAGGACCTGTGAAACACGAGGGGCTGGGTCATACGTCGTCACGCCGTCGATGGCGATGCGAGTGGTTCCGATTGAAATCGGAATTTACCTCTCTCCAAGATATTCGTCGGAGGCGATGGCCGTAATGTCGCTCCGCCGTTCCATCCGCCCATCTATACCTCCATTCTCGGGTTGCGTCACTGTTGCCGCGATTGTATTTAGACTACTCTGTGATGCGAACACTCTCCCCCCCCCTCCGATTCTAAGGATATCCAAAAAGCAACGGGACACTGTGTTTTGAGTCAAGGTTGTCGTTGCTTCTTTGGTCCTGAATACACACGCCGCCTACCATGACCAAACAGTGTGTGCTCGCGGTGTCTGGATGCCAAGCGGCTCGAGTCGCCCGAGTATCGTGATGTCGAGAGCCACATTTTGTGCGGAAGCTGTCCAGAGAGTCGAATGCGCGCATCACACTCCCACATCGAGACAGCAATACCAATCGATCTTCGTCGCAGGAGATCAACCAGAAGCATTCAAAGCGATGCTTCCCAAGCCAACGACAACAAAGCGACTGCCAATCCCATGGCCTTCCCGCACTGGGTCCTGCGGAAGTTCAGCATACTTCAGGGCCTTGATGCCTGAGAAAGAGGGGCACTGCTCCGTTTCGTTCTGGAATCCTCCCACGGCTGATTGGGGGCGCAATGCGTTTCTGGAATTGAGTTCTCACCCATGCTTGTTCGTCTGTTGCTCCGTTGATCACCACCACTGCTTCTGCAGATCCAATGGATGTCGATCCCACCGAGCCTGGTCCATCTACTTCCTCGAGTACTGGCAAGCGATGTCCCAAGTGCGATGGCACCGATCACGAACGTTGCAACACCAGCAAATGTCCCAAATACCGGCCCCTCAAGAGTTCTGTCGTCCCACTCGTGGATGGAAGGTCATCCGCCCCTCAGTTCAGCTGCTTCAAGCAGACGATGGATGGCTGTTGTCTCAATCCCGCTCTCCGCGACAAGATCCAGGCCACCGTCGAGGCCATGACCCAGATCCAGTTCGAGGCATCCAGGCTGCTCAACCTGCATATCCTCCGGTGCATCGAGCAGGATCTTCCCATCCCCGTCATCTCCAAGTCCACCCCTGCTTTCATCCGCCAATGCTTCACGATTGTCCAGGCCGGTGCCCTCTCGCCGACCAGGGACAATGAGAAATACAACGAGCATCTGGTCGCTTCCTTTCGCGACTACCAGACCACTCGGCACGCAGACCTGCCTCCGGCCCCTCGTCTGCCTGATGGTGCTCACAGTCAGCTTCTCACACTGGCTGTCAATGCCTATGCTACCAACTGCACCACCCACCTCAACCTGGCATACTGGCGACTCCTTCGTCGCTTCTGTGCTGCTGTATTCCCTGCCAACAAGCATAAGCACGAAGCCATCGAGGCCTGTCTCGAGCTCTTCGAGAAACCAGGGCAGACTCCACCCAAGGCCGATCTCGAGTTCCTCTATCCCGACTTTGGCCACGTCCTGGACGAGTTTCGGTACAGCAACGACCAGGACCGCTTCCGGGCCCTCCATCGCCTCTCACACCATGTGAGAATCCTCGCCCGAGACAAGATGGTCGACGATGTCCACAAGTGGATCGACTGTGACATGCCCGCCCTCCGAGTCACCGAGCTGCAGCGCCAGGCCAAGCTGGACGAGCTCACTACCCAAGGCATTCCCTCCGACGACAAGAGGTTCACCACGGCCAAGTCTGAGCTCGGCACCACCAAGGCCAAGATCAACAAGCTGGCATCCAGACTCAAGTGGGCCCTCAAGCGGCTCGCTCTGGACACTCCTCCGGCCGTGTGCACGATGGTCCCTCTGTGCACTGCAAGGGCCAAGTATGTCAAGATCGACACGGCCACTCTCTGGGATCTCCTTGACACCGAACATCGTCTTGGACTCACCCGGGACAAGCTCAAGGGAGAAGGTGATGACGGCATCAACAACCAGGACCGTCTCTGGCGCAGTTGCTTCAAGCTGCGTAGTTCCCTCTTCCAAGAACGGGACGTGGACAAGAAGCTGTTCAACTACGAGATCAGCACCGATGGCATTGGATGCACCATCGGCCTCGTCAAGTTTGTGCGTCGAACCGATCGCACCGAGACCATCGAGCCTCCTCCGACTGCCGAGCAGCGCATCCAGACCCACATCGGCGACCCAGACCCCGACAAGACCACTTGGATTGGCATCGATCCTGGAGTCGGCTCCAGGAGGCAGCGGTTTACTTGGTACTTTGGGTAGTGCAGGTCGAGTGTGGAGACCGGAGAGCGACCAGTGGTTTCACTCAGAGGCTGCCAAAGTGATCTGTTCTATTTTGTATGGCTCTGCTTGACGCAAGCTCATCACATACTACGCTGACATATGGGACTGTGAGGGCGTCCCGCCAGATGTGGCAATATGATGCTTTGGCAATATGGCAACATAACACGATGGCAATATGGCGATACGGCGATGAGGCATTGGCACAGACACGGACGATACAACCAAGTGCAGGCAACAGAGGCTGGTACCGGAGACTACAGATCGTCTTGCCGCTTCAGTATCCGGGCAACCTCGTCCTTCAAAAAGCCCTTCATCTTCTTCTTCAAGTCGTCCGTCATGTTCTTGGGTGGGTGTTTTTTCCGAGTCTCTTTCTCGAGAATCTCGTGCGAGAGCTGAGAACAGCCACAGCAACGATGGCCGACCGGCGTGGGTCGTGGTGTTGTGAGGGCGTTCAGATGCAGGCGGGCAGCGTGGTGGTCGCGGAAACACAGTGTGAGCAAACGAACAACAATGTCGGATTGAGGCTCTGTCCTCAGCCATCCGCATCCATCATTGCCCATCACCGCACATCGCCGTGGATCACTGCTCGATCCTCGTTGCGATTATTGGCGCCGTACCTTTCGAGCAAACTTTTTGAAAATATCCGGTCTGATGGCTTCCTTGTGTTTGCTAAGGTACCTGACCACATATTGCGATATCTGTGGATGGTTGCAAACGACCACGCACAGTCCCGGTAGGGCGTTAGCGAACTGGGCGGGCAAACTGCTCCGGGTTCCAAACAGACAAAGCCCCGTCCACTACCCAGTCTTTCACAGGCCAAGCATCAAGTCTCCTCCCTCCCGAGCACTCCAATATGCTGCGAGTTCGACCATGGCTTTGTCTGTCTCGCACCGACAAGTTGTGGCCACAGTAATCTCGGCTGCTTACCTCGATACGCAGCTCGTGGAAATCATCTCGCTGCGTTCCATCTTGTCCGGGCTTGTCTTCCGCCAATTCGGTTTGGAGCGACGGTCCATCCAGCGTTCCAACGGATGAGTAGTAGCTTGTGGTGTCTATCGGGTCGCTCTCAGCCAAGCTTCCGTTATAGCGTGGGGTGGCTACTGGCGCATCCTGGTCTGTCGGGGTCGTGCTGCGAGCTTCGTGTGCCGCCGGTCGGCTGTAATGGGACGAGCTCGGAGGCTGGTCATGGCGATAGCGCTGGTCATATGACGACGACGACGACGACAACGACAGCGAGAGCGACGATGACGGCGGGGGGCGGTCGTGGTGCTGTGAATGTGGCCGCGATACGGCGCTCTGCCGCGGCTCATCGCCCGATCGGAGATCGCGTTCGTCCTGGCCTCTGCGGCTCGAGGAGTATCGGCCGGAACTGTACTCGCTTGAGCCGTAGTCGGACCTGGAGCTGCTCTTCGGGGCCGCATCCGAATCCGGAAACTCCCATTGTGTGTGACCGGTTTCGACATGGTAGTAGTAGGGGACGCCCGACGAGTCGTACGCTTTCCGCCACATGCTCGGCAGCACCCGCCTAGACTCGCCCGATTCGTACGATGACGCTGTTCGTGACGGTTCTGATCGCGGGTACTCTCGCTGGTGCTGTGCCGAGTAGGTTCGTGGTGATGAGTACGACCGGATCGGAGGGCTTGCCGGCGACCTTGATGATGTTGAGCCCGGCTGCCACGCGACCCGCCGCTCAACCGGGGTAGAATATCGTCCAGTATACGGCCCATACAGCCGATCCGTAAGGGATACATAGTCCGAATGCGAGCTGGGCGATGAGTAGCTTGTCCCGCTTTCTCGGATTCGCTTGGCACTCGAGTCTCTCGAATCGCCCGTGCCTGACGCTGACGCTGCCAGGGACGCCGCTTCGGTCGGCCCGTCCGCCTGCTTTCGTTTGGGGATTCGGTAGACAAGCGGCAAGGTGCTCCAGGCGGTGATGACCTGCGCAATGTCGTGTCGAGGCGCGAGAAGGTGGGTCGTGCCGCTGGTTAGCTCGCGGGAACGATGCAGATGCAATCAGCAGAGACAGACATTGCGAACGTACTTCCTGCGCAAATCCGGATAGCTCGCTCTGCGAGTTGGTCTCAATAAATAGATTAAGAATGGTTTCGATTTTGGTATCTACGATTGTGTTGCGGGTGGTGATTGGCAGACTCTTCAAGATTCGCAAGACCTGAAAGTGCGGTGGCCATATGTGGACCGTGAATTTGGAGGCGTGGACACAGCCAAGACGCGTGCATACGTGGGGGGGGGGACAGGTCGGATAAGAGCCGGTTAGTGCTGGCGTATCCGGCCCGAGTCAGACAACAATTATTCCTGGCCGTCGAATAACAAGCGACTCTCGGGCGAGTGCGCGAATGGTAACACAGTCCGCACAGACGGCTGGACCCACCGTCATGGTGATATCGTTGTCTGACTTGAAATGTAGCAGACAAGACTTGAGCACCACCAAGCCATGATACTGCAGGAATTTGCGCTGGAGTAAAGCCGAGGTGGACTGCGGCAGGGGGCGAGCATGTTAGCCCGAAACAGAACGTGGTGCGAAATGTGGAGACATTTGTGCGGCAGTACCTCAATTTTGGCCAGCAACCGCTTCATGCGACCGGCTTTGGTTGTGTAGAGCATCTTCTTGACACACTTTTGCACATCCTCCTCGGACTGGAGAGACTTGATTCGCTGCAGTGCGTGTCGTGTCGGCCGGATGGTCAGTATACAACTCGGTCGGTCTGGCTTGGCCCAGGGCTCGACTAGCACGGAGCAGCGCAGCGCTTTGCGTCGCGGTACTTACTGGCACTCGGGCTCCGTTGGATTCCTGGTCGTCCATATCCTCTTCATAGTCGCTCTCAGGCGAGCTCCCAGCGCGTTTCTTGCGAGGCACGGCGGCCTCGTTGCCGTTGCCAAAGTCTTCTTCATCGTCATAATCATCGACGTCATTCGAGACATCTATGGCCGAGGGAATTTGGCGCATTAGTCGTGCTTGGTGGCGATGGCTCAGGTGGTGCAGCTGTCCATGATACGGGGCCCGATCGCGGAGCTGTTCAGAGATAGCACCAAAGTTGTCGTGCCAATAAGGACATGCATTGCGGCTTACCAAGACCCTTGAGCTCCGACTTTTTTCCACCGATGATGCCTTTGCAGTTTGGCTCCTCGCAGAAGCACGCCTGAGCCTTGTCTCTGCAGATCACCGCATCATTGTGCTTAGGCTCGCTGGTCGTCCACATTTCATCCGGTCCGTCCATAATGTACATTCCATCCAGCCCGTCGACCACGATCATTCTCGTACACGACAATGCTTCGAGGTGGAGGTGGAGACGAGACCACGTCATCAAACCATCCTGAGGGACTTACCCGTATCGCTCAAACTTGTAATCAAACGTCAGCTCGCTGCCGGCCTTGACGTCTTTGAGCGTGAAAATGCCGATGCGGACCTGGGTCTCCACCACCCATTTTTGCAGCACACAGTTTGGATTGCAGCTGTGGTTCATGAATCGAGCGATATTGCCCTTTTGGGAGGCATCGATAATCTATGTCCACAGTCCCATCGAGCAGGGGTAGGTTAGACTGCTGGCAAGGAGGCGACGTCCGTCGATGCACCGGTCGAGACGTGAGGTCGACTCTGACCATTGGTGCACCTCGAATCTGCAAACGAGGTCCACCTCGCGGTGTTGCAGGCACACAACACCAAGTATTTCGCGCCTAGCCCACATCCAAAGTGGCTCCGAGTCCACAGGATCAACCGGCTCGAACATCTGCCTCACCTCGTCGGATTTGAGACTCATAAAGTAAAAGTGCTTGGCACCTGTTTCGTGGTATTGCCGAATGCGCTTCAGGAACACCGACCGCGGCAGGATCTCGCCACAGTACTCAATGACAAAGGACCCACTGTTGCGGCGATTCCAACCGAGAACGTCAATACGAAGCGATGATGGCGGCTCTGGGGTTGGGTCGGGGAGCGCCGCCCTCGTTCGGCGGCCACTGCAACCGCATTTCTCGAAACGGATTCGCAAACGCTCAGCACCCCCAAGCGGGCCGTGGGGTAAGCATCAAAACAAAGGACGTCAGAGTCAATGCATCCATTGAAATTGTCCTTTTGACATCTTTTTCGTTCCCAGCCCGAGCCACCTACGCTTTGAGGTCGGCTTTGGTCCGCAAGCCCCAGCCCTTCTTTTCGGTTTTGAAGACTTGGATAGGTGCATATTCCTTCCGCTGAAACCTGTGTTTCGCAAACACGAGCGGTCCCGAGGCAGCCGGCAGCCATGATGGATGTGGATACGGAGAAATGGGATCAGTCAGGACGGCAGAGTGCGAGGGCGAGAGGGAGGGGCGCGAGAGAGCAATGTGTGCCTGACGGACTTGCGCCCAACGGCACGGCAACCAGCACCGCAAGCGGCGCTCGGCTGGATCGCGGGCCGAGGACCGATGCGACGACACCCACCGTCGATTGAGGCAGTATTCCCCGGACGGACAATCTGCCTCGGAGCATTCGATAAACAGTGCCCGGTTGATGCAGTCTTCGCCGCAGGCGTTTTCACGGTCGTCTCCTGCAGAGCCCCGCCCGGTAACAAGCAGCCGCCGTCCAAAAAATGAGCCCGTTGACACGGCCGATGGGACACCGGGTTCAGGATACAGCGATCTGCAGCCTGGCGATCACAGCTTCCACAGTGGCGAGCTTCCATCTTCCTGATACAGCATTCAGTCCCGCGCTGTCGCTGCGACATTTCGGTGGGCTGCTTTGTCTGGAGTGCTGGTGGAAACTAGGCAGCAGCCCCAACACCCACACCGAAGAAATCCCGGGCCAGCAAGAGCACCAGCGGTCACATACCAGGCTCGTATTTGCAAATGCAGGGCATGCTCTCCTCCTGGATATGTCCTGTCGTTCCGCCGCGATATTCGTTCTGATCGATCAGCACTATCGTCTTGAGGGCCTCCTCCGGAATCATGTCATCATCCAAGTGTGGGGGTTCATCGTTGTCGACATTGTGGCGAATCTGATCGACCGGGCGATCGCAGCCGACAACCTGCGGGCTCGCTTCGAGGTGTGTCGTGCTCAGGGATCTGTGATTTGGTTCGCCAATAGGTCGTTGGGAGTCCGGTAAATGGGAAATGCCAAGAGAGGAGGCGGGAGGGGAGACACGATCCCAAGGTTGAGGATATACGAAGGCGTTAGCGACGGGGCTCGTTCGGCAGATGGGTGCCATTGACATGGACAGATCCACTTCGCGATCACCATGAAGTCCTGCACGCCGAAGCAAGCGATTGGAGCCAATCGAGAGCGGCGGCTGTGATGCGTGGGTCTTCCGCTGGTGCTTGAGTGATCTCAACAGCGCGAGTGCTTTGTGAACGTACTCGATCATATTGCTTGGAGATTGTGCCAGAGTCGGGGTCGATCGGATGCCACACAGCAGTGAATTGCGATCCAGGAGAGACTTGGCGGTCCGGGTGACGGGTGGTTGCAGCCGTGAGGGCGGGCTCGTTGCTGTGGATCCGGGGACGGTGTGCCGAGGATGGTAGCCAGAGATCCAAGCGACCGAGCCAAGACAGGACGCTGCCGGCGGTATCGACCAGCGCCAGGAAAGGACACAGGCGGGGCTCTCGGCGAGGGCCGGCGAGGGCCGGCGAGAGGCGGGCGAGGGCCAGCGAGGGCAGCCGTCCTGGCTTTGCCGGCGTTTTGTCTTCGCAACATCCGGCCGCCGCGCCTTGGATCAGGACCACATCCCCAAGCATCCCAGCGATCGGCAGCACGCTCGAGAGCCTCGCCCTCGTATTCGCAAACCATCACCCACCCACGCTTCCGCTGCCCATGAACGACACATTCGAGAAGCTGAGGATCCGCCTCGATAAACACACCGACGGCCTCATGGAGCCCGACAAAGCCGGCAGGATCCTGGCCAAGGTCGAGAGCTTCCGAGCCCAGATCGAAATGGAGAAGGTGATAGTCGACAAGCCGATCGGTAGGATGCACTGTGTTCTCACGGCCGCGGCATGCGATGCCGGTGCCTTCTGCACGCTGCGTCTTATCCACCCTACCCCCCACAACGTCTGCCTCCTAACGGCCATTCGGATCCGGTCTGCGCTCGTGCCATCCAGACGGATGTGTTTTTGCCTTTGTGCTGCCTCCGCAGCTGCCCCTGCCGCACGATGGCTATGGCTGGATGGACGAAGAGACCTCTGTGCGAGTTCAATTCGAGGCCGGCAAAGTATGTTTCCCGATCGTGGCTTCTCTGCTTGTCTTGATCGCAGTCCAGCTCGTTGCGCATGCTCACAGCCCGCCCACTCGCCCGCTGTGTTTCAACAGGAAGTCGAAGTCTTTTCCAGACGCCACGGCTTTGGAATCGAAGATCGCATCACATCGATGTACGTTGCTGCCGTTCAAAGCTCCTCTATCCACAGCTGCCGGGATGACACCGTCTCGCCACGCCGCTCCCGCGGCGGCAGCGACATACTGATTTCAACCTCCATGATGCCTCCCGGACTTGAATGGACAGGTCGCGCCGCCGGTTTCGTCTGATCATCAACGGAGTGCATTCCAATCTCCAACTCTTGCACTACTCAAAGGCTCCAGCGGGTGAGAAATCGATGTGGCAGGCTCCATGGATGTCAATGCGGGTGTCCGCAATCCTGCCACCACTGACTCGGGCTCGATCATTCTCTCTCCCTCCCTCTCTGTTGGTGAAACTCGTGGGTGTGTCTCGCTATTGGATATTGGTGCGCCTTTGGATGGACAACAGGTATCCCAGTCACCGGTGCCGCCTATGCCAGTCCTCGGCTTCCCAGCCATTTTCCAATGTCGGCTGTCCATAACCCCCTGGATCTTGCTCGGCGGAACCACGAGGCGCAAGCGGCCCTGCAGAGACGAATCAAGGTAAGGAGGGGAATGATGTAGTCGACACACAGCTCAAGAAGCCCAGGTCATGCCGGCGAAACCTGGCTGAGATATTCCTGAGTTCGAGTTGCCCGTACCCGGTCAAAGCTCTGGCCACCTCCTTACCACTCATGTCGATGCACCGGACACCCAGACAAGGCCACTGCCCACTGCAGCGGGAGCAAAATCGAGCGACGATCTGAAGCATCAACCCGAGCTGGACAAGGCATCACTTACAAGCGTGTCTCTGCAGCGATACAAACGCAACCATGAGCTCCTCGAGATGATCTTTTCGCCCTACCCAGTTGGTAAATAGCGCTTTCCACGTCATGTTTGAAGCGATAGATTCGCGCGCTTGGATGCTGCGTCATGGAGCTCCGCACGAAGAAGTCCAGTTTGCTGTTGCCGAAGCTGACCACAGATTGCTTTGCTCTTGCCAGAACACTTCCAAGGAATCACCACTGCCCCGCTTGTGGCACCCGCCGACTATCAGAGCAAAAAGGTACATTTGCGCGCGGTTGACGAATCGACGCAATGACAGGTGTTTGGATCATTTCGTCTTTTATACTAAGGATTGGTCGAGGTTCCGCATCCTGCCATGGTGATGACTTTGGGTTCTCATATACTGCATGTGGCTGTCAATCGATTGCTCCCCTCCCTGAAACTCACGGCAATCCAGGCCAAGATCGACGGCGAGTTGGCAAAACTAAAGACAGCCCACTCTGAGCACATTCAAAAGATCCACAGAGAATCGCGAAGCTTCTGGAACTATATGGATCGCATCAAGAACAGCCAGAGCATTGAGGTACCCAGCACAGCTTTGCAGACGCACACCAGCACTCACGGACTCTTTTGACAGTGCCCGCTCACGGATGCCTCACACTCCACACTCCACACCTCACACCAGGACTTGGAGAAGTACGAATCTCAAGCTCTCAAGGAGTTTGGTATCAACAAGAAGCCACACAGACCAGTGATACAGCGCCAACTGCCATCGTCGTAAAACACACTGTCCCGTCGGCGATCCTCTCGAGCTTCTCAGTATACAGCCCCCCCCCCTCCACGTTTCCGCAGCTCCGTTCTGGGGCCGAGGCCGTATGGGAGGCCAACCAAGGATCGTGCGCAGAAATATATCATTGATAGGATACAGATGGCAATGGTGAAAAGAGAGAAAGATGAACAAATGTGGCTCGGCCTGTCACCGAGTTCGTTGCAGGAATCAAACAAGCCGGAGCTCACCCCACCAACAAACACTGTCGTGAGTAGTGAGTGGGGCAAAAGGTGGGTGTCAGAGGGCTGGCTGCTCGGCGCGTGATGATGTTTGTCGATGAGAGTTGTGTAATGCCCGTTGCTGGCTGAGGGGAATTGTTTGTCAAGCGCAGGAAAACAGAGCATATGCCTCACACGAGTCATTGAGGAGAATCGTTCAGGCGGATGCCGATGCCGATGCACGACCGACAGGATGGAGGTTATAGAGTTGTGGACAAAGCCGGGCAGATGAGAGGTAGCCACATTGGAGCGCTTCGAGGGCACCGCCGTTGCTATCTAGAGTTCGTGATCAGCTTCGCAAATAAATAGTTTGGAACGAAGGCGGCAGGCAGCAGGCGGCAGGTTATTTGAGGTCGCCCTCGTGGACGGACTGCGGAATGGAGTCGAGCGAATCGGGAGCATAAGATTCGGACGATAATAGGCTCATGTTCGTCGATCGGGTGACGCGAATGTCGCAAAGAGACGGGTGGCTGAGGGTGGATGCGAGCCCGGCCCAGTGGTTTCTGGTCCTGGTGCTTGGGATATCTGCATCTTTTCGGCCACTCTTGGACGACTCTGAGGTTTTGCGGGATCCGCTGCCGCGACCTGTGCCGCGACGATTGCTGTACTGGGAAAGATTGTCCGGTATATCGACCGAGCCCGCAGCGAACGAAAACTTGCGCCCCGAAGCCATCTGGTCGCCGCGGTTGGGCGTGGTTGGGACGAGATTGGACCACTTGACTCGATTGACATGCAGAATGTCCACGAGCTGACTGAATGACGGAAAGCAGTCTGCCAGAGCTTCATAGAAGGGACGCACGATGATATCGCTAAAGTCAATGCTTTGCTGCGACTGTGACTTTGGATCGGGGCTGGCTGTCGCCGTCACGGGAAGTCCTCGACGCATCTCTTCGTCGGCTTGATTCTGGAACTCTCGGGTGATGCTGTCCGACCAGTACTTGCACACCCGGTAGGGGCGAGCCGGATTGCTAATGTCTATGCAGGAGGCGGCAGCACAGGGAGATGTTAGCACGTTGACAGGCGGGCCACCGGCTGCCGTGGCGAGCGATTTGTCAAGGCCCGCCATTCGGCGATGGCCGACCTCTCGCTGTTCTGTAATAGCACTCGCTATGACTCTCAGTATCGTGTCGCCATAGGGGAGCTGCAAACAAGCTGGCATTCTGCATCATCGGACGGGTCCACTCGATCGAAATCGCTTCCGCCAGGGATACGCCCACTTTAAGTATCGTCGCCTGGCCATGACTGCATGGAGACCTACCAGCAGCATGAAGCAGGATTGAGATCATGTCGAGTCGGTCGGTGGCATTCATGTCTTGGAGGGATGGCTCGCGCGCTGGAGAAGTAAACCAGGTCTCCTCTTCGTTGTGGATGCTCTTTACCGGAGACGTGGGTGCGGAGACTGCCTCTATCGCCTGGTTGTTGAGAGACTGATCGTTGTCCAGAGCAAGATCTGCCGAAGTGCGCTTGTCCCGGCAGGCGTCCTCGGGCGCGCCTTCCTTGCGGCACTGAGAGGTTGGGGTGGAGTCAAAGTCGCTGATATCTGTTGTTTCTTCGGGCTGCTTGTCGATCAGCTTGGAAAGGAGAGTAAAGTGCTTCGACATGTCGGTCGAGAGGATGGCCTCGACAACGATTCGCGTCATGGGGTTTGGCTGGCTCGCATCGTCTGGATCGATTCGTTCGGGAGAGAGATTCAGCTTCCTCAAGACCGGATGCTTGTGGAGAAGAAACTCAGCATGGTCGAGCGAGAAGTTTTCGAGGACAGAGACGTTGTTGTATCTCTTTGCCAAATCGGTCTGGGCGTTTATCTGGACGGGATTATGTTGTGGATGGAGGGTCAGCGGGATCGTGCCGTCGGGGATCGGATGTGGTCGCCGTCAGCATGCCCGCAGTCCTCGGAGCAGCGCTAGCTGGGACAACAATCCCAGGGAGCTACTGTTGCTGAGCAGGCCCGACGCTCTTGGCACGTATAGCCACTGCTTGCTGACCTGAAAGAGGTTGTTGAGACCTGGATGGAGAATGTCGTGAGTCAGGGCGGCAATCAGCAGCGCGTTGATCTCCAGCTTGGTGAATCCAATAGCATCGGCGAGGCCCAGGTCGGTGAGCATGAAGAAAAGCGTGTAGAGCACATCGACGGCATGATGGAACGAGTGATATGGGTTTGCCTTGTATCCCTTCTCGACATCGACGAGCTGCAGTCGCGGCGGTGACGATGGTGGGAGCGATAGTGTGTCGTTAGCTCACATGCGTGGCTCCTTGCGATGCATCACCGACCAGCATCCACCAGGGAGCAAACTTGAGCGGCGCTGTGCGGCTGCCACGCGAACGAGGCCGACGAGACATACAAAGTGGATGAATTCGGCGAGAAGGACGGGGTCGGAAGGGATCAGGTCGAGCTTCAGAAATAGGCCCAGGAGCAGCTTGGCGAAAGCCGGGTCGGTAAATGCCGACTTGGGTTAGCTCGATGGACGAGACGATCTGTCGCAGCGTCGCAGATGGCCCAGACTCACTCTCGACCTACCCCTTGCAGCTGGGGCGATGTCCACTCCCAGACGGCGAAATCCAGCCCCAGCCCGGCCAGCTCGTTATCCAAAAAATCGCCGGCGATACGCTCGATGGTCGACAGTTCGATCGGAGTGATGAGTGTTTCTGCGGATCGCGGTGCGAGAGAAAAGGAGGAGCCCATCACGGAGGAGACTGGGGTATACCCAAGTGCGATGAGGGCCGAGCGATCTACGGTGACTCGCCGAAGATTCAGCGACGACACCGAGAACGAGTTGGAGATGCTCTGGTCAAGCCCGGGACTCAGGAAGAACCGCTTTGAGAACATGGCGTGGGGCGAGCGGCGATGATGATGGAAGTGGCGTTGACGGGGATAAAATGAAGCGGCGGACCTTCGGGATGGAGACTGACGCGGGTTCGACAGTCAGACGCTCGAAAGTGAGAGAGCCGCAGAAGACGAGCGGCGAGGTATCAAAAGCCGGCACGATCCAGCTTGCGACCCCGGCAGCGATGCAGATTGGACGCCGGCGTTGGCGAGTGTGCAGCCCAGCCGATGCCTATCGGGGATGGGTGGGTCTGGATCGATGAAGAGACGGCGACGAGCGAGGGAGAGCGAGAGAGAGCGAGAGAACGAGGGTGGCGCGGCGTGGCGGTGCACTCGCACTCGACCCGCACTCGACCCGACTCGACCCGACTCGATCCGCATTCGATCTGATAATCTGGCGGAGTTCCAAGTGTCGGCGCCGGGTGTCACCGTCGCACAGATGCCGTTTCAGGCTCATCTCTCTCGGGGCGTGCTCTCGGCAGCTCTCGGCAGCTCTCGGCAGCTCTCGGCTACGGCTCGCTGCGCGCTGCTCGAATCTCAGCGTCATCGCCCACCCTTCCGCGTGCCTGCTTTCGGAGGTTCAGCCTGTCTCGACCCGGGCCGCCAACATCGGGTATAAAGCGTGCGCCATTTCTTTTTCCGGCTCTGCTTTTTTCGCTCTTGCTCTTGCTCCTCCGCCCCACAGTCGGTCGTCCCCCCCCCACACACTCCCGATCTCGTCCCTCGCCCGCTCACGACCATCTCGCCATGTCGTCCAAGGAATGGAACGTGCCTGCCTCTCTCGTCAGCAAGCGCACCAAGAATCCCATCCGCGCCATCGTCGACCACCTCAAGGTCGTTCCCAACAAGGAGAAGCATTTCATCTCGCTCGCCCTCGGTAAGCATGGCGACATGGTCGTTTTTGATTGCACGATCTCCACTGCGACGCCGTATCCTCGGTGTCAGCCACACGGCTCGCCCAAGGCTTCGCGGCCGTTCCTGGCCCAGTATCGGTGCGGGTCCCCTCTGCACAGACGCTTTCGTGGTTGGTAGCTGACACCAATGCCGCTCTCCCCGCAGGTGACCCCACAACCTTTGGCAACTTCAAACTGGAGGAGAGGTGCTCTGTCGTGCCTGTGCCGCAACCAGTCGAATCGGCCTGGCCGAGGTCCCGATGTGGTCGATATAGACTCGATTGATGTCAATGGGATCAGCGCGATCAATGCGGCCAATGGGAACGATGCGACCGATGTGATCGATGCGATCCATGGGCGTACCAGCGATTCAGATGGGCTAACCCGGTTTTGTTCATCCAGTTGCGTCGATGCCGTCAAGTCTCATCTTTTGAGCTACAAGGTGGCTATTGCGTATCCACCCTTCCTCCCTGCAGTTCAACGATGCTGCTTCTGTTCTGGTGGCTCTGGATCGCGCCTCTGTCATCAACGTCCTCACAGATCCGTCCTTTTGTCTCCAGGCCAACGGCTATCCCCCTTCCATTGGGTACCCCCAGGCTCGTGAAGCCCTCGCCAAGCACTATACCACCCCCGAAGCCCCGTTGACTGCCAACGTGAGTGAGCTGGTCATGCCTATCCCGGCGACAGTGATTCGGTGGATATTGAGTAGCACTACCGCAGCACTGTGGCTCAATCCCATGGTTCAATCGCTGACTTGGAGTGTAGCTGGCAATGCACAAGGTGGGACGGGATTTGAGCTCATCCGTATCGAATCGATTTCCTTTCCAAATATAGGACGTTGTCATCGGCAGTGGGTACGTTATTGTTGCATCTGTGCTATCTCCCGATTGAATCATGAGCCACGGGCTGTATCTGACCCACCATCGTGCTTGGCCGTTTAGATGCAGCGATGCCTTGAATCTTTGCATCGGTAGGTGTCGATAGGCAGCATCAGCACCCTCTGTGGCGAATCCCCGCTGTGCGTGTATAGACTCTAAATACCTGCTTCCAATCGGAATCAACAGGCGCCATCGCCAACGAAGGACAGAACATCCTCCTCCCATGTCCCGGCTTCTCTCTCTATGAGGTACATATCCAACGATATTCCTATGAACATTGCTCTCGCCACTGCTGTTTGCCACAACTGACGTTGATACATGTCCGTTGTTTGCAGACCCTTGCCAGTTCCAAAGGTACAGAAATGGCTTCAATTGGGCCATTCCACCGTGTGCAAAAGTGTTTTTTGTTGCTGGACACTCGGTCTGTCCTGGGATGCCTTCGCTGACTTCGTTGAACATCACAACTTCGGAAACAAAGGCATCGAGTGTCGCTTCTACAACCTGCTGGTAGGATAGACTGTTCCATATTGTGATCGTGATACATCCCGTGACAAATGGGACTTGGAGGAGCCTGTATCTTGTCCACGATTTTGACCGATTGCATTATTTGGTTGCGCCTCGATCGCCCCAGCCGGGAAAATCCTGGGAGATTGATGTCCCCCACCTGGAGAGCCTGATCGACAAAAACACAGCCGCTATTTTGATCAACAACCCCAGGTTTGTGGACTGTCGCGACTTGCAACAAGACAGGCATCTGTATTCCCTTCCCTTTCCCTCCCTCCCGATGACCCTTCACTTCCCTTCGCTTCCCTTCCTTTCCCTCTCGATGACCCTTCGCTCAGTCTCGACTCCTGCTCACCCTCGATCCCTCGTTGACGCACGACTTTGAACTTTCCACAGCAACCCTTGTGGCTCTGTGTACAAAAAATCCCATTTGCTCGAGATTTTGTCTGGTGAGTATTTCCGCTGCGACGCTTTGGTGCCGTTGCCGAGACATAGTCGCTAAACCAAAAGTGGCTGACTTTGCTCCATCTAGTCTGCGACAAGCACAAGATCCCTCTCATCTCTGAGTATGTTGTGCTACTCGATCGGCGTGCCTCATGACTGGGAGGTAGTGGTTGCATGACGCTCAGGACTGATACCACGATGCTCTGGACAGTGAAATCTACGCCGACATGGCCTTTGAAGGACACGAGTTCATTCCCATCGGTAAGAGTTCTCTCGTTGCTTAGTCCCATCGCCGACCTACGCATCGAGCACCGATCATCCTTGTACCGTTTGAGGCGCTGTTCTCACCAACGTTTGCTGTCCCAGCCACTCTGACCAAGACCGTGCCTGTGCTGACCTGTGGTGGTCTGGCCAAGAAGTTCCTCGTTCCTGGCTGGTGTGTATTCGACAACGATGCCGTACTCGTCCTGCACATGTCACAAGGGCCCCGGTTGGCATGACGGCCAATCGATACTCATGTCTCACTCATTGGCTCGGCACTTGATGTTGCCATTTCTTTCACCGACTCGGCACCCGATTCACAATTCGTGTTCATTCGAATAGGCGTGTTGGTATGCTGTCAGTCTCGCTGCTCCTCTGCCCGTGTTCTGCTGCTGTCCTGCCTCTGCACCACATCGCCTGCCCTCGGATGTGCTGATCGCTTCCCTCTGGCCTGCAGGATGGGTCTTGATCCATGACCGCAACAACATCTTCCATGAGGTAATTATACCGCCAGCCATCGACTTTGGCAGCACAGGATTATCGCGTGGTCACCTAGATTCAGCATAGCAAGTTGAGCAGGCGCCATGGTTTGCACCAAGAAACTGATCCCATTGCAACGCTAGATTCGCCAAGGAATCGTCAGCCTCTCTCAGCTTACTCTCGGAGCCAACTCGCTCAGTATGTCTTCCCCACCTCCTTCTCCGTTGCACGATTTCCTGGCCTCTGCACCCTGCTCACGGCAATTTTTGGATCCGAGCGACGGTCGCCCACCTCACTAATCACGGTCCGTCCCGACCTCAGTCACTGCCTCCATCCCCGACTTGCTGAACGCACCCAAGGAGTTTTATCAGGCCACGATGGCCCAGCTTGAGGTAGCGCGGTCTCTCCACTCGGCTAGCAGCTAAGCGTGAGGGGATAGCGAAAGTGCGATTTTTGATCATGCTCTCACTCCATATATTGGTGGCGCTTCCGTACACTCTAGGCCAACGCTCGTGTCAGCAAGGAGCTCCTGAGCAACATCCCTGGCTTGGTTCCTGTCTTCCCCCAGGGCGCCATGTACCTTATGGTGGGTTGTTGCATATACTGCTGCTTGATGGTTGCGCACTGTCGCCAAGCCTTCCGGAAGAATGCAAAGCCGATCTCGGCGACTCTGAATCGCTCGTCAAGTGCTGTTACGCCGATGAACGGCGCCGCGCTCTGCGCCTGACACTGGATGTGTGCCACGTTTCTGCAGGTCGAGATCCAGCTCGATCAGTTCCGCGATATCACCAGCGACCTTGACTTTGTTGAGAAGCTTGCTGGCGAGGAGTCGGTCCTCTGTCTCCCTGGAAAGGTCAGTGGTCCGTCCAGCGATGCTCGTCTCCGCATGATGATCGCTACTATTGCCGCCACAGAATCTGCTTGGCCAAAGGCTCACTGTTTCATGCGCCTTCCCCCCCCCGACAGTGCTTCCGATGCCCCAAGCCCTTCATTCGAATTGTCTTCACCCCTCCCAAGGACCAGCTTGCTATTGCCTACCAGCGCATCCGCGAGTTCTGCAAGCGCCATCACATTTGAGCACACGATCTCAAGGCTCGCCCACCCCATCAATACAAACATGTTCAGACAATATCGACGCCTTCCCTATGAGAGATAGCACCGATTCTTGCTGCCCTTTCGGCCTGCAGTCCAGCGGCACTGTCGCCGTGCGTGATCGTTTCTTGGGGCAGCATCTTTGAATTCATTGAGGGGACATGCTTCGGGGAGTCGCTGTGGCGGCGTGTGGCTGAGCCCCCGTGAGCAGTCACGTGTACACACAATTCATTTCCGGCTGGCATTTGTCAGTCCCCTGGCCGGTTCTCTTCTTCCACCCACATCGCCCAGCGCTGCTGATCCCAACACTCCCAGCCAAAGCCAGCCCGGCCCAAACCGAACCCCCGACCCGACAGTGCCTGTCTGCGGCCTCTTTGTCGGCTGAGCTCCCGTTCTCTGCCGAGCACCTTCAGCTTCAATCTCAGTCTCTGACAGCATCTTGCCCTTTTGCGCCATTTTGCCGACCTGTCCGACACCGACGCCGACGCCGACACCGACGCCGGTATCAACGCTGAGCACTGTCGACTCTGTCCAACCGATTACTCTTCGTAACCCCACTTCGTTGCGAGTCACGCCGACGTCGCCATGAGCCATCCCGAGCGATCCTACCACGACTCCAGCCGCCATCATCCTTACGAGCATGCTTCGAACCGAGGATATCCGAACGCCTCCAATCCAGAGCCTGGCTATCCACCTACCCAACACGATGCCTTCAATCCACGCCCATCTCGAGGTGCTAGTGCTACTGCCGGTGGCAGCGGCCGGGGCAGAGGTGCCCCTCGCGGTCGAGGAGGTGCTCCCATCGGCGCACGACCAGGCGGACCTGCCCGTGGCCCGCTTGGTCGCCGTGGTCCTGGGCCAGCCGCTCACCTCCACCACGATGGCCTCAACGCGGATGATCGCCAATATGGTAAGAAATCTATACCTTCCTCTGGAGGGAACCGTGTGCGAGGAGCCACCGGGAGGCGCTCGTGCTGGCACCTTGTTTGGCCATTGATCATCGGTGCCGATTGCTGCCCTCACGATTCGACTCCTGGCCAAGGCCGAGGGGTCTTCAGTTGAGTGGGTCATCGTTGCTTCTTCCTTTCGAGTGTCCTTTTTCGAGCGTCTTGTGATGGTGGTGGTGGTGGTGATGGTGGTGAGGATGGGATGATGGGTACCCCAGCACTCTGGTTTGAGGCTTGCCGACTCCTGGCACCTTGGGATTCGTTATCTGGGCGGTCCAGACACAAGGCTTCGCCAGTTCACTCTCTCCGCTTGCAAGTCAAGTCGCATGGATGAACCGCAGTCAAGCTCTTAGTGCTGGTGATGCATGAATTTTGGGCAGAAGAGCTTGCCCGCATAAGTCAGCCGCCCGCGATACGTTACGAGGCGAATGCCAGGTCCTTGGACGACACCTTCAACATTTTAGGGGCTGAGGGAAGGGAAGAAATACTGGAGCGGTTTGCGACGAATGCTCCATTGCCACCACCCTCCCTTGCAGCACAGTTCGGTATCGACTCTCAGTTGCTGCGAGTAATGGTTGTTATTCCTGAGATGCAATCAGCTGGATCCGTGGCGTCTCGTTCAGGACGCTCTGAGCGCACCATCTTTGGTTGGGCTGCACCGAACTATTGGTATCAAATGAGTCTATGAAGTCGAGCGGCAAAGTCAGACCGATCAAAGCCAAGCGATATGGATCAAAGTCGTGGATGCATTTTGGATTGAATGCGGGCGCATTGGCGCTTGCGATGCGCAACAGGCGCTCGGATCAGCGAATGGCAACTGATTCTCGAGCCTCAGGCGCAGATGCATGCGGCTGGTGAATTCGTCGGCAGCCTCAAAGTTGCCCAATAATGATCGATGGATCATCAGTGGATGATCAATGGATGGACGAATGATCAGTGGATGGACGGATGATCAGTGGATGAACGGATGAGCTTTGACTCGGAAGCGGCTTCTCTGGGTCGATGCATAGTGGCATTGGCGACACTCGACAGTCTGGAGATCACTCGCTCACGACCAGCCACCGACGTTGGATAGCAGTCCACGAGCTCTCTTCCTGTTGAGAGAGTGACCTTGTCCCCTGTGCCCCCAAATTACTGGCTCTGCATTTGTTTTTTGTTCGAAGGTTATCGCTTTGGGCGGGTTTGAAACGACTCGATGTCATTCGAGGTGACAGGGATCGTGAGGAGCGGCATTTTCTATCGGTGATCAATGGAAGACAGAGCCGCTTCCGACCCTGGACCCAGGGACCGGGGCCGTGGGACGCGCATTCCGTAGACTTATCTCCGCCGCTCGCTCCGTGGGCTCTGTTTTGCAATCGATTCTTTTCCAGGCGGACCCATAGATGAACGTGGTGGTAAGGGTGAGCGAATGCCAACCAGGGCTTATGACGAAGAGTTTCTGCTCTCGCGAAGAAAGAAAGAGCACCCTTGCCGCACGCTCTTTGTGCGCAACATTGCATACGACACCAAGGGGAAAGAGATCACCGACCTCTTTAAGGGCTATGGCGAGATCAAGTCCGTCTTTGATCTGATCTCGTCGCGCGGCATGATCTTCATTACCTTTGTGAGTTTCAGGCTCCTTCTGACTGTTGTCGCTGTGGCGCCACGCCTGATCGAGCCTTGGCTGGAGCAGATACCGACACTTGGTGAAGCATCGGCATCAGCCATCTGATCATACGTCGAAGTTGCATTCGGTAGAGCCGGTCGCCATCAGGTCCGGGCCGTGCCTCCTGTGATTGGCTCCGGTATGAGCTCAGCGGAGTTGATTGTTCTGACCGTGGGACTCTGCCCCCCCCCCACTTTAGTACGACCTGAGGGACTCTGAAAGAGCCAAGGGCGAGCTCCAAGACACATTTTTCCGAGATCGCCAGGTGACCTTTCTGCAAGAGGCTCTGACAGATCGCCTGTGGCCGCGGCGTGGTGGTGATGCATTTCCCATAGCCTGCTGCCCGTCCACTGAGGAGCCAAGCGCCCTGGATGAGCTCGGACGACAGGCGTTGTTAATTTTGCCCTCGTTGCATCATTGGTGCTTGAACCGAACATATGCCAGATCGATATCCACTTTTCGCTGCCCAAGGAGAGCGATCTCAAGGCGGCCGATGCTGGCCCGGACAAGAACCAGGTATGGTGTTCAACCAGATTGGGAGCGACAACGCCGGCTCACCCCTCGCGGACCTGTGTTACTCGAATCTACTTGTAGATCTGCTGTAGTTGCTTGACATTGTTATCGCAGCTGCTCGATGCACCGCCGTTGCCTACTGAACATAATCCCGCTCGCCGCGCAGGCCACGATCGTGATCAGCCTTGTGGGTGGTTCGCAGCCGTCGTTGAGCATTGAGGAAATCCATGCCCTCTTTGGCAAGTACGGCGATATCAAGGAAGTCCGAGCGCACGCCGGCCAAAATAGGTACAAGGAAATCTGCCCTGCGCACCCGGAGCTGCAAAGTGGCCGGTGCTTGGGTTGTGAGTTGTATTGCCAAGGACTACGACACAAAGTGTGATCGGGCTACCTGTCCACTGAAACAACTCCCGTGCCTCTCTCCCGCACAGCACCCCGGGGGCCAAGGCTATCGAGTTTTTCAATAGCCAGCACTGCGAGAATGCCTTCAAGGCCCTTGCCAACGAGAGTTATCGCAGTGGACGGCTGCATCTCGAATATGTCTGGGATTTGATTCCAACCACGTAAGCAGCCTATGGCCGACTTGGAGCACACCCGTGGTTTGCTTGACTCGCAAGACCGTCGTATCAACGCGACTGACATTTCATCCATCAACTTTTGGACTTTATCCGCCCCCCCCCTCTCCGACTTGATTGACAATTGCAATCTAGTCGTCGCTCAGGACAATTCAGCGAGCTCGGTGGCCACGGAGACGATCGTTTTCGCGCCCAGACACGCAATGACCGGACCGACCTCCGTGCTGACCATCGTGCTGCTCCTCAGTCATTTGGAGGCGATGCCAACGGTGGTCCAAGCAATGGCAGTGGCCCTGCTTCAGTGCACTCGGATCGACATCATAATGGATATGGCTCTGATCGCCGCGGTCCCCCCACAAACACCTGGCCTGTAATCGGTAAGGAGGAGCGGTTGACAGCACGACTCCAATGCATTTCGTCGGTACGGGCCATTCAGGAGTGGAGCCGTATCAATGACCAGAATTCAGAGCACTAACGCACTGCGGAATCACACAGGTAACTCGGTAGATGACCAGGAATACGATCCTGTCCGTGGCACGGTAAGTGCCGTGGTGTATGTGGGCTGTTGAGTGGCTGTTTCTTGCGGGGGCTTCTATTGACCTTGCATATTGCGATCGCGCATTCAGACACTTCCGCCGCTCCCATCCCAAGCGCCGGTGAATGATCAAGCATCACTCCTGGCGATGCTTTTGCAGCAGCAGCAGCAGCAGCAGCATCAACAGCAGCATCAACAGTATCCTATCACGAGTGGAGTCAGGCCGACCATGCTGCCAGCCCAGCCTTTTCCCACTGTCAGTCCAATGAACCCGATAAACCCTATCGCTGCAACATCTATGACGGCGCCTCCACTCGGGCCGGTTGTCAGTGTTCCTGGAGCTGTAGGAGCAACGCCAGCTCCATCCTCCAACCTCCTTGGGCTCGGCACGATGGATCAAAACTCAGTGCTACAAGTTCTCGCTCTCGCCCAATATTTGGTATGTGCGCGGGATGTTGAATCTCAAAGCTCCACAGCTCTTCCAAAGAGTGTTGTTCATTGCTTTGTCGTTGAGATGAATAGGGCATGGAGATCGTGGTCTGGTCCACATCAATATGCGGTACTCTAACTTGCTCTCTCTCAAATATTACAACATGCAGCAACAGCAACAGCAACAGCAACAGCAACAGCAACAGCAACAGCAACAGCAACAGCAACAGCAACAGCAACAGCAACAGCAACAGCAACAGCAACAGCAACAGCAACAGCAACAGCAACAGCAACAGCAGCAACATCAGCAACAGCACGCCCTCCAGCAGCTCCAAGCATTACAGCAGTCCGGACCGCAGTCATTCCAGCCATCGAATCAGTCTCTGCAGAGCTTGCTGCAGTCGATTCAGCAGCTTCCAGGCGGCCAGCTGTCCAAATCCACGCACATCGGCACCTTGCCACTACAAAGCACGGGTCAGAGTCCGACCCCTGGCTATACTCCGCCCGGGAGCTTGCAGCCTCCCCCTCTGCAATTCCAGATTGCTCAGCTTCTTCAACACCAACAGACCCTGGGCAAGCCACAGCTGATGGTTGATGCTGGCACTGGTGCCGGTGCCGGTGTCGCTGCCAGCACAGATCCGCGTCTGAGGTCGTTCTCCCAAATGGCAAGCGCACTCCCTGGACGGACAAGTGCGGCAGGAGCTGGGCCAAGCTATGCACCTGTGCCTCCAAACGTGGACAGCGGACTGAACACTCGGTACCACGGCGCCCAATCGAAAGCGCCGCCCTCTGGGACGTACACACATCCCTCGCATCAGCGCTACTACGGATGATTGACTGGCTGGATCAGATTGCATGTGGATGAAGACTATACAGGACGGGTTTGGCGGCTGGCGTTGCCTCGCTGCATCGCCTGCAAGCTCAATACAGTGACTCGATGCTCGACTGTTGGACTGTTGGACTGTTGGACTGTTCGATCCGTTCGATCTGCTCGATCTGTCACGCATCGAAAGGGCAGGGGGAGGCGGTGGAGACACGCCATTGGCCGGCTCCGTCGCCGCGTTGAGTGGCCAGGCGCGGTCGCACGGCGGCGGAGCCTGGGCCTGGCCGACCAACGGCAGCGCTCCAGCTCACTGGCGCTGGGAGGCGGCTGTGCACGGCTGTGGCTGCCGTGCAGTCTGTGTGTGCGGTGCCCTGTGCTGTGCTGCCGACAGCGTCGGCCGCTCTCGGCACCAGCACGTTCGGGCCGCACACACGACAGCGCCTGCGCAGCACCCCGTGCGGGCTTGCTTCTGCGGCGGCAGGCGCGCCCGCGGCGTTTCCTTTTTGGGCGGCGGCCGGCGCGGGCCAATCGCCGTGCGTCCTGCCCTGGCTCAGCGCGCCGCGGCCCCAGTCTTTCCGCCCTTACAGTGCGCGCTGTTTGTGCTGGATTGCTGGCTCTGTGCTGGCTCTGCTCTGGCTCTGCTCTAGCTCTGTGCTGCCTCCTGGTCGCTGCATCTTCGGCTCTTGGCCTCGGCTTCCCAGGCCTCTGCATCTTGGTCCCCCTCGTCCCTCGGCCTCTGGAACCTGGTCCCTCGCTCGGGCTCCCGTCCATCTCCCATTCCGCCCCGTCGTCTCGGCTTGCTCCCCGTTCCCCGTGTTCGCGAGACGAGCCCGCCTCCCCCCTGCTGGCCGTGTCGGTTCCTCGCCACGCCATCACCAGGCCGCCTTCCCGCTCCACCTGGCATCGCTCGTCCGTGCATCCTTCCACGTCTGCGTCTTTTGCATTGCAAAAGCTGCATCGTTCCCGGCCTCTCTCACGGGCCCATTGGTTTTCGAGCTGCCGTGCAAGTCCACACAGATTCAGTAAGTACCTCGCAGCCTCAGCACCGCCGATCATGGGCTCGTCATTTCCGCACTGTCGACGGCAGCGTCTGCAATCCCGACGGCCCTGCTCCAATCCGCGACATGTCAACCCGTATCGATTGCCGATCGCCCCGGCCTCCGGGCTGCTCTCGTTCAAAATCGGTTGCGATCCCGATGGTGTCCCGCATTGGCATCCCTCGCTCAACTCGCTAATGCTGCCCTTGGATTCCAGGATCATCCATCGCTCTCGTCGAGCCCACCAAACCGTCGTCCGACATCGACATGCTCTTTCCCACCCAAGATCAAGCCACATACACTTCTCTCCTGTGCATGACATCACTGATGGGCTCAGAGGACTACGCCAGCTGCTTCAAAAGCTCTTCGACACAGCCGGCCACGCACTCGCCGTCGTCGCCCCACCCGACTCTCCTTCCCGCCCCGTCTCCGTTCCCATCATGGATACAAGATCTCAACGACCCCAATGATTCTTCTGCCCCTGGGCTGATTGCACCGCCCTCCCTCTCCGAAGCGAGCTATCTGCTGTCGTCTCCTGGCTGGGAACACGAATGGGACTCGCTATCGATGGGGCTGGCCCCTCGCTCCGATGCTTGCACCTTGTCCCAGTCGAGTCCGCCGCCATCATCGCCTTCGTGCTCGCCGCCAGGCTCGTTCTCTGCGCCGCTTGGCGGGCACTATGGTGGAGCAACATGTCTGGACGTTTCGGAGCTTTTCGGATCCGATATGCTCTATCCGTTCCAAGAGCTCAAGGTCGAGAACCTCCCGTCGATAGGGTGGGTACTGTCCTTGCGCCTGCCACTGCCATTATCTTTCCCTCTTGGGTGCACGCATTTTTCATCCGTGTCCATAGGAGCAATCTTCGCTGACTTGTTTCCGCCAACGACACAGCGAGCACCGGATCGACGACGAGTGCTCATCCGACCACACCCACGACTCCGACTCCACCAAGTCACTCGACTCTGACACGGTCTGCAGCAGTCCCTCGGATTCTCGCCCGAGGGATTTGACCAAGTTCGGTCTCTCTGGCCTCCCGACACCTCCGCCCTTTGACGACCATGATATCTTTGACGCCATGTACGATTCAGACGAAGAAGCCTTGACCCCCGCCAGCTCCGCGCCATTCTCAAATCTCCAATGCATCTCGGCCGATGAGTCCGATGATCTCGAGGCGGAGCTGGCATCAACCCGGCCATGCATGAGTCTTGCCGGCCGCGATTGCGCCTGCTGCGAGCCAGACCCAGACGGCCTTTCTGCTTGCGGTGCTGAGGCATTCCGTTTGCCCGGATCAGGCGACGAAGCTGCTGGCAAATCATCTGTGCTGTGTAGTCCCCGGCGGACGCTACGGCCCACCATCTACGAGTCTTTCTCACAATCCAGCATTGACTGGTGCCGCTACGTATGTATCCATTTCTGTCATGTGCTCCGTCGCTGGGTCAGGAGACGTGCATTCAGGGCGAACCCCCATCCACACAGTGCTGCGTTTGTTGGACACAACCTGCGCCTCTTTACTGATCGCAAATCCTGCTTCTGACGGCCGCTCGACCCGAATCGCGTCCGCCTCTCCAGTGTGGAGTGACCCAGTATGCCCAGACTGCAGCCTTCCGCCCCGGCCCATGGGGCAAGCGTACACTTTGCAAGTAAGTCTCTCTCTCTTCAACGCACGCCTCCTGCTTCCTCGCTTTATCGTCGCCCGCTGCCGGCCTGCCCCATGTCTCCCTTGGTTAGATCACCTTTGCGGCCAACGCTCTTACCCTTTTATTTGACGAATTGCTGGTGCTGCTGTTTGGATCTCTTCCCAGCAAGCACGGATGCGACTATAAGGGCTACGGCTATATCGAGAAGGAGCCTCGACTGAACCTAAGCTCGTTTGCACACGAGGCCATTGAGGAGCGCTGCCGGCCGATTCTGCAAGATTACTGCTCCGTCTGTTTTGGAAACGACTCTCGCAACTCGAACATGATCATTCAGTGCGATGGCTGCCCCCGTGCCTATCATGAATATTGCTATGCTGGTGATATCCCGAAGAATATCGGTAAGGAGTGGCGGATATCCTTCTCCTGCGACGGATGATTCGTCCCGATCCTCCCGCCCAAACGGCAACTGCGCTTTCGTGCCCGTGTGGCTGCAGTGCAGAGCCGTGGATGTGATGCAGAGCCGTGATGTGATGCGGATCCATACACCTTGCAAGCCGATTCCACATTGCTGACATAGTCGCTGACATTAGGATCAGGCACAGCACCATGGTACTGCGAGGAAGCATGTCGAAGGCATCCCCAGAGTGGAACCATCAGTGAGTATATATCCTTCAACAGCATGGGCGGAGCCGGCTTTTGGCCGTGGATCGACAAACAGCGCCGCTGCGCAACACTGCAGATGTTGTTTTCTCACATCCGATCTCTGATCCTCACAATCTTGAAAGAAGTCGAGCTGCCGAAGCGGAATCTGCCGTTCATGAAGATTGTGGGTCGATCATCGTCCGCCCTGCGCTCTGCTGCTCGATCAAATACCCGTAAGAGTGCCAAGGCAAAGAGTCAAAAGTGATCTCGAGAGGCGCCTCTACCCATCATTCTGAAACTTTGAAGTCGGTGCATAATGACGCGAGGACAAGCCTGTATGACGGCCAGCTGTCGCTTCCTGAATATAAGCATGCGCGGTCATCGGCCACCATGATCATCCACAAGTCACCGATCCCCATCACAGTCCCAGTGCGATTGCCCATGGATTTGTTCCATGGCGAGTGCGCGGTGATCTCCATACTTGCCGCACTCCGACGCCATCGCAGCCCAGGGCGTACCCGCGAAATTCAACGTCCACCAGCACTCTGGTGAGCTTGTCCATAAGCCCAGATCAAGCAGCGGCAGCAGCAGCATTGGCATCGGCAGTGGGGTTTGATGTACCTCCGCCGCCAGACTCTGCCCGATGACGAGGGTAGATCTCGCCTGGCTGTTTGGAGCATGCTTAGAAGTGTTGGCGAATAGTCGCCACAAGCTTGGCTCGACTCTGGCTCATTCCCGCAGCTTCGCTGCGGACAACAGATCTCTCCCACGGAACTCACCGAGCAATCGCCGGCTTGGTCGTCGCCATGTTCGGGCTCGAGTCAGGTGACGGCCCCTCGATCTGCCCACCGAACTCGAGCGCGGCTGCTTGGGCCAGCCGCCGGTCTCGGTCTCCCTTCATCGCCAGGACCGAGTCTCAAAGGTGAGCGTCGCTCCGTGCACAGGACAGCCGTGCTCGCCAGCGATATCGGCGTCTTCAGCTCGTATTCAAGCGCATCTCCCCCCATCGTGGATATGCGTCGAATGCCTGTGGAGATGGGTATTTGCCAGGGTCATTCGATTTGCATACCCACAAGCACGCCCCTCCCCCCCCGCCTAAGATTCGGCCGCTCGAAAGATCCGGCTTGGCTTTGTCTGTGACGGTGTTGCTTCATTAACAGCGGCGAATATCTGCCAGCGACCTGCCGTCTATATCCTCCGCGTCTCTCGACGTCGCTTTCCACCCCGCCCCTCGCCTTCCCTGTCCCGTTCCCTTGCCTTACCTCTCGCTACCCGCATCGGCGGTGCCATTGGCGGACCAGTGAATATATCACCGGCGGCTACAAGAACTGCGGCTCGCAAGATGGCTGCAAGCGTCACTATCCTGGGATTCCAGTCGTCGCTCGGCCGAGTCATAAGCGATTTGCGAAACAGGTTGGTTTCGAGCCACCACTTGTGTCGGATCGCAGTCAATCGAGCCAAGGGGGGGGGCCTCCAAAGCCTTGGGCATGTTCGCAACGTTGTTATGCGAGCGCAAGCAGCCAGATTCGGTGGCAGTGGATTGTCTGCCTCTCCTTCTTGACCGCAGTGGATATGCAGCGTTTGCCGTTCAGGGTAGCTGCAAAATCTGGTCGGACTCGTGACCGACATGAATCTGCCTCATAAGCTGCGTCGCCGATGACTCTTTGGCAACTGGCATCGCTATGCTGGAGGCCAACAGCCAAGACCTGCTGCAACGCCATTAATCGCCGTTGGATTTGAAATCGAGCATATGCTCTGTATCTCATTGGCTCTCTCTGCACCATCATCTCCTGTCCATAACAGGAACGATTCTGTCAGAGCAAGAGCCGGCCCTGCTCTGCGCGAGCTGGTTAGTTGCCCCAGAAGACTCGATATAGCAACTGTCCTGCCCGCTACTGGCAGAGCCGTATCGAATCTCGTTCAAGCACTGCCGTGTTGGGTTCGACTCTGGCAGCTCTGCCGCGCCGTCACTTCCAAGAGACGGCCTGAGCACTCGGCAGCACTGCTCCTCACTCACATCGAGCCACCTTGCTCGCCGGATAGGTTGTATCAGCTTCGCGCCATCTCTCGGGCGAGTCCTTTGCAAAGTTCCTGAATGATGTCAACAGGCGGATATTCGAGCTTATCCACAGCACCGACGCCTCAGATCGGATCGCTGGCGTCTTGGCCATCGGTAAGCGCGACAATGCCAACACATCAAACCCCACACAGCAACGACGATGCAAGGGACATGCGTTTTTGGCATCTGTCTAGATATGTGTGAGAAGCCGGGTCAAAGCGAAAATAACAGGAGCCGCTATCGGACGCACTTGCGCTGACTGCGACTGTCACCGCACTCTTGCGCACCTGCAGACAGCCTGATTGACTCTGAGGGTGAAGAAAGTACTACAAAGCTCAAGCGATTCGCCAACTACTTACGCGACGTGCTCCCCAGCAACGAGAACTACTTGACCGCCCAGGCTGCCAAAACCCTCGGTCGATTGGTCCAAGCTGGCGGCACGGCTACCACTGACATTGTCGACAATGAGTTGCGGCGAGCTCTGGACTGGTTGCAAGGTTTGTCGCCGCCTACTCTGCAGTGCAAGCCGGGTGCTGCCGTCCTCATGTCCAAGGGGCTCACGCGTGCCTGGGACTAACACGATTCCTTGAACTGTTCGGGTATTCTTCAGGCGATCGAAACGAAAACAAGAGATACGCGTCCGCACTGATCATTGCCGAACTCACGCGAACGTCGCCCGGGGTCGTCTTCGGATCGCTGGTGCTACTTGTCGATAGTATCTGGGTCCTGCTGAGAGACCCAAAGGTGCGGACGCTGTCCATTGGTTTCGGTAGAGTGATAATCGACTGCGTTGGGCTGCGTTGGATTGCGTTGCATTGCATTGGATTGTGTGGTTTGTCTGGCGACGACATATTTAGCCGGGGTAGTGGTGTTGGAGGACTGGCGGCCTCGCCCTGCAGGTCCATATGGCGCCATTTGGCGGTCCTGTGTCTTCTGGTGACCAGAGTTCTCTAACGAGTGTCAATGTGTCCTCCTTTCTACCGAATACCTCTCCGCCAACATTCTGACGGCGCCATCACTGTCACGAGTAGGCACTCAACCGAGAAGCCGGTGTTACAGCCCTGAGTGCCATGCTTCAGATGATGTCCGAGCGACCTGAGCGAGACGCTCAGCAGCGGCGACAATGGTACCGCAAGATATTCGAAGAGTGCCAGAAAAACTTCAAGTCGGGGACAAACGACAGCATCCATGCCTCCCTCCTGGTCTACCAGGAGCTCCTGTTGCACTCTGGAGAGGTATATGTCCAATCTGTGTCACGGGCGAGACTGTGAATCTCTGAACCGAGCTCCCTTGGGCGACTATGCCGATATACGCTTTAAGATTCGCCCGCACCGCCAAACCGAGATGCTGTTGGCGATTGCCTTTGACGAATTGCGACGCTCTATGGGTCGAGTGCTGATCCAAAGCTCTATTTCAACTCAAGTTTATGGCATCACGCTATTCCGAAGTCTGCGATGCAGTTTCGAAGCACAAGGAGCATCGCGATACCCTAGTTCGCAAGACTGTCATCTTGCTTATTCCGACTCTGGCGGCGTACGATACACGGAGCTTCGTCGATAGCCACTTCAGCATCTGGATGAACTATCTCTTTACCCAGCTCAAGAGGGAAAAGGACCGCTCTGGAGGTACGCGTGGAGCTTGCTTTATACTATGGGGTATCGAACTGGGCAGGGCCACGGTCGTGGCTGCGGCTATGCCCCGATTCGTAATGTGCCCGCGCTTATCTTGATCTCGTGTATGCCCGGTCTCCTCTGAGGACCCTTGCAAATTCATGGCATTCATACGCTCTGCTCTGTGGGGCTGTGGGTGCAGCATTCATCGCCATCGGAAAGATCGCCATCGAAGTAGGCCACAGTATCGGCCCCTATCTCGATAGCATCCACCTCATTATCAAGGAGCATCTTTCCACAAAGGGGTATGGTATCTGCGAGCGTTGCCGCCCGTCGTTCGGGGGGCTATTCACACAGAGCGGCTGAGTTCCACTGAGTTGTGCGGATCAGTCGGTCGCTGCTAGATTGCCTACATCTGATCGAGCCTGCTGGATGCTTTCCGCAGTGCCTTTCTGCGACCTCTTACCGTGTGGGTTTCGTCAAGCGGCCACAGCGGTGCCCCTAGTAACATCCGCGCTGTTGGCTCGCTCGTCATCGTATTGCAGAAAGAACCGATCCGCCAACGAAGTCGCCATATATCAGTGCATGAGCATGCTTGTGCTGACTGTCGGGCCGGCCCTCACAAAGTACCTCCACGAGCTGCTGGACTCGATGTTTTCGGCCGGGATTAACGATGCTCTGTATCAGTTGCTCGTGGATTTATCGCACCAAATACCGGCTATTCTGCCAGCTATACAAGGCATGTAGCATATGCACACCTGTGTCCAGCTGCCTCTTTGGCAAAGTATGAGTTGCTCATCTGCTCCGCCGTCGACAGATCGCTTGATCCAGGTTCTCTATATGATCTTGTGCGGCCAACCGTTCCGCTGGTATGGCCATTCAGGAGGCATGCAGAGCGCTGCTAGCATTATGCGGGACTCGCTGGTAAGTCACTCATCGACGGTGTCATGGCATCAGCCGCACGGGATTCAGTGTGCATTCCTGATCGCCCCCTTTCTCTCATCTAGCCACCAGATCTCCGCGACGTTGACAACATCGTGCTAGCTCTGGAGATTCTTGGAAATTTCAATTTTTCAGGTGAGTTTTTTCGGGTCGATTGTCGACTGTCGATTGTCGATTGTCGATTGTCGATTGTCGATTGTCGATTGTCGATTGTCGATTGTCGATTGTCGATTGTCGATTGTCGATTGTCGATTGTCGATTGTCGATTGTCGATTGTCGATTATGGACTCGAAGCTTTGTGGGTCGCAGACAAATCCACCAAGACCATGGGAACGCAATTCTTTTTCTGATTATTGGTGCTGCAGGATGCCCACTGAACGAATGGGCTTGCGAAGCGGTGATGCCGTATCTGGACGACGAAAACTCCAGCATCCGCCTTGCTGCTACACTCACCGCTGGGAACATTATGTTGGAGCTTGTCGAATTGGTGAGAGAAGGAACGAGAGACTGGGGGTGGAGGAGAGCGGTGGCTCTCTCTTTCTAGTTTCCTCGCATTATGTCCACACAGCGGAAGCGAGTGAATCTCACGCTTCTGATGGGAAGGCTCTCTCGGCCTAGCGGGAAACTGATTGAATCTCTGTTTCCTCCAACCCTCCCCACAGGGTGAAAAATCCAACATCGACGTTCTGGCAATACTGTGCGAGAAGATCCTGGCGATTGGTGTCTCTGACCTTGGTAAGAGTCCAGCGACTGTTTGAACATCAAGCAGCTGTGCCCTCTCCGGATCGGGACGATGGCGCTGGAAGACACCGAGTAGCGCTGTTTGCAGTGGTGGGCCGAGCCGTACATGATCTCTTACTTGCTAATACTTGCCTTTATATACTGTGATGACTCGATGGCTGCGCACCTCCGTGTTAATGCATCGGCCACGCTGGACTGCTCGGTCGATGCATGCAGACAGCAGCATTCGATGCGTTGCACTGTCGATCCTCGATGAGCGTTTTGATCACTATCTGTCTCTCTCCGACCACGTGCGAGCCTTGTCTGTGGCAGTGAACGACGAAGAGTTTATCGTGCGCGAAGCGGCCATTGCAATCATTGGACGACTCACGATCCGCAATCCGGCCACGGCCATGCCTTCGTTCCGCAAGTCGCTGATCCAGATACTGACTGAGCTGGAATACAACCCAACGAGGTACTGCTTCGCCCGCTCGTTCGGAAGCGAGCAAGCGAATTAGGCACTTGCGGATCCATCGCTGCGGCGAGCACATGGCTTCAGAATACCGCTGCCGCCTCTCGCCGCACTACCCTCTAATCATCGCACACCGCTTTCTGGAACAGCCATCAAAAAGAAGAGAGTGCCAAGTTGCTGTCGAGGCTGGTTTCATCGTGCAAACGGGCGGCGTCCCCATACATTGAGTCGGTCCTCAAGGCCCTGATCTCGAATGCACATACCTCGAACGACAACGTATCTGCGCATATCATCACAGCACTCGGCGAGCTCTCTGATATCGGTGGCGATGCCTTGGTTGCTCAGCTGGATGACATCTTCAACATCATCTTTGAAGTTCTCGAGAGCCCAAGCAGCCAAATCAAACGCGAAGCTGCACTACGAGCCATATGCAAGCTGGCAGGCACAGCGGGGGCCTTCTTGGATACTGCTCTGGCACCAAAAAACTCAGGCATCAGCGGCCGAGGCTCAAAGCGAAAGGAGTTGCTCACGATGATGATTGCGTTACTCAAGTCAGAGCCATCACAAGCGATTCGATCGGAGATTGTCAAGGTCATGGGCGTGCTTGGGGCATTGGATCCTCACGCGCTCAAGGTTGGTTGCCGGCGAGGGACAATATCGAGCATGCGGCATGTGAATCCGATCTATTGGGTTTCACATTCCCTCCTCGTCAACTTGGCGCCTCATTCATCCGTGAGTTGGCACCATATTTTCGCGTTTGACTTTGTTGCTAATCACCGTGCGTCTGGTGACTTGCCGTGTAGGCGCATACCAATCCTTCCAGCGCCTCGCGACAACCTGGCGACTCGGCTGTGCCGCCCCAATCTAGCGGAAGGCTGACTGAAGAATACAGCGCCTCGGTTGCTGTGACTGCGTGTGTCAAGATTCTCAAGGACCCGACTCTGAGTATCCACCACACCACTGTTGTTCAAGCGGTGATGTACATGTGCAAGGTCTCGGGAAACAAGATCGCGCCACTTCTTCCCCAGGTGAGACTTTCGAACCTGATCTCGCCCGTGCCTCGGACCCCGTATGCATCGATAGGCGACCCAAGAGCACCGCAGAGAGCCTCTTGATCCTTTCGGTGCCATACGCTGAGACCTTTAGCTGCGCAACTCTGGGTCACCACTGCCACTAACCTCCGCTGTCGCACGATGGCCATATCTAGATCGTTCCCACCCTCCTCCAAGTGATGAGAAACAGCCCCCCCGCTCTGCATGAGTTTTTCTTCCAGCAGCTATCTAGTCTGGTCGCGATCGTCAAGGGCGATGTCCAAGAATACCTCGCCGACATCGTCAAGCTTGTGCAGGACTTTTGGGCGGCCGCTACAAGCATCCGCCCAATGATCTTGACACTCCTCGAATCGCTCGTGCTCGTCTTGGATCGGGATTTGATCATTTTCATTCCTGTGCTCCTCCCGATGCTTCTGCAAGCGCTTGAAGCGGATGCAAACGAGGGTCGCGCAGTAACTCAAAAGGCGCTGCAGGTGATCCTGCGCTTTGGATCCAATCTTGAAGAGTTTCTGTATCTCGTTATCCCGTCGATCACTCGGCTCTTTGATCAGCCCGAGATTCCCTCTGTTGTGCGCAAACAGGCCATTCTCACCGTGCGACAGCTATGCCCACATGTCAGCTTTGCCCATCAAGCTTCGCGCATCATACATGGGCTTGTGCGCGTGCTCAGCATACCATCGAGTGAAATACGCACGGCCGCCATGGACACCATCTGCACACTGATCTACCACCTGGGCATCGATTTCGCCATTTTCATTCCCACCATCAACAAAGTAAGGATGCCGGTGCTATATGCAGTCTGTGCGGTGTTTGCTCTATGCGATCGATTACTAGTGCACTGGCTAACTGAGTACGGCCATATGACCGGCACTACGGTGTGGTGTTGGTTGTAGGTGATGCAGAAGAATCAGATCCAGCACGAGCGATACGACATGCTCGTGGGTCGACTTTTGAAGGGTGAGCAACTTCCACATGACCTTGGTGAAGAACAAAAGTAAGTCTCTGCTTGCTTTTATCACAAACAAGCAGACCCTATTATTGTATGCAGCCTGCAGAAGGCTGATGATCCTTAGCCTTGTTTGGCCTTTGCCTTGGGGGCAATTGTCCGTGCCCTCGAGAGCAGGAGTACTCACGAATCGCGATGCAGACAAGCAGCGAGTCCGTGTACTGAGGCAATATTCTTGGTGTCTCTTCCTACCCATGTCCAACTATCTGCTGTAGACCAGCAGACTCCGTGGACGATGCCTCTGGCGACAGCTTGCCCAAGCGCCTGCCCGTAGATCACCAGCGCGTTACCAAGGCTGCCGAAGTGAATCCGCGCGGGAGCCGCGAGGACTGGACGGAATGGATGCGTCGATTCAGCTTGGAGCTGCTGAAGGAATCGCCATCCCAAGCTCTTCGCGCTTGCGCGGGTGTAGCTTCGGTTTACCACCCGCTGGCGCGAGAGCTATTCAACACTAGCTTTGTGGTGCTCTGGAGCTCGGTTTTCGATCAAGTGCAGGACGAAATCATCAGGTCCCTCAAGATTGCAATCAAGTCCCAAACCACACCGCCTGATATTTTGCAAATGTTGCTCAATCTCGCCGAATTTATGGAGCAGGAGGACACACCGCTTCCCATTGATATCGGGACACTAGGCGACTGCGCCGAGCACATCCACGCCTATGCCAAGGCTCTGCATTACCGCGAGCTCGAGTTCATATCCGAGCCTCTGGGCAAGACCACAGAGGCACTGCTTTCCATCAGCCACCAGATTCAGCAGCCTGATTTCACCATCGGCATTTTGACATATGCACCGCAAGTGATTGACCTTGGCCTGGATGTCCGACTCAAAGAATCATGGCTTGAAAAGCTGCAACGTTGGGAAGACGCACTCGCCTTCTACGAGCGACGAGAAAGAGAGGAGCCCGGTCTCCTCGAGGCCATTGTTGGCAAGATCAGGTGCTTGCATAATCTGCACCAATTCGACGAGATATTGAGTTTCACCAAGGAGAAATGGGCAGGCGCACCCGAGGCCACCCGCAAAGCCCTTGCGCCATATGCGACAGCTGCCTCTTGGGGTCTTGAGCAATGGGATTTAATGGAAGAGTACATTGTCCTTATGAAGCCCGACACAACCGATACAACGTTCTTCCGTGCCATTTTGGCTCTTCACCATGCCATGTTCACAGAGGCTATGCTCTACATCAACAAGACGCGCGAACTGATGAGCAACGAGCTGATCGCCACCATTTCCGAAAATTATGATCGCGCGTACAGGTGAGACAGTTCGAGCAGCGGTTTATCCTGAATGCCGAGGCATGTACAGCGCTCCACGTCGATCGGACCCTTCGCGGTACCACTCATATCCATGGCACCCATTTGCCATGCCGGCTCCGCCGCCGCCGTTCTGCACTCGCCACTCTTCAAGCATTGCCTGGCGTCGCGTTCACCACTCTACTGTCTGGCCCTAGCCTCATTGTTCGCGTTCAGGTTCTGGCTGAGCTGGAAGAAATGATCGTATACAAGCAGAGCTACGACATTCCAGAGAAGCAGCGGTTGATACGACAGGCATGGATATCGAGGTACGGGAGCTATTGGCGCGATGGCACGGGAAGCTAGCCTACAAACCCTTGCACATTGTCGGCGCATCTTGCTTGGCGAGTTATTTTCTCATCACCAGTCCTGGTTGCCGCTATTAACTGGACTCTATCGCCATCAGGCTGGATACTTGCCAAAAAAACGTAGATATATGGCATCGAATCATCAATGTTCGACGGCTTGTAATTTCTCCTCGCGACGACATCGATACGTGGATAAGCTTTGCGGATTTGTGTCGAGAGGGAGGACGAATCAACCTCTCCGAGAAAAACCTTGTAATGCTGTTGATTGCGCCAGTATCAAGTTTATTGACTGTGGTGAGCTACCGTTGCTGCTCTGCCGCGGTCTTTGAAACTTGGTTCGCAAGGAGTGGAATGGCGCTATTGGTAGCTGCTGCTTTGGAGTGTGGCGCCACTCTGTTCGCCGATGGTTCGCAGTCGAAATCCTCATCAATATGCATCTTACAGGATCTGACTGCCAATGATCCCAAAGTCGTGTTCGCCTGTATAAAGCATATCTGGGCCACAGGCGAGCAACAAAAGGCGTACGAAACCCTGAAGCTCTTCACCAATTCAATCGTTGTCAAGCTCGGCCAGCGCGGCCGAGCGACACGATCATCCGAGAGTTGCCAAGTTGGCCATACTGCAGAAAAGTCCATCATCGCAGAGTGCTATCTCAAGCTGGGCGAGTGGAAACAGCAGATGCATACAGAAATTGATGAGGTATCCAGCGACACCATGCCAAACGTTGTGGCAAACTTTGCTTGATTCGGCCTGGTGCTTTTCGTGTCCCCATATCGCCCAATCGCCCGTCGATGACAATCTGGGCGAACCAATGTCAAAGTGTCATTGCATCTTATAACCCAAGTGCTTTCTCTCCATCATCAACAACAACAACAACAACAACAACAACAACAACCTTTGAAATGATCAAACTAGACGATTATTCCGGATATATTAGAGTCTTATAGAGAAGCCAAGCACTATGACCGAGACCGCTACAAAGTAAGGCCTCCAAGTTCGGTTGGCGTAACTCGTTGAGGAGGGGAGTCGATTTTGAATCGCTCCCTCAGTAGCTGCCCGCCAAAGCTCGAACTGACAGAGCGGTACACTTCTTCTATGTAGGCCTGGCATGCTTGGGCCCTGTTCAACTTCGAGGCATTGTCCTACTATCAGAAGGCGGAAAGGACGCCCTCAACGATTGTCATCGCATATGCTGTGCCATCTATTCAAGGTTAGTCACGTCCACAAAGTCACAGTTTTGGGGGGTGGGTGAGGTGAGGTGGTGCAGAGGGTGCTTGCGATCATGGCATCTGTATGATGACAACTTAACACGCTGCCTTCACCACCAAAACAGGATTTTTCCGTTCGATTGCCCTTTCGAAGGGTAATTCGCTGCAAGACACTTTGCGTCTATTGACTCTCTGGTTTCGGTATGGCTATCAGAGCCATGTAAACGCTGCTATCCGAGAGGGCTTTGATAACGTCAGCCTCGACACTTGGTTGCAAGTCATACCACAGGTCGGTCCATGCAGTCGATGTTACGAATGCCCGAGATGTCAGCCATGGAGCCGGACATGATGTGTCCTTATTGATTGTATTGTCTTTATCGGTTGCTTTGATGAAGTAGCTCATTGCAAGAATTCATACCCCGGGTCCAGAAGTTCGAAGCTTGATTTATCAGCTCCTGGCCGATATTGGAAAGCAACACCCACAAGCCATCGTCTACTCGCTCATGGTGGTCTTGAAGTCGCAGAGTGTCCCGCGGATTAAAGCAGCGATGGCTATCCTCGACAAGATGCGAATCCACAGTGCCAATCTTGTCGATCAGGTATGTTGTAGCTTTGTTCTTGTGGCACCGCCATGATGCTGGACTGGCTGCTTCGAAAGGATGGTGACCCCAGGGGATCATCGAGGACATACCAATCATTTGATGGAGAAATGCTCATCTCCCTGAATGCATATGTGTTCCTGTGGCGTTTGAGGTTTTTGATGACCATGCTCAGAGATTCGGGGAGTCGTACGTACTGCAGCGACGAATGCCTTTAGTGACTTAAACCTGCTATATATCTCGCTCCTGCCCCTCTCCCCTTCCCTCACTGTATGATTGTCTCCCTTTTTTGTTTGGCTCGAGGGCAGGCTCTTATGGTCAGCCAGGAGTTGATTCGGGTAGCAATCCTGTGGCATGAGATATGGCATGCTGGACTGGAAGAAGCCGCGCGACAGTGCTTCCGCGAGCCTGTGGATATTGAAGGGATGCTCGAGACACTCAAGCCTCTTCATCAAGTGCTTGCCGACGTAAGCATGGCCGTATTGTGCGGGTGTTATCACATCATATGTGGATTGCCTCTTTGTAAGCAGTCCTCCAATCCTATCCGATCCGATCCGATATGGAGTCACTCATGCGCACTTGAATCTGTAGGGTCCTGAAACCCAACGTGAGATATGGTTCTACCATTCATTTGGCAGAGATCTCCAAGAAGCCGGTGATTGGTGCGCTCGATATCGGCTCAGCGGCGACATGAACGATATCAACCAAGCCTGGGATCTGTATTTCCACGTAACGTCTTGTCAAGCAAGGGCTTGGAGTCGCGCGAGAATGTGTCCCGCTATACTAACGTGTGTTTCCTTCAGGTTTTCCGAAAACTTGACAAGCAATTCAATCAGCTCACGACACTCGAGCTTCAGAGCGTCTCTCCAAAACTCTTCAATGCGCGAAATCTGGAGCTCGCCATTCCAGGTCTGCTTCACACTCTCCGACAAGTGATACACCCACCCTATATTGAGAAAGAAGTATACGACACTGACCCGCCATTTCCTCGCCCACCCCCAGGTAGCTACAAAAGCGGAGAGCCTGTGATCAACATAGAATCATTTGCACCAACCTTGACTCGAATGACATCAAAGCAAAAGCCACGACGCCTCAAGATTAAGGGCAGCGACGGAAAGGATTATGAGTTTTTGCTGAAGGGTTCGTTTTATGATCCACAGAATGTTGCCAAGATTGTGTATACCCTGTCTCACGATGATATACTCACATATGGCTTTGCTTGTACCATTCCGGGATGTTGTCGACGGTGTCTGTTCTGAACAGGCCACGAGGATCTCCGCCAAGACGAAAGAGTCATGCAACTGTTCGGACTCGTGAACACTCTCCTTGCGATGGATGCGGAAACATTTAAGAGACACCTTTCGATCCAGCGATACCCGGTTATCCCGCTCTCGCAAAACTCTGGCTTGATTGGCTGGGTCTCGGACTCGGATACGCTTCACTCCCTCATCAAAGACTATCGGTCTGCTCACAACGAGCCAGTTGACAAAGAAATTCGGTCCATCCGACAGGTGCGGTGTGGCGGAGTGAGATGCGACACGTCTTTCCAGGATCGTCTGTCCCAGAATGGAGTCGCTTGTCACAGCGCTCTTACAAACCCCGCTCCACCCTCTCGCTCTGCACCAGCTCTGCGGTGGGCTCTACGATAACTTGGCACTGTTGCAAAAAGTCGAGGTCTTCAGTCACACCTTGGAGCTTAATGCGGCAGGACCAGATTTGTACAAAATCTTGTGGCTCAAGAGCAAGAACTCAGAGGTATGCCTGGAGATATTGAGGCCAAAGGGTCTGCGAGTCGCTGCAGACGCGTTGGAACTCGGGCGACACCGTGTCAAAATCATCCGCAATGCAATATCCTGATAGCGAGAGTCTTACTGCGGCCTGCGATGACGATGCTAGATCTGGCTTGAGCGAAGAACCAACTACAGCCGGTCTCTGGCCACGATGTCCATGGTCGGTTACATCCTCGGTCTTGGTGACCGCCACCCGTCCAACTTGATGCTCCATCAATTTACGGGCAAGGTCATCCATATCGACTTTGGCGACTGCTTCGAGGTAGCAATGCACCGCGACAAGTTTCCAGAAAAAGTTCCCTTCAGACTGACAGGAATGCTCATCAATGCCATGGAGGTAGGTTATGGCTGCTTCTGATCGACTAGTGCTGGTAAAGAGGGTATCCATCATCGCTTGAAGTTGTTTTGACACAGATTTTCATTTTACGAACACTTTCGGGTCGTGTGCGTTGGCTCCAGGTCAGCGGCATCGAAGGCCACTTTCGAATCACCTCCGAGCATGTCATGAGGGTTCTCAGGGATAACAAAGACAGCTTGATGGCTGTCCTCGAGGCATTTGTATATGATCCCTTGCTCAACTGGAAGCTACTCAGCAAAGGCAATACTGAAAACGGTAAAGGCATATCTCTGGTCCCTGACCTTGGCCGAAGCTGGCAAAACTTGCAAGCTGACCTGGAAAGCCAGCGTGATTGACGATCCACCTAATCGGCGACTTTGATCCCCCATAGCGTCGGCGGACAGCAGCCCCGTTCGGCCGAATGCCAGTCCCGATGGTAAGGACCAAATACTATGTACCTTGCAAAATGTTTGATGGGTGTGGCCTCATTGTTGACATGGTACCTCTTCATATACTCTGTGCGCATCAAGACGCCAGTGCGATGCTCAACAGCCGCAAAAGTCCCAGAAGAGATGCCGAGCCTGACGATGGTAAATAGCCCACGACCCAGCCACGCCTTGCTCGGGCTGTTGTTTGCAGACACGGATTGCGGCCTTGAGTCCTCGATCGACTGCATGTGCCGAAGAAATCATACGGCCGCTGCGAGTACTTGGCAGCGACCGAGGAGTATCGCGGGAGACATGGATGCCTGGGTTGTGAGGCGTGTGCACTGACGCATACTTTCGAACCACCGACAGACCCAGATGGCACCAGCCAACCCGAGCTACTCAACGCCCAGGCCCTAAGTGTTGTCAGTCGTATATCAAACAAATTAACAGGTGCTTATCCCGCTAATCAGAATTTTGGACAGCTGCGGGACGGATAAGCTCGGCTGACTGAGGTGTCAACGACCGAACTGTTGATCTTGATAGGACGAGACTTCAAGCCCAACGTGGTCTTGGATGTTCCCTCACAAGTGCAGAAGCTGATTATGGAAGCAACATCGCTCGAAAACTTGTGTCAGGTTTGTTGCAGCATGGTGCCCTGTCCGCTCTCGCAAATATCTGCGCTGGGTTCTGGCTTAACACATTGAATCTCTGTTATATGATAGTGTTTCCAAGGCTGGTGCGCGTTTTGGTAGTCAAGGCATGATCGGCCCTCACTTACAGGGAATATGACCTTCGGTCCTTCGACCGATATCGAGCGGTTCAAGACTCTCGACCGAGCGTGTTCCGCTTGCATAAATATCGCACTAGAATGCGTGGATTATGCTTGTGACGATATGGACTGTGGCTTGAACGCTGCATCCAGCAGAGAGCACGACCTGCCTTTTATCGCTGTGTTCGCGTCGTCTGTGATCTCCTGTATCCAGCAGGTCATTTACAAGAGAATAGCTTCGGTAGCCTCCGAGTACATGTAGGATTTGTATTTAAATCTTACAGATTCGATGCATCTCACACAAAAAGCGAGATCTGCGGCGATTGCGATATATTATGTTAAGCCGCTATGGCATCAGTGATGAGCGCTCAGCTATGGCGATGGCTATTACCCTCCTCTCCGAACGGTCTGTTCCAATCAAGATCCGAGTCAGCATTACGTATGGACTTTGGGCTGCTCTATATGGTCTGAGGAGCTCCCACTCGCGCTTGCCCCCTGCCTGGTCCTGGAAAGAGTCATTGTGGACAAGGCGAGTGTGGCGGGTTGGACTGCCGTGGCGCATGTCCATGTGACCTCCACATGATCGCCGTGTCCACAAGCCCAAACGCCGCCGTTTGTCGTCCGGTTTCGCTCGCAACAATGGACGACCAGGCACTCTCGGAGAAGCAGGCATGGGTCAACAGTATGCGGCAGAAATTCTGCCGCCGCCCGGAATTCCCAATCACCACCAACATCATTGACGACGATGGCTTTCTTAATCAAGAGTGAGTGGGTGCCGTCTCCTGGTCGAGTTCCTTGGGCATCGAGCCAGCGCGCACCACGACGGGCGGCGAGAGAAGCAGACCAGCAATTTGCTTCTCCTCGGCATGCGTGTGCCATGAACTTTATTTGTGATATTTTGCCTTATTGAATCCATCCGCTATCCGCACGTACGGTTGGCGCTCGTGTGCAGCTACTTTCGACCTCCGAAGGGCGCATTGTTAGCGGCACCCAGCACCAACAAATGGACAGAGAAGGAAAGGGCTCTGTTGATCCAAGGAATCGAAAAATATGGAATCGGCCATTTCCGCGAGATTTCCGAAGAGCTGCTGCCAAACTGGGTAAGGTTGAGATCAGCTGCGTCTGCCTCGGGTTTTCACCACTCATGGTTCCCGGGGTAACGGTACTGGGACCGAGACTGGGCACTTGTGATGAGGAGCACAGAAACAGGCTCTTGACATACCATCTGCCTGTTGCATAGCAACCCAATGATCTCCGAATCAAGACCATGCGGTTGATGGGTCGACAAAATCTCCAATTATACCAGGGATGGAGGGGAGGCGAGCCAGACATCAAGCTGGAGCACAAGAAGAACCGAGAGCTCGGCGAACGACTGAATGCGTGGAAAGGAGGCACTCTTGTATACGACGACGAGGGAGCTGTGCAGAGGGCGCTCGAGGAGATGCATCGCAGCCAATGAAGCCAGATGCAGCACCGTCGACGACGGCGACCGCAGCAACGCACGACAATCACCCCAATGAACCAGCGCTCCCTGCTGTCGGATCGGCCGCCACTCTCGATGAGTCCCAAATACACACCGACCATCCGAACGAGATATCCTGCTGTTGTGCCCGGTGTGTCCCTCTCGCTTGGAAGGTCTCCATTCGCCCGGTGTTGCGAGTCCCCACTTTGTCAGGAGCTGCAAGGATCCCAGCTACCGCACAGTCCACAACACGATCATCGTGTGCGATGTGATGGTTGAGATTGGAAGGCAACCAGAGAGTCTTCACTCGGAGGCTACCGAAGCTATTCTCTTGTAAATGACCTGCTGGATACAGGAGATCACAGACGACGCGAACACAGCGATAAAAGGCAGGTCGTGCTCTCTGCTGGATGCAGTGCAGTACGTCTCTGTGGAATATGAGCGTCACATGCACTATCATGGCTTTGCTACCAGTTAAATGCGGTACATGAACACGCTGGCGATTCGATCAATCACTGGAGGTAAAGATAGACGATATGTACTGCTTGTAGTCGAATGCATTGTTCGCCTTGCGGGGAATGACGACCTTGAAGTACTCCACGAGGGGTGGAGCGAGACCGCTTCGATACAAATCCGATTCGGTGATTTCCTGTGATCGTTAAAGTTTGATAGTGTGTTGATGGGATGGTCAATAGGCCGCGACGGTATGGGCCAGGACTATCATGTCGACCGCAGTCGCTCCAAGCGCAGCCGCAAGCGGACATCATTACCCCTTCTCCTGCAATTGTGTCGAAAGCCTCTTCCAGCTGCTTCGGACCAGTTTTGTCTTCTTGAATGGACTTCATGAAATCAAGATACTGAAGAATTTACCGCAGTCAGCAGAGATTTTGGGAATACGCGGCCACACCCTCGATTCCATCGCCTTCGAATCATTGGCCAAAGCAGCATGCGCGCCTTCTCGGTGTTCACCTGATCAAAGCTCATCGTCTCGGAGCCGGCTGCAGCATCGGCAAAGATTTTCAAAGCCTTATCTTCCTATATACGCAGGAACAAACAAAATGAGGTCTACTGTCAGGTATGCTTTCTGAACAGCGGTGCCATGCATTTCGAATGAACCTACAGGATAGAAAGTACCCTGGGCCTGCAAAGCCGCTTTGAATTCTTCAAACTTGAGTTTGTTGGATCCATCCTTGCATACTCTGTTGAAGGTCTGCGAGTAGGTTGGCAATGTGGGGGCATTTAGTTGCTTGAGGATGCGCTGCAGCGGCCGCCCAACATCCAAGAGCGCAACGTACTTCGGTCATCTCCTCCAAAAGCTCAGGAGTAATGTTGGTCTTGCTTCGGGCAATAATCTGGTTTTCCACGAACGTGTACTTCTTTTGGAGCGATTGGCTCAACAGGTCGAGATCGAATCGCAAATCTTCGATCGTATAGATGGTGAAGCTATGCGAGGATTTGGCGAATTATAACCATGTGTCAGGCATACGTCTGTTGGCCACAATAGCTGTAAGGCGTGCGACAGATTGTCGAAGTGGCCCGCATCACTCCGGACTTACGGGTTGTCTAGAACGGTGTATGATAGAGAGAGAAGAGCGTCAAGTCGGGTTAGCTCTGTCGGCCTTGCTTTGAGTCTGCTCCGTGGCCAAGATGCGACGCGATCTGGAGCCTACCTTCGATGCCCGCAGTAACACAGTCAGAGTTGAGACTGTCGATGGCCTGGAGTAATCAAAGTATACATCAGTTATGTGCGTTCTTGTCGGCGGCCTGCTGAAATGGCCCAATACTACCTCAATTTCACTGCGAAGAGGACCAAGCTTGGCACTCAAAGTAGAGATTGTCTCAAGTTGACCCTATTTGATGATTAACTGTGTTCAGTCGAGATCTCTGGCAGCTTGCCCGGCGCGCCGTGCCATAACTCCAATCGCGTTCCACTGAGGCCGATGCTTACCTCCAGCGAGCCCTCCAGATTAGCGAGAGAAAAGGCAACACTGGAGAGCTTTTCTTCAAATCCATTAGCGGCCTCTGCATATCTCTGCGTAAGGGACTCCTTGATTCTGCACATAGTATTGCGTCAAAACAAGGAACACTGCTTATCCGCCTTAGATGTGCTTCGTCACTTGAACCTACTCCTTAATGAAGGCGTTCAGTGTTCTCTTGCGTTGAGCCTCGATGGCAATGTGCTGCTCCCAGTAGCTATCGAGATCCTGGAGCAAGAGGAGTTGGTCGTTAATATGCGCTTGTGATCCCGCACATAAACGACCTGGCCGTCTTGAGGTCCAAGCCCTCGAACCTCACCTGCACCAAAAGTCCTGCCGGGGGAGTATACGGCTTGATGTTGTACGTCTTGAGCTTGGTTTGGATGTTCCCAAACAGCTGGTTGGATCGTACAGAGTTAGACCCGACCGCAACGACCGTCTGATGGTCGCTGGCACCAACGCAAAACATCATCAAAAGCAGACTCACACTGTCCAAGAACGACTTTTCGACAATCCACTCCCGCTTCAAGGACACTTTGTAGGTTTCAAAGTCTTGGAGCAGCCTCTTGGCATCGGGGTAGTTCGAGAATGTCTGGCTGCTCCACTGTCGCTGGATCCCCTCGGTTGCAGCCATGAGGGCACGCACGCGGCGTTCGTAATCGTTTTGCATCTCCCAAACCGACTGGACAACCTGCCCGAACTGACCAATGCGCCGCCCCGCAGTTCCAACCTTATCTGTCGATTGGTAATTTCAAAGGGCCTGTTTAGACAATCTGTCGGACACATCTGGATCTGCATATATCCATATCCATATCCATATCCATATCCATATCCATATCCATATCCATATCCATATCCATATCCATATCCATATCCATATCCATATCCATACCCCCCCCTTATTGATAATATGCCTGGGTCCCTGCGAGCGCGCCAGGCCCTCTAAGCCACTCAGCAGCGATGCGGCGGTTTAACCAGTTATCACAGTCCTGCAAACACAGATGCTTACCAAGAGACGAAAAGGCATGGAAATACTAATGATCGGTAGAGTGAGAATAGAATCATATGACGATCAATGAAGTGACAAGAGTCGTACCTGGGCGACGTATGTCATCACGGAGCGTTCGTCGGGCTGTTTATTATATTTGAATTGATAACGTGTGAGTTTTGAGACCATTGTTCGAAAAGAACTAGGAACTGTGATTGTGTCGCTGCAGTGCAAACAACGCTCCAGCCTACCTTGACAACATCAACAATGTCCTCGACGCCAAAAAGCTTCGGGATGCCCAAATGCTTCTCTGCGACGTCAAAAGCGAGCTGGGTGTTTTTGTGCTTGTCGCCCTATACGACGATGCGGTGCCATCAATATAGAGTATGTTGCTCAAGGCAGACTCTCCAGCGCCGACCTATCTACCTTGTTGAGGGCATAATAGTCCAGTAAATCTGTAGCATGGCCGGTGAGTTAATGCAATGTTCTGTGCGTGCTAGTCATGTGCTGTTTTGATATTCTTTGGAGCCATAGTTATACCTGGGCGATGGCGGTGAATCAGGGCGCACCTGTTCGACAAAGCACGCGCCTATTAGCGACACGTCGGGTCATCGTGGAGCAATCGATGGCAGTTCGAATCGACGCTGGTCCTTACAAAGCCAAGCCGCTCTGCCAGCTCATTGTGAAATCCTTGATCGAAAAGTCCTGCGAATATGGAGCCGTTTTTCGTTGACACCAGAGGAGCAGTCCTATATACCCCCCCGTCACAGATTAGTTGGTGGACTATGTATCCAGGAGAGTACTGCGAGTCGAGAAGCGAGTGCATGTAGCCTTACCTTCTTTGGCCGACAAGCCCTCCTCGCTATTGTTGGCAAAACTCGTTAGTTTATGAGGCGGTGGCAGCCCTCAGAATGTCACAGCCAGCAGTGCTGATCGCAGCGACAGCACCGGGCAGAAATGTGATGCACTGTCTCCTTGCCTAATATCAGCAATCGTGAAACGGAGAATGATTGTCCAGATCAGACCAAGGATCAGCTTGCCATTGCAATCCACAATGTCCTAAGGGCAGGTGAACGCGTCAGTCAAGATATGAGGCGGCGGCGCATTGGCTCGGATGCCAGGAGCCTCAAAGACGTTTACCTCGGAGCCAATATTAGTCAGATGGACTCCACGCTTGCGAATAAAGTCGAGGGCCTTGTTGAGGTTCTCGACCTTCTGGATCCTAAGCTTTGGGTTTTTATTGTATTTTCCAAACGGGGAGGTTTCCTCGCCAGAGATAATCTCTGCATTGCACCAAAACGTCAGGATATCAGCAGTCACTCCCATACGAATCCGGTGCACATGTTTCCGAAGCAGTAGCAGAGCCGATGTATAGGAAACTCACCAAGAAGCTGGATCAGGATCTCGCCGGTCGATAAGTCGGTGCTAAGATCGGTAATCTTCATCAAGTTTCAGCGGCACCCGTCAGCGCAAGCCAGTATCGGGAGCTATATAGGCAACATCCCGCTACCTCTCTAGAGTAGACGGATGCATCAAGATACATACCGGCGATATCTTTCGAACAACGAGTCTGGGACAAACCAAGCGAACCAAGTGCGGCAGCTGTGTTGGGAATGAGCCACCTCCAAACGTCGCGAAGCTTGGTTGGACACCCGCGATCTCTCGAGGAAAAACATGCTCCGCAACAGATAAATGAACGACTCACTTGCTGTTGACCCAATTGGTAAATGCTGGAGGACAAAGATGGAGTGCGAGCAAGTCAACACAATGCCGGATTCGTATGGCTGCGAGGACCACCAGTCGGAGGCTCCAACCCCATCAGCACTCAACACTCAGCACTCAACACTCAGCACTCGGCGCGATGCCGCTTACTTTTCTTTTGGATTTCCTCCCTTCTCGAGCAAGCGTGCAAGGCCGCGACGAATACACGAGAGTGTTAGCTTGCGTGGTGTTTAGCGTGCGGGCAGGCAGCCGGGCTATGGCCACTGTTCACGGGCACTGCAACAAGGCGCACTGGCACCGAGGCTGCCATCGACACAGGATGCGGGGGGGGTCTTGTCTCTGTTCAGATGCATACCATGCCCTTTCAAAGAGCGGAGGGGCTGCCATCTGGGGCTGCTGCGAGGCAGAGCTTGGGGCGAAGCTGCTCATTGCTGAACGGTGGCTGCTCGGGTCGACGTGCGGTGGAAGAAATATATGTTCAACGCGCAAAGACGCAAGATGGTGCTTGGCTGCGAAAGAAGATCCGGAGAGAAGGGAAGGAGCGGCGAGGATGGGCCAAAGTGCAGAGACTCGATGGGAAGGCGTCGACAGACCAAGCGTTGCGAAAGAGCAGAGACAGAGGGCGTGGTGTCCGAGCGGGCGTTTTGTTATTGCCTTCCGCCGCTTCCCCGTCTGCCAAAAAGCGCGCGCTGGGGTAGGGCTGGTGGATTGGCAGCCAGCCCAGCGCTGCAACGACACGCCGACGATTGCGGGGAGGGGAGTGAGGGTGATCGGACCGCCAGTGAACAACGGCTGCGTCGTCGTCTCTGCTCAATCGTAATCTCCCAAACGTGCATCCTTCGATCACGACGCTGCTCTCGTCATCTGCAGCACCCGTTCGATCTCCATGGGCTGCATCAAAAACTTCTTTGTCATCCACAAGTCCGGCAAGATTTACTTCAGCCGCAACTGTGAGTTTGGAGCACCTGCTGGCCCTTTTGTCGAATGCAAGACACTGAGCCGCGAAACAACAGTCAGGCCAAAAGCCAGAATAGATCTCGCCAGCGTAGATCCTGCCCGAGAGAAATGCGGATGTAATGTTTTGTTGGGACTCGTGGCCAATACTCGTGGCCAATACTCATGGCCAACACTCATGGCCCAGCACTCATCAATGACCAACTATTCGCTATGCGCCCATCGATGACTGACTCATTGCCGCGGCAACATTATCGCCTGGCCTAAAGTTCATGGAGACAGTCTTGACAGCAAGTGGGTATCATAACAACTGCATTCATTTCGTTTCCAATGCCTCGGTGACCAGCGGACTAACTTGGATAATATGAACTCAGTTTAGTTGTCGGCTTTTCGTCTTCGGTATCAAACTTCTGCAAGACCCTGCTCGGAGAAAACATTCGGGAGATTGTCTCGCTTAAAGGGCGGATTATCTACAAGGAGGTTGGAGATGTAGGTGCTGTGAGATCTCACCAACCCTCGCGTCTCGAGCGCTTGCGCGATCCATAGCAGCATCCGAGTTTGAGCGGTATGCCTCGGCATCGCGATTCAAGCCAGACGGAAGATATCCTCGGGATGCCATCAGGCCGTACCTTTCTTATTGGGACACCAGTGGGGATAAAGGCTCGATGTGATCAGGCCCGAATCGACATCCATGACTAACACCGACCCGCCTGACTCTTTCTCCCACGTGTCAGTTTATGTTTATTGCCCACAGCGATCTCCAGACGGGATCTACTGCCATCCAGTCGATTCTACGTGATGTCGTTGGGCTGTGCGAGGTATTTATTCGCACATATCGTCACCGCTTCAAACCCGCCATGCATTCTTGCGGATCACATCAACCGAGTCTCAAATGAGCGTATCCGACGACATGAAGAATATGCCCATTCCCTTCGGAACAGGCTCGGTCTGTACTGATGCAGCCTTCCCCTTGCAATGGCGCTGCCGGACCAAAGTTTCTGTTTGGGTCACACGATTACTGGGATGAAGATTTTTTCGACCTCAAAGGGGCACAGGTACTGGTCGCCACTGAAATCAAATAAGCGAGCCTGAAGCCATCTGGGCTCTGGAGTGTGGTTTGACTGTATCACATTCTCATTCCTTCCACAAAGGATATTGTCACGATGCTCTTCACCAAAGCAATCCAAGACCCGTCAACAATCGTCAATGGCATAAGCCAGGCATGTTCATGTGCGCACGAGGAGTCCGTTGCCTGTGGGGAAGGGGCGGCCAAGGCCCAAACACAGAGCCAACAGACTAGAATCGCCGATACTGAAGTTGTATTAACACCTGTCATCTGCCAGATCTTTCTCGAGCCTGAGATCATCGAGAGAATCGACAAGCTCCTTTCTTTCCTGGAAAGTCATGACGGCGTGTGTGGAAATGGCACCATGCTGATCCTCGGAGATGCTGTGCTTCACTCCCGCTTTGAGCTTCACGACACCAGGATGGTAGGCCGCCAGAGTCCGGATACACCAACGCATGTGCCTTGATTGTCACCGAGCCGTGTCATGGCGGCTGCACCAGCAAATGCACTTATTTCCGATTTGCCGGCTCTCGTTCGATCACCCACCTTCCAGATCCTTCAGTATCACAAAGCCAGGCCACTTGGCGGAAACGCCGTAAGATACACGCCTGCTTTTTGCAGTGGCTCGTGGCATAACCTGTACATCGTGCGCGTGCAAGCATACGTTCTTGTCTTGATGGCGTACATCGACAAGCCCTATTCAAGCCTCCAAAAACGGATCGACGACTTTCGAATCTCGTTTGCGCAGTCCCGTCTCGAGATTCCTACCGAGGTTCGTTCGTTTCGTGTTTGATTTGCCCTCAACAGTATGCTTACTACCCTCCGCCTGTCTAGGAGCCACCACTGCTGCTCCGGCTTTTTGCAAAGCGAGAGACTCTGGCTATGCTCTACCAGAACATCAAAAATGGCTGCACCATCTTCCCGCAACTTCGCCCTGGTATGCGCTTGGCTGGTTTGGAAACTCGGATTCATTGACTCCATTGCCACGAATCCCTTTGTGCCATGGGGCGTGTGGTGTCCGAAGCGAATCAAATCAAGCCTCTGACATAGAGGGCATTTCTACTGGAACCGGATCGGCTTGTAGGCCCAGACGTGCAGCAAAAGGAGATATTCTCAACGTTTTGGAGCTTTTTCAGTGACGCCAGGTCAGCAATGGCTGGATGGCTGGATGGCTGGATGGCTGGATGGTTGGATGGTTGGATGGTTGGATGGCTGGGTTGGGTCAAAGTTGACTCTGAAGTAATTTTGCGTCCTGATCGCTCAGTGCAAGCATGAAGGTACCTGGCATCACCGAGTTTGGTATTTGTCGCGATCAGTACCGCTTTTACGCACGGTAAGTGGTATCAATTATGGTAAACAGTGATCGTCATACGGGCCGATCGAGGCACTCTGAATGGATCTTGAAGGAGGTCTCCATTGCGGCAGCGACCTAATCCACCCAACGCTCCTTATATTTAACCACGGATATGGCCACTAGATCCGAGGGTGTCCACAAGCTCTACATCCTGTAAGTATCGGCATGAGCCGTGCATATCGGCTCGGCCAATATGGGCCTCCTATGGTCTGGGTCGGCTGTTACGAATCTAAGAGAGACTCGCACTGACGGTTCCCTTGCCCTCTGGACCAAAGCCTCTCGACCGAGTCAGTCAATGCCAACTCGGTCGCTGGCATTGCCACTGACATCCTCAAGAGTGTCCGTGCCCACATCAAAGTAAACTAACGACAGGCGCAACGAGGCATGCGACTCTGGTCAGCTCGGCATGAGAACCAAGTCGATCATTTGATTCGGAAGGAAACAGACAGAGAGCGTGTCGAGAGGCGAAGCAAGCGGTTAGCGATTGTTCAGGCAGAACGACGTAGAGATTGGCCGAATACACCGGACTTTGGTCGCTGTTCGAGACATAGCCATATCCACGAGTACGATCGCTGTGACAATAGCAGACTTGGGCAATGCGACCAAACTCGTCCGCCAATATTGCGGGCGGTCATACGAAAGAGAATGGACGAGCGTGTATTCAGAATCCAGGAAAGGCCGCCGGAGATCCAGCAACAGGGTGTCCCATTTGTGGACGATACAATCCCGATGCAGAGCGATCGTTCCACGGGGTTGAGCTCGGCGATAAGTCTTGATCAAATGACAATTATGCGAGCGGACTTATTCGCTTTGCTCAAGGCGCTGGATGCGTCGTCTGATGAGCAGTTGCCTCTTGCGCTCAACTTCCTGAAGCTTGCGTTGTTGGAGGGAGTCGACCAAATAGCCGATACTACCACCGACAACCGCCCAGATCAGATGGGTGTACGGCTCTTGAAAACGCAAACGTACCGATCGTGGCGGTGGGATGGAAGGGAGAGTGAGCGAGAGTGAGAGTGAGAGAGTGAGTGAGTAGCGGTAAGCATATGGATGTGTCCGCCAGACCAACGATTCAAGCAAGCTGGATCAGCAAACATGAATGCCACAGCGGGCCACTCATTCGTCGAGGTGATGTGTGCAAGTCAAGGGACTGGCTCGCGAGCACGAGTTCCGCAGGACTCAAAGTGCCCCCCTTATCGCCTTCAGTCCAAGCTCGCCCTCCCAGCAGACTGCAGGCGAGGAGACGCAGGCGCGGACAGAAGGGTAGTCAGAACGTGGGGACGGAACGATATTTACTGTGAAAAATGGGTTTCCGTTGCAGGCCGTACGAGAGAGTCTTGGCGACGATGCCGGCACCGGCCCACAGTCCAATGGTTCCGTAAGGGCCTTTGAAGTATCGGTCTTCATACTCGACGGAGGGCGAGGGAACTTCAAGGGTCATTTTGCTGCGCGGTACCGAGAGAGAGGCTGAGCTGTCGATATGGGTGCAAGATCAGACGCTACACGACGTGTCTTTGAGATCCTTGGGCGAGCGGGAAAGCGTGCGCGATCAGCAGAGCAATCCCGAGATATGCATTGGGCAGCGAACGGTGCTGTTGTGCAAAATCTTTGCCTTTTTCGAGGATCGCTCGAAGCCGGCTCGAGTGTGGCTGGGCCAACCGGCTCGAGTGTGGCTGGGCCAACCGGCTCGAGTGTGGCTGGGCCAACCGGCTCGAGTGTGGCTGGGCCAACCGGCTCGAGTGTGGCTGGGCTCTGGGTCTCGCGGCCTTCCCTCGGTCTTGGGCAGCCGGCCAGGCTCACTGGTCAGCCCTCTTGCCACATCCAGGACTGCCTCTGACCAGAGCCTGGCCTGTCCTGTCCTGTCCTGCCCCATCCTGTCCCCAGATCCATTCGGAAACAGTCGATCGCAACACCGGGCAAGAATCCTTGACTCAACCTCGCCTGCTTCACGCTCCCAACTCGACACCCGGCCTTCTGGTGGTGTTTGATCATGGGCGCCGTCTCCTACGAAGGTGTGGTCGCCCAGTTGTTAGGCGAATGCCCCGGCTGACTGATCGTACTGGTGCAAGAGCCGCTTGCGTGACCAGGGTTTGAGGCTGGGCGGACTGATCCGTGCTGTTAAACCCGTCGTAACCGGCATTCCCTTCTCTATGTGCAGTCTGTGCCCAGAGACTATCCGATATCTCCATTGGTAAGAGCCATCCGAGCGCTGGTCGCTGCTTTGGCGACGCGATCGAGATCCGACGCCTGCCCCTGAGCAAGACACATCCGCCAAGAACCGTAAACGGGGTGTAATTTATTCTGACTCGACATATTATGCCTCTTCTGTTCCTCCAGATGCCAAGGTCAAGGTCGTCATCATCGGCGAGTTGAAGGACACCTTGGATTTCTCGCAGATCCAAGATACGTCCGGATACCTGGCACTGCTGATCCCGGCCTTCAGCAGCATCCTGGAGAATGTATCGCCCGCATTCTATGCTTCTGCACCGGAGCACGTACGTTTATCTGCCATTTGGCATCCAACATTCGCTTCCTGCATCGATCCTGCCTTTGGCAGCCCGATCCCACCTGTCTCACCATCATTTCATTTCATTTGCCTCGGTAGAAACTAAGAAACTCGGTTCTGGAGATCATCCATCGCATTCCAACCAACGAAGCCCTGCGCGAATTCGTGCCCAACCTTATGAGTTCGTTTGTGCATCTGCTCAAGGTTGACAATGAGGAAAATGCCGTCATTTGCCTCAAGATCATTGTCGAGTTTCACAAGATTTATAAGGCCGCTCTTGAGGACTATGTCCAGCCGTTCTTTGACATTGTCCAAGATATGTACAAAAACATGGATGCTGCTGTCCAGGAGGCTTTTGATGTGCCACTGCTGTCTCAGGTGAGTTACCTTGACAGCGTCTGTTTGTTTGGCGATGGTAGATCACCGTTTGCGTCCAGCTACTTATGTAATGAGCACTCACACCCAATGCTGTTGATCGCCGATAGAGCACGGACCGCCCAAGCTCCCCTTCTGCAGATCAGTCGGAGAATGCGGCTTCCAAGACCTCGACCACCAAACCGCTGCAAAAATCCGTCATGAGTTTCAAGGTCTTGACGGAATGTCCCATCATAATTGCCCTATTGTTTCAACTTCATCGCAAATACGTTCAGAGCAATGTCACAATCTTTGTGCCACTCATCATCAAGGTAGGCTTTGTCGTGCCTATCCTACAGATCGGCAAAGGCAGGATGCCTGTCTCTCGGGGGCTACTTTGGTCTCCGCGGTGCCCTCCGGTGACTGTGAGCGCACTAACTTTACGCTGCTATAAACATAGGTATTGGCTCTACAACCAAAGCTACAGAAGGAAGCGCACGCTCACGCTGAAGCAGCCGGTATCATCTTTGTCGGTGTATCACCAAAGATTACAAACCGAACCGCTTATGCAGAGCTCAAGGCCCTGCAAGTGAAAACGGTGTCTTTCATCGCATACATCTTACGTAGCTTCTTCAGTTTGCTACGACACAATATGAACGAGATCGCAGAGTCTGTTGTGACGTTGATGAAGGACTGTCCACCGGAAGCCTCAGCAACCCGAAAGGTGGGAGCCATGTTACCTTGAGTCACCCAGCTCCCTAGCGATGCTACAGGAAATCATAAATGCTCATTTCGGGGGGGGGGTTATCGATCGAATTATTCTTCGCGATGTGGATCGTAGGAGCTGTTAGTTGCTACGCGACATATATGGTATACCGATTTCCGGCAAGGGTTCATTCCATACATCGACATTCTTCTAAATGAGGATGTGCTGATTGGAACTGGCGTCACCTCGCGCGAAACGCTGAGGTAAGTTTTCACTGGTCTGCGCAAGCGAAACACGAGACTCTCGACAGCGAACCACAGCCAGGCCCCTGTGGATGGCGGTCGCTGGCTGAGTGCAAAGCCCACACGGCATACTTTTTTCCTGGTCGCTGATGCATCAATTCATCGCGGCAGGCCACTCGGGCACTCGGTCCTTGTCGACTTGATCCACCATATCCGGAGCGATCTCTCCCTCGCCCAGTCTTCTCGCGTAATCGACATTTACTCGAGAAACTTGCACGACCACTCGTTCCCGCATAACATCCCCACCATGTGCGCCAAACTGCTTCTTAACCTGATCGAGACTCTCATCAACAAGCTGCCCAAGCAAGATGTCAGGCCTTTGCTGATAAAGATATTGAATGCTTTTATTTGGAAGTTTGGCTCGCTCAAGATGGAGTTTCCTGTCATCCAGCAATACTGCGCCCGAAAGAAGATCGAGGCGGTTGGAGCGCAGCCCCCGTCAGAGGCGACCGACCCCTTGCTAGACGGCTATCTTGATCTACCTTACATCCAGCCGATTCGAACGTCGACCAGGCCTTATGAATCGTCGCAGGATATTGTACAGGGTAAGTCCTACCAACGATGGAATGCTCTTGCTGGAAGTTCATTGGGCCATCTTTATCGACAATCATCCAGCCTTCCGTACTGACTTTGCGGGCACTGGTTCCATCGTACTGTTTGTATCCCACCTACAGACGTCCGTATGCTCATCCGCATACTGATTCAGGGCGTCAAAACCATTCTGCAGAAGCTGCGCACATATCCGCCGACTGCACCAGCTTCCGACAGCGACAAGCTCATGCCGACATACCTTGACGAGGAGGTTGGTCTGTTCATCACCTTGTTCCGGGACGGTCTGCAGTGCTTCGAGTACTACACGCTTGTCCACCCGGGCTCCGATGACACTTCGAACAAGGCCGCCGAGCCAAGACCAGCCAGCTCAACGCCCTCGAAGGAAGAGAAGGATGGCCTCGACAACTTTTCCTTCATTTTTACGTCGCTCGACCCGCCGATATTCCAAGAAGTCCTGAGCCACAATATGGACTTTTTATTCGAGCAACTTGCGACGCACAACTCATGGCTCAGCGTCCCGCAATACTTTTTGGCCAACCAGGCGGTCTCACCCAACTTTGCTGGGTTCTTATTGCGCTTCCTGGTTGATCGCATCGAAATGCTGGGCGAGCCCGACGCCTCGTCCGCTGTGATGTTGCGACTCTTCAAGCTGCTCTTCATGGCCGTTACGCTCTTTCCTGAGAAGAATGAGCAGGTCCTTCGGCCACATTTGAGCCACATCATTATGTCGTCCATGAAGCTCTCCTCCAAAGCCAAGGACTCCCAGAACTACTTTCTGCTGCTCCGATCTCTCTTTCGGAGCATTGGCGGCGGGCGTTTTGAGGTGCTATATCAAGAAGTATTCCCGCTTCTCCAAGTTTTGCTGGAGGGTCTCAACAATCTCTTTGCAACAGCTCACAAGCAAAGCATGAAGGAGCTCTTTGTCGAACTGTGTCTCACGGTGCCTGTTCGGTTGAGTGTCCTGCTCCCGTATCTGTCGTATCTGATGAAGCCGCTGGTCTTTGCCCTCCAGGCGGGCCCGGAACTCGTGAGCCAGGGCTTGCGTACCCTCGAGCTCTGTATCGATAACCTGACCCAAGAGTTCCTGGAGCCGCTGATGAGCCCAGTCCTCAATGATTTGATGGCAGCTTTGTGGAAGCATCTCCAGCCACCACCATACCCCCAGATTCACTCCCACACCACCATGCGCATTCTCGGCAAGCTTGGAGGACGTAACCGACGCAAGCTCCTTGCTCCAAATCCTTTTACATTCAACCGAGTCAACCCGGAGACTGGATTGGAGATGGAAATCAAATTTGCATCTGTCGACAACAGTGTTAGGCTCGCCCTTGATGGCACGCTGGACCATGTGTTCAAGATCGCTACCGACCCATCCGAGAACGTCACTCGAAAGCGACAGGCCTTTCTGTTTGCCAAGGCCTCGCTCGCGTTGCTCCTGGACACGAGTGTTGATCAGAGAGGATTTGGGCAGCTTCTCCACAACCAATGCAGCCAAATTCAAGAACAAGCCACCACTCGGATGGACATTGATTCTGAACCGCCAGTCAAGCCTCCTGGACAAGCTGAAACACATGCACTCTTTGCCGACCCACTGCCGTACTCCTGTGAAAAGAAGATTGCCCAAGATGGCGCTCTGAATCTGGTCATGACCGCCATGTTTGCTGTTTCGACCGTGGAAGATATCAAGAACGAATCATGGCCTTGCGTTGAGGCATGCTGTCGACATTTCGCCTTTTTGTGCATTGGCGAGATGCTCAAGGATTATCAGACCGAGGGCGGCTCGCAAACCTCGGTGACACTGGACATACTCCTCAGCATGCCTTCGAGCAAAATCAACGGCTTTATAGATGCGATTGTCGACGTGATCGCCTCCGAAGACGAGGATCGACGATTGCTAGGCAAAGCTGCGGTGATGCTCTTTTACGAAACGTGTGTCCAGATCTGCGGCGATAAGGCGCTCGTGCATCGAATGCCTCTCTTCCATATCTTGGCCGGTCGCTTCTGCTCCTGCTGTTACGAAGAGGCATGGTTCAAAAAAAGCGGCGGTTGCTTTGGCATCTCGATTCTGACTTCCATCTTGGAGTTCGGCCCGCGCTGGATGCTCGATCACGAACTCGATTTTGTCAAGGCCTTACTCTATGTCCTCAAGGATACTTCCGCCGAAATGTCGACTGGAAATGTGGAGGAAGCTCGACAGGTCCTCAGCCATGTCCTCAAGGTCTGCAATCGCCCTGAAAAATCAGATGCCCTCGACCGCTCCTCAAAGTTCAACAATCTCGTGTCGCTATTGATCTCCGAGCTGTCTAGCTCCAATGCTGCGGTGCGGGAGACGATCCAGTCCGCTTTGCAGCTGCTGGGGGATTTGACCGGAAGCGAGGTGACGGATCTGCTGAGCCCGGTTCGCGAGCGTCTCCTGAACCCCATTTTCGCAAAGCCTCTCCGCGCTCTGCCCGTGTCGATGCAGATCGGACATATCGACGCCATCACGTACTGTCTGTCACTCAAGCCACCCTTGCTCAACTTCAGCGATGAGCTCTTGAGACTTTTGCAAGAGGTGTTGGCCCTGGCCGACGCTGAAGATCAAGCGCTGGCAGGGAAAAGCAGTTCGCAGTTCAAGAGCGCCACGTCGCTTGTCAACCTCCGAGTCGTCTGCATCAAGCTTCTGTCCTCCGCTATGAGCTGTAACGACTTCCCACCACCCCGACATTATTCCATCCGCGGGCGCATCACCTCGGTGTTCTTCAAATCTCTCTACTCCAAATCGCCAGAGGTAGTCGAGGTCGCCAACAAAGGTAAGCATGGGCACGCTAGCGTTCCAATTCCAAAGAGTCGGGTCTGTGATGCCAATTGATGCCGATCGATGCCAATTGATGCCAATTGATGCCGATCGATGCCAATTGATGCCAATTGATGCCGATCGATGCCAATTGATGCCGATCGATGCCGATCGATGCCATCATCTAGATCGCATTTTTAACTGTTTTTCTGGCGCTCCGGCATATAGGACTACAGCAGGTGCTTGCCCAGCAGCATCGCCTTCCCAAAGACCTTCTCCAAGCCGGACTGCGCCCAATATTGGTGAATCTGGCCGACCACACTCGCCTGACTGTCTCAGGGCTCGCCGGCCTGGCCCGTCTGTTGGAACTTTTGACAAACTACTTCAAGACCGAGATTGGCAAGAAGCTGCTCGATCATCTCCGGAACTGGGCCGATCCCAATGTCCTTCAGGAAGCCTCTGCCAAACCTCTCAGCGAGGTTAATGAGATCAAAATCATTGTTGGCATCCTGGACGTCTTTTGTTTGCTGCCGGCAACGGCCAACGTGTTCATGGACGACCTTGTGAAGCAAGTGCTTGATCTCGAACGCAAGCTTCACCGCTTGCACTCGAGCCCCTTCCGCCTGCCGCTGATTCGCTTCCTGAACCGATACGCGAGCGAGGCTTTGGGCTATTTCCTGGACCGGCTCTCGGATCCTCAGTATGCACGTCTGTTCATCCATCTCGTAGCCACCGATGCTGCTACTGTCTTGCGGCTCGAGCTGATGAAGAGTGTGGACCGCCTATTGCTCGCATTTGGGGAGCCCACCGCCCTAGCAAGCACTGCGAAGCTCATCGACAGCGGCGCCCCAGAAGTCGGAATCTCGCAGCTGGTCCCGAGTGGCGGTGGTGGTAGTAGCGCAGAAGCCACCGATGCGGTACCCAAGACAGAAGAAACCCAGGAGATTGTCCAAGCCCACGGGGTCGCCATCCTTTTCGAGCTATGCCGCCACGACCCTGACTGGGTTGTGCAAAATCCCTCTGTGCTCACGTTCCTGAAGAAGCTCTGGCGCGCAACCGCCACACAGAGAAAGCCTCTCGCGACGAATAGTACAGCGGCTGCCAGACGCAACCAACTGATCCAGCATCTCCTTTGGACCTTCATGAAAGTCTACGCTCAAGAGCCATCCGAAATCGAGCTCCTTTTCAACATGGTTGAAGGCTTTCGTCTTCCCGAGCTTGTGGACTCGAGTTTTTTGCTTCGTTTCTTTTATCAGGATGTTGCCATGCCCATGACGGGCAAACAAATGAGGAGGATCCTCGAAGCGTTCTTGACCCTCTATCAAGACCCAGCTGTTGGCCATGATACCAAGACCCTCATCATGAAATTGATCATCACTCCCGCTCTCACTGTTGTCTTTTCCAAGAAAGAGCACAAGGACGCGATCGATATTGCCATCATCGAGCTTGTACATAACTGCTTTTGGCAGCCCGGTGCCATTGAAGCCAGCGCCGAGGCCAACCACCACGGATCCGAGCTTCTCAAGATCGAGCTTCTCCAGTTCACAACGCTCCTGGTGCAGCATGTCCCGGACATCATCAGCGAGACTCGACGAGATGTGATCAAGTTCGCATGGCACCATATCAAGGAAGAGGACGTGACATGCAAGCAAGCCACGTACGTGCTGATGGCGTACTTTATTCGAGAGTACGAGACTCCACCAAAGATCGTCACCCAAACTTTTGTGGCGCTGCTGAAAGCACACCAGACCGAGGGCCGTGCGTTGGTGAAGCAAGCGCTGGATGTACTGGTTCCAGTCCTTCCAAAGCGCATGCCCCCTGCAAATGAATCCGAGGCACGAAACCCAACGTGGGTCCGCTGGATGCGCAAACTGATCATCGAAGAAGGCCATACAACCTCGCAGCTCATCACGATATACCAACTCCTGGTCCGCCATGCCGACCTGTTCTACGAGTGTCGAAACAGCTTTATCCCACACATCATTGCCTCGCTTTCCAAGCTGGGGCTATCGTCTGGAGCTGTCACCGATTTGAGAGGAATCTCACTCGAGTTGATTGAGCTGATTCTGACATGGGAGAATCGATTCTATGCCGAGAAAGCCGCCAACATCATGGCAGTCGACACTTGTCGCGCCGCCACCGAGGCGACCCAGAGTGCCAGCCACCCTCCAGATGAGATGGATGTCGATGTCGAACCTGGACATGAGAATGCAGAGCGCCACGACCCAGACGGAGGACTCGACAGCACCTATAAGGAGATGATTGTGACGTTTGTACTGCGATTTGCGTCGAGCCTCAATGAACCGCCTCAGAAAAAGGATATGTTCCATCGAGCCTCGGACATCCTCAAGCGGTTTCTCGGCATCTGGCAAACCGCCGATGTCAAACTAAGCGTTCTCGAAAAGGCCCTTAGTCTAGAGCAAACCGAAAGCAACCTGCAGTCGCTTTGCCGAACCCTCGATCTCATTAGCATTGTGGTTTCCCATCGATCAAGCCAATGGTCGTTGGCCAATGTCGCACATCTTCACAAATGCATCGAGACCTGTCTTGGTAATGAGAACCATCGCGCTGTCAAGTGTCTGACGGCCCTTCTGGAGACGACCTGCAAAGTTCTTGCCCAGTGCGAGCAGGGCTCGCCCGAGCTCGTGATGTTTTGGAGACTTCTGGATCAGTATGCCTTCAGCCTTGTCATGGAATCGCCCTCCTCCGTCAAGCCGTCCGTGGCCCATGTGATCGATGCCATTTATCGCCACCGTGCCGACAAGCTAGACCCGATGATGGAGGAGTCGGTGCGTCTTCTTGGACACTATGCAAAGGAACTGATTTCGCCATCGCCTCCGGCTCAGCCGCCAACGCCAACGCCAACGCCCACGCCGACACCAGCCCCGGTAGTAGCTCCGGGATCTACGCCGGCCTCTGCTCCAACGTCTGCGCCGGCAGCCCAGTCAGCGACCCAACCATCCACTGCCAGCCCCGGCCCTGATACACTTGTTCCTGCCATCATCGCCCTCCTTGGAGTCCTCAAGATCCGGATATCCCACATGAATGACCACCGCAAGACCTTCCTTGCATCAGTGACGCTGCTGATTGAGAGCGTCACCGATCCTGAGCTGCTGAGGAGTCTTCTGGCCATAGTTCGCGGCTGGCTCTACAGCGAAGAGCCATTTCCGACGGCCAAAGAAAAGTCCAATCTTCTCCTCAAGCTCATGGTCCTCGAGAAGCATTCGGAAAAGTCGCTCTTCAAAAGCTACCTCGAGCTTGTCGCCGACATCTACTCCGCCCCAGCTTTTGCCCGCACCGAAATCACCATGCGTCTCGAGAAGGCCTTCCTTATCGGGACTCGGTACGAAGATTCGACTCTACGGACCCGCTTCCTCGATATCCTGCATCAGCACGTCCAGCCCAACCTCCTCGACCGACTCAAGTACATCTTTGCAACGCAAAACTGGGAGCCGCTTTCTGGCGAGTTTTGGCTGCAGCAAGCGCTGGATTTGCTTCTACGAACCGTTCGACAGAATGAGACACTCTACCATTGCTACTCTGGATATCGCATCGCCTCAATCTCGCACTATCTCACCCTTGAAAGTGGATCGACGCACTCGATGTCGATGGTCCAAGACCAGATTGAGCAGCTCCAGAGCTCACATATGGGTTTTCTGGCTGAGGTACAGAAACAAGATGTTGCGCAGTTGATCAAATCCATGTGCCAGCTCCTGGTCCACGATGTTGCTCTCGCTGCGCGCATGTGGACCACGATGTTCCCGCTTCTCTGGTCGGTGCTCGATCCTGCAGAGCGCCACGAGCTCTCCAAGGCGTTGATTATGCTGCTCGCAAAGGACTTCCATTCCCGGCAGATGGATGCTCGCCCCAACGTCGTCATGGTCTTGCTCGAGGGAATGTGTGGATGCGTCCCGTCGGTTCAGCTCCCGTCCCAGTTGATTGCCCATCTGGGGAAGACCTTCAACGCTTGGTATCCTGCATTGGAGCTACTGTCGCAGCAAGTCACAGAAATCCGTGACCTATCTCCGCTGTCCGCCAAGGACGACGACAAGATCCGCGAAAGCACGCTGGACGCCCTCACGAACCTGTTCGAGTCGCTTGGCGAAGAAGACTACTACGCCGGTCTTTGGCGCCGCAGATGCGTCTACCTCGAGACCAACATGGCTATATCCTACAAGCAGTGTGGTCTATGGGCCCACGCCCAGGCTGCACTGGAGACAGTGCAAAGCAAAGCTCGAGCAGGCTCGCTACACTTTTCGGAATCCGAGTACCTGCTGTGGGAAGATGAATGGATCTCATGCGCAAAGAAGCTTCAGCAGTGGGAAATGCTTCTGGAGCTTGCAAAGCTGAATACCGATACGGACCTGATGTTCGAATGCGCGTGGCGGTTGTCGGATTGGTCGGTGGAGCGGGAGCAATATCAAATGGCGCTTTCGCAAGCAATGGAGCCCCCAAGTCCGCGAAAGAAGATATACGAGGCATTCTTGCTGATTCCAATGGTGGCGGAGGGCAAGGAGCGCATGGAGGAGTTCCACAGACATGTGGAGGAAGGCATCCATCTCGCACTTCGGCAATGGGTTCGATTGCCCGAAGCCGTGTCGGATTCACATATTCCCCTCCTCCACACTTTCCAGCAGCTTGTGGAGCTTCAGGAAGCCGCCACGATCCAAGTCAACCTCAGCCAAACCAACGCCTCGAACATCGACGCAAAGTTTATGGAAATCAAGAGCACGCTGCAAACGTGGCGCGAGCGGCTGCCGAATCTGTGGGATAACATCGACATCTGGAGCGATCTTGTTGCCTGGCGGCAGCACATCTTTTCCATGATCAACAAGGCCTACATGCCCTTGATCCCGCAGATGTCGCAAAACAGTGCAACCAGCACCAATGCCAATGCCTACCGTGGCTATCATGAAACGGCGTGGATCATCAATCGGTTTGCACATGTGGCCCGCAAGCACCAGCTCACCGACGTGTGCATCAACGCCTTGAACAAGATCTACACCCTTCCCAACATTGAAATACAAGAGGCCTTCTACAAGCTGCGAGAGCAAGCAAAGTGCTATTTCCTGAGTCCCTCAGACTATCCGACCGGGCTAGACGTCATCAACAACACCAACTTGATGTACTTTAGCAATCAACAAAAGACCGAGTTCTTTTCGCTCAAGGCCATATTCTCCTCCAAGCTGAAGCACCACGACGAAGCGGTCGCATCCTTTTCGCACTCTGTGACCATCGATTCCTCTCATGCCAAGTCCTGGGCTGCTTTTGGACAGTATCACGATCAGCTGTTTAAAGAGCATCCGGAAGATATCAAGCACGGCGAGAGTGCCATTGCTGCGTATCTACAGGCCGCCAGCACGTTCAACAGCTCGCGCTCCCGGAAGTATCTGGCGCGCATTTTGTGGCTCCTCAACCTCGACGATGCTCAGCAAACGCTCTCCAAGGCGTATGATAATTTCAAAGGCGATATCCCGCTATGGTACTGGATCACATTCATTCCGCAGCTATTGACATCGCTCTCCAACAAGGAGGCCGACCATGCCAAGCAAATTCTCCTCAAGATTGCAAAGTCATATCCTCAGGTGTGCATCCGAGAGATCGTCAATCATGGGAGCATATGTAGGACCCACGGATTAAGTGCACTGGTGCCAAGAATTTACTAATGGTCTCTGCGGCTGCGACGACAGGCCCTTCACTTCCAGCTGCGGACAACAAAAGAAGACTTCATGATCATCAAAAAGCAGTCGAGCGCGTCCGCCACTTCATCTTTGCCTGGTTCACGGCCTCCCGAGACTCCCGCTGCCATCGTGGATCCGACGGCCACACCCTCTTCGATCAATCCCGGCGAGGATTCAGGTGTCGCTGCTGCCACCAGCGCTACCACCACCGCTACTGCATCGTCTACACCGGGCCAAGCAACCTCGGTCCGGAAGCTTCAGCCATGGGAGCATGTTGAAGAGATCATGAACCTTCTCAAAACCACCTCGCCGCTCCTGGCCCTCTCTATGGAAACGATGGTGGACCAGATTCTTCAGCGACTGAAGCCCACTACAGACGAGGATATATATAGACTCATTGTCGCGTTGCTTACCGATGGAATTCAGGTAATGCAGCACCGTGATTGACAGCATATATATGTACGCTGGAAATGCGCTGGATACATCTCTCGTCGCCCAAAAGATTTGACACCACCGCCGAGGCCCGCAAATGGGTCCGCTAGGTTCTCAATGCTGAGTGTCTTCTTTGCTCCTATCGTCAACTTCACAGCAACTTGCGCGTGATCCGGCAGATACCGGGCCGCTTTCGGCCGCAACAGAAGTGAACCTGAATAGGTTTGCCGACTCAATGGTGCCCAACCATGTCAAAGTAAGTGATGATGCTTCGCCGTCACGTCAAGGAGGCGTCGTCTCCGTTGCCCTATTCGTACCATCCATGACACTCACGACACCCATACCGCCGCCGTCCGATGCTCGACAATCAACCACCAGTACAAGCCTGCATTCGAGCGCGACTTCATCAGCAGCAAACCCAATTTGTATACTCTTGTTGAGCGCTTCCGAGACTGGAGAGATCGGCTCGAGGTCTTGCTCGACTGTCGACCCGGAAAGCAGCACTTGGAGCATTTCAGCCATTATCTCGTGGAGTTTGAATACCAGAAGTTTGATGACATTGAAGTGCCCGGCCAGTACTTCCTGGTAAGCTCGATATCCGATATTGTATTCTACTGCCATCGCCCTTGCTGTCGCCCTCCAGACACCACGGGCACGGGCTCGAGTCCAGACGTACTCACCCCATGCTCCTCCGCTCTGGCTGCCATCCTGCGATGATCTGAAATCCACCCGCCCACTGACACAACATTAGCTACGAGACAACAACAAGGACTTTGTTCGGATCGACCGATTCCACCCCGAGGTCGATATCATTCGGCGACATGGCAATTGCCACCGGCGCCTCACGATCCGTGGCCATGACGGAAGCTATAATCCCTTCAGTGTCCAGCACCCCGCCCCTCGTCAATGCCGCCGAGAGGAGCGGATTGTCCAGCTATTCCGCATCCTGAACAGGTACCTGGGCGACTGATAACATAGATCGCGCTCGCAGTTGTCTGGTTGTAAATCATGACGCTCTGACAATCTCTCGCTTTCTCTCCCTTCACTAGCGTTGTTGAGAGAAAGCAGGAAACGCGCAAGCGCAATCTTCATTTTCATTTACCGCTCATTGTACCCCTGGCGCCCCAAGTTCGGCTTGTGCAAGACGATCCCAGCTATATATCGCTGTATGAGGTCTACGAACATCACTGTGCCAAGACAGGCACACACAAGGATGAACCTGTGAAGCTGTACATGGACCGCATGAGAAGCGCCTTGACAACGCCAGAATTTGCCAAACGCCCGGTCAGTACCATTCTCCTGATGAGCCACGCCACCATCAGAATCCCTCCTCCCCCCCCCATCATTGGGATTGGCCCTAACCGACTCTCTGGTCTGCAGAAATCGGAGATCCTAAGCCTCAAGATGGAGATTATGGAAGAAGTAGCACGGAAGCTCATCCCGGACACAATCTTGAGTCGGGTAAGCCGCCGACGCTGAATGAAAGCACGCCACGAAGCGCCGTATCCTTCCGATGGCCATGTTCGAATAGCATCGCGCGCCGGCTACTTCGGCTGACAACGTTCAGTGCATTAGTTTGCACATTGTCACTGCGGCCATCCAACCTAACATACCCACTCGATTCGCAGTTTATGATGAATACCATGAGCAGCTACTCGGAGCTCTGGGCATTCCGGAAAAAGTTCACTCAGCAGCTGGGAAGTGTTTCGCTGATGACTCATCTCCTCAACGTTACTCATCGAACTCCACAAAAGATGTATATCTCACTCAACTCCGGAAACATCCTCAGCACAGAGTTGATTTCGGGTAGGAATGCTGGGCATCGGTCGGTCGCTATATCGCACCAGCCAATCTCGCTACGAGTTCTACACCTAACACGTACTTCCACGTCAGGCATGTCAAATATCACCTTTTTGTACAGCAGCAACGAAACCGTGCCCTTCCGCTTGACACCAAATCTCGTCAAGTTTGTGACCCCCGTCGGGGTTGAAGGCATATTCACCAATTCGATGATGTCGATGGCGCGCTCCCTCATCGAGCCCGAGGTGCGAACTCATCCCAGCTTCTCTCAGTAGCAACGCAGTACGATGTAACCTATTAAAGCATCACTAACAATCCTTTGGATCTCCTGGCAGGTGGAGCTTGAGGACTACTTGGCCATATTTGTCCGTGACGAGCTAGTGACCTGGCACACTGCTTCTAAGAAGCCTCCGCCTCAGGAACATCACCTCCGCGATTTGGTATCCGTGAACATGGAGCTGATTGTCAAGAAAGCGCAGGCCATGTCTTGCAAAACGGAACGAGAGAAGGTTTGTGGTTTGTCCATGCGTACATGGCATGTAACGACCCGCTGGAGAGATTGGCAAATGAGATTGCTCTGACCCGCTTTTCTATGCCATCCTCTTCCCAGGGCATCGAATCGGGTGCGCCAGCCAACCAAACTGTGCTCGACTTGATTTCGGTCGCCGTTAATCCCATGAAGCTTGCTGGAATGGATGTGGGTTTCATGTCACAGCTCTGAGCCGGCTGTCAGCGTAGATCACCCCCCCCCATAACGAAACGGGATACCCCGTTTTGAATCCCACATGTCGCTTTTTCTGGGTCCTGAATACACACCCATCCTCCATGACCAAGCGGACGTGTCCAAGGAGATCGACATTGTAATTGCACTCGGGAATACCTCGTGGAAGCAAGGGAAGGGATGCCCATTGAGCCCTCAGCGACTCAGCTTTGCCCAGTAATTTGGACAATCCCACCACCACCAGAGGCGTCCAAGTCCACACGGAGGTCACGCAACCGTCTTTGCGGTTCCTAATGACAAGATAGTTGACTCAGAGCGATCGAGAGGATCGATCGCGTGCCCCGCACTCTCACATCGCGATATCAATACGTCGCGGAACATGATTGCAGTGCACCAGTCGATCACCACCAAAGGAGATCAACTCAATATATTCAGTATTTGCTTCCTAAATCCATAAGAACAGTTTGATTCTCAACCAAAACGAATAACGATCACATACTAAAACCATGCGGCCAACAGATCATCGGGTTTCAGGCCCGTGGTTGTTGCACAGAGAATAGTCACAGTCTGTGTCTTCCTGCGTCTGCGGCTGTAGATACATAATTGGATAGATACAAATTATTCACAATTGCTTGCAAAGTCATGCCGAATGGTAACTTTATACATTCGACCATGGCTTAAAGGCGGCGCCGCTTGGCACGCTGTGTTGTGGATGGCCACCCAGCGCAAGGAACTAGTTGCAATACTCGGGGACAACTGTACCCCAGGCGTGAACCGCAGAATACTCAACAGTGTCAACGCCGCTGACGCAATCAAAGTCGGAGGTGAGGAACCATATTTTATCTGAAAGAGACAAAAGTACGTCAGAACGCGGCGAAGCAATTCAAATCAGATGATAGCTGGCTGGGATGACAACGGTGGACTTACCAGAATCATATTCCAAACCAATACATTTAGGAAGGACATCTGTCACGTTGGCGTTCCAGGGAGGAATCGACTCAAGATTTGTGCCTTCAAGTTGAACAGGGCTGAAGGTGACAATGACAGGGGAGCCCAGGAAGAGAACGGGAGAGCCGCTACAGTGGGGACCAGGAACAGGGTCGCACTGCTGAGGAACCTCGCCGAATGCGATGCCCTGGCTCCAGTTGAAGACAGTAGAGGAGTCGCTATCGCACTGAACGTCCGTTTTGCTGAACCAAAGACGCTCTACGAGAAGTAAGGGAAATCAGTGAGTGGCAGAGAAGGAAGAGAGGGGACCGAGGGAGCGCCATACTTACTTCCGAAGCCATAGTCCAAGGCAACGCACTGTACGGTACTTTCATCGATAACCGTTTCTTCGTACCAATCAGAGTGAACAACTCGCGCCGTGATACCAGCAGTGAAATCGGTGCTATGGGGATGAACGAGATTAGGGACAAGAACAAGCAAATGAGGCGTCAAACGAATGAAATACTTACGAGGGAGTGCAGGAGGAGGTTGGAGAGGGACTCGGGATTGGACTGGTAGAAGTTGATGTAGACACACTCGAACCAGTTGTGGTGACAGGAGCAACGGTGGTAGTCGTGGTGACAGGAGCAACGGTGGTAGTCGTGGTGACAGGAGCAACGGTGGTAGTCGTGGTGACGGGAGGAACGGTGGTAGTCGTGGTAACGGGAGGAACGGTTGTAGTTGTGGTGATAGGAGGAACAGTGGTAGTCGTGGTGACAGGAGGAACGGTAGTTGTGGTGGTGACAGGAGCAACGGTTGTAGTCGTGGTGACAGGAGCAACGGTTGTAGTCGTGGTGGCAGGAGGAACAGTAGTAGTTGTGGTGACAGGAGGAACGGTTGTAGTCGTGGTGACAGGAGCAACGGTGGTAGTCGTGGTGACAGGAGGAACGGTTGTAGTCGTGGTGACAGGAGGAACGGTGGTAGTTGTGGTGACAGGAGGAGCGGTTGTAGTTGTGGTGACAGGAGGAGCGGTTGTAGTTGTGGTGACAGGAGGCAACGGTGGTAGTTGTGGTGACGGGAGGAACGGTGGTAGTTGTGGTGACGGGAGCAACGGTGGTAGTCGTGGTGATAGGAGGAACAGTGGTAGTCGTGGTGACAGGAGGAACGGTGGTAGTTGTGGTAACGGGAGCAACAGTGGTAGTCGTGGAGCTAGCCGGAGCAGTTGTGGTGACAGGAGCAACGGTTGTAGTCGTGGTGACAGGAGCAACGGTTGTAGTCGTGGTGACGGGAGGAACGGTGGTAGTTGTGGTGACGGGAGGAACGGTGGTAGTTGTGGTGACGGGAGCAACGGTGGTAGTCGTGGTGATAGGAGGAACAGTGGTAGTCGTGGTGACAGGAGGAACGGTGGTAGTTGTGGTAACGGGAGCAACAGTGGTAGTCGTGGAGCTAGCCGGAGCAGTCGTGGTGACAGGAGCAACGGTTTTAGTTGTGGTGACGGGAGGAACGGTTGTAGTCGTGGTAACGGGAGGAACGGTTGTAGTCGTGGTAACGGGAGGAACGGTGGTAGTCGTGGTAACGGGAGGAACGGTTGTAGTTGTGGTGATAGGAGGAACAGTGGTAGTCGTGGTGACAGGAGGAACGGTAGTTGTGGTGGTGACGGGAGCAACAGTGGTAGTCGTGGAGCTAGCCGGAGCAGTTGTGGTGACAGGAGCAACGGTTGTAGTCGTGGTGACAGGAGCAACGGTTGTAGTCGTGGTGACGGGAGGAACGGTGGTAGTTGTGGTGACGGGAGGAACGGTGGTAGTTGTGGTGACGGGAGCAACGGTGGTAGTCGTGGTGACAGGAGGAACGGTGGTAGTTGTGGAGCTAGCCGGAGCAGTTGTGGTGACAGGAGGAACGGTAGTAGTCGTGGTGACGGGAGGAACGGTAGTAGTTGTGGTGACGGGAGGAACGGTTGTAGTCGTGGTGACGGGAGGAACGGTAGTAGTCGTGGTGACAGGAGGAACGGTTGTAGTCGTGGTGACAGGAGGAACGGTGGTAGTTGTGGAGCTAGCCGGAGCAGTTGTGGTGACAGGAGCAACGGTTGTAGTCGTGGTGGCAGGAGGAACAGTAGTAGTTGTGGTGACAGGAGGAACGGTTGTAGTCGTGGTGACAGGAGCAACGGTGGTAGTCGTGGTGACAGGAGGAACGGTTGTAGTCGTGGTGACAGGAGGAACGGTGGTAGTTGTGGTGACAGGAGGAGCGGTTGTAGTTGTGGTGACAGGAGGAGCGGTTGTAGTTGTGGTGACAGGAGGAACGGTGGTAGTTGTGGTAACGGAAGGAACGGTGGTAGTTGTGGTAACGGAAGGAACGGTGGTAGTTGTGGTGACAGGAGGAACGGTTGTAGTCGTGGTGACGGGAGGAACGGTAGTAGTCGTGGTGACAGGAGGAACGGTTGTAGTCGTGGTGACAGGAGGAACGGTGGTAGTTGTGGAGCTAGCCGGAGCAGTTGTGGTGACAGGAGCAACGGTGGTAGTTGTGGTGACAGGAGGAACGGTGGTAGTCGTGGTGACAGGAGGAACGGTAGTCGTGGTGGTGACGGGAGGAACGGTGGTAGTTGTGGTGACGGGAGGAACGGTAGTCGTGGTGGTGACGGGAGGAACGGTAGTCGTGGTGGTAACGGAAGGAACGGTGGTAGTTGTGGTGACAGGAGGAACGGTTGTAGTCGTGGTGACGGGAGGAACGGTAGTAGTCGTGGTGACAGGAGGAACGGTAGTAGTCGTGGTGACGGGAGGAACGGTAGTCGTGGTGGAGCTAGCCGGAGCAGTTGTGGTGACAGGAGGAACGGTTGTAGTCGTGGTGACGGGAGGAACGGTTGTAGTCGTGGTGGCAGGAGGAACAGTAGTAGTTGTGGTGACAGGAGGAACGGTTGTAGTCGTGGTGACAGGAGCAACGGTGGTAGTCGTGGTGACAGGAGGAACGGTAGTTGTGGTGGTGACGGGAGGAGCGGTTGTAGTCGTGGTGACAGGAGGAACGGTAGTCGTGGTGACAGGAGGAACGGTAGTCGTGGTGGTGACGGGAGCAACGGTGGTAGTCGTGGTGACAGGAGGAACGGTGGTAGTTGTGGAGCTAGCCGGAGCAGTTGTGGTGACAGGAGGAACGGTAGTCGTGGTGGTGACGGGAGCGGTGGTAGTCGTGGTGGCAGGAGGAACAGTAGTAGTTGTGGTGACGGGAGGAACGGTGGTAGTTGTGGTGACGGGAGCAACGGTGGTAGTCGTGGTGACAGGAGGAACGGTGGTAGTTGTGGAGCTAGCCGGAGCAGTTGTGGTGACAGGAGGAACGGTAGTCGTGGTGGTGACGGGAGGAACGGTGGTAGTTGTGGTGACGGGAGGAACGGTAGTCGTGGTGGTGACGGGAAGAACGGTAGTCGTGGTGGTGCTAGCCGGAGCAGTTGTGGTGACAGGAGGAACGGTAGTAGTCGTGGTGACGGGAGGAACGGTAGTAGTCGTGGTGACGGGAGGAACGGTGGTAGTTGTGGTAACGGAAGGAACGGTTGTAGTTGTGGTGATAGGAGGAACAGTGGTAGTCGTGGTGACAGGAGGAACGGTAGTTGTGGTGGTGACGGGAGCAACAGTGGTAGTCGTGGAGCTAGCCGGAGCAGTTGTGGTGACAGGAGCAACGGTTGTAGTCGTGGTGACAGGAGCAACGGTTGTAGTCGTGGTGACGGGAGGAACGGTGGTAGTTGTGGAGCTAGCCGGAGCAGTTGTGGTGACAGGAGGAACGGTAGTAGTCGTGGTGACGGGAGGAACGGTAGTAGTCGTGGTGACGGGAGGAACGGTGGTAGTTGTGGTAACGGAAGGAACGGTGGTAGTCGTGGTGACGGGAGGAACGGTAGTCGTGGTGGTGACGGGAGGAACGGTGGTAGTTGTGGTAACGGAAGGAACGGTGGTAGTTGTGGTGACAGGAGGAACGGTTGTAGTCGTGGTGACGGGAGGAACGGTAGTAGTCGTGGTGACAGGAGGAACGGTTGTAGTCGTGGTGACAGGAGGAACGGTGGTAGTTGTGGAGCTAGCCGGAGCAGTTGTGGTGACAGGAGCAACGGTGGTAGTTGTGGTGACAGGAGGAACGGTGGTAGTCGTGGTGACAGGAGGAACGGTAGTCGTGGTGGTGACGGGAGGAACGGTGGTAGTTGTGGTGACGGGAGGAACGGTTGTAGTCGTGGTGACGGGAGGAACGGTAGTAGTCGTGGTGACAGGAGGAACGGTAGTAGTCGTGGTGACGGGAGGAACGGTAGTAGTCGTGGTGACAGGAGGAACGGTAGTAGTCGTGGTGACGGGAGGAACGGTAGTCGTGGTGGAGCTAGCCGGAGCAGTTGTGGTGACAGGAGGAACGGTTGTAGTCGTGGTGACGGGAGGAACGGTTGTAGTCGTGGTGGCAGGAGGAACAGTAGTAGTTGTGGTGACAGGAGGAACGGTTGTAGTCGTGGTGACAGGAGGAACGGTAGTTGTGGTGGTGACGGGAGGAGCGGTTGTAGTCGTGGTGACAGGAGGAACGGTAGTCGTGGTGACAGGAGGAACGGTAGTCGTGGTGGTGACGGGAGCAACGGTGGTAGTCGTGGTGACAGGAGGAACGGTGGTAGTTGTGGAGCTAGCCGGAGCAGTTGTGGTGACAGGAGGAACGGTAGTCGTGGTGGTGACGGGAGCGGTGGTAGTCGTGGTAACGGGAGCAACAGTGGTAGTGGTGGTGACGGGAGGAACGGTAGTTGTGGTGGTGACGGGAGGAGCGATTGTAGTCGTGGTGACGGGAGCAACGGTGGTAGTCGTGGTGACAGGAGCAACGGTGGTAGTTGTGGTGACGGGAGGAACGGTGGTAGTTGTGGTGACAGGAGTAACGGTGGTAGTCGTGGTGACGGGAGCAACGGTTGTAGTCGTGGTGGCAGGAGGAACAGCGGTAGTTGTGGTGACGGGAGGAACGGTTGTAGTTGTGGTGACAGGAGGAACGGTAGTTGTGGTGGTGACAGGAGGAACGGTGGTAGTTGTGGTAACGGGAGCAACGGTGGTAGTCGTGGTGACAGGAGGAACGGTGGTAGTTGTGGTAACGGAAGGAACGGTTGTAGTTGTGGTGACAGGAGTAACGGTGGTAGTCGTGGTGACGGGAGCAACGGTTGTAGTCGTGGTGGCAGGAGGAACAGTGGTAGTCGTGGTGACGGGAGGAACGGTTGTAGTCGTGGTGACAGGAGCAACGGTGGTAGTTGTGGTGACGGGAGCAACGGTGGTAGTCGTGGTGACAGGAGCAACGGTTGTAGTCGTGGTGGCAGGAGGAACAGTGGTAGTCGTGGTGACAGGAGGAACGGTTGTAGTCGTGGTTTTCACTGGAGCAGTTGTGGTGATAGATGTTGCGACAGTCGTGGTGATAGTGCTTGTCGTTGAACTCGAAACCTTCTTTGTTGGATTGAGATTCGTGTGCGTGTCCCAAATAGGCCTACATTTCATATCATAAATGACAAAGTTCCTATCCGGTTGTAGTGTGGCACAATAAGGTCCTGCCCCAAATCCTGATGTCTGCGTGTCCCATAGTATGTTACTTCCATTTGGCTGCTCTGACGTTCCGGATATCACTGCGAGATCGCCGTCAGCACCTAGCACCAGACTGTAGCTTCCGGATGGGTTATGCTGAGCCGTGTTGCTCAGCCATAGTACGTTGTTCGACTCATAAAGAACAAGGTTTCCATCGGATTGCATGACAAGGCGAATCGGGAGGCCATTGTCGCTATCGGATGCAATGAGAAGCTCGTTGTTACCGCTTGATACCAAGAAGCTATCTTGAACATCAGAAAAGATCGAGGGGCTCGCCTGGCACAAGTAGCAGGCAACTGTAGTGAAGCATTTGTTAGTCAACAGCCACAATGCCCTTCACAACCCAAATTACATTTGAGCTTTCAACATACCTGGAACGGGTGAAGCCGATGGGGAAGGTGAGGGAGATGGAGAGGGGGATGGAGATGGCGAAGGTGAGGGCGAAGGTGAGGGCGAAGGTGAGGGCGAAGGTGAGGGCGAAGGTGAGGGCGAAGGTGAGGGCGAAGGTGAGGGCGAAGGTGAGGGTGGTCCAACATCCCAGAGGGCGGCACAGTTGGCATCATAAATCGTAAAATGGCCGGTCGTTTGAAGCGTGGCACAGAGCGGACCCGTCGCCGTTGAGAAATCAAGGAGCCAGTTCGGAGTCTGTGTATCTTCATTCAAAACGATAAGCTGCGTGTTGGAAAGCAGCAATTCGTATTGTGATGCGGGATGCGAAGTTCCACTCGTTGATTGCCAGTACACGACTCCGTTGTCGGACAGAGAGAGGCTTCCATCGGCATTCATGCTCAGGGAATACGAGTTCGAAGATCCATCAGTGGTCGTCAGTGACTTGGGAGAGACAAGACTCTGTCCAGGTAGGAGTTTTGGGTTGACCGGGTTCTGGCAGATGTTACACACAGGCACAGGCACAGGCGACGGACTTGGGGAAGGGGATGGAGAAACCGTGCTGAAGCAGCCGCTGGCCACAATGCTTGGACTGGTTGTAGATCCGACCGTTTGAAACTCGCTAATCTGTCGAATGATTCCATTGGTGCAGGAAAAGTCGCTCAAGGAGAACCACAAAACGGCTCCTGTAGAATGTTTCGTGTTAGTTCGCGATCCATGAGTCGATGGGTACATAGTGAGCGGGAAGTGAGAACAGGTTACCTTGATAGTCGAGACCAATGCACTCGTTTCCCGACTGGGTTACAACAGCGGCCACGTCTGTGCCCCAAGGGACGTAGTTTGAAGTAGACGAGAGAGTATTGGGAACAAACAGAATGGCTGGATCTCCAACACGAGGCTGGCCAGCGCTGTATGAAAGGATAGGCTTAGCATGCCGTCGTGTCCTGCCTTTCGTGATTGGCCTTTCGATGAGATCAACTTACTTGGTACAAGTCCATGACGGCGCAGCAGTAATGGGAGCCGGAGCCGGGGAAGGAGACGGAGACGGTGACGGAGAGGGAGATGGAGATGGAGAGGGGGATGGAGATGGAGAGGGGGATGGAGATGGAGAGGGAGATGGAGAGGGCGATGGTGAGGGAGAAGGAGAGGGGGATGGTGAGGGTGAAGGTGAGGGAGATGGTGAGGGCGAGGGGGAAGGAGAGGGAGACGGGGAGGGAGAAGGTGAGGGCGAGGGGGAAGGGGAAGGAGAAGGCGAGGGAGAGGGGATGATCCTGGTCTTGAGGCAGGATGAGGGTACCGCGGTGCCGGCAGTATACCAGAAAGTGAGAGAAGGCGTGTCGACCAAAGACCACAACTGGTCCTGTTCACTACAATCAAAGTTGGTGCTTGCCGGGAACCAGGCGGTCGATGCATCTATATGCAAGATTTAGACGCTTATTATCCTGAACCGAATCTGCGCTCGATGTTGCTGGAGAGGGATGGATTATCGAGATGTAGCTCAGTATTCCTTACTGGGAATGTTGATATTGGTGGAATCGATGGCGATTGCGGTACAGAGGGGTGTCTGTCGGATGGAGCGATGCTCAAAGTTAATGAACCAGAAGATGCCTTGTGTTTCCAAAAGGCTCTGTGATCGACACCTCTCCGGTACCTGCTTTTGGAATCACCCAAAGGGGACCTACCTCGCTCAGGATGTGACCGTTCCACAGAACATTGCCGCTGGTATCAAAGAGCTCAAAGGGATCATAACTGTATCATTCGAGCGCATCAGTCAGGCTCCATTCCGTCTCGGCAAGTGCAAAAGAAAATGTCTGCGAACGATAAACTTACAGCTGCATAAAATCACAGAATTGGGCATTGACCATGGCCAGCACTGCCAGCAGCCATGGTGGCGGGAGAAACAATCGCTTAGCATACGCTCAAACAGATTCCCAAACATTCAAGCCGAGAGTGGTGGGTATGATTTCATTCGAGCTTACATTGAGCCACAAAAAACAAGAGGCCAAGGTTGGCCCCGCCGGCCTTTCGAGGATCAAAAGGCATGATGACTGATGAACAAACGATACCCCAGCCGAATCTCGGATGATACTAAGAATCGGTAGGCGAGCCAAGGGCAAGGGGTGAGGAGCAATCCGGGCCAGGCGAGCATGTAAATTTATATGAACATGGACGACAGCAGTATCAGGCATCCGTCGCAGCGCCAGAACGAGGCGGGCGGCCGATGTCTTTCTCAGCGCGCAAATGCCCCGCGCTTGCCCGCCCAGGGCCAAGGGCGGGCCACCGAGGCACGCGCCTTTCAACTGCAGCAACATCACCGAGATCTGGGCCGGCGGCTCGTGCAATGTGTCAGGCGCCAACGCAGAGTGGCGCGAACAAAGGCAAAGCCGCCGGGGCCAGAGAGAGTGCTGGTGTAATGGCGTGCGGCAGCAGCAGCTGCTGCAGCTGTTGCGAAAGGCACCTTGGCAGGCGCGCCGGCGGCTGATTGAGAGTAGCGGCAATCCGCGGACGAAGGATCGTCGTCGATGCTGTCCCCAAAATATGAAGTGAGGAGTGCGCCCGTTTGACTCAGTAGTGTCCGTGACATGAAATGAAATCCCGATGGTTACAGCGAACTCGGGACGCCTCAACGCACGGGTGTAGGTTGTGCGAATCAGACGACTTTGATCGGCACTCGAACCCATGTATTACGGTCAATCCAATAAAAAACGGGACACCCGTGATTTTGACCATTGACCAAAGATTTTGTTACCCAAGACCAATGCGCTGGCCATGACCATTCTGTATTTTGAATCAAGGACGCCACCCAGGCGACTCGATCTCCGGGCGTGCTCACAGTGCCGGGGAGCCAAGCGACTTGAGAAGGCAGAGTATCTTGATATCGACAAACCATGGAGCAATCCAGAGGGTCGAGTGAATGCATCGCACTCCCACATCGAGTGAATGCACCACACTCCCACATCGAGTGAATGCATCGCACTCCCACATCGAGTGAATGCACCACACTCCCACATCGATACAGGGGATCGACCAAGTGTATTCAAGACCATGCTTCCCAAACCAACGAAAACAAAGAGATTGCCAACCAGGACGGGAAACAATCGCATGGCTTGCCCACTGGAGCCTACGGACCAGCAGACTTGAGCTGCTGTTGCCAGAAAGTGACTGTTTGATGCACACACCGATACGCTCCAGCAACAGGATGATCCATAGCAACGCTCGCACAACCGAGAACATGGTCGCTGTGTGCGGGTCAATTGCTGCAATAGGGTTCGACAATGGAGTCGTGTGCACACTTTGGAGAAGACACGCTGACGGCAGTAGTGGCAGTGGATGATAAACCAATTGTTCTCCGATCGATGAGCCACTCAAATCGCGCAAAATATGCAACAATCGGCCGGTTTCTCATTTTGTGGTGTACAAGTCGTACGCCGACTGGCCATGAAAACTGACCGCCAACAAAGAACGTGCATGGAAAACGGTTGGTGTGGCAAGCTTTCTCAATGATCATCGGGAGTATGCAGGTTCCCGCTGGAGCCCGTCCGGGCTTTGCTCTTCCATACGCTTGCGGCCTTGAGCTGGACAAAGTACAGAGATGTGAGTATGCGCGCCCAACGAACAGGACAGGCCCCATCGTACTGCATGCAAGAGGGGGGTTTGAATCTAGCATACCACTGTAAACAAGGTGGCCACATTCTTGACGGCAGCATCATACTCCTCCTTGGTGATCTCCTCAACAAGACCGACACAGTTTTGTTCTTTAGACTTGATGGGCGACTTTCCATGATCGTTGACCCATATGTGAGTCTGGATAGGGCAAACGGGCCGGTCGAGAGTTTCAGAGTGTGGAGCACTATTCCCCGCTCATTCAAACACAACTAGTCGAGAGCGAGGTTAGCCTACCCTAATGTCGTCGAGGGAGGCTCGCCTCTGGGGATCCTTGTCCAATCTGAAGCAGAGTTTCAAGGACTCGGGTTAATCACTGCAGCCGAGACCAGTAGCCGTGGATGATCAAGACATTGGTCACGGCCTCAGATCAGCAACGAGTGTCATCGCCGAGCGGACGGCATCGAGCAGACGGCATCGAGCAGACGGCGTCGAGCAGATTCTTTGAACACAGCGCCGTGCGCGAAAAGGAAGAATCCAAGACATGGCCATCAACCTACATCTTCCGAAGCAAGTCAGCCAAGGCTGCATCAGCAGTATCGGGAATTGGGGGTCTTGGCGTCCATGGGAATAAACGTGAGTCATTATTACAGTCGAGCCCAGGCAATACCCCCATCCCAAAGGCAGATTGAACCAACCATGCCGATCGCATGGACAGCGCATTAGACCGGAGCATATTGAGTCGTTCGAACCAGCAATAGCAACGATGCGAATTCACACGCATGGCCTTCATGACGCATTTCGTCGCATTCTTGATCTCACGGAGCAGAGGCCACATCGGCGAAGCAGCTACGTACTCATCGTTCTTGATACTCTCGTATAGATCAATAATAGACTTTCCTCGGAACGGGAGGCGGCCAAAAACGAGGCAATACAACGTAACCTACGGAAAAAACGCGCGCCAGTATCCCAAAATTCATAGCCCGATTCAACACGAGCAGCATGACAGCCGATGCCGACATAGTGATGCGCGGGTAAATGCGAGCTGGACGAGAAAGGCAACGCCTGTGAGCGATTACCTACCCCCATTGCCCAGATATCGGCAGCCTTGGCCGAAAGCTCTCCGTGCTGGGCAACGCACATTTCGGGTGCAAAAAAGGCTGGGAAAGTTCAAGCAATCAACATCGGCACTCTGTCAGTATGGAGTCGCAAGCATGCATACTCGAGCTGAGTCAGCCAACTTGCCCACCCAAGCGCACATGCACGCACACGCACGCATATAATGCCCTCCCCCCCCCCATCACCACCGCACACACTTTCTGACGACAGGCCAGAATGCATCCAACCGCGCATAGTTGATCACCTGGCGAGCCCGCAGACTTTTTAAGCTTGTCGCTGGTTTTGGTGAAAATTTCCGACACTCCAAAGTCAACGATTTTGAGGGTGCCGTCGGCGGATACGAGAAGGTTGTCGGGCTGGATATAGGGGTAGGAGACACATGATGTGAGGCCAGACCAGCAACCAGGTACTCTACCAGGTCGGTGAAGCAACTTGCTCGCACAAGATCGACCTCGAAAGAGCCTTTCAAGGGAATTGCATGTCATCTTATATATCCCAATGGCGTGTTGCTCGATCTGCAGCCCATGCTACCGGCCGAAAAGATTTGGCACCAAACCGGAGACCTTGATATCTAGATGAACCAATAATAGCCACAATAAATCGATTGGACATTTGTGTCGTGCATCGACCAGTGCACCACAAACCTCCGGAGCAGAGCAGAATACTCACCACGATGGGCAATGTCATGTTCGTGCACTGATTCGGAAAGCACCCGCGGAGCACGATTAGATGGATGCCCAGCATTTGCTCGCCATGAGCATCCCGCGCGAATGTGCAGCATTCGGGCATCGAACAGCTGTTACGAAGCATATGGGTGCCGTGCTGACATAGCGGAAGGCATCCAGTCGCCTCTGGCGCAACATCATGACGACAGAGCAGCGAGGCAATTGCAGTCATTAGGAAAGCTTACAATATTCGATTCCGAGGAGCATGCCTTGGAAGTATCGGCGGGCTTCTGACTCGCTCAAAGGCTCGGAATCATTGTCTAGCCCAACATCCATCACAGCACCCTTGCTGCAGAGCTCGAAAACCATGTATAAAGAGTCCTAGGACAACAAATTGACAGTGTGTTAGAGAGGCGAAAGTCGGCAAGGTCGCCATATTTGGCGGAAAGTTGAGCCAATGCGATGAAGGCGGGAAGAAACGGTAAAGACACAAGGCGATGGTATGAAAAGGTGGGAGAAAGTAGAAGGGTAGAAGTGGGTGAAGGAGTGGAGACGGAGGGTGGTTATTCTGATTCCGAGAGCTACGTGACTTGGAAAGCGCAGACTGTCGCTCTGAATACAACAGAAACGCCGGCCACTATTCTGGCATCACTGTTCGTCCCCGCCGCGGATTGCTCAGCCACCGCAAACGAAGATATCGTGGAAGGGAGTAATCAAGAGGCCCCGGGATGAAGCACCAGGGAATCGTCAGGGAGTCGTCGCAAAATCTACATCAACGGAAAGGCGGATGGTGGCAAGCAAAGCACCGGCTGTACCTGCGTGGGGTCGTCCAGGACCTCGTACAGCTTGACGACATTTTGGTGGTTCAGCTTTTTGAGGATGGCGATTTCGCCACGAACCAGGTCGATGGGATTGTCGCTGGGCTTTGGCATGTCACTATGGGTGGTGCCTCCAGCAACAGCGCCGCCTCGGCCTCGGCCTCGGCCAAGTCTTCCACGGGCGCCGAACATGCCTCCTTGCTTCGACAGCTGGATTTTTCTGAGCTTGGATTTACTGAATTCCTTGATGGCGACGTAGTATTTGCTGTCGTTGTTGAAGCCTAGATGCACAGTGCCAAAGCTGCCCCGACCCAACACCTTCTGGATAGTGTATTGATTGAGTTGTCGCTGTCCATTGGCGAGCTCCGAGGTTTGGGCATCAAGGGTCTCTTTGACTTCTGCTGCATGGTCGCAGAGAGCATAGAGCAATAGAATGAGCGCCAGACCCGGCAGACAAGCCGAGCGGAAGCCAACGCCGAAACGGCAAGATGGAAGAGCAAGACCCGGATAGGCAGCACGTCACCTACACGATCCCACTTCAGCGTCGCAGCCCGCCAGCCGGGGGGGAGGGAAAACAGGGCCGAGAGTTGACCGAGACCGAATGTAATGAGGCCGTGCAGCCGACAAGAGAGGAACAACGTCCATCAGCAACAGCACAGCGGATGTCGTGGGGCTCGAGGGGGCTGCCAAAATCGAGTGCCAAATCAAGCGATGCGAGCGCCAATGAAGGCAGCAAAGGGCGACTTGGAACATTGCAATTCACCGCCTCAACAATCGCCAAATTACAGCAGGAGAGCTGGACCAGCAAAACGGAACGGCAGGACAAAGTGTCCGAAAGACCAGCAACAGGATCGATACCCACATGATCTTCGCGACATTGTGGGCGAGTGCTGCGAGGGGCCTTGGGGAGGGGGCGCGCAGATGGAGATGGGGATTCTGGATCCGAGCCGAGGAGATCAAGGGCAGACAGCTGGTCGCCAGTGGGTCGGCTGTCGATGTCGGTCCTGGCGCACGGGAAGCCTGGAGGGACGGAGAATCCCCAAAAGGCGGCTGGCTTCGAACCTCGCGTGGCGACCGGAAATGGAGCGAAAAAAAAGAGGGGGGCGGCGGGATGAGCATCGACATTGACGATGCTGCACCGATCTCTGGCAGGCAGGCAGGCAGGCAGGCAGACAGGCCGGTTGGCAGAGGCAATGCGAAGCAGCACCGGCAGAACAATGCAATGGCATTGGGAGGACGGGGTGACGCCGATGGTGATCAGAGGGGTGGCGATGCTGATACCGATGCCTGTGCTGATGCAGCAAAACGAGCCACACAGCTCTCCGCACATGAGCAAAGTCTCCAAACCAGAACCGGAGGATGTCAAAGATTGGCCCTCCGTTTCACCCACAAAGCCCGAACTGACACTCCGCCATCCGTCGATGAAGGAAGCGAGGGGTTCTCCGAGACATGCCCCAGGGCACATTCCAGATCGATTCGTGGACAAACTGAAATGTATATGAAGCCTTTCTGGCGAAAGTTGTGGCCCCCCCTCGGCAGCGGGGCCGTGTGGCTAACAGCTCGGAGGGAACGGACGCACACATTCGGGACTCGGTCACCCCCGTCAGCAAAGGTTCCAGAGATTACCCAAGAAGGGCAAGAGGGCACCCACCCTCTTGCAATCGTTTATGGAATTGGCTTCAGGCAGAGGAATCTAAGCCCGACCGGTGTACACGAAGATCTGGCACAAAAGTCACACAACTATGAGATGAACCGCTTATTTGCCTTCGAACATCTTCTTCAGAGCAGCGGTGCTGAGAGACTTGGGGCTGTGGGGAAGGAGAGATGGAGGATGGTCAGTCACGAAGGCATAGAAAAAGGTAGTCGGATGCGGCAATGCCTCCAGAGCCTTGGACAGACTGCTCACAAGATCAATGAGGAGACAGCAGCAGATTGGGCCAAAGACGACCAGGGTCGTCTTGCTTTTGGAAAAGTGAGGGGCGCCAAACAACACACGCAAGAGAAATCGCAAAGCTTACCGCTCAATGGGGAGGCCGAGAATACGGTCCCAGATCAAGCTGGACATGACACCGAGGGCGCGCGAGACACCAAAGAGGACAGTGTAGTACTCCTGCTCGACAAAGCCGTAGTGCTGAAGCAGGACACCGCTGTGAGCATCGACGTTGGGCCAGGGGTTCTTGGTCTTGCCGTGCTCAGTGAGGACCTTGGGAGCAATGTTGTAGATTTGGCTGACGACCTTGAACATGGGGTCGGTGGGGAGGTGCTTCAAGGCAAACTCGCGCTGGCAAGTGTAGCGGGGGTCGGTCTTGCGAAGGACGGCGTGGCCATAGCCGGGCACAACCTGGCCAGACTTGAGGGTCTTCCAGAGGAAGGCCTCAATCTCGGCATCGGTAGCATCGGGGCCAACCTGCTCACGGAGCTTGATGATCCATCGCAGGACCTCCTGGTTGGCAAGGCCGTGGAGAGGACCGGCAAGACCGTTGAGGCCAGCGGCAAAGGAAAGGTAGGGATCGGAGAGAGCCGAGCCAACCAAGTGGGTAGTGTGGGCACTGATGACGCCAAACCAAGGTGTCGTTAGCAATGTGCGATGGCACCGATATAAACAGCGCAAAGTGCGCCCTCGCTAAGCCCATGCATCCGCCCGCTCAGAGACGCAAAAGCAGAGCCCCACCTGACGTTTCCACCCTCGTGGTCAGAGTGGATGGTGAGGTACAGACGCAGGAGCTCGACAAAGTTGGGATCGGTGTAGCCGAGCAGGTGGGCAAAGTTGGCACCGTAATCGAGGTTGGGGTCGATGGCGGGAACCTTGCCATCCTTGAAGACGTTGCGGTAGATGCGGGCAGCAACGTTGGGAAGCTTGGCAATCAGGTCGTTGGCATCCTCAAAGGCGTAGTCCCAGTACTGGGACTTGGGAACGCCGTTCTGGTAGGCCTTGGCAAAGCTGCTCTCGTGCTGGAGAGCAGTGACAGCCAACGAGAACTGGGACATGGGGTGCAGGGTGTTGGGGCAGCGGTCAAGGATATCCTCGACATAGGAGGGGATGGCGGAGCGGGCGGCCCAGTCGGCAGAGAGGGCCTTGACCTGCTCGGCAGTGGGGACCTCGCCGGTGGTGAGGAGCCAGAAGAGACCCTCGGGAAGAGGCTCGCCTCCAGGCTGGGCAGCGGGGAGGAGCTGCTGGCATTCGGGGATGGTGTATCCACGGAAGCGGATGCCCTGTTGAAGAGACGATGAAGAGTCAGCAGAGAACGCAAATGGACGTGATAACCGTTGCAGACGAAGCGCTTGCTACTGGGGCTACTTGAGACGAGTGCCGCCGCGGAGGGGCCAGCAATCCAAATCGAGCGCCTCCGAATCCCTCTCGCGGCACTCACCTCCTCGGGGTCGAGAACGGAAGTCTCGGTGACAAGACCCTTGATTCCACGCATGCCGCCGTAAGCCTGTGATGCCGATTGAACAAATGGTCCAGAGAACAGAAAGGGTCATAAGTGTCAAGCTCGATCAAGTCCGCGGAGAGGCGAACGGCCAGGCCTTGTCGACAGCACATCAATCTACCCCCCCCCGCCACGCACAGCACATTACCATGTCAACGGTGGTTTCGCCAAGGACGCGGCTGCCATACTTGGCACGGAATTCCTTGACCTCGGCCTGCTTCTCGGGAATAATCTCGACCAAGCGCTCCTTCAGGGTCTGTAAAACGAGGGGGTGCGCCGATGAGGACGCAGGCACATTAGCAAGACAGCGGAGCGCCAGGAATTCAGCAATCGCAATAGCTGCAGCTACCGTGCCGATAATCACATTCGGACGCTGCGATGGCCCGCAATTGCTCCTCGACATGTCGATCGGCCTGTTGAGCTTACCTTGGGCTTGGCAGAGTAGAAGCGAGCGGCCGTAAAGGCAGCGGGTCTGCGCAGAGAGGCCTGGACAGAGAAGCGATTCTTTGTTAGCGCTGCGATGCCGAAGCCCGCCGGCATTGTCGCCAGCGCCGCTCGGTCCTGGGACAGAGTGTCGAGGCCAATCTCCCCTGCCCCAGCTCGACCGGGCGTTGGGCAGTAACCGCGGCTTGGAGATGACGGGCAAGGAACGGCCGGCAAGGACCAGCGCAAGATGACTCATGTACAAGCACATCCAGTACACATACAGCCACGAAGGATCTGGGGAGCGAAGCGAGAGAAGCCATTGGGTGTGGAGAGAGGGCCGTTGACGGGGGAGAGCAAGGATCTTGCAGGCGTGAAGCGAAAAAAAGCGAGATTTCTCTGCGCTTTTGTCGGCGGGTGCGGAATCTCGCTGATGTGGCGCAGCGGCTTATCGCCTGCCTGCGCGTGTATCGCCATCGCTTGGGGCTGGCGGCCTGGAAAAGTGGAAACGGATCCGTTGCACATGCAGACCAGCGGCCGCCTGGATACAAGCGTCGATGCGAGCGCCGATGCAAGCACCGATGCAAAGGCAAGCAGAGTGCGGGTCGGCCGAGAGACCAGCCCGCACGATCGGCGCAACGTCCGCGCGTGGCGATCCTTCCCAGCTCAGGGCGCAACCCACAGCAACCCCGAAGAGTAATCGACAGATAGCCAGTGTCGGAAGAGATAGCTCGGAGCGCACATACGATCGTTAGTCCTTTGCTATAGTCGCCGTGATTCGATATCGCATGGCATGTCGTCGTCGTCGTGTGGATCTTGCTTTCCACAGCAACAACGTGGCGATATCTGCAGGAATGGGTACATCCTTGTTTTCTTGAGGTAGGCCGGTGGCCGGCACTCAGAGCGACATGCAAAGTGTGGGAATTGGACCGAACATAGTCGCGCAGCGCATGAGAGCAGTTACGCAGGTGGATGCGAATACTACGGAAAGTCGCTTTGGTGGGCAGGTGTGCGAGAAGTTGGATGACACACCAGAGCTTCCTCACACAAACTCGACACCGTCGTCAGGATCGCCGGATAGGTCGTCGCTCTTGAAGATGGAAAGCTTCAAACGGAGGGTCTCGTTTAGGGTTTGTACATCCTCGATTTTAGATTTATAAGTTGCGAGATCGGCTTCCTTGGACTCGAGACGCTCTGTAAGCTTCTGCATCTCTCGTTGCTTTGACTTGAAAGCCTTTTTTGCATCCTCGAGCTCGGCCTAGTGTCGTCACAGCGGCCAGATCCAAGATCATTGAGCCAAGAAGAGCTTTGAATAAACTTTGGAAGCCGAGTGGCCGGACTAGTGGCGGGCTTCCCACCTCCCTTGCCACTGCCACTACTACTACCACTACCACTGCCACCACTGCCACTGCATACCTTGATCTTGGCATTCTCCGCAGATCGCATGCTCTCGTCTTTGCCGTCGCGGAGACCCAGATGACTCAAGAGGGTTGCCCCCTGTGTCCATTTCAAAAAGAATCAGTCGATTGTCCACAAGACCCTGCTCTCTGGTCTATTTGCAATCACCTTCTCGCTGCTACCTCATTCTTGACCCGGTTCAGTAGATTGCCGTACTCGGGCTCGCTCTGGAGCTTGCGATTGAGCCAGTCCTCGATGTATCCCAAATATCCTTTGATTCGCAGCAATAGCCTCTGGTTTTCATCAACTAGACTTCTCATCTCCTCATCGTAGAGGCCCGTAACATGGTTGATGACCTCGAGTTCGATACCTAGAATCAGGTCAGAGAGTCTGCAATCCAGTAGCATCAGCCCTGTGCCGCTCTGCGTGGCAACCTTCCTCATACTCTACAGGCTCTAACTCGATTCCAAACCACTGCATCATATGCAATGTTCAACAGCAGTATCCATTGTATGCCTGTCCTACTCCACTACTAGAGCATTATTTGAGCAGGCTCAAAGAATTGCAATTTACTTTTGGTTTTCTTTACGAATGCTGTTGAGTCTGTGCGTCAGGTTGCATATACGGAGAGCTTCACGATGGATGTGGTCCTTCCCGAGCTCACCCAGCAACTTCTGGACCTTGGACCGTAGATAAAGCTTCTCGTTCTCGATATTGCGAAACGAATTGATCATCATCGTATACTCTTGCTATTGGTTCCTTGGGTCGTATCCGGCGGATCCAGACAAGGCCCCGGACATCGAGCCCGCAAGATCGATAACCAGTGGAAATGATGCAGAAATCGACATGAGGAGACCGTGGTGTGCCAGAGGAAGCATTCCATATTTCATCCAGCAGTTGCGGTTGTGCAAAGGATGTTGATCAGAGCCGTGGATCACTCAAAGTCATTCAACGTCCAAAATCGGTGTCCTGGCAAACAATCTCGACCCAGAGCCACCAGATATCGCAGCTCGAACGGCATATCGCCACTTGGGCACTAGTAATATGACACAGACTACGGTCTTGGACAGCAGGCCGTGCTGCCTCGCCAGTCTCAGCAGCAACTAACTGATAGCAAAACGAACCTTTATCTCCGAGAGCAGACTCGAGAACCCGACAAAATGGTTAATGATTAGGTCGAAGCAATAGTTCATGATCTCGATCCGACTGGTTTCGGAGGTCTGTCCACGAAGAGCCTTTAGTTCCTGTGGGCACGGTAGCACTAGTAAATACACCGTGGATACGTGAACTCGGCCAGCTCGACAGCGGAGCACATGTGGACATGGAGTTGGGTAATGTAGGCGCCTGGTAGTCTGATAGTGAGTTCGGCTCAGTCTCAAGTCGGAGATTCCCAAGTCCTGGAGAGCCATTTGAGAACTACCGAGATGAGAGCAAGTGTATAGCCAAGCAGAGAGATGGAAAAATACATTTTTTACCAGGCCTTCCAGCTCTGGGAAGGCGAGGCGGCTGCATTGTGTGTCGGCGTCAAACTGTGGCAGGGACTTTAGAATAGTAAAGTGCTTGATGTTGAATTGATTCTGCAGAAAGTTGAACTCGGTTGTCACAGGAATGGCGGGCTTGGCCCATTCAAAGGATTTTGCTGGGCCGTGGGGAGATATCTCCTTGCCCATGAGAATCGGCAGAGACCCGAGACTGTCTGACATTTACGTAAACGAGCCACACGATGCGATGCCAGAGAGGTCTCCAAGGCAAGCCCTTCTACCGCACAAACCACAGGCGGCTTTGGCCAGCTTCCCGGCAGAGTGAAGAGCACATCTTTGTATCATATGCAGTGCCTGCGACGTCGGTCTGCGCCGTCAATCAGCTTGAGCTGAGGATCGCCACACCGGCCCTTCTGCGTCCGCGCCCATCCCCTTGCTACTGGCGGTGCTCCGACTCAAGTTGATGCTGTAGGAATGTTGCATTCGCCCAGTCCCTCGCTATGCGCAAACACAGCTGCCCTCCTCTTCCTTCTTTATCCCTCCGTCCCTCTCTTTCTCTTTCTTTCTCTCTCTCTCTCTCTGCTTCCGGAGCTGTGAAGTCCAAAGTCTGGCACTCCAAGCAATGCGGGGCGGTGCGCGTCGCCCGACCACGGCCTGTTGGCGGGCTGGCCGGATCCAGTGCACTCGAGTGCGGCTGCATCCGGCTGCGTCTTTTGCTCGGGGCCCCTCTTTTCTCGCGGCTCGCCGCCAGCCCTGGCCTTTCTTGCGCATCATCCTCTGCCAGCACATCGCATCCGCCCGACGCTTCTTCCCGCCCATCTTCGCCTCGCCTCTATCCGCGACCACCCGCCATGTCTACCGACTACTGCCCCGTCTACAGGTAGGGCACGTAGTCTGTCGCCACCGCCGATCCGTGCTGGCTCGCTCGCTTGTCCAGCCGCTCTGCTGCCGCGCTTATCCCCAACCAGCCCCAGCCTGCCCGACCCTGGCTGCTGCTGGCCCTCTCTCTCGCGACCACCGACACGCCAGCCATTGCTCCGACTCGTCACTGCATGCTCACTGCTTTCGTCACCCTCTGCGGCACCCCTACCGAGCAGCCCTTTCTTCGGCGCTATGGGATGCACCGCCGCCATCGTTTTCAGCTGTATGTACCGTTCCGTGGCCTCACGGCGTCGTCGTCGCCATGCATCTGACGAGACCTGCCAATCGGGGCGCGGCCCGAAATATCGCGTTAGAATCTCCAGAGGCAGCTTTCCCGTTTCCAAAAAGAAAAGAAAAGACAATGCTCTCTTTGACTTTGCTTACCCGTACCTTTCACCTTGCTCGCCTCCCGCCATTCTAGGCTTTGGCGCCTCGTACGGAACGGCCAAGTCCGGCGTTGCCATCTGCGCATCCGGTGTGATGAGACCTGATCTGATCATGAAGAACGTGATTCCCGCTGTCATGGTATGGCTCGGCTTTGGAAGCATTTGGTCTGGTTGTCGCGATTTTCGTCGCGTCAACTTCAGAGCGGGGTTGAGCCGCGAGGATTCCAGAGGTGTCCAAGTCGGTGCCAGCATGATTCCGCTAATCCCTCCTCCAAATACGCACGCCTCTTGCTCTATGTGTTTAGGCTGGTATCATTGGTATCTACGGGCTTGTTGTCTCTGTCCTGATCAGCGGTGGACGTAAGTGCTTTCATCTGCCCCTTTGCTGTTACGCCCGGGTCCAAACACCGGACCGAACGCAGTGCGCCGGCCCGTCGACGAGCGATCGATGTGGGAATAGCTGCCCGACTCGCGTGATCCTCGCCGAACCTGTTGCCCATGCATTGTGATCGCGTCGTGCTGGTCGCGCGGCCTCGTAGAATGCTTGTCGCTAATCCAGTTATGGGCGATCCCCTGTATTGGCCACGTCGGTTTGTGTCAGTCGCCCAGCAGATGACTCTGTTCGCCGGCTTCATTCAGCTGGGTGCTGGTCTGAGTGTCGGCCTTGGTGGCCTCGCTGCCGGATTCGCCGTCGGTGTCGTTGGCGATGCCGGTGTCCGTGGCTCCAGTCAGCAGCCACGTGTATTTGTTGGTGAGTTGCAGGCTGCCAAAGTCCGGTTTACTGGTTGCGAGTGCGGGCAACTCTGCCGCAGATCGAGACCAAGATCCACGCGCTCGTACTGATGTATGACATCCCCCAACCAGGAATGATTTTGATTCTCATTTTCGCCGAAGTATTGGTATGTGTGTTTGCCTCAGTAGCGGTGTGGGGTGGTGCCTAAATGGGCTTCTATACGCCTCTGGTGTGTGATTTGTCCACAGCCACTAACCTGGGCATTCGTTGGACAATTGTCGGTGGACACATGGTTCGCAGGGTCTCTATGGACTCATCGGTGAGTGACTTGCAAGGCCTGTGGAGATGGCGACTAAAACTGCTGCCCCGTCTGTCGCCATAGCCAAATTCGTGCAGCAGGCATTGTCGATGACATAGCATATCGAGTGGATATGTGCCATAATTGAGGGTCATCGCGCGCAGTAGTGCGCCGGGTAGCGCACGTTTTTGACCCCAGCCTCTCGTTTTCTCAGTTGCGCTGATCTTGAACACAAAGGCCTCGGCCGGAAGCTGCTAACAAACTCGTCTTCTCGCATCGTATCTCTCGCGCGTGGTGAGTCGTCGCTAAGAACTGATGGGGATTCCTGGTATCGCGTTGGCGAACGTGTCATGTTTCTAATGAGAGAAAGAGCGCATGCCAATCTAACACTGCATCGATATACATTGCTCTATTCAGCGACGATGCCGCTCGAGTATTTACCTTCATCCAAGGTCGGCCGCCTCTTGACGATGCGCCTGATCATAATGACAAAGCCGCTTAGCATCTTGCTTTGCGGAGCGTAGAGTTTCGGGGATGTGGGTCACAGCGGGGTCTGGCCTGTGACCGTTTGTGTGGCTTTTGGGTGGGTTTGGCAGATTCGCAATACATTTTAGCCTCTACGGTCATTTTGAAACAGGGCATGATATCCTGTTTGAGCCAAGTATGCGGCGTGGTATGGGTCCAGAGTACACCCTTCCGATCCCGCATTTCAACGAAGTATGCGAGGGCATGCCGTATGCAATAAAACAAATCACCACCGAGTGAAGACCTCCAGTCGCTCTCCGGTCTCCACAATCGACCTGCACTGCTCAAAGTACCGAGCAAACCGCTGCCACCTGGGACTGGATGGATGCATATCCCTTCCCTTGCTTCCCCGAGGCGTTTCCAAAGGCGATGACAGCCTCGGTCTCCTTGGACATACTGTTTGGCCATGATTGCAATGAGTGAGCGTGTATTCAGGTTCCAGAAAAACAACTGTCCTGGCTCAAAACGAGGTGTCCCGTTTCATTTTGCGAAGGTTGTAACTGTCAGCTCGCAGGCGGCTCAAGTCTTCGTCAGGCCCACCTCCTGTCGCCCTGAGTGACCACCGGGAATGAAGCTGGCAGGCCCTGTTCCCGCCACAGCACGGTGGGCGCGAGACCGCAAGGCAAGGCGAATGATTTTGGCGGGCATTTCCGCTGACTGCCTTTAGGTAGATATCCGCCGATCAAGACGGGCTGTTCCAGCAACCAAATCTTGAGCTGATCTTCAAGTGCTTTCGCACGGGCTTTACTCGCGCTACCGAGAAGTCACGTCTGTAAGAATGGAGATCATCCCGACCGAAGGACTCGTTGGCCTGCTTGGCAGCCACCGCGAAGCCGAAGGCGTTCCTCAGGATTGTCTCCCTGCCGTGCCCAAAGAACAGGAGTATGACATCGCAGAGCTCGACTACAGTTTTCTGCCCAAATGCAATAATGCCTTTAAGCTCAAACAGCTTCTGGCCGTGCTAAAGTATGTTAAAGCGAGGCGAGAAGCGGCGGGTGTCGTGCGGTCGGTATGGCGTCTACGATGTATGATGTGTGGTGCATGAAGGCCACAGCGAGAGAATGCCCAAGGCAACATTGATCTGCAGCGCCGGACAATGGGAAGCTGGATCGAGCACTTCATGCGGGGCGGAATTCTCCCTCGCAACAACCACGTCGTGTACTAACAGCCGACGCAGATCCGGCGTCCACGGCGTCTATCGCGACCTGGAAGATGCCTTCGAGAAACGGATCACCGAACTAGATCCGGGTTTTGCTCTGTAGGTGCTAGCATCTCAAAGTCTGGCACAGTCCCGACGTCGGTTCACCCGAAGCGACAGCCCGGAGCTAATAACCCTCATCATCACTTGCGCATAGCATGCGGCCATCCCTATCGAAAGTGTGCAGCCCCGAGGATATGAATGAATTCAGTGTAAGATTGATGACTACTAGCCATAATTATCGATCACAGGGATCACTTTGCCTCGATCGATTAATGCGCGAGTCGGCTTTGGGCTGACGAAACGCAGCCTGCTCTCTGTCTGTGCTCGCTTCCTGCGTCCTCGTTCCGAGCCCTTCGATTCGGCGCCCGACCCTCAATCCTGTGGCGTTGCGGATGGAGCCACGTCGCCAAGACAACAGAAACCAGCTGGCCGTTACAACCCAACTGGCTGACCATTGCACCCCAACTGATACTACTTTGCCCTGGCAATCAATCCAGAGCATGGTGCTGGACCTCAAGGCCAAGGATAAGGCGATAAGTTCGACCGCTCAAAACAAGCGAGCGGCTCGACCAAGATCACAAATAGGCCAACTGGATGTTTTACATGAAGCCGTTGGGGAATTGGATGCTCTGGCGGTCCAGGTCGTCGGTCGTCGCTCGGCCACGGTGGTTGCTCGTGCGGCTGAGCCTGCTGCTGGTACCTCGAGCTCGAAAGCTCCTCAGGCGACACCGATTGCGAGCCAAAAATCCGCTGTGCCCAAGGACCCGCGGTACTGGGATAAATACAATGTAGAAGAAGAGCTCAACAGGATCGATCAGGACTCAAGCAAGCCTATGGAGAAATCTGTAATCAACAAGCCCTCGGTCCAGCTCACCAACATAAACACAGCTGGCATGTCTGCGGAGGAGCGCATGCTCTTGTCTGAGATGGAGAAGAACAAGGGCAACGAAGTATTTAGGCTCGGGGAATACGAAGAGTCGGTAAGCGGATCGTCGCCGAGACTGAGAGCAAAGTCGAGGGCTTCGTGTATCGCAGACTTCCCAGCGGGACCGCTTGGCACGAAGTGGTAGCATATCACAAGGCGGGTCGACTAAATTGTGGGTGAGGGTGAGGACATTGACGCAATAAGTTCAAGATGCTTGAGGAACAATACTGTGTTCGTTCATGCATAGCCGGGCTGAGGGTTAGCCGATGTTATGTTTCTGGGGATCGGCTGCTATTGACCATCTTTGGTACCTTACTTCTGCGGCGGCGGCGACGGCAGATTGTGTTTTACTCGCGCAGTTTGGCCATTATGCCGAGGGCCAATGTCTTGACGAATCGATCCTTGGCATACATTAAAACAAAAGATTATGAGAGAGCTGAAAAGGATGCTTCGGGTAGGTCGTCTGTTTGCAGTATGATGGCGGCAGGAACCCTGGGCTTGCATGGGAGCCAATACCATGCGGACATAGCCAATAGCTATGATGTAGCCACAAGAGCATTGGCAGCCACTTGCTGGTATCCAGCACTAAAACAGGCTGGCAGGTGCTTCGCACTGCTGTAAGGATGGAGTAAAGAATAGATTTAGAGTTTGTCTGAGTGGTGTCGGGTTGAAATTAACTCAGAATCGATGGACTTGTTTACAGATGCCTTGGAATTCAACGATCCGAGCTCCAATCTGAAAGCCCATCTCCGGCGTGGACTGGCCCGCAGCAATCGCGGGAAATACAGAGACGCAATTGAAGACTTTCGGTGTGTCCTCGAGCTTGATCCTACGAGCAAAGAAGCCATGCAGGGAATCAAAAATGCTCAAAAACGAGCCGATGAGGCTCGGCCTACTGTGAGCACTGTGTCTGGATCCGGCAAGCGCATGGCCATTGTCGAGGTCGACGACGAGACCGAATCAGAAATACAAGTCTCGCCAGGCAAAATCATCGGAGTCAACGCTCATCAGAGCGAGGAAGAAGACAAAGCGACTAGCCCAGAGCAAGCTTTTCAACCCTTGATTATGGAAGTGGGGAGCAGCGACACACACGCCCCTGTCCGCTGCGAGGATACAGTAAATAGCAGGGCCAGCCAAGATCGGGCCCTATCCATCACTATCGAAGAGCTCGATTCGGACGAGGAGGACGACGACTTTTGGGATCGTACGGTGATCACACAGGAGCTCAACCAAGAGGCAGCTGTGGGCACACAAGGCCGGGCCGAGAGCAACGAATATCCATCACAGTGCAAGAGTGGCGAGCAACAAATTGAGGGTAATCAGGATGTCGATAAAGAAGCGACTGAAAGCGGCGTGGAAAATGAATCAGTCAGCATGAATCACAGCCCGCGTGCGAGTGCACCGAAAGCCGTGTCGGCAGCACTTGCACCCGATGTTCGTATCGGCGACCAAGTGGGAAAGGTAACTGAATTCATCGGTAGCATCGGTTGGACGGGCCGTGGGCTCGTTCCTCCCAATTCCGCTTGTGCTGTATGGATACAGAAAGTAGCAAATATTGTGCATCTGCCGGTACTGATCCGCTCAGTAAACAGGCCATTCCCAAGACATCCTTTGAATTCGACAGTTTCTGGAAGTCCAGCGAAAGCGTGTCAAGCCGGATCGAATACCTCAGGCGAATGCCGGCGCTGCTGCTTCCGAAACTCCTCGCGAACAGCACCTGCCAGAATGCCATCTCCGAGATCCTCCATGTCCTCGTGGCTATGACCAACGGTATGTCGGCACGGTAGTGGACATGTGGGCTGTGGCGAGCTATGCATACGCCCGGCAATCAACAGGCGAGATGGAGCCATGTCCCCAGGAGACTTACATGAAACAATCGCATTGGGTGCTGCAGATGATCCGGCGACCAGTCTCGACTTTTTCCGTGCTCTGCCCCAGACGCAACGATTCCGGATCACGCGATCGTTTTGGTCGCGCAAGGATATAGAAAGTGAGTACGAACAGATCGGCGATGGCGAGGGCAGGAGATGGAAGCTGGGGCCGGAACATGCCAGGTCGCTGTACCGTATGGCCAGCACAAGAGAGTCGAACCGACGCCACGACATCTAACCAATCATTGAATGGGACTGTGTCTGGAACAGACATTCGTGCCTTGCTGGAGTATGTACCGGCCCAGGACGAGCAAGCGAGCCTCTGCGAGGCATTCATAGCGAGCTCGAAATGAAATGGTTGCTCGTTTGCGAGCCCAGAGGGTGACTTTTTCGGGAGCCTTAATACGCCTCATCTGCTGCCCGTCATGACCAAACAGCGTGCGTGTCCAGGGAGACTGTCGTTTTTTTTTTTTTTTTTTTTTTTTTTTTTTTATTTCAATTGAAAGCTATCAAGGCCTGGTCGGCCCTAGCAGTATATCAGGGGAAAGGAAAGAAAAAAAAAAAGGATAGAAAATAAAGTTCTTATAGACCTAGTGAGCAGTCTTGAGAAATGAGAGCCATATGCCCTCATCTCTCGCTCTGCTTCGACCATGCCGCCTATCGCCTGGGGGGTTTCCACCCCGCCTTGGCGATGATCAGCGTCTTGAACACTCTTCGGAGTGTTCGCCACAGGAGATGGACATCCGGGTCTTGCCAGTTGAACCTTCTCATGCCATCCAGCTCGTAGTAACCCACTACGTTCGTCAGGTCCAGGAGCTTATCGATCGGACCGACCTTTTCGTGGCCGCTTTCTTGCCACTCGGGGTGCCGCAGCTTGAGCTCGTCCACTATCCGTTGCCACGAGCCGCCTCTTCCGACGCAGCTCTGGGTGTGGGTCCGGCACATCGCGACGAACTCTCCTCGGCTCTTCGTGCAGGAGATGCACAGCCGATAGTGGCCATACGGGTGTCCGGGGAAGGCACCGAGGGTCCATCTTACCATCATGTTGTGATAGTATCGATCTCTCCTGGGCCCTCGCTCGGCCCACAGTCCCGACATGGTCGTCGTCACGGTGCGGGCCGAGGTCAGTTCCTTTGACCTGTCGAAGCCTTGCGCGTCCTCGATGTGAATCTGCAGCTTGACTGGTGGCCCTGGGAGCTGGTAGTAGCCATTCCTGAACAGCTCCTTCATCGGGTAGTCCGGCTGGCACTGCTCTTTCAGCACGATCAGCTGTCGCCAGTACTCGTCGAGGTAGAACTGGGAGCCGAGGGATGCATCCATCAGGCTGGGCTGGATGCGGGAATATCTCAACACCATCGAGACCATCTTGTCGTTGTGGTCCAGACGGTCTTCCCAGACGGCTCGGTTCTGGAGGGCCAGCTGCTTGAGGCGGTTGGGCAGGGTGATGAGTCCGCATCCGAGGTGCATCGCTCCGTAGGACGTGTTCCGCACCACTCTGAAGAGTCGGGTCAGACAGTGCATCTGTGCTCGTCTGAGTATCACGGCTTGCTGCTTCGTGAGCACTTCGAGGGTCAGTCCATACTCGAGCATGGGCCGAACGAAGGTCTTGAACACCCTCGTCACTGTCTTGGCCGAGTATCGGCCCAGACTCATTCCGTGCTTCACCAGCTTGTCGGCGGCACCTCTAGCCTTGTGGGTGAGGTTCTGGATCTGGCGGTCCATCCTGAAGCCGTTGATGTCGACGATGGCTCCGAGGTACCGGAACTCCTTGGCGACTGGCAGCTCCTTGCCGTACAGGTACACCTTGGCATCCTTCTCTGGGTGCTGTTCGGTGAACATCACCTCGCACTTTGGGGGCGAGAACTGGTATCGATTCTCGATGCTGTGGGCCTCGCAGATGTCGAGGAGGCGCTGGGTCTGGTTGGGGCGGCAGATGAGCACCCCATCGTCGGCAAACCACAGTGAGTTGACCTGGACGGCTCGTCCTCGGGTGGTGGTTAGGGTTGTTCCACCGTCTGCCCGGAGTTTCCCAGGGAGGTCGTCGATGAACACGCTGAACATCAGCGGGCTCAGGACCGATCCTTGGATCAGTCCCTTCTGCAGCCAGACCGGATTGGACCGACGGCTCTTGCTAACGACTTGAATCTTCACATCGTCGAACATGGCCTTCAAGAGCCTGAGGGTGATCGTACATGGGGTGCGCTCTTCAATCTTGTCCCAGAGCTTCTCCCTCCAGACAGTGTCGTAGGCCGCCTTGATGTCGAGGAACACCAGGGAGTACTCCTCGCCCGCCAGCTGGCGGTCCTTGATGAGCGTGTCCAGGCCAAAGATCTGGTCGAGGGTGCCTCGCTCGGCCCGGAATCCACCTTGGGCAATGTCCATCAGTCCGAGCTTTCGGTTGAGCAACGGCAGCAGTGCTCGCTCGACAACCTTTCGGCAGACCTGGGTCAGTCCAATCGGCCTGTACATTGCGGGGTCGAGGGGCGATCCCTTGTTCTTGTAGACGGGATGGATCAGCACTGTACTCCACTCAGTTGGGACCACGGACGCCTTGATGGCTGCTCCCATGAGGAAGTAGAGCCATATCGAGACTCTATGTGCGTTGGGCTGGAGCAGTTCGATCTTGATCCTGTCCGACCCTGGGGCCTTCCTTCGTGGTGTTGTAATGATCGCCTCCTTGATTGCCCGTGGGCTGATTATGGGGAGCTCGTAGCTGGGGGGGAGTCGTCTACGCTCTTGGCTCGGTGTAGGGGGCTCGAGTGTTCGATCGAACCCGTTCGCCGTGGCCGTTGAGTCCGCCGAGACTCTGCCGAAGTGGCAGACGAGTCTCTCCAGCGCTTCGTCAGAGTTGTCGAATCGGTGGGCACCTTCCCGGGCCTTTCGCTTCTGCATGGCCCCGAGCGTCTTGGAAAGCTCAGTGCTGTTCATGCGGTTGATTTTCTCGGCCAGTTTCTCGTTGCTCGCTTTTCGGCACTTTCGGATGGCCCGGTTGAGGTTTCGTCTGACCACCCTGATTTTGTCTCGAAGGTTCTCCTTCATGACAGGGTCCGTGTGGTGCCTCTTGAGCTGCTTCTGGAGCTTCTTCCTCTCCTTGGTCAGATGACGGATCTCGACGGTGAGCTCCGGGGTCTTCCAGATCAATTTGACCTGTGTTTTGCCCAGGACGCTATCTGCCACCGTGTTGATTGCATTCTTGATGACTTCCCATGCTTGGTCCATGGCCAGCTGTGCGTCTGCCTGGCTGATGGGTATCTCAGTGCCGTCGTGGATGGGCTGGAGGAGCCTCTCTATCTCGTTTAAGACTAGGCCGCTGACTCGCTCAATGGCGCACTTGTACGTTTCCCAGACCTCCGGGTTCTCGAGGAGTCTGAGGTTCCACTGCCAGTTGTCGGCTTTTGGGTACACACTCCTCGTGAGTTTCACAGTGGTCCAGATCAGGCGGTGGTCGGATATGAGGTATTGTCCCTCCATGTCCACCTTGAGGAGCGGGTCGTTGTTGGCTTCCGCTTCCGACACAAAGATATAGTCGATGGTCGATCTTCGGTTACCCCGGATCCGAGTTGGGGTCGGGATCGCTGCCGGTGGGATGATTTTCATCCTGGCTCTCCGCAGGGTGGTCGTGAGGGCGGTCTCCTTGGCTCTGTTTATCACCCTTCCGCCGTTGAGGTCGCTCAGCGACAGGTTGAAGTCTCCCATCACGATGACTTGGGCATTGGGCATCCGCGCATACTTTTCAATCGACTGTACCGCTTGCGCAAACTCTTCGGTCTTCACCGGGTGGGGGATATAAAAGTTTCCGATGTATGTTCTGGTGCCGTACCTGGTCCACGTGTACAGCTTTCCCTCGTCGGTCTCTTCGATGTTCAGGTCGTCGGGATCGATTGTCTCGGGGTTGAACACCAGCGCCAGTCCACCGCCCAGGCTGTCTGTTCGACGGGCCTCATGGGCTGTGACCTTGGCCAAGGGGTTCCGCGCTTCCGGTGCCAGTTTCGTTTCCTGAATTGCGATGAAGTCTACTCCTTCGTTCTTCAGGATCTCTCGGATGGTAGGGAGACTGTCGTTGTGGTTGCCTTTGGGAGTGCGTCATGGTGGCAAGGGAACGGATGCTCATCGAGCTCGCGTGGACCCAGGCTTTCCAATGTCCGCGAGCAGCTTCCACACGCAAGCGACTTGCTCGACCCGACTCTCCCGATGTCTTGTTCTGAACCAGCCCGAGTGCCTGGTGGGTGGTGATCTTCATGTCCAGACCCACAAGCCAGCCCAGAAGCATTGTCTGCGGGCCCCTCGCCCCAGACGGCGCAGTGGCACCACGCGCCTCGGCGCCGCGGGCGCACGTCATACAGACGCGGCCCGTGTGTCGCCCTCGGCCGACGTGTGCGCGTGTGCCTTCCAAATCCGGCGCACCCCAAACAGGCTGTGGCCCTGCCTTCCCAGGCCCGAGGCCTCCCGCACCTTCGCTTTTTTTCCCTCTGCACCGACCTCAGAGGATAGCGCCCACTCCTCCTCAAACCCACATCGTCCGCTCCCCCCTCCCTGCAGCCCGCGCAACTCCACCCCTCCCCGACCTCAAAATGGATTCTGCCGGAAACAACATCCGCGTCGTCTGTCGCTTCAGACCCCAGAACAGCCGTGAAATCAAGGAGGGAGGTGTCCACATCGTCTCCTTCTCGGAGGACATGACCACGGTCAATGTCGAGGTAAGCCGTCGCCGCCACCGACTCCCTATCCTCGGCTGTCGCCAGCTGCCACCGACTATTGCGACGCTCTCAGAGCAGATCGAGTCCGTGGGTGCTTGTTCGTCCTCGTTCTCCTCCCGATTGACCGGGGGGGGGCAAAGCGAAAAAGTCCCCTGACGCAGCCGGCGGCACTCGCCCTCCAGTCCACGAGCAGTTTCCGGGCTGGCCCCTCAGGCTCTTGTGGAGGAGGAGGAGGGGGGGCTTGTGCAGACAGATGGAATGCCGATCGCATACTGACGCTCGGTCCTTGGCTGCTTCCTGCCACATCCTCTCACTCAGAGCAAAGAATACCCCGGCACATATGCGTTTGACCGAATCTTTGACTGGGATACCAACCAAGCGCAAGTGTTTGAGTATGCCGCCTCGGCTGTCGTCGAAGGTGACTTGTCTGCGCCATCCTCTGGCGTGCCTGCGCTTTATCGAGGCCACGAACCGTCCCTCGCTCGTCTGGCAGGCTTCTGACAGCGATCCGTTGACTCCCCCACCCATCGACTCTATCCATCCAGATGTTATGAAGGGATACAACGGAACCATCTTTGCCTATGGCCAGACCGGTAGTGGCAAGACACACACGATGATGGTAGGCATGTGCGCTGCGCGCTAACATCCCACCAGTCGCTCTCGTGCGATCCAACCCACGATCTTGCGGGCTCGCCCACACCTTCCCCATCCGCAATGTCCGATACACATGCCCTTGCCTTGGCTGTTCGTGGCCTGACCACGCCACCCCGGTGGCTTACCATGCCGATCCATCGATCCTTCCACCCAGGGCAACATGGAAGACGAGGAATACAAGGGTCTCACCCCTCGTCTGGTCGAGAGCATCTTTGCCACCATCTACAACGCCCCGTCGAACCTCGAATTCACTGTCAAGGTCTCCTACATGGAAATCTACAACGAAAAAGTCCGCGATTTGCTGAATCGTACGTGTCTCTCTATCGACGGGTGCAGCCACGCGGCTGGCGGCACTCTCGCTGCCGTGCCTTCTGCTATCGGACCCTGCGTTGTCTGCAGCTGCGACTGTAGCTGCTTGGGCTTCGGACAGCCACGCTAGCATCCTGGCTTACCTGCCCTCCACAATTCTTCTGCCAGCCCAAAACGATAACCTCCCGATCCACGAGGAAAAGTCTCGGGGTGTCTATGTCAAGGGCCTGCTCGAGAGCTTTGTTGGCTCTGTTGCCGAAGTGTACGAGGCCATGAGACGCGGCCAGGCGGCCCGTGTCGTTGGCTACACCAGTAAGCATCCACCATCGCGCAGCCGACATTTGACCTCGTGCACTGTGCCCTCACACGACTCGATATCGCCGGCGCCACTGCCGGTGTACCCTTTTGGATACACCTGCAATCCCCAACTAACTCGGCGTTAATGCGACGGTGCTTCCGGTGAACAGACATGAACGCCGAGAGTTCCCGCAGTCACTCCATCTTTGTGATCCAGGTTGGACTCAAGAACCTCACTGACGGCAGCCAGCGCACCGGCAAGCTCTACCTTGTCGATCTGGCTGGCTCCGAAAAGGTCGGCAAGACCGGCGCCACTGGCCAGACCCTCGAGGAAGCCAAGAAGATCAACAAGTCTCTTTCGGCCCTTGGCATGGTCATCAACGCCCTCACGGACGGAAAGGTGTGTTTGAAGCGCCAGACTCAAGGCCATTGGCGTGGCCCGCAGCCTAGGCTTGCTCGTTGTTAGCAAGCTTTTGCAACCAGCATCTGGCCATTGCTGTGATCTGTCGTGACGGAGGCGCATCCACAATGCTAAGCCCAACTTGGACTCCCCCACAGTCTTCCCATATTCCCTACCGTGATTCCAAGCTGACTCGTATCCTCCAAGAGTCGCTCGGTGGTAACTCCCGTACCACCCTCATCATCAACTGCTCGCCGTCGTCCTTCAACGAGGCCGAAACGGTCTCGACCCTGCGGTTCGGTATGCGGTAGGTATCATGGTTGCGTCGCTCGGGTATTTTTGTTGGTCGCTCGCAGCTTACAGTGCTCTCTCGCATCGCCCGACAGCGCCAAGACCATCAAGAACAAGGCCAAGGTCAACGCTGAGCTGTCGACGGTCGAGCTCAAGACACTGCTCAAGAAGGCCAAGGCCGACTTTACTCAGTTGCACAGCTACGCAGGCTCGCTCGAGGGCGAGATCAGTCTCTGGCGCTCTGGTACGTCTCCCCCGGATCTGTTGTTGTATGATTGACTGACGCTCCGCCTCCCGCGTATGCCCGTGAGCGGACAGTATCTCACGCGAACCGCCCATTGCTCTCGCCCAGGCGTCGAGGTGCCCCAAGAGCAGTGGGTGCCCCTCAAGGGTATCAATGGAGACGAAGTCCCTCCCGTCGCGGCCCCCACTCCCTCGGTTACCCCTGCTCAGGCCGCCAACTTGGCCGATATCGCTGCCCGTGCCGCCACGCCTGCTCCCGTTGGCGTAACGGACGACGAGCGCGAGGATTTCCTTCGCCGCGAGAACGAGCTCTCTGACCAGATTGCCGATAAGGAGGCCGAGCTCAAGACCAACCGAGATCTGCTCGAGAGCTTGAACGAGGAGCTCGCCTTCCTCAAGACCAAGGACACTGAGCTTACCACCGAGAACAAGAAACTCGTCACCAGCGTCAACGAGGTCACCCTCCAGCTCGAAAAGGTCACCTACGAGAACAAGGAGAACAGCATCACCGTCGACTCGCTCCGCGAGGCCAACCAGGAGCTGAACAAGGAGATCGAGGGCCTCAAGAAGCAAGTCATCGAGGCGCAGGCCTCCAAGCCCGTCGTTGTCGTCAACGAGGAGGACAAGGAGAAGAAGAAGCAGGAGAAGATGGAGCAGATGATGGCCGAGTTTGATCCCTCTGGCTTCATGTCCGACAAGGAGAAGCAGATCCGCGACACCCTTTCCAAGCTGGCCTACATGAAGGAGAACTCGTCTCCTCCCACCGACCCCGCCGAGATTGAGTCGCAGCACCGCGAGCTGCTCGAGGCAAAGACCCAGGTTGCCCAGCAGACCCAGATCATTGACGAGCTGACGACCAAGGCCAAGGCCGCCACAGACGATGTGACTCTGCTCACCCAGCGCAAGCAGGAGCTCGAGCAGAAGCTCGCCAATCTCGAGGCCGAATACGAGGAGCTCCTCGACAAGACCATCCAGGAAGAGGAGCAGAATGCCAGCGTTGACATTGCTGCCGTCATCCAGGACCTCAAGAGCAAGCTCGAGACCCAATATGCCAACAAGCGCGAGCTGCAGGAAGGTGAAATCGAGGACCTCAAGAACTCGCTTGTCAAGAAGGACCAGGAGCTCCAGAAGTCTCAAGCTGCCCTTGCCGAGCAGGTCAAGGCCAACGGCGAGCTGAAGACGGCCGCAGAGGCCCTTCGCCGCAATGCGTCTCCGTCGCTGCCCGACAACGTCAAGAACGAGGAGATCGAGAAGATGAGACGCGTCATGGCCCAGCAGCTGGCCGAGTTCGATGCCATGAAGAAGAAGCTCATGCGCGATCTGCAGAACCGTTGCGAGCGCGTTGTCGAGCTCGAAGTGTCGCTTGACGAGACTCGCGAGCAGTACAACAGTATCCTCCGCAACAGCAACTCGCGCGCCCAGCAGCAGAAAATGGTCTTCCTGGAGCGTAACCTCGAGCAGCTTACTAACGTTCAGAAGCAGCTGGTCGAGCAGAACGCCACTCTCAAGAAGGAGCTTGCTGTCGCCGAGCGCAAGCTGGTTGCCCGCAACGAGCGCATCCAGAACCTCGAGACCTTGTTGCAGGATGCCCAGACCAAGCTGGAGCTGCAAAACCAAAAGTTCGAGGCGCAGCTGACAGCGATGCGCGAGAAGCTCCAGGAAGCCCGCTGTGAGTTGCTAGTCCATCTCTGTGGGAGGAAGGAAGGGAGGGGGAGGCTGATTGCATCGCACTCCTGATGTCGCCATGAATGCGACAGTTGCCTTTCAAAGAAGCGATAGACTGACCCTGCGAATGACCCATGCCGATTTCAGTCAAATATCCGGACGCCGGCTCCAACAGCTGGCTGTACTCTAGCAGAATCGCCAAGCCCCTCCGCGGTGGCGGCGTTGCCCCCGTTGCCGGCGAGTTGGATGAACCGTAAGTATTTGCTTTGGGCCGGGTGTGTGTACAACGCCCAGGCTGGCTTTATTGTCTGCACACTCCCAGATTTATACAGAACGGTCTTGCTCACCAAAACTGCACATTGTGTTCACGGAACCCTCCATGCAATCCCTGTCGATCTTAGCATCGACTTTGATGGCAACAACGCCAACGGAAAGCGCGCCTCATGGTACATCAGCCTGCTCAAGCGATAAGCTGCCACAGAAGCAGCCGCTATCCGAGAGAGATGTCCGCCACCGTTCCGGCCGGTTAAAAAAACGTCAAGCGCCGCTGATGGGAGATCCGCACGCATGCACACTGTCAATGCCTTAGAAAAGTAGAACGCCAGCCAAGTCTCTTCCTCCCGAATGAAAGAGCACCGCCACGAGTTTGTTTGGCCCAGTCCCGGATGGATTTCAGTAGCAGTCACCGTCCCCATTTCTTTTATCCACATATGTGTTCTCGATTCTCGCCTTTCTTGCTCCTTGTACTTTATCCTCCTTTTTCTGCCTTTTCTTTCTTTCTCTTGTCTCCTTCGACATCCGTCTCTCGTGTTTGCTGCTTGCCTTGTTCGATTTGTGTGCTGTCGTCGAAGTGTTGCTGGATTTCGTCATGGACATATGCTTTGATTGCTTTCGCCGATTCTTCTCCCTTTCCGATGTACCTAGTTTCAGTGTATCGTTTTGCTGCTGCATCCATCCATCATCCCCGTCTGGCCGAGCTCCAAATAACCTGAATACAACTTTATTCAGACACACCCGAGGAGCCTGCTGCTCGCTGGGCTGGACGATCGGATGCAGAGTGTCGGTCAGCTGGGTTGGACAGTCCGGTGGGCGAGGCGAATGGATCGATCGTGATGTGTGGAGCTCTGTCTGGAGTTGGCAATGGTCCGGAGCTGTCTGGGTCTGCGTCTGCATCCGAGTGTCATGGCGGCGACGAACCAGATGCGGCGGCTCGGCCTGAACATGATCGCAATCCGAATATCACACAGCACGATGGGCTCGCGGGGAGGTCATTCGGCCACACCATCCATCCGTCCATCGCCAAAACACCACAAACACCACAAACACCACAAACACCCACGACACCATTCCCATCGGCGATGCGAGCCACCCACAGTCCATCCGCTTTCTTGGCCATTCTTCGATCCACCAACATGCAGCATCCACTGCTCTCATCCACACACATCCAACCCTCTTCGTATCCCATCCAGCCCTCTCTTCATATCCATCCCGCCCTCTCTCACTCACACATCCATCCAACCATCAAGCACCACCCGCTGTTTCGTTTTAATCGTTTGCTTTTGGGGAGGGGTTCGGCGTCACTTGGCGGCAGTGTGGGGCCGAGGACACCGGTGCCGCCGACCAGTGCAAGCACATCGTCGGCAGGAGGACACAAAAATAAGTTTGACAGACAGTTATACTATGTATAACGTTTCAGCTGTCACACTGAAAAGAACAGATACTACACTTGATCTTAGCCAAATGGCCTGAGAGGATTGTATTCGAAAGAGGGATCGCCGGCACCGGGGTATTTATGCGTCGCCCACGGCCCACACACACACGCCGGCGCCGCTCTCGGCGGCTCTCGTGCGGCTCTCGTGCGGCTCTCGGCGGGTCTCGTCTCGCCAACAGCGGGCTCCGCCACACCGATCACGGCGTGGCTTGGCCACTCCAATCGCGGCGTGGCTTGGCCTCCGATCCGGGTCCAGCCGGGTCCAGCCGCACTCGAGCCGGAGATCACGTGTGAGTTGTGCCCAAGCGCCGAATCCACTCCAAAAAATTCTTTGCGAGAACGAAAAAACGCGCTCTCGGAGCCACCTCGGTCGGCGAGAAGAGCAGTCTCTGGCGAGAGACCCCCGAGGGAAGGCGAGAAGCCTCTCGCCGTCACACGCACACATCCGCACACACACACACACACACACACACACACACACACACACACACACACACACACACACACTTTGCACAAGGGAGTCAAACACCTCCCATCAAGCATCCCAAGAGGGATGGCAACCCCAAAGTGGACTGCCCAGAATATGGGCGACCCGGCACCCACTGTCGAAATACTCAAGGAACAGTGCAAATCCTCAAAGTCTCCCCTGTCCCCAGAGTAAAAACGACATTGTTGCAGCCATAAAGCAGGCCCTCGAGGCCACCGGTGCTGGAAACCAAGACCCTCCAACCGAGGACGATGCACTCGATCCTGGCACAAGCAGAAGTCCGGCCGAACGGGAGCGCAAGTGCTCATCGACCTCACGACCTGGAATATGAATCCTTTGTTCCTGTTTGTGATCGAGCCGCTGGGCTTGCAGATCGGCTCGCCCGCCCCAATCGTCGCACACTCAAGTCGAACAGCGCCCACGCCTTCATCAAGGTTTCCAAAATCGTTTCAACCGTCGGAACTTTGTAGTACAAAAATGATAAGTTGAACATGGCATCCAAATGGCTGGACCATAAAATTCTTGTTTCGATGTCACCCACAGGTGTCAGATTTGTGTTCGACAAGGAAGAATCTATCATATCCCCGGCTCCGGCGAACCCACAGCAACCGTCCGGTTGGCTTCCGCGGCAGAGCCAGCCAGCCCATCCCGTTAAATAAATTATTGTGGAATATCAATACAATTCCGAAATACTGGGCAATCACGGTCGGGTTAGGGTCCCAGAACACGGTTGGAGTTGGATTGGGTGATTGCGATGTGCTGGTTGCAGTGTGAGCGGATAGCAGTGCACTCGAGCCACGATTCTCCATATAATCCCGCCAACTGACACGAGCGTGAGAGCGGATAGGCTGGGTTTCACACCAGGCAAGCAATACCTCAGGTAAGGGCGACAAGGCGATCGACGCTCTGTTTATCCGATTGGATGATAACGATATGCTCTCGATCTCATTTTCAGGAACCACTCATGCATTCTCAGGCCAATCACAGCTTATAAGCAGCCTTGAAGGTAAGTCAGTAGCTGGCATAGTGTTATCCTCGCCTCAACCTTGCAATGAAGGCCATGCCAATACTAATATCCACTAAACTACTGGCAGTTGCCGAGTGATTCGATCAACCACCGGAGACAGAGGTATGAGCCCTTGAGGTTTGATCAATGAGTCTTTCAATCACCCAGCCGACTCGAATATGGTTCAAGCCTCTAGCACCGCAGCTCACATACAATGCTCTCCCTTTCCATTCATGCGAATAGTGATCGCGATCAACTATCGGATTAGCGAAGCTCGCTATGGAGCCCATCTTGCAGGAAGGTAATGTCAGGCTGGTTTGCTCGAGGGATTGGGGGGGGGCGGACGACTGGAGCCGAGGACGACGACGGACGGCGGCGGAGGATCGCGGCGGAGCATGTCCAACCCGTTCCATGACCGGGCGAACCCGGAAAGCCGAGAATAAAAACGAATCGAGCCACAAACCAGAAGATCCAGCACACTCGATCCAGAAAATTTGATCCGGATCGAATTCGGGCTAAAAACCGGGATGATGCAAATTGGTCACGTGTTGACATCCTGTGGGTCACGAGGTGACACAGACCGGCGAGCGAGAACGCCCCTCGCGAGAACGTCGGCCGAGAACGCGCTCTTCTCGGTCGTCCCAAAGTCCATATCCCGTTTTGGGCCTCGCGGTTCCTGGCAACTCGCATCGTCATCATGTTCCCCGACCTTCCCGTCGACCCCGATCGGCCAAAGCTGTTTTTGTCAATATGTAATGCAGATGGATCCGATAGAAGCGAACACCCCGCCGGCAGAGTCATCTCGGGCCATTACCTCAACCATAAGGCAAGCCTCCAATCCTGCTCCTCCCACCGCTTCCTTGTTCTCTTGGCCCACCCAAGTCGCCTGCTAATCGAGTCTCAGTAGGCCCAGGTGATCGTCCCTGTTCCCGAGGGATACGACCAAGATTCTGTTAGGCATGCTTTCGAAGGCTTTGCGCCCTTCTTCTTTTACCGCGCAAGGATTGGCTTGTCGTTCTTTCTTCAACCCGAGATCCTCAAAGCCATCAAGCGAGGTCAGTGCAAGTCCGATCCATGCGCAAACCAGATCCATGTCCTCGGCCCTTCTGATTGATGCCGCCGCAACATCGAGATGTACTTCTATTCGCGTCGAGTTGCAACCTTGCATCATGCTCACGCCTTCCCGCATTCTTTTGTGCCCCCCCCCAAAGGCAGCTTCCGCGCTATGAATCTGGATGCCAAGATCGATGCCAGTGATGTGTTTGCGCTGCTGCCCGATGGTAGGTCCTTGGTTGTCGCCATCTCCGTCGCTCAGAGAGATATGCCGCTGCCTTACGCTTGTCTCGAGCGGGCTGGCCGGCATCCAAGTGTCAAGTTTGGGGTCCTACTTCTGGCTGCTCGGCTCTCGTCCCTCCATCGGACCCAGCGGACAGCCGTCTGACCTTCAATGCCGATATTCTCGCCCCTCACTCGCCCTTCTGGTATCTCCAGGGATACTCGTCCTCAGCGTCGAGAAAGACACATATGAAACCCTGGGTCTGGTTGGGGAACATAGCAGATTCTCCAAGGGACATCGTTTTGGTAGGCTCGCCCGAGTCCAGCACTTCACCTGCATGTTTAGATCTCGTGTCCCGATCATCACGAAGTTTATGCATCCGTGCGGAGTGAGAGTCCAAGTACGCTCAGAGCTGCTCTGCTGTTCCCTATTTATACCATCTTTTTCATCATCCAGTCATCAAGATCGATCTAAAATCCACAAAGTTCAAGCCGGGAAGCAAACTCTATGATCGCGTCGAGTGGTGCTTTACGCACACGCTCACTAGAACGTTTACTTTTGTGATTGCCGCCGTCGAGGAAGGTAAGCGCCACCTCCCTGACTTTGACTAGGGGAACGAACAACTCTGATGACCGAGCCTGACCAGCAACCGGCTTATCATCGTACACCCCGTCAGATGGAGCTCCTATGGATATCGGGTTCCCAGACTCGGCTCACGCACAAAAACTAGAGCCCAAGGTTGAGGTGGAGCTGATTGAAAATGCCGAGGTGCCCTTGTGGACACAGGCCGGCTCTGCCCTCGAAAGCCCCGACGAAAGCGCCAACATCAAGCAGAGTCTGTTGGACCTGCATGAATGGCTTGGCTTGGTTGCCTGTGGCCAGTTGAGGTGAGACATGTAACTCAACCGATAGCGATCGCCGTCGGTGCGCCTGGGAGCCCAGGGAATCAGTAGGTCACGGCCCTCGTAAGTCGGGCACCCGGCCTTTGATGCCTTGATCTCATCCGGAACGTTTGGTATGGCGCTGATATCGATCCATATGCTGGCCTCAGAGTTCTGCATGTCGACCCTTTCATTTCGGTCTATCGACCACCCGAGCCCAATCAACGCGGATCGGTTATGAAATTGACTTGGACGGGCATGCTGGTCGCCGAGAACCTCTTCGAGCTCTCGAGTATTGTCAGGTGGGTAGTTGCCTGTGAACTCGACTGCACCCTCTTCGATATTTCCCAGCCACCACCTCGTTGCTGCATACGGCTTTGCTGTGGCGAGGCAAATTCTTGGAATTGACTGGTTTGTGCATGATCACAGGTCGTTCGCGTCCAAGCACAATAGCTGGGCATCACTATTGGTGTGGGGATTCCGTGACTCCCCTGTCTCGTGGAAGCATGCCGAGCACGGCCACCTGGACTGCGGCGAGAACGACTATGTGATTGCATTTGCCAACGACATGGCCTTCACCTTTCAGGCCCTGGGCTCGCATGACACTTACACCTTCTGAGCCCCTCACGTTGGCTCCGGATACCACCACCGCTACCTTCACATTCAAAAGTTTTCATGGGGCTGTGCATGTTGATTAGCGTAGCTTATTTGGGGATGGTCTGTTTCCACCTGGCAATTAATGAGTCCTTGGGGTACGACCATTCCATCGTCTCCATCATTCGAGCTGGCTTTCGCCTTGCCGAAAATACATGCTCACAGCGACACTCCGGCCGTAACTGTCACTCCGTGAGCTCCAATTCGATGGGTCCAAATGCCACATCTTGCCTTGGCGTGAGTCGGCTTTGGGTCGCGAGCACCAGCACTGCGAATGAACCATCCAGCCAGCCACGTACAATACGGGTGCAATGGCATTAGGCACCCAGCCAGATCCGACGGTCTGCGTCACGTTCGCCTTTATCCTCGAGTGTTCTCATGTGCACTCACCGTGATGAAACGCCTGTGCCGCCACTGAGGGATGCGACAGCGCCGGAATCAGCGCGGAGAAGACTATGCGCTTTGCACCTGCCGGCTTCAGCACCTCCTGGATGTAGGCGAAGAACAGCTCTGTTTCTTCCTCCATCTCGTCAGCCTCGCTGCTGCCTGATTTGTCCGAGTACTCCACATCGAGCAGAGCCGAGCTGTCGTCTGTGCAGGGAATCCTCCGAGTTAATGCGCTGTCTTTTCTTGCTTCGTATTTTCATTGTACTTTTACAGACCGATGGCGCCCACGTCGGCACACCTCAGTACTCGAACGAACCTCCTGGTGAAAACGACAGTTCGTGCAGTGGTGATATATCCCGACTTCGCATCGAAAAGCGTCGAGCGCTTGAGCCGCCTCCCGACGTCCTGCTGGCACTCACAAGTTATATAATCAATGTCGCATGGACCACGGGCAGTGGTGGTGGTGGTGCTCTTGCGACTGAGTGCATCCTAGCCGGCGGCTGCAGGCCAGCTCCGGCCTGGGGTCAATGAAACACACACCTTTCTTTACCCTCACTCATCTTTCGGGAATCAAGGGACATCTTGGAGCGCGGTGAACTCGCAACGGACCCTGTCGACGAGCACTGTTAACAGATGTGGCTATGAAGCAAATGTCAAGCTACATGCACCGCAAGAGCAATCCGGGTTCAGAATACAACCTTCGTTGGGCCGATAGGCGTCGATGTTGTGCCATGGCAGAAGCTCCGCATTGTCAAACAGGGCCTCTGCAGTGCCGTCGGGTTTGCTGTCGAGGGCGTCGTTTTGTCGATACTTTTCCAGATCCCCGGACCATTCCTGAAGAACGAGGGCAAGCGATTCGTTTGCACGTCCTGATCAGCAATCCTGCCATTTGCGCATCGGACTACAACTGGTCACACCCATCTATTCCTCAGTAAGCATAAGCGGAAGCCATACCGATGATGCAGCCTCAGAGCCGATCGCTGCCCAGGATGTGCCTCCTAGCGAGTTCATATGAATGAGTTGCTCATGGCAAATTAGACAATGTAACTACCAGAACCCTCGATCCGGTGGCAGCGACCATGGGCGGCTGCGGATCGCATGTGCTGCATACCAGAGTTGCCACTGCTACCGGTGCCATCAGCGGCATTGCTGGTCTCCCCTCTGTACACATAGTCGGCTATTGTGGGCAAGAATGTTGGTTACTTGGCACAGCCGAGACCCGGTTGATCCACGAGCGGAATGGTTTGACTTCCTACCGTCGATGGTATGAGCGGCCGTGGAGCAGAGTCTGGTACAAAAGTAAGCCAACTCTTGCGGCAGCCCTGCAGTTTGAAAGCATCAGGCAATCAATATTACTTGGGCTTGATCAACGACATTCCATGACAGCACAGTAGCCATTGAGATTCCTCTCAACGGATTCCGCCAAGTGACGGCTGTGTCCGAGATTGCTCCACAACCACCAACCAGACATGGCTCCGCATTCGGCAGCAAGAGCGCGAGCCTCCGTTCTATATCCCTGTTGAATCTGGGGCGTTGTAAAGTCAGTGGTCGAGTGGGTGCGCATACATCGATTCACCAGATTCAACCGACCCTTACCTGCCGCAAGGTACGACCACAATAGTCTCCGATATGGAACCGACGACGGGGCGCATTCGCATCCGGAACATCTATTTGGATCTGGATCTGGGTCTGAAAGTATGCTGCGTGTCATTTCAAGTGCCTTTGGGGGCTTCGCCCCTAGCCCTACACTCGTCTGTCGTTTCGCTGTGCCAGTATTCCTGTATAATCGATTGGCCGACCAGCCGCCTCTCACCTCGGAATCAAAATGGCATCGAGCTCGTCTTCTTGGGTCTGTGCCGAAGCAGTTCAAATCAATCTTGTGTTGATTTGGTGCCTTTTTCCCTGATGCAGCATATCGAGCATGTTCGCCAACAAGTACTTACGAGACTGAGGTGCTTCACTGGCGGAGTTGGCTGGGTCTTCAGGGTCTCTCGGGGCTTCCGGAGGCTCATGGCGGTGCGCCAACACGGTGGCCTGCCGCAAAGCATCTCGCCTTGGCGAATCGACACTGTATCCCGGCCATGGCGTCGGAGACGGCTCGATGTACTGGTTTTGAAAGCGGAGGCGATTGTGTCGAACCAAGGGAGCCGCGTTCTGGCGATCAGATGCGGCAGCGATCGAATTCATCTGGCCGAATTCACATCACCGTCGCCTATGCTCGGGGCTCCCCTCCGTCCTTTCCTTCTCTCCGCAAGAATGCATACCTCGATCCTCTTCCTCTTCTTTGGAGCGGCGTTGTGGTCGGTGTGCTGTAGATCATCAAAGTCAATCAGTGGCAGTGTGTCCTCATGGCCGTCGTCCATCAGAATGTCGTCTTCGAGATCGAGAAGCTTGAGAAAAGACGAGGCACTCCGCTGGGTGGAGCCGGAGTAGTTGCTGGAAATCAAAAGGATAAGAGATCGCAGCACCATGGCTGATGACATTGGTCGCTAACTGGTCCAATCGGCAATTTCTTTGGCCGGCCATCAACCAATAATCTCCTCTCATCCGTTCAAGTATCTCATTCGTCGAGCTGTCAACAGAACCGAGCATGTACCTTCTGACACTAACGTCCGATGAGCTGAGATTGATGCTGGACGAAACCAGTGTTGAGGTGTGCACCGCGATCAAAGCTGGTGCAAGATCCAGGTCGGAGAGGTTTGCAGTGTCCACAGAGGCCTGTCGCCCAACTTCTGTCGGTCGACTGGACCCGATTACCGACTGTTCGGTCGCACGTTCATCTCGAGGCTTCTCCAGCCATCCGCCCGAGTATCCGATTCCGCTCTGTCGCCGCTAAGTTAGTCTTGTCCAGGGGTGACGGTGGCGGCTGCAGCTGGTGGGTGCAGCTGGTGGGTGCAGCTGGTGGGTGAACGTACCTGAAGCAAGAGGGACTCTTCATCAAGCAGACCCTCATCGCCGGCGGTTGGCATGGCCAGTGTGATGGTAGCGACGCTGCGAAAGGTGGTTGGAAGGATGAGGACGATCGTTATTAGAGACGAGGAGTCATTGACCCGACTGAAGGTGACGATGTTGCAGATGTTGTACCGCGCGAATTCGATGGACATGTTGATCTGGTCCGAGCTTGCCAGCGCCAACGAAGACTTGAGCCTCCCGAGGGTGACTTGGACCTCCTCTATCACTCCCAGAACGCAAAACGAGCAAGTCAGAGCATCAGCTTGCGCCAGGACTCGAAACCGATAACCGAGCCATCGGATCGGGTCCCGATTCTGCAGACATACTCTGAAAGTAGCAAAATTGTTCTTCGTAGACGCGTATCACTCCCATCATCAAGTGCGAACTGTGTGGTGGTGCTATGAAGTCAGACAAGGGACCGGTATCCTCGGCCCTGATTGACGACTGCATACGGGGCTCGGCGCCAGGGCAGCTACTCACGCAAGGCGAAGCGCCAAAGGTTCCGGCGGTTCGATCAAATAGCGACTGACAGATTGAGTCAGTTGGCGGATGCGATAGGCCGCGATGAAAGTGTGGGTCGATCGGTCGGATGGATGGAGCGATGGAGTGATGGATGGGTAAATGGATGGAGCGATGGATGGAGCGATACCACCACATGAGCGGTGGGAGTAGCAGCTCACCATGTCCTTTGGATGTTGACTGTCGACAGCTCTCGTTTGGATATTTTCTTGGCTGAGGAACGGGTTCCGAGTGTGGCAGCGATCCTGCAAACAGGCAGTTTGTCAGTCAAATCAAGGTGGAACCGACATTGCCGAGCCACCCTCATGAGAAACAGGAAGCGGAGGAGGAGGGGGGAAGGAGAAGGCAAGCCCTCAGAACCAAAGAAAAAGCGCTGCAACCGAGATGAAGGGGATATCCGTGCTCCTCTTGTGGATACCAGACGATGCCAATGCCGGAGACATGGCGGTTTGCAAGGATCTCGTATGGATAGAACATGATCAGGATTCTCCAGGAAGAGCCAGCGCCTTCGCATCCCTTCGAGGTGGCTGCCGCCGGCTATATAGCCATGGACGGAACGAGGCCGAGGCGGGAGGTGGGGAACATAGCTCCTCGAGGCAATGACATGAATGCTGCCTTTGACGTTGACACCGGCGCTGGTGTCAACCAGCAATGCGCTGGGCCGTGGGAACGGATCGAGCGGGAATGGCGGTCGCTCACGTGCCAAGGAAGGCCGACCATCGATGCTGATCGGCAGGACTCAGACTTAGGTAGTCGCGGCCTCTGAATCCACCCAAGCTCCCCGCCCTCCCATCCTGATCTGACCAGCGCCTCTCAACAGGGCCGTATTGCGTCACCCGTCGGCCGTCACCCGTCAAGTGCACGTAAACGCTACCAACCCGCCGGACGCCATGTCGGGTAGGTCCGCTGCTCCAGCATGATCCCCAGACGCGGGACCTGGACGAAGGCAATCGACCAAATCGTCCTCCCTCCCCACCACGCACTGTGGAGAACGGTGTCCGGCGGAGGCATGTCCGTTCGTGCTTGTTACCGGCCTCGACAACGACCCGCCATAGAATCGCTGTGTTTTTTCTGCCGGCCGTCTGAATTCGATATGGCAAAGCTGATGAGAGGCGAGCCTGCAGCCGAAAGAGCGAGGAAGCCTTGTGGGGCATCAGCGCGCGAGACCACCGACCACAGGCTGGCATCGTCGCCGGATTCACACGGGAAAGGGATTCATATCAGAGAGCCGCGCTCGATCAGAGATGTGGTGGAGCTCGGCTCGACGTCGATATAAACTGCAAGCCGGAAACGCCGCGTCGCCTGTCATCCGTCTCATGGTCATCCAAATGATCTGCCCTCTCTACCAGAAATCGAGGAGTTTGACGAGCAATTCCAGGAGCTCGTCGACAGCATAAAAAGCGTCTTGGACTCGGAGATCTCCAAGCTGCGCGGCCAGGAGCGAATCGAGGTACGTGTGAATCGTCAGTGGCATCTTGGAGCAATCTGGCGGAGGGTCGCTATTCAAAGGCATCACCAGGTTTACTTGAATCCGGAGTCAGTGATGGAGAAGGCGGGATGCGCTGTCTCAGCCATAGTTGGGATCTGTGCCGATGGAGGGCTCCCATGAGACAGAATACTTCAGAACTGGAAGCACGGCAGAAGAAGGAGGGAGGACATAGTGGATAATAACAAAGGTGCCCTTCCCTCGATGAGCACAGAAATGCAGCTATCTGAAGAACAGACTCACACGAGCACGCCAGGTACATCGCTCCATCATGGTTGAGATCCGACAACTGCCCGCCGAGCAGGCCGAGGAATGGAAGACCAAGGCTGGATCATACGATACGCTCATGTCCAAACTGGCCCAAGACATTGAATGGGCCGAGACAAGCGCCGCCAAGGACGACAAGAAGAAAGGTACAGATAGAGTGAAAGGGGGGGGAGAGAGTACCGGGAAATGTGTGATTCTGGCCGGGGTGGAGAGCAGCCACAGGACGATAGGGACTCGGAAGACCCATCGGGCCTTGAACGCTGATGTCTTATGCCTATCTATCAGCCGTCGATGACATGACTACCAAAGAGATCACACAGCAGGCGATGGCGCTGCAAGAAAAGACCCATCAGTCGGCCACGAATGCTCTGCGGAGAGTTGAGGAAACCATTCAGGTGAGCACTCCAATCCGTCTCCAGAGCCGCTACCCGCGGAGTCTGCTGCCAAAAAACTGCTGATGGCTCCGTGCTCCGCGACAAACCCATGTGGAAGCACTGATTCGAGATCGTTTTCAGGTCGCCGTGGAAACCAGTACCGAGATCAAGCGGCAGGGAGAGCAGATCAACAAGATCTCCGACGACGTCGATCAGGTCGAAGATAACTTGAGGCGCGCTGACAAGCAGCTCAAGGCATTCATCAGGTACGAGTCTGTGTGTGGTCGATCCGAGACGCTGTGTGAGATCGGCGGCCGGCCGAGAAGATAGGCCAACGCCCGACAGTCCAATGCCCGATCTCGGATTCCTAACTTCAATGCATGCCTGTTTTGCTGCTGGCGATACTTGAACGGTGAATGTCTCATCCTGCTAGACGGATGGCCACGGACAAGATCTTCATGGTGTTTATCTTCCTGATTGTGATCGGCATCATTGCTGCCATTGTGCTGTATGTCCTCAAGTCGAAAGGGCTGCTATCGGGGATTTGACGGCTACGCTTTGAGTTTCGTTTGTGCTGTCTCTCTCTCTTGTTCTTCCCTGCCTGCATTGCTCTTCTTTCTTCGGTCTGGTTCGGAAAGTCCCCGGCTGTCGCCCCTGCTGTATCGCAGCCGGTACTCCGTGATGGTGTGTTCTCTTTTTTGTACCTGCGTCAGAGCGAGACCCAGCTTCGCTGTTGGGATATCAGACCCATTGGTAGCCCGCCCTATTCGACGCAGTTGACCTGGAAACACGATCTGCTTGATTGCATTCGCTGTGGATCCAGTGCAGCAGGGTCAAGTCCCACAGTCCGCCGTGGATCGCAGCCTCCTCACCCGACCTCTCTCCATCCACCAATCTTGGCACACGTGAGCCTCGAATCTGATTGAGGACGTCAGAGCCTGGCGATGTGCGCTTGGATGGAGTGTCAACACAATGGTCTTGCTTTGCCGCAGTGGGGGATTTGCCAGCCGAATGATGTCGATGCACAGGGAAGCAGGAGGGCGCCGGGGATTTCTTTTGGGACTTGCTCGTCGCCCTGCAGCACTCGAGCATTCTCTCTCCTGCTCCAGTATACTTTCTCCAAATCCCAAATCCCAAACAGCCTTGAGCGCTCCGTTGTCGTCGGTAAGCTTGGAGCATATCGCTCGCATATCGCTCGCATATCGCTCGCATATCGAGTGAGGATGGTGCCTGGTTTCGCAGAGCTGCTTTCCCACACCTTTCTTGATCAAGCCATACTCCTCGACTCGGCTGGGCCAGTGCAACAGCGCTCACTCTAACGGTGTCGAATCCTTCGGACGACAGGAACGTCACAGTAACTTTTGCAAGACCGACCCGGTGCTATAGAACCTACATCCTTCGGTCCATTCGCGGCATTCACCCAAACTCGACCCGACCTGTTGCATCCCCACACCCCCTATCTCTCCAATAATCCAGCTCATGCCTTACAGCCTGAGAACCCGGAAGGTCAAGGAGGACGCCCAGGTCCTCCACAAGGGCGTCGTCAACGAAATCAACACCTTGGGGGACAATGTCAAGTCCCGAGTCAGCAAGCGAGCCAGCCCCAAGACAGCTGCTCCGAAGGAAGGCAAGCCTGCGAAAGAACATGCGTCTCTGAGTAAAGTGCAGGGCGCCCGTGTCAAGAAAGCGGCCTCTGGAACCAAGAGCGCGGGCAGCAAGCAGTTGCCCGAGAAGCTACACTCGCGGGTCATGAAGCAAATCCAGCAGCTGTCTGAGACCAAGCCCTCGATGGTGGTCCAGAAGCAAAAGATCCTGCAAGGCCATGCGGCGGTGGTGGCCCAGGTCAACAAACGCGGCATCAACGCAGCCATCCAGCAGCTGGGCTCGAATCCCATCAAGCGGGTTGCCAAGAACTATCTCAAGCTGGGGGTGTCTGCCGGTAGCGGCATCGCCAAGAGAAGACCGCCTGTGCACCACCGCTTCCCGGCCAAGGTGACCGAAGGCTCGATTGACGCGCAGAAAAAGATCCTCTTTGGCGAGCTCCAGCGGCTTGCCAGCGACGGCACTCCGAGCGAAATCGTTGCCAAGAGGAATGTTGCCGAGGCCAAGAAGGCCGTCAACGCGCAGGTGGGCTGGGTGTTGATGTGCGAGATGGCTGGGCAGCGCGACTTGGATTTGGATATATGGTGGGGTGGGATCGTCATGCTGGACTTGACAGGACCGTCGACGACGCTGCTTGCTGACGCAGATGGCTATGCGGATGACGTGGAGGCAGATCTTGAAGCGCGCCGTCAACTCGGAAATCAGCAAGCGCGCGGCAAAGTGAGGCGGCACCGCTGCTCACTCAGGAACAGGGTAGGTGCATATCGGGTTGCTGGACCGGTGGTCTGAGGCCCAAGAGAACATGGCGGATCGAGCACAGCATGCGACATGGGCTGGGAGAAGGCCATGGGACCAAGCCAGGGATACGGCGCCGGCAGCGCAGCGGGGCCATGAGCGATTGCTGTCCGCAGCCATCCCCGGATATCCCCGGACCATTGCAGGCCATGGCGGACAGCATGACTCACCATAAGCGGCACCTTCGCCGCCCATCGCGGGCAGCAAAGGCCAGGCCACAGGTCGATGTCTACTCGCACAGCAACAAACCGCATCCGTTCAGCAACAGCTTTCCATTCCCATGCAAACACAGCACGGCCTGGCCGGAGCCCGGCTGTGCTTGCTCCCATGTCCAAAGGAACAGATTGGCAAACTCAGAATACACCGGGACCCACACAGCACTGGCCGAGACCAGCTCCAGCACGGCCCTGAGCGGGGCGATGGCCGTGTGGAGATGGGTGCGGGGCCGAAGGACATTGTGTCGACGACCAACCCAGCTCGATCCTGCCCAGCTTGGTCGAGCTCGATCGAGCTTGGTCGAGCTTGGTCGAGCTTGGTCCAGCCCAGCCAGCCGATCTCGAGATAAGCAGCGACAAGGCGGCACAAGCCGGGGGGCAACGTGACCGCCAGGCGCGTCTTGGGCGAACACAGGCCACGATCGCGGCGCGCGGCAGTGTGGCCGTGGGATGCTGCGAGCGGACGGGGCGGTGCTGCAATGCGACAGACGGCGTGGTGCAAGACGGCACTGAGGACGGTGACAAGGGATGCGTTGGATGGCATGGGGGGGGGAGATGCGGCTTGGAGGGTCGGTCGTGCTGGAGGAGAGAGATGGAAGAGGAGAGTCGATGGAGCAAACTCGATCCAGCAGAGCCGATCCAGCAGCGTCGATTCAGCACGCCAAGCACGACGGGGTCAGATGCGACGGGGCCGAGTGCGACGGGGTCAGAATGCGATCCGTCCAAGCGCGGCGGGGCCAGAGCCACCAGCAATCCCAGAGGGAGCGCCACTGTCCGTGTGGTGCGCTGAAAGGCTTGTTGGCCGCCGTTGTGGGGTTCTGTTGCTGTGAGCGAAGCCTTGTCCAGTGTGTTTGCACTTGCCAAAGCCCAAGGGGACCTCTCGGTCGATAACTGCCCACAACCATCGCATTTAACCCATCACATCGCATTCAACACATCACATCGCATTCAACACATCACATCGCATTCAACCCATCACATCGCATTCAACACATCGCACCCCATCACATTGAATACATCACACCCATCGCATCACACCCACCACATCTGTCCACTCACCTGCGGCCGCACCACACTCGCACCACACTCGCGAGATAGCGTTCGTGGGCCCCTTGTCGACCTGGGCTTATCGCCTGGCCATGGCCAACCCGCAACCCGTTCTGCGCTGTCTCTGTGCCGCCCTCCCCCGCGCCGCTTTCGTTGGGGGCAAGCCGTTCCCCAGATCCGCCGACCACACGATCGACCGCCGCCCGCGCGATTGATGACTGGCTGCGCGACGACCTGTCGTCCCCCCTTGCCGTCCCCAGCAGTATAAAAAGCCACCGGGCGAGCCACCCTCCTGCCGACCCACTCGATCCCCCCAACCCTCCCGCCATGTCCATCGAAGAAGCCGTTACCGAATCTGCCCCCATCTTCCCTCCCCCCGAGCGGTTCCAGCAGGGCGAGGTCCCCGTTCCCCACATCAACTCTCTCGAGCAGTACAAGGAGCTGCACGAGGAGTCTGTCAAGAACCCGACTGCTTTCTGGGGCAGGGTACGTTCTCCACATCGCCATCGCCATCGCCATCGCCATCGCCATCGCCATCGCCATCGCCATCGCCATCGCCATCGCCAACACCCAACCCGGCGTCTGCCAATCGGTGGCGTCCGTGTCGGTGTCTTGGCTTCTGGTCCTGGCACATTGTCTGACACTTTGTCCTTTGACTTTGTACCCACACCCTTTCTCGGGCACGGCTTTCCTCTGCAGGTCGCCAAGGAGCTCCTGCACTGGTACCGACCCTTCACCCAGGTCAACTACGGGTAAGTCTCATGTTTGGATCGTGCGTGTGCTGTCAAGCGATTTGTTGCGTTTGTCGTTGCACTCGTCATTGCGCTCGTGTCTGCTTTTCCTTCCTCCTCTCCATCGGCTTCGTTGTGCTCTGCACGGAATAGTCCTTTGGGCAGCCCGCCACACCATCATGCTTATCTACTTTGTCCTTTGTTTCCAGCGGTTTCGTCGATGGCGATGTCCAGTGGTTCAGCGATGGCCAGCTCAACGTTGCCTACAACTGCGTTGATCGCCACGCTTTCGCCAACCCCGACAAGGTTGGTTGCGCCTGACGGCCCGCTTTTCTGCTCTGTTTTCTGCTTTCCTGCTTTCCTGCTTTCCTGCTTTCCTGCTTCTACCTGGCTCTCGGCAGAATCTGCGTGGGCTGATCTGTTCAGCTTTTCGAGCTGCCGATTTCTCCTTCTGGCCGTGGCTATACCGTAGCCATGCTAACATTTTCCGTTTCTCCTCCCCTGCGTCGTTCGATAGGTCGCCATCATCTGGGAGTCTGACGAGCCCGGACAGGGTGAGAAGATCACCTACCGCCAGCTCTACCAGGAGGTCGGCAAGTTCGCCAACGTCTTGAAGAAGTACAAGGTCCGCAAGGGCGACACCGTCTGCATCTATATGCCCATGGTCCCCGAGGCTGCCTATGCCATGCTGGCCTGTGCCCGTATCGGCGCTGTCCACTCTGTCGTCTTTGCCGGCTTCTCTGCCGATGCCCTCCGCGACCGTATCCAGGACGCTGGATGCAAGATCCTCGTCACTGCTGACCAGGGCAAGCGTGGTGGCAAGTCCATCGGCCTCAAGGTCATCGCCGACCAGGCTCTGGCCGACTGTCCCTCCATCGAGGTATGTACCTCTTTCTGCGGTATCCTTCGTACCCTCCCTCCCCCTCAACCCGCTGCGCGCGGCTGCTTCCCCCCACACAGTCCCCGGCGAGTTCGTGGACAATGTACCCAGTCTTTTCCCCTTCCATTCACCGGCTTGTCTCTGAGCACCGCACTCCACCGTCCTCCTCCAAAAACAATCACTGACCTGCTGTCTCCGCCCTCTGCGGTCTCCAGAAAGTCATCGTCTACCAGCGTACCGGTGATATCTCGGTGCCCTTCAGCTCCCCTCGCGATGTCTGGTGGCACGAGGAGGTCGACAACCAGTCGCCCGTCTGCCCCGCCGAGACCATGAACGCCGAGGATCCCCTCTTTATGCTCTACACCTCGGGCTCCACTGGCAAGCCCAAGGGTGTCGTCCACACCACCGCCGGCTACCTGCTCGGCGCCACCGCCACCGTCAAGTACATCTTTGACCTCCACGAGAACGACCGCTTCGGCTGCATGGCCGATGTCGGATGGATCACTGGCCACTCGTACATTGTCTACGGCCCCCTCTCCAACGGCATCACCACCGTCATCTTCGAGTCCATCCCCACCTACCCCACCCCCAGCCGCTACTGGCAGCTCATTGACGACCACCAGCTCACCCAGTTCTACACCGCCCCCACCGCCATCCGCGCCCTCCGCCGCCTTGGCGACGAGCACGTCGAGCCCTACAAGCTGGACTCGCTCCGTGTCCTCGGCTCTGTCGGTGAGCCCATCAACCCTGAGGCCTGGCTGTGGTACCACAAGGTCATTGGCCGCGAGCGCTGCGCCATCGTCGACACCTACTGGCAGACCGAGACCGGCTCCATCATCGTCACTCCCCTGCCCGGTGCCATCGCCACCAAGCCCGGCTCTGCCACCCTTCCCTTTTTTGGCATCGACCTGGCCGTCCTCGATCCCACCACTGGCCAGGAGCTCCTCGGCAACGACGTCACCGGTGTCCTGGCCATCCGCCAGCCCTTCCCCTCGATTGCCCGCACTGTCTACGACAACCACATCCGCTACCTTGATACCTACATGAAGCCCTATCACAAGTACTACTTCACCGGCGACGGTGTGACCCGCGATGCCGACGGCTACTACTGGATCCGCGGCCGTGTCGACGACGTCATCAACGTCTCGGGCCACCGTCTCTCGACCGCCGAAATCGAGTCTGCCCTCATTCTGCACCCCGCCTGCGCCGAGGCTGCCGTCGTTGGCATCAATGACGACGTCACCGGCCAGGCCATCGTCTGCTTCGCCTCGCTCAAGTCGCACCACGCCGACGAGACCGCCATCACCAAGGCCTTTGTTGCCCAGATCCGCACCCACATCGGTCCCTTTGCCACCCCCAAGCGCATCGTCATCACCCCGGAGCTTCCCAAGACTCGCTCCGGCAAGATCATGCGCCGCATTCTGAGAAAGGTTGCTGGCCAGGAAGTCACCCTTGCCGATCTCGAGGACGAGGATGGTCTCCGCAACAAGCTTGGCGATCTGTCCACCCTGGCTGATCCCTCCATCGTCCCCACCCTCATCAAGAAGGTTGCTGGACGCCAGTAAACTGTCGTCTGTTTCGTTTTCCCTCCTCTCCCCCTCCTCCTCCTCCTCCCATCCATGGGCTCGATTGGCCAACTGCGGGGGGCAAAAACCATCCAGGAAGATGATCTTTGCGTATGCGCGGCCGGCTCTGAGCCCCCTTTCTTCTCAGAACACATTCCCTGCTCTCTGCCTTTGAGTGTCTCATTTGACGTTTGCCCTTCTGAATAATGATGTCCGTCCCCTCTTTCTCCCTCCCCCAAAGGCGGATCTGCTGTAAAGTACAATACAGCCTGTACAAAATTACTTCCAGAATCAACTTTCCCTTGATGTGATCGTCTCTGCCGCGTGGATGAGAGGTGTGCGGTGCGGTGGAGACGATTCAGCTCGTTCGGAACGAAACGGGGACAGTGCGTCTGCATGTTCCTCAGCAATCCGCAGGCCGTGGGATTGCATTGCTATCTTTGATCTCCTGTCTCCTGTGGCAAAGAACGATGGGTCTCCACAATCATGATCCCGAATCGGCCCGCCATCCATATCGAAAATGACCACCCATTTCCATCACTCGCGTCCATTCGCCTCTGCACTCTCACCCGCTTCGTCCAATCGCTTCAAGCAATCTCCAATGGCCCAAGCTTCACGCCCCAAGATCCCGATCGCCGTCCCGTCGCAAGGAAAGATCTTTGTGAGCGCTCCCCAAGAGGATATCCATCCTGTTGTGATCACAGGCACCCCAGGATCCGCCATCCCAACCAGCACCCCTCGCGCATCGCGTCCGGCAGGAAACACTCCGTTGGTTCTCTGCAAGCCCAAGCTGCTGGCGCTCAAATCGCACCATTTGATCTTCCTGGAGACGATGGCGACGCAGCTCCCAGATCAGCTGGCCTGTTCGTCGGGTGTCTCGGCCGAGCATTGTGATCACAGGCCCTCGGCCACCGCGGCCCAAGATGGAGCCCAGCCAGCGGCATCCACGGCCGTCGACTATCTCGCGATTGGATAAGCAGAGACTTACCCGACCCAATTATTCGCGAGTACACTCCTCGAAGAGATCGACGGCAATGTCGCAACCCTTGCCAACGATCGAATATATTGCATTTATACCGATATTCATTTGAGAAACACCACCACCACAACAACAACAACAACAACAACCACATTCTCTCGGCTTCCGCCGCTGTTGCCTCACAGTCGAATGCTACTTCCACGGACCTCACATGACCGCGCTGTCTCCTGGACTACTGTTCGGGACTGGCCCAACACCTCCAGTTCATGAGAAACTCAGGAGCCGGGTGATTTTCATGATCTCTGCCACAGTCCGGGTCCACACGGCCGACACCTGCTCGATCTTGGAGGCCTCGTCTTCAGGTGGCATGCACGCCAGGGTGTGGTAGACGCTGGAGTGGAGCTGTCGCCGAATGTTTGTCAGTGTCGGGCTTGTCGATTGCATGCAGGCAGCACTTGCATGGCCAAGCACAACCAAGTCCGCTGGCGTCTTCATCTCCGCTCACCTCCCCCCCCCTCCTCCACAGGCACACTCCCTTTCCTCATCGTCCGGTAGTGCCCGCCGGCTCAGCTCTTGCATACCGTCATGTTCTCGCGGGCCTCAGCATTGAACTTGACGTCCTCGGTGATCTCGGTCTCCTTGGTAACATACGCGATGGTCTTTGCCGCCTCGTCGATCGTGAAGGTCGAGTCGTGAACAACGCTCCACCAAGACACCTTTGTCCAGAGCCAACGGAGAGGCGAGTCAGTCAAGGTGTCGATCGACGAGGGACCTCTTGGAAATGGGAGGAAGCCCCAACCAAGCCAGCTACTAGAGCCCGCCTCCACTCGATGCCACTTGCTCTGTTGGCTACTCGGCGAGTTATCAGCTGTGCGCTTCAGAGTGCTCATGCTCTACCTCGGGATCTTCGGAATCAAACGACTTGGGATCACTGCAAACGTGTGCGCGGAAGGCGATCTTTGACGGCGGTAGATGTCGATTGCCCGAGGAGCGTCGAAACACAAAGCACGGCTGGCAAAGGCTGATGCCAAGGAGACAGTCTTCCTCCGGATCAGGATTCTATCATCCATCACAAGTCAGTATGCGGTGGAAGGAGGGAGGGAGGGACTCGCTCCGGCTTGCATTACAGCTTCTGGGCGTTCCCGTTCACACGGAGCCGACTAATGCTGTGCTGTCGAATCTGCATTGGATCCCGCAGCCCTTACCTTCAAGATCAGGTCTTCAATGTCCACGCCCTTCATCTTCTTTGGCGCGCGAAAGTTGAGCCCGTAGTGCAGCAGTTTCTGAGCAAAGTCGCACACTCCGCTGTCAGCAGCAATCTCCCAAGCACATGTGTTGTTGATGGACAGAGACGAAACTTTCTCCGCTTTGATCCGCCATCGCTCTTGCAGCCCTGGCAGTGCAGGTGCAGGTGCAGGTGCAGGTGCACTCACCTTGAACAACAGCTCTGGCGGATACCACTTGTCCAGAAACTCCTTCTCCATAAATGGCTTCATCGGAGCCACAAACCGGCACTCGCCCTCGCCAATCTCAATCTCAGCCTCGTTCTCCTTGCCTCGAATCCAGAGAGTGGACCGGTTCTTGGTCGGGGAGGGCTTCATCAGCCAATCTTGCAAAGGAAACTCAGAGTACAACCCCTATGTTGTCGCAGTCGATTGGCGTCATTGAGTCTGCCCTCCTGTGAGCATCCTTCGTAAGCATTGCAGCACTTGCCTGAATCAGAGCCGTTGGGCGAAAGTGGAGAGTTCGGAACTTGACCTGGCCCAAGTCTACGCCATGGGAGCCAACAATACCACCACCCACCACCCCGAGCACAGCGACAGTTAGCCAATGCGATGGGTCCGCGGATTTGCTGATAATCGTATCAACTCAGTCCCGGTGGATCTCGGTTTGTATTCCACCAGGGCGGCTCCATCTCCCCGGAAGCACATCCATACCAATGTCGATCTCTACGTCCGTGATGTTGTCGTCATCCCACAGCTCGGTGTCTGGGTTCCACGCCATGACCTTGGCCGTTGCAGTGTTGAGAAACATTCCGGGATAGAGCTCATAGGTTACGTGCATCGGCCAGATGGTCAGATCGGCGGCAGAGGCATCCTCTTCCTTCTCGCCCTCCACAATCGGCTTCTTGAATGGATAAACGCAGCGATAGAGACTCCCCTCGCTCGACAGGACTTGAGGTTTCCGGCCCACATAGAGAAGGTGGTTGTGTTTCGGGCAGTGACAGTCATGGCCCGGAACAGATCCGAATATGGGTGCAGAGCAGGACCATGGAGTGGATGAATACTGTCGTTAGCAGGGGCAGCGTGCCGCTATAAATCGCCTGTCATCAAATGCATCCAACTCAAGCGCTGCATCGCCAATTTCCGTGACCAGCAAATACCGTCGCCCCCTCTATTGTGTACGAAGGCCGATTCTCTCATCAACCAATAATCCCGCGGCGCATAATCCCGCCAGACACTGCATCGTTCTCCCTTCCATGCTGAGCATCAAACTCACTTGGTCGGATACACCAGGAGCCCAGTGACTTTGCCGAATCGGGCATCTCGGCAAGGTCAAAGTACAGCACGCCGCCAACGACTGATAGCTGCTGTTTCTCCGACTGTGTCTCGTACGGACTAGCACAGGTCGTGCTCTGCTCCAGAAGCATACGAATAGCCACGTTGGCCAGGGCCAGGGGCTTGGGCAGTGTCGACGACAAGCTTTTGTCACGAAACTCGACCGATTTGAATCTGCGACATGGTGCCCCGAATGTCCGCGGCATAAGTTACAGCAATATGGACTCCTTGACACGCCCTTTGTTTGATGCTAGTATCTCTTGATGATAGATCTTTCCCTGCCTCGACGCGAACTGTAAGTCTCACGGGGGGGGGTGGAATGCTTACCTTGGGTTCTTGGTCATGTTGCCCCAGATGCCGATGGAATAGTTCTCGGTGCTGCTGGAGAACTCAAAGTTCTCATTGGGCTCGCGTTTGAAGTAGTCGATGTGCTATGTATACCGACCAAGAAGCAGTATTGCCGATATTAGTGGAACCGTGGGCAATGGGATTCGAAGTCATGCACTGGGCCATGGCTTCTTGCGGTGGCAGCGGTGGTGGTGGCTTCGACTTGCCGGCATCGCCCGGATGCAGCCGCCGAGAGTCGCTGTTGCTCCCACCGAATTCATAAACACATCCAAAGTACCCGTGCGCTATCACACTGCGCTTGCTCTCTGGAATGTCCAGAGCAGATATCTTGCACCTCGCTTACCTGCAGGATTTGCGCGGTCATAAAGTCCCACTTGGTATTGATCAACTCTCGGAGCCGGGCTAAGTGGTTCTTCATTTGCTCGACCGTGTTCTCGGGCTTGGACGTGTGCATCGTACAAATGAAGTACTCGATTTTGGAGCACAGCTATTGCAACGGCAAGAGCGAATTATGGGGGTCGTGCACCGAGAATTGAGCCAGCGCCTGATGGGCAGGTGGCGGTCTCGGAAGAAGCACCGCGGAGATGACACAGCTTCCGAGCATGACCTACCAGCTCAACATCTGGCAAGAGCGAGAACAGGGGCTTCAGCGACGCATCGTCCTCCTTCACTAGCTTTTGCTCCCTCAGAATGCTCATATACGAGTTCATATCCTGCTCGTGCAGTGGATCCGGCAGAACACTGCATTCCAAATAGCTGTTCCACTGGTCGAGGTTTGCCCCAGGACAGCTATCGCGTGAGTTACATCCCGGCCTTCCAAGAGCAGGGCAACGGTCCGGAGGTGATGTAAACGCGATCGATGCAGGTAGCGGCTGACCAACCCCTCACCTCCTTCTGGGTGTTGATTTGGTCCATCTGCAGAGTATATTCGCTGTTCTTGGTCTCTCGCACGCGTTGGATATGCTCGGATTCCTCCTGGAGTTTGGGCTCTTCCTACAAAAGCGCCGCGTCTGAGTGTTTATGTATGCCGATCCTCTTGCTGAGACACATCATTTTCGAATGTATGTGTACTGTGAATTGCATGTCGCATTCGGCCACCTGGCCTTACCTGGTGAAAGAGCTGCTCGAGTGCCTCGCGCTGCTTCTGCTCCCGCTGCTCCTTCTCGCGCTTGGCTCGCAGCTCACTCGCTTTTTGCTCTGCAGACGATAGACAGAGTGTCAGAATTGCACTACAGATCTGTCGACATTATTCCGTCGGAATGTGCGTCGCCATTCAATCAGCAGCGCTCCTACCTTCTTCGGCAAGCCGTCTTTGCTCCTCGAGCTCGCGTTCTGTGGTGGCCGGGATTGTCAGCAACGTTGTCACGACGACGGCCCTGCATCATGACCGAAAGAGCTCCAGCCGCGCTTGCGATCGGAACTCACCCTTCTCGGCTTCCTTCTTCCCCTTCTTTCCCTTCTTTCCCTTCGGCGGCATCGCTGTGTGTGTCGGGCAGTCCGTCGGCAAGATGCGCCCCAGAGGCCGACGGCCATGATGCCTGGCTTCTCGGTGCCTGGCAGCGTGCCGGTCACCTGAGCGTCCATCCCGGCATCACCGTCCTGTCTTCGCGCCTGTCCGGCCCGGCTTGCAGTTCCCAGATTCCCCTGTTCGGCCCACCGAGCCAGATCGCCCGCAGACAGCCGCCCCCTCTGTTGCTGCCTCTTCCCTTGCTGGGTCCGCACCGCACCGCACTGCTCGAATAGAGTCCGTGCCTGCCTGTCCCTCCGCAGCCCGTGTAGCTCCGGAACCACCACCATCCAAGTGCGCTCTCCATCCGGACCGATGAAGAAGACACCACGCCATAATCTCTACGTCCCGAAGCATCGCCGAAAAGAAGCGAGCGATGGCGAGGAGCGCCCAGGCGAACCGGTAGGCATCCCTATAGCGCAGCAGGCTATAGACAGGCTCTCTGGGTGACTCGGCATCTTGGCCAGGCAATGTCATTCGGCCGTCACAAAGCCAGCGACTGCCTCTTGCCAAGAACGTCTCTCTCGGAGGCGTCGTTTGCCAGCCGTCCGCAATGAGAGGAGCAATCTCCGTCACTAAAATACCGAAACGCCGGCATCTCTGACGCTGCTTGACTCTGCCTCGACAAAGCCGTCGGCCTCCGATGCTGAGGCATGCCAGGCGGATGAGGCTGGCGACCCCGCCATCGCCGCCGACGATGGGCTGGCCTTGCCCCAGACTGGCGCTCCGTCCAAATCAACAGCAACAGGATCGAGCGCTGAGCCTGTCCGGCGGGGACGGGGCAACTTCAAAGCCAACTTCACATCCACCACGACCGCGTCTGCTTCCAAGCTGCTCACGAAGGAGGAGCAGACCGTCCGTGTATATCCCGACAACACCAAGAGTGGCAGCGGCTACAGCAAGAAAACGAAGCGAGACCCCCGGACGCCGGAAAAGAGTACGTGAACGAGTCACACCTCCTCTGGAACCATTGTCGATCTGTTTCTGCTCATCCCAGCCGTTGGTCACGCAAGTGCATGGCCAAAGTACTCCAGGCAATCCCGTTTGGCTCGGCCCCGGGATAGCCGTTGGTGCCTGCATCGCGACCTTGGACTTTGAGGACAGTGTCGGCCTATTTCGGCTGGTATCGATCTGCGCTGACTCCAGTCTTGCCCGGGCATATAGACACCGAAGTCGACCAACTCGCCGAGATCACGGCCACCAAGCTCTCGCTCGGTGAAAGCGCTCAACCGACCGACGCGACAAGCGAAATAGCCGGCAAGCCCGACCAGGAGGATCTAGAAGAATGGGAGCTCAACGATGCCGAGATTGCAGTTGCCTCCAAACCCAATACTCGCTCTGCAAGAAAGAAGCCCAGTCCAGAGCCCAGCTACGACGGTGAGACGCAGGCCAATCGCTCGGAGCGCTGTTGCTTGTGTCCGGCTGTGATATCCGCACATATGCTTGGCTCCTGGACTCCGACCGCGAGCATGGCCACCCCCAGAACCTTCAGTTGTCGGCGAGAAAGCTGTGGACTCTCTTGGCCAGATGCCACGTTATTGCGTCCTGGCCACACATTAACTCCACATGATTGGGTTTCTCGATCTCAAATGTGAACCGCTCCTCTCTGGCGGTATTTCTACACTCGCCCCTATTTACCTCTGACAGAACCTAGCGGCCCGACACTGGCGCTCGAGCTCTACGACTTTCCGCCGACGTGGAAGACACACGACATCCACGCAATATTTAGGCAGTTCGAAGATGCCAAGGGAGGATACCGCCTCAAATGGCTCGAGGATACGAAGGCGCTGATCATATTCGGGAATGCCTTGACAGGTCAGTACCCATCGCGACACACGGAGCGCCTCGCAGCGTGCCTGGTTCTGTATCTGTCCTAGATACCGATGCGATCGCCCAAAACTGAAATTGCTCGACCAATGCGTTTCGATGCGCCCAGCGAAAACCGCCTACCTGGAGACGCTTGACCATCCGTTTGTTCGGGTAATAACAAACGGCCGCGAGAATGCAAGCGATGCAAAGGGTGGCAGATGAACAGGACCCTTGAAGTAATCGATTCGCTGTTGAATCCCCGCCCGAACTGCACTCAGGTCAAGCCCTACGAAGGCCGGATTCCGACCGATGGCAGCAGTATGTATACGGCAGACAATGCCGGGCCGTACGCCGGATAATGCTGGGCCATCCGCCAGACTACCTTGGCGCCGGTTTTTGGAGCAGCTTCAGCACTCGTTTCTACGACGCAACAGTGTTCTGATCAGCCGATGATTCGATTGATTCTCCAGATTCCTCACAGCCGCGCCCTGTGACAACTGGTGAGCAGCATGCCATGTCTGCAAGGCGCCTATGCACACGGGCTCATTAACGAGCCGTCGTCGGACGTACGGAATGCGCTGGCGCCACTGGCTTGCTCACCCCGTCCCAACGTCTCGCTCACTTGCAACCGGATCCGTTGCGCATCGCGACTGCACCAGACATGGTTGCTCGGAGGATGATTGCCGGGGCACTGGGGGTGCGCACGGTCCGCAAGACAGCCGAGGAGATGGCCCTCGACAAGCAAAAGCTCCGAGATGCTGAAAGTAAGCCCATCACCGGATTCGTGCTTTGCTTCGGCCTGCTGGATGCGCTGGTGGATGGCCCTGCTGACACCCTTTCACGCAACAGACGAGCGCCGAGCCCAAGCTGCGGCCAAGCTGAAGCGCGAGCGGGAGCTGAACGCTGCCTGGGAGGGCAGTTAATACCTGTTACAATCTTCCCCCCCCCTGCCGCCTGCTCGTTTCGCCGACACTACGTGGGTTCGCTGTCGCCCTGGCAGAACATATCAAGTTTTATCATGTACATACAGCTCAGAGAAGAATAACAACCCCCCGGGACACCCTGTTTTCATAGCTGGCTTGTTTTTTGGTATGGAAATACACACCCATCCATCATCCACAAGGGCCATTCACCTTGCTGAAGCAAGGCATGGGATACACCTCCAGTCTTCGTCGCTCGGGGTTCTCTGGGCATTTTGAGCAGCTTCCTCGCCAGGGTGTACTCGGCCATCAAGTCCAGCGCCCCCAGGCGCGCAGACCAATCGCTGTCCATAGATAAGCCACTCGCTTTGGTCCGCTGCGAACAGTGCAATCGACAGGCGTCCCGTTGCTCCTTCTTGGAGCTGTATCGGAACCCTGGGGTTGAATGACAGCCGCCTCGTTGCCTTGTGGGTCCTGTCACCAACACTTTATTCAGAAAAAACGGGACAATATAGCCGTTTCCATGAACATGTAGTATGTGCTGTGCTTGCGTCAAGCAAAGCCACAAGAAATAAAACAGATCACTTTGGCAGCCTCCGAGTGAAGACCTCCGGTCGCTCTCCGGTCTCCACAATCGACCTGCATACTGTGATCATGTTGCGCGCCGCATTGACGTCGCGATTCCACACTGTCCGGCAGCTGGGATTCTTGCAGCTCCTGACAAAGTGGGAATTCGCAACACTGGGCGCATCGAGTCCTTCCAACCGAACTGGCTCCAGGCACTTGGCGCACACCTGTGAGGTGTTGAACTCGTTCGTCGAGGCCACCTTGACGCTTCCATGATGGTGATTGGGACGGCGTCGGTGGTGCTCGAATTGCTCAAAGTACTGAGCAAACCGCTGCCTCCGAGGGCTGGATGCATAGCCCTTGCCCTGTCGCCATGACGCATTGCCAAAGGCGATCGCCACATCGGTCCGTATTGGGGCGTGCTTCAGGACGGCCTTGCACATCCTGTCGACGGCCACTTGGCGTCTCCTGTGGCCCGTGAAGCGATGGTGACGGGCCTTCTTGCCAAGGTGGAAGTCGAGCTGCACTCGCAGCTCCGGTCGCAGGACATGGGTGAGATGGACCTTGAAAGCCTCCGAGGACGACACCTTGGGCGAGGGGGTGGTCGACATCCAGGTCTCGATGCTGAGTCGATACTTCATGATATTGTGCCACTTGGTGTTGGACGTATGGCCACACATGTGCTGGTAGTGGCCATTCGAGAATGAGACCACCTCGTCTTGGTGGCCCGGTGCTTGGATGACCGCCGTGAAGATGGAGCCGACTCCAGGATCGATGCCAATCCAAGTGGTGCGGTTGGGGTCTGGGTCGCCGATGTGGGCCTGGATACGCTGCTCGGCAGTCGGAGGAGGCTCGATGGTCTCGGTGTGATCGGTTCGAGGCACAAACTTGACGAGACCGATGGTGCATCCAATGCCATCGGTGCTGATCTCGTAGTTGAACAGCTTGTGATTGATATCCCGGTCACGGAAGAGGGAGCTACGCAGCTTGAAGCAACTGCGCCAGAGACGATCCTGGTTGTTGATGCCGTCCTCACCTTCTTCCTTGAGCATGTCCCAGGTGAGGCCAAGGCCCTTCTTTGGACCCAGGAGTTGCCAAAGAGCGACCGTGTCAATCTTGACATACTTGGCCGTGGCAGTGCATAGAGGAACTATCGTGCACACGGCCGGAGGAGTGTCGACGGCGAGCTGCTTGAGTGCCCACTTGAGCCTGGATGCCAGCTTGTTGATCTTGGACTTGGTGGTGCCGAGCTCAGACTTGGCCGTGGTGAACCTCTTGTCGTCGGAGGGAATGCCTTGGGTAGTGAGCTCGTCCAGCTTGGCCTGGCGCTGCAGCTCGGTGACTCGGAGGGCGGGCATGTCACAGTCGATCCACTTGTGGACATTGTCGACCATCTTGTCCCGGGCGAGGATTCTCACATGGTGTGAGAGGCGATGGAGGGCCCGGAAGCGGTCCTGGTCGTTGCTGTACCGAAACTCGTCCAGGATGTGGCCAAAGTCTGGATAGAGGAACTCGAGATCGGCCTTGGGTGGAGTCTGCCCTGGTTTCTCGAAGAGCTCGAGACAGGCCTCGATGGCTTCGTGCTTATGCTTGTTGGCTGGGAAGACGGCAGCGCAGAAGCGGCGAAGGAGTCGCCAGTAGGCCAGGTCGAGGTGGGTGGTGCAGTTGGTGGCATAGGCATTGACAGCCAGGGTGAGAAGCTGACTGCGAGCACCATCAGGCAGACGAGGGGCCGGAGGTAGGTCTGCGTGCCGAGTGGTCTGGTAGTCGCGAAAGGAAGCGACCAGATGCTCGTTGTATTTCTTGGTCTCCCTGGCCGTCGAGAGGGCATCGGCCTCGACAATCGTGAAGCATTGGCGGATGAATGCAGGGGTGGACTTGGAGATGACGGGGATGGGAATATCCTGCTCGGTGCACTGGAGGATGTGCAGGTTGAGCAGCCTGGATGCCTCGAACTGGATCTGGGTCATGGCCTCGACGGTGGCCTGGATCTTGTCGCGGAGAGCGGGATTGAGACAACAGCCATCCATCGTCTGCTTGAAGCAGCTGAACTGAGGGGCGGATGACCTTCCATCCACGAGTGGGACGACAGAGCTCTTGAGGGGCCGGTATTTGGGACATTTGCTGGTGTTGCAGCGTTCGTGATCGGTGCCATCGCACTGGCGACATCGCTTGCCGGTACTCGAGGAAGTAGATGGACCAGGCTCGGTGGGATCGACATCCATTGGATCTGCAGAAGCAGTGGTGGTGAGCGACGGAGCAACAGACGACCAAGCATGCGTGGGATCAGAATACGAACCAGAGACAGGCTCCGACTGTGACTTGGCTTTCTTGGGCCTGGGTGGCCGAGGCTGGCCATCACCGGTACCCTTGCGCTTCGGAGGCATGGGGGCAGAGGATGGTGAATGCCTGCCAGTGGTACTGGTCAGAGCAGAGACTTTTTTTTATCGTACAATAGCGCGATGATCAGATCAAGGCGAGATGAGGGAAGAAAGCAGCAGGACGAAGGTGTGGCATTTATACCCGAGAGCAGGAACCCGTCTTTGCGGGCTGGTTGGAAGCGACCCTGTTCAAAAATCGCCGAGAGGTTCAAGCCAGGGATGTGAACGCGAAAATGGCGGCTTGATTGGAGGGAACTCAACCCCAGAAGCGCATCGCACGTTCAATCAGCCGTGGGAAGACATCTGGAAGCACCCTCCGCACGGCAGACTCAAACAGGGTCACCATCCCGACTCTGAGCCCCTCGGAGGCATTCAGCGCTGCTGCCTTCCTGTACTGATGCTTCACAATCCCAAAGAAGTTCTCGATGGGATTGAAGTCGGGCGATGCAGGTGGGGTGAAGATCACTGACCATCCTCGGCGCTCGATGCAGTCCAGGACAGCCATTGTCTTGTGCATGCTGACATTGTCCATCACAATCACAGAGTCGTCTGGGAAGCTCGCTCGCTCAAAGAACTCGACCATCGAGTGTGTCTTGAATGATGTGGGGATGTACATGCGATGCAGCACACCAGAGTGGTTGATGGCAAATGCAGCCGAGACAGACTTGTGTTTCATGTGATTGCGCTGGCGAAGCGGAGCACCCTTCGGCGAGTATCCGTAGAGAGGGAAAATGGATTTCCTGATCCCCGTCTCATCGACAAAAACGAATCGTCGTGGGTCAATGGAGCGGACCTGGTCCCTGAACTGTGCCACTCGCTCATCCAGTCGCTTGGACTTGTAGAGGTGTGTTGCCCTCTTGTGAGAGAGACCTGCTCGCTGGATGGCAGTGTGGCAGAGTGAGAGTGATACTTTCCTCTGGAGGATGGACTCGAGCTTGCATCGCAACACAGGACCAGTCTGGAACGGGTCCTGTTCAATCAGGGTGCGAATGACTGGACATGCCTGCTCGAAGAAAGTGGATCTGCGAGCTGGGACCCGGGATGGGTCATCCAGCTTGCATCCTCGGTGCCATCGATGGATGGTGCTCTTGGATACACTGAATATGGAGGCGACCTTACGCAGGCTATGGATGAGGGCGTAGCATCGCAATGCGGCGGTGCGAAAGTCGGATGTGTGGCGAATGGTCATGGCCAGCGCGCGATAACATTGGGTAACAAAATATTCGATGAATGGTCAAAAACCCGGTGTCCCGTTTTTTATTGGATTGCCTGTAAAGCCCACAGTTCTGTGTCGGGCCAAAACGGGAAGGTGGGTCGAGATAGCGGCCTGGCCACGGTTTTGCGCTTTTTTTCGCTGCCTGCGTTCTGGACCGAGCCAGGTTCGTTCGTCGCTCGCATTCCTGATCAGCTCCCGGACGCAGACCCTCAAGTCCGCGCAGTCGCATCTCCTCATCTGTGACGCAAGTCTGAAGCTCGGTATCTGAATCGCGCAATGGCCTCCAACTCGTCCAACTCGTCTGCTGGTAGGCCCATCGACCACCAGCCAACTTGCCTTGCCCAATGACGATGGCGATACCCGACTGAGCGACAACTATTGCCCGACGGCCCGCCAGAGTGCGGATCTATGCAGCTCCGGAGGTGCAAGAGCCCACCGGCACTGCAACTCGCACTGATTCTGTGTTTTCTCACAATTCGGATCGGCATCGTGAACCGCCTCGCGTTGGGCTCGCTGCGGGATTGCGCTCATTCGACACGATGACATGCACTGGATCTCCATTCTGAACGGGACGGCGCTCACAATCGCCATCATATACCCAACGGCGTCGCTGCTATCCAGCCCCAAAGCCGCTCCCGGCCCACTGGAACCTGTTCGCCGGTACTGTTTTTACACCCGAAGCTCTAGCACCGCCTCGATCGATGGACGCATCGCCTCTAGCGGCCGGCTGTGTGTGTTGGGAACGATGGCTATCAATGCGCTCGTTGTCGGGCCTTTCCGTCCAGCCGGCGCCGGCCGCTGCTTCTGGTTTCGTGGCCATGCGAGGCTTGCACATGTTCTCGACCAACATCACTCACGTGTCAATCTCATGCAGGTGCCATTGCTGGAGTCTCGGAGATTCTGGCCATGTATCCTCTGGATGGTGAGTCCGGCGCAACAGAATAGCATCGGGGTGGGAGTGCCAGCGCCGGGAATCGTGATCTCTTTGGACTAAGCTAACTAGCGCACGCACGCACTTGGTGGCTAGTCGTCAAAACTCGCTTCCAGCTGCAAGTTGGCAAGAGCAGCGCCGATTCGTATACCTCTATTGTCGACTGTTTCCAAAAGATCATCAAAAAGGAAGGGTGAGTTGAGCCGGGAGCAATCGGACTCATGGGAAGCTGTACAGGAGCACTCGACCAAGACACTTTACGATACAATGCGATGCGATATATGCAATGGGACACGACATACGCGATCGTCTGGAGGAGCATGTCATGATCTGAAGGGGCCCGGCAATCACCAGATACACAATATGGAGTCCACGGTGCACATTCCACTGGGTCGAAAATCTCATTCCTTGTCGGTTCGTTACCATCTTTCCCGCCTGGTACTGTCTGCAGCCCCGGTGTTCTGTACAGAGGCATCGCCGCCCCTATCATGGTCGAGGCGCCCAAGCGTGCCATCAAGTTCTCGGCGAACGAGCAGGTCCGTTGCATGCTCTCCAGTTGCTGCGTATCAGAACTGCAGCGCCCCGGCCAGGTGCTGCTGAGCGCGTGGATGGGAATATCCCGCTGATGACAGGACTGTGCTTGCATGCAAATCAGTACCGAACCCTGTTCAAGTCGTGGGGTCTGCCCGAGAGCCGCCTCACCTCGGTGCTGACGGGTGTCAGCGCCGGTATTACCGAAGCATTCGTCGTCGTTTCCTTTGATCTGGTCAAGATTCGTCTGCAGGACAAGGCCAACGTAAGTTTGAGTGGATCCTCCCGCCAGAACAGCTGCATCGCTGCATTCATCGGCTTCATGAATCCTCCTGACCCTTATCTATTGATTCTCGTGCACCGCGGCTGCTCTGCAGGCCGGAAAGTACAAGAACACGTATGTGGAATCGCTTGAGCTGCGACTGCACTCCGATATTTGATGCCATAACCCCGGCTCCGAATCAATTGGCCATTGAATTGATGGCTGTCGACCATCGCCACGCAGTACCCATACCCGTACTGATGCTCGTTGTCTCGAACGGGTGGTGTTGCTCAACCAACAGCTCCGATGCCTTCGCCAAGATTTTCCAGCAGGAGGGCTTCATTGGCTTCTTCCGCGGCCTCGAAGCCACTATCTGGAGACACGGTGTCTGGAACGGCGGCTACTTTGGATGCATCAGCACCATTCGCCAGTTGCTGCCCAAGGCTGAGACCAAGCAAGGCACCCTTGCCAACAACTTTATCGCCGGCACTATCGGCGGCACCATCGGCACGATCCTGAACACACCCTTCGACGTCGCCAAGACCCGCATCCAGAACCAGACCCTCCCCTTCTCGAGCTGCAAATACAACTGGACTCTGCCTGCCGTTGCAACTATTGCCAAGGAAGAGGGCTTCGGCGCGCTCTACAAAGGTTGGTTGACGATATGGATGTGGCTACACTCTGAGAGCTGTCTCGCTGGGACGGACCAAGCCGGCTGCCTCCGTCCCGGGGCACGGAGTTACGATCAGCCGAGCAAGCAACTGCGCTGTGCGCGAGTAAACATGCTGGCGATGATGTCGGGAGAATGATGTGACACTGACCCGCTTGCCGATAGGATTCGTTCCCAAGGTCCTTCGTCTTGGCCCCGGTGGCGGCATCCTGCTCGTTGTTTTTGAGGCGCTCTCTGGATACATCCGAAAGTAAGTAACGACCTCCATGCAAGCTTTCCAGACTCGCATGGGCACTGCCGCCGAGACTAATGGCCACTGACATTCATGATTTGTGTGCGCCAGGAACATTCTGTAATCATTGCAGACATGTCGAGTACCATCTCCCATGACCCCATCTCGTCATCTTATAGCCCACACAAAATGAAACGGGACACCCTGTTTGAATCCTGCGTGTCACTCTTTTCTGGGTCCTGAATACACACCATTCATCACCCAGCAGCGTGTCCAAGGAGACTGACACTGCAGCTGTTTTGGGAGCTCCTTGTAGAAGCAAGGGATGGTATGGCTATCGAGCCCATGGAGACTCAGACACGCCAAGTACTTTGAGCAGCTCCCCCGAGCTGTACTGAGAATACAGCCCGATTGCTTGAGGATGTGTCGGATTTTGACCATCGTCATCGTGGCCGAAATGCAGAGCCGCACAAGAACATGCACCCGACACAACGCACACTCGCCGCGCGGGAAGGCCTTGGCTTGGCGCGCAACTTGCTGGCGGGCGAAGGCCAGCGGAGAACCAAGTCGCGGCTGCCAGCAACGACGGGTCCGGCTGCCCGGCTGACGGTACCGTCTGCCACCGCTTCGAGCAGCACCCTTGAGCACCCGCAAACAGCGACGGCATCGATCCGCCCGGCTTGGGTCAACAGGCACCCTGAGCGAGCGCGCCAATATCCCTCGGTCCCATCTCGGTCCCATCTCGCCTGCTCTCGCTGCCATCTCGCGGCTCGCTGCCCCTGCCCCAGACCGCCTTCTATCGCCAAGCGCGATCGACACAACCGATTTCGGCACCTCCGGGCATCTCCAGCCAAGGCGACCCCATCTGTTTCGCTCTCGCAGCCTTGCTTTCGCATCCGCCATAGCACTGCTGTCCATGGCTTCCGCCGCCGCCGGTTCGAGCATTGCCATTGCAGGCCAATCCAGTCCCGATATTCGCCCGATCAGCGGCGGCCCCTTGGCAGACGAGCCCATTTCGCAGCCAGAGGCAAGCCACGATTCTCAATTCCAACACCAACACCAGCGCCAGCAGCACCAAGGCTCGGCCCCGCTTCCGCACCTGCCAAGCAAGCGTGCGTCGACACACTCGATTCTTTCGTCGCGAGACGGACAAAGCTCGGTGCCGCATTCGCCGTCTGCGTCGCGCAGAGGCTCCATCCCGGGCGACTCTCTCTCGAACAGCTCGTCTCCGGCGGTATTGGATTCGCCTCGACGACAGCCCACGCTCACCCCGTCCCTGGTGGTCAAGTCTCCGTCCGAAAATAAGTACCTGTCGCACCCCCAATTCCAGAGCCTCAAGGAATTCTCATCCAAGACCCGATTCAGCCACGACAACCTGGTGCTTTGGCAGAAGCTCCTGTCAGAAAAGCTCCCCGCTCCACTGAACAGGTGAGCGCCGAGCCATGTCCGGCTGTGTTTCCTGGTGAATGGGATGTGCTTCAGAGTCGAAAGTATTTGCAGTTTCTCAAGTGTGATGGGACATTGGATTTGTGGACACTGGGAAACAGAAGGAATGGTTGCCAGGTTGCTGGCATGGCTTCGCTGCAGGTCTGCAGTCCAGCCAAAGAACGCTCGGCCATTCACACGTCCGTTCTGCACCCGCTCTCTGTAGTCAGGAAGCGTTTGACTTGGATATGGCATCTCGTGCGGTCGGCGAGGCCCTGTGTATGTATCCTCCGCTGCATTCGACTCTGGGCCATCATGCTTTGCCGTGTGTGTCTGGCGACTGGAACTGCCTCGACATCATCAGCCGCTGAGACGAGATTCAATTCACCGAATATCCTGACCGTTTCCGGGCGCTATTCACCCTATATCGCTGCCACAGTGAACAACAATGCCTCAACCGCCAACTTCAACGTTCTACTCTTGCACTTGCTGAGCCAACTACGTTTCATGAGGAATATAGCCTACGACGGGTACGCAACCAAAGATGAGACGCCCTCGTTGGTGGAGGAGGGGCAGTACATGCGCTGCGTCTCAATGGACATGTACTGATAGCAGCTTGTCACTCACAGGCTCTGGAGTCCCGAAGCCTACAATGCCATGTTTTTGGTCCGGGTGTGCACAAAGTACTTTACGGAGAATCTGACGCGAGCGCAGCTGCACGAGCAATTTGAGAGTAAGTGCGGTTGGATGATGGAGTGCACAACCACCAATCCGACATGGCCGAGGCAGGTTATGCGGTTGCAGTTCCCGTGACCGAACCTAGAAACAGTCAGGGCGGTCGTCCAAAGCGTCACTGCATTTGGAGTTGGAGTGGCATTTTCGGAGGCAAGAGGGTGAACGATGTCGACCGGGAGCATACCCAATGGCACGAGGCAGCCAGTGTGATCCTTGGCTCGAGGTCGGCGATGGAGCAGTATGTGTGGTAACGATGATTGACTTGCAGTGAACCGAGTGACGGCCGAGTCGCCGAAGGAGTCTGTCTCGCCATCAACGCCAACGCAGCGTCTCAGCATCGACCAGCGGGTCACCATGGGTAAGCTTCGCAACGGGTCAAGCTTTGCGCTCCGGAGCAGTCGCAATGGCAACGTTGTTTCGCAAGACTAATAGATACTCGGTTGCGCTGACAGACAAAAGGCTGCGCGCCGAACAGCTGCTGGAGGAGCTCTTCCATGTCATCATCTACGCAGATACAAAGTAGGAGAGCGATCTGGCAGCCATCCGGATGGAGGCGGGGATAACCATATTGTGTCATGCGGCCGCAATGTCTGGAGCTATGCCTCGAATCAGACAAGAAGACGGGCTTGGTCGCGGACTGACCTCGCCAAAACGACTCTTTTGCAGGCAGCAACAAAACTACGAGTTCTACATCGAGGCCCTGAATCTGCTGATCGTGCTATTCTCGACGCAGATGAAGGGCTCCAGCGTCGAGGCCGGCAACGACAACTATTTTTTGGATATCCTCATGAACCACCTCAGGTGAGACAATACCAAGCAAGGACATGGGGCAAAGAACTCGAGTAGATGGATCAGTGCAGGGCCGTGCCGGTATCTGAGCTTCTGCTGCAGATGCAGTTAACCCAAGTCCAACCCCAATCCTCAGCCACTTTGCGAAAGGGAGTTTGGTCCGCCTGATATCGAACTTTGAGGAGCAGCAGCCGCCTCCGAATCCGTCCGTCGGTAAGTCTTCCAAATGTTGGTCATCGTCCAGCGAGAGCGGCAGGCAGTTGAGTTAACTTGGTGCCATCCCATCATACCCCATCATACCCCATCGTATTCCATCCCATCCCGTCACCGATTCGATATGGATTTCATCGGCGGTACGGGCTTTAGGCGTACTCTACAGTGCCTACTCGTACCTGTTTATCCCAAAAAAGCTCGATAGCACCCGATCCTCGCCGCTGTCCGACAAGAGTGTCCTGTTGATCCTGTTGCTAGCCAACCAGCATCCTCGACATATACCCAACGAATTCCGCCTGGCGGTCGCCTGCCTCGAGGACATGCCAGGTAAGAGCTCGGACGCGGGGTGTCATGTCCTGATCGGTTTTGAAGGATTTTGGACCGTATCGCTTATGTGCAGGCTCCACCGAGACCAGTATGGGCTTCGTTTTGGCCCTATCGATCGTCAATCGGTGCTAAGCAGCGTCCATATTATGCTGTGCTGGACGGCTCCGGTGTTTCAGTCGGCGCCTCTCGTGGCCCGGCGCTTTCATCAGACATAGATCCGGACAATCTGAGCGTGCCTTACAGCCAAATCTACCAAACCATCTGCTCGTAAGTTCAGCAGCACTTTGCCTCTGCTGGCTGGCTGGCTGGCTGGCTGGCTGACAGTCGGCAATGCTTTTGAGTTGAGCCCGAGGGCGATCATCACCGCGAATTACAGTCACACTCAACGAGTCATGGATCCTCACGATCACCACGAAAGCACCTGCATCCACGCTGATACACCAATCCGCGCAGGACCTTATCGACGGAGGAGACAACGCTGCTCTTGTATCTGCTAATGCTCCAGAACAAATCGTTCAAGACCTACGCACTTTCTCGAACCGATCCGGAGAGTCTGGTGAGGTGCTGGAGCATGGCAGTCAGTGTGCCCCGAACCCTGGCCGAAGGCATGCTAACGCCGCATGTCGTGGTTGGTATACTTGGAATCGTTGCTTCGTGGCGACTTGTGGATTGCAGCTGATACCCCTCCTCAAGCAAGTGTACGAGTCAGTTGAAAACAAGGCCAATTACTCGCACATGTATATACTCTTGATCATCCTCCTGTTGATATCGCAAGACGAAGAGTACACCGCCAACCTCCATAAGACCGTGAGTGGTGGCAGTTGCTGCAGCTGCTGCTGTGACGATCGAGGTGCTCAGTCGCTGATGTGAAACATACAAGCTAACGCACACCGCTGGACATACGACCGCAAAAGATGATACCGGTACAAGGCTGGTACACCGAGCGGATCTTGAAGCAAACGTCGCTGGGCGGCTATGTGATCCTGGTGCTGATCCGGACAATCCAGCTGAACCTATCGCATCACAAGGTACCGTCCCGCTCGCATCCAGTGGATTCGGCAACGCCTGTCGAGGACGAGCCTGTAGCATAGCTACTTACCCCCCTCCCTGCAATCTGATGTTCAGGATGTCTATTTTCACACCAACTGTCTTGCCATTCTCGCAAACATGTCGAACCGCATGAGCTACCTCAACGCAACGGTGGCGCAACGAGTCATCAGGTACAGCGCTGCCATCTGGCCGTCCGACTGGCTTGCTTGGAATCGGGATTTGGCAGTGTCTGCCGCAAAGCCGATAAAGACGGCCACGATGTATGTGAGTGTCGCTGGCTCTGGCTGACTGTGGTCTGTGTCCCCCTCCCTCCACACATCCATAGTCTCTTTGATTTGGTTGCCAAACGGTATCTCAAGATATATTCAAAATTTTCGGCTGTGATGACGATTGACGAGGTGAGAGTGTCGTGAATGTCGTGAATGTCGTGAATGTCGTGAATGTCGTGAATGTCGTGAATGTCGTGAATGTCGTGAATGTCGTGAATGTCGTGAATGCGGCTTGATGTATTGGTGTAGCCACCAGCACGGCCATTTGCAAGCGATACAATCTACATTTCTTGATGAGCCCGACCGGCTTTCCTGCTCCTGTCCATCATGTCACTGCGTCAACCGCTCCTGCATTGGCACGGGCAACCCAAACTGATGCCAATCCCCCATGACTCAACAGATCGAGAACTGCGGTGACAATGATTTCGTGGTGTATGGGGATCTGGTGGCGCTGCTGCTCGAGATCATCAACTCGGTCATGACCCACACGCTCAAGCAGAATCCGCATCTGGTCTATTCGATCCTGCACCGCCGAGAGATGTTTGCCAAGTTTCGGATGCATTCCAGATTCGTAGATCTGATCGAGAACATTGACTGCGTAAGTTAGTCAGTCCTCCGAATGGATGGCTTCATCTTGACACCTCAGTACCTCGACAGGCATGAAGAGGTCATTCTGTCAGCCGCTTGGCTGCCGACTCACACCGACTCGTATCGCGATATGGTCTCCTCTCGTGTCTGCATCTGGTCGCGTCGGCTGCGTTGCAGGTCATTGGGTACTTTCTCAACAAAGTCACCGAGTCCGAGATCAAGATGCCGTCAGTGGACGAGGTGCTAGAGGTCATCGACATTGCCTCCAAGACATGGATGCCGACGAAGCTCAGGATCTTTGCCGAGCTCAAGTTCCAATACGAGGAGGAGAAGGAGTTTGCGCTATTTTTCCTGCCATACATCTGGAGCCTTGGTATGTCTTGGCATCGACTTTGGCGTTGGAATTGTGTTGGCTTTGCTTCCGAAACCCATGCCTAGTGGCAATGGGCAGATCCAACAACGGCCCATGCTGTTCCAGTGGCTGGAGGGAGGCGCTGCGACAGCGGTGCCGCTGTGAGTGCTGTCGCTTGAACAGAGAGACGTTACTTGTTCTGACGGAGCTGCGTTGGTCCATGGCAGTATTCAAGCACTCACTGATTCACTGGGACATTGAGAAAACAAAGCTGGTTCAGGAATTGGTGAGTACGGTGGCATTCGGCCCCAGGATACGGCCCTGTCCTCGCATCGGACAAGCTGTCACAAATCGCGCTGACCCGGCGTGTGAACTTTCGACCCAGGGCGCATGTGTTCCGATCCACGACTTTTCCACTCCATTTTGACAACTCTACGGCCAGAGACATTGTCCATCGAGGACGACCCCGCTGCAAGCAAACTTCTCGGAAAGGCATGGCAAACACAAAGCCCCAACAATATATTCCTTATAGACGTCCAGTCCTGTCGCCTCCTCACCTCCTCTCCTCCTCGCCTCCTCGCCTCCTCGCAATCCGGACTGCAAAGTGAGATGGTGTATTCACATGCGAATGATAGCGACAACATAAACACGCATTCAATCCCCTCCTACTCGTTCCCTACCCCATCTGCCAGCCGACACCCGTGATCTCTCTCGCCCACTCGCTCAGCATTTAGTCATCCAAAACAAGTTCCTCGGTCTCCTCGATGACCTCCTCGATCCACTCCTCGAGGTCTTCGGCATCATCGTCGTTTCGGACATCGGGGTCGAAGCCGTAGATTTCGATTCGTTTTCGGAGCTGCTTGCGGTACTCGTCCTGTCCACGGCGGCGGAAGGACTGCCAGTCATTCCACATGCGGATGCGGCGGTCGAGCAGGTCCCGGTTGACCTCGGTCTCCTGGGCCACGTCGTCCTTCTCAAAGTCCTTGGAGTAGCTCTTGAGATCCTTGCGGATGGCCTTCTGCTGCTCCTTGGACAGGAGCGTCGGAGGGCGCGGGCGCCAGAGGAGCTGCTTGAAGACAGGCATGTTCTGCTTGTTGAGCTGCTCGCCGGTGAAGCTCCAGATGACAAAGCCAGTGTCGACCTGGATTCTCCACCAAGAGACAGAGGTGGCGACGAAACGGCCGGTAGGATCCCACTCGACGTCGGTGCAGGCGTAGTGCTCGCCGTGGTTCATCATCACCAGATCCTCAACGTCCCAGAACTCAAGGTCGCCGTTGCCGAGCTTGATGCCAGCCAACACGCAGTATCGGCCCTTGGGAGACCAGTGGATCTGGTTGACACCCTTGCGCTCCATGGACTTGAGCAACTTGATGCTGGCAGTGGAGCCGGCGGTGATGGCAGTGTTACTCTTCTTGGCCGCAGCCTGGGCTTGGATGGTCTGCATCTCATAAAAGTGGGCCATGATCTTCTGACCCTCGGTGGAGAGGACAGCAAAGCGAGAACCATTGGGCTCCCAGTTGATGCTGGTGATGGATTCGTTCGGGTTGGAGATCTCAAGGACGTCGACAGGGATACCCTTTTCGGCCATGCGGAAGATTTCAAAGTTGGTGCTGGACTGCTTCTTGGTCTTCATACGATCGACCTTGACGAGAAGATAGTCGCCCGACGACTGCCAGTGCATCTTGCACTGATTGAAGGAGCGGCGGAGAAACAGTCGGATGAGTGGGACAGAGTTCATGAAAGTGGTCGTGCTATATCCAGCAAGCTCAACGGTGCCTGAGCACATTCCATAGGCACAGCCCAGCCTTTGGACAGACTCTCTTCGAGCCAACGCATCAAACACCGAGACACACTTACATCAGTGACGTTGAACAAGTTCTTGGTGCGGAGAATCTCGCGGTTGGGGATGGACATGACCGTGACACGAGCCGGGGTGTTGCCGCTCTCAGAGATCCAGAAGCTGATGATGTTCTGGTTCGGACACCAGGCAAAGCCCTGGAGGTTCTCGATCTTGATGGACTTTTTGTCGAGCAGGCCCATGCCGGGGGTTTCGTAGATGGAGATCAGGCCTTGGACACCGGGGGTCATGCGGGCCAGGTACTTGTCGTCATGCGACCACTTGAAGACCGGCCAGTCGATGCGGAAGGAGGAGCCGCCGGTCTGGGAGCGCTCGGCCGAGGCGACGCTGGCGGGGTCAACGGCAAAGGTTCGGAGTTGGAGGCCAGAAACGATATCCCAGACAATGATGTTCTGTGGGATACGGTTCGGGGATTATTGGCAAGGAGGGGGGGGAAGCGAGGGATTCGAAAGATGCACCAAGGCAGCGAAACGGGCGAGGAGGGGAGAGAATAGAGCGGGAGATAGTCAGCATCGAGTCAAATGAGACATGCTGATCAACAGGCCAAAGTCGCCATGCGCTCCACAGTAACGCTCATCAGTTTTCTGTTCTATGGTAATCACAAAGTACAAGAATCCACTCTGCTTCATACAAGTAGTATGTGAAAGAGCTCATCCCCTGAGCGACCGGTGGAGCCGCATCTACGCCTGTCGAGCGGGCCCAAACGGTCGAGGAGCGCCAGGGCAGCAACATCCAAGGGCACGCCGAATCAGAGGAAAGCGACGGCGACTTACGTGGAGCTCGCCGGTGGGGGTGGTGAAGGACTCATTGCTCCAGGTGACGAGATACTTCTCGTTGGGACTGAAGTCGATGAGCTTGACGTTTTGGTGGACGAATCGGATGATCTTGTTCCAGCTTGGGCCACCCCAGAGAACAATGCCCTGCTTGTGGAAGGTGGCCAGATAGTTGCCCTTGGGCGACCAGCTCAGATACATGTCGGACCAGTTCTGTGTGCGCGCGGAAGAGATTGGAGAAGGCAAATGGAGAGGGCGACGACAAGTCAGTGGCGCTAGCTCGGGGGCTCGGGTCGCGGTGACGAATTGGGCCGAGGGGACGGAGTATCGAAGGGCTGGGCGGACCAGAGTCGAGTCTGATTGATCGGCAGCAAGCCGAAATTTGGGCAACAGTCGGCCACAGCAACACCACTTACAGGACGGGAGTAGACGAGCTCGGGATCTTGCGACTTGTTGTTCCAGAAGATGCTGACTTCGTCGCCACGCATAACGACCCACTGGTCGCGGGCACGAGGATCAGTGAGCCAGGACTTGAGATGCTCCTTCTCAACGTATTCGGCAGACTCCGGGGCCTGGAACTCGTCAGGAACCGAGCGGCAGGCTTCAATGTCATCGAGCTTGTTGACAGCGAGGATGTGGGTCTTGGTCATCTTGTGGCCATCGCCGTGCTTGACAGCGAGATCAGCCTGCTCGGGGGTTTCAAAATCAAGGAACATGTATCTGGATTGCAGGCATTGAGGGAATATCGGATGAGTCGGCGGGATAGATGGGTCGGGGCACTGCCGCGGCTGGCAGATCTTGGTCGGCGCGGGCCAGAGAGAGAGGGCAGGCCACTGACTCGGCAATACACAAAAGAAGCACACCCACGGATCCGCCAGATCGCGAGTACGAATGGCTGGATATCCGATGCGTAGAAGCGATAACTCCAGCCCAGGCTACGACCAACAGAGCCAGGATGGGCCGATCAGACCGGCTTTTGACGAGATCGGGCGGCAAGAGATGGTGGAGGTGGAGAAAGACCTACCCTTTGCTCTCGCCAGTTTCGGGATCCATGGGCATGAAGACGCCGCCATCCTTGACGGTGCCAAAGTTGACAAAGATCTTCTTGACGGCAGCGATCAGCTTCTCCTCCTTGGCCTCATTGACGATGGGCAGGTTATCGACAACGATGACCGAGTCGTAGCCGGATGGGTAGTCGACCTCGTACTTCTGGACAATGTCGGAGTAGTCGATATCGTCGCTGTCATCGTAGTGCAGAGTCTTCTTGGACTTTGAGGAGGACATGGCTGCGGGGGGGGTGTTCGCGCGGCGGTGGGCAGACAGATGGGCAGCGAGCCGAGGAGCAGGCGGATGGCAGAGAGGCCGAGGTGACGCTGAGGATGGGGCAGCTATGAAGGTCGAGCGAGCGTGTTGGAACAACCAGACAGAAAAAAAAAGGGCAGAAAAAAGTCAGGTGAGAACGGCGGGCGAGAACAGGCGAGAGCAGACGAGAGCAGACGAGAGCAGACGAGAGCGGGGAACAGCGAGACGCGGGCGACACAGAACAGGCAGGGGTGCTGGTGCCACGGGGATGCTGCTGCACTCGATCCAGGCTGCAGCCACTCGATCCGGCGATCCGCAGCCGCGTCGCCGTTCCGTGCGCCGTTCTGTGTCGCCCGTTCGACTGGCTGTCCGCATTCCTCCACTGCCAGCCGAAAAAAAATTTTCGCCCGCCTGTCCATCCGCAGAGAGCACCCGCGCTGCCTGCCCTCCTCGTCTTTCGCCGAGTCGCTGTCGTCGTCGCTGCTGCTGCTGCTGCTGCCTGTCTGTCTGCCTGCCTGCCTGCCTGCCTGATCGCCCTGGGACCCGCATACGCTCGCAAGCATCCTGTCTAGGCCTCTCCAGCGCCCGTCTCCTTCATCAAGACCCTCACCTACCCCGTCCGATTCAAGCCGATCATGTCGCCCTTTGCCAACCTGCTCGATCAGTTCAAGGCCTACCGGGAAAAGATGCCCGCTCCCGTCAGCTTCGAGGCTTTGCACCGCGAGATCAAAGGTACCTGTCGCAGCCGCGCACGCGCAAGCACATCTCGATCGCTGTCGGGTCGGCCATGAGCAGTTCTCAGAACCGAGATGAGCCTCCGAGCTGCTGGTTGGACAGGCACCGGATCTCGGGCAGATCAGGCAGATCAGACCGATCAGGCCGATCGAGTGGGTCGAGTGATGGTCCGATACGACCATTTGCTACCGCCACCTCCCGCCTCGGCCACTCGATCGCTTAACGCGCCAGCCACGAGTCACTTACCATTGGCATTCCGTCTCGGCTTGCCTCTTCCAGGTGTCCACCCAACGCTGCATCTGATTGACGGCGCCAAGTTCGAGCTGACCTCGATGCTCTCGCCCAACTTTATGGTCTCCCACTCCTTCGCCTGGGGCAGCTCCAACCACCAGCAGCCTCCGTCCTACCACTTTGGTGCCGGATATCACACTGCCAAGGTAGGCCGACGAGTTTTAGGGGATTGAGGCCAAGCGACCAACTGCGGATCTGCGGATCTGCTGTCGGATGCAGTTAGAGTGGCGGCAGCGGTGGTGGTGGTGACGCTCCATGTCCTGGGCTGCGATACAACGTCTTGGCAATGTGCTTGCATCCGCAGTGACCATGGTCGCAGCAGTGCCGGGCCTGCTCTGTATCTCCCTGGCGGCTTGCTGATGCTTTACACAATCATACCCCGGTCTCGGCAGTACATGATGCACGGACAGGTCGACCATGACGGCAACCTCTCGGCCCGCGCCAACTACAACTGGATCCCGGCTCCCACCCCTGTCCAGCCCACGGACCCCAACACCCCCCCTCCTCCGCCGCCGACCCCTCGCCATGGCTCCAGCTCCAAATTCCAGGGCCAGTTCTCGGGCCACCCCGAAAACAACATGTTCATGCTGGAGCACGAGTACCTCAACAACGACTTTACGATCAACGTCAGGGCCATCAACCCCAACCCAATCGCCAGCCCTGCGTCGTACGTCGCCAGCAACCCCCCGCCCAAGGGCAGGACCCACCCGTCGGCGGTCACGGGTATCTACTCAGTGTCGTACCTCCAGTCAGTCTCGAAATCGCTGTCGCTTGGTGGCGAGTTCACCCTGCAGCGCCTCACTGCCGACATGGACGAGCCCAGCACCACGCTCGCTCTCCGCTACGCACCTCCCGCCTCGGAGCTGCCTGCTCCCACCTCGCTCCCCCCTGGCATGCCCTCCCCCTATATGCCCATCAACCCCAACGACCCGACCCAGGTCTTCACCACGACCTTCAGCCCTTCAACAGGCATGCTGCACGCGTCTTACTGGCGAAGACTCAACCAGCGCCTCGAGGTTGCGGCCGAGACCCAGATGCTGATGACACCTGCGGGAGCTCGTGGCGAAGGCCGACGCGAGGGCATCGCCGCCGTTGGATTCAAGCTGGATACGGTGCACTCTACCATCCGTGGCATGTTTGACTCTCACGGCAAGGTTTCGGCGCACATTGAGGAGCGCATGGCTCCTGGATTGACGTTCCAGGTACGTTGGTGGAGCAAGCAACCCCGAGTGTGACCATTGATGCGGCGTGGATAGAGCTATGTGGTCGGCAGAGTCAATCCGACCTGGTGGGATGGACCGACGCCAAAGTCGCTGTAGATCCATCACCGTCTGCAAAGCTACTCAGGCCGTGCAGTCTCACGGATGGATATGGATGCTAACCACGATCCGTCTCCCTCTCTCACTACGTGCTGCTTCGCATGCACCGCCAGATCTCGGGTGAAATCGACTATGCCAAGGGTGCTGGTGGCGCCGGTCGTGTTGGTGTCGGATTCACCCTCGAGGCGTAATCTCCCCTCCCTCCCTCCTGTAGATCCACATAGCAGCATACAGCCCCCTCCTGAGAATGTGCGGACAGCCCATGCTCTCCAGAAATCATCATTGTAATTATTACAGCAGAATCGAAACGGGGACACGATGCTTGAGGTCGATGGCCACACTATTTTCTGAATCCCGGTGCGCCGAAAGGGCCATCATGGAGCATCATGCGGCGGACATGATCATGGTGCGCACCAGCGAGCTGTCCTTCCTGGAGATCCCGAGCCCGGATGGCATCACGATGGGAACACCGAGCCTGGCCAGGACCGTGTCCGTCCCAGACGACTTTTCGTCTTTTCTGGGGGTGCTGCGCGGCCTTGACGACAGCCGCGACCAATGGCGGGACAGAGAACAGGGGGAAGGAAGGACCCCGGTTTGCGGTCGTGTCGACCGCGTGAAAGCCAGCAAATGACGGCGGGTGACGGCGGATGGCGGCGGGAGAATTGCATGCGGGCAGGGCGGCGGCGGCTTCGACAAGACGATCCCTGGCATTCTAGAATGCACATGGCGTGTTCGGCAATCGAAGGCGGCAGACATGTGGGCGACACAAACACGCTCCACTGCGGCCACACGGCGCCATCAGCAAGGCGACGCGCCGGCAAGGGGGCGGAACAGCCTTGCTGGGCGCCACTGCGACTTTGGCCGCGTCACATGGACAGCGAGGGCTGTGTCTGCGGCGCTCTCTGGCTGCTGCTGATTGGTCGGTGTCTGGGAGGACGACGCGCGCCAAGAGCATTTGTGTTCCGCCGGCCAGCACAGCCGACTCTGCATGTGTGTGGGTGGCGCACTGAATGGCGCTGTATCCGATTGGTTGGGGCCGCAGGTTGTGTTTGTGCACCAGAAAGAAGCAGCTGGCGATCGACGACACCGCGTCCAACCGGCGTCACCACAGAGACAGCGCCGATCGAGCGCCTTCGGTCCCCGACTGACCGGCCACTCTGTGACCACACACAGAGCCCAGAAGAGAACCCAGGGAAACACGCGCTATTTCAGGCCCATTTCATATGCGGGCGGGACCATTTCGTCGGGGAGAGGCCATCGACGATCCGCAGGTCTCATTTGTCCACCGAATGTGTCATCTGCGGAATATGCCACTGACCAAGTATCGCATCAAACAAATACCCTATCAACCAAGTATCCCATCAACCAAATATACCGCCAACCAAACGTCCAAAGCGTTGCCGGCCGCCAGTTGTCTGGGCCGGCTCGCTCTGTGCAGTGTTGCACGCACAGCTTGTTTGTGCGCCCGCGCCAGGGCGACAGCCGCGCAGCCCCCACCCGTCCGCGCACCACTGGCCGCGCACCACTGGCCGCGCCCTTCCGCGGCGGCAATCAGCTGGCCTCTGTGGGGCCCTCTTCTCTTTTTCCTGGCTCCTGAGCGCACCCGTCCTTCTGGAACTCAAAAGCAGCGCTGTCCCCCATCGCCCTGCTCGCTGGCCTCACCCTCGTCCTTTTCTTTCTGCTATTCCTCTTCTTTCCTTCCGGCCGGGCTTCCTCGTCGTCCACCGACCTTCTCGGCTCTCGTGCCCGCTGCCGCTGTTGGTGAGTCGTGGATCTCCCGCCCACGTCGCCCATGCTGCCCACCCCCAGGCCCGATCGCATCAGCCCATCGCCCTTGATCTGCCCTGTCTGCCGCGGTTCCCGCCGTTTCACCTCCCACGTTTTGCTGCCAGCCATGCCGCACCGCCAGGATCGGGCGCCTTTGCCGCCGCCTTTTTTTCGATCCTGCCGCAAAACTCTATCGTGCTGCCATTGGCCCAGGCAGCCAACTCGTCCTGTCTCCTCTGGGATTGCCGCGGTTTAGCCCGTTTCCGACACTGAACCAGCCCTGTGCCTTTTATCCCCCTGGCTCTCACCTCAGCCGTTCCTTTCCGCCAAGTTTCCGCCTCCTCTTCAGCCAGCAGCAGCCGAGCTCCTCTCCCCGTCTGCAGCCGCCCATCGGTCCTGTTCAAACTCCAGCCCAGCATGGCTTTCTCCGACCAACCATGGTTTTGGATGCTTGCATACTTTGGTCTGAGCACGGCCATGACACTCTGTAAGCCCCCCACTCTTTGCATATGAACATTCTCTCCTCACCAACACAGCCCGCCCGCCTCGCGATGGCAGATGTGCAATCCCCTTGGCTTTCTGCGGCACCCAACACTCGCTATGCCTTGTGGGGCTCCTCACATCCATCGCTTCTTGAGGCATCAATGACTCGTACGCTCTTTCTTTTGCTAATATTCGTATCCTTCCATCTCTCATCTCTCCTTGGATCCGCCAGACAACAAGGCCATCCTCAGTGTTGCCGATTTCCACATGCCGTGGCTGATAGCCTCGCTACACACCTTCTTCAGCGGCCTGGGCAGTCTGATTTGCATCATCTGGATGAATGAGAGTCAGCCGCTGCTTCTTGCCGGCCAGGTCCGCCGACGATCTCGATCACATCAAAAACTGTCAGTCGATCTGGAGTCATCTGCCTTCCTCGGCCCCCATGCGGGCTCCGACGCTGGCTCGCTGGACGAGCACAGCGATCCGTCGTCGCCGACCTCCTCGATCCTCACCATCGATACCGACGTTGACTCGTCCTCGTCCTCGCCTTCGTGGAAGTACGCCTACCTGTTCCGAATTCCGCCCTCGGTCGTGGCCTTCTCGATCCTGTACACCCTCAACATTGCCTTTTCCAACATCGGCTTGCTGGGCGTTTCCCTGCCGCTCTACCAGATGATCCGGTGCACCAACCCGCTGATTACCTTTGTGATGGAGTTCTTCTGCTTTGGTCGACGGGAAACCAACATCGTCTATCTATCACTCTTCATGGTAAGCAGAGCCAAGCTCGGCTGGGATCACCATCGCTCTTCTGACTTTCGGCCGGACACGGTGCAGTTTAGATCGCACTGGCTTTGCTGGCCTCCTCTCTCGCTCTCCCCCCCCCACTTGCTGCCTCTGCTAACCATGTATATCCATTCGGCTCGCGTTCCATCCTCACCCTCCCTGCAGGTCGTGGTTGGCGTCGGCCTTACCGTCTACGGCGAGGTCCAGAGCACCGCTCTGGGCGTGATCCTCAATTTCATCGGAGTTATCCTCTCGTCCGTCAAGGGCGTGTTCACCAACATTCTCCTCAAAGGCGGCAGCTCCTCGTCCAAGAGCAAGTCCAATTCGTTTGTTCTCCTCTTCCGCCTCTCGCTGCTAGCCGTCCTGCAGTGTCTCGTCGCCGCGTATTTTGTTGGCGAGATCGATGAGTTCGTGGGCTATCTCAAAAATCTGCAATGGAACTGGAGCCCCTTTGGCCCCCACATCTTGGGCCTGCTCGGACTGGCCTCGGCAACCAACGCGAGCCCCACCGACATCCAAGTCCCCATTGGCAATGGCACCCTCGTCGATACCCAACTGCCGGCTGCCGAAACGCCCCTCTCTCTAGGCGAATGGGGCTGGATGGTCTGCTTCAACGGTGTCCTGGCCTTCCTCGTCAACTATGTCAGCTTTACCACCAACGGCAAGACGAGCGCATTGGCCATGGCCATTGCCGGCAACGTCAAGCAAGTCCTGATGATCTGTCTGAGCGTGGTTCTCTTCAGCTACATCTTCACGTACCACTCGGCTCTTGGTAAGCACCACAGCCATGCACATGCACATGCACACGGACAAGGCAGGTCCCCGACGCCATACGTGCCTATTCCGCCATCTGTCGAATCGATGGTCGCAGCGATCGGAAACCGCCTCCTAGGGTGCCGGTTTCAGTGTCTGACCTCGGCCTTCGTCCGTTCACATGATCTCCTCAGGCATCGTCGTCACCCTTGCTGGCGGTCTGATATATTCGCTTGCCAAAATCAAGTCACGGTAACAATCTGGCCGGCTTGTGCGTGCTCCTTTGGTGTTGTCCTGTCCAAATATATCATAACAACCCTCCCGACTCTCAGCGACTCTCTATCTCGGCTGGTGATTTGAGTGAGCCCCGCGCAAGCGTGCGTGTTCGTTTATTCCATCTGGATCACCACGGCACCCGAATCCCTGAGGACGAGAAACCCGCTGCCATTAGCCACGCGGATCTGCCCGAGCCCGACGACTTCGTCGGCACCGCCGGCTTCGCCCAGCCCGTCCAGGGTCACAAGATATTGATCGGCCCAGTCCTGGCTCGAATGCTGGTAGATGTACAGTTGCTTCTTGGCCTCGGCAATCAGGGCGTAACGATGGTCGTCCGTGAAGGCGATATACTTTTTCTGCGTCTTGCTGGCCTGGACAAAACCCAAGGCGTCGAATGTCCGCACATGGGCCACGTCGACACCAGAGGTTGCATCGGAGGACTTGCCGCCACTTGCCGAGGAAGCAGTTTGAACTGTGTAGACGAGGGCATCGACATCGGACTGCAGCAAGAGACCCATGCACCTGGAGGAGGCCGCTGTCGATCCGAGCACCTGAGGGGCACCAGGGAGGCTGCTGTCGATGGAATCGCTGGGCGGACCAGCAACAAGCATGTTGCCGAGCCATTCGTGGCCCGACCCGTACGAAACGTGTGTTCTCGCCGGGGCAGCCGTTGGATTGATCAAGAACCGAGCCAGCGCAACGGGGCGGCCCTCAAAATCAACCTTCTCCGAGCGTTCGGAGAGGAACCGCTGCTGGTCCATGACCGTGCCCGGGGCATAAGCACGATGGCCAAACGATCCGTCGTCCGGAGCCGTGTACTTTTCCAGCTTCTCGACAAAGACGGCAAGCTCGCTTGGGTCCAGGGTCTCGGGCTCAGACTCGGCGCTGTCGAAGAGCTGGCTCCAGCGAGTATTTTCGTTGCTCTTCTGCAGGTACAGCGTCAGATTGCGGTTGCCTTCGAGCGTCCACAGGCTTTCGTATGGAACGATCTGGTCAAAGAGCACGTCCGGCAAGATGGTGGGAATGTCCGGCGACAGAATCGACAGGACGATCCGGGATCGCTCAAACCGGCACCGGACCTGGCGCTTGTCGAAGGGCTCGCGAAAGTTGATCGAGAGGGTGACGTCCGAGTCGGACTGCATCCACATGTACTCAAACGGGGCTGCAGTGTCCTGGGCGGAGGGCACCGAAGGCCCAGCCAGATGCGGCTCGACTTGAATCGGCACGGCTGCATCAGCGGGGCCATCTACAACCGTGGGCACTACTGCATCCTTGCGCAGACAGGCTTCAAAGGGTCTTGCACTGGCCACGACCAACCCAAGGCCGCCAGACTCGATCAGCACGGAGTACGGTTGATCGACACCTCGGAAGCTCGCCAGTCTCTGAACCGGCGTCGATCCTCCCGTTCGCAGCAGCTCCATCTGCAGCAGATCGAGACGGAAAGAGTATCGGGTCTCTCGGCTGGCTTTGAGCGCCATTGGCGATTCGGGGCTGTCTTCTCCTGGGACAAGATACGAGACGCAGAGCGTGATCCTGTCCGCCGATGGCCCAGGCTCCAACAGAGCATCCAAAAGCGTGCATGCCGACGATTCGACAGGTGGCTCGGAGAACAGGCGGTGGCGGATGATCCCGGTGTCGAGCAGCTGGTGAGACTGGAGCAACCCGGAAGTTGGGTCGAAACGGAGCAGGGCAAGCGCCTCTGCTCCGTCGGCCACCGCAACCATGTCTTCTGCGATCGTGCATACCGACGGGTATTCCCGCGACAGCTCGGGAAGGGCTGGAATCGGGAACCGATAGAGGGACTGGAACTTGACATCGGACGTGGTCTGTTCGCGACATGTGTCGAGGGGAGAATCAGATCGCTGCCAGACAGACCAGAGCCAGACCAGAGCCAGACGGACCAGAGCCAGCATACAAATCGTTGGCCGCTGTGCTGAGATATCCCCCTTCCTTCAGCCAGAATGAGCTGCCCTCGACAAAGCTGCAGCGTACCAACCTCATCGACAACGGCATGGATCACCCGATAGAACTGATCGACAAAGAAGAAAGAGTTGCGCCTGAACGGATTGGCAAAGAGGTTGTTGAACCGGCTCCTGAACTCCAGGACCTTGAAGGGCAGCTGAGAAACGCATGGGGCCTTGGCATCGAGGGCCACTGTAGTAGGCTGCCCATCAGCCGCGCGCAACGGATGGTAGGAGACCGAGCGAACACCTGCACCCAGGCGGAGCTTATAGCTCTCGAATCTACCAGAGCCCCGGTCCAGCAACGAGTTTCGTCACCCGGATCGATAGGAGCGACGGCAGGAGATGTGGATTAGCCACACAGGCCAAATTTCGGTGGAGAGAAGCGCAGAGAGCAGTCCGCTCAACCGGGGCGGGGCCGTGGGTCGAGCATGCGCCGGACGCAGCGGGTTGACCTTGTGAAAAAGGTCGAACAGCCATCGAGATCTCGAGCGTGCTGCAGAGCAAGGATCGGGGAGCAGACGCAATACTGTGTGATCCCGGCCACCGAAGCCAAGGTATCTCCGGTGCCATATACTCCACCCGCGGTTTTCACTCGGCAGTACCCACCTCGGGTTGATCAGGCGGTTGTTGGGATGGAATTCCAGCGGCATCTGGGCCATGTCGACGTCGGGATGGAGACAGCGATGGCGAGCTGGACCAGCGGAACACCGTCACAATCAACCGCGAACGCAACCTGGCCCTGGCTGGAGCCAGGCTCACGTGGAAGGCGCTCCTGGCTCGGCACTGCCTTCGTTGGGCATCGACCCCAGCGCGACTGGTCACTGCTGCTGCTACTGCTGCTGACCGGCAGTACCTCGCGCCGAAGCCATGGGCTCTCGATGTTACTGGCGCCTTGCTCCAGCCCGACCCACAGCCCCGTGATGGATCATGTTGAATCGAGCCACTGCGACGGATCGATCCGGTGACACTCGATCCGATTCTGTACCACGTGAGCGTGTGTGACCCGACAAGTGGCGAGAACGCTCTCGCGAGAGCAATCTCGTCGCGGCTGCTTTTTTTCATTGCACGACTTCCGCCCGTGTTGTCGGCGCTGGCGAATTGTTCGCGGATCCGTCCCAAGTCCCAAGCTGGCCGGCCAAGACAACAGGAGCACCGACATGGCTGCCGACACAGCTCTGGGGAGCGCCAGCGCCCAGAGCGATTCGGGCCACTCCGACAACGGCGACACCGAGCAGCACATCCCGATCATGGAGCAGAATGACGACGGCGAAGCTGCTGACGGCGCGGCCCAAGAGCATATCGACTGGGACGCAATTCGCGAAAAGCTATCCAAGAAGATCGTAAGCACTCATACTCAGCATCCGCTTGCTTTGTTGATATATCCCGCAAGAGCACCGAGGGCATCTCCACCAGGTCGACGATCGCGTGGCCTCGGCTTGTCGACCCATAGATCCTCATGAACATGAGGCTTCATGATTCCCGTCCACCCGTTTGCATCAACCCGTCATCTTGCGAGTATGCTGAGAGATGGGTTCAACCGATGCACCTCTTTCATCCCGAACGCCATCCGCTGATTCCAAATCTCTCATCAGTACCACCTGAGCACCGAGTTGAGGCGTTGCGCCAAGAAAGCCGCCACGCTTGAGACTCCAAAGATCGTCAAGAAAATCCGGCTTTTGAAAACCAAGATTGAGTGAGTGCAGCTCGCGACGGATCCAGCACGATGCCAATAGTTCATGTCGAGGCGGGGTGTTGTTCAACACGACAATCTTGCTGTATAGTTGTCGCTTACTGACCGATGGCTCTGCAGGAGCGATGCCAACACCCCGGAAGAGGTTCAAAATGGCAGACGGAAAGAACTGTCCAAGCTCGAGGGGCAGATTGAGGGCCTGAAGGTGAGGCAGGGGTGGTTTCGGGATCGCTTGCGAACACCATGCAATCATACTGGTTCGAGGGAGCGATCGTGGACGCCGATCCAGCGGATTGGACAACTGGTCTTTGACCGGTGAGAACGTTGATCGATAGCAAGCGTGCAGAGTGGCCTGACGTTGTCGCCAACGGAATGAGCACTCATAGCTGCCGTCGTGTCGACCAGAAAGTCGACGTTGATCGCCTCTCCCGCTTGGCATTTACCCGGGCCATCAAGCGACTCAAGACACATTTGCAAGAGCCCGTCACCGAGATCGCCCAGAGCAGCGGCAACTCCGAGCCAGCAAGCGCCGGCCCAGAGAGCTCGGCGGAGGATCCACGCACGGCCGAGCCGACCTCCGCAACCGACCCGATGCAGCTAGATGCAGCCTCGAATCGCGTGCTAAATAGCAAGCTGATGGCCCAGCAAATCCAAGAGTGCGTCTCGGATCTGTGCAAGGTCATCTATGCAAAGCAGATTGCAGAGATCGAGAAGAAGGAGAAGCAGAAGCGGCACGAAGATCGTGAGCTTGCCGCGCGGCAAAGAAAAGAAGCCCAGCGTCAGCAAAAACAGGAGCTGAATCGCATCAAGCAGAAGAGCCAAGCAAACAAGCGCAAGGCGTCCGACACCGCTCCAACATCAAAGTTCATTACGTCCCTCGCTGGGGCGGCCTCGGACGAAAGCGATCCAGAAGACGGCCAGAGCAAGAAAAACCGCATGGGCCAGCGAGCCAGGCGAGAGTATGTTCGGGTGAAAGTAGAGACGGAGGTGAATGAAGTTGGAGTGGGGACGCATGTTGCGGGAAGTAATGATGATGGAACAGGGACAAAGGAACTAGAAAGGGATGGGCACGATCACGATCACGATCGTAACAGCTGTCTCGATCACATTTTGCAGACTCGCCGAGAAGAAATATGGTCGCAACGCCAAGCATCTGATAGCAGAAAAGGAGAAGCGAAAAACCGAGTATCTTCTCAAGCGGCCAGCCAAGCCAGGAATCGCAGCAGATCGCCCAGCGAAGCGGGTACGGGTGGATGATGGCGACAAGCGCACCGGTACAAAGCTGCATCCGTCGTGGGAAGCCAAGCAGAAACAACGGCAGGCCATTTCGGCATACCAAGGGAAGAAGACGGTTTTCTCAGGCGACAATGATGCCAGCAAACACAGCAATGATGCAAAACGCCCAACCGAAGGATCGCGGGCGCCTCAGACCATGCAAAAGCACGACCCAAAGGCCACCCTCCATCCGTCATGGCAAGCAAAGCTCAACCAAAGGAACAAAATGAACGCCGGTGGAGCCGCCAAATCAACCAAAATAGTCTTTTCGGATTGAACTGTCATTGGAAGGATCGAATAGGCGGGGCTCAAAGTTTGATTGTGAAGGAATCGTATTCTGTTAAACTTGATCAACACGGCGATCCGAATTGATTCAACCTGCGCCCCGAGCCAGGGCCCGATGAGTGGAGAGAGGATCGATGAGCGCGAACCGGAGCCGGCGAGGGTGTGTCGAGGACAATGACAAGCGACGGCTTTGTGGAGGCCATGGCAGGAGAGGATGGACACTGGGTGTGCCCTGGTGTGCCCTGGGTGAGCACTGGGTGATGCGGATGGACGAGATCAGAGACGAACCAAAGCACAAGGACAGGACAGCAGGACAGCAGGACAGGAACATTGGCGGCATGGAAACCCATGGCGAGCCGCCACAGAAGCGAGGGCGCAAAAAACAGAGAGGCGGACAAAAGTCCAAATGACAAAAGACAAGCGTCAGAAGCAGGATTCGAACCTGCGCGGGCGAGCCCATTGCATTTCGAGTGCAACTCCTTAACCACTCGGACATCCTGACTTGTCGCTGTTTACCACATCACGCTACATGACCCCGCACCGAGTGTCGATCGCGTCACCGAGCGAATCGCCATTTCCTCTCGCCACCCATCTCATCGCAGTGTATTGGTGCAGCGCAGGATACCGCCGTAGTGCGCCGCCACCGGGCACACCGACGCCAGACCGAACAGCACACAGCGGCAGCATCACGCCGATGCCGCACACGCGATTGGTCGGCGGACAGCTCGCACGTGATCTCCGGCTCGAGTGCGGCTGGACCCGACTGGACCCGGCTGGACCCGGATCGGAGGCCAAGCCACGCCGCGATTGGAGTGGCCAAGCCACGCCGTGATCGGTGTGGCGGAGCCCGCGCCACCCGGCTCGCCCTGCCATTGGTCCGCCGCGTGCGGCGCAGCCCGCTGTTGGCGAGACGAGACCCGCCGAGAGCCGCACGAGAGCCGCACGAGAGCCGCCGAGAGCGGCGCCGGCGTGTGTGTGTGGGCCGTGGGCGACGCATAAATACCCCGGTGCCGGCGATCCCTCTTTCGAATACAATCCTCTCAGGCCTTTTGGCTAAGATCAAGTGTAGTATCTGTTCTTTTCAGTGTGACAGCTGAAACGTTATACATAGTATAACTGTCTGTCAAACTTATTTTTGTGTCCTGCTGCCGACGATGTGCTTGCACTGGTCGGCGGCACCGGTGTCCTCGGCCTCACACTGCCGCCGAGTGACGCCGAACCCCTCCCCAAAAGCAAACGATTAAAACGAAACAGCGGGTGGTGCTTGATGGTTGGATGGATGTGTGAGTGAGAAAGGGCTGGATGGATATGAAGAGAGGGCTGGATGGGATACGAAGAGGGTTGGATGTGTGTGGATGAGAGCAGTGGATGCTGCATGTTGGTGGATCGAAGAATGGCCAAGAAAGCGGATGGACTGTGGGTGGCTCGCATCGCCGATGGGAATGGTGTCTGCGTGATGTGTCGTGGGTGTTTGTGGTGTTTGTGGTGTTTTGGCGATGGACGGATGGATGGTGTGGCCGAATGACCTCCCCGCGAGCCCATCGTGCTGTGTGATATTCGGATTGCGATCATGTTCAGGCCGAGCCGCCGCATCTGGTTCGTCGCCGCCATGACACTCGGATGCAGACGCAGACCCAGACAGCTCCGGACCATGGCCAACTCCAGACAGTGCTCCACACCACGATCGATCCATTCGCCTCACCCACCGGGCTGCCCAACCCAACTGGCCGACACTCTGCATCCGATCGTCCCAGCTCGTCATCCGCCGCACCCGATCGTGTGCCTGCTGTTCCTCCTCGCAGGAGATGGCTGTATTGATTCTAGGACCGCCAGCAGATCGGCACACTCCTTTGACTCATCGATCTGCGCCCAGCGAGCAAGATGCTGTCGCAGCTTGCCCTGTTGCTGCTGCGTCACCATATCGTTGCGGATAAAGGTGCTCACAACACAGATGATCTGAATGGGAAACAAAGGCAAGAGGGGCCCAAATGCCGTCGAGCGTTAGTTACTTTCGTATCCAGCCATTCTATCTGCGTCTCAGCCCTGCGTATCCGTTGCCAGAGTGGAGAGTACTCACGTTGTTCGCCAGGTCTTCCGTGCATTCCTTCGATCCGAGCAGATTGATCGTGGCCTCCACAATGCCTGTCTTCTGGACCTCCTCTTGGGCCTTTGTCTTGGCGCTGTGGCCCTCCTGTCCGGCTTCCATCAGCAGGGTGTGGATGCACCACACCAGCCGCTTGTACATGTTCACGTCCTCCATATTGGCGGCGTCCAAGAGCCGGAAGAAAGCCTTGAATCCGTGCAGTTCGATAAATGCGTCGAGCACGGCCTCGTTGTGCTTCAGGAGACTCGACAGGCAGTACATGGTCTTGGCCCGGACCTGGTGGCTTGGGTCAACCTGCAACACTTTGACGACGACCGGAAGGCCACCCTCAGCTGCCATCTGGACGACCACCATGAACAGATAACACCGCTCCGTCAGCGATTTCAGTCTGTCGACGATATTGGCCAAGGCTGTCGATGATATTGGCCAAGACTGTCGCTGATATTGGCCAAGGCTGTCGATGATATTGATCAAGACTGCCTCTCCCTCCGCAGTTGAGAAGCTGTTTTGCGGTCCCCTTACATCGTTCTGGGCCTGAGAATTGTTCTGTACGGCGGTTCCAAGAACCCACGCAGCCATGGCTCGGAGCTCTGCATTTGGATCAGACTCCAGGATGCTGATGATCGGCTTCCAAAGCTTCAGCACTCGGAGATCTACACGGAGGGCCAGCGTCTCTGTCAGCTTTGGCAAGGCACGGCACGGCATCGAAACCGTCGATGCAACAGCGAATGCCATCGCAGCGCATCCCACCTTACCATTTGCATTGTCGAGCGATTCGACGAGCTATCCCAGACCGAACCCGGAAGAAGCGATCGAGACAATATCGAGATAAAGAAAGCATCAGATCCAGAGACCCTCTTCTCCAGCTAACGAGATCGCACGGATGGGCATGCCTGCGATCAAGCCCGACATGACATTTGAGACTCTCACCATTTCCAACTCGTCCATGGCGACGTATTTTTCGTCAAGCGTGCGATTGGGATCGGCACAGGTCTCGACACATTCTGTCGAGCGAACAGTCGGCATCAGCAGTTCGCTCGCAGAGTCAATGGCCGATCGGCCGGGAAACTCATCCGCAACGGCCTCGGGGCAGATGATGCGGTTGGGCATCACCCCGGCCAGGCAGGTCGCATGCTGATTTGGCTGCCAAAGACCATCCCGTCAATTCAGCCCAGGGCTGGCGAAGCTGAATCCATACCCTTCATCCTGGCCGAGTCTTCCTTTCCCAAGATCACCTCGATCCACTTGGGGTCCTAAGATTGCTCAAGGAAGAGTCGGCACCAGTCAGTGATCGGCGAGTCGGTGCCAGAGTCCCAAAGCGCTCGCATCCTCCCACGGCAGCATCCTCCCACGGCAGCATCGTGCCGGCCTTGTCTCGCTCTGATCATGCCATTTATCGGCGGACTGAGGGGAGGGACGTACGATCGGGCCGCGCTGGAGTAGCTCGGGCCTGGTCTCGGTTGTAGTGTCTTCGCCTTGAGTGGCCGTGTTGAGAACGGCCCACTGCAGCAGCTCGGATTGGGTGATCGGTCGACTAGACATGGCAAGACGTGGTGCTGTTCGAGGCCGATGGAGATGATGGGCAGATGATGGTGCGAGCGACGAAGCGAGATGGAGGCGCCGGTCGATGTGGAGGCGATTTTTGGCTGTGGCAGGCCACAGAAAACTCGCTCGAGTGTGCCGAATTTCGTCGAACCGCATCGGCCCTTCGTGCGTCTTCCAGCACCGACCAGCGTCTTCTCCAGTCGAGCCAGGCCTGCCGCCGCTGCCACCGACACTGCCAGCCCAGCCCAGCCCAGTCCAGGCCCGAGCCGCCTCTCTAACCACATTGCCCGATCGCTCAAACTGTCGCCACAGCCCAAGTCGTCATGGATTTTTCCCAAGTGTACTTGGACACCTTTGAGCTCGAAGATATGGATCCCGAATCGCTTGCCCGGCTCGGTTTGCCATCCACGTTCAATCTGCTCACCGATCCGTTTCCGTTCGAGTCCAGTGAGGCCCCAGCCGAAGGCAGCCACGAGCTCGCCCCATTCCTGCCGTCTACCAAGCTGACGATCCTCGAGGCGTGCCGGCTTGCCGAGCTTGGTCCCGACGATGCCATCCTCGACATCGGTTGCGGTGATGGCCGCATCTGTGCGGCCGCCATCCAGAAACACCGGGTCCGACTTGCCGTTGGCCTGGACTATGATCAGGAGCTGATCACCTATGCCGAGTCATGCGCTCGGCAGTGCGGGATCGCTGTTTTGCCTGAGCTCGAATCGAAGCCCTCCTCGACACAGGCCGTCCGATTCGAGTGCCGAGATCTCGACTCGCCAGCGGCAATTGCCTATCTCCAGCAGCTTGTGCGAGACCACGGAATCACAGCCGTCTTTTTATTCCTGTGCTCCGAGATGGAGGCCAAGCCGCACTGGCGGCTCTTCCTGAGGCAGTTCTGTCTTGAGGAAATGGGATGCCGGATTGTCGCCATGGTGATTGACAAGAACGACTCGCTCGGGACGCAGCCTGTGCGCACGGGGAATGGGATATGGGTTTACGAGCAACGTCGCTGAGCCGCTGTGGCTGCCGCTGTTGATACTGCATACAATCCAATAACAAAGTCGTGCTGCTGCAGCCCGAACTGGCGGCTGTTCAGCATCCATAGCAGCGCCATCGGTGAGGTTGAGGTTGAAGTTGAGGTTGCTACAGGCTCCATTCGGCTATATGCTCTCTGTCCCATCGACGTCGATAAAATCGCCCTGCTCAGATGTTCCCAGCTTCCGTCTGGCTCCATCGTAATTGAATATAGAGGGGGGGGGAGATATTCTCGATGAGTACAGAGGTGCTATCGTCAGGGCCGACAGAGTATGTCCCGCCGCTCGGCAGGCACTTGCGCCTCGGCTGTTGCTGCTGCAGATACTGCATACATATCGCCTGTTCGTCATGCGACATCTGCCACAGCGGGGCTCACCTCAGCACGTCGTGCTGCCGGGGAAGGTGTTTTCCTCCTGAATCTCGATCGGGGCGCTCCGCTCCGAATTTGTGACCCATGAGGCCCAGTTTCCCATCAGCGTCCCTTGCGCCGCTGCCAGAGGACGAGTCACTCGAACTCAGCTTGGGGAGCTTGACTGATAGAAGCCATTTTGGAGAGAGGCGTGAATAGTCGCAGGAAGACTGAGGCGAATCCCATGGCTCGACCAAGCTGGGGATTGAGGGGTAGCCCCGAGAGTATCATACCTTTGATCTGCTATCGAAATAGAGGACCGGGAGCGCAGCAAACGGCCAGAGAGGGGGTGAGTACCAGTACGAGGTGTGAAACTAGTGCTTAGTACAGCACAGGCGAGCAATGACGGCTGACCTTGGGTCCTGAGGGTGTCTGCGAGAGGTTCATGGGTATCGTGCCGCTTTCTTCTTCATATTCATCAGTTGTCGACAATGCTGGTGATGGCAATGGCAATGGTAATTCTCCAGGCAGTAAGAATCTCCGGTTATAGTGGACATGGTGCAAGGGCGGTGGACACCCATGCCGCGGAGTAGAGAAATGAACCCAAGTGGAGACTGAGCGCAAAACGGTCGATAAGACTCCTGATACTCACACTTGAACCTCTTGACGGGCTTGACGCTGAGCTGCTTCTTTGTTGGGGAAGTCTGGTCGGGTGGAAGGCATATCCGCGCCATGGGTCAAAATCATGACGGCATTCGTCGACTGGATGCGGCACTTGGTTCGTTCTCAGCAACGATGGGCCGCTCTGTCGACCAGCGAGACCGGGCCGCTGCTTCGACCGACGGTGCTGAGTTGCAACGAGCGACGGCGAGCGGGCCCCACCTTTCGCTTCCCTGGATGGTTCAGTGAGGCCAGCCAAGTATTATCAGGCAGATCAGTAGCCGATCCAGGGCGTCGCATAACCTCGTTTGGCAAGACGGATGCGTCAAGCAGAACTTGGGATCAGCGACACTTCAATCCAGCATACTGCAGCTGGGCTCGTGCTTACGTTTCTTTTCTTCCCGTTCCGAATCTGAGTTCTCGTGCGTATTGGATGGTGATGATGGAGGAGCCGAGCCCGAGTTGGGAGGTGCAGCCCTGTAAATCGGCGACAATCATATGGGATCGGCTGAGCACAAACGACGAGTCCAACGCTGCGAATCGGGAGCTCCTCGACTGGCTGATGCCCGATCCAGTTGCGACCAAGTTGGACTCCAGACGAATGATCCTGAAGCACGCAACCCTCACCTCCGGCTGTTGCGAGTCGATCCACGGCCCAGGCCCAGACACTTTTCCAGATGCGGAGCGAACCGAGCAGGGGGGAACGAGGTGAAGCACGAGGGACACTCGCATTTTTCGGTGGCAACTTGATTCGAGGCATTGCCATAGATATCGAGACCGGGCTGTGAGACTGGAAAGCCGTCATCATGTTGGTGAGGGGTGTTGGCAAGGAAACGGATGGCAGTTGAATTGAGATCGAGGAGGTTTGGATGATCAAGAGAGCAGGAAACAGAGACACGAGTAAGCTCGGTTGTGATCGGCGGTCGTGGCTGCTATGTATCGCTGGTCAGAAGCAGGGATCGGTATGATGCTGCTCTGGTGGGGATCACAGAGCTCTCGATTGAACAAAGGCATGCGTAGCCGCATCGGACTCTTGAGGAAATTCAGAGGCCAGGTGCGCAAAGCAGCGTTATGCTTGGCACTACCACACCACCACAGCTATGCGCTATCACGGCAAGTCGACAGCGAGAGGTGCAGCAATGTTGTTACCATAGCAGCGACATCTGGCGAGAGAATCGATCGTGCCAGGGTGAGTCACGGCACTCTATGCTGATGACACTGCGGCAGGATTGCAATTGAGCGATGGGATGGGGCAATTGCGTTTGTGGCAATGCCATATCGCTGGAGAACGGCCCAAAGGAATCTCGCCGGTTACTTGCCTCGTTTTGCATATTTGGCAATCGACGTTGGCCAACTTGTGTTCACGATGGCATTGAAAGATGACCCCACGAATAGAGTCATCCAGGAGCTCTTGGAAGATGTGGAATGCCTGGGATGGGTCGGGGCGATGCTCGCGGGTGAGCCAGCGATGCAAAAGAATAGCTGGACAGCATCGCAGGAGCAGGTTTCTTACGAGCTCCTCGGCGTGTGTGTCGACGGGCTTTGGGATCGGCCGAGACTCGAGGACCTCGGTGGTGATGGACTCGGGTTCCATGGCGGCAGTGGACGGCGGAGGGGCAGGATGAGGCCGGTTGTCGGCGTCTGGGCTCGAGGGGCGGCTGGGCAGGACGATGCAGGCCAGACCCGGCGATCAGGGCGAGCACCACCCAGAGCCGAAGCGCCCAGGACCAAACGCGGCAGGGCCACGCGAGACGCATCGCGGGGTGGACAGGTCGATCGGCACCGAGCAGGGCGGATCAGGACGAACGGCAAGTGCAGCTGCGAGGAAGCCACAAAGCGCCGATGCATCGACGGACCACGGTGCCTCTATCCGACATGGACCGGGCAACGAATAAGGCAGCATATCTGGGGACCTGAGCTGGCTTCGAGTCGCTCGCAGTGGATGGAATCGCGATGCGAGAATGGTATGCAAGCCGATGGCAAGGCGAGACAAGAGGAGACGAAGGCCCCAGGACTCTGCCCAGCGACAGCCCGCACACCGACAGCACGGGCCGAGGAGCAGGGGTGCTGGTGCAAGATCTGCACGGCGCATGGGTGTCGCGCAACTGCCATGTCTTCTCCGTGGGACCAGGAGGATCGATTCGCGACGGGGCACAGCCCAGCCCGATCGGCAGCCCGTATGCTTGATGACGCATGTTGTTTCCTCAGGAGATCCAACCCAACCCAACCCACCAGCCAACAAAACAAAACAAAACACAACCCCAACTCTGCAGAGGCCCCAGGCGTGCCTTGGACGAGTCCATACAATATGCCTCCAGCAGGCTGTGCTGGAGACCGAATCGAGCGGACCGGCGTCGGCCGAGCAGGAAGTCTCTGGCCGGAAAGGAATGCGCATGTCCAGAACCAACTCGGCGAGGCCGGCATGGAAGCAAGAACAGCAGGAAAGGCACTTGCGCACTGTGGCCTGGGCTGTGCTGTGGGCAGCGACGGTCGCACACAGACAGCCGCCCAACCAATCGCCGCACGCCCACACTCTCTGTGGATCGGCCTTATTGCGGCTCGCCAATCAGCCGACAGTGCCACGCCCGCGCAGGAGCACCAAAAGCAGCGGCGACACGGCGTCTGTGCAACGTGCGAGCGCGCTGCGGGGAGCCGGCGCTTGCCGGGGCGTGGTGGGTCGACATGCCTGCCAACAGATTCACTGCCTTTGTGCTGTTTGGTGCTGTGCGGCTTTGTGGCCGATCGAGCCGCCCCCAGCGCGCATCCGCCAGCCTCTGAAGGGGCGCCTGAAAGGACGCGCGTCGGGATCGGCCCCACAGCAGTTCGAGTCGATTGCAGCAGTGCGCTACTGCTGTTGCGGCGGTCGAGTTGTTGCCATTACTGCTCCCGAGTCGTTACCGAGTCGTTACCGCTGCTGTTACCGCTGCTGTTACCGAGTCGTTACCACCACTACCACCACCACCACCACCACCACCATCGTCGCTGCTGCTCTCCTCCAGCAGCGACCTCGGCTTCGTGCCTTCATCGGCTTCCAACTATTGTGTCTCCGTCACCTGCCGCGTCCCTGTGCTGCCGACCGCCGCACGCCGACGCGGAACCCCAGCAAGGAAAGGAGGAAGCGCCCTTCGCCTCCTCGCCCGAGCTTGCCCAAGCTCGATACAAATATCCCCTCGCTCTCGTCCCTTCGCCGCCGTCGTCTCGCCAAAATCCTCCTTCGACCCAGGCTTCCTTGGATCTTCGCCGACATCCCTCCTCCCCGCTCGTCCTCTGGATTGCTTCTGGGAAATGTCTGAGCGAGGCGCTCCCCCTCACGCCCCCACCCGCTCGGCCAGCGGCCACTCCCGGGTCCCTGACCGCTCTGCCAACAACGATCCCCGTCTGCGCTCTCCCGGAGCCTCCCAGCCCTCCAATGGCGGCTTCAACCCCGATGGCCGACGCCCTGCCGATCCCCCCAGAGGCCACCCTGCCCGCAAGCCCTCTGGAACAGACATGGCTCCTCTCATCAACCCAGAGCCCTCTATCTCGCCTCTGCCTCCCGCTGGGCGCTATGCCGGCCCCAGCCACTCGATGGACGCCGGTCCCAGCAAGATGGGCAACATGAACTCCCAGCCGTACTACGGCCAGGGCCAGAACCCCAACCCCTACCACGGCGGAAACAACTATTATCCCCCTCCTCCTCCCTCGATGAGCCAGGTCTCGATGCACCATGCCCCCGGTACCCTCACCCGCATGAAGACCACCAAGAAGCAGCTCCAGCTGACCCCAGAGGGCCACCTCGTCGTCGAGCTCCCGGTCCCCGATCGCTGCCTGCAGTACGGCAAGTACAAAACCGGCGACGAATTCACCCACATGCGATACACCGCCGTCACCTGTGACCCGAACGAGTATCCCTCGCAGGGCTACCGTCTGCGCCAGCAGGAGAGCCGTCGCCAGACCGAGATCTTCACTGTCATCACCATGTAAGCGGCCGCCACACTCTGTGTTTGAAACTTGAGTTTACCTAGTTAGCTTGGCTTGACCTGGGCTGGGCCGGGCTGGGCTGAGCCGGGCTGTTGGTTTCACCCTCATTGCGGCTTCACAATCATCGCGGCTTCGGATGACTTACGCCTCATCCCTTCAATTCGCAGGTACAACGAAGACGACGTTCTCTTCCTCAAGACAATGACCGCCATTCAGAAGAACATTGCCCATCTCTGCTCCCGCAGCCGCTCCTCGACTTGGGGCGAGGATGGCTGGAAGAAGGTCGTCGTCTGCATTGTCGCCGACGGACGCACAAAGTGCCATCCGCGTGTCCTCAGCACCCTTGGTGTCATGGGTGTCTATCAGGAGGGCCTGATGAAGGAGTCTGTCAACGGCAAAGCCGTCACGGCCCATCTGTTTGAGGTCACCACCCAGGTGGCTTTCGATCAGGAGGGCAGGCTCTGCGGTGCCGAGCAGGGCTTCGTCCCTGTCCAGATTCTCTTCTGCCTGAAGGAAAAGAACGCCAAGAAGGTGAGCGTCGTCCGTTGCGTGTGTGGGGTTGCGACCGGCCGAAAGGGAGCTGCTTGTCGGCTGCATCTCAACAGCACCAAGTGGAGCTCTTCGGCGCCGCTCTCTAGTCACACAATCTGTGCTAAAGCTGGCGCTCGACCCCACGCTCATCCTCGTGTCCACCTCACCGCTAGATCAACTCGCACCGCTGGTTCTTCAACGCCTTTGGTACGCTCCTCAGACCCAACATCTGCATGCTCCTTGACGTGGGTACCAAGCCTACCGCCACCTCCATCTACCGGCTTTGGAAGGCTTTCGACCGCAACGAGTACGTCGGTGGTGCCTGCGGTGAAATCTACGCTGAGCTCGGCACCGGATGCGGCAAGCTCTTCAACCCTCTCGTCGCCGCCCAGAACTTTGAATACAAGATCAGCAACATCCTTGACAAGCCTCTCGAGTCCGTCTGCGGCTACATCTCTGTGCTGCCCGGTGCCTTCTCGGCCTACCGCTACGTCGCCGTCATTGGTGCGCCGCTCGAGCAGTACTTCAAGGGCGAGTTCATGCACGGCGGCAGCGACATCTTTGCCGCCAACATGTACCTGGCTGAGGATCGTATTCTCTGCTTCGAGCTTGTCACCAAGAAGGGCCAGGCCTGGCTCCTCAAATATGTCTCCTCTGCCAAGGCCGAGACCGATGTCCCCGATGCCGTCCCCGAGTTCATCTCCCAGCGTCGCCGTTGGCTCAACGGCTCGTTCTTTGCCTCCGTCCACGCCCTGACCCACTGGCACTTGATCTTCCGCTCGGACCACAACATCCTTCGCAAGATCCTCCTGTGTCTCGAATTCACGTACAACTTCATTTCCCTGATCTTCAGCTGGTTCGCCCTCGCAAACTTTTTCCTCGGCTTCTACTTTATCTCCAGTGGCCTTCTGAGCCCTCCTGCTGGCGTCAACGAGAGCGACTGGCCCCCGCAGGTCATTCTCGGCATCACCCTGAACCGCTCGTACCTCTGGCTCGACGGTATCACCGAGCTCTACGTCGGTGCCATCGTGCTGATCTTCATCTCATCCCTCGGCAACCGCCCGCAAGGCTCAAAGTTCCTTTACACCTTCTCGATGGTTCTCTTTGCCATTGTCATGATCATCATGCTGGCCCTCGGTGGCTGGACCGTCTATGTGACCCTCGACAGCCAGAAGAGTGTCTTCCAGAACCTCGATGCCAAGGCCCTCTTCTACGCCGTCATCAACACCCCCTCCGTTCGCGACATTATCATCTCGCTGGCTTCGACATACGGTCTCTACACCGTGTGCTCGATCATGTATCTGGATCCCTGGCACATCCTGACTTCGATGCTGCAGTACATGCTCCTCCTGCCCTCGTTCATCAACATTCTGATGGTCTACGCCTGTAAGTAGCCAGTCGCTGTGCTGCGTATGCGGATGGCGCCCGGGCTTTCTCGTAGCGCATATGTGGTGCGCATCTTTCTCAAACACTCGCACTCTACCCGATCGCTGATCCATTCATGTCTCCCCCCCGTCACAGTCTGCAACCTCCACGACGTCTCCTGGGGTACCAAGGGTGACAACGTTGTCTCCGACCTCGGCTCCGTTACTGCCCAGAAGGGCAAGGATGGCAAGGAAGTGATTGAGATCGAAATCCCCAGCGACAAGGCCGAGATCAACGAGAACTACGAGCGCTTCTACCGCGAGATCAAGACCCCGCTTGTCGAGGAGAAGAAGGGCCGCGACAAGAAGACCAAACAGGAGGACTACTTCAAGTACTTCCGTACCCGTGTTGTCCTGCTGTGGCTGTTCATGAACGCTGCCTTGATTGCCGTCATGACCAACAGCACCCTGTCCTCGATCCTGTATCTCAACATCGATGCCCGAACCGATGGATTCAACCCCTATCTTCGTGTAAGTCTGCGCTGGCTGCTTCTAGCCAAAGCATCTTTGTGCTGGCATGTCTGTGGCATGCCTGTGGCGTGCTGTAGCGCTGTAGCGCTGTAGCAGAGCGAATGACTTTCCACTAACACCATTCGCTCACTCCTTCCCTCCGCTGCAGTTCATTTTCTACTCCGTGGCCTTCCTGTCGTCCATCCGATTCATCGGCTCGACCGCCTACCAGATCCTGCGTCTGTTTGGTGGTTAAGCCACCTGTGCTGCTCCTTATCCAAGACAGCAAGAATCCCCCCCCCGCACTCACTCTGTAATTTGTATTCTATTAGTGCCTTGGCTTTTATTTTGTGTTGTCCGCTCCTCCTTCTTGAACCCAACGGTCGCGGCTTTGGATCGCTGCCTCGTGCGCCATCGCCAACCCGTCAGCCAATCCCCACCGCTTGTCCATCTCCCTTCTTCCTCCGCGGGTGTCTATAGATGGCCTCGGCCGCTTCCGTCCAAATCGTGTCTCTCGCCCTGTTCCCTCCAGCCGCACTCGCCGTCAAAAGCATCATCCAGAGAGCGAGGGCCGACCAGCCACGTGTCCACGTGATGCAGGACGAAACCGGGGCGCACTCGGTGACACGGGTCGCCAAAGGCGAGATCTCTCGAGTTGCCCCAGCGAGCTCCTTGGTCTCTGTTGTCAACCCCGTATCTTGCGCTGATCAGAGAGCACCGACAGAGATGAGGTAAGGACGCCACCGTTTTCACGGAAGCAGCGATATCCCAACAGCTACAACCGCAGCGACGACTCCTCGTGTCCTGCAGGCCTGCACGGCTGCGGCTCACATCAAAGCCAGGTCCGAGCCGGCCGTTGTCGGGTGTGCTCCAGCGCCCACCGCCGATTCCACCGGCCTCGTGCCAGCTTGACCCGACCGATCATCTAATTTCGCCATGCGATCCGATGGACTGACCACTTCGATTTCATCGCCGACTTGCTATTATAGTGAGAAGGAAAAGAGGTAAATCTACCGACGCACGGGCAGATCGGATGGGATCGGACCAGATCAGATCAGATCAGATCAGATCAGTTCGTCGACCGGATGGGCTGGCATCCCAAGCTGACCAGTGCCAGTCACAGAGGTTCAAGGCGTGGATATAGAACCAGCCCCTGACTCGGTCGTTCGCTTCAGTGCGAAGAGAGATGGAGCCAGCTCCATTTTCAGTGTGGTATACCCGCTTTGGCACAGTTTTGTCCAGCCAAATGTTGACCGTCTGGCTCCCTCTTTGCTTCGTTTTGCACATCCAACTCGACCCGAGCAGCCAAATGACCGACGAGGAGCTCCGTCAACAGGAGGAGCACGAGTTCAACACCGGTCCTCTCTCGGTCCTGACACTCTCCGTCAAGAACAACACACAGGTCCTCATCAGCTGCCGAAACAATCACAAGCTCTTGGCCCGAGTCAAGGCATTGTGAGTATCGCGATAATAGAAAATCTTCAGGGTGGCTAAAGCCGAGTCTGGTCCGATTGGATTCCATATCTCTGTCGGTCGGTTGGTCTGTCAAAGACATCAGCCCAGTGCCCCCGCTTTCCTGCCCTGGAGCTGCAGCAACATTGTCTAACGCGAACGACGCTCGCCGTCGTCGCTTCCCTCTTCCCAAACCAATCCTCGTTAAGTGATCGGCACTGCAACATGGTTCTGGAAAACGTCAAGGAGGTATGTTCCGTCAAGCAACGCTCGTGGCTGTGCTGTCCTGTCCTGTCCTGTCCCTGATCCGTTTCTCTGCTTGGCTCGTAGATGTGGTCCGAGGTTCCCAAGACTGGAAAGGGAAAGAAGAAGGCCAAGCCGGTCAACAAAGACCGGTTCATCAGCAAGATGTTCCTGCGCGGCGACTCGGGTGAGTAATGTCGCTTTCGCGATGGATGAATTGGGTTGGATTGAATGTGCATCAAGCGGGGTGACCACAAGCTGTCTGCTGGCAGCATACATGCACAGATGCGCATGCCTCCAGGTGTTTTATTGATACCATTGATCCCCTTTTCCTCCTCACTAGTCATTCTGGTTCTGCGAAACATTGCCCCCGAGACCAAGGATTCTGAGACCATCTAAGAAGAAATCTCATTCCCCCGGATACTCAGCCATCCCTGCTCCCCAATCACTTCTCTTTCTTGGCTTGGACCATCTCATCGATCTAGTACGGAGAATACGTGGCATTTGCAGTTGTCGGTCGTTCAAGTACGGTCAGGGATAAAGCGCAACAGCTTCGGTCGCTCTGGTGTCCTCCTCTCCCTTTCTCCGACCCACCCAGCCCTGGGTATCGACTGCAATATAACTCGTGGCTCGCCCTTACCTTGGAAAACTGCCAGGTCCAGGAGGCACTGTAGAGGAACGGGCGCAGGTCGAAGCGATTGTCATCGGGAGAATAAGAAGACATGTGGTAGGACGGGGGCAGGATCGTGGTCTTGTGGCGGTTGATCTAGGCGAAAGCAATACAGGGTGGTGAGCAGCATCATCAGTCGCCAAAATATCGAACCGACACCTCCAGTCACGTATCCATAATCAGTGCACATGCACTCAGGGATATCTGGCATGAGGCTGCGGGCAAGGCTGAATCCCGCCTGCGATGCCTACCGAATAGTAAAAGAAGAATCTCTTGACCTTGGCGGCAACCTGAGGGTCAGGAGTTAATAAGTGAACGAGGAAAGGAATGGGCAGGCAATCACGGTGGGCGACTTTGAAGAAGGCAAATCGGGTGACAGTCTCTCCTTGACCACGGAGCCTCACCTCGGTTGGGCTGAGGAATGAGCCCCATTCCACCAGCAGCTTGCGGAACATCGAGACGGGACCACATTTGGCCACCTTGCGCAGGGTGCCAAAAACCGAGAGCTCATCGTAACTCATGCCCATGTCGACCTGGGAACAACATCGTCAATCGAGCGTCAGCACATGTCCACCACAAATCTGGGTGGGCCTCATTGGTGGCCCAAGTCTTGCGCACAGTCATCCATGAAATACCTCGTCCGACTGCACATAGTTCTCGGTGATCGGTTCCAGTTCAGCGGTGGGAGTTGCATCGAGGAAGCTGATTTCATGGCCAGTTTCCGCCATCAACGGAATCACGTCGTACGCAAGCGCAAGTTTAGCTTCACATTCGCAGGAAAGCAATGTCTGCGGTTCAAAGGAACATCACAAAGATCGCAAGCTCATAGCGACAGAGCGGATGCCGGGCATACCCGCTGAGGAGGTCCAGTCCCTCGACGTTGTTTCGCATAAACAGAATAAACTTGCGGAGATCAGTCTTGCTGATACCGCCAATGGGGTTGACATCGGCGCTGGAACAATCGTACTTTGTAAAGTAGCCACGAAGACTATCACACCGGCCAATTGCATAGCAAACCGGTTAGTTAGAGGCGCACGAACAGACTGATTCACCATTGCCGATGCCGTTCTGCATATCGTCGCATATGCCCGTCATCACGTATGCGTATCTTTTCATGTGCAGCCATAAATGAAGCTTACGTTTCGTCGACGTTGGCGCTCCCCAGGACAAGCAGCGATCCGTTTCGACCGCGAACCCACAGGAGCAGCTGGGCCATCAGGTACGCCAGGACCATGCGAGATCGCGCCTGCGACGCAACGAGATGGAGAATATATCAGAGTGTCGAGAAGGGACCATAAGCATAACCATCAGCATCTGCGTGACCGCGCAGTCAGAGAATATTGTCTCGTATTGCCGAATGGGTGGCTTCGGCGGCTGCAACAGCATACCTGGACATTTTGCAAAGCAAGATTCTCGGCATGGGTGCCTCCATGAACCTTGAACCTGGGCTCTCGGGATGTAATTGTCTTGAACACAGTCAAGAACGACGACACGATCGAATCCATATTCATATCAACGTGGTAGGAGCCGATTCGTTGGGCAAGGTCCTTGGCACGGCTCCTGGTTTCGGCGCTAGAATTGGTGGTGCCCATATAGCACGTATGGAAGATTCGGCTGGGAAGACAGTCGAGATTGGATGTGATCAGAACAATGAGAATGGGGCACGCACCCGCCTTGTTCACACTTGCGCATTCGCTATCAAAAATGGCTGCACAGCGCTGGTTTACATCGCATAGCCTCGCAGTACTGGGACACAACGTCGCAGTCACGCATATAGCTGCAGTCGAAGGGAACCCATTATAGCAGAGCGGCTGATTTGGCTGAACCCTCGCCTGCCGAGAGGCAGGAATAGGTGACCGTACTTGCAGAACTCCTTAGGATCCCGGGGGATGTACTCGTCGTTCGGTGGGAGTCCGGCCGCAATTCGTGCATCGCGGATGACAAGGGGATCTGTAGTTCACAGCACAGTACTGTCAGTCCTCATGATAAGCCCCAGGCAGTCGCCCCCAAGCAACTGCAGGTGCGCTGGCGTGAGCGAAAGCCTTGTCTCTCACCTCCTTCTTTGGCTGCCTCCGTAACAAGCATACACATCGAGAACACGATGAGGGCTGTGGAGCAGCTGTCGATTCCACCACTCAGCGGGAGGAAGAATCCACCGGCTTTCGAGCGCCTAATGTAGTCCCAAAGCCAGCACGCCGGGCCGTATCTAGTCATGAAGGGCGATATCGGGGGCGCTGCTAAGTAACACGATCATAAGCCAGCCCAAGCCCAACCATGATCTGTAATAAACTGCGAATTGCACAATTACTTGTACAGGTTGCATCCACAAGGAGTGATAGCATGGCTCCTCCAATTGCCACACTAACCTGATTTCCTCCTCGGGGGTGTGATACTTGACATTGATGGGCTTGGTGGGCACGGCGTGCAGCTCGTCCGAATGGGTGAGGTACGTGTCGACGTGTGCGCGCTGATACGAGGGCGAGGACGACGCCTGGATCTCGCGGCTCGAAACAGCCCGAGCAGCTCGCACTTCGTCAAGGTCGACAGTGGCCGTGATTACCTCCTGGTCGAGGTGGTGGCGGTGGCGGTGGCGGGGAGTGCGGCGGTTCAGACACGAGCAACACCAACCAAAAGTATGCAAAGCATAAGCAAACATGTAGTTTGTTGCAGCAGCTCGGTGCAGTGGCCGCCGTACACTGCAGACATAGGAATCGCTGATGAACGTACCACATCCTTGAGAGAGAATTGCGAGCTCTGCGCCACAACCTGGCCGTTGATGATGATGAGGGCACAGCCATCGTAGTAGACACGCTCGCCATCACAGCCACATTGGTTGGCATACAAATAGACGCCGCCGGACTGAGATTGATCGGAAGTAAGAGTTGCAGTGCACCAGGGGTTATCAGCACTTGTCCGCGGGTATCCATATCAATTTGAGTGTAATCGGGTGATTGGATGCGGGGACATGATCGCTCTGCAGCAAACGCTGTGCGAGTGTATGGGGCAGCACCATTTCGAGCAGTATCAGCCAATGATCGTACCTTCATGGTCGCTTCGCGGATGAGATCGATGCGGCGATGGAGCTTCTGGAACTCGTGGTGGCTTCCACTGCCGTTGGTGAAGATTTCGACGCCGTCCAGAGCCATTGAAATATGCGGGCTAGCAACAGGCAGAGTCAGGTGTATGTAAATGACGGCCGTTGCGATAACATCGAGGCAGAGCAAAGTGAATCCCCGAATGAGTCCGTATCTTGTCGCATTACCTCAGAGGCGTGAACAGCTCCTCACAAAGCTCGACGCCGATGCATGTACTGATCAAAGCCGCATCAACCTGGTGAGTACTCGGTGATTTGGCTCATGCACATCTTCGACATGAGATCTGGGAGGCAAACAGCAGTCAACGAGCACCCCGCTTGACCGAGGCCCTGGTCCACAATTGGTCTACAAGGCCAGAGGAACTCACTCTTTGGTCGCGACAACTCCGTCGCCAAACGGAACAGTGTCCTGTCGAGCCAAGAGATTCGATTAACAAATGCAGAACACCAGGCGGTATCGCCGATCTTTGCGGCTGGCTGTGATCTCGAGTGGTCTCCTTCAGACCTTGGCTGGCTGAGCTTGGCCATTCATGGATACTCACCTGTCCAGTGAGTTGGGCGATGCTACGGGGCAGCTGAAAGTCCTCGACGACTCGCGGCTTGTTCCACGGAGTGAACCATCTCAGCTCGCGGTAGTTGCCGTCGTTGGCCATGAAGAGCTTGGGTCGAATCAGGACGATCTTGCCGTTGAAGAAAATGACCCGACAGTTATACTTGACGCTCTTGTGGACGACGGGCCTGAGAGGCAGCTCATTGGATCGCCGATATTAGCACGAGCTCATCCGCACCCAACTCCAGGTCGGATATCCTCCATAGATCCCTCACTCACGCGACGAGGTCAGTCACAGACATGTGGGCCGGGATATCGGAGCGGTTGCTGTTGGGCCAACGAGCTGATCAGCAGCGCACAGTCGAACGGGTAGCCACTTACATTCCAACATCGCACATGATTTCCCTGCAGTCTTGATTCTGCAAGAGCCTCTCGAGGATCTCCCACGAATGGGTGTAAGTATCATCTGTGTCAAGCGAGGGGAGTGTGAATGAGGGACTTGTTACGCCGACAGAGATCCGCGGATGGTTCTTTGAACTCATCTACCAGTCAACGGGACACGGCCTTTGACAATGCACGAATCCTTGGCCTGCTCTTCGGATTCTTACTTTCGAGGAAATGATCGTTGCAACCGTAACCACTATTGACGATATCATGACAGCGACATTGGATTAGCCCACTCTCCCCGCCTAGATGCTCCTCGGCCTCGATGTACATGGAGATATCCGCTCTAGTTTGCAGTGGATGTGCTGCAAAACTCGACTGATTGTCCTATCCATACGTTATCTCTAGTTCTGGACCCAGGCGGTACGAAGCGCCCTGGCGCTTGGCGGCAACGATGCTCTCGACGATGCGGTGGTAGTTGCCCTCGAAATCAAGCGACCATTGGTTCTGATGGCAGTTGTGTATTCAGGGCGACGAGTTAGAAGAGGATCCTCATGCGACGTACTCCTGCAGCGCCAAAATGCAGCGGGCTGGGGCTATTTCTTGGTTTCCGGGTGAGCGGGCCAGCGATCGCAGGGTTGGCATCAGCAGGGAATGGATCTCGCCGGCTGATATCGCAAGATCTGAAGGTCGAGCAAGCGGCTTACCAGAGCACAGGTGGCAAGGGTAACGTAGCCCATCGGGATGCTGATTCTTGCTTGGGGAACAGGGGCAGGATCTCTGGTCAGACGACGACAGCGCAGATTGCGAGAGGGCCGAGGGCAGAGCAGAGTGGAGATTTGCAGCCTGGCGTTGAACGGCTTTTGGGGCAAGCGCGGGCCAATGGCGAGCCAATGGCGAGGCGGGAGACCAGTCCCGGCCAGAATGGGACAAGAGGGATGCGATTGGAATTACAACAATGCTCTATGCAGCAGCACTCTGCCTGGGGAGTCTCGACTGCGCTCTAGGCCCTGCAGACATGGACATTGATTCCGTGCATCGACACGGGAATAATTGGATATCATTCCTCCATCCTCAAGCCCAAGGACAAGGGCATACAACTGATGGCGTCGTGCTGCTCACGCAGCGCCGCCATGCGGTTTGTATCGAGCAGTATTCTCAGCAGTATGAGACTGTATATTCGATACGCAATACTTGTACATCCGCACACCGTGCCCTCCGTTGCGGTCAATAGGTCCCAGGAGCAAACTCTTGGTTCGAGATGATGTTGTAGTTGCGGTGGCGGCCTTGCTTCAGAGCGTTCATTTTGTCAATTGAGATGCGATTGGCGTTTTTGGTTGGGTCGTAGATGCCTGACGGGGCTCTAGAGAGCTCTTGCCCTGGTCGACAGAGGATCTATTAGGGATTCTGATTTCTTTGCACAACAATACGTCCCTTCCTCCGGACTATAGATACGAAGTGGAGAACAATCTATCCAATGAGATGGGCGGGACCTGCGGTTCGCTACCTGTGAGGATGTCATAATGCTTCCCAGGGTCGTCCCGTGCAGGTTTTCTCATCCGAAACTGGAACCAGTAGCTCAGGGAGGAGCCATTTTCTCCGACAGGTTTGCTTGGTGCTGTGTTGGGCATTGCGGACTGCCTGGGACGCATGTAGAGGCTCTGAGAGATCATGTTGTCGCGGACCATCCTGTAGTCGTGCACCTTGAAGCTCTCTCGGTAGCATGAGTGAGTATCCTCCTGCAAGTCAGATATTTACAGCCAAGTAAGCATCGTGGAGCTCAAATAATCTGAGAAAGGTCATCCGCTCGGCGGCAATCCAGTGCAGAGGAGTGCTCCTAAGGGGTGTGCACGCCGAGCATCGAGTGCGAGCAATACCAGTACCAGGTGCTTTCCTGCGGGCAGCTTTGTTTCTTGACCCCACCACTCGCCACCCTTGGCGGCCTTGCCCTTGTTTTTTGCATACTCTTCTCGCTCACGGATTAGTGTTGTTTTGACCTTCAATCGAGGGAGTCAAGTATGTGAGACTGGAGCTGCATCTCCGTTAACCCATTCACTTGGACCGAGAAAACAGCAACAGCAACAGCAACAGCAACAGCAACAGCAACAGCAACAGCAACAGCAACAGCAACAGCAACAGCAACAGCAACAGCAACAGCAACAGCAACAGCAACAGCAACAGCAACAGCAACAGCAACAGCAACAGCAACAGCAACAGCAACAGCAACAGCAACAGCAACAGCAACAGCAACAGCAACAGCAACAGCAACAGCAACAGCACAGCAACAGCAACAGCAACAGCAACAGCAACAAGAGCGACAGCACCAGGTCTTCGACCATTCCCCTATCCCAGGCAAACAAAAGAGTCATTTACATCGTGCACTTGGTAAGAGGCCTGGAAGGTAGATGCCAGCTTGCCGTCGCCAGAAAATGCTGCGACCTGAAGCCGGTCGCCCAAGCGGCATTAGTCCGGCAAGCGCATCAAAATCCGTATGCAGCAATTGGAGTAGCACTTGGGTGTAAAGCATTACTTCTCTCAGCTTGCGAAGACGGTTCGGTCCTATCTTCGATGTGGTTTGCACCGTGCCGGCTTTCGAATCAATCATGTGGAATACGGAGGATGGGTGGATGAACAGGTAGTATCGATGGATTTGGTCGTCTTGGAATGCGGCTCAGAGAGTTCCCGGTATCGACTTGTTTCGGGGCCAAGAACGCAGCTGAAGAAAGCACGGTGACAAGTCCAACAACTGAGTGCACCCTGGCGAGAGGAGCGGGCCGCCGAGGGGGGAGTCGCCCGCTAAAAGGCATTCTGGCTCGACACAATGTCTTCCCGCAGGCCCTCATCGATCCCTTCATCGCAACGAACCCGCGACCGACAGAGAGATGTTGCTTCCTCAGGGCAGCCTCCCATTGTGTGCGTCAAAGTGGCTTTCCCAGAGTGATTGGTGGGCAGCGGAATAGCTGGTGGATCTGAGTACGTGCGTGTAGAGCTGGGCCTCGCAGATCGCTGTGATCCCGCATTGTATGGCCCAGAGTATGCAAGGCTTCCTTGCTCGGTCTAATCAATTCAGACAATGGATCATGGATGTTTTGTAGCGCCTGCCATGGTTAGGGACAGTACGTCGATCGTTTCGCTCGTGGCGGGTGGGAATTCGGGGATTGGCTTCCCACGTCGCCAGCCCCCAGCCGACTGCTCCTTCCCCTGCCCGTCCTGCATCCACATCGGTCCAGATGATAGAGCATTGGACCGATCGCTCGCAATCGTATCGCACTGGATTCAGACTGCTTGCTTGCCTCTCACAGCGTTCTGAAACGCCGGCTGCCCTTCAGAGTGCCTGGCAAACCTGGGTCTCCTGGGTCTCGATGTGTGCCTTTCCTTTTCCCTGCTTCCACGGTGCATTCCAAAGGCCATCACAATGCCACTCTCCTTGGCCCCGCTGTTGGGTCATGGCGGGCAGTGGATGGGTGTGAATGTCGGACCCAGCGAAAGGCGGCGGCCCTGTTTCGTTTTTGGGGAGCCGCATTTTTCGGGCGGCCCTCGGTCGCGGCCTTGCGCTGCTCTTGCAATTGATCGCCCAGCCCCAGCGCCTCTGCTCGCCCCCTCCCCGTGATTGCAAACCCCTCTCGAGTTATCCGCCTCCATGAGCTCTGGCGAAGGCAAGCAGACCAAGGACGCCAAGGGCACTGGTTCGTCCAAAGGCCAGGCCAAGAAGAACAAAGCCGCGAGCTCGGAGGCTTCTGTTCCTCCGTCGGCTCCAGCGGCTCCAGCGGCCTCTGGCCCGTCCAACCCCAGCGCCGTGAGCGATCTCCAGATCCAAAACCTGCTGCAGATGGTGAGCATCCTGATCGTGCTCCTGTATTGTCGCTGAATCGCTGGAATCGGTGATGATTATTTTTGAGAGGACGTCGCTGCTCCTGCTTGATGTTGACTACTCCTCTGCCCTCCTCTGCCCTCCTCTGCCCTCCTCGGCCCTCCTCGGCCCGCCCGCCTTGCATCAGCTGCAAGCTTCAGCCCGCACGGAGGAGCCCGTCTCTCGCCGTGGAGCCAAGTCCATGGACGAATACAAGTTCTGGCGCACGCAGCCTGTCCCAAGAACAGGTAGAAACTGGCCTGGCCGGATGCAAAGGGCCGGCTTCCCGATGATCTGACCACGGACTGGACCTGCAAACAGTCCGACGAGATCAACTGTTGTTTCGGCCAGATAGATAGCAGTCTAGCTCATCAAGCCTTTCCGTGCGCTTCGTGACCGTCTTTGCAGATGAGGTGATTGTCGACAACGGCCCTATCGAAGCGGACAAACCCAAGGATGAGATCCGTGCCCAGCCCTACAATCTCCCCAAGGACTTTGCCTGGTGCACGATGGACATCGAAAACGAAGCCGAGGTACAGTATGCTACCGCCGCGCTGGCCCGATTATCCGCCTCTGCCGTCGCGCTGGAACCTAATACGCGATCGCCTGCCTGGACAGATGAAGGAGGTCTATGAACTTTTGACGTACAACTACGTCGAGGACGACGACGCCATGTTCCGCTTCGACTACTCGGCTGCATTCCTGAAGTGGTATGGACGACGTTTGGCTATTCTCCAGTGCTACCTCCGAGAAGCCAAAGCTTCATTATGCTGAGGCCACACCTACTTACAGGGCACTCAAGCCTCCTGGATGGAAAGCCTCCTGGCATGTTGGCGTCCGGGTCGCGTCGTCCAAGAAGCTTGTTGCTTTCATCAGCGCCATTCCGGCAGAGCTGCGAATCTACGATCAGTTGCGTATCATTCCGTTGTGGTAGCTGAACAACCGATTGTCCGTGTAGCTGGGTGGGTGGCCAGTCGTGTCCGTGTTGACGCATCTTGAATTGCTTTTAGCCACCAGCAGCTCGTCGAGATCAACTTTTTGTGTGTCCACAAGAAGCTGCGCTCCAAGAGACTGGCGCCTGTTCTGATCAAGGAGATTACCCGTAGAGTTCACTTGGAGGGGATCTTCCAGGCTACCTACACCGCCGGCTCGTACTTGCCCAAGCCCGTGTCGATTTGCCGGTAACAGTACTTGGACGATGCGCAATGCTGCACAATCTGTGCCGTGCGGCAACAACCGAGCCTGGATTTGGCGGCTTTCAGCCAACATCAGCCCGCTCAATCGATTCTGCAATTTGTATCCTGCAGATACTACCATCGCTCGCTCAACCCAAAGAAGCTCATCGAGGCCAAGTTTTCGCATCTCGCTCGCAACATGACGATGGCCGGCACGATTCGCTTGTACAGGCTTCCGGAGGTATAGCCCCGCTTGCCGTAGCTGCATACACGAGGAGGTGTCGAGTGATGTTTCCATCGGTCTGCCCCATGTTCGCTCGCTAGATGCTGATGGAGAGGCGCCGGTTTGATGTACCATACGCATTACAGAAACCGCTCACGCCTGGGTTCAGAAGCATGACGCAGCAAGACGTCCCTAGTGTCGTCAATCTGCTCAAGGAGTACCTGTCCCAGTATGATCTGTCGATCTCGATGAACGAGCATGAGGTTGCTCACTGGTTCCTTCCAGTGCCCGAGGTCGTGTACAGCTACGTTGTCGAGGTAAGACTGCCAGGGCTCCGTATAATTAGGCTGCGGCCGCCCTCAGTATGGGGAATGAGATATGCCTAGCACCGACCTAATTATCGTGATATGGCAACATTTGACATGGTAGAACCCAGAGACTGGCAAGGTGGAGCAGTTTGTGTCGTTCTATGCTCTCAATTCGTCTATTATTGGGCATCCGGTGCACAAATCTATCAATGCCGCGTATCTCTTCTACTATGCCCCCAAGGACCAAGGGAACGACACTGCGGCGAAACAGGCTTTGATCAAAGATGCGCTAATCATGGCCCGCGATGTAAGTTGTGCAGTAATACCTACTGCCATTCACGAGCTGATGATCAGACACTGATGCCGCGGGCTCTTCAACAGCATGGCTACGACGTGTTCAACTGCCTCGATTTGATGGGAAACATGTCGTTCCTCGAGGAACTCAAGTTTGGCAAGGGCGACGGCAACCTCCACTACTACCTGTACAACTACCGATGCCGAGATGTGTCGCCCGAGAAGATGGCCCTGGTGCTGTTGTAAATGCGGCCAAGCGGATCGCAAATTATGTGAAATCTGTGGTGTGAAGGAGAATCTTTGGGCACTCGAATACATTCATGACTGCCTGAGTTGAGGCAAACGATCGGGTGCGGCGGATGACGAGCTGGGACGATCGGATGCAGAGTGTCGGCCAGTTGGGTTGGGCAGCCCGGTGGGTGAGGCGAATGGATCGATCGTGGTGTGGAGCACTGTCTGGAGTTGGCCATGGTCCGGAGCTGTCTGGGTCTGCGTCTGCATCCGAGTGTCATGGCGGCGACGAACCAGATGCGGCGGCTCGGCCTGCTCATGATCGCAACATGATCGCAACCTGAACATCACACAGCACGATGGGCTCGCGGGGAGGTCATTCGGCCACACCATCCATCCGTCCATCGCCAAAACACCACAAACACCACAAACACCCACGACACATCACGCAGACACCATTCCCATCGGCGATGCGAGCCACCCACAGTCCATCCGCTTTCTTGGCCATTCTTCGATCCACCAACATGCAGCATCCACTGCTCTCATCCACACACATCCAACCCTCTTCGTATCCCATCCAGCCCTCTCTTCATATCCATCCAGCCCTTTCTCACTCACACATCCATCCAACCATCAAGCACCACCCGCTGTTTCGTTTTAATCGTTTGCTTTTGGGGAGGGGTTCGGCGTCACTCGGCGGCAGTGTGAGGCCGAGGACACCGGTGCCGCCGACCAGTGCAAGCACATCGTCGGCAGCAGGACACAAAAATAAGTTTGACAGACAGTTATACTATGTATAACGTTTCAGCTGTCACACTGAAAAGAACAGATACTACACTTGATCTTAGCCAAAAGGCCTGAGAGGATTGTATTCGAAAGAGGGATCGCCGGCACCGGGGTATTTATGCGTCGCCCACGGCCCACACACACACGCCGGCGCCGCTCTCGGCGGCTCTCGTGCGGCTCTCGTGCGGCTCTCGGCGGGTCTCGTCTCGCCAACAGCGGGCTGCGCCGCACGCGGCGGACCAATGGCAGGGCGAGCCGGGTGGCGCGGGCTCCGCCACACCGATCACGGCGTGGCTTGGCCACTCCAATCGCGGCGTGGCTTGGCCTCCGATCCGGGTCCAGCCGGGTCCAGCCGGGTCCAGCCGGGTCCAGTCGGGTCCAGCCGCACTCGAGCCGGAGATCACGTGCGAGCTGTCCGCCGACCAATCGCGTGTGCGGCATCGGCGTGATGCTGCCGCTGTGTGCTGTTCGGTCTGGCGTCGGTGTGCCCGGTGGCGGCGCACTACGGCGGTATCCTGCGCTGCACCAATACACTGCGATGAGATGGGTGGCGAGAGGAAATGGCGATTCGCTCGGTGACGCGATCGACACTCGGTGCGGCGTCATGTAGCGTGATGTGGTAAACAGCGACAAGTCAGGATGTCCGAGTGGTTAAGGAGTTGCACTCGAAATGCAATGGGCTCGCCCGCGCAGGTTCGAATCCTGCTTCTGACGCTTGTCTTTTGTCATTTGGACTTTTGTCCGCCTCTCTGTTTTTTGCGCCCTCGCTTCTGTGGCGGCTCGCCATGGGTTTCCATGTCGCCAATGTTCCTGTCCTGCTGTCCTGCTGTCCTGTCCTTGTGCTTTGGTTCGTCTCTGATCTCGTCCATCCGCATCACCCAGTGCTCACCCAGGGCACACCAGGGCACACCCAGTGTCCATCCTCTCCTGCCATGGCCTCCACAAAGCCGTCGCTTGTCATTGTCCTCGACACACCCTCGCCGGCTCCGGTTCGCGCTCATCGATCCTCTCTCCACTCATCGGGCCCTGGTTCGGGACGCAGGTTGAATCAATTTGGATCGCCATTTGTGATATCAGATGATGATCCTGATGAAGCCCGTTCCAGTGACGGCCAAGAATTCACCTCCTGGTCGTCGCCCCAGCCCTCGCGAGACCTCTATGCAGATCTGCTCTTGGATTCCCCTGATCCTCCTCGGAAACGTTCTTCATCCGTTCTGTCAAGTCCACCAGGTGTCTCCACGTTCCGAAGCAACCCTTCAGCGATATTGTCCTCGGCTTCTCAGAAGAGATTCACAAGTCCTCCTGCCACCCGTCTCGCTCGCTCGCCTCAAATCGCCAGTGGCGCCCGTCTTCATTCTGACCCTCGTTTGGCCTTTGAACCCTGGCTGAACGACGCTGTTGATTCTGACGAGCCTGGGATTCACCCTGCGTCCTCGACCGTCGACCCGTCTCCGCTTTCCAGCCCAGCATTCTCGGAATTGCGCTGGGACGATCCCGCCAGTCCCACGCGACCTCGATTAGCGTCTGGGTGCCCTGCCCTGACCCTGGATGCAATTCTTGCTCAAGATCGATGGGGAGTGGATATTAGCGGACAGCCGGGCAAGAAAATCGTCGGTGCTGGCAAAGCTCTATCCCCAGATCACTTTCGTCGCATGGGATGTGGGCTTTCCCTACCAGTTCAGAACCCATCAAAGCTCATCTCGCCGCGCAAGCAGTCTTCACCCTCCAGTCGAAATCGTACTCGTCGTGCGGATGTGCAGGTTCACGAAAGCTCCCTCGCCGACGGATACCGCCATCACAGCCTCGACAATTCCAGGCAAATCGAGCAAGGCGCCTCGCCAAAGAAACGGCGGCGAAAGGATCAGGGCGTTTCTGGATCATCGGAGCTTACCGAGAAGGTAAAGTCTCAAGCCCGAAGAAGGACATGTGTCGGATCATCGTGGCGAACGATGAGGCTCTCAATAATGTGGTGATCAAGATACTTGGAACTGATCCCTCCCATTTGTACTTTTGCAACTCCCCCCCCTGAACTCAGCAACAAAAGCGTTTGGCTGATCAACGCATGGCTGCTGAGGAAAAGAAGAAGCAGGCCCAACTCAAGCACATCAACACCAAATGGGATGCGCGGACAGCCTGCTCCGAAATGACGGTTCAAATCGATCGACAGCTCGTGTCGACTGTGCGCATGCTTGATCGACTCAAGGAAGCACTTCAGGAACTTGGTGCCCGTGTTGAGATATGTGACCATCGGCCCGCCAATATCATCTGCTGGAAGCGGGATTCTGCCCGAAGCTGGTCTCCGGCCCGCAAGATGTTTGTGCCTGTGCCGACCTCGGGACTCGAGAAGCACGTTGTCTACTGGCTCAACGCCGCCGAATATGCACAGCAAGTCAAAGACGGCTGCTTTGTCGACAAGTTCGAAGAGCTCCGACGATGCTTCCCAGACTGCAGCGTCCACTATTTTATCACGGGCCTGGAACAGTACTTTCGGAAAGCCAACCTCATTGCGAGCCACTCGCTCCCTGAGCAAGCTGCACGATCGTCAGGCAATCGCTCCCGGCGACAGAGGCATTCTGCCGGCGTGGGCGATGTGGTCGCTCGGAGTCAGATCGAAGAGTCGCTGCTGAGGCTGCAGATCAACGGGAGCGGCCGCTGTTTCATCACTCTGCTCGCCGAGCACGAGGCAGAGGGATGGATTGTCGGGCTCACAAAGGCGCTGGCCACCAGGGTCCAAAAGATGTGAGTTGACAGAGCGACTACTCCCGGCCCCCTGGGACTCGAGCCGGCCGGCGATATCGGACTTGGTATGCGAGCGGGCGACTAATGCGTCGTTTCTGCTTCTCTGTAGGGCGCTACGAGATGCACTGTCGGGTCTCAATGCCGATCCACGAGCAGCCCGCCGATCCGCTGCGTCGTTGAGCGAAGCCTGGATGCAAATGCTTCAGCTCATCCCTGGGGTTGGCGAGAACAAGGCCTCTGCGATTGCCCGCAAGTATCCGTCGCTCTCGCTGTTGATGTCCGCTTACGAATCGCTGGAGGTGTCCAAGGCCAGACAGCTGCTTGCCAGTCTCGAGGTATGCCACCAAGCAACTTTGGCACATGCGATAGTTGCGTCGTGAAAGCTTGAAGGGAGCGAATGCCATTGACAATGAAACTCCTTCTTCCGCCCAGTATGTGGTTCCAAAATCAGGAAATACCAAATCCATAGGTGCCAAGGTCGCCGCCCGCATCCACCACGTCATAACCGCGAAGGTTTCGGATGAGCAGCCAATAAAATCCATTTAGTGCTCGAGATTGATCTTTCACGAGCACCAGGATTATGCAGATATCAAGGTAGATGCACAAGTGGTCATATCTTTAGCAGAGAAGGGAAGGGGTTGCTTTCCACTTTTGGTTTATTCATATGGAAACATAGAATCGGTGGGGTGGGGTTCTATTTACGGGGAGCGAAACTAGCCGACATAGAGAGCGGGGGGATGCGATCAGCCCGACGGAGAAACCATCGGTTCGCGTCTGAGGGGACCGGGGGGTAGTTTAGTAGGCGGTCTGGATAGGGACACACTTGTAGGGAGCAGCAGTGCTGGTGGGGGTGGCGGTGGCGGTGGAGTAACCAGAAGCCGAGGCGGAGGCGGAGGCGGAAGCAGAGGCAGAGGCAGAGGCGGTGGCCGAAGAAGAGCCAGAAGCCGAAGCCGAAGCCGAAGCCGAGGCAGAGGCAGAGGCAGAGGCAGAGGGAGTGGGGGTGGCAGAGGCGCTGGGGCTGGCAGAGGGAACCTGGGGAGGGAGGGACGCTCCGACAGAGACAGCCAGACCAGAGCGGGCGTTGTCGTAGTCATAGATGGCATAGTAGTTGCGGAGGAAGACGTCGCCGAGAACCCAGCCAGGGACACCGGCTATTGGGAAAGCAGGGAAGAAGCAGTTAGAATGAGGACTGAGCCCCGACGACTATGCTTGATTGCTTCAAGATCACCCCATGCATTAGGCAATACACAGCCCCGACAAGGACATGCGCGGCGGCTACTCACGAATAGACTGGAAGCCGAGAAGGCAAGTGGGGCCGGAGGGATCATAGATGATGTACTGCTCCTTGGGGATGGTGAACTCGTGGCCCTGGAGCGAGACGTTGATATCGGGGAAGCTCGAGAAGGTGTTGCAGTCGACAGTGTACAGGCCGTAGGCGGGGCTGTAGACGGGGGTGCTGGGGAGGGCAGGCACGATGATGGTGTCAAAGTGGGTCTGAGGGACAACGATCAAGCTCGTTCCTAGAGATGGGGAAATCCGGTTTGGGCGAGAAGGATAGTTGGGTCAGGGTCAGCTGCTGGCGATAGTCGTTGCGGAGGACGAGGCGACCGGGCGAGTTCAAAAACAATAGCGGCGGCAAGGCGTCACCCATCGCTGGCAGTAGAGTAAACGTGCACTCACCGGTGTCGAGGATACCGAGGGTGCCGTCGGTGACGGGGGTGTTCTTGTCGCCGATGCGGACGTTGGTGAGGCTGTGGCTCCAGTAGTACTTGATGGGGCCATTCTTGGTCGCGATGGGATCCAGGTTGAGCCAGGTAATGTCGCCGGTGTAGCGGCTGGAGTCGTACTCGCCGAGGGAGAACTCGCCGCCGGTGACGCCGTCGTTGTTGCCAGTGACGGAGCCGTTGAGCCAGAAGGCAAAGAGAGCCTTGTCAATGACACCGGTTCGCTTCAGAGACTGGACAACAGTCTCGCGAGTCTTGTCGGCTGGAAGCAGAGATACAGACGACGAGTCAGCTGCGTGCGAACGATGTAGCAACCCGGGATGGCACACAAAAAGGAGCGCTTATAGTGACCATGGGCGCATGAGACTCACTCTGAGCAGGGCCGTTGTAGGAGAGACCCAGGATGCCATCCATGCCGCCGCCGGTCTGCTGGGCAAAGACCGAGTCAACAGAGAAGATGTCGCTGAAGACCTGGCCGACAGAGGCGTAGCCGGCAAAGGTGACGGTGTCCTGTGAAATGAAAGCACAATTGACATGTCAGAATACTGGTCAGCGACAACGCGACCAAAGCACAGGACGGTGGGACAGTGTCGCCACACTCACATAAGTGATGGTGCCGTTGCAGTCACCGGCACCGTAGGTCTGGCGCTCGATAGTGGCGGTGACGTCAGCAGTGGAGCTGACGTTGGGGTTGTACTTGTCGGGGCCGGCGCAGAGAGCGCAAGCGGCACCCTCAACCCACAGGCGGTGGGAGCCGGTGTCGAGGTCGACGATAAAGTTCTGGGGAGGGGTGCTGTGAACGCGGAGGGCGTAAGTGCAAGTGTTGATGGGGCGATGGGGGTGATGGGCGAGCGCCTGGATCGACAGCGATGGCCCAATGGGTGGCGACTTACCCGATGGTGATGTTGGCAAAGTACTGAGCCAAGGAGGAAGCGTTGCGAGAGGTGTTAGCACAGTTTGAGAGGGGGCAGGGCTGGCCCCGCTCGTGGTATCGCGTCGTCGCCTGCTGGTGCAACAGATGAGGTTGAGGGGCGGTATGAAAGTGGACTTACGGCAAAGTTGCCGGCGTTGAAGAGGGGGAGGTCGTTGCCCGAGGCGATCAGGTTGTCGTCCGCAGGGACAGAGAGACCGAAGCGCTCGGTCCATCGGGCAACACTGGCGGCAGTGTTGAGGGCGATGGTCTCGGAGAGAGTCAGGCCGCTGACCTGGGTCTTGTAGATGGGCCTGGTGGACAGCGACGAGCGGGTGAATTCGCATACGAGGTGCGGTGCAGGCAGACCGAGGGCAGCGCGGACGAGAGCCGGGGAGGGCGCAGGCCGGCACACTTACGAGACGGAGGCCTTGGCACCCGCGACGGCGGCAAGGGCAAAGACGGCAGACTGGACCTTCATTCTGATTCTTCCTGTCGAGCGAGTCAGCGAGGGCGGTGAGGAACTGGAGTCGGGTTGCGGAACGGGTCGGTTTATATGCCGTCACGGCCCATCGAAGCGGCGCGGATTGTGGGACGATGGCTGGCCGACGCCGCGACAGGGGACAGGCCGCGCGTGGTGGAATGCGAGTGCGGGTGTGGGCTTCGCTCGTCGGGCCGATCCTTGTGCTGTCGCTGCTGCTCTTGACCGACGTTTGTTCCTTGGTGTCATTGGATGCGCCGCTCTTTGGCAGAGATCGCATTCGCAGAAGCCGTCGCGCTGCTGCAGCAAGAGCCTTGGTGCATCCGCCTTGTGGACGCAGCGCCGAAATGGAGGCTGCGCTGTCACGCTGGGCGATCCCAGGCAAAGGGGGGGTCGAGGGGCGCGCTCGCGTCGACAAGACCGGCGCCCCCGCACACACCCCATCCCGCCACCGATGGCCAGAGCGTCGCACCATCCGCGTGTCTGTGCGACCACTGCGTGCGCCTGTGGCCCAGTCAAGCGCGTTGTTGATGTCTGTGCCGCGGCGGTGTCGCACATTTGTACCGCCGCGCGGCGCGCCGCCAGTGGTGCGGTTGCCAGGGCGCGTCCGTGGTGCGCCGTCCGCATGACCCCTGTGCCACGCCTGCTTGGGCAGCGCTTGTCTCCTGGCTTCCGCGCTGCTGCCAAGCTGGGCGCAACAGGCCCGTTGCTGTCTGTGCCGCCGGTTCTCTGTGGATGCGGACCCCGTGACTCTCCCCTTGCCCGAGGAGCCACTATGAAAAAAAAGCTGACGTGTAAATTACGCGTTGGCCAATACTTCCCTCGCAAATCCCCCACCGGACTCAGCATAACAAGGAAAAACACGTCTTCTCGCGTTTTGTTTTGCCTTGGGGGTCGCGTCTGGCCACTGAAGCGACCGCGACGGGCTCGGGTCACCCGCATTTCTCCTTGTTCGTCCAGGTTGCTGGCTCCCTGGGTGTCCCCGAACCCGCACTGCCACATCCCGTGGAGCCCTCGGCCAATGGGCTGCTTCCGTTCACGTGACATGGCATCCGAGTCATCCCGGCTTTTCACTGTCTTCCGCGACTCGTTCACTGTCCATGACCCCCGGCTGCTTTCCTGACTCATCTGTGTTCATGGGTCATCAGAGCCTTCGGACTTGGACAAAAACCGGGCATTTCCGCCCCCAGTTGCTTCGTCAATCTCCTCTTGATCCTTTCTCCCCTCGACCTTCTCATCCGACTCTAATCATGAGTTCAGCCGCTCAACCATCTGGGCACGATCACCCAAGGCATACTCCATATCCAATATCATCGACCAGGGTACCATCCTCGATAAATAGGGCTCACGATGGGCTTCCCAAGAACAGATCCATCTGTCGTTGTCGCAAGTGTAGCACCGATTCGCAAGGCTTCAGGATTGTCTCCAGAACGACCTACTACGACCACTTCTATCGCTATGGCTTTCCACCTGGAGTCCCCCCTGTTCACATGTACTCGCTCAAAGATCCTCAAGAAAACACACCTGGCCATCTTTCTTCGTTCCCTCACCGTCCTATTACAAGCATATGCGAAAATAACCCCAATTTGCGAACTTCGCCGACATTTCATCCCCCAGTGTTGGTGGTAGATGAACTGCGACCACATGGGATAACATCGCAGCGACCTTCATTGGGTAAGACTGAGCACCTGATATCACATTCTCGCTAAATTTTTGTGTGCGTCACGGTTTCAGTCTTGAGCAATAATCAGTGATCTGTGCTTGGACGCTGCCAGAGCTCACTACGAAATGACCAATACACTCTCGATTTGTCCGACTTTGTTTCTTCATCCTTGGCCTGGCCCAAAGGCTCACCCCGCGCATTTGAGCACGAGAGCATGGATATCCAAACAGGAGCATCTATTCAGCAATGCACCCAAGACAACGAAGGCCCTGCTCCAGCTCAATTTGAACGCTGCCCTTCGTGGTCGCCAAGCATGTGGGCATCGCGGGACTCTGAAGAAGCGTCCATGTACTACGAAGACTCTGAAGACTCTTCGATAGACTCAGAAGACACCACTTCAAGCTCACCGAGAGAATTCGATGACATTTCGGGTGAGATATCAACGTCACCCAGCCTGATCGTATCGTCGAATCTTCCTGGTCTTGCTTCAGAGTCCGGTTGACTCATATAAATGCCACGGTTCACCTTCCAGGACAGTATCCGGATAGCTTCCTCGGCCACTTTCGACTGCTTGAAATGAATGAAGATGATGAAGAAACTGGTGACGAAGAGCCCCGCATATCAGATGGTGAGTCAAATTCAAAGGACAGATAGCAATCCGATGTAGCATCCGAATTGATGTATTCACCCGCGGCTTTCCCCCAGATATCCCGCCCTTCTATTCGCAGCTGGTCAAGGTGTTGACCGAGTGCAATGTTACCGACAAAGCCATCAAATCTGTCCTTAATCATTGCAACAAATTCCAAGGATTGTCATTACCAGCTGCACCCAGTCTGTACAAGATCCAAAAGATCATTTGTTGCGAGTGGAACGAGTATCTTCAGAGGCTTCCCTGCTGCCCAAACAGCTGCATGGGATTCGACATCAATGATAACCAGAGTCGAATATGCACGTTTTGTGGAGAGGATGCTTATGCGACGGTGAACGAAAAACTTCTGAATGGCGGCATTCAACCACAACTGAGGCCGATTCAGACCTACAAGTATTTCGATTTTGTTCAGATACTTCAGACACTCTACCGAAATCCAACTATGGCAGAGTTGATGATGTACAGAGCAAACAGAGCGAGCGAACCAGGTACTTTCCACCCGTATTATTTCCCAATACTATATTGCTATATGGTGCTCTGAACTCACCAAATCTGAATCTTCAGGCATCATGAACGACATATTCGATGCCGAATATTACCAGCACCTTTGTAGTCGCTCAATGTTCCAGCAGCCCACCGACGTTGCTCTCGGGCTGCATTTTGATGTCTTCAATATCAATCAGAGGTACGCCCGCTCTCTGTTTCAAAATCAGATTATAACCACAGCTGACCTTTGTATCTGGTGTAGGCAAAGCCATCAATCGTGGGGCTTCATCTTGATCAACTTCAATCTTCCACCTGCTCTGCGCTACAAAAAGGAAAATCTCATTACGGTCTTGCTTACGCCTGGTCCACGATCGCCTCGTGACTTTGATACATTTTTGAAGCCGTTTTTCGAAGATATGAAGAGACTTGAGACCGGTGCGTAAGCCCCTCTGGTGTGGATCACTTGGTCACTCCACATAATCCTCGCGAGAGCACGCTGCTGACGGAGCAATGTCTCTCGCTCCCAGGTGTTGAGGCGATAAGGGTCGACAAAAATGGCGTGGAACATTCTTTCACTCTCCGAGGTCACTTGCTGTACTGCCAGAGTGACATGCCCGGATCCAACAAATTCGGTAAATTTTCTGGGCACACCGCCACGAAGGGCTGTCGTCTCTGCGAAATAACGGCCACGAGGGCCGGGGGTGCCATGTGCTTCTATGAGCGTGACACTCCCAGTCCATACCGCACCGAAGAGAGTCTGAACAGAATATGGGAGGCCATCGATCAAGACGGCATGCCCCGAAACGGTACGTTAACGAGACGAGTCAGGGCGTTGTTTTCGACTCCGATGTTAACATTAACTATGTTGATCAGGGATCGTGGGGCGACCAGGTGTAACTCAACTTGAGTCCATCGAGCTCAGCTTCTGTCTTCCTCTCGATCTGATGCATGTGATCTCGAACATTGGTCCACTCATGATGGAGATTTGGAATGGAACGCGGAAGGCTCCCTCATCCTCAAGTTTGGACCAAAAGATCACGTCCAAGTGCCTGAAAAAGATCGGAAGATGGATCAGCGAAGGCAGGATTCAGATTCCAACAGGCTTTGGTGCCTCTTGTCGGGACCCTGTCTCATACAAAAGCTTCAAAACCGAAGAATGGAAGAATTGGATTATCATGTACTCCCTACCTCTGCTCAATGCGGCGGGCTTTCCACTAGAACACTTGTAAGCTCTTGATATTGTACCCTGCTCGAACCGGGGCCCGTCCTACGGTCGATGAGATACTTGATTCGAATTGATCCTAACAGTGATGCTATTGTGCCTAGATTGGGATGGAGGCGCTTTGTCTATGCCCTTCGATTGATGCTGCTTCCCCAGTTGAATGTTGCTCAATGCAATCAGATCGAGAGAAATCTTCAGAGGTTCCAGGAGTACTACACAGAGCAAGTAGCACGAGACAGCAGTCCCTTCACTTGAGGATGTTGGGCAGCTCACTAATTCTCAATATCTAACCACGTATACTCGAAATGTATTCACCAGGTCAATCGCAAATCTCCCAGAGTCACTCGAACCTCCTCCAGACAGAGCTCCAGACCTGTCTGGACTTCGTTTGATGAAAACCTACGTGCATCAGCTCCAACACTTGCCCAGGTGCATCCGATTGTTTGGACCCTTGGTATATCAATGGCAGTTTGAAATGGAAAGAACCTGTGGTCGCCTGAAGCTCATCGGGCGATCGAAGGTCCATCCAGTGGACAATATGGCCAATCGGCTCGTCCTCCAAAGCTCTTTGAGCGGTCCAAGCATTGCTCCGAACTTGACCTTGAGAGGAACATCCAGGTTGGGCGAAGACCCTGGGATATGGCCATCCTCCTTTGCAAACAATGGGCGGGCCTCGAATCAAGATAGCCGCGGAACCTTGTCTGGCCAGCAACAAAAGCTGAAACTACCTTCTGAACAAGTCGCGAAGCTAAAGAGCGCTTATGCCAGGACGATTTCTGCCAATTCCTCATACGGCTATCGTGAAGCCTTGCAATATGTCCATTCACTTTGGGATCAGAATTCGGACACTTGCTCCAAACACACCAAGATGGACGCGGGGGAACTACATGTCATATCTCAATCACATCGGATGAGCACGGCACATCATCGGATGAACTCTGTTGTGAAGGTAAGGCATTCGGCAGCGCGCGATAGCGAAGCCTCATATGAGCTAATGCATTCTGAATCTACAGGTTTGGACCAATATGCCCGATGCATCAGCAAGCAATCACCCATATTCTTCTGTCCGCTTCTATCAAGTCCAATATTTCATCAGCCACTCCTTTGATGGAGAAACAACAAACTGGGCATACTGTGTGATTCCAAAGATCAACATCAGATATGGAGATGACAGTTCAGGATACCGCCCATGCAAAGAGTGTGCTACCTTTCACCTCGACAGCATGGAGTCAACGAATCATATCTTTGTTCCAGCCGATGCCATCGTTTCTACTGTCGGATACTTCGAGATGGAAGGCGGTGGGTACAGCTTTGCTGCAATTGGAGAGTGGATGGAGAGGCAAAGTCAGGCT